CATCGGCGTTTGCTGTTACTCAACAAGAGGATTGCGAGACGATGGCAAACTTGAACTGGGGATTGTCTTCGCTGAAGGATGCAAACTTGTCTTGTGGATAACTTCCAGTGGAAACCATGGTGTAATTATGCCAACGTGATTGGGGCGAAGGATTGGGTGCCGGTGACTTCCGCTGACCCAACTGTCAAGCTTAGACAAGCTTTGACTATCCAGTGATCTGAACGTTCTACATCACCGGCCGGCCATCTCATTCGAGTCCGCTTTCCCAGCGGTGAGCCTCCGTTCACCTACTCCTCGGGTCGGAGCGAGCATAATGTATGCCAGGGTCCTTCGCGGCATAGTGAAGATGGTATAGTGAGGGGTGAGCCGCGGCTGGATTTCTTACACGAGGAGCCATGGTAAGCTCCTTGAGGCAAGGATTATTCAAGGATACGGGCGCCGCCCCCCTTGTCCGTGGGAGGTGGTCCCTGGAGAGGAGTGGGTGGAACCCATCAATTAAGGCACTAGTCCTTAGTGTACCATAGAGGGGGGAGGCTTTGGCCAGGGTAAGGTGATGGATTGTCCCCATTCCGGAGGGCGAGAGTGGACGCGAAAAAGCAAGAAAACCGACGGGAAAGGCACCGTAGGCAATGGGGCGACGGGGCAATTGGCGTGGGCGTCCAGCGGGCCGGAGACGGAAGGGTCGGGGTCCCTTGAAGCTTGAAGGCCAGGTGACCTGAGCCTTGCTGCAACGGCGGAGGAATCTCTGCGGCTGGAGATATGCTCCCATGCGAGTGATGTGATGTGATGAAGTGGGTGACGAGAACGGATCTGCAAGAGGATGTCTGAAGACACCTGCTTGTGTGGAACCACTGCCGGGGAAGGTGCCAACCAAGTGATGGCGGAAGGTACTACGTAGTAGGTACCTTCTTGACCAACGGTAGCAGGGTGCTGATTCCAGCAAACCCGCTGGAAGGAACCAACCAACACCCACGTCTAGGCTTTAAGCACAGGGTGCCGTGACGGCCGATGTGGGCCACCGCGGCTGGCATTTTTGCTCGTCACACAAGAACGTCAACAACGTCACAACCGCAAAAGCACGCACAAGCACGCACAAGCACGTCGATACCCGTTGGTTCAGGGCGTTGGCTCAGGGAAGAGAGAACTTGGCGAGGGTTGGTGGCGCCGCCGCGAATGGCGTTCGATGTCGCATCAACCCTGTCGGCACTTCTTACTGATGGCACCGCCACGCTTCAATCCCGGTGCTTCAAGCCTTCGGCAGGTGTGTGTGTAAGGTGCCATCCTGATAAGCACTTTGCCTACTTGCTTGTTGCCCTTGTAGGGAGACGACTGCAACAAGAGCAACATGATCATCGGGAGAACAGGTAGGCTATGACCAACGTGGGGTTATCACCGGACGGCGCCAGCTTGTGGACATTTGACAGAGCTGCTACTTTGGCCACCCTCCTCAATGGGGCCGATTACTAGGGGAACAGTTCGTTGCGTCTACTGCGCGTTCTACGGCGATACTAGAAAGGAGGTCAACGTCTCCAACGTCCGCCAGCGCCGGCACCATTGCGAGACCAAGGCGCCGCCGTACGGTTAACATTTGGCTCGGTGGGCGACTAAGATTGTGGGCCACTGGTGGTGGTCTCGGGCATACGTGGAGGAGGGCCGATGACAGGACGCGGCCGAGGGATCCGATGACGATCGCACTGGATGAGAGAGTTGACGTGCTTGTTTGAGGAGGGTTTGCTTTGTTGGTGAAGCGAGCTGCGGGACTCCCTCTGATGCCAAATGTCTCCGATCAGTCGCATCATCTTGTGCCGTTGCCTCTCCTTCTCTGAGCCATGAGAGGCCCGTCCGCAAAGATCAAAACCCTTCTGTATGACACTGTGAGTGTGCACACACGAGGGAGCCGGTCAATTAATTAGGCTGGATCTGAGAGCGAAGGCCTGGACTTGGCTGCCCCTTGAAGTCGTGTCATCCTACGTAGGAGGCTCCCTTTGGGGCGGTCTTCGCGGGGAAAGGTTGGCTCTGCGGCCTGGGGCTTTAGGGTCGCCTGGGGCTGAGCCAGACTGTGGGTAAAGGCTGAGGATAGACAGAGGCTGAGGCCACAGGGGGTGCCAAGGCCGGCCTGGATGACGAGGGGATCAGAGTCAATTGGATCCTGCGACGGGACTTCTCACAATACCCGACTCATGCGGTTGCGAAAAACCTTTGTCTGTCTGCCTCCGCTACGGTCTGTGTGTTTACCCTGCTGCAGTGGCTACAAGCGAGGATCGGGACAATGGTGCATGCAGCGCAGCGCAGCGCAGAGAGCACCTGCGGGCTCCAACACGGTGCTGAAGCGAGACGCAGGAGAGCGCATCTAGCGCTAGACTGTCTGTGTGTCTACTTCTGCACGCCAGCTCAGGAACAAGCAGCTAGCAGGCAACTAATGGATGGCAAAAGGGACCAACAGAGCCAATACGAAGGGCGTGGTTCGACGACGGATTATCAGAGAATTCCAGTCCCCCTTCTGTCTTCTCCCTCTCTGGCACCCCCTACCTGATGATATCACGAGGGCGATGAATAACTGGCGAGAGGGTGGAAGATTGACGTAGATGAGCTGGGAATAATAGCTTGACACATGACACATGCCCCAAATTGAGCAAATGATCGAGAACGGTCTCGTTCTGGGCGGCCAGTTGGCGGCCAGTTGACGGCCCAAATAGTAGCGGCTCAGCTGTGGCCCGGCCGACTGAAATCTGGGGCCAAGTTATTGATTGCTACTGGCGGGCTGGTAATGGCCACAGCAAGTCGACGTTGGTCCAATATCGAATTACACCATGAAGCACACCAACCGTGTTAGTGCTTGCCCTGTGCTGTGGTGACGAGAGCAACAGGTGGTCCATGCAAGATGCGGCGGACGGCGGCATCCAATCCGGAGGCACCTCGTCGTAACCAGTGGCCTTGATATTTGCTGAATTTGATGAGCTCGCTTCTGGAAGACAGAAGGGGGCATACTAAGAGCTCAAGCGCATCCAGGGCGTCTACACTGAGGGTGATGCGCCGAAGAGAGCAGCACATATGCAATGGACGAGTCCCTATGGCTGGCGGGCAGCAACCCAAATTTGCCCACCCGCTGTGGTTCTCCCACTCACAGCGCCCCGTAGCAGCCCCGACAGCAGCTACCAACGCAGGTCACCCACCCTGTGCACACCTAGCCGCAGCGCACCGCACGTACTACTGTACTGAGTGAAAATGGTGGGGCCGCTCGGTGACCTTGCTTGGCCGGTCGCCGAGCAAGGGGCGCACAACTGGCTGTGTCTGTGTCTGTGTCTCTGTCTGTGCAATTGCCTCTCGGCCGTCGCCCTCCGCGGATCGAGTTAGCCCCCTCTCCCAGGGCTGCTGTTGCTGGGGAGGGACTGGACAGAGTTGACAGCGACGAGTCGCCGGGTCTGAACGAGTTCTGGGAGTGAAAGGGGTCCATCTGCACATCCCTGCCGCTGGCCGGGTTCCTGGGCCCCAGGCCTGTCCATGGCTTCTCCCCGGCTATCGCGCTATGCATGGGCCCCCTGGAACTAGCTTCTGGAGCCAGTCGCGTTCCCCACTGGAAAAGTCGTTGGTTAGTGAGGCGTGCCGCCAGAAAGGAGGCCCCCCCGCTGAGACCACACGCCCACGCCGCCCACACCCGTCACCCGTCACCCGTCACAGTTGCCCACCATGATCCCGTCTTGTCATCACCCACAGACACCCACACCAGCTCCCTCACCCCCTGACCTTGCCCTTGTCCTGTCGCCCTGGGTGAAGCTGTCCGGGTCGAGGAAGAAGCAGTGCATTGCTATGTAGCATCAGTGGGGACGACGTGGGGAGTGCGGCTATCCACTGTAAAGCTGCTCTCCGGCTGCCCTCTTGAGGCGTCCTTGGGGCGTCCTTTCGGGGGGAAAGACGCCCTGGGATGGCTTCTGGGGGGCCTGGCGTCGGATCCACTGACGAAAGAGTGGGTGTGGCCACCGAAGACCCAAGACGAGAGCCACAGCAATCAAGACTGTAGAGCAGAGGACAAGGTGATAACACCACCGCTATCCCCAGACCCGACGTCGCGTAGGCCATCTCCTCTCTTCTCTTTCCCTCGTTTCTAATCCTCCTCGAGTGTGAATTATTTCCCAGCCTTGCTCCCCGTCTGTACAACAGCCAACAATCGTCTTCGCTTTGGCAACCCATACTAGTCCCGCCATTCGCTCTCGAGTCTCGTCTTCGCTGACCAGTCCACTCGTCGACCCGGGCATTCCATCCGGACTCTCCTTTTCTGCATACCTTGACTCAGCGCTACCTTACACGCGACGACCCCCCGACCGTCCTCGATCGACAACGCAAGACGTCCAAAGGCAATCCCTTCGATCCGATCTTACTGTGGTTCATTCCTTTCGCATACCCATCAACAACAACCCCGGTTCAGTTGTTCCTCTCCGTCCCTGCCAAAAGAAAAGGTAAGCGCTACTCAGATACACTACCAACTCCTCCACTGTGCGCATGTACGCACGTTCACCCCGGTGCACGCACCACACGCACGCACGAAAATCATCTACGTGAGACGGGACGAGGACAGGCCACCGGCTATTTGGTCAATTCATCTCGTCTCAAGTTGAGTCGAGGCGAATTGGGTCCGCGGTTTGGCAGAGGCAGTCGTCATTTAGCTGGCGTCATAGGGAAGGGAGCGATCGACTACAGGGCACAGGGCTTGACATTTGCCCCAACGGCGCCCGTGCAGCGCCTACAACGGCCCTGCCCCGCCCGCTATAACGCTGAACTGCTGCGGCTTGCCTCGCCACGGCCGCGCGCATTCCTGGGCAGCTGCTCGCAGGACTTTAAGTCCGCTCTACGCCTTCTCCCTTCATTCCATGACGTTTTCCCTGTTGTATCCAAACAATGACCACAAAACATTGAAAGTTCGCGCTCACAGACACTGACATTTCTTGCCAGCCAATCCATTGCTCCTACGGCAAGCCCTGGTTTCACTTTGCTTGGGACATCCCGATCTCGAATTCTCGACTGTCACCACCTTCACTCTTCATCTTGATTCTCCGCTTACACAGTATTCCCGTTGCCCCTCACCCGCCCGCCAACTGATTCCGCCGAAGGCCTATTCTCAGTCCACTACTCTTGGATACGACGACACGATTGGTTATTGGGACAATTGAGAGAGCCTCGCTTGGGTGGTTGTAACAACCCGCCTGCCTGGCTATCCACCGATGATCTAAACGACGCCGTCAGACTGCGGCAATCGCGATGCTGAGCACTCAATCGATGCGAGCCAGCCTCCAGGTGGCTCCCCTATCATTTGCGAAGGTTCACACCGAATCGACTGGAGATGGATCAGCAACAACCGACCCGGACACGAACCCTTACTCGCAGTCACACATGACGCCTCCGGCAACTCCCAATGGCTCGCAGGAAGATCTCTCACCACAATACCTGGCACCTCCAGTCTTTCACAACTTTCTGCGAGCCTTCTATCCTTTCAACCCTAGCTATGCCATGTCCGACACGAGCGTAACGCTCCCGCTCAATGAAGGAGACGTTATTCTGGTACACTCCATCCACACCAACGGCTGGGCCGACGGAACTTTGCTCGTTTCCGGTGCCCGAGGATGGCTCCCCACCAACTACTGCGAAGCTTACGAGCCCGACGACATGTGCAGTCTACTCAAAGCTCTATTGAACTTCTGGGACTTGCTGCGGAGTACCACTGTCAATGACAGAGAAATCTTTGGCAATCAAGAGTTCATGAAGGGCATCATCGCCGGCGTGCGGTTCCTATTGGTGAGTCGACGCGGAGGGTTTGGGCTATTTGACCAAGTGGAGGAGCTAATGTTTTTAATAGGAACGCACGAACTGCTTAAACCGGGAATCCCCGTTCATTCAGCGAAACGAAACCCTCCGCAAGTGCCGCAAGTCGTTGCTCTCGGAACTGTCATCGCTGGTCAAGTCGGCCAAGCGGCTACAAGAATCACAACGGCCAGTACTAACTCCCGTGGAAGACGTCAATGATATCGTCGACGAGATGATCCTCAAGGCGTTCCGGATCGTAACGAAGGGCGTTCGGTTCTACGACGTGCTGGACGAAGACCGCCGGGCCCGCGCGCCAGCCTCGGTCACCGTCATGGCTACAGTGCTCGAGGAGTCCTACGTGCCCCCAACGCCGCCGGCAGACCAGGGAACGTTTGACGATCAAGCCCCACGCTCAGTAAACGACACAGACTCTCAAGCGGCGACGAGTGTAGCAACCTCAGAGTCCAGTGAGAGCACTCAGACGACAATGGCTATTTTCAACAGGAGGCTGTCCTCCTTGGGCTTGCCTACAGGCCCAAGCTCCCACCGGCTGTCTCAGGCCAGCTTGGTCCAAGCTCACCGCTTGTCCGCATCCATCTCCCACAGAGTTTCGCTAGCTGGCCCTTCACCTCTATCGCGTGCCCATCACCTCGTCTCGGAGCGCCTGAACCGAACTCACGATACCTTCCTCTCGCATCTCGGCTCCTTCATCGGCCGCCTGCATCTCCAGTCGCAGTCTCGCCCCGAACTGGCCTCCGCTATTAAGCAATCCGCCCTCTCTGGCGGAGAGCTCCTGGCTGTGGTCGACGGCGTCTATGAGCACATCAACTCGAGCTCCGAAGTCCTGGCGCTGGCGCGTGCGACCATGTTTGAACGTATCCAGGACCTCGTCTTCTCCGCTCGCGACACCCTTGCCAATGCCGAGTCTGAAGAGGCCGATGTGATCATGCCCCAGGACAACAGCATCCTCCTGAACTCGGCCACTGGCTGTGTCAGGGCCGCTGGTGACTGTGTCGCCAAGGCCAAGGTCGCCATTGAGCGTATCGGTGACTTCGAGTTCGAATTAGAGAGCAGCAGCCTCGGTATCGACCTCAGCATCCTCGATATCGCACCGGAGGAGAGGGCTAGGACTCCCGTTTCTGAGCCTTCCAGCAACCCCAGCGTTGTCGAGGAGTCACACCGAAGCTCTTCTGGCTCATCTACCGTCGCTCCCGCCGCTCCTCGACGATTGACGCTCACTGGCGTCGACAAGCCTCTTCCCGAAGTTCCTCAGGACGCCACCACCCCGACTGAGGAACAGACACCCCAGAACCCTTCTCCCGCCTCGTCCCGACCCTCGTCAGCGAATGGCGACGGCCTTTCCAGCATGGCCTCCTCCATCTCCTCGCTCCGACCCTCGCTTCCTCCTCTACCTAAGCTATCTACCACCCTCCTTCCCAGCGAGGACTACAGCCCTGTCGACAACCACGACAGCGATTTCGCCTCCACTTCCCGATTCGATAGCATGGTTGCCTCCAGCGCTGGCAGTAGCGCCACATATCTTAGCCGGGACTCCGAGTCCAGCATCCTTTCTCAGTCCTCCACTCGGGCTACTACCCCCGATCACACCATGGCCCCCAGGAATCAGCCTTCAATGTCCGAGCTGAGCACTACTGACAGCTCTTCCCACGCCGAGGAAGTTGACGAAGTTGAGTCCAGGCTCATGGAGAAGACGTTTGCTCACGAGCTCATGTTCAACAAGGAAGGTCTGGTGACTGGTGGTTCCATTCAGGCATTGGTCGAGCGCCTCACCACCCACGAGTCCACCCCCGACGCCATGTTCGTCTCAACCTTCTATCTGACCTTCCGACTTTTCTGCACCCCAGTGCGCTTGGCTGAGGCTCTCATCGAGCGCTTCGACTACGTTAGCGAGTCTCCTCACATGACCGGACCCGTGCGATTGAGAGTATACAATGCATTCAAAGGATGGCTGGAATCTCACTGGAGGGACGAGACCGATCGCGATGCCCTCGACCTTATCATGCCATTTTCCGAAATCAAGCTTGCCTCTGTCCTCCCTTCAGCTGGCCGACGACTCTTGGAGCTTGCTCAGCGAGTTTCTGGAGACGGCTCCCTGGTCCCCCGTCTCGTGTCTTCTATGGGCAAGACTAGTACCTCAATTGCTCAATATGTCCCCGCCGACACTCCCCTTCCTCAGCTGGCTGTCTCTAACCGCCAGATCAACTTGCTCGCCTCATTCAAGAGCGGGACTAGCGCCCCAACCATTCTTGACTTCGACCCTGTGGAGCTCGCCCGCCAGTTGACTATTAAGCAGATGAACATCTTCTGCTCGATCCTCCCCGAGGAGCTCCTGGGTTCTCAGTGGATGAAAAAGGGTGGCGTTTCCGCTCCCAACGTAAAGGCTATGTCGTCCTTGTCCACTGATCTCTCCAACCTCGTGGCCGAGACCATCCTCGAACACCCCGAGATCAAGAAGCGCGCTGCCGTCATCAAGCAGTGGATCAAGATCGCCCACCAGTGCCTCGAGCTTCACAACTACGATGGCCTAATGGCTATCATCTGCAGCTTGAACAGCAGCACTATCAGCCGGCTCCGCAAGACTTGGGACGCCGTGTCTGCCAGGCGTAAGGAGATGCTCCGAACCCTCCAGGCTCTCGTGGAGCCTTCCCAGAACAACAAGGTCCTCCGCACCCGCCTCCATGACCACGTTCCTCCTTGCCTGCCTTTCCTTGGCATGTACCTCACCGACTTGACCTTTGTCGACATTGGAAACCCCGCCACGAAGCAAATGGCCCTCGGCAATGAGTCTGAGGAGGATGGCTCCAATGGCATCACTGTCATCAACTTTGACAAGCACACGCGCACAGCCAAGATCATTGGCGAGCTCCAGCGCTTCCAGATTCCCTACCGTCTGACTGAGATTCCTGATATGCAGGACTGGATGACGGAGCAGATCAGGCGAGTCCGAGAGGGCGACCAGGGCAATGTCCAGGTCACCTACTACCGCAAGAGTCTTCTCCTTGAGCCCCGAGAGACAGCTCTCCGTATCCCTACTGAGCCCCAACCCACTTCCCTCGGTGCTATTTCGAATGCGAGCCGCACCGACCTCTTTGGCTGGATGTCCCGAGATCGAAGCAACCCAACACCTACACCTACACCAGCGCAAGTGTAGACACCACTTGCCACTGAATTACCCGACTTCGGGTCAACAAAATCATTTCACCACGCGCGCACATATTACCACAATCAGTAACTACATTCATCTTTGATACCCCGATTTTTTTTCACGGTCTTCATCAGCAGATGGGAAAACATCGACACGTCCCTTATGACTACTATATACATCAACACAACGGCGTTATTCATATACTGGGATTATTTTGGCTTTTCACTCCATGTTTTATGTCGATACATTACGGGCCTAAGAAGTAGCACTTCACAGCAGCGAGCTGCCCTATTTTTCGACCTCTTTGTTTCTTTGTACGCAACCCTCTCGCGAGGGAATTGGGAAGATGCCAGTGTGGGATTAAGGGAGTCTGGAAAGGGAACGGAAAATACCTTCATGTTGGAATCGCGACCCATCTTGGTACTTTGTCATCATGCCTTTGGTCTGTTCTTGGCTTGCCGCAGCAATTCTGGTTACAGTTACATTTTTTTCACTTTTGCCTCGCCTTCTTCCTCTCATTCTCACCCTCATTCTTTCTCTCAAGCCACACAAGGCGAGGCGTCGAAAAAATTGGCAAGGGCCAGGTCCGGGATGGATTGGGCGGTTGGACGGGTTAGGCGGCTTTGTCTTTTTATGCGCTTATTCCATTTCTCTTTATACTATCAGGTCGGACAGGAATCTTGAGTTGCTGGGAAAAGAGAACGGAAAGCTGTCTAGCCAATGCGGAGCGTTCAGCACGCGGAACAACAGCAATTGTTTGGGACGGAATACCTTTCGTGCTGCTGCACAGGTAGCACTGTTGTATGTATCTAAGTCGTAGGATGGGCTGGATGCCCAGATGCGGGAGCGTCCTGCAACACAAAATGACAATAATTGTTCATCAAATTTTCGCCTTGATCCATATGTGACTGTGGCCTGTTTGATGCAAACGCCTAGAGAATATTTACTTGAGTATCGAAATACTGTCGTGGGTGAGTGTCGGTGTGTGTCTGTTAGCTCCATCAACGTACATCATGAACCTAGTGTATTCCTCGTCTTCGTTTCCTGGCGATGTTAACTTCACATCCCAGCACCCACTCATGCTGGGGGCTAGAGTCTATGAGACCTGCTATAATGTACTGAATAAGACGGAGCATCCTTGTTAGCGGGTTGTTTATTGCTCTCCGGACTGGGAAGGGGTTGGTATCCGATACTTGGTGGGAGGAGGCATATGCTCCGCCGGCTCGATTGGCCTATCATTCTTCTCCTGGTTGGTCATAGCATTCATGTTAAGGACAGCCCCTGGGAACAACATGACGTGTCCCCTGTTCGTATTGTGGAGGACTTGCCTCTGAGATTGCTTTGCATTCTGCTGGGCTCCTATCGTCGAGTTCCACGCGGCCTCTCCTGACGCAGGCTTCGGAACCTCGGAACATGCCCACGTCCCAACATCACCTTATAGTCAAACCATTCAATATTTGTGACGGCCGGAACAAAATCTCAGCTTGCCAGCGGCAGCGGCGCCACTTGAAACTTGACCTCGCGCCGGGAAGAAAAAAGCAAGACTATGGCACCTACGCTGACAATGAGGTCTATCATCCAGCGCGTAGGTAGGTCAATGACAGCCGAATCCATAACGACAATCGGCACTTCGTCAACTGGGATCCCCGAACCAAGACATCCCCGAGGGAGTCAAGCATTCCTTGAAGGCTTATCCAAACCACTAAGATCTCTTCCGTAAAGCTCTCGAAGATCAAATAAACACATCGAGATGCTGACCATGGTGCCTCTCGACGCAGAGCTCCCGTTAGCCCATCAGGAAGGAGGTCGACCCTTTCTTCTTCCCTGGAATGCCCCCGTAGCTGAAGTGACATTCTTGTCTCAGACACGGCCATGCTGGCTAAGAAATGTTTATTGGTCGCCCCTGCAAGGGCAGCAACCACGGCTCTCCCGCGATGATCCAAATACGAGATCCGAGATCGGGCTGTGATGAGCCACTCAAGTCTGCTTTTCACCCTTGAAGTACGGGGATCGTTGTTGCGAAGTCTCGAGATCAAGCCATAATGATGCTGCTGATTTCCTTTCTTTTTCTTGTCGATGGGAGGAGTCACTATATAAGAGAGAGAAGCCCTGGGAAATGGAGGTAGCTGCGTCCATCCAGCTCTGTTACACTCGCCCTTACCAAATCAAGCAAGATGATGTGGATCAAGTTGATTGCGTTTGCTGGGCTGAGCTTCATTGGGGCTGATGCCGTTCCGTTTGTCCCTTTAAGAGCCTTTAGGCCTGTCGTCGGAAGAGCATCTCCCATACCTATAACAATCCCGACCACCACGACTATCCCGCCCATCCCGAGCACCCGAAATACACGCCCGTCCAGACCCCCGCGCCAGAGATGGTCTGCGGTCAGGGTGGTTACTCCGACCGCAACAGCCGCTTCGTCCTGCACTGGGACACCGGCGGGCTCAACTGGGAAGACTGCATCAGCCTGTGCCTCGAACAGCCCGCCTGCAAGACCTTCTTCCACCGGAAAGGCGTCTATGCCACCTTCGACGGGACGTAGCCGGACATCTCCTGGGAGCCAGCCCCGAACAACGGCGAGTCTTGGTCTGAGAGGGGCTGCTTTCAGAACTGAGATGTTTCGATCATCAGAGAGATTTTGATGCTGGATTACAGGTGGTTACCTCTGTACTGCTTGACTACGATTCGGTTATGTAGAAGCCATATTCATTCGATTTGTATCTCCATTTCATGGATTACTCCTCTTCGTATGCAACACCTGCACGCTAATGAACACACTGAGTTTTACTTCTATACTAATACCCCCCCCTGTTGACTCTGGTAATACGTAAACTCCACTAGGACAAGCCTTGATTGGCCAAAAAACTGTGTATGCAAGTCATATTGAACGTGCATGAACTCACCATGAAACCCTGCAATTCGTCCAAGCAGTTGGCCAAATGACTCTCAAATTGCTGCCAGAGCGGCTGTTTGTGGGGGCATGCATATCCCAAGCTAGTTGATCCGAAATTTGAGACCATAATACGAAACCTATGACATGTTGATTTGCAGTCACCAGCACACTCTGTTCCTGCGGCTATGTTTAGTTGCAATAAAGTGAAATGAATGATACCTGGTTGAGATTCTCGAATTGCACTACTCGTAATTTGAGAATCTCAACCAGGTATCATTCATTTCACTTTATGTCATCCCCGATTCACGTCGAACCCGCCATTTCATTACTTAAGCCACCGCAAACTGCAACGCATATGCATTGGTTCAAAACCAAGTCCCTTTACGACTCTGCGTCCACCTTCTTCGGCTCCCCCCCTGCGATGACGTCTGTAATAGTCTCGTCACTAAACTTAAGATCCTCTTCAATAGAGACAGAGTCTTGGATGCGCATAAAGATGACGGGAGCTCCAATGATGATCGAGGCGGCGAGGCAGCCCCAGGTAGCGCCGAAAATGGTATCGTAGGGCTTGCCGAGGCCATCCAGACGCCAGAAGATGGCGGCACCGGCGGATTGGATGCCCTTGTAGAATCCTATGCCCCGTCAAGTCAGTTTCAAACACATCATTATGCAACATCGGGACCATCTACTTACCAGCCAAGTTGGCAGCCTTGCGCCCGTTGTTGGACAGGGCACCCATGTACCAGTACATGCAAGTTTGCCACGCCGCGTCAAAGAAGCCATAGAAGAAGTAGAGAAACATGGGACCAAGGAACTTTTTGTTGCCGTCTTCCCAGTCGACCGTCACAAACCCTTCAGCCTTGGCAACCTCGCGGTGTACTTGTTGCTTCTGCCAGGCGTAGCCACCACCCCAAATGGCAAAGGTGAGGACGAAGAGGACACCGAGGGCGGCCTTGGCGCGAACGCTTCGGCGAACCTTGGAGTAATCGAGAGCGTGGCCGAAAATGAACGCGCCAATGATCTGGGCAACCCAGTACAGGGTGTTGTTGAGAGCACGAGTGCGGACGTTGAAGAAGGCTCCGTTCATGCCATTGTTCTGGTAGGTGTAGAAGATGTTGGATGAAAAGAACATGGGGAAGAGTAGTAGGATCCAAGGGGAGTCTCGAAGGGTCTCCCAAAGGCCAATGATCTCAGTCTTCCAAGAGGGGTTCTTCATCAAGATGACTTTGGTGGAATCTGCGCGAATGACCTTGTCGGCATCGCATAGGAAGAGGGCGAGAACGGCACCAAAGAACATGAGGACTATAAAAGCGGCGTATGTTCCATCGGTCACGGGGCCCGAGACCTTGTTGATGTTCTGGCCTAAGGGAATCTGGTAGAGGGTTAAAGACAGTTTACATGTGGCTCAGGAATAAGAACTCACCAGAGAGCCGATGACGGCGCCCATGTTGAAAATCATCCAAAAGTACGAAATGTACCGGCCCTTGCTGTCCTCCGGAGGGTAGGACATCATGATTGCACCTTGGGCGGTCCAGAGGAGACCAGCGCACACGCCGAGTAGGGCTCCCGCGAAGACAACGAAGCCAATGTTCTCAGTGTGCGAGTAGCAGAGGAAAGAGGCAGCATAGATGCAATATCCGAGCCCACCAAAAGAGAGGGTTAGTCGCAGACCCAGTCGATTGGCGAAGGTACCAGCAAAGAAACCGACAACGGCGAACGTGCTGTAAAGGGCAGTATTGGCGTGATCCTGGGCGGTGGCGTTAACCTGGCCACCTCCACCGAGACCGCCCAAGGCATTGAACATTCCCGGGCATAGGAAGCACACAAATGATACCATGAGAAGCTGGATCTTAGGCGAGGCATACCAGATCTCGCTACCATTAAAGTTGAAGCCCTTGTAGATCCAACCCTTGGGGCGGAAGGAGGAATCGGTGTAGGGGGCCGCGGCGTCCGACGTGGCGTGGGCGTCACTGGTAGCGTCGGGGGTGTGCTTTTCTTCAGACATGATGAAGATGTCGTTGGGTAGTAGCTGAAGGATCGAGTCAGGTGAGGCAGGGCCCGATTCGCCACTGAGTCGATGGAGGAGTCGACCTCGAAGGTACGTCCGGACCAGGAAGAAAGAGTTGAAGCGATACCCGGCCTAAGGAGAAAGGGTGGGGAGGCTCAATGGTTTAATATAACTGAGAACGGGGCGAGTGAAGAGTGCGAGAGTGGGTGAGTGAGCGGGAGGTAGGGGTCCGGGTTTGAATTTAATGTAGCTGTGGCCGAGCTGGAACTGGGGAAGCCCAAAAATAAACCCTGCACTAAGACCCAAGACAGGGGAGGTTACCGTGGGAGGCCGGCACGGTATCAAGAAACAAAAGAGGCGACCAGGGGCCGATGGCAGGTAGCAATCTGGTCGTGGCAGCTATCGAGGCGGCAGCCGGCGTGAGAGCGACGGCGAGGTGGAGGTGGATAACGTGGTAGTAGCGGCGAGCAGGTGGTCGATGGGGATCCGCCGATCAGCCACCATTGACGAGTGACGTACCGTGCTGGACTGTTGTCGGTCCACACAAGACACACGACACAGGCTACGTGACAGCGCGGGGGAGGGGGAAGAGGAGATACCGATACTGTAGGTGGTGGTGGTGGATATCGGGGGTGATTGGCTGGTTGCACTCGACGTCGACGAGGATGAGGACGACGAGAGGCGAGATAGTAGTAGGGAGAAGGACGCGACAGGGCACCGCAACCAGACAAGGCCCGGTAACTCTGGTCAGGCCTTGGTTCGTTCCAGCCGACACGAGTGGTGGCTTTGCCGTGTTGTGCGATGCTGTGTTGCGCTGAATGCTTCTCTATCCGATCTCGTGGTCAGAAGTCGCCGTTACACGCGTGCTTGGCGGTCGCCGTGCTGCAGCTGGGCGTCGGGCGATGCGACGATGGGGTGTGGGAGATGCCCAGGACCTGCGAGAGATGTCACGGAAGAATTGGTGACGGTGGCGAAGATGCGTGAGCAATTGAAGACCTGGGCATGTAGATACGAGCGACAGAGGGAGATGGACACGAAGTTGAAGACTTGGAGTTGGACAGGCACGGCACGAGACACGCAGATCCCAGAAATGAGGGAAGGAAGGGAGTTCGATGGTGTGAGTGAGGCGTGCCTTCCACAGACAATCGAGGTACCACCCTAACAGTCTAATTTGGGTCTACCAGAGTTAAACCCGCGGAGCACAACTCGTCTACGATATGGAGAGACTCTCCCGACGTTGCATTAATTGCCCATTTCCAGGACCATATCCCTGGGCTCCGGGGCTCGATGGAGATGTCCGTGGCAAGGCCCCAAGTTCAGCCCGTCAGCAAATCGAGCATGGCAAAGCCGCGGCCAGGCCCGAGCACATCAAAGTTGTGCACCCGAGCTCCACTAGAGCCTCTGCTTCAGGAGTGGACGAACATGGATCCCCTGGAGTCGGAGAGCCTTAGGGTCACTGGTGAGGTGATAGGGTGATTTGGGTGGACAATCTCGCCCCATTCCACGGGCAACTTGTGTTTGGCTGATAGGTGTTGACCGTTTGCCGTTGGACTAATTAAGAGCACGTCTGGGGAGTCAAGTGATGGGATAACCGCCAAGGGAGATCGTCCGGAAACCGCCTGGCTGGTGATCAGAGAGACAAAGCCAAGAAACCTACCAGAAGGCCTAGAAGGCCCCAAGCCACCAGTTTGAAGTTGATTGGTTTGTGGCACAACTGGCGGCGGTATCTTTCCTTGTCTCGGCATGCAGCAGCGAGCGAGTGGACATGGGATCGTCACTCGCAAGCCGTCGGTCGCGGACGGAACCTGCTTTTGCAATGACAGCATGTGCAAACCTACGGCTACTGAATGAATTCCAATACGTAGCGCCAAACGTCAGACTGAAATGCGGCTTGCACTAGGAGACGAATCAATGAGCACCGCCTCGAATTAGAAGCTTATTGAATGACTGGAGGGCACAAATGTGGCTGCCGCCGTGCATCTACAGTGCATTTGCCGTCCGCCGGCCGCCCTTTCAAGCCCCCTTCCCCAGATCGATAAGCCTCCCCCCACCTCAGAGGAAAGGCCCGAATGGGCGTCCCCGTGATTGGCGCCGAAACCGTCACACCCGCCTTCTGGTGCCCGCTAGACGTCCCCTACCAGCCCGGCGTTGCCAGCGCGTTTTAGCAGTGCTGGGCTCTGCCGACAGTGGCCTTTTAGGGCGCCGACAGTCCACTGTACTCCGTACTGCACGTAGTATTACCCGATCGCTGCCTCCCGTCCCGTGCCTCTCATGCCTCCTCAGGGGCTCCGAATAGGAAGGTGCCGTTGGACGGGTCGCCAATCCAATGCGAAAGATGGAGAGCACAGCAGCCACCACCGATACATGCCATTCATCACATCCCATGATCTCCGTCGACCCTTTGGCATCGTCTCCTGACTCAGACGAGGACAATGGCGGTTGTGGGCGTTTGGGCTCACGCGAGAACAGGTCAACCGCTTTTGGAGGCCATCTTCAACACGAGGTGCCCCTTTCATATTTCATGAGTCGCTCTCACAATTGACTGGTGTGATCTAATTAGGAGTTCGGGCTTCGCCGCAGTCTACAGTCGGTGCCATGTCGACGGCCCGTTCAAGTGCTGACTGGGGGATCTACTAAAAGCGCCGTATGTATATGCCATGATGACGGATCGCATCTGCCGCTCATGAATCATGGACCAGTACCGGTTCAGCTAATTCGGGAACCGAACCATCGTAATTGTTCGTACAGGCGCTGTTCGCTGTTCGACTGTCGATGGTTCCAGGACTCAGGTTGCTACCCGCCCTTTCAGCCCAGTGAACCGGGGTTGAAGGCACTGTGGGATTGCGGCCTGGCCTGTGCGACTCCGCTGCCGGCCATGTAACGTTTCGTTGCACTTCCCTACCCCTACCCACCACGACTTTCCCTGGAGCCATAGAATGGCCCCCAGGCGCATAGCTCCAGTTTCTGGGGATTCCCCCAGCCATCACAACGCTTTCAACTCCGCTTGTAACCCTGATTGAAGCCTCCGTTGACCATGTGGATGGCCACATTGAGGGCTTCGCTATCAACTCGCATGCTGCGAGGCCCGGCTTCTGGCATGGCAACGACAACTGCCTGGTGATACCCCGACCTCCCTGTGGTTACACTCGCAACCATCACGGTACGTACTCAGATGCGGATGTCGCTAGGCCGGCTCCATAACCATTCATCAGGCTCCAAGTTCGGACTGAGATACTACCAACCGGACCCGAGTGACGACCCCTCTAATGGCACCATCAATCTCGGCCGCAGCTATCGATCGGGTCAAGGACGGGCGGAGGGGTATGCAACAAGCAGCGGGTGAACCATGTGGAGATCGCCATGGGTCAAGATAAACGACACCACTCTGTCGGGCCTCGAGCTCAGCTCCCAAGACTTCGCATCTCTCATGAACTCTGTCATCCAAGACGCGCAACTAATCTGACGATTGGTCAATTCCAATGTTTCCCGCGAGATGGGAGAGATCTGAGAGGCCAAGAATGCATCTTTTGTCAAGATGATATCCACCTGTCTGACGGAGGCAACGTTGGAGTTCACATACCTGGAGAGTATTGTCGAAGGATGTGCTTTGCCTGTGATAATGGCCGTCGGCTCGTCACCACCGGTTCTCGACAGCTACTTGAATACTTGCTAACCACCACAGACGAGAGGTTTTGTCACGTGATGACAGGAGGCAACCCACCTGCATCACGCCCCCGCAGGAAAAGCTAGATGGATCATCACTTTGAGAGACTACTTACGGAACCCTTGCTTCGCATCGCTTCCTAGTCTAGATCATATCTTGCTTTTCCTTTTGCTCTTGCTTCTCCCTCTTTCGTTGGTGATACCTCACAGGTTTCTGGATCGCCGGCATGGTCAGAACGCTATCAATGAGCTTCTTTACGTTACACGCAATTTGGACAGCCTTGCAACTCCAATGGGAGCATACCGAGTGTTCCAGTTGGGTCGCTACACCATGTCCGAACCACAAATGGACGAACCGGGTTCGTAAACCCTGTTATAGACCCAACCCACCAAGGAGCAGTACCTACATATAACCTCCAGGGGTGTTAACCATATCGTGGTGATTGTGGTCATGTGTGTGATGCGTGTAAGCCACAAAGATGCAACGCACTGGCTGCAATGGGTATCTCAGTATCAAAGGCAGCATCAGGACCACTCCTAGGTCCTGAGATACATTTCGCTTCCTGATTCTTCCACTACATCCGGTTCTCATCATTCCCTACAAAATTGCGCAATTTCACATATTTACCCACACCTGGGCGATGGTGAACTTGGGATTGCCAACTGTGTGGCTTAGGAGCTTAGGCCTCAGCCTCAACTGCGCATTCATAAACAGACCCGACAAGCGCCCCGTATTAGAGAAGGCAGGTTTAATGGGGTGCAAGCCTTCGAATCGACTTTATTTTATGCAAAGAAATTTGAAATCTGCGACACTTTGAGGAACTAGGTATCATCGAAATAAATATTGCATTCCTCACGGGCTTCAACGTTAAGGGAAAAGGTTGTACCATGCTAGACACAATCAAACATATGCATTTTCGTAGCCCTCTATATAAAACATTACTACTAGTTTAAGAGCTTCAGAAACAAAAAGACATGCCAAGTGAATACTACGGCAAGCAAGGATATCTCGGGGGTGCTATGGTGGGCACGACACTTGGATACGAGGATGGTGCCGATGGCTTAGTCATGCATCTCATGGAGACATCTGAATAATCAAGGACTGAGAAATTGTGCTCAGAGAAGGCGCAATCAGTTGAATATGATTGACTGCAAAGTCCCAATGACTTCGTATTTGTCAGGCGCTTCTCTCTATTTTCCAAATAGAGCAATTGTCATAGTGGGTGCCGCAGAGTTGGTCAGTCACACCACCTAGTTTGGATCTCTGAGTAATTCTCGGTCTCTGATTGGCTCGGTGGATGTCGGGACGGCACCCCATGACATACAAGCTCGCCCCTTCGGTTCTCCGCCACAAACGCCTTTAGCACCGAGATGCCAGCGGCTTTGGCTCTGCTTTGCAATCCGCAGTGTACCTACCATTTTCAACCTCAACACCACGCAGCACCCTAGACAGCCCCGGAATCCCTCCTCCATGATCCGACCATGTTCGTCACTCGATCGGTGACCAGAGTCGCACTGCGACACGGATGCAATGCCGTGCGCCATTTCTCCTCGTCCCAGCCCGTCGCCGTTGCATACCACTCTTACTCACTCCCTTCCAACCTCAATTCTCCGCCGCCGAGGGGCGATGACGTCCCCGAAACCTCGATAGCTCAGCCCGAGCCTCTCCCCAAGGTCCACGAGACGCGGCCTCCCCCGCAACAACCGCAACAACAGCTTCAGCGTCAGGAGGCGACTCCTTCCCGCCCGCCAGCTACTCCCCAGCCGCTTCCGACGCCGGCTCCCAAGGTTGCCGAGAAGGAAGCCCAGAAGGCCAAGCCTGTGCGGCCGCGGTCGAAGCTGCGCGCTCGCAAAGCGGCGATGAAATTGACGCCCTCGGCAGTGGAGCAATTGAGGACGCTGCTAGACCAACCCGAGCCGAAGCTAATCAAGGTCGGAGTGCGCAACCGAGGTTGTAGCGGGTTGGCCTACCACCTCGAATATGTCGACAAGCCCGGCACGTTCGATGAGACGGTGGAGCAGGACGGCGTCAAGGTCCTGATTGACAGCAAGGCACTGTTTAGCATCATTGGCAGCGAGATGGACTGGACCGAGGATAAGCTTAACCAGCGCTTTGTGTTCCGGAACCCGAATATCAGTATGTTGCGCCCTCTTAACGAGACCACCCCAAAGCTTGTCGCTAACACGTTCGTACAGAGGAAGAATGCGGCTGCGGAGAGTCATTCATGGTATAAACGATGGCAGGCGCTCGGCATCATATACAGCCGGGCGGCAACCGAGGAAACACTGATGACGTTATTTTTAAAGACATGATATCAATGCCAGATGGACACGAGTCGGCACCCAAACAAAGGGATGCCACCAACTCTGCCACTTGTTCACCTCGGCACAACTACTGCGAGAGCATTCATCCCCTCATGGAGGGGAGGACTGCGTTTCAACAACATCTTAGGCAACGAAACAGCACGCGGAAGCGGTATCCACAGCTGGTGCCTCTGTAACACGAAAATGAGAACTGGCGGGCCCCCGGATGGGGGAAACTGGGGACCAGGTCCTGCATATATTGGCGTTGGGTTAGAATGGAGATAGCTACCTACTTTTGACTTGGAATACATATACCGATGTACGAATTGAACTTGTCTTGATCATTTGCCATATTTGATCATAATGTTCATGGGCCTTTTTTGACAGGTACTTAGCTTTACGAATCGTATTTCTACCAACTATAACAAATAACATTTAAAATAGTCATCGTACGTCTTACACATACTGCAGAAACCCTTCGGCTTGTTGGTCCGGCCCCTTGCTGAAGCTTCAATAGTGGCGGTGACGGCGTGTCACATGACTTCACGATGAGTGTTGCTTTAGATGTTGACGTCCGCCACGCCCTTTCGCCTGACGCATGGCAATTCTCCCGTGCTTAAAGATGGCGGGTTCCCGCGTGTTTCTGACCGTGTAATCCAAGATATTGTGTTTCTCTCCATTTCTCAGCAAATGATAAACCTGTCGCTGTGAGGAGCATTGATCTTTCATCAAGCAACATCAACATCATCCACCAACACACGCCACGCAGATCGTCATTCACGATGACGGCAGGAGTGAAGCGACGACTAGAGGATCCTACCGAAGAGGTCAAATCCAAGATATCAAAGACCATTCCCCCAAGCTCACAGCCAATTACGCCGACTGAATCCTCGCTCATCCCATCCCACTTCCCTGCCTGCATGCACCCACAACTCGCCCGCATTACCGCCTCTCAGCGCACGCCGTTCGAGAAGCGCGTGTGGACCGCGCTGTGCCAGATCCCGCGGGGCCACTTTACGACCTACGGCCTGCTGGCGGCATATCTGCAATCGTCACCGCGGGCGGTGGGCAACGCTCTGCGGCGCAACCCGTTCGCCCCGGAAGTGCCGTGCCACCGGGTGGTGGCGACGGGAGGCGCTCTGGGCGGCTTCAAGGGCAAGTGGCCAAGAGACGGTGAGGGGATCACGATCGACGAGAAGAAGAAGCTGTTGAGGGGCGAGGGGATCAGGCTGGATGGCAAGGGCAAGGTGGTTGGAACTCCATATAGTGGGTTCGTGTGAGGAAAGGAGGGCTTGGGGCTGGGTTCGGTATTAAAGGTTAATTGGGCCATCAAAGGATCTGGGTAGTATCCAGGACTACTTTACTGTCTTTGGTCGGGATGTAAGACGTGTATGCTACGTTTCTGATCTGCGGACAATATCGAGTCCTCAGCGGTGTAAGATAACAAACGTATGAGGTGAGGCGAGGATTGCATTGGACACACCACATGCCAAAATGCAATCGGCTCTTTGGTCCCCCTTGCAGATTGACCTTTACCATAGAGCCATCTGGCTGTCCTGACCCCCGTCGATGAATGACATGACGGAACTCTCTTATGCAGATTGATCGGACCGTGTGGAACCATTCCAAACGCCTCGGGCAAGGACGCCCACGCGTAGCCGAAACCCGGCGCAATTCGCAACGGTGAACAAGTAGCCCGTGGGCGCGAAAACACAGGGCCATTCACATTTCGATTCGGTCCCAACCGCCCTCAACAGCGCCGGACTTCCATCGCCGGTGCCCGGGAAAAGCCTCTCGGTTTTCATCTTGGCCGTTACCTCGGTGGTGTTGTGCCGGGGCACAAGGGGGCGTGGGATGCCGAATGGGGCTAAGCGGTTGCTAATAGTGGGCGCAACAATATGCATGCTGCATCGTGGGCAGGTCAGGAGCTGGAGCTTGGAGGCCGAGGATGGCGGGCGGGACTCGAAGTTGCAGCAGGGAGGGGGATGTGATGTGATGTGACAAGGGAAGGAAGCCGATGAGTTGAGATGGACGTGTGAAGTCGAGAAGCAAAAGAAACACAAAGAAGAGCAAAAGCGTATAAAGTAGTACCTATAGTTGAGTTGTATATACCGCGTATGGAACTTCTTTTTCTTAGTCAACGTTTGAAGCCGTTGCCATTCACCGAGCGAGCTAACGCCAAGGCGAACCCACACCGTCCTGACCTTGGCGGCTACTCGTGGCTTTATCGCTGTCACTGCCCCCGTTGCATTGCATTGCTTGCTTGTGCAGCAGGCTTGCAGCCCTGGAACTTGGAACTGGAACTGGAACTGCGGCGGCCACTGAATGCAGTTCCAGCGCCCCAGGGCATCTTCAGCGAAACCCCTGCCCCCCATCGTCGTCACAGGTCGGCTTCCCGGTTAACGAACCCCCACCAAATGGGAATTTGGCCACTCACCTTGCGCGAAAGCGCCTCGGCCAAAAACTTTTTCCGCCGCCTCGCCCTGGCCCGACAAATCCCGTGCCAGAACGGGGGCCACCTGGGCGCCGCTGGGGCTCGTGCTAGGTCTTGGTCCTGCTGGGTCGGTCACCAGAGGACCAGAGGGAAGCCGTTTCCTGATTAAGCGGCGTCTCCAACTTGGGACAGCTTTACTTTCGTGGTCCATCACCTCCGAAAATCCTCCCTCATCCTCCCAATCCTCCTTGCTTGCGACTCCCACGCAACAAAAGACTCGACGATCCCCTCTTCTTCCTTCCCTGTCCCCCCGTCCTCTCCAAATCGCCCATCATGTTCAACATCGGCCGCAGCCGCGCCATGGCCTCGGCCATGAACGCCTCCAAGGTACGGCCCGCCAAGCTCGATTTTGCCTCGACCGCCGATGCGACTGTCCAGAACGTCAACGCTAACTCTTCCGCCTCCAACAGTTCCAGGTCGCTCCCGCTGTCAGATTCCCCGGCATTGCCCAACAACGACGAGCCCTGAGCATCCACGAGTACCTCTCTGCCGACCTCCTGCGACAGGTAAGGCCCCCCTATCTCCTATCTACCTATCTATACCTGCCGAGGACCCTTCCCCGTAGCTAACCACCGATGATGTCAACAGTATGGCGTCGGCGTTCCCAAGGGTGCCAACGCTAAGACGGCCCAGGAGGCCCGCGAGGTCGCCCAGCAAATCGGCACCGAGGATATGGTCATCAAGGCTCAGGTCCTCGCCGGTGGCCGTGGAAAGGGTACCTTCACCAACGGCCTCAAGGGTGGTGTTCGCGTCATCTACTCTCCCCACGAGGCTGAGATGTTCGCCGAGCAGATGATTGGCCACAACCTCATCACCAAGCAGACTGGCGCTGCTGGTCGTCTCTGCAGTTCCGTCTACATTTGCGAGCGCAAGTTCGTTCGTCGCGAGTTCTACCTCGCCATCCTCATGGATCGCGCTACCCAGGGCCCCGTCATTGTGTCCTCGTCTCAGGGCGGTATGGACATTGAGACCGTTGCCAAGGAGAACCCCGATGCCATCAACACCCACTACATTGACATCAACACTGGCGTGACTGACGAGATTGCCCTCGACATCTCTACTAAGCTCGGCTTCAGCGAGCAGTGCATCGAGGATGCCAAGGACACCATCCAGAAGCTCTACAAGATCTTCGTCGAGAAGGACTCTACCCAGATTGAGATTAACCCTCTGTCCGAGACTTCCGACCACCAGGTGCTGTGCATGGACGCCAAGTTCGGTTTCGATGACAACGCCGAGTTCCGTCAGAAGGATGTCTTTGAGTGGCGTGATACCACCCAGGAGGACGCCGATGAGGTCCGCGCCGCCGAGTCCGGCCTCAACTTCATCAAGCTCGATGGCGATATTGGCTGCCTCGTCAACGGTGCCGGTCTCGCCATGGCCACCATGGATATTATCAAGCTGAACGGTGGTCAACCCGCCAACTTCCTCGACGTCGGTGGTGGTGCCACCCCCGCCGCCATCCGTGAGGCTTTCGAGCTCATCACCAGCGACGCCAAGGTCACTGCCATCTTCGTCAACATCTTCGGTGGTATCGTCCGCTGCGACGCCATTGCCACTGGTCTCATCAAGACCGTCGAGAGCATGAACCTGAAGATCCCCATCATCGCCCGCCTCCAGGGTACCAACGTCGACGCGGCTCACCAGCTCATCAACGACTCTGGTCTTAAGATCTTCTCCATCGATGACCTACAAAGCGCTGCCGAGAAGGCTGTGCAGCTGTCGAAGGTCGTGAAGTTGGGTAAGTTACTCTCATCCAAGTTGTGGGGGAAATGCCCCGCAAAATTATTTGTGTGTCTAACGCTAACGCATTCGCAGCTCGTGACATCGATGTTGGTGTCGAGTTCACCCTGGGTATCTAAAGAACGCAATACGGTTAGACGTGGGAAGGGATAAAGGCATTGCGGTGTAATATTTTGCGGGAGTGGAGTCTGAGTGTCTGCAAAGATACAGAACCAGGCTCCGGCGCCGAGGGAAGGGCACTTCCAAGGCGGGGGAACGGGGATTTCTGTTTAATTTAGCATGCATCGATCAAACCTGAACTCGCGAAGCGAGGAGGACCGAAATGCATCGACGGGTCGATGGGTCGATAGATGGATAGGCGGTCTGGCCTCAAACAACACGGTTCCTTGTTTCCATGACTTCCATGTATCCATTGCCTCGATACGCGCTGGTCTCCGGAATGTGATGCTTTTCCATTGGATCATTAGAGCCATTGGATGTCAATGTGCCCCATGTTGGCGTTATCCCCTGTCTGCCACGGCATGGCTTGCAGCCTTCTCCGCACTTTTCCCCTCGTTTTTTGAGTACGAATGCGAAGAAATCACGCCAATCTCACCCATCTCCCCTCAGCCGGGCGGAGAAGACGCGGGGATGAAGATGGGGTGCGTGGTTTTGTTGCTCAACCGCTCAGCTTGGATTGGGCGAAACAAGGGTGAAAGGACGGTTAGCATCGTCTTGACCAGCGGAGAGCATGACGCTCCTGGCCTGCGTCCGCTGGTCCCTCCGCTTGCTCCAACGGCAGTAGGGAACGGCAGCAAGGGAGAAGATGAAAATGGAGGAAGGGAAAGGCAAAATGGGACGGTGGCTGACAGAAACCAACAACCCCTGGTCAAGACCAAGGTCGAGAAGAGAGAGCCATGAGAGTGAGACGAGATGGTGTGCACACCCGCAGGAAACAGCCATGTGGATTTGATGTGAAGTGGAAACAACCGCCAAGAGGAAATCCAGACCCAATATTCTTAGATAACGGCATAAAAAAATTGGGCAAGATTTCCTCGGGTTGTATATGAGAAATGTGCTGAGCATGGGGCGTGAGGTTTCGAGGGGGCGAGTGATATGAGGGTGGCGGTCGGTCCAGGTCGGCTATTGCGAGTGTTCGGGTGGAAGGGAGCAAAGGCTCACACTGCAACACTACGGTATGTACAGGGGAGGGTCCTAGATGGGGGACCTCTGCAGGAGTGGGTTTTTGAGGTGACGGGAGTGCACAGGTGACGGGAGTGCAAGAGACGAGGTGAGAGCGGTTGGTAGGGAGACCCGGTAGTTTTTTTCCCTTGCCGTCATCGGGCGTTTGCATTGATAGAAAGAGGATGCAGTTCATGTCATGGGTCCTGTTGGTAAGAGAGTGGCCAAGCTGAGTGATAGCGATGTCGCATTGAAAAAGGTACGTACTTGTTCGTGTTGGTGGTGGTGGATGACGATGGATGAGCCGCAAGTCCAGTGTGACATTAGCCACACACTAGCCACACTTCAAGACGCCGCTAAACATTGGTGAGGCGCAAATTCAAGGTTCAGACTTGGGAAGCTGTGGCTGCATCACAGTCTATCTCAGCCTCAAGTATCAGAACTTTGTCAGTCATGGACATGTTGGACTTATCTACCACTACGCGCGTAACGTGCGAGAACACGCCCACCCAGGGCTTGCCTCTGACCCCCAAATACTCACCCATTGTTGATTTTTCTTATCCTCGGTTATTCCAACGTGGCTGAATGGTCCACGGTGGTAAATGTGGTCCCCACGCTAGAACCCAAATCTCCTGACTTCGATGGATCCCAGGGATCTTCAATGGGTCCCAAGCCGTTCCCGTTCCCTGCACAAGCAATGCAAAAGATTAAGACGAAATGGAAGAAGAAAAAATCAGCGACTTCGGAAGCCCGGGCTGATCCGGGAACGGGACGGGGGGCTCCCTGGAACCAATAGGGATCGCCGTGAGGCCTTGTCAGTTCCTGGTTTTGAGGCTCACAGGAGGGATTAGTGGGGGTCGTGGTGTCTCGGCGATGATCCGCGGTGGAGATGGAGCCTCATCGACGGGAATTGCGTCGGATACAGGCTCGCTGGCGACTCCCAGCTCCACTTTTGGGGCGCCATGGCGAGGTTTTGGAGGGAGCCGCATCCGCTTTGGTAGGGGAAACGAGTACGTAGCGAGGATGGGGATGAGAAAACCGTGATGACGAGTTTGCGAATGCCGACGGAGCACCGAGAAGGAGATAGACATGGCATGGGAATGAGATGAAGATGCGCTGAAGCGATACGAGTCTGGCCCAACATGGCACAACAATCTAGATGGGAGGAAGCACATCACCAACGCATTACCAAGACACACCATACCCGCGCATACACAGTAGTACTACGTAGTAACACGCGCGCGCACACACTTCGTTAGGGGAATTCGACGCCACTCGTCACGCCCTGAACGGGAAGCATCAGCCACAGCCGTTGGTGCGTCCATGCCCTTTCACCCTTCACCCCTTCACCCCTCCAACCATCCCTCCAACCCCCCCTGTGCCCTAAGCGCTTCGTTTTTCAATGGCTGCTATTGCTGCTCGTTCGAGGCGCGGTACAGTACTGGCTGGTCTTAGCTGGCCTTGGCTAACAGGACTCGCGCGCTGGCAAAACGCGGGGAAATGGAGATGAGGAAAGGAGGGGAAACCGGACCATTATCATGCGGACGCCATCGCCGTGTGCCATCCATGAGACCCAAAAGGGGCACGAGACCTTGCTGAGCTTTCAGAGGGAAATCACCATTGAAGGAGCCGTGACGACAACATGGGATAAGACGACACACGCTGGGGCGAGTTTTGTCAAAGAAAAGGGTCCCCGTCCGGACGTCTCTCGGTCGACCTCGGGCAGCGGAATTCCCGGGGGGGCGTGTCGTTTGGCCTTTCCGCAGGCACCGCTCTCTCCTAGGCTTCTCAGACCGACAAATGCCCAACCAGCAGCAAGGCCCAGGGTCCCACGATCCGGCCAGCAGGGGGATACGCCCCCACAGCCGGCCTCGTTCCCCACAAGGCGCCTCGCTGCGTGTGAGAGGAAGTGTCCGCAGGAAGAGGCGTTCCGGGACTGTCCAACGCAGTAAGGTAGCAAGCGTCCAAGCTTGGGAAGTGACTGGACTTGCAGCTTCCAACGCGTTCGGCTTGTTGCCGCAGGGGGGGTCCCACATGGGTCTGGCTGTTGGGCTTCGGCTCGTTCGCAGGGGAGTGTGTGAAGGCCGAGGATGTGAGGAGAACATAAATACCCAGGGGCCGCCCTTCCAGCTTGAGGCCATCCCGAAATGTTTCTGAGTCAGAGACTACAAGAGCAATAAGAACCAAGTCACGGACTGCCCGGTTCAGCCATATACACCATTCATCTTCCACATCTTCATCGAGGATTTGGTCCCTTGTCATACTCGGCTTATCATCAACACCACATCACCAACACTCCTCCACCACTCCTCTAAATCTTACGCACCCTTCACCAAACCACCAAGCCACTTATTCAAACAACCCATCTTCACCTCCATCATCATGCCTTCCGGAAAGAAGAGTTGGTTCGCCCGCCACTGCGCTCCCCCTCCTCCCCTCAACAACACCTCGGCCTGCCCCTGCGCCACATGCTTCAACGTCGGCAGCAACAACTCCTCATCCCACAGCGGTCCATCATACTCATACGCCTACTCGTACGCCCCTTCAACATCACAACCTGTCGAGGCTCGCGCCGCCAGCCTTCGCTCCGCAAATTCGTCGGACAGCGCTTCCCTCAGCAGCGCCTCCACGGCCACCACCACGACCCACATCGAGCACGTCAAGCAGTAGAAAGGATGACAGTCCTTGATTAGTTGATTTATGCGCAGTTTGAGAGGAACGGCATTCCTTTCCTGAACACCACGCACGCATATATATACCCGCATCTGATGGCCTTTTTTATTATCCCTTGCGAGCCTGGCGTTTTTTATGGAAGGGACGGAATTTCAGCGATGGAAAAAGGGAACCTGTTGGGAGGAACACACCAAACACAACACGCACGAAATCAGCCACTGTCTGCTCAGCAGAAAAGTGGCTCTCACACAACGCTCGCTTTTGTTTTGCGATCCGATGCTTGTTATGAAATCAAACCGCCCTGATTGCTGGGACCAGGGCTGTAGCGCGCTGGGGCCATCAGGTCAGGCTGTGACGGAAAGGCTCCGGGTGCGCTGAGCTGACCTGGGCTGACCTGGCTCGTTCTCGTCTCGCCTCGTCTTGTCTCACTGACCATCTCTCGCTCACCTAGGTATTGTTCTCCACCGCCGTGGTGTCCTTCGGACGAAAGACTCGGTGGCCGATGCAGCGGCCGAGACGAGAGCCTGGTTTTTGGTGGAGATGGCTCCCGGCGAAGAGTGGAGACGAGCCCGAGAGCCTCGAAATAGATTCCGATCCCGGTTCACAGGACGGGATAAACAACGCTCCCGCTTCATGGGGCGTTGAATCGCATAAATAAAGCAAAAGCAGAGCAACATTAGCATTAGAAACACAATGAATCATGATAACCCAATCTCTTTTTTTATCTTGGCCCTTGTCTGTTTCATATTTTGGTGCGGTCGACCAACTTTCGGCCTGCCGCATGGGCTCTCTTTAGTAATCCCCAGCTTTTGACGTCACCTCATCCCACCCAGCTCACAGCCTCGTCTTGTATCCAGACATAGAACAACAAATGCTCGGCGAACCGATGAATCTATCACCGACGGTCAGTTCTTCCACTCGTCTGGACCTGTCTTTATTTAGCAAAACCTGATCTGCATCGGATCCCCGTAAGCTCCTTCTCTTAAATCGTCGTCATGGCGGCCAGCGTCGATCCAGCCCTGCTTGAGGCCCTCGGACTGGACCCCGCCAACAGCGACATCAATTCTCACGGCGGCTCGGGCTTTTCCTCGACCTTTAAGCTGTCGTCGACGGTGGATGGGAAGCCCGTGAATTACTTCGTCAAGACCGGTTCGGGAAAAGAAGCTGAGGACATGTTCCGTGGTGCGTAGCTCTAGCTGTCGTCCGCGTCTCATGACATCTGACCATTTCATATCGTCTCACATATTCTCACCATTACCATCACATCCATTCCCTAAGCACATATCAACGTCAACTAACACTCTCAGGCGAACACGCCTCCCTCAACGCAATCCACGACACCGTCCCCAACTTCTGTCCCCGTTCCTTCGCCCACGGTGCCCTCTCTATCCCGAACAAGTTCTTCCTTGCGACCGACTTTCTCGATCTGGGCTCCTCCGCCCCCGGCGGCTCGGGCCTCTCTTTCGCCGAGAAGCTCACCCGGCTGCACTCCACTCCGGCGCCGATCCCCGACGGCCACGATACGCCCGTCTTCGGGTTCCCGATTTCGACCTGCTGCGGCTCCACAGACCAAGACAACTCCTTCAAGACCTCGTGGGCTGAGTTTTATGCGGACAATCGTTTGCGCTGGGTCCTTAAGAAGGCGGCTCTGAACAATGGCTCTGATGCAGAATTGACAAAGGCCGTCGAGACGGTAGCGAACAAGGTGGTCCCACGGCTCATTGGCGACGATGTCGTCAAAGGCATCGTCCCAGTTGTGATCCATGGCGACCTTTGGAGCGGCAACCACTCGCGAGGCCAGATCGCCGGCCGTGGAGGATGCGAGGAAGTCGTGTATGATCCGGCTGTCGTGTACGGCCACTCCGAGTACGAGCTGGGCATCATGAGGATGTTTGGCGGGTTCAGTCCGCACTTCTGGGAAGAGTACAATAAGCTGATGCCCAAAGCCGAGCCCGTGGCCGAGTGGGATGACCGTGTGAGGTTGTATGAGCTGTAAGTGGTCCCCATCGCCTCTGGCGTGTGATCGGGACGTTGAACTGCTAATTGATGCTCGTATAGATACCACCACCTGAATCACTTTGCCATGTTTGGGGGAGGTTATCGTGGAGGAGCGATGTCCATTATGCGGAAGCTCATCTCCAAATACGGATGTTGAATAGCTGAGAGTAAAAGAATAGAACAATTGGTTTGAGATTGAGACTCCATCAACCCCAGGACGTGTATATGCCTCGACGCCTCCATTGTGATCGCTGTGTATCTAACATCTCTAATTGACTTAACCCACCAGACCTCGCCAGAAAATGCAATGACTCCTCGAGAATTCAAAATGCAGGACAAAAGATGGTGTACGATGTAAAACTTCACGCCGCCAGCATCGCTGGTTGCTTCGTCCGCGCCGCTTGCGGCTCGGGTTCGGTTTCGGCCTGCCTCACGGGCAACTCGGTATTGGGCACGGCGGGGAGTTGTTGGCCGGACATTTCGGCCTCGAGGGCCGCCAGTTCGTCTTCCACCTCTTCCTCGTCGTGATTCGATATGCGACCTCCAAGCATTTCGCTGACTTCCTACACGACCGGTGAGCATCTGCTCGTCGAGCGCCTTCGCGGCATCGTTAGGAACCCCTACCTTCTGGTATGCGATTGCATCCGCCGTCTCGCCCATGAGTTTCTCCACGTGCTCAATGCCGCCCATCTCGGTATGGATATCCTTGAGGACCTTAGTTCCCTGCTGCAAGCCAAAGACGACATCCTTCTGTATCAGGGCAAACTCGACGCTGGACGTCAACTTCTCGAGCTGCTCCAGTTGGGCGTCCGTCTTGGCGAGCAGCGACTCCTGGTACTTCTTGCGCCGCAGGGCCAACAGGGCGCGCTGCTTGTCGCCCTTGGCCAGCATCTGCTTCGCAATGTCGGTCTCTTTGTCTGTGAGGACGGTGATGCGGCGCTGGTACTGGTGGAGCTTATCGCGCTGGATCTTCATGTCCAAGATCGCCCTGGCGGAGGGGAGGGGGTCAGTCTAGGCGGTCACGAGCGCACGAGGCAGCAAGAAGGGAGGCATATGGGCGCGGGACGAATGCTTACTTGTCCTGGGCAGTGACTTTGCTTGCGTTTCCCCCCATTGTGAAAGCGCGGCCACGGGTCCCGCCGTGGAGTGGCCAGTCGAGAGTATATCGGTTGTTGAGGGAGCGATATGCGATTGCGAATGCGACTGTTAGGAGTCGGGATTGTCACGAGGGACAATCGTCATCGGAGGCCGGACGGCTGCGGGTCAGCTTTATCGATAAGGAAACGCCCCACCACAGTGCGACACAACTATGCACACACTAACCACAGTACTTCCGTCCAATGCTGTCTCGACTATTTTGTCTACAAACAACCACCACTCAAACCATTAACTTTTTGTCAATCGGCGCCGACTGCGCAAACGTTTTGCCTCTGCAGCCGCATTACCTTGCAGAGATTTTTGCTTTCTTTCCTTACACGTATATACCCTGACAGACATCGCATTCGGGCATTTCGCCCTCGGGCGCTTCATTTTCCCTTTCGCATATTCCACATCACAGCGCGACCTGGTCAATCGAGCGCAGGCGGTCAAAATGCCAGCAAGAAAACCCATCACCCTCCGTTCGGGGCTTGACCGAGACGTCTACCAGATCCTTAAGAAACTCGAAGACGCCAACGACGGGAAGCCCTTCAAGACCATTACGGCGATATACGATGCGATCAAGCGCTCCAACTCGAGCCTGAGCCGGCAAAAGAAGCGGCCCCTCGAAGACTCCATCGACCGCGTCCTCCAGTTCCGTAAGCAGGAATTGGACGAATCCGACTCAGAGGCCGAGCTCGATCAAGCCGCGCCCGTGAACCCCGAAGACGACAGATTTCTGCTCAACAGACAAATGACGAAGCTATGGCATGATGATTCCGCGCCGCTGACGTCTAACCCAGGCGAGGGCCGCGCAGCCAAGAAGCGTCGCCTCCACGCAGAAGGCGAAGAGAGCGCGGGTGGGAAGGAGTTCTCTACTTCCGCAGCTGTATTAACACCAGCGGATTCCAATAGCGAGGTTGTGACGCAGACACCCTCCACTTCAAAGCCAGGATCAATACATCGCAAGGAGCCTAAAAAGCGGATTCAGCACAAGGTCGAACGCCCATCCAACATACCAAAACTAGGAGGCGTGGACGAAATTTACAATGACCTGCTGGGCCGTGTCCGTACCATCTTGAAACGTCCAAAGCTGTTCGAGTGGCAGAACTTTCGACGAGTCCCCGGCATGCTCATATCTGGGCCTAGCGGTGTTGGAAAGAATACATTGATCCGTCAACTGGTGTCTGATCTCGAAGTTCCCATTATCTCTCTCATGGGATGCCTTGAACTTGATGATCCTCAGCATATGGAGAAAAGCCTTAACGATGCAATCGATGAAGCCATGCAGGTAGCCCCTTGTGTCATCTTCATCCAAGACCTAGACAAGTACATGCCGAGTCCAGGAGTCAGTCATAACACTGAACGTTCTCGTCGCACTTTGTGGAGGTTCCGGCAACAGATGAAGAAGATTCAAGAAGATCAGCCCAACGACAAGTCCATCCTAGCCATTGCTACAACATCGAAGACCGAGGATGTTGACCCTCATGCGCTGAAGCTGGGCTTATTTGAGCAAACAATCGAGATGAAATTGCCAGGTATCGAGGCTAGGCGGGACATCTTCAAGGTTGTTTTGGAGGGTGTGCATCTCGCCGAAGACGTGGACTTTGACGAGCTGGCCAGGATCTCGCATGGGTTCGTGGGTACCGATATCGTCGATGTCACGACGCGAGCCCAGGAAATCAATTTGGCGCGGATGGCCCAGGATGACGATTGGAGTCAGATTCTAGACGGAGGACACCAAATATTTGCCCCCGAAACCACGGAGATCACTTCTGAAATCATACCCTTGCCTTTTCTTCAGCCCCCTCCCCATCCACTCAATCTCGCCGATTTCAAGACCGCCTTCAAGAACTTCACTCCATCTCTGCGCAAGGAAGGTTTCACCCCAATTCCCAACATCACCTGGAACCAAGTGGGCGCCCTCCACGACGTCCGGGAACAACTCCGCATGTCCATTATCAAACCCATCAAGCAACCAAGACTCTACGAAAGTGCTGGTGTGAATCGCCCTGCAGGCTGCCTTCTCTGGGGTCCTCCAGGCTGCGGTAAAACTCTGGTGGCCCAAGCTGTGGCGAACGAGGCTCAGGCCAGCTTCATTCTCATCAACGGACCAGAACTGCTCAACAAATATGTCGGTGAATCGGAGCGTGCGGTGCGAGAGCTTTTTAATCGAGCCCGTGCATCTTCACCTTGTATCCTGTTTTTCGACGAGATGGACGCGATCGTCCCTAAGCGCGATAACACATCCACCGAGGCCGGGACTCGAGTTGTCAATGCTCTCCTCACCGAACTGGACGGTGCCCGAGGTCGTGCGGGTGTCTATGTCATTGGCACTACGAACCGACCGGATATGATTGACCAGGCCATTCTTCGTCCAGGACGTCTTGATGTCAAACTGTTCCTTGACTTGCCAACGCCTAATGAACGAGCCGAAATCCTCAACGCCGTTTATCGCAGCAACCGTCGAGGCGCAGGACCGGAGGAGCTCTCATTACTAGAAGGTGTAGCACTTGATTCACGCTGCGACGGTTTCAGTGGCGCTGATCTCAACGGGCTGCGCATAAAGGCAGCGCAAGGAGCCCTGGCGCGTTACTTCAAGACCGAAGGGGACGGGGAACGACATTTCGAGATCGTCAAGGCGGATTGGGAATTTGCTCTGGCCAACACTCATCGTAGTGTATCGAACCCGGAGACATATCGCAAACTGGCTCAGAAGCTGCGCTAATAGGTTTGGGAGGAGCAAAACGAGGGAACCGAAGAGGGGGGGTCGAAGACTGGGGTGTTCACAAAAGGCAGCATATCTTAGGGTAGACAAGCATCAGGCCTAATAAACCAAGTACCTTTAATAGTTTTCTCCAACTAGAAATTGGCATAAGGGACTTCAGTACCAGGTGAATAACCAATGGCCATGTCATATGAGCCACTGCACCTTCCAGCGCTGGGCTCTTTTTTTTTTTTTTGGCTGCATTCCCCTATTTTACAACCAACTACGGAGTACCGCAAAGCTTTTAATCCTTCGTCTCCCTGGACCCCTGGTGCCTTGACGCTTAATTTGACTTTGAGCCACATCGTCAAGCCTCATCGTCAAGCCTCATCGTTAGCCAGGGTCCCGCCTAAAACAAGCCCAACTGTCGCCGATCATTGAGAGAAGAAGAAAAAAAAAATCACCCCACTGTCCCGGGGAAACGGAAATAACTCGGCCAAGCGCCCCCCAAACATTCAATGTCACTTTACCGACTCAAAACCACGCAGAGACGAGAGACGAGCGATGCACAACGATGGGAATCAGTCTGGAATGCAATCACATGTCCTCGGCTCCTGTTCTGGAATGAGACCTGGGAGCCGGCGAGACAATTGATTGAAGGTGGGATTGGAGGAATGAATTGGCAGAGAAGAAGAAAGCTGATATCATGAAATTCTTCTAGGTTTGTTTATTGCAAGAGCTGGATCTAACCCCTTTTCTATGGGTATTCTGGTCGTGGCTCCGGCCCCCACTCCGGTTGCAGAGGGACAAGGCGCATGAAGAGGAGATGGAAATAGGTACAAGCACAATGGTGGTGCGCCGACTACTCTAGTGCTTTGTGGTCTATAATACAATCGCCCTTGGCGCCTCCGTCTATCAAAGTCGTAACGTTACACGCGAGTCTAAGGTCGCTTAAGCGGTCTCCTTCTTGAGGTAGCTGTGGGAGAGAAAGAGTCAGCGGGTGCGTCGTGGGATGAGGAGCAGCAATTCACGGAAGGCACTCATTGAGAGGCTCTGAGAGTGTGTTGGCTGCTTGTGAAAGACCAAAAAACTTACGCAATCAGGTTCTCCCTGTCTGCCGCCTTCTTGAGACCACCGAAGGCCATCTTGGTGCCGGGGAGGTACTTCTTGGGGTTCTCAAGGTAGTCGAAGAGGGTCTTGTCCTCCCAGGTGACGCCGGCCTTCTTGTTGGCGTCGGTGTAGGCGTAGCCGTCAACGGAACCGCTCTTGCGGCCGAAGAGGCCGTGCAGGGCGGGGCCGATCTTGTTGCCGCCATCCTTGTCAACGGTGTGGCATTGGGCACATCGGGTGGTGAAGAGCTTGGCTCCCTTCTTAACGTCGCCTGGAGGAGTGAGTTAGCCAAAGGGCTTTACTTTTGGCCGCAGACCAGAGCGGTGGCCGCCTGCCGAAGCTTGGAGAGTGGTGAATCAGGGCGAGAAAGAATTGAGAGCGATTGTGATGAGAGTGTCCCGAAGCGATTCAGAGGCGTCAGAGAGGCAGTGTCTTGATCATTCGTCGAGGAATCGAGGGCGTTGGCGGCCCTGATCTGGGAAAATGACGCAGGCGACAGGGCGGCAAGGTGTGCGCCACGAGGGTCGCAGCAGCACCAGGACAGCGCCGCCAGCTTCAGACACGGCACAGAAAAGCACGCCTCCAGTCGCACGGGTACGATGGCCTCTCTCGCAGTCTCAATTGGCATCCGCAGCCCCGGACATGACCGCTCAACCTCGGCGGTGGGCGGCGCCTGGGAAGGAGGCTCGGGGTTTGCGCGCGCGTCGTGCGTGTGCGCGGGAAAGAGGGCGAAACTTACCGCCAGCCATTGTGAGTGATTGTTGATTAGATTAACGGGGTAGGGAGAAGGAGTTCGTGAGGGCGAGGCTCGAGATCGTCTGGAGAGCAGGGTTGGATCAGTGAGGAGGAGTGAGAGGGAGGAAGAGGGAAAAAAATCAAAAAGTCAGGGCCGGCTCCAAAATCTTTATGACAGCATGACACGGCGTCGAACCCCCGGCGGCGGATTGGGGCGGGTTGGGGCGAATGGGGGCGAATGGGGCATGGTTGGCAGACGGGCGTTCGGCAGCCACAAGTGGCACAGGGCGCCGGCCAATCAGCGCCCGAGAATTACGCAGACGCAGGACCAGCCTGGCCGTCGTTCCGGGAGAAGTCGGGTCATGGCGGGTCTGGCCTGTGGTTGGTCGGTCGGCGGGGTGGTTGTTCCGGGGTGGCTTATCGGCTCCATGAGCATCAGTGGATCAGCGCAGGAAGCAGGAAGGAGCGCCGCAGAGATGCCGCAAAACTTGCCCGTCCACTTGTTCCGTTCCGGCCGCGGCCCTGCGGGAGAGAGGAAAAACCGTCGCCGACCAACACCGGCGTCCACTCTCGAGATTCCAGGCTAAACCACAACGAGCGTCCCGCATGCCCGCAAGTCCTCCGTCCATGGCCCGTCGGCTGGCACGAAAAAAACCATCGTACACAGTTCCCCAACGGCCGGGGTTCGAGCTGCTGCAACTTTGACAGATTCCCAGAACCGAGGCTTCGGGTTTGCTTACCGCGTCTACTTACGACGTCAATCTCCGCCTCCGCCTTCACCTGCCTCCCGCCAGCCCTCTCCACGGCTTCACCGCCCGCCTCTCTCCCACAATGGCGTCTCGTACCATCATTCCACGCTTCCTCCTCCCCCTCCAGGGCCCCCTCTGGCGCGGTGTTCGCATCCCGCTCTCGCAGAACGTTCACATCCGCTTCGCCTCGTCCAGCTCCAAGGCCTCGAGCCCTAATTCTCCCTCCTCCCCCGCGAAACCCATCGTCCTCGAGAAGCCCGCCCGCTTCAACCCCCCTTCACACGGCTCCCGCCTCAAGCGTAACCACGTCCCTCGCCATTATGGCCCCGAGCTCACGCCTGGCGAGCGCCTCGCCCAGAGCCAGCGGAACTACCCCGGCATGATGGCCCCCGAGGGCACCTGGGCGCATTGGTTCTGGCACAGCCGCCTGCTACACACCATGATCACAATGGTATGACTCCTCCCAGAGCCTCCCTTCTTACAGCCTCCCTTCACCGCAAGTCCAATGAGCATCGCAGGATTTGCTAACCATCCCACCAATAACAGGGCACCCTCTTTTTCATCGGCATCGCCACCTTCTTCATGAACTATGCCTACAACTCCCCCTTCAAAGACCTCGTGCCGCCCATCTCCGACCTCTGGGACCAGCCCATCAACTTCCTCACAGCCTGGAAGTACGTCATCGTCGAGCACGAAAAGGACAAGGCCACCAAGGCTCAGGACCACCGCACCCGCCACATCGACGATGTGGCCAAGCGCCGCTACTTCATGAAGATGCACAACATCGAGGCCAAGGACCCCGTCACTGTCGTCTTCGGCAAGGATACGCCCCAGTCCGAGGAGGAGCTTGAGGCCGCCGCCATGGGCCGCGAGTTACCCCCGAAGCCTGTTGAAGAGCACGCGCCCGAGGAACCCAAGAAGAAGTGGTTTGGTATCTTCTGAGCATAAGCATTTGTCATCTATATGTATCATGGTCATGGTCATGGCCATTGCCACGGCGCAAACCCTATACCCTCGGGTCGCCGCATGTAATACTAGGTATCCATCCCTTTGAACACCTGTAAATCTCCTCTATACCTTCCTCTCCATGGCAGTAGATTTTTGTTGCATGTCCCTTTATGACAATTCCACGCCCTCCAATCCGTCCAGAACCTCGTCCGCAACGCCTCCCTTTTCCAGCACGGCCTGTATTATACCATCCAGCACCCCAAACTTAGTGCCGCCAAGAGGCGCTTTCCACACTCCCTCCGTCTCCTCCTCTCCCGCTTTTTGCTGCTTGGCAGGCGCAAAGGCCGATGAGCTGGTGTTGCTGGTATGGGGCACGCCGGGCGGCGTCAGCCTCGACGGCGGATCGATGGTCCGGATCGACAGCAGGCTGAGCTCGCGTCCCTTCGAGTCCACCTCCATGTCGCCAGCCTTCTGTGCCCGGCGCACCTCGGCGACGGACACGGCAAGCGCCGTCTCGGCAACGGCAAGCTCCTCCTTCGCAGGGTCGAAGATGACATTGTCGCCGACGGCCACGACGAGCAGCGTGATGGGCGGCCGGGATCCACTAGTCGCAGCGCCCTCTCGCGGATACAGGAACGTCGATGCCTCCCAGTCGTCGTCGAACATGGGGTCCTCGTCGCCCTCGGACTTGAGTCGCGGGAGTCGGGTTGCTAGGAGGGCGAGGTGGGTGGTGAGGGAGAGGAGGGGGAGGGGGTATGAAAGCGGCGGGGAGATGAGAAGAACCTGCGTGTAGAGAAACCTGTTAGCATTGTCTTGTTGAAGCTGGTGCAGTTAAACATGGGAGTGGGCATAAGACATACGTCGAGGTATAACCTCCAGTGAAACCGCCTGTTGATGAACAGCTTCTTGGCAAACTCCTTGTCGGCCAACAACGCCTCCCTCAACATCTCGGCCAGAAACACCGTCGAGGCCTCGTCATCGCGCTGCCCGGGAATCTCCACCGCCAATTCAAGCCAGTCGCCCCTGGTGCGCACACCGTCGGCCTCCTTGCCCTCCGGTCGTGGCCGGTCCGGCTCCTCGGCGCGCGGCGCCTCGACCGTCTTCTCGATCTCGGCCTTGACTCCCACGATGGCCTCGGTGCCGTCGGAGAAGTGCACGCGCGCGCTGCCGTTGGTGCCGGGCAGGATGCCCGTCTCGGCCGTCAGCGGCCGGAACTGCGCGGGCGAGCGGCCGTCGGGGCGGATGGGCGGCTTCAGAGAGAGCGAGCGGTGGAGGTAGGCGAGCTCGGCGGGCGAGAAGAGGATCTGCTGGGACGCCATTTGTTCAGCGCGCACCCATTGGCAGTCTCTGGGTAATTCCGTGGGTAGATCTGTTCGCGGATGGAGGAGGGAAGCTTGATCGATTTTTCGCTGGGAGGTCGCTTCGTCGTTTGGCTTGCGATGCGAGGCTGAAAGTTTTTTGGAGGATCGAGTTGGGCCCTTCGCCGAGGTGAACGATAAGATACGGAAATTTCGTGGAGCGGGGTGCGGGGAGCTTGTTTCGACATCCCACCACTACGTATTGACCAGGGACATGATTTATGAACAAGCATTGACAACCAGAAATGATATTGATAGCTCACAAGTTTTCTCAGTACTGGCCTTTTCGTATTACAATTAACCTTCAAGATCCGTCTTAATATCTATTCCTAACTTGATTTATCTCGTTTCTCGAATCCTATTGTTGTAGGGTAGCACTAAACAGCTGCTGGCATGTGCATAATGGACTAAATTGTTAAATTTTGTCACCTCTTCATCGGAACAGAATGGGAATTACTAGTGCGCGCTATTGTGGACCAAGTATCCTCTATAGTTGATTTGGTGTTCTCGTCTCTAATATCCGCCCCCGGGTAGTATGGTAAATTGCAAGCCACTGTTGGTAAAACCAAGACAATGGGGACAGCCATGATTGAGGATATAAGAAATATGAGCTCTCTATAAAATCCAGCTGCTACTACATGCACCTCTAACGAGAAACAAAGTCCAAGCAGATCTGGTCCATCAAGTCTGGACCGATGGCCGCCACAAGCTCGGCAACTCCTGCTCTTAACCCAGGCCACTGCTCAACGGTTTGTTGCTCCCAGCTCACTAGATCTGACGTCTTATATAACGGGCCATCAGGAGTTATCTTCAGAAGGATTCGATCCATATCCAGGGTGATAATAGATGAGAGAGATGGTATGCCGGGCATCTCTGAGCTGAAGAGCCAAATATTATCCTCATCATCCCCATCGTCCTCATCTTCCTCATCGTCATCATCAGATCCTGAGTCTTCTGGCACGTCGCTGATCTTCGCATTTGGGTCGACATCTTGAATTGCGGCAGCAGAAACACCTAGTCTCTCCTGAGACAGACTGACGAAGGGCCTCTTGTCGAGGAGATCCAGTACCTCTCGATCTAGGGGGTCCCATTTCAACGCCACCGGGTCAAGAATAAACTGTGGCGAGTAATCAATCTTGTACCGCATCTTGGGGCAGCTATGGATATAGAAGCCGGGATACCACCATCCATACCCCTCTTCAAGTGACAGAGCAATCTCATAGAGCGCACCAAGTTTGCCGGGGGCGAGTTTGTGAATGCTTTCGTCGTACAGAAAGTAGACGGAGCTTACACAATCTGGCAGCAGGTCAAGAACACCCATAGCAACAAGTTTACCGTCCAATCTGTAGCAATGGTGATAGGACCCCAGACGGCGCTCGCGTCCATTTGAGCCTATCATCGTCTCGCGTCTCAGCGGGGAGTTGCAGAGAAAGCCCTTGAAGCCTTTCCGGGATATCTCCGCGGGGTCATCTTTGTGCACAACTTGCTGATAGTTTTTGTAGACGGTATACTTTTCTTCGGTAAAGTCATCATTTTCGAGCGTGACCACGAGCTTGTGCGCAGCCTCTGGGGGCTTTAGGAGTTTGGCATCCTCAGCCTCATGGATCCGCTCAACTAAGTCAAAGTGGTTGTCTCGCTTTTTCGCCTGGTCACGCGACTTGGGGTGGAGGCGGGCAGCCTCCTTGCCGTATGAATCGCCAACGACGTATTTGTTAAAACGGTTGAGGGTCTGACGCTGGGCTCTGGACGGTTTGAACTGGCTCGAGTCTAGTCGAATGGTGTAGTGAGGACAACAAGACCGTCGTTGATCTGGACGGTACATGAGACTCCCAGAGCGCCTCCAGCACTTGTCAAGGAGGCTCTGATAAAAGCTTGGGCTCAGCGACGTGACTCTGGCGTAGTATGAGAAGCCTACCATCCCAGAAATTCGTTAGCCCTGGCACGAGGCCCAACGGTGGCGGGGGAGGATGGAGGGACAAATCCAGTAAGACTGGTGATCCAGAATGTGTCAACCCAGACAATCATGTCACGAGAGTTGAACACACGGGGCTTGGTGTGTCGAATGGTGTGGAAGTTGAAGGGTGTCGAACAAGGGAAATTCACGTTTTGACTGACTCTTGCCGACAGTTCCACAGTAGCCGCATCTTGACGAGTTTGAATATCCTGGTCCCCAGTCAGCCTTCGGTCAAGGTAGGAGTGTGTATTGAAGTTGGCGTGGGTGATGATTGGTTGCATCGTGGATCTCTTGGGTAAAATGTTGAGAGACGATGCGTGGGGGCAAATGGGTGTATGAATGAATGGAGTATGGGAGAAGCACAGCAGTCACATGTCGCCACAATCACATATCGGAAGGGTCGTTTCGGATAGTTATGAAGTCATCATCAGGGCAATATGGAATAAGAAAGGGCCGATGAAAGTCACAAGACGCAAATATTGGGGGTAACTCGACGTCTAAGACATTCATGCGAAGGCCCGGGGAAGAAGGAGATGAGGCGGAACCCAAAACTCCTCGGGTACACGATGTCTAGCTTGGACGAGTAGAGGGGACCGGTGTAAAGTGATGTGAGGTGTACTGTTGGTGGTAGGCAGCAAAGGCAGGGAGCCGAACCATACAGAGTAGAGCGGGAAGAGTGGTGGTGGTGGGAGAGGTTGTGGTGAGAGGCACTGGCGGTGGTGGTGCGTAAGTACGATGTACATACTCTGTACGTACGCAGCAATAGGCGGGCTGGGATTGAAAGGGAAGGGATGACGCTGAGGCATGGACATGTGCCAACGAGTGCTCAGACTTGGCAGGGGGTCAGAGTGGAGGCGGTGGACGTGGTGGATGGAGGGGCGTTAGCATTGAAACTGGTGTTGGGACTGGTGCGGCGAACGGCGACGACGAGGTGGGATTGTCGAGGTCGAGGCCGAGGCCGAGATGGTGGAGGAAACGACGAGAAGTGAACCAAGTGACTGGGCTTGGCCGGGACGGGGAGGACGGGGCGCAACGGAGGCGGCGGCGGCGGGACTGGACCGCAGGGCGCCGGGCAGCCAACGACAAGCGGGCATTGCGGCACGGGTGCAAACGGTTGGAGCAGGACCTGAGAATAAGCACTCACCAATTGGCGTCATATACTCGTACTGGGACGACGCATCTCCAGGGATCCGCATGCCACTTGGTTCCATCGTGGGCCTGAGGACAGCGCGACTGGAGCGGCGTAGCTCCAAGCCAACTCTTGGTGCTCTGGCTCTGGCTTTGGATCTGGCAATGGCAGGACGCGGCGGCGGTAGACGGCGAGGGGGGCCGGCCTACCCAAGTTGAGGCTACCCAGGACGGGCAAGTTGGTGCGTGAGGAACAGACGGCGAGACGGGGGTGAGTTGGAGGGGCGGCCTCGGTGGAGAGGGGGGCGTGGACGATTAGCGATGGGGATCGCGTGCCAGCTTTCCAGCACCCGGGTCGAAGCGAGTGCGTGGGATGGATTGTCGAGGTTGGGTTGATGACTGGTGAGATGAACCGACCAGGCCTCGAGTAACTTTCTGCCTCGCGGGTGGTGGCAGAAGAGTAGGGTGTGATCGAGTCTCGGGCGGTGCGTGCTGCGTGCTGCGTACTGCTTGCGATCTGGGCAACCTGCGACCTGCAACTGGCGACAGGCAGGATAGACAGGGAGCAACCAAACAGGGGTCTGGGCACGTTGCCGGGAACGGGGAAGCTTGAGGCGTGAGGGTGAGGCTTGGTGCAATGACGGCACTGACTGGCCTTTCTCCTCTCTCTCGGGGAGGGGAAGAGATACTAGGCCCAGGACAGCGGATTGTCTCGGAGGGCCGCTGCACCACCGGGAGGCTGCAGCAGAGCGAGGGCGAGACAATATGGGGCTTGCAAGATATGACAGAAGGAAAGGAATAAGGATTCGGATGTCCGGGCAGTGTGCGTCGTTGTTTCAACCCACGAGGATGCAGCTTTTTTTGACGGGTGGTGAGTGGCTGGGCCCAACTGGAAGGTACGGTAGGGATTCTAGGGAAGGCAGGCACGCGCCAGCAGGGCCTGTGCATCCAGTAAAATACAGCGAGACACTGGCAACCAACTAAATTGCCAACTGCGGGGTGGCATACGACAGGCGTCCCTCCTCGGGCTCTTTGACTCGTGCTGTGGCACTTTAGCAGCAGCCCACGAAGCCTTTAGGAGGCTTATTCAGTCTTGGCTAGGCCAGGCTAGGCGACTTGGCCTTTGGCCACTCTGGTTTTCTAGTGAGACGCCCCACCCTCTGCGTCAGTGCAAGAGTGTCTCTGTCAGCGTGCGTACGTTCCTTCATCCTGTGTCTGTCTGAGTGAGTGTCTCTGCAGCTGTGCTCTCTTGACCCCGCCGGACCCTCTCTCTGATGGGAGGGGTCCAGGGTCCAGTTCAACGGATCCGAGCACTGAGTTTCCCGATTACAGAAGGACCAGGGGGTGCTGTTTGCTAGGGACTAACCTTACTTTGAATGTCCGTAACCCTGAACAAAAAGCCCTGGATATTGGATCTTGGGTCCTGGGTCCTCCACTGGGCCCTATGCTAGGTGGGAGACAGAGAGAGGAGCATCGTTGTTGGCTGTTGGCTGTTGCACCACCACCCACGAAGCCCCCCTGTAGTTACTTCATGTAGACAAAAACTCTCTGCAAGAGACTCAGATCTAGGATCAGATGTGAGTTCCAGCTGAGTGTGATGCTTGTTTCTCAGCCGAGACACACCTCGTCTGATGGGGCGCCAACACTCAACCCTCACAGGTCCGACAACCATGTACGTACCTTTCGTCGTGCCCCCCCCTCCCCAGTTCTAGCTTGCACAGGGCGGAATAAGATGAGATGGGGAACACGCAGCAACACGATCGCCTTGGCTTACGGTGGCCAATAAAATGCACATGGCGAGCTTCCTTGCATGGTGCAGCAGCTTCCCTTCTGTGCGACCCGACCTGCTCAGCACCGAGCCAAATAGGAAGCCGTCATTGTCTCGCCCGCCATGCCACTGGGCGAGCTGGCGTGTTAAGCTGTGTCGAGATGTGTCGAGCTGCGTTGCGTTTGGGACGTTTGGAAAGGTATCCGCTCCGGGGGCTCCATCGCGCCGCAGATCTGATAGACGACAGACCATGACACACCACGTCGTCCGACTGTTGAGGGCTTTTCACTCCCCTAATTTTTGTTTGGCCGTCGGGACGGTCGCCGGAGCACTCATGGTGGTAGCAGACGTTTGAACTGTGGAACTGAGCTAACGAGGGCCGACGCTACGAGTTGACCGGTACGGGTGACTAGTATGGAGACCAGTGGGTTGATCGCCCAGAGGACAACAGATTGAGACGGAACATGGCCGGCATAATCGTCTGGCCTCCTGCTGTATGAATCACCAAGTACCTGAGGGCTCAAGTATCATATTACCATGTACTCCCAACGCACGGCATGATGTCCCTCCGTGCCCTTGGACACCGAGATGCGTGAAGCTGGTCAGAGGCACACCGGCGAGAGCTTGTAGCGCCCATCATCATGTCGAGGCGTGACGGCCGCTATCTGTCTGCGGAAAGGCTCTGAGCCATGAATTAATCACATCGAGCCCGATTGGACCCCAGAGCGACAAGAGACCTACTACAGCGTAGGGATTGCATCAGCCATGACAACAACGGCAGACCGGGGGCCCTGCCTACCCTCGTCGTCAAGTATCTCTCATACTCCCCGCCTCCAGTGGGCGCAAACGGTGCAAACCCGTAGGCAGAGTGTGGACGGAACTAAGGCACTCCGGCAGCTGCACGCGAGGGCGGCAGCGCGGCGGCGCAAAGACAGGCCAGCATGCATACCCATGACGCATGAGCTCGTCGACGTCGATGAACCTATCATTAGCAACATGTGAGTGCGAGGACAAGCTGGAGGCGAAGGCGACTACGGTGAAACGCCGCCTGCCGATGCGGCGATGGCCAACCCCACGCTGCAAGCGTCGTCCGCGTGCTGATATACCGACTCGAGACGTGGTTGGAGAAGGGAAGAGAAGAAGAAAAGAGGACCAACAGGCCCCAGCATGACATCCATCGCATGGTCGAGCATGGCTCCCGACATGGACAGGCCCCGGGTCAAGAATGGTCGAGCATCTGCCTCCCACCACGGGCAAACTCGATGCGCCCACCATACTGGAGCGAATGACGGCCGTCGCCTGCGCTGTTGTGCAGGAGCACGCCCGAACATACCCTGCGCATCGCTGCATGTCCGTCTCCTTTTGGGGACCTAAATGTTTTTTTTTTCTTCGATCCCTTCGCCGCTGCTTCTCCTGCTCTGGCTCCGTCTGCGTGCTGCTGCTGCTGCTGCTGTGACACCCCTGGTTATCCCATCGTCTGGCCCCCGCCTGAACCTCTAAGCAGGCCTTCCAGGATCGGTCCCTACAAACAGACGCAGCATCGCACATCCATCCCCCATCCCACATGCTGGGAGCTTCCGTTACCAGTGGCACCACGCACGCTGCTGCTTCTCTGTGTCACTCCATCGGTCATCCCAGGCCACGGGCTAAGTAGCAGGCAACGGGCGGGACGAGCGGGAAGTGAATCGAAGCCGACAGAGAGAGTAGAGAGTCGGAGCAGCGAGAAGCAGCAGCCCGGGGCCTGGGCCGATCTGGGATTTGTCTGCTGTATGCTTCCGTCCTCTCACCGTCGTCTCCGGCTTCCGTCTTGCGCCTTGCGCCGCCTTGCTTCCTCCACACACACCTCCCTTTTCCCTCCACCTCCGTCCCTAAGTTATCCACCTCCATCCCTATCCACCATCCCTATCCGCCATCCCTCTCCAGGAGCCCTGCCATGTCCCCCTCCAGCTCCGAGCTTAAGACGAAGACATGGAGATGGGGTGGGAGGGGCGTGCATCATCCCAAGAAAAAATATATCCAAACTATGTACCTTTTCAGCAACCTTGCGCATCCCCCATCCGTGTCTGCATCCACATCCACACATGGCTATCCCCATGCTCTCTCTGCCTGGCACATCCCATCCACATCCACTTCCACTTCCACTTCCACTTCCACTTCCACATCCAGTCCACGCCCGCGTCCACGCCCACGCCCACGCCCACGCTCACGCCCACGCCATCCCATCACCGCGACCCTCCCAGGTTGCCTGGCCTTGCCCTCGTGGGCGGTAGCTAAATGAAGCTTTGCCATCCAACCCTGAGCCTCCCAGGTGAGGTGAGGTGGCAGGCCTGCTCCATCCAGCTAGGTTAGTTTGAGTATAAAACCAACTGGCCCTCCTCTGCTGGCGCCTCCCCCTTCCCGTCTATTGCTCGATGGCACGAGACATGCAACGGCCGTCCAGCTCGCAGAGCAACTCGTCTCTGCCTTCTTTTCTTCTACACCAGTCCGGCTTCTTGCCATTGACCCTCCCGCTGCCTCCTCCTGCTCCCCCGCCGCGAGCTTCTGCCCTCTGACGACATTGCCTGACTCGCCGCACACCTCCCGCACACCTCCCGCTATACTGTCTAGACTCTCAAAGAGAAACAGTCTGTGTCCGCCGCCTAGCACCACCCCCCGGTCGCCGCCAGCAGCCAGCAGCCAGCATTGAGCTTTGAGAAAAGTTCCTTACCCTGTACCGTTTCCAACCATAGCCCGTCGACGGCTGCTATCCAATTTCTGGCCGCTCCGTTTGCCAGCTTTCAGAGCCTCTCCGATATCCCCGTATCGCCGTCGCCGCCGCCTTTGCCAATTTGAACCGTCCGGTTCGGTTCAGCGCCCCGGCCACCAACGCAAGACGCCGCCAGCCGCCAGCCGCCCTCTGTGGTGTCAACCTTTGTTGCCAACTTGCCAGCGGTGGTGCCAGCGCCTCTCCGTGCGCTGCTGCTGCTTGCTCCCACCCCGAGTTCCCGGCTTGATTCTGAGGCTTTCGTTGAGGCGAAACCCTCTCCACCGCCATCCGGCAGAAGCCAACAAAAGAAAGCTCCGCGCACTTCATCACATCAGAGTTTGCCTCGCACGCATAACTCCACGTCCGGTTGACCCAGCGAAAACCCTCGGGTTCCACACAATCCATCTCCAACGACTCGCTGTCCCATTCTAGACGACGGGGCCCAGCAATTGCGCTTGCGCCGCCTCTGCTGCTGGCTCAAGTTCCGGGTTGTTAGTCGCGCCCCTCCCCACGTCCCAATCCCAATTCCAATCCCGCCGAGTCTCGTCCGCTCCGTCTCAGTCCCTCTCGAGCCAAAGCAGGGAACGTTTCGCGCGCGCGCGTCCACACCTCCATCCAAACGGTTATATCGCCAGCCAGCTCCTCGGAGCGACTGGGTCCTCCCCCCTCGACCATAGACCTGGGACCACAAACCCCCAAGTCCACAACCACACTTCTCCCCGTCATTCTCCGCAACCTGCTCCCGTCGACGATGCATCGCAAGGCGCTCTGAGCCGCCGCCCGCCCGTCGTAGGTTCCTTCTCGACCCAGGGGAAAATCCTCTCCTTTCCGCTCCAGCCGCGGACTGCAAAGCCTCCCCATCGTCGCATCACATCGAGCCTTCATCTCGTCCCCAATCCGACCATCCGAATTCCCGATCCATCCCGACCGCAACGACTGCCCACTAACATGTCGAGTTCTGCTTCTGGCGACTCGAGTGGCCGGTCAATGGAGTCTCGGACCGGCAGAAGCAAACAACGTGAGTCCCTGTCCCTTGCTATTTTTTTTTTTGCCAATCTTGAACCCCGCGGCTCAAGCTGTGTCTTGCCCGCGCCTGCGCGCTTGCGCCCGGAATTTCGTGTGCACCTCCGCCCGTATTTCGCAATTCACCAAATCCCGTCCCTCTCAATCGCCCAGCTCGATCAATCACCATGCAGGCCGAGACCCACTGACACTGTCTCTCCGATATAGGCTACAACACCAAAGGAGAGCGTCTCGTCGCCGGCATTGTGCCCCTCACCCCCGATCAAAATTACGTGCTGCTGATCCAGTCTACCCGGCGAAAAGGCTGGGTTCTACCTAAGGGCGGCTGGGAGTCGGACGAAACGTGCCAGGAGGCTGCCGAGCGTGAAGCTTGGGAAGAGGCCGGTATCGCCATCCAGATCAACTATGACCTGGGCGATATTGAGGAGAAGCGGCCGCAGAAATCTTCCAAAGACCGATCAAGATATCACTTCTTTGAAGGTACCGTCACCAACGAGTATGATGACTGGCCTGAGAGACACAAGCGGGAACGCCAGTGGTTCACATTTACCCAGGCATGGGAGGCCCTGACCACCCGGCCGGAGCTCCAGGAGGCTCTGAACCGGTGTACAATGAACCGGCTGTAGCCGAACAAAACAAACATTTTATGACTTTACGGGGCCGGCCTTTGACTTGCCCTCTTTACATTTGAAGCGCGTCCCGGGCTCTCCTGGGATGATCCTCGCACACAACCTGCCGCGAGTGAGATGGGCTCTTACCCTCCCCCAACCCCAGTCTCAAAGAATCGGGTTATTAGAGGGAAAAAAAGATCTGGGTCCAACACGGAGGTCTCGGGAATGGGGCTTGGGCATCAACCTCCATTGCTTTTACCTCAATTGTGCTCTGCTTTGACAGAGGCTATCACAAGTGCATCGATCCCACGGCGTTTTCGGCAGGACTATGATAGAGTATTTACAAAATCCAATAAATTCAGGCGGGACGGTATATCAAGCGGCATAGCACGGTGCATACATCAAGAGGGACACGGATATTGGAGGGCGGGCGAAAAAGAAACACGACTCAATGGATTATTTGGTAATTTCGTCGGGGCGGTCTAGCTATGAGAGCGTGGCAGTGGTGAGTGATTTGGAAAGGCTTAATGAAGGGCTAAAAGCAACCGCCTGCTTGGCAGAATTGAATAGACGTGGCGTTTTCTGTTGCGTGCTCGACTAAGTAAAACATCGCTAAAGTCACCGATGCAACAGTGCTGCTTATCCAGATTCAGATTCCAGATTCCAGATGCTTGTAGTAAGTTACTTAAGTTCAAAGGCTTCGCTTGCACCTTGATTTGGACTTGCCCCGCCAAGCTGCCCCTCATTCGCCCCTCCATTGACTTTTCTTGCCCCGCATCAAAGGGCCTAACGATTCAAGTTCGAGTGACGCGAATCACCTGAAAAGACACGTGATATGGCCTTATCGATAACGCGCACCGCAACGTCTGCTCGCTCGATACGGAAGCATTGCATCGACGACACAGACCAACCGAGTCCGGTCCCCATTCCTTTCCTGACAACGACCGACAGTCAGTCATGTTCATATGAAGAGCAAGCCCGGTGGAGCGAATTTCATGGACCCTAACCAACCAACCTAACACGACCACACCTGCCCTCCCCTAGCTCGACACGAACCGCCCATGATATAATGGAGAACCTCTCCATCTCCGATGCCCCTCCGCAGGGGGCCCCTCCATCCCAAGGACGCGGCGTCGTCCCGCAGGCGCCGCCCCAGCTGCCGCCGCAGATGTTTACCACGGCCGCGCAGCTGCTGGACCTCACCGACAGTACGGCTCCCACTGTGATGTTTTGATCTTTCTGGTTTGGGCGCTGTTGGAGCGCCTGCGGAATTGGGACTGTGGTGTGCTGACGGAGGCCTCAAACTTGTAGAGAAACTCATGGTCGCTCTGCGCGATGGAAGGAAGCTTATTGGAGTGTTGCGAAGCTGGGACCAATTCGGTGGGTGATTGCGCAATCCCTTGGAGATTCTCGTTCCCCATGCTTCTCTCGTTGGCTGTCATCAAGGGAAGGAAGCTATCAGTGAGGCATGGGGAACGTAATTCAAGATCCCGTTCTAATTCCTTTACCACCAATAGCCAATCTGGTCCTCCAATCAACGACAGAGCGCATCTTCGCCACCAACCCGGCCTCCCTAGAGACCGACCGACCCACTGGCATCTACGCCGATGTGTCGCACGGCATCTTCCTCGTGCGCGGCGAGAACGTCTTGCTCCTCGGAGAGATTGACCTGGACAAAGATGACGACCCGCCACCTGGCTTTGAGCCCGCCGAGCTCGAGCTCGTCAAGCGCCTGGCTGAGGAGAAGAAGGCCGAGGACAAGGTGCGAGAGAAGGCGCGGTTGAAGAAGCTCGCCAAGCTGGGATTTGAGGGAGAGAACCTTGGAGAGATCCTGCTCTAGAGCTAGCAGAACGCAACTATTGGTTCCGATTTTTAGATGGAAGGAAATGGAAAGGACGGGGACGGGGAGCAGTCGTGACGGTTACAGTTGTTACTCCGGCTAGAAACAGGGGGTTACTGGGCAGAATATTGTGAAATGCCCTTTAGCCGAAACCCGAATAGGACGACTTTCTGACTGAGGAGTCGGTCCTGGGACCTGAGACCTTGCGGGCGATCATGCCGAGAGGTAGTTAACTGGTTGATTTAGCATGATTATTCATGACATTTGCTAGAATCTAGAGGCGCAACGGTACCGTGTCTATGAAGTGCTTAGCCCGCCTTGATCCTCTAGTTTCACGTGGGAAAGGAGTTCCAAAATACATAGTAGATGGCTAATCAGGAAGATATGATGTAGCTGGGAAGATAAATATTCTAGGCTTTATGACAAGGTAAGTGAGAACCGTTGATGTGCTATCAATTGGAGAAATGTATACCTAGTGTGAATGCAGCGTTGCTTGAACGGCATAGATCTATATCCACCTTTTATATTTGTACTACTCTCAGTTATGTAGGTCCTGGCTTCTCACTGAAGCAGACTCGTAGAGCTATCCACAGCTTGGTGCGTTAGTGTCATAGTGAGCATACTTACTAGAATGCCCTAAGCGGCTACCAAGCCAGTTGGTATGATAGAACCGAAACTAAGAAAGCCTGTTTTCGTTCATCTATATTATGGAAGAGTCATCTTCCTAGCAATTGAGCCAGCTTTGCCAACCTTCCTTCACCATTGACTCGCAATCCCTTGACGGACATTTGACATTTAACAACGTTGCTTCAGCGCTTGCAATCATTAACTGGGCCTCTTAATTAAAATACAGAGCTTCGCATAATAGTTTTTGATGTGTGGAGTCTCGGCTCACTGTTGTACACTGCCCCCCTCAAGCGGGGGACCTCATTGATACATGGGTTAATACAGCCTCGTGTAGTAGGTCATCGGAACCAAAACGCCTCTCATGTGAATCGTATCCGCCTCGTCTTCCCTGCTCCGTTTTTAACCGGTCTGTCTTGTTATCTTCGGCATTTGGTTCGGTGGGTCTGCCAGTCCTTGGTCTATTCCAGCCGTCGTCTTCTTAGCCTCTCGAACATGGGGATCGGTGTATCGTTGGGTTTCATGCCCCCAAGCAACCAATCCGTCAACCCCACGAACTTTGCACCTACGCCGCCCTCCCAATCGCCGCCGGCGTGGGCCTGTTCAATGGTGTGACTGAGGATGCGCCCCTCGCCATCGAAGTCGAATATGAACAGGCCGGTGAAGGCTTTGTTAGGGTCGACGCCGCGGCCGACAAAGGGCAGTGATCGGGCAATGGCGCTGACAGCACCGCCGCTAGAGGGCGTCAATTCCTTGCGCTTCTCGCACCAGCGGACGACCAGCTGCTCGGGGATGGCGCCAGACCGGCGGGGCAGGAATGTGAGCGGTTCTGAGGTCATGCGCTCAGCGAGGATCTCGATGCGGACATTGCCAATGATGGGAACTCGGTTCCAGGCGATGGGTGAAGTCCAGAGGGCCGCATTATAGGCAACACGGCCGGAGACGGTGGGAAGATGGGGATGGGTGGAGGGGAACAGATGGAGTGAGATATTCGGCGCGAGAAGTTCGTGAGGGAGCGGAGATTGGAGGAGGGTGGGCAATCGTTCTTGGAGGACTCGTAAAGCTGAAGACGAGGAGAATTAGCATTCCCGGTAGCTATGATTTGTGGTGTTTGTGGGAGCGACATACTCTTGCCCAGTTTGGCCTTATTGGGGTCGTTCGGGCCCTCGGAGCCGGCACCAACCCACCTCAGGCCTGTCGCATCGAAGTAGGTCTGAGACAACGGCTTGCGCTCAGCGAGACCGGCACGATCGCGTGCGGCCGGAGGTTGAGGCGAGGCGACCTGGGCCTTGGCCGGGCTGAAGCGGGAGAGTGGGCGGCGACGGGGAAGCTCAGCGGCGCCATGACGAGGGCGAGCACGGCCGGGACGGCGGAGGATGGAGCGGATGGGCGCGGCCATTGGTGGTCAACGCACCGGGTTAGGGAGCTTCATGGATCTCGCAAAATGGAGGAGAGGAAGAACGGTGACGTCGCTGCTCGTGGACCAAGGCAAGGCAAATTTTGGCAAAGCTTGGCCAAGTGGGCAGGTTTTCGGGTTGTAATAAATGCGTAATGGAGCGATGATGTTGGAGTCCAGTCCACTTTGGGCAACTTTTTGGGAAGAAGGCAAGTTAATGGGTAAAGCCGGGTTGGCTGGAGGTTGAGCTGGGCCTGCACGAAGTACCTCGAAGCAGGATTTGGGTGCGACTTGGTCGCATTCTGGTAGGGATGGTACATTTGGGCTGAACAAGCTGCTGGATTGACAGCTGGTTGGTCGGTTTTGTTGACGCTGGCTTTGCCACAGGGCGGATGTGGCGGGGCGGGCCCTGCCAAAGGCAAGGTCCGTTGGACGGGAACCAGCAAAATGCTGTATTCGAGGCAGGGTGGATTCTGTGAGGAGATGGGACGAACGGGTACATACTAAGTATAGGGTGGGATCCACTGAGAGCTATTCTGTGGACTCTGCACATATGATTCTGGCAGTTATTTACATGATATTTCTCTTGTGTTGTTTCGACGGCATCTACACTACGATGCACTCTACTGGCGATAGTCACAGATGCGGATGCCGGCGTTGTAGTGGGGCCAGCAAGTCTTGTGGTACGCCGTACAGGCCACGGGATCGGATGAGACGTATGAGATCGGCTTGGCTGGCGGTTGCTGTCAGTGACGGCCCGTCAGCGAGCCATCAGGGGGTCTCGGTTATTGAGCGAGGCGAATTGACGATGAATCGTGACTGCGTGCAATCTCTCCAGCCACATGACAGCGTCGCATGCAAGGTACTAGGCAGTGGACGTTAAGATGCGTGGTTCATCATGTCTCGAGGACAGGCCAGCGTTTCGTCACATGCACCAAATGGATCGCATACCTACCGGAGGCCTATAGTATGGGTGAGATAACCCATGTGCAGCACAGTGTACAGCCGACGTTGGTCCCTTGCAACGGCTTTGATACTGCACCTGGGGCGTTGCCGCGGTAGAGAATGAGAACCTATGAAATCAAAAAGACAAGAGGAGACAAGGCAGAATTCGACTCCGGGGAGGCAAGGGCGGCAAGGCTGACTGACAGGCCTCGTCTTGAAATAGACAGCGGTTCATTTCCTTTTCACGGCCACCACGTACAGCTACGATGGCGCGCACACGGTAAGTCGCTGAAGCCACCCTGGAACCGACTCGCCGGGCTCCATTACCCACTGGAAATATCCACTGGAAATATTGCACTGTACGACAGGTCCCCTGGCCCGGCCCTGTACTGTGTATGGAATAATGACGAACACGGAGTGCACAGCCTCTTTTCCTTCGTCCGGGCATCCTTTGTCCTCCAAACCACGTGACCCGTCACCTGCCGCCCACCCACCGCCCAGGCGTGCCCCAGGCCCAGATCAGCGGGAAGGAGGTTGCCGCGCTGGCGTTGCCTTGCGCTACGTTTACGTTTGTCTTCCCTTAACTTACCCTGACGTACTTTGAGCCTCTGCAGCCTGCGCTCACTTGACCTCCTCCACCATCTCCATCACCACGACCTCGTCTCCCCATCGCCCATCGCCATCGATCCCAACCGCCCTCGCCGACCTCACCATCTCGTCTTTTTTCCCTCCCAAATCTCCTTCTCGCCGCGACGACCGCCGCTCCCGCCACCATGAACCCCGAGTAGTACGCCGCTCCGCCTCCTTTGCGATAACCTCCTGACCCAACATCCGCTCCCTTGCTGACCCTCGCTCTAGAGTCCAACTCCCATCGCCGCCGCGCCCGCCGCGTGCCGATCTGCCTGCTGCTGCCCGCTTGCGATCCCCCGTGTCTTTTCTAACCCTTCTCGCCTAGATACGACTATCTCTTCAAGCTCCTCCTCATCGGTGATTCCGGTGTAGGAAAGTCTTGCTTGCTGCTGCGATTTGCCGATGACACCTACACTGAGTCCTACATCTCCACCATCGGTGTCGACTTCGTACGCCCTCCCTCCCCGCCATCTCTTCCTCCCCCCGCCGAACCACGCCATCGCTGATGCCTTGTTTCAGAAAATCCGAACGATAGAGCTCGATGGAAAGACGGTCAAGCTGCAGATTGTAGGTTTCGTCCCAGGCGCATCAACTCCTCGCCACCGGTTTACTGACGGTGCTCTCTACAGTGGGATACTGCCGGTCAAGAACGATTCCGAACCATCACCTCCTCCTACTACCGTGGTGCCCACGGCATCTGTGTCGTCTACGACGTCACCGACATGGACTCCTTCAACAACGTTAAGCAATGGCTCCAGGAGATTGACCGATACGCCACCGAGGGTGTCAACAAGCTGCTGGTCGGCAACAAGAGCGATATGGCGGACAAGAAGGTTGTCGAGTACTCAGTGGCCAAGGTGAGTCGTCCCTAATGTGGCAGCCTGCGCTCACGCCCGCACCACCCGTGACAGGCACATGCAACTGTGCCTCAGCCCTGCAAGGCTACCAACCCTCCGCAGCCAAAGCCTTGCAGCACCATGGTCCCGGTAGCTAACCTTTCATGTCTAGGAATTCGCCGACAGCCTGGGCATCCCCTTCCTCGAGACTTCTGCCAAGAACGCCAGCAACGTCGAGCAGGCTTTCCTGACCATGGCCCGCCAGATCAAGGAGCGCATGGGAACCACGACGGCCAACAACACGAAACCCAGCGTGCAAGTCGGCCAGGGCCAGGGCGTCGGTTCTTCTGCCAACAACAGCTGCTGCTAAGCGCTCCTGAGTGACCACTATTTCGAGGCGAAGCAGGATGACGGAGTACGGCCGGAACAGGGCAATGCTAGGGACATGATCGGACGGGTTCAATTACGACTTTTGCTTTTCCCCTTTGCTCTTGGCCCCCCCTTCTGCGCATAGACCAAATCATGTTCACTTGGATCTCGCTCTCCATCCAACGCAAATCACGGCACTTTCCCCCTTTGACATTTGGAAGACGACATTTTTTATTTCGGGTCGGCCGCGCGGAAATCCTCGACTAGATCGGAGGGCCATGACGGGACGGGGGCAGGAATTCGGGGGGTTCGGGGAAAGGTTGCAACGAACACGATGATGGCAGATTTTCAACACGAACGACTGGGGTGCGGGTTGCGCGAGTGTATTTTCTCTCTTCCTCTCGTCTCTCTTTTGCGAAAATCCGAAACATTGGGGAGATGTCACTGCACCGGTTCTTCTAGCCAACGCCACTTGTTGTCTGTCGGTCATTGCCTCTTTGCCTGGCCAAGGATCACATGCATTTCTTCCCTCGGAAGCTCTTCTACCTTGGTTGTCAGATCGGTTCATCGGCTTTCCCCCCTTTGTCATGGTTCTTCGCTTTAGTTTGCCCCCCTTCATTCGCTTCTTCTTTTTTTTGCTAGGGGGAGAACTCGGGATTATTTGGTTATTGTCAATTACCGGTACCGTCGTTTTGATTCTTCTTCATCTTGCCTTTGCCTCCGTTGATGTTGCGTATGCGCGAGGATGGAGCATTCTTAATACAGGCGGATATTCTCTTCTAGACTCGACCTGTCTCCTCTCTGTCGTCGACTTTCATGTGTGACTTGATGTAGGCGTCGGTGTTGAAACGACCCTTGGCTTGTAGATGCTTGCATTCCTCATGTCGTGCTTGATGTGACGTGATTTCCAACCTCAATTCCGTGCCCTTCTGCCTACTCGTAATGACTCTGTCTAGGCCACAGCTTAGTCCCAGGCAACAATCACTGACAGCGTACCTAGATCAGAACGGATCGATGTGAAAAATGGTTCATATGATCCATATCGAAAATAGGTCATCACTGACTGTCCTGGCGCTGGATTAACTGTTGCTGCAGCAGAGGTGGAGATTGCTCACGATCTAACCACGCGGTTGAAAAGGTTGAGCAGTGCCATATTCATGCTCTTCTATGCAAAGCCCTTGCTCGCAACACCTGGCGATATGACATCTAGTTAGAGGCTCAGTGCTGACAATACATTTGCTACCCGTGTAAAGTTGGGATGTTCTTTCAATCAAATATTAGGTGCGAGAATCGGATCCAAGGCACACCGTTCACATTAAAAGTTAAACTAGAAGCCACCTATGCTCTCCAAACCAAGCGTGGTCATCGCATTATGAGATGTATCAAACGACGAGATAAAAATACATTATTAAAACAAAGTGAAATCAACTTCAGCAACATTGTTTTCTCACATGGAACATCCACCCCGCGATTCTTTTCCTGTCTGAAATTCGTAGGGTATTGACTCAGTTTCCCGACCCTTGATAAACATGCAAAGAAATTTGCCTCGGTTAGGCAGTGTGTCATTAATCGTAAGACCAAAACGGTCTGATCGTGTGGCCAAGGGTATCCGTGATGTAGGCTCTTACGCAAGCCCAAGGAACTTAAGCGCCTTGCGGCTGTTGCCCTTGCGGATCTCTGGCCTCTTGATCAAAGTCGGCATAACCCGACGGTCTTCTTGGTCCCAATCGCTGTCATCGAGGTCGATGGTAAGGATGGACTCGCAATCAACAGTTGATGGCTTGCGTCGTGACTTGCTCGTCCCGTGTCTGCTCCTCGTCGACTTGGACGTCCTGACGGTTTCGGCAATAGATGCTGTCCGAGAAGGTATCGGGGGGGAACCGAGTCTTGGTATGAGACCAGGAGACAAGGCTGGGCTGAAACCTCCAGAGGGTACCCGGGGAAAGGGGGAAAATGTCCCCTGTAGCGGTGCTGGCCTATTCTTCTCCTTCTTCGGAGTCACCCTTTTGGGTGGCTCCTCGGGGATATAAAATGGGCAGATTTCAGAGAGAATCTTTAGGACCGTAGTAATGAATGTTGCGATTTCCGCTTCAGTCGCGGTCGAAGTGAGAAGGAAATTGGCCTTTGATACGGTAATATCGTAGGCTGGCCCAATTGGTGACAAAGACGCTCCATATCGGCCTGTGCACCCCTGATCGGGACTGTTGATGGAACCGGTGCCGCGGAGGTTGGTGAAGGGCAAGTCTTTGCTGTTGGAGTCCACAATTTGAGCTACCTTCATAAGGTCAACCCCAACTAGCTTTTGCAAGGCAAGCATGGTAGGGAGGTGCTCCGGAGGGTACTCGAGAAGCAGAAACCGAACATCTGAATGGAGGGCGAGGTACGTCTCAAGATGAGGAATGATCAGAGTAGCCAGCAGGTAAGGGTTGGCAAATGGGTTATCATGAGTCTGACTTGTCAGAGGCTGAGCAGTGAATGCCTGCATGGCATTGGCGAGGAGGTATCTAAATATAATTAGTTTAATGGTTGAGGGTTCAGAGAAGTTTTACATACCTGAAGTCCAGCCTGCCACTACGGCTCAGGCCGCTCGACTTGGTCCCCAACCTTTCTAATTGTCCGGTAATAGCGGATGCATAGTTCTTCTTCACACCTCGCTGGGCTCCAATAGCGAAGATTTGATCCATTCTGCGGTTATTCTCCTGTGTACTCTCCGCTTCGGCCTGTCGGAAGATTGGCCTCCAAAGCCCCTCGAGTTCAGGAAGGAGGGGGAACTGGAACTGGCGGTAGCCTTGGGTTTCCGGTGGGAAGTGGACTTTCAGTATAGATCGAAGTGAGTTCTGAATTGTGACGGCAGTCTGCTGAGTGGTGATATAGAATTCATGGAGTTTCTCATCTGTTTCCGAGACGAAAGGGGGAGGCGTCTGGGCCGGAGTTGGGGGCACTTGCAACTTCAGAGCGGGTGCCCTTTCTAATGGCTTCGATTCAGGCCAAGTGGGTTGCACATAGGCGAAGGGGTCGTACTCATCAGTGTAACTGTTGCGAGCGAAACCCTCCACATCCGAGTCCTGGAACGAATCATCCATACAATCCGGGTCTTCGAGGGTCTGAGACTTGGGTGTGCTAGGAGTGGTTGTGCGGGCTTCGTCAGTCTCGGATGGAGCTGACGAGTGCAAAACAACAGGGTAGTTGCCAGCCCTGAACCCCCCAACGACGGAATCAAGGAGTCTGTCTGGGACCTCGTCCTTGAAAATTACGACGAGATCCTCTATGAAGGGAAGGACAGGCTTGAAGGGCTCCTCATGTTCAGAGACCTCTGCATCGGTACCTCGGTCGACATACGAGGCTCTCGCTGGCTGTCTCTTCCTCTCGAAAGGAACTAGAGCCATCTTAATAACAGGTCGATTGGATCTCACAACAATGGTCCGCGGCCCCCCGATGTAACTCAGTCGACTTGGCCGAGCCTCCTTAGCGCTGGTGATGACCATACAAGAATGTCGACGAGAGCCAGCTGGCGTCTCACGCTCAAAATCACCAGCAGGCTCTCTTTCCGGTTCAGTCGTATCTGACGGTATACATAGGTCCCGGTACTTGGGTGCAGCAGGCCAGATTCGGTCAAGCGATTTGACTCTCGTCAAGGTGGCCCTGCGGCCAGAAAGCCGCATGTCTAGAAGCGATGCTTCGCCATACACGACATTATCTGTGGAGCGAATACCAAACATGTCGGAACCAGGATTGAACACCTCGGGGCCGAGAGGCGCCTGTGCCACCAAGGATGCATACGCCTCGCCAATGCAGCTAGGCGACCTGGGGTAGGACAGCTGGGGAGAAGGAGGTAGGAGATTTGTGAAACCGGGGAAAACCTCGTCCATCGGCTTTTCGTAGTGTGTGATGGCAAACATTGATGATCGAGAAGCCCGAGAACTTTGCTGGGAATTTCGCCTCGACCAGGCCACATCCATGGCCTCGTCGGTCAAGCTCTCGGTGTCATCTTGCTGGTTTTTGGCGCCGAAGACAAAGAAGGGAGCGGCATCGCCAAAGTTATCGGCGTATCCATACAACGGCAAGCTGTTGCTTCGAGGGCGAAAGACTCCCGTCATCTCCATCTCGTTGGAGGGTTGCAAGCTGGCTGTTTGGCGATCCAAAGCATCGGCAGCTCTCATGGCCCTTGTTATGGGATCCTCGAACTCCTCATTGAATTCCTGCTCGCCAGAATACTCGAATGTGTTTCTCGTTCTCCAGTCTCTGGTTGGGTTCTCAAGGCCAGCCATGCCCTCCTTGGTTAAGTGGTTGAAGATGGCCTCGGCCAGGTTGAAATCGCCGTGGGTTTCGTGCTCCATGATGGCCTTGATACACGATGCCTGTGCACCGGGAGTGCCGCCGTTCATAAACACGAGGCGCTTGCTGTTGGGAGTCGAAGCTTGCAGGAAGCTCTGGGCGACCTGGTTCCGGGCAATAAGGGCGTCGTGTGTCTTTTTGACACAAATGCGTGCGTCAAAGCATTTCTCGCGTTGGTCCTTCGAAACATAACTTTGGATACTGGGGAGAATGAGAATCTGTGGCGAGGTGGGCAGTAGCCGTAGCTGAGTCGAGATGGTCTCAGCATGCCCCTCGAAAGCAACAATGCTGCCGAGGCATTCCTTGTTGGTTGCCATGGTAGTTGAAAGACGTGGGCCGTCCGAATCGAGTGGGTGCCTGAGACAGCAGGTAGAAGGCGGCAGCCCAGCGATGTGAAGGCCGGTAGAACAGATGATACCCAAAGGAGCGCTGCGGATTCTGAGCGCATGGGCAGTGGGGAAGGAGTGTTGATGAAGGGAGGGTTTAAACACTCAGGCCTGTCGCATGGTTCGCGTATTGAAGCGACAGTGAATAGGCGGAGGAGGGTATCGTCTGGACCTCACGGGAGAACTAAGATGAAAGATGGGTGAAAGTGGATGCCACGCGCGAAGTAAAGATGATGGGAATGAGGAAGAGAGAGAGAGGCGGCGAGAAGAAGGAGGCACCTGCGAGCAGGTGGCATTCAGATACCTACCTGGGCAGGAACGAAGAAAGAGCGGCATGGCAACTCATTATTAGTATATGGCGGCCAGACGGCAGGAGCAGGGACGCGCCCCGTTTGCGTTTGGCAGGTGCCCTCTGTTTCTTCACACCCACCCTCCGACCCTGCAACGAGCCACTACTGCAACCGGTTGCAAGCCACACAAGGGGAATTCGCCGTGTCCGTTGCAATCCTTACGGTGTCGACGGGACATCAACGGGGAGGCATTGGCTGGCGGCTCGACAGCCAGCTTAGCAGCCGAGTTTCTTTTTTCTAGCTGCGTTGGACAACCCATGCCTACCTGGTCTGCCTGGGTCTGCGGATAGCTGGATACCGGCAGTAGGCGGCTGCAGTTGCAGCGGCCCCGGCAAGCCAGCAGCCAAGCACAAACCAGATCGCGGTCGCCAGCAAGCAGGGACTTGCAGGTGCCCTGGGCCACAGCGGCAGTTTGCGCAACGAGAGGCCATCCCAGGACTCGGTCCCACTTTGAGACAGGGAACTAGGTCAAGGGGTGATGAGGCGGCGGAGGCGCGCCAGGGGACAACCGCAAGTGGAGCGAGGGAGGAGTCCAACTCCCCACGCTGGCGATACCGGGTTCCCCAAAGCCGTGCTGCAGGCTGGGTGTCCCTGGTAACCTCATGAATTACGGGTAATTGCTACCTTCTAGGTTCTGTGCTTCCTACCGTGTCGCCGGGCGTCCTCAACGGACCCTCAATCTCAATCCTCGTCCGCCCAAGTGTGTTTGTACACTGACGCTTGTGCAGGACATGGCGACCTGCATTACCGCTCCACCCCGTCTTCGGCTACCCTCTGGCTCGTCCTCGACATGGTTCCCGTGGAGCTCGTTCCGGTCCCCGAGGGACGCAAGGGAAAGCGACATCGAGTGCGAGCAAACGAGGAGGACAATGTCGCACGTCCACCAAATGCATAAGCTTCAACCAACTAATGTATGGGGCGGTTGCACCGTGCGGAGCCAGTTCAAGACATGTGCTACCCCGTGTCGAGGAACCACAACATGTGGTATTCTGGCATTCAAGGCTAATTGATTCATTGTTCTTGAATCCATTTGCATACCAATAACATAGCACATACGTAGTGTGCATGGGCCTGCACACACGGCACCGGGGCATGGATTGAGATTGCTGTACTCCATCGGTTATCTAGTTGCCCTGAGATTGGGATGTGATGTTTGCTACTGATTATATCATCGAGCCCACTAACGAAGCTAGGTACTTGCAGACTAGCTAAAAGTAAGTCGACTGGCGTCTTTATTCATGGCCCCCGTCGAGAGATCAACAAGGGCAGTTTCCCCAAGAAACCAGCACAGGGACCAAGGGTTAGGGTATTGACTGGTGGTCGTGTCTCCGCATGGAATGAAAGTCGATTCCCCACTTCACGGCTCAGGGGAAAGACGGTGCTGGGCCTGAACCTGGTCGTCCTCGTCTGTATCGTCGATGAGCTGCGATCGGCGTAGAATCTCGGGGTCAGGGCCCAAATCGTCAACGAGTCCTGGGGTCTTGGTGCGCCAGTCGACGGAATCCTGGGCTCCGTTTGTCGATCAGCATTCAGAATATGATGGCCCCGGCAAGTCATCGTCTACGGTAAAAAAGGTGATGATCATGCCAGGGCCTTGCCTCGCGTAACTCAACACCAGATTGGCACGTCCTTTGTTGTGGCTGCGCCCCGTGGTGAGTTTGCTTCGGAGTGGGCGTCGATGGGCTGCCTGCAAGCCCACGAGGCTTGCCAAGCTGAGAACTTCTGGGCTGAAAGCCATTTGGCTCAGCCGGTCTCGATTCGCCTCTGGTGCCACATTGGCTGTGTTTCACACGGAAGCTATTTCCAGTGCTCGCTCGGCGCGGTTGTTTTCCCTCCCCCACCCGTTTTGTTTGCTCGCTCCCTGCAACTAGGAAAACCATCGACATGGTTAGGGCCTGCGGGCAAGCCCAGCGAACTGGGATCTTCCCGTCAAACCGCTTCGCAAGCGACGGGCTAGGCGCTGCCGTCCCCACCCTCCGCTTTCATCACAGTAGCCCGCCAGCCAGTCCTCGGCGGGACACCGATTCACCCTCTACAGCAACACAAGGCACTCCCGTTTGTGGTAAGTTGCGACGCCGGATCGTTTTGGGATGTAGCCGACATTGGCTGGTGTGGGTGGGTGGATTGTACAATATCTTGAGGGCTGAATGTGTCGATTGGCAGTGGCGTTTGGACAGTGAGACAATCCCCAAAGGCGTCACTCTCCGCCAGACCACAGGCCAATCCGACAACGCATACGGTATGCGTACTTCTATGTTGTACGCAGACGGGAGGACGCATCTATCTTCATTCTCTTCTAAGCATTGGATAAGCTGTGACCCCTTCTTCCGTCATGATTGCTCGACAAACGACGCTTGGCATTTTGGCGTTCTGACCGTGGCTAGCGGCCGGCAGTCCGTCGTTGAATTATACCGGCCCGCTGTTCTGGACCTCAGCGGCCTCTAGGGACGGTCTTCAGGGACTGTCTCACTGTTAATAGCTCGCCGTCTGCTGGGGGGGAGTTCACTTGGCTAGTGCAAACGCGAGCTACGCGCTTGTATCAGTTTTAGGGCTATCAGCTACGAGATTATGCCGAACCACCGAGATGCCTATGTTGAACCTCCAAACGGGCCGAGTTCGTTGAGAGGTCAAAGCCTGACGAAACGTAACGTCACTGAATCGATTGGCGAACTGGGCGCGGCCTGGTTCTCTCCTCTTCCCGTCTGCACACACCACCTTCTGAGCCCCCATTTACGACTGAGAGTCAAGTGCCGAGCGATATCCAGTCCCGTCCGGGATATAGCGTTCTCGCCGGCAGCGCCCACTGCGCTTAGTTGCTGCACTCCTGCGCGTGAACTCGTACTCTGATCCATTGTTGCTTTCTTGCGAGACCTAACGAGCGCCGACGCACTAGGTCAAGCTCGCTGTCGCAAACCGACCAACAGTGTGCCTGGTGGCTTTCTGCTTGCTTATCGACATAAGCCCACAAAAGCGACGGGGAACTTCCTGGTAATTACCACCTGTGTTAAGGGACACGTCCCCTAGTCGGCGATCCAAACCCGACGACCTGGATGTCCACTGCATATCTCAGATATCATCTACATTCGATACGCGAGTGGACAGCGTAGCATTGCATGGACGTGTGCGATTTGCGAGAAAAAAGAAAAAAAGGAAATGGAAGAAGTCATCAAACTCAAAAAGGTTCATCAAGACCAAGCAAATGGGCGCACACCTCATCATGGCTGCTTTCAGTGCTGGACTTGACGCTGGGAAGAAGAACTATGTATTTTTTGGCTCTTCGTGTACTGGAAACACGGCGCCGCACTGAGCGGCAGAGTTGGAGTGTTTACTTACTGTGACACACTCTCCCAACCCGGGGAATAGATTGGCTAACATCAGCTTGTGATATGGTTCGCGGTACCTTACATGTCAATGACGCACAACTCCATCCATGCATACGAGGCTAGACAAGGGACCAACTTCGTCAATATTACGAGATCAACATCATGTAGGCAATCTCATGGCAAAAGAAGGCCAGCGTCGGGGGACCCATCCTTGCCGTATTGACTCAGTAAATTGGCCCTGAATCCTTCTCCCACTTGTTGCCTTCGGGTTGTGTTATACCTAATAATTTAGGAAATCTAAGCCTTCACTTATATAGCTTAGCTTTAGTCCATAAAAACAGGGCCAATTTATCGAGTCGATACGGTAATTGAGAGTCAGGCATCCTGGTCAGCCTCATTGTTCAGGTCGATGAAAAATCTGCAAAAAAAAAGAAAGCGAGAAAAAGGAAAACCATGACGAAAAATTATTTGCTCGGGACTAGCAATACCTGAGCCGCTCTGCTGGGTGCCTACCCCCAATTACCCCCGTGCAAATCTTACAGGACCCTTGCTGGCTATGCCGCTGGGGAAGTTGTCATGGGTACGTGGCGATCACTCAGCCTGTCACTTGTGACAACACCCAACAATCCAATCACCAACAGCGCCTCTCATCGGAGGCCCAGGGCTGAGCAAGCCAGATCACAACGGGACACTCGCTTGGAGACTTTGTGATTTCATTTTGCTCTGGTTGGACCCCTGGAACCAGGGCGCCCGAAGAATTACGGCAAGCGGCTCGCGGCCGGCAAGAGGCATCGTGAAATCACCGGACGAGAATCCCTGCAAAGGCGGAGATCGACGTTCAAGACATCTTCATGGGTGGCTTCTAAGGGTGGGCCTTGGAGATGAGTTGAACCGGCAGTGTCTCGTGGGAGTCACGCAGAGCATGGCATGTTCAAACGGTGCCATGATCCAAGTCCATGGGATCTTCCCGATTGTCTTGTTTGCTTCCAGAGGCCAACAACGCTTTGCTGGGGGGACCGAGACATGTCTCAGGGCTGTTGCACTACCGTGGTCATTTGCCAGGTCGGTTGGTGATACAGTGGGAGCATATGCGTTTGTCACCGCTAGAGCTGAGGCTGCCGTAATCGAGGTGGACTGGCGTTGCGCAAAGTACGGGTGCCACGGCTTCGGAGGCTTTGAGGCAAGCCTCAGGGGTTGACGGGAAAAGAAAGTCACGGTACAGGAGATGAGGCGTGGCGATTCGGAGGGTTTCTGACGCCCCCGTCGATCAGAGTCTTTCCTGTTGACCTTACTTGACCTAATCGTCCATGAGCTCTGCCAGCTCGGCTTCCTCCTCCGCCGTCAGTAGGCTCTCCCCCTTGTCCTCGTCCTTCTTAGCATCGGCCTTTGCAGCCTCCTCGATCTTGATCACCACATCATCTAGCTCCGACTTGCCTAGGGGCCACGTCCGAATTGTGCCATCGATGCCGACGCTGCAGATCTTGCGGCCCCTTCCCTCTGCATCCCGCAACATCACCAAGTCCGTGATCTCCTCGTAGTGTCCAACGAGCGTGGCATATAGCTTGCCCGACGACCGGTCCCATACCTTGACGTCCTCGTCTCGGCCGGCTGTAACAACCCACTGGTCCGTTACCGCTACGGCTCGTACATAGTCGCCGTGCTCATACGAATCATCTGAGACGAAGTTGCGGGAGCGCGCCAGACACTTTGCCGTGCCGTCGGCGCTGGCTGTCCATAGATCTGCGTCGTCACTCGTGTCGTCGTAGACAAGTCTGTAGACGCTGGTCTCATGCTCCCGAATGGTGAGTCGCTCCGCATCGGGCCGGTCATGGAACGACTCGGGGAGCTGTTCGTAGCCATCGAGTGTGATCTTCCACCGCCGAATGTTCGGATCACTGCTGGCACTGGCAAGCACTATGGCGTCGGCAGTGCTGAGTACGGGGTCAACGGCAAGGTGCTGAACGGCGAGCATGGTCGTGGAGGGATCCTGAAGCGTGTGCAGCCGGCGGCCTGTCTCGGTGTCCCAGACGAGGATCTTCTTGTCAGCGCCACCGCTGATGAGAATCGCCTTGCCCGAGATGGTGGTGCAGACGACTGCCTTGACGAAGTCGGAGTGACCGCTGAACTTGAGGCCGGGTCGGGAAGATTCGACGTCCCATGACCAGATGTCCTTGTCCCAGGAACCCGCGAATACCGTCTTGCCACCGAAGCCTCCTACCGCGAGGCACGTCACGGGGGCCTTTGGGCCACGGTAGGTGGTCTTTGGTTCAGACAACTAGCAGCCCAGTCAGTCATGATCAGAGCCAGGACCAGAATGCAAGCTGCGCTCCGTCGAAGTGCATGCGGAAGCTCATACCTCGAGGTTGACGCGGCGGACATAGCCGGCCGACTCGGCGATGAAGACGGAGGTGAGCGGGGAGGCGGGGTCCGGGACGGCCGCGAGGATCTTGGACTTCATGACCAAAGGGTCGCCATTCTTGTTGCCGGACTTGGCGGCCTTCCGCTCCCGCTGGGCCTGCGAGGCACTGGCCTCTTGTCAGTCGTTTGTCCGGCATGATTTGTCGGTGGTGAGGCCAACTCACTCGGTCTGGAAATAGTGATCTGGGTCCGCGGATTGCATGCCTGGAGCTGGGGAGTTTCTGGACTACAGAAATGTGGTTGACGGTGAAATGGAAGACCAAATTCGAGGAAAGAAGCGAGTCTATATTCTCTCACTGGAACAGTGTCGTGATTCCCAAGTGCTGCGCTTTTATATCTTCCAATATCTAAAAGTTGCCGCCTGCCAGGCAGTAGGACGTCGTAAATCGTCTCAGGGGTCCTTTTTTGGTGGAGCAGCTGTCGACAGCTGTCAATTAAAAAATGGCGGGGTCCTTCGCGACTCTCGTTAATTGCGACGCGCTCCAGACGCGTCTCCCTGGACTACTACCCGCCACCACCAGCTCTTGGATTACTTTACGGCATTGAAAATCCACCCTCAAAACTCACACCGACAGAGCAACGAATTCCTACGGAGAAACCTCCTCAAATGCGCCTCGAATCCTAGCCTGACGATGGATTCGACTCTCGCCAACCGGCCGCGGCCTCGTGCTGCATACACGCAGGGCACCACGCGCTGTGCCTACACGCCCGATGGCTCCCGCCTCGTCACCGTCGGCTCGAACAACGTGATCCGTGTCTTCAAGACGGGCTCCGATGGCGAGCCCACCAACATTGACGACTGCCAGGAGCAGAACGTTGCCGTTGCCGTCGCAGAGAACTTCTTCGTCGTCGGCTCCGAGGACGGCACCGTCAGTCTCTACTCACTTACCACGGCCACCTTTGAGAAATTCCTCTTCCGCACGACGCTACCCATCCGTGATGTGACCCTGAGTGCGGACAGCCAGTGGTGCGCTGTTGCGAGCGATGAGCTGACCGTCAAGCTGGTCAACACCAAGGATATGATGGAGGTGCGACACCTGCGCGAGCATGGCAGAGCGGTGCGGAATGTCAGCTTCGACCCCCAAGGCCGCCTGGTTGCCCTGTCTAGCGTCGACGGTATCATATACGTATACTCACTTACGGCCGAGGAACCGGAGCTGATTCGCAAGGTGGACGGTATCATCGGCGCATTGGACTCGGATAGCCAGGTGTCAACACGCGTTGCATGGCACCCCGACGGACGTGCGTTTGCCGTGCCGACGCCGACCAAGGATATCCAGATCATCTCCAAGAATGACTGGGAGAAGCAACGATGCTTTGCAAACGGCCACCTGGCGGATATTACCGCGCTGGCGTGGTCGCCCAACGGTGCGATGCTGGCGTCGGCGAGCAAGGACGGCAAGCTGTTGGTGTGGGAGACAAAGACCCAGAGCGTCATTGCGCGTTACGACTATCCCAATGTCCTCGACCTCGCATGGCATCCCTCAAAAAACATCCTTTCCTTCACCACGGCGACTGGCGAAGTTTACATCTATCCCGACTTCCTGACCGACCAATACGCTCCTCTGCTGAAGCTGACCACGCAACCGGCGCCTTATATTCACGACCCCCGGGCTGAGATTTCTGGAAACGGAAGAGTGCCCCAGTTCAATGGCCAAAAGCAACAGGAGATTCCCTCTCGCCCGCGACGGGATTCTCTGGGAAGTCTAGATTCCTTTCTTCAGGATGCTGATGGATACGGTGACGATGATTTCGTGGTGGACGATGATGGCGCTGGATACACAGCGGGCGGAGGCTTGAAGCGAGGCCGCGATGGCGAGGATGTGGGCGGCGAGCAGGCCAACAAGCGCCGCCACCTCCTCGAGCCCCAGTATCATGCCTCGTTCCAGCCCGGCTCAACGCCATGGAGAGGTAATCGCAAGTACCTCTGCCTCAACCTCATCGGCTTCGTCTGGACTGTGGACCAGGACGCTCACCACACTATCACCGTTGAGTTCTACGACCACGAGTTCAACCGCGACTTCCACTTCACCGATACTTTCCTCTACGACAAGGCTTGCCTCACAGAGCATGGCACCCTCTTTTCCAGCCCGCCCAAGGACGACGTGCCGGCCACCATCTTCTACCGCCCACACGAGACGTGGACGCAGCGCGCTGACTGGCGCACCGAGCTCCCCCTTGGCGAGGCCGTCACCGCCATGTCCCTGAGCGAGTCTTTTGTCACCGTCACCACGAGCGCCAACTACGTGCGCGTCTTTACCCGCTTCGGCATGCCTTACCGCGTCTATCGTCCCAAGAGCACGCCCACGGTGACGTGCGCTAGCTGGAGGGACTATGTACTCACTGTCGGCAACGGACCCGTTGGGCCGGACGGCAACACCCGTCTCCAGTACACTATTGAGAACGTCAAGCGAGATGAGATTTGCCAAAACGAGGACACTGTTGCCCTCCCAGATGGCGCAACCCTAAAGAGTGTCTTCTTTTCAGACAACGGTGTAAGTCCCCACACACAAGCTTCAAAGTGAACATGATTCTAACATGACTCGTCAGGATCCCTGTATCTATGACTCTACTGGTACGCTTCTTACACTCCTCCACTGGCGGCAGCCATCGCGTGCATCCTGGGTGCCCCTGCTGGACACCAAGTTGCTCCCGCGTCTAGCCTCGGGCCGTAAGCACGAGAACTATTTCCCCATTGCTGTAGCGGACAATAAGTTCCACTGCATCATCCTCAAGGGCGGCGACCAATATCCCTATTTCCCCCGTCCTCTCCTCTCCGAGTTCGACTTCTCGGTACCCCTGACGTCAGGGCCCAAGGAGAAGAAGAAGAAGCAGAAGAAGAAGAGCCGGGAGAATCCCGACGCCGAAGATTTTGGCGAAGGGGAGGATCAGGACAAGGAGGACGAGGACATAGAAGACGAAGAAGAAGAGGACGAGGACGCTGAGACGAAGAAGCTAGAGCAGCAGTTCCTGCTCCGCGGCTTACAAGCAACCCAATTGCGGGACTTGGTCGACGCAACGGCTGGCAGCCATACCCAGCGTTCACTCCTCTCGCGGCTGGAGCTTGAGATCGACAAGACCCTCCTGCAACTCCTGGCGGTTGAGTGCCGCGAGGGCGAGGAACGCGGAATGCGTGCCCTTGAGATGGTGGAGCTGATGCGTGACCGCACCGGCAGGATGGTTGAAGCTGCCGGGAAGGTGGCCGAGCGATATGGACGGACCATCCTTGGTGAAAAGATCCGGGAGCTAGGAGAGAAGCGGGTCAATGGCATGGACGAGGATGACTTTTAAGTGGGCGCTGAGTACGGCGTATTCGGCATTGGGGGACGGGAATATGTGTTTTCAGGACTAATGATTTGCCCTCGGTATGGATAGCATGGGAGGAGTCTAATGATGGTGTTCGAACTTATCCGGATCTGGGAGGACCAAAAAAAAATGATGATATCTTCTTGTTGCGACCTGACCCATGAGCCATTTCAACCGTTGAGAACTCTAATAACATCCCAGAAACTCGCATGAAGCATCTCTCCAATCGGTAAAACTCTCCGATGTAGTCAATCGGGAAGTGGACCAGCTTGCGCGTAAGGACAAAGCGGCCTAAACTAGTCGCACTTAGCTCGCGTATTAAGACGCGTAGGTGACGGAAATCGGATCATGGCGGTTCTCGAACGAAGGGGCCGCGAGACGAAGTCCGAGAGTTATCCCCATCCACGGCTCCGGCCTCGGGTTTGCGCCACACCTCGTCTGACGTTACAGTTCGCCACCCATCGGCCTGTATTTTCCGGGACGATTAAATCGGGAGAGGAAAAAAAAGAAACCCCAATGATTTCGAAATAAATTAAGGATAAAAAGTAAATCATATGAAGCCTGCCAGTTCTAACAAGTGCGTGCCATTGATACAAACCCGGGGGGGGGGAGGGCGACTGTCCACACCTGACACGTTGGAGATCTCGCATGAAAGGACGGGACGATCTGAAGTGGCGGTGCGGACCAGGGAAGCAACTCCTTTCTCGGGACAGTTTTTCTTTGGCCATGGCGAAAGATGTGGTTAGCAGGGGATGATGGAGGGATGGGCCCTGAAACATGGGGGTCGCATGTCTGGCGAAAGTTAGATGCAATGCGTGTCACATGCTTGATGAAAAGAACTGGGCGACTTGTGTCTGTACTTCGTACGAGAAACTGTAACGTTGACAAAGAGGCGAGTCCGCGATGACGGGGCACTTTGGATGGTGGCATACTGATTCAAGTGAAGGTTGCGATCGAGGCTGACTATCTGGTAAGCGAGTCTCGGGTGGCCAGGGAGAGCAGGACCAGCCGACCAGCCGACCAGGTCAGCCGAAGATGATCGCACGCAAGGTGGTTTTTTTTAGACGAATCGGTTGACGTTTTGCTACTCTTGGCCGACCTGATCGAGCAGCTGGTAAGAGATCCTAGGAGGGCTCAACATTGAGCTCGGTGTTATTCGAACGTTGCAGTTGTGTGAGTTAGCCCGTGAGAGACGCGGCCAGAGTGTGTGTGCACATGTGTGCGTGCGCAGTATGGACGAGCCGCCAAATGCTCAGTGGACACGCATGGCTAGTGAATGTAGAGAGGGAACAGCGAAAGGAGACGAACGGGAAAACTCCCTATCTGTCGCGTTATCTCCAGCCATTATTCCCTGAGGGTCGGCAAGGAAGCGTGGTCTGTATCGAACGAGTTTATCGGCCCGAGCCTCCGGAAGAGTCCTATTGGCTTGCTGATTCAAATGATGGCTTGGCTGGCCAGACAGTCTGTCGGTTTGGCGCAAAACCCTAACTCTGGATGCCTCGTGGTGGCGACGATGCCAACTTCCCGGCTGATAGTTCAAGCGGCAGACCTCGAGACGAGGACCCTCGCTTGATGATGACCTCATTGGGTAGATCTCGTTGGGTATTGGTAGAGGGTACGTCCCGGTACTTGCCATGGTTGTACATGAGGCTTTTTGATACACAGAGCAAATAACGGGGCATCAACGATAAATCGTTGATGGGGTTTGACTCGCTATCACCGCCAGGCTCTGGTTTTTGTCGCAGGGTGATGCTGGCGACGGCTTGAGAAACCAGACAACTCCTGAACCGAGCGACGAATCCGACTGCATGGGTCGGGAAAACCCCAACCTCAACCTGCCAGACAGGTCCGGGGGACGTGCTCTGGTTGGTCGGCCGGGGAGATGCATCTCATTTACCGGGGCACATCTTTCATGCACGCCTGTCTGGCTGAAGATTCATTCAGCGGCGTGGATAAAGGAACGGTGGAGGGCGGGCCCTTCAGCTACCATCGGCCTCATGCGATTGAGAGACTAAATGTCGAGAGACACTTGAACGGGCACGGTCCCCGTACTAAGAGAATAAGCTGAAGATGACGACAGCCACGGTAAGAGACTGATGAGAACGACATCTCCGGGGCGGTGCTCCCCGGAGATCAACCACGGACCTGTCCGGCGTAGTCCATCCCGCCCGTCCGCTCGCCCGTCAAGGCTGGGCCCGTCGCTGTCGCCGGAGCTAGGGTGGGACAATGTGAATTGGGGAATCCGGACGACGTACTACGTAGTAGATGGCCAGACAGGGTCCTTGGGGGCTTTCATCGGTAAAACTCTGTTGTTTCTAGATCACTCCCACTCATGGGTTAGTTAGAGGAGTAATTAAGACATGCTGGATACGGGCGCCGCCTAGCGCCAATTGCACCAACCGCCTCTGCCCATGGCGTTGGATGGCAACAGCACCGGGAGTACTACCTAGGTATGCATGTACCTGGGCGGTGCGTGTTGGTTCTGGGAAGAGAAAAGGAGGGCCTGAGCGGGTAACGACAAGCGTGAAGAGTACACTAGAGATAGCTGGATGTTATGATGCTCCTGGCTTGAAGGCGTCTGTACAGCAGTTAGCTCTTTAAAGGAAGAGCCTAACAACTGCTCGATGAGACGCAACGGTAGACGTGCATATGGAGGTGGAGGCAGAGGCGGTGGATAGACGTTACAACGCTCATTGCCAATGGGCCCTGGAATTCGATGTTCCCGTGGAGCTGAAACTGGAGGGGTTCAGTTAGTCAAGCCGCACGTCTTGAGCTCTGTACTACATAGTACGTAGTACGTACTGTGCACATATGCGCACGTACACGCATCGCTCACACACCACACCACACTACGCATGCTCGGCCAGTCAAGCCGGAAGCAGCCCAAGAAATCCGGGTTCCACAGCGGTGGCGAACGGTTGGTTCCTGGGCCGTTGGCATGTGCGTTATGTTGCAAACGAGACAAGGTGCCCTGCTGGCTCGGATTGCCCTGACTTGGGTTCGTTCCTAGGAACGATGCCCCGGCGCAGCCACCAGGCCCGATAGTCATTGCGGGCGGCACGCTATCGTCTTCGCCGACCAGGGTGGGAAGATGGGGACCAGATGGTCTCCACGGCCACCGTCAAGTGGCTGGCGGATCGCCAGCACCATGAACAGCCACCATGCAGCGGCTTCTCTGCCCCTTGGCCCGGGACACAGGGTGGTGTCTCTCCCTGGGATTTCAGTGCTGCTTGTTCTTTTTTTCTTTTCTTTGCATGTCTCGAGGCGGGTGTGTCAGGCGGGCATCTGTGGGGGGCACAGTCTGGAGTGTTGGGTGGATTCTGGTCGTTGGAGAATCGGTCTCATGTGGATCGCCAGATATGGGTGAGTGGGTGAGACATGGCTAATGCTGTGCGTGGGCTTGGGACGCCAATGGAACGGTGTTGGTTGTGAGGCAGAAGAAACGAAACGAACTCATGGAGCAGCCCGGAGGAGCCTAGGGACGCCGTGGGCGAATGAACGATTGGGGGTTGAAGTTAGCCGGGTCCGAAGAAGTAGTTACAGTGCACAGGGAATCATGGACGGGGAATCGTGGACGAAGATGGGGGCACGGAGCACATCCGTCGGCACGGGAGATGGAGGCGGATGGATCAGGATAGATCATGATGGAGAACGGAGGGGCATCTGAAGCGGGCACGGGCTTCCTTCCCTCACTAACCTCACTAACGGACCGGGAAAGGGAAGCGATTACCTGCCTAGCTAGGCAAGTAGCACAAGGGAAGGCATGACAGGAGGCACTGCTTTGGCCTTGTTGTAGCGGGGATCTGCAATGGAGATGCTCAACCTGGGGCACGGGGGGGCACAGGTGATGCTTCAGGGCCATTTTCGACGACCTGGATATTACATACTATGTACAGCGTAGCGCAGGCCCCCTTTTCATTTGTTCATTCAATTCCATTTGCGACCCTTGGGGACGACTGGGGACTGGGGAAGGGGCAAGCAGGGCTCCAGCAGGGGGGTTTCCTTCGCGCCGTCTCCCATGTAGCAGTGGCGTGGAGTTCGATTTCAGATCCGCCCATCCATCGCATCTCAGTCCGTCTTCCGCCCACCTACCCGTCGATTCACATCCCAGGCAAATCCCACGTCTTTCATCCTTGATCCAAGCACGTAATAGTCGACGAGCTGCTGCTGAGGCGGTAGACATTGGCAAGCATCAAGCTTGGCTCCGGCTGGTTCGCGATCGGGCCTGGGGCTCGGACTGGGGCCGCCTGCAATGCCCGCTACCGTCTTCGTCTCAATCTTGGGGCCCTTGGGGGCTTTTGGGGCTTTGGGGGCTTCTGGGGCCCTTGGGTTGTGCGCTTGCCAGTCCGTGTCCTGTCAAAGAGGTGGTCAGCAAATGGGTCCTGGCCTCCGTTGGTCGGCTGTCAACAGAGGGGGAAGAGTGCTTCTGCTCAGCTGTCATCCCGTCAGTGCATGCCAAATTGGCGCCGCGCCGCTTGGAAACCTTCCAGACCCGCTAAAGCGGCAGTTCTTTGGGTGGAGGTTCAGTGGCGGATAGAGGTTTTTTTCGTGGTTCGGCGAAGGAGGTCCCATCTCACGCAGTGGAGTTGTAGCGCGCCTTTTCGGCCGGCCCCAGCCATGCCCACCACCGTCCCATCATAGCTCGCACCCACAGCTCGCACCCACAGCGCCCAAGTCGCCTATTGCATGCACCACACCCCACGACACCCACCGGCATCACACTCCAATGGTCTCGGCCTCCACTGCGCTCGACACTGTAAGATTCCGCTGTACGGAGTTTTGCCCGCTGTATGTAAGGCTCGCCCGGTGTCAGCCATCCCCCGACACCCCCCCGAAGAGTTACGGGGCTGGGCGCCACACGCCACCTGCCGACCGGGGGACCCATGGGGGTCGTTTGGGAGGGAAGGGTTTTTGCCTCGTGGCGTTTTCAGAGTCCTGATGGGCAGCTGGCCATGAAAATTCATCATGCGCAAGGCACCCCAAATGCAGTTGAGGCATGCCAAGGTTGCTTTGGGGCTTGGAAAAGTTAGTCTTCCTCTTCTTCTCCGATGTTCCACGTTTTCAGTGTCTAATTTTTGTGTCTTGGCCTTTGTTCAGTCCAATCATTTCCTAGGTGATGCCGTCACTATGCCCGGCTGTCATTGAATTGCCGAGTTACTTGAGGTTCCGTAGTGTGTTGTACATACGTAGTATTCTACGTTCTTAGTTAGAACCTCGTCCACTGTCTCGTTGGGGCTTCCAACTCGCAGTGCGATTCCCCGTAGTTATTAGGTACTGTACTTGCCGTCCCCACCACATCCACACCACTGTCACCAGTCACGTAAGATAGGTAGGTCCCGGAGCTGGTCACCTACAGGCGGGTGCTCTTTGAGGCGTCGCTGGGCTTGCAGCGGGTTCTATTTGTCGGGTGCGCTGTGTCGTGTGCAGTTGGTGCGATTTGCGCTGTACGGACTAGGTTGGTGCAGTAGGGCGCGGGTGCAATAGTGGATTCGTTAGTGGGCAGTGGGTGTGGACGTGGGCGTTGGCGCAGGCCTGGGCGGGCTGGGCTGCTGAGCTGCTGAGATGCTGGGCTTTGATAGTAGATTCCCCCATGTCCTGCCCATGTCCCTCTTCTGTGCAGCTCCTCCTGCCCGTCACTGTAGCCGTCGCCAAAGCTTGCTGCTGCTTTTGCTGCTCCTGTTGCTACTGCTGCTGCGGCCTCTTTCCTCGTTCGGACCAACGACGTCTCGTCCTTTCTTCCCTTCCTTCCTTTCTTCCCTTCCTTCCTTCCTTCCTTCCCTCCCACCCCATCCTTCCATTCTTCCATTTCTTCCATTTTCCCCCGTTGGCTCTTGTTCCTTTCCTACCTCTCCTATCCTGTCGCATCCCCGTCTCGGTTCCAACGTCGAGCATCACCGCGGGATATCAATCGCCTGGCCGCGTGCAGAGTGCAGAGGTTCTAGCCTTGGGCCTTTTTGACTCTCGTGGACTCGCCTCCTGCTCTGTCGTTGTCTCGGCCTCGGTTTCTGATTCTGTCGGGTGTCTTGCACAGTCGCACGCCCTCATACCCGGCCCCATCTACTCGCCTTCGTCCCGTCTCGCGCGCCGCCTACTGGCATCCACCACACACGCATTCTCCCGTCGCTTTCCGGGCTCCCTCCTCCCCGCCCGTTCTCTCGCAGCTTCTACTTCCACCAGCGTCCATCAACGAATCCTCCGGGAGTCACTTCACCACACCCCGTGAGCCGCAATCGTCACCGTCGCGTGCGCTCCTCCGCCACCACCGTCGCAATCGCACACTCACCTGTGCCCGCCTCTCCCCCTCTCGCTGTCGCTGCCACCACCTCTCACCTCCGTCTACCGCAACACGCGCAGGGAATCGCCAGTGACCATTTTCACCTGCCGCCTTCTAGAAGCTTGAGCTCCGAGCCCCCTATGCGAGGCTGATCGCAGAACCGCCCGAACCAGGGTGCCCACCTATCCTATCGTCCCGACCTACGAACTGCGCCGCCGCGCCCATCAACCACTCCAGACAATCTTCATCCACCCCCGTCGTCTCTATCCGATCACCGCACCCCGACTTTCGCCTCTCCACATACCCATACGTTGGCGACCCGTTGCCTGCACTTGGATATGAGGTAGGTTCCCTACTCCGCATCGCACTACACCCGGCATCGCATCCACATCCGCACCCGCTCCGTTCCCGCATCGCCATCGCCTATTGCTCGTCGCCCGCTCCCGGCGAGACCACCACACCCGACCCTCTACCCTCTAGAGCGATCCTTCTTCATTCTCCCGACCATCGCCTTGACGTCTTGGCCATCGCATACCAGCGTTCTGGCCCCCACCAGCGCTCCATCGCCGTCATCATCCTTCGTTCTCCCCTCGTCCCCCCCCCGTCTTCCTCCGTCCCTCCTACTCACTCCTCCTACCACCGACACTCGCCGTCCTGGCCTGGCTGTGCTCCTCGACTGACCACCATGGCCACAGCCCACATGGCCGTCAGGACTGAAACCCTTCCCTCACTGTCCTCAACTTCCACCTCCGTCAACGAGTCAATGGGTGCTCGTATCGTCCCAATCCCAACACCGACCATCAAGATGTCTCCTCCAGCCTCTGGTGATCCTATGGAAATTACCTCCCCCACGCCCTCGTCCACCAACCAGAACTCCGATTCCGATGCCAATGGAAAATCCAACGATCGTCCCAAAAACTCGGCACTCGACCAGGTCCCATCTTCGAACATCACCAGCAACGGCTCCACCACGATGGCCGCTCCGCCGCCCGCCGCCGCCGCCGCGGTGCATCAACCCAAGATCGTTCAGACCGCCTTTATTCATAAGCTCTACAAGTGAGATCTTGCTCTCTCCAAAGTGGCTGCGTCGGCAATAGCTAATCCTAGCCTAGCATGCTGGAAGATCCAAACATCCAACACCTGATATCATGGTCCGCAAGCGCCGAGAGCTTCGTGATGTCACCCTCGGCCGATTTTTCCAAAGTGTTATCGTACGTCCAATATGTCCGGTCCAGCTGCTTGTGAATGTTCCATTAATCATCCCGCAGGCAATATTTCAAACACACCAACATTTCCTCCTTTGTGAGGCAGCTTAACATGTATGGTTTCCATAAAGGTTAGTATTTTGCTTACCCATCGCATATCCCAAATGTCGATTATTAATGGACTATCAGAACGCGACGTCTTTCATACCGGAAACCCCGATACCACACTATGGGAATTCAAACACGGAAATGGCAACTTCAAGCGTGGAGACCTGGTCGGCTTGCGGGAGATCAAGCGCCGAGCCAGTCGCCATGCGCTTGTCCATCGCGAAAGCAACTACACGAAATCAGCTACGTCGCAGCCAGGAACCCCTGCTGAACCTATGCCTATCCCCCAAGATGGCCCAGATGCGCGACTGATCAACATTGAGCACACGCTCTATGATCTGGGGTCCCGACTGCAGAGAAGCGATGAAGCCGCCCATTACATGCATGTCAAGAACCAAGCAGCAATGGAAACCATGGGCCGCCTGCTGCATTTCAATCAGGAGCTGTCAAGGGCTGTATTGTCACTGGTCCCTACTGACAGCCCCATCTCACGCGATGGTTCGTCTCCAAGCACCCGACATTGTCCAACCTTAGCTAACATGCGCAGTTATCGCATTGCAAAGCGAAATGCAGAGACAAGCCGAGATGATCCGCTCACTCGACGAACCCCAAGAGCCTACCTACTCGCGGCAGCAATATTTCGCTGGTGTCGACAATGCCCCAGTGTCCCCGAGACAACTCGCCCAAGACGACCAGCGACGAGGTAGTAATCTGGCTGTTCCTCAGCCACGAGGCCAGAACTTCTACCGCCCACCAGTCCCATCAAACCTATCTATCAGCACTCGACGACCGTATGGGTCGATTAGCGGCAACAGTACTACGCAGTCATCGCCCTTGCGCACAGTGCCGCCGCCGCCGCCGCCCGCCGCCCCTCATCCCCTCTCCAACGTGGAGCCTTCCCCCGCAAGTCTTGGTCGACGTCATACGGCCGCTGACATTCGCGCCCACGGATGGCAGCCGGGACCGTCTCCCTTTGGCACTGGCGCACCCAGCACGCCATGGCCTCCTTCTCCGAGCCGCGTTGCTCCCGAGGAGCAGCGCATTAGGGACTCACTCTCATCGTACTCTTTGCAGACTGCCTCCCACGTCCATTCCCACTCACGACCAACAACGCCCCCGCCTCCATTTGCCAATGGCGGCAACGGTGGCGCTGATACCTTTGGAAGTTGGTCTTGGAACTCGGCCGCGAATCGCGACAACAAGAACCTGGCTGTCAGGGATCACTCGGCGCCGCCGACGAGGAGGGGCAGTATGGCACATATTCTCAACCCCAGTGACACTGCGGAACGCTCAGATGAGGACGAAGACCCGAGAGGTGAGGACGACAGAAAACGAAAACGGGTGCAGTAATCGGATCACCCATTGATCCCTTGCCGTTCCCGGCAGTTTATTGTTACATCAGCATCGTGTGGCCGTTTCAAGACGGGCCCTGACTGCTCCGTGTCGTGCGTTCCCGGACCAATCGAGAGGGAGCAGCTCTCCCTTTACGGCACGGTACCTAATTAGCACTGGACCCAATCCATGGCGAGGAGACGTTATACCCAGGCTCCAGCTTAACCATGCGATTTGTCATCATATACTTTGGATTATACAGAAGGACTTTTGGGCACGGGTAATTCTTGGGATATGCGACGTCTTTGACGCATCGAAAATTTTCTTGTTATGTGCTTGGCGCATGACGATTTTGGAGTACGGCATTGGATGGCTAGAATTTGGCAACGGAGGCTCTGTTCTTTACCAGCGCAGGAAATATTCCAGCAATCCACAGGACATATGTGTATTTTTCTTGCCCCGAGTTTGTCTCTTTTGTGGGCATGTCTCGGAGCGCAGAGCGTGGAGCATTTTGTACGCCGAGGGAATGGCGACAGGGTGGGAGTTTGAGCTTGGGACCAGACGGCAGGGCCGCCGCGAAGGCTGGAGCCGGTGTATCATTTGGAACCATGATGAATGTGTAATTGTTGACGCTTGGATTCCTGAAGGCGAGAATCGGCGAAGGGAGCATATGAAATCGACGTGGTTGTTTTGATGAGCGAACTCTTCGCACGCAAACACCAAAACATGACTCCTGATACTACCCTGGTTACCATTCATGTGACGCATTTATTATTGGCATGTTATGAAATATTGCCATTACTGTCTTGATATTTGTTGTGGTGGCTAGGATGCTCTTCTTATTCTTGGGCAATGGCGGTCTTTTGTTTCTTCTTCTTGTTTTTCCTCTTGCGCTTCTTTTTTGAGCCCTCATCGTTGTCTTTGACATCTTGGACGATGTCCTCCGCTGCCTCGTTCACGACCTCGTTCACGACAGGGACATTGTCCTCCTCGCCTTTGGTCTTGTCCTCCATATCCACACCCGCACTCGTGTCCACTTGGGGACCCGTCTCACCAGCATCAGCACGCATCACTTCCCTCCTCGGCCTCTTCCTCTTTCCTAACGCGCTCCTCCCGACATCGTCCTCGCTCTCGCTCTCCTCCTTGCGCAGGGCCTTCCCGTTGCCCTTGCGCACCTTGCCGCGCAGCAGCCGCTCCTCGCGGGAGTTCGCGGGCTTGGCGACGTCCTTGGCATCGGCCACGTAGCCGACGCCCTCGTTGGGCCTCGGCCCGCGCAGGAAGTCGTCCTCGTCGGGGGGCGGCGCGCGTCTCGCTGCCGTGGCTGTGGCGGGCGGGCGGGTGAGGCTCATGGTTTTCAGGACGGAGGATTGAGAGGCGAGCAGCATGGAGATGCGGTTGGAGAGGGCGGCGCGGTTGGCGGCCAAGGGGAGTGGCGGCGCTGGGTCGGGGGCCATTGTGGAGGGATGCGCTGCGGCTGGTCGTCGCTGGTAGTTGTTCTCGCTGGGGGCGTCGGCGTGCGAGGGCCGCCCTGGAGGGACTTTGGAAGAGTGCAATTACTTAGAGCGTGTGCATGCAGGGGGTGGGCGGGTGAGGAAGTGGCGGAGGGCGTGCAATGGAAGGTGAAGAATTGAGTTGGTGATGTTGGAGTTGGTGTTGAGTTGCTCGGAATTATTTCACATGCAAGGGTGAGCTTATCTTATCGTACCAAATGTCAAATGTCAACGCAGATCTAGTGTACATGACGGACTACCTATCCTCAGAACCAAAAAAAAAAAAAAAAAAACTAACACAACTTCAAGGGTATCTGCAAGAACAGCGCCGCTGGAAAGGAAAAACAGAAAGAAAGAAACATTTGCCCATATCCATCTATCCTGTTTCCCTGCGACCTCCTCCTCCTCCTCCTTCTTCTCCGCCCTATTCCTTCTGCACCCCAGTGCCAGTCTTCTCCCAATCCATCTCGTCATTGTGACGCTGCGCCTCCCTAACCATCTCGCGCATCTCCTCCTTCTCCGACGCTGCCGGCTGTTGTGCGAGACGACTAGCCTGGCGAATTTGATAGGGATCGTGTCGCTGAGACGCCGCCGTGGTCTTCGGGGCTCCTGACAGGGCCTTGCGCTTCTGGACGCGGTTGGAAGGGGCTTGGGCTTGGGTCGTGGAACGCATCCCTCGCCGTTGAACAGCTTGATCAACATCTCCTCCGCTGTTGCTCGCTCGGCGGGATCCGCCTTGGCCATGCTGCTCATCATCGCCATCGAGGGGTGATCGGCGGCCTCTTGAACCACAATGATCCTCAGGGCGGTCGTGTAGAGCGCTTTGCGCCGAAACCCGTCAGTATCCATTGCGATGGCCATGGTAACAAAGAGAGACCATATGTCATTCTCCGTCTTCGCCTTTGCTCCCTCCTTGCTTAGTTCTGGTGCTCTGTACATCTCTGTGCCGGTGCGGTCCATGCCGCCGGCACCAACCGCATGAACGGTGCTAAAATCAGCCAGTTTATACACGTACTCGCCTTTGGGGCCAAGCGAGTACAGGATGTTATCTGGCTTGATATCCAGATGGACCATCTTCTGAGTCGCCAGGTAGTCAAGCCCCTTCAGGGTTTGGTGCAGGAGCGAGCTGACGTGAGTGTTAGGGCCGGTGTAAGAGATTGTGTCGACACGAGGAGAGTGGTCGGAGTAGAAGTTTTGGATCATCAGATCATCGACGGTACCAGACATCAACTCGGTAAAAATTTCGACAGAAGTGGCATTATATTGATACCCCTGAAATTCAACGACGTTTTCCTAGTGCACACTCGTGTCAGTTCATGGTCACCAAGCCAGGCATCGTCTCTGCCGTTGACTTACATGAGAGGCACGACGCAAGAAATTGACTTCGGCCTTCAACCGGGCGTGGGCAACAGATTGAATTTGGGGTTGGTCCATCCGCTTCATAGCCACATGGTGGCCGCGATCAACATCTACGACCTTGAAAACTTGGCCCGAAACTCCGCCTCCGAGTCTTTTTCGCTCCAAGTATCGGATAGTCATCTGTGCGATAGTAGGATGGATGCGGGTAGCTGGGGTTGGAAGAGCGGTCGGGGCGTTGTGAGGAAGGTCTGGTCGACCGACGAGCTTCACCTCGGCCGGTTTCATATGCCAATGCAGTCTGAACTGATACGCATTGCAGGCTGGACCGCCAAAACCGAAGTCGACAGGTTTCGCATCATCCAGGACGACTTGACGAATACCGCCCCTTCCATCAATAGCATTCGCATTCTCGCGGGAAACTTGAGTCGACTGCTGTGTCGACCAATCTCGGAGCATGATCTCCTGTGAAATCTCATGTACGTCAAAGGTACACTGTTTTCTCGCGACCAAGCTTCCTTTGCCTTGTCTGGATGGAACATGAATACTTACCCAATTTGCATCGGTACCACGCCCTATTGTGGCAAGGGTATACCTCGACTCTCCCCCAGCAAATTGACCGACTGAAAGAACGTCCTTAGACCCGTCAAGCAAAACGTTCCGTAAGTGAGCATTTTGATCGGCGGTCAAAACCTCAAAAGCCCCGGCATTCAGAGGTTCGAGAGAAAAGATGGGAGGGGGGTCGTTCTGCGGCATCTTCGGCGTGATGGGCAGTTCGGCAAGAAACGGAAGTGAAGGAATCTGGCAAGGTAATGTGATGGAAAGAAGGAGATGGTGATAGAGAAACCAAGCTGTTGTTCGATGATGGAAGTTGAGAAGAAGTTGACGACAGGAAATGAGGGAAGTCTGCAGCCTTTACATGTTGAGCTCCGACGGGGAGGACCTCTTCGCCGGGGGCCGCCGCGACCGAGCAGGTCAAGCCCAGGCAAGCCAAGCCCCTGAGCTCAGGTGAAGGGATCCAGCCTCATTGTCAGAGCGCAGGAGGTGAACCGGGTATGCGAGACAGCTGTTGGGTGAAACAGGCCGCGGAAGCGGCCTCTACTCACCGTTCTCTTTGTCCAAATGGAATTGCATTTCAGCCTACACCCAGGATTGAGGCGGGGAGGCGGACTATGACGAGAAAAGTGATACGACTAACTGTAATGGGATATGGCGTTCATCATATTTCACAATCTATTATTGGACTCTATTGATTTTGGGCAGGTAATCTGTGTAATGTTTTGGTCGTGTTCCCTGGTCACTGCTGTAGCGCTTCGGCGTGTATTCTGATGATGTGGCTGGCTGAAACGACGAAGAGGCCAACTTGACTGAAGAGGATCCAAGTCCAGGGCCAGAGCCAGCATCAGAGCCACCTCTCTCTTGGAGCTCGCAGCGCCGCAAAGCCCAGCCGGAAGAACAGACGATCCCGCAACCTCTCAAGTACCTTCGGAAGCCAGGGGGAGCTGCCCGGTATGACATGGCACCACGAGGAGCCCAACGAAAAGCCCGACGTTGAGATTGAGTTGCCTGCTCGTTTCCAACGCCATGAGTGGGAGCTATATAATCCCGATGAAGACAGCAATTTGGCGACACCAACCTCCGAGCCCGTCTATGGTTGCTCTGATGCGGAGGACCCCCCTGACGGAAACGCGCACGACAAGAAAGCTCCTCTTCCACGATCCCTTCGAATCCTAAGCAGCCACAACCCTGGAGCCCCGGGCTCTAGCACCGATGACGTCTCCTCTGCTGCTCCGACACGCAAGCGTACTCGCAGTGAAGCCGCCGCCGAAGGCACCTCATCTGATAAACGAGCCAAGACGAACAACGCAACCGATGTCACGAGCTGGAAGGCGAACGGGGTATCACACAACTCCAGGACTCTGGCTGGAAGAGACTCAAACAAACCAACGACGCTCCCTGTTAATACAGAGACCGCCTTGGCGGCGGACGGGAGAGCGGGAGGGAAGGGGGTCGGAGCCGTAAGCCGTCGCAGCGCCAGGATTGCGGGAAGACGGGAGGGACTGCGTACAGCCGTCGCCATTTGATTGCCAAGTCTCGGTGTTACGAGTGTGGTTGTTTTGGTTCAAGTCTGAGAATTTCACGTCGAGAATTGTTGAAGATTGCGGTTGCAGTTGTGGCCAATTGATTGCCAGGTCTCCCGAGGGCTGCGAGTGTAGTTGTTTATTTCAGGTCTGGGAAGTTCGCTACGATTTTTGAAGATCTGGTGTTTTGATTGTACTTTGTCTGAGATATTTGATTGTCTGTTCAGAGTCGGAACTGTTTTGCTGGTTGTTTATTTAATCCTACAATATTTCACTTCATGCCTAAGATTGTTCCGTCCCAGTATTTCCACGTCACTGAACTCTTCTGCGCCCATAATCCGTCTAGTCAGTCCATTCGTAGCGGGCCAGATGCCACTTCATGATCCTGTTTGTCCCTCAATACAGAGCTCGACACGGCGAGATGTGTGGCCGCCGGCCGTGTCCCGATGATATTTCTATCCGGAAACCATCGGCCGGGATAAGATGAACTGATGCGGTTGACGCCAATCTCTCGGGCTGCGGCCCGGGGCAGCGCTTATGCCGACAAACGATCCGACGAGCACACAGGCAACACAGAGAAACCCCTTTGGCGATCAATTCTGCAAATTCAGGGTGCCAAAGCCCGTGTGTCGAGAGACTGAAGTGACTCGGATCAAACCGCCACCATTTAATTTCCAAATCTGGCATGACATTTTCAAAGGGGCAAATAATTGTTGTTATTCTGCTTCAGCTCTAATACGCTTATCTCTTGGTGTTGGATTCTGGTGTTTTTAAGCGTACGTCGTGCGTCGTGCGTCGTTCATTTAGAGGTGCCGTATTTTACAAGGATGCATTCAAACAAACGTGCATATCCACCCCACCAAAACTTCCTGAATGATTTATCCAAGCAGTTCCAGACCTATAATCATATCACTTTATTATCCAATGGTGGGGATTTAGTTATCCATCGATACGGAGTACGTCGCTGTGGGATGTCCCTATGCCAACCACATCATCATGATACTCCCGTGTGGAAACTTTTGCCAATGGAGGAGGCTCTTTCGGTCACGGCGCGTACCAAGCCTCGATAAACCACGTTCTTGCGAGTGTCTTCTTAGATTCACTGGCATTGGATCAACCAAGTTTCGGAACTGATCAATATTTCCCCATCATCACGGCGATTGCCCTCAGTCACGACTTGGTGGAATGTTCATAATTAAAGACCAAAGAATACATTAAAATTAGAAAATTCTAGCCAGGTTTAACCCTGTGCAGTGTGTAGTCATAAAATTCGTTACATGCCATGTCGTGCAATGCTGTACTATGTTGTGCTGTGTGTGCTGTGTTCTCCCGGCCATTCTCATCCCTCATCCCCCTTCATGTTTGTAAAGTCTAGTTTATATGTACTGGGTATCTTATCAATTGCCAAGGGTATCTCTGAGGCTGAGGATGTATGGTAGGTCGGTGGAATCATGCCGCGTCGCCAAGCGGATAACGGAAGCTGAGCTGGCCGAGGACTTGGACCTCAAGCTTGGCGTGGATGGTTGGTTCATGAGGTAGTGTCGCCGGCTCTGTGCAAGGCTGGTGACGCTGGGTTTATGTGAGACAGCCCCCGATACTCCGCTTCTTAAGCTGTTTGGTGCTGTGCAGTACAAGTTCCAAGTATTCGTGGACGCCTTACGCCCAGCCCTTCGTGTTGAGCTGCTGATGCTGCCAGCATCGGAACCGGACATGTTACCGCGGGGTGTACCGGGGTTGGTTCCAACAGCGCCATCGTATTCAATGATACTTGAAGGCGAGGATGTATCCTCGTCTTCTGCCTGGTCACCGTCCAGCATGTCGGGGTCGAAGGGTTCCATGGCTCGCAGAATCTCGGCAAAGAGATGCATCAGCTCCTTAAACCGAGCGTTGGAGATGGGCCGGTTCGAGAAGCGTGCATACTCGTAGTGTGACAGGAACTTGGTGGAGGTGGTGTTCATTTCAACAATTCCCAGACTTGAGAGGTGGACAATGTAGTCGCGCAGACTCATGTTGGCGGTCCGCTGGAGCAGGGCCACGGCATCGGGGTCCAGAATGGGCGGGTCCGTCTGAGAAGTGGGATCCGGAGGCGCCAGTGTCAAAGCCTTCCCTTCGATGAGATTGGGCAGTTCGGAGAGGACGGTCGTGTATTGCAAGTTGGGCAAATCCGGCGATGTTGGCGAAGCCCAGCCAAAGTGCTCAATTTCGCCCCATACAGCCCGTCGACGTGGGAGGTTCACCAAGAGGTCCTCGGTCGCCATTCCAGAGCCCACTGCACTCTGCTTAGACTGCGGCCGGATGGACTCCTCCCGCTCCACTCGGTCGTCGGGATCGAGCCTCGGGCGGGACTCGTAGGCAATGGCAGCGCTCCTTCCGAGGCCAGTGGCGATGGCCTTGTGGACGGCAGAACGCACATCCCCCTTTTCGATGGGCACCCAGGCCTTGGGGATGGAGTCGAGGTCGGTTTTGTTGATGTAGAGGCGGGTGAAGAAGACAAAGGTGACGATGAGGATAGCAGTGAAGTACGCGGCAGCGATGATCCAGATATTGTACAGCTGGCCGTTGCGGAGCGAGCGCTGGATGGCATCGGCAGGGGTAGCGACGAGCAGGCCGATAAGGACGACATAGAGGAGAAGATAGAGCGTGCGATAGATGATGGAGAAGACGAGGCGTCGCTGAGACACTGGGGACGCCATGGTCGTGGGAAGAATCGGTGGCCCTCAGTGCCAAACCGAGCCAGCAAAGGAGCGCAGGAAAACGGCGAGAGGCAGCGCTACGGCCGGAGAAGAGAGTCGATAAAAGGCACGGATAGTGATGATGGAGGACGCATGGCTAAGGCGGGCGCATGTCCATGGGAGGGCGTTGACAGATATTGCTGGAGGCTGGCTGATCGCACGTCGGCGTGGGCGGACATGGAGTCCGTTGCGCCTTTGACGAAGAGGTTGGGAGGCGTCGAACGAGATGCTACTTTCGGCGGGACCCTTGTCGCACAGTGTTTTTGGGTGGGGGGACACAGTATGTCCATACAGTGCCGCGTGTGAAAACTCCACTTGGTCCCACTGTTTCCCGTCTACCCCCTCAGCATGTGAAGGATGCTATTGAAGCCATCATTCCACGGAACTTACTACCTTAACTACCTGTGACACTGTACTCCGTAGTACACATAACAATGCCATCAGCTCCGTATGTAGCAGGCAGCTGGGTCAATTCACAACTCCGCAAAATTCTCCCCAGGACCAGGCTCATACGGTAGATTGCAAATCTCAAACCCAATCACACTCTGCTAACCAAATAGATTCGAATTTCTCAAAGTCACTACCTCCAAGGTAGATTTTCGTCTGGTTTTACATATGGTATCATGATACATTCATTGCCACGCCAAGGCCCCCAGTCTAGACACATGCCCTTTCACCACGGCTACCGCACCTGCGCCATCTCCGAATCCTTCGACTCGTCGCCCTTCGAAGTTGCTGCTGCCTCCTTGGCCAGCCTGATATCCGCCAGCGTTAATCTCAGATCGCTGCTGTAGGGTTCAAACTTGGCCACTACTTGGCCCAAGCCCGCCCTTAATGCATTCAGCACTTCATCCACCTCGGGGCTCTCCCTTTTGCTCTTGACGTCCGTCCAATGGATGGGGAATGCCTGTCGGAATGCTTCCAGCTTCTTAATAACCGAGGTCAATGTCCGGATAATGCTGGGTACATCCCTGTGGACGTTTCCAAATTGATCCTCAGCCAAACTGTGCACTGACAGGTGGCAAAGCACATGCACCGCATTAATGAGAAGAGTTGGCTCCGCGTAGGGGGTGCCCAGCACAGCGGCAGCAAACTGGGTCCGGAAGTCCTGCTGGAACAGCGCGGCGACAGAGTCGATGCTCATCAGGTTAACTGTCCACTGTTCGAATTGGCTCTTGAGATGTTCCGGTGAAACCATCTCCTGCTGCTCCTTGGTGAGAACTCGGTCCGTGGCCTCCTTAAATGTCTTCTTGGCCAATGGGCTCAGTTTTGAGGCTGGCGATGAGCCTGGTGATCGGGCAACTTGGCTCAGGCGCTTCTCAACCTCTCCTCGCATGGACTTTGAAGCAGCTTTGCTGGTGAAGATGGGGTCCTCACGAAGAGGAGCAGATACGCGCTGCCTAGGCTCAACGGTTGGCTGGGCAGGAGGCGGGGCTATGGGCTTTCCGTAGGTATCGACGCGGGTCTCGACAGCCTTCACCACTTCCATGCAGATGGCATAGACCTGGGCCCACATAGGGCCATCCTTTCGGTCGATATCCTCAAAGATGGCCTGTCGGCGGGTCTCGAAGCCCTGTGCAATAAAAGCCAGCTCCCACAACGCAAACGACTAGAAGCGGGTCAGTGGTGTTTAAGGATGCAGGTGAAGTACGTCACATACCTTGATAGAAAGCTTCTTGCTCTTCAGGCCGTTGAGAATACTGCCATTGGGATCCTTGGACTCCGAGGTGAGGGGGTTGCCATTCTTGAGGGGTTCCTTGACCATGAAAGTAGAAAAGGCAAAGTTACCGGCGTTCCAGATAAAATGGATCAGGGCGCCCGCCTCGATGCAGCGGTACAGCAGGAAGATGTCGGTTGGCCAGGAAGGGGGGACCATGTTCGTCTTGGGCAGGTTGTAAAACGGGCGCAGGAACATCAATGCCCATCCCCAGGCGAAGGATCGCATCACGGTATAGTAGAGGAAGAGCGCGAGCGGGATTGCCGCCAGCGAACCCGCAGCAGAAGTGCCGGCAATTGCAGGGAGTTGCTGCATGACCAGCTTCAAGGAATCTCCCGAGCCCACAGTCTTGTTCTCATCCTTGCTCCTCGAGAGCCTCAACACAAGGCGGTCGACATCCTTTCTGTAATGCGTCAAGGTCTGCGAGAGGGCGCAAGACACCAGGTAGGCCATAAAGAACAGCGGCCGCTCGTTCAATCTCGCGCGATCGCCGCTGAAGTAGGTGATCCACTGCAGGTTCGTGCCCTCGGGGGCAGACCAGAGGTAGATGTGGCAGAATAACAAGCTGGAGAAGCCATACCAGAAGGCCGTCTCGTACGTCTGGAACTTCACAAGGGCGGTGCTCAAGGTCTGGAAGCCGGAGCCGGAGGTGCGTAGACCGACATGGTAGTTCGCAATTCGGAGGACGAGAATCGCAAGGCCGCAGGTGAAGATAAAGGCCGTTCGCAAGCCGACAGGGCCGACAGGGAACCAGCCCCAGAGATCTGTCATACGGACGTTAGCAAGCTGCAGCGCAAGGCGGGCGCAGGTTACGCACAGGAGTTCCAGTTGTCCAGAAAGACGGCCTCCACATAAGAGACGGCCAATAGAACAGTTGCCGTGGAGGTGAAGCGCCTATGCAGAGCTGGCTGAAGGAAGTCCTTGTAGGGAGCTTTTCGAACTGTGGTGGCCGCCATCTCCACAGCGCATCGTTGTCGAAGGAGTAGGCTCGGGGATGCTGGGGAGGAAGCGAGGACAGGTACAAAGGCCCATGTAAATAAAAATCTCCAGCCAGCAACCACGGTTGACGCGCCAAGTACTAGCGGAGCAGGAGGTAGCTATCGTCACGTGGAGATAAGGCAGGCTGCAACTGTGGCAGCGCCATTTCCAATGTGCAGGGAAGCCAGGTCCCACTGCGCTCTGATTGGCTCGCAGTCAACGGGTCCAATTACGTATGTCGCAGGGAAGCAGACTTGATAACCTCAGCCACCTCGGCAAGGCAACAGGTGACTTGACCAACTACAGAACAAGACGATCATCGTCGCCGTCGTCATCGCCAAGGCATCACTTGCATCGCATCGCGCAGTCATTTCGAGAAGCCATTCCTTTCCTTAATCCGAAAATTCCGCCTGATTTTGTCCATCTTGCGCAATCATGTCGTTTGACCAGCTCTCCAACCTCGAATCCGGCCGTCGCGGGGGATACGCCGACGACCCAGCCTTCCAAGAGTTGCAGTACGACCTCAAGAGCAAGCTGCAGGCGCTGCTGAGCAGCAACCGCAAACTCGCCAACGATGTCAATGTGCTGGGCACCAAGAAGGATACCCCGCGCCTCCGCGAGCGAGTCCATAACAGCATGGAGAAGACCCGCGAGATGTGCCAGGCGATCGGCGAGGGAGTGAAGAGGCTTCAAACTTGGGAGGATCTCACCGTACGTCCGGTCGCTATGCGTATTTTATGTCGCATGCTAATCCCCCATCCAGAAGCAGCAAAAGTATGAGCAGACCAAGGTCTCGAGCGACTTCCAAGCCGCCCTTCAAGAATTCCAGACCCTCCAGCGACGAGCCCTCGAGAAGGAGCGCGCCTCCGTGACAGCCGCCCGCGCCGCCCATGATACCGAAGCACAAGGCGAGGCGCAACAGGGCGCACCTCTGGAGCAGTTGCAGCAGCAGCAGGAGTTGTCGCAGTTGGCAGCCCAGGGCGAGGTCGACTTCCAGGAGGCTCTTATCATCGAGCGCGAGGAGGAGATCCGCAACATCGAGCAGGGTGTCGGCGACCTGAACGTGCTCTTCCGACAAGTAGCGCAGATTGTCAGTGAGCAGGGCGAATCACTCGACTCGATTGCAGACAATGTCCACAACATCCGCGATGACACAAGGCAAGCCGATGTTGAAAACCGCCAGGCCGCGCGATATCAAAAGGCCGCTCGCAACAAGAGCTGTTGTCTATTGCTAATCCTGGCGGTCATCTTGACCATTGTTATTCTCGCGATTGTTCTCGACTAGGTAGAGCGTTTGTGCTTGTGGAACAGGCTCATTAATGTTCATGCGGCGTCTATAGGAGTTTTCTAGGGATACAGAACTTGAAGAGTACAGTTTTGTACATACACAGGGAGGGTTTAATCGTCAACGCCTTCCATACTTGAATTCCAATTTTACTTTTCGATTGCGTCAGTTCGATCTCTAAGATATGGCAAAGAGTTTGGTCTTTTCTGCACATCCGTGAACTTCGGGTCCTTCCTTGGAATCAGTCGGTGTAAAATGGTATCGTTTATGTTGGAGAGGCCGAAAGAAGATGCCCAGTAGAGAAAGATTGCGCTGGGGAGATCTGCAAAGAGGAGAGGGAAGACGGGTATCATGAGCATGACCCTACCGAAAACCTTTTGCAGTCTCGTCAACGTCACAACCTGCTTCTCGTTGGGGTTTAGTGAAAGGAGCGCTCGGATGTGGTCCTTGGACATCCTGCCCCAACTGTTCCAAACGAGGATGCCCGTGCAGATTATGGGGAGTCCGTAGAATGGGTCCGCGCTGGTCAGGTCCATGAACCAGAGGCATCCCCCGTCCACCAAAGACGGATCGAACATGCCGTTGACCGACCCCAGGTTGGAAGTCGCGGACTGCGGAGTGCCCAGGCCGACGGAATGGCTGAGCCAGCCCAGGGGAGCACCGCATTTCCGTCTCAGGGCTTCGGAGATGGTGATGAACGGAAATATGCCGAGCAACGGCGCAAAGCCTTTCCACCTCTGGACGCCCCAGGTCTTGTAGATTCTGCGCCGAGACTTCTCAATGGCGCCGGCCATCCGCAGCCTCAAGATGCGTTCCGGCAAATTGCTCTGTTCCCTGGCAATGGTGCTGGTATGCCGTCGTGCCCACGCCACCACAAGGGGATTCAGCTCGCCTCGCTTCGACCGGAGCTTGGCGGCATAGAATTGGAGGGGAAGCCTGAGGGTTACGTTGACGCTCACGGCCAGCAACGGGATGGCGAGGTACCACGGTACACCGGTAGTGACGTGGAACCAACTGAAGGCGGATGCCGTCGACTGGATGACCTCGCCGGCAAAGGCGCCGATGTGAAGGCCTCGTCGGCTCGGAACAACGCATGATGCCGGCCCGGCGAAGCCTGCGGCGGGAGAACGGACGGCTCGGGGCGCGGCGGCGGTCAATGACAGCCGGGCATGGGGCGTCAGGTTATGGGCAGTGCGTCGGAGGAACGACATTGCTCAGCCATTCCCGCGTGGCGGCGGGAGTATCAGGTGACAAGCAAAAGAAGTCGGCGGGTGGATGAGATGAGGTTGACCATGCGGCCTGCGATGAAGTTGCGGCAAAGCGGGGCGACGTGCCACAGCCTGTCTTCTGAGCTCCAGCGGTCGATCGCCCTGCAAGCTGCGGCGCTTCAGCGGTCCTGCAGCACTGTGGAGGGACCACAAGGCTGGGACAGGAGCCGCACAGCGGGGCAGTTGATTCTCCAATCCGCTGTAAGCTTACCTCTCGGCGTTGGTGCAACCCTTCCGGTGGTACCTTAGTGCTGTAGCCGCTTGTGGACAGCACAGCTTGCTGGCTTGCTGGGAGCTGTCCCGCGACGTCACCCCATCTCGTATCCGGCATCCAGACCCTCGTCCTCCAAAAGCGTCCTGCCTGCAACGCCCAACGCAGCGAAACTCACCGAGCTCAGCTCCCGCATTCGATGCTGCTACCTGCTACCGAATTTTCCAGCCTGGCGCCTCCGAGGCGAGACTCTGCGTCGTCGACGATCCGATCTTTCCGACTCGCCTGCTCATAAACCATCATCTACGCTCCCAATGTCCGACGACTCTTCCACCGTGCCTCCGGGCGACCCGCCTCAGACGTCTGGCTCCATCATCGTTCCCCTGCTCGCTATGGCGCCGCTGTTCTTCGTCTTGGCTTCCCCTCTGCTCTTCAAGCTGCTGGGCCGCATGCTCGGGTGGTCGCTGCGCAAGAAGACGGATGGCCGCCGATCCCACCTCCTGGCCCTCATGACGGAAGACGACAGGAAGGCTCGTGCCTCGGACTCGAAGGGCATCTCGGCCCCCAAGCTGGTGTTTGACGTCGACGAGAAGCTGAAGGGTACATTGGAGTCTCAAAAGGACTGGAGTGGCATTGTTGGTTTCTTCCACCCGTTCTGGTATGTCGGCATCAATACCCCCACCGCGGGACACGAAGCTCTACTAACACCCGCCAAGTAATGCCGGAGGCGGCGGAGAGCGAGTCTTGTGGGCGGCTATCCGTGCGACACAAGACCGCTGGCCAAACGCCAAGTGCGTTGTCTACACGGGCGATCACGACGTCACCAAGGACGAAATTCTGTCTCGGGTCATGGTAAGACTGCGATGCGAATACGCCAGTCCCACTCCCCCAGACCGAGATGTGCTCACCATGTTATAGCACCGCTTCAACATTCAACTCCACGCCCCAACCATCACATTTCTCTACCTCTCCAAGAGAGATTGGGTTCTTCCTTCCACTTGGCCACGCTTTACTCTCATCGGCCAGTCCATCGGCTCCATCATTTTGGCCTGGGATGCCTTCTCACTCGTGGTCCCTGACGTCTTCGTCGACACCATGGGCTATGCCTTCTCGCTTGGCCTGTGCAAGTTCCTGTTCCCCAAGGTCTCGACTGGTGCCTATGTTCACTACCCTACCATTTCTACTGACATGCTCGAGTCACTCGACCCTACATCAGCTGTTGGCTCCCAGGGTGTCAACGCCGGCAAGGGAGTTGGTGCCCGAGGGACTGCCAAGAAAATATACTGGCAACTCTTCGCACGACTGTACTCATGGGTTGGCTCCTCTGTTGACATCGTCATGACAAACTCGACCTGGACCCAAGCGCATGTGATGAGTCTGTGGGCTTCTGGTCGTGGTGACAAGAACAAGACAGATCCCATCACCGTCGTTTACCCTCCCGTCGCCGTTCGCGAAATGGAGCAAGAGGTCGAAGTTTCCGAGGAGAGTGAGAAGCTGCGAGAAAAGGTCGTCGTTTGCATTGCGCAATTCCGACCAGAGAAGAACCACCAGCTTATCATCCAGTCCTTTGCCGAGTTCCTCAAGTCCAAAAGCGAGGCCTCGAAGGGCGCGCGCCTGGTTCTCATCGGCAGCGTAAGGGACGACCATGACAAAAAGCGGGTGTACGAGCTGCGCCTTCTCGTCAACGAGCTGGGCATAAAGGATCACGTTCAGTTCCATCTCGATGCGTCCTGGCCCCAGGTTCTTGAGTGGCTAAGAAAAGCCTCGGTGGGCGTCAACGCCATGTGGAACGAGCACTTTGGAATCGGCGTTGTCGAGTACCAAGCCGCTGGTCTCATCTCGGTGGTTCACAACAGCGGTGGCCCCAAGCTGGATATTGTCGTCCGGGTACATGGAGAGCCAACAGGTATATCTGACCTTCCACATCATAAACAGAGCCGGCATACTCACCCTTCTTTAGGATTTCACGCCATCACACCAGAGGACTTTGCAGACGGTTATGAGAAGGCCTTGTCGCTACCCAACCCCCTTGCGGTTCGCGGGCGAGCACGGGAGTCGGCCAAGAGGTTCACGGAAGAGGAGTTTGCCAAGAAGTGGACGGTTCAGTTGGCGCGCTTGATCACTCTAGCATAGATGTCCAGCGAGTGCGGTTGCATGATAGACAAAGGATACCCCTTCTTTTCCTTTAGCAGAAGATTTTAGAGAGAGCACTTAAGACGAAACGCCCCCCGCGTCGTTTTCAGCGACTCGGAGGCAATACTCGTTCTCATGACGTGAACAGACGCAGGTTCGCTCAATTTCAATTCAAACAGGTCTATAGATACGTCTATGGCCCCTTTACAACCGCTCTCCACAATGGTTCTTCTGTCGCGGATCAGAACCCGCCTCAAACCTCCCCTTTGGATCCTGCATAACGCCCTCGACAATGCTCAACCCTGGTTCAACGTAGGTAATGTTATGCCCGCGCTTGCGAAGGTCTACGGTGACGGGCTCCGAGAAGTGTTGCTCGGTGAGGACAGTGTTGGGCATGAGTTGGTCGTGCAGGCGCGGCTCAGCGACGGCTTCCTTGATGCCGATGGCGCTCGACAAGATGCGCCAGAGGACCTGCGTCGTGGAAGAGATGATGCGCGAGCCACCGGCAGCGCCCACAGCGGCGAAAAACCTTCCGTCCTCGCGCTCGACAATGACGGGCGTAATGGATGAGAGCGGGCGCTTTCCCGGGCGGATGTAGTTATACGGGGACGGCTGGAAGCCGAACTCGTTGGGGACGCCGGGGATAGAGAAGTCGTTCATCTCGTTGTTACTGGGAGTGGTCAGCAAGTCATTACGGAGCGTATGGGTGAAGAGGATTGAATGGAATAGATGCGATAGGTGTGATGTGACTTACAGTACGATTCCAGTCTTGTCACACATTATCAGCGACCCGAACAGCAAGTTGACCGTCGTCGTAAGCGACACGGCATAGCCCTGGTTATCCGCCGCAACCATGTGCGAAGTGCCGTGGTTTTCAGCAGCGTAGATACGCCAAGGGTCATACATGGTAAGATTTTGCGGCTTGTTGTGAATCTTGCGGCGGATCTTCAGGGCGTAGTCCTTGTCCAGCATCAGCTTCTCAAACGACGAGACGTTGGGGCTGAAGGCCGGGTCGCCGAGGTTGCCGCGGGATCCGTAGGCAAACTTGCTGGCCTCGACGAAGCGGTGCCAGTCCTGGGCGCTCTCTTTCTTGGGTGCGCCGTAGCCCTCCAGTGTGTTGAGTATGTTCAGCGACACGGCGCCGCTGGCGGGCGAGCCGAAGGTGAAGACCTTGTAGCCTCGATGGGTTGTGTTGAGGATTTCGCGGGTCTCAATCGTGTAGTTTTTCAGGTCGGAAAGCTCCATGATGCCACCCCGGGCTTTAATGGTATTGATCAAGTGCTTGCCTGTATTGTGTTAGTGGTCGCGCCTATACTGGAGGATGGGAGACGAGGAACTTGCCCGTGGGTCCGTTGTACAACTCTCCGGGGCCTTTCCGGGCAATCTGAATGAGGGTGCTTTGGAGTACTGTTAGCAAGGGTGTAGAAAAGATGAAGAGTTGCTCACTTCGCGTATCGTGTCCTCTTGACCCAATCTCCCTCCTTCTTCAGTTCTCCTGTGACATAGTCAGCGCCAGGGCGCCCTTCTCGACCTCGAGGTGCTGAAACAAACCGTTGTGGGCAAAGTCCTTGGCCCATGAGGGATCTTGCGTTAAGAAGTTCTTGTCTTTTCCTTTGAGGGCTTTGCCGATGTACGAGATGAAATCAGAGTTGACTGTCATTTGTCAGCCTGGGGTCTGGCGTCAGGTCTGGGAGATGAGGCTTGACTGACGCGGGAATCCGACCTTCGCTTTCCAGATGGCACCTTCCATCACAACCAACCAGGGAAGTCTCTGTATATACAAGGTCAGCCGGTCCATGATGCTCTAGTAACGTTGTTGGGGGTTTCACATACACCATATTTCTTGTGGGCGTACCACAGACCAGCAACCTCACCAGGAACGGCAACGGACAATCCGCCGTAGACGCTCTTCTCGGGGTGCTCTTTATACATGTTCTCGGAGGCTTTGGCCGGCGCAGTTTCCCGAAAGTCGATGGCCTCATATTCGCCATTCTTATCGCGGACGAGCATGAAGCCGCCACCGCCAATGCCGGCGTGGTACGGCGCCATAACACCCACGCAGAAGGCCATCCCAACAATGGCATCAATGGCGTTACCCTAGACAGGTTAGTTTACAGAGAAGATGGCGGCGGTTAGGCTGGAGGTCTTACGCCCTTGGCGAGCAGGCCCCTCCCGACATGAGTACACTCGTATGCTTCGCTGGCAACTGCGGCTCTTGTATTTGTCTCGGGGTTGAAGAGCCACTGATCTATCACATCCTTTGCTGTTGATAAGCCATGATGGGTTGTAGACACGAGCAAGAGCTGCAAGGCCCTAGTAATCAGGGAGGACTCTGGATACCGTTAGCTACACCATCACGAAGACGAGCAGCACCGAAGCACACTGCGCCCATAGACTCACTCATGGCCGGTTGATTTGTCAGTCGCTTGAGGTGGTGTCTCCGACTTATCGGCTACCCTGGACGTAGCGCGGGTGTAGATGACGGAGAGATAAGAAAGCCGTTCCCCCGCACAGCAACTCCGGAGCGAGATATCCCAAGAAAAGCGAAACGGCGGCGACAGCGAACTAGACCGACGCTCTCGGGGAAATTGGTTTCAAAAAGGAAACGACACAGGAACAAGCGTTGACGTGATCGGCGTCTTGGCCCGATGCCCGGAGGGTTCTCAGTCCGCCCCGGTAGATGCAAATCCGTCCCGCGTGAGACCCATCACCTGCCGCAAGTCGGTGGGCTGCGGCCAATCAGGCGCCCAGCGATGATACCTAGAGGGCCAATCATTGGCCAGGAAGTTTTTCTCTTCAAGACATCGTCTCCATTTCCATCGGCATCAGGGTTGAACAACTTCATCTCTCGCAGCTCACTAGGTTCTCACGAATCGATTTGATTTTTTATTTATTAAGCCCGTCGATGAGAGCGCTGAGGGTTCTTCACACAGTCTCGTTTAGAGCGCGCCCACAGAACCTTCGCTCCTTTGCCGCCATGGCTTCTGCGCTGGCTGAAGCGCCCAAGGTGCTCAACGGCCACGTCCCAGGCGACATGATGAGCGGCATCACCACGACCAGCAACGGCAATGAAAACGGGAATGAGAACAACCAGCAAAAGAGGCCTGCCAAGAGGCAAAACCCCGGCAACAACCGTGCGTGGAAGCAGAAGAAGACCAAGCGGGAGAAGAACATCACCGAGGGATCCATTGAGGAAGTCCTCAAGTACGACATCGAGGCGCTGCTGGCCTCGCGCAAATCTCAGTCTGACGCCGAAGTCGACGCAAATGCTGAGGATGATGTTCCCGAACTATACGCTGAGACCGAGGTCGAAGTCCTGTCGCTCTCGTCCACCGGCGACGGCCTCGCCATGCGCGCCGGCTCTGACCAGGTCTACATCGTGCCCTTCACCGTCCCCGGCGACATAGCCCGGATCAAGATCTACCGGCACGTGCGCGACGAGAAGCAATCCTTCGCCGACTTCGTCTCCATCGTCAAGCCTTCGTCCCTGCGAGACGACGCCCGCATCCAGTGCAAGTACTTCGCCTCGTGTGGCGGCTGCCAGTTCCAGATGCTCGACTACTCCGAGCAGCTCCTCCACAAGAAGCGCATCGTCGACCGCGCCTTTCGCAACTTCTCCAACCTCGCCCCGGAGGTCGTCCCCGCCATCAACGACACCATTGGCAGCCCCCTGCAGTACGGCTACCGCACCAAGCTGACGCCGCACTTTGATGGCCCCCCGGGCTTCCGCCATAACAAGCGCGGCAAGAACCCCAGGACGCCCTTCGGATCATGCCCGGACATCGGCTTTATGCAAAAGGGTCGCCGCAAGGTCATAGACATCGAGGACTGCCCTATCGGTACCAACGCTGTGCGTCTCGGCATGGGACGAGAGCGAGAGCGCATGCACAAGGACTTTGCCGATTACCAGCGCGGTGCCACTATTCTCCTTCGCGAGGACACCAAGCGTCTCCCCAAGGATAGCGACGAGATTCCCCAGGGCGAAGTCCCCCCATATACGGTCCGCGTCGACAACGACGACACCGTCGACCTCAAGACGTGCATCACCGACTCCAAAGCCACTACCACCGAGTACATCGGCGACTACCTATTCACCAACCCGGCGGGCTCCTTCTTCCAGAATAACAACTCCATCCTCCCCAAATTCACAAGCTACATCCGCGACCGCATCCTCCCGCCCTCAGGCAACATCAAGTACCTCATCGACGCCTACTCGGGCTCCGGCCTCTTCACAATCACCCTGGCCTCGCTGTTCGAGCACTCCATCGGCATCGACATCGCCGCCGACTCCATCGCCTCGGCCGGCCGCAACGCCGCGCTCAACGGCATGGGCGAGGACCGCTGCAAGTTCATCGCCGCCGACGCTGGCGAGCTCTTCAAGAGCGTCTCCTACAACGCCGACGAGACCGTCGTTGTCCTCGACCCGCCTCGAAAGGGCTGCGACGCCTCCTTCCTCTCCCAGCTGCGCCGCTTCGGGCCCCGCCGCGTCGTCTACGTCAGCTGCAACGTGCACACGCAGGCTCGCGACGTGGGCGTCTTGGTGCGCGGCGAGGGCGAGGGCGAGCGGTATGAGATCGAGAGCCTGGTCGGCTTCGACTTCTTCCCGCAGACGGGACACGTGGAGGGCGTTGCGATTCTCAACAGGGTTGATACCAAGGCGTAAATAAAGGGGATACCACGGAGCATTGAAAAAGTACGGCGCTTTTGTATAGTACGTCGGGACGGAAAATAAAAATGAACAATTTTGCTGGTAATGGCTTGGAGCATCCTGCAGTACCATACGTGACATGAAAAGCAATCTTTTTGCTTGTGAAAAACAAAAAACCGAGAGCGCCGTACATACATACAATCGTTTCCCCCAGTCGTTATTTCTGTTCCAGCAGCGCCTTGAGGGCCTGGACAGTGACCTCGAGAACCTCGGGCCGCCGGCTCTTCTTAAGACACTCCTTGAGGACGTCGACGCCGCTCTCGTCCTTGATCTTTTCACGGGCGAGCTTGCCGGTGTCGCCCTCGGCAGACACGAGGTTGAGAACGACGAAGACGCCGCGGTGGCGGATGTTCTCGTCGTCGTCGACGCACATGCCGAGGACGACCTTGACGCCACGGTCGCGGTGGAGGACGCCACGGACGACGGACTCGAACGACGTCAGGGATGCGAGGGCGCCGCCGGCAGCGCTGCGGGTGCCGGCGTCTTCGGCGTCGGCGAGGGCGAGGAGGATGTGGAGGCGGTTCCGGGCCTTGGCGGTTTCCTCGGCGTAGAGGGCGATGGCCTCGGGGGCTTGGACGAGGTTGCAGACGAGCTCGACGGCAGCCTTGGAGACGAGGGCGTTTGAGGAAAGGAGCTGCTCTTCGAGGTGCGACCACGCGGTGGTGACGATGGTGCGCCTCATGTCGTCGTCATCCATGGATGCTAGGTTGGTCAGGGCCATGAGGGCCTCGAATGAGGGGAGCAGGTCGCGCGTCTCGGCTGCTGGGTCAGGGGGGATAATGGACACGAGAGGTCTCACGGCTGCGGTGACGGGGATGTTGCGGTTGCCGCCGAAGACCAGGGCAGGGTTTGTGCTGATGAGGATGCGAGCGAGCGCATGGGCGGCGAGGCGGCGTGCGGGAGCCTCGGTCTGGGGGAGGGTCATCCACGAGGCGAGGAGGAGTCGGACGGCGCCTTGCTGGGCGAGCTGGCCGCGGAGCGTCTTGGTGACGGAGAGGGCGAAGATGATGGAGATGGCGAGGGCCAGGGAGGCGGGCGAGCCGTTCTTGCAGTGAGTTACGAGGACGGGGGTGATGCCGGCGTCAAAGACCATCTTGCACCGCTGGGCGACGCTGTCGTCGCGGTCGAGGGGGTCGGGGCCGGACAGTTTGCCGGCGGCGTTGGCATATGCCTTGAGCTGGCTCATCTTCTTTTCCTCGTCCGTCATGTTGGGCAAGTACCTGGTGAGGTTGACAAAGATGCTCAGGGCGCCGTAGGTGGTGGGAGACCTGGGCTGGGCGTCGCCGAGTGTCTTGACGAGCTTCTTGAGCAGCTCGGCGTTGTTGGCGACGGATTCCTTGACCTTGGGCTGGAGGGAGGCGTAGGCCAGACCCTCGATGGAGTGCTTACGGCCGTGGTCTTCGTCTCTCAGGATCATCTTGGTGAACATATCGGACAACTCCTCTATGCTGGTGACTGCAGGCTCGATCCTGCTGGACTGGCTAGCATCGCCGGGTGCGGATTTAGTAGGAACTGCCTTGAATTCTGGGTCAGTCAGTCAGGGACAAAACACGATGGGCCCGCCCAGTATAAGTCATCTCACCCTCAGCTTGGCTAGGATCACGGCGGCCAGATACTGGACCTGCTCCGAGTGCCGGCGCATGGAGACGGAGCCTCCGTCACTCTGCAGGTTAGGGTCGGCGTTTGTGCTGCGGACGACCTCGTTGAGGTCCGAATCGACCACCTCCTCGAGCCACTCAATGCAGTACTTGTTGATGGCCTCGCGGCACTGCGAGTTCATGCAGGCGGCGTTGAGCATCTCCAGACAGGCCGTCTCGACCTTGCGACTCTTCCACTTCCTCCTCATAAGAGGGCCCAGGGTGGACAGGAAGCCCTCGTTGAGGAACATGCCCGCCGTGAGATCCGGGACGATGGGGAAGGTCGACGCGGCGACGCAGAAGGCGACAATGTAGTCGTCATAGGTGCCCCTCCGCACGCGGTCAAAGAAGAAGGTCGACAGCATCTTGGAGCCCTCGTCGCCGGCGGCCTTGAGGTAGGCCGAGGTCGAGAGGGTGGCGTGACCGCGGACAATCTCAGGCTGCCTCATGTCGAGGTAGCACAGCACCGTGTCGACGCAGTCGCCGTCGATGAGCTTGCAGATAGACTCGCACGCGGGGTCCTTCTGGCGGGCCTCGAAGTCGTCGTTGAGCAGCTTGGTCAGCTCGTCCAGGTCGCGGCACGTCTCGTTGTCCTCCTGGCCGCCCTCCATCAGGCGGGCAAAGACGATAAGGGTCTGGTCCTCGATGGACGGGGCCGGCGTCGGAGTCGGGGCCGGCACCACGGCCGTGGCCTGGGCCTGGTCGGGCTCAGTGTTGGCCGCCATGAGACACCCGGGAGCAGAAGGCGAGACGAGCGGGATGGTGGTTTTGGTCGCGCGATTAGGAGAGGTGCGGTGTATTAGAGGCAGGCGAGGGGCGGCGGCGCCAGGTCTGATGATGTATATAGGTAGTCAGTCAACCAGACCGGGAGCGCGTGGAGGTGGCCCCTCACGGGATAAGAAAATGCTGTGGTGGGGTTTCCGCGATTGGGTCCCCTTCAGTGGCCAGGACCCCACTGAACGGTCCGGTTTACTGGTCCACACGGCAGGCGAGCTCTTCCAGGTTCCAGCTGTCTGCAGCTCCTTAGCTCCCCTGAGCGGTGCTATGTATGGCTCCCGCAGCTCGAGGCTGGCAGCCAACACGTTGGACGTCGCTTTGTCCTACTTAGTGCCCGTCATTTCGTCATCGCCGCGCCGATAAGGGCCCTAGTGCAAATCACCCCAAAGCACCCTCCCAGCGTCGCAGCGCCGCAGTGCTGCAGCGTGTCGGTGCCCTGAATTTTACAGAAGGTTCATCACGTGTTTTGGCGTACCCCCATTCCCCCATCCTCCCCAATCCCCTGGAAGCACACTGGCTGTGGCCGTCTCCAGCCGCGTTGCACAGGCTTTCACACGGCTTTTTTTTGGGGCATGACCGATGACGCTTGTTCAACGCACCTTTAGCCCTGCCAATCGGCCAAGACGCTCATACACCCTCTCGAGTCCCAACGCCAAATCTTTTCACGCCTGCTGGACGCGCCCGCGCCGATAACGAGAGGTTGCGTGAACCTGCAGGAAAAAAGAAAAAGAAAAAAGAAAGAAAAAAGAAAGAAAAAAGGAGAGAAAGACAGGCGCGTCTGCCTTGGAAAATACAGGCTCCTCGACACCCCCCAGCCCTTTGAGACACATCTTGTTAGTCGTCGCACAGACCCGTCGCACCCAGTCTAGCCGCGCATCAAGCTTTCTCCCAGCTTGAGCCTCAACTTTCGTCACGCCGAAAACCAACCATTCTCGCAACGACATCCCTGATCCGTCTTCGCACCGCCTCGCTCGCCGGCCCCGAATCATCTCCTCCGCACTCTAGGGCTCCGAACAGCGGCTGGCCTCGCTCTCCCCGGACCTCGTAGCTGCCTCGACCGCCCCCAAGAGCCGTCCCGCAGCCAACCATGGACGCCGTCGACGTTTCCGAGCACTACGAGGTCACCACCGCCGAAGAGACGCCCTCGCTCCTCTCCATCGTCCTCGACACCAACCCGCGCGCCTGGGCTGCCCTCGGCGATGTGTTGCCCATGTCCCGCGCCATCGCCAACATCCTCGTCTTTGTCAACGCTCACCTGGCCTTCAGCAACGCCAACGAGGTAGCCCTCATCGCTGCCCACCTCGACCGCGCCGCCTGGCTGTATCCCTCGCCGCCGAACCCCAAGTCAAAGGCCGCCGATGCCTCTGGTGATGTCCCCATGCAGGATGCCCCGACCGCTGCTGCTTCGTCCTCGGCGAATAAGTACCCGCACTTTGCGCAGATCGAGACGGCCGTCCTCTCTTCCCTGCGGAAGCTTGTCGACAAGACCACCGAGGCTGACCTTGCCGCCACCACGACACAGCTCTCAGGTGCTCTGACGTTGGCTCTCTGCCACATCAACAAAGCCGCGCAGGCTCTGTGCTCGCCAGCCGCCAACTTGGAGGACAGCCGCAAGGCCAACGCCGCCGACGCACCGCCCACCGTTCACGGCCGCATTCTCGTCATCTCTGTCTCTGACTCGGAGCCCTCTCAGTACATCCCGACCATGAACGCCGTCTTCGCTGCTGCCCACGCCCAGGTCGTCATCGACACCCTCTCCCTGTCTGGCGACCCGACCTTCCTCCAGCAGGCCTGCTTCAACACCGGCGGCACCTTTCTCGCCGCCACCCATCCGCAGGGCCTGCTTACATATCTCATGTTTGGCCTGATGGCTGACAGCCAGGCTCGCGAGGCTCTCATCGCGCCCACACACGATACCGTGGACTTCCGCGCTGCGTGTTTCTGCCACGGCCGGGTTGTCGATACTGGCTTCGTGTGCTCTATCTGTCTGAGCATCTTCTGCGAATTGCCTCCTGGCGCCGAGTGCTTGACATGCGGCACCAAGCTCGCACTAGGCAACTATGGCGCCAAACCCGCTGTCGTTCCCCGGAAGAAGAAGAAGAAGAGACGCATCGTCAACGGCAACTCGCGCGAAGAAACGGGAAGCGCAACCGGGACACCACGTCCATAAGCCAGGAACATGTACATAACTATTTCCCAGGGCATTACTGCCGCATGCTTGCGTCCACTGGCTTTCTTGGCTGCCCAAGAACCCCAGTTGGACCTCCTTTTCCAGGAGTGAGATAGCACGAGGCGGCAAAAGGAAGCTTCCAGGCTTGCTCATCCTAACCCAAACGGATGTTGGTTATCGGATTGGCGTATTGAAAGAAAATCGACTCGAAAGAGACGGATGGATTGCGTCACTCGCTAAAGAGGCTTCCCATAATAGACTACGTCCCTTTCTGAAAAGGAAAGACGGGCAGTCAACCCCAATGGAAGCCAGGTCTGATGAGCTGGCACTAGATGCCTGTTGCGATAGATACCTTGACTGAAGCCAAGGTTGAGGGAACATTTTTGGCTTCCTTCTGAAAATATATGATACCAGTACCGCATTGGATACCTTCCACGTTCCTACCGTACTCTACACTACGCATGGAGAACAAAACTTGCCATTGGGGATGTGTTGAACCAAAGCCCAGTATGGGATGAATGCATGTTTAGGGCTAGAGGGTATCACTGGTGTCTATACTAACTTACAAACGTTTCCGCGTCCAACAACCGCAAAGACTTCCCAACTCCATAGAAGTATCGACACACATTCTAGACCAATTTTGACGACTGATCAGGCATCCCAAGGGCCACCACATAGTTAATCAAGTCGAACCTTGCGCCCCCCTTTGGCAATCTTAGCACCCTCTGGGAGTCGAGACATGGTACAACGGGGCTCTCTCTCCGCACCGCCCATCGATGCGAGGGCAAACGAGTCGGTGTTATGCGCAAAGTAAAAGTAGTAACCAGTGCGGGTCTTCTTGACCACCATCACTCCAATTGCGCCAGCCGAGTGGCAGTTCTTCACACCAGGATGGTTCATGAAGTCATCTGCAATGAATGATTCCATGATGGCGTCTTCGTCATCGTCCTGAATGTCAGCTCCACCTCGACCGCGACGTGTCCCATGGTAAATTCTCTCAGCACACCGCTGTGAAGCCATTGTGGTGGCCATGTGCTCTCCTGTACCGCTTGTCACGGCACCAATAGTGACTTGATCCTCGTCATTCTCGTCACAGGGCACAACTGCGGTGCCAACGCCGACTAAAGCTGCCGGACCTAACCGACCTCGGTGCTTCATCCCAATCCCTCCCGAGGAGGACCCAGCCGCAATATGGCCGTTTTCGTCGACCGCGATAGCACCGATAGTGTCTGTGATGAGGTCCTCGTTCACAGTACCAGGGTGAAAGGGCACCTTCTTAACCCGAGGGTTGAGGCCATCCTTTTCGTCTGGACTGACAGGTCGCTTAACCCCACGAGGACTCCCGGGGGGTTGATGAAGAGTATCGCGGTCGTTGGCAACTGTGTGGGCCCCGTCTTGTGGCGACGCAGAGCCATCTCTGTTGGAGAGATGCTCATGATGCTTCTCATGGGAGTCTGTTTTCGGTTTCACACCCTGCTCAGATGGTTCTTCACTCTTTCTTCCATGACCATTTGATTCAGTCTTTTTCGGGCGAGACTTGGATCGAGAGGGAGTTGTGGAGTTGTTTTGGGGGCCTCTCGCTACCGCAGTAGAGTAGAGAGACGACTTTTCAGGGGAAGCACGAACCGACGATCGACCTACTGTTGGTGTAGATGACCCGACGACCCGGAAATAATCCGGGGTCGTCGGGGCCTGCAATAGGGTAGACGTGTCAGGTCCTGGAGAATCCACGTTGGGCGAGTCCGTTTGACCTTCATTCCAAGTGCCGGCCATGATTGCGGCCGTGTGGTCCCGCGGGAAAGGCCGGTGTGTCTCTGATGGCGTTGCGGTGTCGTATTGGCAAGGGACGCACCCCGAGTTCACTGGAGTCGGACTCTGGGTTATCTTGATTTCCTTGGACTTCGACTCGGCTCGCTTTAGGTCTTCCTGCCAGCGGAGAAAACGATCCCTAGCGTTCTTGGAAATCATGTATTCGTTGGGGTATGTTGTTAAGCCGTGTTCTTCGGCGAATGCCTTCGCACCCTCTCCGACTAACGCGTTGGGTGGAACACGCCGGAGGCTGAGGGGGTTATTGCTAGTGTCTAGGATAAGCTTGGCAAGCGCAATGGGATTCCGAATGTCTGTACGAGAGTAAGTCTGAGAATTCGATTGAGGATGGAAGAATTTGACTGACTCGGAACGGCACCGCATGCGCCACTGCGGCCAAGGTGATCGACTATCGTGGCATCGCATTCGACCGTGCCGTCGATAGAAAGATTAGAGCCATAGCCAGCGTTCGTAATCTCTTTGTCCTCGAGGATACGCAGGGCAGCTTCGATGGCCTCGGTTGCGGTGGAGCCGGCTTTTAAAAACTTCATTCCCATCTCAGCGGCACTGTTTTCGTTAGTCTACGCACGAACTGGCTCGAGAGACGGCACTCACGCAACGCAAGCCTGGAGGTGGACGTGCTCATTCTGGTGACTATGGAAGCCGGCTCCAGCGTGGACGAAGATGGCTGGAGTGCATTTGGGCTTCTGGCCGAGGCGGAGCATGCGGTCGAGAGCGCCATCCGCTCCATGAGGAGTGTGTTCCGACATGGGAGAGGTTTCATTGTGACAGTTGGTCATGCTTGTGTCGATTCATGAGTCGAGGCAATGCGGAGAGGAGTGGAAATAGATAATGAATGCAACCAAAAAAAGCGAAAGACTGGAGGGAAATGGGGCGGGTGGGTTGAGACGATTCCCGGGCCCAGGTGACGGAGAGAGAAGAAGATGGAGCTCAAGGCGAGCTGAAGAATGGTTTAGGCACAAGCGTTGAGTCGAGGAACAAGCGACCGAGGCCACGTTGGGTGCCTGCCAGAAGTCGCAATGCGGCGGGGAAGGGCAGTTGTGGCGCTCAAGCTCTTTCCCATGTTCTTACACGCCGTGAGGATGAGCAAACAGATTCTAAAGTGCCAAGAAACAGCTACTACGCAGCTTCCCGATGAGCATGTCAAATCCGAGAGGAAGAGAGAGTGTTGGGATTTGACAGTTGAGGGGCGCGAATCTATAGCCTCCACAACGCTAGAACCCAGTCTGTTTCGCACTCTTCCTCTGAAGTGAAGAATAAATCCAAACAGGTTAACAAATGAAATCATGAGACAACGCTGAAGATGCTGCAGATCAAACACAGCTCACAGCTTTAAGATGACGTCGGATGCTCAGCCACCCCGTTAATTGCAACAAAGGGGCGTCAAGCCCCAACCAGCCAGCCGCACGTTGGCGGGGCCTAGTCCACCACTCCACAGCACAGCCGCAGTGTCCGTGGCTCTACTGGGAGCTTCGCAACAAGGCACGTAACGTAACCCTACCGCATCCTCCACCGCCGCCGTCATCGCCGCCATCGCATCCCCCGAGCGCGGCACCTCCACGAATCCCTCCTCCCTCTCCCATTCGTCTCGTCGCGCGCCGTCCGCCGCCTCTTCCATCATGGCTAACCAAACTCCCGCCGTTGTCATGGACAAGTGAGCCTCTATTCCCAACCCCCGCACTGACGACAGCTAACCTCAGCTCACCAGCGGCACGGGTTTCTCCAAGCTAGGTCCGTGACAGCTCCCGACGATTCCGATTGCCTCTATGCTTCCGAAGGTGCTCTATTAACGCTCGCATATAGGTTTCGCCGGCAATGACTCTCCCTCCTTCGTCTTCCCGACTGCGATCGCAACCAAGGGGCCTGCTGGTGGTGCCGGAGGTTCTGGCTCTGGACGCCCTGGCGTTGCCAACAAGCCCTCTTTCCTCACCGGAGGTGCTGGTCCCGGTAGCCACCTGAGCTCAAAGCGAGGAACTGAGGATCTCGACTTCTTCATTGGTGACGAGGCCATCGCTGCTTCGGGAGGTCCGGGTAGGCGGAAGCTGTTCCCCTGAACACGAACACAGAGCTGACGGATTAGGTTACGGTCTTCACTATCCCATCCGACACGGTCAAATAGAGAACTGGGTATGCGTCTTTTTGAGCTGCGAGACGGGCCTAACTGACCGCCGTTAGGATCACATGGAACGATTCTGGTCCAACTCCATCTTCAAGTATCTCCGCGTCGAGCCCGAAGACCACTACTTCCTCCTCACTGAGCCTGTGAGCCTCCCAATATTACCCGCGCCGAACTCGGGACAGTCCATTGACTTTGACAGCCCCTGAACCCCCCCGAGAACCGCGAGAACACCGCCGAGATCTTCTTCGAGTCTTTCAACTGTGCTGGCATGTACATTGCGGTCCAGGCCGTACTCGCTCTGGCTGCATCTTGGACATCCTCCAAGGTCCAGGACCGCTCTCTGACTGGAACTGTCATTGACTCCGGTGACGGTGTCACTCACGTCATCCCCGTTGCCGAGGGTTACGTCATTGGATCTTCCATCAAGTCGATTCCCATTGCTGGCCGAGACATCACCTACTTTGTCCAGTCCCTGCTCCGAGACCGTGGCGAGGCCGACTCATCGCTTAAGACCGCCCAGGAGATCAAGGAGGAGTACTGCTATGTTTGCCCCGATATCGTCAAGGAATTCAGCAAGTACGACCGCGACCGCAGCCGATTCGCCAAGCACGTCGTGACGCACCCCAACGGTCGCCAAGTCAGCGTTGACGTCGGATACGAGCGATTCTTGGCCCCCGAGATCTTTTTCAACCCTGAAATCTACAGTTCCGACTTCTTGACCCCTCTCCCCACGGTCGTCGACGGCGTTATCCAACAGTCACCCATCGATGTCCGACGAGGCCTCTACAAGAACATTGTTCTGTCTGGTGGAAGCACTCTGTACAAGGACTTTGGTCGACGATTGCAGCGAGATATTAAGCAGCTGGTTGATGCTCGAATCCGGGCTAGCGAGGTTCGCAGCGGTGGTGCTCGAAGTGGTGGCCTAGACGTGCAGGTCATTACGCACAAGAGGCAGCGACATGGTCCCTGGTTTGGCGGCAGCCTGTTGGGCCAGACGCCCGAGTTCCGATCGTACTGCCACACCAAGGCAGAGGTGAGTACAGCACGTCGAATTAGTCACGTGGTACGAAGACTAACGCGCAATGACAGTACCAAGAATATGGCCCCAGCATTGTGCGAAGATTTGCTCTTCTGGGTGGACCTGGCGGTGCTTAAAGTGGCTCTTTGGCTCATTAAATGGTACAAGATGCCTTCCGAAATCTTAAGCTGCAAGGTTCCACCAGCGCTGCATCGGGAGTATCACGGAGCAGAAGAAGATGTTTTACGGGCCGACCCCGGACCCTCGCTGTCGGTGGGAAAGGGAGGGGCCGAGTCGCAAAATCTTAAAGTCAGTGCCCAGACAATTGGCGATGGAATTATGAGGAGGAGGTGGCGAAGAAGTTTTTCAAAGGTAGTTAAATGCATTCCAAAATCAATTCCCCCGCACGCCCAACATTTTGAAGTACCGAGTTATCATGTCCAAAACCCACGCAAAAGGCTGTTTTTAGTGGCCGGGCCAAGCGTTCGCGGGGCGGCTCGTATAAGTGAGCTGTGACGAATAAGCTACAGCATTACAGAAAGCTTCGTCCATGACCCCGCCATAACATAGTTTGCTGTCTATCACTTTTTCCCATGCTATCCGCGAAATGTGTTGGAACTTCGCTTCAAGGGAGGCATTGATCTTCATAGTCACAGATAATTGGCAGTCACGTTTTAGGCAATGGCAAAGAAGAGGTTCTGAATACTTCGGAAGCTTAGCTCCGTTTGAATTGATACTGTGTACTCATATCCCTAATACAACAAGGTAACCATTGTTCAATCTGGCCACTACACTCAACACCGCCGCAGAATTCCAAATCGACTCCCACCCAAACTCCTCTCATCTTGGGGGCCCGCTGCGCGGTTCGCCTCCCATGTTACACAACGGATAAAGCGCTTATCGGCTGGTGTCGACGACAATGCGACCGGCAATGGCACCCTTCTTCATGAGCTCGTAGACGCTCTGGAGCTCGCTGAGGCCGACGGTCTTGAAGGGGACGGTGATGAGGCCCTGGCGGTAGAACTCAATGGCCTCGGCGGAGTCGGAACGGTTGCCGACGTAGCTGCCCTTGATGTTGATCATGCGGATGACGGTGTCGAAGACGGGAGCGGAGATGCTGGCATTGGCAGGGAGACCGATGCAGACGACGGTTCCGCGGGAGCGGACGTACTGAGTAGCCTGCTGGAAGGGCTTCTCGCTGACAGCGACGAGGAGGACAGCGTTGGGGCCCAGGCCGTCGGGGGTGGCGGCCTTGACCTCGGCGACGAGGTTGGAGGACTTGGTGAAGTCGACGAAGGTCTTAGCACCGAGCTTCTTGCAGAGAGCACCCTTCTCATCACCACCGTCGATGGCAATGGTGTGCAGGCCCATGGCCTTGGCGTACTGGAGGGCAATGGAACCGAGACCACCACCGGCACCGACGATGGCGACGGTCTGGCCGGGGCGGGCACCGGACTCCTTGAGACCCTTGTAGACGGTGATACCAGCGCAGAGGATGGGGGAGATGGCCTCAAGGTCGCACTCCTTGGGGATGCGAGCGACGTGGATGGCCTTGGCAATGGCGTACTGCTGGAAAGAGCCGTCGACGGTGTATCCGGAGAGGAGAGCCTTGGCGCAGAGGGGCTCATCCGAGGTCTGACAGTAGCTGCAGCTCAGGCAAGAGCCGTTGAGCCACTTGATACCGGCGTAGTCACCGATCTCGATGTCGCTGACAAGCTCGCCGCGAGCAACGACAACACCGGCACCCTCGTGGCCACCGACAAGGGGCAGCTTGGTGTCGAGGGGCCAGTCACCCATCATGGCGTGGAGATCGGTGTGGCAGACACCGGAGTACTTGACATTGATGAGGACCTCATCGGGACCGGGCTTCTGGACGGGGATCTGCTTGTACTCGGTGGCTGTGGAAGAAATGAAGTCAGTATAAAGATTCAGGGTCTTGATGCGAACGGTGGGGTTGTGGGTGGGACTCGGCCGCAGGGTGCGGGAGCAGCGAGATGAAGATGGGGACTATGGAGAATGGATGTGACGGGTCGGATGCGGATGGGCTGGATCGGGCAATTGAAGAGGCATTGAAGCATTGAAGGAGATGAGGATGACGTACGTCCACCGTTCTTCTCGATAACCTGCGCCCACTGCACGGAAGGGATCTGAGGAGCGGCCATTTTGTTGTTGTTGGGGGGGTATCAAAAGGTTGTTGTCGTGAAAGACGGGGTGTTGTTTGTTGGAGATGGAGAGTTGAGGAGTTGACTGAGAGTTGATGAGGCGGATGAGTCTGGAGAGGAAAGGAAAACCCAGATTGAGGCCGGCGGAGCAAAGGTTTATATAGATGTTGGCCAGGGCAATCCGGGGGAGGAGTTGAGTCTGCTGGAGGCCGGGTGCAAGGCGCAAAGCGTAGGTGTAGGCGTAGGCGTATGCGTAGGCGGAGGCGTGTGGTATGATGGGTCAACGGACAGGGATGCTTCTGGATGCAGACGTCGGTGGGCGCCTCAAGTCGCGGCCGCGCGGGGGCCCAGCGCCGCCCAGGGCCAAGGGAGGGAAGAGGAGCCACTTCGGCTGCACGGGGGTCCGCATTGTGTGTGTCTCTCGAGTCGAGTACCTCCCGTACCTGGTGATGCGTGCGCGGGCGCGAGGAGTGTGAGCGCAGTGGCGTCGAGGTGGGTGGAGGGTGGAGGTGGAAGAAAGTGGAGTGGTGTTGAGTGCGGCGCCTCCTCCTCATGGGCGCAGGGATGTCCGGTGGTAGGTGTCCAGGTACGTACCTGTGGTAGGGGAGGTGGCTTCACGACTTTCGGCATCCCACCCCCGCTCTAGTTTCCCCTCACCATACCTACTCCTCCTCTGTCGAGACTGCTCCCCAGCGGAGCGGGAGACGGCGCGCTACGATGGAAGCACTGGACTGCGCTTCGCTGCGCTGCCATGGAACTTCGAGTCTAGCGCGAATTTGTGGCAGTCTCGTACCTCCGAGAAAAGATACCTGCATCCGCAACGCCGTCGTCCGCGACCAGCGAGGCCCAAGACCAAGACGAGAGCCGTTGGCCATCAAACCAAGTGAGCCGCGAGGGGGGTCATCAGGGGCGTCCTGATTCCGCCGTGTAATTATTACGTCCCGCTGCGTGTGCAGCATTGATGCACTAAAGATAGCAGGGAAATCCGGACCCCCGATACGGGCAACTGCGAGAACCTGCGTCCTGAGGTGACCTGTTTTTGACGTTGCTATCTCGGCTGTTCAGGAGAAGAGGCGGCTCAGCTCAGGCCGGCATGATGGCATCGCATCGCCTGCCCTACCGAACGCAGCCATGAGATATTTTTCCTCCGGGCACCGGTCCGTAGATTATAGTCGTGACGTCTCGGCCCCCCGTTCACCGTCAGTCGCTTTCACCGTCTCCGATTGCGATCCCTGAGAATGGGATGCTTTTAGGGACCAGGTAGGCCCGAAAGAAAGCACCAGACATTGAACTACGCCAAAAATCATGAGAGCCGTCGCCTAGCTTCCCAAAACTTGATATGCAAGAGTGGGTAGCAAGATGGAGACCGCCCTTTTCACGGGTCAGTATCAGCATCAGCATCAGCATCGTCGTCATCGTAGTACACGCTTCTTCTTCTTCTTCCCAAGGCTGGCGCCGGATCCCGGGAGGCGAAGCGCTCCATTTTGAGGCCCGCTTGGATTCGAAGCGCTACTTAATGCTTCCTATTATGTATAGGACAATTAAGCTCTCCATACCACTAACCACTTTCCAACAGCTCTAACAAGGAAGCTCCACGAAGCTGAGGGCACCGACTCCATACCTACGTAAGTGCAACTCCGCTGGCTACAGCCCACTATTTACAGGGCACAAGCTCTCGCCAGGGTGGCTTGCACCAGCCTGTGGCCCCCTTTCGGTACCAGGAAAAGTACGGATGCTTGAAGAGTGCGCCTATTGTTTTGATTCCCAGCTTGGCGGAAGGCATGCCATTCTTTTTTTCGGGGCCCTGGAAGCTCGTGCGTGCAGTGTCTCGTGTTAGTGGGATGGATAGTGGGAGGACTCGTCCCTCGCGTTATCCGGCGCCGAGCTCGGCCTGAATGGCCCCGTGGACTACCGCCATGATCCCACTCGTCGCTCACTTTTTTGTTTTCACCGTTTCTTTCTTTTCCAGCAAAGACACCAACTCAATTGACATTTAGTGTTGAGGAAAGAAATGAAAAGAACATCATCTCCACCACGTTCAAGCCGACATGTCTTGCCGCATTCAGCGGAAGGAGCGCGGGTAGCACTGCACATCCACATCATGCCTTCCTTAGGTACCGACGCAGACGTCCAACGCACGGGCTGGGAATCAGATCCGTAAATCCATCTCCACCATGCTCATTCACCATCCACATCCGCATCCGCATCCGTACCCGTGCCTTGGTGTCAAGCCAAGTGCCTGCCGCCCTGTCATCGAGCCAGCTTGCTAGACAACCGTTGCTCGTCCGTCGTCGCCTCGTGTCTCACCCCCTCCGTTCCACCGCCCATTGAGACGACAGTACCACATAACTTAGGGCATCGATCCGTGGAGAACGACTCATCGATCATGCACCTCCCTTTCGCCGGCAACGACGCTAAGCCACGACTATTCGACTCGTCTCGCTCGAAGGGAGCTTCTGGATGGGCACCGTCGTCCACAGTACAAGGTCCCACGTCTAGCAGGAGGTCGACCGTGGTAAGGGCATCGGCAAGAGTGGAGCTTGGGGGGACACGCGAGCCCACGGCTGGGCGTCTACAGATTCCTTCGAGGGAATCTCGCTGATTTCCCCGCACTGGATGGTAGCCAGGGAGGGAAGACGACCAGGGGCGGGACACCATCACCAACAACATCGTTGCTACTACCGAGGACATAGCGCTGCACTACCATGTTCTGGCCTCATTCCGCACCCATATTCGACCACTGAACGTGTCCGCTACCTACGATGCAACAATAACCACGCGATTGACGGACAAGCTCGGTGCTATGAGGCCAAAAATTCCCCAACAGACTTTAGGCCAGACACACACCGTCGGCGCCCGCGGGGGAGCCGTCCTGGGGTCCTAGGGTTATCCCAGCCGGTTGGGCGGAGGCCTAAAAGCAAATGCGGGGGAGACCAGCAAGCGGAATGACACCAATGGAACAGTGCTTGACTCGGTAGCCTCCCCTGCCGCCATAGTGTTTTGTTACGGGGTAAAGGCATTCATGACTCTGGCGGGTTCCTTTGACGCTCTGACAGAACGGAGCCGTCTCCAAGAGGCTGGTAGTGGCCCAGAATGCGGCCATAGTTGGTCGCCCCAGATGGTTGCCCCAGGCCGATGGTGAGACAGAGTTTTGGGGGTTAGCTCCAGTCCTGTTCAAGATCGTCCTCAGATCTAGGGCACTGTACCATGTACACCTCCCGCACGACAAGAAAAAAGCACAGGTACCTGTTGCCAGCGGGTACATGCCAGGGGGAACCGCTTCATCTCCATCTTTGGAGATGGCGGAGATGGGGAGGCTCATCGGACGGCACCAAAGTACTCTGCCGTAGTCAGATGACTGTCAAGCTTCTCCAAAGGCTCCGGCCATTGGGTAAGACACTGTCCAGACTTGCCTGGTTGGGTAGAATGGCTGCCTTAGACTCCATCTCTCCATCTCTCACCTCTTTCGGGTGGCCGGGAAGCCCTCGTGGTGAATGGCTCCATCCACCCCCGGAATCTGATCTCCAACTCAGAATGGCGGCGACTTACACACTACCAGCGCGTGTCTCCGGCGCTCACCCGCACACTATCTGCCGCCCTGCACAGCAGTCGTGGTCTCTGGGGAGGGTTTCGGCCAGTCTCTTGCTGCACATTCCGCTATACCTTGGTTCGTTTCAAGGGTCCGATGCGAGATGCACCTCGTGGCCCTCTCCAGTCTCGTCTTCATTTCTCACAGTCCCCGTCCCCTGGGCGATGGCTTGATTGGATGCGTACCCCGTGGCAACGTTCGACTTCCATCCAGATTGTTGAGGATCCACATCCCATACGCCTTTGTCACAACCCCATCTTCCCTTCAGCCCGATGCATCTATCCCCGGACTGGAGGGAGCCCTGTCTCCCCCGTGCTGCGACGTCGTGGGTCCCATTGCAAGCATGTACCAGTTCGTTTCCCCTCACGACTAAATCTCAGGCAGCCTGCGGACTGGGGCTCCTCCGAGGTGGAACGATAACCGCTTAGAGGCGCCGGGGGTGGAGGCCAAGCCGTTCCTGACGTTGTTTACTTGGCCAGAAGGCCAAAGGGAGAAGTGGAATTGCCACACGTCGCAGCTCATACTGTCCATCGTCGTCGGGTTTGGGGGACGGGGACGATCTGTATGGCCAGGCCACCCCGGCTGCATTTGGACCAGCGTCACCAGCCCGCGCTTAGCCTTTGGAACTGGCATCAAAGCCATACCCCCGTCCAAGCCCTTCCCTAGCGGCCCTGCTGGCGTTGTTTGGTTGCTTGGTAGGGCCCGTACGGGCACTGCTAGAGCGTCCCACTGCGGCTCCGCAGTTTGACTTGCATGAGCCGCAATTCTCTTCCCCGCATTCGACGCCCCAGCACGCCCCCAGCGTTGAGTCGTTGACGTGTATTTCCCTCCTGCCGGCGCCGTCCATGATACGGGGCCCCGGACTCGCATCAGTTGGGGCGCCTGGGGGTTGCTTCGAACTCGAGGCTTCCCCCCGGGGCAGCCGGGGATGGCAATGCGCAACGTTGCCTAGCTTGCATATGGCCAATCTCGTGCCCTTGACGGCGTCAATCGCACGTTTCCATCCGTCCTTGGGGAGGCTGAGGCCAACTCCGGGGTCATGATGGCTTCTCCGGCTTACCCAGTCCGCCTCACTAGTTCTGATTAGATTGTTGGAGGAGTTGATTCTACGGCTCTCTATAGGCTGTGACCGGCCGCCTCGCCTGATGCAACTGCCAGTGCCACACCAGCTGCTCCAATTTCTTTGTCTGGGGTGTGGGCACGGCTCCGGGAACGTGGAAGAAGAGTTCGCTCTCAAGGAGAAAGAAAGCGGCTTCAACACATGACGATGATTTTCTCCTTAACCCGCGGCAACAGCGGCGTAGGGAGCCCAACCATGTTTCCGTCTCAGCTCATTTGTGGGGTTGCGCCCTCGCATGACCTTGATTTGTTCAGCTGAAGCTGGTGATCATTCCGCGGCAATGGCACAGCGCGGGGTTTACTCTCGAATTTTTTCTCAGTTGAACGTGTCTTGCTTCCTGTCTTGCTTCTTTGAGATCAATCGTGGGCACCATTTCTGATTTCCTTTTTTCCCACTCTCTTTTTTCTTTGGCTTCCCTACCGTCTTGCCTCTTACCGTACAGTACCGTACCGCCCAACATGTTGAGCCAATCGATTAGCTGTCCGGCATTGGATGTCCTCTGCGATACGGTCGGTCGGTCTTTGCTTTGGCAGCATGCCGAGAGGATCCATGTTAAGACAATTGTCCCGAGATATCGTTCCATATCTATCCGTGCAAGCACCTGACAGGAGCCACATGGCACGAGACGACAGATAAGCGATTACCCGGCCGACTCCCGGGTTTTGCAGTCCTGCAGTTTTGTTGCCTCTGCCGGCAGTATCACGGGAATCAAGCACCAGTGAAGTATTGTAGACTTTAAGTATATTTTATCTCGAAATCAAAAGTGTCCATCCCAACGCTTTCCTTGCCCAAACACCAAAACGTACACAAGGCTCAGTCAAACTAACAAAGGCTCGCAAACACAGTTTTAACTTCGATTCGCATCGCCCTGTTCAGAACATTGCCTAAGCGAGGGCAGGAACCTCGACCGACTTCTCGATGCCATCAGCCTTGCCAGAGTTGACCTTCTTGCCAGTCTTGGCAATCTTCTGGAGGACCGTCTCGTACGGCAGGCCGGTGACGACCTTGGCAGTCTGGTTCTCGAGGGAGACTTCGTAGCTATCGACGCCTACAAACGCGCGGGGTAGCGAGAGTCAGCAAGGGCCATACAAAAGCAATGCATCACAACGGTTGCGGTTGATACACCAACGGGTATCGTGACCGGCATCAGCGGCAGGGTGGGGAGAGAACTAACCCTCGAGCTTCTTGAGGACGCGGTCGATGGCGCCAGAGCAGCCGCCACAGCTCATGGACACGTTGAACTCGTAGGTGTGAGACTCAGACATGGTGTCGGTTGTGATGTGTTGGATGTTGGGGGGGGGGGAGCAAATGGCGGGGTATCAACGGTCGGAATTGTGATTCTCTGGTCTTGCGGAGGCAGAGAGAGATCGGTAGGTGGGGGAATCTGGCGTAGAAATAGTCGTAGATGGGCGGTCGACGTAAGGCTGTCGTGTCCTTTTGTAGATTTGTATGTGCGGTGAATGATGACTGATGCGAGAGGTGACTTGTCGCTGATGGTGGAATACAGTCGCCATTAATAATGCGCGTGGCTGGCCCGCGATAATTGCGCAATTGGGCCGTTCGCCGAAGGGGTAAGTACTGCCCGGCCGAGTTTAGCTGGGAAGGACTTACCGCCACCACCGCTCCAAAGAGCAAGGGACTGAAACCCGCTCAACGGGGGCGCTGCTCTGAAACGTGCGCGTTTGTGATTCAGAATTTGCCATTCTTCCGCGAACGAAGCCCCATGAGACGGCAGCGGTAATAGCATTGGGCGAATGAATTGCATCGAATGCGTTTTGTCGTCAGCGCTGCGGTGCAAATGCGGCTGTCTGTTCTAAACTTGGCACCAAAATCAGCCGCCAGCCACCGCCCCAAGTGTAAGCGGCAATCCAGATCTGCTCTCGTGGTGCGTTTCAACTGGGCAAAACTTGCTCACTATTCTCCGTATCGCCTCGAAATCTTGTATCAAGGGCAACGCAAGATTGGGGACGGACTCTTGTCTCGGGTAGCTTTTCTTCCGCCAACTGGAGGTTGCGGTTGCGTGTCGGGGGGGCATAGAGCCTCAGCCGGGGGTTGGAAATGTCAGGAGTCGTGCCAAGATGGTGCCTACCCTGGACTACAGGTCGGGATCGGCTTTTGAGGACGACTGTTCAGGAGTGGTGATGTTCAGAGATTACGAGATATTGATATTGTAAATTGATGGGTTGTATTATGAAAAGGGCTAGCAGGAGGGATCGTCATTGTAGTGGCTGAGCGATTGATCAAGCATAGCACGTCATTCAGATTCGTTCATGAGGGATGATGATGCAGCAGCCGCAAATTGATTCAACATAGCCTTCTCGAAGCATCGACCAATAAATTGACTGACGATTCCAGATATGTCCCAATCAATTTAACCTCCAGGAACGCAATCTCATCTGGCCATGTACCTCATGTACATATACAAGATCGTTTCCCGGCATGTTGGTCGGTATGACGTGACACCCTGTCACTCGCCGTGGACGCCGACCGATTCGGATGTAGATGCCGATTCGGTGTAGAGCGCATCGCCGTGCAACGTGCATGATTGCAATGTGGGACTCTGTAGTCTAGAAGCTCGATGCCCCCCCTTCGGGTGTATGCAGCATCGAGAATAGGATTAGCTCCGAGGAGCGAATCTCGAGTGGTCTGATTGTCGCGAACCGCCGTTGTCGCAAACCGCCGCGGTTGCATGAGGGAAAAAAAATCTCCCATGATATGACTTTCGGGGTTGTTAGCCCGTGGTCTGATAATTTGGTAAACCATGGCGACGACAGAAGATCTGCGTCGATCGGAGACATGCGATCCAACCGGCAGACAGTGGCGGCCTTTCACGTCCGAGATGGGTGGGTTTTAATTATTCACAGATAACCAACAACTTCACGCGAGTTGATTGCTGCCCTGCATTGCATAGGCCGACGCCCATCTCTCGTCGTTGGGTACCCATTGGCATCCAAGAGCACCCGTGGGTTGTCATGCCATACTCTGAGACTTGGGAAACCCATGGGTACCCACGGGCTCAAATGGGTTATAGAGAACCCGCGGGTACCCACGAACTCGTGGGGCTATCCAAACCCATGGGTGTTTAGCTGGATGCATAGTTGCTTTGGTCAAGAACCCGTGGGTACCCATGGGCATCTAGTCTTTCTTGTACATGGGTACCCACGGATGCTCTAGAATACTCCAGCCCAAATACATACAGGGGCATCGAGGGATTGAAGACCCATAGTTACCCGTAGTTTTAGTTGTTTGGGCTTACTCATGTGTAGAAAGGCGCTCTGAACCTGGCAACTACCCATGAGACTTATGAGAACAGTGTTAGTTGCGACTGTGATTACATCTGAGTGATCTTGATGTACTAGTATACCCATGGGTTGTTTGGACATGGGCACCCACGCATACTTAGGGCATGATGTTAAATCAATGGGTACCCATGGGCACTTATGGGTTTTCTGGGTAGAGGTAGGCACTCTAATACCCATAGGCACCCGTGGGTCTTCGGGGGTTTCCAATACCCATGGGTAACCCAGATATGGTATTGATCCAAAACTACCCATGGTACCCACGGGTTCTCTGGGTGTTTCAACTACCCACGGCTCATAGGCAATAGTCCTAACTTCTCCGGGCATCTGAGGGCAATGAGAAGAACCAGAGTCCCGTGGGTACCCATGGGTAGTTGCTGTATTGTTGAAACCCGATGTGTAGGACCAGTATGGACGTTTTGTCTCCAGAACGCCTGCTGGAGCAAAACTCTAGACACTTCAGCATAATTCAGTAGGTACTGAAGTTGAGTCGACCGTACATATACAGTATCACCAAAAAATGTCATGAATCCCCAACAACTGCCTTCTTGCCACCAACTCCCACCTCCTTCACCCTCACATGCACCATCTCCAGCTTCACCTCCCCCAGGTCAGTCAGAAACGTCTCTGACACCTCGCTGAGCGCCCACTGCTGCTCAATCTCGTCACAAAAGTCCTTCATGTCGACCTCTTCCCACGACACCTCGCCATCGTCCGGATCTACAACGCACATGCTCGTGACCTCGCTGTCCTCGTTCTCCATCTCCCATCGCGGCTGCACCTCCACGTCGAACAGCATGCCCTCCGGCTGCGCGCCCTTGGACTTGCGCATGTCGGGCAGCTCGCCCCAGACGATGTACAGGCTGCGCAGGTTCGGCATCCAGTCGAGGAGGCTCGAGAGCGTCGGGATGCTGAAGTATCCTGTAAAGGCCGGCACGGCGAGGTGTCTGATAGCAGCGCCCAGCTCCGCGGAGCCGTTTTCCCACTCTTTGTCCCACTCTTCCTCCAGGTTGCTAAAATCCTCCCACTTGTTGCGCGGCACGTACACCGGGTCTTGTTCGGGATCCCACTCGCGCACCAGGATGTGGCCTTGTGTCTCGTCTCGGAAGCGCATCGTCACGTTGCGCGCCGCCATCCACGCGTGGGCGGCTTCGCGGGCCTCGCGACAGACGAAGAGAGCAGCGGGCATTGGAACCTCGACATACGGGCGACGATCGACGCCTTCAGATTCCTCCACCTCGTTGTACAAGTCAATGAACTGGACGTACCATCGCCAACCGAAGAGGCAGAGCGTGGGGCCGTCCCGGAGCGTGAAAGTCCAGATGATGCGGCGGATCTCGGGCGGGAGGCGGCCAAATTCCGGGAATGAGGTTGCCATTGTAGCGTACGAAAACAGAGACTATGGATTGGTGATGGGGATTCACGCAGAATGTAGTTGTTATGGGAGAAGAGACTGGGCTTAATTCTGAGTGATAACCCCTCCAAGATCGCGTTGGCGCACGACGCGTAAAGTCGCAAAAGCAATCATACTACCCGTACAGCCAGGCGAGATAACACTAACCAACGAGAAGAAGACAATTCAGACTCAGACACGAGAGGATTGAAAAGTACAGCAAATTCCAATTCAAATTGTACATGCTGTAAATACTAGCTAAATCCCATCCCATGGGCATAATATTTCTTTTGACATGTTCGAGTATGCTCGATTCTTCCTCAACCCTGTCATGACACCATCTACACACGAGCTTCGCCTAGAACCTCGCCTCAACCTTGGTCTGCGTATCCTGCAGCGCCCAGTCGCTCCGTTGCGTCTTGCTCCGCACGGCGTCGGCCTGCTGCTTGGTGAAGCCGCGCGCCTCGACGGCCGGGTTGTAGCCCAGCTTGTTGCGCTGGCCGACCGTGGTCGAGTTGACGGCCGGCGCCGTCTTGCCGTCCGCCCGCTTGTAGACCGTCACGACGACGGCGCCGCCGAGGCCCAGGTTGTGCTGCAGGCAGTACTGCGTGTTGGGGACGGCGCGGTTGTTGGCCCAGCCGCGCAGGTGCCAGACCAGCTCGGCGCACTGCGCGATGCCCGTCGCGCCCAGCGGGTGGCCCTTGGAGATGAGGCCGCCTGATGGGTTGACGACGTACTTGCCGCCGTACGTGATGTCGCCGGCGCGCACCAGCTCGTGCGCCTTGCCCTTGTCGCAGAGGCCGAGGGCGTCCAGCGCTACCATCTCGTTGGCGCTGAAGCAGTCGTGCAGCTCGACGACCTGCACGTCGCGAGCCGAGATGCCTGCCTCCTCGGTTGCCACGCGGACGGCGTTCTGGGTCATCTCGTAGCCCATCAGGTCGATGGCGCTGCGGGAGAAGAGGCTGGGAGCGTCGGTCGCCAGGCACTGACCGGCGATCAGGACAGCCTGCTCCTTGAGGTGAGGGCGAGCGTCGAGGAAGGCCTGCGAGACCAGGACGGCGGCGGCGCCACCGTCCGAGGTCGGGCAGCACTGCAGCTTCGTCAGGGGCTCGTGGATCATGGCGGCATCTGAGATTTGCTCCCGCGTGTAGACTTGCTGGAACTGCGAGTAGGGGTTCTTGGGGGAGTGGGCGTGGTTGACGCGGGCAATCTCAGCAAAGTCCTCGGGCTTGGCGCCGTACCTGGAGGTATTGTAAGTACTGGTATGTTCATGGCGGGACCGGGCGAATTGGGATTGTTACTTACTTCTCAATATATTCGCGGCCGGCGTTGCCAAACATCTGAGCAGCGCTGGGAGCCTTCGTTATGCCCCTGGTCTCAGCCATCATCTTGACCGTAGTCCCGGTGGGGTTCTCTCGGTCGTTGAAGAAGGTCTGCAAGCTACCGGGCATCATCTTCTCAAAGCCGACGACCATGACGCAGTCGGCGGCGCCGTGGGCGATGAAGCTGCGGCCCATGGCCAGGCCGGTGCTGCCGGTAGAGCAGTTGTTGTTGACGTTGTAAATGGGGATCCCGGTCATGCCGAACTGGTAGAAGACGCGCTGGCCGCAGGTGCTGTCGCCGTAGCAGAAGCAGGCGACGCCCTGCTCGACGTCGTCGTAGTTGATCTGGGCGTCCAGCATGGCCTTGACGCCGGCCTCGAAGCCGAGCTCCGTGTAGTCGACCTTGCCGCGGGGCTTGATGAACTTGGTCATGCCCACGCCGAGGACGTAGACGGGGGACTTTTGCTTGGCAGGCATGATGGCGGCTGTGATTTAGGTTGTTGTTGGTGGTGGTGGTGGTGGTGGTGGTGTATATCGGGATGGGATTGAACGACAAGAAGTACTTGCTTGCTTTCACCAAGTCACATTAAAGTCGATAGGAGATAAGTAGAGAAGAAACAAGATGGCCTGATTAGAAACCAACCAGAGACAAGGGAGAGGAGAAGGAGCTCGGTATATCAATCACGGTGTCGAGAGGCTGGAGAGAATTACCACGGCTGCGGCTCAGCAGACAGTCTAGAAGGGTAACCAATTCGGACCTCGCCTCCACCACCTGGTCCTCGGGATGATCTTCTCCAGCCGTTCATATTGCCACTTGGTTTAGGCCGTTTTGGAGTCCACTGTTTTTACCCCAGCTTTCCTAGCTTTCCCAGCTTTGGGTCGCATGTTCAAGGGAGTGGATGCGGGGAAACGCGGCGTAGTACCGAGGCCATGTTTGGGCGAGTACTTGAAAGGCCCGTGGCTAAATATATTGCCGAGGCAGTGCAGCGTATTTGGCCGTATTCCGGACTATTCGTCGGTCCGTACAGCTGGGAGTTGGTAGGTAGGGTGTCGTCTAGCATTCGCTTCGTAATGCTCCATTCCCGTTCATACAGAGATTAGGTAACTTGATGTCTAAACGGCCGAAACCACATCGGCTCCGACTCTCAAGCAAACCATGGCCATTCCCGACCTTAAGCCAAAAGACCGAACCCTCGCCCGATTGCTAAGCTGTTTGCGTCAGCGGCCCCCCAATTAACCCGGCTGTGAATACGCCGACCGGCCGAGTGGCCCGGCTCCGTCCAATGTATCGGCCGAGTGGTCAGAGTTGATGAACTCAACGCCCGACTCCGTTATGGCGACGACGAGTATAAAGGAGGCCACAGCTGGTGCTTCCTTTGTAGAGAATACTCATCATTATCAAGTGTCTTGAGCTCAATTGAAGGATTCGTCCAAACACAAAGTCTGCAACATCTCGCTGGCAATCACCCCAACATCCCGACTCACGAGCATCTCACAAAATCACTACACTATTTCAAGATGCACATTCTCCTCATCGGTGCTACCGGCGTGAATGGGCAGCTGATTCTGAAATCGGCTCTTGCCCACTCTCATACCGTTACCGCTCTCGTCAGGAACCCATCCTCCTCCTCTCTTCCCCAAGACGCCAACCTCACGACCGTCTCCGGGTCGCCCACCTCTCAGTCCGACCTTGAAGCCGCCCTGCGTTCACCCCGTCCGCCGAATGCCATAATCTTCGCCCTTGGTCACCGGCGTTCCGGATCATCTCCGTTCTCCCCGCCTGAACCGGATTGTCCGCCCGACCTCTTCGAAGCGAGCATCCAAGCCCTCATCAGCGCCATCAAGACCGTCAACTTTACCAACCCGCCCAAGCTCGTCATCAATTCATCTCAAGGCGTTGGCCCCTCGTGGAAATCCATGGCATTCCCCGTGCGATTCATCTTCAGCCACAGCCCCGCCATGCGGATCGGTCTCGCTGACCACGCCCGTATGGACACGATTGTGCGGGAAAGCGGCCTCCCCTTTGTGCTCGCTCGCCCAACGGGGCTTGTGTCCGGTCCGGCGCGGGAGGTCCGCGTGTGGCCCGAAGATGGCAAGGGTGCGCCGTGGATCGCTACGATTACCCGGGACAGCCTGGCAACCTGGCTGGTTAATGCGGCGGAGAAGGATGATTGGAATGGGATGGCCCCGGTCATCACCAACTAGAAGGAGACCTGGGATATGCATGGAATGTTAATCTAACACGCGGGAATTTCCATTTCTAATCCTAATTTAACTGTATTCTACATTCAGCGCTGCATCGCCAATTTGGGTATCAAGGCGCCATATTCTACACTTTATAAACACGTTCTATCGCTTCCATTATCCGGGTGAGCCTTCTACTCTCCGTCCTCGCCTCGAACCACCAAAACATTTCATCTTTCAGCTAGTCGCATGAGAATCAGCACTTGGGAAGTTCCATACTTCTGACGAGAACAGACTGATTCGATGGTGGAATCTCAACGCCCACCAACTCGACGGCCGTGTAAGCACACAGTGAAATTGCCTTTGTCTTGGCCCCTTTGTGTTTTGCCAGAAGCTCGTTTTTTCTTCAACGCGTCGAACGCTTTCGAGAATCTTCCGTTTGGCCCGTTTGGCTGGAGATTCTGCACCAGCTTAGCTTGAGCAAGGGGCGTAATGTTGGTAGTACCGTTACGATAATTTGGGTCGCCATTTCCGTTAATGCAACAAGGTCTAGAATATGATCAATAGGCGCATATATACGAAATATAACAATTGGCTTACATGTAGTATATCGTAACAGACCTTGTATGAGTAAAGCCAATCGAGCAATGCTGACGATGACGGTTGCGGCACCGAGCAAGAAGATAGATATCAAGCCGGTCCTCTCCCTCTTTTGTAGGCTTCTTAGCTTTGGAATAATTCTAAACGGCAAGGCGAAGACTGGTGGAAACTTGATTAGTATTGTAAGTATCGGACGGAACGACACTTACCTAGTATCTCTGAAACTAGGCCCAAAGGCCAACTAATATATAAAGTGGTAACGTCCCTCCATAATGCACATGAAGCCGTATCGCTCGACCTGGAGAAAAGCCAAACACCAGATTAGTATTGGTTACCGAGGAAGGGAACAGCGGCTGGTGTAACTTACCAGTTCTCTGCTATATTGGCACCACACCAGAATAGATCCGTGAACATTGCTTGCAAAAAAGCACAAACAGTAAACGCCGCCACGAAATACAAGCACCTTCTCAAATTTGGTTCAGATACAGGAAACAGCTGGTTGTAGAACGCAAGCAAACTAAATCTCGGGAAATAAAATGTTGCGTCGTAGAGGATTGCAGAAGCGAACTTCCACTGTTCAGTGTTAGTCGCCGTACGTGGATATAGAGTGACAACGCCGCCAAACTTACTTTCCCCCAGCCTGCGCTGGTCGGTTCTTCGAATAGGCCTCGTCCTGTCAACAATGTGCATGTGTCTCCGATGACAAGGGCAAGGAAGGGTAGAAGAGCCAGGACGAGGAACAAATCGGCCAGCCAAAACGACCACTTCCTTTGCCACACGCGCACTCCAAGTCTAGCAACAACAAAAAGGAAAGCCAGTGTAAATAGAGACCACTCCGCCGCCTAAACTAGGTAATTAGGACATGTGCGGTCTGGAAGAAGGCACACGGGGGTCCACCTACAAGACATTGTGCAGCAGTAATGGCCATACCTCTCAACGGCCGGGCATATCGTACGATTAAACGACAGGGCTGGAGGGTTTGCAAGCGGGAAGATGTCCAGGGAAACGGACGAGCCAAGCCGGGGAGATGTTTATACCCCCGAGCCAAGGGAGAAAAAGGCGGGGGCCCCGCGGGGTTTATGAGACAGCTAAAATTGATGGGCAAAGCCAAAAGTTTCCACAGATAAGATGACGACGCGAGAGCAGCGCTAAGGGTCTTGGATTATGAATTCGTATATCTACATGTTCGTGGATGTGCATGGAATAATGCATACCCATAGACTATATTTTGCTGGATTATACGTCGAGCATCTGTACATCTGAAATGGACATTGGGTATCGTGTCCCGGGAAGGATCAACGATTCCAACCCCTAATTCGTCAACGCTCGCAAAAAGAGTTCATACTGTGACACACCAACACGGCAAATCGGATCCTCGCGTCGGAGATGTCGAAACCTTCTCGGGAGATCTGCTCTGGCGTTTCGTGCGGGGAACTTACGGGACGAAATCAACGTAATCTAGCAAGCTGTACGGGTAGTTTAATTAGCAGGAGACCAAGGAATGCAGTGCCTCCTGATGTGGAAACCACTTACAGCCGCCCATCTTGAAGTCGGTTTGATATCATCAACGACTTAAATACAATTGGAACCTTGCACACCCAAATGCCCGGCAATCTTGTCTTTAATCGCTCAAGATCCATCTCCTGCGAAATCCCCTCCCTGAACATTTTCGTCCTCCGAGTCGTCCCATTCAGTGTCTTCCCACTCCTCTTCCTCCCACATGGCTAACATCTCCAAAGATCCTATCGTATGTGGATGTTTTGAGCCGAGGCGCTGCTGGCGATGGCGAATGCATTCCCGCATCAATTCCATCGCCTCTCCAGATCGATCCTGGTCCTTCCAAGTGCATGCGAGGTTGTTCATACCGATAAGTGTATCTGGATGATCCTCTCCAACTCTCTTTCTTGCTTCTAGTACTTGTATCTGTAGCTCTTCTGCCTCTTTCCATCGGCCTTGCTTACTGTATGTTGATGCGAGGTTGTTCATGCTGGTAAGTGTGTCTGGATGATCCTCTCCAAGCACTCCCTTTGATGCTTCTAGTTCTTGTATACCCAACTTTTCTGCCTCTTTCCATCGGCCTTGATCCCAGTATATTGATGCGAGGTTATTCATGCTAATAAGTGTGCTTGGATGATCCTCTCCAAGCACTCCCTTTGATGCTTCTAGTTCTTGTATACCCAACTTTTCTGCCTCTTTCCATCGGCCTTGCTTACTGTATGTTGATGCTAGGTTGGCTATGATAGCAAGTGTGCTTGGATTCTCCTCTCCCAGTTCTCTCACCTGTAGCTGGATTGCTTTAACATAATACTGTTCAGCATCGTTATGTCGTCCCATGTCAAAAAAGTATCCCCCCAGACGTCCTAACAAAGCTACCTTTGGAATACACTCACAGCCTAGTTGTTTGTCACTATTATCCAGCACGGCAAGAGCGTGGGGAAGGTATGTAAGGCATAACCCCCATGTCTCGAAGCTTGCATCTGGGTATTCAACCGACATCGTTTCCAGCGCGTGCCTCGCGAACTCGGCCAACCTCTCCGTATTGGCTAGCCATTTTCTTGTAACCAGTTGTACCAGGCGGTGCATGTCGAAATTTTGGTCCTTTCCCTTTGAGATAAAAGAAAATGCCTCGAGGGCACCAATGGCCCTTGTGATGACTGCCTCGTTGCCCTCTGCGTCTTCCGGCAGCATTCGGTAATAGTATTCTGTAACAAAGTCTTTCGGAATTGCCTGGCGGTCAAAAAGACTGATCAGAGACAGAACTTCGCTTGCAAATAAATTCCGTCGTTCAATCTGCTCGAAAGAGATGATCCACGTTGCTGTGAGTGCGTGCGGCGTGTCTGAGTCTCGTCCAATTGCCTCGAAAGGTTCGCTCAAACGGTCCACAAGACTGGAGTCACTCTTATCCAAGAGGCGAACATATTCACTGATGGATATGGAATTTTCCACAATGAATGCCACAGCTTGTGCGAGCGCGAGGGGTAGGTTTTCCAGCCGGGAAGATAGGAGTGATGTCTCTTCAAGAGAAATGTTGTCAACTTCAAGTATCGCACACACCATCTGGTGCGCTTCAGTGTCAGTCATCTCTCCGACCTTGATTGTGGACTTCCCCCGAGCGAACCTCGACCCTGTTTGCTTGTTCCTAGTTGTCATGAGAATTGATCCGTGAGAACATTCGGGTATGTATCGTCCGAGGCTGCCTTCCGATCTCATCATGCTATCAGATGAACTGGCGTCGTTGCCTTCTTGAGTTGTCCGGAAGAATAGCTGCGTGTCATCCGCATTGTCAATCACCATTGTCCACCGATTTTTGTATTTTGTCTCCAGAAAGGTCTGAACAAGCGACAAAACATCGACCTCAGGGTCGTCGTACCCTGGGATGCTGCATTCTTCCGCAATTGAGGTATAGGCTTTGTGAAACCGTTCGTGATTGCTTGCGTGTACCCAGAATACAGACACATCGGGGTGCATCTCGCGAAGCCAATAAACGTAAGCCAGTGCAATTTGGGTTTTGCTACAACATGTTAGCTGGGAAAATATTGGTGCACCATAAGAGAATATACCCGACACCGCCGAGGCCATATAAAGCTACCCTTGATCGTGGCACCGTTGATCGTGGCTGCGTAACCCCCTCTTGTCGTTGGCCATGGCCAAATTGTTGCTTGATGTCATCTAAAATTTCTGACCGCTGGACAAAATCTTGGTTCGGATTGTGCGGAACAAGGACTGTACTCCTTTAGCATAGGTTAAAACACTACACCTGCATTACATACACTTGGAATTCGACGTTTGAATCTGATGCCTCCTCGTCAAAGCTCGATGAGCAAGGCCTTTGATCTTCCCGAAAACCTTGTAGTATTCGGGGTCTTGAGGCTCGAATTTCACCATGTTGGAGTGGTCGCGGGCAATGGCACAAATATGCTCCGCGCCATCTTCCCATGAACGACAATGTGTAGCAGAAGACTTGGTGACCAATATTGCTTGCGGGCCTCTCATCGCCCAATTGCCGTTTTCATCCTGCAAGATATTAGTATGAAGGCACCAATAGGTTACGAGTTAGCATACCTGTTGGGCTGTTTCTGACATGTTCGTTTCAAAGAAGCAGAAAACTTCCGAATCTCCCTCCCCACCCAAAGCCGGATGGAAGTCCCGTTGTTAGATGGTGAGGATCATAGAATTAAAACGGTCGATGGATTCGATGAGGGGGCGGTTCGGTCCGTTTCCGACCATTGGGATAAGCGAGCTAATATCCATACCGTCGTGTGGAACTCCAAAGAAGACAATCCCGTATACTGCTCGAACAAGCGTTGTATCGGCCTCATTCTTCGATCTAGACATTGATATCAGGGCCTATGTTGAGTTAGAAACCCGCTAGCTATGAGTCTAGAAATGGTCCAAGACTTACCTGCTTGACAATCAACCCTCCTAAGCTGTGGGCGACTAGAATGATCGGTCTAGTCGTCAGACCACGAGGCAGTTCGAGCAAACTGGTGTGAAATGAAGTTGCGAGGTCCTCTAGATTTTGCATGTTGTTGCTTCCTGCAACAGTCGATTCGTAGCCGTAGATCATCACCCTGGCCATTGGACAGTCTGATGTCTCCCATGTGAGATCGTGCGGGAGCGCGTCTCGTAACCACATGTGGTCCCCGTTTCTCTCCTTGAATGACCCGAAAGCGTGACCGCCGAGGCCGGATATTGCAATGATACTAATATAATTAGGAATTGGCATCTCTGTAGATTGGGGTACATACTCAACCTTGTGATCCTCTAGAGCCGGAGTGTAGAGTCGTGATGCCGAGAAAGTCAAGATCGAACATGAGATATTGGACTCGCACAGGCTGGGTATCGGATGTTTTCGGTAGCGCAATACGCCAACCAAGACTGGTTTGAGGCGTTTGGAGTCGAACGGGGACGTTCTGAAAGGTAACGGTAGCGGTGCTGGAGCGACCGCCGATCTCAACGGCGAGGGACTTTACGACTGGACGGGAGGAACTGTCGTCTTCTTCGAGGAAATGTTGCAATTTGTTGGAATCCCAGTCGAGAGGAACACCACGGACGCGAAATGTTTTACTATACTTGGGTGGTTTGGGGTCGACATGCCCAGGTTGCGGCTTTGGGTCGACAGACGTAGGTTCTGATGCTTGGGGCCAGTGTCGAGCGAGCAGCCAGCACGACGTCGCGATCGCAGATATCGTGATGAAGGTCAACAGGAAGCGTCGGCTGGGGTCAGGTAGCTCCATCGCGAGAAACTGAAGCTAGACGTAGGGCCGAATTTGACGGGTGTGGATGTTGGTTGTGGTCAGTGTCGCTATCTCGATGTTGGATGCTGTCGTGGCGACCTTTCCGCTTGATGTGACGACGAACTGCAAATAGGATGAGAGTTCAAGAAGGGAGACGGAAGGGAATGAGGGGAAGACAAATCAGCCGCACTTACGGCGCCTGGTTGCCTCCTGGATCTGCGCATGCGTCCTCGTTTTTGCACAACTTGGTCCAATCATGTCAGATCAGGCTGTGACGCCACGTTGCAGCCAAGCGCCAATAAGACATTGTCAATTTGGCGGAGACTGCAGGAGAGTATTGATCGTGGAGGGAGTATGGTGGAAACTAGAGGTAAGACGAACAATATCGACAGTAGATCTATTCGCGATGGCGGAGAAGATAGAGAGGGGCGAGTTTCGGTACTGAAATCATGGATGGTATGAACATCATCCTCAGTCTGGTACTCTCTCGGCAATCAGACGCAACAACAGAAGCAGAAAAAAAAGGAAAAACACACAAGCAGAAGCAAAACAATACCACCAACAAGTGTAGTCCCTTGTGTCGATGTGAGCATCCAATGCGTTGGGGTTCCGATATTTCGAGAGCTTCATAGTTTTAGCCTCATCAACGTCCAACCTCAGTGTCGTAGTCGCTGGCGCCTCTGCCCTTAACCACCAAGTCAGTTCAACATGAGCAGTGCTTGCATTACAAGTCTTATGAGAGAAGGCACAGAGTGATGTGCTACCCAGACACGAAAGAGTTTATTGCACTCCTCCCCCTCGGTTCAATTCCTCAACCTCGTCTCGCCTATCTCCCATTCTCATCATCCCCCCACCACCGCTACTCTTGAATAGAAAAGGTTGTACAAAAAAGTCGCAATGAAACACAAAAAGTCCCACAGATGGACCATCTAGTCTTCATGCGCCCTTCAACACTGGAGTACAGGTATATATGTGTAGTGAAGAACAGCCCCCCAAAAATGACAAATGACCTCCGTGGATACGCAAAGCAAAAAATCTCACGTTTGCCCAACGCCCGCTAATTCCTCTGGAGTTCGACTTCATGCCTCCTAAAGGAAAAAGATGAAAACAAGAAAACAATTCTGTGCCTGTCGCCATTGTGGCTCACCCGTCTACTTTGTCCGAAAACACATTCTCGCAAACCCAAGACAAAGAAAATAGGTAAACAACAATTTTGGCCTCTTCTGGTATATAGGGAGCCGTCCTAGCTCCACGCTTCACAAAGGAAAAAAAAAATGTCTTGATACTGGGTGGTGCCGGATGTGGAGGGAGTCGGGTTAGTAATTAATCCCATCCTTCCCATAGAATCCAACTGCCGAATTCGCCCACTGCCGGAATTCCTACGTTGTTGCGCTGGTACATAAACGGCATGTGTGGGTGCATGTATGTGTCTCCCTGGAAGCCATCGGAGGGTGTCCCGGGTGTCGCAGCAGCAATGTTGTCCAGACTCATGTTGGACGCCATTAAGCAGTGGTCCAAGTTCATGCGGAGCGCCTGGATGATCTCGTCGGGCTTCGGATCTGGGCTCTTGACGCACTGCAGCACGGTCGACAGGCAGACGATGTCCTTCGTGTCGCGCCCGCTGATGTTGCGGATCAGCAAGTCTAGCGTCTTCTCGACCGTACCGATTAGGCGTGGCGGAGACCAGAGGATAAGGTGGTCAGGGTTGTATGTTGGATAGTCATCCGTGGAATCCGGTGACATGCGTAACGCCTGAGTGCCAAGCCCCGTACTGTCCGAGCCTGGCCGTACTGCGGCCCGAATGAAGAAACACACACTCAGGGCCGCCTGGATGATGTCGCTCTTTAGCACTTGGTGATACATCTCGGCAATGTCCTGGAAATGCGCGAGCATGGGATCAAGCTCGTCCAGATACTTCATAATTACCATGGATGAGCTCAGATACTGCCGAGAAATTTGGGCCGGCGCATCAGGCGCACCAATAGCAAAGGGTCGGTAGAGTGCGAGTAGGGGCCTGCGCACGTGCATGTCGAGAATGACTCGGGTCCGCCACTGCTTGCTCTTCTGAGCATCACTTAAGATGCCCTGTCGAGGGAAGATGTAGTTGATATCGTCGAGGTAGCGGCCTAGCTTGGCACCTACGTCGAGAACTTCCTGGTAGTCGCGGATAGTATCGATGCGGTTTAGGAGATGGGCCACCTTCATCCGGACGCCGAGTGTCATGGCTGCATAAACTTGCATTTGGTTGTCGGTGACCTGATCGATTGGTCTCGACGGAGGCAGTTCCTTCATCTCGGCGTAGAGGTCGACGTCATCCAGGTTCCGAGGGGGACGGCACGTAAAATCGCCATCTCTCACCAGGCACGGCAGATTGCAGGAAAGAGAAATGTGAAGGTCCATGTCTAGAATTGTAAACCATAGTCGCCGTCTCATTTCGCCTTGGAAGATGGGGATTCGAGGCTCGAATTCGGATGGATCGCGGTGGAGCCCCATGGTCATGGCCATGCGAACGGTGGAGCCCAATGAGGTCCAGGAATCTTGCATACGGGGTGTGATCATCCTCTGGGCATGCAAGAGTAGCACCTCGACTTGCAGCGTTCCAAACTCGACCAATTGCTTGCCCCGCAGGCTGTCCAACCACGTTCGCACGAGAGCGCAGGCGGTCGGGATGTGCACACCCTCGGCTCGCTCGTTGCCGAGGCCTTTGGACTTAGTTTCGAAGCGGGATGCGACAGATAGAACTGCTAGGAGCTGTGGCAAGAAACAGTCGGATTGCAGTGTGCCTTCCCAGTAGCGCTCATACTGCTCGGTAAACATGGGCAAGTGTAGGATTCGGTAGATGGTTTCGGATGTATCGACGTAGGACTTGACGAGACGGTCGCAGACGGCCTTTTTTGGTAGAATATCCGTCATGCGCTTCTGAACCGGCATCATGGAGTCTACAAAGACAGTTATGGGGGAGAGCGACTTGCGGTAGTCGTCGAGAAGCGCCTTGTGGAATTTCCTAAAGTTCGTCATGACGTCTCGGACGCCACCATGGTTTTGGGGGTTCGCAACAAAGTCTTTGGCTTCGTCAAACTGCCACTAGTCAGCACATGCGGAGAAGCTCCTCCGAAAGTTTACTTACCAAGTTCAGCAGAACACGGGAGCTGTTTTGGCCATGGAATCTGGTCCTCAAGGCACATGACTTGACCGTTAGGCCTCTGATGGTATCAGATGACGCCGCAAGAAGTCTGCCAGTGCTGGCTTCAGAGGCAGCAGGACTGCGGGCCATTAGGTGTTTCTCAAGCCGTTCCATGCGCATGGCCAGTTCCTCCAGAGAAGATGGAGCTGCAGTTTCTCCATTTCGCACCGACCCATATGTAGATTCGTTGTTGGGAAGCGGCGTGCTCGAGGTGAACATACCCGGGAGGCAGTTGCGCTTGGTGGGACGGGAGGGCTCCATCAATTCGCTGTCGGAACCATCCGAGAGGTTGGCCGAGTCATGGTCCATGGCGTACTTGCAGGATCGGTTCGACTTTTGGCATTGCGAGCACGGACAGAGGCGATCGCATCGTAGCTTGCGCTTGCGGCATTCGGTGCAGGACTTGACGGGCCGAGGCCGCTTGACGCTGCGCTGTTGCTGTGACTGCTGCTGCTGTTGGAGAGTGGGCGCGTGACCCTGGGTGGGAGTCTGGTGGAGGTGATGATGCGGCGGGGTTTGCTGTTGCGAAAGAGAGGTATCGTATGGGACCGAGTTCAGGACGCCGGATGGAGGAGCCGTGGTGGGAATGCCCACGTCGTGGGCGGAGGGGTGTACGGCAGCCATGCCAGTTATATTCGAGTTCATACGAGAGGTGAGGAGGGTCGCAAATGGTGGGCGATGGCGACGGTATAGCGACGGGATCGGCCGGTCGGTCGTTGTCGTAGAGTCGAGACAAGGCGACAGGTGAGAAGCAGGCGACTGGCAACGGCCAAGCGGGCGGCGGGCGAGGTCGAGGGGATTGGGACGGAGTTGGATGCTAGCTCAAGATGCCGAGGGCGTCGGGTCGTGGACGCAGGCAGTATCGAGTCGCAGGCGCGCCGATGACGCGGGGGACATGACGGACGACGAGCAGCAGAGCGGAGACGCAAAGTTGACGGAGTCCGGGCTTGGTGCGAAGGAGAAGGAGAAGAGAGAGGCCGACGACGGCCAGGACGACGACACGGAGAAAGGCGACCTGGGACGCGGACTTGGAACGGGTCCATGGGCCTGCCACGGGGGACGGGGTCGGTCGGGGGTCCTTGGGATGGGTCCTTGGGTCCTTGGGTCCTGCACGGCTGTAGTGTACTGGTACTAGGGAAGCATCTGCTAAATGCTTAGCTGGGAGAGCGACTGAGCGACTGACTGGGACGCCGGGCGGGATAGGAAAGGCTAGGCGCTGTGGGTAGCCGTGGGTTGCGTGGGTTTCTTGGAGATGGGGCGCGGCTTGCAAGTTGCTGGGGTGGGAGGAGGGTTGTGGCCTTTTGCGCCGTAGGTACGTAGTACGTCCGAGTCACCCCAAACCAGGCCCGAGACTTGACGTTCGTGGAGCCAAAAGAGCCAAGCCGGGCGTGGTGTCTGTACTGATTCAGCCACCCCAGAGGCGCGCACGATGCGCACGACTCGAGCAGGTTTCCGGCAGTGCACCCGCGGATCGCTAGTGCATGTGCATTGGGGGACGGCCCTGTTGGGTTGGGCTGGGTTGGATGGAGGGTTGGATTGGGCTTGGGGGGGGGAGGGAAGGGGGATGGTGGATGGCGGATGGAATAGTTATACCGAGGCAGCCGTCGGGATCATCAACAGTGAGTCGAGATAGTCAATGTCCCGGCGAGCCACCTAGGGCATTAGTCGCGGTGATAATAGGCGGTGGTGGTGGCAGTGGTGATGGTGGTAGTGGTGATAGTGGTGATGGTGGTGGTCGTATATCATCCATGGATTCCTGCAGTACATGCATTTCTCCGTAGTGGTGTCTCTTCCTCCTGGCTGTTTGGTCCCCGAGGCGGGGGAGTGATCGATCGGCCGACAGAGACAGTCCCCATACCGGCGTAGTGGTTGTACCTACATGCCTACATACGGACGGTACAGTACCCGGAGGTCGAGTATGGGGAAAAGGCGGCTGAGGCACTTCCCGACCTGGCAGCTACGCACGCAGGAAGGGGGGCGTATGGTGTGTGGCCAGTAGCCAGTATTCAGTGGCCAGTGCGGAAATGTTATAATTATCACCCGGCCGGTCCCTTGCCGTGCTGCATATGTCTTTTCTTACTGTATTGTTTTTATGCCGAGAGGGTGGGCGGCCGACGGACCACGGCTCACGGCTCACGGCCACAAGCAACGCTGATGGATGAATGGCGAAAGCAGGGCGTGATTCGTGATTGATCTGCGATGCCGCCGCTGCCTCTGTTAATTGCTGACGCTGCGGACTTTCATGCGCTTGCTCATGCGGTTGAGGGCCGAGCTACCACGTAGTACGGGGATCTAGGCCTGCACGCGGCAAGGTAAGGCAGGTACCAGGCAGGGAAGAGCCTGCGACTGGACGACTTGGTGGGGAAGAAATCCAGAAGAGAAGGGGGGGAGAATGGGGGGAGGGAAAAACGGAAGTGGTTGCCCCCGTCCAGAGCACTTCAGGGCGTAAAAGTTACCTCCCGTGCTGTTTGCCTTCTTCTGGTATCCCGTTTGTTCCCAGTTTGTGCACCATTGGCGTGTTTGTTCCGCCAGGCTGGGGGGCCACGGTGGCGGCGGACGGGGGGAGCACCGACCGACGACACCCTTGCCCGGCCGCCGTCGGAGCCGGGCCTTTGCTTACGGGGGTCTAGAACCCTGCAGCGCGCCAGAATCCCAGGGTCTCGGCCCTCCCTGGGCGCTCTCCCAACTCGGCTCATCGGCGCACGTCGCACGTCGCGCGTCGCACGTGACGCTCCCGATGGCACGGAAGCCCTCCCTGCTCGGTTTGCCTGCTACGTACTCCGTACCTGTGTACCTAGGGTAAGGTAGTAATTAACGATGAACCTTGACCTCCACTGCCTGGGACTCTGGGAAGTTCCTAAATTCCGAAAGAAATCTAGGCAGGCCTGGAACATACGGGAGGTAGCAGTGGCCAGGCGCCTCCATCCGTCCCTGGGGCCGTCTCTTCGTCGTTGGCGCTCGATGGAATGACCAAAATAGAAACCGACATCAGAAACACCACCCAAAATGCCTGTTCCCCGTCATCTCGCATCAATCAACATGAATATGACCCATCATCCTTCCTGCTTCCAAATCAAATTCCAAACCTCCTCCCACCTCCCACCTCCCACCTCCCACAAATCCTGCCCATCATGCCCCCATCCTGCCTTACCTCATACCCGCGGGGGACGCATTTTGGCACGTGCTGACCTGGGTATCTCCATCCATCTCAGACACGCAGAGCGCGAACCGAGAGCGAATGCCAACCCATTTCATTAGAAACACTTGTCACTGGAGTCACCCAATCCCACCCACACAACCACACAACCCTCCACTCTCGGGCCACCAATCCCACACCCGCCGCCTTCTCGGCCGACACCGTCTCGATGCCTGTCCTCCGTCCGCCCGTACGCTGCTGAGTGCAACTGCAGGCCTGCAGCTCCGCCTAGCCCCTCCCAGTCGTCCTCCTTACTGTGCACCTCCTGATCGTGTACCCTCTCCTCGGCACGGACATTCTGCGATGCAGATGCAGACAAGTCCGGATGGCTTTTAGTACGCAGAGCCCGCGACGGGAAAACGCACAGAGACGCACAAGAGACACTCGGGCATTCCCATCCAATCCCCGGTGCCTAAGCTCTTCTTCCGGCTGCATTCTGCAAGCTGCATATCTGCATCTGCTACATGCAGCAGCGCCAGAAACACACAAAAAAGCAATTAATCCCCTCTTCGGGCCAGCTCTTCGGGCCAGCTCTTCGGGCCATCCCTCGATCTCCGCTGTCCGCCAATGCCGAAAGGGTCGCGTTTCGCGTGGCCAAGACCGACTCGGAATAGGCTAGACGCGAGACCGAGAAAGCCTCTGGCCTCATTTGCCATCTTGTTGGTGGCCCGCCGCCTTGCTACTACGTAGTAAAAGATGCTGCCCTCTTTGGGATACCTAATTACATAGTACGGCTTGCTCGCATTCTCGAATCTCGACCCTGCTCAGCCCTGCCCCGGCGTGGCGTCGCCCCCAACTGGAGCCCTGTTGGCAATGACATTCCGTCGCCATCTTTCTCAGCCCTCTTTTCAGCCCAAGCCTGGCAAGCCTCCACCCGAAGCAGTCAATCTGTTTCTGCATGTCTCTGCCTGCGTGTCTTGCCCACTTGCCGCCCACCACCTGTTCGCGCGCGCGTGGCTGATGTCTTGGTTGCTTGCACCATCGCATGCCACTCTCCTGTCAACTTTCAACGTCAACCCTCAGCCTTCAACTGTCAACCGGAAACCGGAAACCGGAAACCAGTACTAACAAACCCTCAATCCGCCACAGCCAGTTCCTAGCATGAGCCCCGCCAAGTGAGCCCCCAAAAGCCAAAGCCGCCGCCCAAAAGCCCCAAGCTCCCTCTAAGCTCCAAGCCGCAGCACGGCCGAAATTCCCGGGCCTCCGTGTCGTCTCCGCCCCGGAGTCTCGTCGACAAATGACAGCCAGCGCCGGGCCACCCCCCTTTCCCCAGTCGACCCAGGAACAACCCATGGGAAGCATGCGAACAGGGCTCCCCCCTTCTAATTATGCCTCGGTGATTCCAGTCGGCCGATGGCTGGCGCGCGTGTCCCCCTCGCCCCGTGTCGACCTGCCACTTGAACGTCCAATGTTCCATTGCCGTCCATGGGTCCGCTAGTGTGGGTGCTTCAGCAGTTGCTTTTTCGTCTTTGGCTCAGCATTAGCGCTGGTTCTCTCGGCTCCGACTGAATCTGCCTCCCGGGGCTGCCCCCCCTCCCTCTTCATTGCCCCAATTTCACTTGTCACGCTGATCAGCGGCGGAACCGAAAATGGTCGCTCCCAATTGATTGACGGCGCCAAAAAAGCAACCCAGGCAGGGCTGAATGAAGTTACCAGCGCCGTGTCCCGCCTATTCTCGATCGCGACTAGCACTCCATCATGCCACCCTGCGCCGCTGCCATTGGCCAGCCTCGGCTCCAGGCGCCCTTCTACCGCCCTTTCTAGAACCTCCTCATCTCAGCACCCTGGCCAAGCTGCTTGCCAAGTTGCGTCGCTTGAATTGCTTCGCTTGAATTGCTTACTCGGACATCTACGGCTGGTCGTTCTACGGAAACAGTCCATACCGAGTCCAGCGCGTCATTTCGTACTATTACACCGTGCTACCGACAATAATACATGCTATGTGGTAGTCCGGACAGCAGCAGCCGCCAGGACGGACTGCATTGCTCGTTGTTTTACCCCAGGCACCCTCTTACCGACAATGAACACCTCCGGTCGCACCACCCAATCCTGCTGTCTCGCGTTTGCCTGCCTTGTCCCGTACATGTCCTGCCTGTCCCGTCCCATGCCGTCCCATGTCATCCGTCATGTCCCATGCAATCCATCGCCTCGAACACCCGCGCCCTTGCTTCGCGCCCTGCTCCGGGAAGACACACCCCACGCCTTGCTAATGGAGAGTGCTAATTCCGTTTCAACTTTTGGGGCACGCCACGCGCGTGACAATGAGCCATCTGTGATGCTCACCCCCCGGCCTTCACCCTGGCCCCCATGAACTTGATATCAGTAATGCGACCCAAGACGTCGCTGACCGTGGGCGCTGACCATCAGCGGTGACCAAAATCGTCTGCGTCTTCGTCATCTTCGTCTGCCTCTTCGTACTCTTCGCCATCTTCGTATGCGTCTTGCCACCCTGTGTCTACGTATTAGTACTATCTGTCTACGTAAAAATCGTCTTCGTCAGAATCGGAGGGCCAAGCCCCCGGAAAGTCACCCGCCCCATCGGGTTGCCGGGGCTCGCCATCATCTCCTTCCGCTTGACGTCCGCCGAGGAGCTGCATCAAAGTCCCAAGCAGCCCTGGTCCATTTCCTCCCCTAGCGTGCTCCTCTAGATCCCGCTGCAGCTCCTGGTCGTCCAAGAGCTGGGCTTGCTCTTCTGCTCTTGCTTCTGCTTGCAAAAGGTCGATGGGTTCTCCCTCCGCCATCCCAGCCATCCCATCCCGGTGGGCATCCGGATTCGCTGGCCGCTCGAACAACATGCGGCGCAACCGCGCCTCAATATCGCTCGGCGCCGTCCTCCGCTGCCGACTCTCCACCCACGGCAATCGTATTCCCTCAGCGGTAAAGATGTTCTCATTCTCAGGAGGCGGCATTGGGTCGAATTCATAATTGGGCTGCATCTCTATGAGCTCCCGAAGCGCAGCTGAAAGTAGTGACGTTTGGCCCTCGAGGAAGGCCAATCGAGTCGCCCCTAGATCGGCCGGCGCATCGTCCGCCGGCAGGTTGGTTATGTCGACCTTTCCTAAGCCCTTGGCCACGCTCTGTAGGAGGCTAGTGGCCTGAGAGTTATTCCAAAGGTCCTTGGCTTGGTAAATGTACAATGTCACCCAGAATGATCGCGCATCAGAGTGAGCGTTGATGCCCCAAATGGACGGTGGCGTGTCGAGATTGAGCTCCTGGAACAGCGCACAGTACAGCCACGGAACCCGGTTCATACCGGCAGTCAGCTCAGCACGCGCGCCTTCGGTGTCGCCTAATTGCAGCTTAGCCAGCACCACGCTCTGCCAGAGGTACACGGTGTCGCGGTTGTCACCTGTCGCCTCCACCTCGTCGAGGAAGTCAACCAGCCAGCGAGCTTCGTGGGCTCGGATCGCCAGCGAGTGGATAAAGTGCCGCATCGCGTACGGGTCCCGCGGGTCCAGCGTGTACAGCAGCTTGGCCCACTCCAACGCCGTCCGGTACGTGCCCTTGCGGATGAGGGTCTTAATGTAGTAGTACCCGGCCAGCCAGAACTGCCGGTTCTCCGGGCGGCGAAAGTCGAGGCGTGCTCGGCCTTGCTCGATGTTCTGCCGGAAGGCGGACGTCGTCACACGGCCAAAGGTGAAGAGGGCTCGCTCGCAGAGCTCGGCGGAGAGGGCCATGTTCTGGTCTTGGTTGGCTACGCGGCTAACCTGGAGGAGCGTCGATACATGGTATGCTGTATACTGTTAGCAGATGCATCGTACTAACCCCCAACCATTGGGGTTGTTTCATCAACTTGGGCTCACTCACGGACTTCCTGGAGGAGATGGACCATCCTCATAGGGTCACCCATCTGCACGCATCCAAAAAAGAAGGCCTGCACCGCATCGTATTCCCCTCCATGCATATATGCATACTCGGTCCAGCTGCCATCCTCCGCCTTCTTCACTTCCTCCATGGCCAGCCCGCCGGCCGTCCCCCGCGGCCAGTGCTCGCGGCCCATGATAAAGACGTTGCGGCGCAGCGACACCTCGGAGAGCTTCTTGGCGTTGGGGGGGCCGCGCAGGAACGTCTCAAGGTCGACTTCGCGCTGCCGGGGCTCGCGCTGCCGGCGGATGCGCTCCTGCTCCTCCTCAGCCTCAGCGGACATGATGATGTCGCGGCCAAACAGGTTACGCATCTCGTTGACAGCCTTGAGGTGGTAGGGGTTGATCGCCAAGAGTTCGTTACTGCGGCGAGTTGTATCCTGCGCAGTCCTGGCGGCCGCCGCGGATTCTGGGTCGACTTTGGTAGTGATGTTGAGCTCCTTGATGGCTCTGTCGATCTCGTCCTCCTCATCGTCATTGACGTCGGCCGCATCTTGAGCCGCCTTGGCCTTCTTCTTCTTCTTTTTCTTTTTCTTCTTGCTCTTTCCACCTGCGGGCGGCTGTGCTTCGCTCACCTCGTGGGCGGGTTGCGGCTCCGCCTCAGCCGCGTCGTCCTCATCGTGCCCCTCATCATCATCCCCGCCAAGCGCGGCGAAGAGGCTCGCACGGGGCCGCGCAACCACCGGGGACTGATCATCATCGCTCTCATCAGAGTTGTGCGCCGCTGTCTCCTGGGTCTTCTCGAGCTCCTTTTGCTTCTGCAGCTTGCGAAGCTGCCTGCTCGACATGTTGAGCGACTGGAGTGTTTTTTTCTCGTGGAGTGAGGGGCAGAACAAAGAGCCCCCAGGTATGTTGTGCGTGGCCGCTCAGAAGCGAGCTAGGTTGCATGCAAGGCCGGATACACCTTCTCTCTCACCTGATACTATCTTCAGGTCTTGGCGACGCGTAGTCGACTGTGGCCGGACCAAATGCCTTTGGCTTATAATGTGAGTTGGGCGTGGTTGACCGATGTGTCACGCCGCTGGCTTACGATGACGTTTGGCGGGGCAGCCCTGGAATGGGGCGGGTGTGGGAAAAAATCGCACCGCCCGATAACTGCTCCAATCTGGAACCACCAAATCCTGAGGCTACGTCTGTTAGAAATCGCACAGATCTCAACTCCTGAAATTTCAATACGAGGCAGCATTCACATCACAAGTTGACTACTTTGTATGAGTTTGATGAAAATGTATTTGTCCAGACAGCCAGCCAGGTATTCGCTTCAGGCTGCCTGTGGTGTCTCAAGCTCTATTCCCACTTTTCAGTCGTCCTTGTGTTGTTTCTCTTCATCAACTAGGTCGTCATTTCTTGTATGCAGCCGCACCAGGCCATACCAGGCCGTCTGCCTCGTTTCGATTCAAAAGGCCAAAACAATCCTCCCAAAATAACCTGCAATGCGAGACCCCTCTTCTCCGCAACCGTGTCTTCTTTCAATACAATCCTAACTCCGAGCCGCGCTGACCCCATTCCTTTGACGGCCCAAACCCAGATACGTGGTGGTGGTATCCACTAAGCCACCGTAAGGGAAAATGGAAATTCGTGTCCTGCCTCTCTGAGGCAGCAGAAATATCATCGAAAAGTCCGAGTTGTGATACATCATACAAGGGGATTAGAAAACTGCGTTCGATGTGAGCTCCGAGGCCCCATCTGCGTCTTCACGCCGACATAAAGCCCGGCGTCAAAGTCGTTCCCCGGTTGCCATTATGGACTTGGACCAATTCATGTTTGCCAGTCCTGTCGCATCCATGCAACATAATTACTGAGGGGTGGGCGTTGTCTGGTACTGAGGTCGGTTTCCACCGCGACCGCCGCGGTTGAATCCTCCTCGACCACCACGACCACGGCCTCGGCCTCGTCCACGGTAGTTGCGGTATCCGCCGTCCACACTGCCCTGGCCGAAGGTCTCCATGTTCTTCTTCTGCTCCTCGCCACGCCACTCACGACCACCAGGCTTCTGGCCACCATTCTCAGCTCGCTCCTTGGCTTCGCTCGAGATGTTGTCGAAAAACGATCTCGTCTTGTTGTAGGCGTTGGGAGCATCGCCTGAAGCGGAGGGCTCAGGGGTTTCAAAGTTATCGCCCTCGGGAGTTTCGGTCAACGGAGAGCCAGCAATGGCCTCTTTAACAATGTCTTGCTTGTTGAATTTGGCATTCGACTGAGCAAAGTCGAAGTCCGAGTCAGGCACCTCGACCTTGGCATTGGGAGGTCGGCCTCCGCGGCCTCGAGCACGGGGAGCTGCGGCTCCTCGCACAGCGTTGACCCTCATCTCGTTGACCTTGTTGGTCAAATTGTCCATGGCGGTGCCACCACTGTTTCCAAGTTGGGCCATAGCAACGGCGACAGCAGCTCTCGCCGCGTTCGTCGCATCCTGGACGTTGCCAGGCGTAGCAGTAGCAGTGGGCTTAGCGGTATGATCAGTAGCGCCAGGAAGATGGAAAGGCTTCGCAGCTAATCCAGAGAGAGGGATCACGGGGGTGATTCGGTGATTCTTGGGCCCGGTAGGCACCAACTTGCTGGCGTCGGCGGCGGGGCCGTTTGAGCTCAGGTTGGCAGCAACCTGTTTGACCTCCTCAACAGAAGGCTTCGAGTCCACAGGGGGAGGGGGAGCATTTGCGTGCTGTCTAGGGCCCTGAGCCAAAGACTTCGGCTCGGTTGGTACCTGTCCACCAGGCGTTCCATTCTTTCCTCGTTCAGCGCCGGGGCCAATCGGCGCGGGCTTCGAATCCTGAGGGGGAGCGGCGGCGGGTGTAGGCCGCTGGTTTTGGGGAGCATCAGGCGCACCAGGACCACCAGGACCAGGAGGGAAAGGATAGTTGCCCCAGGGTGCTGGGCCACTGGGGCCGCCAGGACCGTTGGGACCGCCGGGCATGTTGGGACCACCAGGACCACCAGGAGGGAAGCCTTGGCCAGGAGGGAACCATCCGGGAGGGGGAGGATACGGCATGTTGCCAAAGTTGGGACCTGGACCTGGACCCGGGCCAGGGCCGGGCGCTCCACCACGACCCCAGTTTCCAGGAGGTGGGCCTCCATAGAAGTTGTTTGGTGGGTACGGGTTCTGGCCAAAGGCAGCAGGAGCTGGGGGAGCATTCTGGGTTGGTGGCTGAGCACCAGGGCGAGCGCGAGCCTTGAGCAATTGGTTAGCACATTGCTCAGAATAGAGACGCAACACAAAATAGCATGAGATTCTCCAAGATCAGAAGGAAGGCAACGGAAATTTCGACATCGTTTTTGCGCTTTTCCGCAGTGACATGATTTACATCCGGAATATTTCATCATATGGAGGAAGGGGGATTGGTAAGGGAGGGTACTCACGCCGACGATGGCTGGGTCATCAGGAACAGCCGGGGGCTTGTTCTCCTTGATGCTCGGGTGGTCTTCAATTCGCAGGTCCTTCACATCACTGCCTCGGAAGACGATGTACTCGTACACCTGGTCGGAGGGAGAAATCTCTTCGTCTGGCCGGCCTTTACGGCCTTCTGTTCCGAAGGACCTCACATTCTCGAGAGACACTGTTGACTCGTCCGAGTTGATCTCATGGAGGGTACCGACATAGCTGGTCTGGAGGTCAGCGATGTCGCGCGCCAAGGTGCGGGGAGATGAAGACATACCGAATATCGCTTTTTGAGATGAGAGAAATACGAGACCTGTAGCTGCGTAAGCGGGCGTAGACAGGTGTCGATGACCACGTCCAGCCTACCCGAGAAATTCAGACATCGCAGGTCATAAGGCCACGTTCAGCACGTAGCAAGCTCCAAGGGAATGCTTCGCAGGTATACAGAAAGCAAGAATTGGATGCACCAAGTGTGCAAAGGGAAGAAGTAGAATGCCAGGAGGGAAAGAGTCGTGTGGGAGGGAGGTGGAGGCGGAGTGGTGCGGAGTGAGTTGGGAGGTGTTGTGTGCGGGAGGGAAAGGTTTTTGCGAGAAGAAGAACAAAGAGAGAGGCTGGAGTTCGTGGCCCTTGCTGGGTAACCGGCTAAATCTCGGATGCACCCCGGAGGCTCCACGGCGTTTCGATCTGAGACTTGCGACGGAGCTCTGTCGTGGCCTCGCAACTGACCTACAACTGAAGGGTCAATAATAGTCGCAAATGTCTCCTGCTACCGAGAGGAAGTCAACATAGTCCAATTGCTTTCGTTGATTCCTCTGTGGACCGAGGCTTTTGTGATGTGGCCAGATGAACCCTGCCCAACTCCTAGTTCCCCGCATTTGAGAGACATAGATCTACCAGCAGCCATGTTATTGACATTCGCTTGAGCGCATGGCGTGGCAATTCATCACACGCTGAAATGATAATTCCGCTAGACAGCGTATTTACTACCCGAAGGAGCGAGAACGTAAACAAATAAAAATAAACGGAGTCCGTGGTGGAACGCCGTAACGGTGGATGATCGCGAAGTATATCTCATTCAAGCAATGCAACATAAACCCCGGTCTACTTCTAGAATGATAACGGTCCCTTTCGCCTCCTTCACACAACGAGAGTACATGTAGACCTCGGACAGCAGGAAAACTTCCATGCAAACAAAAACCGATCGCCACTGCCGGAACTCCAATGCTCAAACCCAGCTCATCTGAATTTGCTGAAAATAACCGCAATAATAAGAATAACCAACACTGTGATGATGGCGATCGTAATCACCCGATTTGTAGCCATCCTGTTTATCATATAGTCAGTACCTAGCCGAATGTGGTCATCTCAAGGGTCTACTTTACCTACGTGCCATCCCCCGAAGAGTCTTGACACTCCTGTCAACATAGCCCTCACTTTGGAGGAGAGTGTGATGTGCATGCTCGATAACTTCTCGCTGCCTGCTCAGGTCTGCCAGAGTGCCCGCGCCGATACCCTCCGTCTCGTTGGCGAGCGCCTGGCTTGCCTTGAGACGCTGAGTGCTGCGGTCGAGACGGTCGGTTCCCGACAACAGTTGCTGGCGCTGTTCCATATGAATATCGGAAGACCCAGCGGGGTCGTCGGTGTAGCGCGACCCAAACAGGGCAGAACGGTCGGAGGAGAGCGACGTCAGTTTGCGTCGGGCCTCGTCGGTATCGGACTCGTAGTTGCGGAAGCGTTGGTTGACCTTGGTGCGAGAGCTGGTCGGGATATTTTGTTTCTCCAGGCGCATTTGTCCCAACTAACAGGCAGAGATTGTTAGCACGCTGTAAACGCATCGGAAGACGGTTCTGTTGAGCCACATTGATGGGCGACGTACCAATTCGTCGGCCTCCTCGAGGGCACGCTCGGCTTGGCTGATGGCGGCCTTCCGCGGCTCGCCGGCGAGCTCGGGGATCTGGTCAAGTTTCTCGGTCAAATCGGCCTGGACGAGCTTAAACTCGGCCTCGTAGGAGCCGAAGAGCTCGGAGCCAGCGTCGGTATCGAGGGGGTTCGCCATGGTGGAGGGAGGCTGGGGACGGTCGATTGAGGTAGGACAACGGCAGGCGCGAGCGCAAACGACGACGGTAGCTTGCGTAGATTGATCAGAAAGCGAGCGGAGAAAGCAACTGAAGATGGAGAGTCTATGGCGCAACCCTAGGATGATGTCTTGTGGAAGATGGGTCGTGCCTATTAGTCGTCTTCGTCAGCCAGGATCGTCTTGCCAGAGTTACGGCTGGTTGCCTGCGGTTGACATGCATGGTCAGCCAATGAACTTGGAGCCCAGCCACATTGGATCGCACGTGATTTACATGGCCCGTGCACGCCGAAGCAGCGGGGATATTAGCTCGAACAGCGAGCTGCAATTTTTGTCCTTTTTCTCTTTTCTCTTCATAGAAAGTTGAATACCTCGGATTGCGAAGAAAAGCGGCTCTACGTTATGACCTTGGTCAAAAGCGTCGAGTTGAAACACTCCGGGCAGATCAAAGCAGGTTTCCTGCACGGCGCTTTTAAGAATTGGTGACTCGATTTCACGTTAACCGATCCCGTTGAGTGTTCGACATACCCTGGCCTTGGCCTCGGGTTCTATAGCTTGTGAAGCGGCTCTAAAGCCCGTGAAATGCTGTATCTCGTTTGCATTCCTGAATTGCACCCACCCTCCTTGAGAAGTTGTCTCAATTCTCTCTGTGCAAACCCTGCTCGAGGCATGTAATGGCTGTGGCTCGCGATGTGAGAATTTGCGTGTCGAAATTAGCCTCGACGAGCGTTACCGGCTCAGCCACGGTGGCGCGAGGTACGTACTGGACAACGGGGACGGACCAGGCAAGGCTAAGTGGGGCAAGCTCAATCGTTGAGAAAGCCGTCATAGATGTCATTCCGCGTCCTGACGTTCTCGGGAGTCCTGGAGACCTCCTCCGTACATTATCCTCTCGCCTTTCCCATTGTGCGCTCCCGCAGATACACCTGTACGAGGTAGCGTACCCTTTACCGCCTGCCCATCTGCGCACCGCTGTTTTCGGCAGATTCAGCCAGCCACCGCCGCCATGCCAGAGCCACGGCATATGTGAGTTCCGTCGCTGTCCCACCCGCTCCATTCGTCACCACAAATCACGGCCCGACGAGTCGGGCGCCGCATCACGGCGCCAATCATGTTGTCACATCCGAGACATTAGCTTTCCTCTATCACATGCGCCAGCTCTTATCCTCATTCCACGTCATTATCTATATCTCCAGCTCCAGCTCTTTCGCATCTCCTTTGTCTTCCACACTCTCCCAGGCCCAACAAAGTGGCCATCCCTGCCCGCAGCCCCATCGTCGTTACGAGGCCCAGCCCCCCATGCACGGGTCAACTGATTATTTTGTCAGGAAGAAGGTCGCCATTATCGGCAGCGGCTGCGCGGGTATTGGAGCTCTGTGGGCATTGAACAAGACATATCATGACGTCTACATGTATGAGGCCGCCGACCGGCTGGGTGGCCACACCAACACAGTCCAATTCAAAAAGGGAAAATATACCACGGCTGTCGACACCGGCTTCATCGTGTTGAACGAGGCCACATACCGTATGTTTATTGGACTCCGACAACATTTTCGTTGTGCTCACCGCCCTCACAGCAAATTTTATCAGTTTTTTAGACAAGGTCGGCGTAAAAACCGAGCCCACGGAAATGACCTTCAGTGTATCTCGGGATCGTGGCGTCTTTGAATGGGCAGGGTCAAGTTTGACATCGCTTTTCTGTCAAAGGAGAAACATACTATCACCACGGATGTGGCGAATGATCTTTGACATCATTCGCTTCAACCAATTCGCACTTGACATGCTCATCAATGAAGAAGAGGACAAGCATCATTGCCACGTCGGAAATGCCATGATGAATCATCTGAGCAAGGAGGAGACAATCGGAGACTACCTGGACCGCGAAGGTTATTCGGAAGCATTTCGAGATGAGTATCTCATTCCCATGACGGCGGCGGTTTGGAGCACAAGCCCAGACAAGTGCACATTGGATTTTCCGGCTGTAACACTTGTCCGCTTCCTGTGAGTTGTGGACCGAAGTTCCCATATGAATCTAACTGACCTTGGATACAGCTGGAATCACCATCTATTATCGACAGTCTCTGCTCGACCTCAGTGGCTCACTTTGAAGGATGGATCCAAGTCATACGTTGACGCGGTGATGAAAGGTTTCCCCCCAAACCACGTCTTCTTGAAAACACCAGTTCAGCGCGTTTCCAGCGAAAGTGATGGCCGAGTAAGGCTCCATTTGGAGAACGGCACTTCGGCAGTCTATGATCATGTCATTATGGCAACCCACGGTGATGAAGCACTGGACCTTATACGGTCTTCCGCCACTGAGGAAGAAATGTCCATTCTGTCGTGCTTCCAAACTTCACAGAATGAGGCTGTCCTGCACTCTGATCTATCTTTGATGCCAACCAGGCGGAAAGCCTGGACTAGTTGGAACTATCTCACCCTATCCTCACCGTCGACACGGAAAACAAACATTGATAAGGTTTCATTAACCTACAACATGAACATTCTCCAACACATCCCCCGAGAAACGTTTGGCGACGTCCTTGTTACCCTCAACCCTATCTTCAAGCCTCGGCCAGAGACGATCCAAGGGCGCTATTATTACTCTCATCCTCTATATACCCCGTTGGCTATCCGTGCACAAAAGCTTCTGAGACATATTCAAAACACTCGAGGGATCAGTTATGCGGGAGCTTGGACCAAGTACGGCTTCCATGAGGATGGGTTCAGCAGCGGACTTCACGTTGCCCAAGAGCACCTGGGCGCAAGATTGCCATTCAACTTCAAAGATTCAACTTACAGCAGAGGGCGAAGGCCTCGCCTAGGATTGATTGACCATCTCCTGCGGCTCGTTATTTTGATCATCCAGGTTTTCGTGGTCCAGACTTTTGAGAGATTGTTTGGGTCTAAGGGGTCACGAAGTCCACAGCTCGTTAATGGAATTCATGGAAAGAAATTGAATGGGAAAGTGTGGTAGGATAATTCAAGATAAATCTAGATTGTATAATTTCGTAGTTTAATTGACATTCGTTGGAACTGCCTTGAACTTGGATTCAGTGAGCCTTGTGAAGTGCAACCTGGGACATGATATGAATACAGACGACACACTTTATATTTGACGGAGGTTCAAGCCCAAATCTTGAATGAAGGTATGTAAGAGCGTACGGAAAAAGTGGTGAAGATAGAGCCGCACACGAACCGACTCTTTAGCTGATATTAAAGGCACTCATAAGGCCAATCTCGCATGTGAAGAATAATCACGGGCCGTCGAAGACAGTTCCTCTGAGCATTCAACCCCTCCAGACAACCGTAGCTCACTTCAAAGCACTTAAATAGATACTGGTGGCCCTGGAATTGTTAAGCTGCTACGATGACTGAGAATATTCCCACTGTCGTAGCTATAGTCGTAAAGAAGGATCTTCTTTGTGAAAGCTGCGAATTGAGAGTCTGGCCACGAGAAAAGAGGAAGGAGAAATAGGGAAAATCGATTGGTCATACGTAGAGTTGGAAAATATTATTTTAAGCTGCAGGACGAGATTCTCTACTTACCACGCCCTGCATTGAATGTTTGTATTAAATACCAAGATGATAAAATATCCAGACGCAAAAACTCTCACCAGTTGCACGGCCAGACATGCTACCTCAATACCGCTTTGGGCCCAATGGGAGCATCCGTGGCATCTGTTTAGGCCACGTATTTGACTGCACGCAAGAAGGAAGAAGGGAGGTGATGATCTATCCTATTCCGGCCTGTTCCGTTTTACTACGGCATAGAATCAGTTTGGAAACCTAGTTAAACGTGTCTATTACGTGTTGATTAAGAAGAGAATCGGAGGTGTACGACTGATTGGATTGAGTGAATTGGAGAATGATCAACACCGTTATAAAAAATCACTGACGAATAGGCTCCCTAAACAGAAACAAAGTGTCACACTGAGGAATATGAAGGATATGAATACTCTTTATTTTTAGGATAAGTAGAATAAGCACACAATATTCAGCGTCGTCCTCGGCGAGGTCGTTTCGAGCTTGTATGACTTGACACTATTTATGGGCTGTGAACCAGCTGTTCATATGCATGTTTGCAATCGTTATGACATATGCGATTGGAGTGGCTATTAAGTATATGCATGTATTAGTTTGGTTTTCACAACTGAATAAATACCGGCGCTAATTTAATATCCATCATCAATTCTTTCCACAACTTCCCTTCAATCCCAGGTCGGTCATCAAGACGGAGGTGCTCAAGCCATATGAGAATCGCTTGATAGTCCCTCTCCACACGTTTATCACACCACCATACACCTTTGAATCCGCTCATAAGTCCTAGCCAATATCCAAACAACCACATAGCTCTCTCATCTCTGGTGAACAGCATGTCGCGGAGTTTTGTGTTCATCTTGCTAAGAAATGTGAAGTTGAGCAAGACATTTTTTCGAACGGGCTCCAGCTTTCGTAACCATATCAAGACTGTAACGGGCGCGCGGAAAATATCGTCCTCGTTTTCCTCGTTTTCATCATCTGGGCCTTTGTCGAGACCAAAGACTTTAATCCAAGTGTCAGGGACTCCGTCCAGATTATGAGTCGGCCGCACCGGTGCCCAGTCCCCATTGCCGACCCCGAGAAAAACTCTACTAAGAAAATCCAATGATCTTTTCAGATTTGCCTCCTCCTGTCCCCACATGGACACGATCAATGGCCGAAGACCGGCCTGCAAGGCTAGCCAGCCCAGTCTGTCCTGGCGAAGACTGAAAACCCATGAATCACTCACTTCAGAAGTCTCGGATTCTGGAAGTGTAAGGGCCAGAATGTTCAGCAAGACGGCGCTCACAAGCAGCACATCCACATCGGACTGGCCCAGCTCCTGCCGAGGTGTATCTAGAGTGGCCTGGTAGTCGTGAAGCGCGAGGGACTGCTGGAAATGTTCCGCTACTCGATGGTGAATGACTCCAGGCGAAACATGTCGAAGATGACACGCCGTGATGGCGAGGATGGTGTTGCGGACGAGGGAGTGCGATTTAAACAACGAGAGGATTTCTGGGCTGCAGGGGATGTCGAATATTTGGCCCCAGTCTTGATGTAAATGCTGCATGAGATACACACTGGGGGTACCGTTCTTTGCACTAGGAGAGGAGAAAGAGATAATGGTAACGGCGCTTAGGACAGATAAAGCGCTACCTGGATTTTGACGGCTCATGGAGGTTGAGTAGGATGGGGTAGCTTTGCAAATTCCTGACTGGGGATAAGCGCACTGCCGGCCATTTCTTTGGCACCTGACACATATTGGCTTCGTTTCGTCACACTTTACGCACGTTAGTTTCAGTGTAGGTCGGGTTGAAATTGGTGCAGACCTTGACCTTCTTCGCCTTACACATCAGACAGCCGGACGTGGACTTTGTGTGCGAAGGGCGATGCTGCGAAGCTCGAATCTTTCGGGCATAATCGCCCTGGGAAACCACCTTGAACTGAGCTGCAGCATCCATTGTTTGACTGTAGGAGCATCCGAGATGGAGCTTGTTCAAAAGAAGTAACCGAGGGTGAGATTGTTGTATGTCGTTGGGTGGAGTTCGGAGGGTTTAAAAGCCGTCCGATTCCGCCGGCCGATGTGAAGCACTAAGAATGCTGTGGGGCCGTGACCCAGCTGCTCGGTTACTTTGTTTGGACTAGTTTGAGGTGCCATCCCGGCCGCAGTCCGCCTTGTGTTAATCGAGGTGTGTCGAGGTGCATCGAATCGGCCTTCCACGTATGACTTGGACTGTTATGGAAAGACGCAAATTGAACTAGTTAGGGTCCTGATTGGTAACGCCGGCCAAAATGGCCGGCAGCCCATCATCTGGCTCAGTACAAAGCCAACTGACCCACCACTCTCTGTACCTCATGCAGGCTACCGGCCATTTTGGCCTGCGTTACCGATCAGGACCTAGATGCGGAATTTTGGATCCAAAGTCCGCAAGAGAATTGGCTGGGCTATTAGGCGGAGCGTCTAGAAATGTGTTAAATAGTGTCGCGCCGTCCATCGCATTGCTCCCCTCGCACACAAGACTATCACCTCGCCACCCAACCAAATACCAGTTATCAACTTCATTTCATTCAAAGAAAACCACCATGGTATTCTTGTTCAACTTCATTCATCGACAATTTATCTCCGAGCCACCTGTGCCGACCGCTTCCTTCAAAGGGAAAACTGTCATCGTCACTGGTAGCAATGTGGGTTTGGGATTGGAAGCCAGTCGGTGGATGGTTCGTCTAGGAGCAACCCAGGTCATTCTCGCATGTCGGATTATCGAGAAAGCCAACGCCGCCGCCAAGGACATACAAGAAAGCACCTCTTGCCCACCGCAAACATTGCTCGTCTGGAAACTCGACATGAGCTCCTACGCGTCCGTCCAAGCTTTCGCGGAAAGGGCCAAGAGTGAACTGCCCCGCCTAGACTCCGTCGTCCTCAACGCAGGCCTAGCTACGACCGAGTTCAGGACCACAGAAGACAATGAAGAGACTATTACCACGAATGTTGTATCGCTGAGTCTTTTGGCCGTCCTTCTGCACCCAAAGCTTAGGGAAACCGCCAAACGGTTCCATACGCAAACGCATTTAACGGTCACAGCCTCAGAGCTGTATGAAGTTGCTAAATTCAACGAGCGCGAAGCCCCTGCAGGAAAGCTGTTCGCAACTCTGAACGACAAAAGCACTTCCAATATGTCAGATCGGTACAATGTCTCAAAATTGCTGGAAATTCTCGTCATCAAACAACTTGCATCTCTCTCGCCCTTGACTTCTAATAACGTCATCATCAACTGCGTATCACCTGGGTAAGTGTTCCGTGTATTGTTCAAGAAATCTGCTCAAAAAATCGGGTTTTAGGTTTTGTCAGAGCGAGCTTCATCGTGAACGCGACTCTCGTGTCGTCCGCCTCGCCCTCAAAATGTTGGCTCGCCAGACTGAAGTCGGCTCCCGCACCCTCGTATACGGCGCGAGCGCTGGACCAGAGACCCACGGCCAGTATCTGCCGGATCGTAACATCACAGTCACCAAAGGGCTTACCGAGGGCTCCGCGGGGGCTGAGTTGCAGAATCGGGTTTGGGAGGAACTGACGCAGAAATTGGAAGCTGTTCAGAAGGGCGTCACATCTTTGTCTTGAACCAGGCAATAAGAGAACTCAACCAATCAAGCCCATTTGTTAGTGGGCGTGTGTGTTTAAAGACGTTTGGAGGGCAAAATAGATAACCAGAGCTCCATTACTGAGGGAAACCTGGCTTCTAGAATTTTTACCAGGTGATAAGTAGGCTCGAAAGCCATAGTGATCAGTGAATCGGCCCCCCTAGTAGAAACGATACACCCGAGACTGCTCTTCTTGGGGTTTTGTCGATCTCACCGTCTTGGTTGACCGCCATGGAGCCACTAGGACTAGGAAGTCAGGGTCTGGATGGGGCCTGACGCCACAAGACCGAGCTCAAGCTACAGCGCTCCACTACTTTCTCTAATAAATCAAATACTGCTTAAATCATTGGTGGGCCACCAGCATGGTGGCTACTGTATGAGACAAAGAAAAGACCACGCGCAAGCCTCTCACACCTCAGCTGCGGCCTCATTCAGCTTCTAAACCGAGTTTAGATGCTACGCACGCGCCTTTTGCAAATGCAGTTAATCTGTGGATGAGAGTGGGCATGACGGGGCGCATGTTTCCCGCTTCTTGGGCCGCGAGACTCGAGGACGGGGTCGCCTTTCGCAGCCCAATGAATCCAAAGGGGGACTTGGCGCGTCTTTTGGTGTTTCGATTGTTCAGTGGTCGAATGGAATGATACTTGATGATACAGGTATTGGAGGCGAGGCGTCATTCACAGATATGACTTTGGCCTTCCTTGCGAAACTCGGATATTGTTGCAAGTTTGGCTGCCGGCTCACGAGCCGCCGCTGTAAATGCGCCCTACATGTGAATTGAAAGAATCCAAGGCTTGACACGTGAAGAAAAGAGGCGTAAAACCAAAGGATTTCCTTGAAATATCGACTGCCCCTATTGGTCCCTCCAACAATGAGGGGTTGGTCACTGTCGAATACCCAGAGGCGGTCAGCATGACGACAAAGCACATTGTGATTTACTGCATCTCTACGTTGTATTGTTGATAAGATAAGACCCCGCTTCTTCAAGGCAAGTAACCGTAAGCCGAGTCTCTCTTCCACCTTCCACATCTTGAAGATATTCTTTAGTTTTTGTTGTCCACCCGAGGAACACCCAACAGATCTTTGTCTTCGAGGCTGGAAGATCTTCGACATTGTGCAGTGATATATGCTACGTCCCGCTCGCTTCTTGGGTCATTTCAGTCCACTGTCAGTCTGTCACTGTGAATACCTGGGTTTCCCGACTTCAGCAAGCATCAATGGCGTCCTCAACGACTCGTCTCTCTGCGCCCCTTGCCAGAGGAGTATACGCCCGGTCCGGCCCAAACGACCTGAGGAGTCCCTGCCCGATGATAAATTCTCTCGCAAACCATGGCTATCTTCCTCGCGATGGCCGCAACGCTCGTCTCGGCGATTTCACTTCGGCAATGAACGAGGTTGGCCTGTCATCCGTGCTCGGCGCCATGTTCAGCAATCCGATCTTCCTCGAGCACAAGAAGTCTGCGTTGGCCAACGCCGCTGCCACAAAGCCACGTTCTTTCTTGGGGAGTGTGTGGTACTTCGTTTGCAATCCTTGGGCTATTGCGTTCTCGGCATTTGGGATGCGGATGCCGGGACAAGTGGATTCAACAGGCGAAAGAGTTCTGAACCTTGACCAACTTGGTCTGCCCAACGTCGTTGAGCATGACGTTTCTCTGAGTCGTCGCGACTACAACCAAGGCGATAATTCCTCGGCGCAGCAAGACCTTGTCAGTGATATACTAGCCTCATCATCGAATGGCAAGACGCTCACTGCCGAGGATCTTGCGGCTCTAAGAAGACGAAGAATCGAAAGGCAGAAGGAGGACAATCCCGAACTCCTCTATGGCCCGCTACAACACGAGCTCTCCTGCGGCGAGATCGCGCTTCTGCTCAAGGTCCTTGGTGACGGCGACAAGGTCCCATGCGACTATATTCGCGCCGTTTTCCAGGAGGAGAGACTGCCCATCCAGGAAGGCTGGGAGAAGAGGCGTTGGTGGACACTTGGCATTGTTGAGTTGAAAGCCACCGGAAACAAGGTCAAGAAGCTCATAGGACTGGAGTTTTGAACATGAGTTTCGGATCTGCGACTGTGGCTTGCTGTGCACACGTGGTTGGGGTGACGACGTTTAGTTCCGGCTTGGTTCTCGGAAATATGATCACCACCGGAAAGAAGATCGAATTTGGCTTGTCAACGTCCGCCAAAGGTTATTTTATGGATATAAGTATGCTAAAGCGGAAGACAAGGGTCCTGATTAGCAGATCTGAGGGAAATCATGTCGACTAACCCCCGAAGAACGAGCGGGTTTCACCGTCAAGTTACACTTGGCGCCTACGCCGCCTTGTGATTTGTCCCACTGTATTTCATTTCTTGTTTGAGAATTGGTTGTTGGAGGAGCTGTCACTCACAAGTGGAGTCGATCTGAAGCCGTGACAGGGGCAAACGGCCATATGTCACAAGTTGGAAACATGAAATGTTGCTAGGCTAGGTGGACACTAGTGCAATGAACATCCAATGGAACAAAAATGCAAGGGTTGAACGACCTGCCAAGAGTCTCAGTAAGGCCAAGTCGGAAGAACCTCAAACTACAGGAGCCATCCTGAACGCGCACACATCAGACAGCTTGACACCGACTTCAGACAATTGAAAACGGTGGAATTCGTCATCGGCATGTCTAAGCCTCAGATAATGGAACCAAGGGGCCGAGGTTAACAAGCTTTCAATGCATCGGAATGCGGAATGCGGGCGGGCGGGCATGACGTGACGGCGGAGACGCCGGAAATCTTTGATTGATATCTGCTCCATATCATGATCTCATGTCCCTCCTTGTTGACCTCACCTCACAAAGCAAATCTGTAGCAAGCTGGTCGCAAAAGTGATACCGTGTGTTCTCTTCGTCACTCGTTAGACCGACATCGTTGAGCAGGCCTCACTTCTCGTCTTTCACTTCGACCCCCCTTTTCTTCTAGTTAATTTTTCCACCGTCATTTAATCATGCAGACTTGGTTGATACTTCTCCTAGCTGCTGTGGCTACGGCTATACCGCAGCCGTTGGTTCTCCTCCCACCAACTGCACCTGGCAGCCCGCCCTTCAGAAGTACGATCATGGCCTCCAACCCTGCTCAAGTATCCCAGCTAACACTCGACCAGTCAGAAGGAGTCTTCCTGTCCTCAACAAGAGAGCGAATAAACTGATAACAGTCATCGTCGGCGGCACGCAAGACACGTTCGTTCCGAATTCGGTCCAGGCAGCTGTCGGTGATGTTATTCAGTTTCAATTTAGCTCGGGTAACCACACCGTTACCCAGAGTAGTGCAGACGCACCATGCACGCCACTGCAATTATCGGACCCTGCCGCGATCCATAGCGGTCATGTTCCGTATGAGGCGGGCCAGACAACTGTTGGCACCTTCAATATGCCTGTGACGAGTACAGACCCGACGTTCTTCTACTGCGCTACTGGGCCGCATTGCCAAAACGGCCAAATCATGGTTCTCAATCCGTATGAGCCCTTCTTCCTTGCAATATAGTTTCAAATACTAACAGCGCCAAAAGCTCAAGCGATGAGCAGATTCTGACCTATTCGAAGCTGTCTACGGCTGCGGCTCTGAACGTGGATGGCGGTGCTGTGTCTGGGGGCACAGTAGGCGAAATCGCTTTGGAAGCCGCCGCGTTCGATCCTCCTGTAGCAGAGGCGGCGCCTCCTGGTGAGGCGCCTCCAGATGCTCCAGCAGAGACTCCAGCAGAGGCTCCTGCAGCGTAATTTAGGAGGACGTCGCGGCAAACAAAACAACTTATTCGGGAGCTCAACCAGCTAGATCACCGCGCAAAGCACGGTCTGCAAATGATTGTTTTCAAGACTTAGATATTCGGGAATAGAGGAAAGACCGACTGAGAAATTCCGAAGGTATCAAGAGGGAGGAGGATATGTGTACAGAGTGTCACTTCTTTCTTCTTGCGTCGTAGGGTAGTATCTAGCTTCGTGGTTGCAATTGAGAATGGACAATCGGATGCGTTGACTTTCGCTAGTGAAGCTGCAATCTCTCGTGGACGGTGAATATGTGTCCAAACCCCAGACCAATTGAGCGATACTTCGTCTGGTATACGAAAAGCGAGGTAGCCGATGCCGAGATGATCCAGCTGGCCACCACAATGTGAGTGCGATCTACCAATCATCACGCAGCATTTGCATTATTTTCGCATTTTGTCTCGTCGCTAAAGTCCTATCCCGACGGAACACCCGGCAAGAAGGCTCCGTGCATTTACGGTGAAAGAAATGCCTCGTGGTGGTACTGAGACATGTTGCATAATGAATACGAGGCAAGGTCGGTCACTGTGTGATACTGCATTCCTCCCCTAAAACCTGGCGCCTAGCTCACCATCCTCCTTGGTTGGGATTTTGGACCACTTGCTTGGCGGACGGTGCATGATGATATCGTCAATTTGACCGACTCTTAGAGAGAGCGAGAGCAATGCATCGTACCAGCACGAATTCCTTTCATCTCTCCTCTCCTCTCTTATGGCTCCTACTGCCGCCCGCCTTGGACAATTATCCCTGCCATCATTGCCCCGCACATTCGGTCTGGTATGCGAGCTTGTAAGGCTGAGGCTCGTGACGATGAGCGTCATTGCGACTCATGGGCGTAAGATTCCTGACGGCCACATCCGAACTAGCTGCTTCCAGCTCCCCGAGTCCAGAAACCCGTACTCCAATAGCGTGGCCGTCAGCTCTGTCGGCCTGAGCTGGGGCTGACTCTGGAACACGAGCACAAAGGCCGACATCCGTCGCCAGCCACGGAATGAAATGTGATAGGAGCAAAAGCAACCCGGGCTAGTTCAGCTCTGCCAGCCACCAGCCAAAGGCCCAACTGCGTAGTGCTATATCAGGATCATCAACGGTATGTGGCTGGCGCTCCGCCACTGTCATGCTGCTGCGCTGTAGTCGACCATCATAAAGGCGTCTCCATTGCCTTTTCATTGTCCATCTGCGACTAGAGCTCGTCAACGGCTGGACCAAAAAATCCCTTCTTCAATTCGTTCGCCTCCTTGCCCTTGGCGTGGATGCTGATCATCTACCAAAATGTTGCTGAAAAGTCTCCTGCTCGGGGCGTCCTTGCCCATGGCCGCAGTTCAGGCTGCCGGCTTCAACTGCGCATCCTTCTGGCCATCCCTCAAACCTGGAGAGTCTGGCACTGTTAACGCAAACTGTCACATGTACCCAGGCTACCCGCAGACTATAGGTACGACTAAGGTGACGGTGGTGTATACCGATAAGTGGCAGGGCAGTGTCGGCATTATCGACGACCACCTCAATGAAGCAATTGTCCGGAGCATCGCCATCTACGGTACCTTGACCACGCCGCCCGACATAGTCATTATTCTCGGAGCTAGCAACCATGCCGGAAACGAAGCGCTTAGAACCATCATGCCCGAGCCTCACGGTCCATGCCAGATCCGAACATTCAGGTGGTGGGCAGCCAACCCAGGCAGCGAGATGACGCCTGTGGACATGCAAGGTGTTGCCCAAGAGATATATCAATGCGTCCAAAGATCAGTGCTTGGATATGGACCGAGACATACACCGACTGATTGGGTGTTGGACGCCTCGGCCGACTACTTCAGCAATGTCGTCTTTCCTAACGCCAACGCCGAGGTGCACACTGAGACAACCTACCAGCCTGACGTGCCTATCTGGAAGCAGAAGAGATACGTCCCCTCCCTGTGGTTTCAGTCGCTTGAGTGGGCTTGGGGAATTGTCCACCTGCACGAGTTTGTTATGTCGACGACCTTCAAGGCCAGCGACGACGAGGAGCGAGCCCGACTAAGCGCCATTCCCAGATTCAGCGACAAATTCTTTCTTTTCGCGCTCCAATTCTCTTTCAATCGCATCTACGACACAAATGACAAAAAAGATGTGGTCCAGAACCCGCCTAAATATGCCAAGGCGGTTTGGTCCATGAACAACGATAAGACCAAGGGAACGGTAGAGTTAAAGACGGTCCCCTTCACCATGTCTGGCTTCGAGTTGCAGCTCGACGCCGGGCAGAAGGTCAAGATCTACTCCTCGGCCACGGAGAAGCAACGAATAGCATGGCTTCGAAAAGGTGAAGAGTTCTGGAAATACGTCCCCATTAGTGATTCTAGCGACGGCTCCGAAGGTATATTGAAAATCCCATGTGCTAGCGGCCCTCAGAGTATTCGAATACTATTCATCTCAACCGAGAACAAGGCCTCTGATAAAACGAAAATTCACTATATCCAGCAGTATAAGGATGGCAATTGCTGCAAAAAGAGCCCGAAAAAGGGGCACTCGGCCAAGTGCCCAGCAAACTCCGCGTCCACCGCTACTAGTTCAGCTCCGAAACCTACCGCTTCATCCCCCGGCTCCGGTTCTCGTTCCTGCTCTGGATCCAGCATCCCTATGGACCCCTGCTTGATCGGCCACTCGTGGAGCCTCGATATTCCCAGCACACGCAAGCTCATGAAGAAGCAACTCTTCAAGTTGCCCAGCATAACCGTCACCAGCGTTGAAGTATCCGGTGCTAGCAGTCTTGATTTCGACAAGAAGAGCGTCAATTTTGCATACAAAGGACTCAAGACATCAGTTGGCGTGAAGGCAGAAGGCCTTAAGGCTCCGATCAGCGTCACCGTTGATGGAAAGGCCTCAGGTCGGTTCTTTATCAAGTCCGGAGGGAGTGGCTCGGGAACTGCTTGTCTTGCCTACACTTCAGGGAAGGGCACGGCCAAGGCGGTACTGCCCATTTTCGGGGATAAGACCTTTGATCTGGCTCCAGGAGGAGGATATCTCGAAAATATGGAGATCGACTATACTTGCAGTGACGGCAAAGTGACTATTGCGAGGTCTAGAGGGGAGAGTTCCCTCACAAGCGGAGGTCCTGGCTGGGGTCCGTTCTCATACAATGCTTCGTAGTGATTTAGCTACATATGAGCCGACTGTTTATTCATATTGTTGTTTCCTTGTGACATTCTTGAGGCGTTTGTGACAGGTTGCATATTATGTTGTGAAGTAAATTCTTTTGTGTCACACTCCATACCGTAAAAACTCGGTCAACTGGCTCAACTACTTAGCATACGGCCTAATGTATAAACCCGGGGCTAAAGTGCTAATTTGTTCCTTATGCAGTCGCTAAGATCTGCAGCCTAATGGGGCGCGCTAGTTGAGCCAGTTGACCGAGTTTTTACGGTATTCCGTGCAAAATAAAATTAACAAATTTAGGCGCCGAATGATGTCATATTTCCGGTGAGGCGTTGTGCGATGTTGGGCGTAACCGCCGTCCAAACAAGGCCACCAATAAAATCACGGGTTAGAAAAGTCCTTGTGGTTAGTTACTCAAACATATTCAGCCGCACAAGCCTCAGGCCGTGTCTAATAATAGCAACTCAGATAATGACCTCCCATAATGTAGATGTTCACAGCTGTAGTTATCAAGTCATGTAGGGGACCAAATGATATTGAGAAAGATAAATAAAAGAGTGAAACCGGCTTGTCTCTGAAATGAATGGCTTTAACACTGCGAATCCCTTGGACCCAAGTTTCATTAATCGAAGTGGAAAAGGAGCTGGTCCTTCTCCTGCGAGCCTCGTCGTACAAGTTTTGCATCGTCGGGGCTGGGCGCCTCTTGGCACCAACTAGCTGCATGAAGTCGGCACCAATGATTGGTATAGATGTTGCACTTTGAGATTTAAACTGACTCTCCTAATTAATCACGTGGAGTTGTTGGTGTATATAGCTGAGCCCTTCTGCAGCATCTGGGTACAGAGATCACAGCACTCCCAAAACCACGAACAAATCATCAAACCTGCATTCATCTGCCTTCTTTACACAAAATCATTCCCCGCGGGGACTGTCGCCAACTTCTATCATACTTCCACGATGTCTTACACGCCCGTTTCCAATGCGTTGTATATTGAGAATAGTCCTGGGCACAATGATGATCCCGGGACAACAACGACGGCGCCTAGCGTACCGACCAACTGGCATGACGGCCCGCTGAAGCTCCGCCGAGAAGGATTCGTGCATATGATGGGGCTAGTCTGGGACTTTGTTTTGACTCTTGTGCCAGTGTGCTTCTTTGGTAAAGTCTCCTACTATTGCCCGTGACTAAGTCCATGACCTAACCGGTGCATTGTGTAACGCAGCTCTCTCGTACCTCGCGCTTTGGCTAGAGGCAATGCCATTATCGCCCTACGGACAGAAGATAATGGACATAACCCTCCTAGGCCCGACGATATATCCAATTCTCTTCGCCGCGATAGCCAGCCGCTTCTATCGAAACATTGCTCGCTGGTGCTTAGAGAAGCAAGGCGGGATCAAGCTTGCAGTACTCGAGCAAATATTCGGCAGCCAAAGTCTGGCTGGAGCCTTGGAAAGATTCTTCGTTGTCCGCGCTCAGGTGCTCATCGGACTGCTGGTTCTCTTGACTTGGGCCCTATCTCCAATTGGAGGCCAGAGCGCAGCAAGGCTGGTTTACAAAGGGGAGAATATAACACAGGTCAATGGAACTGTGTATTACTCATTCCCAAACTATCAGCAGTCAGGCTTCATTGGATCTTCTATGGTATATTCCAACAAAGTCAGCGTTAACACACTCTATCTTTCTAGTCTGCTGTCCTCAATAAAGCAAAAGCGGTCAGCTAGGGATCTTTGGGATTTACCCAGGATTCCGCAATGGCTGGATGGGCAAGCGGACGGGAAGACTTATGATGTTGACCATGGTGCACTCGCCCGCGGCGATAATCACTACGCATCCTTACTCGGAGTTACCATCCAAGGATTGGATTTCGCAAGCGGCGACAGCCAATACAACTTCACAATTGAGTCGTCATATTTTCACTTCGACTGCGGCCTTGTCGGGACTGGAATTCATGTCAACGAGTCAAGTGCCTACTTCCCTCGCGACGAACTCGACCCGACTACATTGTTCAACTCATCAGATCGCATCACTTTCAATTCATTTGGCGCTAGTGTCACATTTCCAACGTCCCGCGAAGCCTCACCAGATCTAAGGAGTGACGCTGCCGGGTATATGCTATACGCTACACTCGACTGGTCTAATGGCCACGAGTCCACCTCGTCATACATGGCAGTGTTCAATTGCAGTATGCATCCCACGATCCTCGCCACAGACATTCAATGCAGTTCGTCTCCATCCTCGACAACCTGCAGAGCACAGCGTCAACGACGTGTCAACGACCAATATACGAGTGATAACTTCCCTTTGCAAGGTCTAGTGGTGAACAGTACTCGAAAGCTTGTGTTGGACAATTGGAGAAATGCAGAAGGGCCATCCACTCAACACAGAACGTCACCAACGGACAGATACATTGCAGGAGACCCGTATCCATTTGCAGCGCCAGAACCGCAAGATTGGGCAAAAGTCAATCTCACAGCGCTCTCAAGACGCCTTGCGACTGCGTTCAATACATACTGGGAGGCTACATTCAATCCTCTCAACCGCACCAATGTTATGTTCAGAAAGCAACCACAAGAATACGAACTTTCTCCGCTACCCACATACATGAACTCTACGGATGGAATCGCCACAACCCGACGCCAAGTCTACCGTGCAAACAGAAATTGGGTTGCCGTGCTTGTTGTCACTACATGTATACTCGAGGCTATGGCGATCGCTGGGTTCGCCCTGGGGCTTTATATCCGTGGGCCGGACATACTTGGCTTCGCGAGCTCTATGACGCGAGATAATCCGCACATAGACATACCCACTGGTGGATCGAGCTTGGACGGGCCCGACAGGGCAAGGACGTTAGGTCAATTACGAGTGCAGCTCACAGACATTTTCCCTGAGGATGAATCCGGCTACATTGCGCTCCGGACGGTTCCTTCAGCCGAACAAACAGGGCAACCAACCGAAGATGGTGAGAAGAATGGTGTCTGGAAGAAATTGAGTCGAAAGAGATTATATCTATAGGTGGATGGGAAGCTATGGAACAAGGTACCAATGTCTTGTGTATTTAGGCCTTCCAGGTGTTACACGATAAACCCTGAGGCTAGAGTCAACGAGAATGGCTAGTGAATAACCCAAGACCTGGATGATACCTATTTCCAGGATCCCCAAGTCGGAATCTAAGATCTAACACTTAAATTGATATCCGGAAGCAGTCGTTCCCAGTCACCGTTCTTGTCGTGATGCTGAATGTAATCCGGCAGAGACAGAACAGTTGAGCGCTCCTATTTAAGATGACGCCTCAAACAACACGTTTCCATGTACTCGCCGGCCTTAAATTTAAGCATACTTCGTGGGTACGCTGTGCCGTCATGTGGCGGCAACGTTAAAGTCCACTCGCGGGCTAAGAAGCGCAGCGGGGACAGCGAACGTGCGCCTGACGCTTGTTACCAATAAAATAGAAAAGGTCTATATGACTGTAGTCTCGTCGAAGTCTTACAAGCGTCATATAGGATGGACGAAAGACGCTGATAATTTATTGGTTCAATGTCGTTGGTGTGGCCAAACTAGAGAATTGACTACTCGTGATGAACACGCCATTTCCTGGGACGAAACGACCCTCACTACATTTTGAGATCTCTGAAAGCAGCTATGAGGAAGTCTATTGATACTTCACTTGACGCGAATAAACTTTGCAGATGCTCAAAAAAAATCCATGGTTTCTCTCAACTTGAAGCATGTATCACTTGGAGACGTCTCTCAAAACATACCTCACCTTCATCACCTCGACCTTCTTTGACCCTTCCTTCCACGGCTCCTTTCTCATCCACGCCAATGTCTCTGGCAGCTCGCGCTCCCAGCCTTCGTCTCTAACCAGCCCATCCCATACCATTTCCCTTCTGCTGCCACCGTCGGTCCCAAGCGGTGCTTGAAATCGCCACTCCTTGGCGAGGTTTACGACACGTTCAAGCTGCGCCCGCTTGGCGCCAAAAGTCTGAAGCACGAGTGTAAAGACGAAGTCGTTTCGGAAGAGCCCCGCAAGTTCGGTCCATGCTGGTGGGATCAAGACACTTAGACAGAGGCCCGGTTTTTCGGCTCGGACTGCTGCGCCTGGTTCCTCACTAAGTACGGGTGGTTCGTCGGTCCAAGTCCACCAGTCACGGGGATTCAGCTTGACCGTTATATCGCATACCGGCCTTGCCAAGATGCTGTCAATGATATCCTGCCGGACGCTGGTCTCTTTCTCCTGAGCAAGTTGTGCCATGTTCTCAGTAGCCAATGACCTGGCCTTGGCGAACTTTTGGATCCAGTCGCCAACACCACCGCCGTCCAGTCTTATCTGCTGAAAGGTCATCTCGATTCGCTGGAGCAGCAGCAGCTGCCAGGACTGCAGGTGAAAGAGAGCAATCCCAGGCTTGTTCTGGTACCACCATTTCCACTTTGGTCGGTCGCACTCGGAGCCCTCGAAGATGACCAACGTAGTCTGCTTCAGTGGGAGGTCCCATGCCTCTGAATACACAGCGCGGCAGGTCCGGAGCAATTGTGTATGAACACGGTAGGGACCCGTATTGTCGGGACGCCATAGATGACCTCGACGGTCGTAGGGGCGATCAGGGTCGCGATGAGTAGCTGTGACCAATGCCCAGATCGCATAACGGATCTCAAGAGGCAACCGGAATAACGGGCTTTCGAGTTGAGGTTGGACGGCCGAGGAATGAATTGAGGCGATCAGCGGGAGAATCTGCTGAGGGGTTTTTGTTTTGGGCCGCCGGGGGTCTGCGTTGTCAGATTCAAGGTCCCATTCAACATATTCGGATTCATTATACTCGCTCTGCTGGATTGCGTAGGCGTCCGGATCTTCAGGGCAGATTTCCGGGACCGTGGGTGGCCCCCACTGCGGGTATGGGGTTGGCCATAGGATATTTTGCGGATCGTACATGATCAAGATTCTGGGGAATATTGATGAGCGTTGGATGAAAGTAAAAGAAGAATGGATTCTTTCCATCTTAAGTATCTGGTCGTGACCCGCTGACTTGTTCTGTGTTGGCCTTGTTACCTGCGTTGGATGGGCCCACTGCTCCACCTCTGCCTGCTGCGGGGTGAACAGGGTGGACTGAGGCCCTGTGACTTGTTCCAGGCAGTTTAATTAATTATTTGATTTGAATGACGGAGAATGGCGTGCTGGGTTGGTACGATACGTGGTCTGAGTCAGTGGAGGTTGGGGGACTTGAATGCTCTATGTAGTTTAATAATTATTAATTAAGAGTATTACTATTTATATATACTTAAAATACTACTCATATACTTAAATATAAAAATTAATTTTATTAAAAGAATCTTAACAATATATCTATTAGTAAATAATTTTTTTTTAAAAAAAAATATAAAAAATTATAAATATTTATTTTTTAAATTATTTTAAAATATAAATTAGAAAATCTTTAAAATAAGATATCTAGAGGCAGGTATTTAGTTTAGATATATAACCTTATACTAGGTAATCGGGGGTGTAAAAGGTTATATTTATATGTAAATAGCATTTTGAATGTATGCGAATAGCAATACTCTTAATTAATATGTCTGGCTAATATCTCTTGCGGTGTCTCATCCAACCAGATTTTGATTCATATCAGTAGAGCGTGACATCCCGATCGCTTCAGAAAGACCAGGGCACTTTCTGTGCCCTCAAGATTCAGCGCCATTCGTTGTAATAATAAGAATTGATCCAAAGGTTGGAGGCACAGAAAGGGTTTGAACTTTTGTCCTAGCCTATTCCCCCAACTTTGCCCCAGCATCCAGTACTCTGTAAGTGCATCCATCCCAGTCATAAGTATCCTAAAACGGCGTCAATCCTCATATCCGTTCGAAATTTCACAGCTGTCTTACCTGATGGACCCTTGTCCCCCACCAGTTAAAATTTCCAGAGGCTCCCGTGTAGAATACCGTGAAGAAAATCACGATGCCAGCAATAGCTACGGAGCAGTCCATGGCCGAGCTGAGGACAAAGTTGTATCGATGCCACCAACCTTTCGAATGGCGTTTAATCCACAGCCCAAATATGAGCCCGACAATAGCCCAACTTCCGTAGTTAGTTCCAGACGCGGGTGGAATGTAGTTCAAGCCTCCCAGAAATAGGGGCACATGGACCTTACGAAGCCACGGCGTTTTAGGGAAGAACCGTCGCTTGACAACGAATACAATAACTGGAAGAATAGCACCAACCAGAAAGAACCACAGCAGCTGGCGGTATAGGGCCCCGGGTGCGAAGAATCGGCGAGGATCAATCGCCCCCCAGACCATGCTTGTGTTGAAGTGGGTGCGGGAGAACGGGCAGGTAAACCCATTTTCGGCCTTTTTGGTGCAAATGTTTGGAATATTTCCTAACGCCCAGTTGAGAACTGAAACTTGGCCAACAGTTCCTACCACAATTCCAACGATTTGGACAGCAAACAGCTGGCGGGGTGGGATCTGGTAACAGTTAGTATGTGTTTGACAGGCCGTCAAACCTATACTCACATCGCAGTAGATTCCAAGTTTCAAATCTTGAGCAAATGATAAACCTTTGATACCAGAGATGTAGCCCAAGTCAAAGAACCAGATGTTGGCTAGAACCTTGCCTTCCCAGATGTACCCCGCAATGATGCGGCAGAATACATCAATTTGAACCTTCATATTTGTTGTGGCATACACCCAGGCAAGCTGAAACAGATCATTAACCTATGGAACATCGGTTAGGGACACGATTCTGAAACATACCGGAATAAAGAAGGCTGCAGACACGACCAAGGCAAGAAGCACTCCATACCAGTGCAGTTGCACGGGATAGAATTCGCAGGCGAAAATTCCCACACCAATCGCAAGAAGTGTAGTGACAAAATACCACCACATTGGTACAGGCTTGTATAAGGCCTGTGGGTTTTCAACTTCAGTCGTACATTTCCCTAAGAATTTGGCAATGGTTGAAGTCTTGAATACGGCCTTCATCTCCTCACGCTTTTCGAGCAATAGCCACACGAAAAGCGACGGGATGCAGGCAAAGCATAGACCGAAGGTATTGAGTGCGTAAACCACTGGCAGATAGATCTGCGTTTTTATATTATGAGTAAATATCATACTTCAGACTTGAAAGTGTGGTTACTTACATGTGAGTACTCGTGATATTTTTCAATGTTGATAGTAAAGCCGTCAAGCTTATTGATGACCTTGGAGACATTGTACTCATGTCCTTGATTATCAAATATCGAGTTGCTCTGTATTGGAAAGTACGCCGTGGACCAGACGTTGGAATAGTACAGCGCTGGGGTAATTATGTAGATCCAAAATACAAGCGAAGCGAGAATGTTGAGAATAGCCCAAGTTGGAACCACGAGGGGTGATCCGATGTATGCGATCTGACTCCCTTCGACAACGTTAAACACGGTTGGAAGACTTGGGGACAGGTCAAACTTACAGTCAAGAGTGAACGGAAGCAAACCAATGCCGCTTTTCATTCCAAATATTTGATTCACCACTGGGTTCTTTGGGGCAATCCAGCAAATCCATGTGAAGTAGCCCAGCGCAGGGAAGATGAAATCAGGGAACCAATACCAAACGGAGGATGCACAGAAAACGATCAAGAAGAACTTGTATCGAGCTCCATTCCACTTGCTCCTGTGGATATCACGGTCAGTTTCAAATGGCTCTCACGACTGCCTGGAAATCCCTCTTACTCATTCTCATCCTCCTTGCCCGAATTATGAAGGGTGCTATTTAAAGCAGTGTCCCCCAAGACGCCTGGCCAAACCAAGCTCTTGGGTTCCACAACGATGGATCTTCCAAGACCAGCCAAAGAAAACCCATATAAAATCGTCGCGAGTGTGATTAAGATTTCAAACCCCCATCCGAGGTGAAGGCCGTAGAATACACGTTGTTCGGTCAAGACGTCGGCGCTCAGACGGGTCAAAAAACTCAAGTTGGCTAGGATATATACCAAGATGTTCTCCTGTAAACCATTTAGCCATGATCTCATTTGTCACCGAAGAGGCCCGAATCAAAAGCTGACCTTGTGGTTGAATGGCCCAGGATTGAGGCTATGACGCTTTCCAAAGATCGTAAGACCCCAATCAGGAACAGCAAAAGCCCAGAATTTCCCAACAGGATATGCGAGGAACTGAACTGCGGACTGGGACAGCGTGACGGACGGCATCCTAAAAGTGTATAGCGTATTGATGCCGCTGCCAATGAGACAAAAGCCAAGGCCAATTACCCACATTCGCACAGTCAAGCATGGCAGTGTCGGGTCAGCCGGCTGATGCCGACTCCAGCAGCGTGTAAAATCTCTTCTGTGCGTGTTCGTGAATCCTCTAGTTTACACACGTCAACAAATCAGATCGACCGCATTTGAAAGAGTGAACAATCTCAGAACACACCAGAATCTCGATTCTTCTCCTCAATGATGGAGGGAGGCCTGTGTGCTTCCGCATCAACCGAGTGGTCTTGACCCGTGGCTCTAGCCTTGTCGTCCATTTTTGCCTACAATGCTGGTCAAATGCGAGTTGATTGATGAGATTATCAATCTGATAAGATCCGTGGGCATGGGGCTAGTCTTTTATGTGCAGGATTCTAACGGTTTAAATTCGAGAAACAAGGTGGAATAAATTGGGCCCACACATTGTCACGCTAGGCAATGGCAAAAACCCTTACACGAATTTTGCGTCTTCAATACGAACGAGCCATCTTTAGTGGCCTCTCTGTCCAGTGTGCCCACGGTTCCCTTTTGCCGCTCCATCCATGCGAGATTCAGTTTGTATGAGAAGACAGGTATCTGCAGATCTAGCTTCAATTTCACGGCTTTTGACATCCGTAGAGTCTCGTCAAATCAGCTAATCACCAAACTACCTAAGCTCGTACGAGTGAATCCTCTATTGCCAAGACATCTGTTCGGCAGCCTCCATTGCCAAGACATAGATTCCGAGGGCATCCCATTAGCAGATGCTCGTATGACCAGTGATGTAGGCAGGACAGTCTCGGCTAACGGCACTATTATGACCGCTAATTCAGTGCTTGCCCGATTTGAGTATTCATCGCTCAAATAATGCTGATGCAAAGACTTTTCGGCCCATCACAGCCGGCTTGGCGTTTGTTCTCGGCACCAAGCGCCATTTAATCACCACGAGTGCGCTTACGAACCGTGGAATCGGGATTTAAGGCAAGTTTACGACGGGATTCCTGGAACCACTGGATTGTCAGTTCTTTGATCGGTCAGGTTGATCCACATCCCACTGCTAGCATCCGCTTTTATCAGAACGTGCTGATTCTTGGCTCGGGATGCTCCTCTAAAATCAGGTAATGACTCCCGGGCAAGCTAGTCTTGATCATATCACTGCCGAGCCAGAATGCAAGATTGTATCACCATTATTCACCACGACCATGATTCTTTGTCAAACGTTTCACGGGCAAGGCAGCCAGTACACAGCCCGAATTTTGATGTGCTTCCTCGCTTACAATAAGTGGCATGCAAGTGCGAAACGTATATACAACATTAACGGCAGCACCTCACCTAGCATATAGGTCAAGTGACCAAGTGAGAGTCAGAAAGTTAATAAAAGTAACAAAATGTATATATCTAACTATTCGAAAAAGAAAATCATTCCTACTGCCTTGGTGCCTAGCTGTAGTCCATGAGGTGCCTCTGGCCTAACAGTTATACACTAGGCCATAACAGTGGTGTCGTGCTCATGAGTTTTAAGTCAATGCCGCACTACAAGGCCCAGAACCGTCTCTTCTTAGGCAGTGTAGGAGCCACTAGGAGAAGCCAAATGCAGTCATCTCTTCGGGAGTCAAGGCACCATCTCCACAGGGGTATGTTTTGAACTGGTCCGCATATTCTTCGCGGTGATCGCGAGCCTCGCTAAAGACTCTGCCCACAGTGCAAAGGGGCATATCAACAAATCCAGGTGAACGGACACCGCCTTCCGCGATGACTTGGCCATCGGCACCAATACCAGCAGTGGCCGTAGAGTTCTCTGGCGTCTTATATCCAGTCTTATAACCATTCTTCCAGTATCCCTGATAAACGCTGCATATCCCAGTTGTTTAGAAAAAGTACATAGCACAAGGAAGAAAATAGTGCTTCCTGCGTACTTCACTGAAGGTGAAGAACCTCCCGTAGCCTGTGGGATTGCCTCATCATCCAGTCGACCTGCCCCTCGCGAACCACCGTCCCTGCACCTCCCAGTCCACTGCAATCTCCCACAATTTCCAGTACTTTTTCTAACGTGTTATACATCATGTACAAGCCTGAAGCTGCCACCTGCTGTCTGTGCTCCGTTGCCTCCCGGGGAAACATGCTGCTCACGTTTGACACAGACGGCGCCACAGAGTCCGTCGAGATGCTGGCGCTCACATCCATGGTCATAAACGGTACGCTCGCACAGACTTCATCCACCAGGATCTGTACCCTGCCCAAGAACATAGGGGGCACTATTTCAGTCGACTGTGGCTGATCCAGTCCATTTTTGGCCATGATAGCGACAGAGCAATCACGGATGAGCTCAAGAACGCCCAGTTCGGTGATCCTCTGGCGGTTCAGCGAGTTAGCCATCGAGAGACTTGTGTAAACAGCTGGGCTGGCATGTTCATACACAGCGGCGGCTGGTGTTGATGAAACGAGAGTGCAGACGGGGAGGGACATTGGCTTCCAGGTTTGTGGAAGGGTGTTCCGCCAAATATCACATTTAATCGCGAGATTGGTGGCACTGGTAAGGACGTTGTTCCAATGCACGTTGCCAAGGGCGGTTTTCCTGGCTGGGCGAGCTGGCGTCGTATTCTGAGAAGATGGTACTTCATGATTCGACCTCAACAGATGCTGCAGTTGGGAAAGCTCAAATGCTAGTGTGTCTGCCTCGATCGCTGCACTCTCTGGACGAGAATTTACACCACCACCCCAGACAGCATGGATAGTCTCGAGACCAGACAGCTTAGTCGACTTTTTCCCGTTGTGGTGGAGTAGCCTGTTTCGAGAAGCAATGACGAGGCGCCACGATAACTCGTCTCGGTAGTTGAGAGAGCCACGGTGCTGCAGCAGGGCCATACATCCTATTATATGAGAAAGTGCATGGGAGACACGATTTCCCTTCCCGAATGCAGCCCTGTTGCCCTCATATGCATCTAAAACGAGAGTTGTCATCAGTAGCTCGTCAGACTTGCTCTGCGCCGGGTTGGAGATGGCTTCTTGAGTTCGGGACACGGCTTCGGCGTATACTGTGTGCTCCAGGACTGATCCATCGCCGCGCAAGTTGTGTAGATGAACCACTTGAAGTGCAAGTGCTGTGGCTGCTCTGGACAGGGGAGAAGACGGACTGGACTTGGAGAACATTGTGGGGAGGATGCCGAAGAAACTGCAACTGGCCTCAGAATCGTGGCTAAGGCTGTAGCGGAGGAAGAAAAAGCCCAAGGCAATAGACTCAGCATCTTGCGGGATGCTTGGAGGGATGGTGGAAAGCCCCGAGGAGATGAGATTAGAGTCTGGCGAACTTCGTGGTGTCAACGATACGTTGCTCCGTGCAGCATGCCGCTTCAGCGTCTTCGCCGTTTCATCCCTGTGCGCCTTTTCGAAAACATCGCTATAGCCTGGGCACGATATTCCTTTCGTAGTGCATTTAACGCAAGCCGGCTTTCTCTGATCACACTATGCACACTTAGCTCGGCTCAGTCAGATCGGGGGAATCATGCAACTCACCTTAATTCTTCGGGCCCGGCACCTCCGGCATCCCTTGCTTGGGCCGTTGTACACCATTTCAGAACCGCTTGCCAGGCTATCGACAGCCTCCCGTTCTGATGCGCCTCAAGTTGGAAAGGTGGAAGTTGTATTAAAATGATCAAGCTGACGAGGGAGGGAACACGACATCTGAAGGATTCATACAGTTGACCAATGAACGTGCTGCGCGAGGATACCCCAACTCGGGTTAGCCCCAACATCCCATGTGCATCCATCGCATGGGAGGCTCAGCCAGGATTCAATACGTAAGGCATTGGGTAGGATCCGAGTTCCTAAGCCTATCTTGAAGGATACTTGCGGCTGGGATGTTGTAATTAGACACGATGCCTCGTTGATTATCTCGGTTTTTGCAAGAATGCTCAACTTGGTGAGCCCTTGCGAGATTGACCTCCGTGATGGCAACGTAATGAGTCCACACTGCCTCACTCCAGACTCGGGGGGGACTGTCGCTCGACTATAAGAGGCGATGGAAGAGCTACCAAGTGAATCATTATCTCTCTTCAAGCCCTCGACACGGCTCAGATATCCTTTCGCACCCAAACCAGAATTCTTCAATCATGCGATTCAATCACTTCATTGCCTCTGTGGCCTTCCTACCTGGGTTATTCGTTTCAGCGACTCTCAAACCCAACAAATGCGTTGAACATCGATCCCTTTCTGGGGAATTTGTCGAAGGACCTGCAGAAATGAGCGCGGATCCTCTTGTTCAGTTCGATGCCCCTATGGTCACCGTTTTCAACAGCACCATCAGCGAAAATTGGTCTTTTGACGCCACTTCCCATGACGGCAAGGCCAGCATTGTCGTTTATGTCACCAGAGGTACTGTTGCCGGCAAAGTCGGCGCGCAACGCGGCTTGATCTCTGTGTCTTGGGCCAACGGAACTCGCTACATGGAAAATGCATTTGTTGAATTGTCAACCGTGACTACTTGTCCGAAGTCTACATCTGGGCTCTGGACAAGCCAAGCCAGAAACATCACATGGGGCTTCACCGCGTCTACCGACTTCAAACATTCTCTCTTCACCATCAAATCGCCCACCATCAATGGCACATTTAAACTCAATTCCCGGGGCCCTGCTATCTACCCCGGGGGCTTAGTGTATCCGAATGCCAACGCCAGTGTCATGTTGGCCCCGGAGATGTACTGGCAAGAACAATTCCCCGTCGCCGATGCCGAGGTGAACTTGGACATTCGCGGCACACCTTTCATCATGTCTGGCGTCGGTGGGCGGGACAAGAATTGGAATTCTCGCCCTTGGGCAGTAATCAGTGGCAACTGGGACATGGCGAGAACGATTGTTGGTCCATACGGCTTGATGTTTTGGAACTACACATCAGCCATAGACGGGCGGTCCTATTTCAGCGCTACTCTGATGAAGGACAACAAAGTCATATTCCGCACTTCAAATGAACAGTCTTTGTGCTCAGAAACCTACGGCAGCGTCAAGCTTACCTACGGTGGCTCTGTCCATCTGTCCTCCGCTCCAGGAACCTCGTCTCCGTTGCCCAAATCGCGCCACACTGGATACCTCATTGATTTGGCGTCCCCTGAGACGGGCGAACATTGGCGCTTCAAGCTTGATTTCTCCCAGACGACATTCTGGTTTTCAGCGAGTGAGACCTTGAACGTGGGTCAATTCGCTGGAAAAGTCTCCGGTGGTTTGGTGGGTGGGAAGAAATTCAAGGGAGTAGCGTCTGGATCAGTGCAAGAGTACGTTCTCTCTGGACGACGTGACATATCAGATCTGCCAGCTGCTTAAGAGGCAAAACAACAAATATTGCATTTCTTACTCTCGGAAGCCTAGGCGAGGTTGTCGCCGTTGTTGTCGTACAAATGGTATTGTATCGCGCAGAGCCATACTGGTTGCTGTTGATAGAGAAAACGGGGCGGAGGTTTTATCCGGCTAGCTCGGACCGAGGTCAGGGCTACACGGTTCCTCTGCCAGCTGTTGTGATATTATATAATTGTAAATAGATTCAGATAGACTACGAATGATACTGAAACAAGAAATCGGAGTCACCGCAGCATTGCCCACTGCCTATCTTTCCTGGAGACGCAAATCGGCCTCATATCGATCCGAAGGAGCAAATTGCAGTGACAGGTATTTACCGAAATGAGTGGGAGCGAAATCCGCCACCTGAATATGTATGTGACGATCGAAGTGGTACTGTGGATGATACCTAAATTTTCCCACGGAGGAGGATCAGTATGAAACCTGCGCACGTTACCGGACAAAACATGAGAGGATAAGTATGAGATCCAACTCAAGTTATTAAGGCGCCACAATTAGCCCAAAAGAAAATTTAACACGCATTCCGTCTCATGCTGACAAATCTAAGACATTGATGAATTCGTTCGTTGGCAGTCTGGCGCCCAAGGCATCTCTTTCTACCTCAACACTTCCGCTGTTGCTTACCATGCATGTTATCGTTACTGGTGCCACGGGCTTCATCGGCAGCGCCGTAATCCGAGAATGTGTTAGGAATGATGAAATTATGCATGTGTTCGCCCTCACAAGGAAGCCGCTTCCAGAAGAAGTTGCAAGGCATGAGAAGGTTTCGGTCATAATCCACCAGGATTTTCCCAGCTATCCTCAGAACATCCCGGACCAGCTTCAGGGATGCGAGGCTTGTATTTGGCGTGCTTGAATTTCGACCTACTCCGAACATATATTGACCATGGGTTCAGGACCATCGGTGGCCGCGCACCTCAGTTTCCTGACATTGAGACATATCGAAAGGTTCAGGTCGATTACACTCTAGCTGCCGCAAATGCCTTCGCCGAATCCCTAGCTTCCAAACTCCCGGAAGACAAAAGGCTCCGTTTCGTTTTCTGTAGTGGAAAATACGCCGAGTGCGACCAAGACAAGCCGCTGGCCTTCTTAGCTGACACCAGACATATGAAAGTATGGTGTCCAAAAGATGTTGTGAATCGATTCTAATCATTGACCTAGGGTCAAGTCGAGCAAAAATTACGTGAACTTGCAGATGATAAGAAGAATCGAATTGAAGTCTGGTGCGCGCGACCAAGTGGTGTTCTCCCTCCTGGCGCAGGTGTGCTCAGCAGACTAGCTGGGAAGCTTTACAACGGCATCTCAGCACAACAGCTATCAAAGGCGTTGGTTCAAATTTCGGTTCACGGATATGAAAAACAGGTCATTGAGTCTCATGAATTATTGCAAATGTAATCGGTTTTTTTTTTTAATCGCGTTCCCAGTCCTGCTCTTTGTGGGTGACCCCATCAAGACTGCGCACCTTCAATTATTAGTGACGTGATGGATCTTGACTCGAATATGCCGGTGGACACTCCTACATAAATCCCGCGGGCTAAACTGCACAAACATCCCAAGGGACAAGTATCTTTCTCCTAGTTAAAGGGAGGGGAAAATCCCAAGATGAATAAAAATATCGTAAACGTGATATTGCTGTTGACACTCATATTTCACCTAGATGTTGGATGGTTCTAGGGTAGCCATAGAGCCGATGGGACCCGGAACTTACGAGCGTCGGGGTTCTAACGGCCGACCGCCGACGTCACCCAGAAATCTCCAGAAATCATCCGAGGCCAAAGCTGCATCCGTCTCTCCACCAAACAGCCCGAGCAACGGGCCCAATTGACGATGAACGCCGCGCCCCGAATTGCGCGAAGCTCCCTGCGGCCTGGCTCGTCGCCATGGTCCTGCTTCTTTTGCCAGAATGCGCGCCCGCGCCTGCAGCAGCCCCGCGTCAACCTCAGCCGAAAGGCCTCGAACCAGGCGCCTAGGAACAGCCAACCTCCAAAGCAATACCCATCGATGGACGAGATCCGAGCGCATTACGGCCGCAAGAACCGATCAGTAGCGTATGAGCACTGGAGGTCCTCTAGGAACCATGCCTGACACCGTTTAGGTACTACACTCTTAGCACGATTCTCGGATTCGTCGCCCTCACCTACGGCTCGGTCCCGCTCTATAAGATGGTATGAGCTGTTTACCTGGAACTCTCGGCTTCCGACCTAACATGTTGAAAGATCTGTCAAACCACTGGTTGGGGTGGTCAGCCTGTGCGAGCCCACGGCGGCCCCGGCGGCAACGACGACATCGACATCGCGACCCGGGTTGTGCCTGTCAAGGACGCGAAACGTATCAAAGTGACATTCAACGCCTCCGTCTCCGACGTCCTCCCCTGGAAGTTCACCCCCCAGCAACGGGAGGTGCGCGTGCTCCCCGGCGAGACCGCATTGGCCTTTTACACGGCGACGAACACAAGCGATACGGACATCATTGGCGTGGCGACGTACAGCGTGACGCCCGCCCAGTGTGCTCCTTACTTCAGCAAGATCCAGTGCTTTTGCTTCGAGGAGCAGCGCCTGAATGCGGGAGAGACTGTCGATATGCCCGTCTTCTTCTACCTGGACCCCGACCTGTTGAACGATTTGAACATGAAGGGCGTGGAAACAGTGACGTTGAGCTACACCTTCTTCAGTGAGTCCTTCTGAGCTGTGACGGGGACAATGGGCCTTGCTAACAATAAACAGAAGCGAGGTATGATAACAACGGACGATTCCAGAGACCGGCTTCGCTACTATAGTCGGCCGAACTGAAAGAAGTGATGTGTACGATACGCCCTCCTCTTTATCATATGTATTTCACGCTAGAAGCCTCAATTGGCAAAATAGAATATCCTTGGATATCCATGAAGAAACCTACTGCTTGCGAAGCCGCCTGTGGTCACTTGATGTCACAGGGTTGCTGACTCTTGGGATCTTTACCCGCTGACTGTGGAGCTTCACTGCAATTTTAGCCGCTGGAGGAGAGCCGAGATGTTCCACTTTTCCATCCTGACCTGGCCTAGCGGCCCCAGTCATGTAAGTTCTTCCGAAGCGGGGCTAATTACTCGTGGAGCTCTCAAATTCTGACGGCTTATTCATCCCAGCCCCCTGGGTCTCAGCTTGTGGTACCTACGTAGGGTACGAAATCACGTGCGGATCCACCGCGCACAGCTTCGTGTAAATTTCACCCACAACCTCTCCTTCTCCGAAACTTTCTGTCTGTCAACCCGCCTCATCACCCAACGCCCAACGCCGAAGAACAGTTTTCGTCGCCAAACAACCGCCGAAATGGTCAAGGTCAACCCCCGTGAGTCTCCCTCCTGAGAGCGCCATCGATTCGATATGCGCCCGCCCGTTGCCTCGTCGCATTGGCGCTGACCGCTTCCTGCAGAGGTTTCGTCTTCCCGACGCAAGAGCCGTGCCGCTCACTTCAAGGCTCCCTCTGACCGTCGCCGTGTCATCATGAGCGCCCCTCTCTCCAAGGAGCTCCGTGAGAAGTACAACGTGAGTTGCCCTGCGCTCCCAGAGAAAAATTCTCTCCCTGCGACAATTTACTGACTGAATCAAAACAGGTCCGCAGCATCCCCATCCGCAAGGACGACGAGGTCACCATTGTCCGCGGCACCAACAAGGGCCGTGAGGGCAAGGTCACCTCCGTGTATCGTCTCAAGTACGTTATCCACGTCGAGCGTATCACCCGCGACAAGGCCTCCGGCCAGTCCGTCCCTCTGGGCCTCCACCCCTCCAACGTCGTCATCACCAAGCTCAAGCTTGACAAGGACCGTGAGGACATCCTGGCCCGCTCCAAGGTTGGCCGTGAGCTCCGCGCCAACAACAAGGTCACCGCTTAAGCGTTGACTATTGGACACAATTAAACAAAACGACAAACCTCCCCGAGGACGAATTCTTTCTACGCACACCATGGGCAAAAGTTGATGAGGAATGGGCACATACTCCGGCGTTTTTGCGATACCATCGTCCTTTTCGGCGCGGTACGGTTCTACAGCAGGGTAGATGAATTGAGAATTCACCGGTTCTCAATGGCCATTTCACTCAGTGGGTGAAGTGTTCCATGGGAGGTTTATCCCGAAGTCTTGCCTGCTCTACGAGTCTCATCGTGATCTTCCGACGGCTCGTGTCCAACACGTTGCCGCTCGTCTGCATCGTAGGCTTCCACTGATCAACCTCAAGACTACCAACCGGTATCGTCTTCGTAGACTTTCTGCAATATCACCGCACTTCATGTGCTTCTTCAAAGGTAGGTCTGTAGACATCATCCACCGCTAGGATATCTCCGCGTCAACCACTTAGATCCATGGTTTTCGAGGTATACGACTGGCGAAGAGCAAACCCTGTAGGTTCAGAACTATCATGATGGACCTACTCTCGCCCGAAGATTTTCTCCGAGTTCCCAATGAGGCTGGAAATTTGATGGTGAGGAACATAGCATAACTTGATCGCCGAGCAGTTTGACAGATGTAGAATTGTCAATCCTGTAACGCGCATCTGTTGTCTGTTGCTAGTCACGGTGCCTGCAGCTCGCTGGTGGTACTTCCTGGTCAAAGACGATGGAGCATCGTGTCACATCAAACGAGAACAGATTATAGCAAGGTGTGGTGTATTAAGCTAGAGTTATGTAAGAGCAAAGCATGATTCTATCCGTACTAGAGGCTCAATAGTCATTAACATCGTGTTCCGTCCCCCAAATCGCAACTGGTCTCCGTCCATGTCCATCCACTGAGAATGGTTTATGAACTTAAGATGCGGTGCATCAAGATAACCTTTCCGCGACGTCTGTCCGTGTCCGTTATTACCGTAAAACATTTTGTACTCTAACAATTGTGAGGCCTCGAGCGCCTGAAATCCGATCTTTATTCCGATGTCGGTGTGGCGCAGATGACGATGCTGGCCTGGCTTTCTAGGCTTCAGTGCAAGCAAAACATTGTTCGTTGAGGTGATGATGCGCGAAAAGAAGAATGCAGTCAAACGCGTAACCGCATGCGAAAGTACACATGCAAGTCTTAAGTCTAACAGTCAAACGAAATGCTCATCGAGGAGCATTTGAATGCGTTGCTAGCTGCTGGTGATGATGAAGTCGTCGACTCTCAACGAGAGTCCATGTTGCGAAAGCCCTTGCCTTGGCGGCTGACACCACGGCGCGAGTCATCAAGTCGGCGATCAACCGGGGGACGGTTCTCAGATCGTCTCTCTGTGGCAGATCTTGGGTTGTTTGTCTCAGTAGCCTTGGCAAAATGGCCTCGAGAAGTCGGTGTTGTGTTCGCAATGGCAGGTGTAAGAGAGGCAGCGGCGTGTCCAGCATAGTTGGGAATCACACCCTGTGCCGTCGTCGGAGACACCTTTCCTGGAGCGACATTGGCACTCGTTTTACCCTTCTTCAGCATGGAGTTCAAAATCGTGTTTCCGCTTTTGCGCGGCTTGGACCTGGCAGGTGTTAGGATCAATCTCCAAGAGCTGACGCATGCATGACATACCCATTCGGCACCATTCCTTGACGCCCCTGAAAGATCAAAGCTTCTTCACTATCCTCGCTACTGTCATTAGGCGACGACTTGCACTCGGGGCTGTCCTTGCAACTGTCCTCAGAGCACTCCAACGAGGGCGGCGAGGAATCGTGAGTGACAACGCCAGGCTGACAAAACTCGCGATACACTTCGCTCACCTGAGTAGCACAAGAGAAGGGGCGAGGAATGTCGGCGCCATAGTTGCTCATCATAGAGTGATCTTGTGGCGGAAGTGATTCGGACTGCGTCACATCACCAAGTCGGTTGCGGATGTTTGCCATGCCTGACGGGGCCATGCCTTCGAACGGATCATTGTGCACGGGCTGCTTCAACTCATCACCCAAAAGATCGCTATCCAAGTCTGCCGCACTGGTAGGAGAGGCTGATTCGATAGACGAATCCGAGGAGCTTCCTTTGTTAGGCGATGGAGGGTAGAAGTCCTTGCCGTCAAACTTAGGAAGTCCCTTCTGGAGACTGCGAGGAGTCTTGCCCCAGTACATGTGACGAGCACGACGTTCATCCTTTGTCAGTTTGCGACCATAAACGTAGTCAGACTCACTGGCGTCCTCGGGTCTCATCCCATGCGGCAATCTTCCAACAAGATAAGGGCCACCCAAATCGATTACAGAGCGAGAGTTTTTGAAGAAAGACCGCCAACCAGAGCCACCTCTTGGTACGAGATGGTCATTGACAAGGATGTCTTCACCATCAGGGCTGGAAGCGGTGGACTGGGGGGCATGGATAGCAGTTGCCAGAGTCGAAGTGCTTGGTGCTCGAGGCTGAAATGGCGGGGCCAAGGCGGCGGTGATGGGGAGACTAGACGCTTTTTTGGCAATCTCCTTGTCACGAATAGCCAGCTCAGCTTTGACCTTGGCAGATTGGAAGGCCGACACCGATTTTGCCGAGTTGAGGACTGGAGTAGCTCGAGTTGGAGCTCTCTCTCGGGCATTCTTCGCGGATCGGGCGGATTCCTGTTGAGCAGATTGGTGCATGTCAGATCCAGCATCGCTCTTGTTAACCTCCTTGGACGAGGTGGAGTGAACATCGTCGTTTTGGACATTTGTCTTGGGGTAGTGGGTTAACTCGTATGCCAGCTGGTTCTCGAGGTTCCTCTCAAATTGCTCGATTTGACCGCGAACCATCTGTGCCTGCTCCTCTGTGCCCTTCTCGTCAATCTGATGCTTGTTGTACTGGAGTTGATCCTCAAAGTATCTCATGGACACCCGAAGACTCTCAATCTGTTTCTTGGTGATTTCGCTGGGGCGAATCGAGGAGATTGGTGGGGTCTGTGAATGAACCATGCCAGGTCCAGCTGCAGTAGGCGGTACAAACTGGGGTTGAACGGGTTGGCTGGGCTGGTTAGACTTGACTCCAGCATATTGGACCATGGGGTTGGCTCCACCGTGGACAGTGGGATTGGCTCCGTTGTCTCCATTTTGGATCATGGGGTTGAACCCATTCTGGACCGTGGGGTTGGGTCCATTTCGCTCAGGGGGCATAATCATCTGACCGGGCATCTGCGCAGTCTGGAAGCCCTGAGGCGGCATCACGTTGTACTGGTAGAAGGGGTGGCCATTTGGCATCATCCACTGACCGTTGAAGTAGAATGGGCGGGAAGGGTCAAACTGCTCGGGGGGCGAGACCAAAAGGGGCTTCTCCTTGTCCGAAGTACTGCCTTCGCTCTGCTTGTCGCTCCGCTTATCACTCCGAGAAGAAACGTTGGACTGGTTCATCATAGGCTTCGAGGGCTGGAAATGATTGAAAGTAGGAGGAGGCATGGCGTAGCCACCGGCCATGTTGTAGCCCATAGGAACCGGCACGATTGGGTATGGTACCGGTCCAGGGGCCATTCCAGGATGAATGTTTGGAGCAATTCCATTCATCATGGGAGGGAATGTGCCATATTGAGGCTGCTGGATTTGATACGGGGGAATCCCTGACTGAGCGATGTTTGTGGAATGACTTCCAGCTACATCTCCCGAGTTGCGTTCTCGAGCCCACTTTGTGGTTGGCGACTGCGATCCACGGTTGTTGGGAACGATGCGGCCACCAGCAGTGACACGCACATGAGTTGGGGAGACAACGGCCTTGTAAAATCTCTGGAAGCCCTCCGCCTTCTGAGCTGCGAGACCTGGCGGTGCAGAGATGGGGTGTGTCTCGGTGTGCTCAGAGTCGGATCGTCCAACGTACTTCCACTCCGAGTCTGTGCCGTCGAGCTGGGGAGCAGCGGGACGAACAGCGACGACTTGACGTCTAGAATCGCTATATTCTTTCTCTTTCTGGGGCTCCTCTTTGATGAGAGGAAGCGGTCGGCCCGAAGGGACAGGAACGCGAACCACGCCAACTGCATGCTGTGTTAATTTGGCTGATCGTGTGAAGGGATTGAGAAAGAGAATACGTACCGAGTTCCGAGTCGGACTGGACCTTGGCCCGAAGGTTGTCTGCAACCTTGCGATCGAGAGGTACGCATCTCATGCGCAAAAGCTCACGAGCGGTATAGACCCTCGACTCCATCTCGATTTCTATGAAGGCAAAGAACCAGAACGTATGGTGTCTAGCTTCAGAGTGCCAGCCAAACAAGGTGGGATACTTGCCTTTGTGACCCGGCTGTGGTAGATGACTTCGAACGAACTGTAGAAGAGGCTTCACCTGTGTCCAAAGACTGCCGTCATTAGCGATATTCTGCGCATCAAGTTGCGAGTACAAAAAAGCGGGCAGTTCATTGTCCCCCGAAACATGCGGGAGCGGGTCATCGTTGTCAAAGACGACCATATCGCACCGATTATTGTATTTCAGGGTGTACCTGATACAATACAATACCGGACCTGATAGGCTCGAGTCGTTCAACTGAGAATACTTGAGCCAGCGCAGAAGTAGTCTGGCTTTACGCCCCGGCGTCTTTCTCCCCATTTTGGAAACCGAACCAGGCACCGAAGAAATCCTAGAAGAGTCGCGCGGTGTCCAAAATCACGGGGATCCAAGACGAGGACTTTGGAGGCAAACCAGAAAGATTGGAAGTGACGCAGTGTTTTGCTCAGGTTTTGACAAAGGTGTGCAATGGAGAGTCGAGAAACGAAGGAGTTCCAGGATAGAGAAAAAGGGATAAAGTGTGTGGGAAAAAATGCAAAGCCGCACATGTTTGAAATGAAGCAGTATGCGCTCGGCACTCAGTCCGAGGAGTGGATTGTGAAGCAGAGGTGACGCAGAAGTGAGAGGAGAGTCAAGACTTACCCAAAACGCGCTGGTTGGTAGCAGCCAGCAACTGGTAGGGATACAGGATTTCCCTTTCCGGGTGGCCAACAGATTTTCCAGCGACAGCGGGTATGCGGTTACTGGTAGCGGCACTGGCAGTTGGCGCCAGTGAAGAAAAAGGCGTGTAGGACAAGGTGCAGGCCGTTGCAGATGGCGATGGCCAAGACAAAGAGCAGTGCGGTCGCAGGCAGAAGAGAAGAAGACGGAGAAAAAGAAGAAGAAGAAAGGGATGAGGTTGCGAAGCCTGGTGAGGCGGGTCAGTGAGTATTAGTACGTACGTGCCTGAGGAACGTCCTCGAGGAAGGAGCGCCCCTGGGCCCCTCGGGAGCTGGTGGACGGGCAGACAACAACGGGGGGAAGCTGCCCGGCTGTGCCGTAGCTATAGCAACCACGAGAGCCTGGCGGGAGAGCGTCAGCGGCGATCAAGTGATGGTAAGAGAAAGGTGAGAGAGAAAGAGGTTTCTGGTGATGCGGTTCCACGTGTGGAAGAATAAAAGAAGGAGTGGTGAGGGACGAGTGCGTGCACTCCAAGGGGGAGACAGCGGCCGCGACTGCAGGCTTTTGTCTCTTGATTTGGAGTAGTAAAGAAGACGATAGTGGTGAAGAAAAGAAGGGGAAGGGCCCCAACGATCCTGAAAGTTCCTTTATGCAAGGCAGAACGGTTGAGTGGTGCGATCGTGATCGCGTTTTCGGTGTTGTTGGTAGGGTTTTTTTTGTGAATAGCCTCACGGAACGGCGAGTTTTTATAACCACAACACGCTAGACGCGTTTCTCGCATGACCTGCATATTGCTTCATGCACCTACAAGGTATATCGACATGCGGTCTGCTGTTGTGGCCGTGACGGACCGCCGCATCGTTGACGGATCGTGAGCCGCATTACGACTAAGCAAGCGGAGCTGGGCCAGCGAGGGGCCTGAGGTTCATGGAAGGAGATTTCTGGGGAGGCTGAAGTCATTGGCCTGTACCATGGCCAAATACTGCAGATTTCGGCGTCTTCATCTTCTAGACATAATCACTTAATGATGTCCATATCTACAGTATCCCCGGACGCTCTCATCCGGGACGTGGTGCGGTCTCCCAGTTCTGGGTATCCGTCATCTCCACCACTCTCACCAAGAGTTCGTGGGCTATGCTCGAAATTAATTGCTTCAATATTGCCATATGAAAGAATCACGAACTCTAGTTGTTCTGTTTCATCATCCATGCCCTCGTCGTCGATCCCATATGAAATGACAGTATTCCCACGCCAAACAGTGATCTCATTGACGCCCAGTCATCAACAAGACGGGAAACATAAAGCGATTGTAGTATTGAATGCATTGATGTTGAGATATCGGCGCTGTTGTGGTGGTGGACGGATATAAAGAGTGTGTTGGGCTGACTTCGGTTTCCATCCTGTGTTTGCCATGGAGGGAACATGCATATTATCCCGCTGCGCTTGTCAAAAAACCTGGTTCAAAGGCCATCGTTGCTCGTATTAAACACCAACAAGTGTAGTACTTGTTTTGGAGAATGAGTTGGATAAATCGTCGCGCCCTTGCGACGTTGGCGTCCCTGAATACTAGACGGGTTTGGATTCGTGGAACGGGTTGACTTGGTTTCAGGGGGATTTTGTTTGGTCCACAGGAATTTCACCCAGTCAATGTCAAGGAAACGACTTCTAGGTGTTAGATTAGATACTAGATGCCATCCAGTTTGTTTTACGACTGACGAAATCCAGTTGACTCTCTACGTCAGATAAACGGGCGATGAAGACTATCCTAAAATTCGTTCAAGGAAAACGCCGGCTTCTAGTTCTAACAACAACCGAGGCTCAAGAAGCGGTCAACATGTCATCGGCTTACGGGTTTCGTCGGAAGAATCATGCCAGGGGCTTGATTGACATGATGCTACTGCCAACACACACCTTGAAGTTACGAGTTTCACGACGTCGGCTTGGTGGATTTACAGCATTACTGCAGATGACGACGGCGATACGGCATGCCCCAAACCTCAATGGCTCAGGTGTTCTTGTCTCCTTTCTCCCCCTCTCCGTCAAGGCCGAAGCACCACGGCTTCTGACCGAGCTCTCGTTGTACGTTGGATGGAGGAAGTGCGGGATGAGAGCCTGGACTGCTGCACCTCTGGCTCGATGCCGATTTGTCTGCCTCCAGCCCCTTGTAAATCGGTCGATGATTGACGCACCGGCGCGGCGAGTTGTGATCCCCCCGGGTCGGACCGGGACTTTTAACATCTCGGTCAGAGTCCACCAAACGGCTTCATACCACAACGCCATGCCTCACGCTTCCTGTCGCAAGCCCATTGGCGGTGGTTGCCTCTGCAACAAGACCGCGCAGGCAGTGCATAGAACTCTGCATGGAAAACAGAGTCCTGTGTGTCAGCGGCGTCACGACAGCAATGGGACAAAAGCAAACACCAGTCACTCCCAAACGCAGACGGCAGATCATTGGTCCTCAACGTGCCGAGCGTGCAGGAAGCCGGGGGAGCTGTCAAAGAAAAAAAGGTTCCCGCCGGGATGTTTTACGTCGAGGGCTCTGTTTGGTGTCGGTGTGTGTGGGGGACAGCAAAAGGGTGGAGAGGGGCGAGCTTGGGAACTGTCTGGGGAAGTGCCAGCTACGAGAAACACGAATATCCACGATGCGCGGCCAGCTGCGCCAATGCCTGTAGTTTGAAGAATATGCCCCTGTCGGCCACAGAGATGCGTGCCAGGCTGGAGAGGGTGGCCGGGCCGAGATCCAGTTGGCCTTAGGAGGGTACTGCCGATGCAGGGCTGGCCGATGGGCTTGTGACGATCAAAAAGGACCCAGGAGACAGGAGAGACTGAGAGGCCTGGAGGCGTTGAGCCATTTCCCGCCAACAGGTTAAATCCATCTATGAAGGTAGATGCAGGGTCACGCGCAGACAAGTGACAATTGACGTCGGGTGTGGTTTGAATACCAAGTCCAAAGGACAAGACGCCGTTTGCGCGGTGTTGCTCTTGAATATGTCCGTCTGTTGCCCGTCTGTCGACCCAACACAAACCAGCGTTGTTGCTTAATTGACAATCGCATGTCGCTAGTCCAGACTACCTCGGGTTTGGGCTTGCGATTGCTCAATCGTGGATCGACTCGTGAATGGAGAATCGCGAGCAAGTGGGCTGGCCAGTAGTCCCAATGGCGAGATGGATGATACGTGCGCTGATGTGGGAGCCTCGGCTCTTTCGAGTTGGGGAACCCGCTCACAGCCACGGCTCCTCGTCTTGTCTCCTCCTCGATTGCGCGGTTTATCTCAGCTTGCAGGATGGCTCGTTTGTCAGTCTGCTTTTCCCTCGGCCGAGTTGCATGTTTCCCCCACATCTTGGTTCCGTGTTAGGTGATGCAAGGCAGTGAGGGAGTGGGCGAGGCGAACCAGATGCCACCCCTCCGTCATCTCGTCCCCCATCCCACCAGGCACCACCACCCACAAGGGCCACAAGGGCACACCATCAACACCCCCATGGCGCTTGGCCCCTTGGCTTTAATAATTCAATGCCGCAGCTTTTACGATGCCGGCTTTGGCTACATGCGGGGCGCTACTCAGTCTCTCTCTACTCTGAATTGCCGGCGACCCGGCTGCGTGAGACTCGCGCATCTGCAACCATGAAGAACCTGGGAACAGAAGCCCACCCACCACACAAACTCGCCCCGCTCCGTGGTGGCAGTGGCACACTTTACCCCGCCATCACGGGATCGGCCAACGGGCAAGCCGCCTTGCGCAACAGCCGCCTGACACTTTCACGGGCCGGAAACCTGGGCCATGGGAGGCGTCCTGCGGCTTGCTCGGCGCTGCGGAGGCTAAACGGCCGGTTACGTAGCGACGTCGGTGTGGATTCTCCGTTCCTAGGACACTGGACACAATGACACGTCCCGAACAAACGACTACTAAAGATCGTTGACCCGCCCTTGATCGCCTTCTGTTCCATTCTAGCTCCCATCGCCATCCCTCCCAGGAAGCTCCAGCCTCAAGCTCCCTCGGCATCTCGAAGCTCCACCCACCACCGCTTCCGGCAGTCATTCATACAAGACCGTCCACCACCCCATCCCACTGCAATTCCAATCCACCGCCTCCCGTGACAGCTTCACTCATCTTGTCCCGTAGATTTATTGATACCCCATATCTTGTATGCTCCCAATCCGAGACTATTCCTACCGAACTCAACTCACACCCCGCAGCATCTTGATAGCCTCATCCGTCTACCTACGTCGATCCACAATGGCTCCTCTCGTCCCACATTGGCACCGTCCCTCGCACCCCGACATCCAAGAAGTCGTCGAGAACCCTGCAGAGTTCACCACCAAGAGCATCTCCCGCGTCGCTCTCCCTGCCTTCTCCGTCTTCGCCAAGTTCGACTTTCCTCCCTGCACCCCGGCCTCGGAGCCCACCTACGCTACCGTTCAGACCGGCCGCGATACCCACCTCAACCTCAACAGCGATCTGTTGTACATCAACCACTCCTGCGAGCCCTCTCTCGTTAGTTAACCCTGAAGCTGGACTGCGATGGATTTTCCTCAACCGAAATACCTATCCCCTGTGTTAGTAGGAGAGCGCTAACACATGCCATTGCTATTCTTAGCACTTTGATGTGGGCAACCTCAATATCTTGGTCGGACCCAAGGGTCTGAAGGTTGGCGACGAGCTCACCGTCAGTGCCCCCCCATTCCTCCTTCAATTATACACCAAATCTCTAATTTTCTTGCAGTTCTTCTACCCCTCTACAGAGTGGTCCATGGCCCAGCCCTTTGACTGCCTGTGCAACACCCCGACCTGCCGCGGTCGCATTGCCGGAGCCCGCGATATGACCGACACCCAGCTCGACGGAACCTGGCTCAACGGGCACATCATCCAGCTGCGTGCCGAGCAGCGCCGTGCATCCGATCCGACTGCAGCCGCCCTTGAAGACGCCGTCAGCCTCGCTGAGAAGGTCCTCGAGGCAGCCCGCCTCGCTCTACGCACTTACACTGGCGTCCCTAGTGCCAATGGCAATGGTATCTTCAACGGTAAGGTCGCCAACGGCGGGCTAAGCAAGTCGCCTTCTGCGCAGCACCGCGACGTCTCCTCGAGAGCTCTTGGTGGTGAGATGGGTGGTGATACTATCCGTGTCTGAGCTGGGGGGAGGGGATAGGGCCTTTGGCGACTTGATGGTGGTGGCTGAGAAATGTTGCTGTCGTCGAGGACCCAAGGCCCTGGAACACATTTTCAATTCCGTAGTAGGAGATTTCAGGTTCTTAGATTGGTGAAATATTATGCTGTTTTGAAGTCGAGACTGAATCCCAGTAGTTCCTCATCATTAAATCTAGCTAATCGTACAACACATGCAACTGCAACCCAAAACATTACAAAGCCATCATTGCCCCATGTACAAAAATCCCAAACACCGCGGAAGTTTTCCCTTTATAACACATAATCGTACAGCCTTTTGATATCGCCCGCTTAAGAGGGCTTCTCTTTCGTGTCTCGCCAGCGACTCCAACGACTGCGACCCTTGTCTGAGCCAGCACCGCCGACATACTTGGCTTCCTCCTTCTCCCATTCCGCACGCTCCATGAGGCGGCGCGCTAGGTAGGCCCGCGTGAACTTCCACGCTTCTGTGTCGGCCAAGTTCCACGCCTCGAGGGATGATCGTAGTTTCGTCTCTCGTGTCACCTGGTTGAGATTTACGATCCTTTTGGCCTGCTTGAGCAGAGACTTTTCTTTGGCCTCTGTCTCCTCGGGGGTAAGGAGGGCTGACGATTCTACCGGCTCCACGTATTCCTCGGGGACTCGATCCGCCTTGTCGTCTGCCTTGACAGCTAGTGCTTCTCGCTTTACGTTGTATGACGCATCCTTTGCTGTCTCCTCTTTGGGCTTCTTTTCCATAGGCTTCTCTTCCTTAGGGTTCGCCTCTTTTGGGCCTTCCACAGCGTTCTTATTGTCAGGATGTGGGATGGCGAATCCAAAGTGCCAATCCAGATCCATGGACATTTCCGCCTCGGCAGTCATCCAAAGCGCACTGGCGGAGGCATACTCATCGACAACAGCCTGCTTAAATCGCATGACGCGGAGATATCCGGAGACACGGGAGCCCAATAGTTCTCGAGTCAGAGCCTCTAACCATGGGTCACGGGAAGACTTGCGAACTATCCAGGAGACGTCAATGCTGTCCTGGAGGTGGTCAAGAGAGGCTACGGTCCAGGGATGAGGCACTGTTCCGAGAGAGAACGTGCAACTGCTGTTCCGGTACTGGGAAGGAGTGCTGATCTTCATCGAGGCCGAGCCAGCAGTGCAGTGCTTGCATCTGTAAATATTGGGAGGGCACGAGAATAGAACGGGGTTCTGGGGACAGTGGCCGAGGGCATTGGCCAGCTTGAAGGCGGGTTCAACCATGAATGTGGTATGGTTAGGCAACGGTTGCAGCACTTCGATGCCGTCAGGGAAACGGCTCTGCCAAACCATGTGCAGATGGGCATTGACGAGTTTGTGGAGAGAGGCAAGGCCCTCCGCTCTGCTTTTTGCGAAATTCTCTGCCACCTCAGGATATCCCTTCTTGATGGCCGCGGGTGTGTAGTATGCCAGTGAGGTCGGGGTCTTGTCAATGTCGAATGCCTCCTTTCCTACAATCTCGATGACGCTCTTGGCAGTCGTTAAACTGGAAGAATCCAACAACGCTCGCAAAATTTGGTTGACTTCCACATCATTGCCAGCCAAAAGTCCGCTATCGAGGCCTTTCCACCTGGTTAGGGTGGGATAGTCGCCCTTTCGCAGGTAGTTCAGTAGCGAGTCATCGCCGGCGGCCATTGGGAACAGGGTATAATTCGCCAACAGGCCTGCACCCATTGACTCCCAAGCAAACCATCTCATTAAATCGGCCTTCAGGTCTGGGTCGACATCCAACCTCTGTAGCTCGTTATATTTCGGGTTGACGATAGCCTCGGAGGCCGAGAGAATGACAGGCCGGAAGCCATGCGCCCACCAAGCGCGCCGCCATGTCCGCAGTAGGTCACTCTCGGCATCCTTCTCTTCTCTGGTCTTCTTAATTGTAGAATCGTAGTAGCAGTATATGATTGCCCGTTCTCGAAGCGGGGGAAGGAGGGCTTTATCCTCGTCGAGGGTGATGGAGCTGGAGAAAGGCACCGAGAGCCATTTCCAGTCGGCCCACCATGACGTGCCCTTGTAGGTATCCTGCTTCTGGTGCGGGGGCGCATGTGCCGGCTGGCGGAATGGGTTCAAAATACTGTTGGAGAGGGTGTCGCTAATATCGGTAACAGTGTACTTGGAGTCATGCTTCGAGGCCGTGACGTCCGTGGGGTGGGTGGGAAGGACATGTTGCGGCGGGCTCAAGACGAAGAAAGCGAAGGCGAAGAGGCCGAGGCCGAATATTAGATACGTCAGGCGGCGAGAGGCAAACCGACGGGGTCGGCTGAAGAGGGTATTTGTCGCTGGCATAATTTTCGCGGGAGACGGAGACGAAACGGGAGTGAACAAGTGTCGGGCGTGGACAGGACTCCAGCGAGGGGCATTGACAGAGGGTGTGTCAGGAAGGACGGAGCATCACCAGCTGTGATGGTGGCTTCAAGAGAAAGTCATGCAAAGGCGTCTAGACGAGCATTGTAGAAGGAAATGAGGGATTGAGAGATAAGGCACATCTGTCCATGGCAATTGTTGAGCGTGTGTGCCGCAAGTTGAGGTTGCAAACACGGTCGCGCTCCCGCCGACATGGCGTTGATCTTTCTTCTGCTAATTTACGTGGGGCGATGGGCGCCTCTAGGTAGGGAGGGAGTGAGTGAGTGAGACGAGACGGACGGAAGCCGCGCGTTGCCTAGGCGGTCTAGACTGATTGTGTAACCAATGGCGAAGAAACTAGAAGCAAACTATCAAGCGGCTAAACAGATCAAACGAAGACGGTAATCTACGTGAATCGTGGGGGTTTGCTTGACAAGGGGTGGTCGTTTGCCATGTAGTGCTTGCTACTCTCCTTCGCAGTAGCACCCTGGCCTTTGCAACCACCACCAACACGCCGCTTGGAGCTTGATAAGGCAGTCCTCAGCCGTGACGTAACTTAGGTAGTGGGTGGAGTGGACCGGGAGGCTCTTGGCTTCAGGGGCGCACGCCCTGGAGAGGCCCCCAACAGCACCTGCGCACCAGAGCTTGGGCCAATGCAGTGGGCCCTGACAGCCGAAACAGGCACAGCGCTCTCCGGGGCAGGTAAGTTAGGTACTTTAGGTTCCGTCGCCACTAGCAAATAGGGCTGGACTAGGTACCGTGGGAGGCGTGAACTGGGGACTTGCAGCTTGCTCGTTTCGGCTCTGGCGACGGATGGATGGACGGGAGGGAGAAGCATGCTGTTTCTAGGACTGATTCTGGTTCTAATTCCTATTTGCTTTTTTTCTCACCGTGTTGCCCACTTCGTTCAAACTTTTCAATCGCAAACGCCATGTCATTGGGTGAAGCCGCCGGGACGGTGAGAGTGCAGGCAGCCACGCCAGCCTTGTTTGTGACCCCGCGATCTTGCCATTGCTACTGTGCACGTTGGACTCGGCCACAAAACCACCTTGTGCGTACAAACAAACTTGACATTTGCACCAACCAGGCTGGCGCTGGCAGAGGTAAAACAAGGCGGCACCCCAACGGCCCAACTTGCGTCCTTCACCGTCACTTGCTAGGACGCCGACCGCCCGACTTCTCTCCCTCCCACCACGTCCTTCCAGTCCTCTGATGGTCGACTTCAGCAGTAGCCTTTTTGGCAAACCCTCGTCGACAACCCTTTCGACCGACCCTTTTGGCATCTTCCCTTGACGGGAGCTTCCTGACCTGATCACCGCCTTGAAGGAACTTTCTTCTTTCTTACTCTTTCGTATCTACACAACTGTGCCAGTACCCTCGATTCTCCCTGGATCCCTCCCTCCAGTCACCGTTCACGCACCGTTCACGCCCTCACGCCCACACGCCCACCTCCACGAGGCAAAGTCACCTTTTGTTCAGGTTCATGGGATTTATTGGAACACTCCGATCCCCACACACACCAAGGGCTGATCTCTTGCGGAGCACCACGGGTCGACGTCAGTGTGGTGATATCCTGTGTCGGTGAGCTGCATCGGCTGCCGTGCCCTCAGTCATGGGCCTCAAGCAGTTCAACCTCGACATCAAGGCCGCGGCGTCCACTCCTTGCGATGGAGTCTCAAAGATACGCAGAGGAGATTCCGATGGAGAGATCGTCTTCACCTACGCCCCCCGAGATCTAGCACCCATCGAGATCCAGGCTCTTGCCACAGGTGCGTCCCTGCCCTCCTGGCAAGTTGTGATCACGCTAACAGGCTGTAGATGTTGACTCCTACCCTCGGTCATCTAGGTTCATCGTATTCACCTCTTCAGAACATGTGGGAAAGGATTTGGTTACCTTGCTGGAAGACCTCGCCATCAACGCAGTGGGGAAGAGCGTTCTTCAGGTCATCCAGTTCATTTCGACGAGACTGACGGCCAAGTTGGAAGCTGCCACCACCGGGGCTTTAGAGACATACGATTCCATGGACGAAGAAGATAATGCCGACAACTCCGAAAACGACTCCGGCTTTGATGCAGATGACTTTTCGGGCTCCGAGGATGAGTATCAGATGGAGCTTGATCCGCTGCCGCCTAGAAGACTGGCATCAAGTCTGCGTATCAGCCGAGACCGTGAGGCTCTGAAGCGCTTCAAGCGAGATTTGCGACAAGCAAATTCCGTCGGCTTCTTTGTTTCTCTTCTGGGCATGAACATGAATGACCAAGCATCGGGAATTTTTTCCCTTGCTATTCGCGTCTCGAAACTCGACATCCCAGACGAGGCCCTGGAAGCATGGGACCTCAAGAAATCGGAACACATCGTCTTTCTTGTGAGAATTCCGATGGGATATCCATCCATCTCAGAATTCCTTGAACTCCCCTCAGACCAGTCAACAGTTGAGTTTCGGGTTGGCAAGTGTGCTAGTCCCCGACCCTCCATGTTCTCTGCTAGAGCGGCTTTTGATAACAAAGAATATGAAAGAGGAAGAGACTATGAGGAAGACGCTGTGGGGCTCAGCCAAGAAAGTGGTGGCGACACCTTTATGCCGCTATGCATGTCAGGTTCACTGGATTCGCTTCTCAATCGGGAGTTTCTGGGTCTTCTCCTGGCCAGGCGACGCCAGGGAATATCTTGGGACCAAGCCCAAACTCTCAAATTCAATTTGAGTAGAGGTGATCATCGTCGAAATGGTTCCCAAGGGCTGGAAGATACACAAGAAGCTAGTACTCAAGACGAAGAATCCCTGGAGAATGCGCCTGATGTCCAGTTGCTCCAACACGACTATGCCATGGACGAACAAGAACATCTCAACATTCCCCTCGTGGCCATGCAGTTTGGTCTCCAAAGACTAGTGCGATGCATCAAATACTGCATGGTATGCCATCAAATGATGCATGGAGCCTTTGAAGCCGTCAAGCCATACGTCTGCAACAACCCACTTTGCTTATACCAGTATCTAGCACTGGGCCTTGGGCATAGCATTGAGCACGAAATCATCAACAACCCCTATGTTGTCGACCTTCTCATCAGTTTCTTCTATTCTTCCGTTCAAGGAGGTCACATTCGCGAATTTCCTACCGGGCTGGATCTGAAATGCGTCTACACAGGAGGCTTACGAGATCCAACGAAGAATCTCAGCGTCGATGTTTGTTTCAGGAACAAAACGATCAGATTTGGCAGCACCGATTACATTTCTTACAGAACCATCAATGAGGGAAAATTCGTCCTTCTCGTTGTTAGGGACGTCGACCCCGTTCCGTCGTTGTCTATCATGTCTGGAGGTATGTGGGACTGACCCGACTTCCTCCATTGTTGAACCCCATTTCCACAGAGCCAACCTGACAAACTAACTTATATCAATAGGCCTTGAACGACACATCTGTGTAATCGAATCCGTTACAGGCGAGACTTGTACATTTCGGATTGTAAAATCGATGACAGAACCCCTCAATATCGCACCTCAGCCAGCTACAGAAAAGAGGAATCAAGCAACACATCCTAGCGAGGGATGGATGAATGTCTTACTCTTTCAGTACGACATGGCCATTGACGATCTTGAACTTTCAGAACGCAACCTTTGCTTAATGTTCATGACACTTGCAATTCCACCAGTTTTGGAGATGAGACGGTACTTGATGGAACGACCTGGCCGTTTGCTGTCATCTTGGAGGCGTATGGATACGTCAACATTGGCCTTGCTAAACTGGATTGTCGCTTCAAACCGATCATTCATCGTCCAGGATGCCCCCGTTCCCAATCCACCGAGAGCGGAAGACGTATCCTCGACAACGCTCGATACAGACCCACCATCATCCGATGAGGATGGTGTTGTTTCCGATGGCCACAGTAATAGGGTCAAGGGTATGGACACATCCTGGATGCAGTTTCGTTTCGCTCAAGGTGCGCCCGAGAAGGAACAGAAGTTCATTCAGGCGCTAGAACAGCAGAAGTGCGACGATGATGGGAAATCGAGTTTCCCAAGTCTGTTCGCTTGGCATGGCAGCCCATTGAGCAACTGGCACAGCATAATCCGGAGCGGTCTCGATTTTGTAAACAGTATCCACGGTCGTGCTTTCGGGAATGGTGTCTATTTGAGCGACGATTTTGGGGTGAGCAGCGGATACTCAGGAGGTTGTATCGGTCCTTTGCGCCCGGTAAGCACAGCGGGACAGTCCATTCTTTGCTTGCCTCACTAACAATTTTATCAATAGGGTTCCAACTGGCCAAACTCCGTGCTGGGAATATCTGCCGCAATAAGCATCTGCGAAATTATCAACGAGCCCACCAAATTCATCTCGTCCGCTCCACACTTCGTCGTCGACAAAGTCGAGTGGATTCAATGTCGGTATCTCTTCGTGCGTGTGTGCCCTCATGATGCAGCACTCGCAAAGCCTTTCCCAAAGCCCTTGACAAACGACTCCCCTGGGTATCTTGTACAAGACCCTATTCGCAAATTGAAGGGACCCACCAAACTCGCTATCGAGATTCCCTTGTCAGCAATTCCGGCTAGGCGTCGGCAAACGCCGATCGACAATGTGTCTCAAATCGAGCGTAGCATAGTCCCACTATCTGAAGGCGGTTTAGATATCGACGCTGATGAGGACATGAAGGATGATATCCATAATCTCTTGGATTCTGAAGACGACGATCACGATGATTTAACGGTGCGACAACGACGGCGCTCATCTGAAGACTCAGGCATGGGGGTGTCACGGCCATTCAAGCTGACAACGGCCATGCAGGAATCCAAAAACGGCGACGTCGTTGACACCGATTCCCCCTCGGAAGACGAGAGCAGGACATCCTTCCAGCCAGGCACCCTGGATCTCGACTCGCTACCGAGAGTTCCCGAGCCGACTTGGGCATCCTCATCCCCCGCCGCCCTTCGGAGTCTTAACCGAGAGATCAAGGAACTTCAGCGGATCCAGACTAACAGCGACCTCCGCACCCTTGGCTGGTACATCGACTTCGACAAGCTCTCCAATCTGTTCCACTGGATTGTCGAGATGCATAGTTTCGACAGCAGCCTCCCGCTTGCCAAGGACATGGAGCGCGCCGGCTGCTCCAGCGTCGTCCTTGAGTTCCGCTTCGGCGCCTCCTTTCCCCTGTCCCCGCCCTTTGTCCGCGTCGTCCGTCCCCGATTTCTCCCCTTTGCGAACGGCGGCGGCGGTCACGTCACTGCTGGCGGTGCTATTTGCTCAGAGCTTCTCACTAACTCGGGCTGGTCCCCTGCCCTCTCACTCGAGAAGGTCTTCCTTGAGGTCCGTATGAACCTCTGCAGCATGGACCCTCCGGCGCGTCTCGAAACGAATCGATCCTACGGGAACAGCGACTACGGCATCGGGGAAGCCTTAGAAGCCTTCCGCCGTGCGGCAGCTGGGCATGGCTGGCAGCTCCCCACGGACTTCAACATGATGGCTACGTCGGTGTAAGCGAGCACAGTACGAACACTGCCCTGTACCTACCCCACGGATAGGAACCGATGCGACCACTTCTCCCCGCGGGTTCATATCACCAACCCTGTACGCTTTAATCGGCAGATGTCTTTTGTTTGTTTGTCCTTGCTTTTACTCACACTCTGCAACGGACATGGCGTTGGATTTGGTACATCCCAGGAACAAGATAAGATCGGGCGGGAATCAGATGAGTATCATCCCATTGATAAGGGAATGTATCTAGACTGAGCTGGGATGCCGATAGCAAGAGAAATCCCCCATAGAGATAGTGCTTGTACATTCCTATCCGCAATGAATGAATGGAATGATCAATGAACCATGACACACCGTGCACCGAGATAACCGCAGCCCTCTCAATTTCCCTCTCTCAGCACAAGGGCAGCATCACAGGAGACAGCGACAAGTATTCTGTTCATAATGTTTTTGTTATTTTCATTATACATCAGCGTTGCCATTTGCGTGGCTAGCTGGATCAGGCCCGGGATGTTCACAAAAAGGCAAACATGCGCCCCGCAGCGAAACCCGGCCATGACTCCTGTCTAGTTTTTGTCCAAAGTCTACGATCGATTTTACTTCTATGGGTGTAGATTTGCGATATGATGAGGCTCGAGAGGGAGTTTTTTCTTTCGTCCATCGCATCTTCCTCCCCTAACAAGGGGAGCGAAGTGTACATGGCCTCCTCTGAGATTTGTTTGTGTAGCAAGAAAAGAACCAAGAAATGACAGACGGGGAGATGGGGCAGGGAATGGATGACATAGTGCAGCAGAGCAGAAATCAGTAAGACCCGTCCTCCGATCCGCACTGCCACCGTTTCCACCAAATCCCTTCCTTCCAAAGTCTGCTCGCACACGAGCGCGGGCGCACGATGCCAGGTATCTTGTCAGGATACAATCTTGGGGGGAGGGGGAGGAAATATCGAAAAAAGATGCCTGCAAATCAAGGCGTGGCAGATGAGATACATGCAACATGATACGAGGAGTTCCCGGACAAACTCCAAAACAAAACGACCCAGATCAGAGATCAGAGAAATGCAGTGCCAGACGACGGGCTGTTGAGCGTCGCGACGTGAGGTGGAAGGGTGGAGAGCCCTGTGGGAGGGCCTGGAGGGGGGCCTGGAGGGGGGCCTGGAGGGGGGCCTGGAGGGAACAAGGATGTCGACAGGACTCGATGCCGACTCCCCCATGCGGAAAGAAAACGCCGTGGTGTGCTGCGGAGGTATAGGTGGTTGGTGATTGTCACGAGGTGGTTTCGGTGTGTGGAGCTCAGTTGTGCTGGAAGAGCACGCTGATGGACTCGCCGTGGTGGACTCGGCGGATAGCCTCGGCAAAGACCGGAGATATGTCAATCACCTCCAGCTTCGGGCATAGTCGGCGGTGCTCAGATTGCGGCACGGAGTTGGTGACGAGAATCTTGTCAATGCTCGAGGCATTGATGCGAGCAATGGCGTCGCCGCTAAAGACACCGTGGGTGAGGAGGGCGTAAACCTTGAGAGCGCCCTCTTTTTTCAACAGCTTGGCGGCGCGGGTGATGGTGTTGGCCGTGTCGACGATGTCATCGACAAGGATGCAGACGCGGTTTGCAACGTCGCCAACAAGCATCATACTGGCGTTGCGCTGCTCGGTGAACCGAGTGGGACGGCGTTCCTGAGGGTATCACATGAGTTTTGGACGGGAGGGGGATTTTGAGAAAGAATTGAATTACCTTGTGAATAAGCGCAAAGTCCATGTTGAGGCTGTCGGCGATGAGTGTGGCGCGCTTCGCGCCTCCGGCATCGGGGGAGACGACAACGGCGTCCCGGTACCCGGGAAGGCTCGTCTGGATGTAATTTTGGATCAACGCTTTGCCGTACAGGTTGTCGACGGGGATGTCGAAGAAGCCCTGGTATTGGGGGTCGTGGAGGTCCATGGTGATGATGTGATCGGCGCCGGCGCAAGTTAGCAGGTCGGCGACGAGGGTGCCAGCCTGCGCAACCCACTGCTTGTAGCCGGGCTTGGACTGCTGGAAGGCGTTGACGTTGTGAGGGTTCTCGTAGTCGTGAGTGGTGTAGCTCCTCAGTGAGGAAATTGAGCTCTCAGCGTGGTGGCCGCGGGCGGAGCTATTGCTGGAGATGGTATCAGAACGGCGGGGGGCTGCGAAGTGGTCATGGCCGTTGCCATTAGTGTTGCCGTTTGTTGTAGCGCCATTGGTGGCTTCATTGGCGAGGGAGGTCTTTGTGAGCTTCTCGGTGAGGTTGTTAACCCCATTGGTCAAACCGGCGGACCTGGGAACACCGGGACGGGGTGTAGCTGGGACGCTCTCGAACGTGTAGTCCTTTTTCGAAGAGCCCGAAGACTGAGTTAGAGGAGCGCCGGACTTGTTGTAGGGCCAGTCGGGTTGCCTAGAGTAGGGGAAGAGGGGCACGACGGCGGTGACGCGCTTGGCAGAGCCGGTCTTGCAGGCGGAGATCATGATGCAGAGATCAATGAGGTTGTCGTTGACATTGCCGGAGCCGGACTGGATGATGTAGACATCCTTGCCTCGGACGGAGTCCTTGATCTCGCAGCGGCTTTCGCCGCCGGAGAATTTTGAGAGGATGCGGTTGCTAGGAGGGATGCAGAGGATGTTGCAAATGCTCTCGGTCAGTTGGGGGTGGGAGTTGCCGCCCAGGATGACAATGTTGCGCACCATGATGGTGAGGGCGGGTTGGCGATGTCGAGCTGGACAAGTTTGGGTTGTCGTCGGCTTTGCAGAACAGCCAGAAGAATTTGAGGTCAACCGTTGGCGGCGGACGGAAACGGAGCGGGAGTTGGAGGGGCGGAATCGGAGGGGCGCTGGGCGATGACGAGGGAGACAGCAACGAGAGGCGAGGAAGGAGCAGTGGAGGTGATGGCGTGAGGAGGAGGCAGGGGCAAGCTCGAGGTCGGATGGAGAAGGTGAGGGGACAGCAAAGGCAGTGACGACTGGCAGGAGCAACCCGAGAAGGGATTGAGCCGAATCGAGTTCGAGTCGAGAACGAGCCGAAGTTCAAGACGAAACGAGGCGAGGCGAGGGTTTTGCGAGGCGAAACCCGGCGACGACTTTTTTTTTTTTTCAATGGCCCGCCGGGGTTAGACTGGACGTGTCTTGGTTGGAGGAACGCCGGAAGTACAGTACCTACAGCGCGGCCGACAGTACGGGACTATACAGGCTGTACAGGCCAGTCCAGGCCAGTGCCGGGACTGCACAGTGTACGAACGAACCGACGCTGCTGCTGCCTCGACTCAGGACCGGGGACAGTTGGCCTGGAGCCCACCAGCCTGAGAAGGAGTGGGGGGTTTGGTGGAGGGAGGCTTGTCTTGGCCGCGAGGTGGAGGCGGGATTGGAAATCTGCCTGCGCGCGTGCGTGCGTTGGCGTTGGCGTCGGCGGCTGCTGCGTCGTGCGCGCACCGAGATTGGTGAGTTGCTTCTGGGATGAATGCTCCACGAGGAGCAGGGGACAGGTGAACAAGTACCTGCTACGCACTGTCTCGCACAGCTGTACTGGATGTAGGCAGGTCGCACTCCCTGTAGAGGTTGCAACGTCGTTGCAACGTGCTGAATCCGCAAACGTCAGAGGCTCGGCGAGGCTCTCTCTTTTATTTATTGTCTGCAGCCAAGCGAGGGCGACGCCGGAGGACAAGAGGGTGGTATTGTATGGTATGAGTAACAAAGAGTCAGAGGGAGTCGCCGGGTAGGACCCAACCGCAGCAATAACCAGCACGCACAACAAGCAGGTGACAGGATGGCGAGACAAAGGGAGTAAGGCAATAAGAAGAGGGGATGATTAAGTGGAGATGGAAGATGGCCGAGTAAGTTATCCCAGGTCCATTCTTTTCTCTTCCGGGGTGGTTTGGTGTGATCGAGAGGCAAAAGTAAGAGTGACGACAATAATCTGAGTGAAGCCGAGAGGAGAACCTAGTTAAGAGGAGCCATCTTTTGAGTTAGGTTCAGCAGAAGTGGGAGCAATGTGAGGAACAATGGTGGAGGAACCAGCCTGGATGATGCGCAACCGCAGCCGTAGTGTGTATTGAAGTGGTGGTGAATAGAGGTGAGGTGAAGTGAACCGGTGGAAATCACGGTGGCGGTACAGTGGGGTGCACAAGACCCTGATCTAGAGTATTGTACTGGGATGCACCGCTAACCTACATTAGGCTATAATATACTGCCATTTCTAAGGGTAGGGTTAGGAACAAACAGTATGAATATCTTGACAAAGATAATAAAAGACTCAAGAGACAAAGGATTGATAGTTTATTTATATTTTTATTGGATTAAATACAGCTATTCTTCTTCTATTCTACTGTTTGAATAGAGCATGAGTAAAGCGACAAAGTGAGCAAGCTGTATGAAGCAAGCGAGCCATGCAGTACATCATTTTGGATCAGGACTTTATGCTTCCCACCGTACCGCTACCGTGGATGGCCCGTACCAGTCAGGTACACACACCAACCAGCCGGCGCCGACCCACGCTTGCAGTTTGGCACCTGGTGCAAGACACGCGCGAAAGTCTAGGTTTGTCCTGAATGAGTCAAGTCTCACTCTGCGCCGGGCCACAGACACGGCAGAGAGGGGAAAGGAAGGGGAAGAAAAGGAAAGAAAAAAAAAAAACCTTCGATGGGCGGCGGTTTGACATTGGCAAAGCCGGGCCACCGGTACCCGGAGAGAGGGATCTCCATTCTCCAAAACTCGACCTGGTTGCAGTCAGTGCCTGTGCGAACGCGTTCGTCCGGATACTTACGAGGTACTTGCGGACATAAGTTATCCCCCGCCCCCGCCAACGGAAGCGGTCATGTCCTGGCCCGTCCTGTCCCGTTGCGGCCATTCCCCATTACTCACGCGAGACCACGAGATGCAACTGAGAGATATACTTAACCACCAGGCGAACGGATAAACAATTGCTTAGGGGCGGTTGCATCACGTCAAACCCCCCTTGTCATGCCCAGCTCGCCCCCAACCTGCAGGCGACGGCATCTCAGGGCCGTCGCCCACACCACCACACCACGCATCGACACGGGGACGCGGAGTAACGCAGCAAACGCAGTGACGCAGCAGCACGGCAACGCACTGTAGAGGAACTGTGCACAACCCCGGTGCGCGTACCCGCCATGTACCCCGAGTAGGTACCTGAAAGGTCCGGCGGACGTGGTGGGGCTTGGAGAGGGGAGGAGGCTTGAGGAGGAGGCTTGAGGGGCAAGGGGAGCTGGAGGGGGCCCTCTGGAAACCTTCCATCGTTAGTGGACAATCGCTGGGCAAGTCAACTGACAGTGCTTCGCAGCGGGTGGTCCGCGGAGCTCCAGCCACTCACAGCGAAGGCTTTTATTTTTATGCCCTCCCATTTTAGCCCCTCCCTGGTCCTGCTGAACATCCAGGTTTTTTTCCTTTTTTTTTCTTTTCTCGCAGGAGCCGCTGCAAGCTACCAGGTACCTAGTCCCGGGGCTTCAGCTGGGTCCTGTCGCCCGTCCCCGTTCGTCTGGGACGGCGTTTGTCCCGTCCAGTTCTGTCATGCCCTGTCACATCACGTCCTCGCTCTGTCTCGTCGTAGGCCAGGGATCTCGGCTCTGCGACGTGTTCGATGTCCCGATGACGGAGGCCCGCCCTTGGCACGCATCGCGATGTGCATTGCTGCAGCCGGCGCGGAAAGCAGGGTCTCATCGGAGACATGGCGACTACTGTATGCAGTACATAAGCTTGCTTTGCGAGTGAGACATGCTTGTCATCTCCAACGGTCGGTCTTCTACGCCTCCGTGACTTTGACGCGCTCTTCGCATTGCAACTCTGTTCGCCTACCAGGCAACTCACACCGCTCCGCTACCTAGGAGCGGAACCTCGGTACATTAAAACTGTACACAGTGTTGGTCCCCTTTCTATGATACCCAACGTAGTACAGCTAAGCCCGTTAAACCAATTTTCAGGCTTTCCAGCCGAGGTTGTTAGTGCTAGCCCGTAGCGTTGTATAACTCCGGAGTTGGTAGTCCATCCTAGCATTGATTGATTGACACAATATGCAGCAATGAAAGAAAACACATCAGGATGACCCCCAAGTTGCCTGCTATTTGCTCACGCGCACCTATACTTAAAACAGACAGCAATTACGGGTCTTCCCCGTCTCACGATGCCCACTGCACGTCGCCTTGCGAGAACCTCGCACGTTGTGATTGGGTCCATGACTCCGTCGTCTGCGGTCCCGGATCCAAAATCGCGGGGTTCTTGTTCCGGCGGCGACGAGGAGACAACCCAAAACCTGATGTTCGCACAGTCAGCCCGTAGAAGTCGTCGTACTAACCCTGCAGATCCTCAAAGTACATTTGAGACTTGCGAGGCTTGAGGCTTAGGACTCCTCGGTTGTGATGTTTTCAATATTGATCCTTTTTCAACCAGCAGCCCATATGCGTCCTTGTGATACGGTCGTACATTCTTTCTTGGGAACCTTCTCATCCGTGCACGGGCCAAGTACTCCGTCTGCCGACGACCCAGAGTGCAGAACGGAGTAACATGCAGCACAGAGGGGGAAAAAATTGATAGAAGGCCTCTTCCGGAAAGGAAAAAAATCTGACGCGAAACCACTGCACAGTGACGCCCTCTTTTGCCTTGAACCACCAACCATTGACCACGACACAGAACACTAGGTTCAGTCCTAAGCGAGTGTGCGGATAACTCACCTGAGGCTTCTGAGGAACCAATTATCACGTTGCAGAGACCTTCGACGTTGCATGATACCTCCTTCGCCAGCCGGTGGCAAGTAGTGCACATCCACATACCGACGTCTACCTACTATCAGACTCACACTTCGCCGTCACACAGGATTGCGCTCCACATCCGCACTTGTTGTCAGCCTCGCCAAGCTCTGGCCGCTGGTTGGCTGAAATCAAGTCTGTCTGGAGCCTGATTCAACCCTCCCTTTGCGCCTCACTCGCCTATTTTGCAAGCCTACTGCAAATTGCACATTGTCCACTGCAACCAACCGCCAAGATGAAGATCGTCGAGTCTCAAGCCGCCGTGCTCTCCAACTTTGAGGTCTACCAGCACCTCACCGAGCAGCGTGACCGCTACAAGAAGAACAAGCGTCGGGGACCCCCCAATCTCGAGACGGTTGTCCGTGAGGTAAGCCACCACCATGATCTGAGTTACGCCTCATCTATCGACTATCGACCCATCAACTATCGACCCATCAACGTCAGAATACGCACTTGGACATGAATGAAATGCTGATACATTGACGTCTTAGCTTCTACAATACATGCGCACCCATCCCGGCCCCCTCAGCCAGGATCCCCTCACTTATTCCCCAGGCTGCATCGCCAAGCTGCTTGAGCGTCTGCGCCCCTACAACCTCGCCAAGGGTGAAGTTGTCATGCTCTTGAATCTGCGCCCGGCCTCCGTTGCCGCCCTCAACACTGTCGTCGAGGACATGGCCGAGCGGTTCGATGAAGAGCAGCAGGAGGCTATCGTCACGGCTATTTCTGACGTCCTGGGCCAGTTCCCCGCCAGTGCCGAGGCACAGGATGACGGTGAGGCGGCCGGTGATGTCGATATGGGCGATAGCACGACTGCTTGAGAGCCTCATCTTCGAGGCAACACATTCGATCCCACCTTTTTGGGGATTGGCTGACACAAATACCACCCCATGACCAGCTCAGGCTCACCAATCAACTTCACATGACCGAGCACGCGCTCTCATCCTGGTTCAATGATGCCCCTTGTGCCATGGCCGTCTTGCACAGGTCCTCAAATGCCAACTTCAACAATTCTCCGGTTACTGCCGAACACTCGACGTATCGGTCCGCCCGCATGGTCTGCGATATCTGATACGCCTCTTGCGGATAGATGATGCCGTTGGGGTCCTTCTCCGACCTCAGGTCACGCTTCAACCCCAGCACGATAACGGGCAGGGCATCGAACCGCTTGAATGCCGTCTTGCACTCGTTGATCCACTGGCGGTTGCAACCACCCCATATCAGCACGAACTCTTACACCAACCCGAAACAGAAGGGGGATCATAGGCGGGAATACTGACATATCGCTGCATGTTAATGAGGCTCAGCCGCTGGCTGATGTCGTAGCAGATGACGATGGCATCGGGGTCTAGGAGTCGCCAATTGTCTGGGCTCGACGTATCGAAGAACTCGAAGCGGAGCCTCCGTTGTCCCACTTTGATCTCGAAGAGGAAGGGCTGGTCAATGTCGCGGAGAATAGGGATCGGGTTGAGCTTTTCACCCGCACTCAATCGTCTGGTGTGTCAGGAGAGCAAGCCTAGTGTTAGATTGATGGAGCACAATCAATAGATGGATGACGGCTACGCACGAGAGAAACGTCGTCTTGCCACACTTTTCATCGCCTACGAGCACGATTTTGATCACTTCGGGGTCCATTGTGTCCAGTGTTGGTTTTATCTGAGTCGTAAATTGCACGTAGATATGAGGGAATGGTTGAGAGGGGGGAAATCACGCAGCGTCCATACGTTGGCCCAAGCCAGAGTTATCGAGTTGGTTGTGGCGCAACTCGGTGACTAGCCACAGAGGACAGCCCCAGCAAAGCCACACTATTCTATGTGGTGGGAAGCCCTTTTTCACACCAGACTCAGATGGGTCGCATATAAGAAAGCGAACCCACACCAACTCATGCGACCGTTTGGCAATTGTCTTGGGCGCCGAACTCCCCTTGGAGCCATCGTCGCCGGAGGAGCTCAAAACTGCAGCCCGCCCGCGCCGTCTTGTCACCGCTGGGCTTCGCACTCTTCTTTGTCGTCTACGTCCTCCTCATCAAGTGGTGAATCCTCCGAGGCTCGCAAGCAGCGCAAAGCTGCCAAGTACCGCACCATGTCGGGCGAATCAAACTACATGTCATGGACCAAGAACGGTCTCATCGAGCGTGTTAAGGAGCTCGAGGCCGAGCTGAGGTCCCGGCCGGCCCCGCCAGCCCCGAAGCCGGAGCCGGTTCCTCAGAAGCAACCCGAGCCCGAGAGCGGCGATGGTGCGGCGCCGTCGGCTGCGTCAGAGGTCAAGAAGCCCAAGCCCAAGGGCAAGCGCAAGGTCGATCCGTCCAAGTACTCGACCCGGTTCATTGCGCTGAAGCTGGCGTACCTGGGCAAGAACTACGGCGGCTTCGAGTTCCAGGCCATGGCCACGCAGTCGTCCATCGAAGAGGAGCTGTGGAACGCCCTGACCAAGGCGTGCCTCATCTTCCCCAAGGACAACAACGTCGTTGACTTTGACTGCTGCGAGTACTCCAAGTGTGGCCGCACCGACAAGGGCGTCAGCGCCTTTGGCCAGGTCATCGGGCTCCGCGTCCGCAGCAACAGGCCACTGCCCAAGAAGCGAAGCCCGCCAAGTCAGGGGGCCGAGGGTGCAGATGCCATGGTGGTGGATGAACAGTCTGAAGAGAAGACGGAGGCAGCAGTGGAGGGGGACGAAGAAGAGGAGGATACACCTTTTGACTCGATCAAGGATGAGCTGCAGTACCCACGTATACTCAACCGCATCCTGCCTCCCGAGATCCGCATCCTCGCTTGGTGTCCCGCGCCACCGCCCAACTTCTCTGCTCGCTTCTCGTGTCGCGAGCGACAGTATCGGTACTTCTTTACGCAGCCGGCCTTCTCGCCCGACCCCAAGGCGGGGGGCAAGTCGGGATGGCTCGACATTGAGGCCATGCGCGATGCTGCGAAGCGCTACGAGGGCGAGCACGACTTCCGCAACCTATGCAAGATCGACCCCGGCAAGCAAATCACAAACTTTTCCCGCACCATCTACGAGGCCGACATCGTGGAGGTCAAGGACGCTTCGACTGCGCTGCCATATTTGGCAAATCCGGGCTTCGCGCCTGCGGGGGGGCTAGACGGGTCGGCGATACACCCCAAGGTCTACTCCTTCAACGTGCGAGGCTCCGCGTTCCTGTGGCACCAGATCCGACACATGGTTGCGGTGCTGTTCCTTGTCGCACAGGGCCTCGAGAAGCCCGAGGTCGTCACGCAACTGCTCGACGTGACCACCAACCCGTGCAAGCCCAACTACGGCATGGCCGACGAGGTGCCACTGGTTCTGTGGGACTGCATTTTCCCTGGAGACGAGGCCGCGCCGGCAACCAAGAATGGTGACGCCCTCAAGTGGGTGTACCTGGCCGATGACCCGGCGCTCAGCAAATTCGGTCAGTTCGGCGTCATCGACGGCATGTGGGCGCACTGGCGCGAGCACAAACTCGACGAGTTGCTGTCGAACCAGCTCCTGCGGCTCGTCTCGCGACAGGGCAGCTCCGATCCTTCGCAGCGAATCGAGCGACCGGAGACGGTTGCGCCGAATAGCAAGCAGGCCAACAGCATCGTCGTCTACGAGGGCGGAAACTGCGGGCGCATGGGCGGACGATACATCCCGCTGATGAAGAAAGACCGGCTGCAGGCGCCCGAGGAGCAGAATGAACGGTATGCGAAGCGCAAGGGCTACGCGGGATCGGAGGACATGAGGCAGAAAAAGGGGTTCGGCAAGCGAAAGATGGACGAGTCCATGACGGACGAGTAGACATTAGATATCCATGCTGAGGTCAGCATAAGTTCATGAAAAGTGACAAAGCGCTGGGACACAATAGACAAGCGCAATAAAAACACGGTCCCTTGTTGGGTGGTATAAAGCTCTATGATATTAGTCCCTTGTCTTCTCCTCTGCCTTCGTACAAGCAACCTCTTGCACCTCTCCATACTTGCTCGACAATCTTCAACCGAGGCAACAAGCCAGGGAACACAACGACGACGTCTTCTTCGCCCTCGACAACAACGACGAGGTAGTACCTGACCTCGAACCCACGAAACGCCTCGTTGACCAAGATGTCTCGGATCTTCTCGGTGGGGATGAACCTTGTTGCCGTGTTCGCCAGATAACTAGCCGGCGACTCGCTCGTCTGCACACCCAGCCCCCTCATGACGAGCAGGCTCTCGCACGCATAGCCTCTCCGGCTGAGCAGCCACAGCAGCGCAACGGCGGCGGGGACGAGGACGGGCACGGGAATGCGGGCGGCGAGGCACGCGGCGGTGCGGCCGGCCGGAGAGCGGAAGTAGGCCGGGGCGCGGAGCAGCGGGGTGCGTTCGGCGAGCGGCGAGAGGGCGTAGCGGGCGTGCAGGATGAGGACGGTCGCGAGGGAGACCAGCAGGCGGGCCACGAGGAGGACGATGTGGAGGGGCGTTGGGAGAGGCCGCAGCGTTGTGACGGTGAATTCGGCGGTTGTGGGCGAGGGGCGACGGATCTGGAGGCGGGGGGATGTTGAGAGCATGTTGGCGGTGGTGTTGTAGAGAGGTTCGCTCGGTCAATAGAAGGCCATCATGGGGATGGATGCTCAGCGACGGGGCAAGCTAGGAAAGCTGCTGGGGTTGATGCGTGGGCGACAATTCGATTTATTAGAGGGTGTTGTTTCCGGATCGAGCTCCGGTGAAGGGTTTGGAGCTGCAGCGCTGTGCCAGTCAGCGACGAGAGAGAGAGAAATTGCCAACCCAAAACGATGTTGCTAGAAGCTGTAGCAGCTGTGGTTATGGTGTTGATGGTAAGTTACAGTGGGACAACACCTCCAGCGCCTCCCACTGCCGAAGTTTACCCCCACAGCGCAGCCAGGTACCTTTATCTGCCAATAATTCAGCGAATTTTTCCGACTGTAATGGTCTAACGGCGAAGACGTTCACAACGCCCAGCTGTCCACCCCAAATCCATAAGCACCCTCTCGCCGCGCCCCGTCCGAACGCTGCGGTGGCCGCCCACTCGTACGGGAAACCTGCGATGCTGGTAACATTCATTGCGGCCCTCAGCACTGGAGATGACCCTTGAGGGAGGATTCACTCTGCAGAGACCTCTCCCCCGTCACGTGGCGGGTGGGATCACGTTCGTGCGAGGGGCTTGGGTTGGAATTGGCGGGGATGGAACTGTTCGACGCTTCTTTTTTTGCACTTTTTGCCGATTGACATGGGGACTTGGCGCGTTCTAAAAAATACTGGTTGAGCTTGTTGATAATGGTAGTTTTACTTGCTGGAGTTTGATGCTCTTCTTACTCTTAGGCGGTGTTGTGTCGTGCGATTCGAACTCTTTAAGCTGTCTTGGGCTTATACCATGTACGGGCTGACGCTATCACCACCACTGTTAGCAACTGTATGCTTGCTCAAGTTCCAGACCCAGTTACTCGCGCACTGCGCCAACGCACTCAAGCTACAATCACAAATTGCAAGAATAGACATTAAGAAGCAAAAGGTAGAATTAAATAGTCATCACATCGTTATTATTTAAACCCATCTCATTCAACTGATCAGCAATAACACATCGCCCATACTTCATTCCCATCAAATCCTTCCCAGTCTTCCTTGCGCGATCCCTCAAAAACTCAAACAAGTGCCGTGAGGCAGCATTGTATAAAGCACCCCGCCGTATTCTTTGGCTTGTGCTCTTGATTTTTGCCATCCATCACCTCCCCATCTGCTCCCCTATGGTGGCTTACATTTCATCCCATCCGCTTTCCATTCCACCATCATCCCAATTCGAAGCGAACAAAGAAAGCCCAATCATCCCCATATCCAGAGCTTAACAAAACAAATATCATGTGTCTGTTATTCTGTATCCATCAAACATAATCTGTGTATAAACATCTGCCGCCTGCTGTTGCAAAAGGATGGTCAAGAATCCAAGGCTCAGAAAAAAACGAAAACAAAACAGTCGTCTCTTGCCGGGTATCACCGAGCCTGCGAGACGACCTAACCTCATGGCATATGAAGCAAAGAAGTCAAAGAAAAAGCATACAAAATCGCAATAAATGCTCTCAGACTTAAAAAGTACCACGCTGCTTTACCATTTCTTCCTCCAAAAAATATCCAACAGAAACAGCGGGCACATAATAACATCGTCGTGAGACGAACTCAGGTTGGAGAAAGTGGTATCGAGGTATTTGAATCGACAACGCCAATCGCCATGCACAGAATCGAAGAGTACAACGGTAATAGGGAGAGGAGTAGAAGTGGGAAATAGCACCAGTCAGCATCTGCGATCAAGCACCAGCTCTTAAATCATCTCGCTTCGGTGCAGTCCCGTCGACATATGCCTGTTCTTTGTCTCAACGGGCGATCGCATTGTTTCCTGATCGTACATCATAGGAGGTGGAGACTGAACTCGACGGGGCATAGGGACGCTCTCGTATGGCGCCTCGAAAGGCGGAGACTTGACTCGAGCATCCTTGCGGCTACGGCTAACCGAACGCAGGCGCTCAGTTGCCTTGGAGAAGCGAGTAGAGATACTGTTGTCTCCATTGCTGCGGCCTCGGCTGTGGCCCTTGACGCTGGCCATTGTTGGGGGGCTACCGCCGGGGGCCGGCCCATCGTTGCCCGACGTGTCGTCATCGTCCATGACGATTTCAATCATGCCAGACCCAACCGCGCCCATCTCATGGTGTCGCGGCATGTGTGGGAGGGGTGCAGGAGGAGGGGGAGGAGGTGTAGCCAAATGCTGAAGCTCCTTCAACAGCGTGGGAGCCGGAGGCGGTGGAGGAGGAACTTGTTCCTCATGAGATCGGCGCCGCTCGTCGTGTACGACCTCATCAATGCGACGAGATCCTCCACCAATACTGTTCTTGCGTCCGAAGCGGCTTGGGCCAGGCTCGTCAAGAATAGGCGCGGACAAGCTTCTGGGGATAACGGGTCGCGAAGGCGGCTGGTACACCGTCGATGGAAGGAGAGTCAACAGATTCTCCTGGTGTTCCTTAGGGGGGCTTTCAGGAGAGACTTGGGGCGAGTGTCTCTGGGCAAAGGTGGCTGGGATCGGAGGGACATCAGGCAGTAGCGAGTTGCCTTTGTCGTTCTTGTAATCGGTCTCGATGATGAGCCTCATTGCCTTGGGAGTCGCGGGCAGCCCGATGGCCGGGCCATTCCGGGCATACATGCTCTTGGGCGGGCTCTTAGGAGGCGCCGTGGCACTCCGAGGAGGAAGATCGTCAGACGGAGCCTGGGGCTCAGCAGCCTCGACGCTAGATTGCATCAGGCCCGGGGATAGCTGGTTAGGATGAGGAATGGTAGGGGCCTGGGGACGCTTGGCTAGGGACTTCCGCCGCTCCTCAAGCTCCCGGGCGGCCTGTTCCTTCTTGCGTTGTCGTTCATCCTTCATCTGTCGCAGGTCACCAGCATGCTCAGTCGAAGCGGCCCGTCCGTGAATAGCAGGAAGCCCGACCGTCTCGGCAGCCTCCGTCTGGGCTCTGGCGCGAGTCTCGGGTTGTTCTTTCATGGCCACCACAGGTGAGTTGAGGCCACGGCTGGAGCTCCGGCTATGCTTTGCACGAAACAGCTCCTGGGCCACCATAGCGGCCTTGAAGTCCTCCTCATCCTCTGAGCCCTGGTAGTGGAGCGCCTGAGCTGACATTGGCAGAGGAGACGAAGGGGATCGCTGGACAGAACCAGTTCTGTCCTCACTCCTACCACGGATATCCAGTGCCGGGGGGATGTGTCGACCCTCTGGGCTGCGACGACGACTACCGCGACTCGAAGTACGACTGCCAGGCTTGGCCTTGGGGGCACTGAACTTCCTGATAGTCAAAGGGTCGGGCATTTCGGTGCGGTTGGGGGTGCTCAGCTGGATCAGGTCCTCTGGAGACATGGGAACGGGAGAGGTAGGTGATCTCTTAGCCTTAGACCAGGTTCGAGAAGTGCCACGGCCACGTTCCTCAGAGACTTCGCGCGACTTGGTAGATCTCTCGTGGCTACCTTGGCGGCCACGAGATCTGTCCCTGCTGCCTGGGCGACTGCGCGACTTCTTATAGTGCTGTGCAGCATCCAAGCTATGAATGTAGTCATCGCGGTGTCTGCTGGCTTGCTGTCGTAGGCTACGTCCAGCACTTGAGGCCGATGTGGCGGAGCTCGCTACAGATCCAGTGCCACGACGACGAGAAGGCCAGTGAAATCGGGTAGACGAAGTGACAGACTGCTCGGGTGAAGTCACCTCTCTGGTCTCCACCTGGTCCCAGGCCTCTAGATGCATGTCCACGCCGACCGGGATCCGGCCGCGAGAACCATTGCGACGGTTCGATCGAGATTCTTCCATCTTCATCATAACGTTCTTGTCAGGCGAAGGGGGGATTTCACCATCAGGGCCTCGCACCAGCCTTTGAAATCCGTCTCGCATCATCATCGGGCTTGCAGTAGCCGCTCGTTGAAGAGCAATCCCAGCACTCATGTTGTCTTGGCCAGAAGAGATTGCGCGGGTATGACCTAATCGGTTCTCCATGGCAAGAGGAGGGGTGGCTTTCTTCTTGAGTTGATCGCGGTTGAGATCAGATGGAAGCTCGCCGATGGAGGGAAGGCGACCACGTCCAAAGCTTGGGCCGGCACCTCGGGCAGAGGTTGGCGTGTTGAACCTGCTGTTGCTTGAGGGTCTCAGAAATGCAGTGGTGGCCTCCTGAGAAGGTCCAGGAGAAACGGCAGACTCGGCGATGGGAGTCGCGCCTGCAGCAATAGGAGTCTTGCCGCCATCACCCTGGGAGAAGAACTTGGACTTCTGTGATTGATCGCCAAACGAGGTGATGAGCTTCAGGGCAGACGTCTTAGCAATGCTGCGCTGTGGCCCTCGCTGGATACCGGGAGGGGATAGGGGAGGGCTGAGAATCTCCGGGATGCTAGGCGTGAGGCTCTGGAAGTTGAGTTGCACAGCAGACGGAGAAGTCCAAGGCTCGGTGGACTCTTGGTCGGTGCATGCGAAGCAACGGATGGCCAGCTGCTGCTGCCCATGCTGAACAGCCCACTCTCCCCACTTCCGAATGATGGCAGCTTGACGCTCCCAAACACCGGGCAATGCGAGGCAAGTTAGGATCAGGGCCTCCATGTATCGCTTGTGTGATATGTAAATCTCAATAGCATCAGTGTGGTCACCCATACCGAGCATGATAGTGACTGCAGCGTGAACATCGCCTGTCTCGAGCAGACGCTGAACGTAAGCACGTCCGATCTTATGCTGAGATGCCTGGCCACCGATGCCACTCAAAGCCAACAACATCCAATCCTGAGAGGTCATGTTTTCGGAGCTGGCAGCCATGACATCGGCATCAAGATCACCAAGCCATTTGGCCAGCAAAATGCGGCTCGGAGAACCTGCGATATGTCGGCTCATCTCATCCCGGATGAGGTCATCAATCTCCTTGTTCCATCCAAAGATGGTGTTGAGCATCTGATGGCGGAGGTCGTCATTGGTGAGACGAGAGTTGTTCGGCACCGTTGGGTGCTTGTACGGGATATCACTCAGGCGCGTCCGCGTATACTTGAAGAGATCATGAACCTTGTTGTCGTCTGGGCTGCGAGGGACTTCATGTCTCAACCGGGAAGGCTTATGTCGGGACCGTGTTGAGGACGTTGTGCTTGTTGTTCCCATGGAGTACCCCATAGAGTAACTGTCCATTTCTTTCTTACCAATTGTCGATGACTTGAGCGACGATCCAGCAGAAATGTACGTATTCTCAGTCATGCCCTTTGATCTCAAGGACCCGGGATAACGGCCAGGGGTTCGAGATCCTCCGGAAGACTTGGTGACAGACGATAGGTTGCTTCGGCTGGATACTGGACTAGCCGACTCGTAGGAAACCTCACCTCCAGAGTCCTGAACGTTGTTCCGAGTAAGGCGGGCAAATGGCGATAGATGGTCATCATCACTCTCGGAGATATTCATGTCCAGGGGGATGGAGCTGCTTTCGGACTCGGATGTGTTGATAGTTGTGGCCGAGCGGACCGACCGGTCGCCAGTCTCCTCGGAGACAGGGGGTGAAGGTGGCAAAAGGTTGGCAGGGTGCTGGACATTTGCCACTATGATGGAAGGGGAGTTGAGGTCGAACTGCTGGGCCGTGTTGTTGGGGCCAAGCGTAAACAGGGAGGCACCAGGGCCGTAGACAGCGAGGCCTCTGACATGTTCCAGAGTGGGGATGGAATCATAGGTGACATGCTTAGTCCTGACATCCCATGATAGTGTTTGGCTGTGGTGGTGTTAGTGAGTGACGGATCATGCAGTTAAGCGCGCGCGTGGATTAGGGGGGTCTGTGATAGTAAGCGTTGAACGTACGAGTCAGAGTATTGGATTATGCGGCCGTTTTTGGACCAGCCCATCCAGTTGGGACCATTCAGAAAGTTCTCAGTCCGTCGTAAAACGCGGACGATCTTGGCAGGATCTTCAGCGTTGAACAATTTGGCCACACTCCAAACCCGAAGGTCGCCGTTGTGCGTTTGCACGGCAAGCATGTCGGATTTTTGTCGCGAGGATGACGCATGCCAAGCCAACGTCACAATTGGTGACGGCCCTCTTGATGTAGTAAGGTTGTGGAGAATAGTGAAACGAGGCTGCAGAGTTGCGACAAGTAGAGAGCCATTTTGATATCTGGGACCCAGTTAGTGGGGAGTTGCGCCTCGCAATTCGAACTCAGTGAAACTTACCCAATGGCAAATGTACGGCAATCGGCCGATGGTGCCAATGCTGTCACGGCAATTTGATCTAGCGTCCTTGAAGAGATGTGTTCGGAAGTTGTGGGCTCGAATAGAATGACACTTCCTTGCGTGTTGCCTGCATTTTGTTAATTCCCATTGGACCGGTATAAGTATTTAAAGGGTGCATACCAAACGCCACATTTCCGTTTCGCATCCAAGCCGCACAAGTGAGGTGCTCATAAGACGCAAATCGGGAGACTTCATCTCCTGTCATCAAATCCCATACAATGGCCGTTTGCCCTGAGTCGTAGCTCACGACAAAACGACCGCCGCCCAGTTCACTGTGGTTATCCACGGCCAACAATTGAACCTCGTCGGCGTGACGGGAGAACCTCCGCTCGATGGTCAGGGTGTCGTGGTGGCTGCAGACGATCGAAGATCCCTGAGCATAGAGGAACATGGACGCCGTGGCGGCGCATGGGTCGAAGAACTTGAGGTTCTTGGCGGAGGGCATGGTAGAGAAATCTTGAGCGACCGCAGCCCTTTCTCTTGATGACCTCCCGGAGCTCATCGAGACGGCGCCGTTTCGCGTTGGCGCGGACATGGCGGACTTGGCGGACATGGTCGCCTAATATCCTTTTCGGTTCTCGATCTGCGTCCAAGGAACTCTGGTTAGTCGGCTGGGTGGCGGCAGGAACGACGACTTTTCGGAAACCTCTGCAGGTCTGGGCAGTCGTGTGGAACAATGCACATACAGTTCCAATGCAGTGTCAACGAGGGATATCCCCCTCTGGCGGGGGATTTCGTCTCTCACTCTCGGAGCAAGAACAGGCGGGAAGCTACACGTTGGGACGGTTGAACATTACTCGGAGTGCACTGCGGCCCGTATCCGGACGATGACTCCGGAATGCGTCTTGGTGAACCAGAGTTTAGGGCAGCGGTGATCGTCTTGCTCCGTCACGGCAGGCGATACGGCGAAGCGGGTAGCGGCTGGGGGGGGTTAGGTTGGACAGCAAGCGTGAGTCGGCGGGAGCTGTATGTCTCGGTCGCAGGGCGGAGGATGAGATGGACGCCTAGGTTGCGGTGAGAAGGCGAGTTCGAAGGGGGGGTCAGGGAGGCCGCAGGAGAATGAGGAGGCGGAGAGTAGGTAGGTATGTAAAAATAGAGATGAGGGATCCGGGAGAGATGACAGCAGAGGGTGGAGATGGGGCGAGGAGGTGGTTTTGCTTGTAGTAGAAAGACGCTATAGGCGCAAGACTGGCAGGGAATGAAGGACGCAGCCGCCTACCTCTTGATGGTGATTGCCCGGGGTCGGACGACAACCGAATGGGGAGAGTGGGCGAAGTGGGCTTGTGGGCGAGCTGGGAGAGGGGTGTGACCCGGCGCTTGACTTGCAGGAGTAGCTTGGATCTCGAGAGGGACTCGAGAAATGGTGGTGTGTGAGAGGTGAGGAAGCTTGTGCACTCGGTAGACGAGGCGAGGGTCGTTGGGTGCACACGAGGAAAAGCTGCTAAATGCAAGCAGCGGGATACAGGACAAGGCGTTTAAGGATGAGGAGGGGGGCGTGTGCAGTTTTTGATATGAGCCGAGCTGGAGAGAAGAACTGGGGAAGCGAGGTTCTCAAAGAGAAAGAGCTGAGGAAGCTTGGGGGCTGGGGTTGATGGTTGGCGATGTATGTTGGTTGTGCAGATGTGATGAGGTGACAGGAGCGGAGACACGCACACACAAGTCACAGTAAACCCAGGAACGGGAGAAGAGGCGAGGGAATAGGAAGAAGCCCAAGAGGGAAATGGAGAATAAAAAAGAGCAGGTTGGGGTGGTTTTGAGAGACGCAGACGCGCAAGAGGCTTGTCCGGGGGGTGCGAGTGGGAGTGGTGAGCGTGCGTGGGTGCGGTGCTGCGAGAGTGCCTGTGTGATGGGCCATGTACCATGGGCCTTCAAGGGCCTTCACCACCATAGTCAGAGATGGCGCCTACGAGGTGGCGTCCTGGCATGTCAGTGGTGGCCGGGGGGGGCCATATAAAATTAGAGCCCTGCGAACGTTGGGTTCCATGGATCAGCGGATACGGGACCGGCTCGAGTGCGCAGTTGCCAGGGGCTCAGGGTTGGTTGCGTGCCTAGGTGCTCTAGGTGCTTTAGGTGCTCGAGGTGCTTGGGCGATGCGATTGGAAATGGCGGGCGGACGGCGCATGGCGCATCATGGATGATGGATGGATGGGCGCATCTGGTTGACCTGGGCCAGTCAGTGGAGACGGACGGCCAAGACGAGACGAGCAGCTGCACGGCTTGCAAAAACCTGCAAGGCCCAGGGATCCCCCGCTCTCCTGTCCGGTTCCCTCTCGCTTTTCGTCTCGCGACGAGTCTCGGAGCAGGAGAAGCGAGCGAAGGCGGTTACGTTGGGTTGGTACCTGGCCGGACGACGCTGTGAATGGTGTGAATTGAATGCCGGGGCGGTTGCGGGCTTGCTCGCGTTGGCTTAGGACTGGCGGCGGCGGACGGGCGTGGACAGTGGATCGACGGCTGTTGAGCTGTAGACTGTGGCTATTATGGGCCGTGGCAATGTGGATCGGGGCGAGGCGCTGGCGAGCAAGCATCGAACAGCACGCTGCAAGCTGCAAAGCAGGGCAAAGCAGGGCCAAGCAGGGCCAGGCAGGGCAAAGGCGAGCAACGCAACGGGCTCAACGTCCAGCAATGCCCCCTGCCCTAATTAGCCTCGTGGGCTGCCCGCGTGCCCGCCCGTAGGCTCTGCCGAGCGCTGTTGGACTGTTGGACTGATGTATGCTTGCAGTTGACTCGCTAGACCGAGTGGCCCTGGTGGAAATGCGGGCTTTGGGACCCTGCGAATCTCCGTCTCGAGGACTCGGTGACTCGGAGGCGTGCGGGCCCATCACTATCAATTGTGTCTCGCCGCAGTCGCGAATTGGCCGGGCTCCCACCGCTCCGTCGTCATCGACCGGGTCTGCGTCGTCGTCTTCACATTCGCCCAGACCGTTGATTTAATTCATTTCATTGCTTCTTCCCGGTCTCGTTGAACCCCTGTCGGCCCTAGAGCCCCTCCTTTGCTCTGTGCTCGGAAGACGGGTTGAGCTATGCGGGGTCGGCCTTGGTGCGACATCTCGACAGCCGGCGCACCTACATGGCTCTCTGCTGTGACGCCGTTGCAGGACGAGGTCTGGCAACACGGCAGTGTGTATTCGATCCTGTCCTATCCGGTGTCCATTCACACGAGAAGGGGCGGTCCGGTACCTTACAGCGGATGTATGTGTGTGCGTGCGTGCCCCTGCCTCTGTGTGAGTGCGTACGGGTGTGTGCGCCTGTGTGCACCTGTGCGTGCCGGTGTACATAGTATATCTGTGGGGAGCTCCGCGCCGGTGTGTCGAACAGTGGTCCGTCAGTCGTTTATTAGGCCAGTTCATAACGCAAGATGCGCTGGGAGAGCAGCAAATGCGATGCAGTTGGGTGCTGGCTGCCCGCTGGCCTGACACGACAACCAGCGAGGACACGATGACACCCTCCATCTGCCACTGTGGCCATCGGTGCCCCCTGGCATCGCCTGGCAGGGCCCGGTGAGCCTGTCAAGCCCTGGTCCCTAAGTCCGCCTCGTTCGCTCGCTCGCAGCAGGTCCTCGCAGCAACCCGAAACCCCGAGCGGATTGGCGTCTGTTGGGTCTTGCGGCTTCTGGCTCGAGGGGACTCGACGGATTCGACGGGTTCGACTGGCTCGAGGTCATCTCTTTGCAGCGAAACAGCGTCCAAGGTGCTGCCGGGTGTAAAAGCATGTGGTTGGGGCTGGGGCACGGGGGCGGGGCGCGCCATGAGCGACGTTCAATCGACGTCGTCGTGGAAGCGCCCAAGTGTGCTGCATGTGTGTTGCGGCTCTCCATTGGCTGCGCTAGCTGCAAGCTCTGTGTCGGGACGGGCCAATGGGCGGGCCGATCACCTTCCCCGACAGGGATCTAATCGCTCTGCTTCCCGGCCGCTAAAACGGCCCAAGGCCCCCTGTTCCCTTGTTCGTGCGGCCCCTGCCCATGTCCCATCTCCATCCGAGAGCTCTAGTGCGCTCCCAGTGCTCCAGTGCTCCCCAGTGCTGTTCTTCAGCGCTCTAGCGGGGTGCTCCAGCGGGTGTGCTCCAGCGTCCCTCAGTGGACTGACTCCACCACCACCACCACCCACTTCCACTAACCTTGTCGACGCCTCCAATGCCAATCCCTGTCTCTATCGCTCAATTCCTTTTCTTGATCTGTAACTTTTTCTGCCCATGAGCTTTTGTGATCCGATGTGATTTCATTTAAAGCATCAATTGCAAGTCCGGCCACGGCCACGGCCCCTTCCGTCTTATTAGTCGGTCTGCACACCATCGACTAATCGACTGAGGAGGCGTTGCCGTTCTTCACTACCTTTGACTTGCCACCACGCCTTGTCTGTTCCTGGCTGCGCGTCCCTGACGATGGCTGCTCTTATCCCCTCTGGGACGACTCCACCAATTTGACTTGTCCGAATCCACGTCGTGAATGGTGGACCTCATATTCCTTTTGGTCTCTTTGTCTCATTGTCTGAGTGTCTGCTACTGCCTTTCCACACACGTGCAGACACGATCTATGATTTGCTTTTTGCAATACGCCGTCAAGGTTGCTGTAATACCACCACACACTACCACCCACAACCCATAGAACCACAACACACACACCTATCATTCTCACATCATCTCCATTAAGATTTCGACGACATCTCCAACATGCACCCCTCGTAGTCACAACCTCCATCGTGCCCTTGGCAATTATCCAAACTCCGCGCCGTTTCTTTCAGCCCCTCGTGCCTTGTTCCGTTTTGGCATGGATCCAGGTTTGGCATGGGCATGGGCATGGACTTCGGCTGGATGGTCAGTCGTCCGCCGTGAGATCGACCACATCGTCCAGGGTCCCCGAATCTCCACTCAACGGCCTCAACAGGCCATCAAGACAGGCCGTGCGCTCCTTGAGATCGTGGATTCTCCAGCCTCGTGGCACCGATCATGCGAAGAAAGAGTCACGGACTGTCGCCGGTAACTCCGCTACAAATCCCGAACCTAGCCTGTCCTGGTTTCATCTTGGCTCCATCTTGGCTCCGGCCTGTTTGTTGGCCTCGTAGGACAGAAACCTCCACTCTTTCCCTAAATCCCATTGCCGGATGCACTTCGTGCGTGCCTGTGCATGGACAAAAGACTGAGAATTCGTACCAAGCCATGTCTCAGCGCAAGAAGCCAAGACAGGCAGGATGGCTTACACCTTCAGGGCTAGTGCGCCGCCCCCAGCAAGCCAGTCCCTGCCGCTCTGTTTTGCCTGCCTGTTCTACATACATAGTAGTATTCGTATGTCAATCCCTCCCGCGCCTCACCTCCGATCGATCCAACAAGCGCCATGCTGTCCAACCGCTCGGCTACGCCACGACGGTCTATGAGGCCCACCCTCACCGCGCGTTTCCCACTAATCAACGGCCTCGCCTCACTCCCAGTTCCCGCGGTTGCGTTGTCTTTTGAGGCTGGCAGCTTGTAGTCGGTGTGCGTGTGGCTTCGTGGCAACAATATCTGCCGTGCTTCCCGGCGGCCGGCAGACTCGAGGTCCGAAAAGGCGGACATGGACGGTCCCGCCATGAGCTCAATGACTCAGCTCCAGCTCAGTGACCCGCCTGTGGAAGCTAGTTCACCGTGCTGTTCAGTGTTCAGTCGCTACGTGGAGAATTCTCTCTTCCAAAGGCCATCGATCAGTTTTTGAGTGCAGGTATAAGTGGACTTCTCCGCAAAACTCAATTGCGGCTGCACGCACTCTACATGTGAAGCACGCCTCGGCGACTTCGCAGCTTTGAAAACAGCCATCATGAGCCTTCTGTGTCGCAAAAGTCCCGGGGATCCTGGATTTTGCAGACACGTCTCGCCGGGATGCTGCTTTCCAATGTCTTGGCTGAGGCCTGATACCCCGCGGCCCATCTCCAGCCTCGCCGCAGCCTCACGGCGCTGGTTTGAGGTTGCGGTTGTCTGAGCGCGCAGAGAGCCCCTGGCAATGGAACCTCGACAAGCCCCGAACTGTTTTCTCTGGCCTTTCTCTCCTTGCATCCCGTAACTGTTGTCCCACCCGTCCTGATCCTTCGGATGTTGTCACCAACTGGAACTCGGCCGTCAGGTCTAGTCCATGCACTCACGGCAGAGTCCTGGCCCGTGACCTGATCACCCATCACCCCACACCAAGCACACCAAGCACACCAAGATGGATGTATGGATGTATGTTGGCTCTAGCAAGCCGGCCTGGTGCAAAGCGGACGTCAATCCGGCCGCGGGCCATCCGGTGGCGCGGCCTCGTCGATTGGGGCGATAACCTGCGGCCCAAACCGCGGCCAGGCTGACGGGGTCGCTGCTGGTGATGTTGGGACGCCACCGCATCTTATCAGTTCTGCAGACTGCGGCCAGGTGGAGAAGCTCAATCGCTTGCGCCAGGCGCGCATCTTTGAGTGTAACGCTACCGTAGTAAGCCATGAGGCTTGATGTAGAAGCCGACCCCGTGATAAACTCCGCAGCCACTTCCCCGGCCGTCTGTGTATGCGGTGAGCTTGCTCCGTCTCTTGAGACTCTGTCATGGTCTGATCGGGGCATGCCGGCTTCAGGCTCGCCATGTCATCCATCGAATGTCACGCTTTGAACAGCACACCCCAGCAAGATCCATGTTGCTGGAGATGAATATTAGTATCCGCGATAGGGCAAGGTAAAGGCATCAATAATCAATGTCACTCTGACCCGCCAAGTTCTTCCATTATCCTTCCACGCGGCTGTTCCCCTCTCCTCGCCACTTCGTCATACTTGTCAGAACTCAGAAGCCAGTCAGTCACCTGTGCTGATGTGGCAATTACCCCTCAGATTCAGCTTAATCTCCACAACTCTTCTCCGCCATTTGATACTCGGCCCTCAAGCCCCGTGGCAATTCTCACCGGCGGTCACGGCCAGATGCTCCTCTCAGACTTCATGAGCTGAGTCCCGTGAGGCAACGGGCCAAGATTTCAGCTAGGTGACGAGTCTGGCACTAGCGGTTGGGGGCGAGCTCACCCCTGTCAGCACAATCCATGTCAATCTCAAAAGGACGCGGCTGGCCCTTGGTGGCGATGGAGGTTCAAGAAGGTCCAACGGGGACCATGTCCGATGGCTGAAGGCCCCCGCGTCCCTTGAAATGCGGGAGTGACGGAGCCGTTAGTTCCAAAGTGCAACATTCCGTCGCCGCACAGCCGCGCCCGCTATAGCAGCCGCACCCACCAGTCGCATCTGTTCGGTGTGAATGCTGCCTACGTTGTCCCTCAGCAGCCCCACGATTCATGGCCAACGTGGGTGACAGGTCGGGGTGCTGTGACTGAGCTGCGTGAACGCAGTGGAGTTGGGTCCATGAGGGGGTCCATGAGGGGGTCCATGAGGGGGGGGCACTAGCATCAACATCTCCTCTGTCACAGCATGGATGTTGGTGATGGTTGCAGATCGCCTTAGCCCGCTTCGGCAGCGGGACCTGGAGTGATCACTGATATCACGCCGAGGGATGTGATCAGCAATTTCGACATTGGGTCTACGAGGTATGTACTCCGTACTCGGTAACAAAGTGACGAGGTCTTCGGAGACTAGGACCAACTCAGCATTGTTTCCATCCATGTGTGATGTTTCCATCCATGTTTCCCTTGTCAACTTGCGGGAACGGGCGCAGTTTTCGATGGCATTTAGTTAGCGAAACTAAAAGTCAAAGCCGATACCCCAGCTCATGACCGGTCGGTCCGCCGTCTGGTTCCCGTCATTTTCCATCTTTGCCCGTATTGAACAAACGCGGGCCGACACCATTGCGGTTCTGCACTTCTGCCATCCCCCTCACAAGAGTCGAGATGTGAAACATTCACGTCCGCCCATTCTGCACTGCCCGAGTCTAAACTTGGACGCAGAGCCCCCTCACCATGCGCTGCACTAACCAGGCCATAAACAGCATCCCGACAGAATCCTGCTCGATAGCACTCGCGAAATAAGGTCCAATTGGAACGGAGCCGCACCGCGAGGATTCGTCGCCGTGCAGCAAATGGAAGACGCCGCCGCTGCTTCGCTCACGCCATTGGACCGTCCCTTGTCGCAGATGGGTTGCGGGGGAAACCTCAGGACTGCAGGCCATCTTATGCGTGAATGCGATCTGAGAACCCACGGTTGATCGGCCGAGTAGTGCGTTTAGTCACCTACTTGCCCGTTCAGTTGTTAATCATCACACCCATTCTTTTCTTCGGCATCGCCGGTCTGGAAGCGTCTGTGCATTAAATCCAAGAGGGGTTGGCCGCTTGTGATCGGCCGACTGTGACCTTGATCCCCTGCTCGTCCCTGCTCGTCACATCTACGGCACATCTCTCAACAGCATGAGGGGTTCAATTGGGCTCAGCTTTATCAGGCAGTAACCAAAAGAGAGAGAAGAGACCACAAAAGAGCCATTGTCGGTCGGTTTTTAGTACTAGATCCGGATACAATCGAGGCATCAACAACACTATGCATTGGTAGCTTTGTGTAGGTATCTTTGGTGTGTGTCTTTGTGTAGTGGTCTTGCGCAAGGATCTTTGCGTAGGGATCTTTTGCGTCGGTTGGTGTCATCGCCAAGTCATGGCTCTCCGGCCCCCAACATTGAGCCATTTAATCATTCATGACACCAATTAGCAAGTTTGCAGGATACTCCAAGTAAAAACATATTGCGTTACATATAGAATATATATCGTTAACCTGTGGCACTATAGCATGTGGTTGGGTCCATTACCTTCCATTTGGTCCTGTCTGGGTTCAACGTGTGATCGGCGATGAGACATGGGGCAATCAGCTATTGTTTTTTTTTTCATCGCAGGCGTAGTACCTACCCTACCTTTGAACTCCTCAATTTCAGCCAATTTCTTGGCCGATAGTTTGGGACCTGAGGAGTCGTGTTCAAGAAGTTTCTAATCCAATAAATGCCAGCCCATTTCTGCTACATGAGTCTGAGAGAACCAAACTTTTTTCTCAACTCCGCTTCTGCTTCTTCAACCCTCTTATTCGTTTGAAATACGATGTGTGTTGCAGACGTCCCAAGAAACGAGGTTGAATGTGTAGTTCCATCATTTGAGTTCCATTGTCTGCGTTCCATTGTTAAAGCTCCATTGTGTGAGAAGCTTATCATCAGTAAACTTTTACTAGTCCTATATATCCTTGTTTCACCGGTTGCGTATGCGACTAGACTAAGCCTCACCGTTCAGATATGTGATGGCAGACGGTCTGACTTGGTCAATTGTGGAGAATCATGTGGTCTGGGGGCACTCAGGTGATAAGCTCGGTCGGGGTCGTATGCAGCCAAGTTATGGAATGAACCACGTAGCTATATCTCGTATATTAAAGTTTCTTGGTACAGCTACTACTATTTTTATTCATGGAGATGCCGGCCAAGAAAGTGGAAGTCAAAGGTGTAAGAGGACAATGGTATTGTTTCTACGTACTCATCCCAATCAAGACATCAAGGAACTCTATTCCGTGAGGCTCACCTATGAAACCCATTGCTCACAATCCTAGGATCAAGCTTGGCACAGGGCTAATTGCTATCATAGACCTCAATACCGAAGGAGGGAGTTGCGAAACAGAGAAACAAGCGGCTATTATACGAAGTAATTTATTCGCTGGAGATCCAACTTGGTTCGGGCCGAGCCCAAGAGACAGAGAGAGTATGAAGCCCCAATATTGAGTCAAGGGAAATGAGACCCAGGCAGTGGCCTGAAGATGGAACAAGCTGACTGGTAGATCAAGCGACTTGATCAGATGCCTCTAAGTGCAACCTGCTGGAAAGAAGAAAAGAAAAGAAAAGAAAAGAGACAAGAACTACTGCTACAACTGTGATATTGAAAACAAGGCAGGACAAAAGGTGTAATTTCAAGTTGAAGAGAAGGAAATCATGCCCTGCTAATTATTTGAGCATTGCTGTCACTTCAAGTAGTAGTTTGTCTTGGCAGGCAGCCTAACAGCCATTGCTTTATTCAACATCTTGTCGGGTGGACCAAAGAAACGCGGCAGTGTATACAGGGTAAAAAGAAACGGCGAGGAGCGCTACCCGGCACCAGATTGTCTAATAATAGAACCAGTTAGTTCAAGCAACTACCCAATCTTATTCTATGCAATAGCCTTGGGGAATCCTCTGTCAGATAAACAGCAGCGGCGCACTAGATGACGCTCAAAAAAAAAACACAAAATCAGGTCTCATACCTTGTCCAATGACTCGAAGCAACAAAATATTCCAAGTACTTTCATCTAGATTTATTATAGTCTTAGATTATTTAAGTTCATTTCTTCAGTCCACTTGATCTGGTAATTGTATAGTCGATGTTTCTCATGAGTCTTGTCAGACGGAGGACATCAATTCGAGTCGACTTTACCAGACGGTCGAAGACGGATTCCCCAAGAGACAAGCTGGAGGTGACGAATGGACTACAGGATCTACAATCACAGAGTATTTTCAACCTCTCGATTGCAGATGAGACGTAACCATTCATAGAAAGCTTCATTACGGTTTGCTCATTAGGTAGCACCCAAGAACCTACCCAGTTCAAGCCCTCCGGAAATTGTACAAGTTAGAAAAGAGAACAGGAGCACTTCCTTGACAACACCAATGATCACCATTGCGTTACCCAGAGCTTCCACGCTAGAATATTTGCGCCTGCTGGATGATGGGACCCAAACAGGATGACTCGATAGCAAGGTATTTCGAACGTCGATGAAGCAGATGTTGGGCGTCGACATCAAACGAGTCTATTTGCTTCCTTAGATGAACTTTGACATAACGTACGTTACGACGCGATTCACGCTCCCAACCTTCACGACCTCGCTTTCAGGTCATCTACGGAAAGTTCGAAATGTAATAAGTCAAGGTACTAGCATTCAATATGTGCCGGGGGGGACTGTATCTAGTAAGAGTCTTATTTGTGCTCTCTGCCTTTGTCAATCGGGGAAACATTGCAATTCTCGTGTTGCCATTAGTAACCGGGCATAAGGACAACTCTCAACGACTTAAGTCCACAGCATCAGAGCTCGTGTCTGGAAGGACTCTAGTTCACCTACAACATCTCCCGCATCGGTCATCATCGCCCGCCCAGGGAAGTTTGGACAGGACATCTGGATCGGCTTCGCTACGCGCCTTCGAGGTTGGGACAGAATCGACCGGGTTGTCACTGCCGAGGCTATCTAGTATTCGATGGTGCAGATGAATTATGCCGCTCCCTTCGGCGCATTAAGACAAAAACAACCTAGTTCTCCCTTAAGGACCATTTATGGCGGCCAAGCTCCCTCCCTCCTTGGAAGCACCTTTCAAGCAGCCAGATGTAGTTAACGACGCCATTACTGTACGGGCGTAGACTGCCAACTTAGCACCTGTTACCCAGGTACAAAAGCGAGTGCTTGGATTTGATAGAGTTCTACGCAATTATCATTTCAGATACTGTCCTCTTGGAGTCTCGGGATTTTCAACGACAGGTAAGTATGTCTCCGTGCACTGATCCGTCCGGTTTCCATATCCCAGGCAGTTCCATCATGAAGAGCGCCTAGTTGAAGTCGGGGCATGCTTCGAGAGCGTCTCGTTTGATGATTACCCTCAGAGGGAGGATAGTTTCTACTCTCTCAACGATGTCGCTAGCATTCTTTTTTAAGTATTTGCACAACGTAGTCGGGAACGTCGAGTTGGTACAAAGTTGAAGCGCCCCCCCGTCTCGCTATACCCTCCAAGAGAAGATAATAGCTGCACGATAAAAGACATACTCTTCATTCCCAAAAGCCAGCCCTCCACCGCTTCAATAAGACCATCGACTTTGAATCCAATAGATGTTCACTCTGTGGCCCTTCTCTCAACCAGATTGTCTCACAGACCCTCGCCTTCGGTAATGTCCTATCCTTCTCAGACTAATTCGCATGGCAAAATGGTCATCACGACCCCTACTAGATTTCCCTATGACATGCGACGAAACCAAGCCTCCTATCACGGCCAGGTTGCGAGTTGCCTTCAGATCTGGGACATAGTCACCCAGCCCATCAATCAATACATCACCTACCTGCCGCTCCGAGCCTCGGGTGAACGTGCACATGGGATATCATCTAGAACTCTCATATCGACACGCCGTGTCTTTCCAATAATGGGCCCCAATCTCCCTCTGCCCGGCCCACGCCCAAGCCCGCTTCCATCTGTCCTTGAAGGCACAGCCATCTCATGCAATCCAGACTTCCCTCGTGCGACTCACATGACCCCCTTCCAAAGCACGCACTGCCACCGATATCAATGACTGGTCTCCCTCCGCGTTGACGTCGGCTCTCTCGGCCATGTGATGAGGCTCGGTCCAGCACGGGGCCGCGGCCAGCGAAACAGAATGCGGTGGTGTCAAGTGCATCTGTATCCATCTAGGCGCCTTAACCGCCAACGACTAGGGCTGGGGGGCCTGTGACTTATCAGAGCAAAGCAGCCTAGGCAGCGATAGCAGCCTCGGAATCTTAAGACATTTTGGCTGGGAAATGGGTCACTGGATCAAACGGTATGTCACCCGAGGCAGCCAAGGCGCCAAAGTCATGTGAACACAGCACGTCAGAGAGAGTCAAGGTTGTAGTAAAAAGCCATCCATTGTAATTGCGAGGGTATCTAAGGACCAACCAGCTGCGTGGTGGTCGAAGCCGGGGAAAAAACTACCTAAGGTATCTAAACTATGCCCAATAAACCATGATGTCGCCAAAACATGCTGAAACAGGCCCAAGTGCTCCCATGACATCCAACCCAGTGGTGGGTGGAGTTGTAATAAGCCAAGATGTATTTCCCATGCTCCCATGCCCGAGTGATTCCCGTGCCAATGCCCGTTGTTGCCATGAAAGAAAACCCAAAAGATGATGAGAGAAAACAAGACTCCAGCGCTAGGTATGATGCTTCTGGGTAGGTATGCTGCGACCAGTGTCGTAGACCGAAAACAGGATTATGAGGAAATAGAGTGTTGCCAAAAATAGAATGAAAATGGGAGCAGAATGGGGAGTCGGAACACTCCGCTGAAGACGTGAAAAGAAATCCGAGAATCCGAAAAGTATCCACCAAATAGAGTCCATGAAGAATGTGGAGGGTGGAGGGAAACGGTGAAGCTGACGAAAGCACATGGGCTTTGTCACAAGCCCGACCACCCGAAGGATGAAGCCGGAAGCGCAAAGGCAGAAGCGGGGCGGCTGATTGCAGCCCTTATCCGGCGCGGAGGGACTTTGCCCCACTGCTGGCATCGCCATCTACCCGGCAAGCGACCGAGGGCTCGGCACCGGTCGGAACGATGGCCTCCACTTTGGCCCTCGAGGTTTGCCCGCCTTTCTGAGTCATGCCTTTTGGGGTTGCGTTGCAGTCAGCCCTCTGCATCCCCGTGCCACGTTGTAGGCTGCCTCGGGTGCGCATCAGTTGCGGTGTGTTGTGGGGGTGGCCAGAATCGCCTTTGGCCTGTGCCGCCGGGCGAATGTCGTCATCGCCGGTGAATAGAGTGTTGAGTATTAAGCTGGTGTCGAGTGTTGCGCCAGCGCGTATGAGTAGATAGTGTCGTAGTCGATGAAATCCGGAATGGGATCTTGGATTATCGTAGTAGTGTTGAATTGTAGATTGTTGGGGTGTGCATCGGTGTTATTGTGCATCTGCCCTATCGAGTGGGTACTTGTGTGCGGTGTGTATTGTGGGGGTATCTTGGGTATCGTATCGCCAGTGGTTTCCAAAAAAGCAGCCTAGTTGTGTGTAAGTGCACTGCGCGGTGGGTTGCAAAATGATTTCAACTTACGCTGCCATAAAAGTCGTTAAGTCGTCAAGAGCATACTGTGCTCGGCCATGCTACTCCGCGATGGGAGCCATGGAGCTGAGCTTGCTCTTGGGACTCTTCTTGGAGCTAGGGCTGCTCTTGCGCTGCTTGCGGGCGGCGGCGCGGCGACGCTCCTTCTCGCTGACGATGCCGCGGACAAACTCTCGCTGCATGGCTAGGCGCTCGCGCTCCATCTCGAGGATCTCAGCGTCGGTGATGATGTGAGGAGGAGAGATGGCACCCTGGGAGTGGGCGGGTGAAGAGGCGCTGCCAGCACTGGAGACGGAGCGGGTGTCGTCGTCGAAGGGATCGCTGAGGAAGAGGTCGTCGTCGGAGAGATAGGACGTCGGGCGCTCCTCGCGGTCAGACTCGGAGAGGGAAGACCGGCGAGGCCACGAGGGAAAGGCGCAGGTGGAGTCGTGAGCGCTGAGGCTGCGGGAGGTGATATCCATGGGCGCTGAAGCAGCACACATGGAGCTGTAGGATCCGTATGAACCAAACATGGTTGCGGTTGTGAGTTGGGTTGGGGTGGTGTAAGTCGAGATGGGAGACTTGAGGTGAGCGGAGGTGGATGCTCGAGGCAGATGCCTTCTTCTTGATCGAAGTAAAGAGTCGAAGCTTTGGTTCTTGGTGGAGAGTCAGAATAGTAGGGTCCTGGGAGGATAACCGGGGATGCGGGTGTTATAAAGGCAACGATGAGGCCGACCAGGACAAGGACGCGCAGCCGGCAAGCCTGGGAGTGTGAGGAACGTGCCTGGAGGCGGCGTGGAGGGAGGGGCGTGGGCGTGAGGCGTGGGAGAGAGGCCCGTGGAAGGGTGGGAGGGTGTGGCGATTGCCGGAGGGTGGGAGGGAGCTTGAGGGTGTGGAGGGTGTAGAGGGTGTGGTGGGTGTGGTGGGTGGGTGTGTCATGGGCTGAATGAGGGACCGACTGGGAGAAAAGAGGCGTGTGGGAGAGTGGAGGTGTGGGTTACGGCGAAGATTTCCCAGACGGATTTGCCAGCAAGGGTCCAGCGCCCAAACAGCCAAGCAAAGGGACCCCCAAGCAAGCTCCCAAAGCAAATACCCAAGCACCCGAGCAAGCACCCAAACAAGCACCCAAGCACCCTAGGAGACCCGTCAGGTCGGGCGGCGGGATGCGCTCTGCAAAACCTGCCTGCCAGCTCCTCTCCTCGGCGAACATCCCCGACCCTCGACCTCCGCTCTCGCTAGGTAGCCTTTAGGGCGCTGGTTGGGCTGGACAGTTCCCCGAGCAGCCTACGGTATACTACGGAACGGAAAACGGAACCTACTACGGGGTAAAGGGAGGGGGTGTGTTGCACTACGGAGCAGGACCCTTCTCGCGCCGGCGGGAGAAGAGAGCGGTGGCAGAGAGCCACGAGGCGTACGAGTAATGAATGCGGAGGAGAGGGAAGCCTAGCCGTCACCATCGCTGTCGGACCGTCACTCTGTCGGATCGACACTCTGTCGGAGCGACACGGTGCCACCAAGACGAAAAGGGAAAAAAAACGAAGGGCAGCGGATCCGACGCTTCGAGTAGTCCGGGTTGCGGGAATCGCAAAAAGAAGAAAAAGAAAGAAAAGAAAAAGGCGTGCTGGGGGAGATGCCGGGGGTGGCTTGCCCCCCGTTGCCGGAGACGAATTTCCTCCCCAGATAGGAAGTTTTAACGCAACCCGCGTCCTTGGGCCCTTTGGCGCCTTTGTCGCTCCCCCTGCTGGTTTAGGCTGAGCTGGGGGGAGAGAGACACCCGCGGGGGGAGATTCCGTTGCTTGTCTTGGTTCCTCGTTTCTTTTTGCCCGAGCAGCATTGGGGAAAGATGAAAGACGACATGTCAAAATCAGGGCGGCGGCGGCGAGAGGCGAGACTCTGCTCGGCAACCAAAATGAAAACAAGGGGTGCGCGCCGAGTCTGAGGGCGAAAGGTCTCGACTCGACTCGAGCCGAGTCGAGTCCCGTCGAGTCGCGAGTCGACGGCGGCGGGATAAGACACCAAGGGCAGATCCGCAGTTTGGCCGGCCGGCGACCATTACAAACGGAAGGGGATTGGGCCCGAGACTCCTCCACACAAAGGCCCGACGCCCAAGACCCTCCTCCGCCAAGACACCTCCACCCAAATCACCCCAAGCACAGGGCCCCAGCGACATCCAGCATTCAACTGCAGCGCGCCTGTATTAATGCTGTATTGGGCAACCAACCAACGGAGATAGTGGCCGCCAGCCCTAGGTTTCCAGGTGACGGGTTACGGGCCTCGTCCTGGCTGATGCTGCCTGCGGCTGCGCTTCGTGTGATTCATTTCGCCATCACCGGGCTTGACTGGACAACAAACAATACGGTCGAGCCCCAATCACGGCCCCCAACACCCTCAATACAATGGCACTGCACAATAGCACAGCCAACAGCAGCTGCCCCTTTGTTTGCCTGGATGTGGTGAATGTGATGGTGAATGTGATGGATGAATCAATTCCGGCCGCCGCCACAGTCATTCTCGCTCGCCATCAGCTGCGTGCTATTTGTTACCTCCCCCACGCCTAGCACTGGGCCGGGCTTGTTGTCCCCCCCTTCGAGGCGCTGTGTCAGCCCAAGAACAGCGTCGCCCAAGCCCAAAAGCCCATCCGTGGGAGTACGGGGTACGGGATTGCTCCCTCGGGACTGGGCGCGGACGACTTCACGCCCCCCCGCCTGTCCGCCATTCCCTTTGACACCCGCGGCAATCAGACCCTCACGCCCCCTCCCTTTGTTCTCCACCGTTCCGCGGCAACAATGATGGATGTGGAGGACCGAGTCCGGGAGGCGGGCCCTGGGCGTGCGCTTAGGCAGGGCGCTGGCTGGGTGCGGGATGGCGGTCGGGAGAATACAGTAGCTCTTTGTTTGTTCGCCTTTTCACCTCTCTTTGACAGCGATGGCGACCGCTGAATGCGAACGCCCGGCGATTGGAGCAAACTACTGTCCGGTTTACGGTTTGGGAGATGCGTGGTATGTGCCCCTTCGGTGCGTGCGCTTGGGTGCAGGTCGAAAAGGACCCCAGAATGCAGCGTCCCATCAGGTTGCAACGAAATGGAAGGGCGGTGATCTGACCGCCTCGCTCGGTTCGTCACTGATGAGTCTGAGTCTGAGTGTCCACGATGCGTGTTGTTGGTGTGTGTGTGTGTGTGTGTTGTGTTGTTTGTTTGGGCTCGCTGCGAGCCAGTCCCATCGGTTTCCGACCGCCCGGCAGCTTGATTGGACTCGAGGGCTGTCGTCCAGCGTCCAGCGCCCAGCGCCTCACCATTCAGCGACTCCCGTCTGGTTGACTCGGGGGTGTGGCCGTATGCAAGGGAAATCCTCCTCGCCCCGTCAGCGACGGCGGTCAAAGACGCAGCACGCACGCACGCACGCAGCTTCATACAGTAGCAAGCTGCAGCCCAGAAAGCAAAAGCGGTGGGACGGACAATGCATTTCCATCCCTTCCCTTCCTTCCATGCATTCATCCGCATCCATCCATTCATCCCACACGTCCCCTCGCACCCCTGCACGATTCGAGACGCACCGTATCAGTGGGTTCCCGATGCTCGCAGCCGTTTGCGATGGTAGCACTGGGACTCCCCCGGACCGGGACCCTATATCTTCTGCCATTTCTCTATCCACTCATTGGCCCTGCATGCCGTTGGAGCGCACGAATCGTGGGCATGCTTCACCGCCGGCTGGGAACTCCAAGGGTTGCGATACCGGTATCCAATCGATCCCCGGCCATTTGCTCGCTTGCTCGCCTCCAGTCCCCCTTTCGGTATCGCAATACGGTAACCCAGGGTATTGCATCCCTGCCCTTACCTTGTCGCAATATTATTCCGCGATATCTCATTTACTATGTGGAAAAAGGAAGCATCGCAGAAGAAAATACTAGTGAAAATTTCTTTCAAAACCAGCAACCTGGGATAGGTAGGAAAAAGCAATGGGAGCACAGCTGATGCGCTCCCGCTCGGAAACCATCGCCATGGACCGCACACACGGCGCCTCTACCCGTCCCTTTTGCCGGCTTCGGTTCCCAAACCCGGTTGCCGCCAAATCCCCGGGAAATCTCCAGGCGTGGTATAGTCAATAGCTGGAGGGCCATCGCCGAGCTTGCAACCGTAGTGCCCCAGCCGACTCTGCTCTCCGAACCCCCGCGGTACTCGGAGCCGCATTGCGGGCCACTAGTTTGTAGTTTGAGTGCGTGCGCGACGGATCTGATTCGTGCGCTCTTCGGATTCTCCTGCCCCCCAGCTTTTTGGCTTTGGCTTTGGCTTTTTGTGCGCCTTGCGTTCTTGGCGTAGTTGTCTCGCCCGTGTCTTCTCCTCCCTTTGCATTCCGATGGGCGATTTGCGATGTGTCGCGGAGCCTATACCGAACGCACACGCATCGTACATCCCTTGCGTCAAGGTATGTGGGCGGTCAAGCTCCGCTGAAGGAATTTTTTGATAGATCGCAATCGTAAACTGGGGCCGAGACAAAGTTCGGATTTTTACTTGTTGCCTTCCTCTTTTGTTTTTCATAATATGGAGACATGCTGGCTTTAGCTGTCTCTCCCCCGCGGTTTCACGCATCTAGACGCTAAGAGGCTTGCGGTCCGTGGCTCCCAACCACGTCTAGACCCTCGAGAGGGAGGACTCTTCAGCTCAAGCGAGGCGGTCGCGACGATCCTCAGACGCACACGTAGACCGGGAATGCCATCCCTTCAGATCGAGACCCTCGCGTAGTTCAGCTGTGCAGTATGCATTGCTTGCAGGTTTCTCGATAGCTTGATGGCGTTTGATACTCGTCGTAAACGACCTTGCCAACTCTAGATGGGCGGGCAGGCAGTTGCAGTGGATCCTGCTGCACGGTATCTGCTAGACGGCCTCTGCGAGACGGCCATGCTCATGCTGGGCATTGACGGGCTGCAAGAGTAATGTACACTCCCTCCCGCACCCACCACGTTGCCGCGATCTTATCCGTCCCGCGCCGCCGGCTCGCGAGTCGCATCGCGTCACAGAGCACAGCAGGGGCGGTCAGTGAAAAGCGCAGCCGCTGAGTGGCCGGCGGGGGAATGAGTCAGATCGCTTTCTCTGCACCGCCATTTGGCACTGGGGGCAGTGAGTAGGGCCGCCGCAGGAGAGGGTGTGGACGGGGGGGTGCGCGGGCGAGCTGTGGGTGTGCGCCGTTATGGATGTCCCAACTGGGTAACCACCGTTTCGCCGTCTCCGGGCCAGTCGCCGTGACGGGTGTGGCCGACTTACCTCAGCGGCCTGCGCTGGCTGGCGAATGGACGGGACGGAAAACCAATGGGCTGTGTTTGTCGGTGACCGTCTAGCTGTGGTAGGTTGGGAGGCAAGCAGGCAGGCATGTAATATTGCGAGAACGGCTGAGATGATTAGGAATCAGATCCAAGACGCTGGTAACGTTGTGCCTCGTTCAACGCATCGCATCCCGTCTATATCCGTCCTTCTGGTTTAGGCCGCCACCCCCAGGTTTTCCCCAGGCATAATCTTACTCATTCGACCAATTCCGTCGTAATATCCAACACAGCCTGAGTAATCCTCACCCGACCGCGCTCGTCATCGTCACTGATCCAGTCATCCCCGGACCGTCGCCGTGGCTATTTTCGCGTCGTATACCGGATTCCACGGTTGATGACGCAGGGCTGAGACTGCGCGGTGTGGCGGCGCCGCGTTTGTGTGTGTGTGCCAGGCAAAAAGACAGGTTTCCCGGCCCAACTAACACGGGCGCGTATGCTGGCTGTATTCGTATTCACTGACACACGCACGCATACGCGCACACACACACTCTCGCTCGCAAGCAAGCACACGAGTAAGAGCCCGGCTGGCTACCTTGGTCCGAGGCCGGCTGGCCGACGGCTTATTCGGCTGCTTGTTGACGTCGGTTGATTCATCATGTTCCCAGTTTGATTGCGCCGCCGCCATGCTTGCCTACATCCCAGCGTACTCGATAGTTGGAGCGCTTGACCGCGCGCGCAACAATAGCAAATAGTCTGAAGTACGCCTCCGTGCATTCAATAGAGCCTCCCCAACTGAGCCATGCAGCTCGCCTTTGTTTGTCCGTCGACCGTCGGCCATCGACCCCGTGTCAATAGTCCCCGAGGTCTTCGGACCCTACAAGTCCGTGTTGGCGCATGTGTGTGCATTGTCCCGAGCATGCGAAACCCCCATTACGGCCACCGCCTTGCTGCACCCGCAATCTATTTCTCCGTTATCTGACCGCCCTCTTGGGCCTGGGCGAAAACTACACCGAGTTGCCGTCTTGGGAAAGCTCGTCGGTGCTGTTCCCGCCGACGGAGCTCCGGACTTCCATTCCTGTCGCCCACCCGAGGTTAGCGATCGCCTCCCTAGGAAACGTATTTGAGGGGTCCGGGCAATTGACGAGTTGACAAGTTGACACAAGCAGGGACACAAGCAAGGACACACCCCCCCTTGGGCCCTTTTGCCCTTGTTGGTGCTGGTCCCTTAGTGCTGGTCCCTTAGTGATGGTCCCTTGGTGATATTGGTCCCTGGGTGCTGGGTTCCTCCCTTGGTACTCTCCACAAAACCAAAGGGAGCTCCACCGCGGTGTCCTTCCCCCGGACCCGAGCCGACGGTTCCTCTCAAGCCGGCTATTTCGTCAAGTCAAGTCGCCTCCTGGGACCCTTGCGCCGGCTCGGTGGAACTAATACGCAAATTGGCGGAAGACCTTTTATCCCAGGCCAGCTTTCGCCCTACTTCGCCCTAGAGGAGCTCCCCTTCCCCGGGCGACGCCAGCAAAGGCCCTAGAAGCGCTAGAAGGAATCAGAGTTTTCGTCCCCCCGTCTCGCGGTCCAGCTTCCATCCTCCCGGTCGGCAAAGCGACTCGCGCACCGGAACTCTGGGGAAGGGAAACCCTAGCTCCCCGTCCCCTGTTTCCCATTCCCACGTGTGGCGGCCACCAAGGCTAGGAGCAGCTCCGCGGCGGCCACGGGCAAGGAGGCGGGCAAACAGGCGCGGCTACGGTTGCAACGCCGTGTTTCGCCGTCGTCGTCGCCGCCGAGAGCTTCCCTTTGGGACCTGGCGGCGGAGGTCAAGGCGCCATGCTCTCGGTACTCTCCACCCACACACCAACCCCACGGACCAGGGACGCGATTCAGCATTTGGCAGCTGGGAGCTCCTCCTTCCACACTCACGGGGGGCAACAGGGGTTAGAAGGGGCAGGTTGTTCCAGACTAAAAAATTCCAGAAGGAATTGGGGGTGAATGGGGGGGGGGGGGGGAGAGATATGACGATGGCAGTGTGTTGCCGCGTTGCGATGTTGCACTTGCGAATGGCCTTGTGGGGGATTTGCAGTCTAGAGTTCGGTCGCGGCTCCGGTGAACAAGAAACTCGCCACCCGTGATAGGTGAGCTGAGAGCTGGATCGATGTGGCCGAGACGCAGACGCAGACGCAGACGCAGTACCGATCGATTGAGACACAGCCGCTAAAGTCATCCCCCGCAGACGGCACAGAGTAAAAAGAGCCAAGGAGAGCGCAAACACGGCCTCTGACCAAATGGGGGAATCGAGAAAACACGGGGTATGCATGAGACGTACATACAGCTCGGGGCCGCGGCCGTGCCTCGACTGCTTGACCACCCACGCAACATGTTACATGTGCTCAGATGGGTGAGACCAGCTCCCTCTCTCTGCCGGCGAGAGCTTGGTACCGAACCCCCCTCCTTCGGCGGGATGCCGATCACGCTTGGACTCTGTCTGAAGGTGTCAAGGTGTCAAGGTGTGTGAATCAGTGACCGCCAGTGACCATCACAAGGAAACATGTGATGGACGGTATCAGAAATGAGTCCGACCGGTCGGTGTCAGTCCTGGCACCGACGGGGCCAACCAACAACCCGTCTAGGGACTTGTTCATCACCTCTCATGCAAAGCGGGAGCGAACCCGAGGCGTGGTTGTTCGCGTTTGCTTGGAATTACTTCATCGTTGGCTGGTGCGCTGCCTCAACTAATACATCCAGTCATGCCGCCATCCGCTCCTCACTGGCTACGTTCCAGGAATAGCAGCGTAACCAAACACAATCGCCGACGTATCGCTGGAGCCAAGCTCGTCACGCCTAGGCAGGGCCGCCTTTGGATTGGCTGCGCGCGGCCTGCATCTATCCTAGGGGAATTCGCGACCGCAACTCCCTTGGCACGCAGGCTTTCAGCTTGCTCAACTGCCCTTCCCACTCGTCCCTGTTTCTGTCGCGTGCTCGGCTGCTTGGTCTTCCGTTTGGCTGTGGCTGCTTGCATCATCGCCGACCTACGATCACGGGACAGGCTCGCCTTTGGGGCGAAGGAGGCTTCGCAGCGAGCCTCAGCCACAAGCGGCCGCCCAGCTCATATTACCAAGCCCGATCCCTCGACCGTGATAGGAGATGCCACTGCCAATAGATATGCGCCAGAGAGCCTGTTTCTTCTGATAGATTCGTTCTCGGTTTAGGGACTCCGGATCGCTCGCACGCCCCGTCAGCAGCCAGACGCCTCGTCATCGACTCATAGTCCAAGGCGGCTGGGGGCGGTCACCTGGACACTCGTCGCAACCAGTGAGTTCGCTCACGACAGCGCCTCCAGGCCAAGCCCTTTGCCTTTGCGGTGATTGGGATGTGATTGGTATGAACACGGCCGAGGACGGCGGTTTCTACACATCGATGGCGGATGTCGTGTCCTGCGGAAGAGACGGCTGGAAGGGAGTGTACCCAAGCATGATGCTGGCCACAAGTGCTGCGCCGTGTTCCGAGTTCCCTATCTTGTTCGACCTGCCCGCTCCCAAGAATAGGCAGTCGTTTATTACCGTCGTATTGATGAGGCAGACATCGGAGTCATCGCCGTCATCGCAGGCATCGCAGTAATGACGAGCCATCCCATCCATCCATCCACCCACGCCTAGGTAGTCAAGTTGATATCCCGTTTACATCCGAATAGCAACCTCACACCGACCTGTCTCGTGCCCAACTCCTGCTACCCACCCTCTGTAACCCCCATCCCATCCTCACCTCCCTCCATCTCCGTGCAACTGTAACCATCCCCAGCCGCCGGCCACGCCCAAACAACGTGCGTGGGGGCCCCTCCCCCTCGTACGCGGGATGCTCGCATGCCGAGAGCAACCAAGCAAGTAAGCACTCAACGCAAAATCACAGCAGAACAAACGCCCCGTCCTCGGAGGTGATGGCGGTGCATCCAGCCCATTAAACCCCCGCGCCGCCTTCCGCCGTCGGGCCCCCCCAAACAGAGCCATCCCGCAGGCGCAAAAGCAAAGGGCGCTGAGAGGACTGATGATGCCTTACCGTAACTTGGGAGACGTGGTGAGCAAGCCCCCCAGGACGCCGCCGTCTCCCGTTTCCGACGGCTCGCTGCGGGCCGGGGGTGTCGTGGGCCGCTGCGGCTGGTGCTAGACTGTCCGTTTAACGCCTTTGATCGTCTGTGGTCTTGTTCCCTCAGCTTGTTTCCTCACGACATGTCGTTCATGCTTTCTTCTCGCGACACCACCACCACCCCCCCTCCCCTACCTTGGTAGTACGCAGCACGCAACGAGACTACGCAATCCTATCATCGAAGCGACGAGCCGGCGGGATACGCAGGGCAACGCCATGACCAGGGCATCATCGGCTGTGATTCTTCTCCCTGCGAAGCCCAAGGCCAACCCCCTCCCCATCCCCCCTCCCCTGCTTTAATTTGCCTTAGCTACCCGATCATCTCGCATCACGGCGTCACCCGTCGCGTCCAGACACCAGAGACACCACCATACGGAAGCCATCCCAAGCGACCAGAACCCCCTGCGCCTGCTAGCTGGCATCGCGCCCGGCAACACAAGGCTCGCCTGCCGCTTCCCCCTTCCTTCCCATCCCCCCCCCCCCCCCCCCACGCCCTGTCCGAGATGCCGGAATGATAGCCCCTCAGCCAATTCCCTGGCCCACGCACCCGGGGCCCAGCAGATTGCAGTGTCTGCTGTGCCCTACGCGTGCTGTAGCCGGTAACTCTGTTTCCCTCAGCGGCCGGGGGCGGCGCGGCGGGCGGGAGTGCCTAGTGCCCGTCCGCCCAGAGAGCTAAAATGCAGATCCGGACTGCCCGCCAACGCGGCACCAGGCCAGGAGCACCGCTAATAGCTTCCTCTCCACTTGCCAATTTACCGTTACCAAGGCATAGGGACTGATATTTTTATTTCTCCGTCCTTAGTCCCTCGGTCCCTTGTGGAGGGAGAATAGGGGGAGGAAGCCCATCAGCACTCTTTCTCAAACGGGGAAGCCGTGTTGTTGTCTCTTTACGCCACAACCGCGAGGACCTGGTAAAGCTGGGGGGAACAAAGCGTGGCGGGACGTAGGAAACTCTATCAAGGCATTGTGACCTGTGTAGGGTCCTGAATCCCTTGAATCCTACTCTCCCAACGATCGGTGTGGGCAGCAACCCCCTGGTGTTTGAGCCGTCGCAGTGGGAGCCCTCCCGCTTGGCCCGCGTCTCACAGCACATCTTGTGTCACATCACCTCGTTTCCTCGAGACGACAAGGGAGCGCGAGAAGGGAGCGCGACAATATTGGCCATAAACAGGATTTCCACCTCTCCGGCACTGGCCTATCCGTTGCCCCTCCACCCCTCGCTGCACGCATCCTCACCGACATCGCTTCTATCACACCCTCTTCAGCTCTCGTGCTCATCACCGCCTCCCGGTTTCTTATCACTTACATAGTCCACAGGCGGCCCGCATACCGCCTTTTCTGCCAAACCCCTTCAGGGCAAGTCCTCGTCCACCGCAGTTTCGCAGCATCAGGTTTCAGTCAGTGACCCTTGCTCTGCTGTGCTGGTTGTGCGTCGGAGAATTTCCTCCCTCTGCTGCGCTGGCGCTTTGGCTTCGTTTGCCCTACATCGATGGATGCCCTAGGTTGTGTGTCATGCATGCCCAACGGGCAGGGCTGTAGGAGGCGTGCAGCACTGATACGTGTGTGTATTTTGATCACAACTCAGGTGCATCGTGAAATTAATTTACTGAGGCATGTGATGCGTGTTCCAGCCGCTGCGTTGTCTTGTGCGGTGAGGCGAAATTGTGGTTGTTTGACCCCTGCCCTTGATGTTCTATGAGTTGTCCGCATCAGTTTACGTGATGCCTTCGCTTTAGGGCTAAATTTGTATATTCCGGTGTGAATACTTCCAAGCCCTACCCAAAGTAAAACGCCCAGGACAGCGAATCAGGCCGTATTCATACATTGCATTTGTTCTAGATGAGTTATACTGTTACCATCAAATCAAGAGTGCATACCCTATTCATCTGGCACATTCCGTCCCAACTTATGTCAACACGACGCACTGTTCTTGGTTGTCTCTAGCAAACTGATTCACGTATCGGCATACCTAGGGTTAAAATATATATGGTCCTTTGGTGGAGTTTTCGTTGAAATGAGCTGGCCGAGTTGTGATTCAGATGTGTAGGTCTCAACCCACCACATCACAACCACGCCATAGGAATCAGCCGTGTCTTGGTCCATGCACAATCTCTTATTGAGAAAAATGCTACGTCATCGAGCAAGGGCCAACTGAAATTGAGATCCTGGGGTGATAAAACAGTCTCAGGTCAACGTAGAATGTGTAGGTTAATTAAAATTCATAGACAGTCTCAGAAGACTCAAGCATTTCTCATGCATAGGGCGACGAGACAAGGATGACCCAAACAAAAGATTGGGCAAGTGGTGACATCAGATTAGGGAAATTTACAGAGTAGCCCAGAATCTAGTGATTAAGAACTGCGCAGAAATAAAATGGCAGCGTGCGCGAATATCAAGATGGTTGATAAGAAGCCAACGAAGGAACCGATCTGAGGATAGATAGATGTACACTCCTTAGAACCGTACACGGTAAATGAGATATAAGCGTGAGTATTGTATACTCTGCATGTTGGACGATACGGAATGCAATGCCCATTTATTGGCCATCTCAAGCCTTAAACGCGATCATGAATTTACACTCTCATCGATCATTTCCTTATATTGTAGACCAAGGCAGACCAACACATGAGCCGCACGCTCTCACTATCTAGGCTACCCACACACCATGAACCAAATACGCTCATTCATTGCGAATATGGATATCGTAGGTGTCAAATCACGCTTTGATCCGATGTGGTTGGTGATGCTGAACAGCTACAGATCGCGCCCAGCTTTAGGGTAAGTAGACCTGACTGCGCTGCCTCTGAGTTTCTCACCAGGGTATGTCATATTCAAGAGGGAATACAACCCAAATGCCAGTTGGTAGATTGGATGACTTGTTATACCGAACAGAACCTTTCTCCCTTTCGTTGTAGTATGACAGTACTATCACTACTGCTCTCGGCTAATCACAACTCAACGAGTGACAGATATGGACACTCTCTCCTAAACATGGCATCATACATCCACGAGGACCAATGAGGCATGTTAGTTCTGAATTGATTTTGGGCACCAGCGAATATGAATGGTCGATCTCGCATATCAATTCTGTATAGATCTCGACATGGTCTGTATGTAATATTTCGAACAAAGAGCGCCGCGACGCCCATGCCTCCAAACTTCCAAAAGAGAAATGCTGTAATCCAGAGTATGCCAGAAGATCGAGTAGCGCCAAACTCCTCAAACACCCCCATATTGAGGACAATAATCGAACCCGTTGAATGCCAAACTTATTTCCCTGCCGTACAGGGCATCCACTGCTGTGTTGGCCATCTAGCTTCGCAGCGCCTCTAGTCGGTTCCGCATCTGGTCCATCATGGCCTCGGCGTCTTCCTCCTCCTCCTCCTCTTCCTCGACCTTCTTCTGGGGCTCTGTGAGCGGCACCGTGGGTAGCTTGGGCTCCTTGCGATCCTTGAGAATCTCACCCAACACCTTGTCGACCTCGCCCTCGGCCTCATCGTCCTCCATGAGCATATCCGGGTCAGAGGGCAGCGTGTCCTCAACCATCTCCTCGATAATGCCCGCTTTCATCAGCTCCATGCTCAGTTCCTGCATGGTGCCGGCCAGCTCAGGGAGGCGGATGAGGGTATTTACGTCCTTCATGATGCCGACGCTGGCGCGGATGGAACCCTCGATCTTGCGGACGGCGAAGGCCTCATTGACCTGCATCTGAACCGAGTTAAGCTGCGCCTTGGAGGTGATGAGGCGGGCCGAGGTGCGGCGGGTGCGGACCAGCTCGCGGGCGAAGAGGCGGATCTCCTGCTGGGCCTGCTTGGCGCGGGCGGGGTCTCGTTGGGAGCGGCGGTCGGCTTGTAGGATGAGGTTCTTGGTCTTGGCCTCGACTTGCTTGACGGCGACTATGTCGCGGTCGAGCTTACGGATGTTGGATCGGACGAGGGCGTTGCACTTGCGCATCTGGATGGGGCGTCAGTTAGCATCTGGGTCACGCCACGGCGGCGACGCGAAGGCATCGCCACTGATGCGCAGCAGGGATGACGAGGGCGTACCTGCGCCTGGGGATCCGGCTTCACGAATAGGGCCTTGAAGGTCTCCATGATGGGTGGCTGGCTGGCTGACTGGGCTGGCTGGGAGGATGGAGAGGCTGATAACGAGAGACGGGCCGCCGACGATGACGCAACTGGGGCACGGGGGCTGGCGGCAACGGCCTCGGATTGCTCTAGGGCGGGCGAATGGCTGATGGAGACACTGCGGCTTGTGTCGCTGCGCCGATGATTGCAGATACGCAGGTTCGGGGGCGGATGGCGTCGACTTTGGGACGTGGGATCTCGTTAACGCATAACCACGGGGGACCGATTCGTGGTGGTGTAGTGAGCGGCGGTGCAGTGAGGCTCCCGTCCCAGAGCCAAAAAGGCCAAGGCCAAAGCCTCAAGGCTGACGAAGGTCGCAGTGGAGGAGGCGGCTACAGGGGGCTACAGGGGCTGCAGGGGTTCACAGGGCGCCTTTTGGCCGCTGTAAAAAGTCGGGCTGGAAACGTGTGGAGGACTGGCCAGTGGAGCCCCGCTGATGTTTGGACGTGCCTGGCCGGTCGGTTACCCCGCCATCTCGAGACAGGAAGACGACGCCTCAGGCTGTCGAGCCGGGAGGCGGCGCATAAGGGTGCTAGGCGGCCAGGCTGCCAGGCTGCCACGGAACAAGTACTTACGAGGCTGGCAGCTGGGGTTGATTGTGTAGTGTCTACTCCGTAAGCCGAAATACAAGCAGTGATCTGCAGCGAATTTGTTCCTTTGACGTGCAAGAGAAGCCAACCGAAGGCATGGAATCCTCCAGTACGTGCTGGACTGCGACTCCCGGACCGCTGGACCCCCACAACCAACTCAGCTCCAGCCGTCCACTGTAATTCCGTGGGCAGTTAGGTAGTACCTACCTAGGCAACTACCGCTATGCACAGAGCTCCAGGGAGGTTGTGGGGGCTGTACCTGGGAAAAGTGCCCCAGTGACCCAAAGCCCCCTCCCTGCGTCTCTGCGCCTCTTGCACCACCAGTACCCCTCCGCGTCATAGTGCGGTACCTGCCCCGCCCGCACCTCGCCCGCCGTGCCACAGGTACTCCTCCATCTCGCTGAGCTGCCCCTCACAGGTGCTAAAACCATTCTGCCCGCAAGTTCTTTCCGCCTCCTTCTTGCACATTCCACGCGCCGCCGCACTCCCCGGCTTCCAGCGCAAGTTAGCCAGTGCAAGTGGCTGCAGCCTCACCAAAAGGAACACCGACCGAGTACCTACCGCCAAACGTGCGTACCTTCCTGGTCCCAGCACCGGGTTGCCGTCCAGCTAAACCTGCACCTCCACCTCCGCCGCCAAAACTTGTCAACTCCATCTTCAACCTCGCAACTCAACCCTCTCTCGCTACAACTTCACCCTGTTGTTTTCCTCTCTCTCGTCCCTCAAGATACCCTCTGCTTTATCTCTTCTTCCCCCCCTCACTCTCCAAAATGGCGACTACTTCTTTGCCCGAAGGTATGTCGTATCTGCGTTTCCCCCTCACCATCGCCTTCCCCTCCCTCTCCCGAGCTTCCTCTCTGCCTTGTCTGCCCCTTGCTGCTCTGCCTGCTCTGCCTGCTTCACCCGCCATCCTCCTTTGCTCCGATTCACCTCCGCCTCTCACTACCAACGCTTGCTTTCGCTCTCGCACACTCGCACAAAAACAATTGGAATCTTCCCTCAGCTTCCTTTCCTACGATGCCTCCCGCCTCCCATCTTCCACCTCCAAACCTCCCGCTTCCCGCCCCCTTCCTCTCTGATTGAAGCACTGTCGCTAACCCCTCCCTCCCTCAATCTCCAGTCCTCTGGGCTCAGCGATCTTCCATCACCGATGAAGAGAAGAACTTCGTCTACATGACCATCACCGCCCCCGATGTTCTCAAGAGCGACATCAAGCTTGACCTCAAGCCCACCGGCGTCACCTTCACCGGTACCTCCACCACCCTCAAGAAGACCTTCCACCTCGATGTCGAGTTCTTTGACGAGGTCGTGCCCGAGAAGAGCCGCATCAACCACACCGGCAAGAACATCGAGATGAAGCTGCAGAAGAAGGAGCTCAAGGAGGAGTACTGGCCTCGGTTGTTCAAGGAGAAGGCGCGCTACCACTTCCTCAAGACCGACTTCGATAAGTGGGTCGACGAGGATGAGCAGAACGAGAACGCTGAGGAGGACATGTCCCAGTTTGGAGGTATGGGTTAGTGATCCCGTTACCAATCCCCCTTTGTGCCTCTCTCACCCAAGCTCGCCCCGAATGACGTGGCGCAACTCGCGGTGCTTAGCGGGTCTCAGAAAGGGACGAGTCACAAGAAATGAGAACTCAATACTGACAGCACACGACTTAGGTGGCATGCCTGGCATGGATGGCGGTGCCGGTGGCGACTTCGGCGGCATCGACTTCTCCAAGCTTGGCGGTGCCGGTGGCCTTCCCGACATGCAAGGCCTAGGAGGCATGGGAGGCATCCCTGGCATGGGAGCTGGTGCTGGTGATGATGAGGAGGAAGAGGATGACGATGACGATGATGAGATCCCCGACCTGGAGGGTGATGCCCCCAAGCCTGCTGCTGCGGCAGCGGCTACTACTACTACTACTACTACTACCGAGGAGAAGAAGGCTTAAACGACTTTATGGAATTTGGGCTTTCAGGGCGGTTGGTGCTGCCACCGGAAACTGAGCGAAGGTGGCTTGGCGTTGCGCCGTCGGATTTTGAACAGATCTCACTCAACGCTACTACCCGTTGCGCTGTGGAAATAGGAAAACTTCATGTTAACAAGTAAAATATATGACCTTATGCGAACTTTTCTCTCGTTGTGCTGATACACGCCTGGCCTGAACCTTGATTCCCCGCGACATCTGTCAATTGGGTAACAATAGTGTTGCGCATGTGTTGGGTAATTTACGAAGCCACTCACCATATCGTGGGCCCATGTCAAGTCGAACGTGAACATTAGAACGGCAGCAAGCGACGACAGGTCTCAACTCCAGTTACGATAGACACTCCGGCAACGTAACACCTGATGTGGTGTGGAATTTGTACGTATTCCATCTATTATACACCTTTCGCCATATACACTGCCCAGTCCCGATGCAATCTGATGGCAAGGCGGACACAACAAGAACTAGGACTGGGCAGGCCGTGGACAGAAGCGGCAGGGGAGAAGAGAAAGAGATCAAAGCCGTAACAAATGCAAAACCAGCTGCCCCCGTTATCCCGACCTCAAAAGCCTCCTCTCCCGCGTCCCTTATGGGGGGATAAAACCATTCTGATGCAGCAATAACCAGTGATGAAACCAGTGCGCGTCTCTCCTTCAACGCCGCCAGATCGAATTGTTTTTGGTATTTATTATTAAGTCTCAACCTCCAACCAGGCAACCATCATCTTTACAAACATTTACTACAAAGATAGTTAGCCTTAGTTCATGTATGCACCCAGAGGTCAAACTTACCATGATCTCATCCTCCATGGAGGCATCACCAGTGGCAGCAGTCACAGGAGCGACAACGGCGTTCTCACTGCTGTTGCCAGCGGCGGCGGCGGCGGCAGCAGCGGAATCGAAGTAGTCAGCCATCTCTGAATCGAGCTCTTCCGCTGTCTTCTTGGCAGGGCGAGCGCTGCGAGCAGGACGCTTCTTGGTGTTGGCACGGCCGCCCTTGGCAGCATCGCCCTTGGCGGCGTTGCCATTGTGCTTGTTGGCAGCCGCAGACTTGGGCTGAGCCTTGGGTTGACTGTTGACTTGTTAGTTTCAACTCCATCACTTAGGACACTAGGGTAACCTACGAGGTGCGCTCGGCGAGAGTCTTCACAGTAGGGATGACTTTGTCGGCCTGAGCAGCGCCCACGACAATCTCAATCTGACTCGTGTTAGATTCCCGGCAATATCATGTGAGTTGAGCTACATACCTTGATGGGGCGGTTGTCAACGAGAAGGCCGTTGAGCTTCTGGAAGGCCTTGCTCGCGCCATCGGCTCGGTGGAACGTCACGTTGGCAATGCCACGGCTCTGAGAGTTGGGGCCGTACACGAGATCAACTCTCTTGATGGCGCCAACAGATTGGACGAAGTACTCCTATCGGGGGAAATGTTAGTTATCCGAAAGTGTAGTTGAAAAGTAATCGCAACTCCGTCTTTCCGTCTTCGAGCCTCGGTCGATCCAGGTCCGGGAGTTTTACGTCGCCAGGGTATCGATGGTAATGGCGAAAGGTGACCAGCAAGCAGAGCAGTGAGCATATGTGATAAAGACCCCCAGGGAGGAAACACCAGGCTCTGCACAACAGCCAAGAGCCTCAAACGAGCCAAAAAATTTCGAACATCGCAAATGCACAACCCACTTGCAAAGGAGACCAGCCCCATCCCAAAATTAAAGTGCAAACGCTCAATGTTGATGCCACCAGGGCAAATAAAGATCTCGCTTGTCCCAACAGGGAGACTCATGTACCGGAAATCAAAAAAGACGGATGTAGCTCTTAGCATCCTAGGAAACGCTGTGCTGCATCTGCTCACTGCTAAGCTCGCTGAACGAGTGCGGGATTCCAAGAGCGGTTTCATCCGAAGGAAAATCGCTGGCCTCGAGCGGTGAATCTCTGCATATCATAGCCTTGATCCTCCAATAGTCGGCGCTATGTGTAGAAGGTTGACCAGACACTTCTCACGAAATCATCGCGCGACGAGGACCTTCTCAACTTCCGACAGGGGTGCGCCATATTCCAGGCATGTCTTAGTCCAGGAAGGAGAAGTGGCTTTGCGATAGCTCCAAAACGGCGCAGATAGTCGATGGACTATTCGAGGCGACGTGGCGTCGGAAGGCAAAAAGGAGTACGGCGAGGAAGAACAGGTCGAACAAAGTCCGAGGGCATCAATCGCCACAGCGGAGACATACCTTAATCTGCTGCTCCGAAACGTCCTTAGGCTGTGGTTGGTTAGTATTTATTTATTGTGTAGAATAGTAGGAGGACATACCAGATTGCTGACAATGATCTTGCTGTCACTGTTGGCAGCAACAGCCTTGGCGGGGGCGGGCTTCACGCCAGCGCCACGGGCAGGCTTGGTGTTCTTCTGGATACCACCCACGGGCGCGGCCGTGTTGGGGCGTCCAGTGGAGCGACGGGGGGCGCTGCGACGACGAGCGCTGCGGCGCTGGGCCGAGGTGATGTCGTCAAGGGCTTGGTCGAGCTTTCCAGACATTGTGATGGTGTTGAAAGATGGGTTGATGAGGGTCGAATGATTAGGTTGCGATGGATGTCTGACGACGTCGATCGATGCTGGTCTGGCTTGTCAAGGCGTCGGATCAGCGGAAGCTATCGAGCAGTCTGTATCGTCTTTCGGGATGTTCACGAAAGAAGACGCGACAAAAAGCTTGGTCCTGGTACTCTGGGGGAAGAGTCGCAAGGTTTGAGGTCGAAGTGAAGAGGAGTCGCGAGACGGCGGCTGCTCTGGAACTGCGATGGTGAGGCGCAGATGATAAAGGATTAAAAAAAAGAGGGAGAGCGCGTGAGAACAATTCAGACGCGATCTTGGGAAAGAAGAAGGGATGGGGTTGGTTTTGCGTGTGGGCGTGAGACTGTGGTGGTGTTGATTAAGAGAAGAAGAGGGAGAAGGGAGGGAAAGGAGCGCGCAGGCAGATGCGCAGAAAAACACGGGGTGGGCGATGCGTCCCGCTCCTTCCACCTCTCTGTCCAAAGAGCTGGCGCGTGGATGGCCACGGCCCACGGGGAGGCACGTAGAATGAGGCTACAATGACACGCTAGCCCGGTTTGGACGAGCATTCAGCCACGACGACTTGGCACAGCCCCAGCCAAACTGCATGCGTGGCGCCAGCAGCGGAGGCCACCCAGCGATCAAAATGCCAGCCCGCGCTGGCCCGAACAAAGACACGGCATGAAAGGAAGACATCAAGAGGAGGCAACCTCTCCCTGGGTTGCCTCAATTTGCGGCCAAAGCCCCTTTGTAGTTGGCCATTGGCTGGTTGTCTGAATTCCCTGGCTAAAATGGGGTCTAAAGTGCTAGGCTTTGTTCCTGTCTATGCGTTGCCAGTTCCACAATCATCTCCCAGCGGAAAGCTGGCGAGCAAGATTCTCCTCTCTCGTTGTTTCTGAGCTCAGAAGTAGCCTTAGATCGCTCATCGTTTCCTTGCCTACGCGAACCCACCCACTCACGCACCGTCTCTCTCTCTCAGCCTCGTCGTTTTCAGGGAGGCTCCTCAGCTCAACTCCTCGTCTTATCCTGTCCGCTGCTGCACTTTCTGCCTCTGGCTGTCCGATGCGTCTCCATGGCGGCCCAGTTATAAATCGACGTAATGTACAGTTCCGAATCGTAAAACAAATGGTACAACGTTGCAAATGCCCGATCGCAAGGCTTAGTTCGTAGTTTGCTTCTTGGCTGAGGCACCTTTTCCGCCTTCCACCTTTTGGGCCGCGTCCGAAGAGTTGATCTCGAGAAAGTGGTAAAGGACAATAAGCACCATGGACGCAGAGCCCAGGAAAATTGCCAAGCGGTAGAGGTCGCCGTCGGAAATCATCGTCGCAAGTGGATCGGGGGGATCAAGGGGAAACTGATGCGTTGACTTGGCTTGGGAGACGGGCTGGAGGAAATAGTCAGTGACTGCGATTGCAGAGATGTGGTCGCGACATCACTGTTAACCTACCGGCAGCTTGGCGAGGCGATGCGGAACAGTGTTGGATTGAGGAGTTGCGATTGCAAAGGTGTTGGATACCCAGGACGCGACAGCAATTCAACGTGGACAATGACGACGGGGAGCTGTCCCCGAACTGGCCAGTTGGAGCTTTCGTTGGGTTGACCACTAAAACTGATGGACATGCTCCACTGTGAATTGACCGGTACGTACCCTCTGACGGCCTGGCGCCAATGACCACAAAACCCCCGCTAACAAATAAAAATGCTGGGCTGAAGCGTAATGCACGTGACTCCTCTGACTTCATCCACCACACCTTACTCGGGCAGCCCACCAACCAGTGAACTGTCACCTCAGGATTTGCCCGTCAGTTGGCTTTGGATTTCGCCTTCCTCGACCTGAAAACACGGTGATTTACGGCATATCAACGAACCGCAAACCCCTCGGACCCCCCCTGAACCCCATTCGCGTCCCAAGTCCCCGATTACCCCGCCATCACTCGCCCAGCATGGCTCCCAAAAAGAACGACAAGGCGAATGCGCCGAAAAAGTCTGCGAAGTCGGTCGAGGACCGAACCTTCGGCATGAAGAATAAGAAGGGTGGCGCTGCCCAGAGGGAGATTTCTCGAATGGCAGCAAACCTCAAGAACAGTGGCCCCGCGGACGAGAAGAAGAAGGCCGCGGAGAGAGAGGCTAGAGAGAAGGAGAAGAAGGCTGACGAGGAAGCCCGCAGACAGACGGAGGCAATGTTGAACAAGCCTGCCCAGATTCAGAAGGTGCCTTTTGGTGTCGACCCCAAGACCGTGGTCTGCAACTTTTTCAGGAAGGGGAACTGCGAGAAGGGCAAGAAGTGCAAGTTCGCGCACGACTTGGCTGTCGAGCGCAAGACAGAGAAGAAGAACCTGTACAACGATACCCGAAAAGAAGACGAAGAGCAAAAGAAGGTAGAAACGTCAGCGGACTGGGACGAGGAACAGCTTCGAAAGGTCGTCTTGTCCAAGAAGGGCAATCAACGCACCAGTACGGAAAAGGTTTGCAAGTTCTTTATCGAAGCCATCGAGGATGGCAAGTATGGTTGGTTCTGGATCTGCCCGAACGGAGGAGACAAGTGCATGTACAAGCACGCCCTGCCACCTGGGTATGTATTCATGACATGGGAATTGCATTTAATACATACTGACACCATACTACAGTTTCGTTCTGAAGACAAAGGAGCAGCGAGCCGCCGAGAAGGCTCTTATGGATAAGTCGCCACTTAAGACGTTGACGCTTGAGGACTTCTTGGAATCAGAGCGACACAAGCTTACGGGCACTCTGACGCCTGTGACGCCGGAATCATTCGAGAAGTGGAAGAAGGAGCGTCTCAGTAAGAAGGCTGCCGAAGAACAGGCACGCAAGGCCAAGGATAACACTGGTCGTGCTCTGTTTGAGAGTGGCAAGTGGAAGGATGAGGACGACTCTGACACTGAAGATGATGGCGACGATATGTGGAACTTGACGAAGCTCAGAAAGGAGACGGAGGCTCTGCGAGAACGAAAGGAGGAGGAGCGGTTACTGGAGATGAACGGTGGTGCGGTTTCGGTTGGGGTTCCAGGCACGCCGGCCGAGACACCGGCCGAGAGCTCGGAATCGGCAGCATCTGGATCTTGAACAGCTCGGAAAGGGCGTACAAAAAGTTAGAAGAGAGTGTCTATAGTCGTGGCATTTCGAGCGCTCGGTGGGCTCGCCGGGGACAGACGATCCAGAGGCAAGCCCGAGCCCTGCTGGAGCATGTTATGTCACAACAAGCGAAGCTCCTGCAGGTCTACGAGGCGAATCTTGTCACCTCGTCAATCCTCCAGTGGAGGAGGGATGACGTCTTCCCCCCGGGTAGAATACATACAGTACAGTGGCGTATGGGTTCTATAAGATGACGATCCAAGCGTGTGTTGCTTGAAGGGCTGGTGCTGCATAATGCGGGTGATTCCAAGGTAGGATCGTGCGCCAGTGAAGGTGTTGTGATGCGCAGCTCCTATCGAGGCCAGAAGGGAACTGGGACAGTCTTGGGTGGCTTGATAGAGGACACGAGGCCGGAGCACATGGACGCAGCCACGGAAAGTGAACGAGAGGCAGATCAATTGCTGCTCCCGGGTTTGGAGGTTTGGCTGAAGGGAGATTGAGATGTCATCATTGCCTGGGGTAAACGCGGCTACTCAGGCGGGAGCGGCAGCAGCGGGCGGAGTTGCAAGTAAGAGGGTGGGGAGAAGAGGAGGCGATTGGACGACGAGGACACCCGGACATGAAAGTCCGAGTTCCGTCCGCCTATCTGGGATGATGGGAATACAAGAAAGACTCGGGCGAATAGCGGATCACGTATTTACGATTGTTGAGTTTAGGTGTCGGGAGGAATGTTGGGAGATAGGCTGAACCGGGCAAAGTATTTATTGATCGAATGTTGCGTGATTCTGGCTGCAAGGTTGTAGCTTGTTACAGGTGTAAGGGCCATGATGGGGAGAGAGGATCTAGGAGTAAACCGCGACACTGGCCGATGCTGGCCGACGCCGACGCCGACACCGATTGACACGGACATCCCAGGTGACGATGGGGAGCTGAGACATCGAGTACCGACACATGAACTGATATCTGTCTGAGCAAGCATGTGAATGGGACGAGGTAAGATGGACGTGATACCCTCCCTGTCTCCTTGTCAAAAGGTACATGGCGGGAGTGCGCCCGGACACTGAAAACCGGCCACTTACAGTGGACGGTTGTGGGGATTCTCCAACAGGTCACCCAAGTTAGAGGGCAGGCTACAGCGGCAAACAGCTGCAATAGGGCACCTTGCTCCCCACGGTGGGTGTGATTGTTACCTAAGTTAGTACCTACCACGCACGGCGATACAGGCACAGCAGCACGCGCGACAGCACGCACGGCAAGCACACCCCGCAGTCCATCTCCACGATAGGTTCCCTCCTTCCTGCTAGCCTCAGGGTCTGCCCAATTCAGCAACAGCGACGACACACGGAAGGCACGCCCTCAGACGACGCCCCCCCGTTCCTTCGCTTTCCCACCCCCGCCCTCCAGACTCAAAAGCTCCAAGCTCAAATCCCAACTCTCAACCCTCCTTCACCACCAAACATCCTCCCTCACCATTTGATTGCCCAACCGACAGAGACGCAATCGCCCGCCGCTGCTGCTGCCGTTCGCGCCGCCGCCGTCCCTGCCGTGGGCACCCGGACGCCCGAGCGCCCGAGCCACCTTGGAAAGCCGCCCACCGCCCACCGCCCACAGGCCGACGTCCCGCAACTCGCCGCCGCGCGCAGCCCGCTTTCCGCCTTCCGCCTTCCGCTTCCCGGCGTCTGGATGGAACCAGCGGATTCTGGCGACTGGGCGTGTTGCGACCGCGCCCCCAATCATCGCGATCCTCTCTGCTGCCGCTGCCCTGGTCTCCCCGACGAGACTGCCGTCTGAGGTCCCCAATTGCTTTCCCTGGAGTGAGAGCGGGAAGCTATGACTGCTGAGGCCAGACTGGTTCACCAACATGTCCCCGGCCACCCATCATTATCGCCACTGCCATCCCCAGCTGCTAGCCCAGCCATCATGCCGGACGCCGCTGGAGGACGACGCGACGGCGAGACGAAGAAGAGGTCCGATTCGGCCTCGGCAATCAATCCCAATGCCCACTACAATGGCTTCGTCAAACGTTATCGCACAGAGCTAGCTGCCAGCTCCTCCAGCGTCTTTTCCACCCTCGCCGCCTTCCCCCTCGACAGCGTCAAGACGCGCATGCAGACCTACCAATACCACGGCTTTCTCGATTGTGTTCGCCATACTTATCGCACCGAGAAGCTAGGCGGCTTCTTCCGAGGTACGGCATGATCTCATCGCCCTACCCTTCTCTGTGTTCAACCTGGACTAACCAATTTCTGCTACAGGTGTAATGGCCCCAATGGCCAGCATTACCCTCGTCCGAACCGTCTCCTTCTCCATATACCAACGCGCCAAATACTCCTACTCGGATTGGGTGAAACGAAACATGGGCTTCGACATCATCGGACACGTTAATCGCACTGGCACCTATCCCAACCTATATTCCGTCGCCTGCTTTGGCGCAGCTGGTGCCACCGCCGGCTCCGCAATTACCTTCCTCGCCTGCCCCTTCGAGCTCACCAAACTCAGCGCCCAGGTCTCAGTGCTCCTGGCCGAGCGTGGCACCGGTAACAAGGGCAGTCATGCTGTAGCCGCCAGCTACCAAAATAAGGGCACTCTAAGGACCATGGCCAACATCATCAAGCACCGGGGCGTTCTCGGCCTGTACACAGGATTTAATCTCCACTTATGTACGTGCCACTGAGCACTAGAAATGAGCGGCCAGAACTAATTAAAATCCCACAGTACGCGACACCCTAGGAACGGCCATTTACTTCATGGTGTACGAGAGCGGCAAGCAAATTGGCAACACATTCGCCGGCGATCACCCCAACAGCAATAAGCTGGCCGTTGTTGCCGCTGGAGGCATGTGCGGATTGGTATCATGGGCCATGATTTGTACGTCTATCTTGCCCCTGGAGAATCGTCCTATTCTTAGCTGACACGCTTCTTTCTGCAGACCCCATCGACTCCGCAAAGAGCATCTACCAGCGCAACTCGCTCCTATACTCCAAGGGGCAAACCGTCGAACCAGCGCCTAAGATCGAGTTCTTTAAACGCCACATGTACCGCGGACTGGGTGTCTCCATGAGCAGATCTTGTGTCGTTAATGCCATCTTCTTTTCGTCTTTTGAGTTTATTAAGAAGCACATCAATACCCTCGACGAGGAGGGAAAAATATGAACCCAGCAAGGGAAGCATATAAAAAAACCACAACAATTTCGACTGGGTTTCATTGGGTAACTCCACAGAGGGGGACGGCCACGGGAAACAACGGACAACACCATGTATGCATTATGAGTGGGCGTTTGGGGAATGCTTTCGTCGATTTTCAACTACCCTCTTCTGCCCTGTGTATTGGCTTATTTCCTTAACATGGAAGGGCGGAGGGGTTTTGGGGGCGATACTACCCGAGTCTGGGTCGGGTTTTCAGCATGGACACTGGGGCAACATATTGGCCAAAGGTGGTGTTACGAAGTACAGCAGTATACGGATCGGATAACAGAACATGCCAGTTGGCTGTCGGGAAGAATGTAGCAGGTTTTGTCGATATCAAACAAATGGCGTACGTGCCAGCATTCAACCCAAGCCTCTATCAGTTTCTTACTGTGACATGTGGCTTATCCATGATTACGATGAAGACTCTTTGCAGGTACGGTTGTGTTTGTATTGAGCTATGACTTGACCACACCGTTGCGGATTTTCCTTCACCTAGTACTCTCCATGTTGTCGCCTGTCATTTCGGAAGATACTGCCTCATCCAGGAAGATGCATGTCTCACTTGGCAGGTCCGCTTCCATTACCGCCTCCGGAATTAGCGGCCTTGTCAGCCGCCGCCTGGGCACGCTTCGCGAACGCTGGGTCGTTTCCCGACTTGTCCTGAGAAGACGGGGCGGGTTAGCAAGAGATCAGTGTGGTTTATGAGGATCAAGTGCGGTGCTTACGTTGGCGGCCTGGATCCTGGCTGCGGCTTCTTTGTCCATAGGGACCTTGTTGGTAGAGTTGTTTCCAGACATGGTGGATGATTGGGGAAGTGGGAAGTTGAGCTGGGTTGATCTGGGTTGAGCTGAGTTAAGTTGAGTTGAGTTCGGTGAAGATGAGTTGAGTTCAGTTGTGTCGAGAGTGGTAGAGTGGTGAAGAAGGAGGAGAAAAGAGTTGGGCAAGTTGTGAGAATCTGGCCCCTTTTATCATTTTCAACCGTGAGTTTAGCTTCCATGTGACTAATGGCTCGCTTCTGTGTCTAGAGTCATTGGCGTCGTCATTATCGTGGTTTGTTGCTTGCTTAGCGACAATCAAGCTCACAGAACAGGGTCCCCGAAATCGACACGCGTCAATGGCAACGATGATGGCGCACAACCAAGGGTTTTGCTTATCCGTTTGTCTAGCGGTTTGTCTGTTTGTAAGAAGAGTTATTTCTTAAGACATCGGCTCCCTGTTGCTCATCTATATGACACCGTCGTGTAACACTCGTAGGCAACGACTGCGCAGCATTGGGCTGATGGCTGAGCAGCGCGACAAACTCGACAAACTCTCCAGACAAAGGAACGTGAATTGATACCGGGGAGGCACTGTTAGTGCTAGTAAAGGTGAATTGCAAGTCTCCTATATGCCGTGTGCGAGTGTTGATGTCTTTTACTTACAAAAGCTTGAGTTTGATCATGTCGTCCACCAACCAGCCAGTCTCACCTCCAGAGGTAGTTAAAATATGTGTACTATCCCGAGTATCACAGCCTACCTTAAAATGACCAATGATGTTGATATAGTATTGGGGAAACCGCAAATCTCATCGCGACGTCGTTATCGCCAACCAAGATGCCACTCATACACAAACCCCATCACCAGCCGGGGCTATTTGCAGATCGAACTAGCCCGAACTCAAATAATTTCGTTGAGGTTTCAATGAGTACATCTGAAGCGAAGCAGCCCCGCCAAACGCCTCGTGTCTAACTGTTGCGACCCTGTGTTTGCGCGAGGTACCTGGAAGTTTGTACGTACGCGTCATCTGCGCAATCACGCACACTAGTGACAATTTAGCTGTAGAGTGCAACAAGGCGACATTAGCTTGGTTGCCAATAAGATAAGGGATTTGCTTTGGACTGTTGGCAGGACCAACAAACAAGATGTAATGCTGTGCGGTGTGTACTGCACCAAAGCACTCAGGTAGAATCCACGACTTTCCCATCGCCCAGATAAGCCCGGCGAAGGAATGGAAACCATTTGGCACGGTAAAGTCTAGAAATAATATCCTGTTTGACTGTTTGACAAGTTTCATGTGTAGTCGGCAAGGACTCAAGGCCGCCTTGATTTCTATCTATGTCCCTCTTTCCATTGTCCTTCCAGATTGACTCCTCCCAAAAGTATCCGGTCCATTTTACCTCGGCCCATGAAGTCCGTAATATACAATGAGTCCATTCATACAAGCAAGTCGTCGTCATTTGCGTAGGGATTTCAGCAGAGGCGCAATCCTCGACCTCTTGCTCAGCCCAACCCGATATATAGGCTTGTTGGCGGCTGTAATTGCGGATAGCCCGCGAGCTTGTCCCAGACCCTTGACAGCTGGACCAGACGGGCTGGCCTTGGCTCCTTTCTCGACCACGGGGGAATCTGGGACCTTGAGCTTTTCATCCTTGACCGTGCTAAGGGCAGTTGGGATGGCGGTATTTTGACGAGTTTCCTTCAAGACCGTTGTATCTAGTTCCGATTTGCTTTGGTCCTCCTCTTCGGGCTCATCCGGCTCGTGGTCTGCACCGCGCTCTTCCGTCAATTTCTTAGAGTCGACTTTGATTTGAACAGTGTCAGAAGGAACTTGCGCAACATCGTCTAATGCTACGGTCGTGGCTTGTGGGCTTTGCTCAACGGCCGCCAGCTTGTCTTGTTTCCGTGGCCTGCCGCGTTTCTTTTTCTGCGTGGTAGTATTTTCTCCAACCACCGAATTAGCTGGTAGCGGCGTAGTCGGCTGTACTTCTTCTGTGGCTTTCTTTCGTGGCCGCCCTCTTGCTTTCTTTGGTTTGACAGGTTGTTCTGCGTAGTCGGATTCTTCGTCGTTTGCCGCCGCCTCGACAAATGGCGGTTCCGTTCTGTCTAACTTCGTGTCCACTTCCGACTCATCGCAGTTTACAACCTTTGGACTATCCGGCTTTGGACTCTCCTGCTGTGGAATATCTTGCTTTGGACTAGCACGCGTTGGGCTCTCCTTCCTTAGACCATCTTTCTTTGGCCGACCGCGTTTTTTCGCCTCTTTTGGTTTTGCGGGTGGCTCAATGGCAGAAATGATATCAGGAGATGAGGGTAGTCTTCGGTCATTTAACTGCGTAGCCATGTCATGGTCCACTTCTGATGCAGCTGATGGCAGAGGGGCGGTGCTGAAACCAATTCCATCGCTCCGTGGGGTGTTCACATTGGTTGCTGATCCACTCGATCCTATCATTTGAGCAGCATGTGTGTATATGGGAGGTAGATACTCCTGGCGGTTGCTGTCGCTAGAATCCAGGTGCACGCTTTGGTACTGTAGCTTCTGTGCATCGGTCAAGGGCTTGGCCGAGATGTAGAATGACGCATCATTATCGATAGGGAGCGTTGGAGGAAGTGTTGGGGGTAGCATACTCGATGGCGCAGCTAGTTGTGATTCTGGATGTGTGTCTTCATTGTCGTTGCTGAATGGGATGGTCACAAGGTCGACTTCATTGGATCCCTGTGGAGAGAGGTGTGAACTCTCAATTTTCCTTCTTTTCCTTGCCCCTGCAGGTGAACCGTCACCATCTGGTCCGTGGTCATGATCGGCCTCGGTCTTCTTGACAGAGGCAAGTCCTCGACATTTCAGCTTGATGATTCGTTTTCCCGGCGGCCTGGAAGTTGACTGGGCGTCCTGGCGCTTCAATCGGATTTTGGGAACCTGTCGTGCGTGGCCTTCGTCGGGGCTGTTTGGCACGTCCCAAACTGGGTCGTCCATCATGGCGGTAGGTGCCTTCCTCCTTCCAGGCGTCGACACTTGCGTCCAATCGCTCATAGCCTTTCCACTAGAAGCTTTGGGGTCCCTGGTGGCTGTGGGATCCGATATTGATGTGAGCGAAGATGGCTCGATTAGTCCCGTCACCGTTCGCTGGAAGGGCGCGGGCGCAGTCACCTCCGAGCTTGAAGGTGCGGCATTGTCAGTCGATCCGGGCAACGCGTCTGGGGCATTCTCGCGAGCAGCGTCATTCTGCTCGTCATAAATGTTCCGAAAGAAGGACGGGTCAGTAGAAGTTGTCGTGTGGCTTACACGGCCGAATGAACGCGTTGCCTCCACGCCGAAATCTTGAGGCGACACGGGTGCCTGAGGGCTGCGCGGCGGCGAGTAGCTGTTGTCTTCATCGTCAGAATCAGCAATGATGACTGGAGGCATCTTGGGGAGCGAACAGTTCCAAAATGGCGACCCGTGTGTGGACTCGAGAGTACATGTTGGACGCGCTGGAACGTGGGGTTACGTGTCGCGCGTGGTCACATGACACATCCACACATCATTTGGGCGCCCAGGAACGGTCTGCCTGTTTGCACATGCCACAACACGCACCATGGAAAATAAGTTCCTCACCTCAAAGAGCTTCTACAGCATCATACGAATTACGCACCACACTCATCTAATTTAAGGGCAAATGGAAAAATATTTCTCAATGAGAAAAGTGGTCATTCTGTTGATTTATTGACCTGTCAGCTCCCAATTGGGAGAGTATATGCAATATGTTGAAATGCGCTCGCCCAACCGTTTCCCCTTATCCCATTCCCTGATCCTGATCCGTAGGTTAACTTTTGGGATGCAGCAAATACATCTGGTATTTATAAACCAGCCCAAACGCCGATGTTGAAATCGTAGCTGATTCGTTGATGCAGCCTCCGCAAATAGCACTTCTTAACACAATCCCCATGCGCCCCCTACAACTTCACACCCTTCAACCCTCTCATACCAGAAGGGTTGACATTTAGTTCTTGGCGTACTTGGCACGGAAGAACTTGGCAGCGTTGACCATGTTGAGGAGGGCCTCCTTGGTCTCCTTCCACTGACGGGTCTTGAGACCGCAGTCAGGGTCGATCCAGAGCTGCTCAGGCTTGAGGAACTGGAGCATCTCCTCGATGCGGTCCTTGATCTCCTGCTCGCTGGGGATACGAGGGGAGTGGATGTCGTAGACACCAGGGCCGATGTGGCGGGGGTACTCAGAGTCAACGAAGACACGGAGGAGCTTGGCATCGGACTTGCTGTTCTCAATGGACAGAACGTCGGCATCGAGGGCCGCGATGGCGTGGAAGAAGTCCTGGAACTCAGAGTAGCAGAAGTGAGAGTGGATCTGAGTGGAGTCGATGACGCCGGCGGTGGAGAGACGGAAAGCATCGACAGCCCACTTGAGGTAGGCGTCGCGCTCAGAGCCGGAGCGGAGAGGGAGACCCTCACGGAGAGCAGGCTCATCGACCTGGATGACGTCAATGCCGGCCTTCTCGAGGTCGACAACCTCGTCACGGAGGGCCAGAGCAAGCTGCTGGGCCTGGACGGACTGGTGAACGTCATCACGGGGGAAAGACCATCGCAGGCAAGTGACGGGGCCAGTCAGCATGCCCTTCATGGGCTTGTTGGAGACCTTGACGGCGTACTTGGACTCCTTGACGGTCATGGGAGCGGGGCGGGAGATGTCGCCGACAATGATGGGAGGTCGGACGCATCGAGAACCGTAGCTCTGAACCCAGGCGTGGGTGGTGAAAGCATAGCCCTTAAGGCGCTCACCGAAGAACTGAACCATGTCGTTACGCTCAGGCTCGCCGTGAACGAAGACATCGAGGCCAAGCTCCTCCTGGATCTTGACGTTGTCCTCAATCTCCTTCTCAATGAACTTATCGTACTGCTCAATAGTGATCTCACCCTTGGTGAACTTGTTGCGCTGGATACGAATGTCCTTGGTCTGGGGGAAAGAGCCGATGGTGGTGGTGGGGAAGAGAGGGAGCTTGAGCTTCTCCTGCTGCTGGGCGATACGGGCAGGGAACTCGGACTGACGCTTGTGGTCGGCCTCGGTGACCTTGGACTGACGGTCCTTGACCTCAGGGTCGTTGGTTCGGGCAGAGGTGGCACGAGCCTGGATGGACTTGGCGTTGGCCTCGAGCTGCTCACGGACAGCGGCGGGGCCCTCAGTGACGGCCTTGGCGATGAGAGCAATCTCAGAAGCCTTCTCAGTGGCGAAAGAGAACCAGTCGGCAATCTCGGCGTCCAGCTTCTTCTCGCTGGCGAGGGTGTGGGGGGTGTGGAGGAGAGAGCTGGAGGTGGCAACAATGACACGGTCCTTGCCGAGCTTCTGGATAGCGGTCTCAGCGGTCTCGATGGCACGCTTTAGGTTGGTCTTCCAGATGTTACGGCCATCGACGACACCAGCAGAGAGGATGGTGCTGGAGCCGAGAGCAGAAGCGACAGTCTCGAGCTGCTCAGGGTTGCGGACAAGGTCAACGTGGACACCATAGATATCCTTGGGGAGGAGGTCAATGTTGTGGACGATGTCACCGAAGTAGGTGGTGAAGACAAGCTTGGGGATCTTGTCGCCGAGGGCGGCAAACTTCTCATAGGCGGGCTTGAAAGCGGCCTTGGTCTTCTGGGGGAGATCGAAGACGAGAACGGGCTCATCGATCTGGACGGTCTCGGCACCAGCCTCCTTCAGCTGGACAAGGAGCTGCTCGTAGACGGGCAGGAGGCTGTCGAGGAGGTCAATGGGGTCGACGGTCTGGTCACGGTCGGCCTTGCCGAGGTGGAGGAAGCTGACGGGGCCAACAAGGACGGGACGGGTGGTGATACCAGCCTCCTTAGCCTCCTTGAAGTCAGCGACAGCCTTGGGGGTGGCGGTGAGCTTGAAGGTCTGGCCGTCCTGGAGAGTGGGCTTGACGTAGTGGTAGTTGGAGTCGAACCACTTGACCATCTCCAGAGAGGGGACATCGACGCCCTCCTTCTGGTGGCCACGGCCCATGGCGAAGTACTCGTCAATGGTATCGAGACCATCCTTGGTGTATCGCTCGGGGACAGCCTGTGAGACATTTTGTCAGCAACGAGCCAAGGAAAGGATTGGCACTGAGAGAAACTTACACCGAAGTCCTGGATGTGGTGGAGGACCTGGTCGTACAGAGCGAAGTCGTTGCTGGGGATGATGTCGACACCGGCATCCTGCTGGATCTTCCAGTGAGCAAGGCGAAGGCGCTTGGCCTCAGCGAGGAGGTCGGCCTGGGAGATCTTGCCGCCCCAGTCTACATGTTCGGGTCAGCGGCGGTGGGCTGGGAGGAGGGGTTGTGGAGAGGCGGTGGAGGGGTGTACTGACAAGCCTCAGTAGCCTTCTTGAGGTCACGGTTCACACCCATGCGGGGGAAACCGAGAATCGCGGACTGAACCATATTGGCGGTTGATCCGAGTATTCTGAAAGGTGTGTTTTGGGAAAGACGCTGCTGAGAGGTTAGACAATGTGAATTGTTGGTACGAGCGGTGGCGGGGCGTTTGGCGGGGTGGGAGGGGCAGGTTTTTTTGAGCGTGAGATTGGGAGAGTGGGAGAGGTAGGGGGAGAACGTACTGAAGATACAGAGCCCTGTCTGTACCACAATGGATCAATCAGGGGATCCTTTGATGAGAAGAAGTAAAGGAGGATGGGAGGATGAAAGGAGAGAGAAAAAAAAAAAGAGGAAGAGGAAGGGGAGGAGCTCTAGAAAAAGGACCAGAGATGGTTGGAGAAAAAAAGATCCAGCAGAAAAACTCAGGCGGAGGCCAGTCCGAAAGCGGGGGAGGGGTAGCAGTGATGCGGTGATGCGTCAGGTACCTTCTCACAGCTCAGATTCGCAGTGGCTGCGGTGTACCTGTACTCTACTCCAAGTCAAGGTGAGCACGGAGCACGGAGCACGGAGCACTGTGCACTGTACCGCTACACCACTGCAGGAGTCCACAGGGGACCGTGGAAGGCACTGGTTGGACAGGGGCTCCCCTGCAAACCCAGTCCTTGCCGTGTCTGATCCTCTGAGGCGGCAGCTCCTGTGGGTACGAGCCTGATACGGAGGGCTCTTTCAGAATCTTGCCCAAGCACGAGTAGCGGCACATCTATTTCTCCCTGAGATACATGAGGCTGTGACAGTCTCGTCATGGAAGTTATATGTTACGGCCGCTGTAACTTTGAGGGTAGGAGGCGCTGCTGACCAGGATCTAGCGGTCGCTGTGTGTTGTAACCTGCTGTCCTTTAGGTCTTATGAAAACCATGAAGTAAGGGACTTCGCAGACCTAGTGTACTTACCCTCGTAATGATTGGTTGACTCACTAGCGTCGTTTTTCTTTGGACAAGACTTCTGAAAGGGCCCTCCGTACGTATTCGTACAATTCGTCGGCGGTGGTTGGTCTGGTCGGCGGGAGCGGTTGCCGGGGGGGCTGGCGAGTTCGAGAGAGCGGCGCGGCGCTGGGCGGCTGTTACTACGTAGTAACTACGCAGCAAGCGGTAGACGGCCGGCTATTGCTGGTGGATAGAGCGTGGGTACAGCGTGGGTTTGGTGAGCAGCTGTCGTCGGGCTGTCGGGCTGTCGGCGGAGCCAGTTTTACCTCGATACTTGAGTATTTCGGGTCCCGAATTGCGCCATCGGCCTTTACTCGCTCGCCCTGGTTGCCTGGTTGCTGCTGTGCCGGTGTGCTGCTGTGGCTGGGGCTAAACTCGAGCCCAATCTTACGCCGCCGTTGATCGGCCATTGGCGTCCAAGGCATCCTTCACCGTTCGTTGCCACCCTAGTCACTGCGTGCGTGCTTTTGCCTTGCCCTTGTGTGCCCCTCGATTGCCCCTCGATTGCCCCTCGTGTGCCTCTGCTCAGACCCACGTGCCCAATGGTATCGCTGGCTTCTATTCGTACGCCATTCGACCCAATACTGGCCGGACGATATCGGGAGCCTGGTCTTTGCGAGGCTTTGTTGAGGATACTACCAGCTCCGTTTGGAAGACGGGAGAAGCTACGGTGGCTCTTGGTGCTGTTTCGGTTGTCACGCCGAGAGCGCGTCTCGTCTCACCTGACCGGCCTGACTGACAGTCGGCTTGACCAGTCCTCCTTGCATCAACCGCCCTCCCTGACCCACGCATGTCTAGCCAAGCTTGTTCCGTTGTCTTGGAATTTTCGAGACTCCTCGATCCCATCAGCGAGCAAGCTCCCGTTATGGCCGCTGGGTCTGGGGTTTGCCTGTAACAGCGGTGTCAATCAAAGTCAGCAGGCAATTCCTTCTCGGCCGATGAGAGATTTTCTCCGAGATAATGTCAGCCACGGACTATGCAAGTCATCATTGTGATTCCCCAATTCTCTCTGAGATGGAATGCCTGGTAGGTAACAATCACATCACCAAACTCAAGTAATTCTTTATCCTCGCGGCTTAGATCTCCCTTCCTGGCGCCTTCGCCACGTAGCTGTGTTCCCCTCATATCCAACCTCACGATACCACCTACCAGCACAACCCAACGCACTCTTACAATTAGGGGGGTCTTAGCTTATGACATTGTGATAAGACTTCTTTACCTTCCAACAAGTCGTCCCATTTGAACCATTGCTCCATGATGTGTTGCCCATTGTCGCGTTCCGTGCCTTCCCTCGGGCACTTGAGATACCGTAAAGATGGAAGGAGATACCAACCTCAACTCCACCAACAGAACCATGACTTCCCGCTTCGACCACCACACCCTCTCCTTTCGTACTGGCACTATGAAGAACGTTTTGTACACTCGCCTCAATCACTCCCTCGTCTTTCGGCGTGTCGATCGCCTCGATTGCTATACCGCTTTTTGGCCTCGGTTCTTTGGTCCTCCATTACCACTTGGAGAAGTCTCTTTCTTGGACGATCTTCTGGTCATCATAAATCCCGCCCGTGTCTCTCCATAGACTCCCATGCCTCTCCTCTGTTGCTGCAGGTCTCGGGCTGTGACTCAAGGATCGCCATCATGCACTCTCCAGCTGCCGTGCACCCAATCCACCACAATTGCAGTTCCCACTACTGAAACACGGCGTCAACTGACTGAAGGTCAACCATCCATTCTAGGGCTTTCCTCCCAAGCGGAATGGGAGTCGTCTCAGCTCTCGATCGCTAACCGCCATGGCATATCCATGCCCCAGCTGGGGGCCGACGGTTCTGAAAGCGAGGACGACCTACCAAGAGCAAGGAAGAAAGCCAGTGGAACCTTTGATGCTGTCAGAGCCAAAGTCGTTCAGCACATTCGTCAAGGTACTAGCATCAAACGTCAGTCGCTCGCCTCCATTGGCAACAGCGATGAGGAAGTCGCCCGTCGAGCCGAACTGAAACGACTCATGCACAAGAGGATCCAAGATGAGCTCCAAACCGAACAATGTGACAACAAGTCTAGCAACAAATCAACACCCAGCATACAATGCATTTCCTCTGTCACTAATGCCGCGATGCCTACTGCTGGGCCAAGAGACAACATTGAATTCGCCGTCAACACACTACCTGCCCTCGATAGTCCGGTTTCCCTAGAGCCGGGACTCCTATTAGCAACTACTGCACCTTACGAGGCATCTCGACACACTACGACGCAACAGGATGACCGCCCGGAATCATTGCAAAGCTACGAGAGCTACCCGGAATCAATGAATGAGACTACTGGCACAGTTCGTTGCTTGCGACCTTCAATTGTCTCCAAGGAGCCAGGTCCAGCCTCGAGGCACGTGAGCTTCCCGCAGTCCACATCGCAAAAGTCTTTCCAACTTTCGAACAGCACTTCTCGTCTTGATCGGATCTTGGGACCAGATAACAGCTTTTGTAGCCGTCGAGTTTCCTCTTCTTTGGACGGGCAATCTGCCCTTGGAGTATGGCTTATCGCTCAAGGTCTGCGATCAAGGGATAACTCGGTAGCCCCCTTTGAAGATACAGAGATCGGAAATCCCGGCACTCAGGATTCGAGTCACGAACAGCTCAGGGGAGTTGATAGGGTCGCAGAAGCACTTGCGTCAAGCATTCACAGTACCATTCGGTCTCGAACAGAACCATCCCTCAGCCAGGCACCAAGTGTCACGGATGAACCCAACAAGCCAGAACAAAGCTGTACGTCAGCACATCAGACTGACCAATCCGAGAAAGATTCACAGGGTGGCTCCTGTCATAGTGATAGGGTGAATCCATCTCATACCGAGGGCATTCTGGACAGCTGCGCACTGGCCCTCATACTGAACTCGATGGCCGACAATACGTCCTCGAACTACACCTCAAAACTGCCAAGTTTCCAGCCGAGTCCCGCACGCTCTGACCCAAATTTCTACGGTCTTAACGGACAAGATCTTCAGAGCTTTCAGCTGTCGCCTTTTGAGTGTGAGTGTTACAAGTTATATTAAAATCAATAGTAACTGACCTTGATGTAGGGCATGGAAGCTCGCCATTGTCCTGCGACTTTGTTGGCTCGACGGAGCAGGTCCTGAATGCCCCCAAGGACGACCGGTTGACTGAGTTTGGGCCTTACGCCAATCCTCAAGCGATCCAAAATCCGTCTCATATCGTATACGACACATGTTCTTTATCACATTCGGAAACCACCAGCTTCTTCCAGCGAGAGACGGAACTTCGGACAATTCAGAAACGGTTTGCCGAAGTCTTGGCACGCAAGAAGCTTGCATTTCCTATCGCCAGTCGCTTCCGTGAAGAATTTGCGGAACCTGGTCTCGGCCGAACTGGGCGGGCGTCTTTTATCGACAAAATCCATCTTACCGTTCCAAGGCGATTCAAATCAGGAGCAAGAAGTCAGAGTGGTATAGAGCAAGAGAATTCATTTGAATCGTCTCAGACTGCCAATTCCTATCCAGCGCTCCGTGAGACAGAAGCAGCCCACAACAGAGAGATGAGCAGTAAACACAAGCGACCATCCAACCTGAGTATTCGATCAAACATGCATCCTTTATCGCCCCAGGTGTATCAGATACCAGGCTCAGCGCGGGAGGAAAGTACCACGGATTTATGGCAACGAGCGATCAGACTCGAGGCCGAGGAGAGACATAGTTCGAATTCCCATATCAGCCCACCCCCTCAAGATGAAAGGGCATCCTCGGAAAACCGCCCGCCAACTTTGAAAGTTGGGTTGTGGAGGGGAGAGAGTACTGGGAACAGTTCCTTGTCGACCAAGAACACCAACAGAGAGCCCTCTCACCTGACCCCGAAGGCCGATGAGCTACCTGCCAATGAACATTCAAAATGGCTTATTCAACGTTGGACAACTGAAATGAGGCCTGGGGCTCTAGGTCATCCCGATAGTATTGGGAGAAAGTGTTCAAGAAAGTTGGCGAAGCCACCTAATTCCTGGGCCAGGTTCCCATCTCACACAAGAGAAGAAAGAGTCAAGCATGCGACTATAAAGGACAATGTCAAGCCCAAAGATTTTGCGATAAAGGAGATTGCCCCAGATGGTCGAGTTCTGTGGGCCACTAACAAGGGCCTCACGGAGGAGGTACCATGTGATGAAGCACTAACAAGGTCTTTCTCTATGAGAATGAGTAAAGCTGTCAAGTCGAAGCTTACTTGGTTTCTTCCCACGAAGAATGTGCCAGGAGACGCAGGAAAGCGCTCTTGGAAGACTCGGGCCAGCTCCCAAGGGGCGAAACAATTGGAGTATCCGGAACTGGAGATTCTGCCCACAGGGTCAGGGTACAAGGAACTTCAAGCTCTAGAGAAGGAAATCAAAAACATGAAGGGTAGACCACAATACCTGGCTACTGAGGAATCCCTGGCAAGGCCAAGATCTGTGAGGAGCCTGGGAAGCAGGATATCAGCCCTCATGTATGAAGCAGCAACATCCAACTGCCTCGACCACGATAATACCCTCACTTCAGCCAATATTCCGAAGTCGCCAGGGACACCAGCGAGCGGATTCCACAGTCTGCTCCAAGAAAGCGTTGCCATGACGGACATTTTCATCACACCCCAGAGCCGTGTTTCCTTCGGGGTTGGAACTCAGCAAGATCATAACAACTCAGATGCCGAATCCACCAAGAGCGACCAGCCAGCTATCGGGAGGTCACCAACAGCTGAGGTCGATACGAAGAGTCGCCTGCGGTCCTGTACGTGGGCTGGTCAATCTGAGACTGGAGTCCCTGATTCAAGCAGACTGGCCAGCTTCAGGCAGGCTTTGGATACACTCCGACAAAACGATGGTATGAATGATGGCGGTGGATTCTTAACAAAATCCACGTTGGCCATCGGCATCAAGCACAACTCAATTGGTGAGATGCCATAGCCATTGCGGATCAACTGGCACCAAAGAGAGTTCTACGAGGAGGAGGACCCCGAGATTCGAGAGAAATCCAAAGTGGCCCCGAAGAAGGGAAACGAGAATTCAGAGTTCCTAATCTGAGCCATGGTGTACGAGAAGCAAAAGAAATTATATTTTGTAGCGATGGCAAGACATTCACCTGCGTAAACTAACTACCTAATTACGTATGAATTATCCAAGTACTATATAGATAGGCTCACGCATTGTTCATATCGTTGACCTAATACAATCTCTCATCTCAAACTCGTGCATCCGTCTCGAGAGGATTTATCGAAACTGCCCATTTTTTATCCAGCCATACCCACATGCTCATTAAAATGATATTAAGCAACGTTCACGCGACTAAAAACAAGGATGGCAACTCAACCATGCGTATGCTAAGCTCTGTGGTTAGTCCATGCAACAAGAGTTTGAGAGGAGGACTATGATCGAATCTCGAAGACTGTGATGGGAGCACTGGCTCAGACAGTTTCCTCCTTTTCTCTCAACTCGGCGCGCTCCCGCCTAGCCTTGTCCTCTTCAGCCTTCCGCAGCATCTCCTCTTTGCGGTCACGCAAGGCGATGCAGAATGGGGAACGGCTGCGAATGCTAGGCCCTTTCCAGATAAAGATGAAGGGGATGAAGCACATGAGGGCACTAAGACCACCGAGCAGGGAGCAAGCACCGGCAACGCCGAGACGGTGGAACATGTGAGTAGTGGCGAGGGGGAGCACGACGGCGAAGAGGGAGCGGCAGCACGAGGCCGCTGCGTTGGCGGAGGCAGCGAAGATCTCGTAGGCATCTGTGAGGTAGTTGAGCAGGGCCATGAAGATGAGGAGGAAGCCCATGCCGAAGGGGATGCCGGCGAGCATGGGGGCGACGAAGGAGACGGATGACTTGGCGGACCAGCCGAGCCAGAACAGGGAGATGACGAAGAGCGGGCCGCCGAGACACGCCAGTGGGAGGCGACGATATTCCTCGCGCTTGACCCAGGCGGCATCACGGGCTTGGGCACGGGAAATAATGGTGTCCCAGATGTAGAAAACAGGCAGATTCAAGCATGCACCGCCGGCGATCGGGAGGTAGGCCAAGCCAGTGACACCTGGGGAAAGACCATAGACGTCTTGGAAGACAATTGGGAAGGCCTGAAAGGACATGTAGAAAATGCTGTAGATGAGCGAGAGATATGCGCAGGTGGTGGTGACTATGGGCTCAAAGAATAGCATGCGCAGCGGCCTAGTGAGGACCACGGTGAAGAGTTGGTTAAGGTCGGTCTCCTCTAGATCACGCGGAGCAATTGCTCGCGATGTTGGATCGGCCTTGCGCATCTTCTTGGCGCGGTTGGCGAGCAGGATGGGGCCGTACGTCTCTGGGAGGAAGGGGGTTAGGGCGAGGGTCGAGCCAGCGAGGATTAAAGCGATCCAGAAGGTCCAGCGCCAGCCGATGGTTTGGGAAGTGAAGCCGGAGACGATTGGAGAGAGAATGGGACCGAAAGTAGTCGCCTATAAGCAAAGAGTCAGCATGTTGAGGTCAGGGAAGCCACATCTGGACGGCTGGACTCACCACCATGAAGATGGCATACGCTCTGCCCCTGGACGTTGGCTCCCCGTACACATCGGCCAGGATGCCCGCAACAATGGCAATCGGAGAGCTAGCAAACACGCCAGTGAAGAAGCGGAAGATAAGTAATGACGGCCAGGTAGAGGCGAGGGCACACGCCATGGTGAAGATGGTGAAGAAGCAAAAGGTGATGAAGCTTAAGTTGCGGCGACCGAAGTGCTCGCTCAGGGGACCCCAGATGATGGGCCCGAAGACGTATCCGATGAGATAGACGGAAATCGGTAGCACCCTCTGCTCTTCAGAGGTGACGCCAAAGTCCTTGACGATTTCGGGGATGGCCATGCTTGGTAGGGCAGAGCCCATGGTGGAGTTGACGACGAGGAGGGAGGTGTAGCAGAGAACCACAATCTTCTTGGTCTGTCGTGGGTGTGTTAGTGAGCCTTCGCATGACAACGTGATAGACATCCGTACATTTGACCAATTGTATGGGTTTTCGGGGTCGTTGGGTTCCCAATTGATGAGGACCTCGTTCGTACGGCTCCTGGTCCGCGAGCGGATGTGGTGAAGCGCACCAATACCCCGATCTGCCGTCTCCTCCTCATAGCGAGACTCGGCGTCGAGTTCGTCTAGACGAGTGATTCTGTCGGAGATGGAACTACTCCTTCGTCGTCCACCTTGGGAATAAGTGAGCATCACCAACAATCATTCGGGCCCAACAGGCAAGAGGCGGTGTCAGTGTAGGATTTGGACTTACGATATGGGGAAGTATCCCGCATCGTGTCACTGGATTCACTACTAGGCATTTTGATTGTGGGCGTTGAGAACGGTTGACAACACGAAAGGAATCATATGAATCATTCACAGATGGGACTAGGCACAGGAAAGGAAGAGAAAACGAAGATGACAATTGAAAAAGAGAGCGACGACTTGGGTCAATTTTGGGTCACAGGAACAGGGCCAAAGGTTTTCTCTTTTCCCATGCCACTTCTGGGGGGGCCCGCCTCCATGGACGGGTGGATCTTTACCCACACTGAGCAGAGAGCCATTGCATATCCTCGTTGATGGGGACGGGATTAACAACTGGGCGTCGAAACCCCGCTCAGATAGGGCGGCCTAGAACAGCGATTGGCCGCCCCAACGTCCGGAGCCGGGGCAAATGGGTCAGGCCGATAGGCTTGACGGTGGGAGGGCCGAGAGAGAGCGAGGGGGCGACGTTACCCGGTTGCGGCCCCCGGCCGGTACATCGGATCTGGGTCGGAGGCTGGAAGCTGGAGGCTTGGCTGCTAGTGTCGGGTATTGTGCGAACTGGGCAAAGATGACGAATCGCGAGCTGCGTTATCGGTTGACCGATCGAGTATTAGATGCACCGCCTTTCGCCGGGCGAGGGCCGGCCGCGGATGAACCCTGGTCTCCTCACAGGGCGTGAGGCCCGAGGCACATCGTGGTGGTGGTAGTCGAGGTGGTGTTTATGCATCTCGACACGAGGGGTGATGGTGCTTGCATATGTCGGTATTTGAGGCACCAAGTCGAAAAAAAAAAGGCGTCACGAGTTCTGATGCCCAAACTTTCATTCGTGCGTTTTCTGACAGCAAGTGGAAAAGTCTTCAGCCGGGGGGAGTGTGCCTCGAAGCTCAGGTCTCTAGGTTGATTTGCTTTCCGAATCTGGCATACAGCTCGACCTTGAGTTGGGTCATTTCTTCGCGGATCGTCCCCAACTTTTCCTCCAACTCCGTCGACTCCGCCTCAAGCTTTTCGGTGGCCTCCTCGAGCATCTCCTGCGCCTGCTCCAGCGGGATGTGGAAGTAGGCGTCGCCGATCTTGTACCTAGAATGAGAAGAAAAGTATATCCGTTAGCCAACGTGCGTTCTTCTCGGTGTGTCAATATCGTGGGCGGGGAGGGTTCGTACTGGACTTTTTCGTCCTCGTCGGCGAGTTCGAGTTCGGTAGACAAGTCGTCGAGCTCCTCCTTCTCCTTCTGCAGTACCTAGTCAGCGCATGTCTCAGATAGGTGATACATGGAGTCGTACACTCTTTCCGTTCAACTCCTCCTCTAAGACAAGCTCGCGCTGGTGCAGGCGACTGAATCGGTTGATCTTGTCCTGGTCCTCGCGTCGGACCTCGACCTCGTCGGCAGCCTCTTCGTCGGCCTTGGAAAGCTAAAGCCGGTGTCAGATGGAGTCAGAGCCCGAACCAGGGCCAACTGGGCAACAACTCACCATGCGGCGTTGCATTATTGAGGTCATGGTGGGCGGCTGGAGCTGGCTTTGGCCGTGGTGTCGGTATTCCTCGAGTATGCCTCTTTCGCAGCTTCAGAGCTTCCCCATGCGAAGGTGGGATACCGTGTGTAAACTACAGTGCGCGTTGAAAAATACTGTACACCCCTCCTTTTGCTGCGCGAGGCTCGACGGTACGTACTGCAACCATCGGCCCCTGCCGATTGGCCCCCACACAACAGCTGTCGTGAGGTCAGCGAGCGATCAGGCTACGAGCCTGCCTTGTCAACATCCGTCGCGGGGCCAGAAACAACATCATCCATCCAAATTCGACAGGAGTATCACCATGGCGCTCGGCAAAAAGGCCTACCCGAAGGCCACGGTGAAGAAGATTATCAAGGCGCATTCCAATCACAACCTCAAGAAGAATGCCGACGTAACGGTAGGCCATCCGGCAGCTGCGCTCGTCGCGAGATCGCGCGATGCTAATGTTGACGTTGCAGATCTTCCTCGACTACGTCCTGTTCATGGAATCGTACGACATCCCCACGACTCAATTGCGAGCGAACGCGAGCTAACACGTTGACAAGGCTAGTAAAAGAAGCTGCGATTCAATCCAAGAAGTCTGGCGAGCGAGGGTTGTCGGCGCGAAGTGTTAAGAAGGTGACCAGGGTATGTCTCGATGGCAGTTTCGTGTCTCCGTGGCCGGATCTAACTCGGTTCTTCTACAGGATGCCTTGGCCAAGTTCAAGGGATGAACAAACTCGATCAACGAGGAAAAAGTCGAACGGACGAAATTGCGCGACCGAATCATAACACACGCCCCTCGCGCCGGGACGATCTGACCATCCGGGTGCAGCTGCAGCCGCATCGCGGGATAGACTCAGGGTTGTATGCAGGGCCGTTACGCACCGGCAGCCGTGCGTCAGATGAGGCTTAGCGAAGGGGTAACCGGGGGTAGAAGCAATTGTCGATAGGTAGCTATGAGGCGCGCGGCGATGCCGGGCCAAGAAAGGAGCTGAAAACGGGGAGCTTCAAGGGAGCATGAGGCTAGCAGCGCAGCGCACGAGACCATCTTGTTTGCGCACTTGCAGCTGCGGGCAGGTTGGTGGGGGAGCAACACAACAGGACAGTGTGGAGTAATTAGCACCGTGTACTCTCCTTGCAGGAAAAGCCCTGCGTACTGGAGCCTTGCCAAAGACAAGCGGGCATAGCGAGACAACACTTTGCTCAAATATCATTGTTAGCCGGACCTACAGCTGGCACTAAATAAACGAGAATCCATCAGGGTGCCTCAGTTGGCGATTGACAATAGAGTGAGAAGCAATAGAGCGACCTAAACCCCAATTCAAACGGCGGCAAACAGCCCATTACAGCTGGCGCGTGTCCGTGTTCCCTATTCTTCTTGCTGGTTCTAGAAACGCAGACGGGTGTCAATGAGTGGCCTGTGCAGGGGTTGCTAGGCGGGTTTTGGAGCTCTGGGCCTTGGGGTTAGCACCCAGGGGCCTCTAAAAACCCCATTGAACCAGGCGGCGTTTTGTACCACCATTGCCTCCTCCAACACCTGGCCCTCTTGCTCCTCTCACTTCTCCTCTCCTCTTTCGCCTCCGTACTTAAACTCTTCCCACCATCTTCCACCTTTTGCCTCCTCACACACTTCAACCGCTTCCATTCCAATCCCCGATCTGTGGAACTCTCCGTCCCACCCACATCCCACATTCGCCACTGCACCACCCGTCTCGACCCCGGGTGCTTCAGTCCTCGCGCAACGAGCACACAGGCTCTGATTCGATCGTCCCTCCCGGTTCTACTTCCAACCAACACACAAAATGGCTGCGCCTGCTGTCCAGCCCGCTTCCAAGTCTTCGAAGAAGAAGACCCCCTTGGCCATCGAACGAACCGAGTCCCCCGCACCCAGCTTCACCTCAGCCTCTGCCGACAAGGCTGCTGACGATTCCGAGAGCCCCTACATCAAAGAGCTCCAAAAGTAGGCCTCCCAGCGCTGTAATCATATTCTCTTGCAAGTCATACGTGCTGACGGTGCTGGAAAGGAACATTCGCAATGTCAACAAGAAGATTGTAAGTCCCCGGTCGCCCTGCTGCCCAATGCCTAACCGTCGCACTAATACCGCCACCAGACAAACGCCTCCAAGACCGATTCCCTCCTGAGCCAGCACGCTGGCAAGTCTCTCGAGGAGCTCGTCGCTGCCAAGATTATCAACACCGACCAGAAGGCCCAGATTCTCAAGAAGCCTGCCCTGCAGGCGCAGCTCGCCCAGTACGAGGAACAGCTCGTGCAGTACAAACAGGTGGACGAACAGTACCGTGCACGTGCCGCTGTCGAGAAGGCCGAGTGGGAGAAGAGCCTGGAGAAGGTCAAGGCTGATGCTGCCAGCGAGGCTGATGCTGCCTCCCAAAAGGCCTTGAAGGACAACCTTCTGGTTCTGTCGCAATTCTTGCGCCTTGCTGCCTACCGTCGCGAGGAGGCCAAGGACCCCGAGTCTGACGAGAGCCAGGCTATTGAGGGTGTTCTACTCGCCATCTACTCTGGAGATGACAATGCGGTTCAGTCCATGCTAAAGTTGGTTGATGGGTCCGACGACCAGATCGTCAGCGTTCCCGGAGAGCAGTTGGAGACAACCTGTGCGCTTACCCAACACCCACCAGCTTGAGAGCATTGCTAATAGTTTTCAGACTCCAAGGTCAAGTCCCTCGCCCAGGACTACAAGACTCCTTTCTACCCCGAAGAAGGCCAGACTGAGACCGTCTCCGACCCGACGATTGCGAACGCTGCGGCTACCGAGATCGAGGCTGGAGACGCTGCCCTTACGAACCCCCCCACTACCGAGGTCGCCTCCAACGGTCTCGCCAACGCCAACGTCGCTGACGACGCCGCCAACGCTGTCGCCGAGAGCCACTGGGATACTGGCAACAACCCCACCGAGCTGTCCATGTCCCAGGAGTGGGTCGATGTCAAGGCTGAGGCCGAGACTGCTGCTCCCGCTACCAACACTCAGTCGTGGGCTGATGACCACCCCGAGCAGGTTCCCGAGGTAAGTCAACCACATTCGTCTCATTCCGATCATCAGGTGCTAACAAGTTGCTTCAGCCTGCTGCTGCTCCTGCTGATGCCAATGATGGTTTCCACCAGGTCCAGCGAAACAAGCCCCGCAACGAGCGTGAGGGTGGCAGTCACCGTGGACGAGGCCGAGGTGAATGGCGAGGCCGCGGCGGTTTCCGCGGTGAGGGTCGTGGTGGCCGAGGTCGTGGCAACCGTGGTGACCGTGGTGACCGCGGTGCCGGCGGTCCTCCTCGCGCTCGCCGCAACGAGGAGTCGTAAGGCTCTTGTCGGCATCCCGTGGGTAGACTCGCAGCCTACGATTCTCCTCGCATCTCCCGGTGACGAATGTATACCATGAAATGGCGGCGTTTACAGGCCACAGATCCGCTCAGCAAAAACTGAGGGAGGGTTGACCTGGGGCTTTGCATTTGGGCTTGCTGAATTTTGGGATCGGATTCATGTCCGGCGAAGGGGTCGGTGGGAGTTCTTAATACCTTTGTAACAATGGCGGTCCTATGTGAGGGGCATGAAATGAGGCATCAGGTATACAGAAAAGAAATGTGAAATAATACCCACCAGAGGCAGATCAATTCTGTCCTCATGGTGATGCCAAAACTTGGTCTCATGAGGTATTCAACCTGTGTCTGACTCACGTGATCAGGTGTCAAACATGACATTCCACTTGAAACGTCAGAATTCATTGTCAGAACGAAAGCAATTGAGCATATGTTGATGACTTCTTTAGGTTTTGAGTATCTTTAATTCGTCGGCAACTGTGACACGCGAGTCTATCGGGAGCTTTCAGAGCTACTGGTGCAACCAGGCTGCAGGGATCTCCAAATTGTGGGGAGCTGGGAAGCACCTCTTATTGGTCACCATCAAGGGCCCGAACTAAGTACCTTTGCCTGCAGCCTTGTCTTTCGTCACCTTCGCCCCAAGCCTTTCTCAAATTCATCCTCTGGCACCATCACCGTCTTTCGCAGGAAATCATTCTGCGCGCCGAAATGGCAGACCGTGACGATCCCCCGTCGGGCCCGCGCGGCCAGAACGAGGGCGATCGACGGGACGACAAGGCCCCCAGCCGCGACCGCGACCGCGACCGCGATCGTGATTCTTACCGACGAGACAGGTCTGATCGAGGTGGTCGTGGTGGTTACGGCCAAGACAACAAAGACAGAGATTTCGGCCGCGATAACAACCGAGACCGGGATTCGGACAGGCGCCGCGACCGCGACCGCGACTTCGACAGACCCAGAGACAGGGACCAGGATCGTCCCAGGAGGACTCGAGGCCGAGGCGGCTTCAAGTGGAAGGATGAGCGCCGTGGCAATGACGGTCGCCGGGGCAATGATGACCGCCGTGGCAATGATGACCGCCGTCGTGATGACCGACCCTACCGCCGCCGTTCACAGTCTCCCCGTCGCCGCGACCGAGACCGCGACGACGCTGAGTCCAGCAAGCCCAAGAAAGAATCCAAGCCCGCCGCTGCACCAACTGCCCCCGTTGGCGGCGGTGAGGAGATGATCATCGTCAACATCAACGACCGACTGGGCACCAAGGCTTCGATTCCCTGCTACGCATCGGATCGTATCAAGGAGTTCAAGATCCTGGTGGCTGCACGCATCGGTCGTGAGCCGCACGAGATTCTACTAAAGCGGCAGGGCGAGCGCCCGTTCAAGGACCAGCTTACTCTGGAGGACTATGGCGTCAGCAACGGTGTGCAGCTTGACCTTGAGGTGGATACTGGCGACTAAGAGACGAATGAGAGATGGGAAGGGGATGTGGGTTCGGCCGGATGGATCATGGACACGACTGACAGGACCGCCGAGAGGATTGCTGGTATGAAACTCCCCAAGATGTATGCCCAGGTCTGTCTGGCATGCTGATGACTTGCTTAGGCACATCTATGAGAACCAAAAACACTTTCGTGGACGTTAAAATATCGAAGTTGGGCTTCGTCATTTTACTGGCACTGCTATGATGTGTACTACTCAGTTACAACTTCGAACACTTCCAACATGTACCCGGAATCATGTCTACCTTCAATCACTGAATGCAACGGACCCCACCCCTTTTTAGACGTTCCGTCAGCCGCTCCATTGCATCCTCGTCCAGCTGAATATATACCTCGAACGGCACTTTGTGACCCAAATTTCGTGGCAGGACCGCACACCGTCCAGGAGCATGAGAACCAGGCAGTTCGCGCACAAACTCTGGCTGCCCCAGCTCTATGGTTTGCCCAGAAATGAGGGCCGACCCAAAATATGTCTGGCGACCGGGTGCGAGCAACCAATCGACAATGACGTCGTTCTCATCTGCGCTGTCAGCTTGATACTCTACACTACCCGGATGCTCCCAAATCCTCGACATGTACTCCAGACGGATGCGTACAGCTTTAGCATCGAAGGATTGGGCCCGGTTGTGGAAAGTACGGGTTACGCGATGGAGAATCTTGCCAGGCTCCATACCCTCTTTCCTAATCATATCTGATGACTTCAGCTCGACACAGTTGTAGAGTATGGCGTTTCGAAGATACTTTTCTCCATCCGGGATCCCAAGTTGGCTTCTGACATTCATGGAGAAGGTAAGTAGGGTTGGGACATGCTTGGAGAAGGGAAGGTGGCGTCCTTTTGTGTCCTCGGTATCTTCTCGGATACGAGCACGAACCATCGATCCCCATACCCACGCCACCAAAATTTCTCCCAATTGGTATGTCACTTTGGGTCGCCCTGCTGTATCAGTACAAAAATGCGTATGCAGCAGCTGTTGCTGGCGCTCTAAGACTTCCATCGGAAATGAGAAGACTCTTCCCGTGACTGAGGGCGGCTTGGATTTCGACGGCTTGGATTCCGACGACTTGGATTTCGACGGCTTGGATTTCGACGGCTTGGATTCCGACGACTTCGATTTCGACGACTTGGATTCCAACGACTTGGATTTCGACGACTTGGATTTCGACAGCCCGTATTTCGACAGCCCGTATTTCGACGATGCTGTGATTCCAGCAGGCCCGACCGGCCCCTTCAACGATGGAGGCGTTGGTGGCAAAAGTTCTGGACAGGATTCCCTCGTCCAGTCGATGTTCACCCCGGCAAGGGCGGTCATATCAATCTGTTTGCTACGATATTGAGTTTGGCCAACTAGATTGTGTTAGCGACTGTCTCGAGTTCGTTTGGTGTGCTTTGTTACCTGATTTGTCCATACCGTTAACGGGCTCCCGCCAGTCTCTAACCTGTTTAGCGAACTCTTCAAAGATGATGCCATGAGCGTAGCTATCGATGACGCTGTTCGCAAAACAAATGCAGAGCATCAGTCCTCCCCTGGTAAAGTTGACAGTGATTTGATAAACGGGCCAGCCCTTCCGAGCTTCGAGACTAGGTTCATGGGGAACATGGCAGAACTCGTGATCCCCGAGCATGCTTGGAGGAACGCCCCTAGACACGAGGTCAGAGTAGTTTGGAGCTCCCTTTGCGCCCCATTCTTCTACTCCCTTGAACCTCAGAACACCGTCAGTGGAGAACCAACGGTGCTTGTCGATTGGCAGGGGATTCCTATCCCGCGTCCAGAACAACTCGACCTCGCCGGCAGGCTCCTTGGGATCGCGAAGCCGGATCTTGCTGCCCAGGAACGGCCATTTGCCGATGATTTGGTTAGTTGCGTGACGAAACCTTTCGACAAGAGATTGGGTCTCATCCTCATTGATGGCCACGGGAAGGGAGAAGCAGTACAGCAACCGGGTGTAAGAGCGACTGCATATTTGGTCGAGAATGGAGAGCTCGAGTCCGTCATTGAAATCCATAACTTTGGCCATGGCTGATGTTTGGTTTGTTTCGTGTTGCATTTCACTACATAGCCGTAGTTGACCTCTTCTACATAAGCAGACTGGTTGGGCATCTCGTCGTGATTAAGCAAAAACATCAATTGTGATTCGGTGATGCGAAAGTTTAAATGTCATTGAGCTCCTGTGAATTACTTTATATTCCCTTTGTTTGACAGCCAAGAAATGGCTTGAAAGATACTGCTCTCCGTATTGGCCGGAGTGCTAGTAATCAATGAAGCAGCAGAAACCCGGGCTTGAATGGGCTTGAATCATTGTTCGAAACGGACAACATGGGATTATTTCGGGTATCAACAGCAACTTAGGCCACTGACTGGTCATCGACTAGAAACATGCATACGGCCAATCTTTTTTCGGACGGCCAGGTCGTTTCCATGACCAGATATCATGAACATTATCGACTATTTGAATCCTCCAGACACCAACTAATTGGCCAACGGTGCAGGGGTAGAGCTAATGCCAAGGCAAGGCCGAAACCAGACGCCCCGCCATATTTGTTATCGCACCAATGAGAAAGCTCGGCGGTGCTTATCGTGCCCCTCAGCCTTGCAGGAGAAGGAACGTCACAGCGTCAATGCCGCTTTGTACCAGTTGTCCTCTTTGCTGAGTGGCTGGAGTCACCGACAAGCTTAACAGCTTCGTGGCTTCTTGCAGCGGACACATGCCCATTGGAGAAATTGAGGCCACCTCAACCTCTCTTTTTTCTAGTTCCCGTCCTTTTCTGGCGTCACTCCCCCAGACCTTGGGACGTTTCTCCTCGATTCTTTGTTTCTATATTCCGCAGACGGCTTTCGTCTTTGTTCAGTTCCGGCCGTCACTACTCGAGGCGGCGGTGTGTTCCTCCCCAAAACAGTACCATTCCGAGCCGGTGTGCGCTGAAGCGAGCGCACCCCCACCATTCACCATCCACCATCCACCATGGCCAACTTTCGAGTGTCGCCATTGATGACGCTCCTCGGAGCCGTCTTCTTCTTTTCGACCAATGTTTTCGCAGTTGCTGCCGTATTGGGCGTCGACCTGGGTACTGAGTACATCAAGGCCGCCCTCGTCAAGCCTGGAATCCCTCTCGACATCGTCCTGACCAAGGATTCGCGCCGAAAAGAGACCTCCGCTGTCGTCTTCAAGCCCTCTCGCAATGGCCCCCAGGCTGGCGAGTTCCCTGAGCGAGCCTATGGTGCCGATGCCATGGCTCTCCGGGCTCGATTCCCCGGCGACGTCTATCCCAACCTGAAGACCATCCTCGGCCTCTCCGTCGACGACGCCGTGGTGCAAGAGTACGCCTCCCGAAACCCCGCCCTGCAATTGCAGGCCCACGAGACCCGCAACACCGCTGCATTCAAGAGCAAGGCGTTCACTGCTGAGGAGGAGGCATGGATGGTTGAGGAGCTTCTCGCCATGGAGCTTCAGAGCATCCAGAAGGCTGCCGAGGCTGCGGCCGGCGACAGCTCCTCTGTCCGATCCATTGTGGTCACCATCCCTCCCTTCTATACCATTGATGAAAAGCGTGCCATCCAGACCGCCGCCGATCTTGCCGGCCTCAAGGTCCTTAGCCTTATCAGCGACGGTCTTGCCGTCGGCCTGAACTACGCCACTAGCCGACAGTTCCCCAGCATCAGCGAGGGAGCCAAGCCCGAGTACCACATGGTCTTTGACATGGGTGCTGGCTCTACCAAGGCTACCGTCATGAAGTTCCAGAGCCAGACCGTCAAGGACATTGGCAAGTTCAACAAGACCGTCCAGGAGGTCCAGGTCTTGGGTGCTGGCTGGGACCGCACTCTTGGCGGAGACGCCTTGAACCACCTCATTCTCGACGACATGGTCGCGCAGTTCCTCGAGTCCAAGGGCGCCCAGAAGATTTCTGCTACCGCCGAGGGTGTCAAGGCCCATGGCCGTGCCATCGCCAAGCTGTCCAACCAAGTCGAGAAGGTTCGCCACGTCCTGAGCGCCAACCAGAACACCGGAGCCAGCTTCGAGGGTCTGTACGAGGATGTCGACTTCAAGTACAAGATCAGCCGTGCTACCTTCGAGGAGATGGCTGCGGTGCACGCCGAGAGGATCGCCGCCGTTGTCAACGACGCCCTCAAAATGTCTGGTCTCGACATTGGTGATCTCGACTCTGTTATCCTTCACGGTGGTGCCACGCGAACTCCGTTTGTGCAGAAGGCTCTCGATACGATTGTTGGCTCCGCTGATAAGATCCGATCCAACGTCAACTCTGACGAAGCCGCCGTTTTCGGTGCAGGCTTCCGCGCTGCCGAGCTCAGCCCCAGCTTCCGAGTCAAGGAGATCCGAATTTCCGAGGGCTCTTCCTACTCTACCGGCCTGAAGCGAGTTGAGACTGACGGCAGCGTTGATCGCCAGCGCTTGTGGAGTGCCATCTCGCCCCAGGGTGGCTCCAGGGTCATCGCCTTTGACGACAAGGAGGACTTTGCTGCCAGCATCTACCAGCAGGTTGGTTCTGAAGAGAAGAACGTCAAGGCCCTTGCTACCAAGAACCTAACTGCGACCGTGGCCTCCATCAAGGAGAAGTACCCTACATGTGTGGAATCAGACATCAAGTTTAAGATCGCAATGGAGCTCAGCCCTGAGAACGGCGAGTTCCGGGTTGCCAAGGCCATTGTCGAGTGCATGGCCGAGCCTACTGAGAAGGGTTTTGTTGATGGCGTCAAGAACCTCTTTGGCTTCGGAAAGAAGGATAAGGAAGACCAGAAGCCTCTTGGTGATGGCGAGACCGAAGGCTCTGAGGAGGTTATGAAGGATGATGCCGCCAAGAGCTCTTCTGCTTCTGACGAATCCGCTGAGTCTTCTACTGCCTCTGAGGCCGCGCCTGCGGCTTCCGAGGGCGCCGAGGACGCAAAGGCCGATGCCAAGAAGAAGGAGGTGGTCTCTATCCCCGTTGAGGTGACGCTCGAGAACCTCGGCACTCCTGATCTGACCAAGGCTGAGCTCGTCAAGGCCAAGGATCGCCTCAAGGCTTTTGCCGCCTCAGACAAGGCGCGCCTCCAGAGGGAGGAGGCCCTGAACAAACTTGAGGGCTACACATACAAGGTCAGAGACCTTCTTGAAGACGAGTCCTTCATTGCGGCGTCAACCGAGAAGGAGCGAACCAAGCTCGCCACCTTGTCCAGCGAAATCAGCGAGTGGCTCTACGAAGACGGAGCCGATGCTACCAAGGACCAGCTCAAAGCCAAGCTCAAGGTGCTTCAGGACATTGCCAACCCCGTTCAGAAGAGGATTGTAGAGACTGAGAAACGACCTGACCTCTTGTCCAACTTGAAGACTGTTCTTTCCAAGACGGATGAGTTCATTGTCAAGATCAAGTCCCAGATTGAAGAGCATGAGGCATGGCACAAGTCCGCCTCGGAATCTCCCGCTTCATCGGAGTCTGCCTCTTCTAGCACCACCGAAGCATCAGCCGAGACACCAGCTGGTGATTTTGACGGGCTCGAGGATGAGGACGCAGCGGCGACGGCCCGCAAGATGGAGGATGTTATCAGGGAGAAGGGACCCATTCCCCCTCTGTACACTCTTGAGGATCTGACGGAGGTTACGGAGCTCTACGAGTCTACTACGAGGTGGCTGAAGAGATTGGAGCCCAAGCAGGCTGCCCTGAAGGTTACCGATGACCCCGTCCTCCTGATCAAGGATATTGAGGCCAAGACAGTGAAGCTGGAACAGGCAGGCATCCAGGTGGCGATGAAGGCCGCTAAAAAGGTGGAGGCTGAGGCTAAGAAGGCCAAGAAGGCTGCTGCCGCGAAGGAGAAGAAGAACAAGAAGAAGAGCAAGGTGCCCGGCGCGGATGAGAAGGTCGAATTCAACGCCGAGGACTTTATGAAGCAGTTCGGAGGCAAGGACGGCGAGGGCCCCACGGAGCAGGAGCTCGAGGAGATTATCAAGAGGCTGCAGGAGAACCAGAAGAAGTCGGACGAGAAGGCGGAGGAGAAGGTGGAGGAGACGGTGGAGGAGAAGACGGAGGATGGCGGCGAGAAGCAGCCTCCCCACGATGAGCTGTAGAGAGCATCAACGATATGCCTTTACAAGTGGAGAGAAAAAGGAGCTATTTCTTTGATATTGATACCGGGTCGAGTATGGAATAGACCATCCGACATGTGCTAGACGTGGATGAATTGAGACGATGACATATTCGCCTAGAGGATACGAGCACAGTGACTCATGTGAGGTATGGTTGTAGACAAGGACGAGATCTTGTTGTACCGCGTTAGTGGTGTGGAGGAACGCAATCGTGAGAGAACCATCCGGTCAACGGCCCGCACGGGTTCATGGAAACACGATGCTCCCGGCGTGTGGTTGTTGATGCCCGTAATTAAGGTCATCCCGATCCCGTCCTCGTTCCGTGTGTGCTCCCCTGAGCTCGCCTCCATGTGTTCCGTAGACACCCTCCAGCTCACCTTATACGCCCATGACCCTCCCGCGTCTGTGTCGCCATCACCACTCCTGGTGCTCGCCAGGTCATGCATGTCTGGCACACGCGGTCCCAGGCCGAACACCGAAATCTACCTTGTGCATGTGTCTCGCAGTTTGCTACCGGGACCGCGGGCTCTGTTTGCGCAATTGCGGGAGCCATGTTACGCCGATCCCGACTGTTGGGGGACACACAAGAGCAGATGCGCACGTATGCACAGCACAGCACAGCGTCGTGTCGTGTCGTGTCGGCGATGATGCGCCGTGTAAAGGGGCCACAGGCACTCTCGTCTAAGGGAGAAGCGGGTTTCGTGCAACAGCGGGCGGTAGCGGTTTGTGGGTTTGTGGAGTTGCCGTGTTTATATGGATGTGTTGTTTCCCCGTCTTTGTGAGAGAGGAAGGGAGGGGCTGCTGCATCTGGTGATGTATGTTGTGGGTGCAGTTGGGCGAACACTCCTGCTTTGCTACTTGCTCCTTGCTCTTCTTACCTACCTCAGGTACCTACCCAAACTTTGGCCTTGACAGTTGCCTCGTTTGCGGGTGACAGACAGCTGGTAGGCTTATTACCTGGACTTAATCACTGCCACGGCTTCCTTCCCCTTCTCGTTTTTTCTTTCAAACACGGCAACCTGAGTCAACAACTACTCGCCATCACTCATTCGTCGAGTCTTTCTCTTTCTTCCCTCGCTTCTTCCCACAAACTTCTTCTCCAGACCAGCACTCACGTTTTCACCGTCTCTCAAGCTCTGCTCCAACCATGAGGCCTCCTATCGTGTTCATCTCGTTCCTCGCGGGCCTAACAACCGCTGCTCTTGTCCCTCCTCGTCTGCACCCCAAATCCACCTCCGGCTTCTCTGTCCCCGTGAGCAAGACCCAGAGCTCCAAACGGGACTTTGTCCGGGACTGGGCTGCAGCGAGACAGAAATGGGGCAAAGGCATCCCTAACGATGTGTTGTCCGCGTTTTCACTCCTTGACGACGGTTTGTGTCCCTTTTCGTGCGTGCGAGCCGCATGCTGATGTCTGGTTGTAGATGGCCTCGTGGATGTCCAGCCTCTGGGCAGCGATGACATCTACATTGCTGATGTCCAGATTGGCAACCCGCCGCAGACTCTGAAGATCGCCATCGACACGGGCTCGGCCGATATGTGGGTGCAATCCACGGATACAGATTATCACACGAACACGGAGGGCCCCTGGGCTCCTCAGTATAAGCCCGACGCATCCAACACCTCTCGCCGCATGGATGACGCCGAGTGGGCCGTTGAATACAGTAAGCCAGCCTGCGTCTTCGTCGTCCCCTTTCTGGATAAACCTCTGACTGACTTGGTGCCGTAGTGGACGGAACCCACGCCAACGGTATCGTCTACCTCGACACGGTCCGCTTGGGAGGCTTCGAGCTCACCGATACCGCCGTCCAGTCGGCTCAGATCATTGCCTCACGTTTTGAGCGGGAGATAGAACTCTCTGGCATCATGGGCTTCGCCAAGAGCCTCCCAAGCAATATCGAACCGCCGACCCCATCCCTGCTCGACAAGCTCCGCCCTCACCTTGAAACTCCTGTCTTCTCCGTCGACTTGCGCCGCAACGCCACGGGGACCTTTGACTTCGGCCACATCGACACCTCTCGCGCCAGCGATAACATCACCTGGCTCGATGCCAACCCAGCCAGCCCTCACTGGGACGTCACCTTCGACTTGACTGCCTGGGACGGCTCGCACCGTGTCTGGTGGGCTCACTCCTTCGAGGCCACCATCGACACAGGCACCACGCTGCTGTTCCTGCCGGCATCACTCGCCGGCATGTATTGGTTCGACGTCCCGGGCATGCGAGTCGACCCTCGCCTCAACAACGCTTTCACTTTCCCGTGCCATCTAGCCGACGGCCTCCCGGATCTCATGTTCAAGCTGCCCGGCGAGGCGGAGCACGTGCTGACCATTCCGGGCTCGTACCTCAACTACGGTCCCATCGACGACGACCCGGAGTACTGCTGGGGCGGCATGCAAAGTGCCGAGGACCTCGAGGTAACCATATTCGGCGATGTGATGCTCAAGGCGTTGTTTGTTGTGTTTGATCTCGAGAATAACCGCGTTGGGTTTGCCAACAAGCATCTCGATGATGAATAAATGGCATGTTGTGTATGATCTGACTGGAGACCTGGAAGGATGTGAGACGGTCGAATAATCTTTGCAACGCTGTGTGTAAAGGGACTGCCATGTTAATCGGGGCCATCAAGAGAGATGTCGTTAGTGCTAGGTAGTTAGCCGTCACTGCTAGGTTAGCAAGGAGCAAAAGGTCTTATCAACTCTTTTATGCAATTGTAGTTCAACAGAAACCCACCGGTTTGAAACAATGCCTCACCAAGAAATGCTCACGAGCGTTGAAGAAATCACGGATGCATTTACCATGATGCTGGTAATGGTATATACAGTCCCCGCCTGAGTCCTCCATGATAATCATCTCAGACTTCCCGTCTCAGTCTTCATCCACCATCACGATGCGTCGTCCCTCTCGACATCCGACATCGAATCCAAATAACACTCCCATTCAAACAAGAAACATGCCTCCCCAGTCTCCCCATGCGATTGCCATCCCCAAGATAAAAGAAAAGACCCTCTATGTGAAGCTGAGGGGTAGGTGGTGCAAGAAAGCCCGGCCGTATTAGAAGAATAGATATGGTAAGGTAGACCAGGCCGTTATCAATAAAACGAAAGAGGGGGAAAATTGCAAATGCTGCCTCTATAACGCCGGAGGGAGATAAGGCCGTCCAAAGAGTGAGTAAAAGGGTATTGGGAGGAGACCAGGGGGCGCACATTGGACCTCATCCACTGCCGCTTTCCATGCCCCGAAATAACGATTGGATAAAAGCAGCAACAAAAAAAGCAGAATAGCCTAGCCAGCCGTCCGCTAGGCTCCGTGTCGGGCCAGCGGTGATGTATTCCCCAAAACAAAACCGGCCGTATACGGGGAACCCGTAGTAGATTCGTCCGGGTGTCAAAGCATGCGCCGGTGAAAAGAGGGGAGAACCCGGGGAAGGCGAAATGATAACATATCATGATTCACTAGGTTCATCCTCTAGCAGTGATTCCTCTCGCCGTTGCCAAGGTCGGGCAAGTGAATATTCCGATAAAACATTGGTGTACGGGTGTATACCGGTGTCCCTGGTCAGGCCGAGGAGACAAGAGAGCCTGAGATTTATTGTTCAGCGTCTCCGTCTTTAATTTAGTCAAGAAAGAACCAAGTCAGCGGGGGCCGTCAATCAAGTCAGCGTGGGTGACGATGTAGTATTCACCTTCACTGGCGCCCGGGGTCGGGGGCATGTTGCCGGCAGAGGGGGCCTGCTGGGTGGCTCGAGCCGTGCCAGGGCGCGAGCGGGCCTTCTGGTCCTCCTTGGTCACCGCGTCGAGGGACTGGAATTGCTGATCCTGATCCTGTTGGACCTGGGGGAGCGGGGTGCGAGACTGGCTGGGGTTCTTGAGGCGCTCCTCCATCTCACGGAGACGCTTCTCGAGGGACGCGAGTTCCTGGGTGTTTCTGTTGACATTGCGCTTCCTATGAACGGAGGCGGGTCAGATTTTGGTCTTACAGGGGAGAATTGTGAGGTGGTGGCCGTGGTCAAGGGGAAAGGGGGGGCAGGGAAGCATGGAGGGGGGTCCGTACTTCTCGGAGACTTGCTGATCGAGGTCGGTGAGCGAGTTTTCGATGCGGAAGATATCCATCAACTCCTGGGAGAAGGAGCGGGCGATGGTGCTATTGAGGACAAAATCGGTCAGCTTTTATTCCATTCCATAGCATTGCGTGGTTGAGTTGGCGATGTCGATATCTCAGACGCCGCGAGGGTAGACGGGGAGAGACGAACGATTGGGGGCGACGGCCGCTGGGCTGCCAGTCGCGGTCGAGCTCCTCGTCGGTTCGGTCCATGGCGGGCGGAGGGGGGGCGATTAAAGCGGTATAGCGATGCGAAGCTGAAGGGGCGGCGCGGGTATCACGAGAAAGCACGAAGCACGAAAGCACAAGGCAGTTTTCGTTTGAGATGAAGGAAGAAAGGCGGAGAGATAATGTTTGGGTTGGGATTGAGATTGGGACAAGGTAGAGAAGGAGGACGAGATTCGAGGTTCGGGCTGGATAATTCGATTTAATTGTACCCAGGGCGACAGGGCGTCAGGGCGCAAGGCCACCCCAGGGTCCGTCCCTTAAACAGGCGTCAGGTACCAGCGCCGCGAGACCTATGGACCACCTGGAAGCTAGGTACCTCCCTTGGGTGCTTCCGGGGGGGGTGGACCGCTGGACTCGCTGTGGAACAGTGGAACCCACCCGCAAGCAAGCCCAGTGCGCGCACCATGGCCGCCCATGCCAATGCCCCTTGGCCCGGCGAGGCTTAGTGGGGATGGGCCTTGGGTAAAGCGCCCCCCAGGGGTTTGAGTGCTTTTGGCGGGCTGTTTACAGGGGGGCGTGTGGGCGAGGTGCCCTGGGGGCGTGATGTGGGATGGGTATGGGTTCCATTGGGTCTCTCTCTCTCTCTCTCTCCATCAAAGGCCCAAGGACAATCAGTAATGCGCCGGATTCTCCCCCCAGCTCAGCTCTTATCCCCCCAAAGTAATTAATTACGGATGCGCGCCCACTCATGGGAGCCATTAAGGGGCCGCATGCACTCGAGAGGGAATGCTGCCAAAAAAGGTGCTGCCGGGAATGAATGGACTAGAGCGCACCCAAAGCAGACGCAGGGAAATGAATGCAGGAGTCCGGCAGACGACTGGACCGTCGTGAGACACCAACAGCCGTCTTTGGCTTTGTCTGTAACTAGCAGAACCCGGGTGTAATTATTTTCCAGGTCATGCAGTCTCACCGCGTGCGTGCGTGCGTGCGTGCGTGTTGTCTCCAGGGCTGCGACTGTGACTGCGGGTTCAGTTCTCTTGCGCGCGTGTTCTTGTTAGATTTCTGATTTCTCGTTATCTAGCCTGGTTCCATCAAGACCTCACGTGCGCTGGACCACGAGACCATGTGGAAGAAACCGATCCCCCAAGATTTAAGATAGCACGGCGGAGTTCGTGTGTACGTAGTAGTTTAACTCTGTGTTACCCGTTTACTTGATGCGCTGCCACCTGCGGGAAGCGCATACACTCCAGGGACAACCCATGGACTCCCCGCGGTCGTAGCAGCGTGGTAGCAGAGGCGTATCACAGCCCGGAATTTCGACGACTATGCATAGACGCTCTACGCAGGACTCCAAGCGTCAGAGACTCGTCCGAACGGGCCACCCACTCTCCGGGAAGTTGTGCTAATAAAAGCGCCTACAGAAGGAGCAGAGCATTGCATTGGCCCGTCATCTGAGTGGCGTCGAAATGGGAAGTTCCACACCCCTCACTTGATCCTCATGGCTCCCTAGTATCTATCGCATCTCCCTCCGACGGAGGTTCCCTGCCCGCGCCCTCACTTTCTCTCCCCTGCGCAGTGGTTGCGACGAGGCAAAAAGAAAGGGAAAGACAGAAAGGGAAAGAAAAAAATGCATGAAATATCCCCCCGTGTTTCGTTTCGATTCCAGGGGTCAGCCCGGCCGGTCATGGCCGCCCCGTCGCATGCCATGGTTGGGTTTCCCGCTTCCGTCACCTGTCATCATCATCATCATCATCATCTCATCTACTCCGGGACGTCATCTGCCAGTGATGTACGGGCATCTCCCTCCCCCAATCTCCAACAAACTCGCCCGCCCGGCACAGTTACCCAAGAGAGGGCTCGGCATTGCCTATCACCATCATTCATTCATGTGCCCAGTGCCCAATCAACCAGTACGAAAAGGAGAAAGGGGGTGTGTGGGCGGATGACATCAATCTTAATTTGCCATTTTATGGGATGGGGGACCCTGGCTGTTTTTGCAGTGCGGTGTACCCTCAATTCAACCTTCACTTCCACTTCGCATGTCCGTTCTCGTGAGTCGTCCTCACTCACGCAACCTCCCTCTAATAACTCCTCCCAGCCAAGGCGCCTAACATGCAACCGTCCAACGGCCTCTGTCTCGCGCCAATTTGCCTCCCATTTCGCCCTCGTCGAACCCGCTTCCAGGAAAAAGAAAGCAAAGGCACGCGCCAACTCGCAGGGTGTCGTCCGCTAAAACCCCTTAGTCGGCTTCCGTCGTCGGGTCCCGCACGCGCCTATCCCCAAACCGATCGATCCTGCACGCTGCACTGACTGATGATAGACGCTGGGGGCCACAGTCATGCCATGGACCGTGGTAATTAGTTTGTCTGGAGTTCTCTACTATGTACACATGATGGTAGCGGAAGCATGGACTCGGTGCGTGGCCCTGCCTGCCGACCGCCCGTTCTAGCTTTCCCTTTCTCAGAAACTTGGTGGTGAACATCCACCATCCACAAGATCAATCCCTTGTTACACCTCCTTTATGCCATGTCGTAGCCCTGTCGGATAATCTCTTCGCTTCGCCTGCTTCTTACTTCAGGTCACCATGTCATGGTCACGTAGAAAGATACAACCATGCGGTCACCGACATCCGCAGTGATGTTGGCTGGGGAGCCCAGCGTCAATCCCTATCACGATCTACACTCTTGATACCACCACCCCTTGGCAACTCTTCTGACTAGCACTTCAACTCAACGCGGATGTTCTGCAAGTGTCGAATAGATAATTTCCCGGCGCAGATATCTGTGCCACCTTCTGTTTCTACCATTTTTTTCCCAGTGTCAGTTCATGATGTAGGGTAGGATTGAGGATTCCCACAGCTGAGACTTTGGCCTGGTCGTTTGAATGTGAACCAGAGCAATACCCATGGATGTGTAATTACATACCATGTAGCAGAATCCTTCGCATTTAATTAAAGTTCTATGCACAGCATCCCCTAATTCACCTTTATTCTAGAAATTCCATCAAACCCAGCTCGGAGACTAATTATAGCTTCGCATTCCCGCCTCCCGCGGAGCAACGTTCAACGTGAGACTTCTCCTCCCTTCAACCCCTAAAAATACATTCCTCCCCTGCCGCATTCTACAAGACAGAAATATCCGCAAATGCCAACCTTATGCCTAAAGAGCTGTATTTCTCATTATTCTCATTAAACGACTGCGGATTGCGCGTCAATTCCGCTTCGATGAGATCCTCATCATCCCCCTCCTATACTCGGATATTGACGGCATCCCACTCCATATGTAAATTTCTGACATGCCCGAACTGTATCAAGATGAACCGCGCATCCATGACAATAGAACTGGAACTGGAACTTCAAGTAAATAGCTTGACAGTACCTCCTGATTTACAACACGCTTTGAAGAACGAGTGATGTTAGATCCATGTCCCCTACTTTACGTCCTCACACTGGAATCACTAATATATGAATGATACATACTCTCATCGCTACCAAATTAACATACACGCGCAATACCATACATAACACGAGATAAATAGTCTAATTTATCGTCCACACTGCCATCGTCTACTACCCGTAGTTCAAAGTCACCGCATACTGAGTGACTTGGAGATCCATTGATAGACTGCAGTGTGATGCAGGGAATCCACGTTGAGTGTAGTGGCCTTTGTCACCCCGACCCCTCTTAGGTGCTTCTTCAGGCACCCAAATACCCTCTGGGCTTAAACTCAACATCTGCAAACCGTTGACGCTATTCGCCAGATCGCGCAGATCGCCATGTCTCAGCCACTAACACTTGTAAGCTGAGATCTGTATGACGGCACTGACTTTCGCTTCCAACACTCCTAAACAAGGCATACGAACGAAGAAAAAAAAGCATGGCATATCGGCGCCTACTACTGGGTGCAATTCAGCGACTTCCTCAAAGCTCATTATCCAGTAGTCCGCAGGCGGTCTTGTTCTGCTCCACGGCAGTCACTCTACAGGCCTTCCCTGCGACTTTTGACGTTTTCGGAAGACTTGTAGAAAATAATGCCAGATGACATGAATATATTGGATAAAAATGATCTCTTGCAGTTGATGCTTTGGATATTGCAGCATGATCCATTTCGGCGCCATTTAGCAAGTGAGATCCCAAAGCAGCACTGTTTTTTTCCGGTATCCATAGGACAGGAATTAGTAGTTTTCGTGAATACCTAGAGCATGGAGATCGGGCTTGAAACCTCTCGACCCTCCGCACTTATTATCGTCTGAACCATGGCTAGGGTATTCAACCCGTCCCGATCCAGAGTTATGCAGCTAGATACTTTTCAATGAGCAGGCCACATAGGTCTTCATCCCCAGCCATGATGTCACAAAATAGAAGATAGGAATATCTGAGAGGCTCCCCAAACATCACGTCCTTGACGATTTTGATCCCACGTTTTGTCGATACGAGCAGATCGAAGGTGTGGCGCTGTCGGTATGAGACTGCACAATGGAGAGGAGGTTCCCCAACGCGGTCTTCAAGACGAAGGTCGGCACCACATTCCAAGAGTAATTTCACGATTCTCTCATCTCCTACTTTGCAGGCCAGACGGAGTGGTGTTTGCTGTAAGGAACCCCATGTTGAACCGTTAGAGTCTCTGTTGAGGCCGACGCGGGTAAAAGCCTTCCTCCTCATCAGTAAATGCTTTGCAAGATGATAAAGACCAAAATGGCATGCAAAATGAAGTAGAGAGCCGTGACCGCAGTAGTTACATTCTGGGCTAATCTACCTGTCTCTAAGAATTGACCTTGGTGTCAAGAAAACCTTGGATTCTGGCGAACAATCTCTATGATGGTGTCGTCAGTCCCACGCAAATTGCCGTATTCCGCGATGCGACTTCTCTGTCGCAGAAGAGGTAGATGGAGATGCGGTTGGACGGTTTCCGAGAAATGACTTCCAGATGGTGAGATAAGAAGATGGAGAGGAACGTTTTTCCTTTCCCAGGGGACCCCGATATCCACAAGAGCCCGGATTGAGATCGCTCCCATGCTTAGTATTCCTCTGTTGAAAGAATCCACTCAAACGTGCCGGAAGTTCTTTCTCCCCGGTGGCGATGAGTCGCGTACGGTCGTCAATGGAACCGGTGACGTATAGGGCCCGAAGGCATCGATCCTCCTCGGCCCCAGGCTGGATGCAGAACTCAATTTTGTGAATCTTATGAATGTCTTCGGAAATTTGGTTCCGTTGCTCTTGGCCACTGAACTTTGGTGAGAAATATCATGACGAGTGTGGATGTGAACTCACGAGTTCGCCAGGCTGATTAGGAAGTTCAGTCTCAATTTTAACCGTCCAAATTGTACATAACATACAAGTACCGGATTTCCGGTTCCTTCGCCAAGCCTTGGAGAGACTCCCATGTTTTGTGATCAATTGAATCAGTTTGTTCAAAGTCGAGCGCATCAGAGATTGTATATAACCTTTCGCTGACTACCGTAGGCTTTTGGACCGTCGTTTTCATCCCCATGGTCTGAACAGAAAAGTCGTCTCTTACGGTGACCGCAAATCTCTGGAGTGACTCGAGCCTGTACCGCTGCGACTTAAATTCTTCGGGAGCAACCTGGACTTTGTCATACAGAGCCTTAACCTTTGTGTCAGGCAATATACTCTTCCCGGACGAGCTGCCAAGATGCGGCACATATTCCAGGTATCTTCGCCATTGAGATGGATGTGACTCTTGTCAAATCCAAGACGTCATAATTCTAAAGATCTTGTTGTTCCAGGGAGTGGAGGAGCCTTCAAAAAAGTCTGCGAATTAGAATCACCGGGAAGAGGAGAGGGACACTGACATAGTCTACAAGTTTTGCATCAAGTGATCCACGAAAATATGCTCGTCGCCTACGAAAGTGCCCACCCCTAGACTCATGAAGCGCACATATCCGATCACAGTATCGAGGACCTTCTCGCCGAGTTTCACGTATCTAGGTAACTCTATAAGGATTAGGATTCAATCGTTGAAGGTTCTGGCTTGCTGTGGGTGTATCTAGGGTAGGGGATTTCGGTGATAGCTGGGTAGTATCCGCCATGGCTTCATCACAGAGATGGGCTTGGGTTGATGGGAATTGGGAAGAGAGAGGTGAAATTCTGACAAAACTTGAAAGCTGAGATATTCTGAGACATGGAATCGCTTTAAATTTATCTTTCTTCGCCATGCTGTTTAGTCATCCCACCCGTTGGAACCCTTATGGACGCTGATCCACAGGGGTAAACATTGAGTTCATAGGATGGACTGGATAAACACTATCCAAACGCTGCCGCGACCTGAATGGATGCTTATCAGGGTTAATTTAGACCTCTTGAGATGGTAATAAATATTTGGTTGTTTATCAATCATCAACCACTTCTTGTTTCCTATTCCAAGAACTTAGCGTTTGGCAGTAGCGGACAAACACCTACAACAACGCTGTTGACGACAATGCTGCGTTGACGATTCACACAAAGCTACAGGAGTTCACAAGTATTTATTCTCCAGGCCACCTCGAGATTATTTTCTGATCTCCAAATAATCTTACCCGAATTACTTCAGCACACCTGCAACCAAGCACAACCTCACGTACGTATTCTTCGGGCTATCCCAGAAACCGCTTCTAACCTCAGAAAGGCTCCCGCTCTACTAAATTCCCACGAAAAAAATGAACAAAATGAACAAGACGATGTCTGCCGGTTCTAAGGGCGACGACTATCCCCGCCAAGCGGTCGCGGGCTTCATGTTTGGCGCTATCGCTGCCGCCATTGCATTCGTCATCACATATGTGATTGCTGGCTTTTTCTTGAACTTTTTCGGCGACTACATGGCCCGACATCATGGTGTCCGGGCTTAATTATGGAGAGGCACCCCCGAGAACCTATATCGGATGTTTTGGGTGGCTAGATGCAGTCACAGTCGGTTCCAGAAGCTGGTCCGGGGAGCGTTGAAGTAACCATCCATCGTTGCATCAAGCGCGTAATGTCTATGGATTGATGGAATTCTGGAAGGGGCAAAGTATGGAGACGCATGACTAGGCCTGGAAATTAGAAGAGAACAAATAACTTCGAAATCCAAAAACTCCATCATAAATAAGCTGGTTGTCTGCATAAAAATCATTCTACCTTCATTTACAAGTCTGTCATCGCGTGTCGTTCCGTATCATTGGCGCATCCGTATCACCGTCTCAAGTTGTCATTCGTAAAGAGTGTTAACCCTAAGTGCGGATGGAGGGAGTCTGGCCCATATGAATCTCCGCTCGCTTTTCTGGGTTCTTAGTTGGGTCATTTGCATCATCACCATCGGCGCCAGGGTTCGCCATCTACAAGGTCATTAGTTTCGGATCGTTCAATAATGACACAGCAAGGCTCACCTCATATTCTAGGGTCTTGATAAACCTATAAAACACCACTGCAATGAGTGATCCGACAAATGGGCCAACCCCTAATATTGTTGTCAGTGTGGTAATGCAAATTGGGAGATCGCAACTTACAGTAGATCCAGTGCTCAGAATCAAAGGTTCTGGTAACAACACACGGCCCAAAGCTTCGCGCAGGGTTCAGAGAACCTCCAGTGAACTGGACACCAGCCATTTCGGCAATGAACAAGGCCAGGCCAATTCCGACCGGGGCGATAAAGGTCGCGCGATGCTTCTCTTTGGCCAGCATAAAGATGGCAAAGACAAGCTCTGCCGTCAGGATTGCTTCAATAAAGACGCCCTGGACCAAGGACGCGCCGCCTCCCAAGGTCGTCCTAACATTAAAGGTTTCGGGGAAGAGGAACAGGACGACCACGGAAGCGAGCATAGCTCCGAGCATTTGGGCAACGAACAAGCAGATGCCTCTCGTCACGCTGACACCCTTGACTAGAACCATGGCCAGAGTCACAGCGGGGTTGAACAACCCTCCGCTAATGCGGAAGAAGATCCACACGTTGACCATGAGAGAGAAGCCGAAGATGAGAGAGATATACATCAGTACAGAGACGTCAAAACCTGTAGCCTCTCCAGTGGTTGTCTGCTCGGAGCTGGCATTGGACTGGATGTTGGCAACCTCGGTGCCAGCGAAGGCGAAGAAGAGGAACATGGTCGTTCCGACAAACTCGCCGAGAGTGGCGACGAAGTGATTCTTGAGATCTGAGTTCATCCATTGCGTCAAAGGGATACGCATCACCTGGGCTTTCTCCTTGCGGCTCATATTATTCCAGTCGAGATGGGCTACGTCAAAGCCAACCCCTTCCTCATCGGAGTGCCGACGGTGCGGCGGGATGTCAGGCTGGAAACCCATCTCCTCGTCTGTCGGCCGGCGCACTCTGGAGGTCTCGAACGGATCTTTCATGTAGCGAGTGTCCTCGTGGTACATGTCATCGTCTGAATCATGCATCATCATTTGTCGGCGGCTGTTGAGGTAGGCGGGAGGAGGGCGTGGACCCCTTCGAGTGTATCGATCAGGGCGGTAGTCGTTGCGCCAGTAGCGGTCATAGTCCCTCATGGTGGGATAGTCGCGGGGATCTGCACTTTGCTCATAGTCCCAGTCATCGCGGAAGCGGGGCCTTTGTGACCTGACCGAAACCGAATGCTGGAGAAAGTCTTGATCATGGGAATACCGACGAGCGTGGCCTTTCGGGGCAGGATGAGCAGCGGTACGAGAGGAGCTCGGTCGTGAACGGAGGCCCTCATGACTGGCGCTCGGTTGGATGGGCGGCTCCGAGTCAGATCCTCGTGGCAAGGATTGGTCCACAGGTCCGGCTGGAGAGGATCCAGGACGGGCGACCTCCTCCGGCGTTAGACTACCGACTGGCGGGCTGAAGGCTCCAAAGTTCGCAGCGGGTGTACTGCGAGCAGAGCGGTTGTGGGTGGGGGATTGTAAAGAAGACATATTGAGAGGGGCGATGAGAGTCACCATAAAGGAAATGATTGCCAACAGGAAAGAAAGGTATGCAAGTAGGAAACTGAGGCTGTATCTTGCTATTCTTGCTGACGATCCATTTCAAGGGCGTGGAGATTGCCTAGATATAAGTCTGTAAAACTGTAGCGAGAGGAACCATCCAGTCGTCTCGGCCTTGATTCTTCCAATCATCCTGACCCATGACATCGATTGCATCCTCGTGTGGGGAGGAGAACTTCGAAGGAGCCCTGGAGTGGATTGCCATTGGGTCCAGCTGAGCGAGCTGAGAGCGTTACGAGGGAGTCCTGGCGGGCATGAGCATGTTCGAAAGAACTGTTGAAGCTTCGATAGAGGTAAAAGCGAAAGATTGCGTTCATGGGGAGACCTTGTAGGAGGGTCTGGAGAAACTGTACGCCGACGTGGCGAGCAGATGACTTGGAACGAGGGAATATGAGAGTGACGTAGAGGGGCAGGATTTCGATCTCTGCAATCTGGACGATCTCGGTAGCTTGCGGATTTACGTTCAGATCGCTTCCAATCACGGGGGGCGATGAGGCAGGTGACGTTGGTGAAGGAGCCGGGATGATGGCTGTAGGTGAGGCTGGCTCAGTGATCCACTTGGTCGTGTTACCAGCCGTCTGGACTATCTTGGCCAACGGCGACGGCGAGTTCCTCCCCGCAATAGGAAATCTTCGTTTCAGCTTCCTGCAGGTCTGGGGTGAAAGTTGGTACCTCTTGTAGTGAAAATCGAGATTCGAGTGCTACATTGGCCGCCCTGGTTTTGACTGGGTTGGGATAATCCCTCCAACTATCCGGAAGTTATAACGACCGAATTTGCGAGGAGGCTGAAGAGAGGACGTGAACCGGTTCTTGCGAAAACGATGGACAGAGCTTCCAAATCTCGGACTCTCGTCAGAATGTTCAAGAATTGTGTGGCTAGAGTGCGCGGAAGGATCGGGGTTCGACTCGAAGGTTTGAATTAGACTACATCATGCCTTGTGTGTGGCTGCAGGGAAGCCCGAGCTGGACTCTGCGCCAGAAGAAGCATGGACAGCCACTTGGCCCACAGAAGCAAAGGCCATGAACACGAATTCCGGCATTGTGATAAGAAAGTGGCGGGGTGAAGCGCTCCAGGATGGAAAATGGATGCGCGCAGCAGATAGATGGTCAACAGAAAAACAACGGAAGGGCTGGGAGTGGGAGTGGTGGCAATGAATCCTCTGGTTTAGCTCGAGGTTGGGGTGAGTTGGTCAGAAATAGCAAGTGAGGCCATCCCTGACCTGAGGATTAAGGCAGATGAGAAAAGTTGGCAGTAATTTACGGGTCCATGAAGCTGATGACGATGACGACAAGGACAAGGACAAGAGTGCGAGTTGTGGGAACAAAGACTCCGGAGCTCGGAGGGCCTCACGTGACAGCGCGTGTTACGAAAGCGTCCCACTCGCACCGGATTTCCACTGTAACGCGTGTAGCCGCCCAACGCCAAACCGCCGATAGACGGATGAATGTGCATTTCAATGTGCATTTCAATGTCCAACTGATCTGAATTGCGTGTAAGCGCGGGGATCAGGCACCTACCCGCCATTGCACACAATATCCCACTGCACTCACAGTTAATTCTCACGCAGCATGGACTTTGCACGTGGCTCGCGACGAGCCCGCCATGTAGCCGCCAATGCCAATGCCAGTGCCAATGTCAATGCCAATGCGAATGCCAATTCGACGGCCGCAGCGAATTCGAATTCCAATGCAGCCGCCACGAGCGCTGTACACGATACCCTGTCGCCCCCTGGAGCTGGACGACCCGTGGGCGCTGCGGCCTTGGTGACGCCCGATGCCCCTCCCCCGCTTCATCGGACGCCCGATCAGCCCGTTGAGCAGCCCCGACGCGCACCACCTCCGAACCCGTTTCGCTTGTATCGCAGTAAGTAGTAGTTGGTTTTCTATTGTTTTCTTGTCCTTTGCTCTCCTCTCCCTATTCTCTCTGAAAATCCATGTGCTGCGTTCACTGTCCTTGTCCGTATCCAGAGTCAAGTGACACGGTGCCATGTGAGGTCACGCCTGCAGTTACACACGGTCTCCATTATTCTCTCTCACCTTGCGATCACCACCTCACCTTTTCGGCCCTCCCGTTTCTCTTCACAACTCACAAAACTTTGCCTAGCGTCAACTCACACTACCTCTGCGGTTCTTTCCCTGGTGTTATTTAACACAGTCTTTGTCTTGGAATCTGCGCTTGAACTCAGCTCCATCCATCTCCTTGTTCTTGTTTATGTTCAACTGTTTCTCCTTCTCGATACCCGCAATATATACCCGCACAATCCAACCAGTTGCTGCCCATCTACACACTTCACTTTCCCAAGATGGTTTCCCTCCACCAAACCACACCGCAGACCTTCATCCTCCCGCCTCCACCCTCTCCCCTCAAGCGAGTGCCCCTACAGGAACTCCCCATCTCGTCATCAGGCGGCCTCACTCGCACTCGCGAGCGCACCACTCGCCCAACCCCCTCAGTCGACAAGGAGAACCTGACTGCCGTTGTGCGAGCCCTTGAGCACCGCCGCACCACCTTCAACCACAATCTGCAGAGCATCTCGGAGCAATTCCGCCTCCAGAGAGTCCGTCTCGCCGAGCTGGGCCGCCGGCTTGGTGACTTGCGCACTGCTGCTAACACTCACCCAGCTGCCCAACCCACCAACCATCCCCGGCTTAGCATGCCGCTGGTTGACTCTGACGATTCAGGCTCTGAGCCTGACCTGAGTGTGCTGGGAATGGCTCGTCCCGCACCTATTGCCGCCACTCCTGAAGTCGTCGAGCAGCAAACCCAGTCTATGTCATACAATGAAGATGATGAAGATGAGAACGAAGACGAAGGTGAAGACGAAGATGAGGACGAGGTCCTCTCACAAGAGCAATATGAGGCCGAAGACACGAGCGTCGAGGATGAGCAGATTGACGAGGAAGAGAACGAGGGCGTCCCACTGATTGACCCGGCCACTGCCGGTCTCAAGGAGATCTCAAACCTCGCAAGGTTCACCGTCAGCAGCCACAAACCAGGCAACGGCGTTGAAGAGCTCCGCAGCGACGACCTCAAGATGTATTGGCAGTAAGTTCCCCTTCCACCTGTCTATGCTCTCGCAAACTTAATACTAACCCTACTAGGTCTGACGGTCCTCAACCCCATAAGCTCACTGTCTACTTTGTCAAGCGAGTCGGAATCCGCGACATCCGTTTCTTCGTTGACTACAACGAAGACGAGTCCTACACGCCAACCAAGATCGTCTTCAAGTCAGGCACCAGCGAAAACAACCTCATCGAATTCGCCACCATCACCCTCGAGAGCCCCGTCGGCTGGCAGCAGGTGCCGCTTGCCGGCGCAGGCGGCGACCCGGACGGCAACACGCTCGTGTCGTACGTCCTGCAGATGCAGATACTCGAGAACCACCAGAACGGCAAGGACACGCACCTGCGGGGCATCAAGATCTACGCCTTCGACGCCGACTCGGCGCAGGGGCCTGGGAGGGATGGGAACCCAGTCGAGGACGTTGTGGGACTCGTGGACTCGGCGGTGGGGAGGAACGGGCGCAACGGCGCAGGGCATAGGGTGAGCAGTGTGAAGAGGCAGCCTGGGACGTTGAGGTTCGACCCTGGCGATGGCGGGTTGACCATTCCGGATTTTATGCGGGAACCAGAGCTTCGATGAGAGCCGGAAAAAGGAAACGGAGATGCGTTATGTGGTATTCGAGTTAAGAGTCGTGGAAGTTCACCCGCCCTCAAGGTAGCTAGGAAACTCCTTATTCACGAGTAATGAGAACCATGAAACTTGAAAAATGTCACGTTCGCCTCCTATTCAGAAACCCAGGGAATAGACTAAGACTTTGTATACAACGGCATCGAGGGCTAGGACTCGGTTCTTCTACGCAGTAAATAGCTACTTCTTTATTACCTACCTGAACAACTGCCGTCCAGAGCTTGCCACCCTCCCTCCGAATCCAGGCAAAGCAAAGCAAAGCGAAGCAAAGCAAAGAAAACTGCTCATATTACATACAAGGGCAACCCCTTGTCACCATCCATACGTTTTATGTCTTCATTCACTCTTGTGTATTCCGTCCAACGGGCTCGCAAATGCGTCCACTACAACTCCATCTCAAAGTCGACAATGCGTATATCATCAAGCTGGCACTCGAGCAGGCAGATCCTCCATATCATCCATGACGCTGTCCGAGTCGTCGCCCTTGGCCTCCACCTCAGCAGCCGCGGGAGATCGGAACTTGCTGGGTGTCTTCCTCTTGCGGAAGCGAGCATCGTCAATGTCTGAGTTATCTTCCGCGGTCCCGCTAGGTGGAACTAGAAAACCATCGTCGTCCTGAATAGGGTCCTGGGAGGGTGCAGCTGTTCGTCTGGAGGATGCTCTTCTGGCTGGCGTAGACCGACGAGGGGCACGGCTTTTTCCGGGTGCCGATTTCTTGGCTGAGCGAGTCGCCTTGGGGGGCGCTGGCTCGACAAATTCAACGGGCTCAACGAGCTCAACAGGCTCAACAGGCTCAATTGGTTCCGTTAGTTGCATTTGCTCCATTGGCTCCACAGGCAAGTCTGGCTGAATGGCTTCCATGTGCTCAATAATTTCCATCGGTTCAACAGGCAAGTCAGGCTGGATGTTCTCGTCGGGGACGCCACCATTCTCAATCTCCATCTTCAAGTCATCTACGACTTGGTCTTCTCCCTCAACATCAGAGTTGCCGACATACTCCTCGCTGATATTGTTGGTGCCTCCATTGGCCATAATCGTGGTTGGAATGGTACCGATAAATTCCATCTCCAGGGCGTCATTGTAGTTCTCATCTCTGATCTCGGGAAGCTCTCCCATCTGATTGTACTGGTCCACCAGGTACTGGGCACAATCGCGTACAGTCTTTTCGTCCCATCCGGGGATGGTTTGCTGCAGACGTCGCCAAAGGAGCATCTGAGTCGAACGATGCCAGCGGGTGCGGTACTGTTTGTCAACCAGTTTCTGCCAAGGAATCTTTGATTCAGACGAGACAGACGAGCCGTGAATGGCGAGGACAAGACGATATCTTTCTTCCTCTGGCATGTCGGCAATCTGTCGGCGGGCCTTCTCCAGGTTGAAAGAGATCTGAGCGTTTGGTTCATGAGACACAAGCTTGTCCTTCCCATGGGTCTTGATGTTCATTGCCTTCCACTTGGTGATGCACTGAAGGCGACTACGAGTTCGCTCCATTCGCTCACTGATGTTCTGCCAGTCAATGAGCTCTTCGTAGGGCTTCTTAAGCAGCTCTCGACTAGGTTGGATTCGGCGCAGCTCATCGATGGCGCCCATGGCTTCCATGACGTACTGAGTCAAGTTGGACTCCTCCCGTTCGTCCCAAGAGTCCTTTCGCTGGGCATCACCGCAGACAATGTAGTTGCGGTAACGGTCGCGAAGATCTTCGGGATGACGGTTGATGATAGCAGCAATCTTGGACCACTTCGTTCCGTGGACCTCGATGAGATCACGAAGTTCAGTTTCCTGTTCGGGGGTCCAGGTGCCACGCGCGACAAAATTGTGGAACTTCTTGCGCGTAATGTTGATGATCTTCTGTCGGTGACGGTCGGGGCATGTCTCAAAGACATGGGCCCAAAGAGCTGCATGCTCATCTCCAGCAGTAGTTCCTCCGGGGGCGTGGATCATGTCATTGACTTGATGCTGGGGCATGTCGCGCTCGGAACGGAATCTCTCAACTGCCATGGCGATACGGCTAAGTTCCTCTTCACTAAAGCGACCCTGAGTATAGCCCGCCATTCTATTCCGACGCCCTTGAAATCCTTCGGCATCATAATCGTCCGCCTCGTGCATGGAGTAGCTTGGAGGTTCAGTCTTGGTCTTTCTTTTCTTAGACGCGGTCTTTGCTCGACGAGGCTTCGGAGTCATGGCAGATGGTGACGGCAAGTCGGCATATTCTTCCTCTGGGGATGGCGGCTTTTCAAAGAAAGTTGGCTTAGCCTTCCTCGGCCTGGACTGTCGAGGCCGTTTGGTGTTGCTGCTGGGAGGGTTGGGAGCCTCGACCGGGCTGCCTGGCACGTCATAAACGTCGTCGCCGTCATTTTGACCCTGACCACCATTGACATGCTCATTCCATGCCTCTCTGGCTAGGTTCTCAACATCGCGCTCAGCCTCTGTGCCGGCGGCTCCGGCGGATCCGTTGACATCAATGGAATCTGTTCCGAGGTCTCTATCCCCAGAGTCACCTTGGTTCACTGTTGCATTCAGCTGAGAATCAAGGTCCATTTCGCCGTTGTTTGGAAGAACACTATTCTCCCGTGATCGGGCTTCGCGCGACTGGCTGCGGCGCTGGAGACGGGCTGCGCTGGGAGAATTCTGAGCTTCGGGTGACTCGTCGTCTGGTGTTCCCTGTACCACGTCCTGGGAGGCAGCCTCAACTTCACCGTCGTCAGGCCTTCTCTTCTTTCGTTGTTTGCTGTCTGCCGCATCTGATGGCTTGCGCTTCCGCTTTGGCTGTGTCGATGGGACTGAAGTCTCGTCATTCGAATGCGTGTTAGAGGCGGCCTCGGCGTATGCCAGTTGTTCCTGAAGTGCATCTGACGCGTTTCCAGTTGGGAGGCTATCCGGAATCTCAACCGGAACAGACTGCCTCTTCTTCATTTTCTTGTGCTTGCGGGAACCCTCTTCGGCCGATGGCTGAGGGGATGCGCTTTCTTGAGACGCCCCTTTCTTCTTTCGATCTTTTTTGTCTCGCTTTGACTTTTTCGAGTGCGAAGATGGCACGGCATTTTCCATCACTGCCTCAGGTGCCTTGCTGTCCTGACCAAAGGCCGATGAAGGCAGCTGTGAGGTGTAGGGTGCCTGTGTCGCATTGCTATCGAACATCTCGAGAGTGCCAAAGTCGGCCTCGTTGTCTGGCGCGTCCTCGACCTGGGCATCGTGTTCAAAGTTGTCAAACGCCTCCAAGCCGCCAATTGGCCGTCCATCCGGGTCCATCATCGCGTCTGCAGTGTTGTGCGACCCGTTCTGATGGTCGTCGCGTTCGTCGATGGGATGAAGCTCCGGGTGTTGCTCAGGTTGGTGGTTCTCAGCCTGTGAGGAAGTCCCCTCACTGGTGGCCGGTTTGTCTGATCCGCTGGCCTGAGAGCCAACTAGAGACCAGAGTGTCGAAGCAAGGCGAAAATCGGGCCACTTGTTGTTGGGGGGCATCGATACGCCGTCGTCGTGGGTGAATCCGGTGTGAAGGCAGGAGATGTGTAGGGTAAGGGGAAACGAAATGGTGTGGGGCCGCAGGAAAAAAATAGCGGCACGCGTCGCCTTCAGGACAAGCGATGCCATTGTTGGTGGTAGGTGCGAAGCGGCTGCTGCCTGGGAAATGAGGCACCAATACCACGAGGCAGGTACCTTTCACATCACGATTCTGGCTGCACAACTCGAAATACTGGATGACAACAAAAATGAAAATTGGTTCTCGTACAGAGTGCTACAGCGCTATTTGATACAGATGCAAAGAAAATACATGTAAATGTTGTACAGGTCACTTGCTGGACCAACGATTCCCTCCACCTGCGCCAGCCCCGTGATCCTCCTTTCGTCAATTCCCTTTCATCAGTCCGCTTTCCATGCCGGTATCCGTTGTCCAGCTTTGGGGTTGCCATCCTCGCAACTCTCTCCGTTTCCCATTAATTCATCCAAAATAAGGACGTGAAATAAACCCTCAAGTCGATTATCGACCGAACGGGAACCATGATGACTTCTTTTCCTCCGTCTGCTCCTGCAACTTCACCGAGACATCCCCCCTGATGCTCTGTCGGATCTTGTACTCTCCGCCGAGCACCAGGTCCTTGGCAACCAACTCGCGAGTTCGGCCCAAGCTCTCAATGTCTGAAATTCTCTGGATGGTAGCCTCTAGGTGGTCGTCGAAGCCTTCCTCGGCGCAAATCTCCTGGAAGGCAAGGTGCATCGGGACACTGCTGGCTCGCACATCCGCAGTGCTAGTGATGCTGAAGAGGTTCAGGCTGTCCAACTTTCGGATAAAATCACAACGTGTCATGATTTCCTGGGCCTTGTGGAAAGGGTATGTGGGTAGCACGTGGCCGATAACTGAGTCGTAATTAGGCTCATCGTCGTCCTTGTCAACAAGGGCCTTTGCTAGAACCATAGCAGCAGCCTAGAACCCACATGTTAGCACGATATGATGAATAACGAGTAAACACAAACTTACGGCCCACTTCTGCTGGTCCATGACATCGTCGTCCATTTCCATACCCAGGATCCAGCATTGGTTGAGAAACCACCGCTTCTCAATATCCTTGATCATCTCGCAGGTTGCATTCATGTCGCTGCTCTTCGCAACACGGCTCAAGAAGCTCAGGCGGCCACCAACTTTATCATAGACGTTTTCGAGCTGGTCATCCGACAGGCGCTCTCCAAAATACTTCAACCGGTAGCGCTGTAGGGCGGAAATAGCATGGGCCTTGGGTAGGTCGACAACAGACATGACCTCCATCCTCGTAGCTAGTTGCTTGAACCGCTCATATACCCAATAGTCGTCAGAGTTGAAAACCATGGTGACGAGGTTTGCGGCAGCCCACTGTTCTGCTCGCTGCTGGAGAAGCTCGATCAAATCCCGCCCATCCTCATCGTCGCGGAGGAGGTGCATCTGGTTGACGATAACGACGAGGGGCTTGCCTCTCTCTCGTCGCTTCAGCATAGCCACCTTCTCCAGCTTGTTGAGGGCACGCTCGATATCCAGTAGAGCAGTGGATTCGCGAGGGCCTCTCTCGCTGAAATATCCGCCAATATAGTCCTCGTGGTACTCATAATCCAAAGCTTTGCCCAATCGAATCCTGAAAATCTCGAGATCTGCGTGTGCCTCGAACATGGCTACACCCTCGCCATCGATCTTGCGCATCGCCTCTATCAGCATGCTGCTCTTGCCGCAGCCCTTGTCGCCGATCATGAGGTGGTAGTGTCCAACGTCATGACCAAACACGATGCGGTCCACGCGTTCTTGCTCACTGCGAACAATCCAGTGCTCGCCAGCACCGCCAGGGGGGATCTCTTTTCCAAGGGAAGCCAGTTCCAGAACTGGGTCTCCTGGCTCAAAGGCGTTGGTCATTTTGCTGAGGACGAGCCGTTTGTAACTCTTGTGATAGATGTAGCCAGCGGCAGCAAAGCCGAGACCCAGCACGACTATGGAAGCAAGTGTTGTCGCTGCTGACTCGCCCATCTTCCAAAGAATAGAAGGTTCTGATGAGGAATTTTGTTCATTTTGCCGTCCGCTATTCTCACGCGGTGCCTCCTCTGCGATTTCGAATTAGTGGGCTGGCGGCATGTGAGGGCTTCTCGTGTTAGAGGAGCGGAAGAAGCAAACAACAGCGGCAATACGAGCCTTTAAGCGACAGACACTCGTTGTCGCTCATTCATTCAAGACAGGCCGCTCTCGTGATTCATTCACTGCGAACAAGTACCCCACAGATGTGACCCCAGGATTAGGGCAGCTTTGCATTCGCAGAGGACCAGGATACGCCGATACGGCACGGCTACAGCGTGAGACACTGGGCTGGTGGCTTAATGCAGCTGGGTTTGGACAAGGCTGAATGAATTAAAGGCAGGCGCATTTACACACTCTCAAAGTAGAATACACAATTTGAACAAACGCACCTTGTCTCCTGGCGCCTTGAGTCGAAAATCGGAGCCTGCTGGCAGCGGAGTTGCATGGCCCCCAACGACCCAGCTGCGGCCCATTCGGACGCGCCAAGTTTGGAGTGCCCAGACGGGCAAGTTGGCGGGCCAGGCGGCCGGGATTCCGCAGTGTCATGGCTGTGAGGTGGCGCGAATCTTTCCGCGCATCCAGCGCACTCAAAGAAGGCAGTCAAGGTCAATTGGGCCGTCGATGAGGCCGTCGAGAGTCGTCATGAGCGCCGGCGAACAGGAAAAGGGAGCGAGACTGAGCTGGCGGCGTGGCTCGCAGGAACAAACACTGATATTAAAACAGCTGGGTACCGGTGACACGGCCTCCAAAACCAATTAGGCTTGGTGCCACGACCTAATTCAGACTTTCGGCGACCAAGCCAGCGGCGTCTGGCCACTGTAGCGTCACTGCAGGACGCCCACTGGAGGGTTCTTTGGTCCCTGGAATCCACTGGCCCCACTGAAGGTACCACTACCACGTCACTGATATCTGCAGCGACAGTGACGCCTCAGCCGGACAGGGGCCCAGGTGGTTGCTGTGACCGAGGAATCCGACTTGCGCATGCGACTAAACTCTGCTGAGAGATGCCGGTAATCAATCAAGGTAGGGCTGACAAGCTCATCATCGCCCAAGAAATCCGCCGAGCCACATCTGTCTTGCGTCAGGGACCCGAAGGCAGAACACTGTGGGGATTCCATGGGGATTCCAGGGGGGAGCGAGGCCTCCTGTACCAGATTCCGGCCGAGCGATCGCTCATTTCATTCCAAGCGTCCGGGGGGACCTTAATTCATCTAAGGTCTGCGCTATCAGCTGCCATTGTTTGCGCGGCGCGTCTCTTTGCCGTAGCTCGCGCGCAAGCGATATCCACGTGATGCACCACTTCCCGGTCTCGCCAATCTCAGCTCAAAGGAACTTTGGTACTGAACAGTTCGCTTACAGCTCAGCTCATAAACACCGTGATATGCGGGAGGTGGTCGCATTGAGATTGTCATGGATGTTCGAAATAATTTTTAATCACCTATTCCAAGTATATCGATGCGTCATTGTAGCAGATGCTCCTCCAGGTTGGGAAGGACACCAGTGTTCAGTTGTTGCTGTGAATATCTGTACGCTGAGCTGAAGGTGAGAACGAAGTGACATGTTCTTGAAAAACAACAATCAGAACTTCAACATCTCCTTAACATGCATGTTGCCCGTGACTAAGCCTCACTTCTTCACACCTCGTCTCTTCTCCATCCTAACATTCGTTCCCTTCAGTCTGAACATTCTCAACCCTGCTACTACGGATCCCACCTTCCCTGACCCTCTCAACACCATCCATCCATCCCTTCATGCCCCCAAAACATGCCGCCGTTCGCTCCAGAGCTAGAGGAGTGGTGGCTTGGCCGTGGCTACGATGCTCTAACCCGGCTTGTTGACTCAGGCGATGACGCCCTCAAACCTCAAGAATGTGGCTTCGCCCAGGACGTCCAACGTCGGCTATGCGCCCTCGACAATGACCGTCTACTCCAGGCCGAGCTCAAAGAAGCGTGGCCGGCTATTCGCGCCGCGAGAGGCATCAACTACGTTGCGAACCCACGAAAACAACTCAAGGAAGCATCTAGTACCATCTTCAAGCCGGTTGAAGACGGAGGCATGGATCAATCACGCGTCCTTGAAGGGCTTGGATATCTAGATGCGATGGAAGTGCATCGTCTTCGCTTCCTGAAAGCAACAAGGAGCGCCATGGAGGTTACGACCCCTGAAAAACGTCACCTGCAAGTCGTCGACGAGCTCGATCGTCAAGCCACTATCCATTACCGACATTTCCACCTAGGCTTTAGGACATGTGCAAGTGACCAGGACTTCTTTCAACCGACACGTGAGCTGATTAGTGAACTTGCAGACTCTCATCGATGATTTGACCAAAAGTGGCGAGAAGACAAAGGAAATACCAAAGATAATGGCTCGACTCAACGCCCTCTTCCCCCCTGTTGTCTTTCTCCAAGACGAGGACGATGTTGATCCAACGCCCCACTCTGCCGGTCTTCGCGACAGCATCCGATTTTCTGTCTTTGAGCACTTGATGGGGAGTGAACCAGTTTCTGAACAGCGGCAGCAGATGATCCAGATGAAGCTTCTTGGGTGGTGCGACATTCCTGGGTACGGCCAAGCCCGAGATTCCTTGATTCGATACTGCGAGGAATCAAAGAAGCTGGAAGAGGTCTGTTTGCTTGTTTTGGACGATTTGGAGCATCGATGTCTCAGCGAAATGTCGACACGAAACTTATCGGCCGACTCTTCTTCCATGTCACTCGAAGACAGCTCACCAAGTCCTGAGGGCAGCTCCCCGAGAAAGGCCATTCCGGATGTCGCCATGAGTGCCGATGCATCCTTTGATTCTCGATATCCCGCTTTGCACTCGCCGGTGTCTATTTCTGCACTTACAGCATCAAATCCTCTCCTCAAAGGAATGCCAGGCCGAGAGATATCAGCAGCCAAGACAGACGGAGCAGCTTGGGCAAAAGACCTCGGCGTACCACCCATTCTATGCTATCCCGAAGACCTTTCTGCGACTGAGTTCTGCCAACATCCCCTCGCACAGGAGCTTGAAATGACACCGTTGGAGATGTCGATTCTAGGACTACTCATTCCCAAAGAAATCAAGAGCCGAGATACTTAGTACAGTTTCGACAGCGACGATGACATGGAATACGAGAAAGTCACCAAGTCCCGCACGAAGAACTCTGGCAAGTTGAAGCGCCGTCAGACTAGGAAGGAAGAAGTGCCCCCAGTCCCTCCAGTACCGCAGATTCCAGAGTATTTCCGAGCAAACTTGACCCCGAAAGTTCTTGAGAAGCTAGTCAAGAGGATGCGATCTCGACCAGACCTGGCGGAGACTCCCTTTCCCGAAGATCTTTCGTCCGATCAGCCTCAGAAGAAAACATCTGCTCCTGGTACACTGAAACTCGGCATTAGGAAACGCCGCCCATCAACGAAGCTTCAGATTTCCAGCCCGGAACCCATATCCGAGACTAGCTCCTGGAGTTTGCGCTCAAATCGTCACTCCAACATCGCGTCCACCATTACTAACGGTTCACACAACTCGAGACCGGCGGCTTCGCGAAGCCAGTCGAGCCAAGATGCGGTCCAGCCAATCTTACAGAGAGATGACCCGAAGTTGAAGTACGAGCTTGCGAAACCGCGATTGTCACCGATGGAATATGCCCGCCTGTACCTTGTTGAAAAAGCCTTGTCTGATCGGGAGAATCGACCCTGCGAGCTTCCCAAGCCGACGGCGGCCAGGTATTGGACCCCCCGCTGGGAGAAATTCCTGATCATCCCTCAAATCCCGGATGTCATCCGACGAGACTTGACTCCACGAGGAGCTACTGATGGTGGGTGCGGCAGCGACTCCGCTGATTTGGGGCAGACCGACTCTGATAACGAGTCGGTGGTAACGCTGAAGCCGGGGACAGACTATCCACGTCTGTCTCTCCATCTTGGCGACTTGCCAACTCTTTCTCCCTTTCTGGATCTTCCGTATCCTAACATGAGTAATGAGATTTCCCCTCCCAACATTTCGCCGTTCGGAGTTGAAACCGAGGAGACTGAACGACCCGACGAACCCCCTTCTCCCTACGACGAATGCGAGATCCCCAAACCACAAACCGAACCAGAACTGCCCGCGCAATTTTATCAAGTGCGCTACCGAGAAGACGATGAAGTTCACAAGCAACAGCGAGAAACTAGGTACCGAGCCATCCACGATGCGATCGGTCCATCCGCCTCTACAAGCGTCTCCGAAAACAGCATCCGAGTCGAGGCAGAAGAGGTACCCGCAACGACAAAATATCCTGATCAGCCGACTTCCCACCACGAGAAACAAGAGTTTTGGAAAAAGATGGATATGGACAGAGAAGCTAACAGTTCGTCACCTCTGTCACAAGATAGCGTAGAGACTGCGGTGTACATGGGTAAGATGAGGGATCAGGTATTAGCAACTCCAGATCTCCGCATGCGAAAGGCTTCAGGAAACCAGTCTCAGCCATCTATTGCAGATTTCTCCTCTGCCAACTTTGCCAGTCCGGGGACCAGACGTAGGGTTGTCGAGTTCAGTCCTGAGTCACACATGTCATCGGAAGCTCGCACTCCAATGGCTCATTTCCCGATTGCGACTCAACCAACGTCACGACTGACACCAACCGCATTAACAAAGCATGTTATTGGAGGAGCTGGTGGGCACTTGCACCAAGAGTACACTCGACATGCCCGGTTGGTTCAAAGCCTCAGCGCAGAGCTTCCGCAAGCATCGTCTGCGCACCTGTGGAGCTCAGAATCGGATAGTTCGATGATATCGGATCTACAACCGGAGCCACTTAGAGTGAGCCGCCGGGAATCTCAGTTGGACCATGAGCAAAGCAGCAGGTGGTCAAGGGTCCTTGAAGAAGTCCTTGGGGATGGAGAAAGAGACGATGACAGCGGGAGGCAGGAATGCTTCGAGATGGACGACAGCTTTGAACCAAGATACTCAACGGCCTACATGGAGGATGGCCAGCGTCGAGTCAGCGGAGAAGAAATAGCGTTGGAAAGACTCAAATACCAACTTCGGAGCTTCAGAGATTCAGCGACTCTGCCGAAGACTCTACGGCGCTCCTCGTCAACCATCATCACGCCGACGCAATCATGGAGCACTATCGAGTCGTACTCGACGTTCAACGTTGCAGAAAGCGGACCCTCGGGCTTTACGCCACAGCACGACAAGGATCAGGTTGTATCATCACGCATTCCTCGTTCCCCGTTGATGGGCTATGTAAGGGACTGCGAACTGTCTGAAGGCTCCTTGGAAGCCGCCAAAAAAGCAATTAGAGATGCACATGCTGTCAGGGGAGTGTCCCAGGTTTCACCCAACACAAACTCTCTTCTGGATCGATCTGCTCCCCGCCAACATGGAGCTCTACTCCGAGACCTCGAGAGGGCGTCCTCCATAACACCACCAGGAATGAACAGCTTTGGTCGTTGGAAACACGGAGGTTCAGTACAACATGATGGTTGTGCCGATGGCAGCGAAGCATACGGGGACGATTTCGAGCTCGCGGACTCCAGCGAGCTCCTTTACGGAGGTTACGATTTGTCAAGCTACCAAGCCTTTGAGCCGGAACCGTCAGCCACAAGAGACTTTTCTCAACAATCAGACTCCCCAAACGACTCTTACGGGTACGCAATGAGTTCCGTTGATGCCCACCGATTCTCTTCTCAGCGGTTCGACCCCCTGAGTCGCATCAGTTCGCCGGTTCCTCAAGCCAGCAAATTGGACAAGCCAGACAAGGCCATTACCCCGTCACCGGAGCCGAAAGAAGTTGTGGTTCCACGGACGCCATCTTCAACCATCGGCAGCATCTTTCGCAAACGCGTGAGATCTCACCATGGTGGCAGAACACCTACGACTCCCCTCACTCCTTCTACACACTGGAGACCGTTCGATGAGCCTGAGCCTGAGCCCCCGTGCTCATCGCCTTGGATGTCCGGCAGGGGCGAGAACAAGGTGGAAAAGATGGCGCGGGCAGCCTACTTCAGGGAGAAGGCAGAGCAGGAGCTCGCGCAGATCGAGGCCACTCCCGAGAAACCAACTCTCCGCAAATCCTCCCTAAGTAAAGTAAGGAGTAAGGAGGACCTCCGACGCAAGAACCCAGGCCTCAGCCGTAGACAGAGCATGGAAAGCCTCGTCGGCTGGAGGAGCTTCATCGACGACGCGCCGGAACCCTTATTCTCCTCATCCCCACCACCCCCGGTCCCACCGCTGCCCGCGCCTTCGCGCCTGGACTATCTCGATGCGCGGGCCGACTCCGGCGCTACGGCGGCGGCAGCCGCCTACAAGGCGAAGAAGCCACAAGGGCTCATGGTTGAGACGACGCGAAAGCTTCGGAAACAGAGCCGAGATGGGTCACGGGCAAGTCGCACGCCCAACTCGATGCCGAGCAGCGGCGGGCTGAGGATGGCGTTCAAGATGGACGGTACGAGGCTCAGTGTGGGGAGAGTAGCAGTGGACGAGAGGAGAGAGGACGAGGTTGTACCGCGGCGGAGATAAAAGGTTGCAGTCTCATTGTCTGTTGTCAGCGAGGTGGTGGGATGGTGAAAGCTTGGTTGTCATATTGTTGAAAACCGGTTGTCGGGAATAGGGTTACCTTGTCAGATCCAACGTCCCGAGCGATGTTTTTTCATAACTGACGGAGTAATGCAAACCCCCAGTTGACACCTCTGTCTGACCACCAAGTATGCTTAATACAGCACGTGAATCTATTGGTCGTCTATTGGAATGATATGAGACTCGTCTAGTTTCGGCCACTGCGGATCGGTAGGTCCAGTACCGATGGAGCCGGCGAGATGGCGTGAGACATTCACCGTCAACTCACCACGGTCACTCCGCAATCGTTCATGGATGAAGCCTCATCCTTTGGCTGACGCCCATCCATGTCAGCATCATGTGTCCCCGTATCCACGTATCCACGGCCGCGCGAAACCTCCAACAGTCCGTCGTATCACCATGTCGTGACTCGTATCCTGCATGAATCACATTGAGCCCAGAAAACCAAACTACCCGCGATGCCCACACACACTCAACACCCGCGGGCTCATGTACATAGAGAGGCACACCCACGTACCTCACCGCACACACACAACAGCAGCCCAAGTCCCTCCATGGTCGGTTCAAGTACATGGCCAGACGACGAGGCCAAGACGCACCGCACTTGACCACGGCACAACCCACACCAACCGCACATGAGGAAAACGCGAGGCATTACCCCGAGTCGCGATGCCCCCGCCCCGTGACGATGCACGAGACCTGCTCCCCACCGTATCACCTGCATCCCACCGCGCAGCTCCAATATGCCACGAGCAGGTCTGCCCTCAGAGGCGCGCTGGGGCCTCAGAGTGGACGGTTGGAAGGTTGGACGGTTACTGCAGTTGTGGCTATTGGCTCTATGCTTGGTGACAAGGTGACAAAGTGCCGAGCTGCTGCTGGCTGGCAATAATACCGGTAGAGAACCGCCAAGAGCCGGCAGAGGGGCACATCTGGCCCTGTCTTGCTTGGCTTTCTCAGCGGTTGAGGGCGTTGGGTAGGAGTGTTGCAACACACCGTTGGGCCTTGGGCCTCCTTCGTGACACAGTTTGTGGGCGATGATGTAACGGCTGAACTTTTAATCGCGGTCCGGCATTCCAATCTGTCATCGTCTCGGTCGTGGTTTGGTGAAGGCATCCAATACACCCGCTAGCACAACACACCGCTCCCCACGCCCCCCACCTGTAGTTGACCTCCATCATCATCACCGGAATTCATTTCATGAATAATTAGCTCCACCCCTGAGGTGCATAGCCTGTCGATCTCTTCCCCTCCCCCGTCTGGGGTATATGGAACAAAGATGGGCGTACTATATCAGTAGTCAACAACCACAAACCACGAGAGGAAGAAGAAGCAAGTCTTAGTCTTGTCTTCGGCCAACACCCGAAGCACGTCCCTCCCCCCCTTTCAGCCTATCCAAGGCCATTGACTAGGACCAGAGGCCAACCGGCGGGTCGCCACGGGCCATGGAAACCCCCTGCGAGCTAGGTGAGTGGCTAGCCACGCTATGTATAGCCAGCCTCAAACCTCCCATGGCGTCCTCAGGTGATGGAGGATCTGGAGACCGGAGCAATCATACGAACCCATGGCTTGGGGTGATGGATCGACCCGAACTCCTGGGGTAGGTGAGTGGCACGAGGGAAACATCTTTGAGACTCCTCAGCCAATGAAGCAGTTATGATGATCGCAGTACGTATCCTCGGAGACTTGGCCGGTGAGACTTACAGCCGCCATGAATCGGCCAGCCCAAAACTAATACCACACGGCAGCTATAGTTCACATTGTGCACATTGCAGAAAGGAGCTAACCAGGCAGCCTCGTGCAATTGCTGATGCTTCAAGGAGAGAGAGTTTGCGCCTCAGTAAGCTCAGGGCTGGCCGTTGTGCATTCGGGATGTGGGTTGAAGGATCGCCATCGCAAACTGACACAACAGCTGGCACGGTCCACGGCCAAAGCTTCGCGCCTCCAGCCGTACTCTGAAAGCACGGGGTTGTTATATTGACCGGGGGATGCGTTTTATGGCTGGGGCATTAAAAAATGCAAGACCGTGCAGCCCTTGTCTGGGAGGAGCAGTCCGGAATTATTACAAGCCTGGTCTGGAGCAATCTACTCCGTAGTACGGCCCCGTTTATGGTAGTAGGCGGCGATCATGGACCCTGAGAATAGCACAGGGTCGTCCATCTTCAAGCGACACTGGTAAGGCAGTACACCTTAGTGACCGTAGATACCCAGTTCCCTGAACAGTGCCATCACATGTTCTCCGTGGGGGCTTCGTCCCATTGCAACAAGTGGCTTGGGACGACAGAGCGCGCTCGTTGTGTTGTGTCCTGATGCCACAGTCGCAGAGGCATGTGAGTTTCGACCGCTGTGCCAAGACACGACTCACCGCATCTTCCCAAGTAGCCGGCCCGGTCGAACATTTTGGAGATCGAGCCGGCCCGGTGGCGGCAGATCTCAGCGCTCACCATACCCTTTCTTGAGTCTTGGTCAATGCCATCGAGGCTAGTTGCAAGTCAATCGAGTTTGGCCGCTCTCGTGCCAGCTTCATCCTCGTCCACTTGCTTGGGCTGAGTGCCCATGTTGGGACCCAACCGTAGACGGGGCATACTAAGAGTGTGGCGCTGGCCTGGGGTGGTTGCTGCTAGCCCCGTAAGGGTGTCAGTTGACGAGTTGGCGAGTTAATGAGGGCTGATGGTGGGGACTATCTTGCGCGTCGAGTAGCGCCTCGAAGGCCTGGCCCTTTGAGATTGTCAATAAGCTGAGTGCCAGGCGTTTTGGTTCTCAGTGCAAGTGGTGTCCTGGATACGAGCTTGGCCACACAAGTAGACCGACAGTACAGATTCGTCTGCAACGAGATCGAGACCAACAGCGTGGTAGCGCAGACATGTGCCGTATGGATGGATCGCCAGGGTCTTTTGTTGGTAAACCTCAGAATGACGAGATCCAACGACATGCTGCGTGTCAATGCTGCAGGTCCGCCTACCACCGGGGATCGAGAGATCGCGCGCGCCATCTTGGGATCATCCCTTGAGCCGCTACTTGAGAGATGAGACGGGTTAGGCCAGAGAATAGAGGCCAGAACTGTCTCAGAAGACCTCACGGTGGACGACGGTCTGCACCAATAGCGCAGGCGGGAACAGACCAAGCTACCACGTACTGGCCCATCTCTTGTCGCCAGCAGCACGCGGCCGCGGTGAGAATGACGTCTGCTGATGAGCACGTTTCTTCGGAAGGACTAGAGGCCGACAACCTGGTTGGGTCCATTCGCCCGCCCAGTCACGAAGCTAGGGAAAAGACGGGAGTCAGTCACGGTCCGCACCTTGACTGGGGTGCCGTCGAACTCAAATCCACGGCACCCAGACCGCCCGAGCCACACCGTCGAGCGGTGAGACACCAGCATCTCAGAAATGTTCGCATCGAGAGATTCGGCTGTGTCTCGGGCTTCATGTGGCAATCCTGTTGATGACGTTATTCCTTTGCCTTGAGATGACCGGTCATCACCAGGTGGCGTTCACGTCTTTTGAAAAGCAGCTGAGTCGAGTTCATGACTAGCCGTTTGTAGGGGTCACCGCACCTTCAGGGGTCTCAGCCAGGGGGATTCGTTAGACGGCGATCGTTCCGCTCGCGTCTACCCGAAGGCACGAATGGAATGTGTACTCTGTGAACCAATCCATGGTATAATTGCCAAAAGACACCAGAACAAGGCAACAGAAACACCAATACCAACTCTGGGGGTTTCACAACACAGCCGACAAGGCCAATTCGAAGTCAAGCGCCTGCTGGGCCCGATTGGGCTGGCTTTGTAAGAGGTAGCCCAAAGTACCGCCTGTTGTGTGCATAGGCAGATTCGCACAATTCTCCTCGGTCCTCGCTTCAAGCCGACTAGGCCCAGAAAGGCATCATGGAGGCGCTGCGCTATTTGCATGTTGCCTCTTGAAGAGCTGGTCGTGGTTGGCAGCCATCCACGTCCAGCTCGCGCCCAAGCCATTGCTTTGGGTGCATGTTCGTTGAATGATCCGCAGTAGTCCTCTAAAGGCCTTGGACACAGATGGACTTTAGCAGACGGCGGATTCATGCGGACCCAAGCGAGCCCCAAGTGTCAAGCCTCCCATTTGCTCCATGGAACATGTGCATTCTGCATGCCGGCGGGGGTGAAGCTTTGTCCACCAAGCTCCTGCGTCCCCTAACTGATGTAGTAATAGTGAGGACGGTGGCTGAACGGGAGCGTATTTTTGTCCATTTTCGTCAATGCCCGAAGCATCGTGTGGCAATCAGCAGCTAGCCTGAAAGACCGGACCAAATAGCACAACTTAGAAACCGTTGTGGCTTCGTTGGAGGGAGGGGTCCAGCCTCAACCGACCTTGTGCTAGAGACGAGGGTTACTTGTTTGGGCAATCCGGAAAATTGACAATACGGTACTGCCCAGGACCTGCTGGGATGCATGTCTTACACCCTCGTCCACTCTTGCCCGTTGCATGCCCCATCGCCCCCATCTAGTCACCAGGGTTCTGACCAGGCATGGAGAATGAGTAAAGCCTCCCAATGAGAGGAACGGAGTACGAACTCGGCTGTTCCGGGGGCGCCACATACGAGAGCGTCGTTCGTATGTACATCGGAGGTCCAAGGCAATGCGGGGATCTGCGTCAGTGTCATGTGGAGGGATTCCTGAATCGCATTTGCGCAATACGACCCCTCTACTGGCACTTGCATCGGGATCACCACCGAGGCAGGACAATCGAATCTCTCGGGTACCAGGCTGTGCCCATGCTCAATCAGGCGTTATGAGCTTCTGGGAGAATTTTTAGAAAGACTCGATGCTTGTCAAGGCTGATGCTCAAAATATCTGAGGTCTCGATGCCAAATCCCAAGGCCCCAATGGCAAGGACCAGCATATTATACGGCATGGTTTATACCAGGAGTCATCAGCCCTGGTTCCCAGCAAAGGCCAGGGGATTGCATCTTAGCCAGGGCTACCGACTACTGCCCCCCGCCATCGGAAAAAGCAAAACAGAAAGACGGGCGTTGCTGTTCTTGGGCTGGAGTTGCGTCTCGAAAGATGTCCTAGTCGGACACAAGGTTTCTGAATGCTACCATATGTAACGGCGAATATGGTCACTAAGGTGGCACCAAGTGGGCAGCCGAGCCCGATCCTTGCTGTTTGGCGTGGGGGTTAATCGGCATCTCAAAGGTCGCAGTTGTGACGCTACTAGTGGTAAAATACAATAGAGTACCTCGCAAATCGAGTGGGTTCTGGAGGCCCTGCTGGCTGGCTGTGCTCAGCGGAGAGCGGCCGCAGATGCTCATTTATAATGTCGGCAAGAACAGAGTGTTCTGCGCGAGTGGTCTCGAGGGTGGAACTATCGAATGCAGATAGTCGGCACGTCAAGTGGATTGGCAACCAAGCGGCCTGGGATGATCGACCGACCAAGCAAGCCTTGTCTCACTAGAGGAGTCCGCCTTGGCCACTTCGAGGCCCGTGAGGAAGTGCTGAACTGCGGGAGATGCAACTTCCCACATGTTCTGGTGGACCAAGATGGATGCTTGGAAAAAATATCGAAGTCAACCAGCACGGTTCCAAGAAAAGTAACAACGTGAGTGCTCGGCTCGGCTGGACATGGGGCTCGGTGGGCTCGGTGGGTAATGCCGAATGTGAGGATCGACCAGGGAGTCAGGAGACTTGGCCCGCCACGTTTCTGCCATGAAGCGGCACAACGCGCTGATCGAAGGCCAAGGTAGTATCAACCGTCGTCCTCAGGACATCAAAACCCGGGACAATGGCAAGTTTAGCGCGACATTGGAGTGATTGGCATTGATCCTGGCAAGTTGATTGCGAAGCTGGCCGAGAGCCATGCGTGCGCTAATGAGACACTGCAGTAGTGGGATGCATCTAGGTCGGTATTGGGGGTCCTGGCCTTGCACCAGTCAGTTAGTCCCTAGGTGTGCAATGAAAAGGGGGACGGAAGTCGGAAGAATTCAAATGCTTACCAGCTTAACGTGACCAAGACAAAGAGTGTGAATCGAGGTGTTGGTGATTGTCTAGTGCGTAATCTTGCCTCCAATGGCCTAGTCACGAACGGAGTAGTGTGGCTCGTCAACGGTCTAGACGCGGCCAAGGCGGAGCCTCCGCCGAAGTCGTAAGCAGGCTACTGTGCATATTATATGTTGGAGAACTGCATGCACAATGTAGGCCAGTTGGCGGATGGCGTAGCTGGACCTGCGGCAGCGATGTCGCCGGGTGGTGATGATAGGATTTGTAGAGGGTTAGAGTCTCAGTTGGAGTTGAATGTTGGCCTGGTAGGTGGTAGGTACGCGAGGCTCGGACCGCACCGTATGCGCTCCATTCGCACGGTACCCTGACGCAATTCAAATACCGGGAAGAAATGATGCGCACTGTGGAACTGGTCTTAAACTTACTACCAACCTACAAGAAACCTCAAACACCACGTTCGCAAGCCCGGTATCGGTATGGAGGAAGCCATAAGCCTCCAACTTGACTGTCGGTGGCTACGCCGTTCCGGCAAGTCATGGCAGACCTACACGGTGCAGTTTGTGAAAATCTATTCCCAATGCCGCCTAGTCATTGGGGGCAGGCAAGAGAACACCTCGCCATCAGCCCATTTGCACCCTCCTTCGGCTTTGAATCACGATTGTGGGATGCCGAGGCCAGCACAGCAACGACAACGGTGACGGCGATCCTCTCAACAGAGAGCCAGACCATTCGTCTGCATGGTGATGTCTTGATTGAAATGCAGTGCATCCCGGGCCGCCTTCGCAGCAACTTTGACGTTTCCGAGCAGCCCTTGGGCAATGCCTCCTTGATTGGCTGAGCCATGTACGCGGGCAAATCACAGGCCCAACGTTGAGCGAACAATACCTCCGCCAATTAGCAGGACGATGTATCTCTGCCCAAGGCTAAGACATGCCTCTTAGGGTGTTCTTGGATGCAGCTGGGAGGTTGCAACATTCCCAAACGCATGCAGGGCAGCGTTGGACGGAACGCCAACCGCCATCGCGGATACTGACTCGACTTCATTCGGGTTGGGCATGATATCATGTCACAGCACCATGGATCGAAACCAGCCATTGGCGTGCCAGCTCTCGCAGGGCCGAGTCGGCGCGGAGTTGGTGGACGTCGTTGTCGTGCGACTTCATTGACGAGACCAACACATGGTCGAACCACGACGGTGCCCTAGTCTCCACAACTTTTGCACGCGGGCATGCCATTTCGTTTCTATCCCACGCTCCGTCTTGTTCGTGAAACGCAAGGCTCAAATCACCGCTCGCTATCGAAGTCGTGCCAGTCTCCAGACTAGGGGGACCGCCTCCTGGAATGCGCCTGTCCAGAAATCACAATTCCGCGCATCACGTTCGGCTCCTCAGCATCAGTAGCGCAGTCTGCTCACCGTCAACCCCAGTCCACCCAAATCGACGACACAGGCCAGCGTCCCACTTAGCAAAAGGCCGGACTGTGTACCCCCAAGTACCTCACTGTCCTCTTCGAGGCCCCCGTCGACGCTAAAGATGGAGGGGGGGCTGTTGGATGGATCCCCCCATCACTCGAGGTGGAGACCTGCGTCCAGCGTCTGGCCCCTCCATGTCCCAATCCTCCATCACAGGAGCCAAGCCTAGTCACCAGTCAGCCCAGACCAGGCCAGGTTGGAGGGGAGGCACCAAGCCACAAGGGCACCATCGGCGTCCAGGACGGGACCGACGGCACATGGCGGCGGGTTTCTGGTCCCCTGGAGGAGAATGATACTCACCTAGCCCATGGCGTTCTATGGCGTCCTCTGTGCACGCTGCCTTGGTCCTCAACTGGATTCGAACCCCCCAGTTGGACCACGATGGCTGTGGGGAGATGGAGTTGACGGGCACCAAAGGCACACTGCTGGATCTCAATCCTCCACGCCCTGTCACCCTTTAGCTAGCCTGGCTTCCCAAATAAGACCTCTCCACCCACATTGGCCCCTCCACCCTCAGATCTTCCTCCCACTTCCCTCCCTTTCATCCTGCGCCTACGCACTCCAACTCGTCGCCCTTCCTAGGCGACCACAAGGAGCTTCGATCAGCCGCCGGTGTGCTGTGTCGATGGCTAGCCCGACCTAACGCCCACCGCCGCCAAGCCCCCCACATTTGTCTGCCAACTTGTCACCCTATGACCTCCGAAGCCTGCGTATGATTGTCGAGCCATTCATCTAGCCTGGGACCGCCGGTTAGAACGCTTCGTCAATTCTTACACCTGGATATCTCTCAACATTCGGAGGGGAATTCGCTCTCGTTATCGATAGGCATGGATCGCCCACTCACGCTCGTGTCCGAGGACGGAAGTTTGTCGTGGTCGGATAATCACAGCATGTCCTCCGATGAGGCTCACGAATCCATGGTTCCGCAGTCCCCCTCGCCGACGGATACCGCCTGGATGGTCAACACATCGACGACTCAATTGCAAGCCGGCCAGTTGTCTCCCATCAGCGCCGAGATGGACATGGCTATGGATGCATCCTCCGCACCGACCATGGTCCACTCCGCATCGTCGTCGTGCACCGATTCTTGGAGTACGGGATACGTCGAGCGTGACGATGTGGAAATGGACAACAATTGGGAACAAGGGTCTGACGATATCCTCACCATCCCAAAGCTAGAGCCTATGGACGACGACCTGAGGTTGGATGAATTGAAGGCCGCCCCGTTGGCTCCCACTGCCGAGTCCGATGCCCCGACCAGCCATTCGAAGCAAAAGCGACCTCGAGGACGACCCAGGAAGCACGCACATACCCCTATTATAGGCGCGAGCAAAGTAACCAAGGGTCGATCAAAAACCGGATGCATTACTTGTCGGAAGCGAAAGAAGAAGTGCGACGAAGCCAAACCTCGATGTGCGACTCGACCCTATCTCGTCAAATATGCTGTTTCTAACATTGCATTCTAGGCATGAATTGCGAGAAGAACGCCGTGGTATGCGAAGGATATCATGAGAAGCAGATCTGGAAGAGCGGCAAGGAACGGGCTGAAGAGGGTATGTTGTTCAATGCGACAGTGGAGTGACGATCTAACCACAGAAGCAGAACGTATGCGACGGGAAAGCCTCCCAGTTATCACCATGCAGCCCATCTTCCATGGCGTCGAAACTGCCGAAGACAAGATCTTCTGGAAGCACTACATCGCCAACTTGAGTAATATCCTAACAGTCGAGAGCGAAGCCAAGAACGCATTCAAGGATATCATCCTGCAACTCGCCAACAAGCACCAAGGGCTGATGCACTCGATTCTTGCCGTTAGTAGCAAGCACATTGACCTGGATACCCCCTACGGTGCCAAGCTGCTCGCAGATAACCCACAGTCCAGCCGGGAACTCTTGCAGCAGCGATCCGACTACCATCACGACGAGGCGATGAAGCGACTCTATAAGGACATGGGCAGATCCATGGACAAGGACGACCCTGAGTACAAGACGATTCTGTCCGCGAGATACGGACAGATGCTTTGCTTGCTACTACAGACTCGAGCTGAGGGAAACCCCCGGGGCGAACACCGCGTCCACCTGCAGGCCTACCAGGCACTCATTAGACACTCGCCGCCCGAAGACCCAGCCTTCCATACCTTCATCACCGAATTCTTCCAGTATCACATCTTTGCCGACGATCTGTTTTGGCACCCTGAGACGATGACCAATCGTCTGTCGTCTGAGGACTGGGAGCCTACTGGTCCTATTAACCCCCCTCGACTTCTTGGCGTTGCGGATGGCCTCTTCCAGTATCTCTCCCAGATCACCACCATCCGAAACACCATTCGAGACAACATGGCTGCTGGCGTCGACCCTCTCGTCGACTACACCAGCCTTTACCAAGCCGCCGAGATTGACGCCGCCATCCGGGAATGGTCACCTCAATGGGCTCCTGGTGATAGTCGCGATGGTGTAGCGCTACTTTATAAGCAGATGATGTGGGTGTATCTCTTCCGGACCATCTACCCACCATCCGCCTCAGCGATCCGGCGCTCGACCTTTAGTACCCTGCCCGCATTGCCTCCTGTGACAGCTGCTCCTCCGCGACGAGCCTCCATGATTGCTACCGTTTCTACGACCAGGGCGCCTGTTCATGGTGTCCACACCCCTCACAGCCTGCCGTCAACCCGGAACCCGTCGAGGAGCAACTCGATGCATGAGCATGATTGCCATGCCGAAGATGCCTCAAGAGCAACTTCGCCGCCTCCGAGCCGACGCCCCGCGTATCACGACCGACGCATCACCCTTGCCGTCGAGGAGTCGCTCGTCATCCTGGAGTCGTTCAAGCCTGCGGACCCCTCCCAAACCCTTCTCCTGATCCCCTGCCTAATCATCGGCACGGCGTGCTTCGAAAGCGGTCAACGCGAGAGGATTAGAACCGCCATCAAGGCGATTCGTGGCTACACTGGCCTTCGCAACTGCGATCGCGCATGTGAGCTCCTCGAGGCGGTTTGGGCCGCGATGGAGCAGGGCGACTGGATCGCCGTTTGGGATTGGCAAGGCATAGCCCGACGAATGGGCCTTGACTTCACTTGCACATGAACATCATATATATATTGAACATTAATACGTTACGGCCTCACGTCGTCTCCTGCTAATGAGCCGCGGGAGATACGACACCATAGGTCGGGGCCTTCACTACGCAAGGTTGTTCGGACTTGTTGATTTTCGACTCCGCTCGATGCGCGAAGATGGTATACCAGTCTGTTATCATTTATTTTCATGTTTCTTTTCGAAACACGACCGTCTCGCTTTTCACGCGGGACCTCCAGCACGCAGTCAACCGTCAACAGAATACAAGGTTCGAGGAAATGACTTTAGTCATGGTTCTACAGGGCACCTTTCCTGGAACAACTTGATCGTGGGACTTAATTCAAGGCGCACCTCTGAATGACAGGCTTGAGGTCCCCGATTTTTACGGCCGCTGTGGGATTAATAGATCCCCTGTTGTTTGCAGTTCTCAATGGGATGAGACTCGGTGGTATGGTATGATTTACAGTTTACTTCACCTTCGGCTGGTGAATAAGCTGGTCAGGGGGAGGGGGCAGGCGTTTTATCGTCTGGCTGTGTGGGGGTTTCCTGTCTTCTTGCCTTGTATCCCCTCTCGCCGGGAGAGAAACGATCCCCGACGCGAGAGACGCGCGATGAAGGAGGCCAATTCTGCTTTTGACTTTACTGGGAAGGCATTTTGATGATTGCCGCATCTTGTTATCGTTGCTGACACCCTTTGGTGAAACGGGAGAGTCGCTGAGATGAACCAGGGTAGGCTGTGATGGCGAGCCTCTGAAGCTCTTTATTATTTCAATGACCACAATCGCGCGAAGCGAGAGGGACCTGGTACCCTATAAGAACGCATACTCTGTCCCTTCCTAGTTTGCTCTGTGATGTGTTGTGTCGTGGTTTTGTGTTCATGATTAAGAGAGTGGTATCAAACCATTTCGCTCAGGAAATCTCGACTCGAGCAATAACGACTGTTTTTGAAGATTAGAAGACGACACATCTAGAATGAGTGTTTGACATGTAGATAATGTAATCACATTGCACTTTCTATTGCTGCACCCACCTTAGGGTAGTCTCATTCACTCACAACTCTACTGACTGCAGCACATCACCGATAGATTAAATCCCAACGGCAGCAAGCAAAGAAATATCATATTGTCGCATCAAACGGGATGCCGGACGAAAGAAGCACTTGGCCAGGAACCACATACACAGTTAGCAGGTACTGACTTACACATGATACATACAATCGCGAGACGTGCCCTGCTGTCCCAAGTCATACCGGACGTTCAACATTGGCATCACTCAATCGCTGCCTCAAGCGTGACCGAAAACACGGCGTCGTAATAGTAAAAGAATCCCAGACATGGTCCAAAACCAGGGATCGACAGAGGAAACCCATCACACGTCACTTTTCCTCCAGACATCCTGCCCCGAGCACACGTTGCCTTGCGGCTCTGATAGCCTATAGTCCTCCCCAGAGTTACACATTAGTTGTCTCGTCTTTCGCCTTCGAAGTAGAATTTTCCCAGAGGTTCACCGCTCCTACCAGGCCCTACCAGACCGGCAGAGGATCCCGCCCTCGTCTCGCCGCTGTCTAGTCTTTGTATGATTCTCTCGGCCGTGTCTTGGCCTCCGCCGGGCAGAGATTGTGACTGTGCAGCTGACACAGGCCCGCGGAAGGTGGTGTCAACGAATGAGTCGTGTTCGTAGGGATGCCCCTGATACGTCGGATCCGTTGCTACTCCATCTACCATGCGCGCATCTCGGCGCTCCTGCAGGACCGAGGCACTCACAGGCGCATTGTCACCCATCTGGATATCCCGTTCGCGTCGCGCATCACTCATGCCCGAATTTGTACGCTCGAGACCCCAGATATGTTGCGCAGTGGCGGAGCCAGGCGCCGGCCGGCGGTGGTAGATGGGGCCGGAGACGGTGCTGCCGGCGCCCTCGCCGAAGCCGACCAGGGAGGCAGAGCCGTCGTCGCTCATGCGATCGTCATAGCCTCCGATAGAGCGGGTAGCTATGCCGTCGAGATCCTCATCCATGCGGTCATCGGGATATGCGCCCATGCTGGCGATGGAATCAGCCTCGCGGTAATTGGTGCCGGTGCTAAGCATGTCCTCATCTCGCTCGCCCGCGGTAGTGCGCCCGTCGTCGCCGTCGTCAATGTGGCTCTCGGTTGCGCTGGCCGTACCAACGGTGCTCATCTTTGTGACGGCAACGGGCTGGCCATTGCTGTCGAAGTAGGCGGGCGTCAAGTGCTGGGTCGCGGGGAAGTTGGGCGGGAAATTGGTCGGGAAGCCTGTCGTAGAAGTCGGGGTGGTCTGGGGAGAGATGGATGAGGCGGCACCGGGGGCGGACCCAGGAGGCGGCGCGCGGAGAGTCGAGACACGTTCGAGGCCGGCGAGACGGGATATGCGATCGGCGCGCTCAGCCTCGAGGCTGGTGGTAGAGGGGTTGTGCTGGTGGCCGCGACTGAAGGACCCCGGCGGGAAGTGGCCGCGATGGCCGTCCTTGATAGCAGTGGTGGAGAGCGCGGAGAGAGAGGTGGTGGTGCTGGTGGGCGTTCCACTGAAGAGTCAAGATGGTGTGAGTTTCATTTCAATCTCGACGAACGACGTGGTGATGTTGTCGCGGGGGAGGAGGCAGAGAGAGAAGATGGGACGCACGGCACCTCAGACGGAGTGTCTGGTCGAGAGCTCGGAGGCGGGAGGTTGATGAAGGTCGGATGCGACGCCTGCGCCATGACGAACTGTCTTGGGAGGAGGCGATCAGGAGGGATCTAGACGAGAGTCGCTGTGGTTTCTTTGTGTGGCGAAGTTGAGATGGATGGATAGGGAATGACGACGGTGGTGGGGGCGATGAGGTACGGAACGGAAGCTATATCTGCGTCGTAGAAGAAGCGGGAGTCTGGCGCAAGCGACTATACTATGGGGGCGATGGGGACGCAATCTCTGGGGAATAGAAGATAGACGGAAGCGGGATTGCGATGAAATAAATGATGTAGTGGATTAGAATTTCGGCCGCTGGTGCTGATGCCGCGATGGAGGGAAAGGCACGCGGGATGGGATGGGATGGTGGGATGCAAGGCACTGGGCGCCCGGACATTGCCCAGTAATCAGCGGCCGTAGCTCCACTGTATCGGGTCCCCACGCGGGCCAGTCTGCAGCGCTACAGCACCTACAGCTCCCCCAGCGCCTAGGGCACATACCTGATTCTCTAGCGCAGCCCAGCGAGCTCCAGGGCCCGGTAAAGCCTAAAGACCAGACGGGATTCCACCAGTCCAGGCCGTTCTGCACCTGCACGGTACGAAGAATAAACGGGTATGGTGGCGAGCTTTCAGCTGGCGCGGCCGGTCCACTGTAAAGCCACGGGAAAGCCACGGAGGCGCCAGCTGAGCCTGGAACGAAGCCCAGCGCTGTGAGGGCTCCCTGGCGAGTGTCTCGTGTGCTGGCTATCTGCTCGCGCCTGGCACTGCGCCGCATATCATTGCTCTCATGCTGTTATGCTGGGCTTCATCTTCATTGCTATCAGGGACGCTGGCGGAGTGGGGTTGCTGGTGGGTTGGTTGGGCAGATGGCGGGGTGGATGTGATGACGTCGACTGTGGGCGCTATGATTGGATCCTACAGGTGGTTTAGCCTTTGTCGATGATCATCTCGAGCGGGAGAAGATGGGAGCATGAATCCCCAAAGTGTGGTTGGCTGGCAGAGCATTGAAAGCAAGTTGGTATTTCTCTAGAAAATCTGTCGTTGCTCGCGTCTCTTCTCGCTTATACAGCATCACACCTCTAAAACTTGCCAGGCGTAAAGTCGACCACCTGCCCCTTCGCCATGACGGGCCCCAGGCTCTGGAAGAACTCGTGGTGCGCAGGGTCCTTGGTGACGTAGTAGTCGCGGTCCTCGACGCTCGCAAACTCGACGACGAAGGCGTGCGTGATGCCGTCCTGCATGCCCTCGATGCTGTTGTCCGCGCCGCCCTTGGCCGATAGGATGTACGGCTTGCCCGTCACCGGGTGGAGGCAGCGGTCCTTGAGGGAGAGCATGTTCTCGATGGCCTGGGCGCGTGACGCAGTTAGCTTAATGCTATGCTGCGAGGAGTGCGGTTGCGAAGAGAGCATTTACCGTGCTTATTTCCGTTGCCGATACCTCGGCCTTGAACTGCACAAGGGCGATGTGCGTGACTGGTGCCATGATGACTGATTCCTTGTGCCTGCGTAAACTTGCCGATATTGTTATTGCTTCAGAGTTAAGTAGGAAAGGATCGCTATCCCATTGTGACGACGGCGTCCCCTCTTTGTACCCAAACCGCCCAAAACAGCCCCGCGCCAGCTCCGACACCGCCGATTGTGGGGCCGCACCTCCGGATCTTCTCTTTAGTTCCGAGATGCTTTAGTTCCGGAATAGCTCGAACTATCACCGTCTTTGGGTTTTGGGGCAATGCGTGATTGGTTTTTATTCAACGTTTTTGTACCGCCTGTACAAAAAGACTATTATTATCCCCGAGGCCTTCATCCCTTTCCACGGTGGCACGTTCTTTTTTTTTTCTTAGCAGCCCTGAGGTGCCCCCCGTTTCGCTCACAAATGAAATGTCTCAGCGCCACACTGGCCTTGTCTTATTACTATCCATTCCGGCCCCCAGTCTGGCCCCCAGTCAGGTTCCCCCCTGGCACCTTGGCCGCCTTAGCTCCAAAGAAGAAGCAAGAAAAAAAAAGCCGATTGCTCAGAACTCCAGACACCCAAAAGTAGAAACCACCCCTCCCCCAGAAATGGCCGATGCAAGTGTTTGTGTGTGTGTGTGTTGTGATCGAGTCCGAGTCTTGCGTTCAAAGGAATGCGGTGCCGACCATCATCATGCCGAATGCCAGGCCGAGGACAATGAAGCCTGGGTCCTTGAGCGAGACGGCGCCGGCGTTGAGGTCGGGAGCTACCGTCGCCTGAACAGAGGCTACCCAGGTATCTTGCGCAGCCGTGGTGGTCTTGTCCGCCTTGGTCTTGGTGGTTTTCTTATCCGTCTTGCTCGTCTTGTCTGCTGCTTTGCCTGTTGCCGTGCTGCTCTCGTCACCCGTGTTTGTAGCGTCGGTAGTCGCAGTGGTCTGGTCGGCCGTGGCCGAAGCGTCTGAAACCGCGGTGCTGGAAGAATCGTCGGTCGTCGTCTTGGCCGCAACGCCAGTGAGGAGGAGAGCCAAGGGCAGGACGTGCTTGAGCTGGACGCGCATGATGTCGGTTCTCGAAGGTAGGTCGAGAGATGTTTGTATGTAAGGGAGGTCGGTAGTACAATGTGGATGTGGATCGGTGCTGTCAGATGGATAGCTGCAAAGGACCCGGATGGCGTAGCTGCTTCGTTGGCAGAAAGGGGAAGCTGGAGGTGAAGAAGGAAAAAGCGAATGGACCAAGTCGACAAAGGACTCTGCAGGGGAAGGAAGCGAAGGATGTGAATAAAGCAGAGAGAAGTTGACAACAGGGGACGATGATTCCTCACGAGACAAGAGACACCCCGGCACGACACAGGGCTTGAGGCGAGCAGCGGCTTGGTTTCTTTAAATGCCGGCGTCCACTAAAGCTACGGCGTTACGCGTAGGCTCCGTTCTTGGCTGGCACGTCTGCAGGGACCTCCAAACCTGGGGGTTTTAGGACTGGTAATAGGGGGGTGACGGCTCAGCCTTCCCGTGGCGATCTGGTCAGGCAAGACGTGGGAAGAAAAGGCCTTGGCAGGACTGGCAACTGGATGAATGTGTGGATCGAGTGCCAGCCTGAGAGACACGCTATCCACGTGCGGTTGGTGCTCGACGGGGATTGTCTCAGACAAGGGGACCGGTGCCGGCAGGACGGGTAGGGGAAGTACCTTACTTAGTCCTTTGCTCAGGCCGTGGGCTCTTTGCGGCTGACGATGAGTGACGGTTGAAACGAAGGATTCAGACAACGACCGCCACGGCTGTGTTTTCTTGTTCTTGAGGCGAAGCCCGTTACAGGTCCTGGCTGAAATGAGAGACGAGATGAGAGCATGGCTGGCTGTGGAGCCATGGCATGTTGGTGTTGGTGAGAATTCCCGTCACGCTGTGGCCGCCACCAACATAACAAACACATTGACTCGACAACCCGTCTTCCTACCAACGACACGCCGGATTATTGGCGGTGTCGGATGCAGTGCTGCTGCCGCTCAATGCCGAATTGTTCGTATATGCACAGGCGGCAGATCGGACGAGCCATGGCTGGACGAGTGACGACGCACTGATGCTGACGTGTGCATGGCAAAACTCCACTCGCTAGGCCAAGGAAAACTGGTGACGCCTCATCGTATCCCGATTTATACATGTACACAACTCCACTTACACAAAAGGCCGACGACGATGACATGTCCTGTTCACTACATATTACGAGGCCGCCCATCCCATCGCAGGAGGCACAATCACCACACTCGCTCTGCACGGCAATCCCGGTCCGTCACTGCCGCGAATGCCGCAAGAGCCGCCCCCACCACTCCGGGAGCCGCACCGCACTCCGGCGCCGTCTCCAATGCCACGGTCCGGCGGGTTAGCGGTGGTGCGGAGGAGGCGCGCCGTTGAATGCAGGCGACCGTAACGATGACTTTGTCTGTCCTGTCGTCGTCATCATTGTGTATAAGGTTGTTCATCATTCTCTAGTCGGGTTCTGCGGCACGCCTGAAGCCACAACACCCGTGTTGGCGAGGAAAACATACAACTACCACCACATCTTCCTCAAGATTACTTGCTTAGCTCCAACTTATCCCCAGTATGTCCTGGTGGTGATATTGTAAATCTACTAACGGAAGCCTAAACCTCTCGGTTTGAGGTAATTAAAGCGATACATGCCCCCGAGGAATGCTACCCTTAACTCTACCGTCTCCGACTTTTTCTATCTCATTCTGATCCATGCACCCCGAGTATAACTCTGATTCCCCGACCCCAACTGTTCAAAGAGTCCATGGCATTCCTCGCGTTCCTCTCGCCCATTTAAATCGTGTACCGATAATGCGGGCTCTCGTCTCCCAACTCCATCAACGCCTCCTCCCCCATCCCGCGGTGCTTCTCCTTGATCTCGCCGGCAGCGCGAAGCTGGTTCTCTCGGCGGTACCAGAACCACAAGAACGCGTAGATGGCTGTTCCCAGGCCGACCATGCTAAGTGTCACGGCGTGTCCGCGGGTGTAGCGAGGCTTGTCCGCGGCGGGGCTATTTCTTGCGTTAGTTATGTCTTCTTTGAGTGGAACGTAACGAGAGACTGACTAGATGAATGCAGACATTATGCCTGCGGCATTCCCCATTGTCAGTTGCATACCCGTGCCCGTGGTCCGCTTTCCGTAACGGGGCGAGTTGGTCGGCAACTGCAACACAAGTCAGCCATCATTCCAACTCTCAAACCTATACGGATCAAACTCACCCAAGCCAGCGGCAGACCAACTACAACGTACAGCCCGCCCGCGACGAGGAAACACCCAAAGTAGTGCACGCCCGAAGACACGTCGGCCAGCAGAATTGCATAGCCCACAACACTAATAGCGCCGAAGATGACACAGAATAAACCCCGGCGTTGCATCCGGTCCGACATGTACGCCGTCGACATGTATGCCGCGGCACCGAGGAAGTAGCACGGCACAGTAAGGAGCTGGACCTCAGCCGTGGTCCACTTCCCAAGTCCGAGGATGATGGTAGGGAGGAAAGTTGAGAAGCCTGGAGTTGTTAGTTATGTCCGAAGTCGGCTATATCGCCTCTGTTGCAGGGTGGGACAAGGTAAACCCACCGTAGAGCATGGTATCAACACCAAACTGCGCAACGCAAAACGCCCAGACCTTCCAGTCCTTGAACGCCATCATCATATCCGCCTTGCTGAACTCGCGGCTCGACGCCGTGTTGCCGTACTCGCGCGCATGTCGCGTCCGCATCAGCGCCCGCTCCCGGTCGTCGAGGAAGTACGCCGTGTCCGCATCGTTCGGCAGCGCAAAGTACGTCACAATGCCAATTAGAAAACTCGGAATGCCCTCGATCAGCATGATCCAGCGCCACCCGCTCATGCCCCGTACGCCGTCCATGTGCCCGATGCCGTACGCCAACAGGCCGCCCAGTGCGCCAGCTACGGCGGCGCTGACGAACAGGTAGCCCACTCGCAGGGCCAACTCGCGCTTGGTGTAGAAAAAGGTCAGGTAGACTGTCAGGCCGGGGAATAGACCTGCTTCGACGGCGCCCAGCAACAGGCGGCAGGCAAGCAAGGCGCCGTACGAGTTGACCAACCCGGTGAGGGTCGCGATGAGCCCCCATGCGGCGGCGATGAAGGCGATCCAGCGGCGCGGCGTAAAGAGCTTGAGGACCAGGTTGGACGGGACCTCGAACAGCAGGTAGGTGACGAAGAGGATGGACACGGAGATTTGGAACTGCTGTGACGAGAGGCCGAGGTCCTCTTCGAGCTTGTACAAGCGTGCGTTGCCAATGTTGACTCTGCCGTTGCGTATGAGCATTGTAAATCAGGCCATTGGAGGCAACTGACTCACCGGTCAAGAAAACTGAAGAGGTACAGGGCCATGATGAGCGGGATGATGTGCAGATCCAGTTTGCGGACCAGGCGTCTCTCCGCTTCGGCCGTGTCAACGTCGACGTCGTTGCGAGGCTCATCGCTGAGGCTGTAAGTCTGTGCCGGTGGCGTAGACTCGCCGTCGGACTTGGGAGGCACTTCCATGGTGAAACTGCGACTGGGCGGACAACTCAGGACGAAGGGTTGCTTCCAACAAGTTGAGTCCTGCTAGTGCAGTCTGAGAACTAACACCTCTCTTCGACTCTTGTCAACTTGACTATCGACTTCCAAAGAAGCAAAGCCAAAGCCGTCGTAGCCAGGAACGTAAAACAAACGGGACGAAGAAGCTGCTGATTAACTGACGACGGGACGGGACAGGAAAAAAAAAACTAGTCGGGGCGGCGCGAGGTGGGTGGTTTCACTACAACCAGCCGTGACTCCTCTTCTTAGTAATTGCTCGTCTACCGCATCTGAGGAATAAACTGGGCGGGAAAGTGGTCAGATCGACCCCGGCACTAACGCCAGCATATATTTGTCAGGCTGGAGTATAATCTCTCGTGGTGCTGCGAGGACGCTGTCCGAGGGGAAGGGCGCACATGGGCGAGGTAGAATCTGCGCGTGCGGCATATACTTCGTGTTGCGTCTCTCTATTTGTACGCATCGAGACAAAGCCGGTGCCAAGGTAGTATTCGGAGGATCCAACCCAGTACAGTGCAGTCTAATCTTTAGCAATGAGTTTATCTCGAGAGTACTGAGGAGTCCCCCCGTTGGTTTGCGAGATCAGCGACTCTCTTGATCAAGCTGCATGCACCAACTCTACTTGCCTGCAGTTCCCGCTCCCGTCCCGCATGACGCCACTCAGCCCGAAGTGTCTGGCAGCCCCTCCCGCTGCAAGAACTAACCTAGTATTTGACTTGATACCAATCAAGCATTGGCTGCTTTTTACTCTAGGAACTCACTGATCATCTACCAGGCCACTCCTCGAATATTCAACCCTGGATCGTCCCATGGACTCTACGGAAAGAGATTCTGTAGAGTGTATGCTGACTCGAAATCCATGCACGTCTACGTACTCCTCCTACTACTACCCCAGCTGCATGTCTAGGCCCAGCATTACTTCTCGTATCTCAACACATGAGCATTTGCCAAGGAAACACATCCAACTCTTATCAAATCATTCTTATCAGCAAACACATAGCAGACAGGCGTCAGGATTGGATATCTTTGAAGTCAATTAACATAGAGAAAAAACTATTCTGATTCGAAGCTCCCCTTTTCAACCCTTCTTTGCCCCAAACTAATCCAGGCGTTAACCAAAGAATTGCCCTCAAGATCGCAGTATAGTGTAGTGTAGGTAGGTAGGTAGGTAGTTAGATAGATAGGTAAGTAAGAAAACTAGCGTACAGCTAGGTGAGTTTGAGACGCAGAACCACCTCCACCATCCGCTGTGGAAGCTCCATGCATTGACACAAGGAAAGATTTTACATCGTATGTACAGTATCTGACATTATTATCCCTTTCCCTCAGGGCTCCTTGTCGGTATATCCCCCGGGAACTCTAACCCTCTTGAATCTTCAGTCGTAAGTGTCCGTGGTATCGGGCAGTTCCCGACACTGAAACGCTCAGTTTATCGGTACGGCTGGGCAGGCATCTCGTACACGTGCTCTGCGGGCTCTGATCCCCGCGGGCTCGATACTTGGGTGCTGTCAATCTCGGCAGCGTTAGGCTGGTGCCACTTGGCCGCGGCGAGGTTGTCGGTGCCGAGCTCAGCAGTGTTGGCGGGGCTGTGCATCTCGGCGGCACTGGGGTGCTCAGGAAGATGGTCGTCTCCTCCGGGACTCTTGGTGGCGGTGCGGGAGTAAGTCGTCTCGGGGCTGACACCGTTGTAGGCGGCACCGTAGGTGTTGGGCTTGGCGTAGCCGGTGCGGCCGTCACCAATGGCAGTGCCACGGTAACCCTCAGCGGTTGAGCTCATGGTAGGTAGGCGACCAGGGGCGAGACCAGACTCCGAGCCGTGGTTGGCGTGAGCCATGTGAGGGGAAGTGCCATGACCACCGCGACCACCAACGGGCACCTCGGAGGAGCCAAACATGTCGTCAATCTCTGACTTGGAAGGCTTGTTGCGCCTCTTGAGGCAGCACCAGAGAATAATACCCAGAGCGGCGAGGCCCACGACACCGGCACCAGCGCCAATGCCGGCCTTGGCGCCCGTGGAGAGGCCACTGCTGCTGCTGCTGCTACTGGAGCTACTGTCACTGGAGCTGCTGGCGCTGCTGGTCTCGGCAACCGATTGCGTAGCCACAACACCAGTCGTCACCCTGGTCGATGTGATAACCAGAGTGCTGGTGACTGTGATGGTGGTGCTTGCTCCAGCGGCCTCGGTCTCCGTGACTGTCTTGGTGACCTTGGAGACGCTGCTGGTCGATGAAACCACGGTCTGAGTCACTACATTTGTAACTGTCTTTCCATCACCGCCGCCAACGGTGACGGTGACTGTGTCTGTGATCGTGGCGCGCTTGGCAAGGTGGTTTCGTCGAAGGAGAGCCTTGAGATCAAACTCATCCTCCTGAGGGAGCTCAGCGGCGGCGGTAGGCTTGGCATCGACAAATACATAGTCGTCGAGGGCGAGAGTGCGAGGGGCGAGGTCACGCTTCTCGTTGGTCCACGTAGTTGACGTCTCATAGACGGTGCTAGTAGCCGTTTCTCCCGAACTTGTCACGGTCTCCGTCTTGAATGCGGTAGAGTAAACAACCACGGTGGAAGTGACAGTTTTCTGGACCGTGGACTTTTTGGTGATTGTGGCGGCGCTCGAGTCTGTCACTGTGATCGTTCGAGTGATGGTTGTGTCGGCAGAATCGGAGGTGGTGATGTCGGCCTGAGAGCTGCTGGTGGTGTCGTCCGCGGGCGCGCTGCTAGAGGTGGTTTCATCGACGCTGGTGGTGGAGGAGGAGACGACGACGGCATCGGTGCTGCTCACGGAATCGGCGGTCGTGTCGGCGGCGGTAGGTTGAACAGCGCTGTCGCCAGAGCCGGAGCTGCCAGTCGCATCCTGGCGTCGGACGATCCGCGAGGCCTCGGTGCCGGCGAGGAGGCCCAGGAAAAGGAGCCCTCGAAGCTGCATCTCGAAATGATTGTGGTGTATCTGCTATCGAAGACGCTGGTGAGGAGCAAAGGGAGCGGAAGGGGGGGAGAGATGCGGTTCAATCAACTGGTTGGTCGTAGGTCGTAGGAACGAGGGACGATGAAATGAAGTGAAGGGAATGGAAGGAAAACACGGGGACGTCGGAAGAGGACGTGGGACCGGAGAAAAACAGGGACCGTCGGGGATTGAGGGAGAGAAGGTGCGGTGCAAGGGCCAGGGAACACGACAGGACAGGAGGACAGGAGCACGCAGGAGCACGCAGAAGCAGAAGCAGGAGCGCAGGGCCCCAGGCACCACACTGCACACAGCCCACAGCCCACAACTGCCAGGGCCTGGCGCAGGGGCCACGGCCGCCAAAGTAGGAGCGGGGCGCTGCCAGCGGGTTCAGGTAAAGGAGGGCACGCGCCGGCTAGAGCGCTGTAATGTAGCAGTAGCCCCGAGGTAGCGGTAGCATGTGGCTGCGCCGTTGCAGTGGCTGTCCCAACAGATAGTTTGCGTGGTAGACAGACGACGAATGTTTTCTTGTACTGTTCTTTTTGGTGCGAATGCCGTACGCGCATCGCGGCCACGGGCGATACAATCTGTGGTCGTTGAGACGCAAGTGGCGAAATCCCGGGCAACCGACGAGGTGGGAACGCGAGATTGAGTTAATGGGTACAATGTACGCGGCGGCACAGCGCAATCTACGGCACAACGCAGGCACCCAGAGCAGCAACGGGTCGTACCCAGGTACCGGCGTTGGCGGGTGGGAAAATGGTGCGGGTCGTCGTCTACAGAGCACTAGGGGACGTACCGTACTACTAGGGACGAACGGAGTTACTACGTACCTTACTTACCTGGATGTGGACCATAAAACGCATGTGGCTGACGACGGCTAGAAATGGGCCAGGAAACGGGCGAGCAGACGCGCCACGGCCGAGCGAGAAGGCGATAAACGGGTTGATGGACTGCAGAGGAGAGGGTGCAGAGGTGCAGGCTGTGCTGGCCTCTCTTCGGTCGCAGAATAATCAAACCAGATTTCGCTGGCGAGGTTGCGATTGCGATGTGTCACTGCCCGACCGTCAACGCACGCCGGGGCTCGCGACACCACCGACTCGGGCCCCTTTTGGGTTAGCGCGGGCCAGTGGCGCCGACCCCCAACTCCCGTGATGCGTCGCGGAGGCCGTTATACGAGGTTGATGTACATATGTACTTCGTACCTTTTGCACCTAGGTACTATCGCGTAGTGTGCGAAGAGTGGCAACTGACGTATGTACCCATCTCAACAAGCCAATTTTCCTTTCTTCTTTCTTGATCTGGAATCCATTTACGGGGGTCAAGGCTGGCGATCAGATGGTCTAGGTCTAAACCCCTCAGACACGGCAGAGAAGTTCGTCTGTCTCGGTGATATTGGAATGAGACAATGGGAAAAAAATCAATTCCTCGTCAGACCTAAAAGAGCCAACCCATTGCTAAAGCCCGCCACTTCGAGCCACGGCGCCCGCCAACAGTCCAGATGTGTTGAGCAGACCGACGACTGCAATTAGCTCGCAGGGCTGAACTCGCAAGGTGGCAGGGGACTGCAATGGAGCGAGTGCCAGCACATCGCGTTTGGCGGTTTGCGGTTACGGGCATCCGTCCGTACGAAGTGCATGCGCGCGAGTGCTCGTTTGAGCCGTGGTACGCTATTCTTGTCCATCGCCCGCCCTGAAGGATGCCGCTTATGGGGCCACAGGGCCCGGACAGACTCGCTCGGTTCGTGTAGTTTCCGACGGTCTGGGAGCCGTGTATTGCGACTCTGGACCAAAAAAAAGGGGTTTTGCCCGTTTGGGTCAAGACGGGTTTAGGTCCGAGTCCGAATGCCAATCCCATTTTCAGTTTCGATTTCCGAGCAAATCGCTTGTTCTAGCCCAGGGCGGTAGTCCATCAGCTCATGTTTGATTTGCCAACTTCGCCAACTGTGGTACGGGCTCCGGGCCGCCGCGTCCAGATGGCAGAAGAAGCGTGACTGCGCGAACCATGGCATTGTTGTAGCATTCCGGGGTCTGTCATTGCTACAGCCGCCTACAGACGTGTGGCGATGCACCACGCAGGAGACCGACGGATACGCGGACCAAAGATAGAAGGATCGACATGACATGTGTGTGCACCCATCACATCATCACCACTCTTGATTTTCCAATGGCGAGTGAATCCTGAATCCCCAATGCGTTCCTCCATCCCGCATTCCCCCAAGTCTGTACTATCGAATCTGGGCGCCGCTACCACTGCTACTAAGCCCATCACCCAATCCTTGAGGCCAAAAAAACAAGCTTCAATTAGCCCCCAGTAACAATCAACGCCATCCTTTGGTCCAGACCACTCTCCTCCCCGCCCCCATCACGGGGTTGCTTTTCTCCCCTCGCAAAGCCACTCATCATCAGCACCAGCCCGCAAAGCAATAGGGCCGACCGAGATGACTGAAGTCTGACTCTGCTCGGCTCCGCGCCACGGCGGACGGGAAGCTATTCTGGCTGGACGTAAGCTGCCAGGTCGGACTCTACAGCTTCGCCTCCGAAGTGGTCTCCGAACCAGCCCATGGCGAGGCGACATCCTGTGAACCGTGCCGCCATCAAACTCATCTATGTGTATCGTGGCTGGCTGTGGTCAGCGGCCGTTGGACTGACCCTGACGGGCATTATCCCATTCGTTATCATTGCTCAACTGACAGATAGATCCCACCACTCACAGACTCACAGGCTCACAGACTCAGGATACAATCCTCCTCTTCCCTTCTATTGCAGTCCTGTGCCGCTTACATCACTGCTCCTCCCCGAAACACCATCTCTCATCCTGACTCGCCGCAATGCAGTATCCCATCAGCACTGGTTTCAACGCCATCCAGCCGCCCGCTTACCCATCCGCCACTCACCTGTCATGAGCCCACCCATCCCAACTCCAACCTAGGCACATGGGAGGCAATGAAACCCCATTCACCCAGCAATCGCCACGTCCTCTCGGGTTGTCAACGGCCTGCGTGCTCTTCAAACGCTGCCCGTTTCAGGCCTCCCATCTGCTCCCCCACGGCGCATGATTGATGGCCCTCCCGAACCACGCATTCGTCATTGCCCCCTGTTCTATATGGGCCTAGACTGCTGTCACTATCCTGGTTGTTTTTGCCGTGTAACGTACCGGTGGGTGTCTGACGTAGGACAGACGGCTGCGCCTCACAGGACCGTGACATCATGCAGGGACTTGCATTGCGCAAACGATTGTGACTCTTTTGTAAATTATCGAAATGAACTGTCCGTGGACGAGGCTGGCTACAATACATATTAAAGACACCATCTACAAACTCCTAGCTCAAACGACTGTTGCATCACTTTGCCTACCCGTATTCAAGGCACCTTCAAATACTCTCCCATGATATCCCCGCTACGTACATCTGCGCCCGGCGCACATATTAAATAGGTTGTCAAAGGCTCTATCGGGGCCATCTAAGGAAGTGTAAAGAAGCAACAGCACACGGACGCGTGTCCGTAAAAAGAAGCCGCCTGCTGCGGGATGAAAGAGTTGGACACGGCGACGCCGGCTTAGAAGTTTTCCTTGCCCCAGACGAAGGAGAATCTGTGTCGTGGTTAGCACTCTGATCTTATATCTTGCAGTGGAGAGTTTCAAACTTACCCAGGCTCGGTGTACTTGTTGCAGTAGACGTGCAAGGCGCTTCCCAGACCCTTGGGGCCACAGAAGAAGACACCCGCCTCAGCCGGGCTGTGCAGCTTCCTGATGCCTCTAAAGATCATGTCCCAGTTGGGTCGGCCAAAGTTGGTGGGACTTCGCAGACCCGTGATGGTGTCCTTGTCGGCATTCGCATCGTTGATCATAATGTTGGTCGCATCGTCGGCCTTGATCTTGGCCGTCAGATACGTGTGGATCTCGATGCGGTGGTCCAGATCTTGAGCTTCCACGGCGAGCAGGAGGGAGCGGAACCACTCGAATGATTCAAAGTCTCGACAGATCCAGAAGAAGTAGACCTTGGAGAGGCGCGTCTTCTTTTGCGGGTAGTTCATGCGGTACCAGATGGACTTGAGGATGGAGGCGAACGGCGTGACTCCAATACCGGCTCCGACCAGGACGGAAACTTCATACTTGAAGACATCCTCGGAAGCGGATCCAAAGGGACCATCCACGTAGACTCGAGGGAGCACGCGGTGCAGAGCTGGGTCCGAGTCCTTGCCATCCTGACCATTGACGCCAACCACCTTGCTAGCATCAATCATCTTCTTCTTGTCCCACTCACAGCCCAGCGAGGCGGCGACAGACCGGGTAAAGTCACCAACGCATCGCATGTGGATAGAGATGTAGTCCTCCTCCGGCGCACTGGTCAGAGTAAAAGGGTGATACTGCCAGAGAGACACGGCAGGGCAGCACAGGAAGATGTACTGACCAGCCCGAGTCTTGGTGTTCTCCTTCTTCATCTGGATCTCGCACACGTTGCTGGGATGCTGGATAACCTTGCTGATGTACGTCTTGTGTCGTCCACGCACCTCGCGCGCGATACGTTCCGCAAGGTAGCAGAATCCACTGTACATCCAGTACTGCCAGAAGACACCGATGGCAGTGGCTCCGATGCTGGTGCAGAACGGGGCAACATCGGGCTGGATCATGCAGAAGGCTCCGTGGATGGACCAGAAGAAGAAGAAGATGATGAACATGTGGTGGGTGTACCAGAACCGTTCGTAGTTGGCTCGTCGGGGCTTCTCAACCGACGTCAGGACCATGCACATGAGGGCGATCAACATGACGTATCCCGTCCATCCGGGGCCACTGACAAAGTTGGCCAGCAGCCATCCGTAGATTCCCAGGTTGTTCTTGATCGCGACCTGCGCGAAGTTGTTCCAGTGGGCAATGGTGTGGACCCACGACCAAAACACAATCGACCATGCGGTGGTGATGTGGAAGCTGATGTTCTTGTCGAACTGGATGATGCCGTTGAGCGGAGTCTGGCGCATGAGAGAGACGAGGGTTCGGCAGACGGGGAACAGAATGATGGCGACGTCGAGGTGGAGAACCAAGGCGGCCGATCTGGCAATGACGAATGTGAAGCCAAAGACGTCGCGGGAACCCTGAAGACTTTCCTTCATCGAGTAGTGCACACAGGCAAACCCGAAAATCATGGCGTGGGTGAGCATGAAGACGAAAACGAAACTGGAGCAGGTCAGTCAAAGCCATCCCAAAACTATGCTCGGTAGGCATCACGTACAATCTGCGGTAACCCTCGTTGATCATCCACCGGTCGAACTTTTCCTTTCCTGACAGCTCCTGCTGCTTCTCCTGGGTCATCTCACCCGACAACAGCATCCGCGTGAGAGGCGTCCATCGTGATCGCTCGGAGGGCTTCTCCGAGTAGTCGTACTGGTAATTCATCTTGACCGGACCTATTTGGTAGCAGCGCAGCGCGGCCGAGCCCAGTACCGCCCGAAAATCAAGCGGCGATGTCGTCCTCCTCTCGAATTGCAGGCGACCAAAGGATGTATTTCCTGCGACTTGGGTTTAGTTGCGAGTCTTCTGGGGTATGGCGCAATGAGTGTCGACGTGGCGGTGGTTCGGCGGAGTGAGAGTGGCGGCGTGAATTCAGAACCTGCTGAATGTGCAATGAAGCGTCCGGGACGGAGAAAGAGAGGATTCAATATAGACGATGAAAAAGAATGAAGCTGTCAAGAGCCTGGCAATGGCAGGCGTCAGCACACTTTGCACACGCTTTGCACGACGAGAATTAACGACGGATCGGAGACGAGGAAAAGAGAAACCAAGCCATTAAACCCAAGGGGGCGGCTTGGTGGGCACTTATGAGACGGGACGAAGGCTCTTCGGGGGGGGAGGGGACATCGGGTGATTTCTCACGACTCGACGGAGATCATACCTGGTACAAACGACCCTTGCCTGGGGTCTTGGGGGGGTCTTGGCACACACTTGAGAGGCGGGAAACCGGGATAGAAGACGGCGGTTTGGTGCGAGGCCGTCAAGCGGATGCCCGCAAAAACGGTAAGGCGGGCCAGGATGCGGATATTCAGGGCCACATCGCCCAGGTTCCAGTGGCGAGCGGAGCGCAGAGGGGGCATCCAGGCGCCCTGAGCACCACGCCATTTGCCCAGGGGATGCCTCTGGGGGAGTTGCAGCGAGTTACAGTGGCCGGAGCCAATCGCATGCCCGCGATGCGGCCTGATTGTTCCTGTCATCGTCCTGCAGCGTCCTGGATCAAGAGGCTCGGGGGGGGCGGGGTGGCTTCGGAGACGTCTCGAAGTGGGCGTGCTAGCGCCCAGTCGATTCTAGCGCTCCAGCGCTCCAGCACGCCTGGCGACCCAGCAACCCAGCGGCTTGTTCTTGACGCTGGGGGTTCGAACGATCTACGGCGTCGCCAGCATCGAAGATGTGGAAAATGGTTCGATTCCGAATCATCTCAACCTTCGAGTGCGTGTGAGCATCGCCAGGATCAGTTTCGCCGCCCGTGATTGGCCGCTGGGCGCGTGCCGCATCGTCCGTCTTGTTTAGGCGTGTCATGTCTTGAAGCCACCACCACCCCATCCGAGACCCCCGTGTTACAGGTTTGCCGACCGCCGGCCTGGGCCCCGGGCTCGTCGCATTCATAGCGGGTCCTCCAGCCGTTCTGCTCTCCGTTGTGCTCCCCGTTCTTCTATTTCGCTTCAACTCTCGCGGCGCTTGGCTTGAGAAGTTGATCACAGTAGAGTTGCCGTCTGCAAGGGTTTGGCCCATGGCTGGTGAATTGTGAACGCCGTGTCATGCCGCCATTGTGCGAAATCCCACTATACCACCGTCCCGCCCTCTGTTGTCGAGCACGAGACAGTTCAAGATGACCTTTCAACAGCCACTGGTAATCCGCCAGTCTCCGATTGGATCGTCCGTAAGTACACTCCAGCAATCCACTGGCTGCCGAAAGCAGCACCCATCCAAGCACGCATTTCTTGGCACCCAGCCGCTCCCTCCGCCCTCCCCGTGTCGGCCTCCGTGTTTGTCACAAAACGCCGTCAAGAGACGCCGTCAAACCCGTTTCAAAGACCATCCTCCGACACCTCGATATCGTAATCACTCTCTCCTCGCTTATCGTTGCCGGCACTTGGGGATCAGATTCGTAGACCACTCCCAAACACTACCCAGTTCGTTCCCAGTTGACGCGCTGTTTCGCCCTCGTGGCGCTTGAGACGCCGTGGCGGTGACGTTGACAGGTTTCAATCGTCGCAGCTGAGTCCAATGCAACGTCAGGATGTGATGCCACTGGGAGCTCCCACTGCTGATCTCCTGGGACTTCTGTGACTAGGGAGGCGATCTTCCCGGCGGCAGATGACAACCACGCGAGCCAGCTGCTGCACCTTCCATTTCCTCTCAAATTTGTTTCCAGATTTGCTGTCATGAGAACGATCTACACATTCCACAACATCAGCATTGATAAACACTGGTTTCTCACACCAAAGGGACGCCACAGTTACGGAATCGAACTCCTTCAATCTCGGCCGGGCATAGATACACCGCCTGCAATAAACCTGCTGCATATAAACCCTCTGCATGAAGACCACTTCTAGGCTCAAATCTTATTCGGATCCGTCTTACTCCTTACATCACATTCATGGTCACGTAATCGGAACTTCGTTAATGTTGCACCCTTTATGGCTAGAGACAAATTGTATACGCTGCCTGTTTCTGGATGTCAAAAACACTCGTCAATGCAAACCCAAAGCCCAGCCGCATGAAATCCCTTAGTAGCTGATCTGACTGTCTGGTTTGTCCTTCCTCCCTCAATCGCCGTAAGCTACTCCTCATCGTCGCTGCCTGCCACGACAGCCATAAGTTCCAGCGATGATTCGGTAACAACGCCAATAATACCACTCATGACCCAAGGGCATTTCGCAACCGCATGCGAAGCATTAATTTAATCAGTTTCCACGTCGCCTTCATGAACGGGAGGGCAATCCATGCCAGGGTCTAACCGCCGCCGGTCTCATTGCGAACGCTAAATGGCATACTTTCGGGTCCACTCCCGCGCCGTAGCCTCGTATCGGGGTCGGTCGGTCTTGTACACGTGGGCGATCTCGGGCACAAGCGGGTCATCAGGGTTGGGATCCGTCAGCATCGAGCAGATGGACAGGAGGACTAGTCACGTTAGCAACAGGCACACTTCGGCGGGTTTGATGGTAATACCTTTGGAAATGGTCAGAGCAGGGCTCCATTGGTCACGCAGAATATCGAGGCAGATGCTGCCGTTGGAATTGATGTTGGGGTGATAGATGCGGGTAGTGAAGTTGACCTTCGGGGGCTTGAAAGGGTAGTCGGTAGGGAAGTGGATCGCAAGGAAGAAAACGCCGCCAGAGTAGGGGGAATCGCTCTAAATGTTATTATTAGCACACGTTGTTCATTGTTGAGGCCAGACGGGATGTGGTTGGCTAAAGTGTTTGGTCGCCGGGCGCTTGGCCGCAGCGCCTAGACTCTTGCCTGCCTGTCATCCAGGAGGGGAATACTCACGGGTCCCATGATCGTGGCTTGCCAGTGGAACTGTTTGTTTCAGTCAGTCCCGAATCATAATCAATCTCGCCGTCTCGTCTAGCCGTGGACGAAGTCGCTTCCAGCGAGGTCACCGCAGCCATGAGAGCCGGTTTGCTTATCAAAGCGGGGGAGGGGTTCTGCATACCAGATCCTCGCCGACGGGGCCGGCAGAGCACGAGGACGGGGGGTCTCTGTAGTTTTATCGTCGTCAGCATCTTGCATCTTCTCTCAGTCGTGAAATTTCTCAACACCAAGGGTATTCAGACCACCGTCGAAGCAGGCGTGGGGAGCGTCAGGTCAGGCTGTCGTCAAAGACCCCGCTCATCACCGCCCCACCTGACGTCTGGGTGTCCAACATGACCCCTCGGGCTGTCGGAAGAGGGCACGAGACGACTTACCGGCCGAGATCAGTGAGCTCCTTGTTAATGCGCTTGAGAGCCATCTTGTGATGTGGTGAGGGGGTATCTAGGGGGAGGAGTGCGAGTTATCGCTGTCGCTGCTGGGAGAGACTGCGTCAGTGGTTGAAGGCCACGGCGGGAGAGAGGGGGAAGCGAAAGCACGCACTGCTTAGAGAGACTTGTCCGAAGGGTCGAACAAGATGGAGATGATCGAGGGTGATGGCGGTGTTGGGGTTGAAAAAGTCGTCGGTGGATGTTGCGGGAGAGTTCAGTCGAGGCTGAAGTCGGGAGGCGGGATTTGGGGTGCCGTTCGGCGATGGGGTAGTAGTAGTAGTATGGAGGAAAGAGGAGGGCCAACAAAGAGAGGTGAGGGAAGAGTGGCTGCCCTGCGTGCTGCGTTTTAGCAGCCCGAAAAGTCAGGTTTTTTAGGCCCCCCTTCGTGGCTGACTGGGCCACAGCAGCCCAAACACCGCCACGGCCACGGGGCCTGTGGGCAAGACGGTGGTACGCGCGCACTAACAGCACCCCACGCAAATTTGGGGCCGCGGCTGATGAGCGGTGCGAATCTATGGCGGCTTGCACGAGTCACTCGTCGCCTCTCGCCCCAGGCAATAGCACCACGTTCTTCGCTCGACTTCGACGGCTCGCGCCATCAGATGCTTATTTACCATGACAATACGATGGCTGGGAGACGCCGTTCAGCGGTGGAGGGTGCCCGGGGGTCTGGAGCGGTGGCCTGGAGCGGTGGCCTGGAGCGGTGGCCTGGACCAGCGGTGACTGCTGTGTTGCTGTTCGTTTCTACGTACATCCGGCCGCTTCTCCTCCTTGGCTGTCTCGACTCGCCCACTCCGAACAAGTCCCCCCCGTGTATTGAGGCTGAGCAAAGTGTCGATACACACTCTCCCGTCTCGGCACGCCGGCAAAGCCTCATTCAGGTATCTGTACCTACACAAAAGACACATGATTTTCCCCCGACGGCATCGCCGGGACCGTCCCTGAGGAAGCATTGGCCCGCTCTTGGCGAACCCAAAGATGCCCCAGATGGAACAGACCCTTCCGGCCCGGCTCATGACGTTGGGCGACAGATCCGGCCCGCTCAGTGCGCCTATTAGTAGTTGATTACCCACAACCACAGGCGTGTTGGATAATCATTCACGGTCATCGTTGGGCGGCGTGTGTTGGGCTATGACTTGGCTGGCCTCATTTCGGACAACATGAGACACTCATTCTAGTCGGGCAGGTTTGATTATTATGTCTTTTTTCTTTTGTTCATGTTCTGTCTTAGTAACGTGGCGCTGAATCACCTCAGCTAGCCCGTTGCGCATGTACTCTATTGCCCCTTTACACGAACGCCTGGACCCCGGTAATGGCCCGTCCCAAAATCAAACCTGCAAGATAGTCAGTTAGCATGCCTGTCCTATATCGCCGTAAACTGGTAGATACGTACTGTGAATATCGCTCTGTCCCTCATATGTCTGCGTCACGAAGAGGTTGCTCACGTGACGGCCGATGGCGTACTCGTCGCTCACGGCGTTTCCTCCGAAAATCTCCTGGAGCACTCGGGCGTTCTTCAACGCGGTGTCGCAGTTCTGGCGCTTGATCATGCTGATCATCTCGGGCGTCACCTTGCCCTCGTCCTTGAGGCGGCCGACCTGGATGGCGGCCAGGGTGCCATACGCGGCATCCGTGGCGGCGTCGGCGAGCTTCTTCTGGATGAGCTGGTACTTGGCCAGAGGGTTGCCCTTGAACTGCTTTCGCTCGAGGGAGTAGGTCCTCGCACGCGCAATGCAGTCCTCCAGAGCACCCATCACGCCGAGGGCGATGCCGTACCGGGCGTTGTTGAGGCAGCTGAAGGGGCCGGTCAAGCCCTCAACATCGGGAAACATGTTCTCTACAGGCACGGGGCAGTCGTCGAGCTGGATCATACCGGTGATGGAGGCTCGCAGGCCGTTCTTGTCCTTGATAGCTGGCGTCTCCAGGGTTCCTGGGGGGCAGTCCTTGCGCTCCACCAGGAAGCCTCGGATCTTGCCCGTCTCCTGAAGCTTGGCCCAAACCATCAACACGTCGGCAATAGGGCTGTTGGTGATCCAGGTCTTAGCACCGCTCAGCAGGAAGTATCCCTTCTTCGTCGGATGTGGCCTGGCCACCGTCTCCATGCTGCCCGGGTCACTGCCGTGGTTAGGCTCGGTCAAGCCAAAGGCACCCAGGAGCTTTCCCTTGGCCATCTCAGGCAAAAACCTCTCCTTCTGCTCCTCGGTGCCGTGCTCGGCGATGCCACCCATAACCAGGGAGGATTGGACCGACATGCCGGAACGGTAACCGCTGTCGACACGCTCCACAGCTCTCGTGATCAGGCCTCCGGCAACGGACGAGACGCCGGCGCAGCCATAGCCCTGGATGCTGGCGCCCAAAAGGCCCAGCTCGCCCATTTCCTCGAGGATCTTGGGGTCATAGTTCTCGTCGCGATAGGCCTCTTGGAGGGGGTTAGCACGGCGCGGGGCATCGGGTCAGCTTGACTTACGTAGCACGCGGGGCTGCAATTGCTCTTGGCAATATCGCTCTGCCGTCTCGCCAATGGCAATCTCCTCCTCAGTCAAGAGGTTCTGGGTGTTGAGGGGATCCTCCCAGTTGAAGGCCGGGCCCTTTGCAGAGGCGAAGCTCCGCGTAGCGCATGCCCTCATGGGAGCCATGGCCCGCGAGCTTCTGGTGCATGTCCTGAGAATTGGTCGGAACATTGTGAGTTGGTGGAGTGGCGATTGGGAAGACAAAAGGACTCAAGAAGAGACGGTGGTATTTGAAGACGTCAAAGATGAGTTCGATTGAGGTTGAGATGGATGTTTTATTTAAAGATACGGCACGAGACAGTTCTGGGACCGGGAAAAGCTGCCAATTGAATGAAGTCATCCGACGTAGACCGGGCCGCAATCGTGAAGGAACACCAGCTTTCTCCAGGTCTAGTGAGGCCAACCCCGTACTCTCGGAGCCGAGGCACCACGGCTCTAAATGCAACCAACCAACGGCCGCCATTATTGGATTCGCGGCGTGGGCAGCCGATGGTAGCGCTGTGAGCTACCTGTTTCGGTTCCGAGTGACGCTACGCCGACATCTGCACTGCCAAGTTTCGGCGAGTTTGAACAGGACGCCGATGGCAGCATTCAACTTGATTCAGAATCGCCTGGATACACGCGGCACATAGGGGCACGCTCTCTAAAGATATCTAAAATGAATCGTGGATTCCCCAAGCATCGACCCTTTTGTCCGGCTTTATTTTATTTTCGGGGTTTCCGCTCCCTCTCCGCGCCGGGCCATGAGGCTCAGACGGTCGAGGTCCGATGTCGCCAATACGACTCCGGCCATGGCGAGCGGGCGCGTGCCTTTGTCCACCGTCGGAGCCGAGTAAACGGCCTCCGCTGCTTCGTCCGATGAACCCCGGGTTTGCTCCGAATGGCTTTCCGACTCCCGTGCTCTCCGCCGCCGCTCTTTTCCACTGTGGACCTTGACTTCCTGGTGTTCGGGGTCGGCCGGTGAACTGGGGTAACTCGAACGGCTTGAGCGGCTTGACGCAAGTGGGGATGTCCAAGGACGCATGCGACGAAACCGCTGAGCAAGGCGACTACGGAGACGGTTCGATTTCGGTGGAAGAGAGCCATGTCCACCGATGCTATTGCACGACCCGTTGGAAGGGGGGGTTGCCTCCTAAGAGTCGTCAGTGCCGCTTCTAAGGATCCAGAACTAGTCTAAGAAGATGCACACGAACCGATGAACACTTGGCTCGTCCCAACTCAGGGCATGAGATCATGTAATAGTCATAGTGGTCGAAGGATGAGCCGCGTTGTCCACACTCCGTCACTTCTGAGCCACGCGCCAACCTTTTGCGCAAATGACCATCCCAAGAGTGTTTCGGCCGAGAGGGTGGCCTTTGGGCGCTGGACTTTGTAGGCCGGACGTGTGATGAGTAGTCTAAACTTGATGCGGCTCCTTCAGTGGTTGGTCTAGGATGGGAAGTTGGCGGAGGAGTTTCCATATCGAAAGAGGTCCTAGATCCTTGGGGATCACCAAGCATGGTAAGAAATACAACGGGTTGAGGATGTCATTGAAGAAGTGATGAAAGAGTGGTTGGCTCTTGTCGGGTGCTCAAGAAGGTCTATTTTCCAGCACTCTCAGAATAGTCAAGTTGGAAAGATGCACCTGCATCAAGCAACCCACTAGGATGCGCCAAAGGAAGGGGCGCGAAATGATTCACTCCTTAGGTACCTACCAGTAGGTAGGTAGGTAGCCATTTGGAAGGGGTGACTTCTTTTTGCTCTGCGGCTACCCATAACTCGACAGTTCCCGCTTAGCGAACGCCAACCGGATCGATCCTTCGACGCAACGTCGGGTGCCAGCCATTTTTACATCTGAGGTTTCCTTTCACGGTAGCGTGTTCAAGAAACAGAGAGAAACGGGCCTAGGATTCCTTTTCGATCAAAGTATAGGTAGGTACGCAATCCTTATTACATATGCTTCAATGCATCTCGGACCCTATTGTCATAAAAACTGTCATCGTACCTGGCTAGGAACACCACAGCTGCCTAGCCGCCATCCTGGAAAAGGCTTTATTTAGACTGTGATAGATCGGACGTTAGGGCCACTTAGGCATCAAGGACCTTTTTACATTTAGTCAGTGGATCCAGAATAAGTCCTTTAGTAGGTAGGCTTACAGTTCCAGGGCATGGCATCGATAGTCTTATGCACTGCCTGGACCAGGGTCTGCCCATAAATCGCGGGGAAAACGCCGCATATCACGAAGCGCCGCAGCAACAATTCATCGCGAATCCGTCAATATGGTCTCACAAAACGAAATTCGCATATTGTACCTCTTTCCGCATAACGGGGACAAGGATGCCTTGCTCAAGTGCGATGTTAAGGTCGCATCACTTGAGACTGACCCCGAGTACGAGGCCGTCTCGTACGTCTGGGGGAGTAGCGACTCCCTCATCGATATTGAAGTCTCGGGCAGCAAGGTCGGGGTGACGAAGAATCTACATTCGTTTTTGCAACGGCTGCGACTGGCAGACAAGACCCGGGCGCTGTGGATCGACCAGCTCTGCATCAACCAGTGGGACACGAAGGAAAAGGCTCAACAGGTCCGTCAGATGCGGGACATCTACACCAAGTGTCGGCACTGTCTCCTGTGGATGGGTGATATCAAAGACGGAATTCCTCAAGCCGACGCCGAGAATGCGTTGGTACTTCTCAAGTACATGGCGGCCGTTTTTGAGGCCGAAGACAAAGAAAAGGTTACTTGTCCATCTTTGCTTGAATCCGACGCATCTTTTGAGGGGCCGCTCAGAGCATTGGAGTCCCTGGGCATCGATAGCAACCCTTGGTGGGCACGAGTGTGGACAGTTCAAGAGGCTGTTCTTCCCCCAGAGCAGACGATTCTTTGGGGACCACTGGCGATGCCGTGGCAAACGATGATGCACGCCACAAGAACCTGGACAGGGGATATGCCGCGCATCCTGCATGAGCGCTTTGGGGCCTTTAGCACCGGGCCCTTGGGTGGTCTGATGGCCATGGCAATATGGCTGGACATTGCCAAGCTTCGAATCGACAGCCCGGCCCATTTGGTAAATCGCTGGCGGTTCCGACAAGCTACAGATCTTCGCGATAAGATCTATGCTCTAATGGGACTGTGTCCAGCCGGAACGCTATCATCGGTCGAGAGGTGTGACTATGACCTGCCAGTTGTGGATGTATTTTGCGATTTGACCTTTGACCTGATGGTGAGCGATGAGAGTCTTCTCCCTCTTATTATGGACCCGAGGTTGGAAATTGAAAAGGCAACGCCCGGCATGCCTCGTTGGGCGCTCGATGCAGCATACATCTCCGATAGAAACACCGACTGGTTTCACCTCTTTGCATGGCCCGAATACCAGGCCCATGGCGGAAGGCATCTCAACATTGGCAATATGCTCAGGAGACGGGAGGAAGCGAGGTACACATTAGAGTTGCAGGGAGTCTTCGTCGACACTATTGAGACTGTCGGAGAAATATGGCTGAACCCACCGCCGCCAGGTACCGATCAAAACACGGCTCAGCGCGAGCGAATCCGCAGTTGGGAGCTCATTGCCCAAGAGCACCTCAAACGACTGACCCCAGAGTCGCCAGAGACGTATCCCGGAGGGTTATCGTTTCACGAGGCATTCGGGAGGCTCATGCTCGGCGACATTTTGAGGAACGACGAGCAAAGAGTCGAAGCCCGGGCCGATGACGAGGACGTGGGAGCGGTCTACAAGTTCCTCGAAAATGGCGAGCGATACTGGACACACCGAACTGTCTGGGGGATGATGTCAAACCAGAGGTTCTTCATGACCAAGACAGGCCTGATGGGCATCGGCCACATGGATACGCAGCCCGGCGAAGAGGTCTGGGTCTTCCACGGAGGCAATTACCCGTTTACCGTGAGGCGCAGAGATGGCGGCGAGAATGAGTATGACTTTGGAGGCCGTTGCTATGTGCAGGGCATGATGTATGGCGAGGCGTTTGAGCGCGGCCAGGAGACTCAGACGGTGACGATTTATTAGAGGGGCAATTTGCGCTGTGTGTCTCTCGGCCTATCAGGGATGAATGATACAGAACCGACGGCATGGGAGCTGGCAGACGTCTAAGCGCGTAAAGGTTTTCATCCTGTATTCGTACTTGAGATTGTATCCCTTGCCATCTGCCCATTGCGCAGCCAAGTCGAGTGACGCGGAAACCGTCCCCCCGGGAGACAAGGGTCCAGGTCAGATCGTCCCTGAGCCGCAAATCTCGGTAACTTGCAATGCCGGGAGCCTCATGATAAGGCCATGGCAGTCAGAACCTGCAAGGTCGTTTTTGGGCACCAAACTGGACTTGTTGTGGTGGTGGGAAAAAGCTGATTCACGTCGACCTTCGGGAGTTTGGTCCGAAATCCTGGCTAGAGCCTTGCCACGCTCAGTCTCTGAGTAACCCAGATAGACAGATAGTGGGCAGGTTGACCAATAATTGCTAGTCTCGATAGTCAACTCGGCCTGCGCCGATCCTCGGAGTCGTCCGCTCCGGTCTGTATCCACCCGAATACGCCTCGCCTCTTATACGCACCAGGGGGCCCTCCGATGCTATGACTGTTGGAAAAGTCACCCCTGGCGGCGAGAGAAAGGAAGATATATATCTGGAGACCGGGAAATCCGGAACTCTACCCTTTAGTACAGGCAGTTGTGCGTTAGCGTTGATCTATTCATCTTCAGTGACGGAGCGAGCGGACGAACGAGTGGAACGCCTCTTAGACCAAACCACCAATCTCTCGGAGCTTTGCACCATCGCCAGTCTCGGAGCGCCAAGTCCGTCGGCCCCGTTGTCGCTGGATTCCTTAACATTGCGTGTTTTCACGCTTCTGTTGGCATTCACGTCTTGTCTGCACCTCTCACTCTCGCCATGGCGCAGCTCGGGGACCTCCAACACGTCCCGAGAGCCGTAAAACTGGTACGTCATCGGCATCGCTCGACTTGCGCGCCTCGCTAACAGTCACAAGGCCGCCATATCCAGCCGGGCCAAGCTCGTACAGCAATGGATATACGTTCCGTGCGGGCTCATGGTCGCCCTCGTCGCCTGCTTCGGCATCGACTCGCTCTTCCGGAAGGTCAACGTCGCGTTCCCGGCGTCGGTGGCTTGTCTGGTGTTGCTGTTCTTGGCGCTGCTTGGCTCGGAATCTTGGCTGGGAAGTCATCGCACGAGGAAGACAATTGCCGTCATCGATGTTTCTGTGAGTTTGTTGCCCAAGACGATACGGATGGCGTGCTGATGACATTAGGCTGGCTGGTCGCTCCGCTGGATGGGCGTCTTCTTCACCCCTTCCTTCATCCTCCTCCCTCTCAGTCCGCCCATCGGCGTGGTTGAAGTCTTCAAGATCATCGCCGTCTTCAGTAAGACACATCCTCCAACTCCCAGGTATCTTCCCCTAGCTAACGCAACCAGTCATCGGCTTCTTCGTCATGATGGCCCTCGCCGCGTGGCTCACCCGCGGCCTCCAACTCGCGCTGGGCTCTTCCAAGCGCTCCGAGTCCCAGCGCGCCGAAGAACTCGGCCGGCGCACCCCGGACATCCCCATCAGCTCCGAGCCGACCACCCCCGGCGTGTCCCGGCGGACGAGCTTCTCCCAGGCGACGTCGATGATGCCGCTGGTCGCCATGCCCGGGTCCGGTCCTCCGTCCGGCCCGCCTTCCACACCACCGTCGGTACCTCCGTCGCGGCCGCAGAGTCCTCCACTTTTGCGTCTTCAGGAACATCACTACTCCAACGGCCGCGGCCCAGAGAACGTCACGGAGGCACTCAGCCGTCACAGCTATCCATCCCAGACGCCCATCCCATCCCCAAAGGCCGAACAATGGGCGGCCGCCATCTCAGCCAACCTCGACCTGTCAACGTTCATCGCCCTGTTCCTCTTCGTCGGCATCCCACTCTACTATTCCACCGGCTATGCCATGGTCGCCCACCTCACCCTCAACATCCTTGCGTATATGGCTGCCATGGCCATCCCCGGCGCATGGAAACAGTACCTCCACCCGGTGCTCGTCTCCTCGCTCCTCACCGTCCTTAGCATCTGGGCCCTCGCGGCGATCCGCGGCGACGATCTCACCACCACGCTTACCGCCTACCGCACGGGGGCCAAGTACCTCAAGCTGTGGCAAAACACCCACAGCCAGCTCCTCCCCGGGGCGGGCGACGTCTTCGGGACGCTGCTAGATGCCAGCATTGTAGCCCTGGCGCTGCCCATGTTCCAGTACCGGCGCGAGCTGCGAGCACACTTCATCTCCATCGTGGCGCCCAACGTGGCCATCAGCGTCGGTTCGCTGCTGGCGTACCCGCCGCTGTGCCGGGCCATTGGCATCTCGGCGTCACGCAGCCTCGCGTTTGCGTCGCGCAGCCTGACGCTGGCGCTGGCGGTCCCGGCCACGTCGAACCTGGGTGGCGACGTCAACACGGTGGCCGCGCTGGCCATCATCAGCGGCATCCTGGGCGTCATCTTCGGCTCGCGTATCCTGGCCTGGCTGCGCGTGCCCGAGGACGACTACGTGACCCGCGGTGTTACGCTGGGCGTCAACTCGAGCGCCATTGCCACGGCGCTGCTGCTGCGGACGGACCCACGAGCGGCAGCTCTCTCGAGCCTGTCGATGAGTCTGTTTGGCACCATAACGGTGCTGTTCACATCAATACCCCCTGTGGCAACGTTCGTGCGTGCTCTCGTGGGTCTATAGAGAGGAGATGTCGGGCCATTGTCCGGATGCTCGCCCGAAATTGGGCTGTAAATAATACGATAGACTTAGTAAATAATGACCATGATCACTCCCAATAACTTGCCTGTTTCGTTTCAATATTAAATATCGTCCTTCCAGTTCCACACGTGCATCTCCCCTGTCGAGACTCCTGACATGGGTTCCACGTAAGGCCGACCAAACTGTATCGCTCCATGGATGACAATTACACCGCGTCATTAAAAGTCAAAAATCCACTATTGGGAAATATGTAGTGCAGAGCAAAAAAGACGCCGTGAAATTATCCCTCCTACCTGCTTGTAAATGCAATGAACCGCCAACCCCGGAACCCTCCGCAATTATCCGTCGACTGATGTACATTCTGCCATTCTTTAATATCTTGAGAAACAATCGAAACGCCCCGTAATCCGTAATTCGTGATTCTGTGGAAAGTCGTCAAAAGTGTGTGAGGTGTTGCGGTGTGGTCGAGCAAGGAGAATGCTGTGCAACCGACTCGGCCAGTGAGATGGTGGGACTGCTCGTGTAGCCCATATTCCCCACGTCGAAGAAGGGATAGTCCTCAAGGTTCGATGTAAAGTCAGTGTCGATTCTGGCCTGAGTCGACATGATGGTGATGCTAGAATCACCAGTCAGCTCCAATTTCGGTTGCACTCCGCCCGTCCCCATGATGACAAGTGACTCACCGATACTTCACCGTCGCCATCACCAGTTATTCCCTTCCCTGTTCCCGTCCCTTCTTCTCCCTTCCCTCCTTCTCCTTGTAGAACATCATCAAGTCTGAGTTGTTCATCACTTGCCAAACGCCTGGTTCAGTTGCCGCGCTAGATCCGCCCTTCCCTCGCGGGCCTGGCGGCAAACACCACACTCGCCCTCGACCACCGCGGGCGTGACTCTCGACACGAACTTTCCACAAACGGTCAGACACGGCGACATCCCCATGGGCTGCTCGCCCACACGCCGCGCGCAGGAGAAGCAGACCAGGGTGCCGAGGTTGCGGTAGCACATGGCTGCCAGTTGTAGAGGGGTCGACTTCCGCAGTTGGGAAAGGGATGAGAAAATCGACCGAGTGAATTGCCTATTTGCGGAGAAGAGTGTGTATAGGCGATGGACTCTCGACTGGTAGTGTTGTTTCTGGCAATGTTCAAGGACGAAGGAGTGTTGGTGTTGGTGTTGGTGTTGAAGAGTTGGTGATGGTGTGTCGGTGGGGGAGCTGTGTAAGCGCAAGTGAGGTTGGCAAAGGCGGGGTTCTAGAAGGACTGAAAATGGCTGGAACGGAATAGGGAGGGAATGTGTAATTGAGGAGGGATGACCTGGTAGACGGAAGTAGAGGGAGAAGAAAGGCGCAGGTGTAGGTGGAAGTGTAGGTAGAAGTGTAGGTGTAGGTCCAAGGCGGGCGTTCAGAATGGCTGCGGAGTTGTCGTGATGGGGTCGTCTGGCAAACGCATGGATGAAAGGATGAATGGAAGCCCACTCGGAGGAAGCCCACTTGCGAGTGGGACGATGGACGATGGACGATGGCCGTTGGCCGTTGGTCGTTTCACTGCGCTGCGACGCGGTGCTTGCTCGTCGGGTGCCCAAATCCCATTCCGCGGCCGGCTCGATTCACAGCCTCGTTGTTGGGGTCCTTTTTATCGAATAAATGGCTCTCTCTCTCTCTCTCTCAATTCCGCCGTCCGTCGTCTGCTTTAAATACCGCGGGACGAGGACGAGCACGCAGTCGTCGACAGCTGGTCAACCGGCGTCCGTTTGCGCCGTCGTCACGTCGTCACGTCTCCTTTCTCCCGCGTGTGAGTCGTGTCGTGATGGCAGACCGACTCTTCGTGGGTGTTGACGGGTGATTTGATTAACCGACTGTATCATGAGAGGAACAGAAACAGCTGCCCTTTCCGCTCTCACCGACACACACAGACACGCAGACACGCAGACACACAGACACACACACGGAGGACCGAGGACGGCCACACCTCACTCACCCAGTATCACCCATTCCCCATTATAGTTGCCCATTATAGTTACCCATTATCCATTATCCATTCCCCATTGCCCATTATTACCCACTCCCACAACCCACCCCGTAACCGTAGCCGCTGCCCGTAGCCGGAGCCCAAACGCCAACCAGCAGGGTGCACAAGACATGGAAGCACAGGTGGAGCCCCGGTTCCTCACCTTACGTATGAGCAATGGTGGGATGTGATGTGGGATGGAAAGATGGAACCTCGCTAGAAAACACCGCCCGCAAAACAAGTCCCCTGGCGAGCACTGCATCCCCAGGAGTCTGTGCTGCCCCCCAGCCATGGATGAGCTCTCCTGTCACCACCCCATGTCCCAAATCCCATGTACAGCACCAGTCAAGAGACCAGTCAAGAGGCCAGCCAGGCCTGGTCATCGCCATATCATATGCTACGGACAGTCCGCGGAATGAGTCCTCACAATCGCCCGCCGGCTGTCACGGCTCGTTCGGGTAACTCCAAGCAATGGCCACGGACCCTCGCTATCAAGTGTGAGTGGGGGTGAGAAGAGGCCACCAGAACCGAGGCGGGACGGACCATCTGAAGTTCTGAAGCTCGGTTTCCATATAAGAGTTGGACAGGTAAAAGGTCAAAATCACCTCTCTTCCCTCGTCAACTTCGTATAAGACTGCCATCACAATCATCTACAATACAACCTTCCTGATAGCGCCCTCGGCGCAAGAATAAAAGCCAGGACCATATCTCTACAATGCCAACCCCAAGAACGCCGTCTGTACAATCATCATTTGCCCTTCACCCTCGCACAATCCACAGTGTCCGAGTACAACCTGTGTCGCAACATATGCTTGCTCCCCTCAGTCTCCTAGCACACGCAAACACTCCCACGGATATGCGCGGGGCCAATACATGGCCTACGTCTCATACGAGTTTCCCCCGCAGTGCGTCAACTTCCCGCTGCAAGGCATCAAGATCGGCCAAGATGTTCACGCCCTTTCCTGCATCACCTGCCGAGTGCGGAGATGCAGGATCTGTATTAGCACCTGCGCTATCCAGAGCCGCGGGATTGCCCTCTTCTAGTAGTCTCTGCTCTGTCCTGGGCACCCCATCCACGCTGGTCCTCTTGTAGGGCGCGTCCATGCTACCCCGACTGCTACCTCGATGTCGTCGTGGGGGTGGCGGCGGTGCAATGCCACTGTGCGGGTGCGGTTTCGCCTCGGCAGACGTGCGTCGGCTGTTGCTGTCCATGCTCCTCACACTTGCAGGACGTCGGACGGATATGTTACGCGCCGGCGGTGGCGGAGGGGCCGATACCTTATAATTTCCTAGCTGGGCATCGCGAGACGGCGCTGCGTTAACTGAGGTTGTGGCGGTGGGTCTGTCGGCTTCCGAGTGCGGGTCGGATGAGGTGGATGTTTGACTCATAGCCGCGTCGATAGAGGCGGCAACGGCCGGCGGTACTTGTGTCGATGGTCTTGACCCATGGTAAGACCTTCGAGGAGGTGGTGGGGGAATCGGCGAGTGAGGGTCATGGCGATTTCGTTCGCTTTTGGACCGTATCGACGACGACCGGGACGGCATCTCGTCGTCGTGGTATTTAGGTAGTGGTTGCCCCTCTTTCGAGATGCTCGTAGCGTAGGCTTTGCTCTCTGCCCTGGCATGACCTCTTCGCGGCGGCGGCGCAGGTCCCGTCTTTCGACCACTGCCCGGAGTCGTCTGGGAGGCATGCGCATCGGCCTCTGGGATCTTGCCGACTGATTCCCGGTCAAACGGCGATTCAGAGTCGTCCTCAAAGCTCTTCCGGTGTGGTGCTGGAGGCAGCGGCTTGTTTATATCAGAGGGCGACTTGGGCCGGAGTGCATCGGAAGAACCGTACTCTCCTCCCAGTTCCATCTTGATAGACTTTCCATGGCGAGAGCTCGGTGGTGGCGGAGGTTTCTTGTCTCTGTTTATCCGAGCCGATACACTCGAATCGGAAAGGCTGCCTGGGTCTAAATCATCATCCGGGGTATCCGAAGTGTCACGAGAAATAAGTGAGACTTCGTGAATCTCGCTACCAGGATTCCGGCCGTCCTTGGAGCCGTCGTAAGTTGATGATATGGACACTGAAGAGGAGTCCGCTGCGGTTTTCTGGGATGCGGGCATCAAATGTTGTGTCCTTGGAGGCGTTGAATGTATGCCCCCCGAGTTTCCAGTCATGAGCAGGCGCTTGAATGAGTTTACGTCCAAGGACCTCCTGGCGGCCTTGAGACTGTCACCCTCCTCCCGCCGATCCTGCTCCGGTTTGTGATCCGCCCTTACCTTCTCCAGGTCTCGCAATGTCTTGCTAAACGGGTTGGCTGGAACTCGACTCCCAATCGTTGGTGGGGGCGGGGCAGCGGTAGGTACGATCTCGCGATCGCTGTCGTCGGAGGACACTGCGTCAAACGGGTCGTTGACCCCGATATGCCCGGGGCCAGAGGCGGCGAGCGGTTGCGCCGTAAAAGGCCATTCGGGAGAGTCGGGAGAAAGAGGTGGTGGTGAGAGAACGCGGACCTTCTTGACCGGCTTCGATTTTTTGTCGACGACCGAAGGATCCGCAAGACCGAATGAGGTGTCTATGGTATCGAGCGGAGGAAAGCGAGTAGCCGCAAGATTGGTAGTGGCTGGAATAAAGGCCGTTGTGGTTGCGGTGGGAGCAGTCTTCTTGCGGAACGGGTTGGATGAGGCCATGATGAGCGGCGGCAGTCTCTTTTACTCTACCGCAGCTGTGGCAGCTGGTCGTGTGTTTGTGTGACTGGAAGGGGGAGGTATGAACAAAGAATGGGACTCTGGACGCGGTGGCAGGTCAAGGCGCATGCGAACGAAGCCAGCCCGCCATCTTCGGCAGCGCCGGTGGAAGAGCTTGGAGTCGGGGTTGTCGGAGTTGTCGTCAACCGGGGTTGGAGGGGGTGGGTGCGGGATCAGGAAAGCGAGGCACCGAGATGCGCAGTGCTTGCGTACGCTCCGACTCACTTGCGAGTCTCGGAAGCAGAAGATGGAGATGGTCTCGAACAAGCTCCAGGCTGCAGGCCAGCGATCAAAGAACGAGCAAAGACGAGACTGAGACGCGACGCTCAAGGGTCTGCGCACACGAGAATCAGGCACAGGTACGAAACGAGGCGCAAGCTCCGGGCTAAGGCACCACTCTGATGTCAGCCCCGGAAGTATCGGTCGTTTCTGGCGGGGACGGGGAGACGGGGAACGGGGGGCGCGGGATGTTTTTCTCTGTTGGCTGAGGACTGAGGATACGTGATACGTGATACGCGCCGACTTGCACTGACGCACTGGACGCCTGGACGGGTTTGGGGCGGCGCGTTCTGGAGGGTGAGGCTTGGCTCCCAAACGCTTTTTGCTTTATCGGGTCACCGCCAGGGGGGCGTGGGACGACGCCTTCACCCTTCACCGACGAGGAGGCGCGAGCAGAGGGATCGGAAGGACCAGACCAGAGGCCCAAGGCCAACGGCATGATGGCGCACGGGCCAGGTGGGAGGTCTGGTTTTGGAGGGGCGCTGACGTTGTTCCCCTACGAGGCAAGTACGTACTGTTCCCCACTCCTTCCTTCCACCTTCCACCTTTTGCACCTTGCTTCGTGCTTGCGGCGGCAGGTACGCTGGCCCTCCCGTCAGGCATGTGAGATACCTGGCATGAGCCTAAGGTGCGAGCTAGGATGGAGCTGTAAAGTTCAAAGGAACCTTGAAGGGCCAACTGAGAAGTGATGCGGCACGTGAGCCGGTGACGAGATTGTTAACGCATCTCATGTCTCACCACACACCATCACCACCACTGCTGCTACTACCACCGCAGCCAGCCATCACGACCCCGCTCTATCCCGCAAGTCAGCCTTCGTATTCGGAGTCGAATATCTTTGCGTACGCTCCTCGCCACCCTTTATGGACGATACATAGAAAAGAGCTAGACCGGTGGCTCAATAGTCTGCGTCTTATCGTTCTTTGAGCCCAAGAAAATATCTTGTTGCGTTGTTAGATCAATGCATGTCGCAGTTTCCTCATCTCCCTCAGAGATTGATGCTATCTCATCATCACGCATATGATCCGACAAGTTGCGATTGCCCTTCTATTTTCACCCCTAGGGTGTTGGTATCTCATTCCACACGTATCTAGCTAGCGAGAACTAGTCCAGCGGACTTGAAGGGACTCGAGTGAACCGGACCCACAGGCCAACCGCTCTGTCAAAGCCCGTCATCAACCCAGTTGGGCACGAGGCCTCTCTCCAACAGTCAACCAGCCAGCCTCACCGAGTAATCAGGAATACACCAACTGCCATAACCACACGAGAGCACGGGCTATCCTTTCACTTTTCTCGTTCTAACTTCATTCTCTAGTCTCTAGAGCACCCACTTGCGCTCTAGATGACTCCCCATCTCTCTCGGGCGCATAATCCACTTACACGCCAGGATGGCGAAAATGCACCGCCAGCTCATACACCAGCTCCATGACCAACGCGATAGACGGGCGAGCGCGTCTCAATGCACAGCCCGTTTCCTCCCAACACATCTCTCTATCTGTCGCAACCTGTCCTTGGCAACCTCATTTCCCATGAGTCGCCAGACCGCGACTATCACTCTCCAACTCGGGGCTAGACCTCAAGGTGAGAATATTCGGACCCACGCGATGCCCCTGACCAAAGACGAGACACGCCTCGTCGCCAATTTATGTAAACAAACCCTAAGGACCGCGTTGAGCAGACACACACACATTGTCAATGACGGAACCGAAGTGAACCAGAAATATTCGTTGCATCTCATTGCAAAACTGAACCAGAAAGAAAACGACTGTGGTATAATGATCCCCACCCGTCCCGTCCCAACGCGCGCACACATCGCACCGCAGCAAAACCAAGAGCCTCTCTGAAAAAGACGCGCCCGTCACCCACAGAATGGCTCTCTGATCCGGCACACCGTGTAAAAATCGTCATGCCATATATGATATAGTACAGAGGACATTACTTTCAAAGAACTGACCCTCATCTCTGGCGCACAACCCGTCTCCCGTGTCTCAAGAGACGCCCGAGGGTTGGAAAAAAGGTACAGATGCGAACGCCGTCGTATCCCTGTGCGCGCGCAATCAAAACACAAACAACATTCCCGCGCTCCCGTTCAAAAACAGCAAAAATCCAGTAGCCCTGCTCTCATTGTCCTGCCCGTGAACAAATCCCGTAACGCCGTAATCGTCATTAAGAAGGTTTAGCATGCCAAGATGGGTTGCCTCATGCCTTGGCAGCAGCAGCCTTCTTTGGTGCGGCCGCCTTCTTGGGGGCAGCGGCCTTCTTTGCGGGCGCAGGCTTAGCAGCAGCCTTTGTGACACGGCCAGTCTTGGTCTTGGTCAGAGTAGTCTCGGGCTTCTCGGCCTGGTGGATGTGTTAACGTGGATCGGAATTGAAGAAAGGAATTCTTCTCACCTTCTTAGGGGCGGCCGCCTTCTTAGCAGGGGCCTTCTTCTCAGGAGCAGCCTCCTTCTTAGGAGCAGCCTTCTTGACGGGAGCCTTCTTCTCAGGCGCGGCCTCCTTCTTAGGAGCGGCGGCCTTCTTAGGGGCGGCAGCCTTCTTGGCAGCAGGCTTCTTCTCCTTGGGAGCGGCCTCCTTCTTGGCGACGGGCTTCTTCTCCTTCTTGGGCTCGGGCTTCTTCTTAGCCAGCTTGGTGCCACCGGAGGGACCCTTGGGCTGCTCAAAGGCACCCTTCTCAACACCCGCCTTCAAAGCCTTGTTGAAGAGCGAGTCGAACATGTTGTCCGTGACGTTGAGGGCGTTGTTGGCCTTGACATACTTCTTAAGAGACTGACGGCTGTGAGAGGGTCAGCGACTGATGCGATGAGATGAAATGCGCGGCGACATGGGTGGCGCTGTGCAGTGGAGGAATCTTACCTGGAGCCATTGCGGTCCTTGAGCTGTTGCGGTGAAAGGCGCGTCAGTAAGAATGATCATCGCGAGGGGTAATAAAAAATTACGACAGGACGCGGGCGGGCGGGCGATCATGGCGATGGCCTCAATCCGCGACCGTGAGAGTGAGGGAACGCGCGGCACAAGACGCGCTGGGAGAACAACAAAAAAGGACAAGAACATACGTTGGCAATGGCATCAGTGATCATGTCCTAGAGTAAAAATGTCAGCGACTTGTCCCAGTAAAAACCGCGTCTGGATTGAGATGAGCTTACCTGGTAGCTGGCATGGCCAGACTTCTTGGAGGTGGAGGCGGCCTTGGTGGGAGCCATTTCGACGAGCGTGTAAGTGGGTGAGCGGGGTGGAAGAGAGAAGTGTCGTTGCTGGAAGATGACCGAGCGGTAGGCGACGGAGAAGAGGCTTCGAGAAAGTTTGAGAGACGTTGAATCAAATGGCGAGCAGAGTCGAACAGCGTAACCTCGTCGGGCGCGTGGAGGGGATGGGGCTTGTTTATATATCGGGCGGGGGCAGGACCGCAATCAGTAGCTCTTGCTCTGGCCTGCGCTCCTGCGAGCGACCCGGCTCCAGCTTTGTGCTCAGGCTCTGTGCTCTTCCCACCTCACCTGCAAGTGCCACCTGCCCCTCCGGGGGGCACAGCAAGCGCCACACCATGGACTGGACACATCCCTGCGCAGGCGTGCACATCCGCGTGCACATCCCCTGCACCGGCCAAGACGGGCTAGCCCACTCCGGTTATGCTCTAAAGCTCTGCTCGGAGCCCCTCCATCTCTGCATAACTCGCCTGCACAGCGCGCACAACACCTGCCAAGCGCCCGCCCGCACTAGTTCGAGCCCCCACTAATCAGCTTCAGCCACAACAGGCCTTGCGATGCCAAGCAGACCCCGACCGCGATATGGTCTAAGTTAAATGGGGCCCGAAAATGCCAAATAATACATGCGGCGTGACCAATTTTCTGATTGGCCAGCCCCGACATCACCTCGGGTGAGGTGTACCAGTCTGTGATCTTGGTCTGGCAGAATGGGCGAGGACGTCGTCCCCCCGAGCATCCGTTTCCCTCGATTCTCGCGCTTCTCGACCGACCCTCCTTTACGATTTCCATGAGTCATTTTCTAACGGCCCTTGCGAGTTTGCTCCAAGGTTTTGCGCTAGGTCGCCGCGCCGGGATTCGCAGAGTTGTTGGCTGCCGCTGACGAGGCATCCCCAACAGGGTGCCGTCTGGATGGCGCATCGTCACGGCCATTGCCCATTGTCGCATCCGAGATTGCTGCACCTCCAGCGCCTTCCGTCTCCTCGCGCTGTTTGTCAATGGGTTGGTGGGTGTCGGGACTTGTCGGTGACTGTGTTTTGGTGTTGCTCCGACTTGTTTCGGCTGTGAAATCGCCCGAAATCCCCAAAGTCACTCAGATGTTGGATCGCGACACTGCGCGTCGCATCTGAAGCTATCCACACTCTGCCGCACTCCCAACAACCACCCACCATTCATCACGCCAGTCACTGAATTTACCCATTTTATCGTTTTGGGTGTGCGTGCATGCATCTTCGGGACAATTTTACAATTTTAAATGGACATGAAGGCCTTCGCTGATGGCCAGGGAGCTCGTAGATGCCAGGTCACGACTTACACGGTCGGACGGGCGTCATGGGACCAGAGTTGGCCACTTCCCCGCCACCAAGATTTCCTCCCACACAAGAAGTCACCTGTCACTAGTATAACTCGAGTGAGCTTCCTTCATCATCTGGACATTATCTTGCACTTGATTACAAATTTATCACGGTGTTGCTGAGTGTTGGGGACATTGCCACAGTTAACGATGCGTCAGGCTGAAGCAGTCGGTCAGCCTGATAATCCACCAGCTCAACTGATCCAATGTCCACCACAAGAACAATCGGTGCCATTCAGAGACGCGTCAAATGTTCACATATGTTAACCAAGAACTAAACTGAACGTGATGGTTACGAAATGCACGCCTCCGTTGAATCCCGTGGTCCGGCGCGTGCTATCAGGCACCGAGCAAGACCCTCGCTCGTAAGCCAAATCATTAGCCGCGTCAGCTGTTCATCCAGATATTTGGATAAAGTCGAGTGCACCCTAATTTCAACTCGTACAGGAACCAGGCTGTCTCTTCCACTGCAGAGAGGCTGGCCATCTAAAAGCCTGCCTGTCGGGCCTTCGTGACGTTTAGGGGACGCGCCTATCCCAGGTTCTAAAAACAACTTTAATATGAGTTGGACCTTCTTTTACTCCACTGGCTAGGGCATGGGTCTTAATGATTGACATGCCTCAAGGATCCTTCGATCGTTGCGAACGAGTGTATGAATGATTGTCCAATACCCTCTTAAGAATCAGTGAGCATGCCATACTAAGCGGGGTCGCGCCTTACTAGATATGGTTTATTGGTGGGAGATGCACTTAGTGCGGACAGGGCCGGCGACAGGGAGAGTCTGGGTTACCCTACAGTTTGGACTTAAAGGAGGGCCTTTGGCTAATACCAGCTGAGGGAATAAATTGATTGAAGGACGGAAATATTTGATCAAAAGGCGCAAATAAGGGTTATTAAGTAAAATAACTATGTATTGCTCGTTGTAAATGGAGATCCTTGTTTGTGAGGATGGCAACTTACACCAATGCAGATAAACGGCAAGCCCATCCACAGATCTTGCAACCCAAAACCAACACCAAGTAAATTCTAAACTAGTGGTTCCCCCCTTCGCATGCCGATTTGTTTGACGAGAAATACGGCGCTTTAAAGGGTGCTGGCGTGTTCGTGGTCGATTCATGACGTGATGAGTGATAATAGCGCTGAGCGGACACCAAACCCGAGACCATAAATCATCATCCCTGCATGTGATAAGAGAAGCCTGGAGGCAGTAAGATGAATAGTACTCACCCGCGACTGAAAAGCCCGAGTTCGTGGCAAAGGCAAGGAGTAGCGATCCGATGAATTGTGGTGACAAACTGGCCTTGACACTCCCAAGATTAAGAAAGATTTGACTTTTGAAGTATTCGATGACGATACGAAGAAGCGCAGGCAGGATGAAGAATAAAACAACGAGATTAACAAGAGCGACTTCACTGATGATCCCATTTTTCTGCTTCGGATATTAGGATAAAAATCGAAATGCATCAGGCACAGTGATGGATCGAGGGCAAAGCTGACTTATATGGCAACATGAGCTGAAGAGCATGTAGGATAGGCGATATGAACTTTTGCGTGATCGTAGGGAAAGTCCCAGCGGGTCTGCGGGCAAGGTCAGTGTAGAAGCCAAAGTGGTCGGGATTCCCCCTACGGGCTCGCATCGTCACGGTACTCTGGGTCGGGTTCTCTGTAGGGCATGACGAGGATGGCGTTGGAAAGAGTTTCTGAATCTGGCCCCATGATATACTCACTGAACCGGTCTCTGAAGACTTCAAGTCCCTACAAGTAAGTCTCGTACTCTTTGGGGGTGACATCTTTCCCAACCCCCCTGGTTTATTCGTCAAGGATATCCTGAAAGGAAACCCGGAGAAGCTCTGATGGATATTTTCGAATGTGTGTGACACAATGTAGTGAGGATCGTCCAGACTGCGACCAAACTGGCCCACCATCTCGAATTTCCTATCCCAGGCGTCAGTCAAGAATTAATACGCAGTTCAGAGGATCCATACGGCGAGTTGGCTGGTATTGCCTTCGTCGAGGTGGAGTCGAAGCTTGGTCGCAAAGACAAGAGCCCGCTGCAGGGGTGTGGGTGCTCGTACACTTCCAGCAACTGCATTATAAAACAGCTAGCATGCGGCTGGAGGCAAAAGTAGGGTAAACTCGTACAGTCTCCGTTAATGGAGAAATCTGGCCAGTCGTGGTCAGCTAGGGAAGTGCCAGCGCCTGGGGGGGCTCTGATAGCGATCTCCGCGCTGATTGACCGGGAAGTGAACGTCAATCCATTGGTGCGTAGGCTATTCGGGTGATGTAAAGGAAGTCATTTTGGTCTTGCCCACAATCACTGCTCCGAGGTCAATGAGCTTCTTGATGTGTTCGGCGCTCTCTCCATCCGGACCGGAGAGCTCGGTCCACGGCCTACTCGTCATGGTCAATTGAGTGCCTTCAAGACGGAAGATATCCTTTCTGCCCATTAGCTAGCCTTATCGACTGAGGACATAGTGTTGCAAGTTCGCAGTACCCGTGCCCCGGCGTACAGCTCCGCATTGCACAGCTCTGCATTGTACGAGGGAGGCCAAAGCCGTTGCCAAGCCACATCTGACGCCACACATCTGACGCCACATGCGGGCGCAGCGTGGATGCCCAGCTCACCCTACCTACCTACTCACCCTAATCCTTGCTCGGCTCCGGGAGAGCTCATCCGGCTCACGCGATTGGCTCGCTGGCTGGAACTGATCGCGCATTTACCAACGGATGCCCAGAAAGTCGGAAGGACCACAACGAAAAGGCCAGCGAGGCAGGAGAGGGTACCAAGTATTTCCGGGAATCGAATCACCACGAACTACAGGACATCCCCGTGCGCTTCACCAGCGACCAGCGACCAGCATACGAGACCATGTTCGCCTTTCCTACCGTATGAGCCTCTGGATTTTGTCTTTCAGCGTCTCTTTGCTGTCCCGCCCTATCATCAGCCACCGGCCGACCAACGAACACCGACCCCAACGTGCCCCACGTACTCCTTAACCCGGCGCATGCTCGTCCGATAGATAGCACCTGCGATCCTCCATCCTCCTGGCATTTTCCATCTTCACCATGGCCGAATATGCCCAGTACCACGCCCTCGGCCAGGGCGAGGTCATCGACCCCAACGACCCCAACCGAACCTCTCAGCCTGCGCCTCAGCAATTTCAACATCCCGTAGCGCCAAACCCCTACCAGCAACAAGCTCCTCCAGCTCCGGGCTACGGCGGACCCCAATATCTCGGTGGCCAGCACGCTCCTCCTCCCATGACCGGATCTCCCGCCCCAGGCCCGGGTTACGGATATGCACCTCCTCAAGATCATGCCTACCACCAGGCCGGTCAGCCTCCTCCCTCCGCAGATGCTTCGCTGGCCGCGCAACTGGGAGGAATGAACTTGGGAGACGGGCATGGCACCGCAAGGAGAAAGAAGAAGGACCGCCATGCCTACCACAATGTTGAACCCACGGGCTCTTCGCAGGCGTTCAATGGCATGCCTCCTCCAGGATCTCCTGCAACTCAGTTCCTCAACACAGCGGCCGCCCCGAGCTTTGGTAGCCAATTCGGAAGCCCTCAAGGCACCCCCCAGGGCACCCCCAGGATGGCCAACGCAAGCCAATTCTCGGCCCCCGGCGCCGGTGCCTACGGACCAGGACCCTCTGTAGACCAGAGCGGAATCAGTCATGCTGCCAACGTCGCGGCAGGAGGGTCCACTGCCTCTCCAGAGGATTTGCCCAGTGTGCCAGCATCACGAGATATTATCCAGCAGCACTACCTCAAGAACGTTTACCCTACCTTCGAGCGACACGTCCCCCCGCCTTCGACCGTCTCATTCGTTGCCTTCGACCAGGGCAACTCCTCTCCGAAATACACCCGCCTCACTTTCAACAATATCCCATCCACGACCGAGGCCCTCACTGCTACTGGCCTTTCTCTGGGGATGCTATTGCAGCCACTGGCTCCTCTCCAGCCTGGCGAGGCCGAGATTCCAGTGCTCGACTATGGAGATGTTGGTCCCCCTCGATGCAGGCGATGTCGCGCTTACATGAACCCTTTCATGATGTTCCGATCTGGCGGCAACAAGTTTGTTTGCAACCTCTGCTCATATCCCAACGACACCTCGCCCGAATACTTTTGCGCCACCAGCCCTCAGGGCGTTCGAGTCGACCGGGATTCGCGACCCGAACTTCACCGTGGTACCGTGGAATTTGTGGTACCAAAGGAGTACTGGACCAGAGAACCGGTTGGTCTGCGATGGCTGTTCCTGATCGATGTCACTCAAGAGGCCTATAATAAGGGATTCGTCGAGGCCTTCTGCGAAGGTATCCTCGTCGCTTTGTATGGAGGCGAGGATCAGGAGAAGGACGAAAATGGAGAGCCAAAGCGAAGGATACCAGAGGGTGCCAAGGTCGGATTTGTCACCTACGACAAGGACATTCACTTCTACAACGTCAACGTAAGTTTTGTCATCCACCGAAGAATACAGGTGCTAATAGCAGCCAGCCCGCTCTTGATCAAGCTCAAATGATGATCATGCCCGACCTGGAGGATCCCTTCGTACCCCTGAGCGAAGGTCTCTTTGTCGACCCTTACGAGTCCAAGGAGGTCATCATGTCCCTCCTGACACGCTTGCCCGATATGTTCTCCGTCATCAAGAACCCCGAGCCAGCCCTGCTTGCGGCTCTAAACTCGGCTCTTGCTGCGCTTGAGGGTACTGGAGGCAAGGTGGTTGCTTCATGCTCCGCTCTGCCAACCTGGGGCCCTGGACGACTATTCATGCGCGACGATGGCAACCACCCAGGGGGCGAAATTGACAAGAAGCTCTATACCACTGAACACCCTGCTTGGAAGAAGGTGGCCGAGAAGATGGCAGCCGGCGGCGTTGGTGCCGATTTCTTCCTCGCTGCACCATCTGGTGGCTACCTAGATATTGCCACAATTGGTAAGTTAAGTCACATCTTTTTACAGTTTGTTGCTAATTGAACTCGCACAGGTCATGTTTCCGCCACCACTGGAGGAGAGACATTCTACTACCCCAACTTCATTGCTCCGCGAGACAGCCGGAAACTATCACTGGAGATCTCACACGCTGTGACTCGGGAGACTGGTTTCCAGGCATTGATGAAGGTTCGTTGCTCTACTGGTCTTCAGGTTTCAGCCTACCACGGCAACTTTATCCAACACACCTTTGGCGCCGACTTGGAAATCGGTGTCATTGATGCCGACAAGGCAATGGGAGTGTCATTTTCCTACGACGGCAAGCTAGATGCCAAGTTGGATGCCCACTTCCAATCCGCTCTCCTGTACACGACAGCTTCTGGTCAGCGCCGTGTTCGATGCTCCAATGTCATTGCTAGTGTCACCGAGACTTCGAAAGAATCGAATAATCGTGAGCAGGGCATTCGTGAGTGTCTAAAGTTTGTCGACCAAGACGCAGTTATCGGCATGCTGGCCAAGGAGGCGAGCACGAAGTTGGCAACGACCTCGAGCAATCTCAAAGATGTCCGCAACTGGCTCGGTGAAAAGGCCATCGATATTCTGGCCTGCCACAGAAAGCACTCTGCTCAGCAATACCCTCCTGGCCAGCTCGTCATGCCTGAGAGACTCAAGGAATTCTGCATGTACCTACTAGGTCTCATCAAGTGCCGCGCCTTTAAGGGCGGCATCGAGAACTCTGACCGAAGAGTCTACGAGATGCGAATGCTACGCTCCATGGGTGCTCTCGAGCTGAGCCTGTACCTGTACCCCCGCATGATCCCCGTCCACAACCTCCAGCCTGAGGATGGCTTCGCTGATCCTGAGACTGGCCATCTCAAGATGCCGCCAGCTATCCGCACGTCCTTCTCGCTCGTTGAGCCTGGCGGTGTCTATCTGGTCGATAATGGACAGCAATGCCTCTTGTGGTTCCACTCTCAAACGTCTCCCAACCTCATCTCGGACCTCTTCGGTGCAGACAAGGACTCCCTCAAGGCACTGGATGCTTACACGTCAGCGTTGCCCACGTTGGACACTCACCTGAATGCTCAGGTCCGCAACATCATCGAATTCCTCCGGTCGATGCGTGGATCCAAGGGCCTTACGATCCAGCTCGCCCGCCAGGGTATCGACGGCGCCGAATTCGACTTTGCGAGAATGCTAGTTGAGGACCGAAACAATGAGGCTCAGAGCTATGTGGATTGGCTTGTGCATATCCACAAGGGCGTCCAGTTGGAGGTAATTTGAACCCTAGTCCACAATACTTCACGCGATGAGCACATGCTAACAGGCCGTCTCTAGTTGAGCGGGCAACGGAAGAAGGAGGGCGATGAGCACTCGGCGGCAGCGTTGTCAAACTTTGCGGGTCTGAGGCCCTCGTACTGGTAAGCGGGAGTGGTGCCCGTCGATGCAACACAACACCTTGATACAACAAAATCAGCAATAATCTGAGGGTGCGGAGGGGGGAAGAGTTGGGTAGGGTAGTACGAAAAAGACAGCACCGGCGGGATCGTCAAGCCAACCCAACCGTTTCGCGAACAAAATAACTATATTCCCTGCGATGCCTGCTCCGTGCCGTCATTCCTGTGCCTATCCGCGCCAATCTGCTGTGGTATCCAAAGAGCATTTTGGGACTATCTCCCCAGCCCCTCAGGAACCATGTGTGCTCCTATTGATTCTTCTTTTACGTAACCTCACCTGCGTCCAGAACTATCCATCCTACCCTCGCCATCCCTAGCGGTCAGTCCGTCCGGCGGCTGCCTGCACCTCGCCTGGATGCGTGTCCACCCAGAGACAAGAGCGAGAGCGTGAGGGGTTTTTAGGGTCGGAGACACAAGCACCGACCTGTCATTTTTTTCTTTTTCCACGAGAGGGTCCTGGGCTCGTCCCAAGACTCGCACCGGCGGCGCGGTGAGGGTGCGTGAATGCCGTGGCCGGGTGGTGCAATCGCGATTTGTGGAACGAGACGAGGGGATCGTCGGGGCGCTGTCCGACGAACGATGGCGGTGGAGGAGAGCAGGGGCGCACAGGGCGTGATGAGGAAACGGGCCGGTTGTGGTGATGTACGGTTGGCTGCGGACGCAATATCTCGGGCTGGAACACACTCGGGACCGCGATGGATACACTCCAAGTGGCCCGCGGATGTGGTGCCCTGCAGTATACCAACCGCCTCGTACTCAAGACCAACGACACGCGCGCCATCTTGCCTAGTCCAGCTGGCTCGCGCACGCTGCGGCTGAAGAGGCCAGCTGAGGGGCCTCGTTACACGCGAGGACGAAGCGGAGAGGAGGCACTACTGCGATCGAGGGTGCGTGTCTCGCCCGGGGGGTGCGTTATCTTGCATTGGTGCGGTGGAGGAATGGGGATCGGGGAGGGACGGAGGGAGGCTTTTGTAAGGGTGGGCGTCTGATGCCGAGGGGAGAGAGGATTGATGCCGCCGAGGATGTTCGGCATATGTCTATGGCTATGGTGATGGCTTCATCATCAGCGTATCAAGCACACGGGGTCTCGGCGATAACCTGCCCAATGCCCACCTGCACCATCCCCGTCGTCAGCTCGCCATGACCGGCATCGACAACAACTTCGTTCGGCATCCTCGCAAGGCGGTCAGCGGCAGTGGGAAAACCTGCTTGTCTTGCGGTACCGGGTGGGGAAACGGGGCAAGTTGCATAGGCGCTTGCGTGCAGATGCGGTGGGCGGGAGCGATTGGCAACGCGGATTGGAGATTGGGGATTGAGGACGGCCAAGGGACTGGGGACACCCGCATTTCTGTGCATGTCGTGACCGAGGCTGGGCGGCATCTTGGCTTTTGGAGGTTTGGGGGCCGGCAAGGTGGAAATGGGCGGCCGGCGTTGGAATCAGTCCTTGCTGGAGAGTACGGAGCAAGACTGTTGGCGATGGCTTCACAGTGATGGCTACCTGGCATGCTGTGGTCACTTCCCAAGCGCATTCCAAATGCCGTTGTCAACACAAAGTCAGAGAATCAGAGCATGTCATCCCCACCACCGTGTAGTTAGAGTCGTCTCGGCCGAGTTTCACTCCGTCGATCTGCACATCAGAATCAAGATCCACTGACATCCCCCAGACGAGTCACGAGTAGACCGGGGTTACAGCACGAGGTAACAACACAACTCGTTGGACACATGAGCTAACAAGTACGAATACACCCAACACCCAATCGCCCACCCAACAATCCTGAATCCTTAGCCCTTGGGGTCCTTGGGAGGCACAGCCGCCTCACGGGACCCTTTGTCAAACCAACGCCCCGGGGTTTCACTCCCTCCGTTCACCAGAAGAAAAGAAAGAAAAGAAAAGAAAAGAAAAATGAAAAAAAGAAGCAGGAAATGGCGCCCAGCGACATGGCCAAAGCCACACTCGTCTGGCGATGCGCTCTCAAAAACCAACAGAAACACGCCCCCCGCATCCCGAATTGCTCCCGCATTGTTCCCGAATTGCTCCTTTCCCTTCGCGCCTGTAGAAACCTTGAAGCCCTGAAGCACTGCTGCCCTGCCGGCCGGTAGCTTGCGTCATGTGGTCCTCTTCTAAGCGCCCACCAGCGTTGGTTGACCGCCCAAATGCGGACAACTGCAGCAAAAAAAAAAAGAAAAAAAAAAGGAAACGTAACACAAGATCCCGTCAGTCCGGTGGGCTTCAAACCTGGGAAGCCACCTGGAAAGCCACCCTGCGATCCCATGCTGCTTGTGATCCTAGATTCCTCACCCGGACCCCCTTCCGATATTCGCCTCTCAGGCCCATGGCTATGCCAGGCCACGCGGTACAAGCTGAAGAAGCCCGCGAATCACGTTGTAATCATGCCGAGTCCGTACCGCGGGTCGGGCTGTCTCAAAACTCGGTCAACCTCGGCGGAGTTGAAAACATGCTCGAAGATGTGTCGGTCAGTCGGGGCGGAGCTGTGGCTTCGGGATGACCCTGACGAGCTCGATGATCCCGCCCGGGATTTCCCCTTGGAGCCGTGCTCTTTCTTGGCGATTTCGTCCAGGATATGTCGGGTCGTGCTCTGGAGAGGGTCTTCGAACACGAAGACGACGTAGGCGAATTGGCCGCGCAGGTCTGGGTCGAACAGGAAGACGTCGCGCCAGAGCTCGGCCAGCTCCTGGGGCGGGTTCCGATAGCCATTGCCCAGGCCAAAGTCGCCGATGATGACTCGGTCGTATCCATTGTACAGGCAGATGCGGAGGGCGCCGCGTAGCTTATCTCGCGTCATATCGCGCTCCTCCGCAAAGGAATACTTGGTGCCGTTGTCCTTGAGCTTAGGCCAGCGCGTTGGCGGGACTGAGACGACTGGCAGGTCGAACCAGCTATCCAACCTATCGTAGCGGTCGTGGGGCCCTCGGCAGACGACGACGGAATCGGATAGGATTCCGCCCTGCGAAGGAATTGGGTAATTGCTCGTTTCTTGAGAGTTGGGCCACGGGCTGCTGAGGGTTGCTGAGAGGTTGCTCCGTCGACAGAGCTTCTCCTCATATCCCACGCACCCCGTCTCCCAGTCTCCGCCGGGCCGCCTCTCGTTTGCGGCGCAGATGAAGGGAATCCGGACCCGTGGACCGCCAACGGCCTCGCTCGTTTGGGTATCCCCCCCGGCATAGGTCAATGCTTTCATGACCGGGTCACCCACCTCGATCAGGAAGTGTGGCGGGTGGGTGGTGGGCTTCTGCCGCTGAATGGCAAGCTGTAAGATGGGCTGGCGGTAGAGGTACGAGTAGGGAGGGAACATTTCCCCGTAGTTTTTCTTGACGAGTGGGATGAAATTTCTCTTGGTATCGGCGGCCACCTCTGATGGCCGCACCCGGCTCGATCTGGATGGAGCCATGTTGGCGATGGCGACGACGGCGTTGCTGGGATGTGGGGATATATGTCGTCACCAGAGGGCAGAGCCGCAGTGGGAGGCTTGCTGACCGGCGACGAGATGATGGTATATAGAAGCAGGGGTGTAGAGAGGAAAGGTAGGAGGCAGAGAGCGTGGGCAGCGTAAGTGAGCGACGGCACGGTATAGAAGTATGCTTGTGGATGGGATTTATGATGGGAGGAGATGGCTGCATTGCTCCACGCCGAAGGCGGCCAGGCTCTTATATGCACATTGGGCAGTGAATCTGCAAAAGCAACACCGTCAAAGGACTTTGTCACTGAACGGCATTCAGGCCTTCACTGACGTTGACTTGCTGCCCCAGGGCAAGCGAGAGGGGAAGGATGTCGACTGGCTGTGCGACCCAATATGTCCAAGATCTGAACCACTTGTTTTGGACAGGCTCGGTCAGAGGCGAGAAAACAGGCCAAACAGCCGGGCGAAGAGAAGAAAGCATGCCGGCTTTTATGGGTACGGGAAGCTCGGTGGTGCTTCGTTGGGTAGGTTTGTAAGTAGACTGGGGGACCTGTCGCTTGTCGACACAGCCCAGCACCCACATCGCGGCACACACATGAGGAACGCCAGGCGAGGCAAGACAAGGCAATGCAGTCAAGGCCAGTTCAATGCAAGACAAGCCAAGACAGGCAGGGACATGGACGGGGACGGGTACGGAGACGGGACCAGGGGTGGGCGACGGAAGAGACGCCTGGGCCCGCGAGTGAGCCCGTCTGAGCCCGTCTAAGCCCGCGCTGAGGAGTGAGGACGGCCTCACGGGAGACGAGTGGTATACCGGAAGACACTGGGAACAAGGGACTTGGGGATGCGCTCCGCGGGATACCAGAGACGCAAAACTGGCTGGCACAACGGGGGCGCTCCGGTATCCAAGTTGACGGGACGGGGGGGCTACACTGGGCGTCAAACTGTCGGGAACCGTGGAGCTGCTGCAAGATCTCACGGCAACACAGGCGGCGCCGCGATCTCACACGGAGCCAGTGGACGTCGTGGTTGGGCGGCTTGACGACCGGGACAGGGGACGACGGCCATATTCGTCGGGGCCATGAGACATTGCTGGCCGGGACATTGTTGCGAATCTAGATCTGTGGAACCCCGTCATCTCGCCTGGGCGAAGCTTGTGTGCACCGTGCCGTGCTGGGCCACCTCAGATTCCCAGCCCGGCATGTCCCATATAGCATCGAGGTGGGCAGCCGGGGCTAGGGAGGAGGATGTGAGATGCGGTCGAGTGTGTGTGGGGGTGTGATGCGTGAGGTGTGATGTGATGTGTGAAGTGGGAAGTGGGATGTGAGATGTGGGAGTGAGGAGGAGTGGAACCTCCAGCCCCGACAACCCATACAAGAAGAGGCTAGAGAAACAGAAACAATGCCTATGATGAGAGCCGAGGACACAAAGGTCTAGGGTTTGTAATCGCGCCCTAGCCGAGCTCCATTTCGCGGAATGAAAATTCCTCGTCTCTTTGCGAGGAGAGGAGAGACGACAGTGACTGAGAGATGGCGGCGCGAGACGACAACGAGAGCACGCGAACGGGGCTCTCAAGTGGGCCAAGCAAGGCGTGAGACAACCAGGGCCCAGTCAAGACGCAAGTTGCGAGACAAGAAGGAGTCGAGGGCTGAGATTGGGTGGGAAGATGCGATGCGGTGTGGGTTTCTTCCTTTCTTTTGCGCTGCCTCGGGGGAACTCGTCGTATCGGTGTGTTTTGGGATCTGCTGTGCGAGAGTCCAACCCAGGAAGTGCTTGCAGCGAATATGACGGTTGAAGAGGCCGGCCAGGTTGCAAGTCGGAATCCGGACGAGACGAAACAAATCGAATTACGCAATGTACGTCCTACACATGCCGGCGTTGGGTTGATTAGGTACCTGGTGATTGTGTTGTTGTTGTTTTTTTCTTTTTTTTTTCTTATTGCTTCTGGTGATGTTGGGATGTCAGAAAGAAGGAAGTTTGGCCGGACCCATGTCTTGACCTGTCGTTGAAACCCCACTCACTCAGCTAGCCTCAGTCTCGCATCGCCTCCTCCATTTACCTCGAACCTACCTGTCGGTATTAGCACGGCCCTGGCGCCATGGATGGATAGGGCATGGCGATGGCTGATCGGCGACTAGGTTCCAGGTTGCGAGGTTGCGAGTTGCGCGCCCTGTGGCCGCCGAGTTCCAGTGCGCCCAGAGCTGCTCAGGGCCTGTCACTCCAGCGCTCCCAGCGGCGCGGACCCGCTGCCGTGTACACCTGCTGTGCGGCGTAACGGTTTTTCCACCTCCCTGCACCTTAACTCAACCTACCGGCCTGCCTCAGCTCCGCCAGCGGCCCGCCAATCGCGGCTTCACTATCGCCAATCGGGCAGAAAAATCATCCACCCAAGCTCGATCGACCCACGGCCAGCCGCCAATTCAACTCATCCCTTGCAGTGAGGCTCCACGGCGGATCATCAAAGACAAACTCGCCTCTTTTCCCACGATTTCTGCACCATCCGCAGCCCGGCCGGTCCTCTCTAATGCCACTCGCTCCCTGAGCCCGGAGCTTCTCCCCCGCTCGCCGTCGCTTTGACCCATCTCAACCGCCATCACATCCCATCATCACGCGCCATGCGCCCCCTGCGTGCCGCGAGGCTTTCCGGCACGGCTAGGTCATGGGCCCTGCAGAGGTCCTACTCGGTTCGTGTCCCTGGCGAGTGCCAGCGAGACATCAAGACGGTTGCGGACCTCAAGGCATGGGGTCCCGCCGCCAAAGTCCCGGATGTTGAGGTCTCCGGATGGGTGAGATCGGTGCGCAAGAGTTCGAACGTGCGCTTCATCGACATTACCGATGGCTCGTCAATGAGGCCAGTCCAGGTCGTCGTCGATAAGACGTTGGCTGCAGAGTATGTCAATCTCATCTCACTCTCTCTCCTTTGTTTCCATGGATGGATGGATGAATATCAAATACTAATGGCTCACAGCATGCGCCCAGGTGCCGCAGTTCGCCTCAGGGGGACATGGGTAGATGAGATCAAGGGGCGGCCTGGAGAGTCTGGCGTTGTTTCTCAAGATGGATCTTCAGATGCGAATGGAGGAAGAAGCAAAGTTGATATTGCGGATACTTCGGCTACCCCTGAAGACTCATCAGTGACGAGCACAACTACCAATGCTTCCAAGTCAGTCACTGCGGAACTTCAAGTCACCGAGGTGGAACTTCTTGGCCCGTCTGATCCTCAGGTACGTTCGTGGCCTCCAATGGCATACCCCCGTGAAGCCACTTGATGATCTCAATTCTAATATCCAACTCCTAGTCTTACCCTATCCAGAACAAATACCAAACCCCCGAGAGCCTCCGGACAATCTCCCACCTTCGTCCACGCACTCCCCTCAACTCCACCCTCCTTCGATTCCGCTCCGATTCCACTGCCCTCCTCACGCAGTTCTTCTTTCGGGAAAAGTTCCAGCAGACGCATCCCCCCATCATCACCTCCTCTGACTGCGAAGGCGCCGGCGAGGCCTTTGCTGTCAAAGCCAACGGTCCGGCAGAGTTCTTCCGTGACCCAAAGTACCTTACAGTCTCATCTCAGCTTCATCTCGAAGCCCTCGCTCAGGCCCTCGGCAATGTCTGGACTCTGTCGCCGACGTTCCGTGCCGAGCAGAGCGATACCTCCAGGCATCTAAGTGAGTTCTATATGCTCGAGGCTGAGATGAGCTTCGTCGAGGACATGGATGAGGTTATGGGCCTGGCGCAGCGGATGTTGAACTCTCTCACTCAAGGTCTCCAGGAGCTCAACGCTGCGACCGAGCTCAAGAAGAACCGCATCGACTCCAAGGATCCAGCTGAGCGTCTAGCCTACGAGGACCTGGTCGACCAAGTCCAGCTAGACCGCCGCTGGCGAGGCATGCTCACCTCCAAGAAATGGCCCCGTGTTACCTACAGCGATGCCATCGAGATGCTCAAGCCCGTCGCAGATCGCTTCGAGCACAAGCCTACCTGGGGATCGGGCCTCCAGTCGGAGCACGAAAAGTACCTAGCCGAACTGGTGGGTTTCGACCCAGTCGCTGATGCCTACCTCCCTATTTTCATCACCCAGTACCCGCGTGAAATCAAGGCCTTCTACATGCGCCAGGCCGCCGCCTCGCCTGTTAAAGGCCCGACGGTAGACTGCTTCGACCTATTGGTGCCCAACCTCGGCGAGCTCGCGGGTGGCTCTATGCGCGAACACCGTCTTCCACAGCTCGAGGACAACATGAGGGCCCTGGGCCTCGAGGTGCCCAACAAGCGCTCCGCGAAGGGCAAAGAGCTGGCCTGGTACCTTGACCTGCGTCGTTGGGGATCTCCTCCCCATGGCGGCTTCGGCCTGGGCTTTGATCGCCTACTGAGTTACTTGACTGGAGTACCCAACGTCCGCGACGTCGTGCCTTTTCCTCGCCACTACGAGCGTTGCGACTGCTAGACTCAATGAAAACACCATTCCTCTACGTCACGAGACCAGCTCTCTATCGACGAACCAATCCCCCCTCACTCTGTTGCAAATCGTCCTCGTTAACGCCTACCTACCTCGGACACCGTATCAACCTCTCCTCCATCCCGGGTCACGGCGATAGCGATCCGCCTCGGCGAGCGATCTCAGATCCGTGTCTCTGCCCTGTGCAATGTCGCACACATCGAGCCGAGCGATGCCTGTGCGTCCCGACAAAGGCAGTAAGGAGGACCCTTCCCCGAGGTTGTGGAACAGCCAGTGCAGGGTCAACCGCGCTGTGCCACATGACATGGATCAATGACTTGAAGATCGCTCTGGTATGCTGGTATTGGTTGTCTCTCCGTCGATGCGGTGAGGGCCTTCGTCTCGGCAGTGTGCTTGCGAGGTTACAGGATCTGGGTCACGAGATCCAGGTCCCCGACGCTGGTTCCCGACGGGGAGAGGCACCGGATCTTCCGTATAGGGCGAGACCCGATCTTGGAAGAGGCGGAACGAAATGTCTGAGACAGATCTGCTCAACTGTTATTTGTTCGATACTACGAGTCATACCCTTTCACGATGTAAGAATCTTGTACGACACTGGCTTGCGGTTGTATTTTTCCTGTATTATACATAGAGTCACTAGACCGATAGATTACTTGGATACAGGTTACCTTGATCGACTTTGGGTCACTTCTCTCTTGTCTACTGCGAGATGTCTGTGGTGACCTAGTCAACTTAAGTAAGGAAAAGTTTCGCCAAGCTTTGGTTGTCGACGACCCTTCAGTATCTCCTCATCAGGCTATCAGACTACGGACAGCTTTTTGGGGAATAGAGTCTTGACGTTGATGTGTTTCAAGTATATTACCGAATGCTTGAGTATTATGTCATCGCCTTTGACGATGGTTTCGTTGTAGGCGGAATGAGCTAGCAGTCCAGTCAAGCGGTTAGACTCGCAACGCCATGATGGAATCTCTTGGAAAGAACTCGTTAATGACACGTCACTCATTTGCTGCGTCGATAGGACAGCTAGGCAACTAGATGGCTCACACAGAACAGCAAATGTAACACCAAGGTGGCCTCCTAATAGCCCGTAGCAGATCCCCCAGACACCATACGGAGGTGAAACGGAAAGACGGCAAGGCGGAAACCCATGGACGGATACAACGTGCCGTACGAGACGAACTAATGCCAACTCCGTAACCGTACGGACCTGTTCGAGCACAGCCTCCCCCGGAACAGCAGCTAGGTTAGGGTTAGGGAGTGAGATAGGGTACGCTGGGCATCCCTGGAATAGGGAGATCTGGATAAATCGGCAAGGCCATGGCGTGTTGCGCCGGGCCCACGGCTCAAAATGGTGGTGATGACATCCCCCAGCGGCGGCGCGGCGGGACTCGTCAGCGGGCCCCCCCTAAATGCTAAAAATGCCCGGTCGCTGCGCTCGCACAATTGATACTGCGCAGTAGAGACTCGCCCAGCCCAGGGTTTATCCTTGGAAAGTTGCCGCGATGGTTTCCCGAGGAGAGCCAACTTTCACAGCAAGGTTGAGTGAGCAGCCGAGTGGACCAAGAAGCCGAGATGGTCCAGAGAGAGGTCCAGAAGGCCGAGTGGCGACGACGCCGCAGGGAGTGCGGTAGGGGGTGGGCGTGCATCCGACGAGGCCGTTTCATCCACCAGCACGACGCCAGTTGGCGGGTTGGATAAGCATATCTGACCATCTGGCGGGCGATGCCATCATCTTGCGGCGCGAATGAGCGAAATGCTGGTGCCGACGCAGCCGTCCGGGGAGGCGCCATGGCACCTTGCCAATAAGGGGGCGAGTCTGCGAGAGAGAGTGAGAGAGAGGACCCAGAAAAACGAGGATCCAGAACGGGGGCGTGTGGAACACTCCAACGGCCATTTATTTCCGGGCCTTTTAGAGGAGCTCCAGCGGTCCCAGCAGAGTCCCCAGCAGTTCCCCGGGTGGCAAAAGTACACTCGACCGGCTTCGAGAAGCTTTGCCCGTGCCAAGCACCGACCGTCGGGTGCCGTCTCCGCCGTGTGTTTGATGGTGACCACGGAGGAGGAGGCTCTTGGTGGTGATCCCCTCTACAGTGCCGTCTGCAGTGTCGTCTCCCTCTCAGCCGTGGCTCTGGAGGCGTCGTGACCGCAGCTCAGCTTCCAATTCACATCAACAACTGCCTCCAGGCTTCGCCGACGGCTGACATCAGCCCCCGTACGTGTGGAGGAGCTGGGCGTCCAATGTGGAAGCCAGCTATTCCGACTTTGCCGGCCAACGCGTCAGCTTGGCACGGGGGCGTCGTGGCACTCCCTCCCTCACTCCCTCAGAGGGAGCCCGCAACAAAGAACGCCCTCGGAGCGAGTGCTGCGTGCAGTATCGGTGACGACACCCCCTCCCACGAATTAAGCTTAAGCCAGATGTCGGGACCAGGGCTGCAAGCCTGCAAGAAGACCTCTGTAGTCAGCAGCCAATCTTGACCCACGGTGCTGGGGTGCTGGAGAGGGGAAAGGGATATCCGGCACGATAGCGGCTTCGCGCTGGGAAATTGCGACAGCCAGAGCAAGAGGGCCGAAAACAGGCCATCGTGGAGCACCCCCCCCCCCCTCTCCCCGAGGCGTCGTCGCTGCGAGGGCATCACATCAGGCTTCAGTCGCAATGGCCAAGACATGGACGCCCGGCGCGCGCGAGACAGATGACTTGGCCGCCCAGCAATCGACAGACACCAAAGTCCTCACGGCCAAGAGAATCAACGACCAGCCAAGAACCAGCCAAGGCGCCATGCGTGGGAAGTGACGGCTTGGCACCCGGCGTTAGATCTGCACCACTCGCGCGTTCCAGTCCCGCCATGGTAAAGTCGACGAGCCCCAAGGATTGCGATGCCGACTTATCCATGGCCGGCCCCTCCACGGCTCCTCCTTTCGCGGGAAGGCCAGTCCGGGAAATGGGAGCGCATTCCGTTAGATAATAGGTAGGGCCAAGGTCTTGGATCGACGGCACACCATCCACCATCCACCATCCATGGGGCAACGGGGGGTGTCGACTGGATCCTCCGACTCCTCTGGATCCTCTGGCTCCTCTCAATGCGGCGTCGTCCTTGGTCACCCATGACAAATGACTACTACTGGCTCCAGACATGTACTGGCTCCAGACCGTCCCTTGGCCCCATGGATTAAGCATGATCCATTCCTGACCTTCCGAGTAAGTTAAGCGTAAGCCAAATGCTCCTTGTGGACGTCCATTAGGTCACGAAACCTCGTGGCCTGAGAGTCGAGTCGAGCCATCCATGCCGCCTTTGCTCCCACATCCCTTGAGCCTCAACCCTGATCCGAGGAGGGTCTGGCCCACACAAACCCTGCGTGTGCGCGCGCACACAGCGTGATTCTCACGAGTCGAACAAAAGCCTCACGTTTGCCACGACGCCTCGCCCTTCGTGCCACCTGGCTTCACGCGCGCAAACAGGCAGACGAGCAGCCAACCCTCTCTGCCCGCCAAAGCAGCCGAGTCGTATAACGCCGAAGCCGCCGCAAATGCACACCTGACGAAAGGACCAGTCCAGGCCTGGTCCCGCCAAGTTCTAGACATCTTGGCGGCAAGGATCGATTAGAGTTGCAGGCGCCTGGCCCTTTTCGTCGCCTACCATGAGCCACTAATGCATGGAAGCGACACCACTGACCACCGCCTATTTTGTCCCCTGCCACCGTGTAGCTTTCTCGTAACATGTCCATTTGAATTCTCGTGTTGGTTAGAGCAAATCCTTTGATCATGCTGGGGGCAGGATGCTATACGAGGACCCTGATCGGATCATTTATTCAGCTGCAGTATGCATGTTGTCGGTGAATGGTAGGGGCGTCGGTGAGGCTGAAGCTTGGCGCTGCTTCCAAGACTTCCTGTGCAGGGTGCAGGATAAGCCTCCATTACTTAAGTACCTGTTGAGTCACGCGTGACGGTTATGTCTTGGCCAAGCTGGTGGCTTGGATTTAGTATCTTCTGGGCTGGTGATTGAAATAACCTTGTGTGGAGCATGGGTAGTTGGTATGCGGCTGTTTAGTGTGACTCACTGAGTTTTATGTCATGAGGTTTTGCGTATGTTTTGTTAGTCTGGATGTTTGATAATTGGAAACTGGGGAAGAATATTGGAGATTCGAAAAGAAATCTTGATTTTTATTCACCAAGATACAAGCACACTTTCAAATGCAAATACAATGTTGCGCGAGTGACTACTCCACCATGCACTCCCATGTAGGCGCCTCTTCCAAACATCAACATGCAATCGAGAGGTGTAGGGTAAGCGCTGTGCACGATGATCGGGCACTTGGTGTTTCAGGACTACCTTACATAAGCCAGCCCGACCCAGCCTCCACCACCCCAGCCAGCAGATCTCCGCGAGCCGCGCTGTCAATATTAAGCATCCAGCTTGGCATTGTCTCACGTACAGCAAAACTGGCCATCTTACCTTCCACGATGCCTTGGCGGGAATTATATTTCGGCGGCCTGCTAACTATTCAATTTGACTCTAGCCGCGATGACACCCGGAATGAGTTTGAAATACTACGTTAGCCCTCCAAGCCCTCCAGGCCCTCCGCGCCCTTGTCCCCGAGCCAGTGCCCTGCTACCAAGTAAGCCTGTGCGTCTCACTTCCACATCTTGTTGTTCTTACTCAATCGGTCTCCCGAGCACGGCGATTGGTTGGTAGGTAGCCCGCACGGACCTCTGCTATTTTATTGGTGTCGGGTAAGACCTTATGGCGGATAAGCATGCAGCCACCGAGTGCCAAGCTTTGCTCTGGCTGCACGGTAAAAATGCGAAAAAAGCTTCGCATTGGGACTTGGACAATAAAGTTTGGCGCCGGCCGAGTCAGCGTGACCATGACATGGGCGCACTACCGGACAGATCGGCACGCAAAACCCCCATCAGAGGCCCAAAGTGCCCGGCAAAGTGCCCGGGCTGGCTAATTTGGTGCGTCCGCTTCGGTACGCGAAAGGCCAGCATGGACGCCATGTCGGATGCCGTCGCTCGCGAGGGATGTGCGGTGCCGATGCCGACATATCCAGCCGCTATAGCCAGGCGCCCTGGGCCACTGACCACTGACCCGTGCTGAGCATTGGGGCAGCTGGCACAGCGGCCGCCTACCCGGGGATGACGACGACTTCCACATCATCGTCGTCCACATGTCCACCGCGCCCACTACGAGTACGCAGCACGCAGTACGTAGCACGTCCACCACGGCCACCACGTCACGAGACCAACTCCCCTGCGTCGCTCCTCATCCAGAGCAGGGACCCTGACGGCGATGAGAAACTCGATGCTTGGCGCCCAAACTCGATAACTTCCCGACAAGAGCGCCTGCGAAGATGCGGTTGGTGGGCCATGACACCGCAGCCAAGGCCGACCCACCCGGCACCGCGAACACCTTCGGGAATAACGCGTCCCCCAGGATCAGCTTGAAACCCGCCCCTCGCACCCTGGCAGCCAAGTCGGTTCGGACGGCATCTAGGAGCCACACCAAGCCCACCACCATCCTGACCATCCTGACGCCGCATCATCCCTCAGAAGCCACAGGCTCCAGCCGGTGCAGTCGGCGCCGACAATGTGTCCTCTTGCTCCCTGGGCCGGCTTAGCACGGCACCCAGATCCCTCCACAAAAGCCTAACGGACCTGTCGAGACCCTCGGTGCGCCCTGGCGGTCAGGGTGTCCATGTCCCCGACGGTTGATGCGCACACGCCCTGCGCGGAATCACACCCGTGCCAAGCAAATGGCTGGCAACGCTTAAATTCATGCTTAATCCAGCGCGTGTATCTCATTGACCGTGAACGTAGTCCTGCCTACGAGCACCTGACCATGACCCAAGCAGAGCCCAGTCCAGATGCTACCTCTGTGGCGTCCCACGTCGAGTTTCGCCCGCATCTCGCTGCGACGTTTGCGTCCTCTCCTTGTTGGCTCCGCCCGTCGTTGCTCGCGATGCATAACTGTGCACAACAGCAGGCGAAGGATTTCATTTTACCGTCGCTTAAAAAGATCCGTGAGCTGAGCGCGCTCACCGAGATGAAGGCCCATAAGCCGCATGTACCATCTCCACATGCTCGAGGTTCATGGAAAAGACGGGATCTTGGCGAGTGGAAGAAGCAATCGCAGAACAAAGCCAGGACTTTTTGGTCGATTTCTGGGGCTACCTTAACTCAGACGGGTTACCTCCGCGCTGTTGCGGGTTGCAAGCCTCGATAGATTGCTGGGCTAGTGGGATCGCAGAGCCGGTTTGCCGAGCTCAACTCAATTTTCAGACGCCCTGCCCACCAAAATGTCAAAAACGACCCGGGTACCCCCTTGGCGCTGGAAATCCCTAGCCCTAGGGCCATTGCGCGGTGATATCGGCAGTGCGACCAAGGCGGCCGACGGGCGATCATGATGCGACAGTCTCTGTCTGGCCGTTCAGCGGAGGCACTTGCGAGGAAGATCTCGGTGCCAGTCGAAGCGTTCGCCAGGTGCTGGAGACGGGCGGCTTTGGCAAGGGGGCCGTGTCTGTAACCACTACTCGGCACCGCGGCACAATCGACGTCATCCCTAGGTTTGGTGACGGCGTGGGGAATGGACCAGGGCGACAAGAAACGCCGATTTTCCCGAGTCGCCTCTGCTGGTTGGCTGTAGCTTGTCCAGACGTCGAAACAACTGCTTTTCTGGGTGAAAGGCGCGAGAGGTGGCTCTGTTGCAAGCAACGCGGCCTTTGGAGCGCCTACAAGGGCATCTTGGTTGACGAGACGTCTTTTGGGGGACGGAGGAATATCAAGCAATCCTGTAACTCACTGGCGCAGCCATCGATCGCTATCCCCAAACGCCCTGAACGATCACAGGTCATCTGGTGGGCGATGCGAATATGTCAATGACGCAGATGGGGCTCTCCCGAGCGGTTGCATTGAATCCCGCGCCCTCAAACGACTAATCGTACAATTGTGCCTTGTTGGCCGAAGCTGGCTCCCCAGAGAGAACCGAGTCTCGGTGGTTTCGCGGCGAGAAGAGCACTTTCCAGCCCCTGTCTCGACAAAATCGGAGAGATTTTTTCCCAACCTGCAGAACAAGTGTTGCATCAAAAGTCTGCACGACGAGAGCAAGCCCTGCGGAGTTGCACGTAATAATTACCTAGCGAGCTAAGGCGGTCCGTAACCTTTTGGTCGTGGCTGGTTCCGGGGCAAAAAGGTAAAGTCTCCTGCTGGAGCTTCTCCGGCTTAAGCTTACACTTGGACCCTAACTTTTTGGCCTTGTGTCAGAGTTAACGTCGTGTACCTGGAAACGTCATCTTGGCACGGCGCCCGGGGCATGAGGCTATTTCCTTTTTTTCTGTTGGCACGCGGAGGGTCCGACCATCACGGAGCGCTGATGAACTTTGTACACGTGTGAGGGCAAGCGCTGATGGACGGATCCTTTACGGATGTACGGAGTACGGAGTAAACAGAAAAGGATGAAAATTAAAGTGGCGATGCTAATTCCCGACCGACATTCAACAACGCTGCTCAGCCTGCGAGAGGGCCCAGAAATAGCAACCGGCACCTCGACATTGATGACGGGCCAGTGGGCCTCGTGGAGGATTAAGTGCTGACGCTGTGACGTTTCGGAGGGCTTGTTGTTTGGGGCGTGCGGCTCTCGGACTTGGCGGATGAGGATCATCGTTTGATTTCCCGATGATGGGTGTCGCATAAGATCTCGGGCTTACTGTGTCTGCTCTCAGCGCATCGCCCTGCTGAGACGGATTCCATCCGGCAGGGCTGCGCCGGCCCCCAACAACGACTGGACGGGGACGGCTATTACTCTGCCCGCCGACCTGCTCGATGACCCTCTCGATGACCCTCTCAGTGGACCCTCTCAGTGACCATCCCAGTAACCCTCCCAGTGACCTCTCGATGCGTTTCGGTGGAGGCTTTGCAGACGAGACACCAAGCCATGGTCGGCCCGCCGGCACCAGAATGACGAATGCCGTCCACTTGGATCGGACTTGTCGCGGGAGTGAATGAGTGAGTGAGAGGGTTCATTTCCATTTGCGGAAACGAGTGACCGAGACGAGTGGGTTCCGGCGCTGGGATAGGGAGATGCAGATACACAATACACACGGGCAGAGAGTCGACAAAGTGTCACTGGACACGGGACACTGAAACGGCCACTGCACGACGACAAACATCAGAGGTTGTCTCTGTCTGTAATACCTGGATGTTGGGCGTTGGCCGCCTACACGAACATGAGGATGGGACACGAGGACAAAAGATGCCACTGGAAGCGTCGCCTAACCTTAAAAGGGGGTGTGTAAGATGCACGGGCTGGCTTGGCCCAGCAGATCAACAGGATTAGGGGTACGAGGTACAGTGCTACATTGATGTTTTTTGATTACTGCTTGTCGGTCACCATGGTTGGTCGTTGAGCGAACCTCGCCAGTTTGCCCCTCTGGTTTATCGTATTGTTCCAGAAAGCCTTGGGTTTAGGGGGCGTGTGGGCAGGTCTCGCGCCTGAAGTCCATGGGCAGCTTACTTTTACTCGATGGTATTACAGCCGCAAGCAGAGCCTCCGGGGCATGGAGGCGAGCCGAGAGAGCCTAAAGGGAATCCGGCGGCATGGGGGAAATGAAGCCTGGGACTTCAGCCTGTGGTTGCCCGTTCAGCACTGTCATTCAGCTGTCAGCCATATCTGAGAGCCAAGCCTCTCGCAGTCCAGACGCCAGCCACTCAGAGGCGGGACGGACGAGGGCGCTGTGGACATTGGACTAACACGCCCAAGTTAGCACGTACTATGTACTACGCCGGCGTAGATTGGCCGCCCCCAGGTTTATTTTTCCCTGTCGGACGGTGTTCCAGATGTCGCAAGGCCGGCAGCCACGGCACTTGGTGCTAAGGTGGCGGGCTTGGTGCCAAGCCATCATTGGGCCTAGCCAGCCGCATCTTCCGCCCCGGGGCTGTCAATGTGACTAATTGCACGTCTTTGCTGAATACGCGTGAATAGTATGATTGCAGTGGTAGGTTTTGAGGTATGGTACCGCTACCGACTTTTGGTTTTTAAAGTGTGCAATGTGCGTGGGCATGTGTCTGTCTCTCCCACCGCCCCCAAAGACGCCCGCAAGGTCTTAAAGTCCAAGATTAAGGTATTGCAGGGTTCGTCCCCGTCGTAACTCGTACCCATTGCCCAACTGAATTCCCAGGCCGGCCGTGCAGCGGTCCTTTTTTTCGCTGTGGGCGACGACGCCAAGTCTGACTGACTGCTGGGCGCCGCCGACTAACCGGCGGCCTTGTCACCAGCGCCGCCCAGGGCCTGCCGGCAGAAGGGAAAAAGAGAATAGCACCCCAGTGCTCTAATTTCCAGGGCCGAGGAGCGCTGAAGGCGGACAGCAATGTGCTGCAGCTGGGTGCTAGCGCACTTACATCAGAGGCCCGCTACATAACCTCCACAGATGAGCGCGGGCGAGCGAGTCTTGGTGTGTGATCAGCAAGCCCGCAGCCCGCCACGCACACGCCCCCCCTTCTCACGGAGAGTTCCATGTCGCAACGAGCAAAGCGGTCGAGGTTCTGGCCCCCCGCGAGGGTATGAAGGCCAAAAAAGCCATCGATGCGGTCAGAGGAAGAATTTAAAAAAGGATGTAGGAATTAAGCTCTCACCCGGCCGCGCGTACCTACACCACAATTCATAGTTCCCGGCGAGTTGGCGCAGAGATCGCCATGTTCCGGAGAGTGTCAGGAAGCCAAGGCTCGGTCTGCGCATCTGGGGGGCGGCGGGTGATCTGCTGTGTACTAACTAACTATGCGCTGCAATCTGCACATGTAGCCGTAGCATGTAAGAGGTTTTGGAATCCTTCGCGCCGCCCGCCTTTTTCGGTTCTTTTGTTTGTGCGAGTTTATCTTTCGCCCTCTCTTTTGTTGCGTTTGGCCACGGCCACGATGCATGTCACCCTCTTTTCTTTCCCTTCTGCCGCTTCCCCGGTTAGAGACCATTTGCCATGTTTCTCCCTAGTTTGACCCAACGCGAGTAAAGAAGGAGCGCAGACACTCGTTGTTAAACGGGGCTAGGTTAGCGTTTGTGTTTCCGGCGGACACTCGATAGTATGCGCCATCGCTTGTGGCTCATTTTCATTATCGGTCGTCGTCAGGAGTCGTTTCTGTAACACGAGCCATGTACAAGACCGGAAAGACGGCTATGGGATATCGCCCCGGCTGGAGCATAGTCTGGTTCTGGGTTAAATACGCGCACTGACATCCGGGTCTGGGGGTGCCGGATGGGGCACACAGTTGAACTCGAGGATAGGAATAGGAGGACCATGGACGAGAAACACGCACTGCATTGCACTTACAGCGGGTGGCAAAAGAATTCCCACGGGCATCATTCATTAAGCAGAGCCTGACTAGTAGCCAAGCTTAGCAAGTACCGACAGCGGTTCCTGAAGCCTGGGGGGGGGGGGGGGAAACAGTGAACCGGGGAAAAGCGGCATCTCTTACTTTTTGACCTTGACTAAACCTCGTCAAACCACAACCCAAAAAAGGCCTCGCTCTCTGGGATACCGGCGGCGGACGGACCAGCGACGCCTCCCCCACGACTTATCATCAACTGCAACACCACCGCCAGCCTCTGAGCGTTCCAGACTCGCAGCCCGCCAACTACACCCTGACGGACTCGAGACGCCAGTGGTAAGCTCGCGCGCCGCTTCTTCCGCCTCCCCTTCTAAGTCGCCCCGCTAGGCCTCCCCCAGCAGCTCTTCTTTCGCTGGGCCAGTCCAGATTCCACATTCCGTTGGCCTGCCCTGTCACGCCCTGCAGCGTCATCCCTCACGCTTGGCCCCTTGATGGTGGGCCGGCTTCCAAAAGCTTGTCCTGACCCAACCCTCCAACCCTGGCTGTAACCACGCCCCTGCTCGCCCACCAGCACACCCTCAGGCCCCCTCAGCCTGTGTTGCACACCCTCAAACAACAATACACTCCCTCTTGGCTCTGCCGTACTCCGTCCTTCTCCACACGGCCGGCCATGTGTCGCCGAGTTATCCATCCTCAATTTTCCCTTTCCTGACCAGTCTTGACAACCTTATCTAGCTCTTGGCCCCCCTCCATCCGCTTGTGTGTTTGCCAAGAACTCGTTCAGAGAGACCCTGTTCAGCCATCTCTTGGCCAGCTTCAAATCATCGAAATCCGTTGGACCAGTTGCACCGCCGTTCCTTGTCGTACCAAACCTCCAAATTCATACGCAGAGAGCCGTGTCCTCGATCTCCACGCTTTGTCAATAGGTACGTAAGTTCTCGTCTCAGGTCTCGTGCTTTTTCCCTTTCGATTTTTGGCATTTGGTCGGTGATCCCGGCGCAAAAGCTGGCCCCAAGAGTGAGGCGGCTGAGAGAGAGCATGGGGCAAGGCCTAATTCTCTTGGCACTCGGCATCCTGCAGTTGCTCTTTGTCACAGCTTGGAGCCGCATCGAATTGGCATTATTTCCCTCGGCGATCACTGCTCCTCGCTCAGTCGGTGCCTCCGGGTGCCAAGAGTCGAGAGTGTGGGATTACCCCAGAGGCTCTCGGTGGTTCTTGGTGGTTCTTGGAACGTCGTCATGCACATCGCCAAGCGGCAAACACACTCAATCTCTGGGAAATTTTAGTCGAGTGGATGGGTCCCACTGGATCGGCTCCGACGGCACTCTTCCGCAAGGGAATCGAGGGCCACCCCTGTCTCTGGCATTGGGTGTTACGGTGCTGCATGTACGGGCGTGGGTGTGCGCGTTGTATCAGCATTATATATGGGATACGTGCTGCTCTCACGCACTCTGGCCCGTCACCCTTGCTCGCTTTGCCCATCTCTGTACTTGGCTCTACTCTTATCCTTGGGTGCATTCATGCCAAGCCTGCTGTGATCATCCAACACTGGGTCATCCGCCGGGTCATCATCCACAGGGTCATCATCCAACGCCAATACTGACTCGTCATCGTCCAATTAGTCCCGGCTGTCACTGGCCTCCACCCCCAATCCGACGACACCCCGGGTGGTTTTCATTACCACGCCGCGTTTCGACTTTTACCACTCCTGGCACCTGGCTTGCCCAAACTCTCGCCTTGCCAACCCTCCCAGAAACGCCAAGAAACTTAACAATCAGCCCGCGTCCATCGGTGGGGACGAGGACGCAATTCCGCTCACTTTTTGGCCGTTGTGGAGCCGGCGCCAATAAATACGCATATCCGCATACAGTCCTGGCCCGATTAGATCTGGTGGGGCGCCGCGTGGAAGTCGACCCTAGCTCTCACGGGCAATTCTTATAAAGGCCATTACGCCCGTCAGCTCCTGGCTTACGCTCAGGAGCACTTACAACCGCCAAGCTGCGGCAACTACAGAACTCTGACCCTATCCTCTTGGACAAGATGGAAACCTACCACGGATACGTGCGAACGCCCGCCGACGCCATTCGGCTGTTCGAGGCATGCCGACTGGGCATCTTGCCGCGAGTGCAACGACGGCTCTCTGAGAAGGAGAGGCAATCGATTCGATCCGGCTCGGTGTTTGTGTGGGATGAGCGAGAGGCCGGCATGCGACGATGGACCGACGGCAAGTCGTGGAGCGCCAGCCGAGTGTCTGGCAGCTTCCTGACCTACCGCGAAATGGAGGGCAAGCGAGGAGGCGGCTTCTCTGGCCGACGGAACGCTGGCAAGACGCCCGACTCTGGACGCGGTAGCGACGAGGACCAGGACGACGGCGAGCCCGAGGGATACCGATACAAGGCCGACGGCCTCATGAAGCAGTCTTTTAGTATCACCACTTCTACCGGCCAGCACCTCCACCTCATCTCGTACTACTCCCGACCGCAGCCCGGTCAGCCCGACCTTCCCCAGCCAACTTCGGATGCCACGCTGCGAGGCATCGTCCCCGTCAAGGGCATGTACCCCGAGTCGAGCATGGGAGAGACCAACCCGACTCCCGCCCTCACACGAGCCCCGATGCAACAGCCTCCATTCATGGTGGCACCTCAACATCCCCAACATCCCCATCACCATCCTTATGCGCCTCAGTACGGACAGCCTGGTTACGCCTGGCCTCCTTCGCCCGTGGCGACACCTCCCTACAGCCACTACGCGGCTCCCTACCCGCAGCCTGGTCACCATCAACCCGCCCACCATCAGCTTCCTCCCCACGCTTCCCAGGCGCCGTTGCCTCATCCTCAATACTCCCAGGCACCACCCTACGACCAGCGAGCTACCCTCCCACCTCCACACTCTAAGCCAGCAGCTCTTCCTCCTTACCCCCAGCATCCTTCGCCTCACTACACCCACACGCCGCTGCCTCCTCGACAGGGCTCGCCCCGTGAGCACCTCCAGGCTGCTGCCCAGAGTGCCATGGTCGATCCTCGCCTCAACACAGGCAGCCGGGGCCACCAGGGACCTCTGCCTGCTCTTGGCGCCGTCACTAGCGCAGCCTCCAGCTCCTCTCTCGCGGCAATCAGCACTCCTCCTAACCGCGCCTTGAGTATCAGCCCACCACGGAGCTCCCACTCGGCGGATGTGCCTCCAAGCAACAGCAACAAGGCAAGTCTGTCGGCCCTCCTGCACCCTACCCCTGCCAGCAGTGAGCCTGGCAGTGCCAACCCCGCTACCAGCGGTAGTGCGGGCAGCAGCCCCAGGGCTAACGGCATCTGCGGTCTCGAAAAGGGCGGCGTAAGCGAGGACGCGCGGGCGTTGAGAATGCTAGATCGCAAGTTTTGCATTTAAGGAGATGGGAAGACGATTTACTCGGCTTCGAGCCTGAGCATTGAGCTCCATCTGGTGTTTTGGAGGATGGGTTACCCACGGGACGATTCAGCATCGCATTGCATTTTCTTTGTCTCCATGCATTGTTACGGCGTCTGGACTTTACAGGGCGGCAGCCAGAGGGCCTTGCCGCGGTTGCATTCAGCGGGATTTTATCACGACCGTCAAGGGGATTGGTGTTTTGTTTGTAAGGTCCGGGTATGTACCAAAGGTACACACTGGTTTTACGGTGTTTGGGATATCGTCGGTGACGATTCAATGATCACTTGGCGTACGTTATAGCCTACATAGCAATACAGACAGCTCATGGACAGCAATCGTTTGAGCAACTTGTTTCGTGGTCGCATTCCTGGGGTGTGATTGATACTAGGTTGCAGATAAGCATACTACGTACGACGGCGGTCTAGCCAGTCCGGGGTGGATGTGCCTTTCCAGTGTCGCCGGTAAATTAACGCTCCCTTGGTTGGTGGGACCCTGCAACCGCATTCTTGAGTTGATTCCCGTTGGCTTTGCCATACAGGCCCCGTTTGCACCGAGGAGCTAGCGCCGCGCGGTGGCCGCGTCATCGTAGCCTTTTGAGCGGGGTGGAGGAATGCGGCGGGGAGAGCGTTGATAGTTTGGCAAGACTATTCGTTCTAGAATGGGCGGTATGGGTAACCTGGGTGGCCTAACAGGCGACGTCGTCAGTGGATGTGGTATTTCCGGGCGAGGGTTTCGTTTCATCGCGGCGGGGTGGGCGGTTGTGGCCGCGGCTGAGCTGTGCTGAGCTGCGTATTCCCAGGGATGCTGTCCTTTTTTTAGGCGCCTGGTGGTGTCAGGTGAAGGTCGATCGATGGGTTGGGGCTGTGTGGGATCTATGAGGATGGAGTTGAGGAGGTGGTTTGTTGGTTGGATGTATCTTGAGTGGATAGGTGAGGGTGTGAAGATTTGGTGTTGAGGAGCGACTATGTAACCGGATAGACGCTATTGGACGCTATCGATTGTAGATGTCCGAACGGGGTATTGGGTAATTGGGCCATTGAAAACTTAGGTGTGGATATGGCAAGAGGTAACCCGGTTAAACGTATTCATCCAACATTGTCTACACATGTGTGGCGTGAGCAATTCAGAGGTGAAATCAACGTGAAGTCAGGTCCTAGTGAGGACCAGTGCTCGTGTTTGTTTATCATCCCTAGGACGTGAGTACTCGCAGGATTTACGGTGCGGTAGTGGATGTGTCCGATCGACATGTAAATAGCTGGTTGTGCCTCATGCTGCACTACCATCGAGAGCATGGTGATGATATTCTGGTTAAGTGGTGGGAATTTATTCATTGTTGCCTCCACCCATGACATATTTTAAACAATAGGGCACCTTTACTCTCGACTAATACACCACACGGAATCAATGCTCCTGAGCCTAATTGTCCTAGTCCATCACCGCTGCAATAGCATGTATGTTGATACCAAAGTGAAGCCAGGTGAAGTTGGTCAAGTCTAGGGTAACTGACCGTGTAAGTCGCATAATAGATTTGCCGGCCCGGCCGAACCCACAGCTCCCCCTGCGCTAGGCTCGATCTAAGCCAGGATTCTTGGAAGCTTTCCACGCGACTCGGGAGTTCATTGTTGGCCCAAAAACGCCATGACGACAGCGCCCTAGGCAACGGGACACGGCATTTCCATCTCCTTCGCAATCGATCATCCATTGCGACCATGCTTGCGAGGTCCATCTAACACCCCCGCGCAGCGCCCACCATGTTCACCTTCTGCCCGCTCCAGGGCGCCCTGTCCGACTCGCCCGCCTCGCAGTCTCTACTCGAGCTCGATGGAGGGGTCAAAGTCCTCGTCGACCTGGGCTGGGACGAGTCGTTTGATGTCGAGAAGCTCAAGGAGATTGAGAAGTATGCGCCGACGGACGTGCCGGTGCGAACGCGATGATGCTAACTGGGCGCTCGTAGACAAGTCACGACCCTTTCGCTGATCCTCGTTACACACGCGACGGCGTCGCATCTCGCTGCATACGCCCATTGTTGCAAGAATATTCCCCAGTTTACGCGAATTCCGGTATATGCGACGCGACCAGTCATCGATTTGGGCCGCACCTTGATCCAGGACCTTTATTCATCGACGCCTGCGGCCGCGACGACGATCCCCCAGAGTTGGCTCTCCGAGTCAGCATATTCATTCTCTCAGACTGCGACGAACGCGCAGAACCTCCTACTACAGTCCCCGACCCCCGAGGATATCGCGCGATACTTTTCTCTTATTCAACCTCTCAAATACTCCCAACCGCATCAACCTCTCCCGTCTCCCTTTTCGCCTCCCCTCAATGGGTTGACTATTACAGCATACAACTCCGGACATACTCTTGGTGGCACAATATGGCATATCCAACACGGCTTGGAGTCGATTGTTTATGCGGTCGACTGGAACCAGGCCCGTGAGAATGTCTTTGCGGGTGCTGCCTGGTTGGGAGGTGCTGGGGGTGGTGGCGCCGAGGTTATCGAGCAGCTGCGCAAGCCTACAGCCTTGATTTGCAGCAGCCGTGGGTCAGACAGGAATGGCCAGTCTGGAGGTCGTATCAAGCGAGACGAGCAGTTGGTCGACACCATCAAGGCTTGCGTTACCCGGGGAGGAACTGTACTGATCCCAGTGGACTCGAGCGCCCGAGTGCTGGAGCTGTCATACCTCCTGGAGCATGCGTGGAGAGCTGATGCCGCCTCCCCGGAGAGTGTCCTCAAGTCTGCAAAGCTCTATCTCGCGGGACGCAACATGTCTAGCACGATGCGATACGCGCGAAGTATGCTCGAGTGGATGGACGACAGCATTGTACAGGAGTTTGAAGCCTTTGCCGAGGACCAGCGAAAAGTCAATGGTGCAACTGGGAAAAAGGAGGGCGGACCGTTGGATTTCAAATATCTGCGATTGCTCGAGCGCAAGGCCCAGATCGAAAGGTTGCTGAGTCGCAGTACGGAAAACGCCGCGACAGAGGGCCGAGTCATCCTGGCGAGTGATACCAGCATCGAATGGGGATTTTCAAAGGACCTGATTAAGGGACTGGCGAAGGACTCGAGAAACCTGGTTATCTTGACAGACAAGCCTGGCTTAGCAAAGGACGACAAACCCTCAATTGCGAGGACACTCTGGGACTGGTGGAAGGAGAAGAGAGATGGCGTTTCCATGGACCAGAACAACGGTGGAGATAATATCGAACTCGTGTACGCTGGCGGCCGGGAGCTGCAGGTCAAGGAGGCCCAGCGCCAGCCTCTTGAGGGCGAGGAGCTGTCTGTGTATCAGCAGTGGCTGGCTACGCAGAGACAGCTTCAGGCGACACAGCAGAGCGGAGGAGCGTCGGCTCTAGAAGCATCAGCTGATGTTGTGGATGACGCCTCCTCAGAGTCCTCATCTGATTCAGAAGACGACGATGGCGAGCAACAAGGAAAGGCGCTGAATGTGTCGACCACCCTTGGCCAAGTCGGCCGTAAGAACGTGGTTCTCAAAGACGAGGACCTCGGCATTAACGTGCTTATCAAGAAGAAGGGCATATACGACTTTGATTCAAGGGGCAAGAAGGGCAGGGAGAGGTCGTTTCCTATTGCAATCCGGAGGAGACGCAACGACGACTTTGGAGAGCTGATTCGACCCGAGGACTACCTTCGAGCGGAGGAGAAGGAGGAGGACAATGCAGACGCTGCCAACTTGGCAGCCATGGACGACAAGCTTGGCAAGAAGCGTAAATGGGACGACGTGGTGAAGAACGGCCCCGGTGCCAACAAGCGGAACCAGACAGCGCGTGCCGGATCTGTGGACGACGCCGAGGGTGGCGGTGCTGGCGATGGCTTCGTGCCGGACGAGCTCGACGCAGTTGAGGATAACGAGCCAGAAGAGCCAGCCGGCCCATGCAAGCTCGTGTACCAGACGGAGACGATTACGGCCAACCTGCGCATCGCCTTTGTCGACTTTAGCGGCCTTCACGACAAGCGAAGTCTGAACATGCTCATTCCGTTGATCCAGCCACGCAAGCTTATCCTGGTGGGTGGCAGCCGCGAGGAGACACTTGAGCTGGCCGACGACTGTCGCAAGGCTCTCGGTGCGAATGGCGACCGTGCCGTGGACGTGTACACACCCGAAGTCGGCGTGTCGGTTGATGCCAGTGTCGACACCAACGCCTGGGTCGTCAAGCTGGCTGATCCGCTCGTCAAGAAGATCAAGTGGCAGAACGTCCGCGGACTCGGCATCGTCACCATCACCGGCCAACTGCTCGCCACACGCCTCGCCGACGACGGCGACGAAGACGCTGCCAACAAGCGCCAGAAGACGGAGCCTTCCACCGCCCTGGTCAACAGCAACGGCACCTCCGGCATGCCCACTCTCGACGTCCTCCCGTCCAACCTCGTCTCTGCAGTGCGCTCTGCCGCCCAACCCCTACACGTTGGCGACCTGCGACTCGCAGACCTCCGCCGCGCCATGCAGGCTGCGGGCCACGGCGCCGAGTTCCGCGGCGAGGGTACTCTGGTCGTCGACGGCACCGTCGCCGTCCGCAAGACTTCGGCCGGACGCGTGGAGGTCGAGAGCGTGGGTCTCCCGACGACCGGGCGCCGCACTACTTTCTACGAGGTGCGCAGGGTGATATACGATAACCTGGCCGTTGTGGCGGGTGCTTAGACAGGACGGTTGCGATTTGCTTTGCCATTGGGATAGTCTGGGACGGGACGGCGCATTTGTACGCTATGTATGCATCTCTGTATTTTGGGACAGGCAGAAGTGAAGAAAAAGGGGAGCTCATGAATGGAGATGACGGGGTGGGCATCGTTCAGGTGCAGATGAAGGATATCAGATAGAGTCGATAGACACAAACCAGTTGGGTCTCAAGATGCTCTTTTTTGTTACAATGAAGACTGATTCGAATCCTCCTTTCACGCTATAATGATGACATGTATTCTATTACAACAAGTGCTGCCTTTCCCGTGCCCTCTAAATCCCTTACTTGGCAGGCCGTAGCTCGCGAGGGGGTAAAGATGGGCCAGTACAAGACACAGCGCCCAAACGCCCGGCAATGCACGCTATTCCAACGCGTGGGAAGCCCCAATATTCTATCCTTTGACAAATGAAGCCGTAACCATTCACCTCGTGGGCTCCATCTGAGCCATCTCGTACTCTCCGGCGCCGTCCCGGCCCCTCCCCCTGCCACGGCCCCGGGAGAAGCCCATTTCCTCATCGCCCTCGACGTCGTCGTTGCCGGCGCCCTCGCCACCGTCCGGCTGGGTCGCGGCCGTGGGCGTGGCGCCGAGGATGCGGCGGCCGCCGAAGAAGACGGGCTGCAACTCGCGGTACTGGCAGCCCCAGATGCCGAGGCCGGCGGAGAGGGCGGCCGAGGCCAGCATGGTGGCCCACCACATGGCGTGGCGCGGGATGCGGCCGGTGTACAAGGACGTGATGACGAGGTGCAGGAAGTGGATGGTGATGGCGAAGTCGGGGACGAGCTTGCTGCGGGAGATGAGGACGACGAGAGCGACGGCCCTGGAGGGTGTTAGTGACTGTAGAGCGCAGTGTAAGTTGATCCTCGTCGAACAAGCTGCACTTGCGCTTTCATCCGAAGCATTCCAGCCCAGAAACTCCAGCATGGCAACTTACATGCACAACCCTCCATCCAACATCCACACAAACGCCGTCATCCAGCCGGCCGTGGTATCGCCGCGCACCGCCTCCCAGCCAAACACCAGGCGGAAGCTGAACCCGGAGCCGGCCACCAGCGCGGTGAACAGGAACAGCACCAGCGACGCGGCGTAGTACAGCGCCTGCAGCGCGGCGATCTGGCCGGCGATCTTGAGCGGCGGCAGCTCCGTCAGGGCGCCGGCCCGCGGGGGTCTGCGACGACGCGCCATTCAGTCGTGTGTGTGTGTGTGTGCGAGGCGGAAGAGCGGCGGGCGAGGATATCGGTTTTGGCTGAGGCGAGGCGTGTTATCGGGCGGGCATTTCTCGTCGTCGTAGTTTCGGATCTGGGAGTTGCGCCTCGACGGGGGGTTTGGTGGTGGAGGGCACGCGGACGCCCAGCACGTGAGGCGGTTCGACCTGGCGAAGCCTCTTGTGCGTATCCGGACTGGGAATTGGGTGCGGAGCGAAGAAACGAAAACACGATCTGCGTGTGGTGAATGCACGATGCGCAAGGGAACAAAAAAGGGAGGTTGGAAGATGACGGAAGTTGGAATGACGAGCGAAGGGAAGTCAAGTCAAGTCAAGGGTCTCGGCCTCACAGGGCGCGCGCCGTAAAGGAGGACACCTTGAAGCCCGGGGGCACCAGCCACACCCGAAAGCGGCGAAAAAAGGGCATCAGCCACTAACTACGTAGAACCCGCGGTGGCTTGCGCTTGTACTCCGCGCATCGCACTCACCGCCCGGCGATTCTGCCGCCGGCTGCTTCTTTTCTCCTGCATCCGTCATCATAGCTGCAGCTGGCGAGCGACCCCGAGCCCGCAGCATCCGCCGTCCTCCGAGCAGCTTCCACGGGGAATTGTGCTCCCATCCGATCCATTCTCCGTTGATACCGGCGTCGATTCTCCTCCCGCGGCATTCCAGACGAGCTCACAAGCTTGCGCCGCCTCCAATTGACACCCGCCGTCGAAAAACCACACCACACCACCGAACCCCACCTCACGAAGCTTCACCCGCCGACCCTCACAATGTGGCCATTCTCCTCCGACACGCGCGGCGACGCCATCCGCTCCGGTAACGCCATCCCCAACCGCCAAGAGCGCACCGTGTGCTGGGCCGCGCGCGACGCCTACTTCAACTGCCTGGACGCCAACAACATCATCGACGCCAACAAGGACGCCGGCGCCGCCAAGAAGGCCTGCCCCGAGGCCTCGGCTGATTTCGAGCGTGACTGCGCCGCGGCTTGGGTCAAGTACTTCAAGCAATGGCGCGTCGCCGACATCAACAAGCGCAGGCGTCTCGACGAGCTGCGAGCTCAGGGCGCGCAGGAGATGACCGTCACCTCGACCTTTGCCCCCGAGGGTGGTGCTGCCGAAAAGGGCAAAAGCAAGGACGAGATCCAAGATCTGCTGGAGAGGAAGAAGGGGAGGTAAACCAAAAAAAGGTCACGACGAACCATGATATGAACAACATGGCACTCCCGCTGTTGTATCTCGAACAAGTGTATTTATATATGTGTACATCACCACCCTTATTAGCTCACGCAACCACCGCTCATGTCTGTACGACTACCAAAAGCACATCTCGACCTGACGAGAAAAAGACAACTCTGTATCCTACCGTATCTATCCCTACTACCTAACCCGCCCAATCCCAACTAAGTGTAACCCGATAAAATAAGAGACGAGAGGCGCGAAAGAGCCGAGAGAACGACTCGAGGGTTCCAATCGGAGAGAAGCGCACAGTAGAAAAAAAGTAGAGTAAAAACAAACTGTAAGCATGCTCGATGCAGCGGTGGTATCATCCATGTCTTCTTTTTTTTTTAACCAAAACAGCCATTATCTGCACATTCTCTGCCCCCCTCTCGTGCGTCCTTTGCACCACGCGATATAGTTTCGCACTGTTGCGCTCGCCTGCTTCCTCCCTGCCAGACATAAGAAAAAAATGATGAGGCTGTTTTCGTAGACGTAGTATGTCAAAAATAAGTGGAATGGAAGAATGAAGGTCGGAAGGAAAAGAAACCGTCCTGGAAACAAAAAGAGGTACCGCCTATGTCTCGCCTTTCTAATGCATCGTTTTGGTTGCTGATGTTCCATGTCTCGTGCAGCTTATTGCGCTTGCTTGTTGTCCTTAATCATGAATAGTCCCTTGAACGCTTCTTCGGTAGGCAACTAGAAACGACTGTGGCGACCTATGCGACCATCCGTATTCCACTGTTGTTTGTCTGTCCCTTGGGAGGGAGCGGTGGCAGCTCCTTGTCCAAGCTCTCGCGGCTCATCTTGGTCCGTAGCATGTGACCGTGATCTCCGCCGTTGCTGTTGTTGGTGCCGGCGTAACCACTATCTTGGCTCTCGGGTTTGAGGTGCTCCGGCTTGGGTGGTGTCGGTGGTGGAGCACGAGTCGGCGGGAGAGACTTGTTATAATCCTTGGGCGGCGTCTCAGGCCGTGTCTCGCCGGCTTCTTCCACTACAGGGAGAATGGGTTCGCGCTGCATCGAGTCCCGCGTGTCCCTGGCAGCAGTCGTCAAGGTTCTATCGGGGATGTGCTTCTCTGCCATGGGATCCGACTCTGCTTCCCTCATTGCCCTCTCAACCACATCTTGGCCTTCCGACGTCCGCGCTCCGGGGGGCGCAGGGGGGAGATGAGTTGGCATGGGTGGGATAACTTGCGACCTGCGCCGTGAGTTCCAGCTGGACACGCGCTGGTTCGAGCCCTGGGCGTCTATCATCTCCTGATCCCTTCGCTGAGCTTCTCGATGGGCTTCCTCTGTCGACATGGTGACACCCTCGATGAAGTGGTAGAATCGGTCTCCGTACTGCTCCGGGGGGAGAGCAGAGATTTGTGTCTTGTCGCTTGACAAGCCCTTCCAGAAGTTCTCAATCTTCTTGATGACTCCGTACTGCGCAATGATTAGTCTTGGTCAACTGGGATTGATAGTGAAACTTACATGAGTCAGGCAGTCAATGACACCGAGGTAATAAATCTCGTCTGCTGGGTTGTTGTCCTCGTGGGTAGCCCTAAAGCCCCCGTCATCCTGGTTGAAGACGAATCCAGGACGGTTATGACCATCTTCCAACTCATCCGGCATCTTGTTCATAGACTGGCCGATAGGTACAGGCCGTTCCTGTCGGATCATTTGTCTCAGCTCCCTGGCCTTGCGAGCATTCTCCAGCTTCGAAGGCGTTCGGAGCAGAACGGACTGGGGATCATCATCGGGCGACTTTTCCCCACCTGGGTTGAACACTTGGAGCGTCTTGTCACGGAGGTTCTCTTCGTTCCCACGCGAGACGTCATGGATGCCAACCAAGAGGGAGTAGTCCATGATGTGGAGCTTCTTGAGCAGAACCACATCCCGTTGCAGCTGCTCGAGGAACATTCGCTTCTTCTGGATACCAAGCTCCAGGTTCCGCTGCCGCCTCATCCAGTTCAGATCCTTCAGTGTCGCTCGCGGGTTCTTCTCCAGATCCTCCTCCCGATAGTCTCGACCAATAGTCGAGCCCTTGAGGTCGAAGGTGGTGTGGATATCGCGGTGTGGCGGGAACAGGTTGTTCATGACGACAAAGTGAATCTTCTTGCCATAAGGCATCTTGACGCGGTGCAGGCCGTAGAACTGCGAAAGGAGCGTGTTGGGGTTTGCCTCGACGTGCGAGTAGTAGTCCTTGAGGATCTTGCGCAGGAACTTGTGCTCGGCGTGGTGAATCGTCTTGATGATGTACTTGTAGTCTCGGGAGAAGTAAAAGAAGCTACCGCTCTTGCCGGGCGAGCCAAGCTCCGAGAGGATATATTTGCCCGTCAGGGACATGAGGTAATCGGCAGGGTCAAGACGGAACAGCGTTCGTAGACGACGGAAAACCCAAGGGGCATAATCCTTGAACTTGAAGTCGTACTTGGCTGAGGGAATCATTTCGTTACCGGCACTGTTGATGTTAGTATTGTGATCGTCGAAAGTAGGACCAAACTTACATATCAAACGTCGACTTTTGCTTAGTTTCAAAGTCGGCATCGGTCAAATCCCGGTCGAGTTTGGCGTTTGTCCTCGACACTGACACTCGGATACCCGTCAACATGTTGTAGGCTGTGACCCAGTTGGCGTGGCTCTCATCAACCATGGTACCCACGAGGACTCGGTCGGTATCCTCCTCTTCCTTGCGCTTGCGTTTGCTGGCCCTCTTCTGTCGGTACGCCTCCGCCCAGCGAATGGCATCTTCATCTGGCACAATCTCATCCCGGGGCCCATCCGACTGCATCGACCTGGTAGGTCTTCGACCAAGACTCAGAGACGCGCGTCGTGTTGACGGGCCGGCATTGGTAGGGGAGAATCGGCCACTGGCCTGGGCTGTATCTAAATCTTTGGAGGGACGACCTGGCGCTAGCTTCGGTACTTCGAGAGTGTGTCTCTGCTTGAGCGGTGGAGGTGTTGGCTGAAGATGTCCCGACAAAGTGGCTGTGTTGCCGGTGTAGATGGGCGGAGAGGATAATCGGTGACCAGAGGCATAGGCGCGAGGTTGTGTAGGATCGGCTGTCGCAGGCGCCGTTGGCGTGGTCGTATAGGTGCCATCGAAACTCCTGCTTGGGACCTTCTCCGCGAACTCAGATTGAGGGCCCATCGGGAGAGGTTTCGAGGTATCGTAGTTCTGGGTCGAAGGCATGGTTGAATATGAACCATTGGCGTCGTTCGGCAGACGGGGAAGGGTACGATCGACGAGGGACGTCATTCCGTTGGGGTTGGGAAGAGGCTTTTGTCGGTAGGCGAGGTCATCCTGGCGGGACTGTGTTGTGGAAGCGGAGACGGACTGGCCATTGGAGAGGGAGCTCATGCTCGTGGGCCGCGTGCCGTTGCCATTCATAGGCGTCGGGGTAGATTCGGAGACGTCCGAGGCGTGAGTGGACGAGATGGAGCTCTCGTCGAAGCTCTCATTGATGGTGTCGGAGCGGCTATGGCGGATGGAGCCCGCGTTCACCCTCTCCTTGGTGGTCGCGAGGCCGAACTGGTTGTTCGGGTCAAGGTTGAGGATGTCGGGGTTGGTCGAGAAGAGATTCGAGTTGTCGTCGTCGGCGAGGAACGAGGGCATCTCGAGGAGAGAGGGACTCGCTGGAGGCCGGGACCAGCGAGTGGCGAGACGAGTAGATGCTACTGGGTGAAGCGATGCTGTAGGGGCCTGTTCTGATGTCGTCTTCGGTGAGGGGATGGTGAAGAGGGAGGACTGGGGATTACGTCGTCGGAACGCTCTCTTGTCTGTGGTGTTGTTTCCGTAGGCCTCTCAGACCATGCCTCTGTTGAGCAAGAATGGCAAAGCAGGAGGGAAATTGGCGAGGGCCTTGCTTGGCTGGCGCACCAGGGATTCTTAGCGGGTCGACCAATGGGCGGAGCTGGGCAAGACGGGACGGTCGCGTAGGAGGCTGGAGAGGGGGGGCCGACCAGGCGGAAATCGGGGGCGGCGAGGGGAATTGCCGAGACCAGAAACGAAAACGTGCGGGATATGGAGAGGAACAGGAGAGAGGCGCGATCCGGTGGTGTAGGCGACGGCGACGGAGAGGAACTGCGGCGGTGATGGATGAAGATGATGCGTGGTTGAATGGCGTACGAGTGCAGTTCGAGCGAGGTGAGGTGAGGGAGGTGAGGCTGGGAGAAATCCGGGAAAAGTGACGGGGCGCCCTCGTGGAACCGCTGGAGCGCGGTACGTACCTAAAAATTGGGAACCCTCTCTCGCCGCTGGAAATGAGGCGTTCGGGGGTTGCGCGAACGTGGCAGCGAGCGGTATCGACGGAAGGGCCGCCTTTTTTCAGGGGAGAGAGAAGACCTCCGGGGGCTTGCTTACAGCGGCCTTCCAGGGCATGTCGTAGGGATCGCAGGGGAAACGGTTCACAGTTACAGGGGCTGGTGGCAGACCGCTCTCAGTGGACTCACAGGGGGCCCAGCGGAGGAAGAATCCGAGGGGGGGGGGGGGGGGTTTCCATTGCGTGGCAGGCATGACCCCATCCCTCCTCGGCACGCCGGTGGTCTGGCTTGGCCCAGGCTTGGCCCAGGCTTGGCCGCGGCCTTGGGAGGACTGTGTAGACCAGCCGCTAAGAGCCCCTAGAAGGAGCGCTATCAGCCACTGCACGTTTTAGCGGCCTGGGGGAAAAAAAGGCGCCCCGGGAGAGTGTCTTCCCCCCCTCCGTCAATCAATCCCACCACGCACCGGCGCTGGGCTGGGTACGAGCCCGGCCTAGCGCGACAACAACCCCCCCCGGTTGTGCATCTGACTTACGGGCGTGCAAGACGACGAGAGGGGGCATAGGCTTGATTTGGGGACAATAACAACCCCAACTGGGAGGCCGTACTGCGTGCTTCGTGCCTGATGGGCGGGTGCGAAGCCACTGCATCAATAGCGACCAGCCCCGGGCTGACGGCTGACTACTACCGCCCGCCATCCCGGCAGCGTGGCTTCAGGTACAGCCGCCGCAGAAACGGGATCTACCAAAAGCAAGCCCGAGTCGCAGCGCCAGGCAAGAGATGATGAATGACGATGTTGCGGATACGGATTGCTGATGCTAATGAAGATGGATCGGGATGGATCCCCCGCCGACCAGGGTATCGTCTGTATCTGGTCCAACCGTCCATTCCAGGACCTCGTTCCACATCCAGAGGCAATGCCAAGTGAGTTACGGATTCCACTGCCAAGTAGGGAAGGGTACCGAGTTCTTCAAGTTACTTATCTCTTCTCTGGTCGTTTACGGAGTGCTCATCGGGCCTCACTTTGCATGCAAAAAGAAAGCCCTCGTTCAGCCGCAAAGCCCTATTGTCATCAGCTTCATCAGCCCTCATCAGCCCTCGTCAGCCCCGACCTCACCCGTCCAAGCAATGCGCAGCCCATTACACACTACTATGTAGGACAGACAGTCATCGTAAACATTGCCTCCTCGTCCTCTGGGTCAATCCCACTCATCCCCACCGTTGCCATCGCCCATTTCGCGTTCCACCCGCTGACGCATCCAATCACCACCGAAGCCCCCAGTCTATTTGCTGCTCAGCCACGGGGCACCGAACGGACTGACCCGCCAGGGGAGGGGACTCTAGTCGGGGCCTTGGCGACAGCCCTTTTCTGCAACAGAGAGACGCGTTCTGGCGGGTTTCCATGTGTTTTTTTCTTACTCCCTCGGGCTTCTGTATGCCCCCGAGAGACCATCATCCCTGGAGTTTGCATTTGCGTCCGACGTGACGTGCGTCCGCTACTGTGCGCCATGTACATCCTACCGTACGACTCTATGTGTGTATTCATATGTCAAGGTTTTGGCCCTGTTACTATTATTACCCGCTGCCGAAGCACCATCCAACGGGCTACATTATCCATGCAGCCCATCCATCATCCATCCCGCAAAGAGAAATCGAAGGGTGGAAAACCAGAAAGCCTTCTCCCGATCGCCCACACCCCTGCGTGCCCTGTTTTGCCCTGTCCAGCTGGCGATGCTGGAAACTGGATTCACGGCTCGGTGGGCCATTACGTCGTATTCCAGACACGGCATCTCTGACGTCCGCATCATTCTCTGCACGCACTGCGCTCCGTGCTACACTGCTACACTATTACCACTCCTGTGTGTCCTGTGTCCCAGATGAGTCCCGCTCATGTCTCGTCTCGTCGCAAAACAGAGCAAAACGGAAGCCGTTCGTTCCCTGGCCGCGCCCAGGAAAAACAGTCGATTACTTCATGTGGCCAGCGTATGGTAGCGCATTGGTCGACTCCTCGGCGGCTCCCTACTACGTAGTAACGGTCCCTTGCCGCCTCTCATCTCCCATCTCCCATCCAACATGGAAACCCAGCAATCACTGTCCGTCACGCCGGCCCCGGTCCCGGCCCCGGCCATGATCCCCGGGATAGGATAGGACTGTACGTGGTAGCATCGTTCGCCCTGGTATTTTGCGTTGCTGGCGTTGCTGGCTTGCTACACACGTTGAACGGGCTGCAATGCACATGCAGAGTTACCAGCGCCTCTCTCCACTGCCACACTCCCCAATCTCAGTCTAGCTGAACAAGCCCAGATTATCCCATGCTCCCCGCAGATCATCCTCCCTTTTCTTTTGCTTCCAGCTTCCCTACCCTCCAAAACGTGCGGGCTCCCGAATATACATGGCACCAACTCCACCCGGGACGCTGGAGCTTCCTCCGCCATGTCCACTGTCCACCCCCTTGGCGCTGCTTTTCCCATCTCCGCGCGCGCGCTCCCATGACGGCACGGATGGCTCGGGGGCTACGAGGAATGCGTGTGCACGGCGCCCAGGCTTGGCCCGGCTCGCCTGTTCCGTGACAGGTCTTTGTCAGATTGCCCTCAGATACACGTACTTCGTAGTAGAGTACTCACCTTCCCAAAACACCCCTACGTCGTATGCAATGGCTTGGCTCTGAAATCTCGAGACGTTCTGCAACACCCCCTGGATTCTGGGGATGGAATATACCGAACATTACGAAATATAATCCATAGCGCCTACATAGCGTTCTGTCCTTAATTACCATGTCATCCATCGACAGGGACAGCATGGTACGTACTGCACTGCATCCACTGCACCCACTACAGTGCGTTGCACAGCCTTCCAGCTCGGGACAGGACCCTTGATCATCATACTCTAACTAGATCCAGCACCAACCCCTGCCACCGCTGAGTCAAATCCACCTTTGCATGACTTCTTATTGCACCTGGATGGAAATACCGGTGTTAAACTGGTGGAATTCCGTTTCGTGTCTCTGTTATGGTCTTTTGGGGTGTGTATGGAGATCTGCATGTCGAGTTCGAGACTGTCTTGTTTGGTCTTGGTAATTTGTGGCTGCAGCCTCACTCCATGCACTTCTCACAAAAGGACCATGACCGAGCAACAGATGTCGATGCCGTCCTCTAAAGCAATGCTTCAGGTCACGATGAAAGAGAAACACCCATCACATCACGATGACTAAATGTTAAAAAAACTTGAGAGAGAATAGGGTGTCCCCATTGCTTTGCTCAGACAAAACCATCTACCTACCAGCTCCAGCCATCCCATGATGCAAGACGGCAATACCGCCTTGCCACAGGTCTACGCTGAGCCAGTTCGTAAGCTATCCAGTTCTATCTAGGTTCTCTCCCCAAAGGGATTTTTTCTGTGTTTTTCTCGTTTCGTCGTCTTTCCCTGTTGCTACCCACCGTAGCAACTCTGTCATGGCCTCGCCTCCAGCCTCCCGAAAGGTACACTGGCCGAGATGAGCTGATGTCGAGTCCTCAGCAAGAGCCAAAGAGATCCAGGTGGTATAGTGAGCGCCAATAATAAGCGGCGCTATCAAAAGGCCTTCCAACCCCCCAGTACGTCTAGCAGAACCCACGTCCGTCTCATGAGGTTCGTTCGTCTAACGTAGCTTTGTCGCCAAGGTATCATATCCCCACGCGTTCTCCCCAAGTAACCATTCGACCATGCCATCATCCAGAGACAATGCAAGCCCTCAAATGCAAACCGAGGGGCAACACCATCCTGCGAGAAAGGCCTGGAACGCCTCGGCCCATTCGCCCTTCAACGCCTCTTTCAACACACATGGCTATTCCCAGCCCCGAAGCGGACATGTCTGCCGTGGCTAACGCCCAAGGACTCTTATTCCTTGGAGCTTCCATTTCCGCCTTCTTTCGTCAATCCGTAGATGTCGTGTGAACCAGGCAAAAAAAAAAGAAATCAATGCCGATGGATGAGTACAGACCGGCGAATGATTTGTCTGCAAAATGCAATGAGAAAGCCGGCGGCGTTGTGGTCCGAGTTGTTGAATACCATCAAGTCCGCCTTGTGTGTGTGGAGATCCTCTGCCAGGACCTCGAGAATGTGGTGTAGTCGTCGTTGTCCATCAGCAATGAAATCCGGTTCGCCGTTCCGTCCATTCGCGTAGAATGTGCGAATAATGTACAATCCAACAGTGAAAAACAACCCAGTACAAAAATCATGTCGAAAAATCAACCCTCCCCCCCTTATCGCCACCAAACGCCATGCATGATGTTAGTTATTAGGTTTGAGGATCGCGAGGCGGGCCACGACCTCGCCCGCTGGTACCCTGACCACGGCCGCGGTATCCACGTCCTCGGCCACGTCCTCGTCCGCCTGAGAAGTGCGGGTTGCCGTTGTGCTGGCCATTCTGGCTCTGCCAGTTGCCCTGAGGCATTTGGGGTTGAGAGCCCTGCTGGAGGTACATCTGGGGCTGCTGCGGGGCCTGCCCGGCAGGCAGGTTGTTTCTTTGAAGGTTTGAGATGGGTCGGGGAATAGACTCGGGGTTATCGTAAACGTAGAGGCTCTTGTCGATGCTGGCGGGGATTGGTTGGATCTCGGTGCCCAGGTCCCGCTCGATGTTGTAGAGGTTGAAGCGATCCTCCCAGTTGATCAGGTTGATGGCCAGACCAAGATGGCCATAACGACCAGATCGACCAATACGATGCAGGTAGGTCTCGGCATTTTTGGGGAAATCAAAGTTGATGACAACGTTCACCGCCTGGATATCAATACCACGGGTGAGGAGATCAGAGCAGACAAGGTTACGGCAAACGCCGTTGCGGAAATCGTGGAAGACGCGGTTACGAGCCTGCTGCTGCATCTTGGCGTGACTGTAGAAGCAAGAGTAGCCGAGTTCGGTAATCTTTTTGGCGAGCAGCTCGACTCGGTTGGTCGAGTTGCAGAAAATGATGGACTGGTTGATTTGGAGCTTGGAAAAGAGAGTGTTTAAGCAGTGGACCTTTTGCTTTTCTTCAACAAAGGCGTAGTATTGGGTGATTCCCCGGAGGGTGAGCTCATCCATCAGGTTGATCTCGTAGGGGCTGACCATGTTTTTGTCGGAAAAGTCCTTGACGGACAGAGGGAAGGTGGCGGAGAAGAGCATGACCTGGCGGTCCTTGGGGTGGAACTGGAGAAGCTGCTCAATGACGGGGGTGAACTCGATGGAGAGGAGCTTGTCGGCCTCGTCCATGATGAACATTGGGCACTCGCTGAGGTCCGCAACGTTCTTTCCGGCCAAATCGAGAATTCTACCCGGGGTACCCACCACGATATGGACGGGATCCTGCAGACGGATAATGTCATCTCGGAGGCCAGTGCCACCAGTGGTGACCATGACGTTGATTCCAAGGTGCTTGCCGAGGGTCTTGCAGACTTGCGAGGTCTGCATGGCAAGCTCACGTGTGGGGACAAGGATGAGACATTGGATCTTGGACACCTTGGGATTGATGCGTTCCAAGGTGGGGATGACAAAGGCAGCCGTCTTGCCGGTGCCGTTCTTCGCTCGGGCGAGAATGTCTCGGCCGGTCAATGCGACGGGGATGGCCTCTTCTTGAATGGGTGAAGGCTTCTCGAATCCGGCCTCGAAGATGCCCATGAGCAGGTCGCGCTTCAGGGCAAAGTTCTCAAACTCCAGGCCCTTTGTGTTTGTGACATCCTAGAACGCGGGCAAACGGTGAGCAAAACGCGGCGCAGATGGGTGGGGGGCGCCGAAACGCAGGGCGACGACGAACCTCTGTTTGTTGTCGGTTGTCCTTGGCCGGGAGGTTGAGCGTCTTCTTCCAGTCGTCGGTCGAGGCGGGGGCGCCGTCACTGCTGGGGTTAGTCCAAGCTCACAAGGGCCGCGAGGACGGCGCAGCGGACCTGAGTTGGGTGGATTTCAGCTTGTCTGCTAGCTGATCCGCCATTGTATATGTGAAATCCGTCCGCAGGCCGGGGCGGCAAAGGTTGTGAGGGGAGTGTGCAAAACTGCGCGGTCAAAAGGGCCTCTCAAAGGGCGGGTGGCGAGCGGGTTGGCAGCTGGGAGTGAGGAGCTGCCGCGGGCGTTTCGTGGGGTGGAGAGGTGCACAGCGGCGAGAAGTCGAAGGCGGCGTGGGTAGCGGAGGTGAGGTCGGTCGTCGGAGAGGCGCGGGGCCTGTTGTTCGCGGAGGAAGATTGTGAGGTCGTGGTGTGTGGTGTGCGGGAGTTGTGTTGGAGTGGAGGGAGTAGAGCAGGCTCTAGTTTGCACTTTGGAGGTGACGATGTGTGCCTCGTTGCGGCGGAAGGCCCTGCATTTTGGTGGTCACGTGGTGCGCGGGGCTGCCGGGTTTTCTCCCAACCTCAGCTAGAAGTTCCTAGAATGGACAGCCTGATGTCAAGCTCTCGGGGTTTGGCTGGGGTTTATGGGTCCTCCACTTTGGGGCACGCGCTCCCTTGTGCTTGGGTGCGATTCGCGGGCCTTTTGGAAATTGCCCGCAATCGCCAGATGATTCCCTTAGTTCGAGTAGTTCGTGGGTGGAGAGATGGGGCACTGGCCATCCTTTTTCTTTGTCTTTGGCTCGTGCCCCGAAGCCTCGATGATCCCTGCACATCTTCCATCTCAATAGGTGAAGTTCCGCAAACAAAGGGCTAGGAGACAAGTGACACCTCGAATTTCACTAGTTTTGTGCGATAATGAATATGAATCCCTCATCTTTCGCCTCTAAGACCTGAATGGCGGTGCGGCAAAAGGCCAAACTCCAGAATCATAGTCCTACTTGAATGCTGTAATAATACAAGACTCCCTCTTTTCCATCTCATTCCCGCCCTCTACAGCTTCATCCCCATCGCCTTGGCAACCCTCAAGCTCTGTCGCATGCTGAGATCCAGCATAATCTCTTCGCTGCCTCCGGGGATGGCGTACGCCCTGACGTCTCGGTACAGCCTCTCGACCTTGCCGCCCTGGCCACCTCGAGAGTAACTCAGACCGCCAAAGATCTGGCTAGCCTCGCGGGCGCAGAACTCAAAGGTGAGGGTGGACTGGGCCTTGAGACTGGCGATGGGACCGCCCAACCGCAGCATGGCCTCGGTCTCGCCCATCTTCTCGCACTGGAAGATGAGGCTCTCGAGCCAGCTGTACGAGGCCTCGATCTGGCGGGCCATGTGCGCAAGTTTCATACGGATGACAGGATGCTCAATGAGCTTCTTGCCAAAGGTGCGACGCTTGTTGGCGTACTTGACCGACTCCTCGTAGCAGACTCGCGAGAAGCGGACGCACTGGATGATGATGCCCATGCGCTCGTGGTTGAAGTTGGTCATGATGACTGAATGTGTTAGTATGCGTTTATGTGTTAGGACTTTACTATGCTTACCTCGGAAACCCTGGTTCTGCTTGCCGAGGAGGTTCTCGACGGGGACCTTGACATCCTCAAAGGTGATGTAGGTGGTTCCGCTGGACCACACACCCTGGCAGTCCATGCGACGGGTGCTGACACCCTCACCCCTCTCAATGAGCAGCAGACTCACGCCGTTCATGCCGGGGCCGCCGGTACGCACAGCAGTGGTGAAATAGTCACTCCAGATACCGTTGGTGATCCACTTCTTCTCACCGTTGACGATGAAGTGCTTGCCATCCTCGCTCAGCTTGGCCTCGCAGGTCAGGTTAGCGACGTCACTGCCGGCGTCGGGCTCGGTGATGGCAAGGCAGATGCGCTTGTCGCCGCTCAAGATGCCCGGCAGGACGCGGTCCTTGAGGGCCTTGGTGCCGAATTTGATGACGGGTGGGCAGCCGATGCCGAAGCCTCCGATGACGTTCCATACGAAGCCGCCGGAGCCGGTGCGCGACAGCTCGTCCGTCAGGAGCAGCTCGTGGAAGAGATCCCACTTGTCGGGGGTCACAGACTTGACGCCGTTGGGGGCATACTCGGTAGGGTAGTGGACACCGAGCAGGCCGGCCAGGTAGCCGCGACGACCCATCTCCTTGTAGATCTCCTCGGGCACACGCTTGGCCTCGTCCCACTCGGTGACATTGGGCTCGATCTCGGCCTCTATCCACTCCCGAATCTCGGCGCGAAGGGCAGCATGAGTCTCGTTGAAGTAGGGGGAGTGGTACTGTAACGGAGCCCACGTTAGCAACTAGCACCTGGGAGGCTGGGACAGTTGGAGGGAAGACTTACGCTCTGGTACCAGCTGGGATCGGCAAAGGGAATCTGCTCGCCAAAGGCATCGAGAGGCTCCGACTCGTCGCTGCTCTCCTCCTTCTCAACGGCGGCGACGGCCTTGGGGGGCGCCTTGACGACGGGCGCAGGCTTGGGCTCTGCCTTGGGCTCGGGCTTGGGCTTGGTGTCGAGGGAGCCGACGAGGAGCTTGGACTGATACTTCTTCAGGATACCGTCGTTGTGGTACTTCCAGAACTGCTTGGAGGCGTCCTTGCCAGCGACGCGCTGGAGGATCTTCTTGCCGCCTGTGAGCCGCAATTGTTAGCAGGCTGGGTCTGTCGCAATCGCCTCGCGCTGTAAGGAGACATACCAGGGTGGTCATCCTGGAACTTTGTTACGTCGTAAACGTCGCCGTCGACAACGATGAACAGGTCGCCAGGCTTGTTATGCGACGCAACGTCGCCGGCAGTAAATACTTGCGACATGACTGGCGGGGAGGGGAGGTGTGATGTACAGTCGACAGGGAATCAGGAATCGGGAGACAAGAATCCAGGGTCACAATGTGGCTCTACGGGATGGATGAAGGAATAAATAAATGATTAGAAAAGCGTTTAAATCGACGAGAGCAGGAACAGTTTTTGATCCCCCAGATCGGCCCCAGACGGGCCCTTGCGTGTCCCTTAAATTCCGTCCCGTTCGGCAACGGCCAGCAATCACATGTTGGTCCCATGGGTCTCGAGGTCCGGCGTCCCCCACCAAGAGCAGCAGCAAAACAAGGGCCAGACTGCAGAAGTTACAAGGAGCCGAGCAAATCCTGGGGTGGTACCAGTGCCTGAGTCCGGGGGGGGTTCACGGGGGATTCACGGGGGATTCACGGGCATCCAAAGGCGGTCATGAGTCGTTGCAAGGTCGAGGCAGAGTCTCGATGCGGTCATTGCGGTCATCCCACGGTCATGTGCAGCTGACGCTCTCGTTTTTGTCCCTCGCTTCCCTCCGATGCGCCGCAGACATGTGAAAGAGATCTATCCCCAAACACTAACATCCCTCTGTTGATGTCATGGCTCTGCTTAGTTCTGACCCTGCGCTTCAGCCATGGACCCTCCGTCAACCCTGTGGAGAAGCCGAGGTCCATATCTTCCCCCGCCCAATCGCAGCCGCAGCATTGCCAAAGCGCCTCCAACCCCGAGGTTCACCGGCCGCCTGTTCCCCAGAGTCGGAAACACACCCCAGATCCGGCCTCTGGTTGGCATCGAGGAGATTGAGGAGAAATGGGACATACGATGCGTGATATCTACTCTTAACCCCTGCGAGTTCGATTGACGGGACCAAAGTCATCCATGTCGTGTAGCTGCGCTGTACTATCGACTTCGTTACCCTCATCCACCGTTTTGCACTTCACCATCTGGATTGCCTCCAGCGGCACTGAGCTACTGTATCAAGACACAAATCTTCCATCCCTCCTCGTAAAGAGGAAGCAATTTTGACCAAAAAATATTAGGCGAGACACGCGCCTCCCACACTCCAAAACGCCGTTCCAGGCCAGGAGCCTTTTTGTATCGCTCACATCCATCCCATGCGTTAGCCATCCGTGCATCCCCTACGCTCCTCCACGAGGCTTGGACTTGGCGGCCGCCTTGTCCTTCTTCTCCTGCTTAAGCTTCTTCTTCTTCTCTTCATTCTTCTCCTCCAGCTTTCGCTTATGCGCCGCCTTTTCCGAGTCTGTCTTGGGGATCGGCTTGAAGAATCCCTCTAGACGAGCCTGCTGCGAGCTCTTCATCGTCTTCTCCAGGCGCGCGCCTCCGCTGCGGACACGATCCTCTGAGAAGCCCTTCTCGGTGACGAGGAATTGCACTAGTCCATCCATATCGGGCTTCTCCCACTTGAAGTCGCACTGGGGGTCGTCCGCCTTGCGCACGTCGGGCTCAAAGAATAGGTCCCGCGCATCCTTGTAGGGCCAGTCCTCGGGTATCACGTATTTCTTCTTGGGATCTTTCTCCATTGCCTCAACAACCTTCTCCAGCGAACCATGGTCGCGGATCATCTTCAGGGCGGTGGTGGGGCCGACTTTGGGGATAGGGTCGAGATAATCGCAGCCAAGCAGGATACAGAGGTCGACAAACTAGACACGGTTAGGTTGGACAATGGTGGGGCATTCGCGTAGACATACCTGCTTCCTCTCCATACCGAGTCCCTCGAGGACCTTGTCCAGGTGGATTTCCTGGATGGGCTCCTTTCGCTGCTCGCTGAAGGTAAGGTGTCGCAACAGAATGGGTGAGTTGAAGCAAAGAGTATCCATATCCTCACTGGCTGCTGCATACACCTTGCCGGCATGCGCCAGCGCAGCACACTGCGCCTCAGCCTCGGTAGGCGCGATGATGTAGGGGATGCCCATCAGCTTGAGCAGGCGCTGACACTCGGCATTGTGCTCACGAGTGACACGGACAGTTCGTCGCGAAAACTTTTCGATATCCTCGGCAGTACCCGTCTCCTTGGCCTCCTCGAGACCCTCGGTGGCCTCCTGCTTGCGCTGGAATCGCTTGGCCAGCTCTCCCGACTTGAGTTTAGGGGGGGCGCCGTCGAAGACGTAGAGGGGCTTGATGCCGTTGTCGACCATACGTAGGGTTCGGTAGAACATGCCCATCAAGTGGGAGGTGGTTTCGCCGCTGTCGTTCATAAGCTGCTGGCCATCGGATCGGACAGCAATGAGGAAACTGTAGATGCTCATGGAAGCATCCTGCGAATGGTGTCAGCAAGCCGAGAATTGACGGGACAGTGCGTGAGCCTCACAATGGCGACTTTGCGGCCGAACTGGTTCTTGATTTCACCCTCCTTGATTGATTCGGGGGCCTCCTCTTTGATGATAGAAAAGAGCTGCTTGATACCCATCGTGGCGGACGTGCCTCTCCGAGGTCTTGATAGGGGCTGCGGTGTGAGGAAGGAGTAAGAAAGGTAGGAAACAAGGATCTGGATATGCCTTTGAAGCGCTCACTGCTGTCGGGAAATGTAAAAGGGAGGTTCTGGACAAAGTGCGAGTAGGGGAAGCTGGCAAACTTGACGCGTGGGGAGAAAGATGACGCGCCCTGTCGCGGTCACAGTGGCAGGGATCTTAATTGACCCCACACCGTGTTTGCCTGGTCAGCTGTCGCCAGCTGCACGCAGAGGTACCTATGCAGGTCCACAACACCACGATGCATTCGCATGTGCATTTAGGGCAAATGCCAGACGACGAGTAAATGGAAAGGTAAATATTAAAATCTTGTAGGATTTAATTCTAATATCTGCAGAAACTAGGAAACAATTCCACCAGCCATGGAGACTCTACACCTCCATATTCCGTCTTTGTTACAGGCCTGGACAGTACTCGAGGTTCTTGGGGAGGAAGCGGAACCGTGAGAAAAATCACCCCATGACAGCCGAGGAGCAAGCCGGTCTACGTAAACGCTGCCAAGAACCCAAAGGCTGTGAGCTGAGGGATGGCAAGTCTACGATTGAAGTTCTGCTGCCCCTCGTATAGTGGTCCTAGGAGACCTGAAGTAGAAGAACGGGGCAAATTGCAAGATTCACATCCCTCCTCCACTACTTCAACTCAATAAAATGTCTCGACACTCACAACTCCCAGCTCAGTATCCCCATGTCCCCCGCCAACCTCGGGAACCATCTCTCGTCGTCCTCACCCGAAGGTTCAGAGGACTCCAGAGGGCCTCAGATAGCAGATAGCAGGACATGGCTCCAAAGCTGGGAGAGCAAATAGTTATTTGCAGAAAGAAGTAGGAATCTTTAAAAAAGATGTCTTCAAAAAGAATTCCTACCTCATTAAACGTGCCGAATTAATATACCGCTCGGAATACAGAGCAGTCAAGGATTGATCTCGCCTTGCGCTCCACCTTGCCGTGCGGAATGGTTGGTACAAAGGAACCAGTGCCGAACAAGAGTCACTGGGCATCACTGCAATCGTCGACTTCACATGATCATGAACCGAAAGTATGCCTTACATGGCCCTAAATCCTGGCGTGGTTGGGTATCGTACACCTCGTCTCCCAGCGTCTATCATCTTCACATCCATCCAAGTCAGTTCACTGCTTGTCAAACAGGAGCTTTCTCCCCCTGCCCTGCATGCTATCCAGAGTCTTGTCAATCTCCATAATATCGAGCATTTCAACCTCCACATCTCTTGTTGTAAAGTCCTCAGTCAGATCTGCCGCGGCGCTCAGGGTATCCGTAAAATCGAATCCCACCTGTGGCCGAGACGACTGAGGCAGGTTGTCTTGTGACTTTGTCAAATCCCCAGTGCTCTCATCCTGTCCAAACAGGGACGGCTTTCGGAGAGTTCCGGGCTTGATAGTGCTGAGGTTGAAGGAGATTCTTGTCGACTTGTCCTGCTTGCCGTGGACGATGATGGCGTCTGACTTGTCTCCCTTGGAAAAGAGTCTTCGCTTTCGGGTGCTGACAACCCCGCCAATCTTTCTACCTGGACCATCCTCTCCCTCTCGCACAATGACGATCCTCGTTTCACCAAGGATCAAGACATCTGCGGGGAGGCCTCCATCCAGGCTAGCGCCGTTCCCATGTTTCAAGGCGTCCACAGCGAGTCCAACGCCACAACAACGTTCACCAAGTAGACCAGTAGACAAATCAAGGAGCTTGATCATCCTCGTCGGCTGAGCGCTGCTGAACAGATCGACGCCAGTACCGGCGCCTTTGCGGAGCTGGGACTCCCAGAACCGTGAAACACCAGGGATGATGCAAACATGGTCTAAGCCGCCCACCCAGAGCGCCAAGCTCTCTTCCTGAACGGCATTGCCGTTGGTTGGTAGGGGTGTGACTGTTACTCCGCCCCGGATGGTAGCCAGGCGATCGAGGGTCATGGCGGAGCTGAGGGAGGCCGTAGCTTGGCGACGAGTGTGAGGCGTCATGGGTGCAAAGTCCCCGTTGCTGTTCTCCTTGCTCTGAGTCGTAACGCTTCGCAACGAGCTAGTTCCCTCGACAAAGCCAGACACGCTAAACGCCGTCAGTGCAGCACCTCGAACGCCAGGCTTGAGCTTATTCGAGAGGGCAGCACCAGACGAATCAGGGCTGACACCGTCAATGTCCCAGATTCCCCAGGTGCCGTCAGCAAGTAGCACAAACACGGCACGGCCATGGGCTATCCATGCGGCATCCAGGATTGGTTTTCTCGTCGACGATGGTCGAGCAAAAGGCTGGTAGAGGGTGAGAAGCCAGGAGCCCTGTACAGGGAAGGGGCCAGTGGCATCAGGGTCCGGGGGTAGTGATGGGAGCGCAAAGTCGTAGATTCGCACGCCTTGTAGGGAAGATACAACAAGCAGCTGTGTTGTATGTGTGGAGTTGAAGGAAATAGTCGTGAGAGGGCTTGGCAAATACTCCGTCTGGAAAGGCTCGACGGCGTTCACCGGTGTGTCCTTGGGGTCCAGAGGAACATCCCATAGTCGGAGAGTTCCTGAAGCCTCACGAGAGTGAGAGGCAACGACAGCTCGTGATTTTGTACCTGGCCGCTCTGACGCCTTTGGCATGACCAAGTTGATAGCGATACCCTCGCTGTGCTTGGCCTGGCCACCTAGCAGGATGAGCGACTCGCCCCAAGCTCCAGATCCAGCCTTGCCGGCCAGTAGATCGTTTCCAAGCTCTGGCCTCTCCTTGCTTTCTGGCGATGGGGGTGTCAAGGGCAGTGTGATGAGGTAGACATCGTTGGTGACGCACGACACGGCAAAGACCATCCTCTCCGTCAGGATCTTGGCTCCTCCCCAGGCTGCATCCTCTGCGGGCGTTGGAGTCATGGGCATCACTGCCACCTTGAGCACCGCAGTACCAAGCGCCAGATCCAGCGTCTGCACAATCTCGGGGTATGGGCCTTCTTCAATCTCGTCCTCGAACTGGGGTTTGTCCTCAAACTTGACTGAAGTTTTGGCCTTGGCCGGCGGCTCCTCGTCGTCCGAGTCGATGATCATCACCGAATCATCGATAGATCCATTCTGTTTCTCCTTCGGGGGTGCTTTCTTGGCTGGCTTGAGTCGCTTTCCTCCTCGCCACACCAGAGTGACACCGTTCTCGTGGCCGTATATTAAGATGGTCGCACCTTGAGGGGACTGGACGGGGTAGGTCTGTACATCGTTTACGCGCCGTGAGAGGTTGTATCTGCGATCATGAGCATTCTATTCACTACCGGCGAGAGCCGTAGGCGATGACATACGTAAATTGTGTGTTTTGCGCCGTGCGCCGGATCCGGGGAGCTGTGAGAGAGCTCATGGCGAAGGAAGCGCGGGCGAATAGCCCTGCGCGATGTAGCTTCCAAGAGTTTCAAACGCAAGAGTGAAATATCGCAATGCGTGATAGAGCTTAGGATTCCAGCTCAGTGGGTGTGTGGTGTGGAGGAAAGGCGCTGGGTATGGTGTTTCGCTTTGTTGTAGTTTGTTGGCCCGCAACTTTTCAGACGCGACAGCTCCACGCTTGAGCTTCCTTGATTTCAAATCACGTGACCTTCAGGCAACGCTCCAACATAAAGCAACGTCAATACGTCAAGGTACGCATAGCTTATGCTTAAAATATTCATTCCAGTATATTGACTGTTTAGTATTTTAACATACATAGACCTGACCTAATATATACCAAATTTCCTGGCCATAAGCGTCTGAAACTGTCTCCATCAATGGTATCCATTCGTGACGACGAGACATGACGAGTCCCTTGACGACCGTCGTATGCAAAGACAATCGAAATATCAGATGACGAAGTGTCAAATATTATAGATGATTGCTGTGGAGAATTTATCAGTGGTAGTCAGCCAGTTCGGTCCCCTGAAGGAAGTCACTTCCAAGACGATGCCTAGACCTAAGACTGCCAACACGGGGACCCATCGTGAATTATATCATCCTCGAGGAAGTAGTTAAACAGAAATAGACAATATCCCTTGGTGATGTCAGCCACATCAAGTTCCTGTCTGGACGACGTACAAGCCCACCAATGCGAAACGAACACAGCCAGCAAACACCTCAACGATGGTGTATTCACCACAGTGACCAATATCAAATTTCAAGTGCCGGTATTCGATTACTATATGCAATCCCTACATACGGTTGGCACCTTGCCACCTCCTCGGCGACCGTGATCCGAAAGAGAAATGAAGAGTCAAGTAAAGAGTAAATAAAGCGACCAGAGGATGTCCCACACTCCATCCCCGCCAGCCCATCCCTATCCACTTATCTGCCAACGGGCTGGCTCTCCTCCTGTGTCCTTTGATGTCTATTTGAGACTCGCTCATTTTGCACCTGCCCATATCCCAAGAGGGCCTAAATCGCCCTCCACTTCAAAGACCATTCCCTCTCGCCCACCAGGCGAGGGAATTTTTGTACACAGGAGACCTAAGACTCCCAGTCGTTAAAAACAGACGCGCCAATAACACGTAGATGTGCGTCTGTGAGACGCGTCGCCTCCAACCGGCTTCCGTAAGAAGTGGAGTGCCATGGAGGTGAAGGACATTCGAGCCACATTCGTAGCATCGTTCCCACCTTCTCCGGTCGCTAGAATCAAGGCTTATTGTTGAAATGTGACAAAGGTAAGGAGTGGACGGCGTAGGGGTGACCGACGAGTTGTCGAGGATGCTGATCAAATCCAGTCGTTATTTCCGCGGAGGCAAAAGAAAAATCTAACCCTACGCCCATATAAAAAGAGTCGAACGCCGCCAGGTCGTCGGGGGAGTCGATCGACCAACAGACATGAGCTGTCATCCCAAAAACGCCGTGAATGCCGATGATTGGAAATTGTTGTGGTTGTTTCAAGGCAAAAGAGTTGCGGTGTACGCTCATGCGTTGGTGACCTATTCATTTGAGTTAGCGGTGTATTTGGCATAGGGAATTAGGAACATACCCTGAGAATCCTCCGGGAGTAGTCTTGGTCATCAGCAATGCTGCCGTCACTGAGTCTTCGGTGGGCCATGACGGGGTCCAGGCGAGAGTCAGTCATGGAAATGCTACCACTGCTGCCAGGGGGCTTGGAGCCGTTGATGAAGGCGTTGACAGCAGCGTTGCGGCGGTGCTCCTCCTCAATCTCGGCGTTCCGACGGCGGCGAACAAAGAAGACGGCTACACCAATAATACCGGCGACAGCAATGACGCCAACGACAGAACCTGCAGCGATGGCAGCGGTATTAGTGCTCTTCTTTTTATCTCCATCGGAACTGCTGCCAGTTGAACTCGCGGCAGCAGGTTCGGACGTTGCAACAGCGGTCTCCGCGGCAGTAGATTTCGTTGATTCTTTAGTGGAAGAGGCAGCGGCGGTTGTTGATGATGAGCTCTCTGGCTCCATGTCCTCCGCAGCGACCTCGACTCCGGTGTTGAAGACGGAGAAGACGCCATTCTTAAGACTACCGCAGGCTTCGGGGTCGTAGCCAGGGCAGGGATAATCACACTTGCTGTCGTCGGTCACATCGTCCAGAGGAGGATAAACCATGCCACAGTAGCAGGCTGCGGCGTGAAGTCCCATCACGTAATATCCCTTGCCAGTGCAGTACTTCCCGCAACTACCTGAGGACACGAACTTGACACCCGCGGCCTGAGTCAGGTTGCCTCCGGACTTGTAGCAGCCATGAGATGTTAGTTGGCCGACAATGGGAGTTGTCGAAGGCGTCTGGCTCGGGGCAGAGTCGGTTCCGCTGGTTTTGCTGGCAGCGTAGACTCCGAGGAGCTGGGTGGTGGCCACGAGGGCGAGTGAGAAAAGTGACGTGGGCTTCATGTTGATGTGTGGTGACAGTAGCGAGAGTGGAAAGGGAAGAAACTTGGTTGGAGGTGTTGAAACAGGTCAACTCGATCCGAGGCTTTGTTGTCCTGTGTCCTGGTGTTTGGAATCACGCCAGGTCGTACCCAAAAGCAGTGAATCGGTGGAATCGAGGCCGGGTTGAAGATGCTCCCTCGAGGAGTGATGAGCGGCCGACGCGAACGGGTATAGTCGTCGATGGAAATGTGTTCCTTCCTTTGTTGAGGGCGACGAGATGCTGATGGATGATGGTCGAGGCGAACAGGACCTTGTCTATCGGTCGGGAGGCTCCAGGGGAATCGTTTTCGAGTCGTGGAACCAGGGAAACAGGCGACGTGGGAAACAAAGAAGTGGCTCGACAAACGCGACCTTAGTGAGAACGAAAAAGGGCTCAACGATGGAAAGGAGGCGAAAACAGCATTGGTCACTGCACACGCTCAAAGGGTGAAGAACGCAGCGGGTGGGGGGAGGTTTGAAGGAGGGACTGGAACGAATGAGTGTCGGGAGGGAAGGGCTTGTTTTGTTGAAAGGGGAGATGGCGAGAATGGACGAAGAGGAGCGAGCGAGGAAGAGGGAGGGAAGGAGGACGGATGGACTGAATGAGCGGCCGGCGGGTACCTGAGGGCCCTGGATGCCCTGGGTGCCCTGGCTTGGGTCTTGGGTGTCAGGGTTAGGGAATGCGTGAGCCCAGCGGCCACTGGATCCCAGCCAGTCAGTGGACCGCACACGCCCAGACAGAGGCCAACCAGCGGTGCCAACCTGCCGGGGGGGTACGAGGTACATTGTAAGGGGGATTACAGGGGGGGGGACGGCGCACGCCCAGAGGCTTGCACAACCTGGAAGGCACAGCACACGCAGCTCCACCGCTGGAGCCACTGGAGCCCACTGAGACGGTCCTAATTGTGCGCGCTTGCACCCAAAATGGGGATTGGCCATGGATCCAGGGATTGGACTAGGATAGGGAACCGGGCCCAGCATTAGCGGGTCGTGAATGAAGGGATTGATGGATAAAAGGCACAAAGTGGGTGCCGCACAAGCCGTGATACATAAAACAACACGAGCACAGGACCGGGTATTGCACAACTCGTCGTTTCGCCATGTCGGATTACGGCCACCCACTCAGACTGTTGGTACATGCCGCCAGCACCTCCTCCTCCAAACATGCCACGACACATGCGACACAGACACATTGTACACTCGGTACATGGTGTGCTGGTACACATCGTCCCGCGTCCCGCGTCCCGCGTCCCAGACTGCTCCCACAGTGAAGGCCGAAAGATCAAACCGAGATGAAGACAGCAGGGGCCGTTGTTTGCGTACCGATGCGCACTGGAACCACGCACCAGGTCTCCCCCAACGACGCAGGGAGAGACATCTGGGTTAAGACCTCCAGGAACGTGTGCTCTGATTCATTGAATCGAATACCTCGTTCCTTGGCCTGGCGGCTGGCTCTCCATGGCGACAATGGGCCCTGGAAGCAAATCCCATGCCGTCCCGAATCCCTCGGGCTCAAACTCTCCCACCACACCCTTATTACTAACCCCTGCATCTTGCCCCTGGCGGCGCCGCCGGGATGCCGCTGAAGGCGCTGGCCGGTGCAAGCCACCTCGGCCAATGCTCTGAGAGCACTGGAATGGGGGCGCCCAATTGGGACACGGACACGCGGCCACGCCAGGCACGCCGCCGTTTTGGGTTCCCCTCCAAAGTCCAATCCTCCGTCTGCCGATTAGGCCGTCTGGGATCCTCTCCTGGAGGGCAAGACTCACGAGGAGGTTGGCGGACGGAGCTGGACCGAGGGTGGGATGGGCACAACGTGGGATCGCTCGCCACTGCCAATGTGCCCAGTCGGCGAGATTTTCCCCATGCTCCGGGCTTTGTTCACAAACCGCATAGAAACAGCCAGTACTTCAGAGAGGTCTGGTCGAGTTCTGGTCACCCCTGTAAGTATCGGATCAACAGTTAGCTCATTAACCAGTGACTGGCCAAGTGACTTGAGTTCCGAATGGATAAGGGGCACGATAAGAAGCTAAACGAAAACCATTGATATGGCAATCCTGAAGAAATTACATATGATGTCTCTAAAAATATTTTGATAAATTGATGAAAGTCTTGAGCCTTTCTATTCAATGATGTAATATGTATCTACGCGCCACCTTTTTCAGCTGTTTATTTGAATATACTTCCATCATGTCTCAGTCCCCCGTAGCTATGATTCGGCTTATTCTCGCTTTCTTATCAGCTCTTATCGGGTCGTAATTGAAGTCACTCCCACTGTAATCCCTTTTGCCAGCCACGCCGAGCATTGATCCAATGGCTGGCAGGGGGTAGTCAGATCTTGGGGCAAACGTGAAGTGCTCTGACCTTCGCCCAGTTACTACGTACTACGTACACGAACCGTAGTGCTACCTGGTACCTAGGTACAAAGTGGTGCGTACCTCGTAAGAATGGTGGCCTACTCCAGGAGTGCTCTTTTGACTCGACGCAGATCACCTCCCGTGTCGGTTATAGCGGTCAACCCAATGGGCGGCTGGCTTGACCCGTGAGACATGGCCAAAACGGGCAGATCATCACCTCACGGGGTCTTGAAAGCAATCTCGCTCTGTCGAATCGGCAGCGGCCTCCAGTAGATGCCACGGGCTGGTGTTTGCTCGGTTCACTGGTTGACAATTCAATGACCGGGGAGCATGAACATCCAAGAGGAAAAACGCCCACAGCAGACGAGGAATGCCTAGTGCACGTCATATTAATTGCTCTTCCAAGGCACCGTGGACTCGCTTTCGTTTTGTAGGGTTGCATGAATGATGAAGCACTGTTCTTGGCTTCCAGGTACCTCTATGCAACAGTGGGGCTTGGCTTCCACACTTGATTGAAATGAATTGCCCGTCAATGCACGCACACTCTCGCTCTCTTGTCGGCCCAGGTGCAAATCCCCCCCCCCCCCCCACACCTTCATAAGAGGAAGCGAGTTGTAATTTCATAAAACCCCAGACCTGCCCCTTTTGTGCAGATGTCGCGTCACGCCGTCTCCTTTTGGCACCGCCTCTCCGCCCCTTGCAGCGCCAAACAGGGACCGGGCCAAAGCCAATCGTGCCTCAGGCGCTGGACAAGGATGTGATGCTTCGTATTGTTGTACGTACCGCCTGTCCTGGGGAGAGGGGATGCTAGAAAACGCGCGCGCATCGGCATCACTTCACCACACCCACTGCTCCACGTGTAAAGCAGGCTGCGAAAAGAATGTACGAAATCAATAGATTCCGATATATACGGGCAAGGGCGGATTGGCCGCCACGCACTATCAAGTGGGTAGGGTTCCAACTTTAGTTCCCTAAAGTCTCGGATGGAACCTGGGAGACAACGCAAATGCACTGGCACCTACATGAGGGATTGCAATGGCGAGAGATGCGGTGGTGATGTGGGCTGTCTCTTCATCTCCACTCCTCCTTGGGACTTGCTTGATCGAGATGCGCCGGAGACTGATCGTATTCCACAATCCAAGCCAAGCCAAGCCAATCCATCCCAGCTTTCGTATCCTGATTCTCTTTTCGTCCAAACCTTCTCTCTTGGGCGTTGCCCTCGCTTGTTACGGCTGGCTCGCTTGTCCGGCCGGGCGCGGATGCTGAACAGGCTCTTCTCGAACGGCCATCTGAACCATGAATTGATGGATTGCAGTCGGATCATCAGCACCATCCTGTCAATCACACACTGATCTTACCCCAACAGAGTCGGACGGGCGCCATTGCAACACAGACGCACACTCCTCCCCGCGTCATCGTCATCAATCTGGTTCCAGTCCTTATCAACCAAGCAGCGCTGACGGGTCGCAGAGTTGAAACAACATCTAGAAACGCCGGCCTGCGCACCTCACTCAAACCTTCCCCCCTCACTTTATTCCCTCTGCAGAAACAAACGCAGCGTCGCAGTTTTAATATAGAGGCCCTGTTCTTGCCACAGGCCGTCGTTCCCAGCCCGCTGACAGGTTGGAAGCGAACCCGATACCAAGAGAATTCGTGCATCAGGGCCGAATGTGCCGACTGCTCTCTGTGTGGTCGCTGGCGTGCCGCAGTTCCCGAAATGGTTGCGTGACACACAGTGGGTGTGGGCCCGTTGCTTGCACAAACCGTCATTGGCGAGCGAGAATTTTGTCTCGTGCATAATAATTTTAAGGTCCAGTATAAGGTTAGTGCAGCAGGTGCGGTGGCAAGCAGGTACGGAAGACACGGGCGGCGTACCTACATTAGTGAGTCCCTTTCTCAGCTCGGATGCCATGCCGGCTTGTGGAGACGTTGGTGGTGGTGTCGTGGATACGAGCGCCGACAAGCCCGACGGCACGAAGGAAAGAAAAAGAGGTACGTCGGTAGTATAGAAGCCCAACTACTCGATTGCTCGCAAACACAGCCTCAAAAAAGAAATGGGCTGGTTGTCTGCATGTCAATGCAGGAGATGCAAGGACCGACGAGGCAACTCTGCTCAGCTCCTCCGCGACGCTGTTCCCTAATCCCGGCCGGTCAAATCTCCATCCATTCATCCCAATACAACCCTCCTCGTCCCAGGATCATGTGCAATTAATTTTCCCATCCCAACAGAACCAACCACGCAATCCCCCGAACTCCGCCAAATCCATCTCTCACATCGAGTCAAGGACCACGCGCCCCAGTCCGACTGATGGCCTGACCCAGTGTCGCGGCGCCCCAGCTGTGGCTTGATGGGGTACTATGCACGTTTTGGCTGTGCATCTCTGCCGCTTCTGCTTACTATTTTGTCCGTACTTTGAACAAGGGGCGCGGTGGTTGTGTGTCAGATGGAAGCATGTACGACGTGGGAGGCACCTGCATGTGCACTGGTTTAGGTACAGCTGAAGCCCAACATGAATCGATACAGTGCTGCTGCAGTGAACATGGCGCATGGTAGCAATCAGTTCAGATCAGTCCTCTGGCTTGCTCCTTCAATTGGCCTTTTGGTGTACTTTCGTATCCTGAACGTGTCGGGACTCCAGTTGTCCGCCCCGGCTCTGACTACAGTGCATACTACAGTGTCCAATTCTTAATGAAGGATCACGTACCTCAAGCAAGCCCCAGCATCTCCAACTGCAGGCATCAATGGCTCTTTTTCCTTTTTCACTAGCCATCCAGGACTCAATGCCCGACATGCAGGTACCATCAGTTGCATTTCAGATTGGCTTTTCCCGCGTAGATTCACCGTCGGCCTGGCCGGTTGTTCTGCTCATCAGTCGCTTGGCACTTGATCGGCTGTTACCGTTTTTGTGCTGCCAATTCAGGTACGAGAATGCGCACTTGTACAACAAACAACCCGTTCACAACGGCTGGTAGTCCGCTGTCAACCGTGACACGCCACGGCGTTGGAGACTGCATTAGGTGGCTTGGTGGCTGTTTTATGGCATCTGATCCCGCCCCTTCATAGCAGATTTTTTGGTCTCTCACGCATCTGAATCAGGTTTCAAAGATTTCATCTGGGCTATCAACAAAGTGCAGCAACCATCCAACCACTGACAGCCGTCCACATCCCCTCAATCACAACTATCTAGCTCTGCATTCCGCTGCATGTTCCTCCTCCAAGACATGTCCCGCCAAGCGTCCCTGCAGCCATCACCAACCTCGCACCGCGGGTACCTCCATCAATCGAGATTACAATGGCTTGTGCCACGTTGGCCGCCTCCACACTTCCATCCCGTCCCCATCCACTCACCCCCTGCAAAGGTGACAGTCGTCTTCCCATCCCGAGTCCGGTGGCGGTTGACCGTTCACCGGCACCGAGCTTGCCATTGCGTGGACCGCTGGTGCATATTACCACCACAAGATATTGGCCTACGCAGCAGGTATGGGGTTGTCTGCCGGCCTGACATTGGACTAAACTGGGCGCACTCTTGGACTGGCTATTTTTGGTCATGACGGACCCAACGGATCCCTCGGATGAGCTGCGAGGTTCCCTAGCTTTCTCGCTAGGATTGCACGCTGCCGTCTCCTATTGACCTAAAAAGTGGGTGAAGTATCTTGCAGTGCGTTTCTCTGCATAAGTAGTCCGTTGTGTGCTGTTCAGTAGGCACATCTGCCGGACGAAGCGGATGGATACGATGAATCGCTTACAGAGCAGCCCCAGGACCTTGCTGCGAAGCTATCGAAGCTTTCATATTCTCCGGATCCACAGAATATCATCTTTCCACTGCTACCGTCATCAGCGATGACCTTGCTCAGATCTTCCACGCGTACTCATCTCCCTGGATCCCCAGCGCCGTAAATAGTACACTCTGCATACCAGCCATGGCTCCCACCGTTTCCCTCGTCCTGGTCTCATTCATGTGGGGTGTCCACCTGGGAAATCGACTTCCATCAACTCGATCAAGGCAGATATCGATGATAGAATTCCGTCCTCTGCAGCCCTACCTACGCTTACTGTAAACTCAGGTGGCTTATCGCATTGGCCCTTTGGCGTTCGTGTTGACAATCAGGCGCAGATCCCAACGGATTCACGGCCCATTGAGCGGCACTCTTGCATATCCCATGGGAGCCTGACGCTGGACTAGTTCCATTTCAGAGGTATCTGTGGGTGTCTGGTAGACCTGGTTTGGACTTCCTGGCAGCAGTGCAAGCCTCAATATTGGTCTCGATGTCCGCCTCGGTCCCTTCCAACACCCAAATACCCTATACTATTTATCAGACTAGTGAGATTGGTCGGATACGAAAGACTCACGCAAAGAATCCAAGCAGCAAGAGTCCAAATGCTCCTGAGCCAACGCCCGCCCCAATCCGCTGCCGTGTGGCAAGGTCTAGACAAGGGTTGTTAACATTATCACGAGTGGAAATCGTGAGCCAGCAACCTACCGTAAACTGGGAGTTCTGGAGTACCCGCGTCGGTGGGAATGGCACCTGTCGGCTTGCCGGATGCTGTGAAGGTGGGCTGCGGTGCCCCGGTGTTTTGCCTCGATCCCGAGGATGCGTCGGTGTCGTCAGTTTGTCCACCGTAAGTGCTAGTGAGCTCAAGATCAATAGTGCTACTGAAATCAGGATCCATAGTCGTCACAGTGTCGGTTGATCTCGATGTTGCGCAGTAATATGCTGCCGCCTCGTAGTCAGGCCATGTGTAAGTCGCACAAAAAGACAACTCTCCGATGCTATTCAAGATAGTCAGTTCCCTCCAGGTTAGAGGCGAGTTGAGACTGACCATGCCAGAGTCTTGGTATCAGATGCAGTTCCACCCTCTATGCAATCAGTCTGGAAAGAGCACCCATCGTCATTACAGCATCCCATATAGCCCCGAGTCCCGCCCAAGACGGAGAGGAAGCCACAAGGTCCGGCTACACAGGTCACCGGAATGTCTATCGAGCATCAGTATCGTGATGTGATAATAGCAGGTGTCGCCTACCGCTCACAAAGCCGCATGTATCGCCTGATCCATCTTGACGTCTGGCATTGGCCAGTTCTCTAGGTCGCGCTGTTGGACCTAGGGGGTTTGATACCGCTGATGTTCTTTGCGAGCTGGTTTGCTGAGGGGTCGAAGTGCCTAACCGCACATAAGCCCCAAGAACGAGGACAATGAGGCCGTGGTGTTTCATTGCTCCAGGTCTCCGATTCAGAAACGAGAGAGAAATGATGGAAGAAGCGAAGTTGGGGATTTATTCCGGAGCGTATGACTTCTGCGGCTGAGTTCGCATAGTTCCGTTGTACGTTGGAATGGTGGCAACTGATTGGCGAAGTCTCACCCAGCGACGCCTGGTTGGATGATGATGCCGGTGGGATTCAGCTGGCTAACCTCAACTGGGTTGAGCAACCAACCCATCCTGTCAATGATCCGCCCAGGACAGCCTCATCGAAGGATATCTCCGCCCCCAACAATCGGCCATTCAAGAACAAAGGGCTGGGAATTGCGCTCTTTCCGAGCCGACTCCGCCCTGCCAAACCCAACAACTGAATTGATTTGTCACAAGCATTCAGCATGTCCAACTGTTCACAATGGGCGGCGCTGGACGACTTCAGCAGCTATGTCGATTCCCTTGGCAAATCGACCGAGTTTGATAAGGGCAAGATGCAGGTCTGTAGGACTGAGATATGTACCGCAGTCTATGGCACGGGTAACCCAGATATCTCTGGCATTGGCGTTGGTCTCGTACAATTACTCGATGCTGAGCCCCAACTCACACGTCGCAGGTCGCAGTCGGATATGTCCTCGATCTCGCCTTAGGAATCATGCTCTCCCTTGGGGTGATTTTCCTCAAACCCCGCCTGTGGTGCAACGGCAGCTCGCACGAAGCCTACCAGATCTTCACGGCAGGCCTGCGCTCCTTCTTCGACTCGGCAGCGTACTTTGCCTTTGCGCTGCAGCTCGCGGCCATTGCGGTCCTCGTGCGCAAGGACTATGGCATCAGCACCTTGGACATGGGCGCCTTGGAGACGGAGATTACCCAGGCCGTCGCCGTGGTGAGCCTGCTGCCACTGCTGTATCCGGTTGCGCTACTTGAGGGCGGGCGGGACGGCCATGCGAAGCACAACGCGCGATTGCTGCTGCTGAGCGTGACGGTGGCCTTGTCGTTTTACCCGTTCATGTCGAGGTGCTTCCATGCGTTTGGGGAGTCCCCGATAGGAAACGGGAAGGGCGGGGAGGTCTCGACGAGTGACTGGGGTAACGTGCAGACTATGTGCTTTCCGGACGGTCTGGGTGGCCTAGTTTCATTCATGGAGAGTATGACCTACAGGGCACTCGACGGCCTGGAGTTGACGATCTGCCTCCTCATCTACCTCTTTACGTTCTGGCTCATGGCTTGCCTCCCGGGTTCCCGTCATCCTATCAAGGAGAAGGCCGGCGAACGGGAGCATCGATCTTGGCGGGAGCAGGTGAATGATTGGTTCGGCCATCACCCATACATCGCGGCTGTACCTCTATTGGCCATGATTGGCCTAGCGGTCCCGTTGCTCTGGGTCATCTTCCAATTGAGAATGCTCCAACAGGACCTAGCTAGGAGCGTGGGAGAGACGTATACAGGAGGGAACTGGGGATTTGGCCAGATAGTGTCGCTTGTGTTGTTCGCGCCAGTTGGGGTCACGATGGCGTATCGATGGAGGTTTGGTGATGAGTGGGATAGGACAGAGTAGAAGCTTCAGATCCTTTGGGTTGATTCTGGATATGGTTGTGCTGTTAGTTGCAGGTACTTTATGAAGGGGTTGGATTGGGGATAGGTAATGAGTCGTAAATTCTAGGAATACACCATACCATGAGTTTATGTGTATGTAAACCGGGGTTCTCATTCGGATCAGAAGAATCCGAGGTGTGAATATGTGGTTGAACTGTAGATGTCGCTTAGATCCTGGTGCATGTATAGGGTAGCTATGACGGAGTTGACCCTCTACACTTCCTAAAGCCGCTCGGCCATTTCCATACATGGTCTCGTTTTCATGAAGTGGAAAATCAGCCGTTGATTTTGAGTATGCCGAGTTCTATCCCTTTTGCCACTTTGATATTGTGTGATTGGGGTAGAAGTTGTTAAGTGGTTATTGCTCAATCGCATGCCGACAAAATCCCACCAGTGTAGTTCACACAGAGCTCCGAGAAAGGAAATAGCTGCACCTCCCATACTATAAGTTACCCAATAATAACAGACCAAAGCGATAAGCCAACCCGACATGCAGTAGGCATTTGCAGTGAAGCAGACAGAAGGACTTTCATGGAACGATTGCTCAACGAGTGGTCACGTGGTAGGTAACCGCCTCTCGCACAGCAAGCACCCGAGAGATTAAGTGTACCCAGTTTGTTTCGTTACGCTCGGCTCTTGTGCAATGTCTCAAGTACCTTACATCTCTCTGCAAAGCCATGAAGCTAGACTTAGACCATCGGCTGCGTACCAGTGATGCTTCCATGTCTTGCCTCAGCCACAGAATGGGGTAATGGACCTGCATAAAGTACATGCAACTAGTGTAAACACGGACCATTGGCGGGAACTGGGAGCAGAGCATCCGCCTTCAGAATACACAGGCGGCTGGAGGTTTGTCATGCATGAACTGGCTGATGATGATCGAATTACTGCGTGGTGACGGTCGCGTACCTAGCAGCCGGCGGAAGGGCGAGGTGCTGTGACAACGTAATACGGAACAACCAATGACGCATTGACTGTCTTGTTGTTGTTCCAAGTGCCTGGCCTGGTCTGAGCCTGTCCTTGGCGAGATAAGTCAGGCCAGACACCGCCAACAGAGCTCTGTAGATGCCTAAGGCGGTAAGGCGGGAGTTGGCCCGGTTGCTGGACCAGCGAACACAGTGGAGACGCGGAAGGCGAGATGGTGCGTCATTGCTGCGTTTGGTCACAAGGACCCAGCCAGCGCGAGCCAGCAGGGGCAGGAAGGTCCGGAGACGGTCAAGTCTAGGCAGGCACGCACCGCCCCAGACAGGTCAGTCGGTGGCAGCCGGCGTTAGCCACCACTCACAAGACGTAATCAGCTCCCCGCCCGAGCTCCCACAGCGCAGCGCCTCAGCGCCGAGCACAGTGCATACCTGCTAGGTACCAGCCCCGTCGCCGATAGAGGGAGCGCCCGAAACACACGCAATAGCTCTCGCCCAGCTCCGTCATTCCCTCCCCAACCTGGTCGCTCGACTTCCCTCCTCCATCCTCCCCATCTTATCATCTCCATCAACTTGCCTTTCGACATCCCTCGAATCGCACCCTCTCGTCTTGTCGCATCGCATCTCACCGTATTGAAGTGCGCAGGTCGAATCGCTGCGTCTCGTGTTATTGATTGATTTATCCGTCTTCCGGACCCGTCGTCGTCATCATGAAGAGCGCTCTTCTCGCCGCAGCTGCGCTGCTTGGCTCCGCCCAGGCTGGCGTCCACAAGATGAAGCTCCAGAAGATTCCTCTCTCTGAGCAGCTGGTATGATGATGCCCTCAGACGGACAGGCCGATGCCATCCAGACCCTGGCACAACCTTGCACAGCGCTGACGATAACGACAGGCCACCAACTCCATCGCGGAGCATGTCCAGAACCTCGGTCAGAAGTACATGGGCTCCGCTCGCCCCAACACTGCCGCCGACTACATGTTCAAGTCCGAAGTTGCCAAGACCGATGGCGTCCACCCCGTCCCCGTCTCCAACTTCATGAACGCCCAGTGTGAGCCTCCCTCCTCCTCCTTGGGTGACTTCCAACACTGACATTGAACAGACTTCTCCGAGATCACCATCGGTACCCCTCCCCAGACATTCAAGGTTGTCCTCGATACGGGCAGCTCCAACCTCTGGGTCCCCTCCCAGGAGTGCGGCAGCATCGCCTGCTACCTCCACTCCAAGTACCAGTCTTCTGACTCGTCCACTTACAAGAGCAACGGCAGCGAGTTCGAGATCCACTACGGATCCGGCAGCCTGTCCGGCTTCGTCTCCAACGACGTCATGTCCATTGGCGACCTCGAGATTAAGGGCCAGGACTTTGCCGAGGCCACCAGCGAGCCTGGTCTGGCTTTTGCCTTTGGCCGATTCGACGGTATCCTTGGCCTGGGCTATGACACCATCTCCGTCAACCACATGGTCCCCCCTTTCTACCAGATGGTCAACCAGAAGCTTCTGGATGAGCCCGTGTTTGCTTTCTACCTCGGCGACCAGGAGGGCGAGAGCGAGGCTACCTTTGGTGGTGTCGACAAGTCCCGCTTCGAGGGTGATATTGAGTACATTCCCCTCCGCCGCAAGGCTTACTGGGAGGTCGACCTCGACGCCATTGCTTTCGGTGACGAGGTTGCCGAGCTGGAGAAGACTGGTGCCATCCTTGACACCGGTACCTCCCTGAACGTCCTCCCCAGCTCCCTGGCTGATCTCCTGAACAAGGAGATGGGTGCCAAGAAGGGCTACAACGGCCAGTACACGGTCGAGTGCGACAAGCGCCAGACTCTCCCTGACGTCGTCTTCACCCTTGCCGGCTCCAAGTACAGCCTCCCTGCCACCGACTACATCCTCGAGGTGTCTGGCAGCTGCATCTCTACCTTCCAGGGCATGGACTTCCCCGAGCCTACTGGTCCTCTTGTTATTCTTGGCGATGCCTTCCTCCGCCGATACTACTCGGTCTATGACCTCGGCAAGAACGCCGTTGGCCTGGCCCGCGCCAAGTAAATGATTTATGGGGAGGAAATAGCACAGACGAGCAGCGAATACTGAATTGATACTTGTTCGGTTGGGAGATTGGGTTGGCCAACTGGATTAATACCGCAGATGTTGATACTGGAGGGGCGGTGATTGCGCAACGGTGCACAGTTCTCTCATGTACAATGCTACTTAAGTAATAGGATATGTGAATTACCCGCTGTATTCGATTTGACTAGTTCCCGTGCTGCATGTTTGTTGGGCCTGCGTCGTATTAAGCACCGGGATGTCTGTACCTCGTCCTTGTGATGTGTAAGATAAGGCGGCGAGGTGGCCAAAGCCTGCAGATGATTCAGCTATTCTTTGGGGAGTTGAGTTGGCGAAGAGAGCCCCGCCCATGAGCGCAATGAATGAAAAAAACCCCTTGATGGCCTTGCGAAAGGAGCTAATAGCGAGCAACAATGGCCAGTGGCAGGTCGGGAACTGTGCAGCCACGGGAACTGAGGACGGGAACTGGTACGAGGCTTGCTGGGTGGAACCTAGTGGCCTAGTACTCCGTACCCGTAGTGAGCGAGGGGTGAGGCGCCAGATCACGTGCGGGCCTCATTAGCCTTCCCCCAAAAGGCGCTAGCGTGGGTCCTGGTCAGCGACAGTACTTGGCGATCAAGACACATTCTTCCCCCGGCGCAGCCTTCTCCATTCCCTCCAGCAGTCGCTGTCGATTTCAAGGTTGAAATATCGTCCATCGAGACCTGTCGTCGCGTGATTTGCCGAGCCGTTGGTGCACCAGTCGATTGCACGGCGCCAGTTGGATGAGGACGGCCCGTTCGCGCTGCTCGACGAAACCGTTTTTGGAGTTGCACCAGTCTGCCATCCACTACCGCGCGTCGCGACGAGGCGCGGCCCAGCTCCCCACGACGAGACGACCCAACGACTAGAAGCCGACCATGGCGCAGCCCGCGACAACGAAGCCCAACGGCGTCCCGGAGCCCGCCAGCACCGAGAATGCGCAGCCCGTCGTTCCGGGGAAGCGAAAACGCGACAATGGCGAAGAGGGAGACGAACTGGACGGCTTCGAGGACGAGAAGCCCGCTGCTACCAACGGTTGGCCCAAGGGCGATCAAAAGGAATTGATTCAATCCTATCTTGAGGTCTTGAGCAGGTAGGTTGCGTTTTCCGACTTGGTGGATGTCGCGACTTTGCCATCGCGAGTCCTTTTGCTATGCGTGCTAATCATCTCCCAGCTTCGACATCAGCCCGTCCATCCTGAACCGTCCAGTCCCGGAACCATCGACTGATGAAGAACCCGAGGCGAAGCGGCAAAAGTCTACCGATCCAGAGTCTGCATCTACAATCTCCGAAAAGGTCGCTGCCGATGCGTACGATCGCCTCGAAGACGTGGCTGCCGATATCGTCTCCGTGATCAAGGTATCGCTCGAGGAGCTCAAGGCCAAGTCCTCGGGATTGGAGAAACCAGTGTCAAACGAAAAAGCCGTGGCCAAGATTGATGAGTTCAAGAACAAGGCAATGCAGCTCCTTCGACGAGAAAAGGCATACCCCAAGACCAGCAACGAACCCCTCACAGTCGAGGCTGACCTCCCACCCTCCCCTCAAAAGGGCGAGCTGGTGTTGTCCCTCATCGGATATGCGCCTCAAGAGAGGCGGCTGTTCTCTAGTCTTCCGCTGGCTCACGAGGAGAAGCTGGCTCACATCCCTCTTCCCCAGGGCATGACCTTGACACACATCATGCCCACGTCGACTCAGGAGCGAACCCAAACTCTTGGAGAGTTGTTTTCCTCTCCTCGAGCGCTGCCTCCGCTGCAACCACCAAAGCAGCCCAAAACCCAGGCCAAGGGCAATACCCTTGACTTTTATCACCCGGAGCTCACCGACACGTCTAAATATCAGAGCGCCAGCTACTCGACCACGAAACTCTCGGCAGGATACTACCTCGACTATAGCAATGCTGCTCCTTCGTCGCAAATGCAGACGAAGCAACGCGAGCGTGCACAGAGTTTGGCCGGGAAGAAGCCTTCAACCACCGAACTGGAGATGTACGAGATGGAAGCCCTCTTCCGGGGAGCCTTCTCGAGCTTCGCTCCTTGCAAGGATGACACTGCCGCTGTCGTGCCGTCCAGTGTTGCCAGCCGACTCTGGTGGCAACGAGCTGGTCAGCGACAGTTTCAGAACATGATCGAGGTGGAATACTACGGGGACGCGGACGATGAGCAGGACAACGACAATGATGTTGTGGAGATTGACGAAGACGCGGTCAAAGAAGCTATTGATGGCTGGGATGAATCAGTCGTTGATCCCTCGTTGGACGACATCATGGGTACCAAGCGGGACGAACAGGACAAGGAGGTTAATGAGATTCTCGAGGAGGTCAGCGACATGATTGAAACGCTGTCGTCCTACCAGCGAATTCGCAACCTCAACCTCCCCAACTCTCAGAACCGCCAGTCTAGCGACCCGGTCACTGGCGATATGCTGGCTACGGCAGGCCCTCAGCCTTCTGAAGAGGAGCAAGCCACTTACCACGTGCTCAAGGCACAGCTGGCTCTCATCATCAAGACCCTGCCGCCCTATGCTGTGGCCAAGCTGAACGGTGATCAACTGGAAGATCTTTTGATTAGCACCAGGGTTCAGGTTCAGACAGACCAGTACAAGGGTGTCATGGAGGAAGACGAGGCCGGCATGCAAGCTCGCATACGAGCGCAACAGGCTGCGCAGGCGACTGTCCGACCACCGCAGCGGACACCAAGCGTATCGTCCATCCCTTACGCGAATCACTACCAGGCTGCGAATCAATACGGAACTCCTAACCGAACGCCGGCGATGCCGCAGCAGTATTTCCGCCCGGGTGCTACTTCTACCTTCCAACCTCAGGCACGGCCGATGCCTCCCTCCCAACCACGACCTCCCCAGCCCAACCAATACACCCGTCCGAACGGCTATCCGAACCAGTATGCCACCCAGCTGGCCAAGGCTCAGACTCCTTACGGCCACCAGAACATGCAGCAGTATGCAAGCCAACAACGGCCACAATATGGCCAGATGCCGCCGCAACAGGGAACTCCTGCTGCTCGGTTCCCGTACCAGCCTGGCTTCCCACCACAGCAGGTTGGCACGCCTTCCCAAGGCACCTTTGCAGCATACACAAACGGCCAAGCAATGTCCCAGCGCAACATGTCTCCCCAGGTACAGCATAGGCAGCCGTACAGCCCGTCGCCGAGTGTGCAGCAACCCCAGCGATTCAACACACCACAGGCAATGGGAAGCCAGATGGGACGGTTTTCCAGTAACCCGGCTGGAACACCAGTACAGAACCCTGGTCTCACGGGATATCACACTGTAATTCCCGAGGCCCAGCAGCAGCGGATTCTCGATCAGGCAAAGGCCCGGGTGGCGGCACAGGAGCGTTCCGCCATGTTTGCGGACAAGATAGCTCAGCCTAGTGGCATGGTCGGGCTTGGAGGAATGGGGATGGGTGGCACGATGGACATTAACCGGCTTGCAGCCGCTCGAGCTAGCATCGCAGCTCAGCAGCAGAAGCCTCAGACTCCTACGCCCGGTATGCAGCGGTCACTAAATGGCACACCAAGCGCACATATCCCGCACAAGGTGACGCCTGTTCCGGTGCCCGTCATCCCTGGACTTCAGCAGCAGCGGAAGCCTTCGTCATAGACTCAGCAACATGAGGTTCTTGGAAACTGGGCACATCGGGGTAGAATAGGTCTGGGCCTTGGGCTCGGATGAATTGTGGTCTGGTTCGGGCGTTTAGAGGCGGATAATCGATTTTCTTTGCGGAGTTGGTCACGATGAAGGGATTTCCGGCAGGGATTCTTGACACCACGGGATGGACGGGAGGTGTGGGTGTTCATGTCGAGTTCGACTTTGGGGCTCCCAGTGTAATTCAACTGCTAGCAAGGGGACGCGGGTTTTTAAGCAGAAGAAAATGCGACGGGGCTATTAGAGCAGCCGTATCGCTGGAGAACTGGAGATTTCGTGGCGTGAAGTGTCTTGGACTTGAAGGAATCGTGTTGAAGTTATGGATGGGTCTTTGGGGAGAACTCGAAAAGGGCTCTGGCATGGGTCGGGCTCTAGATGTTCGTTACCGGGCTGCATTGTTTGATATCATACTGTACAATTACGTGTCGCTTGTAGGTATCGTTCACCTTGCGCAGAGGAATTTAGGGATTTTGCCTTGGAATGGAGTTTATTATAAGGGAAATTTGATGTCGGTTCTCATCCATCATATCGTTCTAGAGCTGGGTATCTATCGTAGGCCAATCCATCCTCGAGGAGGTCATTTATCGTACAAGGAGGTTATCTATCGTACAAGGCAAACGTCCATTTAATGTACAATGCTTTTGTTCAGTTCCTGTTCTCAGGTTCTGCTCGTTCAGCTTTCAACTTACACCACCAGCTTGGACTTCTCCTTGTCTAGTTTGGCAAGCTCACGCTCTAGCATCCACTCGAGAACAATGCGACGCACTTCAAAGACTACCTCGACGGCGATGAGCAGGATGATGATCCACTCAAGGCGGGTACCGTGCTGCTCGCTCGACATCTCACGTAGTACAGTGGCGATCTCGGCGGCGTAGTCCATTTTCTGGTTGAGGGCGCGGATGCGCACGTTGACGTCCAGGGCGCGGCCGACCTGGTCGTAGTAAGCCTCGAGGCCAAGTTCGGAGCTGGTGTCCCAGAAGATGTCCGGCAAGGAGTCGGTAAGCTCCGAGTAGTGGTTTAGGCGCGCGCGCAGGCTGAGCAGCTCGCCCGTCTTTTGGAGGATGAACTTGCGGCTCAAGGGTACGCCGGCGCCGTGGGAGAGGAGCGCGGGGATATTGCGCGTGCTCTCAAAGTAGGATGTGAGGGTGCTCTCGAGGACGGCGAGCTTGGTGCTGCGCGCGAGGCCGGAGGAGAAGGCGACCTTGGCCAGCGTCGTGTCCAGCATGTCGCCGTCCTTGTGCTCCTTGCGTGTGCCCAGCACGATGACGTCGCCCTTGAGCAAGCTCGTCTCTCGTCCGATGTCTGTGGTGAATTCGAGATCTTCGACCTCTCGGCATTCGACGGGGTGGGGGTCTTCCGAGGCTCGCATGATTTGCTTGGTGACGACGTCCGGAGGGAGCGACCAAGTCACAATTGTTCCGGACGGGAAGACGAAGATGTCGCCGCCATTGACTCCTCGCGCATGGAGGACTTCGTTGGCGTCGAATCCTGTGCCATCCGGGTCAATCGCGAAGCCATGCGAAGAGAGGATCTCCAACACGAGGGGCATGTTGAAGGCCTCGGCGACGCATGTTGCGCTGGCCACTGTTGATTGTACCTCGCTCGACTCTTCTCCCGCAGCGACCGCCGGCGGTGTTGCATTGTCCGACCCTCGCTTGGGCTGCTGCGCAATGATGGCGACCCTCCGAAGGGAATTCTTGGCCGTGGCAGCGCGCGTGGGCCGTCGTTTTGCGGCGGGCGAGGTAACGGGTTGCTCATTCTTGGGGAGTTCGGAGCGGGAGCCGTCGTTGGCTTGGGAGAGGAAGGGATTCGAGGTGAAGAAGCTGCGTTTTCGCGGCAGTCCGGCCGGAGTCGTTAGGTGGAAAGCTCGGCATGGTCGTGGGCATGGGCCTGCGATGGGCGTGTTAATGAGGCGCCCGACTTGCAGGGTGATGCGTTGGGGTGAAGTCTTCATGATTGATAACGAAGGCCATAAATATGGACGAGACTCGTTATAATATGAGACAGGAGACTTTATGTCTGTCTTGTCCCTGCAATTGAACAATGGCTGCAATCGATCAACGACTGTAGCAATAAACCTCACGATACTCTATACTGGCCTTGGTGATACAGGTCCGGGCGGGTGGCGATAAGAAACGCTATCTTCACGTGCCGGATCACCTGACCTCCTCAGTTCCTCAACACTGCAACACGTGTGACGAGGCCTACAGGGGGCTAGACCGCTTCAGGTAGTCATCTCGACACCCATGACGGAGTCCCACCACCAGATCTCTAGGGGAACCAAGTGGCCAACCGTTAATTACGCTTGCTTCTCAGGCTGAGGACTCTGACCGATACGCCCCTTTACCACCGCCCTCGCCTCCTCCTTACATCTCCCGACTTTTCCCTTCTCTAGCCGCGTGCTGCTGTGGAATCTTGCTTCTTCCATCTCTTCTCACCCCTCATCCAGTTACCCCACCATCATCCTTCGCCATGGATCTGAACCCCAAGTACGACGACTACTACTTCCCCGTCAAGGCGGCGGAGGAGCAGACCGGCCATGCTGGCTACCTGACCGAGGGCCAGATTGCCCAGCTGCACCAGCTGCGAATGATGCTCGAGGCCGAGGGCTTCACCGACCGATTGGACACCTTGACTCTGGTACGTTTTGCAAAGGTGGCGGGGAGGCGCCGCCTCGCGCGGTTTTGCATCTTGGATTGCGCGGAACGAGTTGACTAACGCGGCTGTATGTAGCTGCGATTCCTCCGTGCGCGAAAATGGGTTGTCGAAGATGCCAAGAAGATGTGAGTTCTGATGCCATCGTCGAACGATACGTGGTGTTGAGGTGACAGGGGCTGACCGCCACTAGGTTTGTCGACACTGAGGACTGGCGAAAGAAGACCAACTTGGACGACATCCTTCCCACCTGGGACTACCCTGAGAAGGCCGAAATTTCAAAGTACTATACCCAGTACTACCACAAGACCGACAAGGTACCATTTTCTCGATCCCTCCGGACCACATCCATGGTGATGCTGATATTATACAATAGGATGGCCGACCCGTGTACATCGAGGGGTTTGGCAAAATCAATCTGAATGCTATGTACAAAATCACTACCCAGGAGCGTATGCTCACAAACCTCGCCGTCGAGTACGAGAAAGTCGCCGACCCCCGCCTCCCCGCCTGCTCGCATAAGGTTGGATCCCTCCAGGAGACTTGCTGCACAATCATGGATCTCAAGGGCATTTCCGTGATGTCGATCCCCAATGTATACACCTACCTCAAGCAAGCCTCGGCCATCTCCCAGAACTACTACCCTGAGCGTCTGGGCAAGTTGTACCTGATCAACTCACCCTGGACCTTTGGATCTTTCTGGACCGTCATAAAGGGCTGGCTCGACCCCGTCACTGTCTCCAAGATCGCTGTTCTGACCAGCGGCGAAACAAAAGAACTCTTGAAGCAGATCCCTGCCGAGAACCTCCCCAAGGAGTTTGGCGGTACTTGCGAGTGCGAGGGCGGCTGCGCTAACAGCGACGCCGGCCCTTGGCACGACCCTGAGCATACCCGAACTCCCAAGTGGGCGAAGAAGGACGATGGCAAGACTATCGAGAACAAGGGCTCTGAGATTGAGACTCCCGCCGGCGAGAAAGCCCCCGCCGCTGTCCCCGCCACTGATGCGGATGCGGCCACTCAGCCCGCTGCAGCTTAGATGATGCCTTGATAGTGTCTGTGACGCAAATATGGATATTTTGCATCTTTAAGTAGACCAGATATATTTCTTGGTTGGGGTTTTATACGAAATTGTTGTTGAGCGTGGTGCAGGAGTGGGTAACGATGATAAAACATGTTGGGAGGGAGAGGGCGGAGTGTGAAGTCGAGGGAGCAGAAGGGAGAGAATCACAAGAACAAATGTTGTCAAGGGCCGCCAGCCCGTTGTATCTTTCTTGCAGAATCCCGACATCCTTGTTTTCTTGGCCCTATATATTCCTTATCATGACTGCAATAGTTCTGAACAAATAGACGCAGTACCGATATGTATATGTTCTTTGCCTCTCTTGCGACTATTCCTCAAGTGCATCATGATCCTTGACGCCTGAACTCCATGCGGCTTAAACCCGCCCCATTGACAATGTTCTCCCTGGGTATAACCTTCACCGCCCTTGCGTAACCACGTATTCACCAGCGACACGCGCCCTCTCCATCTTGGCTACCACTGCGGGCATGTCCCTCTTTAGCCGCCCCAGTCCCTCCACGGCTTTGCGGAACCCAGCCTCGACGCCTTCTTGCCTCTCGAGCACCTTGACATCGAGGTCCACTTCGGCCGCCGCCCCAGCCGCATGTGCCTTGTGCGCCTCGAGCATATCATCGTCGCGCTTGAGGCTATCGTGGAGCTGCTCGGCCCGAGAGGCGGCAGCGGTTGCGGGGACGGATCGTTTGAGCGCCGCGACGTCCTCTAGGAGCTTCTCCTCCTGCGTGATGAGGTCGGCCACGCGCCGGCGCTTGCGGGTGTCAAAGGGCTCGTACGTGGGCTCGGGCGCCGTGTTGCCGGCGGTGTCGGCGAGGAACGAGTCGGATGCGACTGGGAGGCCGTTGATCGCTATATTCGGGGAGGCGAGGGAGAATGTCTTGTTGATGTACTGGGACTAATGTGAGTGCTGAGAGCCGCAGATGGAAGGGATGCTGAGAAAGAAGTACCTCGTTCACGAGCTCTTCGATCTTGTTTCGCAATTCATCCTCGCCGTCCTCGCCCTCGACGTGTGGAAACGCCTCGTTGAGGCGTTCGGCTGCGGCACGGCGGACATTTGCGATCAGGTAGGCCAGGTCCTCGTTGCTCTGCAGCTCGATCTTGCGATGGTCCTGAGAGACGACCGACTCGGGGTCCATGGCGGTTCCTCCCCTTTGCGTTTAGGCGAGAAACACGTCAGTCGACTTGTAAATGTGCCCCGACTTGCGATGCTGCGACTGGGAGTGCCCCGCGAGTGACCGCGTTCCTTGTTTACTTCGCCGACGGTTGGCTCGGCCGGGTGGGGTCTCGTTATCTTATCGCCCGTGACCTCCCTGCGTCCGACCCCGATAACGACTTGAACCATGAATGAATGTTCGTGTACAATGTCACTTTTCTTTTCTCAAAACTTGCACGTTTCTCTTGTATTAGACCCCGTCGACTTGACAGCCGAGATTGTTACGCTGAACAAAGCCCCCAGCCGTACAGGAGCGAGCCTCTACAGCAACTGACACCTAAGCGGAGATGCAATCACCACCTGTGCTTCAAGTGTTTGATCCGGTATAAGTCTTTATCGAGACTCTTCAAAGGATAATGGCTGCCTGTCTTGTCACACAATACTTACTACTGCCAACTTGCGGTGAGACTGAATTTGGCCCGACAAGCATCATTCCTTTGTGCAACGTGACACATGGGCTTCAGAGGTCCCGTACCGCGATTACCGACAATTGCCAACCGGAGCTACCTGACAGCCCTGGTTGAAACACCTGACTGAAGGGGGTCTAAGATGAAAAGGAAAACGGATACAATTCACCACGGTGATGAAGTCTACAATCGCATAAACCCGGTCTTCATCACATCTCTTGCCCAAGCAACACTGTGTGCCCTTCACGGGTTCAGAGTAGCTGAATGGCCCGCAGCTCGATGCAGCTGCGTTGCCACCTCACTGTTTGATGTTTGATGTTTGGTCGTTGTGTGTTGTGCGACATTGCGTAGACCTAACAGTCGGCCACATTCTCTGCCGTATAAATACCACGACTTAATTCCGTCTGCATCAGACACACACAGAATTTAATATTCACAACACACAGACAGTTCTGTCACCACCTGCCCCGAATGGATCCCGCCATTGGTGTTGTGGCCTTTCTTACGATCTCCGCTCAGGTTATTCGTCTCTATGACGACTACATCCAGAGCATCAAGGATGCCCCGCACACGGTCCGCAACATTCGGTTGGAGGTCTCCTCCGTAACATGCGTCGTCGAGAATCTCCGGGATACCCCGAATGTCGATTCCCCATCGGTCTCAGAGCCGGTTCGGAAGCTCTGGTGCGAAGGCGGGACAATGAGTTCTTGCTTGCAAGCTATGTCACAGCTGGAATCACTCCTCGCAGATCAAACAACCAAACGCCCCACTGCTGACTCTCAGAAGAAAGGCAAAACTCGAGAGACACTTGCCCAGGTAGTTGAGGTTGGGTCACGAGTAATTGCAGCTGCGAGGTGGCCTTTCAAGGAAAAAGAGGCAAAAAAGTTGCTTAAAGAGATCTCGGACCACAAGCAAACGATAAATCTCGCCCTTTCTGTTGATTCGAGGTGAGTCTTGGTTGCCCCCTTCTCGAAGAAACGCAATTTTACCAGCGCCTCTTCCTTTGTGGATAGGAGAGCTAATTTCTACAGCTTCGACATGAAGAAACTCAGAGCGGGAGTGGACCTCCTGGTCAAGGAGTCCATGGACCAGGCCAAGGAGTCCGTGGAAGGTAGGTGCATTTTGATTCGCCCTCACTGTTGGAGTAGAGAGAGATAGTCCCTTGCCTTGGTATAATTGCTTGAGCTGATTTATGTTGAAGATTCTCAGCGGCAAGAAATCTGCCAGTGGCTGGAGGAAGACAATCCTTCATCAAGGCTGCATAAAACAGCAGCTAGGCTGCATTCCGAGGGGACTGGTTCGTGGGTTCTAGACTTGGAGCAATGGAAAGACTGGGTTGCCAGAACCACGCGATGCGTCTGGATCCATGGTATTCCCGGAGCAGGAAAATTAATCATGGCGTCATTTCTCTTCAACGAAATCAACAAGATTACCGGCCTTTCCAAAAACGCTACATCGATTTATTTCTATTGCTACTTTGGTAATAATCAGGACGAGACCAATCCACTGTTGGCATGGATAGTCGGCCGGCTCTGTCGCCGCGCGGAAAAAATGCCACATAACCTGCGCTCAATCTACAGAACTCGTATTCGGCCGAATGATGACGAGCTTTTGGAAGGTCTCGAAAATATCCTTAACTCATTCACTTGTGTCCATGTCGTCATTGATGCGTTAGACGAGAGCAAGGAACCTTACACGACGCTTCTCAGGACCCTCAAGAAAATTGCAACAGAGCCACGTTTCAACAAGATACAGTTGCTAGTCACAAGCCGAGATCTTACTAATATTCGATGGGTTCTTTCAGACTTCTCCGCCCCAGTTGCGATGCAGCTGGACAAGGTTGAGGGGGACATACGAAATCACGTCACCGAGCTATTGCAAAAAGAGCTCGAGTTTTCAGGATGGCCAGAGAAACTACGTCGCGACGTCGCGGAGAGGCTCGCAGTTGGTGCGGAGGGCATGTGAGTTATCACTTTGTGTTGAATGACCGAGATGCTGACTATTTTAGGTTCCGTTGGGTTCACTGTCAAATCGACATTCTTAAACAGCTTCGGTCAATCAAAGCGGTCGAAGAGGCCCTCTCTAGTCTCCCGAAGGGATTAGATGAGACATACCATCGTATATTTGAAATGATCCCCGAACACGAACGTACCTACGTCAAGAGAACGCTGTCTTTTCTTTGTGCCCACGACAAGTTTGCCATCATTCCCGGTTTCCCAATGCATCAACCTGATCTCCTTTCCTTGGTGACGGAGAACTGGAGGCGCGAAAACGGCCAATCTTCTGGAAGTGATCTATACGGCCTCGCTATGCTTGAAAAAGCCTGCGGCTGTCTTGTTACCTTTGGCAAAAACGAATGGGACTTTGATGTGGCCTATTTGGCGCATTCTTCCGTCAGGGAATTTCTATTTTCTGAGCGACAAGATACGAACTCCAATGCGATCAGTCGGCTGTTTGCAATGTCCCAAGACATAGTCGATCGAAATTTCCTGGAGGCTACGGTTACAGTGATTCTGGAATACACTGGCCCCGACGATGGCGATGTGTATAGTTACGCTTACGTCGGCGCCATACTTGCCATTGAGCATCATCTCAAAGACCTCAGGAGCTGGAAATTGGATTCTCTCGTACTTCAAATGGTGACACCACAAAGCCAGTGTTTTGAGAAGTTGATAAGGGTAATGTTGGGGGACCCAGACGAAAACCGAGAAAGGCTGACTAAGGTGTATCATGCACTGAAATGATTGAGTGCAATCTTGTCTCTTGGACGGTGGTTAGGAAGGTTACATTTCAAGTGATCAATTTATGAATCCGAGGAACCATTAGTTACTAATAAGGCCCTGATCAGCAGACCTTGGACCTTGGACCTTGAACCATAGACCTTAAACCTTAGACCTAGCGGTACATCTGGCGTGCATAATAAGCCCGGCCTTACCGAATATACCTCTGATCGCTAGTTACCTATGCAGATACACTTAGCACCCTGTAGCCCGCCCCCTATAGCCTCTATAATAAGCCTTTTGTAGCTTTTTGGAGTTTGTCTTCTATAAAAGTCTTCTATATTCTTGAAAGACTAACTCTTTAAAAGAATATCTAAATATTAAAAGAAAATTAGCAATAATATTATATTATATCTCTATTTATTTTACATTTTTCTATATTTAATAGATAATTACTTTATTATATAATACTATATTCTACAGTTAAAATATAAAATATAAAGTTTAATATTCTACATAGATTAATACTATGAGTTAGTTTCTTTTTCACCTTAAAGCGTATATTTTTTTATAAAATTTGCCTAGTAACTATAACAATAAAAAATCAGATCCCAAATATATATTAAGATACTCTGTATAACTCAGCGTCGGATCGTCGTCCCTATATTCCTAAGTAGTCGATTATTTTTACTGCCCGGAAGGAAACAGCCGGACTTCTAGCAACCTCTAACGTCCAGTGTCCAAGGTCTAAGGTCTCTGCGGATCAGGGCCTAATAATATGCAAGAATATCATTCTTAATTTGTCCAAGTATTCCTCCCGTTCCACTTGCCATAAGTGCTGCATTCACTAGTTCTCTCGAGGTCAGCATACGTGGTTTATGAACTTCTATTCAGTCCTTCAGTTTAAGAGAAATAACTGGAGAAAGAGTTGGGTCAACTCCGTATTTGTTTGCTACTCTAGTTCCTATCAACTAGGATCTGTCGCTTTGCACTGGATGCGGAGTCTGGTGCCAACCTATTTCCGTCAATTCCCGTGGCCGATATCCTTGTTTTGGTCGCCATAATAGGGATGCAAGAGTTGCCAGATTGCATTCATGTCTTGCTCTGTGCAATAATTATGGAATCTCAACCAGTGCCCGTATTCGGTAACGTAACCCTGACTATTGAGACCAGTGTCACGCTCAGCGCGCTCCTGGATCTTTAGAGCAACGTACATGAGGTCGTTAAGAGAGGATCCTCGAACGTGTGCCAAGAGCTGCATTACGACGTAGCCTTCCAACGATCTTGGGTCATCGCTATGAGTGATCCAGACTGGCTCGTATGCGCCTTGGATAGGGTCCTGGAAAGCCTCGATGATCCTCCACGACTCGTCGACCCTGTTGTACAGCGCAATGGACCACTGGTAGAAGTGTCCCTTGGAAGGCCTGGAAACAACCAAAAAGATGCCAACGCCCTTGTCTTTGAACTGTTGGAGATCGTCTAGAGGGTTTGCGATTGGGTCAAACCTAACTCGTTTGCCTGATTTGGGTGGTTTGGCTGAGGTGTTGGCGGGTTCAGTGCGCTTGGCAGGCTGTTTACCCTTTGACTTGCTCAGACTGTTTGCATCGTCCGCATCAGGTGAAGCCCCGACATAACCCCAGCTATCTGGGCTTGGAGTCGGGCTCGTGTAGACGAAAGAAATTTCCTTGGGCCCGACATTGGTGTTTGAGGGACCCGCCTCTGTGGATTTCGAGCCATCAGTGGTTGGATCCTCCGAGTTCCAATCGTCCTTGGAAGACGAGGTTGGGGGATTGGTTGGGCCGGGTAGGCGTGAAGATGACATATTGAAGTTTGAGAGATGATTCTTATTGTTGTTGTAAGGTGTTTGTCTACAGAAGCCATGATCTGCCGACTGACTTGATCTTATATGCATTTCAACGTATCATGACGTCCTGTCGTGGGACCTTGAATAGGTGATGGTGTTAGGAGTCAATCACGATACTGTTTCAGTGTCTCTTAGCCAAGAGAATAAATCACAATAGGAAACTGCCATACGAGCAGTGATGCACACTGATAACTTAAATGGTCTTCTGGATTCACGGTTTTGAGTCGAAACTGCTGGTAAATTGCATCTCATCATGGCAGCAAAGCAGAAAATCTATGCGTTAAGGATCGCAGCATGGAAACACAATCACACTACCATCATTACGGGGAACATGGGTAGAGGCTGTGGTTAATTGACACTAGGTTGGGTCAGGGAACATCGCACTCCACTAACAAGAGAATCACATCGCAAGTGAACTGATATTGAGTGGAGCTGATGAATGAAAGTAGAACAATAATTGATATGGCGTAATTGGAAATATACAGTTGCATAAATAATGAAGAGGTGTAGGGAGGGTCATTGGGCAGGCTGTTCGCTGGATATTGTGGGTGAAATGGACATATAAGCAACCCGGTTTTGACACTATCCTCAGAGCGGGCTTTTTCCTAGAGTCTAGATTGTCATTCACTTTAAAGATCAGATTTTCCACTGAATTTCTGTCGATTTTATTTCCTATTGTTAACTCGCCGTCGATTCACAGTCCACACCACTTACAACACTTGAGATAACACTGTCAATTCTGGATGCCTTTCCAACGTCAACCTCGGCAATCGACCTGATAAAGCACCCGATGAGACGTTTTTCTTCCTTCTGGCTGTTTTCTGGAGCTGATTGCGCTCTAATTGAGTCCCTTGGCTAGGGCCCTGACCGGCCTAGCTGGTCGACCCTGGAGGGGTGCCGTGACAGATTGGGGTGCTGTTCCTGATCTTTCGCCCGTCTTAGAAATAAACTTTAGATGGTAATAATTGCTTATGCCTTGGTATAATATTTATTTAATTTAATTTAGTACCTAGGAAGGATTCTTATTCATTGTTTGAATGAGCCCAATTATCTAGGCTTATTAATGTTGAGCTTTAATTCCGTGAAATTAAGCCACAGGTTCCTCCTTTCTGGTAGCAACTGGACGAGGCTTGCCCTGGTCGGCAAATACCTTACCCCAGCGGCCACTAAAGAAGTCCGTCATTGTCTCCTTGACACCGGCCCAGTTCTCCCTCACAATATCCATGGTGGGGCGCGAGAAGACTGCATCAATCTCCTCCAGGGTCATGTTCTTAGTCTCGGGCATGAAGAAGATCTGGTAGATCTCACCGACCACGGCAATGCCACCGTAGAAGCCGAGAGTCAGACCAGTCTTGCCCATGGCCTTTTGCATGGCAGAGAAGTTGTAGGTGACGACGAAGGAAGCCAAGAAGAGCAACGCATCGGAAGTGGTCATTCCGTAACTTCGTAGGTAGGTAGGGTAGACCTCAGAGGGGATGACCCAGGTGAGACAGGCGTAGCAGCCGAAGAAACCCATGTAGATGATGAGTCCGCTCAAGTAGAGGCCTTCCACGAGAGGTAGCTGAGTCTCGAGATCGAACTGATAGCTGATTCCAATGAGAACCAGCCCAACGAAGAATCCCGGAAGCATGATAATAGCCCAGAAACGACGACCAAACTTTTCCATGTAGAAGATGGCGGGGATGGTGCCGAGGAGAAGCGATCCTCCGCCGACAAGGGACATGTAGTTGGCCTTTTCGTCGTTGAAGCCGATCTGGCTCATGAGAACGGACATGTAGTACATAATTGCGTTAACACCGGTCAATTGGCCGAGGAGGATCATAATGTTGGCAAAAACGAGGGCTCGGCGGGCGCGGGGGACACTGAGAGTTGCAAGTTAGCAGGGAATTTGATGCAGTTTCAGGCGGGCAGTACATACGTGAAAAAGTCCATCCAGGGGAAACGATGGTTCTGGGCTCCCTCATTGACCTCGGTCTCCTCGTGGCTGACAGATGCAGACATGAGGTAGAACTCCTCACGCGACTCGGAAGTGGTGACTCCACGGATGCGCTTCCAGACCTTGAACGCCTCGAGGCTCTGGCCCTTGTGCATGAGGAAACGAGGACTCTCGGGGAGGAAGAACATGCCGAACAACATGATGGTGGAGAAGACGAGAGACGATCCAAGGATGTATCGCCAGTTGCCAGGGACCTTGAGGAAGATGGCGGCAACGACGTATCCAAAGACCTCTCCGAGGGCAATGTTGAACTGGTAGAGGGAGACGAGGTTTCCTCGGATCCTTCGCTCGACAGTCTCAGCGACGTAGACAGGAACAGTACCGCCTTCGAGACCGACACCGAGACCGAGGATAACTCGGGATGACACAATCATGCCAAAGTTCATGGATCCAGCTTCCAGAGCGGCACCGATGGTGTAGAGGATAATGGAGATGATGATGGCCCACTTTCGGCCAAAGTACTCGTTGGTAGGCGACAACAAAAGGGCACCGCCGACAGCGCCCAGGGGCATACCGGAGTTGACCAGACTGTTCTGTCGGGTTGTGAGATCGAGGTCTCTGGGCAGGTAGAGGTTGGCACCAGAGATGAGACTCTGGTCGAGACCGGAAAGCAAACCACCCATACTGGCAAAAGCGACCAGGAACCAGGTAAAGTGCTTGGGGTCCTCAAAGTTGAGGTGGAAGAAACCCGTCTTCAGACCACCGGCAGCCTCCAGCTCTCGCTCCAAGTTGTTGATAAGGTCGTCAACCTCACGCTCCCCAGGGCGCGCAACCTCGAGAGCCTCAATGCCGGCCTTTCCATGGCTGGCCGCCAAGTGGATGGCGTCTTTCTCGTCGACCGTCGAGGTCGAGTTCTGGCGCTGTGAGCGAGCCATAACGGGCTATCTACTGCACAGCAGGAAAAAAGATACGATATGTGATAAGATAATGCAACCAAGCAAGCCTTGAGCCCCACGAAAAGAGTCTGGAGTTTTCCTGGGGAAAGACGTCACCCCAGGCTTTATACTCCCGCATTTCTCGCCGTTAAAGTTTCCCGGGCCTGCTTTACGGGCTCTGAACATCAGGGGCCCCGAATGGAGCCCCGGACGAGCATTGAATGGGGCCCCAAACGGGGCGGTTGGGTGTTTTGACGCTTCGCGTGACGATAGCACCGAGGAATTCGCCGACAGAGTGGCTCCCGGTCCGGCATACAGTCGACGCCCGCACAGTTGCCACCCGGTTTTTCTCGGCAGGGATGTGTAGGACGGGTGTCTTTTTTTTTCTGAGAGGGAGAATTGCGGGAGAAACCAAAAAAAAAAGGCGACGAAATGGACGGCAAATGCGAGTGTCGCGATCGCCTCGTTCCAGACTTGTTCCAGAAGACATGCCGCGAACTCTGTCCACTTACAGCTAGACGACGCCAATCCCGCCTCCCGTCAAGCTGCCGCTTTGCCGTGTTAGCCGATGTGGATGGTGCGTGAGCCAACGGCACTTGGGATGGACGCCGTTGCAGCGGACGAGATCGGCGTCCCACTCGCCAACTTGCGGACTCACTTCGCATCGTATCGTTGCTCTTGACTCGCCGACGAGTGAGGTGAGTTTGAGTTTCTGCGACATTTATCGAGGCCATGCCAGGGTTCTTCCTGGAGGCAACCACTGATGCGATGCTACGCCGGATCCGCCGATCTGTTGGACCGACAACATCCTGGACTTACAAATCCCGGACCGACAAATCCCGAGTCACGTCGGTTCCCTGGCCGGCCGGGGCCATCGTCAGGGATGACGCACCGGAACCGCAGGCGGACAAATGAAGACGGGCTAGTTTCGACCGTCAGAGGCTCCGAAGCGGAGATACTCGTGGATGCTCGTGGATACTCGTGGGAGCATTCGACGTGCGTTAGGTAACCTGACACCATCTCACGCGGCCTGTTTGCTGCGTCACGCTCTCAAGTCTCAACCGTGTAATGCTGCAATATTTGATCCTTCTACATAACAAATGCCATAAGTGGGCTCATCATCCTTGGGACCGTGCATTGCGGCGCCCGCCAGAGATCCCTTCTAGCGTCTAATCAGGCGCCAAGACGTGCCAAGTGATGCGGCTCAATTACGAGCCTCACCGCGATATGTTGTAGCTCACCACGTGGGCCGCACCAGCTATGGCTCTGTTGGCAGATGATCAGTTGAGACATGCCATTCCACGGGCCTTGTTAATACTCCAGGTATATTCAGTAAAAGCCGCATCTCATGTCACTTCGGCTGGGCTTCGGCTGGGCTTCGGCTGGTGTGATTATTCTCGTCACCAGGTAATTTCCTGAAAATCAATCGAGCTAGCGAACCTTCGGGGACGTGGTGGAGAGATCGGGGTGTAAGAGAGGAGGCTGGTCAATTAAAACAAGGAGATGAGTATGACGAAGCGCAATTATTTTACATACTCTCTAAACCGCAAACAACATGGTTTCCTGCAAAACATCACCGGGAAACAGAACAAGTAGCTGACAATGACTGAGACTGGTCACGTATCAGACTGGAATCTGTCGTAGCGTCAACCTGGCCATGTGAGCAGAAAATATCCCCAGAGATGACGAAACACTACTTACAGGGATAAAAAAGCTGGTGGTGCCCCGGCATCTTCTCGGTCAGACCCCCAAGTTGCGTCTGGCCCCATGGGGATTCTTGGAAGATCCCCACACAACGCTTGCGCTTTGGGGCATCATCTACACCATTCTGAATCTCCAAGTCCAGCTGTTCTTGCCTTCCATGTGGTCCATAATATTAAAGCTGGGGACTGTACGGCGTGGAAAGAGTAATCGCTATTGACCCTATCCTACATGGTTGCGGCTTGGCTACAGCGATTCTACCTCACAAAATATAAAGAAACTCATTTGTGTATCCTGTACATTGATCGTCTCTTGGGTATTTATTTAAGCGGCGATTAAGTTTGAGAGAACAGGAGACCGGGTCAAGTGGAGAGCTGCAACAGACGAAGAGTTGCATGATGCGCCCGCTCGGTGAACAAAGTTGTATTCCGAAGCTCGGGAAAAATAACCGAATTGAGACCCGCCCGCATGTTTTTGAAGTCCGAGATCCGCGACAGTCCATTTGTTCATTTTAAACACTGGATGGAGAGTCATTCAGCAAAATGACCGACCAGAGAAATCTCACAATCAAGCATCCATCGCCATTTAACACGTCCAAGCTTCTCAGCCTTACTAATTTTTTAAGGCAGCCTGCCGATTTAAAATTGTAGAGGAGCTGATCTGCATCTGAAGCCTAGGATCTCTTGATAATGCGGGACACTGTCTGCTAATCGAGGCGAGAAGGCAATGGCGGGAGTCATTGCTGGACAGTTGGTTCCTGGTATTGAAATGACCTCAAGATATGGTACTGCAAATAAAATAATCTCATAATGAATGCGAAGAAGCGTGACCCGGAGATTGGATAGACGGGCCAGAGTGGATAGCGGCTTCATTCATGGTGGCGTGGATTGAGACCACCGAATTGACCAATTGACTATGCAATTTAAATGAGGATCATGAAAATACGGATCCAGGACTTGACTCAATTGAGATCAATGCATGGAACTTGAATTAATTACTAGCTTGCCATGGAATTTACGTCATAGCTGAAATTGGTCTGGAGGCGAGAGCCCGAGTCAAGTGCTGGTGGGTCCTTCGAGAAAGATGTTGTGCAGACTTCAACGGTCGCCCCTCTCGCTTTAAGTTCTTCAGCCCAATCAATTGCTCTAGATTAGGATGCACCAATTCAGAAGTGTCCGCTTCTACGCATGTGGAGGATCTGGTCCTGGTGAAGGATCAAGACTGCATGTTGTATAATGTGTGGGCTTATGTGGGGATGCATTGTTAAGGGCCACGCGGCCATTGTCTGGCACAAGGGCCATCGGGGCTTTATTGTTTCCTTGCCTTTTCGTCATATCATGAAATTCATATGGCCCACGCGTGCAACTAGCTTAATACATAGACTCGACTACAAGGCTGAGAGAAGCGCAATTGATGATATCTGTTTTCAATGACTCTAGGTTGTTCAACTCCTCGTCGCGTCATATGATGTCATTTCTCGAAGAATTGGAGAAACGGGAACGATACCCTGGGTAAAAAAGAAGTATTGCAATCGTTTTTAGCTGCTGAAGGTGTAGCTTTTCGACGGCCGACCGTGGGGGACCCATCCCAGTTACCGTTGAGACACCGACGCTCAACCCAGCGTTCCAATTAGAGACCTAAACACCCACCCCATTTGCTTGAACTAATTAACAGATACTCTCATTTGGATAAATCTCTATTAACATGGCTGGCCTTGGGTCATTGCTGTGATCCGCAGTGAAGTGGTATGCCAGATCACTACCCTTGCAATTTAGTGAGTTGAGAAGTTTGTGACGAGGCCGACTCTTGAGATAGCCACTGAAAGGACAAAGCAACTCGCGTCAAGATATCTTTCATGCATGTTGCATGATAGATACCTATGCAGCATTCAATGTACTCAAAGTTTATGGTGAACTCTTAGGGAATGATGAATAGGGATCATCATAAATGCAGGGTTTTATTTTAGTAAATAAGACGGTAGGGGACTATTTGAGACCATGGTCGTGGTCTCCCAATCCGCAAATAGGTCAGTCGGGGATTTTTGTTGATTGCTGGACCATCTAAGACGCTTGGCCAAACGACCAATTGAACCAATGTATCAGTCTCTCAGCCCATTCGTTGCGCAATCGTGATTCGAGTGATCATAAGTATTCCAGGGGCACCGCCGAATGCCGGGAATGCACCGATCCAAGTTTTTTGGGGAGCCTACAAATTCTCCCTCAAGGACATTTGTCTCCACGCCATCCACTTCAATCCAACGACGTCTCACAATTCCTGCTCGATAATGCAAGGACCTTGGCTCATTGAAGCTGCAGGCCTCCACTCCCATTGATATGGCGAGCGACAGCTTCCCAGCAGTTTGTAAGCCCGGATGTCGATAACCCAGCCTTGAGCCTTTCCACGCCAAGTGATGCTGATTGTGTAATCCGTTAGGCACATGGGGCATGAGCTTGTGGTGTCTTCACAGGCGGTAAAGGGCACGTCGAACGTGGGCCGCTTGAGCTCTTTAACTGTCCACTCGCCAAGGAGCTCTGGGGTCGTTTCGACATGATGACATATGCTGTGACCAGACTTGTCTATGAACCGACGTAGCTTCTGCTGTTTACCTTGTGGATGGTCAATCCTGTAAGTGGCTAAGACAAAGAGCTCGTTATCTATAATTCGGACGCTTCGTGTTGTATAGACCCGAACGCCGTTTTGACTTATTTCAGTCTGCTGATCCTCCAGTTTCGAAAGAGGCAGTCCATGCTCAGTTCCATAAAGGTGACGATTGACGAAAAGTCGGGTGTGATGATACATAAGTATTCCGCTGTCACCGAAGAAAACTATATGATCATCACTGTTGGTGCAGGGCTCTAGTTCAAACTCCTTTTCTCCCCAAGGATCCCACGTATGACTCCAAGGATGGAGTTGGACGCAATCATAACAAAAGTAGAGATTGGCTACATCCTTTTCAAGGAGCTGCAGAAATTCCTCTCTTTCTCCGCGGGTGGCGAGTCGAGGTTGTTTGTAGTTGCAATAAACAGAGTAGAGTGACCGACAGGTCAGGGCGAGCGTCAGTTGAGATACTTCTGTGAGATAATTCCCAACCAAGAAGATGATATCAAGGGGCATATTCTCTAGTTTTGAACCTGGACCAGACTCCTCGCTGCTCTCCAAGACGGTGATTTGAGGTTGTTCATCATGGTTGAAGAGAGCACGGGAGAGTGAGTGACAGGTAAGGGCCAAGGACATTCGGCATGTATCGGTGAGATGATTGCTGATCAAGGCGATGACGTGTAGCGGCAGCGTCACTAGCCTTGCCGTCGAATCAGATTCATTGTTGCCCTTGGGGGTGGCGAGAAGAAGGCGTTTATCGCTGAGGATGTCATGGTAGAGTGGCTGACAGGGCAGGGTCTTGGTGGCTTCAAGGGGTGCCTCATTTAGCCTCCCCTTTGGATTGGACTTGTCCGTTGTCCAGTGCCGCTTTACGCGTCGGAACCAGCCTCTTATGGCAAAGAAGCACATTCCTTTGTAAGTCCAAGGACAAGGGATGTAGACAATGGTGTGCGAGATTATCTTGTTCAAATTGAGGGAGTGTCTGGTACAAATAGGCATTGAAGTGAAGGTTTACGGTAGAAATGCTATCATGTAGTGTCAAGCTTGAGAACAGGTGTCGGAGTCCAAATAGGGACAGAAAATACTGCGCAGCACCCTTAAACAAGCCTCACGAGACTGGCTTGCATTGTAATGGCTGTGTCGAAGAGGATTAAGATGAGTAAAAGACAAACCGTTGGAGGTAAAAGCATTCTACCTCAGCAGGATTTGGGGTACCCCACCCGCCGAGGGAAAAGAAGCCCGGAAATAGAGAGTCCATGAAGCCCACGCCTTGTACATGTTCATATCACACTCTATGACAGTATGCAAAATGAAATTATGCGTTATCGTTCAAGAGGGAGGCTCAAGAACAGACATCGATGTTGCATAAGAGGGGTCGTAAAGTGAGGCTCAAGTAAAATGTTAATACCACCCTCTTGGCTATGCCATTGGATTCCAGTACAGATATGGTACCCGTTGAAACCTGCTGGCTCGCCCTAACCCAATTGATAGATGTGATAAGGGTGAATTACCTAATGGTGCTTGACTGAGCTGCGCAGTGTTGATGCTCCCTCCTGACAGGTTACGTCTTCCTGAAGCTGCGGGGGGAGATGAAGCCACAACGGACTTCCCGAGCAGTCCCATGACGCCTGTGATCCCATGACATTGCGATACCCCCACGGCGAATGACGTAGTAAAGTGCGGCTCGGCATTTATTTGAGGCTCTGCTGCTTAAATCTTTGTCGGACTCGATCCCACCCTCAGAAAAAAGCCGAGAATGTCTCACAGAACTTGAAAAAGCAACCCCATTTGCAATTCCATTTGTAAGAATCGACGGATGAGGAAGCTGGATACCATGGGGAATCCCGTAGACCAACCCCATTACGCACTGTTATCTTCTGTTGGGTGAAGGCTGGCGGCTTCCGAATCGTATTCGCCGCCGCCGGGACATGTGTCTTAGGATGGCCCCCAAAATATGCAAGCGTCGATTGAGGCTCCAATCGGAAATCGTCTTGGTCTTGAAAGTGCACTTTTCAACCATTGTCCCGAAAATAAGCGGTGAGTTTGGATGAGGCTCTGCTCTGGCCTACTCACGATGCTAGCCCGTCTGTCTGGTCTAGTAAGGAGACCGGATGTCTATATAAGGGCTCTCAAAGGTCAAATTGGTAAAGAAATGAATCAAGCAGCATTGGCATCCTCACACTCAAACTACCACTTGAACATTTTGCTCTCATCATGGCTGCTGTCGAGTCCACCCTGGCAATCCCGTACCTCCACGCGGGGCTCAGGGGCAAGTACCTCTTGCAAGAACCAACCTTCACCATCAACCAAGGAAGCTCTGCTGACATCGATTGGATGCCAAACTATGAAAAGTACATGAAAAGAACCCAGGCGCGAAGTGAGCTGACTGGTCTTGCAACTCGAGTGCCCAAGGACTGGCCTCAGTTTCTTGACTCGCCTCTTGCATGGACGTCAGACAGTTTCCCCAAGCAGGAGGAAATTGTCTTTTCACTGACAGAAAACCAAAAGGAAGAAATCTACAGTGCCGTCAGACACTTTCAGAGTAGCCCTACCCGTTGTGTGCTTGTATGATTGAGTTTCTGACAGTCACAGGTCTGGGTCTTCCTGTGCGGGACATCAACCGGGACAACTTTCCATTGCCAACACTGACAAGCCCCTTGAACGCAATGGCTGACGACCTGCACAATGGAAAAGGATTCACCATTATACGCGGCCTGAATTCTCCCACTCCTGACCACGACAGCATTGCCTTCCTGGGGCTGTCAGCGTACATGGCACCGCAATTCGGGAGACAGGATCAAGATGGAAGCATGATAGGTAAGTGAGATTTATTATTGACAAGCTGCATACTAAAATTTGTTAGTACACATCATGGACGCCAACAACTCCAAGGTTCCCAAGGAGATGCGACAATCCGTCTACACCAATGTTGCCCAGGTGAGTAACCATATCATGGTTGCTACTTATGCTAAACATCCATAGCCCTTCCACTCTGACGTCTTCTGCGAGATTCTGGCTCTTCAGGTCAGAAGCTGCGCAGATAATGGAGGGAACAGCATCATTGCGTCGGCATGGACAGTGTACAATGAGCTCGCGGCTACGAGGCCCGACTTGATTCACACCCTTGCAGCAGGTGATTGGACATTTGATACGTGGGTCCTGACCAGCACAAATAGATGGAGAAAGAGTCAAGGAGACATGCTGACCATTACGGCTAGATTCGGCCGCGACCCAGCCTATCACCAGCGACCTCTGCTGTTCTGTGAAGACGGCAAGGTCATCATGAACTTCTCGCGTAGGATCCTAACCGGAGCCCCTGCCTCACCTCGATCCCCCATGATCCCTCCGATCACGGAAGCGCAAGCAGAGGCCCTGGATGCAGTCCATTTCACGGCGCTCAAGCACCAGCTCTCCATCCCGTTACAGGAGGGAGACATTCGATTCATCAACAACCACGCTGTCCTTCACGGTCGCGATGCCTTTGATGACAGCGACCAGTCGCAGCGCCACCTCGTTCGGCTGTGGCTTCGGAATCCCGACAAGGCTTGGCGCATGCCCACGGGTCTAAACATGGCCTGGGACCGTGTGTATCGCGACCTTGGACTTGAAGGCGATGACGAGAGCTGGCCACTCATGCCTGTGATTAGTGAGAAACGCCTCATGAATCGCCAGGCCTCTTGTGGACAGGGTTGATATTATGCCAGCCGAATTTCCTACCAAGTACTATGTGTTTTTAGTTGCCATGAAGTTCAACGTTCTCTAATCCCCCCAGTGATGGAAGTTTGTTCGGGGAGTAACAACAGATTGATGTTTTGACTTTGAATCATTGTTTTTCTGCTTTTGTTATGAGGTTCCGCTCCTCCGAAATGCGAGATGTATTGACATACAATTAGCAAGTAAAATGATTTCTACAATGCACTTGTTCCCCATGCATAGTTTAGCGGCGCACTCCGTAATGATACCCACACAACGTTCATGGCATATTTTGCTAGTGATGCCGCACAAGACCGAAAGAATTGAACAGACTGACAAAGCCCTCAATGAAGAAATTCAGATGGCTTCCACTTGCTATCAAACATCTGTGAAATGAAATAAACCTCAGCATCATATTCGCCGGATCCTTTGAGAGCCTTCCAACTGTCTCCTAATGGCGCGTAAGTCCTGGATCAAGACATGACAAGATGGTTAGTCTACCTTTAGAGGTACTAATGCTGGAAATTTCTTGCATATAGTCTCTCTGCTCCTTGTTTAGGGTCAAAGATTTGACGTATGGGTCTTTGGTCCAGTCAATCTTGAAAGGAGTGTCCCCTTTGCAACAATAATGGAAATGTGCAAGCAACGTATTGGCTCCGGCGTGAAATCCCTCGAGAAGTGGATAGTTTGAGAAGCGAGTCTACGGTCGAGTTAGTTGTTTTCTTCAAGGTTCCTTGTGGTATCTATCACCTTTAGAGAGTGTCGCGAAGCAAAGTTCCGGTCATGAGAAGTGGCGATTTCGTAGTTGTTTAGCAAAAGAAATGTGCAAAGATAGACGAGGAACCAATTTGAAGGCTTGTTGGATTTGACAATAGCATGAAGCCTTTTTTGAATCGTCTTCTTTCGTGGTAGGAGAATCCCCTTGATGATGATTTGGTCCAGTTGGTTGTCCATGACTGGTGTCACCGGCACACGAGAAAAAAACGGGCTTTCTTCATCCCAAAATGGATGGATATTGTCGCTCAGGTCGTGCTCCAGTGTTTCGTTACCTTCGTTGTCGACGACGCGCCACGGCTTCTCGATTAGTCGGCTCGCAACCCATAGGTAGAGTGTGTCTTGCAAAAGCTCTCTGTCTTGCATTGCCTAGGTCCAAGTTTAGAGAATGCCATGAGTCCGGAAGAGTAGGAATACCTCAGCTCGATTAAGTATGGATAAAATCATCGAGAATGTTTTACTGAGGATCCCCGTTTTGCCCTTGAGCAAGGTCTGCACGTGTTGATCGACAGCTTCTTCGATGTGGCGTCGCAACTCCTTGGTACAGTGTTGAATGTCGGCTAAAGCGTATGGAGCACACTCTAGTTCCCCGGGTCCGTTGGAAGAATTCCACGAGTAAGTAAGCGTATCCCCCGGGAGTGGAATGAATTTTTTGACTGGAACATTGATGTAAGTACCACCATAATCTTGTGTCAACTGGATCCATTTCACGTCCGGAGACTGCCACGTGGTGACTTCTTTCAGCTTCGACCCTAGCCACCTTCGTGACCAGAGGAAATTTTCCGTAGCCCCTGCAATGCCATGGTCAACAAATCGTCCTATTAGAGGTGCTTTGGAAATTTACCCAATCTAAACAAGGGTATGTCGGTGAGGAGGCCGCGAATGCAAGGGAGAATATATATGTCTGGTGTGACCGTGAGACAGGTGACGCAGACGCCGAGATGATTATTTTCCGCCGGAGTACACTGTTGATTAGCAATTTGACAATGAAACAAGGGGTTGACATACTCTAATCCGATAGAGACGGCATCGTATGCATGCTTTCACTTTCCGCGTCAATTTGGTCTCACTTTTTGCCTTTTCGTCTATAATGGGCCGTTTCTTAGTCACGCGGTTCTTTCCCCTGTTCCCCTTAACCAGCCTCCGGCGAGTCCGAACTCTTTTGATCTCGTCTTCCTCTTCGTCGTCCGGCTTGAGAATATTGCACCCAGATTTTTGATGGAGAGTTTTTGTCGATCCACGCCCAGAAGGTACACTGGCATGTCGTTGGCTGCTGCAAGGGCGGATCTTGATATCCGGAACTGGAACGTTCCTAGTGAAGGTGTTTTCACTCGCGTTTGAAATGGTGGTTGAAAGTGTGGCAGATTCCATCTCATCAGCCACTGTCTCAATCGGCTTGCTGATGTCATTGATCTCTGGGGCCATTGGTTGAGTGGACCACGAATCTAGGCCGAACTCCCAGACTTCACTTTCAAAAATGGACAATTCGTTGCATGACGAATAGGGACTTGGAGCTGGGGAGTTACCAAGCGTAGGGCTATTGCCGAGAAATTGAGGCGGGAGAGGGCTAAAGTCCAGAGTGCTCTGCCGAGAGCCAGGTGGCTGCCCATTTGAGAGTGTATTCGTCAGGTCTACTTGCAGATAGCTGTCTTCGACTGGAGGTAGATACTCTAGTTCCATAAAAGTATCGAATGACGAAAACAAAGAGTCGGTATATGTTCCAGGGGCCTCGTCAAAGTCGAAGGTGTTGATTTCAGGAACCTGAAATTCCTGGAAAGATGGTCCGCTCGCCAAAGAAGCAGTTGATTCAAGGTTGAGAGGGCCAGCAATTGTTGACCTCGGCTCAGGAGACTCTGAGGGAGTATATGTGATGGACTCAACAGAGTCTCCATCATGCGAAGATGCCCCGGAGCTAGAGGCATAGGATGAAACACCAGAAGGTACAGACAGGAATGCCCCTACACCAGAGGCGTTTGGAAGAGATAGTACATCTCCTCGGGTATCGGAGCCGGTTGATCTGGTGGCATGAAGGGGCGTTCGTACAAGCATAGATGTACTAGCGAGTTCGGGATGGCTTATGGCGTTCAAGGTGGTGACACCCTGCTCTAGGTCGGTCGTGCAATCTGAGCCAACAGAGTAAGCCATGGCGCGTCAGGCTCAGGGCTCGCACTCAAGTGCAATTGCGGAGAACAAGATTTGGCCGCAAAGAAAACAAAGAATTGCGTATGAAACCAGTGTAGCGTGATGGACCGGTGTGACAGAGCTTGATGTGCGTTTTTTTGCTGCATTTGTGGGACGTTATAGGGTCCTACAGTGCTGGATTTATCTGCAGAGGCACTGTGAGTGGCCTGAAATGCGAACCAGGCGTTCGCTTGTCTCATTTCAGATCAGGCTATGAGGTGCATGCAGGGAGCTGAGTTGAAAATTCGGCGAGCGATTCGACGCCGTAAGACTTTAGCTCCTGAGGCCAGCGCCTAGCCAGGCTTCTGATTGATGCGGTGTAGGCATGGGAAGAGGCCTGGCCAACAGAAACGTTGCCAATCAGTACCAGTTTGATGAGTTTGTGATACATCATTCAGACCTCCATCATTGATCGCCTAATCTGTCCGGATGCATGCACAGCCACGCAAGGAAATCTGGTAGCCCACCTGCGTGTTTTGCTTTGTTTTACAAACTAGGCTCGCGTCTTTGGCACACCGAGGCTGAGTGTCTGGCACTAAACACGCAGCACGCATCTTCGCCGGTCCTCCATTGCCTATCTCGGACCATCTCACAGTACCAACACTGCCTCAAAGCTTTATTTTTTATCCTTCAAATACGCCTCGTCGCCTGAATTTGAGCCCTCATTTATTCCCTTCCTCATCAACTTTGCCCTGCCCCCGCCGTAGCCTGGATCGACTCGACACATCACAAGCTGCCTGATGATCCATGCCCAACGAGGTCAATCACCAATAGTCTGCGCCACATCTCCACCGGACCACCGCTAATTACGCATCTTCATGTTGTCGCTCCAAGATTTGCTTTTTCGTTACTGGGGTGGGCGGGCAGAGCAAAACAATGCTGTGGCTCCGTTCAAGGAGGCAGATTTGAGCAGTGCCCCCGAGTTCATGTTCCAAATTGAAGAGGCTGCTTTTCTTGCTAGACGTTCATTGCATCAGTCGAGGATCCTTGACCCCGCCATCACCGGGCTGTGCACCGTGCTGCGGCCACCGACGCTTGTTTCTTCCGAATGGCTTCACGACAAGGTTGAGAAGTGGAACCAAGACGACGATGTCTTGCAGTCAAGCTTTACAGCGAATGTTATTTTTATTAGAGAAAAGCAAGATCCAATGACTGAAATTAGTCCCGACTCTCTACAAGTGCTACACGAATGGCAATCCAACGTCGTGCTTACCACAGTTGACTCGCAGCGTCTTTCAGAAGGCCCATACTACGTGCAGAGTGGAGTACTCCACACTGTTTGGAGATTATTCTGTGACACGCATGAGGCATACATGACTGCCACAATTCCTCAGAATGAGGCCTTCCACGAGTAAGCAGCCACGACACGTCGCACTTGAAACTGGCTCACACAGGTAGGTATCGGAACCTCCCATGTAGTACCGGCTGTCGGCTCATGATAGGGGCACCCTCGAAGCTCTACACACCCAAGAGTGAGAAGAAACCCTTGAATGGCCTCCGCATCTCCGTCAAAGACAACATTGATCTTGCAGGCATCAAGACGACGCTGTCATGCCGATCCTGGGAGAGACTTTATTTCCCCAAAGACACCACAGCTGCAGCAGTACAGAGGCTTCTTGACTTGGGTGCAATTGTCGTTGGAAAAACAAAACTGAGCCAATTTGCAGAGGTCGAGTCACCCACAGCCGATTGGGTCGACACTGCCCGTTTAATCCCCGCGGTGATGGCTACCTGACTCCGGAGGGGAGTACTACTGGGGGTGCTGTCTCACTTGCAGCTTATGATTGGCTTGATGTCAGCATCGGGACCGATAGTACGTCACATCGCGTCCACTGATGTGTCTTCTAGTATTGACTCGTTAAGAGGGAGGGAGCCTCAGGGAAGCTGCCTCTAAGCAAGGCTTATTCGCACTCCGTCCAAGTTGGGATGCTTTGCCCATGGAAGGCGTATTTCCTCTTGCAGTGTAAACTACCTGTACGGCATCATAGATCTCATCTGACCTTGTTAGGGCCCTGGACACAATCGGGTTTCTTTGTCGCGGCGTAGATGTTCTCCATGAGGTTGCGACAGCTTGGCTTGGTGACAATAATGAACCGAATATTTCCGTAAGCCTGCGTGAGTGTGCATTAAAATTTTAGGAGTCGCTAATTTAAACCGGAAGAATTTAACCAAGATCACGGTACTTTCTGACTTTGAGTATGGACCCGGTCTTGCGAAGCGTGTTTTCGACAACTTTGTCTCTCGCCTAGAGGAGGCGACCCACGTTCAAGGCACAAAGATGAGTATCATTGACAATTGGAAACAGAAAAGCCCTTCATGTGATGGCAAAGGTCTCATTGAGTACATAGGAAAGGTGCGTATGCCAACTATCCCATCGTTCGCCAACTGACAGCTGCGCAGCAACAAACAATGAAGGCGATCAAAGCATTTGACCTATGGAAAAACACCCAAGGATTTCCAGATGAATATCAACAAAAGTTTGGAAAAAGACCATACGTCAATCCCACGATTCGTCTAACATGATATCATCCCAACCCGTTCTCCAATTGAGTCTAACAACTTCCAGGCGCGAGGCAGAGGAATCTACTGCCAATGGACAAAATGCTGCTCTGCAACGCAAGGAGATGTTTAAGAAGTGGTTCCTCGACTCCGTTTTATCCGTAGAGGCTCCCAACGAGCTTACAGCAATCACTGTGGCCCCAATCTCTGACGAGGAGCCGAAATATTGCGACGATTATAAACAGTATGAGGTCCAATGTGAGATTATTATTCTAGGTTAACACTAATAATAAAAGGGGCCCTTGGATGGGTGGTAATGGATTTCACCGCAATTTCGTCTCCCCACTCACCGGCTGCCCCGAAGTTGTCGTTCCCAGTGGGTATCCTCGACGGCACGTTGGATTTTATTAACATGCATTACAGTCGGTCAGATCCCTTATCAATCACGCGTCACCAAGAGACAGGAGTTTCTACCCATTGTGGTGGCTATTCTCGGACCGCCAGGTAATATTCTCCATCTATATTGTAAATTGCGGCTGACTCTTCTTAGGAACAGATGTCGCACTGACAAAGTTCGTAGCTGACCTGTTGCACAAATCAGGGATGCCAACTTTGGTAAAAACGGGAGCAGAAACCTTTCCACGAGTCAGCAAGGTGTGTTGAATGGAATTCTCATGGTAGCATACCGTGACCGATCCATCACTGGGGAACATTTAGATAATAGATCAAGTGGTTGGAAATTCCGAGTTGAATAGGACACACCGCAACTCAATTTGAAAAAAATCGAACAATTATGCATCGAATGCTGCCTGGTGATAGACATCTTTTCTTACAGAAATGGCACTGAATATTGATCCCGTGCAGTGGGGCGAATATATCACGAGTGAGTCAGAATCACAATATCAGCTCCGCCTCGAGGGCTGGGCGGGGCGGAGCTCTGCAAGTGTCTGCCCGTCGCCGGTCCATACTGACAAAAGTAGTAAGACATTGATTGGCACGGCCTCTTGAATATTTATGACCAGTCATCTAGTTTGTGGTGGATTTTCATTTAACTAGTACTGAGATTCCCTATTGTATTTTTCTTTTAATACATTTCTTTCGAGCGCAGTAAAGCCATCAAGGGGCTTTGTCAATCACGAGAAGTACAATTACTGAATCTGGCTTGGCTTCACAAGGCAGACTGAAATCCATAACTATGTCACCTAGCATGGACCGGTGAATTGCAGATGGCGTCTTTGGATCTCAGGCACAGCCCGATAGGCGTGAGAGGTATAAAGCTCAAGGCATGACCCGAACCTGATCTGAAGCACAATCCGAGACTCTATATTCAGCATTTGACCAAAGACAAATATGGCACAACATTCAGCACCCAACCCGGCCCCGACATCTGAATCAACCAGACCATATACTGACATGATCTCTGGGAATGGTAAGTCTACACTGAGACGCAAAAGATGAATTCTAACGGAAAAAGGTTCCTTTAGCTTGCCCATGCCCAAACCCGCGCCCAATTCTACTTCGTCGAATCGGAAATGACCGACAGGATGGAGTGTTCTACATGGCTGAGGGTTGAGAGTAGGTCTGGGTGAGGTCTAGGCCACTTAGACCGGGACAGAGATGATGTGTGTTGAGTGGACTTGTACAACAGACGGGAATGTATATTAGACAATAGAATGTTACTTATCTGAATCCTAAATATGTCAGCTATAAACCATAAGGATAGACCGTCGTTCTCGAACATGGTAAATCCTGCATTCCACTTTCGAGACGTTTCATCTTGTCTGGCAAGGGATTTTCGCTTATTGCTCATCTGTGCGGTAGATATGGGTTCATAGTTCTGTAAGACTCTTGCTGGCCCTCTACCGAACTATCTGAATCCATTCAAAATATTACGAGAATTCCAGTGGTGAGGCGGATACCTGTTCATTGAGATGGAGTCGCGTAAGATGGGTGAAAAGATACGTGGTTGCGCGTGTGTTCTTGCTATCACCCTGACAAGCTACGGAAGTTATTGTGAACACTCCAATGCTGGGTTGCTTCTCTATGCGCCTTAAAACACCTCTCCAAAACCAAAGGAGGGTAAAATTAAATTTGGAGGTTAATGCAGCGCATTGCTAGTGCAGTATTGGACAAATGTACAAAGGCTGGCACAGGAAGTCGGGCAACCCCCGAAGATACAGGCACATACCAGCTGTACAGTGTAGCATAGTACATCAATGGATCTGTCTCAGTAGAGAATCCTAAGGCCCTGAGCATTTAATTTGTGAAACTTCCTGCGCGAGCCGTGGTACTCATTCGGGTGCTTTCGAGGCACTCACCCTTTAACTTACATCGTTGATCAAACCCCAATGAAGCAATAAAATGGCTACGATGCATAATGAAATGATCTAATGATCTGCTTGCGCTTACTTTGCAGGTGATCTCATTTCCATACATGTGGTGTCACGATTTCCAGAAGCCGATTATGGCAGCCCCATGTCGAATTCACCACAAGCTGGGATTTGCGCCCGTGAGACGTGTCCGACCGCATCGGAATCCACCAGACTCAGCGGCAGAAGACCAAGAGCAAAAGATCCGAGATGGTACTTTGTCCAAAAATCCCTCAAGATTCTGATTGGAAGATCAGGAGGTTCGCCTCACTGTTCCCGATTTTAAGGCAACTAGGCTGAGCCATGAGCAGAAGTCCCATGCATATGTGGCTGCTTGGCAGAAGAACACGCACCAATCCTCTCAATCAAAAGCAAAAGACCCAACAAAAAAAGCTACCGCAGTCATGTACATAATGTGCATGTTTCGTAGCAATCAGTTGGGCTGAGCATCCCTACCGGCACAACCTTGGGATTCCCGCTGTGTCCCCACTCCTGAGTTAATACCTACAAAATGTCGACATAACTCATTGACTCGGACCATCGGACAGGCTTCTTCTTCATCCGCTTTCTCTTTGTCTGTCTCCCTGGCTCCTAGGTTTGCCACACTGTCACAATGCCTGTGGATTGGAAGCGTTACGAAAATGATATCATCGATCAATACGTAAATCGGGGAAAGAACATCGAGCAAACTCTCGAATACCTCCGGCAGACTTATGGTGTTGATGCTACGTAAGTTATTACCGTTCTAAACTTATGATGTTCTTGGATTGACAGTAACTAGCGTCAGGCAGTTCAAATCCAAGTTTGGAGGCCTGAAAAAGATACGCGCCGATGAATGGAAGGCGATTTTTTCCGAGATTCGACGGCGTGAGGCCCAGGGAATCAAATCTGATGTGTATCTCTTTGGTCGAAAGCTGTCACTTGAGCGCATTGCAAGAGAGAAGCGTCGATATTTCAGGGATTGCACAGTCCAGAAGTCCCATGAGATAGGTGAGTCCCATTAAAGACCAAACTAGATCCGTCATACCTCTAATACTCACTGAGTAGACTTGGGGATCGGTACCACCGGCATACATCGTTTAGAAATCCGCAATCCACCCACAACGAACCTTGATTTGGTCCAACAGGACGGTTCTCATGCGCATCATGAACCTACGGCGGGCATCGAGCTTCGAGGAGTTCAAGATGCAGAACTAGAGAAAGAACCAACAGCTGAAAGTCTTTGTCCAGATCCCGCGACTCAGTGGGACCTTGCAGATATCGATCTAAGCACTCCTCGACTGGATGATCACACTGCACCTTTTGATCTTGGATCTCCCGACAACCTTGAGACGAGTATTACCAGGTCTAGGATGTCGCCGAGTCGGCGCTGCAGGGCTGCCACGGAACTGCAATTCGGCAATGAGCTTGGCCTCTCAGAACAACACCGAACCTTTAGCCCTGCCGAATCATTCCCCTTATTTCCCTATCCTGGAAATTCGACTAGGGTCGTAGGGTGGGTGGGGCAGCCCTTTCGCCTCTTCTGGGACACGACAGGTATTTGATCCTTTCGAAGGCTACATATTATTCACCTACTAATTTAAGGACAGAAATCACTTCTCTCATACCAAGCATCATTGAGCCAATCGACCTCACTACGGATGAACTGAGCGTTGCGAAATGGAGCGAAATGCCTCCACGTGTGCCATGGGGTATGCCCGGGTATCTCTTGTCGCACTTGATGACTGTGGACCCAAAGTTAAAGGTCTTGGAACCTGCGGCAAGATTCATCGAAGAGATTATTAAGAACACCGTCTCCGGTACCGATAAAATCTTTGGCTATCCACACCTTGATGTAAGCCAGCTGCAACTTAACCAGATATTCTCACTCATCGCATATCTCATATCCAACAACCTACTCCACCAAAATGAGACTCAAGCCTTATTTCAATGGGCAATGAACAAAGGATTTGGTGGCCAGCTCAGCGCGTTTGGCCAAACAAACTCGGAGCACGTCCGATCTTACGCAGCGAAAGCTCTACAAACGTGCCATGCAAGTGGGCAAGACTCTGAACTCTTCTCGGAGAATCTCCTCGACATGGTTCGCCATGTCCTTACCGCAAAGGACCGTAGCTTGTCGCCTCATCTCTGCTCGCGACTGTTGAGACAGGCCGTTGACTCCGACAACTTGGAACAAGTCAGGTTCTTGGTGTCCAATGGTGCGGATGTCAACTGTGTGCATGAGGACTTCGAGTACAATGACGTACCCGAGTACGATACATTGAGTCACGCTGTTCACTTCGGTTCTCCCGAGATGTTGAAATTTTTCATCAAATCCGGTGCTATTGTAACGCCAAAGGCCCTCACTGTTGCGATGAAACGCGAGAGAATTGATATGGCAGATATCTTGTTGCAAGAGGAAGCAAAGATCAAAACCCTGACAAGCGAAGACTACGGGTTTCTTGCCGATGCCAGAAAGAAATCACCATACGTATACCAGGCGCTGAGAGAAAGAAGTGGAAAGCAAAAAATCTTTGAAATGTTTGATTTGGTTCAAGCGGCAGAACAGGGGAACGTGATACTTTCCAAGCTCATACTTGAGAAAGGCATTCGTGAAGCGGAACTGGAGGAAGGTTTGTGTGAGGCTATCAAGCATGGCAAACAGGCAGCTGTTATGACATTCATCAATCGAGGAGTAGATCCCAACGCTCAACGATCTCGGCGAATGGGCAATTGTGGCGGGAACTCGGACGAAGCTGAAGAATGCTGCCCTATGCTGGTGGCGATTGAAAATCGTCACATGGATAGTATCTATCTCCTCATCAAAGCCGGTGCAAAGGTGAATGATGAGTTGCTCATGCGCATCTGTCACTTGGCTTATGGTGACCAAGCTGATGATTTCTTCTTTATGCTACTCCAAAGGGGCTATGATGTAGCGCTGATTGGACCATGCGCGTTGGAACGCTTTGCATCGCAAGGAGAGATATATAGGTGCGGAATTTATCTCGACGCGGGGGCCCCGATAAATGAGTACGGTTGTGGAGGGAAAAACGCCTTACAAGTTGCGGCGAAAAAGGGACACCTGGCACTGATCCAATATCTTGTTGACCATGGAGCAGACGTGAATTTTCCCGCGAGTGAAAATTGGGGAGAAACAGCACTTCAAGCTGCAGTCAGCGAAGGCTCGTTGGAGGTTGTCGAGTGGATCATTGAAGCGGGCGCCAACGTCAAAGCAGCTCCTGCAACCCATCACGGAGTCACAGCGCTCGAAGCGGTAGCAGAAAATGAGCGAGGAATGCTGTCGCTGCGAATATTCAAGCATTTGCTTGCACTTGGAGCCACAATCAACCGTCCCGACGGCGCGAGCAGTACTGTTTTGCACCGTCTTATCCGTTATGGCCAAGTTGAGTGCCTCGAAGTGGCGCTTGAAGCTGGTGCGCGGATGGAGGACCGAGAGTCTGCTGATAGACCGATGACACCGCTTCAACTTGCCGCAGACAGGAGCGATGCACAGGCTATTATGCTTCTTGTCAGCTATGGTGCCGATATCAACGTTCCCGCTGGCGACATTCGTGGCCGCACTGCCTTGCAAGCTGCAGCCGATCCAGGCGCAATTTCTTTCGTTCAACGAAATCAAGCTAATACTACCGCCAAGTCGAATCTTGAAATTGTCGAATATCTCCTGCTGAACCACGCAGATGTCAATGCAGCCGCGGGAAAAGAATTCGGTCGTACCGCCTTACAGGCAGCAACATCCTCAAACTTCCCTGATCTAAGAATTGTTGCTCTCCTTTTAGATCACGGCGCAGATGTCAACGCTGCCCCTGCGAGAAGGGGGGGAGTGTCTGCTCTTCAAGGAGCTGCCATCAAGGGAGACTTGCAGATTGCAAGACTTTTGTTGAAACACCACGCCGATGTAAATGCAGCTGCAGCTCCCGAGGAAGGCCGCACGGCTGTGGAAGGTGCTGCTGAACATGGGAGGATGGACATGGTGCGGCTGCTTCTCAATGCTGGTGCAAGGCCTGATCCAGTCAGCGGGTTTTCGAGAGCGGTTGAACTGGCTGACCAGAACGATCACTATGTTATTGGGGATTTATTGAAAGCTGTTGAACAGACTTTTCTGGCCACCGGGTGGAGTAACTTGTTGGAAGCGAGTTCCTGGCCACTGTTGCCAGATCAGGGGATGATCATGCCTGAAGAGGAAGGGGAATATGACATATGAGTGGAGGAGAATTTCCATGATTTTTGTTTTTTGTTACGTCTCTATGGGGTAGTCGAAAAACTTGTTTGTTGATGAAAGGGTGCAGCAATGGGGGATTTCGGTAATACAGTTGGCGAAGCTTTGGGATATCCTGGGATCATTAAACAGTTCAAGTTCGACTATTGTCCAATATTAATTCTCTCCGAGTTAACAAGAGCTGAGGCTGATAGCTATCCGCTGGGAGGGGACTCTTCAGAAGCTCTCTAAGCCAAGCCAACTTCACCCTAGTGCCACAATCGCGGGTTGTTTCGGTTGACAGCATTTCGCACACTGAAAGCCGCACTAGCCGCCATCATCGGACCCAGCAGACCGATAGCGGACTTGCTAGTCCGATGGATCCTGATGCCGAGCCCTCGGATAACGTTCGGAGTTGGCAAGGCCATCACCAGCCATGCCTCTCTGTTCAAGACTTGAATGCGGGAAATTTATATCTAGGGAGCGTGCCGCAAGGTTCTGAGATTTCGGCGTATCCTGACAAGCCGGCCAAGATATTTCGGTTTCCCTATCTCTCAATCCTGATAGCACCCTGGGCTGCATGTGTGGGTCTTATCTTGTCTACCGAAAGGCGCCCAACTTGTTCCCCCCTCGACACGACAACATCTTGAGTCACGGACAGAATCAGTGCGTAGGCCAGAATCGCACTCTACGGCTCTCAAGTCTCAGTCAAAGAATACCCGCCCTCATACATCAATATGGGCTTTCTTTCCTACACGATACGGATAGCGATGCTAAACGCGGACACGCCGGTCCCAAACGTGTCGGCCAGATTCAAAACCTATGGAACAATCTTTCACAACCTCCTGAGCGACGCTGCATCTCGAATTTCTCCGCATGTCAAGATCCAATCTACCGACTTTGACGTGGTTCGAGGCGAGTACCCAGAATCCGCTGCAGACTTCGATGTTATCCTTGTCACCGGCTCAGCAGCATCGGCATACTACGACGAGGTCTGGATCCATAAACTCGACGAATATTTGACGACAATATACGATACCTGCCCGCAGATCAAAATCTTTGGAAGCTGCTTTGGACACCAGATCGTCTGCCAGAGCTTGCTTGGGGGGTTTGGATGCAAGGTGGAAAAGAACCCGAAGGGATGGGAACTCGGCGTACATGGAATTCAACTGACGGATGAATTCCGGAAAGCGTTTCCATCACGAAAATGTCAATCACCGACCTCAGGTCCCGGCCAGTTGACGCCAGCACCTGAAATGATGCGTCTTCAGTTTGTCCACGCCGACCATGTTGCGCTCCCCGCAGAAGGGCTACCGGAGTCTTGGATCTCGATTGGTCAAACGAAACGATGTGGTCTCCAGGGTGTTTTTGAACCCAGCCGGGTGCTCACCTTTCAAGGCCATTTCGAGTTTGACCGTTTTGTCAATAGTGAAACGATCAAGGTATTTGGAGCGAAATGGGACCCGAAGGAATTCCAGGATGCCATGGACGCGATTGACGCGGACGATGATGCCAAAGCGGCCGCGGAGATTGTGTTGAGGTTTCTGCTATAATCTCCGAGGATAGTGAGATTAGAAATCTTGTTTACTCCTATAGCATCCCCATTGATGTTTAATGAAGTTTAAGTTGACTGCTATTTCTCCGTCTGTTGTTCAACCCCTTCGGTTTGCTCTCCAACCTCGATTTTCTCTTTGAACCTTTCGCTCCCGCAACAATACAGGACAATGTTCGGTTCTTCCTCACGAAATACTGCCTTTTCTCCCTCTTGTCCATCATACCCGCAGCTCATCCAATCGGAAGAATACACCAACCCTCCTATCTCGCCTTTTGATGGCTTCGTATCGTATGCAGCATGGATCTCTGGTGAACCACTGCCATACATGTATTCCTTGAAAGCATTTATCAAGTCACCCTTGGTCACTCCATCGTTGTTCTCAAGAGAAATATTGGGAGTGACATCAGGAAGACAACACGGGCAGCCTCCGACCCCAGGCTCATCGAAGAGTGTAATGGTGAACTTTTTAACAGGCGGAGCTGTTAGGAATTCGGGAATATTGGGGTTTGATGCGAGGGAATCCTGAAGACCAGCAAACACCCTGTGCCAATAAGACTTGAAGTCGACCCGAGAGGAGTCGAATGAGGGACTGTCAAAGAAGGCCTCACGAGTTGTCGTCTCTATCGCTTTAACCACATCGTGCCATTTCTCAAGCATGGGCTCTCCATCTGAATCCGAAGAGAATTCTATCGCATCGTTCTCAGGGTTCTCGGTCTCGAATGCTGCTGTTGATTGTGGGGTCATGTTGGTCGGTTGGCCACAAAGTAGTGACCCTGAAATGTTAACAGTTTAAGGATCACGGGGATAAAGAGGCTCTTCATGAGATGGAACTACGGACTAGAGTTTATCCGCTCATTGTTGGGTTGTTGCGCGGTCTGACTCATTACGGGCACAGTTCCGTGTCAATCAAGTGGGGTTGGCGGATCAGTTGGTCAGCCAAACGCTTCAGGCTGCGCGGCCTCGAGAGGACGAATAGCTGGGCTGAGAGGTAGAGAACGATTGTCTGAAATCTTACCTGCTAAGCGCATTCTTTTGTATTTGGTCATGGTGAATGAGTCAGACCGCCATTGTCGTACGCGGACCAGTCCTTCACCAAGGCGCTCGGCATCCGCGATACGATGTGCCTACCTTCCGGACACTCGTTTGGGGGGTTTTTCTTATAGCTGTCCTTTTAATTCTAAGATATAATATCACATTTTCCCTCAGTAAAACTGCCAGTCTGCCATACATACATTCACGTTTCCACTTTGTGACTATTTCAACGGCCGAGAAATAGCCAGTAGTTGACAGAAAAATCGTCATCCCTGGCTCTCAGAACATTCAGAGAGGCTCGATCCTCCGGAACTCCCTAGCATTATCCATCTCACGACCACGCAATCAAGTTTGCGGAAATAAGCTATCAGGGTTATCAGAACACTTGAATCAATAGCAATGCCTGAACTCGAGAACCGAGAGGACGTCGTTACTGAGCAATGGCACCAAATAGCTGACGCAATCAAAACGACCACTTGGGAAGCTTTCCAAAAAGGCTCATCTTCCTTCCCCTCCAATGCCGCCTTTAGATCACATTGGTATAGCATTTTCACTCAACTCGAAGAGTCTATTCTATCAGATCAGAATATTCCCGAGTTCTTGACGTCTCCGCCCATCAAGAATCTCACAATCACGGTCATCGAAATGCAAGATTGGCTAGGCAACTGCCCATGCTGTTGGCTTCAGGATCAGGAGACCGAAATTGCTTTACAGAATGATAGCGGAGTCACTAAGGGTGATTTTATACGAGCTCTGAAGGAGCACTTGTATGGCGAGATTCCAGAGACGAATGGTGAAGATTTGGAATCTTCAAGCTTCTGGTCACTTATGTATTCGTCATCTAGCAGGACTCATGAAGAAGTGCCTTATATTTTTATTAAGTGCTGTGAGCAGGGAGAGTTAAGGAAGATCAAGGAGAGGGAGAAGCGCCAATAGATAAAGGAAGACGGATTGGTATCTTTGTATTTATTACGATTCAAAGTAAGCATAACTTTAGGCTCTAATCTTCTAGACTGGATTACCGTAATCCGATCCAAGCCGAGGGACATGGTAAAGGAAATGCCTTGCCAGCCCCATTTAGTAGTGATTTCCTCATTTTGAACCGGATTACCGGCACAAGCGAATGATGCAAGTGTCCCTTATAGCCCTCTACGTTTTCCCTCATCCATCATAGCTCCTTGGTACCTATTCCTCTCCAAAGATGTGAAATTGGAGTAAAGCAGTAATTTCACGTACGGTAATCTGTAGAAAAGGTCGATTACCACAATCCAGTCCATTTCGGTCAGGTCTGGTGTCCGCCAAGGCCTAACTGCCCTAATGTTTAAAGCCTTACGGCCCTAAAATTCCGAAATTTAGCGCTTAAGTGCCCCTCAAGCCCCAAATAACCGAATTTTTAGTGCCTAGGCCGCTACAAGCTACCCTAATCTTTAGCGCTCTCCGGGGCTACTTTCGCCCTAAAGGCTGTATTTTCAGCAATCTAGCTACTCTATCCTCAGAGGCAGAAAGCCCGAGCAAGCAGTCCGGTTTACAATTCGTAACATCTGATACATAGTAGACAAGATAACTTCCGATATCGCAGTAGGGTAATCGGGTTACAGTAACCCAGTCAAAAAGATCAGGACCATAGTTGATATTAGTAATAGTACTTGGGAATTGTGCGCCCATTTACCCACATATGAACATTCCTGAGGTGCAATCTTGTTCAACCACATGAAACTTGGTACAGTAAGTAAGCCCGGATAAATATCTCTCCATGCGCAGCATTGATTGGGAGAACCCCTCCTTTTATGTTGGAGTGGCATGGTTCGTTGACGAACTTAAGATCCCCTCATCCCCAATTCCAGGTCTCTTAAAACTTACCTTTAACTATTCAGTGTATCTGCTAGAAACCGGTTTATCGTTAAAACATATTTGCCGCTCTCACAACTGGTAGAGTTAAAGCCACCGACAAGATGCCTTTTCCATACAAGACCGTCCTCATCACTGGTGCCACAGCTGGCATTGGCTTGGCGCTCGCGGAGAGAATGATCCAAGGTGGCATTTTTGTCATTGCTGTGGGTCGGCGTGATGACCGACTCAACGAGTTGGTGGCCAAGTACGGTTCCGAGAAGGTGGCTGCTGAACCATTCGACGTGTCGGACCTGGACAAGTTGCCTGGCTGGGTCGAGAAGTAAGCATGCCATCAAGCAACTCTGAAGATGATGAGATTGACGGGTTTAGAATAACAAAAACCTACCCTTCCCTCTCTAGCATCGTTCTGAATGCTGGCTTCCAACGCGCTGTCGACTTCACCAACCCAGAAGCCGTCTCTCTGTCATCACTCACGTCGGAGATGCAGACAAATTATCTCTCCCCGTTGCACACACTCTCCCTCTTTCTCCCACATCTCATTTCTCTGGGAAAGAACCCTGAAACACCAGCGTCTATCGTCCTCGTTTCTTCCGGCCTTGGTGTTGTTCCCATTTCGCGCTGCGCAAACTACTGTGCCACGAAATCGGCCATACACTCCCTTACTTGGTCTCTCAGGTCCCAACTTTCGGCCCCATCGAGTCCAGACACGCAGCATATTAGGGTGATTGAAATCATCCCGCCAGCTGTGCAGACCGAGCTTCACTCATTGCAGCCTGATCTTGCGGAGGCGGGTCAGGCGAACATTGGGGTTCCTTTGAAAGAGTTTGCTGATGAGACGTGGGAGCTCATGACCGCCGAGGAAATCACGCCTAATGACGAGATCATTATTAAGCTTGTGCGGGAGCGATGGGGTGCCATTGAGAAAGAGAAGAGAGACATGTTTCGAGTTTTTGAGAATATGCTCAGGAAGACGACGGTCAAGGACAAAGAAGATGCTTGAGGGGCATGGAGCGCTGGAGACTACCTGGACTCTACCCAGTCAGACCTATTGTGATGAAAGATGACTTGACGTTTATCAAGTAGCCTGAAGCGCTTGGTACAGATAACCTACGGTCTCTAGTTAATTACACAGTCAACTCAGAAGAGGCATTCTCCATATGTTTACGCATTTGCCAGCTTGAACTCCTTGATTATACTCTTTCTGGCTGGACGACAGCATCCTCACCCTGGTGACCAAACCTGATGACTGCGCCTTTGCATTGAATGTCGGTGTCGCTTGATGATACTGGTTGGTGGACAGTGAGCCTAGTTCATCTTCCGAACCGCCCAGTCCCACGTCGCTACCCCCAGAGCTGGAATGCAGACTTCTAGCAGGCGTCAACAACTGGCTTCACGAGATCAAGAATCACTTCAAAGATGACTGCCTCTAGCAAAAATGATCCGAAATAGGACGATTGATTTTGAATTATTGACGAGATAAGCTCCAGCAATTGTAAAGGATAAGTCGCCCCAAGACGTAAACCACCAGACACCAGTGAGCACCCATGTGAGCAAGTCATGTTCGATACAAATACACCTCGTGCACGCAGATCTTCCCCGCCACATCGAAACACGGTGTTGTCCACCTCCCTTGATCTGAGCGCGTGACCCTCCTTGTCAATTTCAGCCTCTTACTTCCGACCTCCATCCTCCTGGGGCTTGCCATCCACCTGGTCCGGAGCCTCTGTCTCCGGCATGACAATCTGATCGCCTTCTTGGATGTCACACATCTCCCAAACGTCATCATGCAACATGACCTCCCACAGTTCCACTTTCTTCTGCCCAGTCGTGTAGTTTTGAAGCACAGGCTTGTCGGGAGCGTTCGGGGCTGGTGGACAACCACAAGTGGCCGGGTCAGATCCATCCTTGCAATGGCGTCGATGATGAAGAGACCAGTCGGCGTACTTTTCATCCCAATCCACGACCTTCTTCTCGTATGCTTTATACCTCCCGATGTAGGCAGCGATGTTGTCCAAGTCGACACAACCCTTGTGTTGGTACCACTTCCTCACCATCAAGCCCCAAGATCCTTCGAGCATAAACTTGTCGGGGATCAGATCCTCGGGCGAAATCATGCAGCTGATACATTGAACATGATAGTACTGTTTGGAACCCCAGCCCATCAGCTGGTATTCGGGGACTTCGACACAGATGCGCGCATCGGACCAGATGAACTTGCCGCACTCGGCATTGTTGCGGAAGTAGAAGCAGTCCTCTTTCGCACGGCACTGCGCGCGTTTGGAGCGAGAAATCTCTAAGAAGGCAATCATGTCGGGATTGTTCCGAATTTCAGCTCGGAGTGCAACGCCTCTTTGCTCAAGTCGCTCCTCAGGCCGGAGGATTCGTCGTTGGGTTTGCTCGGTTCCCCGGTCTCTTGCCTCTGCGCTTCGTTTCTGGAACAGCATCTGTCGTTTCTCCGCATTGATTTCTGTTCGTGACCGTTTCGAGATCTTGGGGGCGACGTTGTCCTGGATTTCAGTGCCATTTGGGGATGGTGGGCGGTCCCTTTTCGCCGGTGGGCATTCTCCAGTCCCAAGTTTCTCCAGGGTTGGGGGAATCATTGAAAGATTGTCGAATGAACGAAGGTTCAAGTAGATGGTTCGCTGCAGAGCTCAACCGGGTTCAGAGACGTCGAATGTGTGAGGGGAGGAAGAATCTGAGGATGATCCGTCGTTCAACGAAGGTGAGGAGTGTTGAGGAGAGGAAGAACCCGAAGGACGGCACGGCGTTCAAATCAGAGAGGTGCACAGAAGGTGGACACGAACCTTGCAAGAAGAAGCCGTTCAAGTGTCAGGGGCGATGCGTGCATGGAGAAGAATCCGGGAGAAACCTGGAGTATTAGGCATCTGTTCTTGAGAGAACCGTGGCTGCCTGAGGTGGTTGACTGTTGGAGAGCGTAGACGTGCACCACGTGACCAAGAACATGACATCGTGCGACGACACACCAGCGCAACCGAGCAATTAATTGGCTTTCATGCTGATTTGAGATTGGATAGGGACTGGAAGAGCCCTTGCTTTGGTAGAGTCAGGCCAGATTGCGTTTCTGTATGTTCTGGATCGTCTCGCGTTCATCATGACCGGTCGCTGTTCGAGAAGTCTAGTTCATCATGGGCCAGTATGGTCTGCCTGTAAGGGATCACTTTGAGTCGCACCCTGCCGTCTCTGAATTTTGATGTTCACTTCCCTCCGTTCAAGTCAGGGAATGATACTCAGATTTAGATGCTAGTACCCCTCAAATTAGTCCCTCAACGATTGTGTGCTTACAGTGATGAAGCCGAACGAGAGTATCTCACTAGCACGCATCCAACAGCCATGCTCATCCATATTGTGCATTGTTCCCTTCTATCACAAGAGTGCAGCAAGCACCTGCACGATGAAAGAGACTAACCATCACAAAGAATATTCTGGTGAGCCTTGATGAGCATCGTAGAGTGGACCTCCCATGGGCGAGGCAACTATGTACATGCTGCGAAGACAACAGCAAAAGAAGGACCAATGAATTAGGAGCAGCAAACGAATTGAGTCTGTATTCAGTTAGTATGTGGCCCCTGCTCCTTTCACTCTAAGATCTATCACTTCTTTCAACACTCCCATTTCCTCGCTTGGCTGATTCGTATGATCCGCCTGGACGTTCAAAATACTCGTTGACGAATGATTGTGTCATCTTGGCGAGCTTGACGGCAAAGGCTGTCCATGAGAAATTTCGGACTGCATCACTGATATCTTCCAGAATTGAGTGAAATGGGCTCCGGATTGGGCTCGAAGTAGGCTGGCAGGTGCGATAGGGGGTATAAATTCAAAGTTGAAGGTAATCGTTGCATGCCAATGAACTGAAAGTGGGCATGGACGTTTTTAGAGGACTCTCTCAGTGATGTGGAAGATCCATTGGAGTATGCCCTAATTAAAAACAATATACAATTTGCCTCTAAACGAGGCCTCAAGCATGTCAAAATCCCCCGAACAGCCTGAGGATCCGGATTTTCCCCTTTCTTTTCTGACATTACCGTGCGAATCGACACTCCGAAGCATGAAGCCTAAATATTCAGGGCTTAAACGGCTCACAAACTTCGATAGATCGTGGTCCATCCGGTGACATGGATCACTAGTTTGCTTCAGTTTGTCCTGGTGGGGAAATGAGAGATCGAACAGCCCGCGACAAATAAAGAGTATAAGATTGGGTACCTGTGATCTCTATGAGGAACAAAATAAAATAAAATAAACGACTATTCATTACCAAAGTATCAATATATTTATGTATCATGTTCTTAATTTACATTCTCTATTTTACCCTTGACGAGGACCTCTTGTTTGAATTTACTGTCATTTCGTTAAGAACGTCGCAATTGCCAAGGATTACGTTTGGGTCTCAAGCTGACTTCCAGTTGGCGGAATTCTGCCTAAACTTCTTGCCCTGCAGCCATTCTAACCTTGATGTCTTATTGCTCGAACTAAGGTTATTGTTTTAAAGTTGTTGCCAACAGACAGCAAGACCTTTTACTGCAGACAGTAAGGTTGTTGATTGCAGATAGCAGGGTTGAAGTCAGAAAGGTTAAATTGAAGCTCAAGGTAATAATCAGTATGTTAGTGTCTCTTAGGAGCTGGTTATGGCACTAACTGTCTGTCTCCATTGTTTGAACATACTGCGTAGTTTTGATCCATCTGACGATATTGAGTAAAGCAAAAAGAAAAAACCTCTATTTCACTTTTCTTATTTTGGAATTTTCATTCTATAGTCCTTACTTTCTGGTCTTTGTTTCAAGTCCCAACTGGAAGGATTGGGTTTGAACGGGAAAGGTTTGCTATCATAAATTTAATAAAGTGAGTCTAAGTTCGTGGCATCTAGGCCGCCGACAATGTAATAGAGAATGAGGAGGAAAGACGAACAGAGTGAGCGGAGGTTGAGACAGAGGACACCCAGGTCAACGGAAGCTCAAGGAGAGCATATCCGAAGGCGTCATTTTTAGCCACTAGTGGTGTCAGCTTCCGGCCTAATAATGAGTTTGAGTTCTCAAAGCTAATATGGTGTTGGCATTCAAGATTTTCTAGGCTAGAGTTTGAGTTCAAAATGATCTCGACCATCATGGCATGAAATTTCTTTTTGAGCATGTATGAGAGTACCTAGGTTCTAAATAGGGTTCACTGCTGCTGGTTGCAGTGTCAACCTTTTACCCGTCTGAGTCAGAGTTAGGCAACAACTTTATCAAAACTAATGGGTATAAATAGAATTAGGCCTGCCAGGGCTTGCCCCCTTTATGCTCTGTTGTGGGATACTCAATCTACACAAATAACCAAGACAACCGTTCTACCAATTGATTCCGTCTGCGATACGTCGTTTTCACCGTCACTATCACGCCAACTCATCACTCGACTCGACACTTTGGAGCTCCAGCCTTCCAGACCTATGGTCGACAGAAAGCTCATCAAGATGGACCCTTTCAACAAGCTGCCACCAGAGCTCCGTCTGCAAATCTTCGCCAGGCTTCGTTACAGGGGCTCTATATTGCAGTTAGTCCAGGCCTCGCCAGTCATGCTCGAACAATACGCCACATCGAAAGAATACATCACACGGACATTGTTTTACTTCGATCTCGATAAAATAATGATACATGACGCTATGGGAATTATTCTATTTCCCTCCCGCGAAGGCTGCGGTTTCTTGAAGCGCATGGAATTAACCCGCCGCCATATTGACGTATGGACAGCAAGAAAACTCCCTAATCCCTTTGAGAATCATGACCGCAGACTCATCGACGAGCTGGACAAGTTACATGACCGACTACTACTGTGCATACAAGACTACCTTACTAAGGCCGCTACTGATGACCTTCTACCTCCGGAGTATGGCCTTCTTCCTGATATATCATCAGTCCGAAGCTTTTTGGCAGTGAAGGGTCAGACAGTCAGTACCGGATCCAACGTGGTCAATCTTACAAGGCCAGAGCGGAAGCACCTTTTGAGAATCTTTTTACGTCATGAGCTTTCACGTACGATCTGATCGATGTGTAGTTGTGATGGTCAAAATCTCCAGCGGTCAGAGCAGGAGGCTGTCCAATGCGTCCACAGATACCTAGAGACCATTTAAGGGGCCATGTTCGCCTAGTGCAGCGACTCCTGGCTACTAGGCATCGCTACGGGTTCTATTTCTTCTCGCACCACCAGATTACATTCCCTGATAATCTTTATGTCGGCACTGATGCCTACGCCTCCGAGATGGGACTGCAGGGCAATTATGCTAGAAATTCAAAAGCGCCGACGTTTTTCAGTTTCGATCCTGTCGACCCTTCTCCAATCCGCAACAGCTGGACGCCAAGGGTGGGACTCAAGCAGTGGTTCAGGGGCGGTCTTCCGGTGAGTACACGGCTGACGAATCCCAAGACTCGGGGATGGAGATGGATTGCCAAGTTTTACTACTCTTTACCGAAAGAGGGATGTCTCAGGAAGCTAGCTCCATTCTGGCAACGAGTCCAGTTTTCGGGCGAGGAGTGAGTTTGACCGGCAAGGAGTGGGCAGTCATTTTCCAACGGTCAGCCATCAATGGGAGGGTTAATAAGGTGGAAGGGACGCATTCCATCATACTCCCTTCACTCAAGACTTCCTCATTTCACTGTAAATTGCATGCCTTGGTTCAGTTAAGATCGTTGGATTCTTTGGTGATCTGCATTCACCCTGAGTCGCAATCAAGGCGACGTGATTAACCGAAAATGGTAATGTTTCCGCCTTATCTGAACAATCTGAAGGTCCACAGCTCCTGTGCGGGGCTACCACTAGCTATGATCCGATGGCGACCAACTTAAATGCTCCGAGTCGACCCTCAAATATCACAAAATTTCTCAATCATCCTCGCTCTTTCCAACTCCCAAGTTCATTATATTCTGTTGAAATGTCTATAAACTCACATCCACTCCCTTCGATCGAAGCAGAACCATACAGATGGCCGCATGATTCCTCGTTCAACTCCGGCTCAACTGCACTGATCGTCATCGACATGCAAGTAGACTTTTGCTCACCTGGCGGCTACCTCGATGCCCAAGGAATATCCATCGAACCGATGAGAGCCGTGATTCCACAAATAAAATCTCTACTTGATGCATTCCGAGCAGCAGGATTCCCAATCTATCATACCAGGGAGGGCCATCGACCTGATCTTTCGACTCTTTCCAGTCGGGAACTGGCCCGAAGTAGGAATAATACTAGCGGAAAAGGAATTGGGGATATGGGTCCCTTAGGGAGGCTACTTGTCCGCGGAGAGAAGGGCCACGAAATCATTCCAGAGTTAACACCATTGCCATCGGAGCCCATTATCGACAAGCCTGGCAGGAGTGCATTTCAGCATACTGATCTGAAATTACTCCTTGATAACCGCCGGGTCAAGAATCTTGTCATTTGTGGCGTCACCACTGATGTGTGCGTTACCAGTACTATGAGAGATGGAAGTGAGTGATTTTCATCATTTCTTCTCGAGACAACGCCTTGTTGCTGCTATGTTTCAACAACTGACTTCAACTAGACGATATGGGATTAGATTGCCTTCTTGTTTCGGATGCTTCCGCTGCCGGTGAACAACACTTGCATGAGGCGGCTGTGGCAAGCGTCTGCGGCGAGGGAGGCATCTTCGGTGCAGTCGCCACTACTGACAAGGTACTCGCAGCTGTGAATAGTGTGTAAATTTAAATGCTCGGCGGATAGTTATCTTATTTTATTAATTTGAAGCAAATAATCCCCCTCCTTGAACCGCCCCTGTCACCAAACAACCGTTTGCTACTTTGTTTTGTCCCGGCTCCTTGGCGACCACGTACTCGGATGAGTCTGATCCATCTTGTCGTTGAATTGCAGGGAGACCTTGTTAAAAATAGTGCCCAGCTCTTGCCCTAAGCTTTTAACATCAGTTGCAAATTCTTCACTACTGCTTCGCCTTCGGAAATATGTCATGGTACTTCCAGCAGCTGTTTTGACAGCAGCTTTCACAGTTTTCGCTCTTTTGACAACTGTTTCTGCCGTTTTCCGGCAGGCTTTACCAATCGATGTTCTCCTTCGTTCCGTAATTTCAGTTGGAGATTTCAGAGGAGGCTGACTGTTCTGAGAGTCGAGGTTTATCTTGTCCGAGTCGTGTAGCGAAGGATGGTCCTCCCCAATATCTGACAGGCTTCCCTTATCCGCGGCAATACCATTGACAGGTTTTCGGCGAATTGGCAATTCTCTCGGTTCAAAATTCTGTGGGATAATGGCAGGGCTTGTGGTTTTGGCTTGGGATTCAGCTGGGTCCCTTTCAGTCTTCTCCGCCACGGCACCAAACTCATTCAGGACCACGGCCACACGCGCTGAGCTTAGGTCAACCAACACATCCGTCATTAAATGACCAGCTTCGCTCAACTTCCCATCTGAGTATGCTGAAGATCTGACAAACGCTGTCCAAGTATCAACGGCCTCTATCATCTTAGCCCGAGTGACCCGGAACCACTCGTGAGTCATGCCGCAGTGCGCGCAGTCTGAAATCAGATGCCGACTTTCTTTCAGAGCTGCCTTTACAAGGTTAGTTACCCTGAATGCACCAAAGAATTTCTCTTGACTCTGATAGACCATCTCGGAGTCTTTCGCATAGCAACTTTCACTCTGAAGAAGCCCGTCTTTATTGGTGTGCTCTCTCGAAAAACCGACCGTGATGATTTCCTCATTCTTGACATGTCTAAGCACATATACAACACCAGTCCTCCTGTCGTCTTGGTTGAATGGCCGGTGAATGTAGTGCACAAGCTTGCTTTTAGAGCGGTTTATCGTGAGGCGTTGCTTGGAACGTTCGAGTGTTTCCAGATCTTTCTCATCGCTCTCAAGCTCGGCAACCATGAGATTGATTTCCTCATCAGATGGCTCACTCTCGTTTGAGATGGGACCTTTCGGACCACGCTCCCTAAGAGGCGGCGGCGGATTGTAATCGTGCTTTGTTGGAACTGGCTCAGAAATTGTCTTGGCCGTGCCGTCGCTCTTTTGTATGCCAAATACGGTCGGTTTTGGATCCGACGTGACTGAGAGACTGCTGAAATCTGCTGTGGATTCACTGAAATCGAGGGTTGTTGCTGTGTTTTGAGATTGAGATGGCGTAGATCCGTCGACACTCGTGGACGAGGAGCAACCCGAAATCTGCCGGGGAGAGGCTTCTACCGAAATGGAATCCATGGTTGGAGTTTGCATTGGGCCGGTTTTTGTTTCTGCGAGCTCCACCTGCTCTTGAAGCGAAGTGTGGCTACCGGCCTTCCATTTGAGAAATTTAGATCGTACATCCGGTAGATGAGCGTAGCAGTGAGTGCTTGACAGAAACTCATCGACATGTTTGTAAAATTCTTCATCATGCGGGCACTGTTGTAGTTTGCTGAAATCATTCATCAACCTTGTGGCATTTTTAGCCCTGATTTTCGAAATATGTTGATCACAAGCATCCTTCCTTCGGGCAGCAAATCCAAGGCACCGGGTGAAATCAGAAGTCCACGGATCTCTATACCTTGTGTCAAGCACGAAGGTAGAGAGGTCGACCAATACTGGGGAAGAGGGATTGATGCTCATGTTGTGAGACGATAGCTTGATAGAAGTTATTGAGAATATTGAGAAGGAAAATAGCAGTGGAAAATGCCTCAATTTTTGGGTCGCTTCTTGATTCAGCTCGGCAAGGCCGTAGTAGGATGGTGGGACCATGTGACATGTTATGCAGTTGGTTCAACCTGCATACGAGGTTGGTAGTGGTGGGACGATACCCTGTTTGGAGTCTGAATGTAGGGAACTAGCGTGGTGCAATGAAATGAGCAATAATTGGAGTTGTAGCGGATGTGAGGAGACAGAATGAATAATATTTCATGACAATTGACAATTGACAAAAGTCTGCAAGAAGCGGGAATGGAGCCTGTCCTGGGTAGCCGCCCCAGTGGACGTGTAAAGGGGGTGTTCTTCCTAATGATGACGTTGCCTGGTTCCGGACTGCGCCGCAAGCTCACATTTAAGGGTTGCAACGACTCATTTCAGCCGGCAGGAAAGATAGGGAGTGGAAAGTTCAATTGAATCATACAATAAACGGCTTCACACAAACGGCGACGAACAGATCAGTGATTTAACTACATTTCAAAGTATAAATTGTAATGCATTGCGCATCCCGGATTGAACGCAGCCTCACAACCAGGACAGCAATTCCCACTATTGAGGTACTCAGAGATGGTCAGTTCTCGCTTGCAGTGTCCACACAGAACCGCCTTCTCATTGCGCTCTCCCTTGGGCCACACCTCCGGTCGGTGATCCGCTTGCGCCTCATGGCAACTGATACAAGCGTAGTAAAGATTGCAACACTTGTGACGAATGGCAATGATGTCACGATCTGAGTGCCAATGGAGGCATTGTGTTTGTGGACCAACGTTGAGCCCGTGGACGACAGGTGAAATTCTGTCGCTCTCGTTTTGCGCCATCTGCTCCGAAATCGGCACCGTAACCGGTCTCGGTGATGCTGGTCGTGAAAGTTGTGATAAAATTGGGTGTTAATAGTGCCAAGAAGGATCTGGAGTCGATTGAATGATTGCAACACTGTGATATGTATACCGGCGTGGTGGTGATTTTGGTATATATTGAGGTTAATAAAAGTGGGAGTCACGCAGAAGCAGTGGGTAGAAATGTGCTGACTAATTCTCGCTAGTTGGAAGAAGTGAAGCATGAGATACAGTTGACTGGGTCTGGAGGCTGAACAAGATCAGAAACTCTGCGACTTCTTGCAATTTCCATAGGCGCCCATAGCGAGTATTTAAGCAATTGCGTATATCAATAAATGAATTGTCTACGCGACACATCCCTCTGCAGTGACTATTTAGCGCAGGAAGAACTTACCTTGCCTACCAACTCAAGAAACAGGCTATCAACAACATTGACATTCCACCTTGGTCCATCTCCGAAGCAACTAGCAGTGTTGTAAAGTCTGCAATTCATGTTGCTCAGTGGTTCTTGCAAATCAGACCCTCCCTCTCCTCTTGCCGCTTTCTCTAGGAGCCTGAAGTTGTCATTACCAAACATACTCTTGACACGCTCTTCAATCCCAATACAACTTAGCCATGAGCGTGGGTCTTTGCCTTCAGCATGGTACTCTTTTAGGATGTGATCTCGTAACACCACGCCCAAATCTGCTTCTCCAGCCGCTGCGTGCTCCAGGCTTATTGTCCCGGTTCGCGCGAACTCTCGTCTCGCCTCCATTGTGGCTTGAATAAAGGAGAAATTTGCGTCCTTCGTAATATTTGAGTGACTTAAGCAGCCGCGCATAAGAACCGGTAGTTCGGGATGCGAATGATTGCACCCAATTTGCTTGTGTTCCATGAAAGACCAGAAAAGTCGCCCTGCGAAGGTTTTTGAGCCTTTCCCTAAATACGGTATGATGTCTTCGGGAGGTAGAGATGACCGCGTGTAATGCAGGGGATCTAGCCATGCACCGCTGGTGAGACGGGGCGGATTAATCGAGGGTAGACTTGAAAGTCCCGAGTCAGGCCTTTTCTCGCCGCTGGAATTTTGAACGAAAGCATTGGCCACTGCATCAACAGCATCATACTCCTCGATATCAATATGATGCCTCCGTCTCTGACTGTTTACCAAGTGCCCCGCGTGATCTTTTGTGATGCCACGTCGCGCTGGTCTGTCGGCCTCAATGCCGGCCCCTTCCACTGCATCAAAAATACTTTCGAGCAAATCGGAATATTCATCGACATGAGTTGCATTGATAATTTTCGTAATTGCACCTTTAAGTCGACGATTCTCATCTTTGAGCCGACGAGTTGCTTCAGCTTGACGCTTGCGGAAGCTGGCTTGGGACTGGCGACCCCTTTCTCGTCGACGCTGTGGTGGTCAGATTCTGGACTAGTACCTCAACAGAAGCAAATACACTTACACGAAGTTCATCTTCTGGCTTTTCGGTCTCCATCTGCCCCTCCTGGAATCGGTGAATATGTTGAACCGAAGTAGGGAAAAGTACAGAACTGAAAGTAACATTACGTGAGCTGTTTCTGGTTGGATTTGTCAGCCTCGGGTCCCACTAGTTAAGGTTTCAGTCCTTAGTGGCAGAGTCGGGACCATTTCGTCCGGTCACGTAACCGGCAAGGAAGCATCGGATCACGGAGTAATAGCCCGGGTCATGGAGTAATAACCACAATCACTTGTTTAAAATTTTGCTATCTTTCATTGCTAGCCGTGTCAGAGTTTAACCCAATCGAATTTAGTGTTGAGGGTCACTTTAATGGCTGGTACGGAGATGGTTTTGTCCGATCACATAACCGCAAGGAAGAACCGGCTATGGCGCAACTAGCATGATCAATCTAAGGTTACGTGAGTCACGGTTACGGCGTCTTTATGGGTCTATGTTTTGGTGTTTTATTTACACGGATAAAGTGAGTTCCCTATAAAGTAGCGTAGGGAGACAGAACTACAATTGCGGAACCCCGTTCAACTTCATCTTATTTACCATCGCAACCTTGCTTTAAAATGGTCAAAATAGCAATTGCCGGAGCTTCAAGTGGTACGTACTCGACACTTATCCTGAAATTTAGTTTGTTTCGCTAATCTATGTCCAGAGCTGGCTAGAGAGGTCCTCGACAAACTGGTTGCAACTCAGAAGCATGAAATAATCGCACTGGTTCGAAAGGTAGTTCCTTCTTTCTAGTCCTCTCCACGCCAAAACTGACCGAGGACGGTAGAATTCTGCCAATTTTCCGACCCTTCCCGGTGTCAAATGGGTGGAGACGACATACGAAGACAAATCAGACTTGGTCCAGTTGTTCAAGGGCGTCAATACTGTTCTGTGCTTCATCACTGTTCATCTTGACCCAGAGAGTAAGACGCAGAAGCGGATTATTGATGCTGCCGTTGAGGCTGGTGTCAAGCGTTATGCACCATCCGAATGGTCAGCGTAAGTAACCACACTTCGCTCGCTTTGTGACTAGAGAGTGAATTTGAGCCGTGCTAATTGACGCTAGTGGTGTTGAGATGGAGTCTTCAGTCGAGGTCATTCCGTGGTACGCTGGGAAAGTTGACATCAATCATTATCTGGGGGAGCTCAACAAAAACCAAAAGGTACTCCCAATCTCCATGCTAGTGGATTTCCAAGCTAACTAGAACAAGGTCCTCGAGTATTCCAGATTCCAACCGGGTTGGTTCCTCAACTACCTTGGCCACCCTCACCAAGTGTCAAAGTATATCACTACGGTGCCTTTGCAGTTCGATTTGGAGACACTCCATGCTGTTTTAGTTGAAGGATCTCTGGATTACCAGATAACATATACGTCTGTTGCAGACATTGCCAACGTGGTCGCTCGCGCTGTGGAGTACACTGGTGAATGGCCGGTAGTCGGAGGTATACGTGGACACCGGGTCACTGTTGGGGAACTTCTTGAAATTGGAGAAAACATCAGAGGTAAGTCTTATGGTGAGAGGGAAACAAAGTGTGTTGACTTTGGACTGATGAAATCTGCAGGCAAGCCATTTGTCGTGGACTGGCTCAAGATGGAGGACCTTCAGGCTGGGATTGTGAAGACGGACAGGTATGCTCGTCTAGACATTCCCTCTATCCCGAAAGACCATATTGAAGCGTTTTCTAAGATGGCCACTGCTGGAATCTTGATTGCAATGAGTAAAGGAGTTTGGACTGTTTCAGACGAGTGGAATAAGATATTCCCTGACTATGAGTTTGAGCAGGTGGATACTTTTCTCAAGAAGTTATGGCCAGGGGAATAGATTGTTGGGGATTCGGGTCTCATCCGTACATATGCACGTCTGGTTTGTGATTGAGCATGATGAGTTGGAAACGGCATCGTCGAGACAATCAGCCTAGCGAGCATTCAGCAATGGACTACATTCAATAACTGTTCCGGGATTGTGAGCCAAAAGCCTACCGCGCAATCCGGCATCACTGATAGGGTAGACGAATGCGACAACTCAAAGATGCCTCCTGGCAGCTCTTGAGCCATATTACCAGGAGCCGCCTCCACCAGTCTCGCATGTCGGTGAGTGACTGATAGGGCGGGCTGGGGTAGGTTCAGGGTGAATCGTGGGCCGCAACCCCATTCATATAAAAAGCTTTCTCCAAGAATAACTTGGCTTCGGAGGCCCGAACAACCACGTGCTTAGACGGCTTATCGATTCAGAACAATCGAAAAATAGTACCGAAATCCACAGTGGAACTGCAGCCAAAACAGCAGGGAGATGATTTATCTAGTTCCTCAGTCCATGCCGGAACAAGCTATACCTGGTAATCCTGACTGATCATTGCTTTTCCCCAACCGTGCCGCAACAACTGTATCTGGCGATCTTGATTGACCATCGTTGCATTTGTGCCGAGGCAGGATGTGCCATGGTGGTTTTATAAGGAATATGGACCCAATCACAGCTTAGAGTGCTAGCTTTGGCTGGCTCAGGTTGCATGGCGACTTTGCTTGCACAGACACACACGAATGCCATCATGAATGAACCATGCGAGTTGATTGGTAGTTATCCGTGAAGGCTGGGGTGGCGGCCGCCGTGTTGCGCTGCGTGCGGGGAGGACTAAACTGAGAGAGGAAATACGATCGTGTCAGAGAGGGGGAACTGCGGCGTATGACACACGTGAGACATGATGATTGCGGCGGCTTGGTGTGGCGTATTGGAGGCAGGGTACTTTTTACGTGGAATTGTCTACTGTGCCGTATACATTCGAGTGAGGCGTTCGATCGCTGATAGTGAAACGAAAGAAAAAGAATTGGCAAGAAACACTCTTAGCAATGGTCAGGGTGCCAAGAGCCGGCCTGGGGGTAGAGACCTTCATAAGCCGCCACCGCGCTTCAGGATACATAGCAAAGATGTCCAGCGATGTGCAAATCGGTCTCTTAAGTAGACAGGCCGGATCAAGTGGCAATCCGATGCACCAGTTGGTAGCATCTGGCCAACCGGGAGCTTATCCGCGCCCCTAAGATCCTGGCAGCCTCAACACACTGTGTTCTCGTCACCTTCTTCATCACATCTGCTGTCCGGTTTCAGGGGCTGATCTGACGGGAACTTCTGTTTAAGTGCGGGGCTTGGGCTTGACATGGGCTTTGCAACAGTAGCCCCTATCCTCCTCGTCTGCGTCACTCGTTTGACTAGATCTATCGATTCGATTCCCGTTCGTAAGATGTCACCCTAGCTGTCACATTGCATTCCGAATTTGTCAGGTATCCCCGGTGGTGAATACCTAGAACTCCTGAGTGGAAATTGAAGCTAAAATGTGATGGTAAGAGATGAGGCTACTTTTGATACGTAGCTAGCAGCCACAGGCGCTGGAGCTAACGGAATGGCCTTTAACCAGAGCACATTAACCACGCACAGATTCTAGAATCGGGACGAGCGAGCTGAGACAATATCTACAGGGATGGAGTCTGTGTGGCCTCTCTAGTAGGGTACTGGTAGAGGGTCACACGGCCGAGGACCAGTTCGCCCTCTATCTTCATCGTCCGAGTCCCCCGGAACTAGTTCCAACGCCACGATTTCCAGAGTTCGACTAGCTCTTGCCACGGCTGTGGAACTGGCCCCGTCATCACATGATTCGGGGATGATTCGGGGATGATCTGCTTCAACGGAGGAGATAGCATGGGCGAGTCATGGATTCAACAAGCGTTCAAGCTTACGGATAAACACAGCCTGTCTTGACCCGGCTTTATTTCCGTAGTAGATTGCCCAATGAACTCACTGTTTACTAAAAATGGCGATCCACAGGGCGCTACTTCGGGCGCGCCGATGCATGCGACGGACTGAAATGGAGGTCTAACAACCGTCCAATCAAACGAGCTGGAGTTTTTGACCGAAAATAGAGACAGGGGATTGGTCGCGGATTCCCCAAATGAAGAAGCTGGAGCTCCTGACCGTGTGGCAAGACAGGATATCCATGCTATATGTATAAGAAGCCAAGACCCGAGGCACGACTGGGTTAGATTACAAGTTCTTTTGGATCGACACATTTTCCAATGCCATCATTGGCCGACACTATTTCTGACGTGACTCCAGAACAATGGATATTGAACGATTTTACAGCCTACCTTTCAAGAAACCATTGCCTAGAAACCCTACAATTCGTCCAAGATGCATCGAGATACCGAGCCTGTTACACAGAGATAGTTGGGAGTAACAAATTTCCCTGCGAATATTTCAAGTGTCATTACGATTACCTACAGGCACTATGGGAAGATCTTCTGGAGTCTTATATCCTTCCAAACGCACATCGCGAGGTCAACCTCCCATCCAACCTTAAGGATCGACTTATTGAATTCCGATATTCCGCTCTTCTTCCACATCCGTCGGAATTGGATGATGCCGTCAACGCCGTCTATGAACTCATGGAGGACGCCATCGTATCTGGAATGCTGAACTCCCCTGTGCCACTGGAGCAACCATGCGACAGAGGGCGCGGTGTCTGGAAGAGGATTAGTGGCAGACTTCGGCGGAAGATCTCAAAGTCGATGACGAAATCAGTCTCAGAACGCGACCTCCAGACGAAATTCCGAGTAAGCGAGGGTTCTGAACTGCGCAGTTTCTGCTTGGGAGGGGACGGTGCGGACACTTTTTACACACGCCGCCACTCGCTAGAAGGTGCCTCACCATTGCCTCGCAGCCATTTGCTGCAGCGCGTGATGGAGGTGGTCGACCATACTGTTCTCGCAGTGTGGAGCACGAGGTGGTTGAAGCCGCTACCGGAGAAGGAGAGAGCAACAGTTGATATTGGGATTGGCACCAGGGATCAGTACGTCGGCGCAAAGCCCTTGGAATGAGCCTGTTGTGGTAATTGGATGGCAAATCAATGCTCAACGATTGGCATCCTGCCATGACATTTAACTCACCACCCAATATCTTCACTCCGGACCTCGGCCCATCCACTCGGCTCACTACTGCCCAAGAACCGATTATCGCTCTCCAGCAACACCGCCTCACTAACCCCGAGGTCCTCGGGGTCCCACCGGAACGGCAGGCTGCTCTCGAGCCTCCAGTCAAGCTGCTCAGCCTCCTGCGGCTGCTCGTGCTGTACCGGGGAGCTCTGCCCCGGCGCGCCGAGGTTGTCGTTCGAGCCACCTTTGCTATCGACGTTGCCAAATGGCTGGCACAGGATTATTAGCAGATTTAGAGACAGGGCGACGCGTTCCGGATCGGCCGTCGTCGGAACTCTGAGGATGTAGGAGAGGGACGACGGATTTGGGGGGATGCTCATGCTGGTTGTGGGGCGAATGTAAGATGCCAGCTTGTCGTGGATAGGGACGAGGCAGTCTTGGAATTTGAGGGCTACCGAGTCCGTGGTGCTGCAGAAGGATAGTATATCGAGGCAGATGCGGGCTTGTGCGATGTCGTCTTCCCAGGATGATCGATGGAAGAGGTGTACCTGCTTTTGGGCGACGGAGTGGAGGAGCAAGACGCAGGAGGTGTATGATTGGAAGCTAAAGAAGAATGAGCAATCATTAAAACGGCGTAACGGGAGCGAGTTGTGACTTACATGATAAGCCAGCATTTTTTAAATATCCCCTTTTCTGCTCGCAGCAGGCCTAGGATTCGGGCCGAGTGTCTTGCGGCTGTCATAGCTTGATCTGCATGACTGAGAAAGCTATCCTCGAGGGGCTTCCACGGAATGTCGTGCCCATCGTCAATCCTGGAAGACCGAGCGAATTGTGAGGCAATACGGCGGTAGAGCAGCATTGTACATCCGAGATAGAGTAGGTGAGTGGCTAAGATGGATCGCCGAGCTTCAACGGGAAGATCTTGGCGGCAGAGATTGGCGAGATGCATTTGACTGGGGAGTTGATTGTGCCAGTCCTGAAGGTCTTTATCTATGGAATCCATTGCTTGGCTGGTCATTTCCTTGGAGGATAGATGCATCCGCAGAATATCGGCGTTTAGAAGGGAGATCTTGGTCATCTCCGTTTGGACAACTACAGCATATGTAAGCGAAGCAACCGGATGGTCCATGTATTGGCTTACTGTGGCTAATGTCGGATGAGTGATCGGCTTCCACGTCCATCAACTGTAGTCATGTCAGTCTTGGCTGTGAAGAAAGGTCAAGGTTTAATACCGGAGCCACTTCCCGGAAAGATACACCACCACCCGAGATGTACCCAAGAGTTGAAGAAAGCCAGCTAAATAAGTTAGCGAATGTCAGTCAGACCGGTTCAAAACTTGCCTTGAGAGGAACATTAATGTTCTCCAAGCCCTCCGATAGTCAACCCATTCCTCTGGGGAGAGCCCCGGATAGTCATAACACTTGTCATTTAGATTATGTCTTTTTGACATGCTCAGACCAACATCTATGCCCATGGTTAACCTAATGAAAGAAACGAGGTCTTAGAGAACGAGTACTAACCAATGTAAGCAAGTGAAACCGTCGCCTTATTCATGATGTTATACATGGCTAACAGCGCGCAGACTTTAATTGCATCGAGTGGCTGCTCCTCCATAAGGTTCTCAAGGAAATGCCTTGCCACGTCGTAGAAGACGCCATCAGTACCCAATTCGAAATCGTCGGCGTTGTACTGAACCCCAACAGCTGCAACTGCGGCGAGGCAGCAAATGGCGGTCTTCTGACTTGGTATAGGACAGCCATCGCTTCCAAACACATTCTCATAGCAGCCTGATATGTGTTTGCGGGAGAAGACATGGAATAGTTTTCCGCTGGAGCCGAAAAAACTGTCGATCGCGGCTTGTGTAATGGAGGCGCTGGGGATGACGAGAGAGATTAGGAATGTCGACGTGTCTGCTGATAGTTCCCTCCGTGCCGGTGATGAAGCGGGGACGTGGGCCTTTCCAAGCGTATCGTTGCCGACGTGTGATTCCTGGAGGAGACGGGCAATTGCGCTTTTCCGCACTGGAGTCACAGATCCGATTGACTGCTCAGATCCAGTCGTAGGACTCGAGAGACTGCTGACCCCTGGACTGCTGCTGGAGGAGCCGCTGGCGCCAAGCGGTGATATGTCGTGCTTAAGGTCGAGCAAGGAGCGGAAGTCGTCGGCCGAGCGGATTTGTTGCAGTAAACGGTCCGCTTCCTCGCCAGATTTGACCTGCAAGGCACAGAAGAGCTCCTCCAATGCTTGTAGGCGCGACTTCAACGCGGCTCTTCTCGACTGACCCACCGGCGACTCGTAGCGGCAAGGTCGTCCCTTGGCAGTACAGGTGCCACACTGAGGTCGGCAGCCATCACACTAGAGGCAAGTTAACGCGTAACTGTGAACGGAGCGGGGAGTAATACCTTCACCTTGTTCTGACGGCAGTCACGGCAGGCCTGCCCCACGCTGCGGATTCTCTTGCCGAGCCTCTCGCAGGAGACTAACGAGCCGCGAGACGCCGCGATGTTATGGTGCTGTAGCGACTGCTGAGCAGCAGGCTGGATGGGACGAAACGACGAAACCATTGCTGGTCTTTACAGCTCGGCACTGGGCCTTGTTTGATCAGTTGAAGGGCCGTGAGCAAGAGAATAGATATTTGATCCTCAGTATGAAACGGGTCTCAGGATGTGGCGAGCATCTATTTCCCCAGCCTTGACGGAACTATCCGCCGATCACATGCTTCGAAACACAGCTTTTAACTTGTTCAGCTTGGCTCGAAAAGATAGCGGCTCCAGTGGCTAACGTCTCTGCCAATTATAAGTGCCAGGTCATGACGCCTCTGACATGATCATGACATAAATTCCCAACAGCCAATAGGGAAATGAGATTATAAGCACTTGGAGTAAGCAGTAGCCTCAAGCGGTAGTGCGTCATCGCAGCCGACATCCTCTCGGCTGGGTTCTGGAGTATCACCATGCGTACGAAGCGGTATCGACTGTAGCCTCGACCGACGATTCTTCCGTCTGAGACTTCTACAAGATTTCCCAGGGCCAACGACACTTGGTATTGGCGACGCTGGATGTCAAGCCGGGAGAGTGGTGATTGTGTCCGGCTACTGGCAAATTTGGTGGCGCTGCAGTTGCTACGCTACGGCGCTGGTGATGGCGCCAGGGTCATTGCCATGGGCAGGAATGCGAAGGCGTTGGAGGCGCTGGCGGGCTGTATAAGATGACTGGAAGGATTAAGATGGCTGTACTGTCCAGGGATGCAGAGAAGGAAACGGTGGTGTTGACCGAGATGGCGGGTAACGTACACGCAGATTGTTGTGTAGACTTTAGTATGTCTTCATTCCCTATTTCTCATCACCACGAGGCAGGCGCTAAACCCTTCTTAGGCCCAGCGCAAGCCACGACCCCGTCACATTGAGGCTTGCTTGGGAGCTGTTCGGCCTTGTGGGCGCATCGTTTTCAACGGTGGCAGCTTTGGACTGTGTCTATCCCGTGCATTGAGCTCATGATCAAGAACCTCGAGATCCATGGCAAGTACATGGACGAGCGTGAACACACTAAGAGGCTTGTCAAGATGGTAGAAGCCGGTCTCCTTTCACTAGGGAAGAAGGTCAACTTTAACACAACCGGCCGGTTCAAACTATACCAGATTCAAGATGCACTTGAATTGACTGAGAAGGACCAGACTAGGATAGGCAGGTATTCTTAATTCCTTCGGGCGGCAAGAATAAGCCAGGGAGTCCAGACTTAAAAGTCTCAAATGACAGGAATACCGCCAGTACATACGGGTGCCACCCCGAGACCGACTTCCCATTACCAGAAGACTACAAAATTGACTCGTCATATCGAGCCAATAGCCCTAACTAAGGCAGGATATCCTAAAGAAGACAGCCTCCTATGGGTTTCTTTCCAAAATGCAAGCTTCAATTTTGCGTCTTTTTCCTCCAGAGACCTAAGATCCCTAACACAGCACTCTGTTTGCAGTGTAAAACATAGCGGGAGGAATTAATAAAACCACATCGCTACACTGCCTTGAGCGGCCAAGGCCGATTCAATCACGTTTCAAGTTGCTTCGCCGCCCTGTTAGGCACCAATGCAGCTCCGCCACCCGCATATTTTGAAAGCCTAGAAATTCCGTCATTATTTTCATTCCATCACTCATGCATATCTGGCAACGAAATATCCATCTTCGTTCCATAGCTATTTCGGAAGATTTATTGCTACCCTTAGCCACCTTAGCTACACCAGGGTCACCACTAGAATTCGTCACCATGAGTTTCTTGAACTTGAGAAACCGCAGAACGCCTGGTCGCACCGTTTCAAAGACTGCGGATCCCGGAACCGAATCTACCTCTACTCAGTATCCTGATAGCCGACGTCCAATTTTCCTTCGTACTTTGGCCCGCGGCAAAACGTCCGAGGACTCTGGTGTTGAAGTTTACCGAGACACGGAAGGCCATATCTGCATTTCCACCGATGGGAGTGTGAAAGAATTGCCGAACCCAGGGCCAAATTATCTCATATTTGATGTGTCTCCAGCGGGAGATAGAGTCTGCATTGCCGACTCCCAGGCTCTGAGCCTCTACAGCGCCGAAAATCAACAACTACTGGGTAGTTGGGAGACTACGCAATGTGGGAACAAGGCAGATCTCTATAGCTTTTCGCAAGAAGCTCTTATCAAAGACATTGCCATGATTAACACAAAAATCGTGGTTCTCCAAATAATAGACAGTAAAAGGTGGCCTGGGGATATCGTCTTTGTGAGCCTGGAGGCAAAGGATCTGACAGAGTCCCGAATAATGCCTACGGCTCGATCAACTCCGGAAAATTCTCAACCACTCTGTTCTTTCAGAACGGTCTCAATCTTTCCCTGTCAAAACATACCATCGACGCGTGTTTTATTGCCTCAGAACTGGGACATTGTTACAATTATTTCGAAATACCACTACATTTATCCCAGAAACAAAGTGTCAAGAAAAATATTTGAAGGGCCGCAGCAGGACACGAATCTTTACGATATGACTAGTTGGCTCACATCAGAAAGCAAGTGTCATGGGGAATCATTGCACGGGTTTGCCGTTAATGATCTCCTCGACAATCCCACACGAGCGTTTTACTTGGGCGGGATTGATCCTCTGCAGAAATCCCACGAAAACCTCCATACCTCAATTTGGAAAAACGAAGCCCAAAAGTTGATGTGGCAGCCATTTAGTTGGGTGGCTGCTCATTATCGCCACGGGGAACCGATCTCTAAAGACTCCATGGAGCTTGATAGAACGTTCGACGCCCTGACGAGTTCAAATGCCCCTTCAAAACAGATGGCGGATCGAATAGTATCTTTGCAGATTGAATTCGCCATACGATCATACGCACCACATGGTTCTGGGCAAAGGACACTGGCTGCATTTCCCAGGTTTGACTCACGGACTAGGAGGAGCGTGATAGATGTCTGGGATCTGGACCAAAGAGCAAGAAGAACCACGCTGGCGGACAGGCAGAAGAACTTTTGGATTGGTACGGGTCGATGGGGTGGGTTCTCGCCTGATCTTGGAATCCTGAGAGTTTACTCTGAGGTGGTGGGACAAGAGGAGGATGACTCTCAAGAAGAACTCTGGTTGATTCCTTAAGTATTTATTTGAGTTGTTTTCTATACTAGATGAATATGAAGCCAATTTGAGTGCGCGTAACGTGCTCAGTGGTTCGCAAATATCGTCTGGTTGTACCGGAGCTGCTGATAGCTTTTCGGGTAGGTAGATAGTTACAATAGGAATCGCTCACAGATTAATGCATCTACAGTAGACCTCTCTTGTATTAAAGTATAGTTTTACTATCTGTCACTGCTTGTACCAAGTCTAAAATTTCTAATTGCTGTCTTGTGTATAGCGCAAGCCGTTCTGTTTCCTTACATTGTCCATTAGGTCCATCATCCCCCTCGTAACGTCTAATCCGCACACGGCACTCTCCCTCCGCCCTGCCCTCAAATCTGCCGCGACAGCATCAGCCTCGAAGTGAAATCCCCAACCCTCCACTGGGAAATCAATAGTTTTCTTCTCCTCACCCTTCAGCTCCACGATCAAATACCCCGGCTTGGCCGCGCTAACACCACATACCCACACTGTACCCTTCTCACCCTCAATCCGGGCAAATCGAGGGCTGCTTTTCGCACGCATCGAGCACGTGCAGATTGCCTGCATTGCAGCGGCCTCGTAGTTTAAAATGACGGTACTCATTTCATCTACCCCTCCTACAAGGCTCATGGAGCTGGTGATTCTTGGTGTAGGATTGGCGCTGGAGAGAACCGTGGGGCTCGCGCCGAAGATGAGAGAAGCCCAGGTCAAGGTGTAGATACCAATATCCAGCAACGCACCAGCGCCCAGGGCAGGGTCGGTGGTGCGAGAGTCGGAAGGTAAGGATGCCAGGGGCATGTCCAGGCCGATGTCAATAAAGCCACGAGAAATACGTCCAATGATTTGCTGTTTATGGATGAGATCCTGGAGACTGGCCACGATGGGGAAGAAACGCGTCCAGACAGCTGTAAGGTTAGCCATGTTATAAACCCAAACCTCGCAAAATTGAACTGATCTTGAAGTTGAGGGAGTGGCTTACCCTCCATCAAATACACGCCCTTTTCCCGCGCAGCCTTGACCAGTACATCGGCCTCTTTGGCATTTATGGTCATCGGCTTCTCACAAAGCACATTCTTCCCCGCGGCGATAGCAGCCAACCCATTTGTCAGATGCAGTGCGTGCGGTGTGCCGATATACACGATGTCGACGTCTGGATCATTATATACCTCCGCGTAAGAGGCGTAGACCTTGGTAGTTTGCGCTACTGTCGGCGCGTGCTTCTGGAGAAAGGCAGTTCCCTTCTCGATGGACGAAGAACCGACACATTGCAAAATGTGCTTGGTGGGCGCGTCGGTGCGTGAGAGAAGAAGATCAGAGACGAACCAGGAAGAGATGAGGCCGCATCCTACCAGAGTTAGGTTCGAATTGGAGAGGGAGGTAAGGTAACATGGGAGACGTACCGACGATACCCCATCGTAGAGACGGTACTTCTGTGGCAGCCATAATTGGAAAGGATATGGAAATGTTTGGGGTAATTAAGATGGACGGTGGAACGAGTTTTAAAATATGAATAGTGAGGGAGAAACGACCGAAGTCGAGCATGAATCAGCCCCAATTATCCTACGGTAATAATTCTGTCCCGAAACTGCCTTATCTTCACGACTTCAATCTCGCTCATATTCCAATAGCGCTACGCCACAAGTGACTGAGACTGGGATCTACTTTAGTGCAACCCGAAACTCCCCGTGTGCTCCACCGTGTCTCCCGGCCGCAAGACCGAAACTCCCCGGGCCGAACCCGCAGTGGGTCTCAATATAAATGAATTGGAGTTCGTCGGCTAGCTCGTGGGGAGAAAATGCACGATTTGGTGGATCCTGCATGGAGTTGGGGTGATAATGTCGTGGCTGTAAGCTGTTTCAGTTCTCAAGCAATGCCTCCTTGGCATGTGTACGGAGATAGATACTACTAGTCAAGGTGTAATTGAAGTTTCCTTGCCAAACAAGAGACTGCCACTCTTGATGAATGAATGCCCTTAATGCTGGGTTTTAATTAAGAGAATACATGTAAAGGCTGATCAACATTAATACTCTCTGCCGTGGCGATAGCTTCATTCGAACTACAGCCCGTTCCACCAAAAACTCTCTTTCACATCAAAGCTACCCCTCAAAGTCCCCTCGCCCCCCGCACTGCTATTTCCCACAATAACCTCGTAAGTGTCCTTCTCAACCACCCAAGATGCCCGCGCTTCATCCCAGAGGCACGCCGCTTCTCTAGTTACCAACTCAACACTTACAACTCTGTCCTCTCCGGCCTCGAGATATATCTTTGTGAAGCCCTTTAACTCCTTCTTGGGCCGCCGGATTAAAGGTGCCTTTTGCGCCACGTAGACTTGCACCACCTCTGCTCCCGCAACCCTGCCCGTATTCTTCACCTTTAAACTCACCACCACCGCTTGATCCTCCTGTGCGACCTTGAGATTGCTGAGCGAAAAGGTCGTGTACGAAAGGCCATGGCCGAAGGGGAACAGCACGTCCCTCTTGGTCATCTCGTAGTATCGGTAGCCGATGTACACGTCCTCACCATACAGAGTCCTGCCACGCTCAGACCTGTAGTTCAAAAAGGCAGGGTTATCCTCGTTGCGGATGGGGAACGAGAGAGGCAGCTTGCCGCTGGGGTTAACTTGTCCGAAGAGCACGTCGGCGATGGCGTTGCCGGTTTCGTTGCCGCCGTACCACGCGTGCACGAGGGCCGACACCTCCGAGATCCACGGCATCTCAACGGGGGTACCGGCTTGCATGACGACGACCGTGTTGGGGTTTGCGGCTGCAACGGTCGATATAAGTTTGTTCATGTGGCCAGAGAGTTCCATATTGGCGCGGTCAGCGCCGTCTCCTTCCCAGTCGGCCTGATAGACGGGTTAGTTATAGAGTCGTGGGGGGATCAGAAAGACTCACATTCAATCCTGCGCAGATGATAACCTGGTCCGCCTTTTCAGCCATGATTTTCGCCTTTTCAATCTCCATTTTAGGATCCATGATCGGACAGCCGCCAATCCTGATGCCGCCTCCTCCAAACCTCACCACACCCCCAGCTCCAAGCTTGTTGGTTGGCGCACTGGCAAACACAACCTTGATATGGTAACTCGCTCCCTTCGTCACCTGGATGATGCCCTTTTCTTCCACCGTGCCACACCCATAGAACACGCTTCCCTGCCTCTGAGCCGTCTCGTTATCAATCACCATCTTGCTATCCACATATAGCTTCGCCGTCCCGTACACACATAGGCCGAGCTCGAACTCTCCGTCTTCCTCGGGTGTTAGCTAGCCCTCGACGTCAGCGTACCAGAGCGGTGACGTGATGGCTGGGCGCTTGTAGTCGAGGAGGAGCATGTCGGTTTTTGTGAGGCTGATCTCATCGACAGCCTTGCGGTTCTCGACGCTGGGAGGCTCAGTGTACGACCTGAACGTGACACCAGGGGTGCTGCCAGATTTTGTGGTGGTGAGGGATGGGCCGAGGATAGGGAGTTCCTTGTGGGCGTAGCAGCCTACGGTGTATTGGGGCTCAGTCGAGAGACAATTGCTGATTCCGTCGAATGGCGAGACGGCGTAGTATGGGTTTAGGGACGACGAGCCACCTCCGCAAAATACCGAGACCTTTGCATTTGGGCCAATGATCACCGTCTAGAGATCCAGTCAAGTTAGCATAAACTCTCGATTCAGGTTCGGTTCCCTGTATTCTGATATGACCAGGGTGGGAGAACTTGCAGATTTATCCTTCGCAAGGGGCAAAACCTCCTTTTCATTCTTCATCAACACAATAGACTCGCCCGCCAACTTTCGCAAGAGCGCTGCCGTTTCTGGCGTGTCAATCGTCCCCTCTGGAGCGTTCTCCGGAATGTTGGATGCTGCACATCGTTTCACGACCCTCAGGACCTCCTCCGCCCGCTCGTCCAGCGTCTTATATGACACTTTGTTGGAACGCAAAGCGTGGAGGAGGTTCCCACCCCGCCAGCGAGTAGGGCCGGGCATCTCAAGGTCGAGGCCAGCATTTATCGAGCCGGAGGTTGAGTAGGTGCCGAACCTGTTGAAGAAAGCATTGTCAGTAGGCTGCCGTGCTACGGATAACTCGAACATACCAGTCGCTCATCACCAGGCCCTCCCATCCCCACTCTCCCCTCAACACCTCGGACAAAATCTTATGCTCGCTGACATGTCTTCCGTTCAACTTGTTGTACGCCGTCATGACCGCCCCGGGTCCGCCCTTGCCTCCCTCCTTGAGCGCAATCTGGAACGGCCGCAGGTAAATCTCCCTCAACGCCCTCTCCGTAATGACAGCGTCGTACAGTCCACGCTCGTGTTCCTGGTCGTTGCATACAAAGTGCTTGATCGTAGCTACTACGCCCGTTTTCTGGATGCCTCGAATCATAGCCGCAGCCCCAAGTCCTGCCACTACGGGGTCCTCCGAGAGCGACTCGAAACCGCGTCCGCCGAGTGGCGAGCGCTGCATGTTGATACAGGGCCCTAGCAGGATATGGGCGCCTTTTGCAATGGATTCGTGACCCATAAGACGACCGGCTTCTTCGAGCAGCGGTACGGAAAAGGTTGCGCCCAAGGCGGTGCCGCATGGGAAACAGGCAGCGGGCACACCGGCAAGATTCTTGGTGCCGCGGACGCCATTGGGGCCATCGGAGAGCCGGAGAGAGGGAACGCCATGTTCAGGGAAGCCCTTGGTATGCCAGAAGTCGATTCCTTTGCATGTTAGTGCTTGATGATGAAGCTTGAGGGACAATAAGAAAGACCGGAAACATACCTGACAAGAGGTCAATCTTCTCGCTGGTATTTAGCTTTGCGAGCACGGCTTTAACATTGATATCCGCCATTATACAATCCAGACAGTCTCAATCGGCATCTGCTTTAGAGATTAGGATAAAGACTTGAGCAGGTGGAAACAGTCATCTTATAAAATATGAGTTGAAACTGGGTACTGTATTCTTCTTCCAGCGCCTTATGTCTTGAACTGTGCAGTGGAATCCACCCTGCAAGAGTTGACTGACACTAATGATGAAATCGGGAAGGCTTCGTCCGAAACTCCCCGTCGGCTGCAGGGGGCGCAGGGGGGCGTTCGGGGCTCAGCATCTTCTCCCCGCACTGGGACATTTGGCGGTAAATATGAAGAGGGGGAATACTTGGAGCAACGAAGCTAAAATGAGATGGGATTAAAGTGCAGCAGGCTTGAGATGTGAGGTAGAGATAAATCACCAAGCAGGAGTCTCAGTAGAGAAGGATCTTGGCTCAGGAAACCATTTGGGGTAGGTAGTATCGAAGGATGGAATTTTACAATTGAAGTATCGTCTATAAAACACAATTTCGGTCTTTCAGTCTAAGCCGACGTCACGCCTTGGCGCCGTTGACGCCATTTGTGCTATGCTTTCCATTCATCGCCTTGGCCGGCAATCCACCGGTCATGAAACTCCCGTCATAACCCGCCTTCATAATCATGCCAAAAATCTCAAGATCCGCTCTAGCATCAGCCGCGGTGGTCTTGACGGGAGTTCCCTGAGTCACAAGCGCATGCAGCTCCCTAAACTCGAGCGTGTACGCATCCTCGTACGTCTTCCGCACCATCGTCTCCTTGTAGACGCCATTGACATCCTCGCACACCGTCATGGTCGTCGGCAAGCCCTTGACGTATGGTGAGTCGTATTGGACGCGCACGCTCTTGCGCTGTGAGTAGATCTCGATGTGCGCGTCGAAGCGAGGGATGCCGTCGATGCCGCTCTCGTAGCTCACGCAGAACCCAGGATACTGCAGTAGAGCATTCCAAAAAGGGAAGCCCAGGCTGGCGCCGCGCACCGCCGTCGGCATCCCGAGGGCCTCGCGCATAACACTCAAATCGTGCGAGCCCAGCCCGCCGAGGAGCATCCACATAAGTCGGGTGTTGCCGTCGACGGGGACACCGCACTCGACTGTCAGGCCTTGGTTCATTTGCGCATCGGATTGGGCGTTTTTGTCGTCTATGTCGGCCTTTTTGAAGTCGTCAAATTTCCGGGCAAAGGTACCGGATTGGGAGACGAAGCCTGCATTGGGTCCGATGATGTCTAGAGAGTCAGCTAGGGTTGAAGATGGAGATTTTTCAGACTTACCTCGTACGCGAGCGTAGAGAATCTTGTCCATGCCGCCGACTTCCTCAATGGCATCCAAGAAAGCCAATGCATACCGGCGCATGTATCCCACCATGACGGTGCCCTTGCTCTCCTTTTCGGCAGCGATGATTGCATCTGCATCCTGGAGGCTGTAGCACATGGGTTTCTCGATGAAGACAAACTTGTCATGCTTCAGGCCAAGGATGGCATGTGCGGCGTGGTATTCAGTGCTGTTGGCAATGAAGACCACATCAACATCCGGCGACGAGCAGAGCTCCTCGGGATCAAAGGTGGTCTTTGGCGGGGTGCCGGAGATCTTGGAGGAGCAGTGGGTGAGGGCATCGGCGGACACATCGCACAGGTAAGTGATGCGGTAGAAGTCGGACATGAAGCCCAGCGCGGGAATATGGGCGACCTGGCTGATTTCACCGCAGCCGATCATGCCGACGCGGACGATACGAGAGGGAGAAGACATGGTTCGGTGTCGTAGGTGTGAGAGTGTGAGAGTGTGAGTGTGTGAGGAGATGTGATGGAAGAATTGAGATGTAGGTTAGAGGGAGTAAAGGAGAGAAATTTAATGATCGAGTGACAAAGTGGGAGAGCTGTCATGGGTGGCAGAGTGATAATGGTGGGTATCATGAGTGATGTTTTGGAGTGGTAGGGCCTTGGCTGGGCCGGTACTCCGCGGGAGGTGTGGCACGTCCGGGGTCCAGGTGGGTGTGGCACGGACCATGAGTGCGGGGTATTTTCCGGGGGCAGGACCAGCTTGCGAGTGCTCTTTCTCAGACGTTCCGCATCCGTTCATCGGACATCCCCGTTCAACCCAGTCCCTAATATAACACTTCTCCATCCCCGGACGCATCCACACAACCGTAAGACCGATATCATTCCGCTCCTCTGGCAAGCCGCCACTCGGGAACTCGGCCGATAGCCCGATCAACACAACACCATGCATCCCCACACAAACCAGAGCTCCTTTCACCCTCTACACCACCACACTAGCTTCGACTCCCAGTCTCAATCCCATGTTCACACCCACCTCAACTCGGTCCAGTCTATGGACGCCTCCATCTCGTCCTACCAGCTTGATCAGTTCAACCCTGCCCTCCATCATGTCCGCCCCACGAAGCGTCCCCTTGTTGACCCCTCCCGAACCTCAATGTCCTACCCTCGCAAGCGCGCCGTCACAGCCTGCCAGCTCTGCCGTACTCGAAAAACCAAGTGCAGCAATGCGCGCCCCAAGTGCAAGTTTTGCTCCGACACAGGCGCCGAGTGTGTTTACGAGGACTCTTTGGGCCATTCTTCGTAAGTGCTTGTTGATCCTTCCTACCCTACATGAAACAAAGCCCTGACAGAAACAGGTTCGATCCTGCGTCGCTTCTGATTCTGGATCGCCTCAATCAGCTTCTCGACCGTTTCGACTCCGCAACTATTCCCTTTTCTTCCGCTCAGGTCGTGCCTCCTAGCGATAACCCAACTTTTCACTCGAGTCATCATCTCCAAGTCAATAAAGAAAATGAAACCGCAATTGAACCCTCCGACGAGGAGAATGTGATTCGCCTGGTCGATAATTTTATTGCTTTCGTGCATACTAAGAATCCCATCCTCGACATTTTAACTCTGAAGAGGTATGCGAGAAGCGTGGCCGAGGATGGGCCTGGATGGGATGGGAAGACATGCCTTGTTGTAAGTTCTTTCTCTCACTCACTCTCCTGTCGGTATTGCGGTTGTCCTGTCTTTGACAAAGACCCTATGTTTTTCTCTACGTCTACAATACCATATATCAACTCTGAACATCACTGATACCACTGCCACAGCTCCTCACCTGTGCACTCGGCTCCCTCGCAAAGCCTTTCTCAACGTCCCTCTATAGTTCACTTCTTGCCACGATGTCTACTTCATCTCCGTCCACTGATCCCAACGCGCCAACCTCCCTTAATACCTCGGCATATGACCTTCAACTTTCGGCTTACTATTACTCCCTCGCTCGTAAGCGCATCGGCCTCCTTGGTAGCACAATCATTCGCTCGCAGTGCTATCTACTCTCTGGTGTCTACCTCATGTACGCACTCCGCCCGCTTGAGGCGTGGCATGATTTTGTGCAGGCGAGCACCACATACTATACCTACTTGCAGGGCCGCATGCGTAGCGCGGCCAGTCATGGCGATGGAGTGCAGGTGAGCCGCACGCGCAGGCTTGAGCAGAGGCTGTACTGGAGCTGCTTCAAGAGCGAATGGTACATCCCTATGTGTGAATGTCGTTTCGTTGTAATCTAACATCGTCTAGTGAAATCCGTGTCGAGCTCTCACTTCCCGAATCCACCCTCGCCGCCCTCCAATATCCGGATCTGTTCCCCTCTCCTCCTGTCGAAGAAACTGACCCGTCGCCCTCACCCTCCACTACTGCCTTTGACCCTTCTTACTCCGACTTTGCCTCTCCATCCTCTGGTGGCTCCCAAAAGCGCCACACAGAGTCTATGAACGAGAGTCAACAGCACAGCTGGTATTACTACCTCACTGAGATTGCACTAAGAAGGATCGGTAATCGCATTTTGAATGCGCTGTATAAGAACGGAAACGTGCCTGGATATGGCGTACCAGTCATGGAGATGCTGGAGATTGCGGCTGATTTTGAAAAACAGCTAGGGCAATGGTGCGTATTAGTTATCTTTTCTCCTTTTACGCCACCAATGCAAAGCCTGTCGAGACGGCCAGGAATGGAGTACTAGAAGCTAAATACCAACCACCTCTCAGGCAGTCCAACCTTCCCGCTTCCGTCAAATACTCCCACACCAATCTACTCATCATCCCCTCCAACGAACTAGCCTTTATGGTACGCGGGCGCACACTCGAGATACAATCCTGGCTCTACCGCCCCTTCCTCTACTACGCCATCCACCATCCAAGTAGCGACCCTTTCCGCCCAGCCATGGAGCCGTTCGTGCAGAAGGCGTTAGTTTACGGCAGCGCGCACATCCGCGGGTTAGGAGTACGGCACCGCCATCATGGGACTTGGTATGCGTTACGAACAGGGATGGCGGAGGCCTTGTCTCTTCTGGCTGCAGTGAAGAGTGGAGTTGTGGATATGGGCGATGGGACGGGAGAGTACGGCGGGATGGGAGAGGGGGGATGGAGGGAGACGGTAAAGCAGATGATTGAGATTTTGGGGTATTGGGAGGCAGAGTCGGTGGATGTTGGGAGATCAAAGGTGGTGCTGGAAGAGTTGTTACAGGATGTTGAGATACTCCAGGATGGAGCCTGTGGGATGGACTGAATGGTAACTGTACAGACAAAGAGCTCAGCTTAAACATGCACCTGGGTTCCGTTCTCTAGCACTCGATATCCTTCAGTAAGATTCGACGCGATGGAAACATTCCGTAAAAAAACAAGGAGGCCGAGTTCGCAGTAGTCCTACTCATCCCGAAGCCGTAGTATCTGACGCCGGACATTCTCAACCTCGCCAACCCTCTCTCATTGGTACGAAGTGACGTCTGTAAGTAGATGTGGCTTGTTAAATATTAGACAATCATGACATAACTATACTCACAAACGCAAGTCACAAGTCTAGAAGGGCCCAAATACTTTCACCCCCGTAAGCGAACCACTTTGATGAGAATCAGTTCACGCATGTCTCCATCTGACTAGCCCGATGGCGGTCAACCCAATGGATCAACCAAGCAAAAGGCTGGGACGGCCGCGGAATACCGGGCGAGAGGCCCTGATGATCAACGGAGCCGGGGGCTTTCGGGGAACCGCCGCGAACTAGTCGATATTGCCCCCGCATCTATCAATGGGGTCCCCGGATCCTCCGCGCGTTAGGGCCATGCATACCCCGTACCCCAGGTTTCAGCAGTACGTACCAACCTGGTCGGTCATCTCAATGCCTCTATATCTATGCTCCGTCCCCCGAGTCGATGATCCCTTCCTATCCATCTTCATCTCATCCACTCTATCATATCCACATCTCATTCTCCATCATATACCATCCAACATGGTCCTTGAGCACATGAAGGGCGTCGGCCCTGAACTAGCCGCAGTCCTCCCCCAGGATGGACTCCCTTGGTACAAGAAATCCCACCTCGTCCACCTCAACTTTTCCATCTTCTGCCTCGTCCTCTTCTCGTCCGCCAACGGATATGATGGCTCCATGATGAACGGCCTCCAGGCTCTTCCTGACTGGGGCCACTTTATGGGCGATCCCACGGGTGCCTATCTCGGCTTCATCGTCGCTGTGCAGTCTCTCGGTGCTACCGTCTGCTTCCCTGCCATTGCCTGGTGCAACAATTACTTTGGACGCTGGAAGACCATCGCTTTTGGCTATGTCTGGCTCGTCCTGGGCGTTGTTCTGACTACCGCTGCCCACAACCAAGTCATGTTTATCCTCGGGAGACTGTTCATCGGAGGTGCCACGGCCTGCTGGTCTGCCACTGCACCTATTTTGATTACCGAAATTGCGTATCCCAGCCATCGATCTATCCTCACCTCCCTCTACAACTGCGGTTGGTATATTGGTAAGTCGCTATTTGAAACAACCACTTAAGAAAAGTCCTAACGGCAACAGGCTCTCTTGTCGCAGCCTGGGCCACCTACGGTACCCGCAACTACGGTAACAACTGGACCTGGCGTGTGCCTTGCCTCCTTCAAGTCCTCATCCCCGTCTTCATTATTCCCGGCCTGCTCTTCACACCCGAATCCCCCCGTTGGCTCTTTAGCAAGGACCGCGTCGAGGAGGCCCGCGCGTTACTCATCAAAGCCCACGCTGGAGGCGACGAAAACTCCAGGCTTGTTGCTTTTGAGCTTGCTGAGATCCAAGGCACCCTCGAGATGGAGAGGCTTGCCAAGGCTTCCACCTCGTATGTCGACATGCTCAAGACCAAGGGCAACCGTCACCGTCTCTTCATCTCCATCACCCTTGGTATCTTTGCGCAGTGGAACGGCGTGGGAATTGCGTCTTATTACCTCGCTCCCGTCCTCGCAACTGTCGGCATCACAGACGTTACGCGCCAGACCCTCATCAGCGGTTTCCTGCAAGTCTGGAACCTGATCCTTGCCGTTGGCGGTACGCTTTGCGTCGATCGTCTCGGCAGACGCCTATTGTTCATGACCTCTTGCGTTGGCATGCTCGTTTCCTACATCCTCATCTCTGCGCTCTCTGGTTCCTTTGCCAACACCGCACACACCGCCACCGGTCTCGCTGTCGTCCCCTTCCTCTTCATCTACTACGGCTTTTACGACATTGCCTTTACACCTCTGGTGGTCAGCTACGTCTGCGAGATCTGGCCGTATACTTATCGTGCGCGTGGCCTCGCCGTTTCCCAGCTCTCCACACAGGCGGCTGTTTTTTTCAACATCTTTGTCAACCCAATCGCCCTCGAAGCCATCCAGTGGAAGTACTACTGCGTGTATGTGGGTTTGTTGGTCATCATCACTTTGACAGTATATTTCACTTATCCTGAGACCAACGGACATAGTTTGGAAGAAATGGTCAAGGTGTTCGATGGCAAGGACGCTCGGGTGCCAGGTGAGGATGCCCTCAGAGCGCAGTTAGAGTCCAAGCGCGTGGACACGGGGGACGCCGAGCACTTCGAGGATCGATCGGACGAAAAGGTCTAGATTGGAAGAAGCAACTCATCTGTGTTGAACCACCATGTGGCCAAGATGTGACCCATAAGGGTAGCAAGCTCTAGATCGGACCTAGAAGTGGGGAGACCAGCGGAGCATGGAATGCGGCTACTATCATGTATAGAGGACCGTACTGCTAGCCACTGCTGAATACTACCTTTCTATCTCACTGTTTATAACCATTTTATTGACAAGCTTCTAAAATCTGGCCGAGTTACCCTAAACCATTTGTAACAGCTCTGCAAGAATGAGTGGTTCAACTTGACGACAATTGGCAAGCAGTCAATCGTATAATTCTACCTTTTACACATATCGTATTCTTTCTAGCCCACCGTCAATGTCATCTCCGTAAAATTACATCCTGTAGGAGCTTTTACGCATTGACATGTAGTAAAGTCTGGCCCTGCCGCAAAGTGTCGCCATCCGTCGTCGTGTAATGTCCACACCTCTGAGCTAGTTATCTAATAAGAGCAGGGCGTAGACCATTAATGGATGCAAAAAAATGCGTAATGAAGTGGTTTAGCGGGTAAAAGCCTAAAATATTTTATAATCTTGTATGAATAAAACTGAATTACGCATGTCCAAACACCTCCTTGGAATGGTACGCCTCCTCCAAGTACTTCTTCTCGTCTTCAGTCAACACAAACTTGAGCGACTCTACTGCCTCCGCGATACGCTTCTCGCTCCCCAGCCCGACAATTGGACAGCACCCTTTTGATAGCACCCACGCCAGGCCGACGATGGCCATGCTCACACTACGCTTCTTTGCCACGGACTCGACGCGCCCAACAATCTCACGGTCGATTTGCTGCTCTCGTCCCTTCAGCGCCTGCAGCACCTGATCCGACTGCTCGCGGGTCGTCCCAGCGGTCGGGTCGGCGGGGTACGGCCTTGCGAGGACGCCGCGCGAGAGTGGCGACCAGGGAATGATGCCTACGCCGGTTTTGCGGCAGAAGGGCAGCATCTCGCGCTCTTCCTCGCGGTATAGGAGGTTGTAGAATGGCTGCATGGAGATGAAAGGCGTCCAGTTGTGGAGGATGGCCGTGTATTGGAGTGTAGCGAATTCGTGTGCGCGCATGGACGAGGCACCTATTTGCGTCCTGTTAATCTCGATTCTTTCAAGATCATGGGAGAGAAATGAGACGATAGAGAGTGGACTCTTACCAATGTACCGCACCTGTCCGGACTGCACGACATCATGCAAGGCACGCATTATCTCCTCGCTCTCGGTTTCATGGTCCAGCCTGTGAATCTGCAACACATCGATATATGTTCCCAGTCGCTTGACGCTGTTCTCGACCGCCGTCATAATGTGTTTACGGGACAGGCCATGCTCGTTGACCCATTCATTGGGCGCGGGATTGTTGACACGATTGGCAATGTCAGATTCATCAACAACACCGAAAATTTTAGTCATAATGACAACCTTAGAACGAGGGATGGAGTATTTTTCCATAGCGGTGTGAACGAGCTTCTCAGATTCGCCGTTGGAGTCTAAAGGGAATTAACTCAGGCTTATTCTGCACTTTTAATATGAAACACGCAGGGTGACCATACAAACGTCTGCCGTATCCCACGTATTAATCCCGGCATCATATGCGGCTTTCATGAGAGGGAGGGACTCTTCCTCTGGAAGAACCCAGCTAGAGGCGCCCCATAGGGGTGAGCCGTACGACATGCATCCGAGGATGATTTTGGAGACCCTGAGGCCCGATTTTCCTAAGCTGGGAATTTTAGTATGAATGAAAGATGCAAGCAGGAGAGGAGAGAGACCGTTGATACTCCATGACGGTAGCTGAGACTTGCATTATAGACCAAGAGGCGTTTGAATGTTGAAGAGGATATCAGGCTAGGGAACGAGAGAAGGGAGTATATTGTTGATTCATGTACTACATGTACTACATACCGGTAGTCCATGTCAGGATATTTCCCCTCCCCCGGCCATATTTGAACTGGGGTAGAAAATGTCTAGGATTGAGCCGGGGAAAGACCCGAAGGATGCTCAATCTAACCTCAGCCTGGATTAGCGCTCATAGGTTGGGGAGCTTGTCAGGGATTCATGCATACAGATATCCCTCCGCGGAATTTCGGGTATCGGGGAGTTTCGGCAAGTGGAGCTTCGGACGTCCGAAGACATGCCGTCTGTAGATCCCCCACATCTTAGGCCACAGAGATCGTTTCTCCATGAACCTGGAGCATTCTCAGACATGGCTTACTCACCATTCTACTCTGCTCTGTCTAGTTCTGCTCTGTCTAATTCTGCTCTGTCTAGTTCTGGTCCATATAGTTAATATCCTCCAGCAACCACCCGGTCTTTGCATTTGCGGAACGACAGCTTCAGAAGGACAAGACATACGCAAACTCACCATGACCACCATGATCCCCCCCACAATGCGTGGCATTGTAATCGAGGAATTCAACAAACCATATGTCTACCGCACCGATATCCCAACCCCAAAACCAAAGCCCGGAGAGATGCTCATCAAGATGAAAGCCGCGGGGTTTTGCCACACAGAACTCATGGCTGCAAAGGTTCGTTTTAATTCTTTATTCCGTCATGCTGCTCAAAGAGTTAGAAGAAGTGCTATTGCTAATTGCATGTTTCCGTAGGGGGATTTCAACAGTGCACTACCTATGGTGCCTGGACACGGTTAGTGAGATCCAACTGCGATAGAGGCCAACCGATAGTATCTCCTTAACTGACAGCCGATAAACAGAGAACGTAGGGGTGATTTGTGAAATCGGGTCAGATGTCAAAGGTGACTTCAAAATCGGCGATCGAGTCGGCGTAGGAATCTTCAGAGACCTTTGTGGTAGGTCATGTCTTTTTCAATCTTCCCACGTCTCAACGCTATTCTGACTATCCAAGGAAAATGCCGTGAATGCCTCCGTGGTTCTACAAACTACTGCATCTCCAACACACTCTCCGGTCTAACTATTGGCGGTGGCATGGCCGAATACATGATTGCGGACCCGCTATGGACAGTCAAGCTCCCAGATGACATGCCATTTGAAGTGGCGGCACCACTCATGTGCGCTGGTTCTACCATGTACAATAGCATCCAGCGCGCAAAAATACCAACGGGGAGCATTGTGGCTATTATCGGACTGGGTGGGCTGGGACACTTGGGTAAGTTCTGTCTCTTGAACCACTCGTACACAATTCCGGAATGGTATTTCATACTCGACCTACGCAGATCTGTTTGTAGCTGGGTCGGGAGAATGCACGAGCAATGGCTAACATCACCAGGTGTCCAATTCGCAAAAGTGATGGGCTATAAAGTCGTTGCGATCGATACGCGAGATGAGCCCCTCGCCCTAATGTCCACACTCCCGCCACGGCTCCAACCCGATCTCGTCCTGAATGCCAAATCTGGCGTCCCTGCAGCTCTTGAAGCCATCTCTACGGCCTTTTCGTCCTCCACCGTTCCCTCTCTCCGTGCCACTGGCGTCGATTTTGCCCTCGTCTCTACTGACGCCCTCCCCGCCTTTGCCTTTGCGACCGACATCATAGAGAAGCACGGCACTCTCGTCGTTGTCGGGCAACCGGAAAAGCCGATCCCACTGCCATACAGTGTCTTCATCTCGACAGATCTCGTCGTCATTGCTGGGTGTCTGGGGCAGCCGAGCACAAACAGTGAGATGTTGGCAACAGTGCAGCGGGAGGGTATTCATGTGGAAAGGAGGGCTTATGAATTGAGCGATGTTGAGAAGTTGATCAAGGATTACCATGACCCTGGAATGAAGGGCAAGTTGATCTTTAAGATTGAGGATTGAAGAACGGAGGAGGCGTTGGAGAGTTGCCGACCTGGGATTGTTTTGGTATCATTAATAAATACAGATTGAGATGATTTTGTGATTTTATATGTAGGCAAGTGAATAGTACGCTATAGTTCTTTTGATATGCCCTCTTGTAGCAAATAGAACCACCATTACCAATTTACGGTTTGATGTAGCAGGCCCTTGGTAGGAGAATCGCGGTGTGAAATGATTTCCGTATACCTTGAGACCGACACTACCCAAGTGGTGATGGAGCTAAACGTCCGACTGGACGTAATCAATTATTTATGATAATCTAGGCTATATCATCCCAAGAACCTACTTAAGTCCGCCAACTAACATTGGAAACAGATAGTAAATGAAGATGAATTTAGAAATGTACTTCAGGACTGTAAACGATAGGATCGTATTCCATAACTCTTTCCTTCAAATCCTGCCTCTCTCTAGGAACCTTTTCGGAATCTCTACTCTCTTACACCTCAAATACTCGGCCACATTCTTCCCCAACACGTCGTACGTGCTCGAGCTCGCCACACCCCTATCCAGATGATCAAATAACAAAAAGTGCACAGCCCAAATGCCCGGCAGCTCAAACCTTTCAACTAGCTTTCCATTATAGTCGTCACCCAGCAACTCCTTGACCTTGTCTATGCTCAGGATACTACGCAGCCAGTCGTACTCATCCTCGTGACGGACATAGAAGCCACAGTTCGAGTTGGATGCCTTGTCGCCGGAGCGAGCATGCACAATGTAGCCGAGCGGCGCGAGAGTGGTGGGGCCGAAGGAGGCCAGGTCGACGGGCGAGTCCGTATTGTAGGAGGGCTGATGGCGAGGAAAGATTTTTGTGACAGTTGGGCTAGGAATTTCGATGATTTCGCCACTTTCCATGTGCACGCGGTGTTGGACAGCGCTCTGGGGCATCAGCGCGGGCCAGAATCCTGGTACTGCTTCGGCTCGCCTTGTCTTGTATCGCAGGCAAACTGCGCACCGGGGTAGGCAGCCATAATGTTGTCGATGATAGGGCGCAGAAACTTCTCATACGACAGGTCCTCGACATTCTTGGCCTGGGCGAAGATGCGAATATCACAGGTAGCAGAGTCTTGAGTGCGAGGATCCAGGGGTGGGCGGCCGTTGGTGCGCACCACGAAGGTGGGTAGGCAGAGATGGGGAGGAGGGAGCGTAGCTGGGCTTCGAGCATGGCGGCCTTTTCCTCGATGTCGAGACCGACTGCGAAGTAATGCGCTTCAGCTTGGTAGCCACCGGTGGCAGTGATGGAGACCTTGGTTGTAGGTGGTGGCTAGAGGTGTTAGCGAGTGCCGAAGGACTGGAAGATGACTGATAGAGGCAAGGAGCTCCTATTTCATCTAAACAGTGAAATAGATGGACTTACGGGAAGACCCTTTACGCCAGTAACCTTGACACGATCCGTGCCGACTTGTTCGAACTTTATATCTCGCAGCTCGGCCGTCACATCACTGTTAAAGTACCAGGGGCCCTGGATCTCGTACAGAAGCTGACTCTTACACGTCTCAATGGTGACGCAGCCATCTGTGTTGTCCTCCTTGGTCACCACGAATGAGCCATCTTCCGCAATCTCGGCAATAGGAAATCCGAAATCAAGCACCTTGGCGCCGAATCTCTTGAAGCCGGTCCAGTTGGCACCACAGACATAATTTCTGCACTCGATCAAATGACCACACACAAACGCACCAGCCAGTTGGTCGAACTGCTCGCGGGTCCAGCCGTGCCACCAGATCCCGGCCGCCATCACGGGGGCAGCGTCAGCGACACGTCCGCATAGAACAATGTCCGCACCCGCAGACCAGGCGGCGGCGATGCCAAAGGCACCGAGGTAGCATTGAGCGTAGATGGGCTCGAAATCCCAGTCCGCGAGCGGCTTATCAGTAGTAAGCGCCTCGAGGCCGTTGCCGATCTTTTGCTGCTCCTTAAGCATATCCAACGACACCTCGTCACCCTCCACCCAGGCCACTTTCAACTCGAGGCCTTGATCTTTGATCATGCCGCGAACAAAGGCAGCGAGTAGCGCAGGGTCAGAGGCTCCAGCGTTACAGGCGAATTTGATCTTCTTAGCGGCGAGGTGTTTAAGTGCTGGGCGAAGGGATTCAATAAAGGTGGGCTCGAAGGCACCGGTGGGGGCAGCACTGAGTTTAGCAAGGTGTTTGTCGGCGCCTCGCTTGGACATGTTGTACTCAGACATCCAGTCACCGTGGATAACGTCGACGTTTTCATTCTTGGCGATACGCTCAAGGGCGTGATGGCGATCCGTCACAGCTCCAGAGGAGCCACCGATGCGAACCGCACGTTTCAATGAAGAGGGCATAGTGAAGCTCGGATTAAGAGTGTATGATGAAGGGTATCTTGACAATTCAGGATAAATGGAGGAATCTAGGAAGAGCTGCATAGAATGCTGCATCGAGGGGTGGAAAGCAAGTAAAGGATAATATATACACTTCTCCCGAACGACAGTTTGGGCATTTACTTGGTCTGTCTACAACCTTCCACTCATACACCAACGTACATGTCCCAAATGAAAACATCCAGACTTGAAGTGTGACGTGCAGGGTTATTAGCGCCATCGGGGAGATCCGTTGGCTCCAACTTCTCTCCAAAGTTGATGTGTTTTCGAAATTGAACCTGGTCAGATGTTTCCCCGCAGAATCCACTTCTTAGTCTGTTTATCTCCCCGATGACCCCAGAAGGAGTGAAAAGAGGGGCTATACTTATCCATCTCCGCCGATCTCCCCGACAAGGTCATGCATCAAAGCTGAAATGGAAGCGCGGAAAGACGCCATCGGACTTGTCTCCCGGCGTCACCCTGTAGAGTAGTAACCAGGCCACTCCTTCGGTGAGTCAGTGCGGCATACTTCCGCCTACGCCCCCGACTGGATACAGCGGTTACCTACTCCGCTGCCCGTAGTCGCAGATAGAGAATCCTAGGTGGTAAGGGAATCTAGGGTCTAGCTATTGTAGCCTGCTTTACTCAGATCCCGAATCCCGGCAGGTGGCAGGGTATTGAGGGATATGGGGAATCATTGACTGTAGTATCTTGCCCAAGTCGTGAGGTGACACGGAAGGTTGCAGCAGTGAGTAGCTGAAAGTGTATGGCTTGCCTGCAGACTTTGTATTAAATCGTAGTAGGGCAGACCGGCGCTTAGAGCTACGACAATAATCTATCTGCGTTATGCATTCGCATCACACAACTCTCTTTGTGTTCAAGACGTATATCAAGACGAGGCAGTTGGTTCGGGAAGGGAGGCCATTCCATCCTTATCGCAGCCTGACGTTTCTTGGTGTTGTGGATCATCATTATGGACAACTCTCTGTAGTCAGAGGATTGAGGCCAGATGCAAGCGATACAGAAGAAGGATTAAAATAGTGGCCGGAAGCAGGGCTTCACGTAGTACAGTTTTATCGTGCCGCAACGCGCAGCCGTCAAGCACCGGCGTCGCGTTGATGATATCATCAGGAAATCCGGGATATTACGGGCTGGCTGTCATCTGCTGGGTCATAGAGCCCCCTGCGACAGTAAATTCATTTCTCATAACACGTGAGCCTCAGACTGCCTATTTCCATGTCTAAATTCGTCACTCGTTACACAATCTCTGCCGCGCTCGTTTCTAAACGCCCTCGTCGTCGCTGCCCTCGCTGCCTCAGTGGTATAACAAGCAGTTTAGACCACTCGCTGATCCTCGTGCGAAAATACCAAATGATAAGCACAGTGATAGTTAAGCTTATCGCTACAATGACAAAGGGTGCTAACCAAGCTGTGATCTCAGTTGCGCCAGAGTCGCTAGCTCGGAAGGCAACACTGGAGAATAGTGTCTTTTATAATTAGCGCCGGTATCTAGAGCAGGCAAGAGACAGAGGCTTACTGCCGTAAAGGTCCCCGGAAGGAAGATCATGGTGAGGACTGTGATTGCATGTACTGAAGAACTGTCCTGGGACATTCGATAAGATGTGCTTAGAGCAAGGGAGCTGTCCCCTTGCGTGACCATGTTGAACACCTATACCCATTGTTAGCCTGGGACCTCTAATATATGGGGTCAGTAAACTAACAAAGCCCATGGCTGTCTCTTTTCGGGTCTTGTATTGCTCGAGCCAACTTTGCTGATAAAGATACGCATCGTGCACGTATTGGAGCGCTGTGTGGGTACGGCTGACGGATGTCCCAGGCCCTCCTCTCCCCGTACGCTGGCAGAACTGCGTGTGTGCCTCGAGCAGCTTGACACTCAGCTTTACAGCCGAACTAGCGCTCCCGAGTCCGGTATTTATCATCTGCGATACTGAATACAGTTGGCGGGTGATGCTAGATAGTTCTTTGCGGGAGTCGAAGTCATGCATATCTTCAGTTTGCATGTTCTCCAGGTCCTGGCTGTCGGAGTAGTCATTGACCTTTTTGAGCTAAAGTTGTGTCAGGAACAGATACAGCCATGCCCAGATCTAACGTAATAATCTCTTGAAGGGTAGTATTATACCTGCGTCATTAATCGAATGCGTGTGTCGGCAGCGTAGATGGTCGCTTGTTCAAATGCAATATTGGACACCATCGAGTGCACAAGAAAAGGACTCGTCGCCAGCTCCCTTCCCGACACCAAGGTGTGGCCGTCTTTGGGAGGGCTAAGCTGTATGAGATCCACGAAAGAGAACCAGATGCCATCGTCCGGAGCAACGACTAGGTAAACGGTTGTATCGGTGGCGACGGAGTAGGCCATGTAGAGAGAGCAGGGCGCCTTATTGCCCTGCATGGCGCCCTTCTCCTTGTCGTACCGACCTTTTTGGTGCCATCGCGGATGTTGGCAGAAGAGCTCTGTGCAAGTTTTAGATGGTACAACGACTACGGCTGGTATGACCGGAGTCACCAAACACGTCCTGGTGGTGCCTTGGATCAGTCTTCACCTGGGACAGGGCGGACCAATAATTTGGACGTCCGACGAGGTCGAGCAAGAACCCGGCGTGGATATCGTAGTAACTAAAGAGTTTTTTGGCGAGCGACTTTGACATCCAAGCTTTTTGCTCAAACGATGCATTGGGGTCTGCCTCAAGCTTGACGCATCTAGTTGATGAAGTGTCAGCCACATGAGGACGCGAATAGTTTGGAAAGGGATCTGCTATACATGACTATCAGAGCTGGACTGCCGGTGCTTGACTCGAGGAACTGATCTGTCAGCACGGTGGCACGAACAGAAACCCAGACAACTCAGCATTAGACATACATCGATTGTCGCCTCCACCTGTGCATCGCTCTGGTCGGTATGAAATGCTAGAGGCGTCTGTTAACCACGGGAATTGTCCTCATAAGCGAGCTCCCTACCGAGTCTGTTTTCGGGTCCCGACACGGTCAACACATCTAGTCTAGAGTCTGGGAGGAAGTTTGCTTCGTTGTTAAGCACGTCCAGTCCGAAAAGGCCAAGTCCAGGATGCAGCGACAAGTCCAACGTGGCAGGGCGCGCGTAGAGTGAATCATCCAGCATAGAATTCGCAGTCAATCCCGAGTCAATATGTTTCAAGCGCTGGGGCTTATCGTCGGCCAAGGTTGAGCCTGTCGAGTCAATCCTGGAGAGCTCGCGGCTGGGGATGCTGAATGACTTGTTTGCTGTGCCGCGAACAGTGGGGTTCTGTTCTGGCAGCCGATGAGCCTTATCTCGGCTCATTTGATGGTCCAGTTCCATGGCAGATGCCCTTGATTGCGGGTGAAGAGCGGTGAAGGCCTTGAGATGGAATGGTGGAAACCGGCCCTTTTCCTCGCATGAAGAGGCTCTCATAATGAGGCGTGACAGCCTCGCAGCCTGATTTTGCACAGGGGTGGTGGCCTCCAACGGGTCATCGGCCGCCTCAGCCGCTCAGCCGCTCGCAAATGCCGCATCCTGTACGGCTCAGCAGTGCTCGATCTGGTGGGGACAGCCTCCTTCTTTTGCACTTTCATGCGCGTCTGTATCATCGATGGTTGCCTATGTCGCCGAGCCAGCGAAACAGCTTCAGCTCGCGCCACCGCCTCAGCGCCGCCTCATTTTCTACCTGCAGGATTGCATCGCCTCGCCGGATCCAGTGACCGTCCAACATGTCGCGAGTTGGCGATGCTCATCTGAGGCTGGTCATCTTTCAGCCGTCACCCACTCACCGACTGTTTGTCTCCGATGACTCAATCAACACTTCGTAGCCGACCACGTTTTTGCTTCCTTTCTTTCTTTCCTCCCCCCAGCGGGTTCCTCGAATAATCTCATTCTGGCTGTGCATTTTCGGCCCTTGCAAGTACCTTTTACGTGCCACTGCTGGCTTGGTTGTCAACGAATAAGAAACCAAAGGCCGTTTATGCGACTCCATGGTAAATATCGATCCTCCTTATTGAAAGCTGGAGAGTAAGAAACTCATGCGCCGCTATGTGGACTTGACAATGCGAATTAAGCTGTGGCTATTTCGAGCAGCGCTCATCAGACTCTCATATATCTGCCATCATCAGTCTGGATCATATCCCCTCTCAGCTCCCAATGGCACATGCCTATTCAGACTTCGGCACACCTCCGGCCTCCAAGATCTTCTGTGGCCCGATTTCCAGCCATTTTTGCATCGTCTCTTCGTTCTTTGTCCAGATCATGCCCAGCATTCCACCAGAGTTGGCCCCGAGAGGGTCGATGCCAGCCTTGCTCCTGGGAATCATGACCATCCTGTGCCTATCCATGATCATGTTGTGCGGCGGGGCTCCGCCCTCCTTGGTAGTCTTCCGGTTCAAGGCGCGCTCGACTTGTTGCAGGCCCTCCCTGTATATAATCAGGCTAACGTCTGGGTCTAGGTCTTCTTCTAATTTGCGTTCGTAGTAGGCAAACGGCAGGGTTTCTTCTGCTTGGTCCAGGTTGCACCACGGCGCTCCGTCAAAGGACTCCTTGGGTATGGCCTGGAGATGCTTGTGTTCCCTGCTGCACCCCGCCTCGGCGCCGCAGTTGAAGAAGATGAGATGGTCACTACCATTCATGTTAAGCAATGCGTGGATTGCGCGAAAGTCTTCAATGTCCAGCGGCTCCCGTTGTCTTCTATGGCCGTCGGCGGTGAGAAGCAGGTAATGGGGGCGATATGAAGCGAAGCCGTTGAAGGCGAGGAAGTGCGCAGTCCCCAGCTTGCATATCTCGGTGCCGATTGTATTGATATCGCTACCTGGTCTCGGATTTTCTCCCGTCGAGCCATTCAGAACCACAGAGAGAGGGGTGGCAGGCTTGTTCTCGAGGGCTTTGGAGATGCGGAATTCGAACTGCGGTGTTGAAGATCAGCACAAGGGCCGCACCCAAACAAATCGGGATTCCCAATCGCTCACATGAATTCCATTGATCTTTCGGGTCTCTGTTGCATACGAGTAGTCGTACTGGATCACATCATCCTTGACCAGCCGATCAAACGTGGCCAGGATCTCAGGCTCAGAGGGAACGCTCCCAGATGAAGTGGCCGCAAGCAGCATCGGCTGTAGCGGATCTCGGTTTGTTTCTCTCCCAGGCATTCCAACGCTTCCAGTTTAATCGCTGCCAGTACGTCGTCTCCAGAGGCAAGGTTTTTGAAGAATGCTGAATGAAACTGTCAACCTCTTAATCCCGCAGTTTCGGGTTGATCAAGGGGCCCATTGAGGCAGTGCTGTCCGTGAGACAGTAATTAACCCCCTCACGTAAGCAGTTAGTGAACGGGAGACGACGTTCTCAGACGATTGGCGGTGAAATATTAAGCGAGGGCGCAAGGTTTATTTAATTAAGCTGCTAGTAATTAGAACTAAGGAATTTATCGGGAGGATACTTTAGAATACAGTAGATAGAAATTCAGCTTTTAGTTATTAAGTTGCTATCTCTTTAATAAATACTATAATAATTTAAAAAGATTATATATATATTAAGCTAGGTATTAAATTATATAAATTATTATTTTAATAGTAGCTAAAATTTAATATTATAATTTTAAATTTTTCTTTTTTTAAAAAAAAAAATATTATTAAATAGTTTATTTTTCTTTGTAATAAATTTAAATTATAAGGGACTTTATATAAACTATTTAATATATTTTAAATATTTTAAAATATTTATAAAAATAAGTTATAATTATTAAAACTCTTAAGATTCTTAGAAACTTATAAATAAATATAATGTGACAGGCGGTTAGGGACACTTGGGCTAGCTGGTCGCTAGCGGGGATGTCTCTAGGGTGACCCGGATGGGGTTAAAAGGGGAGGTCAGTGCCGTCACTGGGGGAAATGATCGTTTTTTCTTTTCATCAGAGATTCTTCCTAGAAGTCAGAGAGGCCGGAAGGGCTCGAGGCTGCTAGGGAGTCTATTAATTGATTGCCTTTATTTTTAAGAGATTTATTTGAGCCTTCTTGCCGTTACTACGCTCCCTGTCCAACCTCCGTCTTCAACCTCCCTCAGATATCGGGCTGCCGCAGGCCCCATTGATGCCTTGCCAGCGAACTTTCCTGCGACCGACCCGATATTCTATCTCATGAGATGCTTCCCTATCAGGAGACATAAGCCTCAGATTGATCCGACCTCATACGCGTAATCTGGTGCAGCTTCGGGCTGACCGGCCAAGACGCCTGTGCGACGACTCTCTGTGTATTTCCCCTAGGGTAAGTTAATGAGTTGGGTGTTGTTTTCCGTCCCTTCCTGCTGCTAAAATAAATAATTTTAAAATACTTCTTATTAGCTAAAGCTTAATAAATAAAGATTTTGTAAAAAAGCTGTTAACATATATCGGAGTTATCGTACTTTAATTCACTTTATTAAGCAACACAATATATAGGGTATATTACCGATACAGATTCCATCTGGAGCGATGGGAGTATGAGCTATGTGTAACGGTCGTGTCTTCTGGTCTGCCGTAGACGTGGTCTAGGGTAGGCAGAAGGCTGGTTGCTGGTGGATAAACCGTAGGTTTATGTTAGCAGAGCGGTTAGGGCGTCACTTACAGAGTAGGTGTTACGTCTGGTAATAGTCAAACACAGTGATGCGTAGCGAGTCAAGGTGATTGAGGTAACCAAGTTGTATTGATAGCTGAGTAGCTGCTCATACTGGATGTGCACTTCTCAGGTGTCTATATAGTTGCGTGGATCGTAGGATCGTAGCGACGATCCAGTGATCCCGACGTGGTTGGTTGAAATTTGTGGGTACTATATTTACTGCCAGTCCCGACCGCCCTGTGGCTATCCGAGCCATGCACGGGTCGTGACACTATGCCAGAGCATCTACAATGTAAGTTACTAACCGATCCAGCTGCTTTCCAGCATCCGGCCGACACAGTCTAGCTACGCATTTGATGTCGCAACATACTAGGGACAACCATTTGAACCGTCGACTCTTTGCTATGGCGGACAATGGTTATCATGATGGTACCAAGTGCGATATGGATGGGAATGTCTTTAGTGGATGCGGAGATGGTGTTTATGTTTGGTCTCCGGGCGGCGTCTTGATTGGCAACGTCTTGATTCCAGGTAGAGCTGCGAATCTCTTCTTTGTAAAGAGAGGTGAGCTGTTCATCCTTAACAGTAAAAGCTATGGCGGGCCGTATAGCAGACTCGACGCGCGGTGCTCTTTTAAAGATGTAATGGACAAGAAGATTTGGCCCAAGAGAGAATTATGGGCGCAATGAGATGAGGTCAACTTGCTCGCTCAAGATTCACGAGTGAGGAGGGATTGGATAGTTAGACGCGACAGGAAACAAGTGACTTTCCGCCCGCTTTCTTATCGTTACATTTGCGAGATGTGCAGGCACAGATCACTGTACGATCTCCTACGATCAGTTAATTAAATATTGGAGCTTCCTCTTCCCCACAGGTCAGACTTCCGTCAGAGGAGCAGCGGAGCCTCAATAAATCTATAAATGTGCTCATTTTGGTCAGGAACAAATAGGCAACCTGATGGTCGATTGTTCAATCAGCCACACCAAGTCCTCACCGAGAACGCTCAATGATCAGTCGTATCACCCTGCATCAGTCGTATTACTCTGCACGACAATTCGTCGAGAACGGCCGCATGCGGACCACCAGGCAATCGTTCGCCTCGTTTTCGCCTGCAGGTTGCATTTCCCCACCACGTCGTCGAATAATACCACCTCGAGAATGTGACTGCAACGACAGTTGGCCACTAGTGACTCGGCGGCTGACCGGCCAACTCCTGATTGGGCTGTTGGTGAGAATCGTGTGATACATGTACTTGCATCATGCCGGGCTGACTGCTGCCTGGCCCCCACAACTTGAAGCTGGAAAAGTCTGCGGCCAAGTATAAGCGTGGGCATCCCAAGTGTTCTGCGGGGTATTTTCACCCTCAACAATCCTTCTTCAGTCAAAATGTCCTACCCAGAGTCTCGAGTCATGCAGATGAAGTTTGGAGGCATCATCGCCAACCTGGAAGGGAGGAATAACGCCTTTTTCCCTGACCCCGTTGAAAACAGCACCTTGGCTGAGCTCAACACGCGAGTCAGGCGTCTCGAAGCCAACCATGGCATCACTCTCGCCCCTGCTAGCTTGAACCCGACCTGGGACTCGCTGGCATTGCGCATCTGCCGAGTGAAGCAGAAGACGGATCTGACCTACCCTCCCAAGGGAATGGCCAACAACGACTTTTCTTCTATGGTTCCCGACGACTTGGACATTTCCATCGACACACTGCAGACGCTTTGCTCGGACCTTGTCAGATATCACCCCTCAGCACCGGCGCCTTCGTGGCCGAAATGCGCCCATGATGATGAGATGCTGGATGTCATCAGGCAGAGAATGTGCCACGCCGCTGGAAGAAACAGAATTGCCGTGACTCCAATTCCCATCACCCGGTTGGAAATTTATGCCCAGCTCATTGGCATTACCCTCAAGCTTGAAGAGGGAGAATTGCCCAACATGCGGGGTATACCTGGACCTCCCTTACCACTACCACCTGTTCCCAAAAAGGCATGCTGCGGCTGCTGTATTTGCGCATGCCACACACCTCCTCCAAAGCACCAAGGAATCTATGTTCATGAGAACAGGAGGACCCCGCCAAGCTACGGCTACGGCAGTGAAAGGGAAGTGCCAAAGCGAAAGACCTTTGGATTCGGATGGCTTAAGGGATTGGCCTTTTGGCGGCGATCCAAGGGTAACGATGATGCGTCATCGTACACAAGCCGAACAGGAAGCACCTTTGTAGACCGCTACTAGAAGTGTGGTCGCTAAGATGGAATGGTGGTGGATGTCTCTAGCTTGGTTTTAATCGGAATTTCTTTCGCTCTCCAGATTTGCTGCATCCCTTCAACCAATTGCGTAGGACACCGTACCACAAGCTTTAGCTAACCAAAGTGTACCATTCCAAAATCGACAAGACGCTGCAACATACCTTGGGTAATAAAGTACAAGACCATATCCTTGAGTCGTGGCATATTATGTGACATGATAGAGGGCAGACCCGTGGATGAAGAATGCGCGTATTAATTTTGCAATCAACCCTGCAAATGACAAGGGTCGCTATTCATGCATGGATTAATGAGCCAAATCCTTTCTTGGCCAATGAAACACCCATCATTGACTGGGATCCGGGAATAACCGCCCCATGAGCTGTTATCATTTCATGCCATCAAAAATCGGCCAACGCGTCAAAGTACACCGCCATACCTCACTCATAATCACGGCGGGCGACGCGTCAACTCAAATCGCAATGCTGTGCTTTCTGAGGCCAGTGAGGAGTCTGGTGAAGACCCTCGTCCTCATTTCCCTCCCCGTCACGATTTTGCCCTTCTTAAACGGCCTTATCGAAGGCGTTTTCGTTGGAAACTATTTGCTGGAAACCGGATATGCTTCGGCCCTCTATTTGAAGCAGGATCTCGAAGCAAAGGATTTCGCCGAGCATCTCATCGTCTCTAGTCAACGCGTTGTCGACGCTGTTCTTCCACCGTTTCACGTCCTAAGGCTTCATGACCCTACAGACTGGTGGGAAAGGTTGGGCCTGGAGCGGCTTGATTTTGATAAGGAAGCTTATCCTCCCTATGGGAGTCCCGACCCAACCAGTTTCGCAAGTTTGCATGGCTTGCACCGACGAGTCAACGACCCTGAAGAGGAGCCATGGCATCACTGGGTGTATGCTTCTGCGCAGCCATGGCATAGGGAAGAATTTCTCATGGATGGGTGGGATATTGCGTTTGAAAAGTTGATTCGATATCACTACGCCAACCCATCCGTCGCATCTGCCAGCTTCAACTACATTTCCTGCCCAGAGAGCTTTCTTTGTGCGTCTTGGAGGGTCCATGGACCAGCCTTGTTGCATTTCACCACAGAAGGTGAGATGGATGGAAAGGTGGAGGATCAGGTTCCCAATTACGACACAGTTACTGTCCGCATCATCGAATTTCCCCTCAAAGAAAATCTGATGCTGCCTGGTGTCTTTCCGAGTTATTTCAACCAACTGAAAGCCGTGACGGAAGACGACGGTTGGGCATCTCATTCGCCGCAGTCCGAGTTTAAACAGTTCCTACGTCGATATTCCGAGGTCTGCGAGAATTCAGAATTTGCCTACCCTCGCTCATATGGACGACTAGCCAAGTTGGAACGAGCTGTGCTCTGGACAATGAGCTTCGAAAATTCGGCCTCGCCTAAAGTTGCCCGTTTTATCGCCATCTGCTTATCGGGCGCGACCACAGTTCTTGGCTATCGAGCCTTGAACAAAATTCTCGACCTTTTGGGGTACAACACGCTTGAACAACCTGCGCCCACAGTAAAAAATGACGAAATTTTAAGTGTTGAGCAGTTGGAATTATTTTTCGCTTCCCTGGAAGATGACACAGAAGAAAGAATAAAGTCCACTCCCGAGGGAGCTGAAACTTGGAACGCGTTGTGGGATACCTTCCAAAGGCTGTCAAAGGAGAAAGAGGAAGAAGAAGGTGTGGAGGAGTGATGGATAAATAAAATGTACATACATGATGTTTTAGCCCAAACTCTTCTCATTGCGGACATGAATCTATTTTCCCACGCTGGTCCTAAAAAGAGCACTCGATATTTGACTCTCTGAAGGCCTGCTTCAACACTGCCTGCTTAGTTTCGAGTCCTGGAAATTCGACCTTGCGGAGGCTCGGGAAGTATACTCGGCTCTTGGAAGCCAGTTCAAAGACGTCGTCCCACATATGGTCTGAGCAGGATGTAAGTCGAAACGATTGAATTTTCCGGGGTAGAAGACTCAAAAGTCCAAATTTCGTCGAGGAAGGGTCATCAGACCTAGTAGCCCTGATATTTCTGCTGTCGATGCTTAAACTTTCGAGAGCCGTCGTGTTGAGACTTTCGATCAAGTGGGAAATCGGTAGACAAAACGCAGGGTCAACGGCAAGGTCGAAATGCCGAAGGGTATCGCGGCGGATCATAATGGCCTGTTCGATTTGAGACGGTGTGGCATCGGTATTCTCTAAAAGAGCAAACTTGGGAGTTTTGAAAGTGAATGATGCAAGTTTGGGAAACGCGCTCATGGTTCTTCGGAAATCGTCCTGTGCCATGACGCTGCGCTCCAAAACCAATGTCCTGAGGTTGTTATGCTCAGACAGAGCCGCCACAGCACCAATCCCACAAGCTTCGATTGTTTGGAGATTGGGAGCTGATTTCAAAATGTTTTTGACTGAATTCAGCGAGACCTGACTGGATCTGTATCGACATATCAGGGTGAGATGTCGAAGACGAGGAAGCCGGCACCGTCGGAGAAGGGGGACTGGTTCATTGCATAACGCAAGCTCGAGGAATTCCAAGTTGGGGGCTAGGCAGATAAGAAGGCCAAGCTGAATCAACTTGAGATCTTTGCGGATAAAGTTTCTGTCGATGCCGCTACGATCGACGTAGCTCAGGCGTTTCAGTACTGGCTGGTCTGGGCCATGAACGAATTTATCTGCTAATTGGTTAAGGAAAGCCATCGCATCAAGGTCAAGCTCACCTACCGACCAAAAGTTGGTGACCGAGCCAAGTTCTTTGACGTGGGATGCAAGGTCGGGTCTTGAGGACAATGTTTTGAGTAGTGCGAGGGTTTGAGGACCTCGAGTGACGGGGAAGTGGTATAGAAATGGCCTGGCAAAGTTGCGCAGCCACCTACATGCATGAAAGTGACAGATTTGCCAGGGCGCTGAGTCGAGGCGGGCTCAACTCTTGGCGTCGATGCTGCCAACAAGGATCGAGTCGTGATAATGGAGCTGTCCAAGGAGGGGTGCAGTGCGGGCACAACTGCTGGCAAATCGCTACCAACAGTTCGGGGGGGATTCGTTCAAGGGGAAACATTGAATGACTATAATGACACCAGTAAATGGCATGACGGGGGAGAAGGCTCCGGCGTCTTCTTATATGCAATCAACCTGTGAAGGTTCGGCAGCATCACCCTCCCAACATTAATTAGCATTTCGAATAATTGACAAGTTCTTCCTGACCCAATTACAGTGCGTAGATACCACATCATTCGAGAGCTCCACCGGGCAGAAACACAGCCTCCAGACAGCAGTGGGACTCAGCCTTGCTACCAGAAATGCCAGAATAATGTTCAGCCCCAGTTTATTGAGTTGGATGCTGCCCTTACTGCGTGTAGCCTATTGTCAGGACCAAACCATGGGACGAGTGTTGCACTCGAACGTGAATCTGCTTGCTATACCTCCTAACTCATAGAGTTTCAACTTCATAATTAACCTTCAGAGAATCAGAGGTTCAAAAGCATCGCGTGCTTGTGTGGTGTTGAGTCACGGCATCAATGCTGCACAGCTGGCAGGGTATCAAGTTGATATACACGGGCCAAAGTTCATCCGGCTTCATGGTCTAGTGGTATGATTCGTGCTTTGGGAGCTCTGCTCAACTGTACGAGGCCCCGGGTTCGAACCCCGGTGGAGCCCTGTTATCTTTTTGCCTCGTGAATCATCTAGATATTACCGACTGGAGGTCTAGACATTCATTGTAATGCGGTTTATCAAGGGAAATTCTGTCCGTTAAAGAGCAAGTGAGATCGCTTAGTCGACCAGGAGTGTCTTGGTCTACTTTATGTGACGGGCTTGTGTTTGACCGAGCCCAAAAGGGATGTAAAAATTTGTACGTTCAGTGTTGAGGGGTTGGAGATTATGAATATCAAGGCCATTCCTCATTAAACCTTTTATGCTGGTTGGGAGTTGTCTGAAACAAGACGCCCACAGTTCACCTGCGGAAGACTCTGGTCTCATGCTAATTCAAAACCACCCCTTTCCCTTTCCTTTGGGGCCATACTTGGGCTTAGGAAGGTTCTTAGGCTCAGATGGGCCATCTTTGGGCTTGGGAGGGTTGCAAGTCCAGCAGCGTGTAGAGTCAACCTCATTCTCCACGATAGCTTCATCCTTCGAGCAGTGAATTTGATGCACCCTCTTTTGGCAGATTTCCCAACGGAGATCTACAAAAATACAGCCTCTGCACGCAGAACATACGGATTTGTATTCAATAAAAGTGCACATTCCAGCGATGCCGACTTGGTATCGGAAAGAGATTAAGATTCGGGTCCTTGATGGGGATGCGGTTCTTGGGGCGATGCTCATATATTTGTATCAATACACTGGTCTGATTCACTCACTGCAGGAACGCAACTTCGTCACCAGCTTGACAGTGTCCAAAGCGTCCAATAACAATAACACGCCAACCCTCCTTTCTTCCTGTGTGACTTCCTTCGCTACATATGGACTCATGTGACTGATCTTTGTCATGGCGCAGTACCAACATATTTTTGAAGCTACATGGTCCTTAATCATCGCTAGTGTGACTTGACGTGTAAAAGGTTGGCGCTCAAGGCTGCTTTATGTGGCAGTTGTGCCAGAAAGGGTCGTTGGACCTCGGCGTGACCTCTCAATGCGTGTATGAGTTTCTTTACCAAACCATCACCGAGAAATTTCGTGCAATATTATGGTCAAAGCAGATTATTCCAATGCTTCCAGAGATCAGATACCCTGACATTGAGCGTTTGATCAATCCTAGATATGCATTTATCACCCCACGTGTAGTCCATGCACTGTCGTGAACAGAAACCTGAATTCTTTTCGAGTAACGGAGGGAGCATTTTACGCAAATAAGATAGCAACTGACGAAACAGAGAGGGCGGGACTATGGTAGCTACGCATTTGTTGTGTTACCATTCACTACTCCCTCTTTCCTGAGCCTTTCGGAAACAGATTCCGTAGTCTCATCGGCTCGGTCTATACCTCGTAGAAAAGAGGAAGAATTAAGAGCTGAGAGGAAAGGTGAATGAATACGGGCCTCTATGGGAGTTTTTCTCCTGATGCTGGTGTGGAGAGGCATGGTATTAAATGATTTAAGCCTCCAATTGGACCATGAATATTCTGATGCATAACTCATCATCCCCGAATTCCCCTTCATATCCGCTCAAGTATATAAACTAACGTTGCATATATAGTTTAATCTTGCAGGGATAGCATTTTTGACTCGTCCTGTTTGCTTCTGGCTTCTTTATAATGCCACAGGAACCTATTTCCTTGGTTTTGGTGTTGCGTGCCACGTAACATTTGTAAGTCACAGTTCGAGAGGATACTGTATCACCACACACCCCACAAATGTAAGACATTTCGCCTTGAACACACATTGTGTGAGTGAAATTCTGTGGTTTGAGGGTCTGGTTGTTGGAATAGGGAAGTGATGGTTCAGTTCTTGTGAAGACGCAGTTAAATATTTATGCACAGTTTCTCCTCGTGAATTCATGCATGGTTTTAGTTCAAAAATGATGGTCTTTCTGGACAGCCACTGGAAGAAAGCAGTGAATAGGTGGTTGTCTTTGAGATTTACCCTAGGTTTAGGTATCCTAAACTCAATAATTTTGAGGCATCCTCTCAGATTCGTTGGATTCTCGTCGGAGGTGAAACCTGGCAGATAGAGCACAGATTGTGCCCACACCTGGCGTCACATATCCACAGGACCCTATTTCCTTGCTTTCAGTGCCAAGTACAGCCGCGCATTTTTGCTGATCTAGTCTGTTGATAAACTTCGGCGGCAGTTTGAGTAGTAAACCCACGTCTGGCCCTGGGAAAACATGGTTGATGTCGAGACGGAGGGTAGTGAGTTGGGGAGGTGGTGTTTTTAGTTTCTGAACTATACCTTCGAAGGTAAAAGGCTGTCTATTTGTCTGCATTGGAGGCTGGTTAATTATTGTGTTGATTAGTGTTAATATGAGGACGATAAATTTATCATTAATTCGCATTAATGATATAAGTGGTGACTACTTATTTCTTGCTTAATTACATGGAATCATTTCCTACCCCTCCTCCTTTTTGCCTCCTCAGCCTTGCATGGTGGACACAATGTAGATCTGTCCGGCGGCGGCTGTATTAGGGAGCCACAGGAACCTGTGCGCTTCGAGTTGGTTTGGCTTGCTGCCTCGCATTTGTCGAGTTTATACCCAGTCGTGTACACCCAATTGCATCTCCTGCAGTAGAACAAGGCTTCACCTTCCATGCACATGGTGGCGAGGGACTTTACAGTTGTTATAAGAATGAGATTTGGAAAGCAGTGTGATGTTGGAGTTTAGCGTAGGCATTTAGATAAGAGGTTGCCTATTTATAGACGATCAGGATGTGTCACTGAGCAATGTCACAAGAAACCAAGAATTTCGAAGTTGCTTTGTATCTATTCAATGATACCTAAAGAGTTTCCTTCTTCAACTTGGGTATTTTGTCGATCTGAGCGGCACATCTAGGACAGGCCTTGCTCCAATCTGCCGCCGGTGTGTTGGTCGTGCCACAGGAGCCCACTCTTTGATTCTCGGTACTTAGTGCAGCCGCACATCTTTCGGTTATCCACAAATTGCTATACTTCGCACCGCAAATCTTGCAGTACGACCAGGTGAAGCCTTGGAGGCACATGGTTGAGTTTCTTTTGGGGTGGTTGTTGAAATTTAAGGCGAAGCAGTGAGTTAAATTGAAAGTCAAATCAAGCCGCCCTGGGTCGGGGTGTGGGCACGTAGAAGTATCCGTTGGAGGTTTGTGAATGGATGATTTCCTGGAATCAAGACATGCATTCACTTACTTGAATTACATTGAATGATGCAATATGCCTAGACTTAATTGGGGACCTACTGAGTCGGGGCTTTCCGGTCTTGGGGATAAAGGTCATCTGATCGGATGCTTGCAGCCACTGGAATTGGTGGGTTCCTTCAACAGGAAATGCCATACCGGGTAGGGACCAGTAGCCTGACCTATTGGGGCCATAAATTGGGAAGATCCCAGACGGGATCTATTACCAGGAATCATCCTTCTAGCATCTCATTCAATATACAGTGTTTTAATATATTCTTTGAAGGCCTATCAGAGATTCATTTGATCAAATGGTGTCAGCTGAGAAAGTTATCTATTTCATCCAGTCATACAATTCATCCGCGCTCCAGACCTGACCCTATCCGACCTTTCCGTGACAACACCATTGCGGTCATCACAGCTCTGCCTCCGGGTGGTTTGTGTGTTCTTAGTGACCTCTGTTCACTCCCTCACTCACTACTATCATCTCTGGTTCCTAATTACAACGTCTCTTTGCCTCACACCTTGTATGTCCCACGTCGCTCCTCGTGGCTCTGCTCAAAACCTACCAATTATTGCACGACCTTTCTCGGGTAAGTTTTAACTAGGTCGTGATGGCCCGAAATTTCCTCAACAATGATACGATTATGTGTAAACGGTTTTTGACGGATAAACCATCACTGTTGTTTGATGCTAGATAATCTTCTTTGCAGGTCACACCTACAAGATACAAGCCTCACTAGCAATCATTCCCGTCTTCTCCTTTCCAGTAATGACAAACTTGGAGTAGAGTTTTAATATTTGCTCTCCATAAGCCTAACTCTTCTGTTTGGAGGCACACACGTCGCACAACCCGTTCGTATCCCTCTCAGGCATATGAACTGTGCCACAAGAACCCATTGCCTTTGACTCAGTCCGGCTCGCTACCTGACATATTATTGATATCCAGATGGAGTTAGCCCGGGCATGACAATTCCTGCATACTGTCTGGTGATAGCCCTGGATACACATGGTAAACTTTGTTGATAGTTTTGTTGATAGTTCTGTTGATAGTTTTGTTGATAGTTTTGGGAAGATGCTTCGGCTTACTTAATAAGTGAGTGATAGAATCTGGAGTTGGGTACTTGGGTCGACGGTGGATATTTATGTATCTTCACTCTTGTGAATCAATGCTGGTGTCGCAACATAATATGTTGTCAGCTTCGCTTAACGCCAGTTACTACGGACAGCCGATTTTGGGTTTTGAGACATCGGGCCTTGTGGCCTTCCGTAGTTACGTTCAAAGCGAGGTTTTTGTAAACCCGGAGTTCCCCCATTTCTGAATCGCGCATAAGACTATTCGAAGATGATCGCTGCTGTCGCTAGTCACTGTCTAGACACACCGGTGTACGACAGCCATGGGACCCCCAAGCTGCACTGCTTCGCCTTCTCAGAATACTACAGGCTTCATCACGCAAATTACCAGCTGCGCTTCACTTCATTTACTTCAATGTTAAACGAAATATCTCGGATCGCCACCTATATAACTTCGAATGCGGCCTGTTTGAGAATTATCTTCACAACTTCAATTTACTCATCCCATTCAACTTCTACTAAATTTGAAAAACCGCCCAAATGTGCTGGAACATGATGAAGAAGAGGGTCTGCAGCAATTGCGACAGGAATTTGGGGCGACAGTTGGTACAAGAACCTTGCGAGGACGCAGTGACAATGGATAGGTTTGGGAGGTGTAAGAACGGAGTGAAGATGAGGGATGCAACAGAGCCTTCTGAGTGTGGTGTTTGCCGGAAACTTCGAGAAAAGCGCAAGGGCAAGCAGGTTGACGTGGAATAGCAAGAGCTAAGGCTACTATCACTTCCTCAATTAATCAGCAAGGTGGACATCACTCAATAATGCGAATGCTCAAATGCATTTCAGACAGGCTGCCCCACAACAAAGCATCACGGAGTTGACGATGCACAATATCATTGCCCTCAAAGAATTGCTGTTATGTAATATACATTATTCATTAAGCGTATCAAACGACCCGGATTAATTTGTAGCACCGGGACGTGTGAATCAGCGACTTGACGCTTTCTGGAACCCGGCCGCTGGACAACAATATCTCAAAACGACAACGTTTAGACGAAATTTATCTCGATAGCATCTTCCCTTGTTAATCTCCTCTCTACCAGCAGCAACTACTACTACTACTACTAGCCAGCAGTTCGGTAGTGCCATCAATGCCTCAGCTTAACTGTGTCCGAGTGCAAGGGATGCAGGCCTGTGGGGAATTTGGTCAACTTAAGCAGCCAGTACTGCACTTTACACTAGCAGTGCCGGGCTCGCGGGCTGCATGACCACGCTGCCCAAGTTCTCCGAGCTCGACTGGGACATGAACAATATGCTTTCCTTTCCGTCGACGCAGTACGTCAACGCTGGCACTCCGGAGAGAACGTACTACGTCTACGACCACTCTGGCAATAGAGTGCGCAAGGTAACCGAGTCTGCTGCCAGACCCGGAGAAGAACCACGCAAGCAAAGAGACACGCTTTTTCTCAGCGGCGTCGAGCTTCAGGTTCGAAGCGGGTCCGATCTGTGGATAGCTCGCGTGATTGGTGACGATACCCTAGCCATGGTCGAAGTCAGCAGCACTCGACAGACCCCCTTGGTGCGCTTCCAGACGGGAGACGGCATGGAGCCCGACGACCAAGCTCAGCTCGTGTCGTACGAGGAACACTCTCCGTTTGGCGCCGTTGTGTACTCGGCCGTGTACGGCGAGGTAGAAGCTCCCCGGACATACCGATTCGCCAAGTACGAACATGATCGCGAGACGGGGTTGTATCATTGCCAACACCGCTACTACTGCCTGTGGCTCGGCCGCTGGACCTCGCCTGATCCTCTCGGCGATGTAGACGGGCCCAACCTCTACGAGTATGTCAAGAACGATCCTGTCAACTCGTATGACCCGCTGGGAATGTCGAAAGTCAGCAGCACCCGAGAGAAGGCGACAGAGTTAGTGATGGAACAGCGGACAGTTATCCGTAAAACCAGAATCGACAACCATAGAGACACAGCGGGGAATAGCGACGGACTGCCGAACGCTGTTACTGGCACATTGCTGGACGGTGGCACAACCAGCATGCTCACACTATTACAACGCGCAGAACCGGGAATACAGCTGCACCATGTCTACCCGCAAAAATTCAGAGCCAAATTCGCGGCAATAGGCATCGACGTGGATGTCTATACAGTGGCCATTGACGAAAGGGTGCACCGCATCTGCACACTTGGGGGGAAAGACGGCGACATCCAGCTAGAATCTTGGAATAAACACTGGGAAGTGTTTTTCTTTAACGATACGCTTGAAGGTTATGATCATCAGATGTCGTTGTTGGATAAATGTGATACACAGGAACAAAAAAATGACCTCATATCAGGGCTGCGGTTGAAAGCGCGCAACTATTGTGGTATCATCAATGCTATGTTTGGGATAAACCCCGATGTCTTCGGAGAAGCGCCAAAATACTTGCCCTACAAGTATGTGACAGGTATACACGAAACTGAGGAGAAGACTGCCTTGAAGAAATTTTACCAGACAATCCCGGGTTCGGTGAGCACGGCGTCTATAGCCTCCAATGCGTCAGACAGCGGCGCATCCACATCAACCAGCGGCGCATCCACACTGTCATTTGACATCAAGGATCCTTCGACCCTTAAAGAGGAAAGATTGGCAATGGTAACGAGTTGGGGCTGGAAAATAAATAATTGAAAAGAATAAAAACGAGTTTAGTTGCTTTTAATATAATATCTTGTGTTTTGAAACTACATGCCATTATAAAATGAAGGAATTTCATCTTAATTTAAATTAATTAATTAGCCAGTTCATAAAAAGTAACTTGTATATGAAGAACTGGCCAAATACTTGATTATAATTATCAAGGCGAACATCCCGCACACGTGCTAATTGGACAGAGCTGATAAGAAAACGCCCGAAAGAGGGCTTTCGAAGCCAATAACTGGTCGGGGTGAAATCAAGAGCTCGTGAGCTGGGAGGGACTCGTGATGCCTACAAATCAGTTGTGAGTCGGGCCGCCACTGCGACGAAAAGACAGTTACAGATTCTGCCAATTGTGACCGCCTGGTCATGTAGCGCTGCAGAAAAGGGGTACGACGTTGCATCGCCTCGTTCCTCAAGACATCATTCATTCACTCATCTTGCATGACTACGCAACCAATAACAAAGAATCCAACAAGGCTAAATGTCTCAATACATTCTTGCAAGCTCCAGTGGGCTCCTCTGCCTTGAGAAGCCTAAGCCAAATGCCAACCCCATCTTTCTCCAGGCAGAACATGAGTGGACCAAGTCTGACCTGGACGAAATTTGTCAAGACTTGTTCAAAGCTGTATCTCTAGAAAGCCCGTCCCAAGACTCGCGCACAAGACAAGAAAAGCGAGCTACATCTAAGCGACCTACAAAGCAGGGCAGGCTAGTCAACCGAGACGGCATCATAATTTGGAGCCCCCCAAGCAAATACCCTCCGCGAGCAGGATCATGTGCTCTCGCCAGCTGCAGCCTTGAGAGCACAATGAACTTCTCCTCGTCTCAGGCACATATCCTGGCACTCCCTGTCGAACTTCGGCTCCGGATATATCGCCATCTTCTCATACTCGAAGACTTCCGCTTGCCTACTTTTTACCCTAGCATCGGCAGCCTCCGCACGTTGGCCCGCGCCAAGCAGCGCGAATCCCTTGGAATATCTGCGCAAGTACTCGCCACATGCCGTCAAATCAACTGGGAGGGAACTCCAATGCTTTATGGAGAAACCTGTTCCGTCGGGAGTTCTACTGGCCGCGCAAGTGGTACAAGAAGAGGCAATATTTTTGGCCAGTGTCCGACAGTTGTCGACTCAAAGCAGAGAACTTGCATTCCGTATCCCGCATTTCCATTTTCCGGCAGTACGAGCAGTGGCTTCTCGATAATGGAGACCTAAAGGTGTTTCGGGACTTTCCGGCCTTGAGAGAGTTGCACGTGGGCATCAACTTTGCCGGCCTTGCCAAAGGTGTAGACCTCCAAGTGCTCTGGCAAGACGTTATGAAGTCAGTCAGTCGAAAACAGCCAAAACTCGACCGTTTAAAGTGTTACATCCCGCTTACCTTCGACCGAGACTACCGTGATTGGTGTCAGCGTTGCTGGAGTCGACCGTTAGATTTCAGCCTTCATCAGATAAAGCGCAGACAGTTTGAGGAATGGATACCAGCTGAAAGTTTATTCCCCGACCAACAGCTTACTTGGTCATTTACAACAAACACTTCTCAGTATGCAGGGCCATCCTGCTCGATCGAACTTGTGATTGACACCAAGCACAATACGAAACAGACTAGAATTCCATGCCGCATAGCTGGGGACGGTGACGAACAGTTTAGTTTAGAAGCAGCATAGTTATCAATATTCCAACGTTGAACCCAGCGCATCAGAATACGAACAAAGTCTTGGCCAGTTTATAAAAGTTGCCACCACAGGAACTGGAGAGGCTCCGACTCCGCTCACTAGGATGGCCATGATTAGCTATAGGCAATCGCGAGGCGTTTCATGCGTCGGGGACACTGTATCCCGGGTCCCGATTGACGCCTACTGAACAAATGGCATTATCAGGCAAGATCCAATGTGAATTGGCACACGCCTTTCGCTTCCGCAGGCCATAGAGCGACATGGCATGGCGAATCCAACTCAACGTTACAACTTGGCAAAATAACAGCAGCGTCGGTCTCTACTTCAGTCCACAGTTAACTGACCGGCTTTATGTGCAATGTCGTTGAGATAAGCATCCTCACTTCCTTCCTCACTTCATCGGAACACTTCGGTGCGGCACGACCCTTATTTCCACGTGAATGAATGCCAAATGGCAAGACATACCTTCGTCGTGCAACCGTACTTGCCCGGTACCGGGTAAGGCGGGCGGAGCAAGGCTCCACTTCACGCGGGCACCAAAATAAGGGTCGGGCGCTAAAAAGCTTGGTTTGAGCGCAAGAACAAAGGCTTGAAGAGCGGAATCGCCCTGAAAATTAGATCTTCCCGACCTTACTTGATTGACAACCTTTGTTCCTCTTTGCCTCCTTTGCACCTCCACGGACGCGTGGCAGCGAAAACGACTTTCTGTACCCGGGGCGATCATGCTGGAACGGATGATATGTGCCAGGGCCCACATCCGCATGTTTCGACTGACCGCGGTGATGGGAGTGATGCCCAGCATTCGCATTCCCGACAGGTCCAGCCTACGAGCGTCCCATCGAGTTTCATCGACAGACCGTACTCCCAGAAGGTTAAATCCGTTGCTGACCTCTTTTAGTTGATCTTCAGCCCTCTACCCGACTTCTCCCCTCCCACACTCCTCTGCCCGTGGATGGTTGAGGCGACAAGGCACATTTGGATGCATCCGGAACACAACGTGCAGCCTTCCCAGTGAGTTCTGCGCCATCCCTCACTACGGATGTCTAATCGTGTTCCAGGACAACCGCGGTGGAGGATCTTCGCATGATTCTGCCGCATGCTCAGTACATTCGCTACTCTTCCTAACTTTACGAATCGACGCCGCGGCTGCCATCCGAAGTAACGCTCCTAGTCTCAACAACACCGATATTTCACGACGATGACAACTCTCTATCGATCAAGGAAGGCCTTGAGGAGTGCTGAGCAAGGTGAATTCCAGCTACGAACTTCCGCGAACGAGAGACGGGTCATGTGTTGGGGAGGATGCCAGGTCAATAGGGCCATGCTATTTACTGGACGACCACAAGCGGCTGTGGATATCGGCCAGGTGTGGAGATATCGCATCAGGGAAACGTGGATGGATCTGCTGAAGATTATCTCGTTTGGGAGCTACTGGGGTGGTGCAGATGCAGTGAACTCCTCGTTGCAGCTCTGATCCATTCCCGAGGTCGTGGAGGGGTGAACGTCACCGCGCTCAGGCTCTGACAGCCTTTGTTCTGACACGCGTCTGTTCACTTGTGTTGTCACTGAACATGTATCTTCGGTCATGCTTGGGACGTTGAGGTTGTAATTACGGAGCTGGGTAGCCGTGGTAGGACGGTGAGTTGGCAAAGGGCGAAAGCACATATTGGAACAAGGCAATCACATCGTGACAATGAACTGCACTGAGGCCCGGTTGTGGCAATCTCTCAAGATCGAGTTTCATAAAATGGCAGTGGTCAAAGCTACCTCCCATCCATTTGTTTTCCTTATTATCGCCACCAAGATCTGAGGCGTCCGGCCCAAACTGACTTGACGGGCCCGGCCGCGTCTTTACCCTTCTTGGCCTTCTGTATTTTTTGCTGCCACTCCGTGAATATTTTCGAGTATTCCTCTCTAGGAGCGGCTACCAGGTTTGGGGGACTGGGTCATGGCCAGATGGGAGTTTTCTCGAAGGGAGAAACTGTAGAGACCGCGTCAGTGAATGCCTTGCACAAGGTTCAAAAGCGAGAACTTACAGAATCGTATCCAGGTCACTCTGTCGACCTCCCACTCGAACAGCTCGACGGGGACCTGAGTCCACCCTTTGGCAACGAAGGCCTTTAAAGCCGTCCTCTTGACACGCCCGGGAGCATTCACGGCATCCGCGTTCGCCGTGTTGGGGTCGACTGGTCGACTGTTGACAGAGCCACGATCAAGGCTAGGCCAGCGATTGTGGAAGATAGCTTCAAGGCTGTGGCATTAGTCTTTGCCAAATATGTATTGCTGGAGGTACCTGGGAAGTCTTTATGTGTAGGAGCGTCTAATAATGCCCGCCAGTGTCGCTGAGGCTCCAATCGTCATTCATGAAAGTGGTTGGGGTTTGAGCCATCGTAATCGGCTTGCCGTTCCTCATGTACGTTCTTAGGAGGCCGTGTTGCCGGGCATCGGATCTCATCCGAACCGCCGCGATGGGATAATAGTCCTAAACTCCAGTCGTTTTGGTATCGCCATTGTTGTTCCATTTGGGTTGATGCTACCCTGGACACAAATGGGTTGTAGCGGGGTAGTTGGAGTCAGGCCGTGCGTAACGTGGATGAACTGGCGGGGGACGCGACATCCAACTTCATCAGTAACCCCAAGGCCACACGAGACCACGCGAGACTACACGAGCGAGCACATTGCGCCGTTTCTTTGTGATGAAATGATATGGTAGCTCTTGGGTTTCACAGCAGTGAAGTTTCGAGCACTTCCGCTCGCTCTTTGCGCGTTCAACTTGGTCCAAAATGCAGCAGCTAACCGCAAGAACATTTCCAGATCCGACCCCTTTCACAAAACCGGCAGGACATCATGCGCCAGGAGCGTAATGGAGAGCGAAGTAGGCCATGGAAATGAGGAGCAAGAACGTTTCAAGCCACAGTTGGCGGAGTAGTCTGGCCAACGGTCAATCGGGTGATATTATCTGCTTCACATCAATATTCACAATGTTGTTCTCAAAAGCAGTCTCTGTGGGACAAAGGACGCTGGGACAAATGATAGCGGGACAGGGGACATTGGGGCAAGGGACAGTGGGACAAAAGACAGTGGGATGCTGAAGCTGGATGCTGGGCATTACTGAATGGCGAGATGAATATACTATTGGTCCGCAGGAGGGGCGCTGGCTGGCTGTGCCTTTTTGCCAGTCTCTGGGACCTGTGGCAGATTGGACGGATCTGCCATCTTCTAGAGCCCCAGCCTTTCCCTGGCCGCGTCATATGCCGCATTTTTCTCAGCGACCGACATTTGACTGAAGGCCTTGACTGGCTCCTTCTTGATCTCAGTGACCTTGGGCCCTGTCGAGCCCAACTCGGCAGTCCCGGCCGCCTTTTCGCTCTCCTTTTCCTTCAGGATCTTTTCCCTCCAGCCCTTGAAGACAACAGCGTACGGCTCGTCGGGGCCGGCCTCCAGGTTCGTGCGACTGGTCCATGGCCAGATGGGGACGTCCTTGAATCCAGCAACTGTCGGCAGGTTAGTACATACTTTGCACGAGGTGGTAAACTGTAACTTACAGAAACGAGCCCATACCGCCTTGTTGACTTGGTACTCGAAAATGCCGATGGGGACTTGAGTCCACCCTTTGGCGACGAAATCAGTCGAAACCACCCTCTCGGCGTTGTCGCGAACACGCTGAAGAAGCGGTTCAAAATCTGTCAACGACATCATGTGCCGGAAATACTCCATTATGTAGGCACGCCTGTCGTCCAAGTGTGGGTTGTCTCCTACCCACGGACGAGAAAACGTTTCTCCAAACCCGAGCATGGATCGTCGTTCCCGATGGGAGAGCTTGTCCTCCTCACTGAGTGAGTCCATGCTTGGTGGTGTTGGTGTTGGTGGTGTTGTTGTTTGGTGAGATCCCTTTCGTGAAAGAAATCCGCCCAAAAGTGATTAAGTAGGCAAGATTCTGGGCCAGGTGAGTTTAGTCAGCCGCAGAGATTTTTGCCAGCTGTGCGCACTTGGCCTTGCAAATATTACGATCGCGTCTTGAGTCGACCAATACCGCAACAGGTGTGGGCGTTCAGCGCGGCAGTCATTGACATTTGTTTAGTGGGACACAATCACGAATGAGCGAAGGACTCGTAGAATATGAACAAGTGTTGATACCAAAATCCACCCTCTTCATTTAGCAGCGGCAGCAGTTAACTCTGGATATAGAAAAGTGATGAAAGAAAGGCACGTAAGCAGCCAGCGACCTCTTCCCGTTACTTATCTGTTTCCCCTCCCATCTCCACCTTATCGCACTCCTTGTCGTAACGATCCATCGGACGAAGCAGGCGTTCGAGTGCTACACGCAACAGGCCGTTACTGCCCTTGGCCAGGCAAGTCCCGAATTCCACCACTGGTATTGTTCTGTCGCTCAAGATGGTGGTATCAAAGGCGCCCTCTTCAGCAACGTCGTCGAGATAAGCTTCCCGGTTCCTTCCCCGTCAGTTCATCGGAACTTTCGGTGCGGCACGACCCTTCTGTCCACGAGGGTGAAATGCCGAGGAAACAGATGCCCAGATCCCGCATTCAATGGTACCACCATCCGCGTGAATCGAGCAAAAGGGATGGAATGTGGGCGACATGGTGGATCGGGTGCTGAAGAATAACCGCTGAGATGTTGATGCTGGGAATGCAGCAGGGTCTCCATTCCCACAGACGCAAAGGCCATCAGTAGAAGGGCGAAAGAATAGTACAGTCCACTGCGAAGATAATTAGTGACTGGCCAGGCAGATGGAGTATTGATGAGGACTTGCAGTTCGGCACGAGCCGCTGGGAGGTCGGCCGCGACACGCGGAGAAGGACAAGGCCAAAGGTAGGTCCATCGACATCGAAAAAGGCGCAGGGGATTCCTAAGACGGAGGAGGCTTAGCCTGGGGATGCTTTTGCCTGAAGAAGTAAGCATTCACGGCTTCAGCGCTCGCCGTGTCGGGGTCGGCTGTTCGACCTTTGTCAGAGCCACGATCAAGGCCGAAGTGGTGGTCATGGAAGGGGACCACAGTTTTCTGGCATCTGGCAAACCAGGGAGTCCAAGGATACCCGGTTGGGGGTGGAAGCTGTGGTTCGCCATCATAGTACTGGCGTAGGACCGCGAACCAGTCGGCCCCAGCTAAAGCCGGCAGTGACCAGCGTTTCAACACCAGCAACACCACCTGGTTTTCCAGGTCACTGGGATAATGCTCACAGTCGACGGTCTGGTGCTCAGAGACGTTGCAGATAACACATCCGTCTAAAAACCCGTCCTGGTTCACCATGGTGCACTTCCAGAGCTCGTGACCAACCTCGGAGCAACCGCCGCACACCGGACGGGGTGCTGGGGGCTGTCGCCTTTGAATTGCCATATGGCTCCAGCCGCCGTCCTCCTCTGCAAGAGTCGTGATAAAGTCAAGGCCTTCCTGGCTGGTAGCACGGACAACAAAGAATCCGGCACCGAGGCCCACCATGAAGGGCTTGGCTCCCTCGCTCGACTCTGGGTCAAGGCTCCTGCCCAGACACCATTTTATTCGGTGGATTCCTGAAAAGTCGCTTTCGGAGACTTGGGTGCCGTTCAAGGTCTCGGAGGTGATTTCGAGGGACAACTGGTCCGCTGTGTGTTGGCTCATTGTGGAGAAAGAGGGAGGTGAGGAGGTGAGGAGGTGCGAAAGCAAAGTTAGGAATCCAAAGACAAAATTTTCCCGACCTGCAGATAGCTAAAATCTCAAGTCCTGTGTGGCAACGACCCAAGGCACAGCACTCAAAATTACTGGCCAGCTGCTAGGCAGCTGTGAGTGCCCACAAGTCTGGCGTTGACGAAATCTCTTTTGGCGAGGTACGAAACATTGCTCTGCCATGGCACATGTTTGCATTTTTACGATTCAGCACGAGCTACAATGTCTTTGTTCATCTATCTTAGGGTAGTAACCTCAACCTAGTCCCTGTTTCGTAGGAGAACATGTCCCGTGTCTTTGTTTCTTGTTCAGCCCTCTTGCTGCCACTGCCTGCCAGTGCTGTGTCGTGGAAATACCAGCCACTACCCGATAATTCTTGGGATGGAGGGACACCGTTAAGCCAGCGAAAAGTCGTTTCGGTATGGTAGTGCTCATGGTGACAATGCAAGGTGCTCGTAACCCATTCAATTTCAGGACCCAGGATGAGGGTAGGCCGGCATGCGACTGTTGTCGGTAAATCCACCACCAACATGAACGGTCAAGCAACCGTCACGCGGAGGCAAAAGTAAAAAGAATTCCTTTCCAATTGGTTAACTAATCCAAAACCGAATCATCCATCATCCCTTACAATTTAAATCTATACATACTCTTGCAGTTCGTCCTCATTTGAACCCTCCGGAAGCGGCCCGATCATCTTATCCAGCCCAACAAACTCGCGGCGCCATCGCCAAATCAGAGGCAACGGAATCCAGGTCCAGTCCAAAGCCACAGTTCTGGAGCTTGCAGAGGCTCTCTCGAGTTGGGTGTAGATTCCCATCGTCACTCCCTCCTGTTTCTTATGTGGCCGATCTGCATTCCGGAAGAAGTCCCAATCAAGGGGCCACATGGCCTCATCACTCCATTCAATGGGTTGTTTAGAAACGAGGTCGTAGATCGGCCAGGGTCCATCTCCAACGTGGGTGGCGATGCCCACTTGGTGGACAAAGGCGCGAAGGAGGTCCCAGAGAATTTCATTGTACTCCAAGTCATCCAAGACGCCCATCTCATCCGACACCCGGCGGCTGGGAACCTCAATTTCCAGCTCTTGGAAAACGTCACCCAGTTCCTCGATCAAGTGTAGAATCCGCCGGCAACCGCGAGAACAAATCTGCACCGCGCCCTCAAGAATATTGTGGGCTTCGACCTGGAAGAAGTTAAGGTTTGGTTCCAATTCCCTTTGACGAAGCAGACCTTTGACGAAGCCAAGAACAAGCCAGAGCTTTCCGTGTCCAGCCTTTGGCCCAGCCAGCCCAATGTTTGCAGCTTCCAGGACCTCTTCCTTCGTGACATACTCGGTATCGAGACTCATCATGGTGTCGGCTCCGACTGTCAGAAGAGCGGCAAGCTGGATTTTCACCAGAGTGACATTTGGAAACGACGAGGTCTGAGACAAGAACATGGCAATTCGGGCGTCGTATCCAACAATTGGCAGGACTTCGAAGAAAAGGTCGTGGGTTGGGATTCGCATGGCGAGGATGGGGTTGCCGTTGGGTCCGATATTGACCAGATCCTGCTGAATCAATCGTCGCATTGTTTCCTCCACGGACACTGGATCGAGTTTCTTTAGGGCTGCAATTAGCCTTTCACCCTCGATCGGCCAGTCGTGCAACTGGGCCAGACCAGCCAGGAAGCCAGACAGTTGGGAGCCAGTGACGTCCATACGTCGAGGTCTCTCCGCGTTCGCCCCGTCGAGAAAGTCCATGCCCTGGTACACGGTAGCACTGGCTCCCAGAAAGTCCTTTCTGTCGACCCACGAAATTTGTTCTTTGCGCTCGGATGCCGAAGTTCGCAAGTTGAGGCGGACGATTTGGGTTGTCTTTTGATCAAACACTTTTCTCGTCCGAGTGTCGTTGGTCACGATGTGGAAGCAATCCGAGCCGAAAACCTGCTCCGGGATCCGAAAATGACTCTTGGTGATGACGAGCCGTTTCTCGCCGATGATGTTGACACACAAATCGCGATCAGTGGAGTTTGATTGAAGTTTGTCAATGGACCAGTCCTTAGGAGGATAGCCGATCTGTTTTAATTCTCGGAAGGACACGACGGTGTGCGAATGCTTTCGGTCGGCCATGGAAATGTGATCAACAACGGCTGGAAGGATTTCATCCTCTTCTACGGATGTTGTCAGAACTGCAACGCCGGCGTCGGGCATGATTTCGAAATCTGCCATCGAGGCACGTCGATAGACTTTGAAGAAGCCCCCAACGAGGTCGTTCATCGGTTCGGAAGACATCGTCAGAACTCTGACCGTCGAATTCATTTCCTGCATGGATTTCTCTGTCGCCCAGGTTAGCACAGCCACAAGGAGCAGGGCAAATTCTGCGGAAGCATCCGCATCGACATCCACGATGAACAAGACCTTCGGGGGCAGGATTGAATGCTCCCAGCCTTGAAGGCCCAAGAGTGGTGCGGGGATGGAATTCTTCTTAAGTTTGGCCAACATGGTGCCATATGACTCGGTGGCCAAGTCGTATGTAGAGTCGCCGTTGGAAAAAGCGGCTTGAAAAGACTCGTTGCTGTGCTCGGTGGTAATCTCAAACGACTTCGATTGAGAGGTGATGTGAACCACAAGGGTGTCGGGACACGAAAAAGCCATGGATTGCCAAATCTCGAAAGGGATCGACTGCTCAGACGAGCTCTTGTCGGTGATGCCGGGGCCATGGAGGTGACCGAGCCGGGCGTAGCTGTCTCCGTACTGTGCGAAGTTCCATTTGGAGATTTCCTCAATAACCGAACTCTGGTCAGCTGAAAACTGGGAGTCGGGCATTGTTAAGACACACTTTCGGGTTCGATGTAGTAGATTGTTGACAATATAGAGTGTGGTAGTTGTGGAGTTGGGATTCATTCGGTGCTGATGGCTGTCCTTTATCCAACTGGAGTTGAAGTGTTTGGTGAACATCGACCGATTGTCCAAGGCCTGATACCAGAACACAAGCAGCAAACCAAGTTGTTGTCCCAAAAGACTTCGGGCTTATTCCATCCACACTGCGGTGGCTAGCGGAACAGTGCCGCCTGTTCTGGCTGCCAGCAGCCATCACCTACGCCGGTTTTTTTACGTCGAACTACTCTACTACGTTGAGTCCTGTGCTTCTGACTGTCGGAGCAGGGCTCAATATGCGGCTCTTCGTGTCCCTTGACAACTCGTGGCAGAGACAGCGATAGCAGAGGAGCGCTGCCGTGTTTCTCTCACCAACATCGCGTATCCGTACGTCTTCAAGAAATTGACGAGAAGGGGATGGTGTGAAGAATTTGCGACACTGTTGGCAAATGGGGCGTCCTCCTCTTCACCTTTGCACCCATTCTACCATCTCCACCGGACGCTCTTTCAGGGACGTGAAATTCCTTACAGGGCCCAAAGCGCTGTATCATAGCCTGGCTCGGAGAGGGCGTTTGCCAGCTGCCAGAGATACTTCTGGCAGCTGGCAAAGCGCCGAGGCCCGCCGGTCCCTGAGGGCCACCCAGGTCTTGTGATTCACGACGAGGCAAATTCAACTCACGTCACCTCAAGGCATCTCCCTTTTTTTGTGAGCGACAATCAACAAATTACTCCCACAACTTCCAAAATTCACGGAGAGTATCATTTGCCAGCACCTGTTCTCGCACGCCGTTCGTGGGCAAAGTAATCTCTCACCACCCGCCGTCATGTCTTCCGGTGAGTATCACGTCCCGATCACTACAATCGACAGAGGACATACCTAGTGGAAATACTAACGGGTGAAATGCAGCCAATTTCCCATCCTCCAGGACGTTTCCAGACCCAAACCCTTTCGCAAATCCACCGGGACGAACGGTATACTGGGAGCACCACGGAGAGCTTTATGCTGAGGAGCCAACCGGGCTGCCAAGCATAGAGCTCAGGCGAAAAAATTGAAAGGCTCACCTGCCTGGCGTCTCCCCCGAGGGAGAGGCCTTTGAGGTCAGGGTCCCGGCCGGGGTGGCCTTTGACCGCCTCGTACTGGGCCCTGGAGGGGCTCATCTCAGGCGCCTGCAGGGGATCTTAGATGACCGTCTCACTATCATATGGCGATATGAGAATCCAGTCCCAGCCACCGCGACTTTATACACCGGGTCGATGGACGACCTTCCATTTGCGAAAGTCGTCCGTTTCATGGTCATCAGCCTCAAGGAAGTTCAGTGGCGAGATCCACGTCGTCTGTGGTTCTCGCCAGAGCACCCGATCACCCAAGGCTATGTGGTAGACCTTTGGAACCGCGTTGCCCAGTGGTTGGTAGATCTTCTCAAGCTGGGAATTGTAGAGACACTCATGGACGTCATTCTTCGACACTCCCTCACCACACGAAGCTCTGACGCCCGTGTCATGTTGCAGCAGCTGGATGACATTGGAGTGGACGATGAAGTCGATGAGGCCGTTCTGAAAGAGCGAGCTGCCTGTGAGATTTCAATAAACCATATCCTCGACCAGCACGAGATGATATGGCCACTGACCAAGGCCCTGGACATGTGGGTCACGTCGCAGCAGGAGGGGTCGACGCTCAGCGTTGGCCAGCGAATCTTGCTTGCGGAATCAATTTGGCGCCGAAGGGTCGAGACAAATTGTACTTTGGGTGTCACGGAGTGGGCTGATTCCGCCCGTGCTAAGTTCGGCAACTAATCTGTCTCAGACGGAAGGGATCTCCTCACAAGCTGCTCATTCTACGAACCGCGCACCAACAAGACATGATGGACATCAGGGGGGTGGAATAGGCGATCGGAGAGCATAGGGTGTGGATGATGTATGGTTTTTAATGGAAATTTTCTCAGCTGCATCATTCCATGACCGTGTTCCGCTTGTGTGAAGTGACCTTGGCGCAATATTTTGTCGCGGTGCGAGTGCCATGGACCTGTGAGATAGCGACGACTCACGTCACATGCCACCCCTTCCCAGCGCACGCTAACGTTTACGTCTCCCATTATTGTTAGAGTGTATGAAGTTCTTATCTATCGCTTGACAGTGATTCCAATGGCGTTCTTTAGGTTTTGTGCAGCAGCCGTCTCTTGCCATTTTGGTATGGCTTGGTGGATCAGTGGGCTGAGCCGCAGGATAAGTTCGCGGCTGAAGGGATGGGTAAGGAAGGAACATGATGCTTATTTCAACGACATTGCTGAACACGCAAGGCATCGATCGCTATGGCGGCGCCATGTTTAATTGCACAAGAAGTGAACAACCCAGAGTGAGGACACCGACACGCTGACACGATCGCCATTGTCACGGCAAGCGCTAACTGGGAAAATGACAAAAGCCGACAGTTGAGCCAAGGAGACACCCACTGCGAACAAGTACGATGTCCTGCCGTGCTCTTCACAGTTGCATGCAGCGCGGAATATGGCCCTCCTGCACATAATTTTGTGACTCTACAAAGCATGATAGAAACTGTATGTTCATCATGGTCGCTTTGCGGCCAAGCTCTAGAAGCGTCCGACGAGCTCAGACTAGAGTGACCCAGACGTGTGTCGCAATAGATGATGCAGATGATATGCGTTCGTTTTTATGTTGACAGTTGGCAGTTGGCAGTTTTTTGAGTAGGAAGGCTTGAATACCAAGCTGCTGGTCGACACGGTATGGTGCTCGTGCAACGGACAGTCTGATGGTTCACGAGAAGAGACTTGGGTGGCACGTTTGTGGAGATGTCGGTGTCAAAACATAGTGGACAAGAAGGACAATGGGATTTACCCTCACGAGAAAAGTCAGAGACGAAAATGCCACAATAGAGGAGAGAATCCCGGATTGATTTGTGTTTCCATCCCACAGCCAGCTTCTTGTCGTCCTGATTAGATCCTGCCACCACAAATGAACATTGCCAAATGGCCAGTTCTGTCGCCAACGTCCATAAGCCTCCCATCACTTTCCACCTAACGTCGTATCATGGGCACCGTGCGGTCCGCTTGACTTGAAGAGAAGGGGTACTGGTAATTGACAAAGACGTCGTCGCCTTGGCATGTATCGCAGTCGCGGATCGGATTTCGGACCGGGTTCTCGAATCTCGCAACCCCCCTTCGGCCATCATTTGGCGCTCGAGTGACGCCCGCTTACTTTTCGGCGTTTCGTTTCGGCACCCTCATCGGGCTTCTCCTCAAACAGCGCTCGGCTAGCATCTTCTCGTTCCTCCTGGCTTCGAACTTCCTTGATTTGGCCTTGCAAATCAATGATCTTGAATTGGGACTGGCACAATGCTTCTTGAAGAGCGCACAGAGACTCCTTGTGGTGGTTCAAAAGGCGGTTCTTCTCAGCGACCTCTAGCTGGAGACGGTCGCGTTCTATTCGATGGTCCTCGTACCGGCACTTTAAGTCGGACTGTTCGGACTGGATGCGGGACATTCGGTCGATGAGCTGCACAATATTAGTATACTCGCATACTGTCAAGATACGCAAGAAAGATATCTAGCTGCCAGCGAGGATTCAAAGTCGGGTTTCACGATGGATTCAGTGTTCTCTGTTCTCCTCGCCATGAGCCTCTGCACTTCAGACCGCCACTGGGGAGACATGGTGGGCAAACACCAGTTAGGAGGAGTAAGAACATCACGTACATCGTTGACTTGACTTCGGCTCCCCATCTTTGGAAGGCGTTGGTGGGCGTTGGTTGGTATGAAATGAGTGTGAAGGAGGTGGTGTGAAGGATTTGACAGGTCAGTTTTGCGATCTCGACGTGTGCTGGTGTGGGTGAATATGGGTGTCACGTGGCAGGGTTCCTTCGAATTTCAACCAGCCCTTAGTTGTTTGTTTGCCTGGCATGCGCCTCAATGGGTGAATCTCGGTTGTGCCATTGGATGATCCGTCGTGAAAACCTCCCTGGTGCCGTCAAACCATGGTACTCATTCACCCATGGAACTCGGGTGAACAGGCCGGCAAGATGTCTCCTCACACACTTTGTCCTGAGATGCGGAAGAGGAAACTGTCTGCGGTGAAGCTCGAGTAGTGAATGATTCATAAAGGCTCTCACGGATATGACGAGCATCTACGGACTCCCCCAGAGCAACGAAGCATCATCCCAGATGGATCTTTAGACACCAACAAGTCCCCAAAGAACAGGGCCTTTAGATTGAGGTACCTAATCCCGATGGTTCCCCATCCCCAAGCGGATCTTCAGGTACTAATATGAAGACCCCAGCTATCCATTAAATTTCCGGCCTCAAGCAAGAACAACACGACCAAGCAGTGACCCGACGTTTTTCGACGGCACCTCCACGATTTCGGACCATACCCGGGAAGAGGCCACCTCAAGAAAATAACACCCAAAATTTAGCTGGAATCTAACAGAGGTCCCGGTGTTTCGGTTGTATGTTTCAAGGTAGACAAGTTCTTCTATTTCAGTGTCCTGGCTGCGCACATGTTAGCTGTCTCGATGGAATTGAGGATTCAGATAGTGGTCACCTTGTTACTCGCTTCCTGGGTTGATCGTTTCGCGATTTCAACCATTTCTCGATGGTATAAGCAGTAAAATACCCATGAAAGTATCCGAGACGTCGTTATGGTTGGTTGATCGTCGACTGATTATGTCCAGTTCGTAGCTGGGACCGACCGCGTGAGACCGTTGAGGGTGAGATAGGAGTGCGGTTAAGGGAATGAGGAGTCGATATGTTGGGATGGGTCCCCTCGTGATAAATCCATCTGGCCTCGAAGTCAGCATATTTTTCAGTCCCCAACTCAAGGCTTTTGCCCGTTCTGAATTGTAATCCCGTAGGATGTAACCTTACCTCCTGGGCAGCTTCCCCCTCCCAAACAATTCGCTCTCGGCGGTGATTCAACCAGCAGTTTCGGTACGCAGTTTTCAACTGATCGATGCCGACCGGCACGTCTTGGGTACCTCGTGCCGCCAAAAACATCTTGTAGGACACCTCCGTGGAAAAGTGGAGTATCAAACCTTCGTTCATGAAATTGTCTAACACGCATGTGATGCGCGAGAGATCAAGGACTGTGGCCACGACTGGGCCTTCCAGATGGGCCTGTGGCATCACATGGACCAAACTGCCCAGTTGGGCCAGCAAGTCTGATTCAATGGAAGGTAAGACTCGGCCGGCGAAGGCCTCCTCCCGCAGCTTCATATGCCGCTCATGAAGCGGCATATCTAACATCTGCTCATCATCAAACAGTCCCTCTAAAACCCGACAAGATGTCGGGTTCAGATGTCCAAACGGACGACGGTCATCCGTCCGACACATAGCGGCATACCGGATGGCAAAGGTCAAAATGTCATGTCGCCGAGGCCCCCGCCAGAAGGGATGGCAGATGATTCGACACAGTTTCTTGCAGAAGCCATTGGACCAGATAGCATTCGCCTGCTCTCGTCCGTCGTGTGAGACGGTTCCATTTCCTTCGGTCTCAACTTCCAGATCTTCCATGAGGTTGATGGGATCTATCTCGAGAAGTCGGATGCAGGTCTTCCAGAGCGCGTGAAGTTCGGTATCTGTCGCACTGATCATGTCAACACAACGCTTGATCAAGGACGCAGAATACTCCTCCATCAGATGCGTCTCATCATCGTCGGTCCATAACGGGCCAAACCGAGCCGGATCAGAAGATCCCCATCCTTCAGCTCCGAAGAAGTCTTCTATTGTCGTTCGCGGTCGTGTCTTCAGGCCACGCTTGTAGTTGTCTATTTCGACTCGCCACCGATCGGTGAAGGCCTTCGTAGCCAATCTCTGATGTCGGCTCACGGGGGCTTCGTCGCCTCCGAACTGGGCATTGCTCCGCGTCGTCCTTGAGCCCAAGGATGCCATTCCTGGTGTTTTCTTCGAGCCAGTTGGTCGTCCCATGGCTGCAATTTTCGTAGTGATGGGTTTGTGAAGTATTTGGTTGTAGAGTTGAGATTGGTGGGGGATCAGGCAGCCGCCAAACACCACTGTGGTCACTGGAGTGACCTACAGGCGAGTGATTCATGGCCGAAATAAGGGCTCGGACCTGATTCAGCTGGCAGCGGAAACAGACAACTGTCATCACACGCGGAATCTGGCTGACGTCACTCAGGCATTTGCTTTATAGTGGTTGATTTTGGGGCGGTGGGATTCAGAGCAAATCCCTTCTCATTTCTCTAATACTCCGTTTTCCATCGCAACATCACCATCGCCATCACCATCACCATCGTCATCGTCATCAGTAGCGGCAAGTACGTGTTGAACTCATCTCTCTTGCACTGTTTGTTACTAACCTTGGTAAAAAAAAACCTTGGTAAAATATTGCTCTGAAAACTGTCTCATACAGCGACCCCGAACCCATCGAACGAACAAGCCGCTTCCAGCCTCAGACTGGCTCCTCGGTAAGCAACCCTCTTCTCGTGATCTTCTAACGGTCCTGTGAGCGCTATGCTAATCGGTAGCTTGACATCCGAGTCTGGAGAACAACGACTGCCAACACAAAGAGAATCGCATCTCTTCCGACACACACTTGAGTGTCCAGCGCATCGGTCGGCTCTTTGTTCTTGTTTCAGTTACTGTTGGAAAGGCAATGATTGCGGCGTATCAGTTTACTTCAAGGCGTGGCTGAAGTGGATGCCTGAACAAGGTGTCCAGATGTGGTGGACTGGTACTGGTGCATCGCCATTCAGACGGACTGTGAACTACTACAGGGGTGACAGCCATCAACTGACAGGATCTTGCCAGCACGCAGCAGACGTGTGTGATGGATGCTGGGGGTACCGGTTATTTAAATTTGCTTCTTCGCAAAGTTGGTTCCTTGAGTCTACTCTCTTCCATCATCCACTTACACATTCGCACTAAACCAAGCCCATTCTTCATCGACAACCGACCAACACGCAGTTATGGATAGCAACAAACCATCGGTCGAACCGCTCGAAGGGGTTCGAAACGTTTATGTCGTCTCTAGCGAAGGGGATGCGGTAATTGTCGACCTCGTGAGACGGCTCAGGGCCTTTGGTAGCCCAAAACGATCGGTCGTTTTCGACAACAAGGACAAAGCCGTGGCATACGCCATCTTGATGCAAGCCGCCGCCGCCAACACTGATGCCAAGGATTCCCAGGCTAAGAGCAAAAGCACTCAAATGCCTGTTCCCAAGGCAACTGATGAATAGATCGCTGTATGCGCATCGCCCAGCTGGATCGGGCAAGAGACCATTGGGGTTGCCTGGTGGAGGAGTTCCCTGAGTTCCCTCACTCTCTCGGTCGCCAACAGAACTACGACGATTGGATTATGTTGCCAACTCAGATTAGGAACTCGGTGGAACGTGGGAATACGCAGCATCAGGATCTACCTAGAAAAGGACGTCGAAGAAGGATCAGGTGTTTAGTTTAGCAGATATCTATTCTATTTCGTCTTGGCATTGGCCTAGCAGCAATATCAACTCAAATGACGTATGCCGCCCAGTTGCTTGAACCCCCAGTTCTTCTGCGTCCAGTATTATGTGCCCAGTTTATCGTGTATCTAAACGTGGACGTCCTGGCCTGGTCGGGACGAACCATTCCACGTAATGATCCCACAACATAATTCCATGACCAGTGGACAACGAGTTGTCCCCCCTCTGATACCCCTTTTAACCAGTAACGTTGACCAGTTCGACCAACTGCCTGCTAGTCCGATCGTGAAACGTTTAATGCTCGCCTCAGTTTAGGCGGTTGGTCCGTGGGTAGTCCGTCGAGGTAGTGAAGGCGTCGGGGAGGCATGGGCATTACCAACTCAACTACCAGCTCTGAGAGACCATCCATCCATCTTTTCTCCCGCCGCCGATCACTGAATATGCCCAATCGTGGACCATTCCAAGTCCCGCCGAGTACCGACACTTACCGGTCACTGAGACGCGGTCTACCGCGCCGAGTTCTCAACCCCTCTCTCCAAGCGGAACGGCCAACTCACGTACCCTGGGTACCGCCGGGCCCTGCAGTTGTACGGAAACGAGAACGAGATCAAGAAGTCGGCCAAGTGCGATCATGCGCTTCCGATACATGTTCCCTCGAAGTTGTTGTTGTCGGGCACCCAAAGGCCGTCCATTCGGGTTGGGCTTCGGGGAGCTCGGTGGTGAACCGACCACGAGTGTCGCGCGCTGGTGGAGCCATCGTGTCGTCGTCGCTGGTGAGGCCGATGGTCCGGAATGCGCTCTCGACATCTTCGACGCGCGTTGTTGGAATCGGTCCATCAGCGAACCGGCGCGTCCGCGCTTGGGCGTGATGAATGAGTCTTCCCCGGTGGGTGCTGGGCGCTGGGCGACCGCTTGAGAGAGGACGAACGAGAGTCGGTGGAGTGGAGTCGATGGAGGGAAGTCAGTCGATGGATATGGGGTTGCTGGACAGGCCGGGAACGTGGTGCAGGAGGGTACTGGTCGTAAGGCAGCTTGGTGGTTGATCTTGGACGGATCCCAGAGGCTTTCGCGCCGCCACTCGATCGGCGCAACGCCATTTTCGTAAGTGGTGCCATATCCTGCTAAACTGTTAGCTGTGTTAAGAAGGTGCTTCCCCTCCGGATGAGTTGAGGAATGATCAAACCATACCACCGCCGAGCACCGGGTTGGTGGATTGGGACCTTCGGCTACCTCCTAGACAGACAAGTAGTGAGGGAAACTCCTCGTATCACGGTTTAAGTCGTGTTGTTAGATGCTATCCAGACCACGAATTCCGACCTTCGAGAGCGAGCACCGGTGGAGCACGTCCAAATGTTTGTGGTGGCGATGAGCAGAATGCGGTCAACTTTGGTGGTGATGACGACCGGTGATTCAATGCTCTGCCCGCAGTCCGTGATTCACCACTGAGACTGGTGATCGATTATAAGCATCTCTTCTCCCGGTGTTGCTACATTTCACTTTCCTTCTTTCACAAACCTTTCATTCCGAGTTACGAACTCTCACAACCGCCGCCCATCTTCGTGAACATCGCAATCATGGCGGATGCACTGTTTTCCGGCGATCGACGGTCAGTGCTCCGTCGCATCGAAGAATGGTCGCGGCCTGGGAGAGGGCGGAACACGTTGAGGTTTGCTCACCTTCAGGTGCCACCTGGTGTCATGGAGCAGAGTTCTACTGAGGACTCTGTGCCTTGCGCCATCTGGACCGAGGTGAAGAATGCGCGCATCAATGTTAATGTGTCGCACGTCACTGGCGGGTGCAAGGCCAAGGACATTGTCGAGTCTCGCATGCGAGCCTGGAACCAGACTCACCCGGGCGGGGTCCAACCTGACGGGATGAGTTTGGACACCAAATCGTATCGTGAGATGGTTGACACCATGCGGAAGGCGAGCTTCCCGCGTGTGGGAAGGACGATGTCTGCAAGCATCCTCCCACTCATTTCCGGGTCCCTCTGGATCATTGATATTGATCCAGACATGCCGGCTGATCTCATGCGCGTCCTGGCCCTTGTGTTACCTTGGGCCGAGGCCAACAGCCGCGTGCAGCCTGTTAAGAGCATGAGGGTCTTGACGATGTCTTCAGACCCGCTTCACGCTCTAGTCCAACGTCTATTCCAGGACTGGGAAACTTGCCCAACCTCTCAGTTTCAGATCTTGGAACCGATTGTTGGCCAGTTTGAGACGGTGGATGTTGCCAGCACGACCGACATGATGCCGGTCGTGATGCGCAAGGCCGCGAGTGTAGGTCCAGAGGCCTCACAAACGGTTATATCCTTCAATTATTTACAGAATGGCATGCCACAAGACTGGACGCAGGACTGGATTTTTTTTCAATGTGAGTCGTCGCAATCACTTTGTTCTCGAGGATGCTGAGCGCAGCATCCTGATGCATGCGTTTGGTGCTCGTGTGCCCGAGCGATGGATTGGCTCGGATTATGTTCACGTCATCACCCACGGCTCCCGTGACAGACAGATCTTCGACTACAGGATGAATACCATTGTCAAGGTCGAAGTGAAAGCCTCAGCGTCAGAGCTACGGGATCAGCTCTCGTGAGTTAATCGTGCTGACACTCGCTATTCCAACGTGATCCTGTACAAGGAACCTGGTGATGCCAACACAGCCCGGCCTCGACGTTTGGGCGTCGCAGGCCGCCAGTTGGCTGGCTTCTTGGCCGGCCTGGCTGAATTTGCTCACTGGCCCATCCGGGCTGATAGGCTCATGGCAGCTCTTGGTCGCGTCGATCCAGTGGCTTTGCGCGAGACCAAGACAAGGCTCGTTCAACATGGCCTCCTGGCTTTCGACGGGCCAAGCCCTGGTCCTGTTTTGGCTCTTCCCCGTGCCGCACACCAGGTGTTTTTTGCGGTACTGGAGGACGTGGAGTACGATGCGCGACTTGCTCGCTTCCTCTCCGAGTCCCCACGGAACCCAAGAAGCACCTTGGTCAAAGTGCAACTTGCTACCCTCCTAACACTTGGGTTGCACAAAATGGTGCAAATAATAATCGAAGATGCCGCGGTCGAAGATGTTCTGCAACTTGCATCCACTGGCTTGGTCGGCACATTTTCTGGGCTTGGTACGATGTGGCTGTTACTCAACATCGTCAAAGCGGCCATCGTTGGAATGGGCAATCGCCCCAGAGTTCCAGGAGAGGTCCTGCCGGTATTGCATGGATGTCCTGTGTTCGTCCAGGGACTTCATGATTTTGAGGAGCTGTCGGCTCGTTTGAGAGGCTCGCTTCTCAGTCTGGGTATCGAGACTACGGCCATGAGCCCCGATACTGAGACAGGCACCTTGAGAACAAGCGAGTTCGAGGATATTCTTTGGGATTTCCTCCGCGCTTTTTCCCACCAGACCTGCATCGTGAGAGGTCTAGAGCGTCGCGCCCTAACGTTTTTGGACATTGAGTCGCAGCAAGAGCTGGGCTGCGATAAACGCGCGAATTGGGCCATCCGCTGGGATCTCATCGATCGATTTGATGGGCGGACTCGATTCTGGGCAGGTGTGTACACCAGCCTTGGGAGAAACCCAGGTCGCTCAATAGCTTGCATGCTGGACTTCAACTGGATTCCGTTGAGTCTGTTAGAGCGATGGAAGCGGGAGATGAGGCCTCTCTCCGAGCCGAGGGGGCCTCCTTCGTTCGGTCCCAATGCTGACGAGGTTTGAGCGTGTCGGCCGATGGTGGTTTGACGCCTTGATCCCAGCAATGTGGATGCTAACTGCGACAGAACATTGTCCGTCAGTGGAACGACGGGCTTAACGATGATGCCCCTCTGGGTGGCATGATCGGCGGTTTTTAGTCGGGCTACCTGCGCAACACAGGACAGAGCACCTGCGACTCCTTCACCAAGTAGCCTCTTCATTCATGGCTCTTGGCACTGAGCCTTCCAAGAACATCGCCCAACAACTGCGGCACAGCCCGGATCCAGCGATTCATCAAGTACGTATTCCATGTATTACTTTCAACGTGGTTTACCACTAACCTCCACCGCAGTGTCACGACGGCCTCTGCGACGGCCACCGACATTGTCATCGACGCCAGGCGCGCAATCCACGAAACTGGACCCGACCTCGACCCAGAGCTTCAGTGCGATTTCCCGAAACACTCTCGGCTGCGTGGCCTCGGCCTTTTCTAAGGCCCGAATCTTGGCACCGAATCCGCATGGCCTGCCATCCGCAAGCCGAGGAAGTTCTCAACATGGCCCAACCAGTCCATTCGGTGCACCTTGAAGGCAGGCAACCAGAATAAAACCATACTCTCATCCAAAGCCTTGTTCGTTATCGACCGCGACTCAACGGCGCGAACTGCGTTCGCTGTGACCCCTGGGAAAGGCTCGTCTTCGATCTTGGTGTTGATCAACTCGTCAATGAAGATCTCAGCACCCGAACTCCACAAGCAGCAATCGTGGGCTGACCCCATCGACTCTCGACATCTACCATGACGTTTTATTCTCTCGACAACATTGAAGATGGAGCTAAAATTCCGTGCCTCGCCCTTTTTCGCGACCGAATTATACGTATGTTAAAAACTGTTGCAGATGGATACTGGCGGGCGACTAACTTCTCCAGGCCAAGGGCAGGGAGACTCTATACGCAACGTGTAACGATCCATGTGCCCACGAACATCAGTAAGTTTCACGCATTCACTTCGCGGTACAAGTGTTAACCGCAACAGATAATTACAGCTAGGTGGATGCACGGATTCAGCTTTGGGATATTTTGTGTGGGATTGTCGAGGGTGTCTTATTGGCTTTCCTACTCGCGCCACGAAATGCACTACTCATGAACACGGCCAAGAAATCACTTGAACTGTATTGCCACTTGTCCATGTCCAATCCTATGTCTCTTCTTTGCCCAAACCAGTCCCTGTTCCACACACGCATGTGCCGCTCCCGTCCATTGTTCGAGTTCGAGTGTCTTTGTTTAAGTTGGTAGAGTTGATGTACGTATGGACAGCACAAACGTCGACTTTCCCATCCATTCGAAATCGGTCGAGAATATTTGGTCAGCACTACTAGTCTAGCCATGGTATTAGCAATCAATATTTTGCGCGTGGATAGGAGCAACTTACCCAAAGAGTACTTCCGAATCGTGGACATTGACAACCCAAACAGCGGCAACAAGTGGTCCTTGGTAGCTCATGCCCTCTAGAGAGGGTCCAAACCTTCACGCCATTGTTCTTCTCTGTGTCAAGGCCACAGATGACAGCATTCAGGGTGTACGCGGAAATCAAGCAACGCCCGTCTTGGCCACAATATGGCTCCTTACTCGGGGTGAGGGTCTCGTCCAAGTGAGCCCGAGAACCGAAAAGCTTCAGCCCTTCAGCTCCGTTAGGGTTGCCCTAGAGTATCACGGTCTCCAATACCTTCTCAAGGGTTTCTCGAGAACCGGAACTTCCTCTGGTTTCCATGCATGTTTACCATGATGAACATGCACTTCTTATCATGAGACCCGCACTTCTTGTCATGAGGCTCGCACTTTCCTGTCTCCACTGCACGGTCAGGGACTCTAGGTGCTTCTAGCCCACGTTCAACAACCCTCTTACAACAGTACCAGTTATCAAGACGGGCAAAGTTCATGAACTCCATAAAATTTTGTATGCGCTTGTGAGACCATTTTTGGGTCAGAGTGGCGGTCATTACGGAAATGACGCGAATCAAGTCAAACTGGTCGTCCTCGACCGCATGCAGCGACCTAGTCTCCTCTGCAAGATCGGTGAAGTACTGCGATATGCTACTCGCCTCCTCGTTTGAGCTGGAGAGACGAGGGCGCTTGCGACTGGCTTCCGCCTGCGCAGGGGGCTCTCGCGTCAAATCAGTAGCAGCGCGTTCAACTTCAACCGGATGGTCACTCCGCCGCGTCGCGACCATGTTGTCAGGCACCTCATTGCCGACTCTGCCGCGTAGCATGTCTTGCATCTGAATACGGAGAACAGATGCCAAGGCTTCCTGACTTCTGGCGGCGATGGCCTCTTCCTGCAGCTTTGTGCCTTTCTCCTGGGAATCGCGCAACGCATCACGGCACTGCTCCAGCTCTCTATCTCTTTGGGCAAGCGCCGTCGTCAGGTCTTGAATGTCGCGCTTGGCGACTAGTAGATCTTTCTCGAGTTCATCGGTTCGCCTGCGGCGATCGTCGGAGACAGCCTTCCATGATTCGGCAATCGCATGCACGATGCGATCACCCTGGGTAGAGAGGCCGTGTGAAGTCTCGGCCAGAAGTTGCTGTCCCGATTTAGCAATGGCATCAATGATGCCACCATGCTGCCTGCCCAGTTCGTCAAGCTTGCCCGCGACATTGCCAGCCTGGGCGGCCTTTTCTTCAAGGCCATGGCGCTCCTGATCAATGGCTTCGGACTTGGATTCGAACTGGCCCTTGGTCTGCTCCAGGTGGTGGACGATGGACTGAAACCGTTTGACGAGGTCAGGGATGACGACCGGATTATGCCCGGAAACCGAGGCAACTTCCATGAACTTTGCCGCATTCGCTTCGAAGTTTTCCATGATGGCGCGATGTGGCGAATGGACGTGGATGATTGAGCGTGAGAGTTGCCGTAAACTGGGGTTCCCTTGGGTAGGTAGTGAAGGGGCAGGTGAGATTATCTGCGAGAAGGTCAGTGTCATTATCCTCAGACTCAGAACCGTGTCCTACAGAAAAAAATTTCCCCTGTCAGTGTAGACTCGACCCAGGTGTTGGTTAATGGACAGTTTTTGTAGGTGTTGTCAAGACGAAGGTGAAAACTGTTGCCTGGCGACCAGCTGGCAAACAATGCTCTGTGCCATTCTTTGGTACAGTGAATCACCGCCTCTGTGCTTGAGTACGCCGGGACTTCGGCTGCGGGGTGGTTCAGAAATTTGGATATTTTGGTTGTTTTCCTCCAGCAACACTCCATTTTACTCTCACAACACTCTATTCTCCCGTCTCTCGTTTTGCTCTAACGAGTCTCTGTTTCCACCCCAGAGACCAGCAATTTCCGCTTCCGCAAGATCCCCAGGAACCGCAGACATTCTCGGGCGTTAATAGAGGATCGATGTGAATTCACGAACTTGGGAGCGAGCAAATGTACCGAATGGGACAGCATGCATTTCATTCTTGTACATGAATCTCAATGTGCCCATATTCCCATGTTCCCAACCGGCCTGGCCTCCTCGTCTCGGTTCTCATTAACGTCGTGGAGTTAGGTGCAGTTCGTGGCGGATTGCTATGCGTTCGTTCGGGCGATGGGTAACTAGGGGGTGGATTAGAAAATGAACATCCATTGCGCGAAGGTCTCTTACATCTGTTGCGCCATAATTGCTGCTGTCCTAGCGGCTTGGATGGCTTGAGCCAGCTGCCAAGATCGTGCGTTAGTTCGCCAGGTCTCGGTCGCAGGCAAGGTGATTCTCGGCAGGTGGTTGACAACGGTGGTCGAATACCGTAAGGGTACGATTTTTTTCGGGTACAGGCAGAAGCGCAACCTGAGACACATACGTTAGTGAGCCCTAGATGAGCAGCGAAAATGTTGACTTACCAGAAATGGCGTGCAGCCGTTGTTGAAGACGAGTTACTCTTGAGTATGCCGCGTGGAGAGTGCCGGGTAGGCAACTAGAGGGCCGTTTGGCGTCGAAGACGACTAGCGGGCAACGAGGCAACCATGGGGCGTCGGTTTGACGGTAGCGACATTCAGCGCTTGGCACTTTGACCAGACCGCAAGATTGCAGCATTGGTCAAACGACGTCTACTGTCGAGAAAGGGCTGGAAAAACGATGCTGACATCCGTCTTCTTCCCCTGCTTCTTCTTGGGGGGTGGGTTTCCTGACTTGGCCTGGACAGTAGGAGCCGACTGGGCCTGGGGCCACCTCTGGGACCGACGGAGTCTGCTTGGAGCGCAGTAGCTGCGCGGCGCTGTGATTCCCGACTGACACGAAGTCCTCCCAAGACAAGCTGTGCGGTTCTGGTTCTCATGGCTGGATCGTACACCCGAAAGGTAGGATCCGCGTCCATGCGGGCTCTTGCCTCCCGGTACTCGTCCTCGTTTTCGACCCATTTCGCAAAGGATTGCGACCAAGGGTACTCTTGCGGGAGGTCGTCGGAGTTCGCAAACAAGAGTTCGAACCAGTCAGCGCCATGCAAGGCCGGCATGCCTTGGCGCTGGTGGACTAGAACCTGGACCTGCGACTTGGGATCCCGAGGGAAGTTCACGCAGGCAGGCGTGTTGTGCTCTACCACGTTGCAATAAATGCAACCGTGAATTAGGCCGTCTCGCGCGACCCGGATGCACGTATCCAGCCTGTGGCCGAAGGCGGCGCAGTTGCCACATTGCGCAACTGAACTGTCTGCTTCCACGGGACAAGTCGCTTCAAGTGGCTGCAGGGGCTCCTCGCTGGCTACCTCAGGAGCATCAGGGATAACCGTTTCCTCTGTGAAACGGGTCTCTCCGCTCAAATCCTCCACTTCGTCGTCGCCTCCCAGATAATAGGGATTAGCGTTGAACGCAGCGGTGGCTTCCTCTCTGGTACGGAATGTCACGGGGTTGCCATCCGCATCTTCCCCATGTCGGGGAAAACGGAGTCTATGCGCTGGCGGGGTAAACGTCAAGCGCTGTCTCGCGAGGGCTTCCTCGCTTCGAGGCGGGCGCCTTGTTCTACCAACGAAGACTCCGCGGACTTCTTGGCTGCCCGTGGCTTCCCTGAATTCGTCGGCGGCTTGGATCAGCTTTTGGTTCGCATCCGGGCCCGAAAAGGCAAAGGTTCGTCCCCCACTAGCAATGTTGTTGTTGTTTCTATTGCTCATGGTGGCGGCGAAGTTGATAAGAGTGATGTTAGTGTTGATGTAAGAAAAATGAGTTGAAGGTGCCAAAAGTACGACCATGTACAGCTGGCCGGCAGCTGTTCCGCTAATTCTTTCTCCTAGCGTCGCTTTTTATGAACAAAAGCACCCAGTGCGACGCTATTGGAAAACTGGTTTGCAGCTGTCAACCGCAATTCAGCACTGGCACGCCGCAGCTATTTTCAACTCTTCAGTCACGAAGCCAATCCGCCAAGCCAACTTCTTCATACTCACCCGTCTCATCTTCCTTTCACAATAAAGCTAGCTGGTTCGAAAGGCATAAAATGAGGCGTGGTGTCTTTGACATAAAGTGCAGTGTTCAGGGAGCGCAGCTCATGTCCACAAGCAATGGCACGTCCCCGTCAGGAGACATGCGACGGGAGTTCAAGGAGGTAATGCGACGAGCTGGATTGGGAACTTTTAAACTAGATGAAGATTTCTTTCGCGATTTCTTGTTACCACCCCTTATCTCCATCCATTAATTCGAGAAGGTGCCAGTTAATTGTCCTAGATCAGCCTGATGTTAAACCTCTGCCCAACGCCTCCACACAAAACCACAAAGGCAATCCTAGTCAAGCTCTCTCTTCTACCAATGCAAAAACACAATACCCCAATGGTCTCCCGATGTGGTAGTTCTTTCCGGTCGTCAGCTCTGGTACGACATTCTTTGATCGTGGGCTCCGATATTGGGAACCCGACGGCATTTCGATTGGCCTCTGGGCTGCAACAACTCATTTGCCCGTGGCAGAGCGAGCGGAGTCTGCCCACTCAACAACATGGTTCCTGGGCGACTGGGACCTCGCCATCCTCACGTCCCACACGCCTTCGGCCAGCATGATGAGAGTGCTCCTCCTGAGGCCGGAAGTACCCCGTGGCGCTAGGAGCCACCCGTCTAGTGCCTTTTTGACGTCGTCGATGGCGACGTGCGTGTCTAGGATGTGGTTGACCGCCGCTTTGCAAGCTCGATACTGCTCCAGAATGAACGACTGCCTGACGATGCCCACCTTGGGAGTTCCAAGATGGACTAACATCTGGTAGGCCCCCTTTGGCTTTGGGGCCGTGTCTCGAAGGAGATAGCCTACTAGAGTTTCTAGCTTGCCCTGCCTGATTTGTATCAGCCAGTCGGTGACAGCTTCCCATGCTCTCAAGAGGAGGACGTGGGCAGGCTCGTTGTCAGAGCTGTACCAATCATCTTCGTCCTCCCACAAACAGTCCTTGAGACAAAGAACAAGGGTGCGCTCGATCTTTGCCAAATTCGGGCCCTCGTATGATGGTGCACGCGGCTTGTATGGACCGGGGATGGGATGCTTATATTCCCAAGTCAGTTCCAATCGATCGTCAAGAACATGCGACGCGATGCACTCGAAGTCGGATCCCCCGATACCCCACACCAACTTCAGGCGCAACTCGTCGAATCTCTTGGATGTCGGCTCCTCTGGTTCGGGATGTGGCTCGCTGATCCATGGCCAGCAGGGTGCCTCGTTGAGACTCCAAACTGTCAAGAGATTTAGCAGCCATCCCGAAGTCAAAAAGGAGAACTTACATCAGCGTTCCCAGATCAGCCTATCGACGTTGAACTCGAAGGACCCGGCCTGGATCGTTTCAACACCCTCAGAAACAAGTCGATCCGCCAAGTCAACCTCAGCTTCCTGACGAAGCTTCTCCATCGCTGCGCGGAAGTCCGGGACGGGGACCATCCAGTCGAGGTAGGCGTACATGTAGCGACGCCGTTGGCCCAAATTTGGCCTGTCGCCCACCCATGGCACAGAGAAAATCCGGCTGAGCCGTCTGCTGCGCGAGTGCAGGTCTCGGTGAGGGAATCTCTCGTCTTCGGTGTTGGAAACCATGGCTAGTAAATGCGATGGCGTTGATTGAGGATGTTTGTGGTGAGTCTCATTGACAGTCGCTAAGTGCAGTGAATGAGGTAGTGAAATGGGGAGAAATGTTTGCGACTCTTGCCAGCTGCCTAGCACTGCCAACGTACCCAGGGTACCCGAATCACTGTAAACATGGTACCTAATTCTGGTGGTAAACAAAGAATCACTGCAACTTTGACAACTTTGCAAATACACCAACTTCATGATCCATGCCAACAAACACAATCATGGATCAACAGACCTTGCAAAAATACGGAACGTTACTTACGGACTGGGCATCGACGTCCCCCCGCGATCGCGACGTCAAGTTTGGTCTCCTTCTGGGGCCCGATGTGACAGGCCACAGCACTTTCACGAGTTCACTCCCACGGAAAATCTGGTCTGATGTGACACGGCAGATCTCCGACATGGCCGTCATCCATGTCACCTCTTCTCTCAAGGCCGCAGAGATAAACGCGGCACTCCGAACCGACCCGCACCGTCAGCACTTGGAGGGAACCTGTCGGGACCAGCAGCTCATCACTCACTCATACGGCAGCCTCTTGAAGGTGCTCCGGGGAAACACTGTACCATTCGACGCATCTACGCCCTACGACTGGACCTGTTCTCAACTCCCTCCCGTGTCGCTCTTCTTGATCGATGCCGACCCAGACGTGTCTGCCGAATATTTCCTCCTACTCGTGGTCATTATGGCCTGGGCCACAAAGGTGTGCATCAACAGGCCAGAGGTGACTGTGAGGATTATGATGATATCCTCACTGCCCCTTCACCCACTCGTCCAAGACCTGTTTTGGATAGAATCATCATATCCCTTCGCAAAGTTCAACTTCGGATCGGATTTCGACAATTTCGAGGCGAGGGAGGTTGTGGGAATCTCTGGCGCAGCTTCAGCCGTACTGGACAAGGTCAAGGACTCGGCCCCAGAACTCTCCCACAGGGTTGTGTGCTTCCGATCCTCGCAGGTGTCAGAGGGCTTTCCACAAGATTGGGAGATTGAGCATCACCTCTCCGACATTGCGAGGCTACCAGGATCTCCACCTCAACGTCGGGTTGAGATACTCGCCAATGGTCTTCACGTTCCTGAGCACTTCATAGACTCGAACATCGTTCACATCGTCACTGGCGGATCAAGAAAGAGGCTCATATTCGACCGCAACACCAATCAGATTGTCCTGGTCAACCTCAAAATCTCAGCATCCGAACGCCATGAGCAGCTTGCCTGGGCTTCCCGACCTGACTGTGGCAACTCCATGGTCATGCTCTATGAAGACACCGACTTCCTTGCTGGCGCCAATGCCTCACGAACTCGACGGACCGATGTGGCAGGTTCCCAAGCAGCCGGATTCTTTTCTGGTCTGGCTCAATTCTCCGACTGGCCGGTAAACGTTCGCGAAATTTGTGCACTCCTCAGCGACTACGATTGAATGGCCGTGAGTGAGGCGAAGAGGCGACTCACCCAGCAGCAACTACTGGACTTCAGGGCACCAGACCTCCCTCCCCATCTATGTCTTCCAAACGACAGACACGGCGTCTTCTTTGCGGTGTTGCCGTTGGTCAACTATGACCCCCGTGTTGCTCGCTTTCTCTCGGAGTCATCCAGCACGCCTAAAATCACGCTCATCAAGGTGCAACTAGCTTCCGCTCTGACAATTGGCTTTCGCTTGTTGGTGCCTGTAGTCGCCGCGAATGTCAAAGCGGAGGAAAATCGCGACGCTGCAAACTACGGATTGACAGGCCCGTTTGTCGGCTTTAGAACGATATGGCTATATCTCGGGCTCATCAAACAAGCAATTGCCGACAATCGCGAAACACTGGGTTGGGCATTGGATTGGATAGCACACCCCACATATGGTATGCTTGACAACGATGTACTCATTGACCTTGGCGCCATCAAGCGCTTCGATCAATTGACCAAGGAACTGAATCGCGTCTTGGTATCCTTTGGGGTGCCACTCCTCGGCCTGCCGATTGAGGACGAACGGGGTTCATTGGAAGCTGATGAGTTCCTAGAGCTTCTTTGGCATCTTCTGTGCGCATTCATCCATCAAACTGCAGTCATCGCGGAATGGAAGGATATTTGGATGTACGATTTAGTATCTCATCGGCGCCTAGCACTCAACGAAGTGGTTCAGTTCATCGACTGGCGTGGCATACAACACTAAGAAAGCCGCTCCAATCAGAGCGTTGGTTTCTATACCCACTTGACCAAACACTCCAAGGATACCATCGCCATGATGGACGACTGGAACTGGATCCCAAAAGGGCTTACGATACGATGGCTTCGCCGATTTGCTTCTGTGGGCGAACTGAAGTGCCCCGTCCCACTGGGTTCGAACGACGACGAAGAGTGAAACGCCGATTCGCGAAACGGGAGGGGCCCAGCAGGCACACCGATGGAGCACCAAGCGATGGAAGCAACTTGGCCGGAGAGACGCTGGAGAACAAGACTTAAATTATAGTAGCAGTCAGACAAAAGGTTCCCGTGTTCAGGAAGTGGACGAGTTGATGGAAAGATAAATTGCACCACCGAAACGAAGGCGTCTATTTGTTGTACCTGTGGCCTGTTTGTAACATTTGTACTATGCTTCGCACTTTCAAATACTCCAAGTTCGTCCTTCCCAATCGACCTGATCCTTCCGCTAAGCGACCGAAGGACTTGGCTTTGCCAGTCGCGTTTCGCGCTTTGCACCACATGTGAGTACAGGAGCAGCTCAGCACCACAGACAAGCACTCTAAAGCACTCTCTGTCCCACAGATCCAGCACCGTCTGACCACTTTGCATCCGAATGTTTGGGCTTGATGCAACCATTGCGTGGCTAATTAATGAAGTTGGATTAACGACGTTCCTGCCGCGTCCCCCGCGTGCCCATGCGGAGCTGATCGGCGTGGCGCACGGCCATGACTCCGGTTACCCCGCCACATCCGCGTGGGTCCCGGGTAGCATCAAGCCAAATAGGACAACACTCGGGATACCAAAATGGCTGGAGTTTGTGATGACTTAGTTTTGGAAGCTTTCTGGCTGGATGAGTCGTTACGTATAGTAGCACAATTCAATGGAAAGTACCCTGCTGTTTTACCAATACGTCACACGCGCTACAGTCCACAAACCCAGATGACTAGAACTTGGGTACAATCACCGTATGGGTAACAGGGCGAGTCACACATGGAACGGGCATGACCAATCTCCTCGGACACAGGCTTCAACTGGCTCTCGTGTTCTGGGCAATCTCAGCGCTTTTGCTACTACCTTCACTACAGATTCTTAATGTTGTACCGGCCAAATTGCGAGCATATTTGCGAGCAACCTACTCCGCCGTTTCAACGACGCAAAACAGTTTGCTGATGCAGAGGTTCACCAAACACAATTTCAGGCCGCGCCATAGCGGGTCATGGGCCCGGGCATGTGGCGAACACACAGCACATCCCAAGCGAGAAGAACTCACTGCACGCGACACTCGGCAACTGCAGATTGTCGTCAATTCAAATAACGCTGCACTCAAATTCTTTGCAGAGGCTCCCAGAGAGCGGGAAATACTACGCAATCAGTGGTAAATGTAATGAGCAATTAAGAGCTCAGTGCAGAGAATGCACTGAAGAATGCACTGAAGAGTTAGGGGGTGGGGCACTGAAGAGTGCACTGAAGAATGAGCAATACATGGAGAATAGGGGATCGAATGCACTAAACAATGCACAGTGCAAACCATCGTTGTCCCCATCATGCCCAACAGCAATGGCAGCCAGTCTCTCCTCTAAATCGACAAACAACCCATCGCTCGACACCACGTCGACTGGGCCAATTTGACTCAACCGCGCACGCCTTCTCCTCTCCAGGCAACTTCATCGACGTGGAACCGAACCGAACATTCCACTCGAGACGCCAGCGAGCGACTACTCATGCCGACCCGCACGCATCGCTGTTGAGTCAGCTCCAGCCGTCTGCATTGGTCCCACGCACACATCGATCATGGTTTCACTTGGCAGGGACATGAGTTTGTTGGATCATGATGCGGTAGCGTGGTCGGCGGGAATTTCCAGTACAAAGCCATATCAAACCGCATGTTCGCTTGCGTAGAACAAAGTGACCATGTTTGTCACTCACATCTCAATACGTGGAGCCAGCAACATCTGTGGCACCGATGCACGCAGACAAAGGAAGTGACTACATTGAAGTTTGGGTGAAGCGAATGAGTCAGAATAACTTCATGGAGGTAATCTCAACATTGGGCTCTGTAATTTGAAGTATTTATACCTTCCTTCATCCTCTTGTTCGCTCTCTCCATCTTCACCATCACTATATATACATCACCCCGATCCCAGTCTTTGGTATGTAAAGTATAGCCGCCCAAGTAACGCTACTAACATTTCCTTCGCAGTCTTGCTCGCGGTCGGAACCTACGCCGGGTCGGTGGCGGATGCTGCAGTGGCATTTGTGGACTGGCCTTTGACCCGACTCTACCCTCTTCGCCTCAATGGGCGACTCCGACGCGAGCACTTGCTCCTACCTCTGGGCTTATAAGCTTCTTTGCTGCGTCAAAGAGACCAACTTAGTGCTATTTCTCAGTTTTGTATGTGATCTTTCCTCTCCAGTCATCTTAGCAATTACTAAAAAATTCCACAGAAAGTGCCAGATCCCATTGAACTTCCTTTCGACGATCCTTTTTCCGACGGAGCCGACCTCAAACAAGATGGCGCTCGACAGCTAGAGCTCTCGTGGCGGCTGTCCGCCCTCGCCGCGACCGGGTTTCTGCGGTGCCTCTGGGTGGCCGCGGTGACGTGGAGGATGAGCCACGAGAAAGATGTCCTATGGGACACGGGTACCCTGACGCGTTCGACGTGAGCCATCAAGGCTTGGCATGATCCACCAGGAGTTTCGGGAGGCTCTTCGAGAGGCTCAGTCTACGAAGCAAGTGGACGAACTGAGAGTCTTTGCGCTTAAACCTGGGACAGCCAGGTGACATGTCATTGCCGACATGACACTCTCCAACACGCGTGGCACTCCCGCAATATTTCCCCCTCAATGAACCCCACGATATATACTATACGATCACTTATTCTACCAAGAAGTTAGGACCCGTCCTGAAGCGCCTATCCACTCAACCCTACCAGCTATATAACCCTGCTAGGCTGGCCGACCACCGTCACTTGCCGCTCGCCAAATCACGTTTTCCTCTCCTCGGATCCTTCACTTCGTTTTGCTATAGAGCCGCATGATCAAGGAGGGCAATATATATACACCCGGCCGGAGTGGTGTGTCGAGACACAACCCACTGGCACGTCCGGACGGTGTCTTGAGCTGTCGTGGCCGCTGTCGTGGGATTGGTCCGTGGGGCAAGCCGTGCCTACGAACAAAAGCCGAGATCGGGAGCGAGGTCATCACAAATCACTTCGACGGTTGCGACGACCGACGTATAGTATCAAGAGGATGCGGTGATACCTGGCCTCCCTCATATCAGCAAAAATACAGAAACGGCAGGGAGACGGACGACGACGAATTCGAAAGAGACGAAGCCAACCCCGAGGTCAGGGTAGGTGGGCTCGCCGACACCAAGCTTGGAGACTGTGCATTGTGGGTTGAGGCCTGCAACTTCTTTCGCCATTATATAAACGACAAAGAAACCGGCGTGCGGCTACCGGGCTTGACTCTCGCATTTCGACCTCACCAAATAGTCGACTGCTACAAGACGCTCCGCCAGTGCGACTCCACAAAGTTTAACGGGACTCTAAACGCCAGCAAGCCCAGTCTTGGCAAGACTTTCGAGGTGCTGATGGTTGCCGCGACTATTGCTCTGGCTCACTTGAGCAAGAAGCACTACGACGAGCACCCGGAGGACCACCTTGCTCAGGGTGAAGGGGTGTGCGCGCTCGGGGACCCCTTTGGCATCATGTGCTTCTGTGTCACAGACAGTCGATTTACCAGCGGGCATACCGAGCGCCACAGCTGGTAGTAGTTCCCGCCAGCATCGTCGACGAGTGGGGTCGAGAGGGCTCTGAAAAGCTAGAAGCCACAGTCGAGTTTCGCATCTACGGCGAAGTCTTCCATACCCTAAAAGAGCCGCTGTTACTCATGGCAAGTGCTAGCAACGGCACTATACACTATACCAACAAGAATATCGAGTCCCGGTACCCGAGACCTTTGCAACTGGTGAGATGGAGGCAAAGGATCTAGGGAGAAACAGACACAGAATGCTCCGAAAGAGAAGCAACGCCTTGGGTTACTGTCAAGTCGCCAAGGATGGAGAGAACACATCGAGAGGATAGATGACCTAGCACCTACATGGGAAACTTCATGCAAGGCGGAGAATCTTACACCTGTTCCGACTACCCTGTCAACTCTATGAAAGTTCAACGGAACTTTGAATACCAGCAAACCCGGTCTTGGTAAGACTTTTGAGGTGTTCATAGTTGCAGCCACTATTACTCTGGCTCACTTAAGCAGAGAGCACCCAGAGGAGCACCAAGAGGACCATCTTTCTGGGGGCGAAGGGTTGTGGTCGCTCATGCACGGCTACATAAACGAGCATACCGAACCTCACCAGACGAAACCACCTTGGACACTGTCCGGTGGCTCCATCTTGGAGAGACTATGGAGTTCCGGTCCTGCCGAGATTGGCTCGCGCCCGAAAACACCACCGAGTGTAAGATCTGGAAGCCATAGTGGGCCAATTGGGGACGTTTTCTGGAATCCGCAGGCCTCTCGGCCGAGCAAGTTGCCGAGAAAAGGCTCGCGCTCAAGATTCCCAATCTCCCCAATGCCCTCAACATCTCCACGGAGTTGACTTGGTACTTGGCTATAGAGGTGCTGTGAGCGGAGCTGTTACGCAACTCTCGCTTCTGGTGCCACCACCCGCCGCCCGTTATATTGGTCTGCCGTGCCGACCAGGCAGTTAAGTATAAGGCCGAGGGCTGGGAGGATGCGGTAGTTCTAGAGCACGCCATCGGACACCCGTCCAGCAGCCATATGGTGGACCTTACTGTCGACGACGAAATTTCGACCACACCAGGTGAGCAAGATATAATATCCCCGACTGGATATATAAATTCTCATCGGTTCCCGTCGGCTGTCCCCGGCGGCGGCACTGGGACCCAGGTTGCTGGCATGTTCTCCTTGGAAGACCTCAACCGCGCGATCGCGGTTTACTATTACGCGATCGCGCGTCGGACAGGTGGTGGCAACATCATGGGTCGCAAGCCTCCGGTGAAGAAGGAACAGGGATGGCCTGGGTACGCCTCCCTCGGCGTCGCCCAAGGCTTGGCCCACCAAGCCCCGATCGACGGAGATACCGAGCACACCCAAAACGTGATGCTGGACTTTGACAAGGGGGCGCGCCTCGAGCGCGAGCGGATGAGGAAGAGGCAGGAAGCTGATCCATCCGCCCATCGGGACGTTACCGGTGCAGAGGCGGGTGACCTGATGGGTCTCATCCTGGAACAATTGTGCGCACCGAACCCGTCCAAGGCTATTGCGGGCCACCTGGCTAAGTCAGGGACGGTTGACATGCCGGAGCTCAGTCCTTGCTCCTGCTTTCTCATTCGGTTATCGCAAGAGGAGTGACCATTCCCTTTTGCCATGGCGGTATTGCCGGGAACGACGCCGACGAGGCCACCTGGAGGGAAATAATAGAGCGCGGGCAAGCCTATGCGGAAAGGTTTAGAGATGAGGACGACGAGGGTGCGCCGAAAACACAGGCCGAGTCGCGGCGGAATTCCGCTCTGCACCGGGAAGCTGTTCTGACGACGTTCGACCAGCGCAACACCTCTATACTAAATGCGAAGAATCCGATGAACCCGACGATGTACGGAGACGCAGAGGCGGCGAAGGATCGGCTGCGCGCCATCCTCAAAGGATCCCCGACAGCGCCCGCATCCAAGGAACCGAAAAGCGGCAAAGAAGCTCCCTCCCTGGGCGTCGAGCACGTAGACTGGCTCATACGCGGCAACATCAACGGTGGCCTGACCTACCTCTATCAACAGACGAGAGAGGACCCTAATATGTTCACGCCGACGGATCGGGCATATGCCCTGTACTGGATGTGCGCAAAGAATCCCCTGGTGATTCGGGCCCTCAAACTGTCCCGACATAATGTTCGACAAGAGCACGAACATGTCCTAGTAAAAAGCATCAATCTTTCCTTCGTCCGAGGGTGCAGTCCACGTCCACACCAACACACGACCGACCAGCATCAACGGCTCCCGTTCTGACCGCCCAGTCATCCACTGGACTCGGTCGACATATATACTGTTCGCAAAGGTTGGTTCGAAACCGACGAAGTTGGCAACCGCATTGATGATGCACACTGTTGGCTCTACGCCCAATACCCATCTTTCACAATCGCCACTATCCCAACCTGCCTTGAAACTGGTCGGTCTTTGCCGAATCCTGCTTTACTTCTTCCCTTTAGCCACATCGTCCCCGGCAACGCTGGTAGACCTGTCTCTCCTACCGAAAACATCATCGGATGGGACAACACGATCATATTTCCAGCACACTCATCTTGGCGTTCGACGTTCACGCAGCTTAGCTAGTCTGTCAACTCGCTCCCAAGTAACATGCAGATCCAGTACCTACTTTCTACTTCTGGTACCATAGAATGGGTATCTGATCACCTGGCAACGCAAAAAGATGACAAATACTCCCTGTCAAAGCAGTTGTCCGTCCCTCTCAACTCAGGCCAACTACATGCAGGCCTACTTCATGGCCACCGACCATTCTTCAACTCAGGCTACGCAGCTCCCTCCTGTTGCAGAAGCCACAGACACCAAACTCTGCTCCCATCGACGATCCAGTCTCTGTTTGCTTTCTCACTTCTTCCTTGAAGCCAAAGTCCCTCCAACTGTGTCGCCACAACCGTCAATATCCACGAAACAAACCCGAGCGACTCTTGCTCCTGCTTTTTCGTTCGGCTACCGCAAGAGAAGTGAGCATTCCCTTTTGCCGTAGCAGTATTGCGACATGGTGTTGGGACTCAACTCATCCAGGCTTTGCCATTTCAGCTAGACTTTAGTCAAGACCTATAATCCATAAAAAATTAATTCCCCAAGCCAGACTCCAAGTAACTAGTCCACAACCTCTCGGGCATGATCCAAGCTGTGGGACACGGATTTTGCGGCAAGGTCAGCTTAGACTATCCGCATCGCATTGTCCTCCCACACCGACTGCACGAATACTGGATGCCATTATTTTGCCAAGGAATTAACGCGCGGCCCGATGCGCGTAGCTTCACTAGATCCTACAGCCCTATGCCTTGCTAGGCTGACTGACCTCAGCAATTCGGTCTGACACGGCTTATCTTCAGCCCCCAACTGACCAGTATACTACCCTATCAGCGCCAGAGTATCATCGCGGCTTGCATGATGGCGAATCAGACACCAAATTCCAAGACACATGATCGACGTGTCTACTTGTGGCCGTCAAACTGCCGTCAGCAAATGATGAGCTAAGTGGCGGCTGAGGCTTCACTGAGGCTGAACAGCATCAACTCCGCACGTAAAATGTGTCCCTTTCTGGTTCATCACCATGGCCAACGAAATGGACCGCTCCAGCAATGAATGGCTTCCCAGTGGGAGCACCCCCAAGAAACCGCTGCATTCTCCCTACGGCTCGCCGCAGACGCCGCAGACGCCATGGATGGGACACTCGACGACCTTCTTCACCGATCCCGGGCGGTCAACAGACATAGGATATCCGTCGAGCATCTGGGAGCCGGTGCAGCAGACCAGACCGCCAGCGCGCACGAATGAAAGCCAGTCGGCGCTTCTACAGTCGGATCCGCCGCCGCCGAAACCTCAACCGTGGATCGTCGGGTGGTTCAAGAGACACTGGACTCCGGCGTGGAGCATGTACGCCTTTCTCCTCGCAGGAATCGCCTTTGCCTGTGGACATCACGGCTTCTACAACCACCTCGACGGAAAGCAGGCCGACGATCAGTTGCGAAAGCTGCGGTATGGAACGGCGCTGGCCTTTTTCGCCAAGGCAAGTTTCGTGACGGCGGCCATTCTAGCCTACCGCCAGCGAGTGTGGATGATTGTCCGGGAAAAGATTTTGTCCCTGGGAGCCGTGGATTCGCTTTTCGCGGCCGCCGAAGACTTAACTGCGTTGTTCCATTGGGAGGCATTCAAGAGCGCCAAAGTCGCCATGTGCCTTGCCATCTACATCTGGGCGACGCCGCTGGTGGTCATTTTGACGTCTGAAACTCTGTCGGTGGTGCCCAAGACAATGCGGGAGAATACGAATTGTTCTGGCATCTACACTCTCAACTTTACCCATGAAGAAACCAACGACTGGCGAGATCCACAGACGACAGACCAAGGCCTTTTCAAGCTGTCAGTATCGTCCTGGAACACAACCCAGCCCAACCAAGTGCCCATCGTCGTCAGCAATCAAAGTTCTTTTGATTACTGGACCTCGAGCAGTCAGCAATTCAAAGAGATTGCCATGAGAAGTCAGTATCTACAACAGGCAGTGTCGCGAAAGAATGCGGGTCTGGAAATTTGCGGCAACGGATGGAACTGCTCCTTTACGATTGAATTTACCGGCCCAAGCTACAAATGCGAAACCCTTGCTTCCGGGGTCGATGACAAGGTGGCAAAGCTCGGAGACGCAGAATGCCCGTTCAACACGAGTCAACTTGTACCAAAAGGTGACCTTCTTTACCTTGCCCTCGCAGACCAGGGAGACTACGGCGCGGAGCAGATCGACGCCTACACTGGAGGGATTCCAAAGAAAGAGCCGCCGTTTCCCAAGAATCTAGGCGCGTTTAGGACGGAGCCGCTGTTGTGGATTGGCTATGCAATTGCCAACCGAACTTCGGTGAACATTCCCAAGAGCAAGCTGGACCCGAAATGGTCAGAGGATGCATTTATCCCCAGGATTATTGGCTGCGAGCACTACCAGACCAAATACAAGGTCAAGTTTAACTTTACCAGCGGCGTTCCATCCCACGACGTCCAACGGCAGCTCGTCTCCAAAGTCATGGACACGCGATTCCTCCCAAACGTATCGATAGGCAATCAAGGATTATTGGACAACATCACTGCGACGCCCGAAGGCGAGTACATATTTCCCAAGGATTTACGGAAATACCGTAGGACCGCAGCGTATCACTCGGTTGGAAAGCAAATGCGCGACATGATCAACGGGACGATTGCTCTTGCAAACCGAATCGCCAATTCCCGCGCCATCGAGACGAGGCTTATCCAACGGAACAATTACGTCGCCATCCCCAACTTTGAAGTGGAACTGGAAAGGTTTTACGAAGAAATTCTCCTGTCGTTGTTGTCCGACGACCAGTTCCTGGCTGTATCCTGGGCGTCGCAACCTTCACGGACGGCCCTGATGCCCACGGGGAAGGACAATTTGCGGTATCCCTGTATGAGAGAACGAACCATCAATGTCTACAGGTACCATCGCGACGACTTGTGGGTGGTTTATGCGTTGGCAATTCTCATGGCCACCATTGCAGTGGTGTTTGGCGTCGCGGCGATGCGAAATGAATACGTGGTACGCGACACTCGGTTTTCGTCCATCGTCGCCGCCACGCGGGGTCAAAGTCTAAACAGAGTGCAATGGGAAGAGGATCGAGGTGTGAAGAAGCTCAAGGTCGGCTTCGGTCTTGTGCCAGACGTTGCTGGAGAGGCCAAGTATGGGTTTGGATTGGAGGGAGAAGTGGCGCAACACAAACCAGAGGGAGCTGCTCGATCGCCAGCAATTCAATTGAGGGAATGGGGAGGAAAGCGGGCAAGTTGGTTGATGGATGCAGCAAGGCCGCGGTAGTTTAGGAATAGTTAGGATGAAATTGACTAGTTGGATCGCCTCAAACAGGTTCCCCGGAAAGGAATTTGCAGGAGCTGCAGGGCGATACCGATAAAACGAGCTATTCCCAGACAGGAATTTTCAAGAGCTTGTGCATGAAAGATCCGGGGTAATACGCTATGCCGAGAGAGGAATTCACAGGAGCTGTGGGTCGTTATCTTGACTTTTATAAGAATACCTCTTAATGCAATGAGCTTGAAGGTCCAGGGTGAATGGGATGTCTGGGATATTGATTCTGGGGATGTTGGATGAAATTCCAGGGACACGCAAACGGATGTCTTATAAAGCGGCTCTTATTCGTTTCATTCAGGACATTCCTGGTAACCAATGACGAGCAGCTAAATACACCGAAAAGGAAGAATAAAATATACCAAAGAATTAGAATGCAGCGGTCTTGTTTCTGGAAACTCTCGAGTTGAAGCCATCACCACATTGAATCCGAACACTACAAACACCCTGCCACTACCCAAAGTTCTTGACTCCAATGCCTCCTACTTCACAAGCATCATTGATCTTTACAAACTCACCAACTCATGAGGCGATCCGAACTACCCGATACTCTAGATGTAAAGGCTATTGGTGGTCACCTCGAATGTGGGGGCACCGCCTTATCTCGGACTTCTTATCTTGCGGTATAAATCCACCTCGACCCCATCGTAAGATACGCCATCACACATATCTCGATATTCGAATCCTTATGCCTGGGAAAAGATCTCGACAAGGGTGTGAAGAGTGCCGAAAGAGGCGCAGAAAGTGTGACGAAAGTAAACCGACTTGTGGGCAGTGCTTCGCTTTCAAACGGTCATGCCACTACACGCTGAAGCTTGTCTGGGGCGGTCGGAAGTTCAAAAAGTCATGCTTTGGCGTGTGTTTGAATTCTTCGGGGGATTCGGCTGAAAGAATAGGTAATTCAATCCCGTCAATCGCCAATCCCGGAGACGTGCTGATTTTCAGATGGTGACAACGGCGGGTTCGTCTACGGCACAAAGGTCCCGGATGGATTGGCTTTAATACCTCAAAGCCTGCCGAATGGTATGCATATGCCACAGAGATATCGAAGGCTATTGGACTACTTTACCAAGGATATTCTCCCATCCTTGTCGTGCCACCCGTCCATAAATGAGGATCTCTGCAAAGGTCTCCTTCCGGCCATGCTCCAATCGCCTCTTTTGCTTTCAGCAGGCCTCGCCTTATCGGCCGCGGGTTTTTCGTCAAGAGGCCTGACTGAAGTCGACGGCGTTGACATCTTCCGGGTGATAGAACACCTGCAAAGTTCTGGTCTGTCTCTGTTGAGGACGGCCTTGGCGAATGGACAGATGGATGAGATTGTCTTGGTAACCTGCCTCGTCTGGTGCCTCGCAGACGTTTTTGCTGGCCGACAAGAGATTTCTTCCTGGCGAATCCACCTACAAGGCGTCAAGGCCATTCTCGGTGGCGACCATGCGTATCAACAATTCGTTACAAATCCAGGACCTGTCCAATCCGCCATGAAACATCTGTATCTTTTATATCTTTCCCTTCAAACGCTTCCTCATCTACCGTCGTTGCAAATTTCCGACCATTCAACAGTGAGTGTGGCTACATCCGAGTCTCTCGGACAGATCGATGGTTTCCTAGGGTACAGTGAGGAAGTTTTGGAGATTTTGCAACAAATCAATCAGCTACCTAGCTCCGGCGAAACCACGCATTTTGAAGCCGACGTTCTTCTTGGCAAGGTCAAAGGAATGATTAGCCGAGACGCCAAGGCTCCACCAAACGTTTCAATCTCATCAGTTCTCACGCCGGAATCTGGGCGCGACTTTGCACTCTGCCACAAGACCTTTCAACAGGCCACGCTAATCCACCTGTACCGACGGCTGTACAATATGCCTTCTGGATCACAAGCCATTCAATCTGCCGTCGAGGCAATGAATGAAATGATAAGCAACATGACCCAGGGGCAGCCTTGCAACACGTGGGTAGCAATGGCCATGCCTGTATTCACCATTGGATGCGAGGCTTTTACTGCCGATCAAAAAACATTTGTCCTTGATAAAGTCGACAAACTCGAAGTGTGCCTTGGCTCACTCCACGTGAGAATCCTCCGGCAAGCCCTTGAGGATATTTGGAAACTCAGAACAGAATGGCAAGATTTCGAAGGGAAACTGTGCGCCAGCGAACTACTCAGTAAGTGACAGGCTCAAGACACAATCCAAGCTAACAACTTGTAGAAGAATTGCAGTACAATATTATTCTATTTTAGTTTGTAGTTCAGCCGACTCATCTGCACGACTCATGAGTAGGAGCTGTTTGATCGTGGGATGTTGCAATAGCCTGTATTGAGCGTATTTATGACTAATGAACATTGCTGGGCTCTCACAGCTCACCATCTGCCTCCAGCCTCTTGCTAAGAGGTCCGTTCTTGACCATGATGCTCATGACTTCGAAGAGAACATCGGCTGCTGCCATGGTGGTGTGTTCGGCGTTGGTGTCGTATGCGGGCTGGATGCGTTAGAGACGAATGTGAGGAGGACGTGACACTTACTGCAACTTCCACAATATCCGCGGCAATCAGGTTGAGGTGCTCCAGTCCTCGGATGATGGTCCTCAACTCTCTGGTAGACCATCCACCAGTCTCGGGAGTACCAGTGGCAGGGGCAAAGGCGGGGTCCAGAGTGTCAATGTCAATGGACAGATAGACAGGGTTCGTGGTGCCGACGCGCTTGAGGATTCTCTCGATAATTCCGTCAGTGCCAATGGTGTCAATGTCTCGGGCCTCGACAATCTCAAAGCCACAGTAGCCGTCGTTGTCATAATCACTGGGTCCGCTAAGGGTGGTTCGGATACCGGCGTGGATGTTGGTATCGTTGGCGAGCAGGCCTTCCATAGCGGCATGGTAGAAGTAGGTGCCGTGGTTGATGCTGGCGACGTTGGAGGGCGAACCACCAAAGACCTTGGGTTTCCCTAAAAGGTTAGCTAAACTCTTACTGCGTGTAGGTCTTACTGCGTATAGGTGTCTTACAAGTATCCAGATGGCTGTCGAAATGAATCACAGACACAGGTCCATAGGCACGGTTGATTGATCGAAGAAGAGGAAGGGTAATGGTGTGGTCTCCACCAAGAGTAATGACTCGAGGCAGCGTCTTTTCCTTCTTGGCGGGTCCCTTTTTGAATGCATCAGTCATCGGGGCACGAGACAGGATGCTGTAGTGGCCTTCTTCAATCTGCTGAAGGGCATAGGTGTTGTCGTAGGAAGTGACTGGGATATCACCACAGTCGAGGACAGTGGCCCAGCTGTTGAAAGGGTTTGTGGCGAGAGGGACATTGTATCCTCCACTATTGTTGTTAGCATTGAATGTGGAGGGACAAATGTAGACGACATACTAAAGGTTGAGTCGTCGAGATCCCTGTCGAATACCAGAGGGTCCGAACCGAGCACCAGGTCGGTACGACGTGCCAGTGTCAAAAGGAGCGCCTAAAATGTTAGCCATGGACATAACCTTGCAATTTCACTTACCAATAAAAGCAATATCATATTTGATATCACTGTGGCTCAGGCAAGGCAAGTATGGCAGACGTCCAAACGTGGTGATGCCGGAAAAGACAGAGTCGGCCTGGGTGCCACCATCACCAGGGAGTGCATTGTACCACAACGACTGATGAGGTCCAGACATGGACTCTTGATCATGTCCTGCATGAGCTGCAACAACGGCAGCCCAGCCCAAAGCGAGAAAAGTAGTAGAAAACATTGTGTCTGCGAGTGTACAGATTCAAGAAGAAGGGAAACGAGGGTTATTTATGCTCTTCCTACCACCTCTTCGCTCGTCCAACTTACGTACCAAATACCACACACCAAATACCACACCAAATACCACATACAATGCCACTCCAACACATCATCATGGCCTGCAGGCGCGTAAATACCCCAAAAGAGCTAGCATGCTTCAACCATCAAAAGTCCAGACCCACCGAGACACGCGATCAGCATCCCCCACATTGTGGCTAACTTGCCGAAACGAGTTGGCGGGGAGTGGCAATCGATCAATGGGATGGCTACGATCAAGCTGCAGATGTCTTGCCAGTGGGACAGATAACCGTCGTGGGGTTTTTGCGTGGTTGGTTGGCAGCGGTTTGATAAGCATGAGAGATTTCTGTCATGTTCTGTACAATTATCCGGTATTGAATATTTCTTTACGTGTTGCGATTGTGCGAATTGTCATTTATCCTCAAGACATCGTGGAGTCTGAAAACACCACGTCTACACGAACAATTCAACTCAAAATGACCACATCACGATCGCGCACGTCGTCGGCAGACGAGAGGACTCCTCTGATTCCTCGACCGGCTCAATCCCCGCCGGAGTACCGACAATGGGCGACGGAAATGTGGTTTCTGACCAAGGCGTCCATCCCGGTCATCTTGGCGTACATGCTCCAAAACAGCCTGCAGACGATATCGGTGCTTGTGGTCGGACGTCTGTCTCCTGAGGCATTGGCCACGGCTGCCTTTTCGTACATGTTTGCCATGGCCACGGCTTGGCTCATTGCTCTCGGCGGAACGACTGCTCTCGACACGTTGGCTTCGACCAGCTTCACGGCGTCCAAAGACAAGCGAGACCTGGGCATTCTTCTCCAGAGAGGCATGTTTGTCCTGACGGGTTTCTATGTGGTTGTCGTTGCCATCTGGTGTGTTTCCGAGCACATTTTTCGACTTCTCGGCCAGGAGGAATTCATCTGCGTCCAGAGCTCCAGGTTCCTGCAACTGCTGGCTCCCGGAGGCTTGGGATACATCTGGTTCGAATGCATGAAGAAATACCTCCAAGCACAAGGAATCTACCGACCGGGCACCTACGCCCTCCTCATCACGTCGCCTCTCAACGCATTCCTCAACTACCTCTTCATCTATCCGCTGGGCTTTGGCCTGTACGGCGCCCCGCTGGCAACTGGCATCTCCTACTGGCTCTCTTTCTTCCTGCTCGTTGCCTACGCGGCATTCGTCCAGGGAAAAGAGTGCTGGCCTGGGTTTGCTCCGAGACGCGCACTCACTCACCTGGGGCCGTTTGCCAGACTTGCGTTCCTGGGCGTCATCCACGTCGGGACCGAGTGGTGGGCGTTTGAGATTGTGGCTCTCGCTGCTGGTCGTCTTGGGACGATTCCTCTTGCCGCGCAGTCGGTCGTCATGACGGCAGACCAAATCATCAACACGATTCCGTTCGGTCTCGGCGTGGCTGCATCCGCACGACTGGGCAACCTGCTCGGAGCTCGCGATGCTCTCGGCGCGAGGCGATTAGCGCATTGCGCGGCTGTGCTGTCTGTAATGTTCGGCACCGTGATCCTGACCATCCTGCTCTCGACCAAAAACGTCATCGGGCGGCTTTTCAACGACGACGTCGAGGTCGTTTCGCTGGTTGCGCACATCATGCCCTACGTAGCCCTGTTCCAGATCGCCGACGGGCTCAACGGCAGCTGCGGGGGAGCCCTCAGAGGCATGGGACGGCAATGGATTGGCGCTCTTGTAAACTGCATTAGTTACTACGGTGGCGCTCTGCCTGCGGGCGTATACCTCGCGTTCCACGGATGGGGGCTGCCCGGGTTGTGGATGGGACAATGCGTAGCGCTCTCTCTCGTTGGCATCCTCGAGTGGATCATTGTCGGCATGAGCAATTGGGAGACGGAAGTGCGCAAGGCATCAGACCGACTAGCAGACGGCGGCATGGGAGAGTCGATTGACGGCGACGTTGAAGGCGACGTTGAAGTTTAGATAGCCTCAATCCCACCCACCCAATCCCAAAATGGCATCTTTTCCGGATAACACCTCATGCAACTAACGAGTCCTGACTCCTGCGAGTCTCGGCACTTGACGTTATCTTGGAAACAAGGCCACTTCGCCCCACCCCCAAGGGTTCAGGGTGTTGATAAGGCCAAGGGGCTGAGCTGCAGTTGAAGCATGAACGAAAAGACCTGGGGTTGATAACAAGGTCGCCTGTAGCACAACATGTCGGCCCTGATACACATGAAAACCCCCGCGCAGGGTGAGACGCGGTGAAATTATTAGTCGTTATCTTTGGCCATGGCACGGCCGTCCATATAAGGTCCCATCGACCACGCCTTGTAGTCAAGACATCATTAAACATTTATTCGCTACAATGAGTACACACGGGGATGAAAAAGACGCCGAGTCTGTACCTGGAGTCAACGATGCTGTTGTCGTTGGTGAGACTGACGTCCGTATCAATGCCTCGGGTCACAAGGACCAACTAGCCCGGCAATATGGCCTTGTCGGTCTTACTGGCATCGCAGTGACGGTCAACAACGCTTGGGTGGTTCTTGGATCTTCCATTTCCGTCTCAATATGTAAGTACACCACCTATTGCCAGAAAGCGCTAACAGGATAGTGAATGGTGGTCCTCCTGGAGTCATCTACGGCCTCATGGTCGCCCTGGCCTACTACACACTCATCGGACTAAGCTTGGCCGAGGTATGTCCACTGCCCTTCACACTTCCTCGCTAACAAAACAGCTTGCGTCTTCTTTCCCAACATCCGGCGGCGTCTACCATTGGGCTACCCTCGCCGCGGGCCCGAAATGGGGACGAATGGCCGGCTTCTTTGCAGGCTGGATCAACTTTTACGGCTGGATGTTTGGCCTGGCGTCGCTGGTCCAGATATCCGCCAACACGGCTGTGCAGCTGTATGCGACCTACACCGACGACTACTCCCCGGAGGCATGGCACATTTACGTCACGTACCTGCTTGTGCTGTGGATCAGCGCCTTGGCTATTATTCTGGCGAACCGACTGATTCCGTACACACAAAACCTCGGAATGCTTCTAGTCATTGTCGGCGGCCTGGTGACAATCATCGTCATTGCAGCCATGCCCAAGCGCCACGCATCCAACCATTTCGTCTGGGGCTCGTTCGACGAGAACAACGTGACCGGGTGGAACGGAGGCGTCGCGTTCATGACTGGAGTGTTGAACGGCGCATTTACCATTGGAACACCAGATGCCATCACGCACATGGCGGAGGAAATCACCAACCCCAAGCGAAACCTGCCCAAAGCCATCTTCCTTCAGATTGGCCTTGGCGGACTGTACGGCCTCGCGTTTGCCGTCGTTCTGGGCTACGCCATTTCCGACCTGTCCGTCCTGCAGAGCGGCATCAACACATTCCCTCTGGCGGGCATCTATCACCAGGCCACCGGAAGCGCCGGGGCCACGTTTGCGCTGTTGTTCATCATCTTCATGTCGTCGCTGTGCTGCGTGATTGGAACCGTCCTGACAAACTCGCGGACATATTGGGCGCTCGCTCGAGACAAGGCCGTTCCGTTTTCTGGAATATTCGGCAGAGTAAACGAGTCGCTGAGTTGCCCGGTTGAGGCGACCTTGTTCGTGGCAGTTGTCGCCTCGGGCCTGGGTGCTATTCCCATCGGAAGTTCAGTCGGATTCAGCAACCTCACAGGATCCTTCATCATCATCAGCACCGTCTCATACGCCATCCCGTTTGCTTGCAATCTTCTCACCGGCCGCAAGCACTTCCCTCGAGGTCCTTTTCATCTCGGCAACATGGGCGTTGCCATCAACGGACTCGCTGTCCTCTTCATCATCCTCTTTGACATTTTCTTTTGCTTCCGTAAGTACTCCCCCTCCACCTCCATGACGTCGCTAACAAAGCAGCCCTTGCTTTGCCGTTTGATGCGACAACGATGAATTACAACTGCGTCATTCTCTGTGGCGTGCTATTCATCACAGGTGTCTGGTGGTTGATACATGCCACCAAGCATTACCCTGGTCCGGCATTCAATATAACAATTATTCACGACGAAGGATCGGGTGAACAGACACACTGACACTAACAGACACTAGAACACTAGACTAGATCATCTCTCATTACCAATAAGACTACCAACACCAAACTCCCCATCCAACCATGCTCATGATTCATAGCCAACTAAATACTCAAACATGTACGCAATCTCGCTTTTACTCGTACCCCTCTAGATCCCGTAGAGTCATGACCTGCCTTGCACCCATGGGCCCCTGACCACCCCATTTCTTGGCTCCGGCACCGCCATGGCCAGATGCTTGACCGAGTATCGTCACCAGCTCTTTGCCAGTGACGCTCAGGTCTTTGCCAGTGTATCCCTTCATGGCACACTCCTTGAAGATGTGCCCAATGAGCCTCTCACCAAGGGTTTCGACACTGCGACCGCTAGCCCAGCCCTTTTCGTTGCTCAGACGATTGAGAAGAGTCATGAGAGACGTCCGGGTCATGGTGTCCATCTCGCGGGTTGACTGGATTGTGATGCCGACACGTTCGACAACGGCGCGTAGTTGCTCGACGCATTGCTCGGCGCGCAGAGGTCGGAATGTAAACTCGGTGGCGAATCGACTGCGCATGCCTTGGTTGCTTCGGAGTAGACGGTCCATGTCTTCCTCGTACCCAGCCAGCACGATGATGAGCTTGCGAGCAAATTGCGGCTTGGTCACTGCATCGACAAGCTCGCTCACAGCCTCCTCGGCAAACGATCCTGCATGACCTGCAAGTCGGTATGCCTCGTCGATGAAGAGCACCTTGCCGAGGGCCGACTCTAGCAAGCGCTTCGTCTTTGGTCCTGTCTGGCCGCAGTACTCGCCAATAAGCTGCGAGGCCGAGACTTCAATGACGTCGGGAGCCGACAGCAAACCCATGTCGTAGAAAATCTGGCCGAGCTTGCGAGCCGTCGTTGTCTTTCCAGTTCCGGGAAGTCCTTTGAAGACGTACGTAAAAGGGACGTACGGTCGCGGATCGACGTTGCGCAGACGCATGCCCTGGACCATGTACTGGTAGGACTCAAACTTGGAAATGATTTCTTCGTAGCCGACAAAGCCGTCAAACAGGGCGCGCGTGTTGGCGACGGCTCGGGTCAGGCGGTCGTAATCTGCGTCAAAATCCTGGGGTTCAATCGGGAACACGTCGAGATCTTCATCAGGCTTTTTGTCTTTGGAGACGCGTCGCAATCGAGCCATGATGGCCTTGGAAATGAGATTGTCCACTTCACCACCGTTGCCAAAGTTGGGTCGGACGGCAGAGCGCTTCAAGACTTCCATGGCAACCTCCCGTGCCTTGTCCGTTGCAATCAGCTTCTCCTTGTTGAGCTTGAGATCCAAAATCTTCCCAAGACTTTCCTCGTCAAAGTTCTCAAAGACAAATGCAGAGTCTAGAGGAAATCGTCGTGCCAGGCCTGGATTGCAATTGCCGTACATTTCCTTCATCTGATCGGGATACCCACAGAGGATGACGCAACGATCCTCGCCAGGTGTGCCAGCGACTTCAGCAACAATGGTGTCGATGATGCCGCCGCGGAAGTCTCCATTCTTGGAATGGCTGTTGGAACTGCGCCCGGGATCCAGCATGTGGGCGTCGTCGATGATCAAAACGCTCCCCTTGGCCTCTCGCAAAGCCTCCTTGGTGTTATTCTCCGATCCTCCTATGTATCGGTCTAGAAGATCAGTAGGAGTCTTGACAAAAACCTCTCCTTTGGACAGAATGCCAAAGTCTGCCAGGATCTTGCCGTAAAGTCGAGCAACCGTCGTCTTTCCGGTGCCTGGCGCTCCCAAAAACACCCGATTGGCGCTGACGTTCAAAGGTTCGTCGCCTCGCATCTCTCGGATGTGGTTTTGGTTGACCTGGTTGACGACGGAAAGGATCGACTCTTTGACGGCATCCAAGCCCACCAGTTCCTGCAACTCCTTCCACGCGGGGCTGTTGTCGGGCCCAAGTGAGGGTTTGTTGCCGAGCAAATCCTCCCTGGTCATCATGTAATCCTCGAGATAGTTGCCGTCCTTTCGCGCCAGGCGAAATCTCTCCACCTGTCGCCTGCAGGCTTCGAGGAATGCTTTTCGGACGGGCCAGATGTTGCCAAACATCTTTTCGTTGATTCCCTGGGTGATCCGGCGCATCAAAATCTTCATAATTGGACCGTCGTAGCCCCCTTCAACCTCCATCTTCTTGTTGAACCATCGTCGCATCATGCCGTGGAAGACTGTCTGCAGCTGATCCTTGTTGTAGTTGGGCAGTTTCAGCACGGGAAAGTGATTCGAGACTTGGGCACTGTAACCAAGTTGATCGGACAAGCCCCAATCTCCGTTGCCAGCAAAAATGATGACAATCTTGCCGGGGAGATCCAGGGAACGGACGTAAAAGTTCCACAAGTTGCAATCATCGTGATCGAGGAGATGAGCGTGGTCGATAATGGCAATCTAACAAGTTAGCCTAGCTCTGGAGCGGACAAGGAAACTTACACATCCGCCGGTGGTGATGCAACTGCTGTGGATGCTGCTGAGGGTCGACGTCTTGGACATGTTGTAGGCGGAAAACTTGCTGATGCCGTCGATGGCACCCACCGCCTTGACTACACCCATCGAGGCCAGGAATTTGGCATACAGATTGGCAAGCATCGTTTTTCCGGTTCCCTGATTGCCCATGAAAACAGCATCAAAGTTTTCCTTTTTCAGGTCGGTTTCGCGTCGTGTCGCAGCCTGAATCTTGGCCTTTGCATGGAGGAAAAAGGCCTTGGCTTCTTCGAGACCTGGTAGAGACATGAGCCTGTCCAGATACTTGTTCTCGGCCTTTTCCACCGTCTTTTGTCGTAGCCATTCGATTCGAGAGGGGGATTCGTCGTCGCAGTCTTCAGGGTCGAGGCCGTCTATAGATTCGTTGTCTGAATCATCGGAATCTTGTTGGGATGACCTGAACAATTAGCATGAGCCGAGAGTGGGCACGACCGAGAGAATGGCCAACGTACTCAATATCATCCAGCAACTGCTCCATCTTTGAGCAAAGCTCCAAGAAGCCCGCCTCTGCCAAAATCTCGGGTTCTCCATCTACAGGAAGCTGCTCGGCTTCCTCGGCTTCCTTGACCTCTTCCTCGGAGAGATCGTCAAACAACCTCCGCAAACCAAACGGGTCGATACCCAAATCATCCTCCTCGGCTTTGACGGGCTGTTTTACGGTGCGACGGGTTCTGGGCTTTCTAGATCTCCGGGACCTTTTACTGGGAACGATGCCTATGATGAAGCGGACAGAGAAGTTGGGGTCATTTGTTTCGTATTGCTTGGCCCAGGGCGGGGTCGTGGGGATATGCTGATAAGGCTGGAGACCAAGCAGCCAGCTGACGCGGAAGCTTGGGTTTGTTGACTGGAACTCCATGATTTGGGCTTGCGATACACGATGCAAGTCCAAACCTAAGAGCGAGCCAGCTAGCTAGCAAGCAAGGGGATGAGCACAGGATGAGGGCGAGCAAGGCGAGGTGAGGGCGAGGCACGAGGCACGCGAGGGACGATAAGGCGAGAGAGAGCGACGTGGGACGGAGCCGAGAGCGGGGACAGCGGCTAGGATCCCGATGTCGTGACGGAGATGACGGGATGGCGGAGAAGACAGAGTAATGATGACGGATATAGATGGACGCTGACGACGGGAGTCGTGGGGAATCAAGAACAAGGGATGCAGTGCAAAAGACAGACGTGACGATGAAGGAAGAGAAGGAAATGGGAACGAGGGAGGAACGAGGCACCATGCAGGCTACTTTTGACGTGTGAAGTTGACTCTCCAGGCAGCCAATGGCCGGGTTGATTTAGGCCGGGCGCTGTCTCTTGTCTCTGGGATGGAAGGCACAGTACAAAGCACAGCGTCAGTAAGGCATAGTGGGAGGGGCCGGCGAGACAGGGTCGAGGTACTTGGTGCCTGTCTAGAGGTACTTGACCGAGACTCATTGGCCTGGGCCTGGTTCAACGCAGTGGTAGAGACAAAGAGGTTGGAGCTGTGCTGTTGACAGCCTGGTTGACGGCCTGGAAGACGCGGCGTTGTACCTCGCTACGTCACATTCTCAGCTTGGGGGGTACCCACCCTGTAGCGGATCCAGGCGGACCAGCCTCAAACAAGCCAACGAAGGCTGGGCCACAAAGGCTGGGCCACGGAACCTACAGGCTACGATGCCCGAAGAGTCATTCGGCTTGTTCAGCAGTTCAGTAGTTCGGCGATTCACCAGGACTAGTCGTTCAGCAGAGGCACAAAGACACCAAATCCATCTCAAGTACCGACTACTGTCCTTCGTACCTCGTCCATCCTCCGTCCTCCGTCCTCCGTCCTCTCCATCGGATGCCTCATGCACTGCCACGGGACCATGGCGCATTGGGGGGATTCGGGGCGCCTCAATGGAATGGAGCACTCTGGTTGGCTGTTGCCTGGCGGCTTGCGTGAGATGGACGCCTTGTCGGGACGATGGCGATGGTGGATGGCTTATGCTAAAGGTTATGCGGAGAAAGTCGCTTGGTGCAGGTTGTGTCGTTGCTCGGCCTTTCCGAGAAATGTCACCAAAGGATCATCTCATGAATTATCACGTCCTTGATTCATCATCTTCCCTCCCTCCAACAAGGCTGAACCCAAAGACACCATCGCCAATCGTTCCTCCACCAGACGGGATCCCGCTGCCCCGGGGAACCCAACTGGAGACGGGACCCGTTGAGGACCACTAAGAGTCACAACCAAGCCACTAGGGCCACTGTGACTCCAGGGAGTTCCACTGGGCCACAGTGCGGTGGGGGTTGGTTCGCCTTGCCTTTTCCTGTGGGGCTTTGCTCGACAACATTGACCACGACACGAATGAATGCAGCAAGAGGGCATGTATTGGACTGTTTGGACATTGGGCTGAGTGAATTGGGCTGAGTGAATTGAGCAGCCGAACCAGATGGATTCATCGCACCACCCACGATGAATCCTAGGTAGAGAAGAAAGAACCTCAATCTCCCAGCCCCAAACCCCAAACCCCAAACAAAAGCAAACCTGCAAGCCAAACGCCGGCCCCGACTTTGTTGAGACGCCGGCGGTTACGGTACGGTCCAGTGCAGCGCGGTGCGGTGCGCCCAGGTGAGAGTCTCTGGCTGCCGACAAGGGTTAGACGCAGCCTCTCACGGCGAGTCGCCAGAAAGTGAGGCGGCGCTGGCGGCACATGGATGCATGGATTGGCTGGATACATGGATGGATTGGCTGGATGCATGGATGGCTTGGCTGTACAGTATGGATGGCTGGATGGCTGGATGGCTGGCTGCCACTCTGCCACGGAATATGCGCAACCAACCCATCAGTCTGAGTCCAAGTCTGGGCTCTGGAGCGTCGCCGTGTGCCACGATAATGAGGATCCCGACTGCGGGGCCATGCGTCGATTGCAGATTGCACTGCAATGTCTGGAATGTCATGATTCCACGAATTTCCAAGATTCTTGCTGGCCATTGAAGGCCTCATTTGACATCAAGAACCCTGCCGCCGGCATTGAGAAAAGAGGGTCATCCATGCGTCATCTGCCGCTTTGCATCCTTGTCCACTGCATCCGCTCAGCCTCTCCTCTCAGCCTCTGACCTCACGCCCGTCTGTCTGCCTTGTCCAAAGATCCTAAAGAACCAGGCGTCGCAGGCCATTCCGAAAGTGTACATATTCGTCCCCCGTGAAGCTATGCACGACATCAGCTCACAGAGGCCGCCTGCAGTCTTGGATCCTCACAACAAACACCTGCGTCCATCGCGCAGTGCAACCACAAGATGCGGTGGCGGAAGGATCCCTCGTATCCGGAACTGCACCGTGAATGTATCTCAGCCTTGATCGTAGTACATTAGGAATCTAATCGTGGTGGAGCGGCTGAGGCAGGTTGGCGCTTTGTGGGGTGCCTTGGACGAGCTGCGAATGCTCCAGATAGCAACCAGCTAGTGAGTAAGTGTGGATCTAAGCCTTTAGCTTGCAAGATCGTTGTCCATGGACAGGCAGCAAGACTCCTGAATATGGCGTTGCGATTGACTGTCTACGGGCTTGTTCTATGGAGCGCCATCGTTTACTTACACAGGGTATTATGCGTAAGACTGGCCTATCAGACGTACGAAGCATTACCCCCAAAGTCTGGGTAGTGACACATCTCGCTCATCTTGGCAGAGCCAAATGGCCTACCCTACACTGGGGAAATATGCTGTCCCAAATTATTCAACTCGCCAGCCACTTCTTCCCCGTGCCCCATTCATCATTGAAGAGAGGTTAATTGACGTCTGGTTCATTGTGTACAAATGGCATGTGCTGTTTCTGATTGATTCTAAGGTTTCGTGGGTTGACAAATGAGTCTGTCCTGTCATGACTCTTGGGCAGGCTCGCATTCGAGACGTCACTCTCAAGAGGGAAACTCATGCTGGGACCCCATGATATGCAGCCAGGTCTCTATCATTCAGCCCATGAGGCCCAAGTGATCAAACCCGGGTAGCAGATGACATGCGTGTGTTTGAGTGGCTCGAGAACATATGTCTGAACTCAACTAGGTCTGTTCCAGCCTTCCATCCCAGCACTCATGGCTATCACCTTCAAGTCCTCATCAACGTGGCATGTCATTATTTAAGATGTATCCGAGGCTTCTATTGCTGCCGCTAATCCTGCGTCGAATGCAGTGATGCCATGCGACACGGACAGCGGAAGGACTAGAACTGGATCGCCTCTCTAGACGTTCACTCTCAAGCAGACTGCTCTATCACGCAAGCTCTTCGATTTAGTCTCTTTATGGTTCAGTGCCCTCACTAGGACCAGAAATAAGGATAAACAGGTCGCCCCTGGTTGACAAGGTCGTTGGCCATTTAATGAAGACACCCGCTGAGGGGTACAATGTTCCCATCATGTCTTGTAGATACGGTATAATTAGCTCCCCTGGCGATAATTCAGCCCAAATTAGACGTCTAGTATCAGGGAGTGGTCGCGGCAAGGCGAATATCCGTGTCGTGATGTGAGAATAACGAGCTTGCCAGCTGCCACGGGTGATTGAACTTTGCGAGAGGGGGATCAATTGGCAAATCACGGCTTCATACAAATAGTCCACCCTTTTCCATGAGTAAAATGAATCATATGTCCTGCCTTTCGTTGGATACTTGCGTGGTTGATGTAGAATGAATTGCGCTGCGACGATACCATTGTCTGCCACGGCAGACAGTCAACGAAACTCCTACATTACAAGTTCTTAGATATCTAAGGGACGAGTTATGGACACATTGTAATACAATATGTACAAGAGAGTGTTTAACGTAACGGAGATTTCTCATAACCACTTGCAACTCGTAGCAAAACACCACTTGCTCACCTGAGTCACTCACAACTTGCTCACCTAAATCACTCACAGGCAGGGCTTAGCACCCAGATATAGACATCTACTGCGTAGTATTCATTCAAATCACTTCATAAACATCGAACTAACTATTAGATGAAGACTTGTAACCTAATACGAACATGCTGACTAGATATAGGGTAGGGACATGGCAGCTGATTGAACCAAGGAAACGATGCAATCTGCAACCGAGAAACACGAAATGTATCAGTCAACTAATTCATTTCCTTTACCGGACAAGGCGATTAAAACAGAAACTCTTGATTGGAGGAGATAGTTCGTCTTGGCGGCTGGGTGTCCAATCTCCTAGTCTTGCCTAGGAAATGATCAACTACAACACCTTCTGCAAACGGTCTTTCCGACATTACTTTCTCTTGATCTCTCGGTGATCTCTCGGAGCATCCACTCCAGACGAGTGTTGATCTTTGATCTCAAACAATGGCAGAGATACAAAGTGCCCCTGCTACGAGAAAGTTCTCTTCCGGATTGATCTTTGTCTCATTCCAAGTCTCACTTTTTGTCCGTGCTACGTCACCTGCCACCAATTGCCATCGCCGGAGCTGTGTCTCAGATATCCCGGACCTCGGTACGGTCACTACCGGCGACTCCGTGGGCATGCTCAAAGCTATCTTGGACTACGGCGGCGACTTGAGCTGAAGATAATGACAAGTCAGGCGCTCGGTACGCGGAAGAAGCGACAAAAGTAAACCTCGGTTGTGGTGCGCTCAGTCGAGTCAGACTTATTGAGTCAGACCCTCGAGCGTACTGACCGAGGCTTGGCCGGGAGCCATCTCCAACACCCTACGTCATAAGAGCTAGGTGTGATTAATACACACCTCGGTTGCATTTTCGTCTGGATGCAAGGGGATTTTGAGGCCTTCTCTTTTGGTGGACGGATAGGCTAACATGGGTGGTTAGAGCGGGTGGCTGAACAGATGGACGGGAGCGGATAGAGGTGCATGGACGGATAGAGATGCGTAGGGGATAGAGATGCGTAGCGGATAGAGGTGCATAGACGAATAGACGGTGTGTGAGACGGAAGAGGCGCATAGATGGGCATACAAGCAAATAGGGGCTTTGGACCTGGAGGGGTGAAGATTCAAATTGGCCATCTGCATGCTAGAAATGACCAAACCTGTAACGATGATTGAGGCCTGAAATCATGTGGTCATTTCCATCCCGATCGTGATAGATGCAGCTGCAGCACCTCATCAAGATCCTATCGACCATGGTTGATCGACGGGAGGGAAGAGACGACAGCGCCTATCAGAGACAGATCCTTAAAAACAAGCTCGCCACCGCCGTCGATCCACCAGTTGGGCGCGAAAAAACGACTCGTCACCTTTGTGCCCGCCCTTGGGTTTTGGTTGCGGAGCATCGATGCCTTGTCGTCGTAGTCGCACCGAAAACCCTCGTCAGGACCCGTTTTCTGAACCCCGAATTCTGGATTTCCTTGAAACAGCGAGACACAGAAATCGCCCTTGCACGCGGCGCACTGAGGAAAAAGCAAAAAAACAAAGGTCATTTTCCAGCCGCTGCCCCCGCCGCCGGGTGTCTCACTGAAGGCCACTTTTGCCTGCCCCGAAGGCCCGGAGCGGCGGATGGCTTGCGTTCCAGGGCTGAAAAAAGAAACGACGGCATGCAGGCAAGACACCGGATATAGCAAGGGGAAAAGAGGAAACGTGGAGAGAGGGGGGCGGTGAGAAATGGACGCTTTTGGGTGTGCTCGGGGCGTGGTGCCGTGGAAGAGGCTTGGAAGGATTGTGGAAGCGTGGAAGGGCAAGGGCGTGGAAGGGCAAGGGCGTGGGGTTGGACGAGACGAGATGAGCCGAGGGGTGTGACTGGCGGCAATCAAGGGTCGGATTGACATACTACGTAGTATCTTGACGATTGCGATTGCGATTGACGACTTGACCTGGGGGTTGCGAGGTTTAGAGTCTGTAAGGGATACTTTCAAGGCTTCAACGTGAGGTCTAGACTTTGGCACAACAGCACCCAGACCAGGGAAGGGAATGCCGCGTTCAACCCATCCGCCAACAGGCCAGACACAACCGTCGGGGCCGAGTCTATGCCAGAGCAGACCGACTCGGAAAAAAAGCCGAACAAAAAAAAAGGAACGTACGATGCCGAAATGCCATGCCAAGCACGCACCGTAAACTCCAAACCATGCTCGTTCTGCCCTGTACGCTGCTGCAACATGCACCTGCGCATCTCCGCTGGCGAACCACCCCCGGGAACTGGGGATTCCCCAACGCTGGCAACACCGGGGGGATTCCAATGGCCGGTTTTCGACTCCCTGGCTTTGACCGGTTTTCTCTCGACTGCTGCTGGTAGGCCTCTTGACTGGTTCCCTTGCTTGACCGGTCCCCCCCATCCGCCCTGGACTCTTCTTCCGTCACAGGGCCCCCCCCCCGTGTTGGCATGGGCTCATATCGACGTCCGTTCGCCGGCGCACACATGCTACGGTAGTGCTCGGCTTGCAATCAAACCAATGGCGGCTGGCCGGTGTTCCGTCCTAGGTAGTCCGTATTTTGGCCCCGGGGCCCTGCAATAAGCCGTCCCTTGCTAGGCATTCCGATCCTGTCATCTTTGCGCGGTAGCGAGAGGAAAACCGCCTTCAAACCGCCAGGCCCCTCGGGCATCACCCGTCGGGCTGCTGTCCAACATGGCACGCATGGCACGCACTGCCACGGTTGTTCATGTCACGCACGCACTGCCACGGGGTTTGTTCAATGCAAGGACGGACAACAGGAGCGAAAAAAAGAAATTCCCAGACATCAAGGAGCACTGTAACGTACAACCGCAATGCAGCGTGAAAAACCCACAAACTCACTCACCGCATGGCTAGCCCAGTGGAGATGGGCAGTGAAACCTGCAGCTCCAAACCCCGAGCACAGGACGCTCTCTCGCTCGAGCTCCTCGAACGCGACCCGCTTGGCGACTTTCCACGAAGCCTTCTGGAAGACCATTGCCAAATGTCACCAGCGCCCGCCCCACGCGACAAGAGCCCAGCGCCCGCAGGGGTGTTTGGCCCCCCCCGGGAAAAGAAACGATGTGGGCAGAACGGCATTCTGCGCCCCCAAACCCCGGATCGATGCTGCGCGGATGGCATCAGGAAGAGCGAGTTTTGGAGGTCGAGGTCGAGGTCCTTTTTGCACGGGCCTTGGGGGGGGGGGGGGGGATTTATTCACCTCAGCCCACTTTTGGCGGGTGGCCCAGCGGACGAGGCCCTGCATCGAGAGGCATTATCGTCGTGTTGTTGCGGCTCTTCTGCCCACCAGCCCGGATCCACCGGGACTTGGGGTCAGTCGACTGAAGAGAACTCTTGTCCTGCTCCAAGCAAGGGAATGCGTGATGCACCGAGGAAGCGTGTTTGCATGCATGCGCTGCGCTGCGACCTGCTTTTCTGTTGCGGTTGCAGAAAACGACGACCCATTGGGTGCTGATGAAGTCGCATTGGCCGTGGCCCCCTTTTGTTACAAGGTGATCATTTCATTACTGCGTGGCGTCCCTGTTTGAGCTTGATGACGACGATGAGGATGGATCTCTGTGCAAAACATTTTGCTCCCCGTTGCACTTCCACACGGGCATCCTCGCATCTTTGCGTCCATGTTCGCCGCTCCACCTTGGTCCTCCCATGTGATTCCATCTCATCACCATCACCATCACCATCACCAACCAACCCATGTCTGGCAATCCGGCGCACGCGACGAGTGGATCCTCAGTCCCAGTCCCAGTCCCAGTCCCAGTCCCGAGTCCCGGCCATGTCGCCGTCTCGTTTTGTCGCCGTGCTTTACGTATTCAGTTGCGCCAGCCGCGAGCAGCTCCACCTGGGACTTGGCATTGTGCGGGCTCGACTTGTCTGTTTCTGGATTGCCTTGACTCGCTGTTCTCGTTACAGTCTGTCTTTTATTACTCCGTGCTGCGTACTCTCCTGCTCCTCTCCTCTCATAATCATTACTTGCTATTCCGTAACGCTAACCTTGAACGAACCGCGCCGTGGCCCCGGCATACGGCCTTGGCAGGGACTAAAACCGTCGAAACCCACCCGCGACCCTACGCCTTCTTGGTGTCTTCCTGTCTCCCCTTCCCCTTGTCCCTCCCCCTCCCCCTCACAAGTGCCAACTAACTAACCCCCGTTGCGTCTCTTCCACGCCGGTGGCCTGTCTTGGTCCGAGCTAGTCCGCAGGTTGTTGCTCCCCCTGTTGGACCGACAGCGGAGTCCTCTAGCCGCAGCGCAAGTGATGAGAAAGGCACCTCCACCCGCGGGTCGGAGGCCCAACCGGAGGACCCCAATTACAAGGGAATTGCATTCCGGTGCTTGCTGTGTCGCTCTCGCATCGCACTGCCGCACTCAACTCGCTCGGTCAACTCGCTCCATCAACTCGCTCCACCGGACGGTCCCACGGGGGATTTGCGCGGGTGCTCGTTTTGAGTCGATTCCGCCCGTGACGCCGGTGCCCTCCGCAGGTGCCCTCCGCACTGGCACCATTGTCGAGGAGGTCCTTGCCTGGTCCCCTGTCCGAGGTTCCCATATGAGGGAAAAGAATATCTGCCATGGGTTGAAGGTTGACGAGTGGTACTCGGTAGTAGTGTCAAGCTTTGTCCATTCGTCCTTTAATAAAGCAAAAAAACCCCGCCATCCCATTGATCCGTCCCCATGTCCCATCGTCCACATCTTCAGAGCAAGTTTCAAGTCCAACGCAGCTTTCACTTTTTCTTTCCACGGCAAACCTACGTGTATCCCATATCTGCACTGCCGTTTGCCGTTGCCTCTGTGTTGCGCTGGCGTTGCATGTCGCAGCCAGTCATCATCTCGCCTTTTTGCGTCGGTAGTAGGCAGATTGCTTGCCGCTTTGTTGCCGGCTGCTTGCGCGCGCACCGCAGCGAAACACACAGACACGACGCAAGACTGACGCACAGTCGCCAGCCACTTTCCCACGAGGCGAGGCGGAACGAAACCTGGTCGTTGTAGTTGTTGCAGCCGCAGTCGAGTTGCAGTCGCAGTCGCAGACGAGTTGCAGTCGCAGTCGCAGTCGCAATTGCAAATCCCAGTCGCAATCCCCCTCCCCCCCAAAGTTCCACACCACCAACCGACGACCCCGACGCCAGCGGCATCTCGCTTCACCACAACAGCTACGCCGGTAAGAAGGAAAAAGCCATCGCTGGGTGTCCCTGGTGCCCCGAAGCGGACTAGAACCTCCAAGTCTCCAAGTCTCCAACCCACCGAGTCTCCAACGACACACCCACTCGCGACACACGCCAAAGGCCCCAACTTCCGCCAAACTCCCGCCAAAACTCCCGCCCACTTACCAAAACCTGCCAAAACTCCCATCCCCCCTCTCAAGAAAGCCAAGAAGCTGCCGACTAGAAGCTAGAGACAAGCTAGACCCTACAAGCCAGAAGCTAGAACCCGGCACTGTCCTTCAACTTGCGCCCACAACTTGCGCCCACGCCGGCTTATTACCTCCACTGGCGCACTACCACTACCCTTCCGAACTTAGTGAGGCCCCAGAAGTTTGTCTGTCCGTCGTTTCCGTCGATCCATCCACGCCAACAAACGGCGTCGGCTTTTTTGATTCTCTCTTTTCTCACTTCTACCTTTTTCTTCCTTCTCCGCTTCTTCTTCCCTCTTTCCCTTTTTTTTCCTCCCCTCATACCCATTTTTGCGCCTCCGCCATCGCTCCTTTTCTCTTTCTCTCTCACGTCGATCCCGATCCACGTTGCCACTCTTTGAAAGCCTCCCCTCACTACGGCCCCCGCGCACTCCGCTCGCTTTCCCAGACCCGGAGCAGGACTTGAGAGTCAAAGCCACAACAAGACGAGACATATCGACGGCGTAAACGATAGACGACGGCACAATCGACACGGCAATCGACACGGCAATCGTCACTACATTCATCCGCCTCCACAATCATCCGCCTCCACTTCCCAACCGTCGAGACATCCCAGACATCCAAGACAATCAGAGACAACGCGCCCTTGAGCCTACGCGCTCGCCCCGGCTTCTCGACTGGCTGTCCGTCAGCCCATCAGCCTGCAGCCCGCCTCCGGATAAGATTGTACCCCTCCAATCGATAACATCTACACCTTTTCTCCGCCTGCGATTCGACTGATACGTCATGACATACATTGTAAGTCACCACTATCACCATCACCAATCAACCAATCTACCACCGCATCCCCAATGCCCAATGCCACGTCCCACGCTTCCTACCGCATGTCCCACGTTCTGCAACCATCCCCATGTCTCAGGTCTAGCGGCCAGAAGCAAGCAATCAAGCGGCAAGCAAGTAGGAAGCAGCCGCAGCAGCAGCAAACAATCAAGCACACGCCACCTACGCTTTCTTCTTCACATGCTCCGCCTTGTGTCTTGGGTTGTTGTCCCTTGGGTTGTCACTGTTGTCACTTGGCTTTCCTTGTCATTTGCCTGTCACTGGTCTGTCACTCGCCCTTCACTCGCCCATCACTCACCCATACTCACCCACACTCACTCATACTCTCTCCCACCCCTGTCCGTCCTCGCTCATCGACGTTGCTTCTTCCATTCCCCTTCCGTCTCTTCCTTGTCGTGCCACCCCCCCTGCCATCATCTCCCTGCTTCCCCCGTGGGCGGCCCGTCTGCCGTACCATCATCTTGGTCAGAGCCGCCAGTCTCAGTCTTTTGCCCTCATTCGTTCGGCCTCACCATTCGCACTCACTCCCTCACTCCCTCACTCCCTCTCACACCTCCCCTCCATCGGAGTACAATACCCCGGGCACAAACACTCCGAGGCAAACACCCCGGCAGTGACAGACACACACACACCCTCTAGACATTCATCCACACCGCCTCACCGCTCGATTGCTTGCTTTCGACCTCTCCCGTCAATGCCTTCCGACACGTCCCGTTCTCCCGTTCTAGTTGACCGAGTGCCACACCACTTCCCCCATGACCTAGGCGCGGCCCGTCGCTGGCGAGATGTAGCATCCTGATATATATCACTGCTTGACGCCGTGGTTTCGCTCGTCATCTCACTCTTGTCCCAATGTTTGCCCCCATCCCTGCTGCAGCACACGTCATGGGCTCCTGATTTGATATCGCCCTATCGCCTATCGCTCCCTATCTCTCCTTGACCGACCGCCAACATGGGCAAGGCACACCAGCTAATGGCGTCTCTCCAGCTATGTCTCGCCCACTATTGCGACCTCCATGGCCCGACTCCCCTCATGGTCACCGAGGGCCTCCCCGCCTCGTGCACCGTCTGCTTTGACCACGGGCCCCCAAATTCCGACCGACCGAGATCCAGCGCACAACCCACCGGAACGAGCTCGCAATCGTCAGCCGCCCTGAACGAAGCCCTGAGGAGTTTGAATCTAGGCCGCAGCTCGTCCGCGCCGGCTGAAGATGCCCAAACCCACGCCGCCCTGTTGCGCTCTGCCAGCGGTGGCGCGACGCCCTCGGCCATCGACACCCCCCCCGACAGCCCGCGACCGGCGACGTCACTGCCACCACGGCGCGACTCCAGCTTCCGACGCACGTACGACGAGACGGTCACCAAGAAGCAGGGCCCTTGCGACAACTGCGCCATGACGCTCCCGCCGCGACAGCAGGGCGGCTCCGGAAGCGTCTTGACGACCAACACGCGCGGGCCGACGCTGCGGACTCGCGCGCCCGCGGAACGAGTCTTTGGCGCGGGCGGCCAGGCGTCGCCTCCCAGCTCGCAAACCTCCAGCGACACGGACGATCGCGACGACGGTCACCGGGCGCGCAAACGGGCCACACCCTCAGCTAGCTCCCGCGATACCTCCCGGTCCAGCACGTCAACCGCCGCGGACCGCACGCCTTTCCACGTCCACTACGTCGACTACACCTCGACGCACGACCCGGTGCTGCCCGACTCCTTCTCGCTCGTCCGCGCCTCGTGTCTTCGCACGCTGTCCTTCGAGACGCTGCCGCGAGCCCCTGCCACCGCCACCCCCACGTCGCCCCTATCCTCCGCGTCCCCCGCCTTTGTCACCACCCAGAGCGCCGGTTCCGCAGTGTCCGGGGGCCCCATCTTCTTCGGGGATGCCCTCGCGGGGTACACCACGGCCTACATCTTTCGCATCCCCGACGTGCACGCCCGCGGCCACAAGCGCGTCTACGCCTTCATGGCCCTCAGCACCCACCGCGAGCGCCTGGCCATGAAGACGTTTGCCGTCGTGTCGGCCGCCTTCCGCGACTTTGCCGGCTGGATCCAGCAGCTCGCCGAAGCCGAAGCCGAGCGCGCCGCCGCCGACTCGTCCCCCATCGGCAGCACCGTCTACGCAGCGCCCAAGAAGCCCGTGGCCGACGCTCCCGCCGCGGACCGCGGAGGCAGCAGCTTCCTGACGGGCGGCAGCGGATTCACCCGAAGGATGGGTGGCGGGGGCGGTGCCTCGGCTCCCAAGGCCCGTGGATTGGCTGAAATCGTCGGGCAACCAGACATCTTTATCGAGTTGCACCGCCGCTTCGTCCACCTCCTGTTCGAGGTGGGCGTTACCTTGGGCTCCTGAGGAGCTGCGCATGCCTTTAGCATGCATATACGTTTTTACACGCCTGTCCCCGGACGTCTGGCGTGTCTCTGTCCAACAGAGATCAACGGCTCAATGCCAACCCTTCTCACTGCAGGCCTGGGTCGAGTTTATCCGCTCCCCAACCGCAGTGTGTATTTCTAGACCTTGTCCGCATTGGCTTCATTTCTCATGGCACTGAGCGCTTCTGATTTTGTGATTTTACCGGCGAGCATCAACGGGAGGCAATATCAAAATAGACGGAGGAACGGAGTGGAAAACAGGAACGGAGTTTTGGGACATGTTTAATGCAATACATGGTCATGAGCGTTCATGATTGGCAGGGTCCAATTTTGGAAGAGGAGGAATTGTCACGTCTCTCTGAGAGAGATTGGGTGGGACCCATATAGACGGTGGAATTGAGTTATGATCAAGAGCTGGTCTGAAGTTGTCTGTGAATGCTGATCTGGATGACTTTGGTCAAGGGATGACCTTGGCCCAGTGATGATTGATTGCTGTTTTACAAGTAATGTGGAACAAAGACACCCTGGAAAGCCTAGACGCCCTTCAATTCTATTCTAGGACGATACCTAGTCTATCCTTGTTCCATCCCAATTACAACCCGTCGATCCGCTCTTTGCCTAGATTTCCGTCCCAAATTAGGTTGTACAGCGGAGAATACATGAGTAGCAGATTCTGAGACGAGTTTACTTGTAAAAGTCAAACTTGTTCTCGTCGCTGGTACCCTTGACCTGGCTTGAGTAAGCATCCTCGAGATCGCTCTGGATGATGTTGTAGCGGTTCTTGCGGACAGCGCGGAGGCCGGCTTCCTGTATGATGGCGGCGATGACGGCACCGGAGAGAGGGTCGTTGCGGACGATGAGGGAATCGAGGTCGACTTCAGGGGCGAGGCTCATCTTGCTGGCGATGGTGCTGAAGATGAGACGACGCTCTCGGCGATCGCGAAGGGAGGGAAACTCAATCTTTCGGTCCAGACGACCGGGTCGCAGCAGGGCGGGGTCGAGAGTATCGGCACGGTTGGTGGCCATGATGACCTTGACGTTGGAGGTTTGGTCAAAACCATCCATCTGGTTGAGAAGCTCGAGCAGGATACGCTGAACTTCACGATCGGCACCGGTCTGGGCATCGAATCGCTTGGTGGCAATGGCATCGATTTCGTCGATGAAGATGATTGCGGGCGAGTTCTCGCGGGCCATGCGGAAGACGTCGCGGACCATACGAGGACCCTCACCCAGGTACTTTTGAACAAACTCAGAGCCAACGACACGGATGAAGTTGGCAGTGGTGGAGTTGGCGACGGCCTTGACCAACATGGTCTTGCCGGTACCGGGGGGACCGTACAACAAAACACCGCGGGGAGGGTCGATACCAATCTGCTTGTAGAGGTCAAAGTGCGTCAAAGGCAACTCGACAGCCTCGCGAATCTCCTGCTTCTGCATGTCGAGACCACCAACATCGGCGTACGTCACGTCGGGCTTCTCGTCAGCGCCGAGCATGGCAATGGAGGAGTCGGCCTCTGGGGGAAGGATGTCGACAAGGGCATTGGAGTGTCGGTGGAGGGCGACGGAGGAGGAGGCCTTGAGCTTCTCGCGGTCAAGAGTGGAGAGGATTCGGACGACGTAGTTGGACCCAGTGCTGGATTGAACAATGCCGGTACTGGAGAGGTTAGTATGGAGGAGGATGAGGGAGAGGGAGAGGGACGCACTTTTGGTCGATAGCCTCCATAAACTGGCCAATGACCAGAGGTACACTCTGAATCCGCTTAATCTCTTCTTGAGCTCGCACCAGCTCGCGCTTCAAACTCCTGTGACGGTTAGGACTGTAGAGTAAATGGCACGCTGGACAAACCTTTGCTCATCCTTGATGTATTCCTCTTGCAGCTGGATATATCTGCCATCGTCAGTCATGCTCTTCAGCGCGGGCCTGAATCCTTACTCTAGTTGCCGTTGAAGTTTCTTCAGGTTCGCGTAGTCATCGCCACCCTCGGTCGTCACACCCTCGAAGCTGTCAATGGTCGGGATGGTCGAGGGCGCGGCCTTCTTGTGAGGTGGCAGGATGTTTGCCGGGTTCTCGACAGCAATGTCGCCCATTTTTGCGCTTCTGGAAGGATCGGCTATGGCTCTGTGTGATGCGGATGGGAATCTCGATCGTTCGGTAGCGTGTCGTCGGTCGGGAAGGGTTTGTTGTCGTTGAGATGATGAAGCTCTAGTTTGATGCAGTCCAGGCGCCAGCAACGACGACGACGACACAGAGCTATGGCCTTGCCTTCAGCGGGGCTTAGTCATCCGTGGTTGGTTGAAGAAGAGTCACGTGAATATCACATTTGGAAGGACAACGGGAGTCTTTCATGATTGGTCCACGAAACAGGGTGGGGACAGGCTCCAGCTGCAAGGCTCCAAGGCTTCAACCGGTCTCTGAGGCTCCAGTGGGTCAGCCACAGCTCAGGATTGGCCGATGACGGTGGTTGCCTCCACAGCAGCTGCGCCAGTGCGGGGACGCTTGGTACAACTGAGCTACGGCTGGCGGAATCGTACGGGTACATGGCACATGTCGGGCGGTTTAGGCCTTTGAGCCTGTGGAGCGTGCTGTGGAGTGCTTTAGCGGGCTGGCTTTGGGGTCATGACGCCTGGAGCGGCTCCTGGCCGAATCCCTGTCGGAGGTCAAGTCACGACGGTGTGATGCTACGATTCGCCCGATACCTGGCGCTGATAAGGCTCCCCGCGATTCTCGGTGAGGATGTCTAAGAGGGGGGAGGTATTGTACTGTCCAGCAGGACCAGCACTGTGTTGTGTTGAATGCTTAAACCTTGGAGGAGCCATGATCCATGCTCCCCACAGGTACCTTTATGCCCTGCGTCAGGTAAACGCAATGTACCCTGTGTCGCGCCTCCTGCCTTGGGCGCCCATGTCGGCCATGTCGGGGTGTGGCTTATCAGCGGTCGAGTCACTTGCCCGCTCACGGGATGATGCGGCAGTGAATCACTGGCGCAGAGTGGCCCATCGGCAGCCGGAGTTCGACAAGTCACCAGTCGCCAGTCACTTGCATCTTGAAACCCTCCAGTGGTCCCACGGCTGTCATTCTCAACCTTCCACCTTCCACCTTTCTCTCCCTCACTCTCTCTCCCATCTCGACAGTTGAACCGTACTTTGTCCCTTGCGTCATTCCGTGAGGCCGTCACCTCCGAACCTCGTTCTGTGCCTGCTGCTGCGTCTATCGTCTACCCCTCGTTTCCGTTCCGGCCGCATCCTTGTATCGTCGTCTGCCACCATCTCCCTCACTCGCCACTCTCCCTCGTCGCTCTCCTCACTCGCCCGCCACTCACACCATGTCGTCCTCCATCGCCATTCCCGCTGGCCCCTCGGCTACGCACTCCTACCACTCTCCCAAGGGCACCGGCTCTTCTGCCAACAGTCCCTACTCGAGCTCGCCTTCGTCCCCGCCTTCCGCCCGCAAGAGCAAGGCGCTGCACACCCGCCGCCAAAGCCTCCTGAGTACGTGATGCTCCCAACCCTTCACCTGCTGCGTCATGACATGATTGTCTCGGATGGCATAATCGACGTCCCGCATTCCGACATTGTGCTGACTCCATCCAGGCTCTGCCATCTCCAAGCAAGAATGCACTGTCATTAACATCGGCGACCCGGACGGACCCCCTCGCTTGGTATGTGCTCCTCGACATGGGTCCAGGCCACAACTGACACCACTAGATCTCGTACCTTTCCTCCAGCCAAGGCTTCGCTTGGAACCCGGGTATGTTTTCCAGCCCAAGACCTCCATCACTTACTAACCACCATTAGAAATCTTCCTCCCCTCCTACGTCGATTGCGATTACGTCCCCTTGGAGAACCGCCGAGACCCCGTCCACGAGATCCTCCTCAGCGATGAGGAGTCCAAGAACCTCCTGCCGCAATAGGTTACCTTTCCTTCAACATATACCCGGATCGACCTGCGACTTAGACATTTCCTTCTCGCGAGACTCGACTTGACATTTTTACATCACCTGGCGCCTCGGTTCGCCAATACTTTCGACTGGACAAGGAGTTTAGCTACCGCCGGTAGCATGGTAGCACTGTTTGATGGAGTAATTTAGGATGGGCATCCTTGTGAATGGGCTTGACAGCCTCTTTGAGGCGGAGTACAACAAACATGGTGGAGCATCATGCGGTCAATAGGACCTGGCAAATTGGGATTGGGATCGGTGCGTAGCCTGGCTTGGCGGGCACTGGGAGTTTGGTCCTTCAGATTGCTTTGACTCTGCGTTGATATTTGTTAGTTGTTGACTTGATCCTGGTGGCGTTGTTTCATGGCTGTATGTTAACTCTCCTCAATTTACTGGTTCCGAGTACGCAGTATCCGGCTTGATATCCGGTTTCGGTGATCTGCATGATGCGACGGTGTGACAACAGACGTCTGGTAATGGGGTTTACCCATGCCAGGATTACGTCAATGGCCTCCCACACATTGTCCATGGTACAAACTCATACATATTTGACATCTAACGAAGATCACAACCATAGTCCTGCCTTCCGATTCATCTGCCCTCAAATCATCGAGTTTGCCAAACATAAATAGAACAACAAATCCCAATTGACACAGAGACCCAGCATCATGGATTGGCCTGGTCTATCTCCAACTCCTTGCGCACGTCGCGCCACTTCTTTGGTATCCCGTTGAGGGTGTTGTGGATTTTTGCATGTTCGTATGCCGTCTTCCCATCCGAGTCGCAAGCGTAGAAATTCGCGCCGTTTTTTATGAGCAGTGTGATGATCTTGCTGATTGTCTTGGTTCGATGTTCGCGGTAGGCCTTTTCGCTCCTCGTCAGGTCCCGGAATTGGAGGAGAGAAGGATGGGCTCTGTATTTGTTGGTGAACCTTGGGTTTTCTTTCTGGACAATCCCCAGGAATTGCGGTGAAAAGTCGAGGTTGTTCCTTGTTCTGAGTCCCATCAGACCCCAGACTGCGGGTGACGAAAGCCCCCCTCGAAGCTTGCAGATGCGAAGGAGGAGAGAATCCTCTGGTTGGAATCCCAATTCGACAATTCCTTCAACAAACCGGCATGTCTGGAAGAGTGTCCCAAATGCCATAGAGTTCCTGACCCGATCTGGATGGAAGAAAGTGAGGAAAGGAGATTTGGTATCCAGTGAGGTCTCAGTTGAGGCATATTGAGGAATCAACATGTCCATGGCCCAAGCCAGATCCCATCCTTGAAGATTCTCAATTGCCCAATGCAAAACATGCACCCCGTCCTCGGTGTGGAAGGTCGCTGGGTCGAGAGGCGGTTGGATCAAAGACTCGAACTTTGATTTCCGACATTTCTCCACGGCTTTGAGGTATTTAGGATCTTCGATGGCGTAATTGAATGAATATCTCAGCGATCGTAACTCGTGCTTCGCGCAGAACGCAGCGTCTTGAGCTGGGGGAAAGCCTGATAAAAGACACTGCAGAACAGAGAGCTTTGGACCACCCGGGTGCAATCGTCCCGTGTTCTCTCTTGTAGCACCAAATTCGATCAAAATATCGAAAACCAAAGATGGAACCCTGTCGCCTGTTGCAAACATCAACGGAGTGAAACCTTCAGGTGTGCATGATGGCTGGTCCATGTTTGCACCAAGAATGGACAGCTCGGTGACCAAACTATCATCGACCAGGCTGATGATGTCATCTTCAAGAAAATGGCCAGCAAGGAAGTTGTGTGGAAAAGAGACCATGGCCTGGGCAAGGGGGCATAGGGTGTTGGTGTCAGTATAATTGATGTCGGCTCCGTGCGAAATCAGCAAGCTGACAGACCACGCCAAATCTTCAGCCACGGCCCGGGATAACGGCCTCCCAAAACCGGGAAGGGACTCATTAGGTGAGATGCCAGTGGAAAAGAAGATATCAAAGAGTTGTTTTGAAAAAGATAACCCAAGACATATCGGAGCGCCTCGCTTGAGAGCCTTGTGGCTTCCCAGGACCAGCATGAGGGCATCCGCAAATTCGCCATTAGAGTCCTGAAGACTCAACGAACCAGATTTGAGAACAAGTTCAACCACGAAGGCACACCTAGTTTCAATGGCAGCAATCAAAGGACCCCCACCCCAATGCTACTGTGGCAAGAGGTTCCTTGGCTGGGAGCGTCGAGGAAACGCCCCGTTGTCGAGCAGAACTTTGACGAGCGAGTAGAGATCGGATTCCGTCCGCCCGTTTTGCCCAGGGTTTTGCACATAGCTGTGACGAAGCAATACCATCTCGAGCGGTGTATACAAAGTGCCCTTGTCATTGTTGATGTGGCAACCAGCGCCATGGTCAAGCAGGAGCTGGGCGGCCGACGCAGATTGTGCGTGGCTGAGAACCACTGGGTGTGGGAATGTGGCAAATGCAGTACTCCGAGGGTTGTCATGCCGACGTCCATTGACGAATCCCTTTTCGACCACGTCGGCTGGTTTGGGTTTTGCTTCGAGAAGAACCCTCATCACGCCGATATGATTACGCTTCGTGGCTAGCGCAAGGGGAGAGGTCGCGGGCTGCCCTGTCAACAAGGCCGATCCGTAACGAATTCGGGTCGGAAAGACTGGGTGCTCGAAGTTGTCACCAACGTATGGGTGTACTCTCTGGCCCATGAATTGTGGTTTATCCTGGCAGAAGGTGACGTTTGGTGACGCGCCCGCCTCGATACATCTTTCGGCAAGAGTGACATCGCCATGGTAGCAGGCCCAAGCTAACGAGTTGTACGTGTCGTCTTTGATGTCTCGGATGAGGAGCCAGGGGCTGGTAATGGTGGCGGTTGTTCGGCAAGTGAGGAGAAAGCTCTTGATTTCACCCGGGGAGAGGTGATTGAAGATGAAAACAAGGACTTCGGCTGGAATTTTGGTGGTCCATGTTGGCTTCATGAGCGAATTCACGCTCCCTTTCAAAGTTAGAGTCTAGTTCAGACTGGGGCCGGGTACATACTGTCAGGGCCTTTGTCGGCGTTGTTTGCCATGGTGGAGAACAATGCCAGCCGAAGGCGACGGGACAAGCACGTCGCGTATGGCCAGACCCGACTACGGAGATGGCGTAGAACTTTCGAGTAGGTCGGGGGTCGAATTTATCAACGAATGCGAGGTTGGCTTGGATCCGAAGTCGAGACTAGCGTGGATGTGACTCGAGCCAGGAGAGGTGGTGGAAAGCGAGGAGAAAGACACGGCAGATCAGAGTGTGGAAGAGACGAGGCGCGAGGTGAAAGAAGAGTTTAGGTGGCGGAGGAAGAGGGCGAGGGGAGACTGAAGGCAGCAGTGTTTATGCATATGGCCTGGGTTGCCTCAGGTAACAACTGTTGATTCACTGTCGCGGCAGGAACCAAGTCAGCCACCTTGACTCCATAGCACCGTGGCTGACCTCATGCTGTGGTTTTCAGTTATTGGGACAACACTGCTTGCAGTGACTGAGCTATTGACAAGAGAAAAATGAGATGTCTGTGTACGAATAACAAAAGATTTTCTTTGACATGGGGGACTCAGTGGGTGCGAACAAGAGGCAAAAGGCTCATCAGGAATGAGCCACAATCTAGAGTGGGGGTGATTGTTGATGAAGCCAAGACTGCGGTGTACGAATCATGGACTCGCAAACATTAAAGCAAGGCCTGAGCAATGTTCTCATACTATGAATCAGTATGAACTAGTATAAGATACGATGGTGTTAATCTATCTAAAGAATGACGTATCTAATCAAGTCCATGGTGATTGCATTCTAATCCGCAAGTCCTTGATCTTTTCAAGACTTGAAGTGACTGGTATCTCAGGCTACCTTGAAGCTCGCCTATCATCCATACGTAGATTGTCATAGATCCGGGAAGAATAAATCTAATGAACAAAGACTGCTGCGTAGTCGATCTTCCGGAGGCAATGTCCGCGCTTCTTTGCCCAAGTTTTGACAGTGTACTCAGCCCATCGGCCGCCAATCAGTGTCCCAACAACGTGCCCAGTCCCAGGCGAGATAAACAGCATTCTAGACTGAAGAGGAGTTGTGAGGTTGAAGCGGGGGTTGAGGACGCAGCGGACAAGCGTCAGAGTGAATACATGTTCCAGACCAGCTGAAGAAGCTAACGTCTGTAACTGTCAGTGGTGATTGCATAACAGTGAATGACTGACCCCAAGTTAAAAGAAAATCTGCCCATATAGCTGAAAGACTTCGATCAGATTTGCCCATCGACATATTTGTGCAAGTCTGTCTGTCAATCTTTGTCCTTTCAACTCAGTGGCTTGCATCTGAGGAATGGTTTCGCGGAGGACAATGACAGAAGTACGGCAACACCACCCAGAGCTGTTTGCACCAGAAGATCACTCTCCATGAATTGTAGGTATCAATTATGCCACCGAGCAAGGGTCCAGGCAGGACCGACCGTTGTCCCGCTGAGAAACCAACCTAAAGAGGTGGCTCGTTCGGGCTATGGTTGTTAAACTTTGTTATGGCACGATCAGCAAGTTGATCGTCGTCGCCGAATACAGGGCGATCCCTCCCCATTTGAGATGGATTGAAAATCCGTTACTTGGGAAAATTTGTAACTGCTGCCTACAATGAAAGTGGTGGTTGGTTTGAAGAGGGCTGCGAAGCATTGATTATGAAGACAACGAGAAATAATGTTGCGATTTACCTTCCATAAGATGATTTCGAAAAGCACTCGGTCTAGGCTCAATTACAATATAAAATTAAAGCTTTACCATTTGTTAATGTTGTATTGCTTTTACTAAATATGATAGCGCTTGCAGGTCTTTATTGACGACACACTTACGGGGTAGGCCATGGGCATTGTTTTAGCTGAGGCAAATTAGGTGATTCGCCCCTATTTGTGAATGGAATACTCATATCAACTCGCGCATTTAACTTGATTTCTACAAACACTGAACTTACTAAGATAAGCACATCTGCGTGCAATCCTTTCTCTAGAGCTCAACTCTGATTGTGGTCGCTCAGCTCGCATTCACAACCGCCTCAATAGTCTTCAACCCAAGCCCCCGGCATCCGAGTCTTAAACTTCAGTCTCTTCAAACCGCCCGACTTGCGCATTTTTCTGGCCTGCCTGCGCTCGAACCGACTCTCCATGAGATCACACGCACGATCAAGCCCAGCCAGTTGCTCCTGTGACCATCCGTATATCCTGCTGAGCGGTAATTGTTGCCCCAAATATGCCGGTTCATTTCGGTTCAGTGGAGGGTATACAGGGTAACTCGGGAGCAAAGAGCGGTCATTGTGGCCGGGTCTAGCTTTCCAAATGGGATCTTTCCAAGCCAGGTGCTGCTCTGTGACGTCGTCCTGCGGATGTCTTGAGCCAAACGAACTTTTCTGCCTCAGATGAGGAAATTCCGCAAAGAGCTCGCGTGCTTGACAAGAGTCAGAATTCACCTCTATCCAGCAGGGTAATCGCCTGCCTCTGGACTCTTTGACAACAAACCGCCTTTTGTAAAGTGTCTCGCGCCCATGCAACCATATTCCGCCCCTGTCGAGCCATGGACTACCCTCATCCCATGTGGAATTGCAATGTTCGATTTCCACTTGGAGATAGTGCTGTACATCCACGCCGGCTTGTTCCAATATGTCGATCCAATCTTGGGCATTTTCCAGAGCATTCTCAGTGGTGTCAGTGCGGTGAAGAATGTGATGAAGAGCGCTGCGCCCACCGGTAATATATCTTGCCCAAGTGATGTTGTGGATGTCTAGCCCAGCCAATATGGCCTGTTGGATGATCTGTGCCCATCCTCTTGTGTCATAAGGTTCTTGTCGATATTCACACCTTCTCAGAAACCCTTGTAGAGTGTGCTCCCACACCATCAGGTTGAACGGTGCCCAGTGACTGGACACGTATACCTTACAGGCATCTACACAGCAGTTGATGTATTCTACATCATAAATGCCGTCTAAGAGTATCTTGAGCTCAAAAGGGGCAAGACAATCCTTACGCAGGTTGATGTAGTCGCGGGCAATCCTTGCGTCTGAGGAGGACTGGTATCCATAGATAATCGCCGGGTTTGGAGACATGTGGCTTCTATGAATCTATCAGTGAATTGAAGCTCTACTATTCAATCGTACAAACCGTTCTGATAAATCAAGGCTATGCCGTATTAAGAATTGACAAATCTTAGACGCCCTTAGCGATGTGGCTAGCTAACATAAACATTAATAATGCGCATTTTGCAATTGTGGCAGCCCTACTCACACCAAACAATGAAGTCTCCGAGTCTGCCCTTGACCCTTCCCATGTCAATTTCGTGTCGAGGGTGAGGACCCTTTCGCTGAAAAGCGTCTGGACTTCACTCAAGCTGTTGCGCTCTATGGCATCCAAAAGTCTACCGCCGGGTCCGCGTCGGTTGAAATTGAGATCCAGTATAGTTGGAAACTGGATAGCGATGGACAGGGGGCTAAGAGAGCCATGCTGTACGGATAGCTCGACGTAAAGCCCCAACAAAGGTGAGCCTGCGAGGAATGACGAGCTGTCTTGGGTGGCTGAGTCGTTTGGACCGCGAAGGCCAGTTGAGCGTTTTCGTGTTTTGGTGCGCTCAACATAAAACACTGAGTTCCATCCTTGTCTCCAATGCTCTTCGGTATTTATTTCGTATCCGGGCTTGCTCATTGCCAATGGAGCTTTGACACCTGCCTGATGTCCATTATTGGCCATAGTTGGAGTTGGAGACTGCGAAAGGATGGAAGGCCTCAGATTCATAACCCTGTAATGCTTTAGATCGGGCTCTTAATTGAGTAGTCAGACTTACAACAGGTTTGTGGTCATCTGTAAGTGAAGCGAATTGAGTGAGCCCTCCATATCTGAATCACATTGCCTAATCTTGCCTCTGTGCTGCAAGAATAGAGCCCCCATCGTGCGTAAGGGGTTATGATTCCTTGCTGAACCGGATGTAATTTTGCTGACAAGATCGTGCAGTTGGAAGATCTTGTCACGGCAGTGGGTCAAGGTCTTGTGCAATTTCTGAAGCAGAATGGCATCCCACGGCTTGGGAGCTTGATTACAGCAGGTGAGTGCGACTTCAAGTGAGTGACAAATTGCTTCAATGTCTTCGAGCTTGTTCGAGAGGCTGGCGAGCTCCGTGGCGGCCGACTTGTATGACGCAATCAACTGTTGGATGGCGGTCGCTGTCTGTACCAACTGCATCGCCAAGGAGACGACACCAAACGCAAGAGACGTCGAATCCATGATGAGCAGGTGATGTAAGAAGTAGGCTTTTGGATGAAGAATGAGAACCAGACTCTCAGACTCTGAGGCGGGGTTGGGTATGCTGATATCCATTGCGTACCAAGCCTGCCTTGGGCGTCGTGCAATGCAGCCAGCCTTCTTCCTGCGTTTGATTGGATATTATTTCGCCAGTCTCGTTATATTTATATCACGGCCCGATTACAATTACACAACGCCATGTGCGAAGAGTCCTTTAACAGCCGGACGCGTCTGTCGTACTCCACCAAATCAAAATAGCCAGCGAATGGATGGTTACAGCAAAAGAGACTCTGAATCTCAGACATCGCATTCCAGACAATGGGCGAGGAGGATGGTCCGTCTCTTAGAAACTCAAAGCATGAAACTTATGGCTTAAAGGCTAAGATAGCTATGGTACCCCTCATCGCAGTTTCACCTATCTGCTCAGCGCTCATGCAACCCATATCCGTGTTAGAGAAAGGTTCGCTTCTATTTAGTCTATATCTGCCAAGGATAAGTGTCCGCTTGAAATGCGGGTCTTAGTTTGGTGAAAGGACGACAGCATTTTTACGAGGTGGGATATTCGCCAAGGAATTTTCTCCCACGGGACAAGATCCTTTTCCCTTGCAATAACCATTGCTTCCAAGATGTCGGCCATTTCTTGGCTATCCCAAATACCCTCTCTTCGCCAAATAGATCGGAGCAATCGTATGCACCTCCAATGAATGTCGACATCTGCGCAAGAGACGCAAACCATTGTAATGGCAGGAATCAGTCGCGCATCAAATGTAAAGACAGGCACTACTCCGAAGAAACCAGAGTAGACAATAGACTCTGCTCTCTGTACTATTTCATCGCAATTCCCAAGGGAAAATTCATCGTCAATGTCTTCCAGTCGAAGAAAACATTTCCACAATGCCTGGTCTATAGAAAGCATCCTCATCCGGCGTATTTCCTCTTTGAGAACTTTTTGATGCTCAAGTTGTTCCTTGTATAGATCAAATCGAAGGCTCCAGTGATGAAAGTACGGAACCAAGGGACATTCCCATTGAAGTTTGTTGGACTCCAGCTCAGTGACATGATCACGGCATGAAGCACCAGAGCCAGTGCAGCAGGGTTCTTGTTCAGAAAGACGCCTGACTGCATCATACATCCTCTCCACCGCATGAAGTGACCTCTCTGCTGCAGCCGTAGAAGTGAATGGTATCGGGGGGTGGCGTATGTCAGTGTCCGCAGGAGGAATATTGAAATCTGGAGTGATGTCATCTCCCGCATATAGAGACACGTCCTGGCCTAGTCGGGAAAACAGGCCAGAAAGGTCTTCGAAGAACCTGGACATGTTTATTGGTGCTTTTTTATTGGTCTCTGTTGACCCTTGATCGTGGAGTTGGCTGAGAAGAGCAGATCCTGCCCGCAGATGGCGAAGAGACTCAGCATAGCGCCCGTGAAGATTCTCTATGCAAATAAAAATGATGCAACATATTATTATCACCTCCATATTTTCTTTAGAGGGTGTTTGCATAAGCGATTTGACGTGGTGTATCGCTTGATTGTATTGTCGAACAGAGAGTTTCTCGTATGGATGAATGGATTGCATGGATGTCCTTAGATGTTGGGACTTGAAGTACTTGTGTGCACCTCCAAGAGCGCAAATAGCATACTTGATAGGCTCCATTACATGAGCCAGCGGCAGGGCGTATGTGAACCAGAAATTAATTGGACCCAAGGATGTTGCAAGGTCTTGAAAGGTGCATGTCCGAACGTGGTGGAACAAGTCTACTTCCGTAGGCACTGTAGAGATGTCATTGGTCAAGCTGGGAAGCAGTTGGGGCTGCCTAGCATTTGGTATGCGGTGAAATGGGGTTTGATCATTGGGGCGAGGTGTTGTCTGTTTGCGAGGGCGACGAGTTAGAGTGACTTGATAGCCATCGCACACGCGGCCGTCGTTCTCGCATCTTTGACAATGTGGCTTTCGTTCGTCACATTTGAGATGGCGGATTCTATAAGAGTAAGTATTCGAAGTCAACTGTTTCCAGGTAACGAACTTGCTATAACAATGTGAGAATGTGGCAGGATTAATAGAATTGAGGATCCACACACCAGGTAATACAACCGGATCTTACTTTGGGGACCTTTGCTCTGGTCCACTTCTTTGGTTCTCCCATCTGGATTGTCGGTGAGAAAATGAGTGATTTTATGGTAGTTGAATCCGAAGTAAAGATGAGAAAATCCTTGGCAACTGGGTCGTTGGAAACTAGTAGGCGAATACGAAGCCACGTGGTGGGGTTGCAATTGACATGAGTCAGAACTGGCCGTATCGACATAACGGGATGATTTGGCGAGTTTCCAACAAGCATAGCGGCTTGCAGACTTATCACTTCTAATGTTCAATGGAAAAAGCCGAGAAATATTGAGGACTGGTAAGCCACTTATAGAATTGCTAAATATGTATTAAATGTCCAGACTTTGAATATCCATCCGACTTGCAAGTATTTCGGCACGTTCCACCTTGTAGGAAAGCTTCAACTATTGTTAAGGCTTATACAAAAATGTTGCTAGGATAGAATGTGGACACTTCTAATTTATAAACTTTCGTATTGGAAAGACGGTGAACAATATGTGTATGCTATTGGTGTCTAACAAAACGAACAATTTCTCCGTTAACTTCTAGGATATTAAACTAACCTATTTGTATAACTTGCGGTATCCTTAGACTCAGTTGTGAGCATCTCTTGGCTCTTCGTTGTCCACTGTAGGAAGAAGACTAAACAGAATTCGATCCAGTCAGTCGATCCGGTCTTATAAACAAAAGGCTACTATTCCCCGGGTACAAACCCTTTAGCTAAGCCTAGCAAACTAATGTACCTAGGATGTACTTGCGTGCGCGAATAGTAACCTGTATATGTCACACACCTAGAATTAAATCAGCTCTGTTCTGACTACAATTAGGATATGAATATTCTCTGTCATCATATACGCTTGGCTAAGCGGTCTCTTTGAACTCAGTTGTAAACCCTCTTTTACCTTTTTGTTCAGGGATCTATGAATTAAAATACGCTTGTTGAAGCGTCATCTGCTGAGATAGTGTCTAGTATATAAAGAACTCTACATTAAAAGCTAAAATTGGTATTTTCTAAATTGCTAATTGATAGAATATGTTGTCCCATTACATACATTTGACTTTTATCAATTCATCATTGTCTGCCTAAAGATTCACGACAAGCACCGTTTGTGTTCCGAGCCCGCCATCGCCATCTCTTACTACCACACATATGCGGTATATTACCTTGGCGATTCTAGGGAACCCGGCGAAGGGATGATTAGACAGCCTTTTTTCCAGACCACCTGATAACTGCAAAGCCAGCAAGAGCTTCATTGGACATTGCCAACTCTGGCGTTTGCCTTCTCTGCCAAGATTCAAACCACAATAGATCGCCACTGTGGGAGAGTGGACTTTTGTCGCGCAGCTTTGAACTTTGCCATCGAAACGCTGATAGTGGGAGATAGCGAGTGTCGCACACGGGCAATGATGTTAGGCCAGATTCTGGCAAGATGGAAACGGAGGTGGGACTTGCCTGATAACGCAGAATACCAATTGGCACGGGTGTCTTTGATAAGTGATGGGATCGGGTAAGATATGAGCTGTTTCGGGAGTTCGGTACAAAAGAATATTATCCAAAACATCAATCACACATGCTGCCACTTCTGTCGTCGAATGTCCCTCCCTATGTTGACTGCCTCCTTAAGGGAGGCCTTTTTTATTGCCTTCTCAGTTCATTACGGAGTACTTGACTGGTTAAACTGGCACAACCTCATTCTCGAAGTTTCTGTCGGGACACCCGATGAACTTCTCGGTCTGCGCTTTTGCATCTTGGACTAATATGTCTATTATTTTCATGCCTCTCAGATGGGCTGAAGATTGTACGGTTTCTATGGATAGTCGTAAGTCTACGTTAGCTTCGAGAAACCACGTTTTTTGTGTCAAACTGTAGTTATATTTATAGTGAGCGTATATTTTGCTGGTTCACGTAGTTTCAGAAGTTGAAAGACTCAAGATGTGTTGAGAAGCCCTACACCCTACATGTCATAGAGGAAACGTCCAGGTTCTTTAGATCATTTAGATGAATTATGCTAATGACGACTAGAGCTCATCTTGATAAGCATCGAGTTGACATAATACAAATATGGTTGTTGATGATTACTCCAGGGTAAGCTACGAAGACCGGACGCGTCAGGAATTAGAACAAAACTTGGAACATCTGTCGAAATGCATGACTTGAATCAAGAGTAAAAGTCACTGTGAATCAAGGTCTTTAATTAAGTTTAGACTACCAACGGAGCATACCAACCCGGGACTGAGTGATGGCACGGGACGGACCGCGCGAACTGGGTTGCTCATGGAGCCCTGAGGAAGGAACAGCTGAAAGGATAAAGTGGGATAAAATGAACGAGAAAGAAAGAAACTACCGCAGAATACGATATGCACGTGAGATGTAATACGTCACCGAGGATTGGGTCGGTGGGAGTTGGTGATTGAGTGACGACCAGACGTGTAAGACGCGTAGAGAGGGCAGGCTAACCGCTTTCTCTCGCACAGATCAGCAACCGAGCACACAATGCCGCAAGAATTGGGTCGATTCACCATCAAACAAAGAGAAACGCAACACGTATTCACAGACCCAGTCAACGAGGGGAAAAGCACAGGCAAGACGCGGTCGAGTGACGCTGCGGAGGGGAACGAGGAGGGGTCGGTCGGGTTTTTTTTTCAAGCGGTGGAGACGTGTCGCTCGTTGAAGAAAAGAGGAGGGGCTGGTTCCGTCTACTTTGCTGCATTGGGCTGCGGAGGTGAATAGGCGGTGGGTTTTGGTGTAGACCGACTTATTCTAGTACTTTTTCTTCAAGTGAAGACATGTTGAAGCAGGAGGAGTAGAAGGAATCAAGTCTCCCGAGTGTCGGATTGTGGCAGATTGTGACAGATTGTAGCAGCCGGGATGAGGCCTGTAGTGAGACACAGGTAGCGAAGCGTAGCGAGGCGTAGCGAACGAAACCAGGGCTGCACGGCCACTATAACATCCGAGTCCAGCGTGTCTCCAGTGGGTACCCGCCCGGTCTCAAAACCCACTGAACGCGGCCCCCCCGGCGACGCGTAAAGCACCGTCCGCCCACTGAAGTTATGCCACAGCGGGGCTCTTTCCAGCGCCCGTCCAGTGGGCTCAGCGCTGTGCTCCAGCGGACGCTGCACACGGGCTGCACAAAAACGTCACAAAGCCCAACGCCAACGCCAAACGCCAAAAACGCCAACGCGAGGGAGCGTGCCCCCATCGCGTCGGTCCCCGGTCACCACCAAAAGTCGCCCTCGTCTTAAATACCTCCTCCACCACCTTTTCGCCCTCGCCCGCTACTACACACCCGCACCACGCAACTTTCTTTTCCACCCTTGGCCTCCATCTTGGGCCTCTTGATTCTTCACTCGACCCGGCCTTGTTTCGAGACCAGCTACACCATTTCGAAAAAGCTCTGTTCCCGTGTGTAAGTGTGGAAGCGAGGCACGCCATTCTGGTGCGAGGGGAGGACCACAATCGACACTTTACGCGTGCTTCTCATCACCGCCTCGACACGCGACCAAGAGGACATTTCTCGTCTCCACTGGCAACTGTCCACCGACAACTCCACTGGAAACTGTCCGACTCTCACAACCACCACACCACAACCACAACCACCATGGACTCGATATCGCCATCACCACGCCTCGGCAAGCAGGCCTCGGCCGAGCCCACGCTCCCCGCAATTCGGCAATCCCTCGCCGGATCCAAACGACCAGCTCCGACTCTGCTGCCGCCCTTTGAGCCGCTCTCGTCGTCTCCTGGACTCCCTCGACCGGTCAAACGCCAAAACACCAACGCTTGCTCCGGACGCGCCCATCTCAAGTATCCCACGCCCGTGCCGACGTCCAGCACCGGCATCCTCTCTAGCTCGCCGCCTCGGGCCTCCGCTCCGGAACGCGCTCCCCTCTCGGCCGTGCCCGGCGTCGAGCTCTCGGAAAATGGCGAGACGCTCATCATGGGCCGCTCGTCCAACTCGTCTCACTACCAGCTCTCGGCCAACCGCCTCGTGTCCCGCGTCCACGTCAAGGCCCGCTTCATTGCCGCCGCGAACCCCTTGGAGCCCAGCAAGATGGAGATTGTCTGCAACGGCTGGAACGGCATGAAGCTGCACTGCCAGGGCCGCACTTGGGAACTGTTCAAGGGTGATAGCTTCACCAGTGAGACGGAGGGCTCCGAGATCATGGTCGACGTGCAAGACGCCCGCGTGCTCCTGCAATGGCCCAAGCGAGGAGCCGACTTGTCCGACTCCAGCTGGGACTCGCCCAAGTCCCCGACGCGCGGAAACGTGCTGCTCCAGTCTCCTCTCCGCCGTGCCGCTCGCATCGCGTCACCCGAGAGCCCTACGCCCGTCAACTCCAGCTCCCGTCGCCTGCAGGCCCTTCTCCCCGGCCACCGAGACGGGATCGACATCTACGAGGACGAGCCCGAACTCCCAGCTCCCAAGCGCGAGATTGTCGACGTCAACATCAGCATGCGGACCGAGGCCACGGCCAGCTTCACGAGCGAGCCCGACGTGGAAGAACACGACCCCGACGAGGAAAACGACCCCATTGTGCACTCCTTTGGCCCTTTTGGCGCCGACATCTCGTGCCGGCTGGCTTCGATAACAACAAAGTCTCCCAAGGTGTTCAAGGGCCTCAAGCGACCCAACCCGCTCGTCAGCGCCCTGGCTTCGGACCTGTTTGCTCCTCGCTACATTCCCTCAAATCCTTGCTCTCCCAAGAAGCAATCCTTTGAGTGTCCTGCATCTCCCAGGAAAGAGCCCGTCGAGTTGGATTCTCCCCTCTCCTCACCGCCCAGACTGCGAACACCCACCCCCGAGCTTCTTGCCGAGCCCATCGAAATCAACCCTGCTGTTGTAAACCATGTCGTCAACCAGCTTGCCTTTTCACGGCTTTCCTCCACACCTTTATCCACCATTATGCAGAACCTGCCCGCCGAGGAGAAAAAGGGCCTGACCAAGACGATCCTCCGGGACTCTATCGAGGCCACATCGTGCATTGGCGTCATCGAACGTCAGGGCAAGGACGCTGCTGGCAAGCTCCTCGAGAGCGAATACTACTACGTGCCAGAGCGTGACGATGACCAAGAACGACGTGCAGCCGTCGACGGCCTTCGAAAGCCGAGTCTACGAGCATGCAGAAAGCAACACAAGGTATGGATCCCACCTGCAGGAAGCCGAGAACCCGACTAACATGACGCAGCAATATTACTGGAAGCGCCCCAAGGCTCTCTAATCACCCAACGTACATATGACTCGGGCGCGTCGCGGATGGATGGTGGACTTTTGTTATACCCAGGTTTCTTTTATTGTTACATACTACGACCAATCCACCTCCCACGAGATTTGCGGTTGCCTGCATAGCTGAGGCGTCTTTGTTTTCACTTTCTGGAGGAGTTGGAGGGCATTTTCTCAAGGGACGGAGATCAATTAGATCTAGGGATGTTTTCCTGGACGGGGCATTTCATGGCGATGAGGGTCGGGACTTGTAGGAAGGCGGATGTCAGGCATGATGAGGAGTAGAGGAGCAATGAATCTGTTACCAATCAGACATGGAGAGCTGAATTTGTTACCACCCAGACATGGAGAAGCTGAATGTATTGAGACATGATCTCATCATCTTATGATACGGAGTCGTAAAGATGCCGATGACCGGACACGCGGATAGTAGCAGCCTCACGCGTTCCTCGTCCCAGCCATGACCATCACGCCATGACGCAACAGCGGAAACCGCACCGCACTGCACTTCCAGCTAGCCCCCATCACGAGCCCCTGGGCGCGGACCATACAAATACAAGCCCTTCCGAACCCCCAGTCCATCACGATCAGAGAAGCTTATGCGAGACGCCACAAGCAAACAAGAATCTTCGAAGCCGTTCCTCCAAGGACCCATCGGTAGTAAGACCCAATGCACATAGAAAGATGTTCACTTGTTGTTCTGAATATGGCTATTAGCTACACAGAAGTAATAAGTTGCCTGATGATTACTTGCCATTGAGTTCTGAAACTTCGCCAAGTGTTCGTGGGAAGTTTTCGATAGGAGCTCCATTCATATGGCTGAAGAGTGGCTGGAGTCGAGATCCAGGAGTATTCGCTCTGGCATTCTCCAGCCGAATTAGAGCATTGCCATCACTGGAGATAATTAGTAAAATAATACCAAGAAATATATTGGAAACTTACCGAGCTTGATTCTCTGTTGAGAAGACCTTAACATCCGATCGGACGTTATCCATTTGGGAAGTTAATTTCTTCAGGACTTCTTTAATATCACGCAGATCCTGGTTCATAGCACGCAGCTCCTGGGCGATGCTCTGAGCATCATGCACAGCTGGCATGGCACTAAGATTCTCGAATTCGACGGCAAGATTTCGGCAATAAGCGCTCATCTGCACAAAGCTGGCAGCCGGGGTCGCCATTGTTAACAGGGGTGTGTAGGACGGAAATGCCAGGGTTGGGTGGGTGTGAGGGTGGAGGAATGAAGTGGAGGGGTGAAGTGGAGGGGGCAGAAACCAAAGCGGGGTCACCGTTCAACAGTCTAAAATCATGACTAAGCCAGCCCCGATGTGCGAGCCTTCTCCGATCCGGCTGCCCCGCTCGATGACATTCACATTGCGATGCGGTGGTGGCAACGGGCGCCACGGTGACTGGGCGTGGGCTGATGCCGGTTGGAATGTTGCATGGGGCTCGGGTGGAGGGAGAGGGAGGTTTAAATGGGATCAAAGGTCCCTGGAGGAGGGGAAGTTGTCCATGTTCGACAATGCACCAACGTGTAACGCACTGAGGTAAGTCATCGATGAAGCATCGCGAGAATGTCTGGCTGATTGTAGTACAAGCAAAGCATCACTATACCACCAACAAACATCACTTACCACCAACAAACATCACTTACCACCAACAACCACCACCAACACCATGACCAACACCACGCCAATAACCACCACCACCACCATGTCGACAAACCTCACCCAAGAACCCCAGTCCTACGACTCCAGCTCCCCTCCCGTGTCCCCATCCACCGGCCGCCGCATGAGCGCCCACGCCGAAGCCGACGCCGCGCGCGCCATCAGCCACACCAACAACTGGACGCCCGTGTTCGAGCACTGCCACAAGTGGAACAGCGAGGACCGTAAACACGCCATGCACATGGTGAATATTGGCGCCGTCAAGACTGGCCCCGGCTTTACGGAGCGACCTTGATCGGAGTGCAGGCGGGATGGACGCGCTGGAGACTGCTGAGGGACGTTGAGGAACAAAATGAACAGGGCATCAGCCAGACAATGGCGGCCCTTGATGAGTGTTCAACACAGATTGAACTGTACACTACGGAATACGGGACGTCAAAAGAATGGATTGTAACAGTGGTAGCTATATTGTACCAGGTATCTTTACTCCAACGCTCCAGAGTCAAGGAAATAAAGCAACGTAATCATCGCTGTCCGTGTGCCAATCTGATGCTTCGGTAACAAATGGAATCCTTCTTCAATCTAAAGCCCCTTCGGCTTTGGTTCGTCTCTGTTGGCCCTGTTGGCCCTGGTACTGAAATACTCTCCAAACACAGCAACGGCATAGGCGGAACCTGCAAGCCCTGCTGTTCCAAGGATCACCTTCCTCCCAAGTCTTCGCCTCGTTCGTCCTCTGGCCGGCCCCTGTTCGGGGATGGTCTCATTGACGACCGGGTTAGGTGGTGCTGGCTTGGCCGCCGACTCCGTCGCATCGTAGTTGACAAACCCAGTGGGACTAGTAAAAGTTCCAATGGCAGACTTTCCCATCATGTCAATGGGGTTAATTCGTGGAGAAAAGATTGGCTTGTCGTCGCCTTGTCGGACTTTGCGAAAGATGAGAACATCCCCACTACCCGATACAATGTCGTACCCTTGCGACTGGAGAGACTCGAAATAAGGCAGAAACTTGGACGGGTTTGACAATCGTAGCAAGACATCGGAAAGGGTAGAGGTGGAATCATCATTCATCGTTGTAGTGGCGTCAGCAATGCTCATTGTGTGGGATGAGGCATCGTAGGCGAGAATCTTGTACGATGCTGCCAAGTCGGCCGCGGCCTTTGCGTAGTGTTTCTCGACGGTTGGCAACGTCTCCTGCCCACACTCTTCCGCAAACGACGTCTGAAGGCCTTGGGGTTCTTGCGAATAAGGGTCCTTAATTTCCTTGTCGATTTTCGCCCAGTAGCGATCAATGGCTGGTTGGATTTTGTGGTCGTCGATTGGGAAACTTTCATCCATGGAGCTGACCTCGACACTGTCGTGATTAGCCTGCGAGCGGTCCTTGGGAACCAATGTGGATGAGCATTTTGTCCAAGAAGTTGCAAACTCCTCGGGGAAATCTCGTGCGTAGTTGCCAGTCAGATTGGGCTCCAAGATACCTTGCTCGGGTTCATCCTGGCTCTCTTGGACCCGGCGCATGGTTGTGGCACGAATTTCCTGGGCCGTCAGGTCGTCGACCTCACTGTCGAGATTGGTTCTGTGGTGAAAAGGATAAGTAACTGATGGACCAATCCTGGTATCTTGGGGACCTGCCTTGGAATCGAAATATTTGAGACCACGAGCGACAGCGTCTGGAACAGAAGCGGGCTTGCCATCCGGCTCATTGTGACGGATGGCGGAATACCTGTCCAAGTCCTTGTAGGCCTTTGTAGCTTCCTCAGGATGGATTGGGTACGGAGTGTCGACAGAGTCAAAGGCCGATGGGCTGTACTTGTCCAAATCCTCATAGTTCTTGGTCAGCTCCTCGGGGTGTTGGGCTTCAACACTGGCAGAGTACTTGGAAAGGTCATTGTAGTCCTTTGATGCCTGCTCTGGGTGGACGCGGTCCGGGCCGTTGTTCTCATACGCAGCGTACTTGCCAAGGTCCTCATAGTTCTTCGAGGCCTCCTCGGGGTGGACTCGAGTGTTGGGAGCACTGTCAAAGTGATGGTAGGCAGGCAAATCCTTGTATTCCTTGGAAGCATCCTCGGGATGGATCCGGGAAACCTCGGGTTCCAAATCACGCGCGGCATACAAGGGAACATCATGGTACTCTTTGGATTTCTCCTCGGGAGTCAATCTTCGCAGACCGTCGGGTTCATTCCACTTGACCTGACCATACAGATGCAAGTCATTGTAGTTCTTGGACGCCTCCTCAGGCGTCAGCTTCCTGAGGCCATCTGGCTCATTCCAACGGACCGGCCCATACTCGTCCAAGTCTTTGTACTCGCTGGCCGGATCATGCACAGGTGCGTCGACCTTGTTGGGAAGGACTTCTCCCTTGACAGTGGTATCCATCTGTGCATCCTCATGAGCTTGGAGGGTAGACTTTTTGGCAACAAAAGGGGTATTGTAAGCGTCAAGATCCTCGTAATTCTTGGACAGTTCCTCGGGTGTCAAGCGACGGAGACCATCTGGCTCGCTCCACCGCACGGCATCATACTTGTTGAGGTCCTTGTAGTCCTTTGACAGTTCCTCAGGAGTTGGTTTCCTCAAGCCATCAGGCTCGTTCCAATGCACAGCCCCGTACTGGTTGAGGTCGTCGTAGTTCTTGGACAGCTCCTCTTGGGTTTGCATTCGTAGACCATCCGGTTCGTTCCAACGCACGGCGTCATACTTGTGGAGATCATCGTAATTCTTGGACAATTCTTCTCCGCTCTTCTTCTGCAATCCATCTGGTTCGTTCCAACGCACAGCGCCGTACTTGCCAAGGTCGCCGTAGTTCTTGGACAATTCCTCTTCTGTCGGCTTCTGAAGTCCATCCGGCTCGTTCCATTCCACCGGCTTGTACTTGTCCAAGTCACCATAGGATTTCGACTGTTCCTCCGGAGTCAGCTTACGCTGGGTGTCTGAGCTGCCAATCTTGGTCGAGTATTTGTCGAGGTCATTGTATTGCTTGGAAGCCTCCTCTGGGGTAATCTTTCGCAGGCCATCAGGTTCGTTCCAACGAACCGCCTCGTACTCGTCTTGGTCTTCGTAGCGAGCCTTGGTTGGCTGCGGAGCGGAAGTATCTTTGACGGGTACATACTTGTCGAGGTCGTCGTATTTCGGGGGAGAACTGACCGGTTCGCTGGATGAGAACTCTGTTGGCCTGTACCCGTCGAGGTCGTTGTACATTGGAGTAGACTTGGAAACTCTGCGATTGGTGATGGGGTCAATATAGGTCTCCGTTTCCGCAGCGTCCCCTTTCAAGTCTTTTGGGGTGATTGACCTGGACCCTCGTTGTGACTCCAGATAACTTCGAATGTTGTGTAGAGGAGACCACATGTCATAATCGTAGCTGAGAGGCTTATCGCCTCGGATCAAGTGATCGATTGCACCTCGTTCCACGTCCTCAATGTTCTTGCCGGGGCGAGTACCTGAAGATTCATCCGACCAAGACTTGATCTCGTCGACGTTGACATATTTCTTGTTGGAAGGCTCCGTGGCTCGTGCAAAGGCAGCCATGGCCTTCTTGATGGTCTTGTGGGCATCCTTGTCCCATGAAAGGTTGCGATTTAGCGACTCCATGTACTGATATCGGGCGCGATGGCGTCTGCGACCGTGTGAACCGGAGCCGACGGACAATGACCAGGCGCCAAAGCAAAGCTGTCGCGTTTGGAGGCCACATCTCAGTAAGCTTGTGGAAGGCGAGAGCGACGTGCCCGCACGGGACTGGAGGATCTTCGCCCGCGAGGTGTGAGTAGTCGACAACATGATGTACGGGGTGTTGCCTAATTCTGGATTCCATATTAGCAAGGGCGACGAAGAGCTGTTGGCGGGAATGCTGCATCTCGAGGCAGAACAAATGCGGATGTCTCGACCAAGTGAGGGGAGCTTACCAGACGAGCGTTTGCGCAGCCGACAAGCTGCGGATGAATGCGACTAACACGATGGTGGAAGCAGAGGATCAATGTCTCGGGGCGCAAAGAAAGATGATACGGCTGGAGGCTTATGGAAGCTGAGAAGAATGAAATGGATAGAGAGATGGGAATAATGCGGAAGAATGAAGCGGAAGAAGGAAGTAGAAGTAGGTGCGAGACCTGACGACGACGAGGTACTGGGGACGGCCTAAGGTTCGTGGGCGACTGGGGAGTGGGGACCTCCACTGAGCTGCGCTTGGGGGACTGCTGGAGTGAGACGCTGCGGGATTGGGGGGCGTTCTAGGCTGGTTTGGGCTTTGGGGGCCACTGAGGGGGGTTGTACAGGGGCAGTGGTGGTTTTGGGGCTGACGGCCACTGAGAGTTTGCGGGGTAGAGGGGCGGAGGGGCCACGGGGAACCTCTCGTCAGTGCAGCTCCCTAGAGTCCCTTGGCCCTCCCAAAGAGCCGGCAGGGAGGATGCAGCCACTGACGTACGCTGCTCATGCGACAGTTCAACAGGGAGATGATGCAGCGACGGAATGCCTCTGACTGGGACAGGAACACTTTGAGTGGCCTCGGCACATATGCCCGAGCAGTCGCGCCAATCAGGTCTGTCAGCAGTGCATTTGCTGGTCAGGGTTAAGTTGAAGCATGTGCATGTATTGCAACCCGAAACGGCAGGTCCGCAGCTGTGGCGGTGGCACTCATAATCATGGCTTGTCACGTGGCTTGCCTCGTCGAGAGCAGCGGAAGTGCCACTTCAAGATTCGTACCAAGCTTGCTTGACGTCGTATCACGATGTTGTGATCAGTGTGATGGACGGAATGGGAGGTCGGGGTTGACATCCGCTGGACCAGACCTCGGGTGGGGGGAGGTAACCAACCGAGGACTGATTTATGGCGTGGTTAACGCGGCTCGCTGAGACAAACACAGGGCTTCGTTTCCAGCGGGCGGGCTGAATGCTATCTATTAGTGTCCCCGCCAGCCAGGATAAATGCGGCAGTGCAGCTGCGCTGCTTTGGAGCTCTCGGTGAGTGGTAGTTGACACGCAAAGTGACCAGGCCATCCCCGGTCGTCCCGAAGCCCTCCAATCCGGACATTATCCTCTGCCCAGTGCTGTGACTCTCTGCATTCAGAAGGAGGTACAGGGGACCCATATCCTGGCGAACCTTGGACTTTGGTGACGGGATGTTCTGGACTGACTGTGGAGTCTCGGCGGCTGGCAGGCTGAGGTCCTCAACTAGGCATACATCATTCAGAGTCAGGATGATGGCGGTTGGGATTGGATTGGATCGGCGTGAGTCAAGTCGGCCAGGGTGTGTCCACACTCCAGAGAGGTATTGCTGGTGTCACAACGATGGATTCCCATGATAAAAGACGTTGAATTAAATACACTCTTACCATTTCGTATACTCTTTCACATCTTCCCATTCCTCTCAAGCTCTTCTCACGCGTCGCGTGTCCGGATGAGGCTCCGACTTCAACCCCGCTCCCGCCTCATTCTTGCCAAGAGCGGCTAGGTCCGTGCTTCATGTGACATCACTCGTGCCCCTCCGAGCATTTTCTCATCCCTCACCAAAGCCAGAGTAACAAGCCTGCAATAAGCGCATCACGCTCGCGCCTACGCCCGCCGCCTCGCTTCACACACGCCCCCGACAAGATCATGAAGCGGGCTCAGGGCAAACCCGCCGCCCGGGGCTTCGATACCGGTGCCCGCTCCGGATTTGGAGGGTTTGGTGGGTTTGGCGCTGCTGCAACCGGCAGCTCGCTGTCGTACCTCGCCGAACCTCCCTCGTTTGCTGCCGTCTCGGACCCGAATGTCGTCGTCTCTCTGAAGAACATTTTGAAGAAGGATAGCACTACCAAGTCCAAGGGGTTGGAGGATTTGCTGGCCCATGTTCTGGCTAACCCCCATGATAAGGATGGTGGGGTTGAGGAGGCCGTCCTCGAGGTTTGGGTAAGTGAACCGCCAAACTGTTGATGGAGCTAATATCTTGTAGGTTCAAGTATACCCCAGAACATCGATCGACAACTCCCGTCGAGTCCGTGAACTTTCCCACAACCTCCAGCTCGAGCTCATGAAGTCGGCCCGCAAACGATTCGAACGTCACATTCCAAAAATTGTCGCTGCTTGGCTCGCCGGTCTCTTTGACCGAGACCGGATTGTTTCCAGAGCTGCTAGCGATGGCCTTACTTCTTTTCTTACAACTCCCGAAAAGATCTCGGCGTTCTGGAACAAGTGCCAACCCCAAATCCTCGACTACGCGATCGATGCTATACAGGAGACACAAGACACCCTCAGCGATGAACGATCAACGACCCCGGAGGATTCAGAGGCAAAATACTACCGAGTCGTCACGGCTAGTTTGTCTCTGGTTCTTGGTCTACTTCAGAGAGTCGAACCCGCCAGCCTTGAAAAGTTTCGATCCCGATACGATGACTACTTTGCCGAGGAAAATGTCTGGAAAACAATCACCTTCAACGACTCCAGTGTTAGAAAGACTTCCTGCCAGTTGCTCTTTGCCACCATTGATCGAAAGTTGCCGTACGCCGAGTCCAGCAAGGTCAAGCAGGCATTTATTACTGGCGGCCTCAAGACCAACCAAGCAGGTTCTGCCCTCGAATATGTTCGTGCATTAACAAAGATGACACAATCATACCCCGACGTGTGGTCCTCGTCTAAGTCGCCAAGTGATCCTAAATCGCCACTCTCTCGACTTATGGCCTTTATCGCCAAGGGATCACAAGGTAGTCAGCCAAGGTTCTGGGAATATCTGGACCAGCTGCTTTCCATCTTGCCTGCTGATCAACTGACGCCCGAGGTTGCTTCCCGTCTGTTGGCTTCGCTCAAGTCTGGCATTACAAATCGAGAAGAGCCTCGGACAAACACCTCTCCGGCATGGAAATGCTACATCGATACCGCGAAGCGCCTACTAGGTGCCCTTCCTGTCGACAGTCAGCTACCGTTTGTCCAGGAGCACCTTTTTCCTCTCATCGAACAGTTCCTCTTTTCCGTTTCAGAAAAGACGGCCGCCATCCCTCTTGGACCAAATGCGGTATCCGTGCTTGTCGAAGCCTACATTGCCACTGTCCAGTCGTCACCTCCGGTCGTTTCGGCATCAGCCGAGGAGTGGAATCGCCTGGCTAGCGTGTTTTGTGCCAAGATTTCGGGGTCCCTTCCTGAAGTCTCTCGGGAATACCATCAGTCTCAGGAAAAGATTGCTGAAGAAGGCCGGCGCTGGTTCAGCCTTGTGGGACAGATTGAAGACAAAATCACCGCCTTGGATCTTCCGGACCACGGAGCCGCACCTTCAAACGTCGTGATTTCTCAAAGCATCGCCCTCTTGGAAAGTCGCAACATGAAGCCTTACGGTGCCGCTCGAATTCTCGAGTATGCTCTAAGCACCGCTCCTCGCTTGTTTGTCGGCGGCGCAGAGAAAAGAGTGTCCAGCTTTCTCCTTTCGCTCACTGAAGGAGACACGGCCAAGGCTGTAGCCTCTCCATCGTCTCGGTATCTTCTTTCTTGTATCCATCTCCTTGGAGCCGTCTCGGACGAGCTCGCCACTGTCTGGACTTCTTGGGTCAAGGCTATTTTGGAGCTTCCCTCTGGATCTGCCCGTGACTCTGCACTTGCGTCTCTCATCTCCCGAGACAGCGGATCAGCTCTCGCCCAAAAAGACAAAGAATTGCAGGATCACATCGTTTCTCAGTCCGTTGCTCTGGCTAGGGGTGATGCAGGTTCTTGGGAGGTGCTTGAAGCGGCTGTTACCTATCAAAGCCTTACAGACGACAGCTACCGACATCTCGTGCAACAGCTTGTCTCCGTCCTCGACAAGGAGCCCCAGCATACCGAGCCTACATTGAGAGCTCTCGAAATTACCGCCAAAGGCAGACCCGATCTCTTCTCACAGGACGAGGACATCCACACCACCCTAGTTGCCCAATTGCTGAGTCTCTCCGAAATTAACGACCCTACCATATCCCCCAAAGCCACAACTGTTCGCTCTTTGCTTGACGGCCATGGCGATGGAAAGTTGCCCGTTGTCAGCATCATTCAATCGAACCTCGAAAGTGCTGGGCCACAGTCTTTGGAGTAAGTCTCCCCTCTCCTATCCCACATCTGCTAACCAATCAGTATCGAGACACTCGTTCTCCAAGCACAAAGTGCTGCAACCAATACTCCCTTGGAGGAACTATTCCCTAGTACCAACGTCTGGATGACAGAGCTTACACCTTTCTTGGAGCAACCTGTCAACCCATCGCTAACAATCACCAATAACCTCGGCGGTGCCGCCGCACTCGCAGAAGTTCCCGAAGCTGCCCCAGTTCGAGTACCCCGGGACAGAAAAGGTCGTTCCATTCCCATGAGAATGGCCCTTTACGTCTGTCAGCTTTCAGAGTCCAACCTTTTGCTCTCCCAACTACCAAAGCCATTCCAAGTGGAACTTCTCTATCTGCAATGTCTGACTGTCCAACTGGTCTCGGATCAAATCACTTGCATGGAAGAAAATCGACTTTGGAAGACGGTAGGACACTCCGAGGCCAGTTCCCAAGCAGAGGGCTTCGTCTCTTCGATGCGCCACGTCCTAAGTACCTTGACCTCGGAGGTGAAGACCTGGGACGACTCTGTGGTTCACGACCTCGTCAATCTCTTGATGGAACACTCCAAAGAATTGACACCACGGGGTCTGTACAGCGCGAGGGCTCTGGGCGAGTTGTTTCAATCCTTGACAGAAGCTGGCGTCGTACCTCATCTCGAAGAGTCGTTTCTGAAGCCCGAGGTTCTCAAGATATCGCCTGTGACAGTCTTTTTGGCCTCTGCACTCATCACCGGATTTGGCGAGACTCTCCAGCCTTCCAAGCCGGCCAACAACTTTGCCAACCGGGTCATCAGCGAGGTCGCTGGAGCAACTCCTCAGGGAGCAAAGACTCTCATGACGCTGGTTCTCCTCTCCACATGCGCTCAAGTCTACGAGCTTGGCGAATTACCTGTGGCCAACAACCGAATCGTCTTTGCCGTTCGCCAGATTACATCCTGGTTGGATGAACCCGAGAGCCTGAGCGCGCCTCTCTGTGCTGAGATTTGCCGTTCCCTGACATATCTCCTCCCATGTATGAAGGATGTGTACGGATCATATTGGGAAAAGACCATCGGATTTTGCATCTCGCTCTGGAACCGCGCCAATGATTACAAGCTTGACCAGGCTCTCCCTTTCATTCATGCATCACTGAAGCTGTTCAAGACGTTGGAGTCCCTCCAAGAACCCAATGATGATCTCGTCGACGTCATCAAAGAGTATGCCAGCGCCAAGCCTCGATCGTTGATTGAACTGCTGCGGCTCTCGAGATACGCCACTTCTCAGCCCTTGGAAATTGTCGACGCCATGCTCTGTCGGGAGGTTGACAAAATCCCCCTTCGACACATCTCCGACTTGTCAGACATTTTTGGGCTGGTGGCTTCGGAATCCCGAGACATTCAGACTGCGGCCTTCAACCTCCTCCACAAGGCAATTCCTGCACAGCAAGAGCAGAGATCTGTTGACGTTTTGCTGGACAAGACAGGTGTGTACACTAACTCCATGTGGCTTCGGCTCTAACCTTGGCAGATGCTCGATTGCCTGACGAACTTCTCTCGCTCCTGCTGGATGCTCCAACGTTAGAAAAGTACTCGGATGAGATGCTCGCCGAATTCCCTTCACCCATCCGCGCATACCTGCTGTCGTGGAAACTAGTCTTTGACGCCTACTCGACGTCTTCGTTTAAGATTCGAAACGACTTTACCGAAAACCTCAAGATGGACAACACTTCTGGGCCGCTACTGGACTTTATGTTTGACGTCCTCGGACACTCAGCTGCCCATCCGCTAAAGCTGGAAAGGGTCAACCTGAACCCCGAGCACATCAGCGACTATGATGTCAAGCTTGCAGAATCGGAGCCGGAGGAGAAGAACATGCAGTGGTTGTTGGTCCACCTGTTTTACTTGACGCTCAAGTACACGCCCGGCCTGTTTCGCGCGTGGTACATTGACTGTCGGTCAAAGCAGACCCGAATCGCCGTCGAGTCTTGGACAACCAAGTACTTTTCCCCTCTAACAATCTCAGACACATTGGATGAGGTTCAAGAGTGGGCAGATGGACAGGAGCCCCCTGCCATGGACGAACAGGAACTTGTTGTCAAGGTTGCCAGAGCAGCCAGAGAGGTAACGGCAGGCTACGAAGTTGATGAAAGCCAAGCAGCCATTGTCATCAAGGTCCCTCCCAGTTATCCCATCGAGGGTGTCACTGTTGCCGGCCTCCATCGCGTCGCTGTGAGCGAAAAGAAGTGGCAGAGCTGGATCATGACGACCCAGGGCGTCATCACCTTTTCCAACGGCAATATCATCGACGGACTTCAAGTGTTCAAGCGCAATATTGTCGGTGCGCTCAAGGGACAGAGCGAGTGCGCCATTTGCTACAGCATCATCTCGACCGACAAGCGCATGCCCGACAAGCGCTGCAGTACGTGCAAGAACCTGTTCCACCGAACATGCTTGTACAAGTGGTTCCAGACCAGCAACCAGAATACATGCCCACTGTGCAGAAACCCCATCGATTATTTGGGCTCTGACACGGCAAAGCGGAGACTGTGATGACATGATGAGGAATGAAACGTCATGAGACTTAGATATAGAGTTGAACAAAAGCGTTGGCATGTGATCTAATAGTCTTGTGATAGACGTGATAGACGTGATACACCCAATCTGTAGCGGGTCCGGCGATACACCGTGTGATAACGTCCTGCTCATCCGCTTTCCCGGTTGAAAGCGTCTTGGAGAATAAACAGATGGCCATCGAACTGATTGGCTTCGCGTGTGCCTTGCTATTGTGAAGCAAACCGAGACCCATCCTTGAGCTGTGTGATTAGCACAAGAATGAGGGAAGGGTGGTGAACTTACCCGGTGTCTGTGTCCTTGTTTATTTGTGCGCTTCTTGGCATAGGATTTGTATCATATTAGTTTGTCTGAGTCTTGCGTAATGACGAGTTAGGTGCTAGGTGATGTTTAACCAAGTGATCTGGCATGGCGGGTTTTATTCTTCGCCCCGTCCGTCAACGGGAATTATTGGGCGCAGCTATGTTGAGCGTATTGAATAGTTGCTTCACTGTTGAGCCGTCATATCTAAGAAGGTGGTTCGTGGTCGAAGCCAGGTTTCAACGCATGCATCTCATCACTGGCGACCTGTTTTGAGACTGTGATGCTCCAGCGCCTACCGACTGTTAGCTCAATCTTTCAAGTAAAAGTGATACAAACCTGTTCAGCGGTGGCTCTCTGGCCGTCGTACCGGACGAGCGACGCGACGAGATGTCTCAAGTCGGGGTCCACGTCAGGAAGAATGACGTCCCACGGTCGAGCTGGGAAGACGGTCCAGAGCTCAAAAGGTGAAATCTTAAATGCCTTGGCTTCAGGCCATGTCTCCGGCGTAGGTGTGCCTAGTGTCTTGAAGATGCTGAGAATGAGGCCCAGCTGGTTGCCATCCTCGTGAGCTGGACGGGACTCAAAGACAGGCATCGGAGGGTCTCGGATGGATTCTGATAGCATAACTCCCAATCCCCACATGTCCACGGGCGGTCCGTACGATTTATTCCCAAAAAGAGTCTCCGGGGTACGGTAAGCGCCGGTCCCAATGTCGAGAATCTTGTCGTTGGGCGGCTCGGAGTAAGCGGAAAGCTCGGGGTGCCAAGCAGTGCCAAAGTCGGAGAGGTAGGCTGGACCAGTTGGAGAGGCCAGAAGAATTGCAGACGGCTTGATGTCGCGGTGGATGATGCCCTGCGCGTGGATATCTCTCAAGGCGAGAAGAGCGTCGGTGAAGATGGCCCGGACGTCGGCGAGAGGAAGAGGACCTTTGTCGAGGAGGTCTGCCAGGGTGCACGGCATAAAGGGAAATACAAGCACAAACTGCTGCTCCTGGTCACGAAAGACTTCAATCAGAGGGATGCAGGGACCGCGGAGAAGCTTGAGGATCTTAGCCTCGCGCTGGGGGTTGTGCGGCTCGATGTTTTGGTAGGCGACGATGACTTTGAGGGCCTTGTCCCCAGACCGATAAACCTGAGAGGTGACACCTTCGGAGATGGGGATGCAGTTGGTGTAGGGACCGATACGGACGCCTTCTTCAGAGTCCTCTACGAGGTCGGCTTCAGCGTATAGGGCTGGCGGCGTGGCGGTTGGCTGGCACGCAATATTGTATTCATCCTATATCAGTTAGCGTGTCCTACGAGGATGAACTCCTGCGCACCTGTGTGGACGACACTTGAAAGGCAGCTTGCTCAATAGCAATAGCGTCACTCATGCTAGCCGTGCCCAGGGAATGCTGTCTAAGCGGTGTGAGCAGAGATCAGAGACAAACCGAACCGCTCACATTTTCTGGATGGTCTCGTATCTGTCAGAAGCAGACAGTAAAGTCTTCCACTCGGGTGTCGGTGAGGCCATGGCTGCTTTAGTGGTTGGTGGCGAGGATGAAGTAGCGGCGTTTGGCGATGTTTTAGTGGTGTTTAGTGGAGGTGCTCGCAATTGGTTAGGGCGTTGACAACACGTGCCACGTGCCGGTGATGACTTCCTTATTTAGCACCACGGCAATCCAACCTTCCGGATTTTACCATTACGTGTATAGGGACGATGACGTCTCATGGTTATTACCAAGCTTAATAGGACTCATTGTAGCCCGATGCCAATCAGCAGGTGTGGTTGAAGTTCGAGAACTGCTACCCTATGCCTGAGCCTAGCTATTCTCAGAACCAGAAGAGCCGAAATATCCCACGACCTAATTATCTATACTGAGCCCACCAATGTGCAAGGACTAGACAATACAAGCTTGACTCCTTAATTTACAATGTCATGTATTCGTAGACATCGAACGATCTTATTGTCCCGCTGACTCATCGGTAGTGCTGTGGATCTGAATGTCCTGGCGAAGCCTCAAAGGGAGCAACTCCGGAATCGCCCAGGAATAAGTACGTCATTCTAATTAAATGAGCCGAGTAATGAAGTCTGCCGCTCGGAGTAATAGAGTTAATTGAGCAATTACTAGGATTCTGTAGCTGTCTAACCCACGCGATTGATAATGTCTTGTATCAACTGACCGCTGACTCAGCGGAATATAGATTCGATCAGTTAATTCAATCACGATGTAATGGGGCTCAGCGTGGTTCACCTCCAGCCCAGCCATCAATAATCCCCGGGCCTTCCGTGGTCTCTGAATATATATTGATTAAGATGGCGGCATATGTCGTTCCAATTCTTCTCCGTCAACTCTACCATCTTACAGCCGCCATGATCTATAACAACTTCCTCACCTTTATTGCTTTGGCCAAGGTTTGCACTGGCACTCTGCTTCCTCGATCCGAGAGTCGCTATGTGTTTAAGCCAGAAACTCAGACAAGTTTCCAAAACGTAAGATACAAGTCTTCGTCTCTAGAGGGGTGCTAACTAGCCAGTCGCACATTCCCGAACTTTATGACTTTGCCGATTCTCAATACGATATTGAAACAGGATCGTCTTATTGGTTGAGCTCTTACATCACTGGCACCAATGGCAAACAGTATCTTGCCATCTCCCACGTTTTGACCCAGCAAGATCAGGACACCAGGTGTCGATCTTCGATCCTGGATCTCAAGACCCTTGACTACTGGGTTGAGCTCACCTATTGCACTCCCCAAGCCAAGGCCGCAACTGCTCTCGAAAAGGCCTCTCCTCTTAATCTCGACTATGGAACTTATGGATTCAAGGCCACTTCAGACGATGGCATTTCCAAAATGACTGCATTTGCGGAAACCTCGAACTATTCCATTGACATCAGCTGGGAAGCCACTTCCAAAGTAATGCTCAATGGTGGTGGTGGCATCATTGGCTTTGGAACTGCTAATGCAACTCATTGGGGGATTCCTTCTAGCAAAACAGAGGGAAGCCTCACTATCGGAGACGAGGTTGTCAAGGTCGATTCCAAGAACTCTTTCACCTGGTACGATCGACAGCTGTCTTATGGAGTACCCAAGAACTGGACTTGGTTCCAAGTCAACTTTCCGGGAACCGCAATCAAGGCGAGCATCTGGGCATTCGACACCGATACCACAAGCAAGCAATTTGCCACCATCCGGGTCGATGAGTCGATTCATGTCCTAGCCTTTACCTTGACCCCGGACATGACAAACACGTGGACCTCTCCCAACACCAACCTTGTGTATCCTCTTGCCTGGAGACTCGACTTCGACAATGGCGACTATCTCAAGGTCAAATCTGTCCGTGCAGATCAGGAAATGTATGGCTCCAGGAAAATCGACGACTCCGCTTACGAGGGTTTTGTTACTGTTGCTGGACGATTCATGGGACAGAAGAAGGGATTTGGAGTGGTTGAGTTGGTTACTGTTTATCAGTAAATCATTCAAGTGGTTCCTCGACTTTCTCGATAGGTTAATAGAAAGTATTCTACCTCTCAGTTTAAGGTTGCGAAGTGTGTTAATTTCAAAACAACTTGCAAATTGCATTATTTAGAGTATTGCTATTCTCACCGCGCATTTGCGCAATAACTACATTCATTCTAGATCTTACACAGTACTAATAACTATCCTCTCCTACAAAATAAAGGATTTTTGGTAATGAAATCATCGTAGGACTAATTCCTAGTATTTATTCCTTGCAACAATATTTGTTTATTCATTAGGATTGTTTACTAAGAGAAATATTCCTCTTACAATTTACCCTCTTTATGTACACTAGGCACATTATTTTAGCCGAGGTTGGGTAAAAGCTTGTGCTTGACTGCGAATAGCAATGCTCCACATTCAACCCTTTGGATCGACTGCGAGTGGAAATTCTTGTTTGGCAGCGTCTTATATAATTTGTCTTATGGTAAGAAATACATTGCTATGTAGCAAAACTTCTCAATGATGCCATACTCTCAGTCCATCTGTGATCTGTTTGGCGATCCCACACGGTTGGCAGCATATCCAGTGATTGTGACATGCTTCTGAAGCCCGTTAGTTTGCAAACACGACGTACTTTTCCGACAAAATAATTCCGTTGTTCTTCGGACAATGCCTCCATAGCGCCAATAAACCCTGGCCATGCCATAACGTGGAAGCCGGGCTTATCGCCCAAGTCTTCAAATAATCCTCGTAGCTGTTCGAGGAGCTTGTTCATGCGGATTTTGTCAATGGGAGTGGAGTGTGACTCCGCTCGTAGAAGATGTATCTCAGCAGCAACACGATACATTTCAAGATGTGTTGAAAACATCGAGCGTTCCCGTACGGAGTGCCAACCCGGATCCAACTGCACGAATTGTTCCATCGGACTTGGAAGCGCCAAGCTGGCACTCTCAATCCCTTTACACAAAGCGACTATGTGGTGGATATGAAATGCGATACTGGACGATGTTAGTTCATGAACCCCACGCTAAGAAAAAACATACAGCTGTGTCTGGAAATATAGAAACTTGGCCAAGGGCGATTTCAGTTCCGTGGTCCCACGTGCCGCCATAAAAGATATAAGCATACGATATAGTGAAATAATTTCATCGTTGCCATTGACAAGATCTCCTACGATCAACAAGATGATGACCATCCAGGTTGATTCGTCCAAGGCATCTTCGCGGCTGGCCTTTTTTCGAAGATGGCTGATGATTGCAGCTTTACCTTTCTCAGCAGCGCCAAGGTAATGTGGCATGCGTGGAGCAAGGTAGAACGAGGCATTGGCACAGATGGCCTGTTGGATTATTGGGTCCGCATGAGCCAGTGGCAACACGTGGTTTCTCCATCCATTTCCAGCTCCATCGAAGAGGTCCAAGGAAAGAGAGATACGCGCGAGAACTAGAACTTTGTCAGTTGTGCTCAAAAGTAGTAACGCAACACTTGCAGTGGTCTAAGAGGAAGCGGTTCTTGGCACCCATGGGATCGAGTATCCGTTGAACCGAACCTGACGAGGTATTGGAGGAACGGAAATGGGCCATGTTGAAGGCCCCAACGTGAGATGTGGTGGAAGCATCTGCATTGTGATATAGATGGGTCCTGGAAGATGGAATGACGCTCCACTGCCTATGGTTTTGGGTTTCTCGGTGATCAGCAGTGTGTCGTTCCGGTTGCTTCTCATCGCCGAGGAACTTCCTACGCCGAGGAAGTGTCACTGCACGATTTCGAGTTGTAACTTGACTCCGTTCCCGGGACTCGTCGGATGCTGCACGACCAGCAGATTCTCCATCGGTGTGGATACCGTCCGACGCAGCCATTCGCGGATCACCACGAGCAATGACCGTGTTAATTGGCACAAAACGATAACGCACCCCATACCCAGGACATGTAAGACGCTTTGCCTTGCATTTGGTGCAATGCGGGACGGTTCTATCGCAGATGATTCGTCGTCTCAGGCAATGATGACATCCTTCAAGCAAACCCTAGTTGTTAGCAGGGAAGCATGCACGAGTGGGGCGAATGAAGCTCCCACATGAACCACTATAGGACCCAGTGAGCCGCTCAACTTAGAAGCTTACCTTTTGAAGTGTTTGAGCTATCCATCAGGACGATATGGGGGCAAAGGCCTTGATTCTAATGGGATGGCGATGGGAGGGGGCTTGGTGTTGGTTGAGCCGAATACCATGTGACTGTCAGCGGCACCGCATCCTGCGATGAAGCTACTTTGTCATTTGCTTCGCCTGGGACTGGATTCACGATTCGCCTTGTCTGATTTGCAACGAAGCAATAAGATATGCCAACAATGCCGGTGTTCTTCGTCTGTTGCCAGCTCTTGTGATCCGAAACGCGTAACAGCGGGGAAGAAGCTGGAGTAAGCCTGAGGCCCGCGTCTCAGCGGATTACGTACGACGCGCTAAGAAATTCATCAAGGAGAAACAAGGCTGAGCTTGCTCAATTGCCCAGTCGGAGGAATAACTAATGCAATTAAATTAAACTCTCAACCGATCGAGAAACGAAACGTGGTGTCCACATTATTTACCACCGACCCGAGCTGCTCTCGTGTTCCCGTTCAGGCCGTCGGTCGTGCTGCCGTCGTCATGCTTCTGTCCTCGTGACTTGGTAATTAGCTCGAAAAAGGAAGCTGCCACCTCGGCTGAGGCTTGGCCGCTGGGGCTGGTGAGTGTGGGTTGGTCGCTCCTGCTCTTCATGCTCATTCCGCCAACCAACCAGCCACTTCCGCCACGTCTCAACCAATCGCGGCCAATCCCAGCCCGTTCCACCAGCTCCGCTCCTTCCTTCCCTGCTTCCCCCAAGCTTCGGCCCAAAGTAGCCCCAGCCCAGCCTTTCCAAGTTTCCCGAACGGCCCATCACATTCACATCCGCATCCGCATCGCCATGGTCCGGCTTTGTCTCTGTCTCTGACCTGGCTGACCATTCCACCTCCACGATCCTCTTAGCGGTGTCTCTCGTGTGCTCCCAAGTTCTCCTAGCGCTCTTCTCCCTGCGCGACCTCGACTCCGCCGCCGACATCGCCATGCGCTCGACCTCGACTCCTTGACCTCCGAATCGTTTGTCGCTCGTCTACACTCCACCTACGAAATCAATAGTCTATCCGATTCCTCTCCCTGCGTTGTGTATCCATTCATCCCTGCGCCACCATGGAGGACATGGCTAGGACCGAGTATCCGGCTATGCTGGTGAGGCCACCATCCGCTCGAGTCTGAACGGTGCAACGTCATGCCTCGCCAAACTCGACCTGACTCTTGAGCTCCAGCTGACTCTTTTGCGCGACTATAGGCAAATCTCCAGCCTAGCCAGGCAGTACAAACCCTCACAGACCGAGTAAAGCGCATCAACCGGGTCAATTCCGAAGTTGCAGATTGGCTCCAGGTACGATCATCTGAGGGACATGTCCATCGTGGCGCTGCCAGATGGATCAATCGCTCTCGGTTCTGGAGAAGCAAGCTGACTGTCCATGTAGGAGCGCCGTCGTGTCGAGGACCAATACGTCCAGAGTTTGCGAAAGCTCGCCCAATTCAAGGTGCCTAATGCGCAGACGGAGCTGAGGTGAGCGAATGCGACTATTCTCTCAACAGCCATCTAACAATCCGTAGCGTCTTTCAGGCCCCATGGAACCGAATCGTTGACTCTGTCGAGGCCATCGCCCACTCCCACCACCTCTTTGGCGAGCGCATCGAAAAAGACCTCGAGTTCCCGCTCCGCAACTTCCACCACCGCACCGATGCCCAGAACATGAACACAATGGCCTCCAACCTGGCCTCCATGGCTAGGGATCTGGAGGATGCGCAGAATCAATCCGACAAGCTTAGCAGAAAGGGCGGTCGTGCTAATACCCAAAAGGTCGATGCCGCCTCATCCAGACTCGAGGCCGCTTCCCAGCAATGGGAGGCACAGGCGCCATTCATCTTCGAGTCTCTCCAGGCACTCGACGAGTCGCGAGTCAACAATCTTCGAGATCTCCTGACCCAATATCAAACCCACGAATCCGACCAAGCTCAGCGTACTCAAGACCACGCCGTTCAGACACTCGCTCTGATGCTGGAAATCGATACAGAAAAGGAGATCCAGACCTTTGTCCACAAGGCCACTGCTGGAAAGACGAGGTTGCCCACGAGAACATCCACCCGACAGTCTTCCGTTGCGGGCACCACGAGCTCTGCACCGGCCCCCCCGAGCACCGCGGGCAGCGCCAGCATCCAACCGCCCAGCGTCCCGCCCAGCATCCAGGCTCCGGATGACGATGTTAGCGAACACAACTCCGTTCCGGCTGAGCCCAAGCCAGGTTAGTCCAATTGACCAGCGTCCAAGCTGTTGCTGACTTTGTAGAATCCAAATTGAGACGTCTCGGAACAATGTTTGGCGGTCGACGACGTCAGAGCATGCATGGCGGCTTCGGTCAGCTCTCTCCTCAAAAGGCTCCCACCTTTGGACGACTTGGTACGAGCCACAGCCACCATAGCCACGGCGTCTCTCCTAGGTCGTCCTCCACCAACCTACAAGAGCATAACCGTTTGTCATCTCTAGCCGAAACCCCCGACACCCCTAGGCTCGCCGATTCCGATTCGTTCCCGCCCCAGTCGGCAGCTTCGCACGAGAACACGAATGGAGTGACGCTCCATGACGCTCCTATGGAAATGTCTACACTCGTCCCGACTACCAGCGGCGTCAATGGCAATCATGAGAAGGATGTGTCGGATGTTCCACCTCCTCCAGGCCCCCCTCCGTCTCAGCAAGAAAGCCAACCGCCACCTGGGTCCAAGGATGCCGAAGGCTTCACGATTCCGCCACCCATGAACGACCCGATTTCGGAGGCCCAGAAGGAAGCAGCTGGCGAGGACCCAGAGCAAATGTTCAAGCTCAACATCCATCAAACGCCTGTTGAAGTGGAAGATCCACATGAAAAGCAAGCTGCCCTTTCCAGCGTTGTCAACAGTCTCAAGATAGGCCCTGCCACCCGTCGATCCAGTACCATCAGAGGCCGTCGCGATATTCGCCATACTGTCTACGTCCCGCCGCCGAACCTGCCCGAGAGCAACACCGCGTCTACACTGGGAGGGATCCCGCTATCTCCCTCCCTGCCTACTTCACTGTCCAAGTCCAGCGCCGTAGCTGCATTGGCGTCTGAAGCCAGCATTGCCGCGACCTCGGACACACAATCAGTTCGGTCAGGGAACTCCCTGGGAAGCCTCGTGCACCCCAAGCACCCCGACATGACAGCCCCTGGTCTGAACTCGTCCATCATCGAGACGGTGTCTGCTGTTTTTGAAGAGGGAGTTGTCAAGTCGTCATCCGTTGCAGGTGAAGTTGCCTTTGTCAACAATCCCAGTGACTCAGGCGACATAAAGGGTATGTTATCCTCGTCTCTCAAGAACGTCGCTGACTTTTCAGATCACGAAACAATCCGCATCAACAACTTTGCTGCCCTTGAACGTATTGGACCTAACCGCATTTTCGTCCAAAACTCTTCTCCCGACCAGCAAGATCAGTTCTCTCTCGACGTTTCCCACCTCACGAGAACCTCGACGGCATTCTCATACCGACTTTTTACTGAAGAGCCGGAGGCCCTGGGACACCACGCTCCTCTACTGCTGAAGCTCGCCTGGAAGCCGCAAGGTGACAAGTTGGGATTACTTCTACAGTACCATCTCAACCCGGCTTGCGAGTTGACTGCCCCGGTGATCTTGCACAATGTCGTCTTTGTGGTGACTTATGATGGTCGTGCCAGTGGCGCTCAGACAAAGCCTACCGGAACTCATCTCAAGGACAAGCACCTAGTCTACTGGCGCGTAGGAGACATTACGCTTACAGACGCTCCGCAAAAGATTGTGTGTCGCATGATTGGCGCCGAGGGCGTCTGTCCCAACCCGGGACATGTTGAAGCCAGGTGGGAATATACAGCTTCAGGAGACGAAGTTGTAGGCAGCGGCATCTCCATCTCACGACTTGACGAAGGAAAGGGCAAGGTCAAAGAGCTAACCGACGACGATCCTTTCGCTGATGATACCTTGACGACATCGAGCCAAGAGCCCCAGTGGGTAGATGTGCCCGCAATCAGAAAGCTTGTGAGCGGAAAATACGAGGGCAGGTAAGCGGTATTCGATCTGCTCCCATACAATATAAGACCTAAAAGAGGAATCGCGGTCACACGGACCAGGCGACATGACGTGTATGGATACCGAGACGAGGCGGGTCTCGGGAAGCGCATTGAATAGCGAGCGTGACGTTGGAGGATAATCCCGTCTTGTAGTTTGGTTCATTTCTTTACATTTCCTTCTTTCGTGGTGTCTTGGTGGCTGGGCTAGGTGCGTGTATGTAGTTTGTACGACGAAAGAAACCTGTTTATATGTCGGCATTGTTGGTGTTTGGAGTGGATATCTTGGAAACCTATTGGCATGCCTGATACCTAAACCACTATCTTGGTCCAGTCAGAAGTAATATTTCATGCACTCATGATCCTACGCTCCTGCAAGTCCCTAATTGATAGTGGGTCGAGAAAGGGTATCAGCCGACGTGATATGATCGGGATGTGTTTTTTTCGTGTATAAATCCATGCCAGATAGTAATAGGTTCATTGTGATGTACTATGAAAGCACCAGATCATAATTGAACCTGGTTAGATAGTACCTCTCTAGCGTGGTCTCCGTCATACGTGATACATGGTACATATGAAAGGTGCTCGTGGGAGCTCTCATATCGGTGAACGACAAAGGTGTAGTATGTACAGGTGAGGTTGGTCCGCGGGATTCAACGCTCACTGGATGATGAGGCACGCGAGATTAGCAGTGACTATATTCTTATTCCGACTTCTCATTGGAACTCTTGTCCTGCTTCGCCCTGTCTTGGCCCTTCTTCCACTTGGAAATCTTTTCCCCAAGGTACCGGACTGTGCGACTCCAGCCACCCATCATGACGCCCTTGATGCTCTGGGTGGTGCTGGGCCAGTTGACCGTCTGCTTGATGACTTTGCGCACAATCTCCTGGAGCTTGGCAGGGTCGTCTGTTGCGACCCGCTTCTCAAAGTCACCACCCTGTCGTCGTGAAATCGAGGTAGTCTCGTCATCGGCCGAAGCCTTCATGAGTTGGTTAAACTCCTCTTTTGGCATGGAGAATTTCTTCTGGTACTGAAAGTATAGCCGGGAGCGGAACGTCTTAGGTAGGCGTCGCACCATGTTTCCACGTCTGACGGGGTCCATATCCTGATGCAGAGTGTTATTTGCTTCAGGGTTCAGAACCCAATCTTGGTCGTCAAGTCGAAATGCTCCAGCAAAGTCGACGTTGGGTAGCGTCTTGATGAGGGGGGCATAGAGGCGACGGAAGTGGACAATGTTGTTGTCGACAATATTGTTGACCTTGCTTTTATTCTCCGTGGGCAGGGACATTCGAGGGTCGCCTAGATAACTGAGGCCTGCAATCGTGCTGTATAGTTGCGCCTCGGTAAAGTCGGGTGGGAGGAGGAGAAGGGCAGTTCGGATGGCGGCAATGAGATTGTGCTGGTTCGCCAATCGCACCCTGGGGTGGTCTCGAAGAATCTTGACAGGTTTTTGAAGGCGGCCGGCGAGGTAAAGGCTGTCCCACGAAGAAAGATCGTTGACAAGGTTATCGATACTGGTAACGCCGTATTTAATCAGCATGCCGTTCATCTCGATAAACGGATTAAAGTATACACCAGCGCCCCAGTCCTGAACGCGCGAGACAAATCCGGATCCCAAAGAGGCAACGCTGGAGTAATGGTCGCGGTGCTGCTTCATGTTGATGGAGTGCCAGTGCTGGGTATGGGTGACACCAAAGATAAAGTCGAGCATCTTGGGAGCTCCCCTTTGCGCCTTTATCAAGGCCTCGGGCGGGTGGGGGTGTAGGGCGCGGAACTCGGCCTCGGTGGCGTGGCGACCAGAAGACTCTTGAGGGAAGACGCCGGATCCATATGCAAAGCAGTAGACGATTGGGGCGTTGAACTGGCGCAGCATAAGACGTAGGACTTCCTTCAGCTCGTTGTTGATGATCATGTGTTGGTTTGCGCCAAAGAGTCGATGGGGCAGGTCGTCAAACGAGTGTATTGAGTTGTCGGTGGTGTTTTCCCAGTCATCGCTGAAAGGGTTGAGCTTGCTGTCGGAGTTGCTGTCGCCGTGTGAGGGTGCGCTGCTTGGAGTTGTGCTGGTCGCCGAGATGCCGGATCTGTCGCTTTCGGTAGAGGTACACCTGCCTTGCGTTGGAGAATTGGATGACCATCGCAAGGATACGGGCGCTCGGTATTGGAGAGGAGTCTGTCGAAGAGAAGACGGGAGGCGAGTGGAGGCATTACGGAGGGCTCGAGATGCGGAAGCGCAGTATGCGGAGGTCGCGGAGAACTACAAAGACGTCAGATGAAGTGTCGGGGAGTTTTCGTGGATCCAGAATCTTACCCTCAAGCATAGGGATGCCATTTCGAAGTAGGGGCCGACTTTGGGAGTTTTGTTATAGTGGTGATGGAGCGACCAAATGTGGAGGGGCAGCTCAAGCTGCAGTGAGACTACCTAGGCGCATACTCCATACAACTCCAATCCCAGAGCAGGATGGCGGTATTTGTTTGGATTTAATTGATGATTTCGGCTGTCGTTTTTCGTCATAGATGAATCCCGGAGCGTCGTTGACTTGTTCTCGTGTTGATGTTTTTGTTGAAGGAGCTTCGTTTTGCTGGATGAAAGAGGTCCAATGCCGAGAGTGGGTCCAAGGCTTCTTTCCATTACTGACCAATCACGTGTCAAAATATTGCGGCTAGGCAGGGTCCGTCCCTCAGTAGGTACGTACTATGCCGATAATCGCCGAGCGGGATACTACGTCACCGGGAAATTCAATTAACATGGCGTCAAGCGCATCCTTTAACAATGCCAAGGCAGCTTTGTGAACCGGACAGGGATATCAGCGAATGAGAGAGCCATCTTGATATTGATAGTGCTGATCTGCCCCTTGTACGAGAGTAAGCTCACCACGATCTGAACGAGAAAGAGATATTTGTTAAAGCTGTTTGGGGTTATAAGCTTGTTTTGACCATCACTCCTGCAACAAATAAAAGATGACTGCCAATTTATTATAATAGACAACAGGCACCCACAACCTCCACTATGACCATTCCAGACTCATCTTAATCGAAACTTATTTCTCTTCATTCAAAGACTAGAACCCCCACATAATATTCCTGATACCAGGTTGTAAAACCGGCCTGGTTACCCTATACAATGGGTATCATCAGCACTGTTTCTGTTTTGATCCTTCTATTTACATCGACACGTAAAAGGGATAGGCAATCCTTTTTTAATATTAATTATAACGCTTGCCACTTCTCCAAATTTCCAGTGGACCCTTGACGGCAATTATCCTGGCATGATCTGCGTTGTTGAGCACATCACGTGATCTGCAGCTACCGTGGTGATGCACCAATCTGCACAGATCGCGACTCAACATTGACGACGCGTTTCAACACCACACCAAAATGCGATCTCACACGCCACAAGGGCGTGAAGGTCCCGGAAACCGTCGCAATTCTACGTCCAACAGATTTCGCGCAAGCACTTCATCCATCGGCAGGCCCCAAACATCACTTCGAGAGTCCAGGGTAAGTCAACAATGAATCAAAACAAAGCAGCATTCCGAAATCTGGATCTAACTATCTAGATCTCGTCATTCCGTGCGACGCAACCGACGTACAACCTTTTTACTGGCGCCGAGACGAATAATTCACGACCTACTTCCCGTCAGGGCCACACCGCCGAATCGGTCCGCCCAGGTTCGCGCGATAGCTGTAAGGAAAACATGGCGCCTCCCGATGCCGACGAGTATGAAAAGTACAGGAAGGAGATCGAGGCCTTGAAGGCTGAGATTGGCACCTTGCAATACCGCATGCAGACGGCCGAGCAAGAGAAGGAGATTGCCATGTCACAACAGAACAGCAAGATGGAGCAGGCTCGACGCCGCGAGCAAGACGAGGCCCAACAACGCCAGGTGGCCGAAGCTGAGCGAGAAAAGGCTGCGACGCAGATGGAAGCGATACGACGAGAACTCGACGATGTGAAAGATGCGGCCGAACAGGATAAAAAGGCGCTCGAGCGCAAGGCTCGGGATGCAGAGGACGAAGCACGACTCCTGCAGGAACAGCTGGAGGACCTGTCGACGGCTAAAGAGGAAGCTGCACGAATCGCTGACCGGAAGATTACCGACTTTGAGATGCAGGTTGCCGCCTCGCAGCGGACAGTGCATGAGTTAGAGCAGGAGAGCCAACAGAGAGAAGCCAGCCTCCAACAAACACAGGCCCAACTTGCCGAAAAGGATGCCGACATCGCAGACCTGGAGGCCGATGTACTGCGACTCAAGGCTCAGAGTGGCGACGCCGAAACCATGGAGATTATCCGACAGGAGTTGACCGAACAAGTCCATCACATCCGGAACCTCGAAGCGACCAACCGTGATCAGCTATCCGAACTGAAGCACCTGCGCGCCGTAAGCAGAGCGGTCGAGGTGGTCGAGGAGGAGAAGCGCACGCTGCAACGGAAGCTCGAGACTGCAGAGACGATCGAGGCAGAACTTGCCGAGGCCCGGATCCAAAGACAGCGGCTCGAGGACGAACGGTTGGCTTGGACAGCCTACCTCAAGAACACCTTGGAGACTGGAGATGCAGAGTTTGACTCCCCAGAAGCCATGGCGAGGGCGTTGGTCCAGGAGCGACTGACTACTGCCTCGTACATGGACAAGTTGGGCGCGGTCCAGGGAGAGATGACGGCTCAACAACAGACGATCAAGACCCTTCAAGACGAAAAGGCCAAGCTCAAGGGCGAGGTCGAGACCGCCAAGACCTCCGCCAACGCCATGTCCACCGACAAGGCTCGTCTTCGGCTTGAACGACAGCGCGTCCTTGCTGTCAAGGAAGTCGAGTACCTGCGGGCTCAGTTGAAGACGTTTGACACCGAGGACGAGACACTCCAGCCTGAGCAATTTGACCAGGCTCGCGTGATGCGAGTCCAGGAGCTTGAGGACCTTGTTGACAAGTACAAGTCTGAAGTTCAGAGCCTTCACGGCGAGCTGGCCTCAGTTGAGCCCGGCACGCCTCAGCCTGTTACTGGCAAGCGTTCACGGGCCGAGGACGACAACGCACAAGAGCAACTTGGACAGCTGACACGTAAGAACCGCAAGCTCCAGGAAGAACTCTCGAGCACTCAAACCAAGGTGGCGCTGCTGGAGAAGGACTTGGCAGCGAACCGTGAGCAGCTGGAGGCCGCCAAACAAACGACCAAGACGCGAGTCCTGTCGCTCAAGTCCAACCCTACGTCCGACTATGAAGCGATCAAGCGTTGTACTTTGGAGGCTCTGCAAAAAGAGAACACTGACCTGTTGGCTACTCTTCAATCCAAGGTCGGCAAGTCTTCCGTTCCGATGATCCCAACGTCAGTCCTCGGCGCCATGGAGCGCGAGATTGCTGCCGCCAAGGCCGAGACGGCATCTGCGCAAAAGTCCGCACGTCGCCTCAAGGAGGTTTGGGGCTCCAAGTCGCAGGAGTTCAAGGAAGCCATCTTTTCCACCCTCGGCTGGACTGTTACCTTTATCCCCAACGGCAAGATGCGCGTTGAGAGCACCTTTTACCCATCTCAGACGGACGAGAACGAAAACTCCATCGTCTTTGACGGTGAGCGCGGCACGATGAAGGTGGGCGGTGGCCCAAAGAGTGCTTTCGCTCGGAGGATCAGCGACCAGATTGGCTTCTGGGTGCGAGAAAAGGGCTGCATTCCTGGTTTCTTGGCAGCGTTGACGCTGGAATTTTACGAAGAGCATACGAGGGCCTCCAAGTGAGGATGACTCGAGGACGGAGGATATTGTTCACCGATGGATGAGATGACGACTATACCCTTGTACATATAACATTGCTCATCGGGCTTGTACACTATTTCAGGTTCAATTTGTTGGTGGCTACCAGCCGAATATTGATTGGCGTTTAGTCTATCTGGCTCTATAGCTCCTTCGCAGGCCATGTCTATTAATTGTTTGCAATCTCATTCCCGCGTTGGTATCCCGTCCGACCTCGCCTGTAATTTCGCTTGTAATCTCGCCTGCTGCTCTGCTTTGCTTCCATGGGCTTCAAGAACAAGGCTGACATGTTGGGATCCTTGCTGGCCATCTTCTCGAGAGCCGCCTCCCAGTTCCAACACTGATTCGGAACTGGATCTCCTATGGCCTCCTTGAGCTGCTCGTAGGTGTCTTGGAGCTCGGCTCTCTTCACGTGGTAGAACGACGCGTCTTGGAGGAGCAGCAGCCTCTCTGCCAGAACCTCGCAATTAAACAAATTTTGAATCATCTGCTGCACGACGAGCGAACGCTTGGTCATTTCGCGCTTCTCGGCTTCCTTATCCAGATTCAGGGCCTGGATCATCCCGATGATGTCGCTGTTGTTGGTGAGGAAGTGGATCAACCACTCCTTGATGGCCGATCGCTCCAGTGAGCTCGAGTGCAGTTGGTACGGATCCTCGGGTGCTTGGTTCACGTTGGGAGCAGAGCCGTGGACCTGAGATCCCGAGTTATCCAGGAAGTTGATGCCCATGTTCATATTGAAGTCCATTTCTCTGGTAATTGGTTGTGGTGGGATTGACTGGGTGAGGTTGCTGGAGTTGGCATCCGAATTTCGTGGAGTATTTGTACGTAGTTCCTAGGCAGCATCTGAACGTTCCGACAGTTGTTTCTTTGACCATCAACGCCTTGTTCCAGAGCACAACGGAAAGCTCGGAGGACAAAGAGGAACAATGACAGTGAAAGAATACAAGGGCGGCTAGTGATCTTACGGGAACAAAGAGTTTCCGCGGCATGTTTGCGCGGTATTGGCCACGGATTGTCAAACACGTTTCTCGACAATTGTTCACTGTGCTCTTGTTCTTAAAACATCGTGTTCTTATGACCGTATCCTCCTGTCTGAGCGCTGCATGCGTCGGTCAGATGGCGGCGAAGTCAGGACGGATATAATTGATGAATAAAACCATGCAAAATAGGGTTATAATTTATCGTATTTATAACTTGATGGTATCGTTTCATTGTCTGTAATTTTGTGGTATTTAGAATTATGGTATCATCTTTTGTCATAACAATATTCTTTCACGGTCAACATCAACCCAGCTCTTCAGATTGCTCGCGTTGACAATTTCGCTTCGATCAAGCCGGGAAAGCGCTCGAGTAAAGTCACGCATGTACTCGGCAGCGCGGCGGGCAGGCCGTTCGTGGGCTTCGTAGGGGCAGTTGAGGAGAGTGACGCCTACGTCGCGGACCTTGTATGTCTGGTGAGGTCAGTGTCTGATCTAATGATCTAAAGCAGTGATACAAGACCTAAGACTTAAGATCTAAGACTCAGGAACTTGGGATAAGCCTAGACTTACAAGATAGAGCCCGTTGGGTTCAAGGTGGGCATAGGGCATGCTGTGTAATAGATGCAACATTTGACGGCAAACGTCTTCACGCTCTGTCCAGCTTGCCTTGAGAGCTGTAGTGTAGGAGCCAGATTCGGAGGAATCTGCTTGTGATATGTTTTGTAGCAAAACGTCGATTTGATCCAGGAGTAGGCTTTGCACCCATAGGTGAGTTCCATGAAGGTTTGCCCTCATTATCTCGACTTGCCCCGGTAGGGCTTTTGCGTTTGCGCTTTTGGGTCCGCCTGGCGGAGTTAAATCATCATACACGGATATGGCCTGACGAGTCTCGGGAGAATGGGATGGGTCATTTGCGTCGCCCGTGGAGGCCCATTGTCGCATCGGGCCCGGTACGTCATCCAGCATATATCGGATCTCGAGTAGAAGGTTCCGTAGACGCGATAGTCGTACCTCTGGAGTATGACGGCGCTCCCAATCGCAGTATCCCGGAGTAAGGGCTTCTTGCACGGCCTTTAGGAAGACCTTGGAGTGTAAAATGAACCCGCTGGTGAGACCGAGAGCGGATTTGGGTTGTGATTGTGTACCGGGTGTGGATGGGGATGCAATTGGGGATGGAGGGTTTAGGATACTGCTTTCAAGAATGAATTCATCATCGAGATCTAATGGGAATAGAGCCTCGAAGTTGACCTCTTGCAGCATAGAGTGATCGAGAAATGCCAGTCGCTCCCGACGGCCGGCAAGGAGCGTTGAATGCCTATTAGGGTCAGTGGTATAAGGATTAGGGCACAAGTTTGGCTTACGCATAAGTATAAAACATAAGCCAGAATGCCTTCTTCCGTAGTTGAGTCTCGATACGGTTGAGCCCTTCATAATCGGAAATGCGGTGGAGCCCCAGCAGTCGTCCGACCTGCATAGACTCTACCTCAAGCATGCGGCTTCGGTTTGCTTGGCCAGTCTGGAAGCAGCCGACGGACAAGAGGTAGCAAACGGCCCATTTGCGCAAGTTGATGTGGTCCCAATAGCTGTGGGTTCGAAGGCGCATGCACATATCGACACAGGTGTTGATCATGGCCATTCTTGTGTCGAAGCGAATGGCAATATCTGGCGCCATGGCCCGATAGACGGGAAACCGCGACGGCAATAGCCCGACGGTCAAAGCCGCGAGGGCTATGACGATGGAGAGAAAGTCAGGGTCAGTAAGGTCCCGGTTTGACGCAAGATCGGCGCGGAAACTCGGACGGTGGATGACGGGCACCAGCGGGTAGATGAGATCTAGGTAATCATTCATGATGATGTTGAGCAGCGGCCGGGAGCAAAGCTCATCGGTCGGGAACCGGGGGCCAGCCATGGATGGAGATGCATTCCGGACGGTCAAACCTGGTGATGGTTGCGGTCCATACGGGGAGGAATGATCGACAATTGGGAGAGGGCGAATATCACTCCTCGGCTCAGCCTGGACCGCTGTGAATTGCCATTCTTGGGTTTCAGGGTTTGGATTTATAGAGGGCTCCGGTGGCTCCTCATCGCCACTCTCACGCGGCGTTGAGGGAAGCCGTTTCCTAAAGGGCACAGTGAGCATGGGCAGTAAACGGGCGAAAGAAACGACAAACCGACGCTTAGGACCTCGCGTGCGTGTCGGGACGAGGAAGCTACAAGTAATGCCCAGTCTTAGACAGTCATGACACTGAGCCTGAGTCTGAGCAGCCTGTTCTTGTGTCTGAGACGGCCGAGGACCGTCGGCAAAGACGCATTTCCGCCTCCGGGCTCTGCAAGCATCACAGGCGCGTCTCGCAAGAGTCTGCGGCCTCTTCCCGGTTCCGGTCCCGGCGTTGGCGTCTGCCGAGCCGTTTCCTAGAGGCGGCGGAGATGGCGAAGCAAGAGGAGACCTCGAGCGGCGCATGGCTGGCTGTCGCGGTGCGCGGATCGTCATGCATAAACTCAGCTCTCAGCTCAGTCAAGAGGAGAATTAGCAGCGAGGCGGAGAAACGGATCAAGGGTTATTTCTCCATCCTGGGGTGGCGTGAGGATCGGTCACACGCCATGTAATTTGTTAGTCCCTTGTATTAGTCCCTTGTATTAGTGCCATTCCGACGGTTTGACACCCGACTTTGCGCGCTGCATCCCCCGCCTCCGCCTTTTCTTGTTCCGTAACCCCGGACGAACAGATCAAGGCCTGACGGAGGAATGCGGGTGGGGCGTTTGCTCCGTTTGTCGTATTCACCCACAATTGTATGGAGTCTCGGGAGTCGTCCGGCCCAGCAACGCGTGTCGTGGAACAGTTTTCCGCTTTGGGAGAATCTCCGTTTCGGGAAAACTGTTGGTGTAGTGCCAAGTTGTTAGTGAACTAAGCTGCTGGGAGTGCTAGGCGCGATGATCAATGCTGAGGATTATTTGTTAATAAAAATAATTGATAAATACCAAGACGAGGGTTTATTAAAATATTATTTCTCATATTAAGTGATTTTGATACTTGTCTTTAGGAATAGAGCATACTCGTGTGTGTGAATGCAATGCTCATGCTAAATGCGCTGGGGATTAGGGGCGCCAGTTGAGTGCGCTGGAGATTGGGGGTTAAGACTGCTGAATGCGCTGGAACTTAGGGGCAACCACAATATCAAGTGCGCTGTAACTTCACTCCTCTCCTAAAAGTCATTATCCGTTACCAAACGCCTCCTATCCTATGTACCAATATGCTCCCAAGTCTATATCGTAATCAATTGCGGAGTCCCTTCCAAGTCCTGCTCTTCTTCAGAACGACAGTCTTTTCCAAAAACGTTCCGCGGCTGCTCGTCCCGACCAAAATCCCATACGACCCAGGAGCGCTGTGCCAACAGTCCATCTGCTCGCTCCAGTAGCTGGTCGCGCGCAATAGGTCCAGCGTAACCACAGCTGTCTCGCTGGCTCCAGCCTCGACGTGGACCTTGGTAAAGCCCTTGAGCTCTTTGGCCGGACGCGTGATGGTATCTCTGGCTGAGCTGGTTAATGGTGTTGATGCTGCAGGCTTGACGTAGACTTGGACGACCTCGGCACCAGCGAGGGAGCCGGTGTTGGCGACTTGAACGTGGACAGTGAGTTGCTCAACGTCGTGAACAATCAGAGCATCAGATTCGTCTGCGGAGTGACCATTGACCAGACCATTTGTGTGGCCATTGTGACCATTTGTGTGACCGTTGGTGTGACCGTTGGCTTGGTCCTGAGTCACCTCCAGCCCAGACAACTCAAACGACGTATAAGACAAACCATGCCCAAAGGCAAACAGAGGTGTAATGTCCAACGTATCAAACCAGCGATATCCAACATAGACATCCTCGCTGTACAGAACACGGCCGTTCTCAGAACGGAAGCTCAGAGCACTGGGGTTGTCAGCCAAACGGCGAGGCATGGTAATGGGAAGTTTTCCGGCCTGTTTATGTTAGCATAGAACGCAGCTCTCATAGACTGCACGTACAGGATTGATGGCTCCAAAGAGCACGTCGGCAATGCCGTTTCCACCCTCGTTGCCACCGAACCAGGCCTGCAGCACCGTGTTGGCACGATCAACCCACGGCATAGCGACGGGAGTACCGCTCTGGATGACAACAGCAGTGTTGGGATTGGCGGCAATCACAGCTTCCACCAACTCATCGGTCCCCGGAGGAAGAACCATGGTGGTGCGGTCCTGGCCTTCACACTCCCACTCGCCGCTGGTTCCAACGCAGAGCACAACCTGGTCGACAGACTTGGCAACCTGGACAGCCTCCTGGATGGCGGCGGCGGCGTCGAGCTTGGGACAGCCGCTGAAGCGAAGACCGCCCTGGCCAAAGTCCACCATGCCCGAGACCTTAAGCTTGCTGGTCTTGGAGCAGCCCCATTGCACGAGGATGCGGTAGTCTTTGCCGGCCTCGAGGGTGATGCTGCCAGTCTCTTCGACGGTTCCGCAGCCGACAAAGCTGTTTCCGAGTCGCTGGTTCTCAATGTTGGAAACCACTAGTTCGCCGTTGATAAAGAGCTCCGCGGTTCCGTGGACCGACAGGCCAAACTCCCACTCGCCAGACTTGTCAGGCGTCAGGATGCCCTCGGCCTCGGCGTACCAAATGTCGGCCAGGTCGGGGTGCTCATAGTCGACAAACCACGTGTAGGTATCGTCAAGGATCCGCTCTTCCAGCATCGGTCGAGCACCCGTGATACCCTTGGCCTTGGGCGGGTCGTTGTAGAAACGGAGAGAGAACCCCTGCTTTCCGTCCACGGTCCGCAACGCCTTGCCCAGAACCGGCAGCATCTGGTGGCCGTAGGCGCCCTGAGAAAAGACGACGTCGCTGGCGAGGCTCTTGACGCCCTCGAGAGGTGTAACGGCCTTGTAGGCGCGGAGACCAGCGCTGCCGCCGCCGCAGTATGTTGCAATGTTGGCGTTGGGGCCGATTACAGCCACGCTCTTGTTGGGGTTGAACGGCAGGACGTTTTGCTCATTCTTCAACAGGACAATTGACTTTGCCGCGGCTTCTCGTAGGAGAGCAATGTGCTCAGGGGTGTTGAGCTGCTTCTCCGGAGCGTTGGGAGGAATGGAAGTGTTCTCAAGACCGTGCTTGATCAGCTTCAGTACGTTGCGCACCCGCTCATCGAGGGTAGCCTTCTTAATCTTGTTCGCCGTCACAGCATGGCTGAGAGCCTCTCCGCGCCATCGTGTAGGTCCGGGCATCTCAAGATCCAGGCCGGCGTTGATGGCCTCGGAGGTGCTGTATGTTCCGTACCAGTCGCTCATGACCAGACCCTTCCACTTCCACTCATCCCGCAGGATCTCTTGTAGAATGTGGTAGTTCTCTGCAGCGTGGCAGCCGTTGACCTTGCCGTAGGAGGTCATGATGGCGCGGGGCTGTCCCATCTCGATGGCAATCATGAAGGGCAGCAGATAAATCTCTCGCATGGCACGCGCGGTGACCAGCGCATCGACGGCCATTCGCTCGCTCTCCATGTCATTGCATACGAAATGCTTCAACGTGGCAGACACTCCAGACTCTTGGACACCGCGGACATAGTGCCCAGCAATGATACCGGAGAGGATCGGGTCCTCCGACACGGACTCAAAGCCTCTTCCGCCGAGGGGTCCTCGTTGGATGTTGATGGTAGGGCCGAGAAGGACATGAGCACCTTTGGCATGCGCCTCATCTGATAGCAAGCCGCCAATACGCTCAGCGAGATTGGTGTCAAAGGTTGATCCTAGAGCCGTGCCGCAAGGTAGACATGCTGAAGGCGTGCTATCGAAGAAGTGCGTGCCCCGGACTCCATTTGGGCCATCAGAAAGCCGAATAGATGGGATTGAAAGACGGTCAATTGCCGTAGTATGCCACCATCCAGTCCCTGTAACGGTCAGCATATGAAAGATCCGTGGTGTGGGTGAACTAACCGGCTGTCAACGCAACTTTTTCTTCAAGCGTCAACTGCTGAATGAGAGCTTCGACATCCATTTTGCAATAGTGAAGAGAATAGATGCAAGAAGAACTCTCGTGTCAAACGACTAATGCAAGCTGGGAATAAAGAAAGACGAGAAACACAGCCACGGCACGCGAGGTCTTTTCAGCCGTCAACATCCTTATCCCGTTGCCGAAACGGCCTCAGCGTTCCTAGTTTTTGATAGTCGATCCACATGGTTTACAGTTGACAGCTTCTAACCCACAGAATGCGTCTTTAAATCACTTGACGCGGAGAATATGGGGACGATCAGGTGGCGCCCACATGGCACTGGGGAAAGTGACAGAAATTGACACTGCCGAAGCGGAGAATACGGAGAGATCACGTCTAGGATGCTGGGGAACCGTCAGAAATGGATAGTTTCGGCGTACCGAGGCGGAGAATAACAAAAACATTAGTATCCAGGCGGAGAATTAAATCAAATTGAACCATCTTGCGTCACATTGAGCAATCCCATCACGCGCCTCGACCATCCAATGTCCTAATTCTCCGCCTCAGTCGCCACTTTATCTCGCCCACGCCGAACCCCTGACTCAATTCTCCGCCTCCGTACCTCTCGACCCGAAAACTAATGAATCCAGACAAGGTAGATTGTTCACGAGACCCCACGGCTCCGCGATGGGGAAATGGAGCTAAATTTCTCCACGGGGTAGAAGGATCTGTAGACTTTTTTCGCTTGGAGTCGTCGGCCGAGGGCGCGGGAGGCAACGTGAGCGACAAGTAAACTTACGACGCGCTGGATGAACAGGGCTCGACAAAACTCCACTTGCCAGGGCGTTGGACGAACCATTCTGGCGGGTCTCGAGCGCTGTGAACAGATGAAAATTTATTATATAGCCTGCATGGCCCCCGGTTCAATTATCAAGATCTGAATCCTCATCATCACCACAAGCCAATTGCCCGGCTCTGTACTCGATTCATCTCAGTGTTCACTTGCGAATACTCCATCACCATGGCTGGACAAGGCAATCTGGCAGGGCTGTCCGATGACACGCCCTGGTACACGCATAGCTATCTCCGCAAGCTGAACTTTATCACGCTGTCTCTAGTCTTGTTCTGTAAGAAAATGCTTCCCCATTGCTCAGTTCTGTCTAACACGCCATAGCCTCTGCAAACGGCTACGATGGCTCCATTATGGGAGGTATCCTGGCCCTCCCCATCTGGAAGGATTTCATGGGAAACCCTTCCGGTGTGTATCTGGGCTGGATCACCGCTATTTACTGGCTGGGTAACGGCATTGGCTTCCCGGTGGCTGCTTGGGTCTCCAACCGCTACGGACGCAAGCCCGGTATCTACGTCGGCTACCTGTTCCTCATCCTCGGAGTTGGCATGCAGACCGCTGCTCAAAACGAAAAGACCTTTACAGTTTCTCGACTGTTTATCGGTATCGCGGCTTCGTGGTTGGGCAACGCCTCGCCTCTGCTTATCAACGAGATTGCCCACCCCAAGCAACGCTCCGTCGCCAACGCGCTCTACATGTGCGGCTGGTACGTCGGAGGTACTCTCTGCGGCTGGGTTACCTTTGCTTGCCGAAACATTCCCTCTAGCTGGTGCTGGCGTGTTCCGGTGCTGATCCAGGTTGTTCTCCCGCTGGTTGCGCTTCCCGGCCTGCTCATGTCCCCCGAGAGCCCCCGATGGCTCATCAGCGTTGGCCGGAAAGAGGAGGCGACGGATATTCTTGCCAAGTTCCATGCTGGTGGTGACAGAGAGAATGCTATTGTCACGTACCAGGTGACCGAGATCGACAACACCATCACCGCCGAAAAGGAGGCCTCCTCTAGCACCTCATACTTCGATATGATCAAGACTCCCGGTAACCGCCACCGCCTTTTCATCTCAATCTCTCTCGGTGTACTGGCCCAATGGGTGGGAAATGGCGTCGTGTTAGTATTCCGTTCTCAATTAACTATACATCTGCTGACTTGGATAGGTCGTATTATCTTCCTCTTGTCCTCACATCCGTTGGTGTCAAGTCCGTCACGGACCAGACCCTCATTTCTGCATGCCTCAACGTGTGGAACTTGCTCTGGGCAGTTGCTGCAGCCACCAGCGTCGATCGACTGGGCCGTCGCTTCCTTTTCCTGACTTCTGGAAGTGTCATGTTGGTTAGCTTCATCATTGTCACCGGCTTGAGCGGCGCCTTTGCGACGTCGGGTTCGTCGACCGTTGGCACTGCCGTCATCCCCTTCCTGTTTATTTTCTTCGCTGGATACGACGTTGGAATGTAAGTCAGCTAAATCCCCACAAAACATTGATACTAATCTCTTTAGGACTCCTCTTCTTACTGCCTACCCTTGCGAGATCTGGCAGTTCAGCCTCCGATCTCGTGGGTTTGCCGTGTCCTGGTGCTCTACCGTTGCAGCCATCTTCGTCAACACCTTTGTCAATGCCATTGCTCTTGACGCTATTGGCTGGAAGTACTACTTTGTCTTTATTGTCATGCTCATCATCCTCCTCCTCTGCGCCTACTTCGGCTACCCCGAGACCCGAGGTTACACCTTGGAACAGATTGCCGTCATTTTCGACGGTGAGGATGCAATTGTGCCTCATGCGTCTGAGAAGATTGCGGAAGTTGAGCATGATAGCAAGGAGTTTGATAGCAAGGCTGAGCACAAGGTCTAGATGTTAAGAGTATTAGCCTTGGGTGGGTGGAACATACTGTATCCAAGGCAATACAAAATAATGGCATGTTTAATGCATATATAGTAAATCAACGTTCAGGTTTGAGACACTCTTGTTTAGTGGACTGGCGGCATAGTGAGACAAGTGTAGAAAGTCGAATCTCAAATACAACCCCACGGCTTCTTCACAGATAAGTTGTGCATTTATATTTCTCAAGGGCCAGGGCAGTTGAAACACTGTTTCTCAAACTTTTCGTCTTCATCGTCTTCATCCTCGTCTTGTCCATATTCTTTCTGCCCGTTTTCCTGCCCGTTTTCCTGTCCATATTCTTCCTCCCCATATTCACTTTCGTTGCCTCCATCTGACTCTTCATATCCTCCACGAAAGATTTTATTCTGTTGGCCCTCTTGATCAGGCAGGTGCTTCAGTTTGGATGAGAACAGTTTCTTGGCAAAGTAAATCCCGCTGATGAACACCACTACCCCTTTATCATCATCGTGGATCTCATGAGCAAGGTGCTCGTTGCTAGACTTCCAAGAACTCGTTGGTTCCAGAGAAAACAGACCCGGAGCGCTAACACCAATGCTAATCTCAACTTTCGACGACTTGGATGACATGACAGCAACGCCACATCGGCGTGACGTGTAGGTCTTGGTCACTACCCAGATACCATGTCTTTCGACAATGGGCTTGTATTGTCTCAGGATCTCGGGCTCGTTGTCTGTTACCCACTGCATCGCCGCCGATTCATCACCAATCCGGTGCCTCAGAACTGGGCTTTCAGTTGTCAGAACTGCGCCCTCATTTCCTTCGCATGTGAATGACACAGTTACAGAGGGCTCAATTGGGGCCACGACCAGGCTATAGAATGTTAGCTTAGAATGTTGGCTCAGTCATTTGCGATAATAGACTTACGGAGCACCAGCTTCACCGCCTAGTTGACGTGACACGACTGTTTTGGACGTCTTTGGACCCCAGATAAGAGTCTGCGGTTCTTCATCTCGGCTCTTGAAGCTGTCGCTTGGAGATTTCCACCCTTTCTGAGTCAAGTCTTCATCGCTGCTCGTGAGATCAACGAGGGTATGCCAGTCTCCGTCGGTGTCAAAGTAGCCACAACAACCTGGGTGCACCTCCCGTGTCGTGGCCTTTTTATATAGAGCCCATCCGTAGGGATGGTGTTGCAGGAGCTGGGCAAAGACCCTATCAAGCCGTGACTTATTTCGCATGGTAATCAGATATTCCAGTACAAAAATCTGGTAAATTTGTTGTGAGGCCTCACCTTCAGAATGAAGCTGAAGAGCGAAGGATGAAAAGCCCCTGAGCACAGATCTGGAGCAAAAAATACTCTCAAGCGGTGGCAAGAGGTGCGGGGTAAAAACTCAACTTGACACATGTCAACCTGCACTGCCCGTATGAATAAGCTGACTATCATGCCTTTGCGTGGCCTCATTGCCGTTGGCTACGAAATGATTCAAGTACAACAACAGTAAACAATACACATATTTTGAGCGCCCAAGTGGATATAAGGCACCCAGAACGCCCTGCCGCTGATTCGTACTCCAATACAACCCTGGCTTCCCGCGAACCACTCACGTCCTGCAGCCTCCTAATCCTGCGTCCATTCATCTCGAAGCATAGATGGAAGGGTGAGCGCCATAGGCTTAAATATTGCCCAGTCCCTATTTGTCGAATGTTTGGCTGCTCGCCACGACATCTAGTTCCACAGCGCTTGCCTCAAAACGTGTTGATGATGTGTCGACCCAAGAGTAAAAGCAGCGGCAAGGTGGATACTTCGTCTGTTGACTTTTCGGGGTTGTTTCGATATCGCCTGGTTTCGCTGGTCATGTTCGGGTATGGCTACTTCAGGTCTGATCGCTCCCGCTTGGGAGTCTTCCGTTAAGAAGGACCGCAAGAAAGAGCAAGGAAATACTCCGAGCATTATTAACGCATCTACAAAGTATTCCGTCATAACTTACTGGGTCATGGATGCCCTCATAAGCTGAAATATAACTCCGGCCAGAGGACCGGGGTCGTGAAACATTGGGGGCGGAGCATGAAACCCAGCCACAACCCGATATGATTTGATGAGAGCTTGTGTGGCGGATTGCCCAAACCCTGGACGTATTGACGGAGGATGGGCGATTGCCAGCTGCCTGGGAGAGGCAAGGGAACCTGAGTGTTTAGTCCGACTTTGCGTGGAACGAGAATTAAACACAGGCTGATCGCATTTTCCGAGAATTGCTTCGTTCAATTGCGCAACATCGTGACCAATCCTGGTTGTCGATGGGTTCCATTAAGCTTGAGTTGTTTGATTGGCCTCTCTTGTTAGACTCTGCCTTGTAGGAAGTTGGGTCGCGAACCGTCGTGCCAGTTAATGAAGACTGACAACCATTGGTGGCCGACTTATTAGGCTGGTTCAGTGAACCCAGTTCGCAACTCATCACCAGGCACCCACAAGGCACAGCATCGTGCGGCTGAAGTCTCCTGGTGTTGTGATCATGAGTGGATGATAAACGAACCAACATGCTGGCTCTTTGTGCGCCAAGCGGGGCTCCTGAGACCAGGCCCTGAGACAACCAATACCAAGGGGCCTAGGAACAGCATGGATGAGCCTTATTGGCGAAAAGGACCACCTGCATTAGCTCCTCACCGTAAGCAAATAGTCTGGAACAAGGGAGTCACCAGGCCGAAGATCAAAACCCAAGCACCCCCTCAGAAGCCGTCCCAGACACAACCCTCAACATCTCAGTCGCAACCCTTACATATGGACCGCCCACAGCGTTTTGCCTTGCTCGTCGGCATCGATTTATATCTCAAAAACGGAACAAACAGGAGGCGCGATGAAGCCATACATCACCTTAAAGGTTGTGTCAATGACATCAACGCCGTAAAGACGGTCCTTCAAGATAGATTCCAGGTGGAGGAACCCGTAGTCCTCACTTCTTCTCTCGATGCGACAAGTACCGGTCGGTACCAGCAGCCCCAAGAATCACCCGATGTCTTGCCCACATTCGACAACATTAAGAGGGAGTTCGATATCGTGACTGGAAAAGCGAATCCCGGCGATATCTTCTTCTTTCAGTATTCTGGCCACGGTGGACGCCTCCCAGGATTCAAGGATCGCCAACGGGGCGGGACAGAGACCCTTCCCTTCTCACGGCCGACTTTTGTCTCAACAAACCTGCGGTGCGGGGATGGGAACTCAACGGGTGGTTGAAGCGGCTCAATGAAAAAGGCGTCCAGATCATTGTCGTTCTTGACAGTTGCTACTCTGGTGGTTCATGGCGAGGTGATCATCTGGGCCGCACGCCAGTGGACTGGGAGGAGGATTTGGAGAGTCTGGGCGAGGAAGAAGTCCAGCCAGCCGCGGAGCCCGCCATGGAGCCATCTGCGGACGCCATAGTTCCGTCGTATAGGAACTCGGAACTGGAAAAGTGCTGGTCCATCAATCCAGACGATTTCACGTTGATGGCGGCCTGCAAGTCGGGTGAAGTGGCCAAGGAGATCAAAGTCAATGCCAGATCCCACGGTGTATTCACATATACACTTGTCAAGCTTTTGGAACAAATCCAGCCGGATATTACTCCATCAACATACTGTGTGCTCCGCGATAAGATTGCGGAGCGACTGGAGTCTCATAACCAGAACCCAGAGGTGTTTGGTCGGGACAGGCTTGGGTTCTTTGACAATTATGAGCCGTTTTTGTTCAACCCCCTCGTCTCGCGAGTTGAAGGCAATGACATCGTCATCCCCATGGGAAAGATTCACGGTGTCCATCCAGGGACCGAATTTGCACAGGTGCCGCTGTTTCACAAGGCCGTCTTCAAAGTCAACAAGATCAAAGATTGGGAATGTCGCGCGACTCTTACATCTGGCCTTCCATCGAGCTCACAATACAGTATTGAAGTTGTGCCTTTGAAATGGGGCTTGGGAGGGACGACTTTTCGGGTTCTTGTCGATGGATCCCTTGGGGACGAGTTTCAGGAGGCCATTTACAACAGACTTGGCAACCTGCTTGCAGGCCCCATCGAAGTTGAAGAATTTCATGGCTCTTCACCCGATAACGAGCTGTTTAAACTGACCAGACGTGGTCTCGATGGCGTTGAAATCTCTGGACCCCCATCACTGATCGGCTACGAGGGCCCGTTGCGATGTTTGGAGCTCAAAGGCACCAGTGCTTTGCAGCTTGCAGCTCGGTCTGCCGTGGCTCTTGCACACCTAGCCCGTTTTGGACAGATCTTCTTTGACCTTCCTAAAGATGCTTGCGAAGATGTCGCTCCGTTTACGTCGAGTCTGGAAAAAGTCAACAGTGCGGGTGATTCAAAGGTCAGGATGAAATTTGTCTTTACAAACACTAGCGAGAGCGATTTGTACCTGACCGTTCTGAGCCTTCATCCCGGATTTGGCGTTCGGCAGATTTACCCTGGATCCAAGTCTCGCGAACCAGTACGCAGAGGCAATTCAGTGAGTTTTACGATGCAGATTACATTTCCCAAGGAGCTTCGAACGAATGAGGACGCTGGACCGGTCTCGCATCGAGACGTCATCCGCGTCATCGTCACGAGAGGCGAGGACGTTCCATGGAGATGCTTAGAGTTGCCAGATATATGGCAAGTGGATCAGGTGGAATCCAAGGCACAACATGGTTCGGACAGGAATGTGGAAATTGCAGATGATGACTTTAGTTGGTGGATCAAAGATCACCGGGTGGATTCAGTTCCTTTTTAACCTTAGATATTTCCTAGAACCCTAAACAAGCCAGAGCAATGATCAAACATGAAGATGCACAATTGCCGATGTGGAGTGAGGTTTACTTGGCCCTCTGAGAGACAACACTGGAGAGATGCCGTCGATCAGGAGGCATAAACACCTGTTTAGCCTCACTGCTCCACCACAGCTCGGGCGAGTAGTACAAGAAAGGGAGATCCTCATACGCCAACTGAGGACTCCTGGTCACAAACTCTTCAAAGGTCAAAGAACCGTTAGTGGCCATTGAGATCTGGGCTTGCTGAACCCAAAACATGCTTTGCGTCGATCCCAAAGTTTCCGACAGATCCAACGCTGTTTTAGCTGCCGCCGCTCCAGAAGGGCCGCTTTTGTCTGACTGCGTGGCCGACAAATGGCGATGGAGATACTGAAGAAGGCTTGCGTGGATGCCAATATTTAAGCCCCCGTCGGGCATAAGATTCGCCTCGTCAACAACAATAGCAGCGTTAAAGTCGAGTTCTTCCCGCGGAGGCAACTCGGGTGGCGTCGCAAACCGATGGGTGATGGCGTTTGCCATGCGTAGGCGAGCAAGGTCGACCTTGGCTTGGGATGGGCTCGAAAACACATTCGGCAGAGCCTTGAGGTCAGGATTGACAAAACTCATGCGCGCAGAAATGTCTTCCCACAGCGTTTGGGTGTAATACCGCCTCCATTCCGCCCCCGTCAGATCGAAGAGAGTCTTGAACGCATCAAACGTCAGTGCCGTCACAGGCCCGTCAAAGGCAGGCGGGGACTGCGCTGGGGTCATGTCTAGAGACCGGAGCGAGGCGTGAATGAGCTGGATCCAGAAATATGCCTGCGTCTCCGAGTACGGCGGGATGGAAGGGTCAGAGGCTCGAAGGCGAATTGTGGATGATTGTAGCGCCGCGAGTGCTTGCTTCACAACACCTCCGCGTCGCAGCTTCGAGGACAGTGTCTTTTGCACAACGGAGAATGCAAACCGGGGGAGTTTGTAGTGGTCCACTTCTGGGCTGGGTGTGCTTGGTTGCGCAGCTAGCTTTGTTCCCTTGAACGGCGGTAGCGGTTGGAGATCGGGCAGATGCCAGTTCTCTCGGGCTCCTGGGCTGAACATCAAGTCTTTTGAGTAGTACGTCTTCCAAAGACTAGCATTCATCAGGGACGGTGTGAGGAGAAGGATTTCCCAAAAGTCGGCTCGCGATGGGAACTCTTCGAGCTTCTTTTCCACCTTGTACGCAATTGCAGCCATCTGGATCTGATACAGCCAGAAGATTGTCATGGTTCTGTAAGGTTAGTTAGTGCAAGGTTTAGGCTGGTGATCAAGGACCTACCGGTGCGCAGTGTTGCGGAACTTCTCTGGGTTCTGGCGTCTGAGTTCCTTCAAACGACCTAAGAATTTGCTCGCGCAATCGAGAAGACTGGATCCCCTGGACAGCCCTTCGAAGAGGAAAAAGTACCCAGCTCTGAGATGGGCAGAATGATCCCACGAGTCGAGGTTGCCCTTGATGAAATCCATCCAGAAGCGATCAGGATGAACACTCTCCATGCTGGCCTTCTTAATCCGATCCACCAGCTCTTGCTCGCTGGGACCCTTCTCTAGCTCTTCGACCTGCATCTTGGTGCTTTTTTGCGAAGGCTGCGGGTTCTGTTTAAGGGTCTCTCTGATTTCCTTCATGACAACGTCGAGTTGACTCCCAGAAGCGGCGCTCAGGCCTGGCTGGTCCATGATCCTGATATAATGCTTGTCTTGATACTGAGCCAACTCTGACTCAAAGCGATTTCGCACGCCTTGGACGATGGTTTCTCTCTCCGATGGAGGGAGGAGGTCCTGCTTGCTCAACAAGATCCACATGTGGCGACAGCCCAGCTCGGACATCCATCTCATAGCCGTGTGCAACTGCTCAATTGAGTAGTCCAGCCTCTCCGAGTCGGCGCAATCATGAAGAAACATGAGGAACCGCTCCCTCACGATGTAAAACCGGATGTGACTTCTCATTTGATCGCACCCTTGTCTGTTAGATGTCTGAAGGTCTTGGCAAAGGTTGACTTACCTCCGATATCCCACAGAGTGATACTCCCATCTGAGTATTCGATGGTTTCTACATTGATGCCAATCGTCGGAATCGTCTGCACCGTCTCCCCAAGTTTTAATCGATAGAGCAGCGTCGTCTTCCCCGCAGCATCACTGCCGAGCAGCACACCGGTGTGTTCGGGGCCTTTGCCCAGTAGCCAGCGAGCGATACCTGGCAACGTCAGCGCGGATCCGAGTGGGACGCGTTAAACTCACGCATATTGTCTCGATAAAGGATCCAGTTGGGAAATTGGTTGGCAGCAAAAGAAAGGATGGATGTGGATACAGTAGATATTGAAGCTGCTGCCTCCAGGAGTGGGGGAGCTGAATGCTGCAGATGTGGCTTCAGCTTGGCTTCAGCTTGGCTTGTCCTGCCACAAACGATTGGGTAATGTCGCCTAATGACGAGGCTGACTTGTAGATGAGCTAGCGGGTACTAAACATTCTTCGGCGAGGATAAGTAATTATGCATTGACTCAGACCGTCACGAGAGCTGAGAATAGCCAGATGCATTAAAGTGATGCCTAGCGCGACGCGTAAATTGTTGATGATAGAGTGAGCAAGAAGCAAGCTGATGTCTTGAATATGTCTTACTCCAAGTCATTTAGAACGTTGGAGTAGAGGACAGATTTTTGCTCACGACCTCTTGCTAGGTAGAAACAAACGCGTTCAGCCTCCTGCATTTGTCGTCTCGCTGGATCTGTTCTTAGACGAGACCTGTATCACACTCGGACCATAGCCAGGCATTCCTTTAGACCTGACTGTGGATCGTGGATGACCATCTGACGTAACAAAGCCATATCTAGTCCAAAGATCCAGCCAGAGCGACGGCACTGAACCTCAGATCCCCGCCCTCTCTCTCGAGGAACTTGAGTGCACCGAGAGTCAACCCCTTCTCGCTCAACACATCCTCGTCCTTGTTTAAATCTCCTCGTCGGAGAGGACCCTGACGGCGGCCGTCTAGCTCCCACAAGCCACCGTCATTTCCCTTGGCGAAACAAACGTAGTGTAGATCGATGTCGTCCTCAGCGGCGGGAGCGGGAGTGTCGCCTACGGAGGCAGCCTCCTTATGGGCGGTAGCGAGGCTATGGCTATCTTCGAGGACCTGGGATCGTTCGGCGCCGGTGAGGGGGATACTCTTCTTGATGATCTCGTCGAGCGTAGAACCCTCCTCTGCAGGAGGTTAGCGGGGCATGCGATGGATTTGAGGGACCTTACGGATGAAGCTCCTTGCCGGGCCGTTGCTAACGGCGTGCAAGATTCCCATGAGCCCACACGCGTTGCGGATGGTTTGTCGCCACCAAATCACAGGTTCAGCATCTCCCTTGCCAGTGTACGGTTCGGTCTGGCTATCCTCGGCCATGCGGTGGCTCTCGTAGGTGGCGCTAACGGGAAAGACGAGTAGGAGGGCGAGAGCAGGCCGAGGGATAAAGGCAAGCAGTTCGGGTTCGGTGAGGGAGTAGACGTCGTGGATCTGGAGGGCCTCGCTGACGCCGAGCTTGTGGATGAGGGTCGTCATGAGCTCAGGGTTGGCTTCGAGGGGAATGAAAGCGGGGCGTCCCTTGGGGACATTTGGATTTGTGAGTGTCGACATGGTGGGAGGAGGAGCGAGTATTTGCGACAGATCAAATGGCGACAGCAAGTTTAATGGAGTTGAAGCTGTCGCGATGGACGATGGAGGATTTGGCGGGGTTCAGGCCCCGCGCCCTTCCGTAGTGGGGGTTGCTATGACGTTACCGCTGCAGCCTTGGGTCAGCAGGGCATCAGGTTTCAGAACTACAGGCTTCATCGCGAATGCAACCAAGAAATCAAGTATAGACGAGGATTTTGGTAGGATTGATCGTGAAGCTACCCATCCGATAGGGTCAACATAGGGCGACAAATGAAGTCTGTCCAGGCAGCTCTGCCCTCCATCAGCCTGTCGCATCATCCTGTGGCGCTTGTTCATCCGTTTGACTCTCACAACCGCTTATTGATGATTGCCAGCTAGGCTCAACTATCCCTGCATGTTTGCTGCATTGTGTCAGGCTGCATCAGTCGACTTGTCTGCATCAGCATTGTCGGGTTTGATCTCGTTGCTGGAATTGGAGGTGGCATCTAGTGCAAACATCAGCTTGAACCTTCACGAAGCCTCCATCTACATCTCCAACCTTACCGGGCAATCTCGATGTGTTTGTGGAAACCTTGCTGGCACTGGTGCTCGATCGTTTGCGCAACACTGCATCGATCTTGGCCGGTGCGATCCAGCCAGGATCTGTTTCGGGGTGCCATTTTTCCAAGGAATCCTACGTCTTGGCTTCCTGCGCACCAATGAGGTCGGTGTTTGCTGAGAGATCAGCCCTCTTCATGTCGGTGGTTTGAGGCACGTCGGCCGCAGTTCCAATTTGGGAATTGGCGGTTGAGTCATTTGACACGGGGAAGTATAGGATGAATCCTCTGGGTTTCTGGTGAGAATAAGCCATGATGGTCGAGATGAATATTGATAATGCAATGCTCCGTTGGACAGGAAAGGTGATGACTTCGAGGACCGGTGTTTGGTTAGGTTCGTCTCCTCTAGCAAGCTCTAGCAAGCACCGAAATAATACCCTAGAGCTTCCTCACATTTGGGACAGCTCTTTCCTAATTCGGGTTGGGAATGCCTCCACCCAACTTGGTTGATTGCACCTGCTAAGTTAGTCAATCCCGCACGTCCCTCCAATAGTCTTAGTTTAGACTGACGGCTTCATTTCAACTTCCCACCTTCATCCATGGATGGCAATCATATCGTCTAAACCACTGCAACGTCTCAATCTTAGGTGCTTGCCTCCTGGATCATCTGGTCTATCCGCCATTTCTATCCGCTATCCGTCTTACCGTCTGTTCGCCAGCCTAAGTCGCAACACAGCGTCGACTGGAAATCATTCAATCTCCACACTAGGTCATCGCACCAGATCTGGCACACACCAGATGATGGTCCAGGCTGCCTTCCGAGCCATCAGTCGATCAGTTAATTGCAGTAGGGCGCCGTAAAGCCACAACTAGCTGGAGGTTGAGCGGATGCGCCAAAGTCAAATGAAGCTGAACCCGATCACTACCGAGAACAATCTAGCCGCCCATTCCTCGCAATTGATTCACTACGACATATCAACACTGTGTAAGCTACGGATTCGACAACCAGAAATGGAATTGGTTCGGGCCGGACACTTCTCCACCCCGGCTCGAACCAAGACTGGACAAGTCAGCATGACTCGGATGGATGTCTTGCAGATGTCGTCTTCCGGCTGTCTCGGGAGCCTGGCTATTGTGCTAACAGACTGGGGCCGCTCGCTAAAACGACTCGCTACGGTTTCAGTCGGTTGTTCACAGTATTGATGTTGTTCGACGCTGACGTTGTGCCAAGTTTGGCACAAATGAGCCAGTACGCGTGCGACATCCGCCACGGGGCCACTTACGCAGTGCAATGTGAGCAAGCCCAAGTGCCAAAGACGCCTCCAAACCCAGGGTCATGGCACCGATCCCAATGTTGGCGGCCACTTCCGGGACCCTGTCACCTTGGTACTAATTGGACCATCTCCTTGTCTCCCACGTGGAGTCCAGCCATGACTCGTCACCAGGGTTGTCTGAACGCAAAGGTCTGACCGGAACCGGCCACAGTGTCAGGTGGCCCAGTAACACACAGGCATCGAATTCCAGACGGACACCTTATTATCAACGGGACGCGCCTTGACGTCGAGGCCATTAAATTCCAGGCAGTCTTCACTTCTTCTCGTTGTGCAGCAGACCACGACAAGAACGGTGTCGGCACTGGACCATTAGTCCCCAGCACCGCCTCATTAGCACTCTGCAAAACATTGGATGCATTGAACCGGGCACATCTAGTGCAGCCCGCGTCTGTCAACGGAGCGTCATCGCCTCCGTGGCACTCAATAGTCGGTCGAGGTAAGCCCCTGGTCCCTGCATCAGCTCCTCATGCCCCTGGCTTGGGTCTTCGATCCGAGTCCACACCCCGGTCTCTTGCAGCGAGTCAAACGCCCCTGAACCTGGCATGGGAGTTGATCGGCCACTCTCCCGCACCCTTCACTCCTGCCCCGGTCACTGCCCCCTTCCCCTGCGCAGCCGACAAGAGCCAGCGGGTCACCGGGGTCAGTCCCAAGAGAGAGGATACGGCGAACGAGACGGCGGGCATCGTACATGGCGTGGACGTGTTTGAGGTGGCGCTTGAGATGGGCCATGGCGTTTGGATCGAAAACCTCCAGACCCAGACTGATCCAGATCCAGACAGACACCGAACCCACCGCACACTTGTTTCGCTCGCCATCCCCGTCGCCGTCAAAGTTGCAGTCCCTCGTCGCATTCGAGGCCTCGTGCTAGCCCCTCGGACCTCTATTGCGCTACTGCAACTCATCCTTGACTCCTATTCCCCAGTGGACCTTGTCGGGATCCCATCGCGCTGGAATCGTTCTATCGGCCTGTCCATGTTCGTCTTCCCCTCGAGCCACTTACGTCGATGCTGAGCTGTCTGTCGAGTCGGTGTCCGAGGGACACCCCTCCATGCGTTGTGCTATGGCGCAAGACCGTGATCGCGATCTCCAGCTAACCCATCTGTAGTAACTGACGACTAGCGGTCGCTGGACTTGCCCCAGGGTGTCTCTCGCCTGTGCCCCATCCTTAGCGCGATTCTCCATCGACAGCGAGTCTCGGGTTCTCGTGTCTACTAAAGGCGGGACACGCCCATTCTCTCTCGCCTGTGCAGCGGCTCCGTTCTCGCGTGGGCACCGAACTTGCTCGCGGCGGGTCCATGAGGCCTTCGATTGCGATATTGTGAGCAATTCGGCTCTGCGTAATCGACACGAGGCGTCTGCTGTCCAACCCTTCATCGGCCAGCCGCACGGCAGGCCGCCGCCATCATGGGGCTTCTCAGCTTCCTGACTAGGAAATCCACCAGTGATCGAGTCCCGGGACGCTTGATCAAGACCCAGGCCTACGACGCAACAGTTGCCGCCCATCCGCCGGTCCGAGGTTCGCCAGGAAACGAACACTGCGTCGCTTTCAAGACTGACCAAACTCTAGGGACGTACCCTGTCGCGGGCAATGGACCGAATCTTCTCGACAAGCTGCAACAGGCAGCTAAGAAACGAAGCACAGCGCAGCTTCCCGTCGCTGTCCCAAGCACAGTCGACACTCTCAACGATTTCGATACCTTCGACAGTTACACGGCGCCATCGCCTCAGATACCTCGATCTAGAGATTCCTTCATTGGGAGACCGACTACTGCGCCCGGACCTGGATTGAAACCGCGTTCCAAATCTTTGAACCGGAGTTCTCGAGGTAGCAGCCCGACTGTGGCTCTTCGCCCCGACAGCGATTTTATTCAGAAAGAGCTACTCCCACCCGTCCCATCTATCCCACCGCAACACCGCCGCCGCCGGAGCTCCCTCGACTCGGCCAACCGATTCATTGATATTCTCGACGCCCAAGGCGAGTTTAAGCCATACAATTTTCGATCCCGAGTTGAAGCAGCGGGCGCCCGCGAATATGGTGAGGATGTTGCCGATCGTAACATTGGCGTGAATAGTCACGACTTGAGTAACCCCGCCGTCCAAGCCTTCTATGCTGGCTCCCAAGGCACTTATTTCGACGAGAGCGCACCAGCTCCAGCCATTTCTACCGGAGGATACAGCAAAAGCGAACGATCAATTCGGCGATCGAGGAAGAAGAGTGCGACATCTCTCGCCAAGACAGCCGACATATCTGCGTGGAACTCCTTTTCCGAGTGCCACGAGGTTGACATGTTGCGGCCTGAATATCCTGAATATCCTCGCGGCCGGCGAATTGAAAGACGCGCAGAATTGTATTACGCAAATGCTGGCAACGATGGGTCTTCACTCGTGGAGGATCGGCGCAAGTCCTTCCACACATTTGCCCCTCGATCGACAGAGCAGTCAAGGCCCAGACCTTTGAGCCTACGTCCGTCCAAGGCCAGTTTCCACGATGACGAGTTGTATCTACCGCCGATGCCCCGCTTACGCCCAAAGACGAGTGGAGAGAGATCGGAGGTGCACTCGATTGGAACTCTCGATGTGCAAAGCATGGTTGATGAAGCTTTTGACGAACCGGCGCCATTTCCCAGTATGCATACCATCACGACGCCACAGACGAAGACTAATCTCGGAGTTGCAGGCATCCCGGGACGCCCCAGACATAATCGGCGTCGATCACGATCGGAGAGCTATGACTGGCAGGCTCAGTCTAAACACCGAGAGCCCACTCTCGCACTCTCACGCCCTTCTAGCTCATCCTCCATTGATCCCTCCCGTCCTCGAACTGGCTCCCAGGGTGGCTCGTCACTCCAACAACGGCACCGACTGGATGACATCACCGAGCACATTCCCGTGAGGACTTCCTCGCTAGGTCTCAATTCTCAGCCATGCTTTACCCCGACGACTGTGTCATCAGTCTACTCCAGCAATGCTGCATTCACTAAGCCACGCAGCCAGCATACGCCTAGTACCTCAGTCGACGCTTCCATGGCAGGTTTGTCTGAAACATTGGTCTACGACCACGAGTTGAGCCCCAGCGTGTCCAGTGTAAGACATCAGAGCCCAGCACACCATGCCGCAGAGGACGATTTCGGTCTTGACGCACTGGGAGTGCCACGGAGCAAGATCCAAAATCAATCTCGCGTGGAATATCAGGATCTGCCTATTGGCGATAGCCTGCTCATGAGCAACTACATATCCGGGTTCACTGACGACTCAGATGTTGACTCTTTCGTCGGGACTCGGGGACGTACTGGTGGAGAGGAAGAACTTCTTTTCAACGAAGGCATATACAGGGCCTCAGGGGGTCTTCCAGGCTTGTTTGACTCGTTCCCTAGCCAGAAGGTCCCAGCCCTATTGCCTAACCAGAGGTCAACGAGGCCAACCTCCATGAGCAGCCACAAGCCTGTACAGAAGAAGCGCCAGGACCACCCAAGACCGCGATCCGTTCAAACACGGCCCCCATCGCGATCTCACAAGAGTTACGAATCACAGCACGAATTTACCATTGACGCTGGAGACTTGGATGCCTTTTTAGAGTTGCAGCATGAGTTTCTCCGAAGCGCGGGTCCTATGATGGCAGCCATTGGCGCCGACGACAGACATGGAAGGCGGAGCAAGTACGAGTTCGACGATGATGATGAAGACAAGGTTGATATCCAGACGGCGACGCGAATAAGGAAAGATTTGAAGAAGACGGATACAACAAGATCTTTGCGGAGTCGTCGATCAAGGTCAACCATGTACCAACGCCGAAGGGAGGAGGAGTCGGGTCACGCAGCCGATACCGAAGACTGAACGCACAACAACGATTTTTATGTAAGGGCATTCATGACACGCCCCATCGAGGGCTGGGCTTTAGCAGGGTGTTTGGGTGTTTGGATAAGCATCCGGGGAGTTGTGCAGGGGCCAACTTGGTGTTTTGGGATATCAATGACAGACTACTAGTCGCATTTCTTTTGTAAAGTCATATTCCAAGCGTCTGCTGTTAAATCTGAAACCTTTTCTCCCTTAGGACACTTCGGAGGCTTCACGCCGACCTAGCCACTTTGGAGTGACAACCGCAGCGACACCAATAAAAGGCACACTCAGAGGGATATTCAGCAGCTGTGCCCTTGGGATCATATCTAAATCGGGCTCGGATGTGAAAATCAACTTTTCTCAAAGCAGCTTGAATCTGAAGTATAAAGAGGGGAAAAAGAAGAAGCAGAAAGTATTCACTTCTCTCAACCATTATCGCACCCAAAAGTAAAAGCAGTACAACACTCATGGTGCTAAATCGAGGAAAACCTTCAAAGTCTTTCCAACTGGCTCAACCTGCTCCCACAACCATAATAACCGCCTACTATCTTTTATCCGCAGTTCTAGTACTGTTCTTACCTCCTTTAACATGTTAACTTTATTGCCGTGTTCTTTCAGTAGCAGGTCCCATTAATTCCTTCCCGCTTATCGGATCCATTGCTGCCTTGACTACCTCCTCTGTAATCTCGACTTGGTTGCCGCGTTTTCTTAGCAGTAATTCCATTACGTTCTTCCCATTTGCCAGATTCCTTTCTGCTGCTTTCATTACATCATCCGTGATTTGGATCATGTTTGTCTTTGAATGGTATAGCAACTTCTGGAGGACCACCGGACTTGAAGCCGCTGCCTTGACCAAGCAATCGTTCTCAAAGACCTTCGATAACTTACTTGACACTCCATCTAGTGACATCCTTACCAGCTAGGCTATGTCCAAAACATTGCAATCTCAGAAATCGACTGCCTATTCAAGGGTGGTCTCGATATGCGGTTCCAGTAATACTGAGAGTCATTGTTCAGCCAGAGTCGCTTATTTGGATAAAGCGCTCTAACATCCTAATATCGACGTCGCAGGAATTTTAGACATGCTGATGCCAAAATGACGACGCATACTCAATAAACGGTTCCCTCTCCTGTACGCCGTCTTATCACCGTACCAAGTCGCATCGCTAAAGTCTTCAAAGATAAAATCATGAGACACACCTCTCCGAGGACAAGTTTTGGCTGTGGGATGTCAAATTTACGACTGTTCTCCTAGCATAACTCAATAGAAAGCTCTGGAGTGATTGGCGGTTGAGATTTAACTCATGCCAACCACATCGACGAGCTGGTGCAGAATAGCTTCCATGGGCATGTCTCCTGAGCCGTCGAATCCTTAAGCCGAAGGAAAAAAGGCCTCCATCTCAGTTTCATACACGTCAAATCCATCGATTACACAATAAATGCTGGTGTGCATCCCTGATTTCACCAGACCATCAAGTATTCTCCAGAGTGTATCAAAGTCGGCGTTGTGAAACGCTTGTGGTTCTTTCTCATCCTAGAATCGATTTGGCAGTCGTCGAAACAATCGCATCGTCACTAGTTGGCCGATAAGGGGTCGAGGAATATTAGAGACCTTGCTCGAACTCTGGTTGTTTTTGATGATTCAGAAGCAGTAGATGACTTTGTAGTCGAGGCTCGTTCTTGAGCGATGCGTAAACGGGCACGTTGAGGTTATGCCAATGGCGTCTCTCGTCTTCAGATAGCCCTTTGCAATGAGGTTAATGGCCGCCTAGACATTGGGTCATATTACATACTATTGTCGATAAATCTTCTTTCGACAGCCTTCGGTGCTCTCTCTGCCACAGCCTTCAATCTATTCAATACCCGGGCATAGCTATCGTCAAATTGACTTCGAAACTTGACCAATTCAGAGTGGTCGAGGTCCAGCGGATACCATTCATCGTCCCTGTCTTCAAGCCCAATCCGAGTGGCTGACTGCTGGGTTACTATGAAGCAACGTTCTCCCGTTCTTGAGAGGGTTCCATCAGGCATTTCCTGGGCGGGCATATTAGCAAACAATTCATATGTGCTCAAGAGTGGCGTTGGAAACCTTCATCGTCACAGTCTTCCTTTGTTCGTAGTATGCTGTGATATTGAACGATGGCTCTTGAGCCTCGCTACAGTCAATGAATTTCTTTGCCAACTCCCGTAAGTATGGTGTCGGCTCCGACTCTTTGTCAACCTGAAGGTCCCATATCATTTGTTCGTTGAGTTGCCCAGCCACGACCTCTTTCAGTGGCCCATCCCGTAACCCTAAATTAGGAACACCGAAGAACACCAAACCGTAGGACGACTTGAAGAAACTGTTATTTTGAGGATCCTTATTGCCTTTGTGAGACATTGACAGGGCCTGTGATGCAATTAGTTGTTATAACAGACAAGACACAGGCCAGCTAGTATACCTCCTTGATAAGAAGGCCTCCAAGACCGTGGCCAATGAAGATGATTGGTCTTCGACTTGTCTGTGTCTGTTCCCGGAATGATTTGTATGAATCGAGAAAGGCCTTGGCCAAGTCGGTGATGGAGTATTTTGCATTCTTCTCGGCGATTGCGGTATCGTATCCATAGGTCAAGACACGAGCGGTGGGAATATCTTCCGGGAGGAAGTCGCGTAGCCAGACATTGGTTCCTGTTTTGGCTTTGAAGCCGCCGATAGCATGACTGTCCAAATCTGGGATGGCAATAATGCTACCTCCAGTAAGCGATAGCCACTGAACGAGATATCATTTTAACATACTCTAGAACCGCGTCCTCTTTCCCAGAAAGCGGAGTGATGCCAAGAAAGTGGGAATCGACTTCGTAGGGGCTAGGCTCGGCAGTCGGAGGAAGTGACATGATGGTGGCCGTCAACCATTTGCCATGAGAGAGCGCGAGAGTAAATTTCAGCCCGCCATTGGGGTTGTGGAAATACTTTGCAAGATGCCTCTGTACGTCGTCTTCGGGTGTCGTGATTGGTATCCCCCGGATTCGATAGCATCTCAACTCGACGGCAGGTGGATCAATGCCACGGTTCCTCGGGCCAGTGAGAGTTGCGGTGATGTAATGCAGGGGCCTTGAGGAGCCCTCGGGTCCGGACAAATACTCGTTCTGTGCCATCGAATTGATGATTGCGGCACTTGCTCAAGAGTCTTTAGCATTGGTTTTGCGATGTTGCAACTTTGAGCGAGGGTGATTTAGAAGTCGCGGGGAGTCACGCAAGGCTGGCTGCATGATTTCCCAGTTGCCACGTGACAACATATCAAGCTCGCAACCCGAAATGTGTCATTTCAGTGGAGAGTGATCTGAAAGAAGGCTGTATACAGAACGCCGAACAAGGGCAATAAGACTCTCTCCATTTCTTAATTCAAAATCGAAACTCCAAATACTGTGACGACACGGCGATATCATTGACTTGCCCAAGCACGTTACCATTTTTCACGCCTTATTGATTAAATCTATGACTGATCTGCTCTATCTTGTTCATTCTCAATTGCCGCTCCTATCCTGTTGATCCTCTCATCATTCGGCGTGCTTATGTTTGCCTGTTTCGTGCTGCCGAATTTTGGGGCCATGGCTTCAGCCTACAATCACTTCCCTAACGCCCCTCCACCCACTCAATCTAACCCAAATCTAAAAAAATTAAAATAAAAAATGGTGAAAGTTGAATGTGGGATAGTAGCAACAAATGTGCCCGACACACCCCTCGTGGTGGTGTCGATGGCTTCCTCCAACACGCCCTACCCGACACGACCAACGCAACCCAGGAATGAGAAAGCAATCAACAAAACAACGTGCAAAAAGAAAAACAACACATCTCCTGCGCGAATGCCCACTGACGGAATCGAACCGTCGATCTTTTCATTACGAGTGAAACGCCTTACCACTCGGCCAAGCGGGCTCTTTGACGGGCAGGGTGGTCAGATTGCGGTCCCATATTGCTGGATCGAGGCGTCTTCACCCGTCTCAGCCGGGGCTGCACAGTCACATCCAATGGTCGCCTTGGCCTCGTCGCCCAGTTCCTTAATCTTCTCGAGAGCCCGCTTCGCGACGGCAATTTTGGCGTACCGGCCGCTCTTGGCCGTTGCGTGGGCAAAGACCTCGCCGTGGATCATGAGCGCGCAGACGACGTCGCTTTCTGTCATGGCGCTCACACCCTCGTCGATTGCGCAGGGGACGTTGGACGTACAGATGCGCCACTGTGTGCAGAACAGCTCCGACTGCATCTTGCGAGCCAGAAACGTGACGGGGTGCTTCTTTGCAAAGGTGTCGTACAGTGCCATGTCCTCAAAGTACGGCTGGACGAAGCGCGCAAAAAAGTCGACGACGACGGCGTAGTTGTACTGCGAGTCGACAAACATGGCGCCGACGAGGGCCTCGACAATGTCCGGAAGGGCCTTGGGGGGCTGCGAAGCGCTGAGCCAGAAGTTGCAGCGCACGGCGGTGCCCTCATTTTCGGCTTCCTTCTGGGCGTCTTCTTCGGCCTGCTCGAGCTCGGCAACGTACTCGCTGATCTGGCTGATGAGGGCGGAAGTGGTGATGAGCAAGTGCTTCTGGAGCTTGAGCTTGACGCAGACGCAGCCCAAGAACTGGTTCGAGGCCATGGCTATCTTGTGTTCCGTCAGCCACTGCGGGTCTGCCGCGGGATAGCGTTTGAAGAGGTAGTCGACAATGGCCATGTCCAGTAGGGCGTCGCCCAGAAACTCGAGGCGCTGGTAGTTGGGAATGGGCTCGTACGGATACGATGGGTGCTTGAAGGCGCTCCGGAGTAGCGCTGCAGACGCGAATGTGTAGCCAGTGTTTTGGCTGACTTGCTGGACGACAAAACGTTGAGCAGCGGTGCTGGCACCTGACTGCCATGGCGGGACTATGAACTCGTTGTAGTAGTCGCCAAAACTCTGCATCTTGTGGTTCTTGCTCCTCACCATCTGCGTAACCGCCTTGACAGCCATATCAAAGTTGCCCTCTGTAGTGACATACGCAGCGCCGATGAGGGCCTCGCAGACGTCGGCGATGGACTTGTCAGCCAAGTTGTGTCGCAGCTCCGTTTTTGGCGCCTTGCCCTTCTTTAGTTTCAGGTCTGGATACCACGTCCTTCGGTCAAGCGACTTGGAGCGGACAAACTCTTGAAGCTTGCGGTCGACGGCGTGGTTGAAGAGGTTCTGATTGCACACCAGAAGCATGCGCTCGACGTGGTACTCAAATTCGTTGCTGTCGGGGATGAGAGTGAATAGGGAGATTGTGGTGGCCATTTTGAGGAACGAGTCGCCGAGGAATTCAAGACGCTCGTAATTGTTTCCCATGCCCGCTTGAAAGTTTAGCTGTTCCTCGTCGTGGTCGCCCGTGTTATCGCTGTCTTTTGTAAGAGCCTCGAGGGCAAGGCTAGGACTGATGGTCAGGTCTAACAGGGAGCAGGCGTCGAGGCTGATGAGAACCGAGTCTATGCGGTGGATAATGGCAGGGAACGTCATGGCCATGAAGACGACATCAATGGGCAGCTAATTTGTCAGTACTTCCTAGTGACAGGTATGCGCTCACTTACTGGTGACACGTTGAGAGGCTCCAAGATGACGAAGCATTTATTGTCAATATCCTCATCGACCTGGAACTCGTCCAACAAGTTGCGACGAAGCGACAGCAACTCAGCATTCACAACGGGCTGGTCTTCTCGCCACTGAACCCTCTGGCGAGATTTGAGCCAGAGACTGTTGCTGTACTCTTTGATGGTGGGCTCGACGAATCGGTAGGCTCGAGACTTTTGCTCGGGCACATTCTCTGGAGTCGGGTCGGATGGCCGTAGCGATTTGTTGATGCCATGGATGACCATCTTTCGGGAGCCAGAGTGTGGATCAGTGACCAACTTGTCGTGGAAGAACTCTTCAGGCGCATTTTCCCAGTCGAGCTTCTCATTTTCTTTGACCGTCTTCACTGCTGCCCAGTCGATCTGGGCTTGGCCGGTCCTCAGAACCTGTTCGTGGTCCTCAACGCAAGGAGCCAAGAAGTAAGGAATCTCTTCAGATCCCGCGTCGTACTCTTTGCTGAAAACGTCATCAAATACTTTGAGCGTAAATTTGACAAGTCCCTCGACGTCCTCGTTGGTCAACGGGACAGGCTCTTCATACATGACCAGTTGCGCCAGAGATGAGTGTCCATTGCCAAAGAATAGCGGAATGCCTGGAAGTTGGGGCATCTTTTGCCGTGAAAGCAAAAGCAGTGGCCGACTGCGACGACCTAGGGCAGCCGGAGTGTCCAAGGCAATTACCGTCACAAAGAGCTGTGAAATGTTTGTACCCAATTCAGACCAGATATTTGGTTTGAGAAGCATCTTGTAGTCGGCTTTCTTGTTGGCGCTGACAGCCAACCGGGCGTTTCGCATAGCGGGCAGCTTCTTTGTAAAGACAGGCTGGAAGTGCTCGTTGATGTATGTCTTCTTGATCAACGCCACACACATCTCGAATGCTGCGGAACATCTGGCTAGCATCTTGCTCCTCTGTGGAAAGCCAGGCATGGACTTGATGGGCGAAGAGTCGGGAAGGATGACGTCGGCGATGAACTTTGACCCAAAGGTAGTGACGATAAACTCCGGCTTCAGGCTGATGTCTACAGGAGAGATGGAAGACACAAACCTGGCCAGGACCTCGAGGCTATGGGGGTAGGTAAGACGTGCTCCTGTGGACGGCACTTCATACACCTTTTGACCACCCTGCTCATACTGCGCAGCTGCGGCAGCATCAATGGTCAGGTCCTGTAGCTTTCGATCGGCAGGAAGCGCGGAACAAAAGCGTCGAAGAGTAGCCGCGTCTCGAGTGGCTTGGAAGAGGCTGCGCAGTTGCTTCATGTTTCCGTCTTCAACCATGCTGATATACCTCGAGTTGTCCTGTCGCGCTCGTCCTTTGGACTGTAGGTATTGAATTACCGAATTGTAGAGATCGAAACGGATGACGAGATCGCATTCTGGAACGTCGATGCCCTCTTCTGCGACAGGCGTGGCGAATAAGCAGTTGGTTTCACCTCGTTTGAATCGCTGGAGGGTCAAAACCTGGTCGCGGAAGGACATGTTGCCGAGGTTCGACGTGGTGGACTGGCAGCCGACCTGTACACATTAGCATAAATACTGCATCGGCTTGTTGAGAATTTACCATGAAAGAACAGTTCATGCCGACGATTCGCATGTCCGGTTGTGAAAACAGGTCTGCGAGGAGGCAAGCTGTATATCTCTTTTCGACAAACACGATGCAACGCCTTGTCCCGAAGTCGACGAATGCTTCCCGTAGGATTTCATATAGTCGTTTGACCTTGGACGATAGGTTACTTGATCCCGGCTCAATTGATTCCAACTCATAGTCATCAATCACCTTCTGAACCGTCTGAATCGCCTCCGCAGCTCTCTCAGCTTGTGTTGATGCAAAGTGGTTCGCAAAATCTCTGCCCGTCCTGGCTGCAAGACGAGCCGCTTCAGTGTCGGTAATGAGAAGTTTCCAGTACCGGTCAGCACACCAACGTCCGAGAGAGGAAGATGCCTCCTTGGTAAACTCAAGCGGCGACCGGAATTGGGCATTGTGAGCTATCTGTTCGGAAATGCGGTTCCACAGGTCGGTGACGGAGTCTCCAGGGCACTCCAGTCGGGCGTACGTCTCTTTAGTCTCCACGACTTTCTGTCTATGGGCGTAGGAATTGGCCATGACTTCGTCGGACAGCGTCGCAATCTCGCTACACAGCATACTCTCCAGTTCAGCAGCTGCCACTTTGACATCTTTCGTCTGACAGTCCACGGGCGATGCTGTCATGCCCAAGACTCGGGGTCGATCTTGTCCTTCGCGGATGTAGTGGTTCTTTATGATTCGAGCGTACGGATGGTTCTTTTTCGCATGGTGAGCTTCGTCGAAGATGAGCAAGTTGACCTGGTTCATCCTGATAAAGCCGTTGGAGAGACAGTCGAGAAGAATTTGCGCAGTGCATACGACAACCATGTTTTCGTCAAACTGCTTATCCCAAAACTCCTTGGTCTTCATGAGCCCCGTCATATCGCCGAAGAATTTGGTCATGGGGTGCTCCAGGTTGCAGTTGAGGACGGCAAATTGCTGGAAGCAAAGTGCAACCTTGTCAACCAAGAAGAAAGAGACCTTTTTGTGTTTTCCAACGGCACGATCTTCCAACTCTTGATCCAAAGTGTGCCTCAGAAGAAGAGCGGCGATGAGTGTTTTGCCAGAACCTAGAAATGTTAGAAACGCAGCAATCTGGAAGCAGAGACATACCAGTGTCCAGCACCACAATGGTATTCTTCGTCTTGGCCCGCTCAAACAACTCGGTCTGGTATTCTCGGGGAGTCCCAATGATCTTCTTGTCTTCGCTCTCCTTGACCAAATAAGCCACCGACTGGTGTACGAGGTCCTGGGCAGCTTTTGTCGAGTTCTTTGTGACTTCGCGCTGGTTCTTGGTGATCCATGATTGGAAAGCGGCAGTGTCGAGACGTTTCTTTTCGGTTATCATCCGCGGTCGCTCTGGATTGACTGTCAGGCGGTAGGCGTCGTCTTCGTCGTCGGATTCAACGTCTTCGGGCTCGTTTTCGGGATGATCGACGGCTTTAGCTCCGTCTGTCGGGGATTCCACGGATTCGTCGCAGCTCGAAGGTACTATGTCTTTGAGCTCGGTTTCGATGAGGTCGTGCGGACGTTTGAGCGAGTCCTTCTTCGGCATTGGGTTGGATTGTCGTGTGGGCGACAGGCAAATGAGATTGTCCTCCATCGTGACGTTGGAGCCTTGCTCGGTGGATGCCGCGAGGTGATTGAAAGGGACTGCCTGTTAGGCAAATGAATATCGCCACAGAGTCTCCAATACAATCTTCGCCTTCGGACCGAGGCGAGGTTGGGGAGTTGGGGATGCGGGAGGAGGGAGAGATGCGTTCAGTCCCGCGCGCAGAGAATGGGCAGGTGGCAGGCAGGTGTGAGCAAACACACAATCACTGATGCGCTTATCACATGATCCTTTATTTCGCACGCATTTATTTTTCCTAATAAAATAGCAAGCAAATTTAATTGCATCTTAGTTGTGCACCTAGCGGGTAGCCGCAGTGGTGCCAAGTGTCCAGCAAACAACCTCAACACCACACGCGACCGACCACCGCCTGGTATCAAGATTATTTTTGGACTCCCTAGAGCTAAGGTTATGTTGTAATTTCGTTTCAGTTTCCTATTCAATTGGACTTTCCTATGTTGGCTGGTAGTCTGCCGTGGTTGGGTCTTTTCGGAACACTACATGAGGTTCAACAATTCACCACAGTCCAACCTTTTGCACGGCTTCAAAACTCAATCGACCTTCATTACTATTAATATTTTTCACCGCGGTCTACCTCCAAGTGTCTCTTGCGCTTGCATAAGCGTATGATCTCATTAGTGACGATACCCTAGACCAAGACGTCGTCCCCTACCTCCTAAAGCAACTCTATCAAGCAAGATTATTGACATTTTATCCGGGAATCCAACCCTCAATTATAGTCACAGCAAACCATAAAGCAAGAAGCAAGAAAGAGAGCACCGGTTGTTGCAGATGTGCCTAAACATCATTCGGGGCATCGGGCATTGGCATATCCCTTCCCTGTATTTTGGGAGTTGCCCGACCATCCGCTTCCGCCTCTCCTTCAGTACTTTTAGCCACCACTTCATTCAAAGAAAAGAGAGCTTCTTCAGCTTGCTCCGCATATAGAGCCATGTCAGCGCACCCCGCAAACTTGGCGCGTTTGGCATCTTGCGCTACACAACCCTTCTGGTTGTTTTCAACTCCGGCAAACTCTTTCTTCAGCTGTTGAAACACCTCGAATTGCTTGGCCAGATCCGCCGAGTTCATTTCGGTCTTCTTTGGCGACTGAACGATGCGGTCGGCCCGCGCTGCGAAATGGGCCTTGACGGAGACGGCGGCAAAGGTGGCATCTTCGGCGGACCAAGCGTAAAAGGCTTGATCGGCGCGAGCGAGGGAGCCGGCGAGCGGGGTGTTTCGAAACATCCCAAAGAGAGGTTCGTTCTTGACTGGAGTTGTCGGGGTGAATGGCACTTTTCCCGTGTTTGACGGTTGGCCGTTATCTGAAGAGCCTCGTTGGCTCTTGGGGGCAGAAACGATTTTGATCCGACTTGGAGGCGATTTCTTCTGTCTTCCATTTGACCGTTGAGAACCACCGGATGGTGTGAGGCAAGTTGATGCACCCGCTTTGGCTGGCGGGTCTTGATTGTTTCCCTTCTTCCTCTGTCCACCGGATGATTTCCTGGGCGTCTTCTTCTTCGTCTCTTTGGGTTGGTAGTCGGAATCGCTTTCCGCCACCTTGGGAGCAAAGTCGCAAGGCTCATTGTCGTCATCTGGTCCCCAGATCGGATGAACCTTTCTCTCTTGACTCTTTTCGGTCCCATTCGCGGGCTGCCGTTTTGGGTGTCCAGAAACCTTGTTGCTGAGAAGATTACGAAACTGGTCCGGTGCAGCGGGCTTGGAACGTTGTGTGGACTTGGCTGGTCCGTTGTCTTTGTGCTGGGGATTCGGCTGGGCAAGTACCGACGACTTAATCGAGTTGTATCCAGCCGAAACAGCACCTACAATTGTGGATGCCAGACGCTGTCGATCTAATCTCCCCGACAGCTTGAAGAGGGAGCCTTCTGCGTCGGTAAGCGAGTCTTGGGAAGCGTAGGTCGGCGGAGGGAGATGAGCAGTGAGTGCTCCTGAACGTCGCTTGCCGTTACCGCCCTCGTTCGTCGCCGAGCCTGGCCGATCTTCGTCGACTGGAGTTAGCTTTGTTGGTCGAGTTGGTTGAAGTAGCGCTCGTTTCTCTGATGGAGTGGGCTGCTTTCGGTACGCTGGACGAGCTGGTTTCGCCTGCACGGGCACAGCAGCCTTGATCTCCTGGTCGAGTTCCCTTTCATCACCATCATGAGATTTCGGCCCTTCTGTAGGGAAGTGTCGGGTGCGGAATGATGTCTCTTTTCTGAAAGGCCTCATAGGCCGGTTTTCCTCAACCAGAGTGGTAGCAAGAGCGCCACTGATGTGTTGAAAGCCTTGCGGAAACTGGCGCTGTATGGCATGTCGTAGTTCAATACTCTCTTTTGGAGTGGGACCTCGGCCTGGGAGCTCTGAGATAGGGCGGAAAATCGAGAGCTCCTGGCGCTGCCAATCTTGGTTTACCGATGAGTTTCGGACGTCGACTCCTGTGTCGAGAGTCGAGACTCGCTCCGGACGCGGCGCATCTTTGTCTTGTTCCTCACGCGGCGCATCTTTGTCTTGTTCCTCACGCGGCGGCAGTCTACCCTTGAGCGTCCCCAGGAACGGACTTCCAGGTCGTTTCGGGGGAACTTCTGCTTGCGAAGAAACGTAATTCCTGACAGCCTCCAAGTCAATCCATCCCCTCCGGGCAGCATTGTTGATGACCTTGTTGTCCAAACAGTCCTGCAGAATGTCCCTCTCAATTGTCAACGACAAAAAGTCCAACCTCCCTGCCCTGATCCAGCCTTGAAGTTCGGAAACGTAGTCTTTCAGCCCGCGATCGCGCAAAAATGCACAGCCGAGTTCGATATCCCGCTGTGAAACCTGGTCGGTGCTCAGCAGGGGACGGTTCTCGTGAATCAGGCTGACGACGCTTGTTTTCGTTTCGACGGCGTGCATGAAGAGGTCCTGCCATGGGATCTTGGTGACGTGTTGTTCGTAGATCTGCCACTGCAGGCATTCGGTGGTGTACGCGGCGACGAACTCGTGGACTTGTGGGCGAGTGAGGCGGAGGAGCATGGAGACGACCTTGGCGAAGCGGTTGGTGCCATTGAGGATCTTGATCATGATCCATCTGACGCCTGGGTTCAGGTCTTCCCAGACAAGAGGACGGGGTTCCTCTATCACGGGAGGTATGTCTCGGGGAGAGAGTGCAGGTGTATAGCAGTGGTGGCTCTTCACGAGGTCAACCTCCGAGTCGGAGTCCCAATCGACCATGTCGGAGTTAAAAACGGCGCTCACAACATCTTTCTCCACGTAAGTGAGTCCGTGGGCGGAGAGCTTCGTGTCGAGAGGATGAGCTTGCGGATGCATGCAGCCCTGAACATCTGAGAGTCTAATCATGCCGAACCTTCTTCCAAGATCGTGGTGGTCGCACTCGGAGGATCCTGGTGTTGTTAGCAAAGCGACGCGCCACGATGGCTTCACATACCAGAACTGTCCGGACTCAGCAGACGGCCATCGCATCTTGGAGACGGGATATAGAATTGGTTTACATAACTCAGTCCCGACTCGTCGTTCTCCTTGTCAGAGTCCGTTTGCGACATCTCAGCAGGCGGAGTGACCTCAACAGCTGGCGCATCCCCCCCTGGATCGGCAGTAGGTCGCGGTGGTAGGTCTTGTGAGACCTGAGACGGCAGGAAACCAGCAACATCCATCGGTTGGAATTGAGAGTCGCAAAAGGGGCCTCCCCCGGGGTCTGTAGATGGTTGATGGTCGGGGGTTGACCCAGGACGACGCGAGGTGTCCATTTTGTCGAGTTGCTTGGTTGCGTAACTGAGAGCGTGATGATATGTTGAGAAGGTCTGAAATTAAAAGTGAATTCGTGCGAAAGAGAGCATGAGAGAGCATTTCAAAGAGAGGAGAGCGTAATGGTGCGACATGCGATGGTCGGATGGTGTTGCTGTGTGGTGCAGGCCCAAGAACAAGACAGCGACGCGTCAAGGATCGAGATGGTTGTATGCGGCGCGTATGTGGACAGACGAAAGGAGTCGGGGTAGTGAATGGCAACGGAGGCGTTGCCCAGATCAACGGTTGTTGACGCCGAGTTGGCTGTGAATCAAGGTCGGCGCACCTCGGCATTTACTCATAGATCTCGGGGGATAGACACTCATTTAGTGCTCGAGGGTGAATATGAAAAGAGTAGATGAACTGAAAAAAGAATTGTTCTTAATTGAAAGCAGCAGTTGTAGTTGATGTTGGGTGTGGTCATTAACTCGGCATGGAAGCCCTAAACACCCTAATCATAGGGTGACATATCCAGGGACTGGGATGAGTTCGGCTCAGAGGCAAAGAAACTACAATTAACTACTGCACAGAGTCGTTAGCACATTGCATAAAAACACTCCAAGAATGCTCGTGTTATCATCTGTATATTGGTCTAGCGACCAGTTCCCCCGACTCCGATAGTTCCTTTTCTCATACCTAAGATCCAGTAATCTGAATAGCGGGAGTCTATCAATACAGGGTATCTAAACAAAACCACACGGAAACCGTACGCCATAACTCAACCCCCTAATATATGCTAGCAAGCCAATACCAAATTCCGTGTTTCTCTGCGCCACATTGTCCCCGGCCAAGCGTCTGTACACCTAATTCCCTACATATGGTCCAAGAAAGGTGTAAACGCATCTCGCCCCTCAAATCGATCCCGATCAGTCACAACCCCATTCCCAGCGTCAACAAAATCCTCTTCCATGTCCATGACGTCGTCAATTTGCCGCTTCGCTTGTGGAGCGCTCGGAAAGGCACCAGACCCTGATGGCACAGCAGCCCGCGACAGTGCAACCTGGGACCGTGCACGGAGAATGTCTTCCCACGACTGGAGCTTGCGCTTGACGTCCTCGTCAAAGCAGCAGCAGAACCGCTGGATGCAGATGAACTGCAGCGTCGTGATCATGTCCTGGCCAAACACCGCCATGATGTAGGCTGCGGCAATCGCGGCGGACCGGTCGTTGCCCGTCTCGCAGGTGATGAGGACCCTGCCTCGGCGGAACGACGAAGGTTCAACGATCAGTTGGCCATCCTGGTTCTTACCCTGGGCCTGGCTGTGGTAAATGGCGAGGAGGTGGTCGTTGATGGCAGAGACGGTGCTGGAAAACTCGGTAATCATATGGTCAGGCCCCTCAATGTCGGTGTAGTGGACCTTGAAGCCCAGAACCTGGGCAGCCTTTTCGATGCTCAAGAGCGGTGTGCCGGTCATGCGGACGTCGCGGGCGACAATGACCATGGTGATTTCCTCGCGCTGCAGAAAGGAGAGATCACGGGCCACGCTATTCGGGCCCAGATAGAGAAAGTCCAGAAGCGGCTGGGCCTCGCGGCGCTGCTCGTAGGTCCAGTCGGCTGCGCGGTCGGTGGCGATCTGCGTAGCGTTCTGGGTGATGATATCGAGATCACGGCTGGTCAACTGGCTGGAGTCGACGTCCGTATACGACGGCATCAGTCTAAAGGTCCCATCGTCCGAGACGGCCGTGCCCGTGGGGGGGATGTGGATGAAGGGCGGGCTCGGCGGACGCCGGGTGTAGGGCGCCGCGGGCATCGCATTGTTGGCGATGGAGGACTGGTAGATGTCTGCGTCCATGGGTGCAACTGCCTCCAGCCTGGGCGATGAACAGCTGGATGCGATGTGGTTTCTCTGATGAGGAGGTGATGATGCCGCAGTAGGAGAGCGCTGAAGGGCGATTCTGTTGTGGGTGTGAGTCGAGAGAGACGAGTAGAGAGTAGAGGTGAAGTTGAAAGTGCGAGTGGGAGCCTGGCGCATGGAAGCTGTTGGTCCCAACGCTGGCCGGCCCAAGCTTTACTTACCTATAGGGCGGGGCAGCGCTGTGGGTGACGGGCAGGGGTTGAGAGCCCCAAATGCGGATCATTCCGGGCCCCTGTAAATGTACCTAAGCCCCAAACCCCCGTGGGCGTTTTCAGGGGTTTTGGTGGCTGCCCCCCGTTGGTCAGGCCCCTGGAGGCTCAGGTTGCATTGGCTGCACATGGCGATGTTTGTCACTGAACCTGGACGATTTCTTCAAACAAGCAGGGATGCATATTGTCCTACATTTGTTTGCTGGCTAGACGTCAAACCGTCAGTCACAAGTGTGTCAAACCGACAGTCACGAGTGGATGCAATACTGAGACATCCTCACTGTTCAAGTGCTGATTGGGTTGAGCAAGGCCACTACTTTGAAATAAAACAATCAGACAAACAAGACAAAATGTTGGAGAGAATAATGTTCTTCGGACAAATGCACCTATGTCTCGTCCTATCCTATAGTACAGAATACTGGTACACCATGATGGGTCTACAATTACACCGGGATATCCAATCCTAAGGTAGTCTAATATTTTTACAGTCATTGGACCCTCACCAAACGCCATGCAGTACATGCTATCGTGCCATTCATTGACATGTCCTTCTCGTCAAGCTCATACAAATCCTCATGAGCGTTTGAGGTGCCGTTCAAGAGTGCATTCCACCTCCTTACCCAACTGGGGCATAGGGTACCGCCTGGTCGTGAGCCGGGCTCAAGTCCCCATCCGCCTCGATCTCCTCGATAGCGCGCTTTGTATTCATCCGCGCATGCACCTGGAGTCGCTTGGACTTTCGCTGGTACTCGAGATCCTCGTCGGTAAAGTCCAGCCTCTCCAGCGTCTCAACAAGTCTCTGCTCAACCAGGGATCGCACATGGAACGCCAGTGCTTGGCTTCTGAACATGCCCGAGTATCGATAAGACAGCCAGACGTACTGGTTGATGGAGACGTGGAGGGACTCCAGCATATAGAGGTAATCTTGTGGGGAGCCGCTGAAATCCTTCTGCTGTACGTCCAAGGACTCTAGGGGAATCTCCTTGATGTTGAGCAAGTCTCCGTTTTCGTTTTTGGATATAATGGTTGCTAGGGCGCGTAGCACCGCAATTGACTGGTCGGCTCGGACCGACACGGGTACGTGGCAGAGAGTCAGTCGGTCGTAGATGGTCAGCGGAATGTCTTGGATGGCGTCGGCAATCTCTAACACGTCTGTCGGGACACTGAGGAGGAATTTATTGCCAACAGAGGCCAGCTCTCGAATGCGCATCAGGATGAATGATAGGGGCGTGCCGCGGGGAAAGTAGGTCGCGAAGCGCTCTATCACTGCCGCTGGGGGGTTGATGTAGGCGGCCGCGAGGTCATCAGCTGGAGAGTCAAAGGCTCGGTGAATATTCTTCAAATCCGCTCGGTCCATGGCGGTGACGTATCCAATCTTTTGCGCTTCGATTTCGCCTTCCGGGGTAGATTCCGTGGCGTTCCTGGCCGTCCGGTACCGTCCAGCGCGGCCACCAATCTGTTTCAGTTCGGGAAAGGTGAGCAGTCGGTGCTGGCTCCCGTCAAACTTTGTGACGGATTCAAGGACAACTCGTCGGATCTCGAGGTTCAAGCCCATTCCAATGGCGTCGCTTGCCACAATGTAATCGTAGTCGTTGTCCGGGTCGTTGAACAGCGCAGCCTGTTGGACGCGCACCTCAGGGGGGAGGGAGCCGTAGATGATGGCACAGCGCCGGCCGGTGTGCTTCTCGATGCTTCGCTTCAAGGCGTGCAGATTAAGTCGGCTAAAGGCGACAATGGCGTCGCCCTTCTCAAGTTTGTTGTAATCACCGTCAATCGCAGTATCCATGGCTTCGAGTGGGCTTAGTCGCTCGTATCGGTGTACGATACATTCATCTCCAATGAGGGCGCAAAGTGACTGGAGCAGCTTGACCGTACGCTCCTCGCCACAGACGTGGACTTCCTTGGCTTGGACGCCCAGCAGAGCCGAGGTCCAAGCCGAACCACGATCCGCATCTCCAATCATCTGAATCTCGTCGATAACAGCAACGTCGAATTTTTCGTTGAGAGGCGTCATTTCCACTGTGCAGCTTGAGAAGAATTGATCCGTATTTTCTGGGATCCGTACTTCCTCTCCGGTCAGCAGAGCGCAAGGTACGCCCTTGGCCGTGAGTCGCTGGTAGACTTCGGTGGCAAGGAGCCGAAGAGGTCCAGCGTAGACACCTCGTTTCGAGTTCTCCAGTGCCTGGAGGGCTCGGTATGTCTTGCCTGAGTTGGTGGGCCCGACGTGAACGTGAACGGTACGTTGCATGGCTCGCGTAGCGGGAAACCACTCGTGAGGGAATCGGAAATCGAGCAAGCGCTTGTGACTCTCTTCCAGTCCTTTCGAAAAGCGCTGTCGGATTAGGAACGATTGGAATGAGTACTGAATCTCGTTGGAGAGACCCTTGAGATCCTTCAGGATAAAGGCATCTCGGAGGTTCCAGAACAGAGGGTTCCTGTCTCTTCGAGTGATGTTTTGCTCCGCCAATGCAAAGGCTTGGTCTAGGACGTCCATAAAGAGGGAGGCCTGGCGGTTGAGCTCATCCTCGCCGGCGCCGGCAAGGGACACATCAGACGAATCGAACCGCTTCAGAACGCTCTGGAAGCGCGCCAACACGGTAGATCGGAACACAGCATGGCGGCCGGTGTACTTTTTCTTGTCGTCCAGACGCAGGCGTGATTTGGGATCATGGCCTTTGCTCACCTAAACTTGTAAGTAACTTGCGTTGATGACTGGAGCCTCTGGAGGTGTGCTTACAGAACTGGTTCGCGAACGACTAGAGACTTTTGAGCGCTTATTGGGCTTGTTGTTTGCTGCCAGCGTCTCAGCAATCGATGGCTTCCCATTCTCAGAGCTTGTTTCGGCCAATTTGACGCTGGCCCATAGTCGTGGCGTCGTTGAAAGACATCGTTGTGATGCCGGGTGAAGGGCGGCTCGCACAACACCAGCTCGGAGCAGAAATCTCATGGCAAACGCCTTCCGACCCCGTGCAACATGCTCTCCGGCAATTAAACACGAAAACTTCAGTTGAAAGAGACCGATTAGATCTCAGAGCTCACACCGGCAGTCTTTGAAGATTTGCCATGACGGGCCAAGGCGTAGCTAAAATTTCCAGAAGCCGGATCATCAATTTAGCCGACCCCAGAAGCGTTGAATCTGCCCGGATCCGCCAAGTGGGGCTTCGCGCAGATGACGCCGAGACTGAGCTCAGAGCGTCATTGTACATCAAGCTACTGTCGACATCTCCCTCGCTCAACGTTTTCATCTGTGAATCGCCTCACGTCGTCAGTCGCATCGACTCTCAAGCTATAAACACCTGCTCTCGCGTCGCTGGACGATCGAAACACTTAATCCGCAGCCATGGCGTCCTCGTCAACTCCCACCACTCCCCTTCTCTAGTAAGTCGCTGTTGTCTGCCTGGAGTGCGATGGATGCGTTGAGCGATTGCGAGATGAGGCTAACATGGACAACAGCTCCTGCATCGCGCACAATACGACCATCCTTTCAGAATGCACCACATCCGCCTCGTCCCAGACCTCGTCGCTGGCGTCCCTGATCCTTCCGAAGATTGACCACAACGAGTCGCAGAAGCTGACGTACACCCATGGCCAACACCAAATCCACTACATCGCCGAAGCGCCCTCAGAGCACCCCGGATCGCCCTCGGCCGGCGGCCTGACCTTTCTCGTTATTGCCGACTCGGCCCTCGGCCGCCGGGTCCCCTTTGGCTTCCTGTTCGAGATCCGCAAGCGCTTCTTCGAGCAGTTCCCGGAGAACAGCGACTTCAACGACATGCCCAACTACGGCGCGGCGTCCTACAACTCGGAGCTCAAGGGCCTCATGGTCGAGTACGGCACGACGACCGGCGGCCGCGACGATGCGATTGGCAATGCTCAGCGCGAGATTGACGATGTTAGAGGCATCATGACCAAGAACATTGAGAGCTTGCTGGAGCGAGGAGAACGCCTGGATCTGCTCGTTGACAAGACGGACCGGCTGGGAGGCAGCTCGCGCGAGTTCCGAGTGCGCAGCCGAGGGCTGAAGCGCAAGATGTGGTGGAAGAACATCAAGCTGATGGCTCTTCTGGCACTGGTTTTGCTCCTGATCATCATGGCCATTGTCATTGGGATCAAGAACTGATTAGAAAAAGCGACGGCGTGTGATGGATGAGGGCGGTTGACCTCCAACCCCGAACGGGCAAGTCATTCTTTCAAGTTTCCTTTACTCTTGTATACCTACGATGGCGGGATTATGGGCGGAACCTGGTGAAACCAAGGCAAACGGTGTTTCAATGCAATCAAGATGCTCCTTTCAATTTACTGATACCCACAATCCGCCGCGCCCAGGTGTGTGCCTGCTGGGCTTGTACGTTGGGCCTTGGTGAAGTGCCCGTTGTGAATCAATCTCCTCTGCTTCAATCATGCCTTTGTCGGATTCCGTGAAACATGGTTTATCGCTTTCGTTTTCGCCAAGTCCTCTCTCGTCTGTCGTGCGCTGTTACGGAACAGAAAGTCCCGTTGATGGTTGTATAATGAAATGTCGTGAATCATTTGCGTTTGGGTGTATTAGGCCCTTGCTCTCTTCGTCGCCCTGCACCCTCATCCCTCATCCCTCATCCCTCATCCAAAAATCGTCGTGGGAGTCGTCATAAACCGGCGCTTCAAATCTTCACCGACTGGCTGTCGGGAACATGTCCGATGCTGCCGGCCTCATAGCTTGGTCCCCCTCTTCTGGGCATCCTGATAGACATATCCTTGCGTGACGGGACTGTCCGACACACCAAATCCGACAGATACCGGTGCCCTTCGAAACCTGTCCGTGAAGAATGCCGGATGCCGCGTAGACGCACAATGCTGGCCTCGGGCCGTCCACGCAACGGGCAGCGGCCGCGCTGCGGAAGCCGTTTCGGCGCCGGGGGCCGGAGACGCGGTGCCCATGTCCAGAAAAACGACGGAAGGTTCGGTGAGAGAAAAGCGAATGCGACAAGCGACAAGAAGCAATTCACATTCTCCTGGAGTCGTGACAACGCTGACAACTAGGGCGACCGGCTTGCCATCTTTATGCTGAATTGATTGCCCGTTTCTTCCACGTGCCTCGGTTTCGGGCCTTGCTCCGATCGATACGCCATGCGCGCAGCTTTCCCCGCATGACTAAGCGGATCTGCTCGAGGCATTTCCAGATTCGGAAGCGGAAATACCGTGGCTTGTCGGAACGCGGCCATCGGATTTGCAAAACGGGCAATGCACGGCGACGGGCGGTATGGAGTTTTTTTTTGGTTTCTGGCCCATGTTAGCCGTTGTCGCGCTTTGTCGTGCATAAGTACCGCGGACGGGGCTTACACGCAGGATCGCAGTCCATATTCCCGTTCACATGTCTTCCACGACGAGAAGCTATCACCACTATCACCGCGCAGCTCTGTCACCTCCACTGATCAGCCTTGTACACTCCAAATCCGAGTCAAACCTTCACACCCTGGCACTGCTCGACCCAATTGCCATCCCTGCCAAACCCAATCACACCTCGTGAGAACGACACAGCCCCAGAAAGCCGGTCCACTCTAAATGTCCATGTCGCTTCATCGTCCAAGACCAACAAATAGCAAATGCCGTGCGCACGGCCGACCGCCTTGAAGAATGCCAAAAGCCCAAAACCCAAATCCTCCTATCCCGCCCAGTCACGTGGTGCGTTCCGCGGCGTTCTCTCTCCCAGCATCGTTCTCGGGTTGGGCGCTTTCGCCTGGCCTTCCAATGATCGCAACCCCGTCTGGTCCGCCGAAGTCCGCTGAGGAAACAAGCGCCGTTCGTTTCCCTCTTCCGGTGACTGCCGGAGCTTCCGCCGGGCGAACATGTCCGAGGCTCCCGCCTTGCTCAAGACGTGCCAGACATGCTTCCACGCCAAGATCCGCTGTGAAAAGACGCAGGACTCGGGCTTGTGCGACCGCTGCTTGCGCCTCGGCAAGCCTTGCGTCTTTGCTCCGTCTCGTCGCCGGAAAGCCCAACGCACTGTGCCTGTTGTCAGTTCTAGTCTCGGCGCTGGGGCTTCTGCTGGGTAAGGTTGCTGTTGTCTTAGGCTGGGTTAGGCTGACCACCAAGCAGGCGTCTCGAGCAGCCCGAGGCGAGCTCTTCCACAGCCTCTGTACCACCTTCAGTAGAGTCCTCAATTCCTCAAGGAACTCCAGAACATGCCTCCACCTCGGATGCTTCCTCCCAGGCCCAGGCCGCCCAGGATCGCCCAGACACAACCCCTCCGTATAGCGCCTTTGCGCGCGGCATGTTGACCTTTGACAAAGGCCAAGTGTACCTAGATCTGTTCCGGACCAAAATGATTACCTACTTCCCCTTTGTTCTCATCCCGGAGACCATGTCCATTCGTGACTTGGACCGAGACAAGCCCTGTCTGTGCCTCGCCGTCATGTGTGCGGCCTCGGCCACAGACCCGAGGCTTCAAAAGGTCATGGGCGAGCTCTTCAGCGAGATGGTTGCCATGCGGCTGATCAAGAATGTCTGGTTCTATGGCCTCGACCTCTTGCAAGGCCTCCTTGTCGTGTTAGCTTGGTAGGAACCGCGGCATCCAATTATCGTTCCGTGGCTGATTGGCACAGGGCGCATTTTCTCCCCAGACCACTTAGATACTCGCAGCACTTGTCTCTCGCAGCCAGCATCGTTGCAGACATGAGACTGGATAGACCCCGTATAACGGCCCTGTGGAGCCTCAACGAAGATCTGATGAAGAGCGATAATTTAAAGTTGACTGCGGATGAGATGCGAGCTTTGGCTGGTACCTATTATCTCGCCTCTAGGTACGAATGACCGCTTCAACCGGAACGCATATTAACCTACTGCAGCACATCGGTGTTGATGCAAAAAGCGCGGATGTTTAAATACACGCCATATATTCTCAAATGCTGCCACAGGATTACGGCGCACGGCGGGAAGCCAACGGACAAATATCTACCATACATCATCTACCTCCAAAAGCTCATCGAAGAGCTTGACGACGCCGTTTCCATGTCGCACGAAGCACTGTACCTGACCACCGAACTCCAACGGATCAAGGAAATGTATCTTCAGACTAAAACATCATTACCCTTCGCGCTAAGCGAAAGCCGTAAGTCGACTCCAGCCCAAGCGATTGCAAGCTAACGAATCGAAGCAACTATCCAGCAGCAACTCCACGTTTTAGAGTTGCTCATCTGCCAGCCCTCCCCGGATAGCGTCGCCCTCGGCCCCAACGGCTTCCAAAACGTCCAAGTAGCCGAGAGTTCCAACGGCCTTCTCGACTGGCTATCCCAAAGCCTCGCTGCGGCAAAGTCCATCATCAGCGTCTTCCTGACGCTCCCCGGCGGCGAGGAAGGCCTGCTGCCCAACATGAGCTGGGTTGTCCTGTACAGCAGCGCGTCCCTGGCCGTGAGGCTGGATCTCCTGGCGGCGCACTACGACATGGGACACCTGCGTCGGATCCTCGACATGACGTACACGCTGCGGCAGATCAGGCTGCGTCTGGAATCGGCGGCTGGTTTCGACAGCAGCCCCGAAGTTCCCCGAAATGCCTTTTACCACCTCAACATCAAGGCACAGCAAGTCGAACGGTGGTACCTCCACCACACATCTACAACAAGCTCTCCCAGCATGGGAAGCATGTTCTCGTCCTCCAGCTCCTCGCCCAGCAGCAATCAACCCGTCGAAGCCATGGCAGCGACCGGGTTTACATCCGCCAGCAACCTTGTCCCCAACGTGACAGTTGCCAGTGACCCGGACAGCTCATGGACAGCAGCCACGGCCATGGAGTTTGACCCGGGCATCTCGATGGGTAATATGCTCTTCACAGGGTCGTTTGAGTTCCTCTCAGATCCAAATGGAGGGCCAACGGGTGGTCAAACAGATCCGACATCCTTCAACTAAGACACGCAATGTAAGAGGACGACTGTGTAGGAAAGAGTTGTAATACAAGGAGGCTATCGTGACACTTGGGTTTGTCTACATCTATAATCTAAATTCGTAATATTCATGGACCTGCTCCAGTTTGTTTTGACTTGGCCTTCTTCTTCTTGGCCGCCTTTTGCTTTTCTTGCTCCTTGCCCTTTTTGATGGCGTCGACCAATCCCTGCACTTCGTCCTTTTGTTCCTGCTCCTTCTTTTTCTGGGCGTTGATTTCGACTTGGGCCTTTTCGGCTGCCCTCCTCTTGGCCTGTAGCTTTTCCACCTTTGCAATCAAAGCATCACTCTCCTCCCAGAGCTTCTTGGCCACCTCCTCATCCTTGACCTCGCTCCTGGCAAAGTCCACCTCCATGCACTCCTTGATCAGTTTGCCACCGGGTAGACGGCCCAAATCACCATCCATGGCGGCGTACAGAATGGACTGCGCGGCCATGTTGGGGGACTTGAGCAGAAACCACGGGAAAATGTAACCCACGAGGTACAGGCCAAGACCCCAGAGGGAGCCACGGGTCAACCACCGGCGAGTGCTTGGGGTGCGCGCGAGTCCTGGGTCGACAAAAATGACACGGGTGTTCATGATGCCGCCATCAGGTCGCTTGTAGATGTCGAGTTGTTTCTGGAATGCCTGGCCAAACACATTCATGGCAAGCTTGCTTCGAGCGTAGGCGGTGCCGGGCGACCACGTCTTTGGCGAGAGTTCCTTCTTGAGAGATGGTGACCCAATGTACGCAGAACATGTGGGAATGATGATGCGGACGTCTCGGTCGATCGGTTGGATTCGGAGCGCAGGGCTAAGGATGCTCAGCAGGTGGAAATTGGCCAGAAAGTTGACCATCCACGTCTCCTCAATGCCCTCCACTGACTCTTTGCGCTTGCCGCCCGGCGGCGTCAAGGTCGCAGCGCACAGGACAATCATGTCCAGGCGGCGGGGCGGAGCATTGTCGATCCATTTCGTGGCAAACTTGCGGATGCTGTGGAAGTCGGCCAGGTCGACCTGCTCGGCGTAGATGAGCTGGTTGTTGGTGCGCTCGCGGAGGTCCCGGACATACTCGACGAGGAAGGGATCCGAGTCGGGCGACTGCGTGAGCAGCACCAGCTGGGCGCCGCGCTGGGCGAGTTCCAGGGCCGTCTGGGCGCCGATGCCCGACGTGCCGCCCGTGAGGAGGACGACTTTGCCGTGCAGCAGGCGCTCGGTGGGGTTTGCGCGGCCGGAAGTCCACAGCTTGAGGAGCGTCAGGAAGGTCACGGAGAGGAGCGTGTAGATGATGGCTCGGGCGTTGTCGCGGATGATGGGAGGGAACCCGTTCCCGATGATGCCCAGAATAAGGACGATAGCCATTGTGTCGGAGCCGGAATCGTCGGCTGGTTAGTCGGATTGAATGTTAAGGCATGCCGGAGAATCCGCAAAATGTCGCCAGACTTCAGGGTCAGTGGGTCGAAGTGTAGTTGTTAAGGATTAAGGAGAACATCTGGAGTCGTGTCCTGGTTTCGTCGCCACACGGCTTCACGTGACGCACCTTTAACTCGACATCGTCCACACAACGACTTAAGAGTCCTTCTCTCAATGAATGCACACTTCCACGCGCTGTGATATATTACGGGTGGGCTAATCCGGCTATCAGCCATACAATTTCCAAGCTACAGAATCCGGCACCTTTGTTTCCATCTAATTGCAGGTTCCATCTAATTCCCCTCCTTTTGCTTCCTGATCCAAATCTCTCCAACCGGATCGCCAGGCTCAGCAACACACAGCCATTCTCCAATTCCGTACTCTGGCGGTGCCTTTCTGGTGCCTCGACCACCGCCTCCAATGATCAGATTGCCTGGGCGATACGTCTCGTCCATGTTCATGCGACGGATGACACTGCCGTGGACGCGCACGCCCGAGGGAATGTCTCGCACCTCTCCGCAGGGCAGAGGCCATCGGATCGGCCTCCATGAGCCGTCGCTCTGCAGATCCATTCTGCGGAATGGAAGATATTCCATAAATTTCCACGCAGCCACGGCCAGGTCGCCGAGACCTTGGCCAAACTCGAGTGAGTCGTGGATCTTTGCACCGCATGCCCCGTGTATGATGCCGTGAAAGCCGTGATGTGAATGATCGACGTCGGTCTTTTCGTCCGTGCCGAGGCTGGGCATTGTAGGCGTTCGACTCGGTCCTCCCGTACCGTTAGCCACGCGGATATCTGGAATTTCAGGCGGGTCGACTGTCTTGGGTTCGAGCTCGTTGAACTCCTCCTCGGCGCAGCATCCCATCTCGGCGACCTTTTCCTCGTCGAACGGGAGCCCGGCCTTCATGGCTTCTCTCACCATCCACGCCAGCGGGATATGGCTGGCGCTCTTGCTGTCCTCGAGCATCTCCCAGCCTCCGCCGACATCGGCATGCCCTCCTGCAAACCAGACTTCGTCAATGTCCTGGCCATCGTCTTCAGGGTCGACGTCGGAGAGGGGGATGCCGGAGATGTTTGACATGGTTTCGAATTCCGCCCGTTGCCTAGAAGCCGTTCTGGCGCCAGACTTGGATCGAGCTCGGTATGGGGCGTAATTCGCAGATTCTTGGTTCGGGGCCTCTTTCTCTTTGTTTTCTCCGGGCATGAGATAACTCGGCCGCCGTCCTCGCTCCTCTTGTCCTGCGGTATCCTTGTCCGCGCCGTCCTTTCCTAAGGTCACATCCCGCACATCCCGCAGGTCACCCCGCAAATCATCCAAGAATTCGCCAAAATGACGACGCTTTTCTGTTCGTGTCGGTATAGCTTGGTACATGAGATCCTGACGAAACTTGGCACGTCTTTCATCGATGCTCACGGCGTGGCGAATCACTTTGGCGCTGCTTCGCGCGGTGTAAGGGAACTTGCTGCGCTGCATCCAAGCCGTTTCGAAGCGTGGAACCGAGTTGACCGTGTCGAACAACCCGAGGAATCGAATCCTGCCGACGGGCCTCGAAAAGGTTTCGCGGAATCCCTTCATGAAGCGAAACATTTCATCTCTCTTCTTCTTGGTTTCTCCCGCCTCCTCGTCCGTGCCCGAAGCCATCTCGCGGCTCTGCCATTCGGCAAATGCCTTCCAAGCAAACTTGACCATTTCTTCATTACCGTGGGAAAGTAGGCCAATGTAGTCGAGCATCTCGGCAAGGAAACGAGCAATGTACGCGCCTCGACTGAATCCAAACATGTAAATCTCGTCGCCCGGGTTGTAAAATCGCATCAGGAACCGGTAACCGCCGACGACATGCTGGTCAAAAGAGGACCCAACGGCCGAGTCCTTGGCCTTTTGATACCACGAACTTAACCTGGCGCGAAGGCCGGTGTGGGTGAGCGATCCGGATATGACATACGTGCCAATGCCAGCTAGAACCCTTAGCGAATACCGCCACTGTGGAAGGCAAACTTACGTTGGTAGTAGTGATATTGGTCATTGGCTGTTCGATTGAGCATTCGGAAAATCTTGAGAATGTTGCTGTCGCTGTCGTCGCCATGGAACTTGTTCCCGGTGCCGTCGAAGCACAGAACCAGCTTTCGTGGTTTTTGGCCAGGCTCTGGGGCTGGAAACACGGGGTTCATCGTGGGGGAGCTTGGTCGAGTCTGTGACTCCTTCGATGGAGGGTTGAACTTTGTGTCTTTGGCCGGCCCATGCCCTCTGACCAGCTCATGTCCTCTGACCGCCGCATGCTGCGCGGAGGTCGGGGCAAGATGAGATGCATCCATGGTGACACAGACGCAGACCGTGTACTGTGGAAGTCTGAGTCCGAGGATTTCTTCGAATCAACGGCTGAGGTGGCTGCAGCTATTACGGAGCGTGATGAGAGGGTGTGGTCGGGCTGGATCATGCCGTCGGATCGACCCAAGAACTACCCAAAGAACAGCGACAAGCATTGCGCAACCTGCGGGGGACGGCGAACCATATTATCCTCAGACGCGGACACGGCGCGATTTTAGATCCAGCTGTCTCATACGCAAGGCAAACAATCTCCGCCAAGTGGGCGAGAGAGTACTCGAAGTAGGCTTTGGTGTCAACTCGACGGGCGATGGCGGCCAATGCGGTGTGATGGCGGTTCTCAACCATGATCCCGTCTCACCCCCTCGAGGACAATTGGCCAACCCAGGCAGCCCTAATCTTATTACGAATAGCCGGTCAGGTCTGCCGCACGCGGGACGAGTCGGTGGCTCGCTGAGGCACGCATGTCTCAGAACGCAGACCATTGAGAGGGGATGTAGTGGATGCCGGCGCGCTCAGCAGGTGAGGCTACGGCTGGTGGCTATCTTTCAGCCCAGCCGCAATTGAAGATCTGGCGATCTTTTACTGAATAGGTATGCGTACATGAGGAGCGGCACGGTCGAAGGGCCACTTTGGGTTCGGACTCTTTCTCAGTTTATTTACCGTGTACTGAGCATTCGGCCATGCGAATCAATACCCGACGAGTCCAAGACACTAAGAGAAAGAAGAGATGACACACACGGATGCATATTGCTTACCGCCATGAATGACTTCTCACCATCTCCGCAAGGGAGGTCCTCGCGCGATAATTGCTTTTCCCTAGCCTGCGGCCCGTCGTTCTCCAGGACTAGTCGCCAGCCTCTGACGCCACAGACTCATACACATCCGGCCGGAGGATTAATCGTCTGCCGGTGACAGGCCGGACGGCTAGCGTCACGGTAGCAGGGCGATCCGGGGCTAATAAAGAACGACGAAGGATTTGCATACTTCCAGCCATTCGTCCAAGTCGACGCAACTACATCCACGCGGGATGGCTAGGGCGCCAAGTCGCTCGCTGGCTGTACACTATTGCTGCAGTCTCTGCAGCCAGCGAATAGATCCGGCATGTCTTATTCTGTCTTGGAGGCATCGCCAATCGGAGCCTCCAGTTCCGCGCCAGTGCGGCCGCTACCAAGGGCCGTCCCTAGGAGGCGACTAATAAGAAGGGCGACCAGTGGCCTAGACGGCGGCCAATGTGCGGCATGACAAGCCTTTGTATCTGTGGGTCGTGGCCGATGCTGAATCGCTTCTGTCCTCGTGCGGCAACAGCGTTTTCTCTCGCACGCCACATAGAGATGAGAGACATTAGAAGGTGTCCAAGCGTTGTTCATGGCTGGCTGGCTTCGACGGGTCAGATCTATGCAGCGCAGTGGCGTGCAATGCAGGGCGGTGGATATGCGTAGGCAAGGGAAGAGAAGCGGGAGGTGAGTGAGTGAGTCGGGATGTTCCATGGCTTTGTGGGCGTGGGAGTGTGAGATGCTGGTCTACTTCTCTGCATCTTGTCAGCTGGCATCTGGTTTGCCCACTTCCGCTTGGTCAATGGAGACAATGCTTGAGGAGAGCAAATGGAACAATCTATCATGTCTATTGAGTGCGTGCGTCGTGGTACAGTCAATCAGACACTAATACACCAACACACTAACACACTAAACACCAAAGCACACGCATCTACAACTTACTATTCGTCCAGACCGCCTTTCGCTTCTCAACAAAGCTCAACACGCCCTCCTTCATATTCTCCCCGCCGTCCAGCCCCTGATACACGCCGCGGTCGACGCGCCCCGTGCTGGCCTTGGGATCCTCGCCGTCCCACCCGCCCAGCAGCCCGGCGCGCGTCACAATGACCGAGTCGGGCGAGTTGTCGGCCAGCTCGCCCGCCCACCACAGCGCCTCCTCGAGCAGCGCGTCGCCGGCGACTACGGCGTTGACGAGGCCCCATGTCTGCAGCTGGGCCGCCGTGTACGTCCGGCCGAGCAGGGCCATTTCCGACGCGCGCTGGCGGCCGACGCTGCGGATCAGACGCGGCAGGGCGCCGGCGATGGCGACGACGCCGCGCTTCACTTCCGGCAGCCCGAACTTGGCCGTGTCGCTGGCGATGACCATGTCGACGTTGAGCACCATCTCCAGGCCGCCGCCGAAGCACAGCCCGTTGACGGCCGCGATGACGGGCTTCTTGCCGCGCCGGTTGCTCAGCCCGCCGAAGCCGTTGTCGTCCCACTTCTTGTCGACGTCGTCGCCCCCGGGCTGCTCCTCGGCGCGGCTCGCCCTCTCGTTGTTCTTATCGTGCCATTCCTTCAGATCCGCGCCGGCGCAAAACGCCCTGCCCGTGCCCGTAATCACCGCGCACCGCAGCGCCGGCTCGGCGTCGTACCAGGCCCACAGGCGGTCCAGGGCAAAGTGCATGTGGCGCGGGAGGGCGTTGAGCTGCGCGGGCCGGTTGAGCGTGACGAGCAGCACGTGCGGCTTGGGCGATGAGATGAGCACGTCTGGGACGGCGGGCGGTGCGCTGGAGAAGGTGTGTGACATGATGATGGATTGCGGACGGTGAGGGTGAGTTGACCGAGATATTTGTCAAGAGTTGGTCTCACTCAATGGTGTCACTGACTGATTCTGTCTCAACTGCAATTCACTCGGCCTGATTGCAATTCACTCAGCCTGATTTCTGTTCAGCCTCAATGGCAACTCAATATCTCAGTGATGATCTGAGGTGGTGACCCCATTCACCAAATGGCCTGTTACCCCAGATTTATTAGCATCCAGTCCGGGTGTGGGGAACCTCGGTACCTCGGTTGCCGGCCAACTCCAACTCCAACTCCAACGTAACATCAATACCCGGGCATAGTCTTCCACCACCAACGGGTCTTAACTCTCATCACTTCAACGACACTCGATGACACTCAAGACGAAATAGTACAACATGGTGTTTTTGGCAGAAGCATCAACGCCAGCCTCCCGCTCTCTGGGAATCCCCAGCAGCAGCCATCGAGAATGAATATTATCAAGATCCAACCGTCTCTCTTGCAACTCCGTGGATCTGCAAGTCTTCTGTGCTAGTGGTACAATACGAGTCCATCACTGTTCCGTCCGTTGACCTCTCACCTCTTCCGTCCTTGACCTTACGTCCCAGCCTCTCGCCTCTTAAGCAGGCAGTCCTCTCTTCTCGCACTCGGTAAAGAAGATGACCATGCGCCACAGCTTCTTGACCAAATCCTCTGCTTCGTCGTCCAGTGCCTGTCATACAGTTAGCTTGTTCAATAGTCGGATTTCGGACAAACATACCCCTTCTAGCTCCTCGACCAGGGCGGCCGCAGTGCCATGGCGCCTCAAGTGCTCCTCCACAGCCTCCACCAGCATCTCCTCCTGCACACCCAGATACTCGACAATCTTCTTCTCAACAAACGGCCGTAGCTTGTCGCGGATGATGCCCTCCTCCATGTAGTCCCATTTGACCTTCCAGTTCCAGAGCCCATCCTTGTCTGCGGGAATCTCGTGTGCCAGAGCCCGGACGGCCTGCGAGATCTCCGCCTCGGTCATCGAAGCCGATGCGGAGTTGGGCTCGAACTGGATCGGGATGAGTTGTCGCTTGGTCGAGACATCTGCCTCTTCGTCGTCCAGCAGACCCTCCACCTCGGCAATAGTACGTCGCTGAGGAGCCGCTCGTGAGGCCTGAGCCTTCTGAGCTGCGGCGCCGAGCGAGAGCTTGAAGGGCTGAGGCGCCGATACCGAGGGAGCCTGGCGCTCCTCCATCTCGTGAGCCTGCTTGTCCAGGAACGAGTCTGCCATACCGCGTGCCCGTTCCATGGCTGCTTGCTCACGACGCTGTTCGTCGTTTTCTGCTCTTCGGTCACTCTCATCTCTCGCCTCCTCTTCTGCTCGGTCAATGCCTCTCTTGCGCGCCCAGTCGCCGTGGTCTCGGTAGTAGGGATGCGATTTGCGACTTGACTCCTTTTCATCGTCCCAAGCCTTTTCCCGGTCGAGCTGCTCCTGTTTTCTCCGCTCCAGCGACTCTGCATCTTGACGCTCACGATCCCGCTCACGCTCAAGAGCGGCTTGTCTTGATCGTTCTCGGTTGCCCCATTTCCGCTCGGCCTCCAGGTACATCTTTTCAGCGTCGGCCTTGGTTTTGGATTGGTGTCGGCGGTGAAGCTCTTCATCGTCGGCATCGGTGTCCTCGTCTTCCCTGTTAATCGAGTACTCTGCGTTGGAGACACCACCATTGACAAAGGCGATGCGGTTCTGTCCATTCTGGCCCTTGGGTCCTGACGGCGCGTTAGGCACGCTTCCCCTAGGTCCCAGAGGGATAATGTTGGCACCTGGAGGCGGCGAGTCGAGGCGGGATGGTCGAGGTGCGCCGTTTCGTTGTCTTTCCTGTTCCTCCATCTCCTCTTCTCTCTTGAGACGCTCCATGTCTCGTCTTGTGCTGCGCTCGCGGAAGGCTGCAATTTCCTGTGCCACAACCTCACGCATCTCGGCGGGGATATCTGCAAGCTCGTCGTCTTGAGCGAGGGGGATGTTGACTACTTCGACATTCTCACCAGACTCGTTATTGCCCATTTTGACGTCCCTGTCGGATGCTGTAGTGGTGGGATAGAACAATTCTCGGATGACTTCCTTGAGAGCGGCCCTGGCAGCTGCTATCCTCTCTGTCGTGTCCGATTCGTCTCGGCCCTCTTCGTACGACTCGACGTACTTGACCGAGTTGGGATCGACGGCGACCTGGAGCTTCACCTTGTCGATTCCTTCAAACGTATCATCTTTGGGGGGTTCTGCGGATGCCTGCTGTCGCTTTTTAGGGACCTCAACCTCTTCATCGTGGAGTAGCTTGATGGCGACGGCGAGCGACTCTGTATCTTCAAACTGTGCAAACCCAAACTTGGATCCCTTGTGTTCTTCGGTCACGCTAACAGCCGCATCCCATTTTCGGAGCTTGCCAACGGCTGATAAGAGTCTCTCAATGCCTTCGTCACCGCCCACGCCGTCCGAAATCTGGTGTATGAATATCGTCCGCAGCTTCTCTTCGTTGGTCGGCGGCACGAGGACCTGCATGGCCTCCCTGGCGGCAGCCCTTCCCTGGTCCATCCCCCTCTCCATGCCGAGACCCTGGCGTCCACCGCCCGACGACCCAGACATTCCGTCGCCTCGGCCACCCATCTGCGGCGGGCCAGACTTGCCCGCAGCGGTGCCGAGTCGGATCACGGGGGCGTTGAAGTTGATGTTGGGCATGTTGGCGGGCGCTTGGAAGTTGGGGGGGAGGCCGCTTGGACGATTAGCTTGCGTGGCGCTAGACTGCTGGACACCCGGAGGCGCCATTCCCGGAGCAGAAGACATGCCTGGAGGAGGTCCTGCGAGCTGGGTTAGTGAGTTGTTCGCGAGGTCGCATCGCGAGGGAGACGCACCTAGACCAGGTGGGGGAGCCATGCCGGGAGCAGCATTGTTGGATCCGGGGTAGCCTCCGTAGGCGGGCGGCGCGCCATAGGGGTTATCTTTCACTCGTCAGCACATCGACAGATCGCGGTCATGATTCCACTCACTTCCATATGGGTTGTATGCCATCTTCGGCAGCCCTGGCGCAAACGCCCCTCGTCGATCGCGGTCGCAGAACTCGTTCTCGTAGGTCGCGGTTCGTGTCAAGGTCGTGCACTCGAGAAAGCCAAGTCCACGATGCAAGATGCAAATAGACAGGGCCAGACGAGCGGGAGAAGAGTCTTGTGGGCGCAATCACAATCAGCAGCTGTAGGATGGAAATTCCAAGACGCACAAGGCTGAAGGAGGAATGTCTTTCGTGGTGGAGCACCCATTGATTGGCTCCAAAAAATCCGACCACGGCCTTATCGCACCAACGTTAATCCGGAGCACCGCAACTTTTCTGCTTCGGCAGCTCATCACCTGTCTAGTGTACGCAGCTCGGTTGACGACAACTTCAAGCAGCCAATTGCAATTGGTGGCAGTTGGTCCGGCAAGATGTAAGGCCCAGCTCAATTGCAAACCTCTAAACCCATTGCTAACGCTCGTCAGGGCTACGACCTCCCGACTCGGCAGCACAATGCTGTCAAGGCTATCAGCTCCCACCCTCCGACCCTCATCTCGGGCCTTTACCACCTCAATTGCCCTGCGAGCCGGCCCCAACTCCAACGGCCGCGATGCCCCCCCTCCGCCGCGAATGAACCCCCTCGTGGGAAACTTCTCTCGCAGGCAGCCGACGGCGGAGGAGCCCGCAGTTCGAACTCGAGCCCCCATGACGCCCAGGTCGCTCAAACCACAGCAGCCCGTCGAGGCCTCGTCCCAGTCTGACCTGCCGCCTCCTCCTCCGACCCCCGAGTCCCTCCTCCCCAACCTCGAGCCCAAGTCGGACGAGCAGCACCCCTACACGGCCTCCAAGACGGCCACCCCCTTCAACCTCGACATTGCGTCCATCATCGCCAACAAGAACGCATCATTCGGCCAGGGCATCAGCGCCGACCCCATGGCCCGACCTCGAGTCCGCGCCAAGGCCGTCACCGGCCGGACCGTCTTCGTCAAGGACCGCATGACTCCCACCAGCGGCCCGACTCCCATGATTGCCTTCCGAGTGCTCAACAAGATGGTGCGCGAGCAGCAGGTCAAGACCAAGTTCCACAGCCAAAAGTTCCACGAACGAAAGGGTCTGAAGAAGAAGAGGTTGAGGAGTCAGCGATGGCGGACCCGGTTCAAGTCTGGCTTCAAGGAGACCGTCAACCGGGTCTTGGAGCTGAAGAGACAGGGATGGTAACGACGTGTAGAGTATCTGGGATGAGAGTATCTGGGCTGAGAGCATCATTGTACAATATATAGATGTGAGCATGTGAGACGCAAAAGGAATTGGCATTGATTCTAAGGTGTCGTCTATCGTGATGCATGTCACATGTATTCGTTGGCGTCCCATTCTCGAGTAGGGCTCGGAATGGGACTCGCTGCAATCTTGGGGCGGGATCTAAAAACCGCCTCCATGTCTTCCTCAACCATCAGCTCGTCGGCAAGCACCGTCTGGTCTGCATCTTCCTCGGCCACCTTGGGAAAGTAACTACCCTCCCTCCGAGGTGGCACCTTGGATTTTCTTAGTGACCTCCTCCTCTCCATCTGGGCTTTTTGCTTGGCCTTTTCGAAGCCAGCCATGCTCTTCCGTGTACGACTGCTCAGATCCTCATGTTGGTCTGCGATAATGGTTGTGCGCCTGTCCAAACCAGCCGGGGCGATTGCTGGTGTCGGGCTAAGCGGTAGGTCAAGCTCATCGGGGTCGGGATATGCAAAGGATCCGCGGGCCATGGTGAGACGGGTGCGCTCAGCAAGAGAGAGTGTGTGACGTTGCTTCGGTCGTCTCGAAGGCGACGGAGAGAACCGGTCCATGGATTCGAGGATCTGATCCGCAAGCTCCTGCGTAGGTGAAGGAGACATATCCCTGAGAGTCGGGTCCAACACCTCCGGCTCCTGCACCATGTGTCGTTCAGGAGAGCCTGCTACAGGCGTAGGGTCATCATCGAGTTCGGGAGAGTTGCTGCGCTCCGGAGAACCCTCATCATAGGCAGGTTCATCGGGTTCCGTTGAGCTTCTTGAGCCTGACGCGGTATTTGCAGCGAACCATTCACCGGAGAGGGAAATCTTGGATCTCAACGGCTGTCGTCTCGAAAGGTCGAGCTTCGTCTGAAACGATTGGATGGGCTCGGGGCGGAAAGGCTCCTCGTCGTCATACTCACTCACCTCCGATACCGTCTCATGATCCACAGACGAGGCAGACTGTGTCCTTTGATGCATCGGGCTCGACACTGCAGGCTGCTGCAGAAAAGCGAGGGCAGCAGAGCTTTGGGGTCCTCTTGACAACTCCTGCTCCAAGCCTTGAACCAAAGTTTGGTAGTCGTCGTTGAGCGTCGGTTTCTGATTCCCAATGGTTGGTTTTCTGGGGCTAGCACGTCCGACCTGGAGCGCCTCATGGGCTCCAAAACCCAGGTCAATGCCTTTTGTCGTCGCTTGTCGCTTCTGCGTCGGAGATGGCCTCGGTCGGTCTTCGCACAGCCGCTTATGGAAAGTTTCCCACTTCTCCAGACGCTCCCTCTGAGCCCGTACACGGCCATCCAATTGCTCCAAGAGACCAATGCCATGCTCCTCCAGCTCGGAGAGTCGGCCTTGTTGAACCCTGCGCCAGACTCGGTCAAATGGCATTCCAAGCAGGCCGTCCTTTTTGGCGCCTGCGTCTCCATAAAGTAGCGTCTCCATCCACCGCTCGTTGCCCGACCAGTTGTTCCGGATTGTGCGCCACATCTCCAACTTGGCATCTTCCGACACAGTCTTGCCTCCTTTATTCTGTTCCTTGACATGAATAACTTCGTTCTTTCTCACAATGCTCCTTTCCTTGATGCTCAACAGCTCGGAGAAATCCCGGAATCTGGCGTTGGCAGCGGCTTTGCCTCGTAGCACACCGCTCAGGGAAGCCTTGTGCGCCCAGACCATGGCAACGAGTTCCCAATTATCCCCTTTATAGCCTCGATCCTCAATGGCGAATGTGGAGGCCAAGGCAGCATGCTGCCGGCTCGCTGTGGTCTCATCGCCGACGACCAGCTTGAGGACGGCAGATGAAAAGGCGGCCAAGACTTCCTCCAGCCTCTCGCCCTTGCACTCGTCCAGCATAGTCTTTCGAACGATGGCATCTCTGCCCAAGGCTCCATTCTTCTTGGCTTGCTCGAGAGCTCGGAGGAGGGCGGCTCGTAGGTTGACGGACTGGACCTGGTCGTTGGGAGGAAAGAAGGGCTTCATCTTCTGGAAATCGGTCAATTAACTGAGGAAGCTTCCCTCATGGAATGCAACTCACCTTTCTCGTCTCTTCGGGGTCCCAGAGGGCAAAGAGCTGGTACAGTGCCCACTCGACACATTGTACCCGCTTCTTCTGCCCCTGCGCACTCGAGCCACCGGTGACAAAGGTCTCAGGGCGGATTCCGGGCCAGTCTGGACGCAAGTCAAGATCGAGAAGTCTCAGGTTGGTCAAGAACATTGACAGAGCCGAAGGCCCATGGGCGGGCCCATGAGCGGGAGCCTGGCTGGCGGTCTGGGTCGGGCCGGCGTTGGCGTTGGCATGTTGGGCGGACTTGGTGATGCTAGCGATTAGACGGGCGGAGCGTGTGCGGGTTTGCTGGACAGCAGCCATGGCAGCATCTTTGAAGCAGCTGGGACTAGAAGAGGAAGAGGGTTCTCCTATTTGAAATATGTAGGGGCAGCCAGGTGCAGATGCGTGGCTAGAGTAGGCGGTATGTATGCAGCTGTTATGCGTCGCAACAAGGATGCCTTGTTTCCGAAAAGGCGGCATGAACCGAAGTAAACAAGATCCCTGTGTGGCATGTGCGTCAAGGTGTGGCTGTGTGTGGGGATGTGGCTGTTGGGTAGCTGTGGCTGCTGTGGCTCCGGTCTCTGGCTTTGTGGCTATTACTGTGGCGCGACCTGTGGCGTGACTCGTGGCGCTGTGGCTGCGGGAGGGGCACAGACTACAGCTAATTCAGGGTAAGTGGCTCGATTGGGAAAGAGCCGAAATCCCTTGGTTGTCTTGGCAGTCGTGTGTCAACCAATCAACACAAGCGCAGTTCTTCAGGGGCGTGATCCTCGTACACCAAGCTTGACTTGTTCGGGCTTCCTCATCTCAATTTTCGTGTGTTGGCGAAAATTTCATGAGTCAAAAGCTGCGCCCCACTTGCAACAGGTCAAGGACATGCCTCTTTCAGTCTCAGGCCGCACGGGATCATTCAACTCCTTGGCGAGCCGGTGAGCCAAGTCTCGATAGGGGTCATCTGAGGGCAGTTGGACCAAACCAGGCAACGGCCGAGGAGGAACAAATGGTGACTCGCAATACAGACAATACATCATTGGATGGATTATATGCGTACATGGCGAGATAAGCATGAATAACCTGGTTTGCATTCTCAGCTCGCAGATCATAGGGCCAGAAGAAGCTTTAATCTAACCCCAGTTTGTAGCTGGGCTCTTCCAGGTTAGTTCAGCCTTAATTTATCAACGCACCCACAAGGACCACCACAGTAGCATCCGAAGCCCCAAGAAGCCTCCACTCAAGGGGAAACAGCGGCCGTTTAGCAGCTGCTAGGGCCGTCTAACGTCCCATGGCCCCGGGTACATAAGCAATGCAGTCCGCGGCGTGATAATGACCCGACCAGCCCTCGCGCCGTCGTCTCTCGTTTTGCTCGCGCAGCCATTTAACGGTCCGCCATCCCGCATTCCGCTAAGGCCCGCCATCTCGATTGTGGCTGCTTACCTGTCTTAATCTTTGGGTCCTTTCGTTCTTTTCGTTCTTTTCTGTCCATCGACAGGTTGACCGCGCAATGGAGTTGAAACTCTCCACCGCCCTGCAGGCATGCGCCGCCCAGTTGCTGTTTGCTGGATCTGCATATGCGTCTCAATGGACTGTGACCTCCTACTACGCCGTCGTCGAGACTACTTCAACTTACTCGACCTACACCGAGGATTGGGCCGTCGACACCTACACCCAGACCATCACCCTCAAGCCGTCAGCAGTTGAGGACTTCTCTGTCTCAGCTACCTCAACATACGTCTCGGAGGACACCTACTACGACGTCAAGATTGTCGAGGTCTACTACGACCCAACCGACGTGGATTCTTCCGACATTGTGCCAACTTCGACGTACAACAGTGATGATTACACCTACACCTACTACTACCAGGAGGTATTCTACACTGCTCCAGCATCTTGCGAAACCGCCTTTACTGTCCAGACTTACGTCGATGTCTACATTCCTTCCGAGGTTCGCGATCAAATCACTCCTTCCAGCGTTACGACATACACCTCAAGCTACGACGATGGCGGCAAGTACACCATGGTCCAGGCCTTTTTGTCTGAGGGCGAGGTGTCCTTGAGCTCTGCGACCACCAAAGACTTCATCCAGAGTTATTATCTGGACGACTGCATCAACCCTACCGCCACGGGTAGTGACAGGTATAACGGTGACTACGGCTATGGTGATGATAACGACGACGACGACGACTCCAGCAGCAGCGGTGGTGGCTACGGCTATACTGTCTGTTCCCTCTACGGATACGGATGTACCTCCCTCCAGACCTGGATCATCATCATCGCATCCGTCCTCCCGGGCTTGTTCGTCCTCGGCTTTATCGAATCGTTCTTCTGGTTCAGGAGAATGATGCTCGGCAAGGCAGCCCTGAGATTTGGCACCATCTGCTGGGTTCTCCTTACGCTGTTGGTCCTCTGCTTCACGAGACACAGCCCAGCCCGAAACAAGGCCGATGCCCCTGCTCTTCGCGAACAGTGGAATGCCATGAGCATCGGAACGAGGATTAAGCTGTGGTTCAGATGGGGCTTCCGACACGCGTATCCTATCGAACTCTTGGGCCCGGACCCAAAGACCTTCAAGGATCCCAGACCAGCGGATGGTACGCAGCCTCCACCAATGATGTACATGGGACCTCCAGGACCTAATGGCCAGCCGCCGCCTATGATGTTCATGGGACCCCCTGGACCCAACGGCCAACCTCAAATGATGATGATGGGACCTCCTGGGCCTGATGGTCAGCCTCAGATGATGATGGTGCCGGTTCAGATGCCTCCTCCAGTCGAAGGACAACCCCCGATGCAATACTATCCGTACCCGCAGTACCCGATGGGCACGCAGCCCCCGACAGACCCCAACAACCCTGCAAACACGCAGTCTCAGATGTACACTCAACCTCAAATGTACATGCAGCCTATGTACATGCAGCCAGCGGTGGTTCCAAAGGACGCGCCCTCGTCGGTGGAGACGCCGTCCCCGATGGACACACCGGCCCCCATCACCACGCCGTCGCCGGTACACACCCATACTCCAGTTAACTCACAGCCTCCGGTACTCCCACCTCTTAACAACGAGGCTCCTGCCGTTGCGACAAGCGCCGTCGAGGCACCAGCAGACGCCCCTCCGGCTGTTCCTCCGCCGCCTGCCAACAAGGACGCATAGTTGGAGCCTAGGGACAGCAATCTACCACGGACACGGAAACTATGTTCATAGTATCCGAGACCATTTAATGTGAACCAGCGCGAGAGGAATACATGATGGAAGATGTAATCAATTGACAGGCGCTGGATTTTTAATCGGGAAGCGTTTTTCTAGCTACATACCCCAGATATCTAGGCATCTACCATCTTATATACCCCTAATTTACGGCCAAAGAGTTAATCTCATTTTTACACGTAGACGGTGTCCCTCTGGATCTGCTGCTCAAACTACGCTACGTCCTGTGGGCTCAACGACTTGATGTAACCCAACGTATTTAGAATGCTGACATAGGGCTGTCCGCGTAGTGTCGTCCAGGGTATTAATTAGACTCGCCATCACCGAGCCTGCTCCAGGGTTGTTGCCCACTCTTGGCTCTTGTACGAATAATAAGCTCAAATCAAAGTAGGTATTATAAATTAGTCCAAAACAAACTTCTCACTCCCCATTATTGCTTTATTTCACCCTTCCAGCTTAAACACCAACGCAAAAATAATTGCGCCCACAAGCTTTTACACGCGGAGCCGATACCAGGGTTCCACCTCCACAGGTTCACCATTGAAATAATATAATGGTCCCTAAATTGACGCGCAAGTCGTAGTAGTCTCGACAAGGTGTGACTTTTTGCAGCTTTTTGCCATTGCATCTTGAATAGACGTGAGCGTGCTGACGCTATTAGGAGTAGTGGAGCTGCCAATAATCTCTACGCAAGCATACATGCTGGCCCAGACGCCCGTACAAGCGCTGCCGACTTTGGGGTTCCAGTTGACGAACTGAGTCTGGGTAATCCTATATTTCTCGTCAATGGTGTCTCAAGACTTTCCACTCTGCACATAGTAGAACTTGTTGCAGTTGGAAACCATGTCGGACTGGGTAGGCTCAGGAGTTTTAATACCCTTGTCACCCTCTGTAGTTGTGGCGGGTTTTGTACCAATTGTCTTGTTAGCGACGGTGGTTGAGGAATGAGTTGTTGTAGTCTTTGCTGTGTGGGAGTCCTCTTTTCACAAGCTCACTACATTATGCCATTAAACCCTCTTGCAGCAATCCCTCTTTTCCTACCTTTTTATAGGAATCTCTCTTTCCCCGCTCTCTGACGGTAATCTGTCTCTTTTTCCACCCTCCCGCAACAATCTCTTGATTTTGCACCAACGTTGACCCTGACCACTTTACTTACCTTTATGCTAGCTTTCTAGCACCTCTTGTTACTTACCCAAGGCCGCACCTGAGATAGTTTGTAATACCGCGGAACGTGTCTACCCTATATTCCAACCCGAAGAAGCAGAAAAGCATATGCGCAGCGTCAGAGCGAGCGACAGAGCCAACCACCATGTCACAACTAAGCATCGAGAGTTTCAAGCGCTTAATTGCTCGCTTTACCCACGAAATCGTTACAACAGGCAGTCCCTTGGCTTCGCTTTGTGCTCAGTGTCAACCAGTTGAGCTTCGACTGAACGAAATCATCAAAGCTCAAGGCCATGGCTTTTACGGTGGAGGGCGAGATAGCACTGATACCATTGTTCTCGGAACTTTCCGCCATGTTTTGGCGCATCGTGACTGTCCGCTATGTTGCCTATTGATTCGTCTTGTTTTGAACCTGAAGCAAAAGGACCTATTCCAGGAAGTGAAGGACACCGGTACCGCCCTGAGGTCGACAGCTGACTTACAAAATGCATTACTTAATTTATTCGGACAAGTTGATTCTGAAGTGGAGCTTGCATCAGGAGAAGCAGAGGACGGTGCAGGGACCTATGACTCTGAATCAGAATTAAACAGGTCGTGGATCGAGTACAAGGACTCCAATTGCTTCCGAGTCTCAGTGGATGGAATTGCCCTTACAGGAGCCATCTCTGTGTGGCTGCCCCTCGAACAAAGCGATGAGATCAACGATGAAGAATCTCAGTTATTTATGCACCCCCAGGACTACACAGACGTGTTTGGGGACCCTCAAAGCCATGTTTTTCTCCCACGGCCAGACAACGGGACGCATCGAAACCTGGAGCTACTGCGGGATTGTTATGACTACTGCAATACCCACCATGTGGATTGCCGCCGTACGAGATCTTCAGAAATGCCATCGAGACTGGTAGACATGCTGGAAATGCGAGTCAAGGATATTCCGCAAGGCTCCGCACTCGAATACGTAGCCCTCAGCTACGTGTGGGGAACGGCCCCTTTCATTACTCTGACAAGCGCCACGTCGGAGTTCCTAAGACGTCCCAACTCACTTCAACACCGCTCCGTGAGCCTCCCCAAGGCTATTGCGGACGCCATCCAGATTGGGAAGTTGCTAGGACATCGATATATCTGGATCGATAGTCTTTGCATCAAGCAAGACGATCATAATGATCAGGCGACAGAGATCCGACGCATGCATGAGATTTATGCCAATGCAGGGTTGACCATTGTTGCTGCCACAGGTTCTAGTGCACAGGTGCCTCTCTTGGATATTGAAGCAACTCAGCTCTCCAATCAGTACCACACCATCGGAGGTAAAAGGTTCTGTCTCGATCGTCCAGAACTCAAACCCTTGGTCAGTTTTACGACATGGTTCACTCGAGGCTGGACTCTTCAAGAACTCAACTGCTCATCGAAGATGGTGTATTTTTTGCCCGAGAGAACGTACTATAGCTGCAACACCGGCTCCTGGAATGAAGACTTCCCACTGGACCGCAGAATTCCGGTTGAGACTTACAAGAGCCTTCGAGACGAGGACCCGAAGGCCGCATCATTCTCTGGCAACGAGAACGCATCCGAATGTTACGTCGAAATGGCAGAGCAGCTCTCCCGTCGGCAGTTTACTAGAGACGAGGATGTACTAAAGGCGTTATCTGGCATGTATACCATGTTCACCCTCGACAAGCTGGGCCCAGCCGCGGCCGGCATACCCATCAACACTCTCGAGGCGGGACTGATGTGGCAACCGGCCGGGCGGTTGCGGAGAAGAACCGCTTCATACCCAGACCAGCCACAACCTACGTGGTCTTGGGCTGGTTGGGCGGGCCCAGTCACTTACCCCTTTTACGGATTCAATAACCCAAGCATCCGGCCAACCGTCGAATGGTCCCTATATTTGCAAATGGCGGGAGACCAAGGCCAAAGACAGTACGTCGGTGTCGACGTGGTCGATGCCGTCGCGAAGTCGAGCGTGACGTCGAAAAGCACCCGGTGGTCTACGCGAGCTCTCGAGTTGAGAAGCTATCCATCTTTCGACAAAGAAACTAGCTTTGAACCCGAGCAGACAAGACAACTCCTTCCCATCTCAAACCCCTTCCTTCTCGACCATGCAATTCTTTGCTGCAGCTCGAGCACGTACAATGTCTGCATCAAGAGCATCACAGGTCCCGAATTCGCGACTCGCGCAGGCGTGCAATTTTTCTCCATCCTCGACAGCGAGAACGGCGTCACGGTTGGGGAGCTAAAGGTCGACGCCGGCACTCTAGAAGCATTGATAGGACCGGGCACCCTGCCTAGCACAGCAGAGCTGTTGCAGATTGCCGAGCTCGACTTTTCCTCTCCATTCGTCGAAAGCGTGTTATATATGAACCAGTACAGTCGACTGGGCCAATTCTCGGAAGATTTTATGCAAGTCGTGGATCAAGATGGTGACATGTCTATCGTTTTGTGGATAGTTCGTCAGCGTGGGCTCTCTCGTCGAGTTGCTCTAGGATATTTAACGAAAGCTGGTTTGAACTGCTACGTGAGACAACAGAGTTGGGTGGCGCTTACGTAAATCAGCATTGGCGCCATATTCTTCAGTGAAAAAGGTAATGAGGATAATGAGCCTGAAGGTGTGAAGCAAAATAATGTCACCATCCTTGCTGACGGTCAGACTGACCCTTATCAGTGTGGCTCGGGCATGGCTGGGAGAGTATCTATACCCTTTTGAAGAGCTCGGGGGGAATTATTTTTAGTTGTTCTAGATGACCATGCTCGATAGAACAATGAAAGGTGTAAAGTCAAGGGTAGGGCCTTATGAACGTGCAACAGCATGTATTAGAGATTGGATCCCCCCGGATGACCAGTATACCCTTATGTGTGTGGCTCCCACAGCGAGGTCAAAATTTCCATTCCCCCGATCATGTTGGCGCCCATAGGGATGTGGACGCCCGTCTTAAAGTCACACTCCTTTCCAGGGGCCACGCGTGGCTGAGATATGTGGTAGTTTTTGTTTGTGGTCTAGACGATGTGCATGTTGTCAAGAATCTTGAGAGTCTTGCTTCGAAAGAAGTAGGTATTTTAACTGATGTCTTGCGGCTAGACGGTAGGACAGTTTTCATTGATACCCTCGCAGACAATCTTAGGATATCCGCCGTAGGGCGCCCAAACATCGGTGACCTACGAGGTTAACATGTAATCATGGGATGAATTCCCAGGGACTCACGTTAGTGTTGCAAGTCGCACGTCTATCCATAAGTTGGCTCTGGGGGCAGCACAGCACAACGGAGCGATAGTTGTAAACTGCAAAGTGGAACGCTCCTCTAGAGAGCCCAGGTATCTCCGGATATTCTTGCTCAACAATAATGCCGGGAGAAACGGGTGCCTTCCTTGAAAAGGTGCTTCTGAAGCAAGGCATATAACAAAGCGATTGCGGGTGCGTATAAACTTGTCAGTTTCTTCTTTGCAACTCCACACATGTCTTTCTGGTCTTGATCATCCGTCAGGATATAGACAAAGTTGGCCTTTTGCCGCAGCCACTCCAAGCCAGGCTAGCCATGGGCAAACGAAAGCCAATGGACCGTTGCTCGTCATTGAGGAATAGGACGACAGAATTGATTAAATTATCCAGACGAAGCTCTTTTATCAATGATGAGGTTCGCCCAGCTTACAATGTGGCTGTGGTATGTCGTCCCTAAAGTGGCATTCGAGTCTAGGCGCTGACGCCATCGCCATCTCGTCTATCGCAATTGAATCTCCCCAGTCACCCATTCAAATACCCACCTCGACCCATGGAATCAAAGATGTTCATAATGTTACATGGCAATTGGACTGATCCTCTTGCAAGGTTACGGAAATCTTCTAATTGGACCTACCCTTGAACCCTCAAACTGAAGCAATTCAACCGCTTGAAAGCCGTCCACTCGACACGCAAGCCGTCGTCTCCTTACCATCCCCGCCTACTCGCCTGTATCCGTATCTGCGTGGCTCTTCCGGTCCCATGACCCCTGCCAGCTCCATCGCCACCATGGACGACCCCAACAAGCGGGCAGTCGTCAACGCCAACCGCCGCGTCGCCAACATGACGTCGTCGCAGATCGAGAGCAAGCGCTCCATCGACCGCGCCAACCAGCGGTACTGCCGGGCGAAGCGAAAGACGCAGCTGGGCCAGCTGCAGAGCCAGGTCGAGGAGCTTACCAGGGAGCTGGAGGATACGAGGAGACAGCTCCGGGAGTATCGGGAGCGTGAGGAGACGTGGGGTGGCCTGGCCATGGCTGGACTTTTAAGTGATTCAACCGTCTCGAGGGTTTGTGATGATTTTGTCTTTCCTAGTGATGGTGAAGTCGACGGTAATTCGGGACTATCCCATGATGCTGAAACCGGCCTGGACAACTCCAGCTCAACACCCCAGACTTCATCATCATTAGCCAGAGTTGCATTCGACCAACCTTCTTTCAACACAGACTTTGACTCCCTCTACCAACCCACCTCAGTAGACTTCGCCGGGATCAATGCCAACCTTCTCGACCCGACATGGGACCTCCCATCGACCTCCAGTCTGAACCACCGGAATCTATTTCAGGAGCACCCATCGCCCGGACCGCCGTCAAGGCCGCTCCCATGGACAGGCCATTTCATACTCGACTACGACTCGCCGTTTACAGCACTGCACGCTGCAGAGTGGAAGGCGATCCCGCCTCTCACCGATGCAACCACGCAGCTCGACCAAGTCATCCTCACCACCACCCAGACGCTGCGCAGCCGAGGCTTCCGAGCCGCACATAAAGAGTCTCCGTTCCCGAGCATCTCGTCTCTGTTGAACCCAGCCGGTCAGGACAAATCCGGCTCCTGCTCCATTTCCACGGCCGCCGCGGCCCAAGTTGGCAGATCACCGGTTGCCTCTCTCCTTGCCCGCGTGGGCTTCATGTATTTCCTCTCACACCTCCTGCGATGGTACATCTGCCGCACAAAGGAGAGCTACGACCAGCTGCCAAGCTGCATCCGACCTACCCTCCTGCAAAGAACCGTTCCACACCCTGCATGGATCGACGTGATCGTATGGTAAGTCTCCCGCAGTCATAAACGCAACAAAGGCTGATCCGTTTAGGCCCGAAGTGCGCGACGCAATAATCCAGCACATGGACTGGTCCCGCTTCTACGAGTTCCGCGCCGTCGTGTCCAAGTCTCTCTGCGTTGGATGGCCTCACATGGACACGCGGGCTGTGTTTGAGTCAGGCGATGGCAAAAACTACAAGCTGAGCAGTGTCTTTGAGCAGCATTTGAGGGACGGCAGTAATTGGACGGTGGGTGCGGATGCGGCAGAGGCTTTCCCATTTCTGAAACCGGTTTGCAAGGAGTCTCCATAGGCCATGTGATTCTTTGTGACGACGATGTGCCATCTTTAGTAACAGTTCTTTGATATACGAGCCGTGCTCATGTTTGCATTCCGCGCCAAGAAAGACCGTGACGCACTACTAAATTTCAAAGAACGATATCAACTCAGGGCCCCTTTACAGCACCAGGTTTTGAAGGTATATAAGGCGAGACCCCGAACATGTTGATAACGGACCAAATTACACCACTCGTTAAACAACTCACAAACATGAGACTCACCGTCGTTACCTCCATTCTCGCCCTCGGCCAACTCGGCCTCGCCGCCGCAACACCCCAGACCGTTGATCTCCAGATCATCGACAGCGGCTGCAGGCCTTAGTAAGTCGCCCCCTTGCTCTACTCTTCATGTCTAACTCATTTAGCCAATCTCCAGGATGCTGTGTTCCCAGCCTCTGTCAGTGCCGCGATGGTAAGACTACATATCCCTGAACTGTTGAATGCAACTGACCCGACTAGGCCACTTCTATCTCTTCAACGCGGAGAACAAGAAAGCCGGTGGCACAGGCTGTAACCCCCCGTGGGGATTCCTGGGTGACACGATCGCAGATGTTGGTGGATATTGCTGTTGAATATGTCCAGCGTATCCTCACCTGCAGTTGGTGCTAGCGCAACTCCTGTCATTACATATATTCTCTTCATAACACTCGTTTATTTAATATAGACATATCGGTCTACAATTCACCCTCATCCTCCACAGTCCTGCTCCCTTCTAAACAAGTCTCCATCGAGACCGCAATAGCCTCCAACTCCCTCCAGTCCCCCAAGCTTGGTCCCGCCGTGTGATTCCAGTCCACCGGCGCATACATGAACCACGCGCTCCCCGGCTGCAACATGGCATCTCCTTTCTCATCTGCCCACTTCCGCACGCCTACATTCCCGGCTAGGAGATACGCCTGCGTGTCCACGCCCGAGTGCGGGTGGTCAACCATCTTCAGCGGTGCTTTCGCGTAGCCAACACGAATCTCGTCGAGGGATTCAGATGCGTAGACAATGCCGTCGAGGTTAACCGTCGTAGAGTCCTCCCAGACGGTATCACCCGCCTCCAGACGCAGCTTACCCTCCTTGGTCCAGTGCATAAACCCTGTAATCCAGCCCGAGACGTCGTACTCGGACGCGCCGCTGCCGCAGGAGAAGCCCTTCTTGGCCCGGACAATCTGCTCCCAGAACGCCGCCACCTCGGGGCTCTCAGGCTCGTCCCACGTCTGCACGAAGCGCTTCAGGATCGGGCGCAGGTTCGCAGCGTACGCGGCCGGCTCCTCGCCCCAATCCTTCAAGCGGTCCAGCTTCGCCAACAGCTTGGCCCAGTCCTCGCGCTCGCCGAGCAGCGTGACGGACGGGATGCCGCAGACGACCATGCCACTAAACTCGAAAAAGTACTGCATCAAGCCCATCATCAGCACCGACGCCGTCATCTCGTCGTTCTGCGTGCTGGTGGTAAATCCAGGCATGATCCAGTCCAGCAGCCACTCCGTCTTAACGCGCTGCTGGATGGCGGAGCCAAACGCCGCCACGACATCGCGCCACGTAAATGCTCCAATTCGGATCTCCTGTTTCCCCTCGTGGCTGACGAACAAGTCACGAAGCTCGTCGGCATGGGCGGCCATGTAAAAATTGAGCTGGGCCAAGATCTCGAACCAGACCTCGTCGGGCCGCAAGACCAGGTGGCGATGCTGAGCCCAAGCCTCCAACGCCCCCCGAATGAGGCCATCCGACGACGGAAACACACCGCCGGGGAACTCTGCATCGCCATACGACGACAGCAGAAGCTCAGCGACGTGAGGGTTGTCTTCGGCAACCTCTTCGGGACAGCTACGACGGAAGAGGTCCTCGGGCGACGTGGCTGCGCCGTCCATCTCGAACGGCAACGGCTCGACGGTCGAGACTTGGACGGTGACGTCGGCGGCAGCCAGAGATGCGAGCGCCACCAGGCAGATGTGCGTCAACTTGACCATGGTTGGTGATGAAGCTGGAGCCAAGGCAATGCGGTGTGCGTATAGCGATGCTTTCGACCGAGGGCTTGCAGGATAGCCAATTGCGTTGACCAATACACGCCTCAAACACGGTGACTTCTCAAGACAGTCATTCTCATGTTTTAGGCAGCCTCACCTCGCGAATGCAGGACACGGTATGGTGTGAGCATCCCAGACGGGGAGAAGTGGGTGTAGCCAGATGGAAACGGGCTAAAATTAGCCGCCCCATGCGAATAGTGCCGCAGGGCTATTAAGTGGGCAGTGGTTCATGCTGCCGCTTTTGTCATGATGGACTAACAAAACAGCCACGTCTGCCGCCATCATGAGTGCGGGTGAATAGTGATTGGAGGTCATATGGAGGTGTAGAGTCAATTCCTTGTTGCTAGTACACCAGAGATGCGGTGAGCGAGCCGGGCAGCCGGTCAACGATGGCGCATTTCTCGGTGAGTGTCTCAAGAAGGGCCGACTTACACGTGAAGTCAACAGCCACCAAGCACACCTACAGCAGCTTGCATTTTGCATATTGGCATGCTGGTGTCGTCATGCAAACACAAAAGCAAATTCTGTTGGGATGCATCTCCATAGGGGAACAAGTCACAAGTATTACAATGTAGAGGTACAAGCTGTATAGGAGCAAGCCAGTGTATTGAGGTGCTCTAGTTTAACTATCAATCAATATCAAAGCCCTAGACCTTCGAGGCTGAGGCACTTCTGAAGTGAACAAAGTCCTGCCAATTCCAAATCCGTCCCAGCGCCATGCTTCCTTGTGCAAGCCAAAGGTGTAATCATATCTCGTTAAACGCCGCCAAACCGCCTGGTGTATCTGATGCGTCGCTCATGTTCCGTGTCTAGTTGGATGCAATGCGCCATCCTTATTCTTCAGCGCTGTCGACCTGGACACGCTTGACAACCTCGACCAGATGGGGGAAGATCTTTTCTGAAGACTGGATGCCGCAGACCTGCTTGACAACGTCCTCGGGGCCGTGAGCAGCCATGATCTTGGCAAGCTCGGCAGACTCGTCATCCTCATCGACATCCTGGAATCGGAAAGTCATCTCGATGGCGTCGAGGAGGTACTTGAGGGACTGGCCGTTCTCGGCGAGCTCAGCAGCGGGGCCAATGAATCGCTCCTTGCGAGAGAGCTTTCGGAGGGGAGCACGGCCAACACGCTCAACAGCATCCTCCAAATGGGGGTTGCCAATACGCTTAATGATCTTGTTGACGTAGGCCAGCTGAGCATCCTCGTCGATGCCGTGCTTGGCAACAATCAGGCTCTTGGTCTCCATCAGAGCGCCGCGGACCTCGGCCATGATCTCCTTGTCTTGGAGAGCATCGTAGACGGTGCGCTTTCTTCGGTTGTAGCCGTGGTAGGCAGCGGTGGCATGGCCAGTGTTGACGGTAAAGAGCTTGCGCTCGATGAAGGGCTGGAGGTTGCTGACCCAGTTGATGCCCTCGATCTCGGGAATGCCAATGTCCTCGAAAGGAGTGCGGTCGACAACCCACTCGAAGAACTTCTCGAGCGTCACGTCAAGACCGGCATCGGGGTCCTGGGCGGGGACAATTCTGTCGATGGCAGAGTTGGCGTAGCGGGCTCGCAGGTGGTGGTCGTCAAGACGAGAGGGGTCGGTGTTGCGGGGGTCCTTGATGTGGCCGGCCAGGGTGTCGGTGGCGCCAATGGCGTTCTCGCAAGCGATGACGTGCAGGGGAGACTCGTCGTTGGATCGGCGGTCGATGCCCTTGGCGATGACCGGGGCGATGAAGCGGAGGATGTTGGGACCGACGGAGCAGGTGACGACATCGGCGGTGCGGATCTGCTCGATGAGGTCCTCCTCGTGGGTGCTCGAGTTGATGGCACGGTAGTTGGTGATGGTGTTCTCCGTGGTACCCTCGGTACCGACCTCGATGACGCGGTATGAGGGGGTTTCGTTGATTTGGTCAATCAGCTTGCCGTTGACATCGGCGAAGACGACATCATAGCCGGAGTTGTGGAGAAAGCAGGCGACAAAGCCACGGCCTAGAGTGTGTTAGTGGGTTTGCCACAGTGTGGATGGAAGCATTCAAGTGCAAGTTGGCAACGTACCAATGTTGCCAGCGCCAAAGTGAACAGCCTTCTTGCCCATGATGATAGGTAGAGGCCCTGGAGGGACTGTGTAGAAAGATCTAAGTGGTGGTGTTGTGGTGTAAGTGGGAGATTGGAGGACTTGGACGGAAGAGCGTTCAAGTCGTGGAGTCGGATGGAAAGCAAGATCAAGTGAGGTACAGATGGGATGAAGAGTGAAAAACGGTGACGGTACGGAAGAGAGGGGGGACAGCGAGTTTATATATCAAGAGTGAGGCCAACAGACGAGGCGACGGACAGCGACCGAAGGGGCAAGCAGGGTAAGGCGGAAGGCACAACCTGAAGCAAGCGAGCGCATTGGAGACTGGGGACAGGAGTGACGGCAGGAGCGGTACGGTACGGTACCAAGGTACCTGGCAGGAGGTACACACCTCCTCCTCCTCCTTCCTCACCCTCACACCTGGGCGGGGACCAGGCAGGTAGGTAGGCAGGTGTGTGGAGACCCGACAGTCGCGCCTTCCATCATCGACGGTGACGGAACAAGAAGTTGAACCACTCAGGGCGGTGCAGCTGCGCAGTGACTGGTCCCGAACCCAACCCGGCCAAACGGGCTTGGCGCCGTCCCATGGGCCCGTGCGGGCAGCTCAGTTCTCACCCACTGAAGACGCACACGCACTCCACCGCGTACGTACCGTCTCGTACAGTAACTGCAACCGTCCAGGCCCAGACAGCCCCCGACCAGCGTCATCTACGGTACGGGCGCTCCACCAGGCCTGGGCTTTACCCAGAGCAGAGCGGCGGGGCTGAGGTGAGTTTGGCCGGGGGGCGTTGCGCAGGGTGTGCAGGGGGACGACACCCGCGGAACTCAACTCCAGCGGTCCACTCCAGCGAGGCGGCCAGTAAACGCCCAGTGGCAACGCCCAAACACCCACCTGCAGCACCCAGCCGACAGCGAACGCCCAGCGGGCTTGCGGGCGTGCCAGGGCCCAGCTCCAGTGGGCTCGGGGGAGGCCCGCTGTATGCAACCTCACCTCAGCCAGCCAGTGTGTATTGCAGCGTCGCATGCATCGACACGGCGTCATCGTGCTCTGCCTTCTGCCGGACTCTGCTCGATTGTCTCTATTTTGCTGCGAGGTCGGTACCAGATACCAGTGCCAAGCCAACAGGGTCCCTGCCGACGGACATGCATGTCTGAACGTACGCCCGCTGAGCCGCGGGCAGGGTTTGAGCGCTGTGTATTCGATGCTGCAATTCCAGAGTACAGCGTCTTACCGCCTCCTACAGGGCTCGCTTGACGGGCGCCGCTGACGGGGCCCGCTGAAGGGCGCTGAGCCAGCCGCTGGACGATGTCACGATAGCACCCCCCTCTCATGCCTCATGCCGGCTTTGTCTCACGCCACCACTGTCAGAGGCTCGATTGGGACGCGGGCAGGCAAGCTGGAGGTAACCCCTCGATGCAATGGAGCGTAATGTGAAATTGTAATTCATCAATCAAATCACCAGGATCGCCGAGGTGCTTCTGTTTTCTGCTGTATCACGTTGTTTGTTGGGCCGTGGCCGGGCTGTTTCTTGAGCTGGCTCCATCGTTGAACCGACATTGCGTCTTTACGTCAATCCCGGAGCATCACCATGACTCTGATACGATATCTCTCGAGTTACCTCCGGCCGCGGCGCCCACCGTTTCTGGCAGTGTGTGCCACTGCCACCGTCAGCGATCCGTAGCCTCACCGAGGTCCAGTTATCCAGTTATCCGGGCCACTAGAACGCCTGGCACTGAGCGAGCTACGGGACGGCCTAGCAAAGGCTGTGACGTCGGATGCGTCGCCAGGGATTCTTGGCTTGGGTCCATCAACTGGGTCCGTCCGTTCTCTAGATCCCCTCTGCCGCCCCTCTGTGACGCCTTTGACTCTTTGACGATACCTGCGCCGGCTGTCTTCAATGACGTTTGCGTCTTGCTCATCGACCGACAAAGCTCCCTGTTTAGCCCCTTTGTTCGGTCGAGGAGCAGAGATTGCCATGGACAGAGACCAGACTCGGAGCATCCCACAATCGCTCCATCCGTCACCCATTCATCACCTGTCAATGGGTGAATGGATGTCCCGCACAGGGCACCAGGCTGGGTGAGCGGAACGGGAACTCCTTTGTCCCTACCAGTGGCTCTCTTATCAGCCTCACTTGAGTAATTCTGTATCGGGCCTCGTACGTAAATGCAAGCAATACCCTGCGTCTAGGGGGCGGATACACGGGAATCCATGACGGGAACTCATATAAGCGGAAACCCCTCATATGCGCTGTCCATGTCCCCTAACAAATCGCATCAATGCTCAACTGGGCGCCTCCATCGTCGAACGCTGAAAAACCTCACGATAATAATGGCTCATTGTTGCTCGCGTGGCGCAGGGCCGCAGGGGGCGAGGGTGTCGTGTCCAGGCCCAAGCCACTTGGCGAGCGATAGGCAAAAACCCAACCCAAAAAATCCACCATGGTACAAGCGTTTGCCCCTTTGCGGCGCCGCCATTGATTCGCGGAGGCAAGGATCGTGAAAGTTGTTGGGATGTTTTTTTTTGGTTCGTTTCCATGTTTCGTCAGAGATTCATCGATATGGAGCCGCCAGCCTAATCCCAAGCCGGGTTTATTTCCCCCCCACCCGCAGAGCCAAGGCAAGGCGCAAGGCGCAAGGCACAAGGGGTAAATAGATCAGGGCCGAAAAGCAAACGAGCGGACGTCAATTGACGCCGGGCGGCCAGGGCGGCAAAAGACGATGGCACGACATGGGGATGCAGTGGTAGTAAGCAGGAAATGCAGTGCCCCCGTACCGTTCAGCAGGAGTGGGTTTCCGGCTGCAGGGAAAACGACAACAGACAGAGTGGAATTGTTAGCGCCGGGGAATGAAGCTGGGGATTCTCACAGTGGGTTACATGTGAGAGCGAGATGGAGACAAAGGCGTCAAAGAGAGACGCGGAGAGGCCACTAGCCATGACCAAAGATACTTGCCCCCAGCGGGAGAGTGACTTGCAAAGACTTGGATAGCGACAATCCCATCCCCAATGCTTCATCCGTCATACCCACGCTTCCCCAGACAACGACTCTGCAATGGCACACACGTGCGGGGATGCGGCAGACGTGATAGGACGCCAGCGCCATGCTGTATCTCGGGCTTTCTAGCCGCATGCATTTAACACCCAGGCGCACATGAGAGGGAAACAAGCAAGCATGAGGAAACGCAATATGGCATCATGCTGTTGATTGCCGTCGGCATGATTATGGCCGGCGTGTTTGTTTCGCCTCCGAGGCATTAACATTATCACAGCACGGCAAAGCCAAAGGTCCCTAGGTATGAATCCGTCGACGGAACGTGAATCCGTGATATCGCACCGCCCGCCAGTGAGGCCCTCCGCGACGACCCAAAGAGCTACAGTGCATGTACAGTGCATGGCCACTACGTCATTTTGCCAGCCCCCGTTCCAACCCCTCCATGCCTCCCTCCATGGCAAATCCAACCCTCCATCATGCATGCATCATCCCCATCATCATGTCCATGCCGAAGGGGGAAAATAAGCACAAGATAGCTAGCTTTTACGTGTTACGGGGTCTTTGTTTCTTCTACACTCTACACTCCCCATATACCAAATCCGCCGAGGGAAAAAAAGAGTGTCCGTGTCTAATTCAATCCTTTGCCGTCCCATGTTCGGCATCATTACAACTCCCATCCACCAACAGGGGCCTCGGTTCGATCCGCTTGCGCTGGCCCATTCCATCTGCCAGTTCATTCGGTTCGGTTCCACATGCCCTGATTCGATTGTTGGTGTCCCGCATGTCCACAGTATCATCACCAAGCCATCTCCAATCAACACGCGCCGGAATATTCCCCATGGTTCCAAAACATCGGTGGATCCATCGCCATCTCCTCCGAGTCGCTCCGTCTGCCGTGCGTGCTTACCGCAGAACCACCGAGGCCCGGCGTCGTCTTCTCCTTGGCCCATCTCCTGTTCCTTCGCCGTGTCCTATCACCTGTTTCTTCACCTTGTTCCTCTTTCCAGACCTATCCCGGCGAGTCCAGCCCATCTCACTGACTAATTCCCGCACGCCATTCAACCTCCGAAACCGACACAGAAAGGACAAAAAAGACCTCAAATCTCCCCCCATCGGACCGTATGCGTCCCTCCGAACCGGAACAATCGCCCGACTTTCCCGCCGGAGGCAAAAAGAAACGACTACGCCCTGCTGGGGGCACAGCCTCCGTCTCCAGCTCCGTTAAAACAAAGCAGTCCCACAGTTTTGCACCGTCGCAGACTCCCAGATGGCCAGAGATAACGCCAGCCCGCTCATGGTTGTACTTGTAGAACTCGCAGCAAATCCGCGCCCGTCCCGACGTCCCCTCAGTGGAGCACCGGTTCCCTCTTGGCAAGCATGGATCGTTGGGCTGCATCGAACCAAGGCCCTTTTTTCGCCTCCAAGTTGCAGGCCACTACTACGTAGTAGTTACAGGGACGACGAGTTGTCGCCTATCGCGCCAAGTTCGTTTCCTGACGGCCTCCCAAGTCAAGTGTCATTGTCCATTCGGCCAGTTGTCCATTCGACCAGACGGATTCCTTTCCCTCTTTGTCTGTGATTGGCTTGTCTCTGCCTGTGCTTGTCTCTATCCGTGCTTGCCTACTACAGTATGCCCGTCCCAGTTAATCTGCAACCGATCCCGAGTACGCATCTAACACGACATGCAAAGACACAATCCAAGCCGCCAACTCAGGGGCTCCCAGGGAGAATCCAGTAAACCCGTAAACATCGTACTACTCCCATCCTCCATCATATGCCACCGTCCATCCCCAATATTCATGACTCTTTCGCCGTACCATCTGCTTCTGACGCCGAGACAAACCCACGGCTCGTCATCGAACCCAACCCAACCCAAGTGGCGACGTCACCCACCCCCTGAAAGAAGCCTCCTCCGGGGCGGTGCCCACTCGGTGGACCCCCCGGAACCGTCTCGCTTGTCCCGTTGCCCCGCCGCCCGTATCTCGCCGTGCCGCCCAGCGCATCGTGAACCAAGTGTGGGTGGAGTTTTGGCCGTTCGACGAAACCCCAATCTCGCCGGCGCTTGGCTAAACCCCCCCCCCCCCCCCCGAGAAAATGACGATGACTCGCCTTTGCCGCAGTTATTCGTCATGTTCACCGTGTGTGGCATGTGCAAAGTAAAGCCTCAATAATGCCGCCTTAGCATAGCACCATCTCATGCTCCTCGGCCCGGATGTGTAGACGAGGACCTCCTAAACGGCCCTATGTAAACAGGAGACGTTCACGAAAAACAGGAGACCAGTTCCCCATCACGCCACATGCCTCTCCTCAACCCCAGGTTTTTCTCCTCCTTTCCCCCCCATCTCGGCGACGCTCCGACGGCCACCAGTTCCTCCTCTCCGTTTCCCCGCGACCCCTCAAAACCCCACCAACCCTGCATCCCACGTCTCCGCGAAATGGGACACAAGGGGCACAAGGGGTCGACAGCTGACAGCCTCCAGAGTTCTAGATGCTGTCGCTGATAGGCACAGCTGGGCCGACCTCCTGGCGCTCTCCCGAAGCCACCATGCACATGCTTCTGGATGAGACACACGTGGCGTTTGGGGTTGCAGAGACGTCCTGATGTACAGTCCTGTACTCTGTTCTGTACCAATGTCCCTTGATGTCCTTGTAATGATGGCCACCGGCCGGCCGGACCATCAGAAGTCATGAGATGGCTCCCCTCCCTCACCATCTCATAGTCGTCCGTCCATTATACCTCGTCTCGCCAGTGCCACCTCACCTTGCTTTAGATCAATATCCATACACGTTCTTACCCCAGACTTGAGCCCGACTTCTCCCGACACCACCTCTTTTCTCGATGTAGTAGGGATATATCGGGTAGCCCGTCACAACTCCCTTCTGGGCCTTTTGCTTCGCTCTCGGTGTAACTGTGGCCGGCTGAATTGCTACATCCCGGTCAGTATTAAACCGGATTGTTCTTGGTTCGATGTCACATTCGTAGAACTGACAAGGATTCATATCGCGCGGATCGAGATGCCCCTCATCCAACACCAAGTGCACATGGGTCGACACTTCGGATTAATGCCGCGGCCATGGCAATGTCTTCATGAGACACCAGAATCTTCTCCAGGGTAATGCTTGCGAGCAGATTGAGATGAGCTGTCAGTCGTGTCAGCTAATAAATAGTCAACGCCTTGAGTCATCTCAACTTGTCAACTTATCAGACAAACGACAACACTTCAGTCGAATCAGAATCCATCACAGAGTCTCGAACAATCCATATCCCAACAACCCCTGAGCGGTCTACAACAGTCATCACTCGAACAAGACACAGGGGCAACTGGAATTGGTAAACTTTGCAATTTGGCATCCAGTCCAAGTAGCTTTTTGTCTCGTTTCATACATTAACATCATCATCCCATCCCGGAGAGACTTCGTCTCATTCCTCCTTTTTCTTTAAATCTTGGCGTACTTCTTGAAAGCGCCAATGAGACCGCCTGTGGACGCGTCGTGGCCCTCACCGTTACCAGCCTCATCAAGCTCGTGAAGGATCTTCTTGGCCAGCACCTTGCCCAGCTCGACACCCCACTGGTCGAAGCTGTTGACGTCCCAGATGGCACCCTCAGTGAAGGTCAGATGCTCGTAGTAGACAATCAGAGCACCCAGCTCAGCGGGGCCAATGGTACCGCCGACCAGGATAGAGGTGGTGGGCCGGTTACCGAGGAATCGCTTGTGAGGGACCAGGTTCTCGGGGGCACCCTCAGCGCGGACCTCCTCATCGGTCTTGCCAACCATGAGAGCCTCGGCCTGGGCAAAGTAGTTGGAGGCAAGCATCTTCTGGTGCAGGTTGCCGGTGATGGGGTTGTGCGACTGGGCAGCCAGGATGAAGTCAGTGGGGATGAGCTTGGTACCCTGGTGGACAAGCTGGAAGAAGGAGTGCTGGGCGTTGGTGCAGGGCTCTCCGAAGACGATGGGGCCTGGGCGTGTTAGCAGGACAATTCACAAAACAGGTGCGTGGACTCACCAGTGGTGTACTTGGCTGAGGAACCATCGGAGGTGATGGTCTTGCCGTTGGACTCCATGGAGAGCTGCTGGAGGTAGGCGGGGAATCGGTGAAGGTACTGGTCAAAACTGCACGCGGTTAATACCAATTTCGTCAACACGATGGAAGTACATACGGAGCAACCAGGTGAGTCTGAGCCTGGAAGAAATCAGAGTACCACACACTGAGGAGACCACCAAGAAGGGGAATGTTCTCCTTGAGAGGAGTCTCTCGGAAGTGCTTGTCCATGGCATGGGCACCGCTCAGGAACTTGTGGAAGTTGTCGTAGCCAACGTAGAGGGCAACACTCAGGCCAATGGCGCTCCAGACGGAGTAACGGCCACCAACCCAGCTCTCAAAGCCAAACATGTTCTTGCTGTCAATGCCAAACTTGGTCACCTCAGTCTCGTTGGTGGACAGGGCAACAAAGTGCTTGGCGATCTCGCCCTTGCCATCAGTCTTCTCGAGGAACCAGGTCTTGGCAGTGTTGGCGTTGGTGGTGGTCTCGGCAGTGGTAAAGGTCTTGGAGGCAACGAGGAAGAGGGTGGTCTCGGGGTCAGAAGCCTTGAGGGCCTCGGCCATGTGAGTTCCGTCAATGTTGGACACAAAGTGCAGAGTCATGTCATCAGCACCGTAGTACTTGAGGGCCTCAGTGACCATGACGGGGCCGCTGCATCATGGGTTAGCGGGGTAAGATCATGGAAGCGGGTGGGGTGATGTGGGCAAACTCACAGATCAGAACCGCCAATGCCGACATTGACAATGTTGGTGAGCTTCTTTCCGGTGAAGCCCTTCCACTCGCCGCTGCGGACCTGCTCGGAGAACTCCTTCATGTGCTCAAGGACCGAGTTGACGCCGCCATCAGCATTCATGACGTCAACGCCGTCAACCTTCATGTCCCAGCCGCCAACGTTCCTCAGGGCAGTGTGGTAGACGGCACGGTCCTCGGTGAAGTTGATCTTCTCGCCGGCGAACATGGCATCGCGCTTCTTCTCAACGCCGGCCTGCTCGGCGAGCTTGACGAGGAGGTCGAGGGTCTCATCGGTGAGGAAGTTCTTGCTGAAGTCGAAGAGGATGTCGGAGCTGACGCCGGCGGCCTCGAAGGTACGGGTGAAACGGGAGAAGCGCTCGGGGTCGGTGGCAAAGGCCTCCTTGAGGACAAACGACTTGCCAACGGTGTCGCGATGAGCCTGAAGCTCAGCCCAGGCGGGGAGGGTGTTGGCGGGGGCCATTTTTTTGGTCGGGAGGTGCGGGGGAGGGGAACTGCGAGACAGTTGAGATTAGATTAGAGACGAACCGAACAGCAGATGAATTGCTAGTTTGGAGAGAAACGAGGATGGGGAGAGTAGAAGAAGGAGAAGCGAGTGGAGAAGAGGAGAGGAGAGGAGGAGTGATATTAGACGAGAGGGAGGGCAGAGGGCAGGAGGTACGCATGGCAGCTCCTTCCTGACGTTCCGTGTCTCTGAGGTCAAAGCCACCCCACCTTCCAACCTTCCACCCTTCCCACCTTCCCACCTCACACCTCACGCCTCACCTCAGGACGGCGTGGCGCGGAGGAAGAGGGGCAGGGAGCGCGGCGCGGCGTCGGCGGGACAGGGAAACGTGGGGCATGATGCCACCGAGCGTGCGTTTTTCCGCATGATATGATAGATAGAGCAGCATGATATACAGCAAAAACATACCTGGGCACGGGGGGTGATAGGGGCGAACAATAGGCCAGCTTCCAGAGGCAGGCAAGATCAAAGATGAGGGATAACAGAAGAGGAGGGAGGAGGAGCAGAGCAAGAAGTAGGGATCGAGAGGGATGCCATGCCGGCCATGGAAACCATGCAAGCCATGCAAGCCATGCCAACCCCTCTTTGGACTCGAAATCCAGACGCTCCTATCCGGAATCGGGACCGCCTCACAGCGTCCAGGCTCGACCAAACGAGCGACTTTGCCTGCATCAGGTGTGCGTCAGGTCCCGAAATGAAACTTGTTGGGGGTGGGTAATAGGGAAAAAAGAGCGCTGGAGCTCCGTCGGATGAGCGAGCTACTCTGCACGTCGCCATCACAACAACCCCGCCATAGCTTGCGAGACCACCCTAGCCCCTCCAATAGCGGCTGCACTCCAGGGCATGTTGCCCACTATGAGGTACCCGGCAGTAGGTACAGCTCTCCCTCCCATCGGGTATCATGGTGGGGGCCATCACTGCTTGGATATTTCTCACTCAGCAGCCTCAAGGCTTTCATCACCCTGACCAAGACCATGTCATCCAGATATCATCCTTAGACATCTTGCTCAGCACGAGGCTTCCTGCGATCCGGCCTTCCGAATTACCATCAATTCGCTTCCCTATCCACTCCGTCTCTCCCGTCTTTCCCGTCTCTGATCTAGAATCGCTGCTTAGTGATCCGAGCAACCCAATCTTCCCCCATCATCTCCACCCACATCTCATACATCTCCGTATCCGACTCCGGCGACGATGCCGACCAGACAACCCATTTCCGCCATTCCCTTCTTCTCCATTGCCGACCAAATTAGCGTCGGGCTGACACACCGCGGTGACCATCGCGAATGCCAAATCCTTCTCTCGCTCTCTCGCTCTCCCGCCCTCACTTCTGCTCGGTCTCCTCGGTCTCCTCGGCCATCTCGCCGAATCACCCACTGGCCCACTCCCACTCACTCACAACCCATTCACCCATCGCTTTTCTTAGCCTCACTTTTAGCATGTCTCGTGTCTCAAGACAGTCAAGATTGTGGTCCCCCAAAACTCCATATTCAATCACCCCACCCCCACTATCCTACCTACCCCTACAGAGACATTTCCAACAATGCATCCCTCAAGCCAACACTACAGAACACAGCCATGACGACATAAACACTCATCTCATCATCTGAGCGAACGTACATCCTTGTTTGTACTCAAGGTCCCCTTCTTCAAGGCTTGGTCCTATCTACCTCATCTAGCCTCTCCTCTTGCGTCCAAAATGGTCATCCTATGGCGGCAAGACTCCTTGGTCCCATCCCAAACCGCATCCTTCCACCGAGCTTGGTCATCGTGTAAGGAGGGTGCTGGCTCGCTCGTTCTTGTGTGACGAACCGCCTCGCAGACTCGAGCCTGCTCGCCGTCTATTCTGCCTTGCGCCTTCGCGAGGCCATTCATCACTCGCTTCACTTCAACCTTCACCACTCCCCGGTACATCCACCAAAACCCCGTCTATCGGTTATCAGTCAGGCTTCCGACAAACGAGGGGTCCTTGACACTGCCGCCAGCATCTCCCAGACCCGCAATCGGTCGGTTGTAGCTAAATCCCTGAAATTGGTTCTGCATAGTCTGCGACAGCATAGGGCCTTCGACATAAGAGTCTTGGGGCGCCTCCGAAGTGAACTCGGGGTCAAAGTTGGCAGTATCCAGGGCGTCCGCCTACATATTTGGGTCAGCTCATGTCACATACAGATCAGGCGAACGTTACTTACAACATTGGGCTTAAAGGTAGGCTCATACTTGCGCTGGAGCAGCTTGCGCCAGTCAATGGCATGGAAGAAGGGATGCGCCTTAATCTCAGCCGATCCGTTGGCTCCCAGTCTCTCCTCGGGGTTTCGGTTGAGCAACTTTGTCAAGAGATCCTTGGCTGCGGGTGGCACAACGTCCGAGAAGTGAAGAGGCTCTGACAGAATCTTGCGGTACATTTCGTTGGTGTTCTCGTCGTAGAATGGAGGTAGACCCGTCAACATCTCGTAGAGCAAGACACCCAGGGTCCACCAGTCGACAGTCTTGTTGTAGCCCTGTCCCATGAGCAGCTCGGGTGCCAGGTACTCGGGGGTACCACAGAAAGTGTTGGTCCGGTCCTCGTCCTTCATGTCCAGCTTGCACAGGCCAAAGTCGCAGAGGGCAATGTGACCCTGGTAATCCAGCAGAATGTTCTCAGGCTTGAGATCGCGGTAGATGACGTTGAATCCGTGGAGACATTCCAGGGCACACAGCAGCTCAGCTGTGTAGAACCGGGATCGGTTGACATCGAATCGGTGCTCCTTCTGCAAGTGGTGGAACAGCTCGCCTCCGTTGACGAATGCCAGCACAAAGTACAGCTTCTCTGGTGACTGGAAACTGAACTTGAGCGGGACGATGAAGGGGTTGTTGATCTGCGCCAGCACAGACCGTTCGGCCAGGGTATGGGCTACTTCGGATCGCGAAATGATGTGTGCCTTGCGGATCGTCTTGAGGGCGTAGATTCGGTTCGTGTCCTTCTTGCGCACCTGCATGACCTTGCCGAAGCTGCCCTTGCCCACGACCTTGAGCAGCTCAAAGTCCTCAATCTTGAGCTTACCCGCCCGCGTCTCGACGTACTCCACACCGATCTTGATCTTACCCGAGCCGTACTGCACGTTGACCCACTCGGCGCCGCGGTGGCCTTCGCCCTTGTGACGAGCCGCATGCTCGGCCGCAGCCTTCTCGCGGTCCTTCTTACTGGCCTTGGGGTCCTCTACAAAGGGCACCCTCTCCTCGAAGCGGGGGTTGATTCGAGCCACGCCCAAAAAGATGTCCTGGCTACGTCCTGATCCGGGGGCGGCGGTAGGGTTGCGCATGTAAAGGTGAATGACAAGTTCTGTTACTCTTGACACATCGAACTTGTACTGGGTGTTGCCACCAGCCCACAGAGGGTTCTCGGGGTTCCCGTCGACCGAGTTGACAAAGACCTGGACCTTGTCGAAATCGAGAAGAGCGTAGGGCATGTACTTGCCAGAGATTCGACCGTGGTTGGTCGGGATGCCGGTGAAGCCGCCGGCAGACGAGTGAGGTCGATTGGCTCCGTTGACGAAGGAACTGGGGGCGCCACGTTGTGACGAGGGCGGCCGCACAGAGCCGGCCATGCTCAAGGCGTTGCCCTGTGAGAGCGACCCTTGGTGTGAGGATGTAAAGGCATTTCGGTGCTGCTCTGGGAGGGCAAATCCTTGTCCTTCATGGAGGGTGACAACCAGGATACCGGGCTTGGGGGGCTTGACGACTGGTGCTTGGGTCATGGCCTCGGAGGCAGCTACTCGACGGTCAGTCTAGTCTAAACATGTTGCCACACCGCACTCACCGATGGCATTGTCCGCCGCGGGGTTTGGAGAGCCCGCATTCGGTTGGCCTTTGCCCTCCTTGTCTGTGATGGTAGAGGTGGACGGCGATCGGGAAAAGGGGCTCAGAGGCCCGAGATGGGTTTCCTTTAACTCTGGAATCATGTCAGCCTCGGCGGTTGGTCACGAGTGAGGGCATGGTGATTGTGATGGGGTGTATTGGCCACGAGAGGGGGGTATCGGGCGAGACAGAGACGCAGGAGAGGACGGAGACATCAAGCCGATAAACGGAGAAACGACATACTCTTTGTGATGTTCCACGACATGATTGCGACTGGGCCAGCGAGGTATTTGCGAGGGGCTCAGTGGTGTCGGGGGGCCAGGTCGACGACGGGGTCGACGACGAGGTTCCGGGAGAGGAGGCGATGGAAATGCGGTCAATAAGTGTGCCCTGCGCTGGCTGAGAAGAGTCTGAACGAGCACGAAACGTGATGGCGTGGCAGATGCGATGCAGCCGTGTTGGGCTCAGCTAGGTGGGTGATTTGTAACCCCGCAGACGCAGACACGGACAGTCGTGGAGGCGCGTGGTCGGGCCGCGTGGAGGATTGGCGATGGAGGAAGCGAAGAAAGCGGCGACGGCGGGGGATCGAAGGGTGAAAAGGAAAGGAGGAGAGCGACAGATCGATGGTTTTCGAGAGGGTTCGAGGTTGAGGTCGAGGTCGTGGTCGAGGAGAAGAGGGAGGCGAAGCAGAGGTAGCGAGTAAGTAGTCGGTACAGGAGGCACAGGAGGTAGTGGACGGGCACTACCAGGATGGGAGAAAGGGATGATGAAATCCAGGATTCCAGGATTCCAGGGCACCCTCAGATTGCGGCTTAGGTGGTTTTGGGTGCCAGCGGCGGGCGGTCCAGTGTAGTGGGCGTAGTGGGACCTGCTAACCCGGGGCAGGCGGCTGAGACTCGCACTGTGACGGGGGCGGGTATCAGGGTGCGTTGTTGCGGGTGGCGCCGGGGGATACAGTGCGTCTAAGTGACCGTCTCAAGCCCCTGACTGTGTCGCCGTCTGGACCGCCGTGGCCTTTGTCCTCTCGGTTGATCCGCCACGGCCCAATGCAATATCACAGAGCCCTGCTCGAGGCAGATGAGACGAATACTCCTAATTACACGTTCTGCAGTGGGTTAGCCGTGTGCTTATTCGAGATTTCCGCCGCCCCATCGCCAGCTGAAGAGGGGCGTGTGGGTGGTATTGGCCGGGACTCGGGGTACAGCCACGGCTGGTTTGAGAGCAGTTGTGAGAAGGAGATGCGACGTATGAAGGTACGTAGGACACACAACACGCAAACCATCCGTGCTTCCTTCTCTGACAGGTGGAGATCTATTCCTGATGGTGGAACAATTGCTTTTAATAGGAAGCAAGACGATCCATCTCGCAATAAACGCAAAGCAGCTAGGCCATGTTGCATCGATGGTGGTGGACCATGCGTGGGAGTGAAAGTGGGAGGGAAGTGGGCAACAGGTAACTCTCGTAAAGCTGACTGGTTCAGCTGTCGACACCAGCGAGAGGCGCGTCTCCAGCTGCCAACACCAGACGAACTGGTTGCTTTGGGGGATCTATTTTGGGTACGAGGAAGGGAGGCATCCAATACTGGTTGTCTAAGAAGCTCCTCTCTGGCACTCGCGGATGCCGTCTTCAAAGGGACGGGTATCGAAGGTGGTGGTGAGATGATCTCAGAGACACACCCAAATAGTTGACAAATCGAGATCGGGTCACGCAAACCCGGGATTCAGGACCTCAATTGATCTCAGATAGGGGAGCATTGTATCAAGTTCAGCTGATCCGGAGGAATCTTCTCACCAAGACGCTGCCTGTAATCAACTACTGTAGCAAACTACCCTAGACCCCCCAGGCACCCCTTTTCTGGGAGCAATCAGCCACAGTAGCATCGTGGCCCCCTGGCGATAAGGAGCCGGGCGCCTGACATACCAGGCAGAAACCTCGTGGCCAGCCTGGCAACAGCCGCAGGACACATTTTCGAGAAGCTCGAAATTCATGTGCAACAGGAGCTCCGAGCTGCTGCCAAACCTGGGTTTAACGATTGACGCAGTAGACGGCCTCCATCTCTCGCCCGCCGCATTTCGATTTCTCACGAATTTCCCGAATTTCCCTCTCGCAACTCCCGCGTCGCCTCGTCTGTAGCGCCGCATGGTGGCCGCTTCCAGGGACTCCTGCCGCTGACCCCACTACGTGCTTCGACATCACCGCCCTGGCCTGGACAGCTTGCCTCTTCACCTCTGCGACTCTGCGACACCCACCGCCAAGATGAAGTTAGACGTCAAGGTCAGTACTGCGTTGGATTATGGCGATGCGCCATTGCAATTCCTCTATGGACAAGTTGCTCTCGGCCGTCTTCTCCGTCTCCTCATCCCCCCTCCTCCACGTTAACCTCGTGCTTCAACCGGTTGCGAAGCTGACACCTCTTGCGACAACAGCGCCAGCTCTACGCTCGCAGCGAGCGAGTCAAGGGCATTGACTTCCATCCCCAAGAACCATGGATCCTCACCACCCTCTACAGCGGTACGTCCTCGTTGTCGCCGCGGCACGGCGAGTGCACCTCGAAGCTGACCCCCTACAGGCCACGTCTACATCTGGTCCTACGAGACTCAACAGATTGTCAAGACCTTTGAGTTGACCGATGTCCCCGTCCGCGCCGGTCGATTCATCTCCCGCAAGAACTGGATCGTCTGCGGATCCGACGACTTCCAACTCCGTGTCTACAACTACAACACCTCTGAGAAGATCACCTCGTTCGAGGCGCACCCCGACTACATCCGAGCCATCGCCGTCCACCCCACGCAGCCGTTTGTGCTTACCGCCTCCGATGACATGACCATTAAGCTGTGGGATTGGGAAAAGGGCTGGAAATGTGTACAGGTTTTTGAGGGCCACGGCCACTATGTCATGGGCCTCGCCATCAATCCCAAGGACACAAACACCTTTGCCTCTGCTTGTCTTGACCGCACCGTCAAGATCTGGAGCCTGGGATCCTCCACCCCCAACTTCACCCTGGAAGCCCACGAGACCAAGGGTGTTAACCACGTCGACTACTACCCCCACTCCGACAAGCCATACCTTTTGACCACTTCGGACGACCGAACTGTCAAGATTTGGGATTACACCACCAAGTCGCTGATTGCCACCCTCGAGGGCCACACCAACAACGTCTCGTTCGCCTGCTACCACCCCGAATTGCCCGTCATCATTTCCGGTTCCGAGGACGGTACCATTAGAATTTGGCACGCCAACACCTACCGATTCGAGCAGTCGCTCAACTACAGCCTCGAGCGAGCGTGGTGTGTTTCATACCAGAAGGGCAAGCAAGGCATTGCCGTGGGTTTCGACGATGGTGCTGTCGTTGTCAAGCTGGGCCGGGAGGAGCCTGCGGTGTCCATGGACCCCTCTGGCAAGCTGATCTGGGCCCGCCACAACGAGGTTGTTTCCGCCATCATCAAGGGAGGAGGTGAGTTTGTTATCTGATTTCGCCGTCCCATGCTAACGGAATAGATGCCTCCGTCAAGGACAACGAGCCGATTTCGCTTCCGACCAAGGACCTCGGCACCTGCGAGGTGTACCCCCAGACCCTGATTCACTCTCCCAACGGCCGCTTCGTCGCTGTGTGCGGTGATGGCGAGTACATCATCTATACTGCTCTGGCTTGGCGAAACAAGGCTTTCGGATCGGCATTGGACTTTGTTTGGGCCTCCAAGGACAACAGCAACGACTTTGCCATCCGCGAGTCCCCCATGACGGTTAAGCTGTATAAGAACTTTGTCGAGAAGGCCGGAGGCTTGGACGTTGGTTTCCAGGCTGACCGACTCCATGGTGGAGTCTTGCTCGGTGTTACTGGTCAGGGCGGTGTTTCGTTCTTTGACTGGGCCACCGGTGGTTTGGTTCGAAGAATCGAGGTTGAGCCCAAGCAGGTCTACTGGTCAGACAGCGGAGAGCTGGTGACGATTGCTTGTGATGATACCTTTTACGTGCTGCGATTCTCGCGCGAGAGCTACGTCGAGGCCGTACAAGCTGGCCAAGTGGAGGAGGATGGTGTTGAGGCTGCTTTTGAGGTCATCACTGACATTAGCGAAAGGTGAGATTCCGATGCCTTGCTTTAGGATGTTAACTAACAAAGACAGTGTGCGAACTGGAGAGTGGGTTGGCGACTGCTTCATCTACACCAACAGCACGAACCGTCTCAACTACCTTGTTGGCGACCAGACCTACACCGTGTCTCACTCCGACAAGCCCATGTACATCCTCGGTTACATCCAAAGGGATTCTCGAATCTACCTCGCAGACAAGGACGTTGGCGTTACGTCATTTGCTCTATCACTACCGGTTCTGGAGTACCAGACCCTGGTGCTCCGAGAGGACATGGAGACGGCTGCCGAGCTGCTCCCTACGATTCCCGAGGATCAGCTGAACAAGATTGCACGCTTCTTGGAGGGACAGGGCCATAAGGAGCTTGCCCTGGAGGTGGCTACGGACCCCGAGCACAAGTTCGATCTTGCACTTGGATTGAACCAGCTCGAGGTTGCGCTGGAGCTTGCTCGCGAGGCTGACGTTGATCACAAGTGGAAGACTGTTGGAGATGCTGCCCTGGCCGCCTGGGAGGTGACTCTGGCTGCTGAGTGCTTCACCCACGCTAAAGACCTGGGATCTCTTCTCCTCCTGCACTCATCGACCGGCGACCGCGAGGGCTTGGCCGCTCTTGCTGCGCAGGCGCAAGAGGCCGGCTCTCACAACGTTGCCTTTTCATGCCGCTGGCTGCTTGGCGATGTTGAGGGCTGCACCAAGATCTTGGCCCAGACCAACCGATTTGCCGAGGCGGTCCTGTTCTCGCAGACTTACAGGCCCAGTTTGACGGTACCAGCTGTGGCTGAGTGGAAGGAGAATCTCGAGAAGAGCAAGAAGGGACGTGTTGCCAAGCTGATTGGTGTCCCTACAGAAGATGAGGACCTATTCCCCGAGTGGGATGCATGGTTGAAGCTGGAGACCGAGGGTGGTGCCGGCGAGACCAAGGTGGATGAGGCGGACGATGGCCAAGAGGCTACGGAGGAGGAGGATAGCGAAGAGGACGACGAGTAGAGTCGAGGAGATGAGTAAGAAGGTGTTGCAGTTCTGGCAGGCGGTGCTTAGACACGGACGGTGCAGAAAAGGCTGGCTTCATTTCCTTTGGGGGTTGCCACGGGGCATCAATGAGCATAATGAGAGATAAGAGAAAGATCTAGTACTTGATTGTTCGTGATGAGTGATGAGTGATGAGTGATGAGTGATGAGTGATGAGAGTGATTGTGGTGTTGAGTGGTCAGTGATGGCCGTGGATGGTGGTGGGAGGCCTCTACGATGAAGTTTCGACATGGTGTTTGGTGTAGCATCTCGATGTCCTGACATTCCACCATCCCCTGGGTGCCTCTCGATATGGAGATGAATGAATCCAGGCGGCGTCACCAACTCAGCCCCACACTGAATAGACTTATTAACTAGCAATAGCCATCAATTAGAGGCCCATGTGCCAGCACGCAGGGTCGAAAGCGCCCAGAGTCGAAAGCCCCAGAGTCCAGACCGCCCCGTCGCCTGAGGCTTGTCTTGGCTTGGCTCGTCTTGGCTTCTCTTGGCTTGGACCGAGCTGGAACTTGGGCTGAATACAGCTGAACCTGGGCTGCCTCCCGTGAGTGGCTGGTCCGATTAAGTGTGCTGCCGCTGTGTGTGTTGGCTGCGTGCTACTGCGCGGTAATTATTTAAGCGACGCCCCGGTGAGCGCATCTTTGGGACCTTGTTTTTTGTTTTGGGTTTCTCTTGTCCTTCCCACCACCCAACCACCCAACCTCCACACACACCCCCTCGAACCTTGAAGATACGATCCCACGGAACAAAGATGCCGACTGTCGAAGCACCCAAGAAGCACGCGCCCATGGAGATGGCGGCGTCTGTTGGCGCCGAGGAGCAGCGGCCGCAGATCATTGCCCAGCAGCCTGTAAGTTTCGACCTTGTTTTTTTTGGGTTGTTGATCGCCTGGAGTTTGTCCCGAGGCAGATCCCCCTCCGATTGAGTTGCCCCCGCTTCATTCGATCACGCCAGCCCCTCGTCTTCTCATCACCAGGGACAATTTGAAGTGGCAGGATTTTTGCATTTGCACTCAATCAATTACTGACCATTATGCAAACCAGTCCATGGAGCCTCGCCCTGACGCTGAGCCGCAAATGTCGCTCCGTGGTGGTGGCTTCAGCCTGGGATGTGATTGCTGCGACGGCTCATGCCGCTTCCATAAGCACTGCTGCTAAGGCGGGCGGCTGGACCCGGATGCGGCTGCATTGTGTCAGATTCATGATGATGATTGATGGATGATTTGGGATGGGATGATCGATGGAAGGGTTGTTGCAGTAGACGGTGGTTTAATGGCCGTGGTCAACGGGGTGATGAGGATTGGTGCACCATCGGATCAGATTAGAGACAGAGGAGAAGAAGATATCATTCGATCGAGGGATCGCTTTACGGTGAACGTCCCTGATGTTAATCACCCGGCTACCCGATCACCCGGGTTCCCGTGCCATGTATTTATTGTAAGGGTCTCGGCTGGATTGCTTATCCCTGGCTGGTTCTCTACGACAGATATTTCGCAATGCTGATTTATTATTTATTCTAAGAATGCTATCTGCGAGTATTTCTATTCGCACATGGGTACACTGTTTGCCTTATTAACCCCAGCAGAATTATTAACGTGCCTGGGCTGGCAGAGACGCACCGTTGCGGGTATGTGATTAGGCTTGACGGCTGCTTTCACGCTTCATCCAATAACCCAAAATACAAATTCAATCCCCAATGACAGATGATAAAAGTTTGCACACACTCATTCTTTGCTTTGACCACATCCATGCATGCCCTTGACAGATATCCTTGAACCGTGTATCTTTGAATCATGCATCACCATCTTGAGTCAACTGAAACGCCATGTCAATGCACCTCAGTTTCTGGAAGCTCCACCACTAAAATGTCCCACGATCCACCATCGCCAAGCCAGTCCCATCGATCAACGTGCTGACAGCCGAGATCATCATGACAGTCTCACCGGGCTCGGGTCCTGGCGAAACGTCACACAGGCAAACACCAATGGGATGGAGGAGTGGGTGGGCATTCTCGCTATACGAAAATGGACGGCATTATTTCTCCGAATCTGACTAAAAGTAGTCCCCTTTCCTGCTATGCACGGTTGGGAATGTGCTGTTGGACAGATTGCCAAGAAATTACCCGTCTGTAAGCGATGGAGATCCCTGGGATTCAATCCGTATTGGCCCCTGAAGTGGACTTTGTGGCGCTGGACAAGCAGGGGTGCCTTCATCTAAGACAAGTGTGCATCCGTTTTGGACGACACGAAGACACACACTCACATACACCATACACACTTAGACGCAGACAGACAATAAGATGATGGCTTATGATTGGGGCCTCAATTAATAGGGTGTTTGTAAAAGGAGCTATAATAATGCAAAAATGTTCTGGCCAATCCCCCAGATCCAATGACACTCCGGAGCAGTCCGCTCGACTGCGGGTGCCACACACGATGAAACAATATCTCAGCTTTCGCTTTTGTACAGGTGTAACTAGACCGTTTACAGAAGGGCAACGACGAAACCGGCGACGGCCATGGCAGCAACAGCCATGCCAGTCTGGCGCGAGGCAGCACCGGTGGGAGAAGAGCTGCTGGACGAGCCGGTAGCAGAGGCCTTGTCGGAGCCGCTGGTGCCAGTGGCCTTGGCCTCAGAGCCCGAGTCGGAGCTGGCCTTGGATCCGGAGCCGGATCCGGAGCCAGTCTCGCAGGCGTCGATGCCGGTGGCGTAGGAGCTGAGGGCAGGGCACTCGGAGAGAGCAGACGAGAGGGCGCCCTTGTTCTTGTCGTACCACGAGACGACCTCGGAGCTGTAGCTGGCGTACTCCTTGCTGAGGCTGGCGGGGGTCGAGAAGTGGCACGGGTCGGTCTGGGGGTGGTCGAGGAGGTCGGAGACGATCTCCGCGGGGGGAGTGGGCACGTCGGAGTAGACGTCGAGGATGGCGCTCTGGCACTCGTCGGAGAGAATGCCAGTGGCCGTGGCCGTGGCGCGGGCCTCGATCTCGCGCTTCATGTTGGGGTGGGCCATGAAGTTGGCAGAGGCGGCAGAGGCCAGAAGGGTGGAGAGGAGGATCTTGGACTGCATCTTGACTGGTGGTGTAGAGTAGAGTCTTGAAGAGAGATGGATAGTAGACTGAATGGGAGTGGGTGAGGGTTGTACAACAGAAATGGTCGTCCGGATCGGGGAGAACCAGGCCTCTTTATACAATCCCCGGCCTCGACACCGTTCAACCTTCTCCTACTCACGCTTCACAGCGCTTCCCCGGAATGCTACACAGCTAGGCGTGGACCGGCACCAGCCTGGCGTCTCAGCTCTGTCCTCCCGCGGGCGTCAATTTCCACAAGACGCCGCACGCCAGACACCAAGCTAGCGCTTATCCAGAGCCGGAGCAACTCGCTGGCCTGCGCTAGGCAGACTCTTTCCAGAGCGCCCCAAATTAAGTCTAATCTGAGGCTGGCCTTGGGGGAGCGTTCTGCTGTGCGGTAGGGGGGCGCGAGCGGGCTGTCCTATGAGACGGGGCCGAGGGGATCCGCTGTCCGGATAGTGTGCCGAAGACATGGCAGAGTTGCTAATTAGGGAGGACGGGAGGACGTCGGTCCCCCTGGTCGCCTGGGACGGTGTGACTGACAGTCCACTTGGGGTGGTCAATTGCAGGCGCAGTATCATTAACCGGCAAGCGTGGTGCCGAATGGGTTTGGCGGATCAGCCCTATGGTATTTGGTTGTGAGAGTGTGTTGGCACCACACACCTGTATACACGCACGACAGCGCAGCAATAGTTGAACGATACCGACTAACATGCCTCGTACGAACAAACAAACACAGTCTACCAAGACAAGAGGCGCAGAAACAAACAAAGCTCATCCCAATGGTCAGACACCCAGAGTGCACCACAACCACCAAGCGGTCCGGGCTGAATAGAGCTGAGTCCTAGCGGCCTGAGCATCACGACCAAGGCCGGTGGAGGTTGCTCCCAATGACACAGCTGGACACCCATCACCACCGGCGTTCTGCCAAGCTGAACCGGCACGGCCACACTGTCATTGACGACATTGCCCAGCGAAGCGTCCTGGCAACTCGCGGGACTTGCCACGGAGCTAGCGGCACCGCTCTCGACGGCGGCGTCTTGGGAGAGATCAGCCCTGGGACTAAGAAGCGAGGAGCTGAGCTCACCAGCCAATGGCCGCTGGCGATGGCGTCCGCCTTATGGCCGCAGGGCGATTCACGAGACCGCAACACGGTGAAATGAGCCTTGGGTCTGGGCCCTGCGAGGGTGTGGAGATTGACGCTACGGCTTGGAGAGCTGAGACGCCTAAAGGCGATGGCTTCACCATTGTGCCCTGCATGATGTTGTTTGTTGGAGGCAAGGGATAAAAAAAGAAAGGGGCTCGAGGGCTGTTGAGACGGGGAGCGTGGGCGCTTCATTCAGAGGTCGATGGGGTCTGGGTCTCGTCTCGATTAGGAAACTGCCGGCTGATAGAGCGTGCATTGTATCAATGGACTGGTCTGCGTTAGAAGAAAGAGAGTAGAAGTGGGAAAAGTGGAATCAAACCGCATGGCAAAGCCAGCATCGAGTCAATTGGATCCATGCTGGAGATCCATCCTCCCGTTTTGCAGTTGCGAGTTTGCCCCTGAGGTCAGACGCCATCCCCCTGCGCAGACGGTTCCTGAGCTGCTGCAGCCAAGCCAATTGCTTGTCCCACGTCGCACCCGCAGGAAATGGGACGTTGGCACGAGTAATGGCGGCGCAATGAGGACCGTCTGGTGACAAGCTCTCAGCCCCAAGCCCTCAGCCCCAAGCCACGCACTATCCTAGCTCCCCCCCCCTCCCTCCAGTGCCGATGTGGGCTAACCAGGGGTGAAACAAAAGACGGCGCTGTCAATTAGACCGTCGTTCTGGACGCAAAGTTTGGGTTTGGGTTGGGCCGCTGACGGAGATGGCTGGAGGCTGTAGATTAGGTTACGTCCGGCGAGATGGGATGGTGGAGAGACGATGTGAGGCGGTTGAAGGGGGATGCAATGCACAATTGCACAAAGATGGAACCGGTATGCCCAGCCAGGTTGTTCAATTAGGTCTCATTATCAATTACCCAATATTCTTTTTGGCTGCAAGGAAATCCATCCCCGTCGTCATTCATCAGTTTGACGATCCGCAAGTCCCATATCCGCTCTGGCAGCCGGTGCCGCAGTACGCCGACTCCGAACCACACCATCCGGCCGAGGAGCAGCACGTTGCGTCGGGCTCTTCGATGCACGTCGTACCGAAGTTGGTGCCGCAGCGGCCGTCAGTGCTGATGGGCGGGCTGCCGGTTGCGGTGCTGGACGACGTCGAAGTCTTCGTCGTTCCCTGGGCCGTTGTCGAGCCCGACGAGTTGACGGGCCGGTACCAGTTCGCCTTGGGATCGTTTAGGCACTCGCCGACCGTCACCGAGTTGAAGCCGTTCGCGACCAGCGACTTGAGCATGTGCTCGGTCAGGTTGTACACCGACTGGTACACCGGGTCGTGCTCAATGGCCAGCCACTTGGTCGTCGCCGTGTCGGCGCCCTCGACGGCCGCGTCCCAGATGTCCTTGGAGTCCTGGATCCGGCCGGCGCTGTCGTGCAGGTAGCCCGCGGTGTCGAGGTTGAAGTAGGTGACGTGGTAGCCCAGCTCGCCGAGCCAGGCGTCAGTCGTGGCGTTGCTGGCCGAATATGGCGGCCGCATGTACGTGGGGAAGTATCCCAGGATGTCGGCCAAGGCGATCTCGTTGTACACCATCTGGTTCCAGAACTTGGCCTTGCTGAGGGCTGTCAGGCGCTGGTGCGACCACGTGTGGGAGGCGACTTGATGGCCGTCAGTGATCATGCGCTTGATCAGATTCGGCCAGGCTGTTGTTGCGTCGTTGATGGCTCCTTTGCCTAGGTTGCGGCCGGTGATGTAGAAGGTAGCCTTGGCATCATACTCCTTAACGGACGTCAGTATACTGCTGACAACTGTGTTAGACCCAACTTACCGCAAGGAGGTCGAGCAGATCCTCGGTATAAGTGTAAGGGCCGTCGTCATACGTCAGCGCGATATCACCATACTGCTCGCAGTGATAGATGGCCTGTCCGTACGGGATCCTTCCCAGCGCTGGCCGGGCGATGTTGGTGGTATCCGGCCCCGACGGCCGGACGTTGGCATCGCAGGCCGGGCCGTACTCGATCTGGCACGACGGCGCCGAGCAATACAAGAAGCCGTTTCCGCACCATCTGCGGCGGTTCAGCATCTGCGAGTTGGACGGGCCGTGGCAACTTACCCGGCGCTGGAACAGCACTCGGTGCTTGAGCAGACGGTGTCGAAGCCGGTGCCGCATCTGCCGTCGGTCGAGAACTGTCGCTTCTCGGGGTCGATGTTGGACTGCCGGTCAATCAGAGCGCGTCTGTTGTTCCGGGACTGCTCTAATGCTTCCCAGGCGAGGCTGTTGGCATGGACGACTGTGCCCGTCGCAGCAGCAAGGGCCAGCGTACTCAATCCCTTCATGGCTTATTGTTGAAACGAGTGACTGAAGAACGAACGGACAAGTCTGAGGAGACCACGAAGCTATACGACCCCGGCGTCCTGGATCACTGCGAGCCAGCTCTCCGGCTCCGCGCGTGGGAGACGGGCTATATACATGCATACCAGGCTGTACATGCCGTCCATGAGCGCACTGCTGACGCAAGAGAACTCATGGGTTCCGCGTCCCTCATCCGCATTCGCATCTCAACCCCAGCAGTGATCCTGGGCGCCATCATCATGCCTGCGGGTGGAGAGAATGACGGCGAACCAACCGCCAAGCCAATATCTCGTCGGCACTGTATCACAACCAGGATGGACATGGCGTCCGGGTTTAATGGCCTGCGCCAGTGACCACCTTGCGGTCCATCCTACTTGGCACTTCCGGCCGGCGTCCGATATCACATCGGCAATTGGCGCCATATCGGGACGGAGACAACCCGGACGGCGTTGACGGCTGGTGTGTTCGTCCGAGGGCGTCCAATACCGTGTACGCAGTTTCCGGTACTGACGAGGCATCTCCGGTTCCTGGCCCTAGAGAATAAGGTCGGGCTGCATGATGTGAGCTGCAGCGGGCCACGCCGGCGAGAGCCTCGTATTCCCCAAGCCCGAATATGCACGCAGGGCTTGCGCTGTCGGGCTTCGGGAGGATTCCAGTGTTACGTGCGAGGGCGAGGGCGAGGAGGACTTGCGAGTACCACCGACCAACTGATAACACCGCTGCTGTCGGGTTCATCGATGTAGGGCTGCTGCGCGTTGGCTGCCGTCCTGCTTCATTTCAATAGTACGACATGTCCACGTCCCGCGTCTCCACGCACCAGGATTCCCCGTTCTTTCGTCTTCTCAGCCGGACGCGAGCCTCCCGTGATTGGACGCGGGTGACATCCCATTGCAGGATGCAGTTGGGCACGTTGCTCTTTGGCAAGCCAGCCCGTATATGCCCATCTTCCTCGTCTTCCATCCCGGCTCTCCACTTGCTTCGGGTTCCACGCAATGCGGATCCCCTGGGCTTTTCTTAGTTGTACGGTGCCTCGCGGACAGGGGAAATGTGCTGCGAGGCCAATGAGTTGAGGACGAGTTGGCCCACTGAGATCTGCACGATGCGTCTCGGCTTGACTGTGAAGGGTACAGCGTTCCAACCCAACGGAGCTACTTTGTACAAAAGGGCAAGGTTGCGAATTGAGGTGAGAATAATAAACCAGAAGCAAAATGTTTTCCGAGTCGTAAATAGTCAGTGACGACGGAGATCTCCGACACGTTCAATTCTCTGCAAGCATTTGTAAGTCATGCCTCGATTTCCTCTCTGGAAGCCCGCCTGAGGCCAGTTCGTCATCATCTCACTCGATTCGCACCACACAATGCTCAAAACCTCTTCATTTTTGGCTGCTTAACCACTCTGCTTTGCATCAAGATGACAGACGTGGATTCGATCGTCTGCTTCCATCAGGCGATCGGCACTAAAATCATCAAGTTTGAGATAATTGTCCGACGATCTTTGATGTCTCCACAAATGGGAAGCCAATGAGGCAATTGTATGAAGTCACGTGACGCTAATAAGAGGAAACAAATTTGAAGGTCGAGGCCATCAACAAATTGGATGTGATAGTCTCTTATTTGCTGAGATGCCATCTTTTCCATGCGTAATTATCCTGCACCTAAACATTTTCCGAATCTGGGACAAGTCTCAATCTCATGTTGCTCTGACTACTCTATCTTGTCTCCTCGCATGGTTACCCTATACTCCCCATTGTCTCGACTTCTGTAACCAAACGATCATCCGTGTATTTGTACGCGAACATAACGTCTCATTGCGAGTATACCCTGGTTATTAATTGGTATATAAATGATCCTGGGCGGAGTATTCTTGGTATCCAACTTAAGTGTAAGAGCCGTGTCAGAAAACCTTAACTACAACCTTTGCAGCCTACAAGGAGTGAGTATGTGGATCCGTGACACCGCCATTATACCTGAGGCACCTAGGTGTCTATCAAAGATAGAAAGATTAGGGTATTGGACTCTATATAGTATTTTGAGAGTAATTATTGTATGTGGAAACTCTGTGGTGCCGAGGATCATGATGAAGCAGGTACAAGGCCAAGGCATCACCTATTGAATCCTTGTAGAGGGCAGTCCCTCGCACGACGTCTGTTGTGGTTCTGATACGTGCTTGTCTGCCTTGGGTCTGGCATCAAGTGAAGGGCACCTCTGACCGCTACACCTCAGGGTAAAAGGTTGGGGATTGATCACAATGGTAGCAATCAACGAAGTGCTCGAGCTTCCCCATAAGGCCTCTACGCCCCTGATGTGCTGGTTCGGGAGACCAACCCTTAACATTGAGAATCTATTATATCGACTGAGAATAGTGACGGGGTCGGCTGTATTACTGTCGTGCGCAACTTTGTCTTCCATGGCCTGGGTTGTCTATATGGTCCTCCAGTTCCAAATCTACCCCCGCCCCGGAGATGAGTTCTGTGGATATCGTTTATGACTGATTTTTCACGACTGGAATAATTGGTTGTTATTATTCCCCACCGTGATTGATCGTAACATGCTGACGGCTAGCATTAAACTATTGGCACGCGATAATGACTTGCAGCCCAGTGGTTCGGAACCAACGCAGACCATTGACTCCGTACGTAATGTACTAGAGCCTTCTGGACCGACGGTGTGGATTCAGAAACCGAATGATAGCAGTAGCTCCCGAAGAACCGTTCCTCGATAGTTCGTTACGTAGCCTATCCACACGGCCTTGGTAGAGAATATCCACTCGTGGATTTGGTGTCTGTGAATCAAGGAACGGATATTTCTCGACACGCCTTCCAGTCAATCGCCTGTAGTTCTGTGACGATGTCCATGAGGAGGATAGATTGATGCATCCTTTATATCCCATTAAACGCTATTTAATTACGAACATCCTTTCCTCTGGTTAGCTTAGTTCATGCTGAATGGTCCAAGATCGGCTTAGAAAGGAGTGCTATTCTTGACAAGACTTCCCTACTTGATACCTCCAATGAAGGAACAAAGAATGTCTGTTACTCAATAAATAATCACTGATTTTGATAAGGGCCTATTGATGTAGAGTTTGTCAAAGAAGTGACTGTAGTGTCTATTGTGGCTGCCGACCGTCTGATACTCTTGTTTGGCTTGGCTTCCTCAGGCTTGTCAGGACTCTGTGGCTCAACGTCAAATGTACTCACTACAGTCCAATTTCCCTCCTGTTTCCTGTTGACCATGGTATGATGACCGTAACTCAGCTATTCCTGACTGAGCGGTTCCCACTCTACTAGTGTTTTGCAGAAAATCTTTTCGTAAAAAACCAAGCCATTTCATTCCAGAATCTTTCGTAATCGCCACCTACCGATCTGTCTTTGCCTAACCCTATTCCGGGCGAACTTCTGCAGCCCTGTGGTTCTTGGCCCACCAGTCGGGCCGCTGCGTGGCTTGACTGTGATGGCTTCGTCCTACATGGTCGCGTGACCTTGCCACTTGCCCCAAGTCTTTAGTCATGGCTTCCGTACCATGTCTTGCTTGTCTGCTATTAATGATGGCCTTGGCTTGATTACTTGTTCACCTTGTTCAAGGCGGAATAAGTCCGCGATAATATATGAACAGTTAAGGACGAGGGGCCACTGTGCCTAGACGGAGGATCTCGGTACGGGAGTGATCTGACGCAGTTCGCATGACAAGACGACCCAGACATCAGGTCCGGACTGAAACGCGGGGCTTCACCTCAAGAAGGCATGGCAGAGTGGAGTTTGATGTCCGACCCAATGTCCCGTTAATGATCTCCATATGCACTCCATGTGGGCGCCGTTGACGGAGCTTTTTGGGACGGTGACAGCCCGTGATCCATGGGTCAAGGAACAAGAAATTAGCTACTGTGGGGGTTCTTCGTGACCTGCGCAAACGATGCAACACCACTGGTCGATGCTGCCTCGGCTGGGACCCAAGGAATGAATGGAATGCAGCGCACGAGGAGCCAAGACACATGGCACGAGGAAGCGTGGGGAGAACGTGAGGACTTGAGGACCGTGAGGACCACAAAGTGACGCTACGTCGATGTGGTGGACCCTCCCAAACCCCCGGTACAGGATCGCTTCGCTAATATTCTTTGCGTGGGATGACTCGGGGATAAAATTCTTCTTGGCCGTACTGTACGTAATTCCTGTTGCTCAAGCTCCCTCCAGTGGCTCGATGACTAGCCCAGCGAGTATTTGGCCGCCGCTAGGAACCCGGGATCTTTGGAAGTCGTCTGGCGTTCCCTTATCAATCTACGGTTCAGGCCAAGTGTGCGCCATGCGCGAGGCTACGGGCTTTGAGAAAGCCACAAGCGTGCTGTTATTGTCCGATCTAAACTCTGTCTGCGCCGCCAAACACGACCAGGGCGCGGGCTTCCCTGGCCGTTTATAGGAGGACGTACGAGAGGAGCTGACTGTTTCCACTTGGTGGGCGGGCGGCCAAGCCAATTTGGATGCATCATGTATGGGGTGGAGCAAGGTCACGTTGCATCCACTGCAAACACCCTGCATTTCGAACGGCCAAGCATCGGACGTTCCGCGAGAAGGCACATGGCCGAGAGACGTCGAAGGATTGCAATGTCTAGCGCTGGGCGGATGGAGATTCTTGTGCACTAACAAGGGCGCTGGGCGACTGAGAATACGACGGAGGAGACGAAGGGGCTTGGCGGGACGAGAGAAACAGAAACTCGCCGCGTCATCCCGGATTGAGGAAGATTATTCGACGTCTGGTGAACATGAGATGCTCAAGCAAAGCACAAAGCAGGCCTTCTGCATATGCCGTTGGTGGAGAAGCCGACAGTACGACGTAATACCTACGCCGTCTCACTGCCATCACACATCACACTCTCCTCCATGTTGCAGCATCCCACGACCATAGCGGGACGCCCGAACTCCCGCACATTGCGGCGCTTCGGCACTTGGACGCTCAAAGTACAGGTTCCCACAGGCCCTCTCCTGGTGGCCCTCCGGACGCCGAAAGGCCCGCACCAACAGAGGCAAGACGATCACTGCCGCTTCCGTAGCCTCCCCTGTTGCACTAATGCAAACGCCCCCCCGTCACAGCTCCACTCGCAAGGCCCAAACCATGCCGTGATCCTCTCCATGGGACGCTCCATCGACCGGGCATGCCTGGCCAAGATCAAGATCAGGATGCGACTCGCTGTCGGTGAACCCGCCCAGGATGAGGAGGGGGACGAAAAGGCCTCACCAAGAGAAGAGGCACCATGGAGAGAGAGCTTGCTGCGAGGCAGAGCTACTGCGGGGCGAGCATGGGGGGTCGCCAGGCAGCTGTTTAGCTGGGATATGGGCATCGTGTTATTATTCCTGAGCTGTTCGCGGGGAGGCGGACACTTTGCTGTGCGTGTCGTGCGTCTCGGACCGCCAGGGAAAGTTTTCACCTGCGGCAAAAAGACTGAGTGCCAGGTTGTTGCGTAGGGCATGAGATCAGCATTCACAGGCATTAAGAGTTAAAAAAAATTACCGAGGAACGGGCAAAAAGAAGCCAGCTTCGAAGGCTTCCGCGCACCAAAGGATCCAGAATCCAAGGATTGACTGACTCTTCCCTCCCACGCCAAGCCTCGCGTCTCACGAATCAACGTCTCGTCCACGTCCGAGCTCGGCCATTTACCTAAAATCGATCCGGGTCGACCGAACTCTTTCTCGCCTCTAATGTGATCCTGGTCCTTCTGATGCTTCTTTCTTCCCGCGCGTGGGCTTGACCGGCATGTCGTTGGTTGCCCCCCCCCGGGACTAACCCAGTCTTAAGCAAGTGAGCCGATACCAAAGGTCGCCTGACGGGCTCTAGTTCCATCTGATTAGGGCCGTAGGAAGAAAAAAAGAAGAAAAGTCTGCAGAGTTGATCTAATCAATCTCCCGAGCGGCTGCCTCTTTGGGTCGGCTCTGCGGCGTCTATATCAACCTGCCGGCGCCTACTCTGCCTCCCCTCCATCGCCAAACGCTATTCTTCACCAACACAGTGGAAGCAGCTTGCCAATTGTTTCTTCACCATGTCGTCTCCCAAGGACGCCGAGATCAAAGAAACCGGCGCGGACCTCCACCCGGAGGAGCACAAGTCGGCCGCGGACGCTGTGCGCAACGCCAAGTCGCCCGGCGTGGTGCGCATCCAGGCCATCTCGTCCGTCATCACTTTCACCGACCGCATCTTCATCTTCTTCGGCGTCTTCCTCGTCGCCTACGCCTACGGGCTCGACGGCACCGTGCGCTACACCTACCAGCCGTACGCCACCGCCTCCTTTGCTAACCACTCGCTCGTGTCGACTGTCGCTACGCTGCGTGCCGTCATTGCTGCTGCTGCTCAGCCCACGGCGGCCAAGATTGCGGATGTGTTTGGCCGTGTTGAGCTCATCTGCCTCTCCGTCTTCTTCTATGTTCTCGGCACCATCATCGAGTCGGTCTCTGGCAATGTGTCCCAGTTTGCGGCTGGTGCCGTCATCTACCAGATTGGCTACACCATGATCATCCTCCTTGTCGAGGTCATCATTGCCGACATCACCTCCACGCGGGCCCGTCTCTTCTTCAGCTACCTCCCAGCCCTGCCCTTCATCATCAACACCTGGGTCAGCGGTGACATTACCGAGGCCGTTCTCAAGGCCACCAGCTGGCATTGGGGTGTTGGCATGTGGTGCATCATTTACCCCGTCTGCGCCATGCCGCTCATCATCAGCCTGTCTCTTGTTGGCCGCCGTGCCAAGAAGCAGGGTCTATTGGTCAACTACCGGTCGTCCTTCCAGGAGCTGGGCTTCCAGAACCTGGCCGTCGAGCTTTTCTGGCTATTGGATGTCATCGGCATTATCCTCCTCATTGCCGTCTTTGCTCTCATCCTCGTCCCCCTCACCATTGCTGGTGGTTTCCAGGCCAAGTGGAGCGACGCCCAGGTTGTTGCTCCTCTCGTCATCGGCTTCCTCTGCATCCCCTTCTTCATTGTCTGGGAACTCCGAGCGCCGCACCCGCTTGTCCCCTTCACCATCATGACCGACCGAGCCATCTGGGGCGCCATGGGAATCGCCGTCCTGCTCAACTTTGCTTGGACCATGCAGGGTGATTACCTCTACACGGTCCTCATCGTGGCCTTCAATTTCAGCGTCAAGGCCGCCACCAGAATCACCTCTCTCTACTCATTCACCAGTGTGCTCACCGGAACCTTCCTTGGTCTTATCGTCTACAAGCTTCGCCGTCTCAAGTACTTCATCGTCGCAGGTACCTGCCTGTTCATGGTCGCCTTCGGTCTCCTCATTCGCTACCGTGGCGATCCCACCAGCAGTGGCCGCGCCGGTGTTATTGGAGCCCAGGTGTTCCTCGGTTTCGCTGGTGGTATGTTCCCGTACCCTGCCCAGGCCCTTCTTCAAGCCCACGTCAAGCACGAGAACCTTGCAGTCATGACTGGTGTCTATCTGGCCACCTACAACGTTGGCTCCGCCCTCGGAAACGCCGTGTCTGGAGCCATCTGGACCCAAGTCCTGCCCTCCACCCTGGCCAAGAACCTCGCTGGCATCAACGAGACTCTGGCCGTGTCCGCATACGGAGACCCCTTCACTGCGGCCATGGAGTGGCCCATGGGTACTCCCGAGCGTGATGCCCTGGTCCACTCTTACCAGCACGTCCAGCGTTACTTGACCATCACCGGTATCTGTCTTTGCATCCCGCTCATTGCGTTTGCGATGTGCCTCCGCAACCCCAAGTTGACCGGCGACCAGAACTTGGTTGAGAAGGACAATTCTACCACCAACGAGTCAGTCAGTGCTTAGAGTGGGAGTTGATTTCACGCAGGATCAGAGACTAAACAATTAATTCCATAATACATAAACAACTTCACTTATTTGATGTTCCTGCGACGTGATTTTCCAGCCTGCCTCACGTTTTAGTATGTTACTTAGCGTCTTGGCCTGCGCCACGTCTTTGCCAAGACAGAATCTTGCCAAGCTTGACTCTTCAACTTCAACGTCAGATGTCTTTGGCGTAATTGAGTCCATTCATTTATAGACTCTTAGAGCGATGAACGTGTTCCTAAGTACTCATACAACTGAATAGACTTGTCAGATCCATCGCATATAGTTGATATGTCTGAACTTTTGTTGTAGTTTTTCCCTAGCTCCTTTTACATGCATGACCAATTGACTTGCATCCTCAGGAATTTGAGTCTTATGATAATGAACCTATCTCATTGTAGTCGCCGGGCTGGTTGATTCGGGATTGGGTGTTTTTTATCCAAGAGTACATGCTGAGGGTTGCGAGTGCGAACTTGGACCACCCAGAAAAAGCGTCTTAGTGTTCTCGATATTGTATGGTGTCAAAATGATAGATAGATATGTTGACGATGTTTTTAGCCGTCATAACTCACATGAGATGTCTGCTTGAACGGAATCGAGTAGATAGATCCATGAAGTCTCGCGAAGTACGGTAACCTTTGTTGACAAACATGTACCTTTTGACCGCCTGATGTTTATGTGGTGACTCTCTTGTTGTCCTTATGTTTCACTGCATATATTTGCTCCCCAACTCACCCAAGAGCATACAACCACGTTTAAAACCCGAATTGACAAAGAACCTCCGGCGACTCTTAAAATATTGCCCGGAGCCCGTCTGAAAATTTTCGCAAAGTCTAATTGCACTTGAGCCGAAAATTGTTAAATGATATTCTGCATCTAGGGATGATCGGCCATGACGTAGCTACCTATGTCATGGCGCTGGCAGGCACCCTGAAGTGTTAAACAACTGGCCCCATAGTTAGATCGGGGGCTACTTAAAATGGTAATTCCGCCCGAGACCTAGAAGAGCGCGCTTTTCACTTCCTTTGTCGTGGCGCATTTTTGTCACGCCTTGCCTCGGCACAATCTCTGGCGGCAACTCCATATTTCATTCTTGCTAGTTGTATTCATTGAGAAGAACTGCTTTCAGTGCTCCCAGGCGTCCTACCCGTTGAAGTCTTTGGCTGGTTTTACCTATATTCTTTTTGACATTTTCTTGCGATACCTGTTTCGTCTCGGGTGTGATTTGTACCAATGCACCTCTCTCCAACAAACTATTACCATCTTCACTCTCTGTTTCCAGTTTCGGCGACTGGTCATAGCTGAATGGCTTCTTTTGCCCTGGGGTTAGGCATCAGTTTAAACATCCCCCGCAAGTCGCTCCCCGCCTCATCACGGCCCCGCCACGACGGGAGTAACATCATCCACAGCTGGAGTAGCTGGAGTAGCGTCACCGTAACTGAATAGTTGGGTGACATCATCGCAGCTGAGCGGGACCTGAGCGTAGCCTACGTCTTGCGAGAGATTGCCAATCCCGGCGGCTATCTGTCGACCATCGTCATTTGCCGTTCGAGGGTCTGGGGTTCTAGATAGCCAGACAGCCAGACAGCCCGACAGCAAGATAAAGCACCTCGCCTGCAGTGATATCTCAGATTCCTTCAAGATTAAGATGCATGCGCAGTAAGCGAGAATACTCAGTAAGCGAAGCGTCATTTCTCACGCTCCCAGCCTTATCGCCGGTGGCAGTCGGTGAACCGAGCAACAATTGACCATTGGCCGTCGAGGACTTTTACGGGGGACGTTCCGTATGTTCACGACGCCTACCCACCTACGGAGCAACCATGCTTAAGGGATGGAGACATTTACGGACCCGGGGCTCCACGGCGGATCCACAAGGATGAGACATTGTGATGGTTCTTCTGGCGCGCATGCGGCGGGTCGTGGCCGTAATACTTGACCAACATGTGGAGGTTGGGGAGGTGAATTGTTACCGCGGTTGGGGATGATGGCGCAAGGAAGAAAACATGGAAATGAATGAAAAAAAAACGGAGCGGATCAGCAAGCGTCACAGGTATTTTTCGGCGGTTTCCTGTGGTTAAAAACAATCGTCTTATAGATCAAGGCCAACTGCCGAACAGATCGGGCTGAGAGCCGAGAGACGACACAGGGTGATTGTTTGCCAGGTTCGTGCTTGTGAATGCTTGAAGCCTGCGAACCGACCCACCGATTTGATAACAAACAGCAGCACGAAGGATGCAAGTGTATCCAGCAAGACGCAAATGGTTCGATGAATGCCGGCCTTCTCTACGTCATTGCCCTACTAAAGCGACAGTAACACCGAGCAAAGCCGCTAATTCTGGACCAGTTCTGAGCCAGTTCTGGGTCACTTCTGGGTCACTTCTGGGTCACTTGTGGAGCTTCACTGGGGCGGCGGTCCGGCTTGGCAGATCCCGGGTGACGTCCAACCGTAGGACGGACCGGGTGGCGGCTACGGGAATGACGACACGGAGGACCTCCGAGGGCCTTTCGTCTGGTGCGTCGGCGGGCAATTGATCAATTCACAGCTCGAACTGGCCGCGCGATTCGTGGGCGTGCGCCGGACTCGTTTCCGCTTGCGGGTGCAGCTGCCGCGCTTGATCCCTGGCGATACAAGACTCCAGGTCGCCGTGTGTCGACGCGCGAAACGTCATGGGCAAAGATCAGCCTCATACATGGATATCCCGGTGGGTCGTGCCGTGGGAGAGATATTACAGAGATTTTGCAGATTTTTAATTCTGTTGCGCTCACCACGCAAGGGGCGGGTATATGAATCAAACCTGTGTCCTCGAGACTGGGAACGTCCTGTTTCTCTATAACATGCTCCAGCGCGCCTCTCTTCCCGACTGAGCCCTCAACGTCACCTTCAAAAGTAGTTTTCTTCATCAACCGCAGCTGGCTGGACTTGCTTGTCACTCCTTTGGCATCACACATCTGCCTCAACCGCCACCATGGCACCGCCTACCTTTGCCGGCTTCTCTGGGAAGCCGCTGTCCCTGGCCATCTCGACCGTGGCCACCACGGGCTTCCTGCTCTTTGGCTACGACCAGGGCGTCATGAGTGGAATCATCTCTGCGTCCGCGTTCAACGAGTACTTCCCCGAGACGTATGGCGAGACCATGCAGGGCCTGGTCACGGCCATTTACGAAATCGGGTGCCTGATGGGTGCCATGTTTATCCTCGCCTTTGGAGATCTCATGGGTCGACGACGGGCCATGATCCTCGGCGGAGTCATTATGATCCTGGGTGTCATCATCCAGATCTCCTGTGTCAAGGGCCACGCCCAACTCGCTCAACTGATCATCGGTCGCGTGATTACTGGCGTTGGGAACGGTATCAACACCTCAACCATTCCCACATACCAAGCCGAGTGCAGCAAGACGTCCAACCGTGGCCTTCTCATCTGCATCGAGGGCGGCATCATCGCATTCGGTACCCTCATCGCCTACTGGATAGACTACGGCGCATCCTACGGGAGCGACGACCTCGTGTGGCGCTTCCCCATTGCCTTCCAGGTCCTCTTCGGGCTGATCCTGTGCATTTCCATGATTTGGCTCCCCGAGAGCCCCCGATGGCTTCTCACCCACGAGCGATACGAGGATGCCGAGAAGGTCATTGCTGCTATCCGTGGCTACGAAATCGACAGCCCAGACACCAAGATGGAGAGAGATGTCATCCTCGACTCCATCCGCGCATCGGGCTTCTCCGGCCAGAAGAGCACACCCGTCAAGGCGCTTTTCACCGGCGGAAAGACTCAGCACTTCCGCCGAATGCTTCTCGGCTCCGGCGCCCAGTTCATGCAGCAGGTCGGCGGATGCAATGCAGTCATCTACTACTTCCCCATTCTGTTCAAGGACTCCATCACCCCGGGCCAGGACAACCTGGCTCTCCTGCTGGGCGGCGTCAACATGATTGTGTACAGCATTTTCGCGACCGCGTCCTGGTTCCTTATTGAGCGAGTTGGTCGCCGAAGGCTTTTGCTCTGGGGTACTGCCGGCCAGATGCTTTCCATGATTCTTGTCTTTGCCTGTTTGATCCCTGGCACCCAGGCCGCTGCAAAGGGAGCTGCCGTTGGCCTTTTCACCTACATTGCCTCTTTCGGTGCCACCTGGCTGCCTCTTCCCTGGTTGTATCCCGCCGAGATCAACCCCATCAAGACCCGAGGAAAGGCCAACGCCGTCTCGACTTGCACCAACTGGCTCTTCAACTTCCTTATTGTGTAGGTCTCAGTGCTTCAATATTCAGAGACAAATGACTAATGAAGAAACAGGATGGTCGTACCGGTTATGATCAAGCGCATCAGTTGGGGAACGTATTTGTTCTTCGCATGCACCAATGCTTGCTTCTTCCCCGTTCTCTACTTTTTCTACCCCGAGGTATGTATCTCTGCACACCGCAAGCCACGCCTTGAGTGGAAACTAACTGTCCCCAGACCGCAAACCGTTCTCTGGAAGAAATCGACATCATCTTCGCCAAGGGCTTCGTCGAGAACATGTCCTACGTCAAGGCCGCAAAGGAGATGCCATTCCTTACCCAGGAGCAGGTGGAGCAAGAGGCCCTGCGATTTGGTCTGCTCGAGTCTACCAGTCGGGGCGCCATGACTGAGAAGTCACCTGTGGATGACAGCGGCGAAGCGCCAGCAACTGACTCCAGTTCTGAAAAGGGACGATCTGAGAGATCCGAGTAATCGGGATGTTTTTTGTATAGCCTGACAATAGTCAGATGAGACATGATATTTTGGCGGTGGATGAAGGACTGGACTGGATCCATGCCCCTGTCCGCTTATCGCGCAGGCGGTCTGGAAAAGGATTACGGCGCCTGCGTGCGAAGGAGAGAAGCCACAGCACTGGCAAAATACCCATGAATTGATTCGCGTTGAAAAGACGCGTGCATTGCTTATGAGATGAAACTGGCCGAGTGACGTTGAACCAAAGATCTTTTGCTGAGTACATGTTTTCTCATGCCATCAGCCCTACTAAGCTGCTACCCAGAGGCTTGTGGAACTGTCTGACGGGAGGTTATTTCCAGGTCCCCGCAAATGTCGATCAGATCCGCCTTAATTACGGGCTTTAATATGGGGGAGACACTGTCGGGGACCTTGGACGCCTAACGAATAACGTCGAAACAACGCATCAAGAGGACGTCGCTCTGCAGTTGCTCTAGCTAATGCTTCCTCATGGGGTATGATTTGCCATAAGCCCCCGCCAACCACCTGCGATATCCGCCGCTTGATGCAACTCCAAGTCTCACTCCGCGCAGAAGGTCCGCGATCTGCAGCCCTCTGAGACCCCTGCTGGCAGCTGAAATGAGTCGAATGATGCATTCCGGACGTGATTCGCTAAACACCCCGGCGGGCTGAGTTGGTCGGCGTCCATGGTGGCTGTGGATCACGCCCTGCCGTCGGTGAAAATATGCTTACTTGTTGGGTTTGTGGCACAGCACGCCCGATTGATAAATAGCGAGCTGCAGACGCACATTGCAGCTCGGCACAGGACGTGGCTTTCGACTTCTCGTCTCCTACAGCGTAAAGATGCGAACTGAAACGGCGACATTGGGCCTCGTAGCCTTTGCGGCCGCTCTCACCAACGCCGCGTCCACCACGCGCACCACCACGCAGACAATCTTCCTCCCTCCACAGTCCACCGGCAGCGCCTCCAACATCTACGCCTCCGTCATCACCGAGACGGACTCGACGACGAAATACCTGCTGGCCTGCTCCACCATCTTCGCGTCTCCCTACAGCTGCGACGGGCCTTACAATGGCGTGACCGTCACGTACGGCGCGTCGGAGATGGACGTCAAGATTGGCGCTGCCACGTACGATTGCGAACTTGGCTCGTCGGCTGTCTGTGCGACCAAGACGGCTGCTTCGGCGGATGAACGCACAACTACCCTGGATCCCACTGCAAGCTCGGCGTGGATGACGCCCATCACCGTGCTCGACACGAGCAACAAGTCGTCCAAGAAGAAGTCTTCCTCCTCCAAGACCAACACTGCAGACGCAGCAGCGACCTCCAACAGCGCAGCGCTCTGCAAGCGTAGAACCACGACCAATTCGGGTAGCGATGGCGACAGTAGCTCCAGTTCCAGCGGCAGCAGCAGCAAGTCTTCAAAAAATAAAGGCTCCGATTCGGATTGCTCGGCTGCTTCTACTGTCTCGAGGGATTTGGGCGTTTTCGGCCTCTTGCTTGGTGCCGGCTTTGCTTTTGCGCTTGTCATGTAAAAATGCAAAGGAGCGTGGAGTTTACAGATTTGGGTAGCAACGGCGATGGGGACAGCGATTATTTGTCACGGTGCAATGAAATTTAGACTGAGATGCATTTCAATAACAACGCCAATCGAGCCTGCGGAATTTCAATAAATTCTCCAGCACTGGCTCAATGAAAAGGAAATACAGAGTGATTACTACGCTCTCATACCCTGTGCATATTCAAAATAACCCCTCTGCTTTGACCATGGATGCTAGATTACAAAGTTGCAGCTTCTGAGTCTGAATTCTGCCTGGATGGATGCGTCGTAAACTAGACACGAAAGAAAGTGACTTTCTGCTTAGAGAAGGTAGAATTAACTGCGAAGTGTTTTGATCAGTTGGTATAACACGAAACTACTCGAGATCTACAGCCCATTGAGGCTGTGAAGTAGAAACGCCAAAAAGTTCCATTCCTTGCTCAATACGGTAACAACCGAGCAGGGGCAAAGCGGCCTCCCGCAGATCGCTGCGCCTACCAAGATTCTTCGCCTAAACCATCCTCTCCACCATTTTGATGCCTTCCCCCTCAAGCTTTACTCGAATCGGATCGCAGATTTCCTTCGTGTACGGCGCCAACACGCCAGGCTCGTTGGGGGCTGGCAGTCCGTCGAGAAGCAGCTGCGTGGCAATGCCGCATGTAACACCGACGGACTTGGCCATGGCAGAGTAGCCGTTAGGGTCGCCGAAGAGCTCAAGTGTGGAGGTGATTGTGTTCTGACCAAAAGTTAGCCGGTTTGGTGAGAAGCAATAGTTGTGCGTGGAAGCCTTGCTTACCTTTGAACCGTCCTTCCATTCTACGACAAATTTGTGCTGCAGCATAACCATGTCCCGTTCGCCAGGTTGGAAACTGCAGATCTCCTCCAGCCGGCCAGAGAGAGTGTCGAGAGGGTTTCCCCGCAGAGGGGCTACCTCGTTACTGAAGAGTCCCATCCACCGAAGGCCCACTAGGATTTCGTCTTGTTCAACTGAGGAGGGCAAGTTGCACAGTTCCTTGACCTTGGTGATGAGATCGGCCTCGGAGGACGAGCTCGCTCCAGTCACCCGTTGCTGAAGCTGACTCCATGTCATTCCGTCTTTCAGCCAGGCCTTCTCCTCTGTGTCCAGCCATCCGAGATCGATTAGGGCTTTGACCAGGGCAGGGTTGCCTTTGTACCGGAGGGAGCCCCGGATGACGGTATGGGCTTCGGGAATCTGGTAGAATTCACGGAATGGCACGGAATTCCTATTCGGGTATGCCAGGAACGAGTACCCGTCGAGGACGTGATATGGCCGAGCTGTTGCCATGAGGTCCTTGTTCGAAATCTCAACCACGTTTCCATCTTGGAGGAAAACGGCAGAGTTGTGCTGGGAGAGCAAGGCGCCGCGTGGCGACCATGAGAACTACGTACATGATTAGATAATTTAACACACAAAGTGGTAAACGTACCTTGAATTGAAGAGGGTTGTCCGAGGTCTCGGGCGCACAGAGTCCGCCGCAATATGAGTAAAACTCCTTGACCTATGTAGTGGTAAGCGTGTTGAACGCTTAAGCATGCCATTGGCAACCATACCTTTCCCCCTTTCTCGTGAACCTCGCCAATAGTCTTGACAGCATAAAGGTGGTCCACACCAGGATCAACGCCGACCTCGTTCAAGACGGTAATACCAGCATCCTTGGCCGCTCCATCGAGGGCTCGCATCGCAGGAGACACATAACTTGTAGTGACGACATGAGTTTTGCCTTTGATTGCCGACCGGATAACATCGGCGTGATAGATGAAGGGAACGAGGGAGATGACGAGATCGTGCTCGGCAATGTGGCGGTCTAGATCGGCGGATTTGACGTCGAGGGCGATGGCAGTTGCGCGGGATCGTCCGGCTACCAACTTCTCGGCAGTGGTGATTGTGCGACAACCTGTACGTCGACGCCTGATCAGTATAAAGGAGTGGCTAAGAGCAACGACAAGATTATGGGCTCAATTCACTTACCGATGGTTAACAGGTTGTCAGCATCTCGCAGCAGGTAGTTGACGCATGGCTTAGCGACCATGCCGCTGCCGAGCACGAGAATCTTCTTGGCCATTTCGGAGTTTGGAAGTATCTCGGCGCTGTGTTGGTTTAGTAGAGAGGGTAAGGTCGAGAGGAGATCGATAAAGCGGTTTGAATTGAAGGGAAGGAAAAGACCAGAGGAAGCACTTTCACGGTACATGAAAAAGAATCCTTAGGTGTAGAGGCGGCGACTACACTGCTACAAAGTTGTGGGGACTCGTTGAACAGGAGTTCGGCGAGTGACTCACTACAATCAGCTGCTATTCGCACACATGCATCATGACATTCGCACACGGGTACAAGCCTCTTAGCTCGAAACCAGCCTATCCAATGTATTTAGCACGAAGTGAAAGAAGATGTTCTTAGCCATTGGGACTACCTCTATCAATAAAACTCATATAATAGGTATAATAAATGCAATTAGTAGAGAATAAATACTAGAATCAAGAATTATTAAGTGTTATTTCTTAGAATGCTTTACTAGAATAATAGGCAATTATCAGCAATATTCACTGAGGTATGTAGTTATGTGTGCAAATAGCAATAGGTGTGTGTGCGAACAACCATACTCAAGATTAAGCTCAGCGGGCACCTCCTCCGAACTCGGGATTTTGTACCACTTAAATTTCAACAAAGTAAGTTTTGTCAATGTGTCGAGTAGCAAATATCTACTCTTCAACTGCCACCATACTTCTCACTGCTCCCTACGGGTCGACATGTCGTAGAAATACAGTAAAGAGAAAAGGTCGACTGCCAGGGAATTTCCTACTGTTGCGGACGATTTCTCCGCGAGCGAAACGAAGGAGCGAAATAATACACATCCCGCCATTTAGCTTGTAGAGCATGCATTTCCCCGACGGCCGATATAGCCTACCGTCGTCCCCACTGCACTCAGCCATGTTGGCCATTATCCTTGACATCGAGACATACTCTTCGTGAAGACGAAGAAAATAATAGGAATATGGAATTCTGAACAGGAATCATTAGATCATCTCTGGTGATCAACTAAAGGTGTAATCACATCATAGTCCGAGTTCGCATCAAAATCCTCAAGACCCCCTCATATCTTCAGCTGCTTAGGAATGGCTTGGCTACGGCCGCCTCAGTCGTCGACTTCCAGTGAACGAGGCTCTGCAGCCGTAAATAAACCAACACTGCCCCCCCCGTGTGCTCATTGTACCGCAAGACTAGCATCAATGTCGCGTTACCGTCGCGCTCCATCGGGGGAACAAAGTAGACGGGGCGGGCTCGCATTGAACGCGGCAATACTACCTCGCGGCTCGGCATCTAGACCCCGCCTCCTTCGTGTCCGCCAGATAGCTCGTTTGTTTCTGTTGTTGGTTGACTTAGCAGTCTAATTAGTCCCATTGCTGAATGGTCCGCCCCGCTGTTCCTTTCTCTGGCGAAGACCTGGATCTGATTTCGTTATTGGACCCCATACACTCTCTGCCTTTAGCCAGGTTTACATTAAATGCATGTCCCAAAAACAAAATCCACATTGAAAAACGACCTAACTATTCTAGCAAGTGTGGGTTTGCCATCTTCTGTATTATAGAGCGTTGAATACACAGTCTGGAATTAGCACAACAATCTGCTAAGTCCGAGATGTTCCTAGACCATAGCCCTGCCAAAGCGGAATAGCTGTATTTGTCACCACCCGCGCGCGTCGCTATTTTCTTATTCCGTTAGTCGCGAGGGCCGAGGGGAGAAACCGCTGGGCTGAGGCAGTGATAAACCATCCGGACTCGGGAAACGCGACTGAGTTCGCTATTATACCTAAATGCCGAGCTCGTAATAAATCTCAACATTTGCCACCGGAATGGCTGAGACGGATCAACTCTCGGTGTCCGAGTCCACTAATAGTTCCCATCTTGAGTCAAGAAGTGGAGACACGAGCGTCACGGCACTCCATTTCAGTCCTCATACTAAGACAACGCGGGTTTTGGACCAACGAGGACAAGACGGATGTCAAACAGTTGGGTTGTGAATCCCTTCCACGTAGGTATTTTTGAAGAATAAAACACTTGAGCATTAGCCCAGTAGCTGATCGTCCTGTTCATCCTCATCCAGCGAGTTTTCACGGAGCAAGTCTCGGCCCGCAACAGAAACGATGTCCGACATGAAGCCTCTTACGGTCTACGCACATAGTAAGAGCCAAAGCAGAACTCGACTCGCATTATACTAATGATACGAACAAGGCGGTGGGCCGAACCCGTACAAAGTCGCTATTGTTCTCGAAGAGCTCAATATCCCTTACACAAAGGTATCACCTATGTTGAGCCGAGTATTTTCAATTATTGACGTCGCCAAGGTTATAGTGGCGAATCCCAAGGAGGATTGGTTCCTTGCTTTGAACCCTAATGGTCGGTTGCCAGCTATCACGGACCCCAACAACGATAACTTCACCATCTGGGAGTCTGGAGCTATTCTTGAATATCTTGTTGTGGAATATGATAGAAACGGCCAGTTGACGGTCGAGGATGCAAAGGAAAAGTGGCAATTAAAACAATACTTACATTTTCAGATGTCGGGACAGGCGAGTTGAATGAATCATATGCAAAACCTAACATATTGCTAACATTTCTCCTTAGGGCCCATACTTTGGCCAAGCTGTGTGGTTTCACCGCTGCCCAGATGATATTCCCGTCGCGAAACAGCGATACATCGAGCAGACGGTCCGAGTGTTCGGAGTTTTGGATAATATCCTCAAGGACAAGGAGTACCTCGTTGGGAATAAATGGTGAGAATGAATAAGTCGTCCAAGAAGCCCTTTCTGACCATGTTTATAGCACGTACGCGGATCTATCTTTCGTCCCCTGGAACAAGGTCGCCCTCTTTGCCCCAATTTTCAACGACATTCTGTGGAACGAATATGACATTCAGGAGAAATTCCCCAACTTCCTAGCTTGGCATACTCGATTGAGCAATAGAGCTGCTGTGAAAAAGGCGTATGGCGAAATTTGAAAGCTAGTGGGGAGCATAGGTATTATTTATTCATATAAGAGCCTTTAAAAAGAACCTCTGCATTGAGAAAGATATTATTTGAGAACTCCAAGTGACGATGGTAGGTGGTATTGTCTGAGCATAATTGAATTATAATTCCAGTCATATGATAATTAGCCTTGAAGCTATAATTGAGGGCTGTAAAACCAGCCAGTACTCCCTGAGCACGTCTTTTACAGGCTTGATGCGCGTCCCCAGCCTTCTGATAGAACCATGGCAAGCATTGAAGCGGAAGATACACCATCTTGTTTGCTCAGTTCCGTCAGAAGGCATGTTAACAACTGTGGAGAGCTGGCTGAAGCAAAAAGGAAGCTTGGGAAGGGGATATAGCCAAGGAAACCAGCAGTAGTGCTTTTCTTCTGTTTCAAAGAAACGCGAGCAAACTTAGGCTTGAAGCCAGCCAGTAAATGGAGGATACGTCACAGGAATCTTTACCAAACCAGCGACGACGATGTGTGTCTTGACTTACTAACTGAAGTACGGTAGACACGTAGGAAAAATAGATATTTCTACTTTGGTAGTGAGGGAGGGTAGGTTTAAATAAATAGAGCAGCAGACAAAATATACAAAGGGAATAAAGTAACGATTGACTATCTCACAAATGAAATGTGACTAATGAATGCAGTGGCAAGTATGCGACCGCCCCAGTCACCAATCCCCAGCATAACACAGGGACCAGTTGATTCCCTTTCTTTACCAAAGGTCTGAGTAAACATCAGCCAGAAAACCACCTGCCTATAACGCCTCCGACAATACCGCCAACTACAACACCTGCAACAGCTCCCCAGCTACCTCCAAACCGAAATCCTATATAACCACCAACCACAGCACCAGCAACTGCGCCTCCTACAGTCCCCCAATTCTGATTGCTCTCACAGCACCTCGTCTCCTGGTTGCTGATTCGATCTTGAGTCGTTTTCGTAGGTCTTTCTTTGGATTTCTCTTCGACCTGTGTGGTATCTTCCTCAGACTGGCTGCTGGATTCCTCGTACCGTCTACGATTTTCATCGGATTGGATGTTGAATTCCTCAGACAGTTTGTTGTTTTCATCGTACCGTATGCTGTTCTCTTCAAGATGCTTGATCCTCTCACTGTACATCCTATTAGCCGTGCCCATAGAGCGATCCCTTGTAACCCTTACTTGAATGCCAACTTGGAGGCGTGTTTCGCCAGCTTTTTCATTTGGTGGACTAATTTTTTCGTATCAAAGAGGCACAGCTTCAATATCCTACATAGTTGTTTAATGAAGCACAGAATGCCTTTGATGAAGCCAAGTTTGACAGTCGCACTGATAGAGCCGATACGCAGGAAGGCTGTTCTTTCGTGGAACTCAGCGAGCAGTCTCTCCGCGCTCTTGAGGTCGGCCCTGATTCGGCGCAGGGTTTCTCCACTGACGATAATCGTGCTATCGTCGAGACCTTGGGCAATTCGTTTGATATTTTCGGAGTGTTTCAACAGCTGGCGACTCTGTCTTCTTACCTCCCTTGGCGCGTTCTTTATCTTCCTCCCGAAGCGGTATGCCACCTTACAGGTGGCCGCTATAGTGATGAGGCTGGCGGCGAGGCCCAGGGGCTCCATCGCTGGTCAGGGCCTTGGCCACGACTACATCAGCGACACTTGCTAGAGGCGTTACACGTAGTAAGGATAAAGGGTGCAGTTTGGGCAATAAAGATGGCAGAGACCTGATGGAGAATGTTTTCCCTTGAAACTGCGTTTAGAAACTTGGGCAGTATATATAAGTATAGGTGATATTGAGTAGAGCTAAAACAAATATATGTATACGTACATGGCTTGATGCTGCCTCCCCGAACATGAAATCTGCCTCACCACAGCCGGATATTTCACCCAGTCTGCCAGTTCGCGTGTCAATGCATCTAAGGTTGTCAAATCTCCCATGATGTGTCGGCGTGACACCTGTAAGCGGCATGGTGCATGTCTGACTGGTCTGGATAGTCAAGATTCTGGATTTTATTGGCCTCAGTTGTAAAATGCCTCCAGAGCTTGTGGTGTGACTGCATTGCTCCGGCGCAAATCGTCGGTACACCGCCCCACGACCACAATTGCACATTAGACGAGGTGCGCAAAAAGTGCAAATGGACAGAACCCCAAAACCCCTCAAGTACAGATACACTCTGTGAAATCGCCTGTCTGATTGCTTGGGGAGGAACTTGATACCCCGCAACGGTACAGCGCATTGTCGAGGCGGAGTGTAGTGCATGAGACAAGGCTAAAAGTGCAGCGATGACAGTCCTCCTTAAGGCTCCAAGTAAACAACTGTGCTTCTGCTCAAAGAAGCATGTACAACTGTGCGGATGAACTTCAAATGCTGACCTTCGAATTCCGCTTCCCACTACACCATCATCCAGATCCGACTTCAAAGCCTGCTCCAACCTGATCGCCTGACCCTGCCGCGGCACTGTGCCCGCAAACTTCTGCACATCCGTATGCAGCATGTTGAAGTTGGGTGTACTAGTGTATACAATTGCGAGTTGTAATTTTGCATGGAAGGCTGGGCTTACGCCAGCTACGATGCACACCGGTAGGCACACGGATAATGTCGGATTCTTTCAAGTGCCGCGGATGATCACATGCTACTTGAAGTGTGAACGCCATGCCCATTCACCTAATGCGCAGCCTGAAAGTTACGGGCGTAGCTGAACAGCAAGTTGGGCTGCTACCGTGCCACCACGATGGCCAGGTTGTACACAGCTCGCACCTGATCGTGTACCCCTGTGTTCCTATACATATACATACATCCCCATGGCTCTTCGCCGTTTCGCTCAAATCTACAGCCTACAATCCGGCGTTTACCCTGAAAACGCTTCTTGTTACTGGGCCGAGGCACGTTATTTTGATCACCAGACAATAACTGCGAGTCAGTGTTGACGCAGCTTGTTCCCAATCCTTCTTGTACCTCAACTACAGGTCTACAACCGTAGCGCTATGATGCAGCCAAGTGAGCTGAAGACTTTGATGACAGTGTTGCACTGCCACCGCAATCATGGGCCCCAAAGTGAAATATTGTGCGGCAACTGGATACAAAGGTGAATTGTGCCGGCCCATCTGCTCTACGCTTGACTCTTGGAGTACATTATGCTGGAGCTTATATTTGTTTTAACACTTAAATGCGCAGACCTCGTGTAATCCCGATCGCCGACCGTTTACGACTTAGGTTCTGAGCACGCTTGAGCTATTCTTGGCATAGTTAGTACATTGATCTAGATATCTATGTTCTCCGTCAGCCAAATTCCTCTTTTTACTATCGCATTACGACTGATCAGCCTCCACCTTGTTGAGAAACCTCCAAATAATATCCCACATGGCGACGGGGTTGGAATACATTGGGAAATGCCCAGCACTGGGTATTTCTGCCAGCTCTACACTACTGGAAGCTAGCTTCGGCAAATAACTCAACGTGGCATGCTGCTCACCAAACATGAACATTCGAGGAAAAGGTGCAGCGATGAACTTGGCTACCAACCCTCCGTTATCAGAGTGGTTGACCATCGACTCGAATATCCCTTTGATTGCTTCCGCCCTGACCCGATCGCGTAAACCGGCTGCATATATTCCGCTTGCGTAGAATGGCGACTTCAACGTTCGTTCAATAAAGTAGTCGAGAAACTCCTGTGGATCCTTTTCGGGATGGTCGAAAATTTGGCGAGTGATGAAGCAATCCTCTGCTGCAAGGTTACCCTTGATGTCGATGAAACTGGCGACGCCATGGGGAATTCGACTAGCCAGCTCCAGGGCTGTCAGACCACCCATGGAGTGGCCAATGAGGTGGAATCTTTTGATGTCGAAATGTTGAAGGACAGCTTCAGCCGTAGCGACCAGAAATTCAATATTTGGCTTTGAGAGATTGTCACAGACAGTCTTCCCACAACCAGGGGCGTCATACGCAATGAAAGGGCGGCCGTGGAAAGCTTTGTTCAGGGCAATGTCGATATAGTCTTCTTTAGTGCTTCCCCAGCCATGCAAGAACAGGATGGGAATGAGTCCACCCTCACGCCGAACGACGGCAATGTCCAAGGTGGTATTATCGACCGTCATATGCAGTCGCTCATGAATGAGTTGAGGCTGAGGCTTCGCGGTTTTAATTGCCATGTTGATATGTGTGCAGCAGTTAACGATGATGAAGAATAGCAGCGCTCATAGAAATGATAAGAGTCTGGTGATGGTGAAGGTGGCCCGAATTGAACTTTCTGTAGTTGATTTGGGATGAAGCAGTGCTTAAATAACAGTCAATACCTACCAATTTCCATTTTGAACGGGAATGACATAATTTCGATTCTTTTATCACGGCACCAATGCGTCCTCTTCCCGTTTCTAGGCTCAAGGTGCCGACTGCCAAGGCAAATGGGATGATGTGGCCGTGAGTGATTCAGGAAGACACTGACGAGCAGCCAATGGGCGATCTTGTTCTGAAGGGCCAAACGTAAAAAGATCCTCCTTGATGGGGACAATTTATTTTTATTGGAAAACGAAATATGTTCCCGAATTGGCCAGTTTGTCAACGGTCAACAATGCCGAGTCACAAAATCAGTTCGGCGACTTTCGGTAACTGTGTGTGGAGGCCGAGAACTTTACTCAGCTTCGGCATACCTTGCAACTCGCCGAAGTTGAGTTCCAACAACCCACGCATCTTGCATGTAAAATACCTACGAGACCATAATAAAATGCATAATCCCCAGCTCATGCCTTTCGAGGTGACAACCTGACATTTAATGGTGCCTTGATCCAGTTTGTAAACACCTGCATATTTTCGTGGTCGTTCTTCGGATCCCACTCGGCCCAAGACTCATCGCTGATCATGGCGACATCGTTGTGCCATAGCAGCTTCGCTGTAATTAGCCTCTGTTCCATGTATGATAGACTAGTGTGTTCAGTTAGTTGACTCTTAATGAAGTGCTTGTGGACACTTACTTGCGACCAATGCACCCGCGCGGGCCCAGGGAAAAAGGATTGCTTGCGCCTAGCTTGTCCGTCGCATTGGCCTTGTCAAGCCACCTTTCGGGTCGGAACTCGTACGGATCTTTGAAGTTGTCCTCAGTGTGAGTCGCCGCCCACATGCAAGTCGACACGGTGGTACCGGCGGGGAGGAAATTCCCATCCACACTGTCGCCACCACCGGGGACGGCTCTTGTGAAACCGATGGGAGCACTGGGAAAGATTCGCAGGCCTTCCTCGAGCACTGCTGACAGCCATGGTAGCTTGACGAGCTCTTCATACGTAATGTCTTGGTCACTTTTGAAAGAGCCTCTGATTTCAGCGACAAGTTTGTCCAAGACATCTCTATTCTTGGGTCTGAGAAGGTGGTTGAAAAGCCCTGCCATGAAGCTTCCCGTCGTCTCGGAGCCGGCGATAATGAACAGGGCACCGTTGACAATAATTTCATCCTGGTTCAAGTTTTCCTTGTCTTTCTGGTTCATAAGATAGTATAGGAAGTCTCGGTGCTGATGACTTCCGGTTTGTTGGATTCGTCGCATGATCTTCTCCCTTGAGTATTGGAGATGCTTCCTCCTTTGGTCACGCAGCTCCGTTGGTGCAAACACTTTGAGGAATAGATGCTGCAATTTGCTGCCCGTTGTCGCCAGCCGGCGGCTCGCCTGTTCGATGGCACCCGCCTTAATGGACTCCGAGATGACCGGAACCCAGAACCTGAGGTCGCTGCTCGTCAGGCAACCGAATGGCTCACCAAGCGAAAGATGGCCGATGATGTCGAAAGTTGTGTAAGAAAACCAGTCGGCGATGTTGCAAACCTGACCAGTGCTCGCAAACTCGTTCATCTTATCACGGAAAATATCAACGTAGTTTTTGATGAGATATTCTTGTTCTAGGAGGGCCTTGGTGCTGAAGGCGTGCGAGAGAGCTCGGCGTTGACGTGTATGGTCGACATCACCGGCCATGGTGATAGTGACGACACCAGGAACTGTTTGGATTGATCCGACGTGAACTGGATCTTTGTGAAAGTTCTGATGCCCAGGACGGCTGCCGTAGATATCTTTCCATGATTTTTCCGAGTTGAATGACAGCTCCGTCGGTGTCAGCCGAACAACAGGCCCGTACACATCATGCAGCTGTTTGACGTAAAATGGAAGGCGGCCGCGGAGGAGCTTATAGCTTAAAGGGATCGAAGAGACGCGATTGAAAATAGGACCGGGATATTTCGCTAGAGGGTGGAAGTACAGACGGCACACTCCAACAGCAATGAGATAGATGGATGTCTGAACCCGGTCAAATTTGAAGCTTGTAGATTTGACGGGGTTATCATACCAGAGCAGCAAGACCGACGACGAGCATAGAAATGCTGACAAGGTCCCAGAAGGAAGCATTCGGCACGGCCATAATCGCCATAATAACGGCACTTGGCACAGCAACAAGAAGGCTGTTTGCTGACTGCCGAAAATCTCACAAGAGAAGTGGCCGTCAATTGAAAATGCATTCATTTATGGAAATTTGGGCTTGTTCTTCCCCACACCTAGGATCGGATATGGACATCCGGGGTTGGTGTTAAGTAGTTAGCAGCCGGGTCCGTAGCGCCGAGAAGCAGCGAATACGCTTGGAGGAAATGTCAGCCCCTAGTATCGGTAATCGGGTTTATGGAGAATGGTTTTCCTGTCGGGCTGTTGTTATCCAGATCTAAATGGAGATGCAATAGCACCTATGGGTTGAGTTCCTCTGTTGCTGCTGGACGCGGTATTTTCCTTGAAGCCGTGGCTCATATCTTTCGTCGAAAAATGGCCCACGAATTGAGTTAGATGGAAAATTTGTGATTCATTTACCTAAATATCGTATGTATGTTCTTCTGCCCGCTCATTGTCTTTGGTATTGTGAGGTTATTGCCAGTCGGTATTCTCCCTATTGCAAGATGCTTCCTGACTTCATTTTTCCCAATGGGGTCGGCTAGATGCACTGATACTGAGATGGAGAGTCAATATCTATAGTAGCAACTTTCTTTCATGCCTCTGCTTCGCCCCTCTCGAGTTCATCTATTGCGTGATAGAAGTCCCTCTTGTTCAATTCGCCCTCTACCGCGACCTCCCTCGCCGTTCTCCCCTTTCCATCTGTAGCCGTAAGTTCAACGCCCTTCATGAAATCACACCATCTGTCTTTATCAGATTCCATGCGTCCATTATCATCCAGGATCAGTTCCGCCACCGTTTTGCCTGCTTTGTTAGGTAAATTGATGTCCTCCCTGCATCTGTAATTGCCCAATAGTTGATAGAATATTTGGCGTCTCTCTGTGCAGAACCAGATGCCAGTCAAATCATCGTCTGCCAAGTAATGCAATGCTGTGTTTCCATTGCTATCACTTGACTCGTGGATCAGCACCGGCATGCAGCAATTCAAGCAAGCAGCCTTGTAACTCTGCCATGTCGATATACAAGTTACGCTTTGGGTGAAGCCGCATTCGTCGAAGAGCAGCGTGTAAAGGATATGTCCCGTGCTGATCAGGTTGGCTGACCAGCGAAGGGTACCTGGAAGAAAGGATACGCAGGGTGCGACGAACAACTGCAAGGCTATGGAAGCGTGCGTTCTGGTTATTTTGCTCTTCAACGAGAAGATGGTGCAATGCGTTCTTGCCTTGATGGTCTACCGCGAGAGGGTTAGCTCCGAGCAGGAGAAAGACATCAACGAGTGTCTCGGTCCCGGGATCTGGATAGTCCCAGTCTGTAGGGCCGGAGTCTAGATCCCATTCTGGATATGGGTTGCTGTCAAAACCTCCAACATCCGAGTTCCATGAAAGATCAGCTAATCCAGTCCCAGCACGAGCATCTGCACCAAGAGCACTTCGGCAAGCACTCAGTAAAGGCGTACGGCCTTGCGGATCACGGTGCTCAATGTTCAATGACTCCAGAAACCCAGGGAAGTCCATAAATGGCTTGAAGCGGCCGCTGTCTTCGATAATGGCATGGAGAACATGCCTGACACCCGGTCGATGCGGTGCCTCCTCGTCTTCAATGTCGTCGTCCGAATTGTGCACCATTTTATCGCCCAAGTCATCCCACTCTACTTCGCTTGAAACGTCCGGAATCGCCCTTCGTGGGGGATCTTCACCAGGGAAGGGTGCTCGGGGGTGCGAATCGCGAGGGGGGTGGTATAAAGCTTGGGGAAATTCCAAAAACGGGTCGGCTCCGTGCTTAAGCAGAGAGGTGACCATTCGGAAGTTTTCGTCCTTGCTCTGTTGGCTTGCATTTCTGGCATAGGCGGCAGAGTAAAGGGGAGGGAGCCATTGTTCACCATGCAGTTCAAACTGCGGCGGCGGGCCCTGATAAGCCCAGTCTGGCTCAGTCTCGGAGAGCAATTGGCTAGCTTTTCCTGGCAGGTAGTTGGGATCAGCTCCTGATGACAACAATTTATCCAACTGATCCGGAGCGCCGCGGTTGACGGGATGAGAGGTGATAATTGAAAGTTTAGTCACTTCATAAGGCGATGGGGTCGGGGAAGGCATTGGATCAGAGTTGGGGCGAGAATATATTGAATAGAGAGACAAAATGGCAACAAAGAAGCACTCGACTTGACTAGGATCGATCGAAGGATTCAGAAATCTCTAGCAGCGAGGGAGACCCATGCCTCAAGATTATTTCGAGGGTGAAAATATGGGAAATGATCAACACCTTCGCCAAAAAACGACTGCGGCGTCAGAGCGGAGGTGTGGAGGAAGCCAATCCCGGCTATTCGGCACTCCACGGATAACACCATATGCACGCTCCCAAACAGGCAACGGCCAACAGCCTTAAGTATGGCCCCGAAGAAATTGGGCTCTGTTACTCTAAAAAGGGCATCTTTTGATGACCTGGTTAGTCCTAGCTGCAGCCCGAGACCGAGACAACATCGCAGAGGCACCTCTACAAGAAGCAGTCAGTGGTAACAGACAGCCATACTTGAAAAGAAGGACTGATTCAGAAAACCGAGCCTAGTCACCGCCGTTTTATTACACAAACCCCCTTAGAAGCCGATGTTGCTACGGTGAGTGACCGAGTCAAGGGAAGAATGGATACTATTGAGAAGCTCAAGAGTGCTTGCTAGCCAGGATTGGTTTGAGTATATACAACGATCAAAGAATTAAGCCTTCCTGCTTTCGAAATTGCGGTCTTATCGTATACAACGTGGGAAACAGTATAATTTGAAGTGGCTCTTGGAGTGTCGCATTCTGTCACGCTAACTCCTCAGACCATGAGTGGAATTCACACTGCAACAGAAGGCGCTGACAGTTTAATATATTTGGAGTGTGCTTTTTAGCTTCTCTCGATATTATGAGATAGATTAAAACTAAACTGTAAATAATAGAGACGTACGCTTAGTACTACACCCAGTACCAGAAAAGACAGTAGCCTCATAATAAAAGACAGTTATATAAGAGATGTGCATTATGTAATATGGAGTCTTGGGGCATGGTAGGTGTAGGGTGGCCACGGCTGAGGACCTTTTCTTGTTGATTTTAACTGAACCTATCGTGGGGTGTCAAAGTCTGACCGGGGTTTTGAGGTGCTAAATTGCTTTATCAGTGGATTGGAAGACGAGGCCGCGGGCTTTTGCTGATGCCGTGCAGTGTCTACAGTCATTTAGTAGTTTTATCTCGAGCATGTGCAGTAGGGTGAGGTATCAATGTAGACAGGCTTGGCCACAATGGTAATGGAAGTGGCTGAGATGCAGGCTCCGCGGTATCATCGTCAAACTGCGCGCCTCCGCCACCAAGATGACGATAGTGAAGTGAGCTTAAAACTGCCGATGGGGCCTTCTGTTGAAAGGATCGGACGGGGCAGATGGATGTCTGCTAGAAGTAGGAAATCTCGCCGAGATAGCGTTTGTTATAAGTATGTCCAGGAGGGAACGCCTCAGCTCATTTAATGTGGCCCAGCTCGTCGTGCGGCTGAGAATATTCCTTATCGCTTGCGCATAGGAAGCTGTATTTATTGCCGAATCATCCCCCAGCCATTCTATCAGTTACACTGTGCTGAGGTTGGACAAGGGAATTCTTACAATATCTCACCCAATTGTGGTACAGTGTAGACATGGACATCGGCCGATATCACCCCATAAAGACGCCCTGTGTGGCCCCCGTGGTAAGACGAAGGAAGATGGGGACGCGTACGGATGTGCTGCCTTGTGTAGGTTGAGAGAGCCAAGACATTGGTGCGTAATTATCTCACATAATTGAGGCGAGGTGCATACAGCTGCAGATTGAAATCATCACTGACGCAGGGGCTGAAGACAGCCCTGAAATATTCCATTATAAATACCGCAATGCACCTGGTCTCCGAAGAAAACTTCCTCTCAGCCCCCAAATATCAACGACCCTTGAAAGTGCGACTCACTCTGAATGCAACGTTCGCTTCTTGCAACTAAAGTGTGGTACGTTGGCTGTTTGGCCACATGATGTGTGACAAGGCTCAGGTCAAACGGATGATTAACTTTTCATAACTTAGTCACTGAGGGATCTTTACTTCAATTGCATTCTTGAAACCAGCAAAACAATCAGCAAGTCGAAATGAGCGTTCAAGTTTCTCCATTTGAATTCAAACCCTTCGAGTACACCAAGCTTCCATCATCCTCAATTTGTTTACTCTCGTTTCTCAAACGATCAGACCCGATTGAACCGAATTCAATTTCCGGCGTTCCTTTGATCGAATGTTTTTTAGAGTCAGTAGACATCAATACCAACCCCAAGTACGATGCGCTGTCTTATACTTGGGGCAATCCACACGAGCGACCAAATTCCATCATCGATGATTATGCCATCACCCATAAATGGCCAATAGCTGTTAATGGACGACTTGCCTTTGTAAATAAGAATCTCTATGAGGGATTGTGTCATCTCAGACAGGTCCGCATTACTGAAAATGCTGATGAGATTGATCGACGGCAAAAGCCTTTCAACAATGCGGAGATGATCCGGGCTGCAGAAGAAAGGAAGCTCAAAGACAATTACGACATCGATCGACGGCTATGGCGTTATAACAAGACGGAGTTGATCCACGTTGCAGAATCTGGGAAGCTAAAAGACATGGAGACCTGCATTTGGCTTGGTGCCGATCTTCAAAGCAAGGACTGCTTCGGCGAGACCGCATTGCATTATGCAGCCGAGAATGGGCGGTTGGAGATTGTCAAGACTCTACTGGAATACGGCGCGGACCTTACTGTGCTCGACTCGGCCAGGCGCACTCCCCTAATGTGTTGTTTGCAACGAAAACGTGGCCAGCACCAGAAGGTGGCTGAACTGATCCGCAGCTGGAAAGGTCCAGGCGAAAAGCTCAAGCAATTCCGTGACTGGAAAGCTTCGGGGCGGCCTTCAGTCCCCGCTACCACAATCTTCAAGATTGGAGGGCCATTTTGGATTGATTCGGTATGCGTCAACCAGAGCAACATCACGGAGCGCAACGAACAGGTTGCGATGATGTCACAAACTTACGGAGCAGCGCAGTCCGTTGTAGCTTGGCTCGGTGTTGCTGATCACAACACCAAAGCTGCGCGCGATGCTCTGAGCATAGTCGGACGGAACGACACAAACAAACTCCGCGCATCCTTTTCACGATATTATCAGCAACTAGGGAGCGTAGACGAAGACGACAAGCCAAATGGGATTCTGCTTTCCATAAATGATATTAGGGCGGTTATGGAACTGCTCCAGAGGTGCTGGTTCCGGCGAACATGGGTTGTCCAAGAAGTGGCACTCGCAAAGGAAATCACGCTCTATTGCGGCCCGTATAAATTCGATTGGATGGAGATCTTTGTACTCCTGCAGCGTGATTTGGGCAGCTTTGGTGGACAATTCTACAAGACAATGAATGGGAAGCCGACCAACAAGTACGACAATTTATCGAGTGGGTGGACGAGACGATCAGGTGTTTCCGCTTTAGTGGACATCAGAGTGCGGACCCGGCCCGACATCACCGAATCAAAGAACATACGAGTCGTTCCCAAAGGTAGATGGATCAAGGCTTGGAGGTCAAAATTGACACTTCCCGTTTTACTCGTCCTCACCTGGGAAACCATGGCAACGGACCCCAGGGACTGTATTATTGCCCTACTCAGCGTTGCGAATACTCGAGAAGCTGGCACGAAGATCATCGCAGATTACAGCAAATCGACATCGGAATTGTTTGCAGAAACAGGGAAGATCCTCATTGAAGCGAAGGGAGACAACAGGGTGCAACACCTTTCACGCAACTACATAGAAGACTTCGAGCCGCTCGAGATACTCTCATTTATCCAGGCACCACTTACCCCACGCGAACGCCCAGCTGGAATGCCGTCGTGGGTACCGATGTTTCACTGGCCACTGACCACTGGGAGGATCTTTTGGCCAACCTTGCATGCTGCGAGGAACACAGCTTTGGCCATGCATCCGTCAAACCCCGGTACTCTGAAGCTTGATGGCTTCATTTTTGACACTGTCGTCGAAATAGAAAGTCAACCTCCTGAGGCTATCAACTATGCTTCGTGGCTCAACATCACATCTCACCTCGACCCGGTCTACCCCACCGGAATGAGCCGCGTTGAGGCTCTTTGGCGATCAATACTGGCTGAGACAATTCCATCTGATAAATTTACAATATGCAAGCATGCATTTAAGGATTTATTCACCCCGTTAGCCCGGAAAAATGATTCAATTGCTCAACAGATCAATGACCTTCGAGAATCTGACATCTCTAACTTCTTGCCTTCCATTGATGAAATCAACAGGGACAGCAGAAGTCTTGGGCGCGGAAAGCCGGATTTCCTTCGATTAGGGATCCAACATGGATATCGAAATCGATGCTTAATGCGTACCAAAAAAGGATACCTGGTGCTTGGCCCACGAGCTTCCATGGTCAATGACCAGGTTTCATTACTGTCTGGAGGTCGAACGGCCTACATTCTCCGTCCACAGGAAATAACTAGGCAGTATTCGTTTGTGGGGGAGGCTTTTGTGGAAGGAATAATGCAAGGTGAAGCACTGTTGGACAAGGAGTTTAAGTTTGTGCCTATCGAACTTGTATAGCATTGTCACAGCCTCTGAAAAGATTTACGGCGCAGTAAGTAGTAAGATGGAACCTAATGCCTGAGTAGAGAAACATGACTAACATACGCCCGACCATGTGATATAGGCCTTGCACTTTTCACTTGATTTGAGTGTTTGGGATTGGGAGCCCGGCAAATATGACGATGTAAGGGATTAAGTTGTACGTAGTATTGAGGCGATGACAGACGCCTATTTTTTGCCACCTTGACAGGAATATATTAGTGAGAGTGGCTGTTTTGGGCTAAAGAGTATGCTGTTACAGTTAGTTATGAATGACTCGTAAGCTAATAAGAGTGGCAGCATGCACAAATAGTGGGCGATCTTGCATAGCATACCAAGAAATATTAAATGCGATGAGCTACAATGAAATGAACTTATAATGGCTGCGTTTCCTAGGTTAACTATTCCCGCTTCTCCCTCTGCTTTTTGGCCATTTTGCAAAACTGCATAGTCGACAAGAGATGATACCAGAAAAGGGTTGACCAAACAAGGAGCATAATAGCAGTAGCACCTAAAACGAAGGCTATTGAGAATAGAGCTACACCATATGAGAATTTCTGGAAGCGAATGTTCTCTCTAAACCTGTCGGTAGACACTGCTACCTGCATAGCAGATAGAACAACAGTAAGGTAGATGAAGACGGCCAAAAACCAAGTGAAATTTCTTTCAAAAAAGGTTGTGTAGCGCATCGATGGTGACATAAAACCATGGGTTACATTATGTAGGGAGAACCCGGCGGCACCATAGCGGTAGAGAGAATTGAGGCGAGTTAGACGAAGCTCACCGTAATGGTAGCGACTGTCTACCTGGCATAGTCTGCGTGCATCGACGCGGTCCAAGAATTCAACCATGAATGAAGTCCAGGCGTCCCAGTCAATTTCACTGGGTAGAAGACCGATCTCTTTCGCGAGGCGCAGGTCGCTCTTGGAACAGACCAGCCATGCATAGGATAGAAGTAGGCCACAAGCACTCTTATGAAGTGCATCGTCGTTGCAAAGTTCGGTTCTCCAGAAGTCGAAGTTTAGAAGATATGTAGGCAGTGGTTTAATGAAAATGGATTTATCGTGCCACACGAGATGCTCATCGGGGGACTCGGTGACGTAAATCGTTCGCAAGAGTAGGTGCTGGCGATGAAGAGGTCGGGCAAATCTTGGCAGGCCGGCGAGCCAGAGATACCGGTAGACTTTGCCGAGTCGAAGAGTGTGAAGATCAGCACTGAGATATGCACTCTTGTCCTTTCCTCGATCACAGCACAGATCGTTGCCCCAGACGCGGTGTGTGAGGGTCGTGGCCGTCAATAACTTGAAACTCTTTGCCTCTGAGAATGGCGGTTCCAGCCGTTCATTCTAGGGACATTAAAGTCTGTCTTGTTTTGTAAAGTCACAGGTGAACTTACTGTTCCGGTATTCATGGGGGCAGTGTTCTGAAAGCAGTTTGAAGACGTGAATGCGTGATATTTGGCTGTGCGTTGTTCAGCCGTCCCAGCCTTACTCGAAGATATGATGGTATCCTAATACCGGGTGTTAGCATATGCAAATAAGAATATGGAACAAAGAGAGAAAATAAATTAAACGCGGCCGCCGCGACCCTGAATTTGCGCTTTCACTAATAAACTTGGCTGGATCTTGGCCATCTTTGTCTAAATTGATTGTATCCCTAGGATACTGACACGGTAGTTTACAGAGGACCATGCGGCTTAATATATGTTCTGTTGAACAGGTGTCCTCTAGGCAAAGATCGTTTATTCTTATCACGGAAATGAACTGCATAGCCTGATTTTCTGGTTAACCAGCCCGCTATTGGTTGCCAAGAAATGGGTGGTGTTGGTGGCTGTCAAAATGTGAACTAACCTGGCTGAATCAAATAAGACGCGTGATCCAACCTTGGGCGGGGAAAATGCCATAAGGACCTGACGGAGGACCTCTTTCATCCTCAATTTGTAGCAACGAAAATGATACGCGAAGATAAATTAACAACTGACAGTGGTCGGATGGAAAATGGAGTATACGCCCACCGCTTCGTACTTCGTAGGTATTCTTGTTGACAGACTCCGCAACCAATTTAGCAAGGACTGATGGTGTAAGTCATATCCTATCAACCGTAACCGCTTCAACTTGGTCAAATTCTCAGAACATGACCATATATTGGCCACATTTCTTGAAGAAATCGGAAGACTTGCAGTACGGATGCCCAAGGTTCGATTTGAGGCTCGCAATGCAGAACCGAAACGACGTTTTTGGAATGACTTCCTTGAGATGTTGACTTAGATGGCCATTAATATCACTTCCACTTATTACAACATGACCGATATCATTCTTCTGGCAAGAGCCCACTGGGAAACAGCTGCCGTGTTCGGGTCCCACCGGTCTTGCTTTAGAGACGCAATGGCCCTCGGCCCATCTGCGAATGATGGCTGAGACGATGAGCTAAAGAGGCGGTAGCACAGTCACTGGAAGTCCTGCTCGGTCTGCTTGCTATCGCGTAGGCGCCGGAGTCTTGGACATCTAATCGCGCGGACCTGTTCACGGAGGATGACGACCATTGTGAACTGGAGGAACAGCTTATGTGCTGCTAAATGCTTTGCCAAGCTGAAGCATGGCGTCAGAGTTTGCTATCATACTTATTCTAATCCAAGGTTGTTGACTGCAGACAGCAAGGTCGTTGACTGCAGACAATAGGGTTGAAGTCAGAGGGGTTGAATGGAAGCTTCAGGCAGAGACCGGTGGGCAACAAGCTTATTGTTCAGCTACTGTTTCTTCTGGTGCTGGGTGTAGCACTTATTGTTTATTCCTACTGTTTGAGATTACTGTATGGCTTTGATCTGTCTGATGATATTGAGTAAAGCTAAAAAAAAAACCAAATACTTATTCTAATCTATTTCCCTGGCTTCCAAGAGTTGCACCAAGTCTGAAGACTGGTCAAGCCTAACCTTGATCTCTCGTGCTCTCCGCTCCATCCCTTGACTCGTGTTCAGTTTGGACAACTCCTTGTCCCCATCCACATCCGACACAGGCATACCGCTCCAACCAACCCCACCTGGACCATGGAATATGAGAGCCAGGACGTCTGCCTTCCACAAGGGCGTCCCGTCGTAGGCCGTTAACAGGGCAACGGTAATGAGCAACGCCACGACGAAGCCGGCTATGACTGAAGGAAGTATGATCCAGAGCCAGTGGACGTTTATGCACGTCGCATAGTGGAATTCCTCCCCTTTGGCCGGTGCGCTGTGGTTCACGTTTCCTGTTTGACGCAGCATTGTCGTCATGTGCGTGGCTACATGGGAGAACTTAGCAGAGAGATCGTCAATGTCGACCTTGGAGTTGTTGTAGAGTAAGACCGGTCCACCCTCACCGGACAGGGATGAAAATGGCTGAACATTTGGCCGCACCTTGGGGCCAACAGTGGAACAGTCGTTCTGGATACAGCCAGTTGAGACGTTTCCGCTGAGGGCGGCTGCGACGTAGAACCAGTTCGTCTGGATTGCGTGGCTCATCATGTAGAGGCACCGGTGGCTCAATAGTGATTGAGGGAATGGTGAATCGGGGCCGATATCGTTGTACTTGTCGCCGCCAAGCTGGAATAAATCACTGTCGACAGCGTATGCCGCCCACCGGGGCGATGCCGAGGAAATATTGTAGCCAATTTTGCGAAGTTCCCGAAGCTCTACATCGTTGATACAATGGAGATCGAGAAGACCGAGGGTGTCCGCGCCTGCCAGTGTCTCCGGCGGGTTCACCAGTTCCTCCATAGATGATGGGCTTTCCTCGATGACCTTCTCCACCAGAACACCGGCTTCGACAGATGCCTTGTATGTGCGAGTGCAGAACCGCAGTGTGCAGTTTGCTGATCCGTAGCCTCTACAAGGCCATGTATTGTTGGTTGACGAGTCCTCACAGCCTTGCAAAGGCTCCATGGTCAAAGGGTTGACCTTTGCTTGTGAGTACGTCGTCTGCCCCCAGACAAGCTCGATCCCCCATATGACGAATCTTCGCCATTGCGGATAGAGCCTGGTGTCTACGCGGAAGAGCTGGGATTCGGCCCGCATCGGAGTCCAGCTAACATTCGTCAACCCGTAGCTATCAAAGGGGACTGAGGTGACGCGATCGGCCCAAACCACGCTCTCTTGGTACGTTGCGTTGGCGCAGTCCACGACAGAGCCATTCTCCCGTCTGCAAGTCTTCGTAATAGTTACGTTGCTGGACACGTCTTCACATGTTGAGCAGATGCCAGCGCTCGTGTAGGGAGTCGAGAAGGTGCAGTTTCCTGTCGTACACCCGGTACTGGCGAGAGTATCAGGACTGCCGACGAGGCCCGACAAGATGGCCTGGGCAATTTCCGGATCTCCACTCATAGCGGAGGACACACCACTCCTTTGAACGATGTAGTTCGTCCGTGGCATGCTTGGAGCAACCCGGAGGTTTTCCAGCGGGACGCTGCAGTCGACATACGAGGTAAGCTGCTGTATGAACGGCTCGAGGGCGATAGAGGCGATGACGACGACTGCGCCAAGGGTGATCAACGGCTGTCGGATATGATTCGACCAGAGCCAGCGGAACGCTCCAGGGATATCTCCATGAGATAGGTCTGCAAGCCGAGAAAGGTCGATAAGAGGCCGTTCAGACGAGAACCATGACCACTGGAGCTGGGCGACGCAAGATCCGACGACGTAGATCATGGTTGCCTTCATCACTCCCCCATAGATGGCCAGTAATGTGTTGACAGACACTCCCAAGGGCCATTGGGGAAGAGGCTTGCCTTGGTAAGGGTATATTGTGGCCACGATGGCTGCGAGTGCAGCAAGAAATACCAAGCATGCCAAGAGCTCCAGCTTCCACCCCGAAAATGAGGCCTGAGGCTTTCCTTTCTGAGGCTGCGGCTTTTTGGTCAGACGAAATATACTGGTAACGGTGCTAAGATGTCGGCGAGGGCTTTCAGTCTCTGTCAAAGTCGGAGCATGCGATCCCCCAAGTCCCACCGGATGGTAAAGAGGGCCGGCATCGTTGCGGCGGTTCGAGTCTTGGGCGCTCATATGGGGTAGATGTGGGTGTCGGGTGAGAGATGTCAGAAAACGTCTGTATACCACTCAGAATGCATCAAGTCACAGCGAGGTGGGTGTCCCCTTTATAGTCGCTTGTTGACATAGTGGTTGTCGCCGCTGATAGTGCTCCAGCCACCGCAATGAGTCTCCTAAATGATGACCGCGTTCTCTAACGGTTCCGCCAAGGCGCCTATCTGATAGTAGCGGTTCGTGCATGATGACCACACAGCCGCAGCCTAGGAATAACGGCCAATCAAGCCGGTAGAGTGCACCACTACCTATCAATCAGTGTGTTCAGCTCCGTCTACGCAGCCTCAATGACGAGGACCATTGTCCTTCGCCCCCAAAAGCTCTGCAGACTATTCCGATAACGAAAAACAGCATGGATCGTTGGCCATCGATTCTAATCACGGCTTCACATGTACTGGGTTATCTTTCTACCACTAGCCCCCAGTCCTTACCAGGCTCCGCCTCCGCCACTGTGATCATTTGACGTCCGCTGCCAATATGTAAGGCCACCAATTGAGTCCGGTCTTGCCCACTCGCCTCACGTTGCCTCTTGCTGATATGTGACCAGGTGTCGACCTAGGTATCATCACTGACAGCCTTCTACTCAGCAATAGGAGCTGCAGCACAACAGCCTGCAGCCGCCGCAACAATACATCTTGCACCAAGCGACAATAGCTACAGCTTTCTCCTATACAGCCAGCTACAGCACCTGCAATTTTTTATCTTCTAGAAGGTTGGCTGGCATAGCTACAGCCTGCAGGTAGTAGCCACTGTAGCCTACTAGTAAAATCATATACTATAGGGGGCTATGGTGGTTAGGGCCCTATAAATATAGGGGCTGCAGCTCTATAAACATGGAGGCTGAAATTTGTAATTTTGCGATTTGCGATTCTTGATTCTGTACTTTTGCGCACCTTGCCTAAGGTGCCACTGTATCTTCCAGGGCATCCGGAGTGGTAGCGTCGACTGCAGCGGGCAACATAACAAAGGCTGTAGCAATAGCAAAAAAAGGCACTTAATTCATTCTTTAAGAGTTTACTCAAAGTCCGGTGGCAAAAGTTCACGAGGAAGTTGTGATTCATTCAGGCGGTTGAAGTAAGCTGCCATTACGAATAAGCTTCAATTTAACCTTTGCTCCACCTATTTTCCTTTACGCAACAACTCCTCCCTTCCAATCTAGTGGCCCAAATCACCATGGTCACTTTCCCAGCCAGAATACTCGAATTCTTGAGAGGTTTTGAGGCCTCTGAGAATCTTCCCATTGAGTGGGAGACTAGCTTGCTGTCTTGTTTAGGCTATCCGCTCGTGTCGAATGGGGTGAGCCAGTCTGCACGACGTATCGGATTTGGGCCAACAACGCCGGGCAGGATCTTTTTTTTCTCACACCAAACGATCAGCTAGAGACAGCCCGCGGCATCGCCGCTGAGTTGGGCCTCGATGAAGCCGACGAGGAGCAGCTACGACCTGCCTATACGTCCGAACTTTCTGGCCTGGTGTCTGCTACACCATCGAGGAATCCGATGATGACCCGTTCCGCAACCCCTTTCGACTGCGACGGCTTGTTCTTTTGCCACTATCATGGGCCGGAATGACCCACCAAGAGCGCACCCGCTCTCACAATCCGACACTGAACTACCATGTACTGTTTGGACGGTGCCCTTTCGTGTAGCGTGTGTGACTTTCTTGCGTATTCCAGCTAGCGAGGCGCGCGGAAGTTGGACCCGCACGATATACTTTGGTCACCTGTCCAGTGTGATTGCGTCTGGACTTTTTGACATGAGCTATGAAGAAAACTACATGGAATTCCCGCCCAATGACCAACTGCTTTCAGAAAAGGAGGTGGCAGAAATGGAGCATGCAGTGAGGGAAATCAGAAGCCAGGTCTTTAGAGGCGATGAGGAGTGGATGACGGAGGCATTGGTTGACGTTGTCACAAGGAAGGGCTTGCTAACACAATCTACCTAATACAGTGGACGTGTAAAAGGTCTAACAATATGCCGAATTTACACTGAAAGAGTAAGCTTTTACAAAGTAAGAAAAGCTAACCTAATGAGAGGATTTATACATTATAAATAAAGATAAATAAATAAAATAAAAATTAGAGTTTTAATATCTTGATAAGTTAATAAAAAAGATCAGATAATAATAAAGTTTATTTAGGATAATTTATTTTAATACGCAAATAAAGAATAAAGAATAAAGAATAAAACACGAGTAAAATATAAATGACTTAAATTGAAATATATTCTTGAAGCTAAATACAAATAGATTCGCGTGTAACTTTCCCAGTTTCTCTAGTTCCTATCGGTGCCTATTCTGTCGACGTTCTGTACGCACTGCAAATGTCACTTTAATGAGACAGCCTATTCCTTTTTCGACTACCTATGCGGAAGGTATAGTTATATGCCGCGCATAAAAACCAGGATACGGTATTTGTTACAGAAAGGATGGACAGGAACACTGTTATATGCATTATCCCGGATTTTGCCCCAGAACTATTTCCTTAATCACAGGCACAGCCCGACTATGACGTCCACAGAGGCCCTGTCCTGTACCAAGTCGCGGAGATGTTGGCTACCCAGTTTGACGAAGCTGACGTCAAAATTCTTCATCTAGGCTCCCATGAGCCAGTGCTGGAAATCAAGTGTCACAGGCTGATTTTACTTTTTCGAAAGCGCGATTCTGCCTCATACTAGTGTCGTGTCGGGGTCTGTCCTGGGATTCATACGGATTCCAGCGCCCCGTGTACCGCACATATGTGCACCAAGGGCGCAGAGCTGGTGCGATGCAGGAAATGGAGAACCGCTCAAGGGCAACGGGTATACTTTGAAACGCGAGCTGGAGCCTCTGCCTGAACTGTGGGAGGAGATAGCTGTGCAAAGCGGAGGGTGAAGCCGCTGACGGGGCTTTTTGGCTGATGGATGGCTGCTACCCCAGTGGCGAATTATAAAAACAACGAGGACGGCATTAATGAGGTAATTTAAAAATCTTCAAATGTTACATTTGATTGTAAAGACGTAGCTAGGCTCGGTGACTCCTCTCTTTGACTGCTGCCCTGGTCCAGTGGGCGTACAAAAGTTCTGACAATATGCCTAATTCACACTAAAAGATTCTGTAGTGGACTTAAGTGAGAAACTTTACCTACTGCGCACATGGAGTATGTTTTTATCCATGACCAAGCCATCATACCCACTGCCAACACTATGATGATAGCATGGAGATGGGCATTGTTGCATGAAATGTTTCGATATGGGCGTACCAACAGATGCGGGCTACGGTCCAGTGCCGAATTCCTCGCTGAATGCCCATGTCTCCTCATCAAGGCGGCTTGGGTGCTCCAGGTGTCAGAGCATGAGAAGTCGCTTACTATTGCAGTACTGCTACGCTGCATTCTCATCTAGTTTAGATATACTTGATGAACCCGTCATTGATATTTCCTCTTTCCCCGCAAGGCAAAATGCGAGGCATATACATGCTCCAGTCGTGAGTGGCTGAGTCGGCGCCGCTAGCCGGGACTCGCCCATCTTTGCTACTCCCGCATCATCATCACGCTGAGGAGGCTGTGTCGCAGTGAGCCGACAAAAGTGGAAATGCACCGTCTTATTGGCTTGGTTCTGAGGGTATCACGGCATCTGTAACGCTGTGCAGCAGGCACGCACTGTGGGAATTTCCATTTTGCACCACGAGCTCTCGCGTCCCCCGCTCGCCACCAACTGGACCGCATCTTCACTGCCTCACATCTGCCAAGCGCTCGTCGGCCTTAAAGACGTGCATCCGCCAGCCTCAAAGGCCCAAAGTGCAGCATCGGCGCATTCCACGGCAACTCATTGGCGGCCTTCTCGTTCTCGTTCCTGCACACGCCGCCTCCAAATAACATCTCGACTGCCGTCCCATCATGTGGCCGCTCCCTCAACTCTTCAGCTCCTCCACCCTCTCTCAACCTCATCTTCATCCCCTCGCCGCAGACAGAATGTCGGAAAGTAGCCTCTTCACAGCATTCGGCGCGGTGCTTGGTTACATCGGTGCCGAAGCTGTGACGGAGCTCTCGATTGAAGGCATGCTGTGGCCGCAGCGATTCTACTCCAACTTCACCCTCGCGTCCTTGCCGGTCCTCGTCTTCTTTATGCCCATGGGCGGCCCGCTGCACAAGGCAGCCCTGAAGGCCCTCGACACGATATTCCTACACGGACTGTTCAAGGGCTCGAACCAAGGCCAGATGCTCGGCACATCCTTCTTCCACAAGCTCAACTGGGAGTACACGATGCACGATGAGCATGGCCCGTCCCACACTGGCCCGCTGCGCAATTGTCTATGGTCTCGCGTACTGAGCTACATTCCCATCCCCATGCTCGATCGCGAACGCTGCACCGACGCGGCTCCGGGCGACAGCGCCGAGAAGGGCATCGCCCCGGCCGGGAGATCCACACTTCCGCTCCGCGCCCGGACCGTTGTCAGCCATCTCACATTGTCGAGACCGACGGCCGAAGATCTAGCATCGCAGGACCTTCCTTTTGTCGGCGAGGCTGTTGGCATCCCAGGCCTGCGTGTCTTTTTGGCTGTCTGTGCCAGTGAACTGTCCGCCCTCGTCACTGCCTTTGGCATTTTTGCCGCCTATCGCTCCCTGTGGGCTCTCTTGTGGTTTCTGCCTCTTCTTCTACGACTTATTGGCACCTTCTCTGCTTTGGAGCGTGAGCCCCTCGTTTCGACGTCTTCCTCCGTTGCTAGCGATCCGCCGTGCGACGTCGAAATCCACTGTCCTCGGTCTGAAGGTAGCTTCATGGTTGTCACGGGTCCTCCCGCGCTTGTACTGCAGTTCGTCCGCCACTACGGCCACCCTATCCGCAACCGGTTCCGCGAGGTCGTACAGCTGTCGACCATCATCGCCTTCGCCTTGCAGTTTCCTCTGGGACTATTCTGCTCATCGTTGTGGATGCCTGTCGAGGTGCAGTACGTCTGGCTGTCCTACCAGCTTTATGTAGTCCTGGCGATGCATGTTGTGCGATACTCGGTAGCAGGACGCTCCACAACTACAGAATCCAAGCTAGCCGAATGCCTGGGTCGTGGGAGTCTCCTGCAGACGGCTGGAAAGGACTCTACCACCACCGCGAACGAGTCGGCTGTTTTATTCGGCCACAAGCGAGACGGCGAGGGAACCCTAAAGGCCCAGGTTGCTTTCACTTACCATGAACGATATGGGCAGGGAAAGATCGCCGTTGAGCAACTTCTGCGCCGCCACAAATCGTCACAAGAATAAACCTCGCAAGAGTATGCTGGGATAAGATTGAGCTGGAGGGGATTGCTACGGTTCGGACACCCTTATGATCACCAGACACTTTCGAGAGCTTGATTTGAGCCTGGAGTAGGAACCACGGCAAAGAGGCTTTCGTGTATTCGACATGAATATGAACAAAATACACGACAACCCGGCGGCGGGATGGCTGGATAATATGAGTTGGAGACTCACAAAATTTCCAGGACCTAGAACATGACAGAATGGATATTACGAATGAAATGACGAGAGGGATTCATATGAGAAAACTAAATACCTAGCTCCAGATGCATACGAATTAACCAGATTAGATTGTTTCCCCACTTGCCGAATATCCTTCGTGATCCACTGCACTGTGATGGTTGTGAATTAACAATGAAACTCCACCCAGATCATCCAAAAAGACACCTAATATCGCCCCAACTAGGCGATCTTCCAGATAGAACACCAGCAGCATTTCGAAAACTCTCCCCGTCTACCAAGCTAACAGGAGGAATGTCCCAAAAGCAAATACCCAAACGCTTCTGCCACCCCCAATCACTGTGTCCGGAGCGTTCATAGCGATTAAGCGGATCCCCACCTGCGCCTCGGTTCCTTGTTTTTGTTGAGCGATTGTCCCCAGTAAGAAGACAGAAAGACTTCGGCCAAGGTTACCAAATAGGGCGCTGATGGCATCTGCTAGCTCAAGTTGATTGTCAACTGGGACGGATTGCAGGGTGTATTTTACTGGAAGAATGGTGTGGTTGAGCACCGCGCTCCCATCGAGAGAGATACGAACTGCGGAAGGATCCACACCCTTCCGTCGGGCTGACCACTGGGATTCGGAGTCGGAGATGAACTCCCATGCTTTCCGAAGCGTCACAAAAGAGCACGATTTCCCCTTGAAGTGGCCATAAACAAGGCCATTCGCGCGTCGAATTCCCAATTATGAGGAATGTCTATCAACTAGGCCATCAATGTGCCCTGCAGTTGACAGCCTCAGTCCATGCTGCGGCGTCACAGAGCGCCCGCTAATCCTCCATGATTGACGCCACAGCTAAGACTTCGGTCTCAGCATATATAAATGGAGTTAACTCTCAATAGGGAACCGTGACACGAGCTGCTTGCCGAGATCCAGCTCCAATTCTTCCAAAGTCCATTCTCAAGCCTTGTCTCCCACAGGTGCTGATTTTCCAAGCTGAAATTCCCAAACTTGCATGATTCCATAAATCTTGTCCAGAGGGTCCTTGGCCTTTCTCAAATGTGCACATTTGTACAAAGTGAGACGGTCCCGATCAGCCAAAGCCTCTAACCCAGCGTCTTGGATTTTATTGACGAGCACTCGTTGCATGACCACGACCGTGTCTCTCACCCCTTTCATCGCAAGAGGAAGCATCGAGATAGACATGGCTTGGTGGAGTTGCTTGCAGAAGGCCAGCATGTACTGCAATGTGAAGACGTCTCCTTTCTCAGATAACACCTTGGAGCCTTGGCGATCCAAAAATATGGAATTCGGTTGCAGAATGGCTTCTTGCAGAGTCCAAAGGGAACTGAACCAAGGGATTTGAGTGAGCAAGGAGATCGATCTTGTAGCGTCGGCTATCCAGTCAAAGGCCATGGTGTTGAAGCTCAATTCTTTCTTCTCATCACTCTCATCATGGCCTCCCAGCTTCAAAATGTTGTTGCCGGAAAGCCATTGTTGATAGGAAGCTTCTGCTCGGAGGGAGGATCTTTCAAGTAAGCAGAAAAGATCGCGGGGAGATTGTTCATAGGGTGCTGAACTGCGGTCTGGCTCCTTCTGTTCACTAAGTAACCAGATGAAGGCTTGGTGAGCATTTCGGAATATCCGTGCCTGCCGACCGATCTCTTTTGCCTTCTCCGGGGAGTCGACAGTTTGGTTGATGCATGCAATATCCACCCAGATTAAATCGCAAGATGTCATCTCGGAAGCTCTTCGAAGAACCCTTGCGAACTCGGCAGGTGTAAAAAGAATGGGGTCGATTGCTGGCACCTCCCAATTGATTCCTGATACCTGGAGCGTCGGGTATCTCGGGGCCTAATCTTCTGGCTGTTCCCACCGACCCCAGGTGTATGATAGTATCACGTATCGCGGCTCCCTGAACGAACTATATATGTTTCCCAATTTCCATTCGAGGGATTCCAGACTTGGTACATGCAATAATCGTGCTGGCCAATCGCCCATGGGGGTCGACGTTCATCATTGGACTATCCAGATGAATAGCGCGGAGCTCAAAGAGTTGTCAGATCGTTGTCTACCATAAGCTTACACTGGATCTTCCAGAGTCTCCCACAGATTAGGTTTTAGTTGAAAGGATATGTCTGATTCCAGAATTGTGGATGTCAGTTCTCCTTTGGGCCCCTTTGTTAAACCCACGTCTTCCAGGGAGTCGGTCTTCGTGGATGTATGGCTTTTGCTGTGACGCGTCAGGCGATCGACCTTATCATAAAGCTCAGCATATTCTGCCCTAGAGTATGCAACAGAGTGACTCGGCGCTTGTGTATTCACATGCCCGGGTGGTCGATATGGAATGTAAGCATCGCCGGGGGTCCGAGTATCACCTGGATCTGGATCTAGGGAATCCTCCCATTCTTCAAATGGGTTGGGAAGCTCCATTTGATTCAAATCTGTCCCCAGATGGCCATAGATTGGGGCTCGGTCGTCATTCGTCCCTGGCTGGCCCAACATCATGCCTTGCCACACAAGTGGGCGGAGGGACAGTCTCACCGAGGACAGAGTCTCCTTTGGTAGGCTCGTCGCTTCGGGGCACGCTGAAAACGACGATATATTCTGAGGCTTGTTCAACGTCTCCTCTGTTGGCCCCATCTGACATTAATCGGGAGCGTCAGATTGTCTCGGGGTCAATTCATGAGTGATTATGTGATCACTCTCATTGGACCATTGGGCAGTAATGCCTTGAAGTAGATAAGTCAGGCAGCTATGCGGTACGAGGCGTTTGTAAAAAGAAAAGAAATGACATAAGCGAGCTCTGCCAAGAGCACCTCAAATCTTGACGTTCCTCGATCTTGTTATTTCCTGTGCCAAACACTGAGCCATTGATCGTGTAGATGTCAATAAAGACCTCAAGATGTCCCACACGAATCATGAGGAAATCCACCCATGCTGCCGAAAGAGTATTTTCTGACACAGTACCGTGGTCCTTTCCAGCCCTGTGCAAATTACAGAATAAATTTAGCCACAGTACTCTCCTCACAACGTAGAAGATTTTGGAGAGCAAACATCTCCTCGATTCTATTGACATATAATTAACTTCACCTTCTTAGATAATCAGAGAACCCGCCAGTCTACCGCGACTGTCTTTGCGGGTTTATACAATTCCTCTCCTCGCAAATTCACCCTAGCCCAAGCACCCCAATTGCCGATCTTGAAGAAAGTCCCTGGAGAGTTGGCACACTCTTTCAAAAGGACCCCTCGTTTCATATGCCGACCACAAAAAAGTTCGACAGCATAGTTCGGGCCATCTTGGATGTGATAGCTTCTCAGCCAGCTGCGTAGCTCAGCGCTACGATACCTCGCATTGGCTTCGGGGATGGGATTCCTGGGGTCAACTACATGGTCGTTATCATGCGTTACCCAGATTGAACACCGGATACCCTCCCGTAGTGTTGCTGGATATTTGGACTGACCCTTCTTGGGTGATAGCGCAACACGCCACAGATGGGTGCTCTTCTTCTTCAACAAACTGTCCATTTGGACCAACTTCTTGCTCGGGATGTGTGAGAGTCGCGTCGCTAGCGCTGGAGTTGAATGGCATCAGAGACCCTCGATAAGATGGAGGTGGTCCATTCGCGATGTCAGCTAGTTTGGCTGTGCTGAAGCTCAACGAGTTAAAGAAGCCTGCTCCCATAGCCGAGGCTGTCTCGCGAACAAACGCGAGAGGATATTGTCCGAGAACCAGGTCCCCTTCACCATCGCCAGGGGCAGTTTTTGTTGCCACAAACCAGTTCTTAACTCCAAGTACGGACATGATGGCCTCAGCACCTCGCATTTTACAGTATCTCCTCGAGCCGAGACCCATGATCATTTCTCGCTGCATAGCTTGCAAGTGGTCGAGACCTGTCCGATTTAAAAGTTTGAACAGTTCCAAATAGTCTGGATGAAAGAAGTCGTGACTGATCAAAGCGCCAAACATTTTATGAGGCCCTGTAATCGTGCTTGAAGTGTCAAATGACGGCTTGGAAGTCCCTTGGAAGTCTGTCTTACTATCCAACATAGAAAATCTCTCTTGACGAGTTGGTGAGCATGCGTGTGTCAGAGCAATGAGTGTGTTTATCGGAACCGGTTTGCGCTCAGCTCCAACCGTCAATAGCTCCCAGTTTTCATTGTAAAGCCACATGTCGGGCCGTAGACACAGTTCCTGCAGGGTCCAAAGTGAGGTAAACCAGCCGCATAAAGTCATGGAGCTTCGAAGAATGTTGGGGCCAAAATCATATTTCTCAAAGAGTCCATTGCAGTTCCCCTCTGGCCAAATACCAGACTTGGACTGGAACGTAGTGCGGTAGAAAGGATCCCCATCCACACCCAAGTATACCAATGACATCCAAGATATGGCCGATTGCAGGCCCCTCCATGAATCGAGTCTATTCAGCCAAATAATAGAATATACAGAGTTTTAGAATATTTCAGCCTGGCGCGCAATCTCACTGCGAGCTCTTTGCGAACCATCCTGTGGAATGCAGACCAGGTCTAGCCAGACAAAACGCGTAGCAGGAACCCTCGATAGAATTTTTGGGAGGGAAACAACGTCAAAGATTGTATTTTCCGGCACTTGCCACCCATTGACACCAGGGACATTGGTCTTTTTAACTTGGCCTGATACAACCTTTTCCCATCGGCCCCAAGTGTGGCTGATGGCGGTGTACTGCGGCCGAGATACGAGAGAAGACACTTCCACAGTGCGTCGAGAGTCTCGATCCCACAGGAAGAATAGAAGCCCTCCAGTTTTTGGCAGCCAAGGGCAGGGGTCGACATCAACACCCAAGTCGCACCGAGGATTCAACCTCGGCAGATCCTCCTCTGCTAGTATCCTCGGACCGTGAATTGCCTCATTTTCGGGCCGGGCAATGGGCACGTCGGACTTGAGAGGCATCAGGCTTTTGCCCAAGTTTGAAGCCAATGCTGCACGGTAGCAGGGGAGCGCAACCGCTCGGCAAGCGGAATGAATCACCGCACTTCCGCGCGCGCCCTTGAGAACCTCGGAGATGTATGAGGGCCAAGGACCCATGAGTTCATTTCAGGAAGTGTGTGGAATGACTTGAATCAGTTCGCAGGATATGTGGACTGCCTTGGACCAGATGGACATGATAATTGCCTGGCGACAGAAAGCTGAATGATCGACCCACCACTGCCACAGAATCCAAAACGACTTTTCTTGGATAGGATGCAAATCTCCTGGCGACAGCGGGTAGCATTGAAATGAAGGCTCATCATGATAGACGCCTAATGCTGAAGCCAGGGAATACAAACGCCTAAATGGAGGGGTAAACTGTGACTCGGGTGTTGCGAGATTACAAAAATCGTCCACGAATTTCGAGAGAGGATCAGGCACTGGAGAGTCCATAGTCCTGTTCCGGGGCTAATAAAAATATGGCCAATAGAAGGAATCGAACTATTTTAACCAGTCACTGGATTGAGGGATGATAACACTATAATGTTACAGTTTCAAGCAGAGGTAACCTTGAGGAGGAAGAGGGGAATGTCACCTGCTGGCATAGCCTCGTTCTCGAATCTTCAGTGTTGAGAGAGAGCGGAGAAAGGCAGAAGTGTTCTTCAAAGCGGCTTCGGCATGCCTTTTACAGTCGTAACTAGAAATGCCACGTAAATTGATCTTGAGACCAACAAGCAACAAACCCATAGAAGGTTTCAATGCTTTCTCGGCCACGGGCTCGACCTTCTCCAAGGCGCAATCGGCGTCAGCCTAAGCACACATGCACACCTTGCCTGTAAAAGGCAACAATCACAAAAGGTGATGGAGAAATTAGACACCGAGAGAGTTGTATTATAATAGTTGATTACGTGTATTAGTATCAGATAGATTACGTCACAGAGACGGCCGCTTTTGAGCCAAGTTGGCGGTGATGGCGCACCCACTGAATCAGCGAAGCCGTATAAAGGTGCAGCCGAAGCCGGTAGAAATCAGCCAATCAATACTTACCTCGTCGCAATATACTCGCAGCCTAGCGTAAGCTCAGTGCTTCCAACCTCTCGCATCACCCTCCTCGCCATTCATCTAGATAGGAGGTGCGTGGAAGCAATGCGACAGTATAAAATCTAACGAGAAGATTAATTCACATCGCTATCTGATTGACGCAGAAGCATTATCTCACCGCAACCAACCATGGACTCCGCTGCGGAAATAGAACGGGAAGATGCCGCGCTGGACTCCTGGCCACGCCGTCTTTTACACATCCCAACTATGGTGTCGTATGGGTGGCAGCCCGGAAACAGGTATGGATCATACGTGGAGCCGGCCTATAATGCAGTCACATACACATGGGTCAGGTGGAAGCTATCGGGACATGAGCGCCCGGATGTGCGCTCCATCGTCGTACACGGTATCCCTTGGGAGGTTCCAAGGGTTAACCCCGACCATTTTACTGTGCAGCAGTCTCAATCTGTCTTGAAAACGAATACCGGAAGTGTTTCTCACTGGATGTTGAAGCGTATATCGGCATCCGTGGAGTTTGTATGGCTTGATGTCGCCTGCATTGATCAGCGTGGGACAGAGCTCAGATCGGCCGCCGAGATTGGCAGGCAGGCCGCTATTTTCAAGGGTGCTCAAAACGTGTTTTCTTGGTTAAGCACCATGCCTATTGCGGATCTACAAAGAATTTTGGCAAGCTTAGACACTCTGAGCGACGTCGTGAGAATTGTGCCTGCTGGAACGACACCTACAGCGTCCTCACAGCAGTTGACGACGATACATGGCCACCTTGGCCAGCTTTTTAAAGACCATTGGTTCTCTTCCCTATAGACACTGCAAGAGACTTTCCTGAGACAGGATGTCCTGTTGTTGTCTCAAGAGGGAAATGCTGTCGCACTACCAGGAACGAAGGCAAGTTCGTCATACAGTCTAACCTTTTTCGATTTGATCAGCTTCTGCGAGTGCATGTACGTCCCAAACGTCAACAGCTCTAAGATCGGCAAACTATACCCGAAAATCTTGGAGCTAATCGAGGCCTCTGGTATAATGGCAATCTCCTCACAGAATGCAATGGCGGCTTATGCCGCGGTGGGACATCGGACGAGCGTCAAGGCAGAAGATCGCGCGTACGGGATGCAGCAGATGTTTGGGTTTCGCTTGGGGGTTACAGCTACCAGTCCTCCCTCGAAACCCTTCTACACACTTGAGGAGTTGGAAGACCAGCTTGGAGAGCAGCTCTTATTGCACTATCCCGTCTTGAGCCAATTGCATGTCTTCACAGAGCCGGCAGCGCGTGGAAGAGGGTGGCATGTGAGCCAAAAGTCAATGATCCCCGATATGGTATGGAGCGAAGGCAACCCGGCTTGGCCCACGCCGGATGAACAGGAAGAGGCCAGATGCTCATTTTCCGTTCGCAACGTGGACAGCCGAAACTGGGGGTATTTCGAAGGTCCTCTCTGCAAATTTTCGCAGTTTGCAGAAGCTTGTACGGCGTTTGAAGAAAGTAATGCCTACCCAGAGCACTATTTCTCCGAGAGCAACTTCTTGACACTGTATATGGATAGATGCGCGGAGCTGTCCAGTCCCCCATACTATCAAAGCGGCACGTACCGCCGAACTCCGCAGGGTAGCCAACAGAGAGACCTGGCTCGATGGCTTTGTGAAACTTTCAACGACAATTCATTGCATATACGGTTGCTGGGACCGAGATCGTCGGAAGTGGGCCGATCGCGAGTAATGCTTGGTCTTATCTTGCTTCGCAGCAGTGGCCAGAGTTTTGATCACTATCGCCGTCTGGAATTTTGCCACTGGCTTATATCGCACACGACGATGGGAGGTGATCCACTGCCCGGTCATGACTTCTTTGATGGCCGTCGCGAATCATGGCGGCCGTCTTCTGGCGTCTTTGGTTAATGGTTCTTTTGACGAAGGAATGTCAACACAACATCCATAGTTGACTTGCAAGTAATAAAACAAAGTTGGATATAATTTTTTCTCGTGATTATTGGTGCCATGAAAAGATAGTTTGCTTCGATTGCGTACATTTTGCATGGAGCCGAAGTCTGCAATATCTTACCCTGTACCTTTGGGGTAATGCATACAGTCCTGATTCGAAGCAATATACTCAGTGATGCACTGCTAATATGTTTCAGAGTATAATACATCGCCAAATTGAGCGATGGGGTTAGGTTTAGGGTAATCGAATTGAGTGAATACCGCGACAATTCTTGGTGATATGTGCGCCAACATCTTGCACGTCAACCACACTCTCATTCACAATTCCAAGAGAAGCTATTTCTAAAATGGCTTAGAGGGGAGATGATATGCTTCGGCGCCAAGGTATTACCCCAATATCTATTCGGCACACAAATTTAAACTCCACGAAGGACAACATCAGCCGTTTTGTGATTGGAGACAGTGGGCGTAAGGGGATTGTGCTACACTCCCTGGAGCCACAAGTGTGTCCGAGAAAGGCGGTATTGCAAGACGACGACGAGAAATTATGGGCTAATTTACGTGGAATTGTGTCAATTGTCTTATGCAAAGTTGTGTACCCTAGACCGTGGTAATCGAGATTGTGCAGGCGTCAGTCTTGTGATGAATGAGCGACTTCATGTGGTGGAATCGTAGGCCTCCTGGACCTGGTCCAAGCCGCGATATTGCTCTTTTCTACGCTGGAGTGGTACTTGATTTATGTCTCATCTTCCCCTTGTGAGAACTGATTGACGCTCGGGTTGATGACAAGTCGCGAGTGCAACCCCGCACAGTTGCTCCGACTCATGAGTGCAAAGCGACGATGGCGCGAACATGCTTAGTGTGGATGAGATGGCACCATAACCAATCAACGGGGGCAGATATGGATTGTCTTCGAAACCGGGGTACGGCCGAGGGTGAAAACACAAGAGCGGTCACCTGGTCAGCTTGGCTGGATGCAATATGGACTGACCCTTGAGGATCCACGGCGTGCAGCTTCTTCGCGATTGCAATTGGACCGGAGAGACTTGCTACACCCCAACAACCCTCTCGCAGGTATTTGCCCATGCAATTGCTCATCACAATGCTACCCTAGCTCCAGCCCGGTCCTCCACGGTCCCTCGGACTCTAGATCTGACGCCGAGAACATCCTCGTCGCGACTCCACCTTCCCCGGCTTTGGCAGCGAACAAGCCAGTTCCCCCGCACTAACCTACCCCAGATTCCCGACGGGTCCTAGCTTCGGCAATCTCAGGAATCTTATAAATAAGGCGAGGGAACGGCAGAGAGACGAACAGCCCAACACGATCAAGCTCGAGCATCTGTCCCCATCCAAGTCAGCAGAATCACCCGGTCACGATGGCGAGCATCAAAGAGAACCGCACGTCCAAGGATGACTACGCCGTCAAGCACGTCAATAGCGTCCTCGAAGATGAGAAGCCCGTCAACACCGAGGAGCGGGACTACACCGGCACCGCAAAGAAGACTGACCCCGAAGAGATCCGGCTCGTGAGGAAGCTGGACATCTGGATCATGGTACGTTGACAGCAGACATCCTGACAGACGTCCAAGACTAACATCTCTGTAGCCGTGCTTGTGCGTCATGTACTTTCTCAACTACGTCGATCGCAATGCCATCGCTCAGGCCCGTCTCAACAACCTCGAAGAAGACCTCGGTATGACTGGAACAGAGTTCAATACGACCGTTTCCATGTATGACCGCCCGAATATATACAAGCAGTGCGAGATCCAGCGGCTAACGATCGTCATATAGCCTCTTTGTCGGCTACGTGTTGATGCAGGTCCCCAGCAACATGTTGATCACCAAGGTCAGGCCAGGCATGTACATGAGTTCATGGATGCTGATCTGGGGTGTTGTCTCTGGTACGTCGATGTCGCCGTATCTACTGGACTCTAAAGCTGACTAGACATAGGTTGCACGGCTCTCGTCAAAAGCTACGCTGGTCTTGTTGTCTGCAGGTTTTTCCTCGGCATTACTGAGGCGCCAGTATGTTTCGACTAATCCTCTACCTACAAGGTCTCCATTCCTGACATTCTTTAGTTCTACCCAGGAGCCACATACATTCTGTCTATTTTCTACACTCGTAAAGGTACGTTCAACCCATCCAATTTGGGGGCCAAGCCAATTGACAATCTCGACAGAGGTGGCATCCCGCATTGCCCTCCTTTACTGCGCCCAGATTCTCGCCACAGGCTTCTCGGGTCTCATCGCGGCAGGTATTTTTGCTGGAATGGACGGTCTCTCAGGTATCGCTGGATGGCGCTGGTACGTTAACCTTCAATTATTATGCATGCTTCGGCAACTGACATAACCACCAGGCTTTTTATTGTCGAGGGTGCTGCCACAGGTGTTGTTTCCATTGTCGGATTTTTCCTTCTCCCTAATACTCCCCTCACAACCAGTTGGCTGAACGAGCGGGAGCGGGAGCTCGCCCATTCTCGCATGGAAAAGGACAAGCTCTCGGATTCCGATGATCAGCCCGTATCCGCATGGGAAGGCTTGAAGCAAGCGTGTGGCGACAAGCGGACGTGGCTTTTCTGTCTGATGCAGAACTTCCATCTCTCAGCTTGCTCTTTCAACTCCTTCTTCCCGACGTGAGTACTACCCGTTAAAGCATCCGCCGTCCATAGCTAACACAATTGGCTCCAGCGTTGTCAAGACTCTAGGATTCGACACAACCATCACACTCGTCATGACCTGCCCGCCATTCATCTTCGCTGGTGCCACCGGCATCTTTTTCGGTTGGAGCTCTGGCCGACTGCATGAACGCACCTGGCATATTACTGCTGGCCTGGCCATTGCGATTGTCGGATTCGCGCTTGCTGCAGCCACACTGAATACTGCTGCCCGCTACGTGGCCTGCTTTATCTTCCCCATGGGCGCGTACGCTGTGAACTCAGTCATTATTGGATGGGCGGCATCCACACTCTCTCAGACAAAGGAGAAGAAGGCTGTGCGTATACTCTGCAAGCTACTGCAGCTAAATGACCAACATGTGCTAATTCTTGCGGCAGGTTGTTCTTGCTATGACCAACGTTGGTGGCCAGGTATGTCTGCGCATCCCAAACCGGACTGTGGCTGTTACTAACCTTTCATCTTTAGATTGGCTACATCTATGGTGCCTACCTGTGGCCTAAGAGTGACTCGCCACGATATGCCATTGGATTTGGCGCTTCAGCTGGTTTTGCATTCTGCTCCATTCTTTGCGCCTGGTGGATCCGGGTGTTGTTGATTCGGGAGAACAGGAGGATCCGAGCCTCGACTTCTGAGCACGTCAACCTCTACGGATACTAGTTCTGACGCAACTTCCCAGTACATGTCTAAGAACAACAGGCATTGAGTTAAGCTGGGCGTCGATGGTGGAACGCGTCTGAGGATTTCGACAAGGATCTGACTATCTTGCTATTATGGTCATTTCTCTCGATGTTTATATCCTTTTATCTTATATATTCATCTTGAATCCTGCTTGCCATGATATTATATGAACGTAATTTAGTATAAAGAGATGGTCATCACCCACGATAAGGGAGATTCTGTCTCATGCAGAAATATTTAATTACCTGTTAATTGTGCCTACCTTCATGGATGGTAACGTGCCTGATGGAGGTTATCCGGCTCTGCCAACTTCAACCTCACTGAGGACTGCTTTTTCCAGTTTAAGAGTTTAAAACGGTCCTTTCGACGGTTCGACACCATCTCGGGGCTATTGTTCGAGAGAAATGAGAAAAATGAGCACGGATTATGGATTTAGGACACTAAAGCTGAAGGTTTATCTCGTGATAGCCTAACATCGAGTAAAAAATTCTTTGAGTGGGAAGAATCAACATATCCAGATTATAATACCCATCACTAGATGTAGTCAGACAGGTATGGAGAAAGAAGTTGGCTTGGACCTGGGGTTATTGTTGAATTCATCAACACAAAATAATGTAGTAATTGGGAGCTTTTGAAAAGGTTAGGTTTAATCTTATTTAATTCGTAGAGAAGCAACTGAAAACCAATTTAGGGCTTTAATTAGCTTACAACAGGTGGCCATTGAACCAGCTTACCAGATACCTAGTAAGCATTGTAGATGATAATTAACAAGCGTGAGTAGCTGAAATCGGACTGACTCTCAACACTGGTAAGCTGGCAGGGAATCACCCGAAATATCGGTATTGCCGTGACACACCGCCATAACCTCATACGTCGCTGCTGCCTAGCATGTCTATTACCCACTGTTTGACCGATCATTCAATTATTGTCTTTTGACCTTAATCCCTCAATCACCGAACTTCTATATGTAAAAGCTTTCTTACCTTCAAAAATGCAGCCGTTTTGCTGATTTAACTAACTTCTGTTAGAAGGCAGACAATTTCAGTTCACGATTCCATAAGTTGAAGCAAGCAAGGACTCTTATTTATCGTTGACCATCCCCCTTTAAGTCTGTCAGCCAGCCATGTCACTCGACCAAGTACTGCCAAAGTCAACCTCGCCCTACATCATCGACCAGAAAGTCATTTCTTATGGCAAATATCAAGGCCTGGCAACAGTTACCTACATCGATCCAAGAGACGAAACAAAGACGCCAAGGGATCGTGATTTTATTTTTCTAGTTAATCGCCCTCGAGACGAGCCTGTCGGAACCTTGATGCCAAATATATACAAGGACGACGATGGCCGATGGTGTACAATCCTAGTACAACAGTTCCGCCCACAATACGATGGGGATACAATGGAGTTCCCTGCCGGCTTTATTAGTCGCCGCGGCGGGGAAACAGCGGAGCAAGCAGCTGTGAGGGAAATGGAGGAAGAGACGACAAAGACTGGCAAGGTTATTGCGAAGAGTCCACGGCTCACCTCAGAGCCAGTACCTATAGCCGCTCTGCTCACTGGAGTCTTTCTGCACGCGGAAGACAAGAAGGGCGAAGAGGCCGGCAAGCAGAGATTGGACAAGGGGGAATTCACTGTGGAGTGGAAAGTCCCGCTGATCGAGCTTGAGGACCGACTCCAGGAATTTGAGAAAGATGGAATTGTGGTGGACCCCCGGATCTGGACCTTTGCCATAGGAATACGGTGTGCTTTGACACTTTCTTTATAGACTTGTACCTCAATAAGCTAAAAGAGGAAATGTTGAGACATATCTTGACTTCAATAATCCTGCACAATCACTATCGTGAATCAGTAGATATCTGCCTTTCTTTCGCCTCCGATGATGCGGCCACGAAATAAACAAAGTGGCATCGTGTAGTAAAAGGAGAAGTAGGGACTGGCCTTGAAATTACCGTTTTACCATCCCCAATAGAGACGGCGGAGTGGTATGGTTGTTTTGAACCGATATATACGCTTGCTCAATTCGATAGTGAAGCTAGTAATTAAGACTACTAGATTTCGTACCTCTACGACTCTAAGCAAACGAGAAGATAAATTACAAGTAAAAGCTACGATAGGAGGGAATATGGATATATTACGGTAGAATAAAAACATCTGAAAATCTCAAAAGGAGAAAGTCCACCAAACTTCCAATGTTGCTTGAATCCTCTAGCGAAGAGTATTAATTTGCAACGAATAAACCTAAATCGATACACCTTTTACTAATGAGGTCTCTACTGCAATTCCTTCAATACCTCCCACAGTATGTTCAATGAAGATAGTATACATATTCATCATATGTATGGTGTTATTCTATCTACTAGTTCCGGGCTGTATCTGACTATGTAAAGGGGAATCTGTCGGAATCCTAGCTCGCAACAACATGATATCGCTCAAGTTCAGTAGTAGTACAGACGCCCTAGAGGGAGGTGTTATGTCGTCATAAAATAAACTCATTATACGTTAAAGAGGCTCTTGGATCCGTTTCAAGGCCATTTGGATTCATTTCCACCATGCCTGCATCGACAGTCGGGTAAAGAGGCATAGTTTCTCCAAAAGTGTCAAACCACAGCAAGCTTGGTGATATTGCCGGTATCAATTCGGAAAATCCAGCTGCCAAGTCTTCTGGTTGTTGCCCAACACCAGAGCCCGCGTCCATGGCTGGTGTCTGTACTCTCGTCGCAGAGGTACGTGGGATTGTTCGTGGACTCGTACACGTTTCATCTTCGACCTGCATCGAATCTGGATCTTCATTCATGTCTCTGGATGGGACCCCGATGCTGTGAATACTTCCGAAAAGCCCACCGACGAGATTACTTTGACGTTCCATCTTCCATCGTGCTCTCATCTCCGTGTATTTGTCGCAGGCCCCTTGCATATGCTCGAGGATCAGCAAATGTCGTTTTGCTACTGGATCGTGAACCGCAAAGCGGTGGAGGATATTCTTCGCGAGGCGTAAGCTTCGCTCTAGTGGAAAAGACGTATCGAAGTCTCCGAAAGCGGCGACACCGAGGACCAGTCCCGAGGCAAACACCGAGTTTATTAGAAACGGCAATCTCTTCGGGATCAACTCAGTCGACAAAAGCGTTTGCAGAAGGTCGACTGTGTGTATGGCAGCTTCGAGGCATGCGTAGACAAGGACTTGGTTGGAGGATGAAGAAGGTGCTCGCTTCTCTTGGTTGATGGGCAAGGAGTTGGGGTTAGAGTCGACGTGCGCAGACACATCCTTGAGAAGAAACGGCAGAGATAAGAGGATAATAGTCCAATAGGCCGTCTGCTTGAGGTGGAGAAGACCCATGTTGGGCTGCTTCGTGCCGTCAGAGGCCTCAATCGACTCGCCCGGCTGGATGCCATCAACTTCGAAGCCATTGCGAGACTGAGCCGCCCATCGCCGGTGGTGTTGACTAATGCGCTCAATTACCTCAGTGGATATCATCCTCTTGGCGTAAATATCTGACAGGACCGACTCGAAAATCATGGACAGGTCATTGCAGGCCGAGTAATCTTCCCTGCTAGCAGTGTCCCTGGTTTCTGATGTTGACGGTGGGCGTCCTAGTGAGGCGCTCATGAAGAGATCAAGAATCCGGATGGCTTTCCATAGTCGCTCCCTTGCTCGACATTCGGCAGGTGGAAATAGAGCAGAAATGTCCTTGCGGTGTAGACCGAGGGCATAGGCGGCTCGAACACCCATTCCAAGATACATAAAGGCGGAATTTCGCCGAGATGCACCGAGAAGGTACATGGTGATCAGCGCAAACGCTTGGATGGTGGGAATATCTGGATCCTCCATGAGTGTTTCAACAGTCAGATAGCGACCATAGTTGAAGAATGTCTCGGCAAGACTGTCTTTGTCCTCCGGACCAGTTTGGGCACCGATGGCAAACACTAGGTAGTAGACGGGACTGGCTGGGTCAGCCTTGTCGTTGTCTTTCTCTTGCCAGCTATTGATGGCCTGGTGGAGCTCTTCCTGATCAAACAGGAGTAATACGCAGTTTGCAGATTGCATGTACCATCGCTGGAGGTACTCTACCTCGTCAGGATTTTGCCTTGGAGGTGGGTTTTGGGCGCTTGACATGATCCATCCTCGGCGGGTGTCTGGTGACGACTCGACAATTAGGTGTCGCAACGGGTCATCAACAAACGGGCAGTTGCCTAAGCTTTTCCTGACGATCCGGCGAATGTTCTGCAAAAATGAAAGGGTGGCAGAGTCCCCGATGAACATGTACTGCCCCTTGGTATCCTTGACTAGCCGCGACATCTGAGGCACCCTTGCTGGGAAACCGCTCGACAGCAACTGCGACGACGCCGACGCTCGATCACTCGACGGCGCAGCGGGCGACATAAACGCGCCATCGGCGACGTGATGCGAGGGCGACGGCCCGGTGCCCGGCGTTGATTGGCTGCCGTCGGGAGCCCGGCCGGGACTCATCCGCTCCGGGGCCGGGCCGCACCCCGGAGTCGCGGATCTGAAGTGGTCGGGGTCCGGGCTCGGCAGCGAGGAGGCCAGCAGCGGGAACCGGGTGGTGGAGGACTCGCAGTCTCGGCCGAGGCCGCGTTTAACGCATCGACCGCATGGCCGCAGACCGTCGCAGCGCTGCTTGCGGTTCTTGCAGCTCTCGCATGCTTGGGCACAGCGTTTGCGGTCACTGTCGCGGACTCTTTTGGTAGGCATTGTGTGTTTTGATCCCGGGTCCTTCCTCCGCTTTGACTAGTCAGTATTCGCTCCTCTTGGTTGCCAACGCCTATCCAATTGCACATACAATCACGGTGGCTCGCAATGAGAGAACCCTGATTCCGCACCTGGTAGCCGAGTCAGCAAGTCCCATTGCAACCGTGGGCTCCATCCATTCTAAGCCCCGGGCAAAGTGCAAGGAATGTCGGAAAACACCCCATTCGAGAATAAAAGAACTTACAGCAGGACATTTAGCGGAGGCCCAATACTACGAATGATGTCTGAGAGTCTCTTCCAAGTTCCACACGACGAGCTGCGCCGTGGTGAAATGCAGGAACTGGGACCAAGTACTCCCGACCAGAATTGCCGATGAGTCTTGCCCCTCACTGATAATTTGACTCTGTTTTAATTGGTTGGGTTTCAAAAATAATATCCACACCACTCACCCGGTTCCCGACGCTTCGGCTAGTGCCCCTCAACTCGTAGCTCGTCGTTCGTATTCCTGCACATCTCGATTGCCTACAGTCCTATAACACCTATTATTTGAAGCTATTCAAACCACTGGATTCGATTATATTATTTGGTACGGACATCTATTCAATTCACACCATGGCCCAATACGAGGCTGCATACCCCGCGGACCTGCGGGTCCTCCCAGAGGTGGTGGCGTACTTCCGGAAATTCTACGAAGTCTCAGACACGCCTGGGCAAACAGAGAAATATGTGAACTTGTTCACGAGAGATGCCACTTTTGCTCTGGCCTCTAAATCTAGCAAGGGAACGCAAGGTTAGTTTCCCATCAAACATTGGTTCCGTCAATCATGTCGCTGACATTCTCCAACACAGAAATCACTGCCCTAAGGGAAGGCATGTGGACCAGCGTTGCATCTCGGAAACACACTCTACACAAAATCTTTCCGTTTGGAAATGATTCTACCGAGGTGATGCTTTATGGTTCTGTAGAACTTGGCATGCGAAGCGGGTCGACAGTAGAGATTGACTGGGCGGGACGGGCACAGCTGGTCAAAGAGAGTGATGGAGAATATAGAATGAGTTTCTATCAGGTTTTCCTTGTAAGTTGGCTCTGAACCGGATACTTGTTCTGGGCTTTTGGACTGACCTCTTTAGGATACTGGGGCTATGGCCCCGAAGAAGTAGACTACGATATTAGACTAGCTCACGCAAAGGGAGGGTTTATCTGGCAGGACAGACATAGTCATGATCGCGTCATACGGTTGGAATTATTTAGAGAGAAACTCTTTATAGACAAACTATTTAGAGAGAAAGTCCAATACACGCGCACCAACTTCTTGAGCGGCTTCAATACAGTGCCAGTGACCAACTCCTCCTAGTACTGTGAGGAACTTGTCCTCACCCTTGGATCCCCATCTAGGAGTAATACCTGTTAGTTCTGGAAATAAAATGCGCTCACTTCTTGATATTACTCACTCATCAAAGATGACCTGCGCGTCTGCGAGGGGACTCGTTTTGTCCTCCTCGCCAGCGATAATGAGAAGGGGACACTGGGCAGCAGAGTAGTTGGGACGTCCGGCTTCCGCTATCGCGCGGCAAAGGGAGATATAACCATCCGGATTTTGTGACAGGAGTAGTGAGCGAATGAACGCCTTGTGTGTCGAGGATGACTTGGATCCCGTAGCTGCGAGGGGAATGGTGTCTGCCATTGCTTCCATTCCGGCTACAATACAACATATCAGCCACGAGGTCAAACGCAACCTCAATTGCAATGGGTAAACTTACTTTTGTTCACCGTCTCAATGCGGGATGTGAAAATTTGAGCAAGTGCTGGCTTTGGCAACACTGGGCCGATGAGAATAGCAGCTTTCAACTTGAGTTTTACAGCGAGCTCGGAGACCACAATGGCTCCCATCGAATGCCCAACAACAATCACCTCCTCTGGCGAGATGCCAATGTGTTTAATGATTCCCTCGACATCCTGGGCAATTGATTGGATGCTTGTGTGCTCATGCTCGGGACGCAATTCGGAAAGTCCGCTTCCTGTGTGGTGTTAGGACTGCGGTAACACATCACACAACGCCGGTCAAACATCTCGTACCAATAATATCGAAAGCAAGGCAAGGATATCCTTCGCTAGCCAATTGCGTCATCAACGGGGTGTAGAAGCAGTGCGAAGATCCCAGCCCGTGAATGAATACAAAGGTGGGCTGCTTCTGCTTCGGTGCTGACGCAGGGTCTGCGCGAGCGAAGAAGAGGGACTTCCCTCTAACCTCTAGAACCGGCATTTCGAGACTGGGAGTGAGGGATAGTGGTGTTGAAGGCGATCAATAACCAGTTGGATTACACTGCAGGGTACTTCATGAGACGTTGAGACTGGTCCCCAATCGAATGAGTGTGTGCTGAATCAGCTTACATGAGACATACACGGCCGCGTATTACCGAGATCAACAATGCCATCGCGGATAATGACATTCCTGATAAGTTACGAGCGGGGTGTCGGCTAAGGACGGTCCACATCTTCGTCTTGACTTCGGCGGCGCCATCGGCTTCCGGGTGAGGCACATGATTGTGGGCGGGGTTTCATTCGGCTACCGGGCGAGGGTTTCACCTACAGGGCCCATCATTCTCCTCTGCTCTTCGGATACAGGGCAGTGGATCTTCGGCTTCCGCGGAGTCGAGTCCTCCGAGGCCTTATCATTGGCAGAGAGCAGTCAAACAGAAATAACGCTTGCGGAGCACTATCGGCGTACCACCGGGCCGCGTACTGGCATTGCAGCCCTGGCCACTGTGGTTTTCGTCTTGGATAAAAGTTCTGGGTCCACGCGAACGTAATTGGCGCTAGGGAGACGGATAACTCTAGCTGGATGTGGTGGAGCAATACGGAGGTCTTGTATAAAGAAGATGGTTGTACTTGGGCAGAATCGCTTCAATCCACGCTAGTGCTGTCCGATCGAAACGAACAAAAATGACCGTCAACAAAGCGAATTCGTACTCGTCTGTGACGGAGACGAGTCGCATCTTGAAACTGCTCTGCGATCAAGTCAATGCTGTGTCACTTCCCCCAGCCGTTCGCCATCTTGTGCCCCAGGTGAAATTCACCGCTGCCCGTGATTTCCCCTACTTTCCCATCCCACTCAAGGAGACGGAAACCGGAGCTGCGCTCAAGGCAATCGAGGGCGGCGTTGCGTGCCTCCTGGCTGACCTCAAGGATGGAGAGGCCAAGAAGCGACAGATCGTGGTAGATCTGGAAAAGACGACTGCGTTCTTGTGCCAAGCGTATATGGCGACGGTGGGAGGCCAGGGGAAGCTTGACCCTGGTGTCAAGAAGCTTCTGAAGGGTATGTTGACAAATTTCGCAGGCTGCATCTCATGTGCGAAATAAAATAGACATTAATTGAAGATAGATACCGATTTGCTTCACGCGCAGTCAATCTCATATCGCCGCATGTCCGCTAACCTCTACGAGACCAAGGTGCCGGGAGAATACTACCACATCCACGGCTCTCTTGAGGCTTCGACGACGCTGGGAATGATTGGATTGGAGCCCTTCAGGCCAGATTTGGAAAGCCACGAGGATATTGTTCGCGTGATTGAAGGCGCTGTCACAAAATACTCGACTGCGGAGTTGGAGGAGCTCAATGCCAAAAACCGACAGGCGGGGGTTCCTGCTCTCAAGCACGAGGACTTCCTGAAGACCCTTCACGTAGGTTGCGTCTTTTGACACTTGGATAACGGATTTGATTGCTGATACGGAAATTGCTCGCGCGCAGGGTAAGACGAATATCGAGCTGCAGCCTTGGACGGTCGAAAACCTGGAGACCGAAACACCAAAGGTCCCTCTATCTCCGAGCTCACCAGGTCAAAAATGCCGACCATTAGAGGGTATCAAAGTTCTTGAACTCTGCCGAATTATTGCCGGACCTGTCATCACCCGCATTCTGGGCGAATACGGCGCCGATGTGCTTAAGATAACCAGTCCCAACCTGAGTGATGTTCCCTTTTTCCAGGTCGATGGAAACATGGGAAAGCATGCTGCGGAGCTGGATCTCAAGACGCCTGAAGGACGGGAAAAGTTTGCGGTTCTTCTTGCCGAGGCGGATGTGGTTGTGGATGGATATCGCCCCGGTGCTCTGGAGCGTCTCGGTTACGGCGCCGCGTCGTTGACCAAGTTGGCCAAGGAGAGAGGAAAGGGATTTGTATATGTCAACGAAAACTGCTTCGGTTACGAGGGCGAGTGGGCGAATCGGCCCGGATGGCAGCAGATTGCAGACTGCGTAAGTTTCTCCTCACCCATTACCCCGACTGGTCAAGTAGCCGGCTATGGCGGGTTTCAATGACACAACTGACATCCGATCTAGGTGAGCGGTGTTGCATGGGAGCAGGGCAAATTCATGGGCTTGAACGAGCCTGTCGTACCACCCTTCCCAATTTCCGACTACGGCACGGGATGCATCGGTGCCATTGCGGCGCTGACCGGCCTCTATCACCGAGCCACGCAAGGAGGCTCATGGCATGGAAAGGCATCCCTGCTGCAATACGACCTGTTGCTTTTCAAGGCCGGAAAGTACTCGGACGAGGTACAGGAGCAGTTGCGAAAGAATATCGGCGACGACTTCTTGGCATTGAGACACGCACACAGCGTAGACCAGATATCCGGCACAGCGCTGCGCCGAATGAGGGAGACGTGCCCCGAGATTTTCAAGAATGGTCGTCTGTTGGATACGTGGTACTCGGCTGCGTATAAGGCGGACGTCGAAGCAGTTCTGCCGGTTGTGGAAGTCGACGGATTGGATATTGGCTTTAGACGGGCGAGCAGGCCCAATGGGTCGGACAAGGCTCAATGGGATTTCAGTGGCGACGAGGACTATAGAAAATCTGCATAAGCATTGTATGATATTTAGAAACAGCTGCATCGATATTATCCTAAATTCCGCCGTGAATAGTGTTTAGATCCTTCCCAAACTAAAATGTTCGGTCTGCTCCGCCATGTGTCTGAAATATGAGTCCACCATGACGTTTGAGGGGATGTTTGACGACGACCATTCGACCACTCGTCTGACTGCTCACGGGAATTAGCTACGGCGAATTGTCCGGCCATTTCGAAAAGGCGTCGAATTCAAAATCGTCCCTCTCCGAGTCATTTCGCGCCGGCATATGCCATCAAATCACAACCGGGGGATTGCCGCCATCGTCGGAAAAGGGCATCGGATCTCGGTCAACCCCGTACCCGAAGCAGCCGATGATGCCATGCAAGGTGGCCAACCCTCCATTCCTGCTGTCCGATCCCCGCCTTTCCCCATGGGCGTCTGTATTGCGGGGTTCTTGTGTATCCATCCAGCGGTCGTGTTTTGTAATGTGCGCCGCTCAATCGAACGATCCGGATCGTCGCCGCCCACCTACAAAGTCCCTCCAAGCGTTCCCGTAAATCCGTCTGGTGCCACATATCCGTACGCCAGACAACATAAAGCAGTCTCTCTCCTCCTTTCATAGCTTCACAAACCCGTTTACTGCCATTCCATTGCTTCTAACCGCCCTGATTGCAGCACCATCGCGTCCTTGGCTTGATATCAACATGGCAACTCAGACTGTCGAGACCACCAAATCAGCAACAATGACGACCGAGCCTCCCGTCTCCGAAGAGGGCCTGGGCCAGGAATTCACCAAGCATGTCATTAGCTCCTTCGGACCCAAGACCGATCCCCGACTCCGTGAGGTCTTGGGCTCGTTTGTCCAACACATCCACGATTTCGCCCGAGAGGTAAACCTCACCGTCGACGAGTGGTTGGCCGGTGTTGAGATGGTCAACCAAGCCGGTCAAATGAGCAATGAGCGCCGGAATGAGGGCCAATTGATGTGCGATGTCATTGGTCTCGAGACGTAAGCTTACTGATAATCATGCCCACGATCATCAAGCTGACAACCGCAGACTTGTGGATGACATCACCCATCGGGCGGCTGCAAACAGCGCCAACTCTGGCACTCTCACGGCCATTCTGGGTCCTTTCTGGCGCGCTGATACGCCTATCCGCCCCAACGGCACCACAATCTCATTTGAGACGCCCAAGGATGGCATCGTCTCCTACCTTCACGGAACTATTACATGCGCAGAGACTGGAAAGCCCATCCCCAACGCTTCTGTAGATGTGTGGCAGGCATCCACCAATGGTAGGTTCAACACTCATCGAGTAGCCGATCAGCGTTCGACAAAATTCTAACCGCGCCTTCAGGCCTCTACGAGCAACAAGATGCCGATCAGCGGGATTGCAATTTGCGGGGAAAGTTCATCACAGACGACCAGGGCCGTTATTCATTCTACTGCCTGAAGCCCACACCATACCCTGTGAGTACCTACGAAGCGCCATTTGATTTGTTACTAACACTTATTTTTCAGATCCCCGAAGATGGCCCTGCTGGCAAGCTTCTTCGCATGCTTGACCGACACGTTTACCGACCCGCCCACCTGCACTTCATGGTGAGTGACCTAAACGGAGATTAATGAGAACTAGCATGGAATTGGGCATGAACTGACTCGTGTGTAATAGGTTATTGCGGATGGCTTCAAGAGTGTCACAACCCAGATCTTTGACTCTGATTCCGAATATCTCGGCAACGATACTGTCTTTGCCGTCAAGGATGGTCTCACCGTCACCTTTACTCCGAGGAAGGGAGACCCTGAAGCCAATTGGGAGTTGGAGTTTAATATGTCCCTAGCGACGAAAAAGCGAGATGCTTGAGCAGGTGGCAGTGTATGATGCGTGGTTCTCAGCCTTGATGATATGACGTTTGGAGAATAAGGAATTCAGTTTGCTAGTCGTTTGGTAGATAGCAAGTTTGGGACAATCATGAACGTTCTACTTTTCCTCATCTGAAACGCGGTCGATGTGCAGGATATAAATAAACAAGCCAATTACCTTAAGATTCCTGCGGTTGGTGCTACTGGACTGGATGCAACACACCTTTCTTATCTATCTGACGAGGGACGATCATTGAAGACTGTTTTTGGGCTTTTCGATTTCGCGATTCAGCCTGGACGACTTCACCTAGATTGAGACTGTCTTCCATTCAGGCTCTGGAATTGATCAAAGCACGCTACGGACTATCGGGTAACATGAGGGATTGAAAACAAAATGTACGATTTGATTACACATGGACCCTTTTCTCGGGGTCTACGTGCAAGAGCACCCTTAACGCGGCACATACTCTTTCCAACCTGTACTCTGGGAAATATCGCATGATTGATACCGACCAAATTATCGAGGATGCAAATCACGGCCACAGACGCCGCATGCACTTGAGCCATGAAACTATTCGAAGAGAAACTTATACTCCTGGCTTTCTTTCATTTCAAGGAATCGTTTCAGGATTGAGCTTCAGCCTTGGGTCTTCTCAGCCGCATTTTGCGCCGAAGTACAAGTACAAGGCTGCTGAGACCAACAACTGATGCAGGCACTCAAACGATCGTGGGTCGGCGATAGTAAGCAAACCATTCTTGAAGTCGATGTGCGAACTGTTGGCTCGGATTTTAGAAGGGTGAATCTCTCGCACATCCTCAAGGTAAATCATCATAGTTTGAGGGTACCGATAGATGGCCGGGATTTTGAGCGTTGGACATTCTTCTGCCACTGGGGAACGCTGAGGTAGCATGCGAGAAAGTCACATGGTCGATGCGTGCTGCTTGAATACATGAGAAGTGCCGGTTGTAGATTTGAAATGGATGTGGTGCGAGTGGGTGGGCGTGATATCGGAGGTATCAAAGGTTATGGTTCTAATGAGAGGATCGACGTCTTGCGTAAAGCCTCTCCTACAAGCATGACACGCTGTGTCCGAGCTGCTGTTCTACATGTGCGACAGGAATTGCGATTGTGGATGGTTTGTTTCTAATCTGCCGGAGAAATGATGATAGTTGGTCTAGTTTGATGATGTATATCTGGCTCATTTCTGTGATAAGACGGTGACATTTCTACTAAAGGCTCATTGCTGATGCTTGACAGCGGGGAATCATCGCGAATCGCACTCGCATCTGCGAGTGTGTCGCCCAGCGAGGACTCCAGATTAGCCGGACTGTCAGGTCTTTGACGTTTTCGGCTGGAATTAGAAAGTTCGCTTGGGCATTTAGCTCCGAGAGGCGGCTGAAATGAGAATTATTGATAAGAGATAAATACTTGATGGATGGGGCGAGGATTGAAATGCTAGAGGTTGGTAAAACTTGGCAAATGGATAAGCAAGGGGGTGCTTCAACCCTGTCCTCGGGCGCATCATGATTTCTCTCGGGCCTATCAGTGGTGACATTTCCCGTCGGATGACTTAATCCCAGAGAAGCTTACATTTTAATGCATGGCTTAGGTTCAGCTGAGTGGAATTCAGCCGTAAATGGACCATTGATGAGTCTCGAAATTGAAACTATTGAAACGCCACATTCCTTAGACGCCCATGATCTTTCAGCTGCGAGTCCCCTGCTCCTGTTTGTTTGGCTCTTTGCGTCTCCGCGTGGAGCGCGTGTCTCCTGAGGGACCCAGCGACACCTGCAACATCAACAAGTAGCCAAATTTGTCAACCTCTGTACTCATTCTTGTCCATCTCTGACATCAGACAGTAATGCTGGATCTGCCACCATGGCGCCAGTTATCACCAACACGAACTTTGACGTCCTCCCAGACGAGCCATTCACCCTGTATCTCATTGGCTGCGACCAAGGCTGCACGATCGTGCTTTTGAGCGGGCCCTCTAAAGACCTAGAAGATGTTGAAACTCTTACGAGTAAGTTGTTGTCGTACGCAGACATGATGGAGACGCTGCGTTTATCATCGGATTCATGCTAAACGGTTATAGAGGATGCTAAAGACAGTTTCACCTTTACATTCAAGCAGGATGAGTTTCCTTCCGGTGTTTATGCTTTCAAAGTAATCGACAATGATAGTGGCGACTTCAACTATAGCGCCCAGTGGGCCTGGGAGGGCTCGGACAAGTCTGATGAGTCTGTGTCGTCGAGCATACCAGCATCTACCGAACCGGCTTCAGCTACCCAACCACTTTCATCTACCCAAGCCGCTTCATCTTCCCAACCAACTTCATCTGCCCGACCAGCTTCATCTACCGAACCAGCTTCATCTACCGAACCGGCTTCATCTTCCGAACCAGCTTCATCTACCGAACCGGCTTCATCTTCCCAACCAGCTTCATCTTCCCAACCAGCTGTATCTGCCCACACTACCGGTATATTTCATCCTGCCTGTCTCACCTTCTCCTGACTAACTTACTTTAGTACAAGTCGCGAAGCAAGGGACAACCTCCTCCCTTACTTCATCCGGCATTTCTCAAGCGGTCATTACGCAACCCTCCAGCTCCTTGACGGTCCCAGAGGACACCATCGCATCAGCTACTCAGAGCTCGAGTTCAGGGGCAGCGGGCCTTGGCCCAGGTCCGCTGGCCGGGATAGCGGTTGGAGTGGTAGCTGCTGTCGTCTTCATTCTCCTTGGATTGTTTTTGTGGTGGCGAAGAAGGAGACAAAGGGCTCGGAGCAACAATTCCACCTCAACGAACGATTTGCAGGGACGTATCTCCGAACTGGAGCAACCAAAGAATCCCGAGATGCTGGTTGTGGCCGAGTCACCAGCTGAGCTGCGCGGCTCTACGCCGCGACCCCCCGTGACCGAAATGGCGGACACGGCCCGATCATCAGAGGTCCAAGCGAAGGAGATTGAAGACAACAAAGTCCTGCAGGACTCCCCTAGAGTAACTTCTTCAGAGTTACCTGGAGAAACAAAACAACTAGGGTCTGAACTCTCTACCGAGAAGGCACCCCACGAGATGGACAGCACCCAACAGCCTAAGGAGCCCTCTGTCGCTCTACAGACGCAATCCACGCCTCCAACCCAGCAGCACCCTCGAATTCTTCCTCAGTCGCCTTCCTTATCGATTACATCTCCTGATACGGGGGTCTCTATTCTACCGAGTTCATTAGGCGGAGCTGGCTCACCGTCAGAAGCTGACACCATATCGCCAGTGTCTCCGTCATCAGACGCAGACAATACTCAAACACGAGCATCTCTAATGGACAAGTACGCCCAGTTGGAGGCACGGAAACGGCGACTTTTAGAGTTGAAGCAGATTGAAGAGGAACAAGCGGACTTGGAGGCAAAGCTTCGAGCTACTGCAGATTAGGGAGATGAAGGCATAGCTGGACGAACTTACCAAACACTCACTCGATGGCTTCGCGAGAGCTACTTAATTTCCTAATCGGATGAGACGATGTGGCGCTATACGCTCAGGGGACCCCAGAATCGCTGAGCGGATGAGACGTCTTGTTTGCCGGAGATGCTACAAAGCTACCATGGAGGGGCGAAGTTTCTTGTTACTACTTCGGGCCATTTTTGCGTGAATAAGGGCAAGTGACATGATATGCGTTGCTTCGAGACGCTCGATTATTTTGTGCTTGGAAAGGTTCGCGATTTTGGAGCAGGACAACATCGACTGGGCGCAACGGAAGCACGAGGGGAGGTGATGCCCCTTGACCTTTTGAACAAGTCATCGGCAGAGACATCGCAGAGACACCACAGTAGATACACCTCGGGATTGAGGACCTTGGAAGCCTCGCCCCTGAGCGAGTCGGGGATGGGGGAGCAGCCAGTGACGCGTTGGCAGAGGCTATAGTGGAGGCTTGAGCGGCAGCCTGCATCTGAGCGGCAGGAACATCGACGAGGTCCTTTTTGACCTTGAAGGCAACTGGGAGTTGGAGTTTAATATGGACCTGGCGACAAAAAGCAAGATGCTTAAGCAGGCGGCAGTGTACGATGTGATTCAGTTCTCCCCTAGCCTTGATGACGTGAGAAAGAAAGGATTTAATTTGCTACTCTTTTGGCTCAATCAAGTTTGAGACATTTTAAAATTCTACCTATGGGAGCCTCATTTGAAATCCAGTCACCATGCGCAATACCACTCTCCATTTCCCCTTCCTACCAGAACCGCCACCACGGCCGTTTGATCGGCAATGTACGACTGCCAATACCTTCAGGAGCACTCACCAGGCGCTTTGTTGAGCCCATCATGGTTTTCTGCGCGTTGAAATCTGATTCAAAAGACTGCATGGCCTGGATTCCTTGAAAGATGTCCTCAGGCTTCATGGGACGCTTTCCGTTTTGTGCCAAAGCATGCGCCATCCCAACAGTGTTCTTAATCTCTCTGCCGTTGAGGGGTGACTCCGCGACCGCTTTAAGGAACCTCTCAGTAACCCACGGAGGCCGCCGCTCTGCGCATGCCCTAGTTACAGACTCTCGCCACAACTCCTTTTTGCTGTCTGTGGACAATGGCGGGTATGAAACGGCCAAGTGAACACGGGACTTGAATGCGGTATCGATGGACTCGAATCGATTGGTAGTTAGGAACATGATCCCATCAAAGTATTCGACAATACGCAGAAGGGCTAATATCTAGGTGAGTGAAATGGAAGGTGCAGACTCAGAGTAACAATACTCACTTGACACTAATGCATTTCGCTCCAGTTCATGCACTGCTCGCTCTTGCATGAATACGTCGGCTTCGTCTAAAAGAACAACTGCATTCCATCTTGTAACCAGTGAAAGAATGTTTTCGAGCCTGCGCTCAACGAACGGGCTAGTTCCAATGATCTGTCCAGAGTGAAGAGTAACCAGTGGTCGCCTCGTCTGGTCTGCGATGCTTTCTAAGGAAGTTAGCATCTCCTATTCAAGGCGCATGACTATAAGCCTACTTACCGGCCGTAAGAGTTTTCCCAACACCCGGTGGCCCGTGTAGCAAGAATATCAGTCCTTTTCCTTTGCCCTTGATATGGTCATCAAACTCCAACTTCCTACTTTCACGAGACTGTACCAACGAAAAAATAAGTTGTTTCGTTCCCTCTTCTAGAACCAGTTTGCTAAAAGCGTCCATGTCGAACTCGACCTGGTGAAGTTTGGCGACCTCGAAGAAACCCCATAGTTTGTTCGCTAGGGAGTAACCCTGGATATATGCCGGACAAGTCATGACATCCTCGTCACGGAGGTTGGTATGATTGCCAGACTCTACTTCGACAACAGGACAGCCGGCAATGAACTCAACTGGGGAGCCCGTGTCACGGTAGAACCTCTGGCAGTCAATCATGACCCTACTCTTAACCTATGTTTCATTAGCGCCACCATGAAGTTCCCATTCTTGCAGAAGCTTACACTAGAGCTGTGAAATTTCGCGGGACTGTGGTAGTTGGAGAGTTTGGCCACTCCGTCGTAGAAACGATGGTGAACTCCAAGCATAGAGAGATACTTCTTACCCCTTTCGAGCAAATCAGATGCTATCCTTTCCTTCTCAGGATGAAAACAAAGAGGAAATATAGGCATCTGACAAAGTGGTTTGCAGCCATCGTAGTGTTGAACAATCACAAAGTGACGGACATGGCCGACACTATCCCCGTTGCTTTTAATAAAGTACGAAGTAATTCCCCAAGAGTCGAGTCGAGTGTCCTTTCTCTTTTTGAAATCCATTTGCCTCAGAATAAGAAGGCCTTCGATCCCGTTGCGTTTATAGTACAACAGTACGCCAGGTTTGTAGGCCATCCACAGATTTCGATGCTCCAGAGCTGGCTCCGCAGTCGCACCTCTAACGGTTATATCGAATCCGGTGATCTCTTTGGATAGAGTTTGCGCCATATATCGGAGACAAAATCGCATATGCTTCTTGATCTTTGGGTCCTGAGATTCCATCGCATAAGTCTTCAATTCTTCTCGATAGTGAAACAAGCATCTTGGCTCGCCTGAGATGATGATTCGCGTTGAGGATTGAATGTTGACACCGGGATATGATTTTACTACATCCTGCAGTGCTTTCAGTATATGCGGAGACCTGATTTCGAGATCAGTACATTTGAGCTCCCCATTGGGGTCGTATGTTCTCGTCAGCACGAGAGCAGCTTCATGGCTCCTCTCTTTTTGGATCTCCATCTGCGACTCGGTGCCGACTCGTAGAAGACGCACGTCACCACGTGTATCGATCCTTCTCTCATATGCATGGAGTTCACAGGTTTCTCCTCCGTTGTCACGTTCAATAGGCGCGATGCATGCAATACTGGAACCGTCGGAATCGGAATCGGTTTCTTGTTGAACAGCAGCGCGGCCGCGCACTACTCTCCTAGGGGGCAGGACTTGGATTTTCTGGGGGTCATGATTCCGGAGTTGCATTTGAGGGGTTTTAAAGATTCTTGTAAATACAATTTGGAGTAATTTTGTTTATTGAGACGATGTTGTTCGATTCCTAATGTATCAGGGAAGTATTCCAGCACACAACTGGTTCTGGGGACGTATGAGGCAATATCAGAAGCATTTTCAGCGGTCGGTTGCCTTGTGCTGACCACTTCCATTTCAAAAATATAGCTCATGTACCTGTACTCGGGTGAGACATGCGCATTTGAGCCAACCATGCGGGCTCGCCTCACTTTCCTTTTCGGCACTTATGCATATGTCACAGCTCGAAGAAATTCTCAAATTGGCCTAACAGACAGTACTCAAAAGTGCCCAAAAATGCCTGACCATTCATCCTGCTAGCGGCTCTTCCGCTTAAACGCGAACAACTGCAGCTCTAAGGAGAGTCGTAAATGACCCTGATCTAAACCACAGTGGGGATAATTGTACATAAATTGTCTCCAAACGCTGTCACAGCTGAACTGTACTCAATATCCACGGCGCCACCTTATGAACTAAGTGGTCGACATATATGCATTTAGCCTCATGGTTTTGACAAGCCTGAGGGCGAAGGAGCAGCTTACTGTGATCCGGTTGCAAAGCCTAGCTTTTGCCATTTCTCTCTTGTTCGGGACTGATGTTAACATAGCCAATGTTGTCGTACGGCGCTTCACGTCTTGGCTGCTGCAGCCATCGTTGGAGCATGGGGCTTAAAGCTGTGTCGCCTTGTTGACTGTCCGTGTCGTGGGAGTAGTTTTGGCATTCTTCCAGTTTGCCAAGACGTTGAACCGCCACATATTCTGGAGTAGCTGCTCCCATGCTTTGCGATGAAGATGAGTGATGTAGCTGTTCAGTGGAGTCCTATGATAAAATCATTAGCCCTGAAAGACCGAATGCTTCGGGATGGTTGGCAATGTACAGTTTTGCGAGGAGAAGATCTTGTAGTACGACTCCCTGAAGAAGTCATGGTTCCAAGAAGAGCCCAGTGCTAGTATGTTGCCAGTAGCGAGATCTTGTAGGCTGTCAAGGAGACCAAAACCGTGAAGTTTATAGGCTTGTATTGAGATACAAAGGAGCTTGAGAGTGGGAATAGAAGAGACATACGGGTGAAGAGGACGCTTTATAAATATCTCTTGACAGAGGCTCCCCATACTAAAACCTTCGGGAACTTTTAGATCCAAAATGTGGCATCGCATGTTCTTCCCCAAAATCTCCCTCAATACATCGCCTCCAAACCAGAGACGCCTGGTTTGGTGAGCAAGCCATGTGCCACGTCGACCCATGGATAGCGTATACCGGGGTGAAAAGGTTGGGAGATCGACGCCAGCTGCCAGGACGAATAGTTGCGACTCTTCCTGAGGGCAGGATCACCGAGATTGGTAGACTAAGGACCGGGTATTCTGTCAAAATGCAGGCAAATAACATGGTTGGCGATGTACTGGTTGAACTGACGCGCGACAAGGCTCTTCATCGAAGTTCTTGAGATGCAATTGGCCAGGACTTTTGAGATCTTCTAACGTGCATTTGACATTTGGCCACCATTACAAGGACAGATCCCCTTTGCAGCAGTATGTACGAAAGCGCGGGTAATTTTGTGAACTTTTGTCTTAGGTGCTTTGATTCGTTGTTTGAAGTGTGCATGCCTGATCCATGGTAACACTAGGTCTGCATTGTAGCTCACCGCGGTGGGTTGCATTCGATATGCGGCGCAGCGACAACAGGGAAGGCGACGACCTTTGCGAACTTCTGTGACCTTTGAACTTTTGCGAACTTCTGTCGTATCTCTCAGACTCTGCACATTGGGCCCAGCGATGCGCTTTGTAGCTGCTTATCAAGCATGAATGCAGCTGCAAGGACTGAAATCGACGGCGAGGCGGGAGGTACAGTGACATGTTCTCCCCCGCATGATTCCTTTGGGAACTTTTGCGCCATTTTGTAATATTCCTGCCTAAAGCTATGTCTGCCTCGTCCCTCGCCTCATGTCCGAATAAACGGTTAAACCCTCTAAAATTGCGGCCATCACTGTCACCAAATCAGTCAGGTTTCTGATTTCCCATGGTTCAACCAGTCGATATGGTTGATAATCATTTTGGTCCGTCTGAGGGTGACTGGCATAGCCAGTACCCTTACAGCCAACACACAGGTGATTTTGCTCTAACGCCCTCAGAGCTACCTGGCCCCTCGGAACCCACAATCACGAGAACCTCGAGGGATGAACCACACGACCCAAGCACGTCAGCTGTGCTCGCACCATCAATTCCTATTGAATTGTGGGAAAGGCATCAGAATGATGTCAACGCATCACCAGATCGGCCTCGAAGGGCCAAGTACGAAAATCTCGACTGGGAACGTCACGAGGCGGTACTGAGAAGTCTGTACATCGACAAAAACAAGAGTCTCGCCGACACTATGAAGATCATGGAGCAGCAGCACTCTTTCAATGCCTCGTAAGTTGTTATACCAATTACCCCATGGCATGCGTCCACCTGCTGACTCCATCTTAGCCAGAAGCTATATAAGGAAAAGTTCAAGGAATGGGGGTGGCAGAAGAACCTTCCAGTCAAATATGCCCAGTTCATGACGGAGAAGGCGAAGAAGAGGATGAGGGAAGATGAAAAAGAAACTATTTTCATGTACGGAGGACAGAGTTGGACCAAAGAACGAGCAGAAAAAAGTGCCAGTCGTGCCAAGAAGACAAGAAGGGAGGAAGATGACATGGGTAAGAAGACCGCGCCTGTCGACATTATGCAGTATTGAGAAACTAATCCGTTACAGATATCGATACCCCAGAAGGTGTAAGCTACAAAACACCTAAGGACTTGGTCGTGTCACCCAACGACCTTGCTGGCTCGTCTGCAATTCCGAATATCGACCGCTCACCAGAGCAAGGCAGAAGTCGATCCGAAGATGTCGTGGAGACAGAATCTCCGGACTCAGGGTCACTAGACCAGACTTTCTCCAAAGTGGCTGCAAATTTTGAGGACACATTGCCTCTCAGGTGGAATGGCCTGAGCAGGGGTGATCTCATCGCCATGTGGGATTCGGGCAAGGCCTTCAGTGAGCGAAACGATTGGAAGAATGCCGAAAAGATGTTTCTGCAAGCCACTCAAGGCCATCGCCACATCTTGGGATCTACACATGAGGATACAGTCAAGGCGGCATATGTGCTCGCAAACTTGTACGCCGAAAGTGACCGCATGGTGGATGCTGACAAGATCATTGAGGACGTAACTCACGACCTGATTTCGAAGCTAGGACATGGCCACAAACGAACGCAGCAGCACATACGACATGCAGTTGAGCTGCTGAACGGCTGGCATAGAGAAGAGGATGCTCTTGGTTTCCTTGCTCATTCGAAGGAATTGCTTCAAACCACTCGAAAGAGTCGCCGTCCGACGGTGCAGCGGTTGACTGAGGATGACCCAGAACCTGCGCTGCCCGGGGGTTCTTTGCCAATGACTGTTTCAGACGTAACTGAACTTGTGTCTGAGGACGCCAGCACTGCAAACCTGGACTTTGGCCTCGGTTTTTCTCGATCACATGTTGTTGCGAAGGACCCGGCCGTCGAGGGTCTGCTTCTGCAAATTTTACGCCAATGCCAGCTCAACCCTAGTGGTTTGGCGATTCAGCACTTGAAAGCTCAAAGTGAGCTTTTGAGCCTTTACGAAAAGCTTGGCATTATTGACGAGCGTCCGGACGCCTTTAACCACTCCGAGATTTTGTTTCGGGAAATCTGGAATACCCAACCCTGGGACGAAGACGAGATTAGGTCATTTGAAGTGCTGGAGGCCGGCTTGCAACTTGCAGCAACCATGTTCAAGTGTGCATACGAAGCCGAGGCCAAGACAATGTTCAAGGCGGCTGAGGCCAAGTCAAAAGAGCAGTTTGGAAATGATGATGAGCGGACAATTTGGACTCTTATATCTACTGGGTTAGTATATCAGACGTACGCGTCTTGGGACGTCGCTGAGCCGTGCTTTGAGAGCGCATTCGCCCGAGCCCTTTCTACGTGGAGCGACAAAGATGGGATTGTGAAATCTCTCCAACGGGGGCTGGATAAAAAGCACTTTTCTTATGTATCTGGTGAGGGAAGGCCATACAAGACTGTATTCGGAGTTTTGGGTGTCTCGATCCGTCCTGGTCGGCTTCACCTAGATTGAAACGGTCTTTCATTTATGCTCTTGACTTGGTCATGATATGCTGCGCACCACATAATGTTTTAAATAAGTAGGGTGGATTACATAACTTGATGAGATGCAGTTTTCTTTTCGGAAGCCGTTAATACTAGTACTTGTTTGAGTGGAAGGCATGAGCCGTAGTCGTCAAGTCCTGCGTAGATGACCCAGAAAAAGCCACGCTGTACAAACTGCGATACATCATTCAACTCAAATACAAATAACTTGATTATTATTGGTTGTCTTGACTTCCCCTCATAAACTTTTACCATTTTCGAGCCCACGCGTAAGGATACCCTCAAAGGGACATATACGCTATCCAACCTGTACTCTAGGCAAGACCACCTGATCGATGCCGACAAGATCTGCCATATGATCACCCGATCAGGACAAGTTTACGCAACAGGAGGGCCTGCAAAGCTGATAATCCCCATTCCCCCGCTCCCAAACACACGATAAATGGACAGAGTTCCTATTATTAGTTCACCCCCCTGGCTAGCGGACTACACACTATCACCATTGGTGGATCAATAACTGTGGGCTACAAGGCTGAGCGGCCCCATCACTGCTCCTAACCACACTTCGCACTCCATCCCCAACTCATCCATGCCGCCATGCCCGTCTTATCTTTTCCGAGGATCATACGCGGATACCAAACCCAAACTCCAAGGGTATCACTAGATGAATTGAAGTCTCTTAAGACTTCATCAGGGGGCTCACCTACAGTATGTTGGCGAAGATGTTCATGTCCCCGTTTTGAACGCACCGGAACTACTTCACAGCACCCTGGCAATGCGAGCATCCCGAGAAACCGGCTTTTCGGGGTAGAGGAATGTCCCTAACGCGGCATGTACTCGGATAGCCCATCCCTGATCGCAAGGTTAGAGTGATGATTCTGTCGCAGTTCATTGATGCACCACATTCAGACGAAATGAGCACGGCAGAGACCTCGGAGCTCGCCACAGAAAATGGAAAATATCGATGCTTGTTGGATGATTCATCGATGCGTCGTTTAATTGCCAGGAGTCGCTAGCCCAAGCCATTAATTTCAGGGAAACATGCACACTTATCGTCAGACGGCTGAACATTGGACCGGCGCTAGTATAGAGCTGAATGGGCGATCGCCCGACATCCATGTCTCCAACCATTGAGGTATTTTGGATTTAACCCAGAGAGGACCGTCCCATCGGCCTCATCAGGCCCGGACTACCAACCGCGTTCTATCCGGCAGCCCAGCAGACTGGGATCGGCAGTCCGTGCCTGCCAACGTGCAATGGTCTAGTGTCAGCATCATGGCGCTCTGCATAACCAGTCCGGCTTTGAGGAGGCTGGGAGATCATTCGGTGAGGGGAGGTGACACGCTATGTGCAGTTCTGCATTTGCCCGAAACTCGATTCGGACTAGAATCCTCCCGTCTCAACAATGCATCCTGGCGAGCTTAGCTGGTGTTGTCCCCTATAAAGAGCCGGGACATCCTCAACCATCTTCCCCGGACGATCCTCTCCGACTCCTTCTCACCTTGCCAAAATTCTTCACTGTCAGACCGTCAAAATGAAGACCAGTTTCGTTGTTGGTTTCTTTCTCTCGCTCCTCACTGCCACGGCAGCCACCTCGCTGGATGAGCGGGGCGGCAAGAAGAAGCTCGTCGAGATGCCCATCGTCGATCTCCTGTCTCTCCCCTCGGACGAGCGTTGCCGAGGAGTCGGCGACGATGAGGGCGACTTGATCAAGCGTGACGACGGCGATCTCGAGTCCCGTGCTTCATGCGACAGGTGCACACCCTACCTCTGCAAAGGTCGGTGCTGCAGATACAACAAGTGCTGCAAGAAAGAGTGCTGCTTGCCGGTGGCAGACTACTGTGGCAAGGATGGCCGCTGTTATATTTCTTGTTAATTGATGTCGAGAAGCTTTGCAGGAGCTTGTGAGTACCCAACAGTGTTTATGGGATGGTGGTGGTAGCTTACCTCTCATACCTAGGCTTCGATTCCCGCGAAATAGGCGAGGATCCAGTGACCAAACGACGGATATGACATGAAGTAAAAAATTATGAACTCAGGATGGAAAGGATATTGAGCTTGTTGATGATTGGAAATTGGCCTTGCGTGGAACCAGAGCAGCCGCGACGCCGAATGGTGATACCTGTGTTGTATGAGCTCGAATTGGATCTTCGCACTATCGCCTTAGGCAGCGCGCGGTCTAGTGCCTGGTTGAGTAAATAATTTCAAGGGACCAGGTGTATATACGACATCCATACAGGCCGTTGGTATGGAGCTCCTCTTTGCCTCGTTACGTGCCAGGTTTAACAAATAAGATGAATGATTCTTGGACTCACACCAGCTACTACTGCCTGCAATTGCACCGCACATCTCCTTTCTCTCCTCAAACTATACGCATGTACCCCAGCGAACGTTTTATACTCTTAGGGGAGAGCCAAGGTTGTATTTGTAGATTGCTGGGCATACCGTGGCGGGTATGGCTCTTGGTGCCTTCACGATATGCCTTTGGGTTAAAGCAGCTAGCTTCAAGGGCCGACACGAGTGCAGTCACTCCGGCGACTTGTATTTTTTGATGCCAGTATGCCAGCTACGTTGAAATTACGGTTGGTGAGGAGATCAACGATTCTCGGGAACTGATCAAGAGTTCTCCACTTCGCCATCTTGCTCTGTACACGCAGATTCCTTCATGCACACAAGCATATTCAATAACTCCAATATCACAATCTCGCTATTCATTCGTAAGGAGTTCCCTTTCTGAGCGTCATAGAAGGCCAGCTATTCGATACTCAACTTATGGCGGATTTTAACACAAAGAGCTGAAGAAATGCAATGCACGTAAATGTTCCTGGACTATTTATTCCAGCCTCAAATATGTTACGCCGGCTTGTGTTTCATGGTGATACTATAGAAAGGCTGGGGAAGTGCACTTGAGATGGTGCCCGCTGTGGCTCAGATGTCCCAGTGGTCATGGCCCGTTTGTTGGTGAACAATCGTCTCCCATTCGATTATCCTCAACGTCGTGTTCGGCTATGGCTCTTAGAAGGGGAAAGGCGGGACAGCATGTGCCCTGAGTTTTTCCAACATGAGGAGTCCGTGTATTCGGATATTTTAGGCTATCAAAGATAAGAAGAGCAACTTCCAATGATGAGAGGGTTCAGCCTCATGAGGCGGTGGAAGTGTTCATGCCAAGGTCCTACGATTAGTCAGGCGTGTTCTGTTCAAGTGCGGGGTTTAGGCTGAATCTCAGGCTGACAGGGAATTTGCAACATTGCCCCATCATCCTCTCTACGCTATCTCCACCATCCATGAAACCTAAGAGAATACCATGGTTCCAAGCTAGTCAAGTCGAGGGCTACTATCAATGACAAAGAAACTTCCAACCTATCGCGACCGCTCGAGACCGATCTTCCTCCCTATCCAACGACCGATAAATCGCGTGACACAGCCTGTTTAGTGCCTCGGGCACGTTGGAACGAACATTACGAGTAGCTCAACTATGGCCCAAACCACGCGCCCAGCCAGCCGCCGCGACTTCGAAATTGCCATAATCTGCGCCTTGACGATAGAAGCCGATGCTGTGGAGGCTCTGTTTGATCGCCACTGGGACGACGAAGGCCCCTCCTACGGCAAAGCTGCTTGCGATGCCAACGCCTACTCGACCGGCCTCATCGGCCGTCATAACGTCGTCCTTGCCCACATGCCTGATATGGGTAAAGCCAACGCCGCGGCTGTCGCAGCGAACTGCCGCACGAGCTTCCCCAGCATCAAGCTCGCCCTTGTTGTTGGGATCTGCGGTGCGGCACCTCAAGCGGATGGGGACGATATTGTACTCGGCGATGTTATAATCAGCGAAGGTGTCATCCAATACGATCTCGGTCGACAGTTTCCAGAACGTTTCGTGCGTAAAAATACTCTCGGGGAGTCTTCATCGGAGATACGTTCTCTCTTAGCGAAGCTGAAAGGCGTACGTGGCCGGATGAAGCTCATTAGCAACATGACGAGCTCTTTGACCAAGCTCCAGGGACAGCCAGCGCTGAAAGCTCAGTATCCAGGGGCTGAGCATGACCGGCTCTTCGAAGCATCATACCGCCACCTCAGCGATGGGAAGTTGTGCGAAGACTGCGGCTGCAGCGGTACACTAGTTTCACGCCCTCATCTTGTACAGGCTACACCACCACAACCTGTGGTCCACTTCGGCCTGATCGCGTCTGGTGACACAGTGATGAAATCCGGATTGGATCGAGACCGGGTTGTACAGCAAGAGGGCGCCATCGGCTTCGAGATGGAAGGAGCCGGAGTGTGGAACATATTTCCTTGCGTGGTGATTAAGGGTGCTTGCGACTACGCAGACAGTCACAAGATGAAGGTGTGGCAACGGTATGCATCAGCAACGGCGGCAGCCTGCTCAGCGGCGTTCCTAGGATTCTGGGAGCCAGCAAGTCCTCCACATATTGACAATGCCAATTCTTCTGGGACGGACCAAGGTTTCACTGGCCCCTGGTGTGAGTGATGGCTTTTTCCATCGTTTATCTTAGTTTATAGTGTCTAACCTGATCCCCAGTTCTCGTCCCATTCCCGAAGAACAATGGCTTCATCGGCCGAGACGCGATACTCAAGAAGTTACAGCAACATCTGATGGGGCCGCTGTATTCAAGGGCCTCACTCTTCGGTCTGGGTGGCATAGGGTGAGTCGCTTACTCGGATCTCACTTCATGACTAACAGGAAAAGGAAAACCCAAATCGCGTTAGCATACGTCTATTGGCTTCATGAAACATCTCCGGATGTGTCGGTTTTCTGGGTCAATGCGAGCGGCGCCGAGCAATTACAGCAGTCTTTTTCAGTCATTATCCGGGACTGCCAGGTTCCGGGTTGCAATGATCCTAAGATAGACGTGCTGCTGATGGTCAAGAAATGGCTAGAGAGCAAGGATTGCGGCCGGTGGCTCATGATCATCGATAATGCCGATGACGTGGAACTCTTCTCCGAAGGGCCAGGGCCTAGAACTCGCACAATGGCTAACGGCGCCGATTTTGCACGCTACCTTCTAGAATGTGGACACGGAAACATCCTAGTTACGACACGAAACAAGCAGGTGGGACTGGATCTAACTCTGGGGCAGCCTCCAATCAAGGTTGATCGGATGGATGAGAATGAGTCAGAACACCTCCTGCAGACAAGATTAGAAGACGACTCATTCAGCCACACCGATCTGTCAAATCTTTCGACTAAGCTTGATCACGTTCCGTTAGCCCTCACTCAAGCTGCGGCATATATCGAGAAGAACAGCATACAGGTCAGCAAATACCTCCAACTACTGGATGAAGGAGACCAGAGTTTCGTCACGTTGCTCGGAAAGAAATTTCAGACGGTAGGAAGATACCCAGAAATTCCTAGGGCCATCACACAGACGTGGATGCTATCCTTCCGAATGATACAGCGACAAAATCCCTTTGCGGCTGAGTTGCTATCGCTGATGAGCTTCTTGGATCGACAAGCAATTCCAGAGGCATTCCTCTTGAGCTACGGAGAGCGTAACGGTCGTACGGATCTCCTCGAAGCCGTGGGTGTTCTGAAAGCATTCTCTCTCGTATCGGAAGATAAGGACGATAATCTCAACATGCATCGACTCGTGCATTTGGTGACTCGCAAGTGGCTCACTGAAGAGAACACTGCAATTCACTACGCCGGCCAGGCGCTCTTGGCAGTGGCAAAAATTTACCCATTTGGCAAGTTTGAGAACAGGGAAAAGTGCAGTGCGTATCTGCCACATGCAAACGCTGTTCTTAAAGATACTTTTAGTATGTCAAGAGCTGTGGCAAAGTGGAAGGCAATCCTCCTCCATAATACGGCCGAGTTTTTCTATTTTAAGGGTAAATACCGCGATTCGGAGAGACTTTATGCAGAGAGTCTCGCGATTTGCAAGGAGGTATTGGGCGATGGGCGTCCTGATACACTACGAAGCATGCATAACCTAGCATGGACACTAGGGAAACAGGGGCGCTGGGATGAGGCTGAGGTGCTACAAGTAGAGGTATTAGAAAGTAAAAAGAGGCTGTTGGGCAATAAGCATCCCGATACACTACGAAGCATGAATAACTTAGCATCAACCTTCGGGAAACAGGGGCGCTGGGATGAGGCCGAGGTTCTGCAAGTGGAGGCATTAGAAAGTCGAAAGAGGCTGTTGGGCAATAAGCATCCTGATACACTACGAAGCATGCATAACCTAGCATTGACCTTTAAGAACCAGGGGCGCTGGGATGAGGCCGAGGTTCTGCAAGCGGATGTATTAGAAAGTCGAAAGAGGCTGTTGGGCGATAAGCATCCTGAGACACTACGAAGCATGAATAACCTAGCATCAACCTTCGGGGACCAGGGGCGCTGGGATGAGGCCGAGGTTCTGCAAGTGGAGGCATTAGAAAGTCGAAAGAGGCTGTTGGGCGATGAGCATCCTGATACACTACGAAGCATGAATAACCTAGCATCAACCTTCGGGGACCAGGGGCGCTGGGATGAGGCTGAGGTTCTGCAAGTGGAGGCATTAGAAAGTCGAAAGAGGCTGTTGGGCGATGAGCATCCTGATACACTACGAAGCATACGATATCTGGCTTGGATACAGGAGCAACGAAAAAAGTCTGACGAGGAGGCATTGGCGGGAAACTCCTAGCATGGCGATTTTTTACAGTCTACGTAGCATTGAGAAGCAATACCTGAAAACGTAAGCAGTGGAAGAATCTGGGGAGTTGGGCGAGAAAGAGGAAACAAGTTGATTTTATGTATGGCATACAGCGAGGATATCAACAGAGAAGTCGCAAATAAGCTGATGGTACCCTTATGTATGAGTGAAAGCGACCAACTTAGATACACTTTCCCAAACGCGCTTGAGCCAGGACGCGACCAAGGGGTAATGTAGGGCAACAAGAGTTAGTTCCTTTCCTCTACGGTCCGTTTCGGTTTTAAGCAATTCCAAGTTGAGTTTAGTAGATACAGAGCAGTGGCAAGATGGATATGAATAAAATAGAGGTACAACTAAACTAGCACATAGCATAAAATATCCATAGGTGATGCTAGAATGAATTGGTATAGTTTGACACAGGCTTCAACCTACATCAAATACCCATTGTATTCCCGAAACTCCTCCAACGGGGCAAACCCTCCCAAAAAGAAATCCACTATGTCTTTGCCAGCCCAAATGGAGGAAGGCAACGCGCTTCTCGTTACTTTGCAAGTGCCACTCAATGCAATTTCGATCGGGTCTTCTGTAGTAAGGATATTGCGAACAGTTGGTATTGATTCGATGCCATCATTTGCATGCGAGTTCCCCCGAAATCTTTGTATGCATCTTTCAGTAGCGACGCCCATCGGTTTTGGAAATTTGGTCGATTGGCGTTTCTCCTGCACAGCGATTCCTGAGGAAGTCGGCCTCGGGACTCACCAGACCTCCAGATTTCGACTCTTCTCTGGCAAGACGGGTATCGGGGACTGCAGGTGCTAAACAACCATTCCTCATGCGGCTCACAAATGACGGGCTCAAATCAACATTGCACAGCGTTATTCGGCATGGACAGGAAGATCGAATTTCCATGTCATTCTGTTTCGGTGCGATCACCCGCTATAAGCTATCCATGGGCAATTGACTGACGTCAAACTAGGATTCAACTTTAACGAGAAACTTGAAGTTCTTCCGAGTTGCATAAGAGAGAACAACCCCGCCAAATATGAGCCTAAAACGTGGGGTGAAGTAAGATTTAAATAACATCGCACGTTGTGAAACTGGCTGCGAGGCTCTGAGCGATAGAGGAGAAATTCAATTAATGGCCACCCGCGACTAAGTTATGGCGTCATGACAGGAGACAATGATGCCACAAATATTCGAGCGACGCCAAACGTCAACGAAGCGGATGTAGACAACGACTAGGCCTGGAGGCTGAAGGCGACCCCGCTTCTCCTCGCTGCAGTGCGCGAGTTCAAGGTCAAGGACGAGCCGTTCTGAGTAGTGATACACCGAAATTCAGCAAATTCAATAGTGCATAAGAATCTCGATGTGCATGCATAATCTGGGTCGGGTCATTGACGTGATTGAGATTGGCTCGAGATTAAGATGGAAAGTGGCGCCGAATTGGCCGTGTTCAGATTGGGAGAGCAGGAGATGGCGATGGAGCATGCGCCAAGTATGGGGTGGATAAATTTTACAGTGTTGCTCCAAACTCGCAATGTGGAAACACCTAGCGAGAACTTCATAAATTCAGTTAATGCAGTGTGCATTTATTGTTGGGAATGGCCGTGGCTATATTGAACACTCGATACATGGATACAAAAACATGACCCGTCAGCAAGAGTAGATGCATGCTTGCTTGCAGACCTCAGACGGCGGGACCTCGACATTCTAGAGCCACGCCTCACAAACGGCTGGGAGTCCTCACCCCCGACGACGGCATCTTGTTGTCCTTGGGCACGTCGAAGCGGTCCAGGTTCATGACCTTGTCCCACGCCGCCACAAAGTCCTTGACGAAGCGGAACGAGCTGTCGGCGCTGCCGTAGACCTCGGCAACGGCGCGCAGCTCGGCATGTGAGCCGAAGACCAGGTCGGCGCGCGTGGCGGTGAACTTGGGCGCGCCCGTCTTGCGGTCGCTGCCCGTAAAGACGTCAGCGTCGTCGGTGGCCTTCCACGCGACGTTCATGTCGAGCAGGTTGGTGAAGAAGTCGTTGGTGAGCTGCCCGGGGCGCGACGTGAAGACGCCGTGGGATGAGCCGTCCCAGTTGGTGTTGAGCGCGCGCAGGCCGCCGACGAGGACCGTCATCTCGGGCGCCGACAGCGTCAGCAGATGGGCGCGGTCGACGAGGAACTGCTCCGCGTTGGCGCGCGACGTCGACTTGCCGTAGTTTCGGAAGCCATCCGCGATTGGCTGCAGGTGGCCGAACGACTCCACGTCGGTCTGGTCCTGGGAGGCATCCATGCGGCCGGGCGTGAAGGGGACGACGACGTCGCGGTGGCCGGCATCACGGGCGGCCTTTTCAATCGCAGCGCAACCGGCCAGGACAATCAGATCGGCCAACGACACCTTCTTGCCGTCGCTGCGCGAGCTGTTGAAGCGGCCCTGCAGGTTCTCCAGCGCGGCAACGACCTCGGCCACCTGCGCCGGGTTGTTGACCTCCCAGTCCTTCTGCGGCGCGAGCCGGATGCGCGCTCCGTTGGCGCCGCCTCGCTTGTCACTGCCGCGGAAGGTCGACGCCGACGCCCACGCGACCGACACCAGCTTGGACACGCTGAGCCCGGACGCGAGGATGTCGCGCTTCAGCAGCGTGACGTCCTTGTCGCTGAGCACCAGGTGGTCCAGCACGGGGATGGGATCCTGCCAGATGAGCACCTCGGCCGGCACCTCGGGGCCCAGGTAGCGCACGCGGGGGCCCATGTCGCGGTGGGTCAGCTTGAACCAGGCGCGCGCGAAGGCGTCGGCGAACTGCTCCGGGTGCGCGAGGAAGCGGCGCGAGATCTTCTCGTACGCCGGGTCGAAGCGCAGCGACAGGTCCGTCGTGAGCATCGTCGGCCGCTGCTTCTTGCCGGCCTCGAAGGCGTGCGGGATGCTCTCCGGCCCGTCCTTGGCCACCCACTGGTTGGCGCCCGCGGGGCTCTTGGTCAGCTCCCACTCGAACTTGAACAGGTACGTCAAGAAGTCGTGGCTCCACTTGACCGGCGTGCTCGTCCAGGTGACCTCGAGGCCGCTGGTGATGGCGTGCGGGCCGGCCCCGGAGCCGTGGCTGTTCTGCCAGCCGAAGCCCTGCGCCTCGATGCCGGCGGCTTCGGGGTCAGCGCCGACGTGGGAATCGGGCGCCGCGCCGTGCGCCTTGCCGAAGGTGTGGCCGCCGGCAATCAGCGCGACCGTCTCCTCGTCGTTCATGGCCATGCGGCCGAACGTGTCGCGGATGTCGTGCGCCGCCGCCACGGGGTCCGGGTTGCCGCCGGGGCCCTCGGGGTTGACGTAGATGAGGCCCATGTGCGCGGCGGCGAGCGGCTTCTCCAGCTGGCGCTCGCCGGCCTTGGTTCCGGCGTTGGTGCCGCCGTAGCGGACATCGTCGCCGAGCCAGGTGTTCTCGGCGCCCCAGTACACGCTCTCGTCGGCCTCCCAGACGTCGGCGCGGCCGCCGGCGTAGCCAAACGTCTTGAAGCCCATGGACTCGAGGGCCACGTTGCCCGTCAGGATCATCAGGTCGGCCCACGAGATCTTGTTGCCGTACTTTTGCTTGATGGGCCACAGCAGGCGCCGGGCCTTGTCGAGGCTGACGTTGTCGGGCCAGCTGTTGAGGGGAGCAAAGCGCTGCTGCCCCTGATTGAAGGGGTTAGTCTTTATCAATTGAGAGAGACTCGAGATGTCTTCTTACCTGTCCGCCGCCACCCCGGCCGTCAAACACACGGTACGTTCCCGCGCTGTGCCAGGCCATGCGAATAAACAGGCCGCCGTAGTGCCCGAAATCCGCCGGCCACCAGTCCTGCGAATCCGTCATCAGCGCGGCAATGTCCTTCTTCAGCGCCTCGTAATCGAGGCTCTTGAAGGCCGTGGCATAGTCGAACTCGCCGCCCAGCGGGTTGGTGACGGGCGTGTGCTGGCGCAGGATGCCGAGCTTGAGGGCGTCGGGCCACCAGTCGCGGTTGCGGGTGCCGCCGCCGTTGACGTTCATCAGGCGATGAGCGGGACACTTGCTCTCAGCCATGTTGGGAGATTTCTTGTTGGTAGATGTCTCAAAATGTGTGGTAAGATTAGGAGAATCTGAGATAAATCTGAGATAAACCTGAGATAAATCCTAGAGACAATCAGATCCCCTCGAAAAGAGGGTTGACCCGGCGATTTATCCCACTACCGGTATTCCGGGACCCCGCATTGAATGACCAATCCTCAGAACCTTGTTGGCTAGTACTCAGTAGCGTTCCGTAGTGTTCCTCCATGACGCTTCCTCACACTCGCCAACCCAATCACCCTCCGCCCTCGTCGCACAAATCCCTACCGCTTGCTACTCACGAGGGTCACATTTCGTCAATTCACACCAGTCGGGACCCATCTGCCGTCGTCTCGGATGGGGCGGGCGGGGTAAAGCGGGGGTCGGAATTCGTCAAGATTCCGAAAGTAGAAATAACACCCTTTGCCGATAACGAGTTAGTTGGCCTGTGTTTGTGCCCCCGTACCGGCTACTCGCAGGTGCAGTTCCGTACCGACTCTAGACCAAACGGCGCGTGTAAAGAGACATCTTCCCCGTCTTCCAATTCCTTGGCTTGTCTACCGTCGGAGCTAAGTCGGAAATGCGCCGCTAGTTCTGCACGCCGCCGGCATAAACACCGAGACAACCCCGCAGTTCATGACCTACCCTACAGCGAATCCGATCCACGACAGATAATCAGCGTACCATTTCTTTTCTATGCCAAGGCCTGTAGCTGCATGCCGCGTAAGACTTGGGCAATTAGGCAAATGTGCAACTGTTACTCCGTCAGGTGGCCAATGAGCTCTTCCGACGGGATGTGGACCACACGGAACGTTCCATGGTGAGTTCATTCCGTATAAATGCTGCCGGGAATGAAACAGCCCCTCGTCTATTTGAATGCAAGGTCCGACCTATGTCGTTCCAGGTCGGATTCAAGTGAATCCATCCCATATATCCATGTATACACTCCATGTACCACAAAAACCCTCTGCCTCACTCCAGCGTAGACGGCACCTTACGTGCGGGGAACTTGGCCTCAAACGCAGACATGGCTCGGATAACAGCCCCCTCATCATACCGCCTCCCAACAAACGCCATCCCAAACGGCAAGTTGATGCCATCGTACCCAAGAGGAACATTTCCCACCGGCAACCTCCCCACCGCGCCGAGACGAGCAGCGCTGAACTCGGTCGGCAACACGAGCACGTCCAAGTCGTACTTTCGGAACAGCACCGCTGGGCCTTGCTCGTAGAGGGCTTCTTGCGTGTATTTGGCGAGCCAGTATTCGCCGGACGTGTCTCGGTTGCTTAGTTGGTCCGCTGCGATAAAGGTGGACATGCAGCATTGGCCTTCTGGGGACTCGAGGCTCCAAAGCTTGGTCATAGAGTCGATGACTCCTTCGAGAGATTCAATCGAAGAATTTGTACGCGCTGTCTGTAAGTAATGTGCTATGTCTGCTTTGAAGTCGTACTCTAGCCAAACGTTAGCCCCAAGTCCGACAACTTGAACTGCACTTACGGATCTGGATGGTTCCATTGTTTACCCTCTCAGCGGCACCGACGAATGTGTAGTTCCAGTCTGAGTAATTGGGCAACGGCGTTTCGCGGACAATGGCACCAAACGAAGTCATCTTCTTCAGAGCTTTATTGAAAGCCTTGGCCATCAACTTCCCGCGCTTGGTTGACGTGTCGAAAAAGGGCTCGCGGATGACCCCAACGCGCAATCCCTTGAACCCATTAGGATCGAGGAACTTGGTGTAACTCTTGGGCCGGAACGGCGCCACCGGGAAGGTATACGGGTCGTCGGGATCCTCCGCGGCCATGATATCCAACGCAACGGCGACGTCCCACGTGCTTTTGCCCATCGGGCCCGTCGTGTCCTGTGAGCTGGAGATGGGCACCACGCCGCTCCTGCTGGTCGTCCCCGTGGACGGCCGCAGCCCGAACAATGCATTTCGGCTGGACGGGTTTACAATGCTGCCCTCGGTGTCGGAACCGAGTGCGAGAGGGGCGAAGCCGGCTGCGACGCCGGCGCCAGAGCCTGAAGAGCTGCCGCTGGGATCGCCGCCGGCTGCGAAGCCTCCGACCACGTATGGGCATGAGACTTGGCCGCCTCGAGGGCTCCATGCTGATGCGTTGACGCCACGGATACCGGAATACTGGCTATTATCAGAACAGTCCATGAGATTCCAGAACAGATACTTACCTCGTCCAAGTTGGCCTTGGCCAAGATTATGGCGCCGGCGTCTCTCAGTCGCTTGACGACGAAGGCATCGCCCTTTGCTTCTCCAGCATACTCAAGAAGGGCATAAGAACCAGCCGTAGTGTTCATTCCAAGTTCAACATCGGTATTGTAATCTATTCGCAGTTAGATCGATCCCGAACAAAATGTCTGTGGCGGGTTCAACGTGCTGTCTTTGACGAGAATCGGAACACCATGCAGTGGGCTTCGGATCTTTCCCTTTGACCGCTCTCTGTCAAGATGCTTGGCTATGGTCCTGACGTTGTCTCCTGGTGCGGTCTCGATGATAGCGCGGAGACCAAGGCCTGTGAATGTTAGAAATGGAGGAGTGCATGAGAGCGTCGAGAGTATCGGACGTGCCATTGATGTTGTGAGCCTCGATGCGATCGAGGTAGGCATTCACTAGCTGGAGCGATGTGAACTGGCCGGCATCAAGAGCTGCCGAAACGTCTTTGGCTGATGCCTGCAGCAGGTTCAAGTTGCCGACTTTAGTCACGTAGGACGTGACCCCGACAGCGCCCATAGCTACAGCCATGAGGCAAAATGCCGGGTCAAGGATCAAAGAGGGCTTCATGTTTGGTTTGTCGTGAAAAAGTACGTCAATCTCTTTGAAGGTAGACAATTTGGTTTCGTTCAACTGGGCGCCTCAGATACGTATTTATGCTACATGATGGTGATTATCTTTCACATGGACGACAATCTTGCCAAGGACTTTGTGATAAGAAGTAAACCAGCATATATTAATGACTAAATGATATGACCAGACGAGCTCAAAAACGTCAGATCGTACAGCTTCGCAAGGAAGCGGATGTGTGACGACTGACGAGCAAAGCGGCAATCATGTATCCGCAAATGATAAGTTGTTAATCGCTATCTCGCTAGTCCAAAAATGAGCTTCTGGGCTGAGACCCCACGAGATTATCCGAGACATCTTATTCGCCGGTAAAACTTAAAGGGAAGGAATAAGATGAGATGTATTTGTCTGATCTGGTAATTCTGTAAGTGAGGTCCAACAGTTTGAGTAGTGTGACAGGCGGTTAGGGACACTTGGGCTAGCTGGTCGCTAGCGGGGATGTCCCTAGGGTGACCCGGATGGGGTTAAAAGGGGAGGTCAGTGCCGTTACTGGGGGAAATCATGGTCTTTTTCTTTCATCAGAGATTCTTCCTAGAAGTCAGAGAGGCCGGAAGGGCTCGAGGCTGCTAGGGAGTCTATTAATTGATTGCCTTCATTTTTGAGAGATTTATTTGAGCCTTCTTGCCGTTACTATATTCCCTGTCCAACCTCCGTCTTCAACCTCCCTCAGATATCGGGCTGCCGCAGGCCCCATTAATGTCTTACCAGCGAACTTTCCTGCGACCGACCCGATATTCTATCTCATAAGATGCTTCCCTATCAGGAGACATAAGCCTCAGATTGATCCGACCTCATACGCGTAATCTGGTGCAGCTTCGGGCTGACCGGCCAAGATGTCTGTGCGACGACTCTCTGTGCATTTCCCTTAGGGTAAGTTAATGAGTTGGGTGTTATTTCCGTTCCTTCCTGCTGCTAAAGTAGGGTTTTTTTTTAGCATAGGAAAATATATAATAGATTGAGGTAAAATAGCTTAATTAAATTAATAATAATAATAATAATCTTATTTTTATTATTATAACTAATAACTTTACTGTTAATCTTTGAATGGACTGGGTATATAGTCTGTATTGTTAATGCTATCGTTTGTGCTTTTTTTTACTGTTGAGCTTCTAGTCCCCCCTCTGGGTATGTGTACTAGGGCACTCTAACCTCTTAATAACTAATAACTTAACTGTATATTAATTATCTTTCCCAGTAAGGGATCTACCTTATCTACAGTCTCCGTAACCCCCGCTTCCTTAGTCGCCCGCCGGACCGAATCCCTCCGTCTGACAGTATTCCCTGTCACATGCATCCAGCCCGGATGCCTCTGTCATCATATCTTCCATCACTCTAAACTTTATCAGATAGATTCCCCTGAATTGGAAATTGTTGTTACAATTACCCGGCGGCTTACCTTCCGACGCGTGTCCGTGCTGACCTTCCCGAACATCTAGAGGCATCCAAAAAAACGCCCTTACCATCTATCTCTCATCAAGAATATGCTATCAACATCTGTACCATGGCATTGTGGGTTTGTAGGACCGTGTTTTCTAGGCTAAAAGTATCGTGGCGTATCATATAGAGAAATTGTTCTAATACTATCACCACGGCCTAGTCGACATTCCAGGCAAGTTGTAGCAAGTCTTAGTTAAGGAGAGTAATATTAAGAAATAGTGAACCACTCCGGCCGGAGCCGGTCATACTCAAATGGTCCACTGATACCTACTGCCTCCCATTCCTGAAGTCAACCAGACTTGAGATACTCAGACTGCCGAATGCAACTACTCTGGGTTTCTACGCTCTTGACCTTGTCGTGCTCTCAAAGTAAAAATATAGAATAGCCCCACACTAAGGAGCGTGAGAGCAACGGCGGCAATAGCGTAGATCCAGATGTATCCGGACGGTCCCCCGCCGCTTGGTTCATCCCCGTTCCAGTCAAAGAACCCCATGGAGAAGAATGCCTCGAACACTGTTAGTTCCGAAGAAGTTGCAGCTATGTAAAAGCCACTAACCGTCACAAACGTCGCGGGGAGGAAGATCATCCCTAGGACCGCAATCGATTTCATCACACTGCTGTCCCGCCGCGTCAACTGGGCGACCTCCAGGTTGACCTTTGATATTTCGAAATTGGTTTTTGCGTCACTGCGTCCAATGTGACTCAACTCCTGGGTAAAAATTAACTTGGGGCATGGCGAGCTGTTTCGTTCTTTACGTACCAGTTGCGTCGCCAGGGTCAAACCGTCCATTATGTGCGTGCACTCCCTGATGTACTCATCATACTCGTCGACCAGCTCTTGAAGTCTCTCTCCGATCCTGACGCCCACTTCACGGAACTGTTGGACGTTGGCATAGCTGGAAGGTTTGTCGCTAGCGAACTCGGTGGATCCGAGTTCTTCGACATGGTTGATCATGTTGCGCAGCTGACACTGCCAATTTCCTAACCCATTTCTTAGGCGGCTGATCTGAATCCAGAGATCGGCTGTTGGAGGTTCAAGTTTCTTTGTTAGTAGGTATGGGGAGCGTGATTCCTGGGCCTTTTTTCCATCTTCCACGCTGTCGGTGGTTGAATGCGTCCTCCATAGCCAACTGAAGGCCGTTCCCAGACTTGGCAGACGGTCATCAAACGTCCGAGTCCGTCCTGTATTTTCGGTACTTGTGTTTCCTGACGGATTGTCGACGAGATTTGTCCTCGAGTTGGACGGAGAGGAAGTGGCCGATGTGAGATGGCAGATTCTCTGTGCAAGCTCACTAAGCTTTGTACGAACGAGCTCAATCTGCCTGTCTCTCTCGATGTCCGCAAAGATTGCTGGCAACAGCATTGGGTGAAACACTGCCGTGTCTGAGTTAGATAGTCGACTGACGATTATCTCATCCAATGTCAAGTTTGGACAATACATGTCGGGTGTTTTCATGTCGCACGAATAGACAACGGCATGGGTGGTTAGAGTGTCGGGGAAGAAAGTCAGTGAAAACGCCATATCTTGAGCCCATGAAGCGGCGGTCCTGCAGGTGTAGACTTGGTCGGATCAGCGCTGGCACACAAGTGTTTCGGGGAGATGAGTCAGGCGTTGGCTCACCTAGAGATCTCCTGGTTGTCTGCCCCGATTCCCAGTCGAACCACATGCGAGAGAACATGCAGCTGGTGCTGCGGTTGATGGTTCGGACGATTTGGGCATGAACGAAAAGCTGCGTATTGACCCGCAAGAAAGTGCTTTTCGACCAAGGCATCTTGGAAACAAGTCCTGGGCAATGGCCCCACGGTTTACTTCCTTGGCTGCCTATTATCAGATTGATACGGCTGGAAGTCGTGGATTCCTTCGAGGGGTTCTTTAGGGTGATTAGTCGGCGGATGAATTTGAACTTTTGGATGGGAGCAACAAACCTGGTCTAACCAGTCCCGCCACTCATCTTCCGTACTTAATCGCAAATCGGTTTTAGTGTCAAGCGCCTGAAGAGAGTCAGGTGGTGTTCATTAGCGCCCAGATATTCGAGAGTTTTACCCCGTCTTCCCGCTCGATTGTAAAGACTCGACTTTCTCGAGGGTCAAACGTCAGCACCTCAAGATTCCCTTTGACGATCTCCGAAGATCTGTGAAGCCAAGACATCTCTTCTAAGTGAAGAATCTGGGGCTTAAAGATGATGTGAAATGTGATGCGGCTTCTTATTCGTGTGCGTGGTGATCTTCCTGTGTCTTGGCCCGATGGGAAATGTCAGCAGGGGTGAGTGGCTTTGCCTCGTTCCTGCCCTCACATTTAATACAAGCGCCCTGCATGCAGGCTGACTGAATATGGTAAGATACAGTGCCTCACATCTGCCTTGTCATTGATTCACCGAGAATATGCACATGCATGAGGAGCAGGCGTCCAATCGCATTCGTGCATGCTGCAGTGAACAGATACACGTAATTGCCGCGAAAACTAACATGCATGTTTAAGGCCGTGTGATGGTTAACCGAGGTCGTCGGCGTATCATTTACTGCATGGATTGTATCACTGGCTTACCCCGAGAGCCTTATACATTTCGAGTTGAATGCAGGCTTTATTGCACGGTATTGTATCACTTGATCACCCCGAGAGCCTTATGCATTTCGAGTTGAATGCAGGCTAGGCTCCAGCAGCCTAGACGTTGTCTCGTTACATATTTAATCAGTGATCCACATGGACGAAAAATGTAAAAAGGTCCTGATTCTTTACCTTGATTCCAGAGCCGCCTCATCACACACGTGAATCATTTGACCCTTCATTGTCGCAGCCATTTGTGACTCCAGACCCCACGGTCAGACGAACCAACTCTCGACCACGATGATGATCAAGCAAAAGTTTTCGTTTACGTATGGGACCATTGAGATCCTCACTGCCGCCCTCACCCATGTCCTTGGGAACAGTGATTTCGAGATCGACGGGGTGAGCACGCTGTCCGGTATTTAATACTGAATCTGCGAAGTTCCAGGACAACCAATGGAATTATAAAGCCCCAAGGCGTCTAACTGACGTAAGTTTTCACTATTTCAAAGTCCAAGTTGCGTAGCTTTCATCATGCAACCACATTTCTTGCTAAGACTTAACCAGGAAGAGGTGGAGTATGTTAGGACCGAGATGAGAAAGCACACCGCCAAGGGAACCTGAGAATTGTTTCAGTTGGCGATAGACTAGATTACAGAGAATTGTGCCAGGCGGTCAGGGACTCTCGGGCTAGCTGGTCGCTAGCAGGGAGTCCTCGGGGGTTAAAAGGGGAAGTCAGAGCACAAAGAGGAGAGGATTATCACATTTTCATTCTATTGAGATTCTTCCTAACAGTCGGAAAGGACAAGTGACCTTAGGGCTGCTATGGAAGTCTATTATTGTGTTGTTTTTATTTTGGAGAGATTTATTTGAGTCTATTTTGACTGTTGTTACGCTCCTTGTCCAACCTTCGTCCTCCAGGCCCCACCTCCCTCAGATATCGGGCTGCCACAGGCCACATTAAAGCCTTGCCAGTAGGACTTCGTGCAATCGACCCGATATTTTATCTCACGATATGCTTTTCTACTTGGAGACATTAGCCTCAGATCAATCCGACCCTATATGCGGAGTCTGGTGCAGCTTCAGGCTGACTATCCAAGACGTCTGTACATCGACCTTCTGTGTATCTCCCTTAGGATGAGTTGATAAGTTTGGTGTTGTTTTCCGTCCCTCTCTGCTGCTACAGTATTTGAAGTTGCATTGACATCGCATGGAATATCTCGCGGGTAGGCATGTGTTTATTCTTCCTAGATAGCGACACTTTGTTTCTGCTTCAGTTGCTGCATCTGTGATGTCCCATGTGGGCCGATCGCCGAAGCGTCGCAAAACCTCTCATATTTGGATGTCGGATTGCTATTCTACAAACACCACGGAGTGTAACCTGACCCTCCATTCCGATATGTCTACCCCTTAGCGCCGGCCCATCCTTCGGCCGCACCTTGCGACCCGTACCTGAATCCCCGTGTACAATACATTAAGAGAGCATTCTGATGTCCGCAGGCGTCAGGGGATGCGGCGCTGTTACCTGGTAGATGTTGCGGCTCATCTGCCACCGTCTTAGTTAGAGTTCACATCTTGGTGAAAACCGCTTCGTACCTCGACAGTATAGTTGTCATTGAATCTCTCGTCGAGAAAGCTTTCGAGTTTTGCTGGATTGACGAAGCGTCCAGCAATGCTAGTGGTGATGTAGGATGCACGTCTTGCTTGGCATGCGGCGGCGGACAGTGTGTGTGACGAAAAGGTTCTCATTATGAGGACAACAAAAATGCGCTGATAAATTTGATTACTGGATGGGAGAGCAGACAAGACGATGCGGGGTTCGAGCATTATACGCGTCTGATGGTTTAAAATTGGCCACACGTTCGCTTCAGTCATAAGGCGGAACGGTCAGGGAGGCAAACAAGGAAATAAAAGGCGACAAGGCAACCAGGCTATGCCGTACAGACTGACGTGTGATTACAAGGATGTTCGGGATGATGTCTCAGCCCGGCATTAAAATGGCCTCTTCCTCTAGGAAGAGAGAATGCCCCGATGTTTGTGGCGGCGGCGCATGTCCCTCGCCTCTCTTGTACTCCGTACGCCCACGGATGCCTCTTGTGTGACAACCCTTAGCCCGATTGATTACCAATAAGAATGGCTGCTGACGGGGCGCATATAAGACATGCATATCTCGTACGGGACATGCGTAAGTGTTCTTGGCAATGCGCTGCGGTCTATAATAGGAAGTCGTTAGCGAAGCCTGATCAAGTTTCAACCTGTATGACACGTCTGACTTGTGGCACAGCCGGGACGTCTCGCAAACTACGGTCGGTGACCCCCATAGGAGGTTTTCAGCCGGATACTATGAGCCCCAAACCAGAATATTGTGCGCAATGGAGGCTTAACACAGTATGATAGGCCATGGTGGCCACGGACACTTATATTGGTCCGAGATGCCTGGCGCAGGTCGTGTTCATCTTTCCAGCACACGTCACATCATGTCACAAGCAACGCAAGACGTTGGACAGGTAAGGTTACCCTCCCAGTTGCCCTATCAGCTGCTGCCCCAGTGGCAATTCTCATTCCATGACTCGATCGCAAATTGTCATCGATCCTTGACGTGTTCATCACTGCTGATCATTGTTTCTCAGGCATTCTTGGTTGACCACAACCGTCGTTCTCAACGACAGAATCCAGAGCTGTTCCCCGATGGCAGCCATGGCAGCACAACCTTCCCAACCGGTATCTCGAGACAATCTGATGTGTCAATCACCTCGACTCAAGTATACGACTATGGGTTGAGCTTGATGCCCGGAACCGAAAGCCAGGATACATCGTTCGAATCGCAGGATGGAGACAGCATTACTGCTCAATCCGGGGAGTGGTCCAACAATGACTATCCCTCGCAAGACTCAGGCGGCATGGACAAGGACCTGCAACAATTGCTCTTGACGGATCTCTCCATCGAATCCATGGAAACGCTCATTTCCAAAGCTAAAACACGGCCAAAGGGTAGGTGTCATTGGTTACCTGCTAGCGAGCTCGACCGCATTTGCAAACGACGCATCGTTCTTCATGAGCTTATGAAGGTATTCCCGAACAATGATGCAGAAAAATACACCAAATATGTCTGTGGTGATCCCAAAGATTCCGAAACTGAAGCAAAATCGAGTCGAAGAATATTTACTATCCTGGCTAGTATCTCGAAAATCGCAGACCTCCCAGCTTTTGTTGAAGCCGGGTTGCGAGATGAACATCTTCCTTTTATTTGGCTTGAGGATTCTAGTACGGAGCTCTACAGCCCATCGTCACCATACAAGAAAAGGCCGCTACCTTGCTTCACCGAGAATACCACGGCTTTGACGCAGAAGTTTTACACGGAGCAGTGGCAGGTCCTCGTGCCCTTCATCACACAAGGCTCAAATCACGATGTCAAGGAGTACCACCTGCATAGGGACACCATCATGCCTTGGAAGACTTATGGCAAGGTGATAGAAAGCGGGTTCTCCAAAGTGCGCCGCGTGGAGATACACAACGCCCATCATACCTTTGTAAGCTTAGACCCTTCGTGAACGCGTCCGTTAATAACCCTGTCTCTCGCCAGCACCAACACAAAGCTTTTGCGCTCAAAACCCTATCTGAACACAATCCCATCCGAGCAGCCGATGAGTTCAAGTCGGAACTCGACGTCTTCCTGAAGATGAAACCACAGAATCACCTCCTCGAGCTTTGCGCTGCTTTCAGGTTTGAGAATGAGGAATCTGGCGACATCTACTCATTCTTGTTTCCTTGGGCAGACGGCGGTTGTTTGAGAGATTTGTGGTGCAAGGAACCCACCGACATGTTGCAGAGCGTAACGCCGTCCCAGTTTCTCCTCTGGATCGCTGAGCAATGCCACGGACTTGTTATGGCTTTGAATAGTATGCATGACTTGCGACAAGAAGCTCTGAAAAAGGCCAATCAGGTGGACGCCAAAAGGGAAGAAAACGACGAGTACTACGGTATACACGGCGACATCAAGCCGGAAAATATCCTCCACTTCAGCCAGCTCGACAGCCCTACTGGACTGGGTGTTCTGAAGCTTGCCGACTTTGGATTGACGGACTTTCACACGCTACGCTCACGAACGATGAAAGCACATCAAGTGAACATGCCGATGCCGGCACCCACATACAAGGCCCCGGAACTGGTCGTACCGGGGGAATACTTCTCGCGGAAAACCGACATCTGGGCTCTCGGATGTGTCTTCTCTCAGTTCATGACCTGGGCTATTCGTGGCGTCGGAAGCGTTAAGAAGTTTGACGACGAGCGCATAGATGAGAGGGACGTCAATGAGAATAAGGGTGAGAGCAAGTTTGCTCAAGATACTTTCTTCAAGGCGGAGCATTTTCCAGGAGGAGTGAGAACTACGCTGAAGACATCCACCAAAGAGGCAAGTATATTTCCAATTCTCCTTACAAAGACTATACGTTTAGTCTTCTGCTGGCCGTTTCTTATGCTTTCCTTCAAACCTAACAATCCAACTTCGGAACAATTCTGACACCCGTCCCTTAGTGGCTTGATAACCTCCACCAAACTGTCCGAGGTGAAGAAGGCAACAACTTCCTTGTAGACTTCTTAGACCTGATACAATGGGATATGCTCAAGATCAGGAGACGCATTCGAATTGGAAGCGAAGACCTTGTGGGGAGACTTGCCGAGCTCGTGCCCAAGGAACTGGATCAGCGGCAGAATCCTTATTGGAACCCCCAGCTTCCATCATTTTCTAGACATCTCACAACGGACTCCGCGCTACCAAGATGTCCGTCTGGGATTTTATCTAATGGAAAGAGGCCGGCAGATGACTCAATTGGGGGAAGCCCGAAGCGAAAGCAGTTGCCGGATCGCACCGTGTCGTTTGATCTGACGGTGAGCCCACCAGACAAGTGAGTCATGGTTTGATGCTGGACTACATCGTTCTTTTATATGTATAAGTAGAGACCTAGGTCTGCTCTCATATAGACTACATAGTTTAATTCTTTCTTCACACTGAGATGAGTCATGTAACTTGCTGCTTTGCGAGAGAAAGGAGCAGTGCCAGGTATATCATTTGGATCATGCCTTTCACAACTCCACTATTTGGAGACGCATAATCGATGAATGTCCTTGTAATCCAACAGACTTGATAACTGGGCAAAAATTTGCCATGAGTCGCGAGTATACGCTAAAAGTCCATTGCTTGCTGGAGCTTTCGGATCTAGATCTAGATCAGTGGGGCATGTGTACAAACAAGAGGCCGCAAAAATCTCGGATTAATACTGTCCTGATGGATAAATTTCGGTAGACAAACCCAACGAAAGTACTGCTCAATTGAATCACACCAGACCGGGTATTAATGATTGAGGCCGATGAGTATTTCCGATACGTACCATCGCCATGCGCGTATTATTTATAGCAACACGCCTTGCTCTATCACGACAACCTCATTTGTGTTACCAAGGTGGACGACGAGGCTCTCGGTGCCCTAACAAAAGTGACGTAATCCTGATTAGTACTAGCGGAGTCGAAGGGTGCGTTTGACGAGGGCCATCTCCACATGACGCTCGACGCTGCATCTTCATCCACTTCCAACGTCCCAGCAGCATTACAACGGTTCACCGGGTCCGATAAGGCTTCGATTGCCCCGATATCTCCAATATGTCTGCTCCAGAGGACTCCGTCCCTGGTCTTGGCCTGGATCTCACCGTGGAAGATTCGTCATCCACGTTCTTGGCGTTTGCTCAAACCTTTGACGATCCCAGCAGCGACGACGTCAACAGCGGCTCCGACTTTCTCGGCCCCAATGATGAGGGCCTGTTCGAAGAGCTGGAGTTGCTCCACATACTCCAATCCAATTCTATGCAACAAAGCCCGTCCTTTACACCAACACACGGACACGTCGACTCGTCGCAGCCGGGCCCTTCTATGTCGGATCCTGCGAGATCGACAACGACATTCCGTCCGCCTTTGACACTGACAACTAAAGGAGCGCCGCCGCCTAAAATCGGAACTCGCTTTTCTAGAGATTCAGTTCGAATCTTGCGGAACTGGCTCACAAATCATAGTGACCATCCTTTCGCCAGTGAAGAAGACAAAGACCTGCTGCAGCGTCAAACTGGACTCTCAAAAACCCAAATCGCAAACTGGCTTTCCAATTCTCGGCGTCGTGGAAAGATCCAAGGTCCCAATCTTGCCTTGCCACAGCCTTCGGATAGTTCCACTCGCTCGATTGAGATCCACCGACGACCAGGTACCCCGGCACCGAAGTCGAGGACAGAGCTCATGAACCCACTGGAACGATGGGTTGATTCTCCACCTGAGAATGAACCTGCGACAGCGACAGCTATTGCCCGCGCCATGGCATCAAGTTCAAGAGTGTCATCAGGTACGTCTATTGAGGGATTGAGAAATGGTAGAATCGATCGTTTGCCCGAGATATCCTCCTCTTTATCAACTAACTTTTGTCAGGCCGTGACAGTCCATGTAGCTTTCGTCCCTCCAACGACGGGTCAGGCACCCCCCTCTCTCGAGCTTCTTCCACAGGCAGCATTATCACTTCGCGATCAAGTGGTAGTTCTGTAAATTCCCACAAGTCTCAGGAACTAACCGGGTCCCTGAAACTCTTTGGTCGGTCGCACACACGCCGGAAACGACGCATCGCTCTCAGACAAATGCATACCAAAACATCCCTTGTCGTTCCTCTGAATACGTTCCAGTGCACGTTTTGCACAGAAACGTTCAAAACCAAGCATAACTGGCAGAGACACGAGAAATCACTGCATCTAGCTCTCGAGAGATGGGTTTGCGCCCCGAATGGGCCACGGGAGATGGATTTGGATCTTGTGCCCGTCTGCGTCTTCTGCGGTTTGGTGTCTCCCGATGGCGCCCATATCAAGACGCACAACTACTTGGATTGCCAGGAACGAGTACAAGAAGAGCGAACATTCAACCGGAAAGACCATCTTGGTCAACACCTGCGCCTCGTTCACAACGTCAAGGCAACAGACCTCGACGGACCTCTGTCGCGTTGGAAAGTTGCAGCGCCAGATATACGGTCACGCTGTGGATTTTGTGGCGTTTCCATGGAGAATTGGGGGTTTAGAGTCGACCACCTTGCGGACCACTTCAAGTCGGGCAACACTATGGCTGACTGGAACGGCGACTGGGGTTTCGACACTGATGTACTTGCCAGACTGGAAAACTCAATACCTCCATGTAAGGGCTTTGATCCAGTCACCGAAACATTGCTGACCAATTCTAGATTTCATCGAGACTGAGCGAAACACACCGTTTCCATTCGAGGCCAGCAATGCACCTTCGGAATCCCCACCCAATGCCTACGAGCTGATCGAGCTTGAGCTGATGCATTTTGTGCAAGCCTATTACGATGGGGCCAGGAAGTTACCAAGTTCTGATGAGATACAATTTGAGGCGTGTCGCATCATTCTCGCATCCGAAGCATCATCAAGTCAAGACAGTCCAAGCTCATCGTGGCTAAGAGACCTGATCATGTCCTCTGACACTATTGTGCGTCAGGCCAAGTTTAGCCCCATGCGATCAAGTGCCGAGTGTCGACTGCCGGTGCTGAAAATAATTGGCCAAGATGGCCTTTTTGAGTCGTGCTCGCTGGAACTTCAGCTCCTCGAATTTGTACGCGCGGATCATCCTGCTCCTCTGACGGATCACGAGCTTCAGCAAGAAGCATCCCGGATCATCAGACACATTGAGGATCAGTCAACTTCTCCTGCCGAGTTCATAGCCAATTGGCTTACTGAGCTGGTTGCGTCCTCAACTAGTTGGCTCGATAGCTTTCGGCTTCGAGCTAATATCCCTAGGCCTGAAACCGGCCTGGAGACAGGTCAGTGGTCGCGGGACTCGGCCAAGATTGATTCCATCATGAAAAACTACACTGAACTGGAACGGAGACTGTCTGAATATGTGGACCTACTTCGAGCGCATGGAATCGAACCGGACGACGCGACGCTGCAACACCAGGCTCAGGATCTCATTGCAGAGTTCAATGACGAAGAGTGGAAGCAAGTAGCGTCGTCCAATAACTCGTGGCTCATGGCTTTCAAGAGACGGTATCTCAATGGCCCCAATAACCAAGCCCAGCCAAATTACTCCCAGTTGACGAGCGCACCAATTGGAAGACTAATGTCCCTCGGATCGGGCCTAGCTGCACAGCTATCCTATGATACTTCAGGCCGAAGCACCTCCAACGCATCTGGGAAATCTCCAAACGTGGAGACGGGGCCAACGTTTACAAAGAGTGGTATCTTATATCCGCACAATGCTAATTTCCATCGGTGGGTGGCACTGGAGTTGGCCCGGTGGGTAGTGGCAACTATGTCCCCGAATAACCCCAATCGGCATGTCCCCACGGATGAGGAGCTACAGCATCAAGCTAGGTGGATATACTATGACGAGTAAGTTGCAAACCGCCGACCTTTAGTTCTTGATTATGGCCAACTGACAACAATTGCAGTGACGATCCGTGGAACCAGACCCCTGCCGACAACTCGGAGTGGCTGCGTCGCTTCAAGCTAGAGATAGGTATTTTAAAGGAAGCGGGAATGGAATCGACTCCGAATACTTGATCGCTAGGAATATATGAGCATAGGGAATGATACGGCCCGAAACTCATACGCTCAGATCAACTGGAATTAGACACTCGGTCATTAGGACTGCGATGTTTGGGAATGGATTGCGAAATCCAGCCCGGATTAGTGAACATTAATTTATCTCGAAAAACGTATATTGGCTACGGATCATACAGCGCCCACGATTTATTTAAATGCATTTTACCATCCAAACACGATGCTGTACTCGCTAGTATGAACATAATATTAAATCACCAAGTTGTAACATTTTATCTTGAAAGGAATCATCCCCCGACTGCGTATGGAAGTCGTTGCGCTGCCAATATTTTCTCCGATACCCCAAATTCTCGTCTGCGTTCGCCAAGGGCCGATTTATTTGAACTGTCGTATGCGGCGAGGAGCCTGCCGTCTTTGACGTAGTGGGTTACTTAGGAATCGAAGTCATTGCACGTTGAAGGCAGCCTTGCAGGCTGATCCAGGAGGTGCGGGATTGGTCTATTTTGTTGGATTTTCTGTCGCGCAGACCAGTGGGAGCGTTCATTGTTTATTTGCATCGATTATTAGGACTCGACGGCCGCGGGCGCAGTTGTCGAGGTCGTTGTAGCAATGGGTAGGGTCGTCGGGTAGTCAATGCCGCACTCCCAACAGTCCCTTTCATACCACTGGGTTGAGATGGTGTCGGTTTCTTGCAAGTAAAGCGCTTCGATGGGTTGGAAAACTCGCGTGCAGTATCCGTTGGTCGGATCGTAAGCGATTGTCAAGCAGTCGGATCTCTGGGAGCAAGCTGTGGCGCATTCTTGGAGAGAAACGCCGCGTCGGGAATCATATGAGATTAGGTTGTTTCTGGGATAGCCGGTCTTTCCACATATAGTTGCAGTTGTCATGCAGGTCGGGGATGCAATCGGTGTGGATTCGGTGGGAGAGCTCGTGGGAGCATTGCAGAGGCCGGCATTGGCCCCTGAAGCAACGAACACCGTAAAGATGCAGGCGATGAGCTTGATGGAAGGCATTGTAGGAATAGGATTCTGGCTGGTGTTGCGAACACGGGGGGAAGCCAGGGCCGCGAAAGGGTACAAACTGGACAACAGCAACGAAGTTTGGGTCCTTAGTAGGCACACTCTTTTATTTAGGAGATCGAATGGGGGAAACAGTTTAATCTTAAGCATGGCCTGATCGTGATGGACGCCGCCAACTGGTTTCCACCGGCGGTTGATGCGGTGTCGATAGATTATTTAGCTGACATGGGACCGTCTATCAAATGCGGTTAACTGCATCCTGATTGAGCTCCAGGGGCTGAAACTATTGGGGTTCTCTGGGCCAGGAATGGCTACGTTTTTAGCTTGGACAGCTGTGGCTTGGTCTCGAACTTCTTAGTGTGGCATTTTTCTGTCCCCTGTCCACATTGACATATCAGCCCCTGGCTAGCCATTAAGCATGAAGATGAAGCAGAATTAATTTTGTCAATAGACGCATGGAGGTAGTCTTTGAAAGTACTAGGGGACTGACTAGTTCGGAGTACCTGTTTTTGGAAGCATGGGTCATATATATCACTCAGAGCGTGGGCTTTACCGTATACAAGGCTGTAGGCACTCCTGATTCCTTTCCTATCCCTATCTGCATGTATACAGGCCAGCTCTTAGACACTGAATTATCCGAGCTTCTTGTACAAGTAACATGAGTATCGGTGATTTATTTTGAGGTTGAGTGGAGCGTTTATACACTACCCACCCTCGCATTAAATAGTCAGCCCCAACTCAGCCACGACCAGTCCAAGATCATCGCCCGTTTATCCTAAAAGATTTATATATTGGATCGCAGTTACCAAGAGATTAGGTATAGTATTATGCCGCACCGGCGATTCTGCGCCTCGGTAGGCCTCCTAGTCATTGCGTTCCATAGACCGTCACCTCAATGGGGCATCTACTACCTTCATAGCTCCTGTGACAATAAAACTAGGGACATGAAAATATTTTGGAAGAGCAGAGATACAGTGAATGAGTCCATATCTCTTGAATATACAGCGGACTTTCCATGGAGTCTGTATTATCAGCAGGAGGGGAAGCTACTTGGTCTAATCGAAAGTGCATATCTGAATTGAAGATTGCAAAAATTTGAACCCGAGCCTTACCCACTGTGTGTAGCTTACTCAGTTCGTTGCCTCTTGACCTTTGGCCTCTTCGCCCCTCATCTCCACCTCCGTCTTATAGTTCGCAAACTCCCGGACACTGATACGCTTCTGGAACATTTCGTCCAGCTCCTCGTAGCTTCGGTTGGCCGTCTCAGGCTGATAGAACCACAAGTATACGACACAAAGAACTCCAATTCCGCCAAACAAGTAAGCAGTCTTCGCTCCAAGGTTCGCTTGGTCGGGATTGAACAGATACGGGATGACAAATGCCCAAACGCAGTAAATGGTGTATTGCAGGGCAACTCCAATGGAGATGGTCTTGACGCGCAGTCGTGATGTGGCAACCTCGCAGAGAAGAGTGTAAGCCGTTGCGCCGATGGAAATGTTGTAAAAGAAGTTGTAAATCAGGATGAAGGCGACCGATCCCTTGATGGCTGTGGGAGTTCCAGCAGTTGCGAGACTGGCACAGATGATGAGAATCAAGGTGACAGAGACAGTGCCCCAGAAAGTTAGCGGCCGACGACCGACACGGTCAACGAGGTACCAGGAAACAATGTTGCCGGACATGGAGATACCGTGCTGCGCAATCTGTAGCTTGAAGCTGTCAGATGTGCTGTAGCCGGCGAGCTGGATGTAGTAAGTTCCGTATGAAGCGATGAAAAAGACGCCGCCGAGAGCTTGAATAGCCAAAGGCATGATGGAAATGATGGTGCGACGCAAGTTGGAACGGCGGAAGCAGTCGAGATAAGTGGCACCGGCAGCCTCCTCCTTGGCCTCTTCAAGCATGGTTTGAAGCTGAGAAATCCGCATATCGAGGTCCGGCCCAGAGTAACCAAGGCGACGGAGAGAGCTGGCTGCCTGAGCATCTTTTCCGACGCTCAACAACCACACGGGTGATTCAGGCATAAACGGAGCGAAGATGGCGCAAATACCGGCGAATCCGAATTGGGCACAGAACACAGCGCGGTACGACCAGCGAGACTCGTAGTTTCCGGTCTTGTCGACAATGATGGCTGCGGTCAACGGGCCGAGTGTGAACATCAGGGCAGTGAGGCAGGTCATAATGCCACGGAGAGCCAGAGGAGTGACCTAGAGAGAAGGTTGTTAGATGCACAATGGAAAGGATGGATGGGGAGTATTACCTCGCCAATGTAGGTGATCGCGACAGAAAGAATCACGCCTCCGACAAAGCCGTTGAGGAACTTGCCGCCAAAGAACTGGGCATTTGTTGTCGAGACGAACTCAATGGCAACAGCCGCAAAAGATACGGCAATAGATCCGATCAGCAGGGGCTTTCGTCCGAACTTATCGGCAAAGTATCCAGCTGAAAACGTGCCGATGATAGAGCTCGCAATGGGACCGCCATAAAAGGCGGATTGCCAATCGGCATCGAGGACATACGAGCCCTCGAATTCATGGCCGAAATCTTTGCGGAATCCGGGGATGCTCAAGACCATGCCTGCAGCTTGGCCCTCGAAGGAGACGAGCAGGCAGCTGATGACTGCGAGGAAGGCCCAGGCAAATGTCAATGGGCGATTCCGAATTGACTGGATGACGGTGAGCTCATGCTCTTGATTGTTGGCAATATGGGCGAGGTCGGTCTTGGCATCATGGACATGCTCGACGGCCTCAGCATCCTTGTCGTTGGAGTGATCCAATGCCATATTGAAGAGATTCTCTGGTAAAAATGATGGAGAAGAGATAACTGGTTCTGCAGTCCGAGAACAAAAGTCCTCACGCCGGGAGAGAAGCTATTTATGCATCTTCACCACTGGTCACCCCAGTTCACGCGTCCCGAGGTCACGGACTCATGCTGTCAGTTGCGAATCCGGGGTTCTCCAGCTGGGGACCCCGGAAAAAGCAGGCCACTCGTTGCATTACATCGCCCGCAAACCATCAGGTGACGACTCGAAACATTGGTCGGGGAGTATCGGTGCGGAGACAGATTCATAGTGCCGCGCTAGTTTTGCCCTTGGCTGGACGGGATATGGACTGACTCCCCACATCTGAGCGAGAGCGGAAGCTCGCAGCGTCAAACCAACACAATCTCGATCACTATATTGCCGGTGACATAGTCCTCGCCCCGCAGAGCCAGTCCATACTTGCATGAGAGGCCTTGTGTGAGAGGCCAGGAGGAGAATACTCGGATATACCCAGGCTACCGATGAACCAACCACTGCACCTCATCGAGCAACCCAACGAGACTCAGCTTCATACACAAATGGGAGACTTCCGCCGAAGCCCGGCCATGGAGCCCTTGCTCGCCAACCTTCTCTCGGATCCCTTGCCAGCCGCCTTTGCAATGTCCCGGCCCAATCAGTCTCCGCCAGTCTCATCCAGCCCAACTGCCGATCCCCCGGGTACCATTACCCCGGGAGCCGCCCTGTTCACTGCGGGAGGCGCCAATGTCTCGCGCGAATCTGCGTCGTACGCCCGGAGACGCGCCGGCACGGCTTGCTTTGTCTGTCGAGGACGGAAGACCAAATGTGACAACCAGCGGCCCGTCTGTGGGTTCTGCGCCGCTACTGGAGGAGCTTGCAGCTATCCTGATGACACGCCGTTGGACCACTCCAAGCTCGACAGAGGCAGTCTGGCCATTCTGCAGAGACTGGGCGAGATGGAACAGAACCTAACTGCACTAATGAATCGAAATGAAAACTCGCCAGGCCATCAGGTGTCCCAACAGCAGTTAGCTCCGGTAGACGAGGAAGAGCTTCCAGACCGCAGCCCTCATGTCGGGGCCAGCACGACGCAGCCCGACAGCGACCGGCCGCCGGCAGCAGACGTCGTCACTCGAAGTTCTGAGATGAGAGTTGAGAGTCTCCTTCGCTGGCCAGTCTTCAAAATCAAGCAATACCCATCGCTCACCTCTAGTCTTGGGCACGAGGGCAGCCAACCGCAAGCTGGAACCGGAGACGGCATCTTCGACCTCGACCCCGAAGTGATCACCCAGCTGGTGGAAAACTTTCTGGCTACAAACCACATTAAGAACCCTATATTCGACGTTGACCAGCTATGGAACCGTGTAAGAGACATCTCTGAAACGGGGCTCCGGTGGGATGGGTCAACGTGCCTTGTAGTAAGAATAACGTCACACTGTCTTCTTTATTCATGCCTGGACTGACTGACCATGTCAGCTCCTTATTTGCGCCGTCAGTGTGCTTGCGCCCCCGTTTGAAAACGAACTAGTACCTGGTTTTTCGAGACGACCGGAGCGTCTGAGACGCGCGGAGCTGTACTTTCAGATGGCGCAGCGACGCATTGGAATGCTTTACCATAGCAACTCGCTCCTCGCCGTGCAATGCAGTTTCTTGACCGCCGTATATCTGATGACAACTTTTCGGATCATGGCCGCGTGGAAAGCATTTTCGCAAGCTGGAACACAGTGTGTAGGGTGGCTAGCAGCTCGAGGTCATACTCGGGAGGATATGGACAGTCAATATCCTGTTGCTGTGGAGATTCCCAAAGGCGACAATATCGAGCAGAATATGGAAGAGAGTCTCTACTGGAGTTGCCTGAAGAGCGAGTTGTGAGGCTGAACCTGCTCAGAGTCATAAACATCTGCTGACTTCCAGACAGGGAATTGAGAACCGAGCTGGGCCTACCAGGGTCGAGTCTCAACGAGATGCAATACTACCACGTGTATCCATCCCCACCCAGCCCAAGTCAGTTGACCGGGGGCCACACGCGTTCGGAATCAGCTGCTCAGCGCGAGCGGGACCGCCTTGAAACCGGCTGGTTCTTCTATCTGGCCGAGATTGCTCTTCGCCGCATTATGAACGAGGCGCTGTCGGCGCGCTACTGGGCTGATTCGTGGTACTACACAACCAACTGGTGGACTGCCAGCGAGGACAACTACCGCGCCGATGTGGAGAAGTTCAAGCTGAAGCTGGAGACGTGGCGGGATATGCTTCCACCCTCTATGAGATTTCCTAGTGACCCCCACGAGGGCATCAGAGACCCTCTAAGGGGGATTCTGAGATCGCATCTAGTAGATATCCTGGACGTGCTCTATTTCCCGGCCGTTCGAGCCGTCGCCTGCAAGCCAGTCAGCGAGCTGGGGCCATACGTCCTCGCAACAACCCGTGCGGCACTCTTAAACGCCGTGTACCGCATCACGATATGCGAGGAGGGGTTCTGGTATCGCCACCAAGGAACATGGCTGATGATCCGCACATGTTCACGCAGCCTGCTCCAGCTCTTGGCAGTAGCTCTCCGCGCGCAGACCGAGCCCACCTTGGCGGGACTGCTCCCAGAGGGATGGAAATATTCCGTCGGGAGGGTCTTTGCCTTGATTGAGTACTGGGAGCCAGAGAGCCCCGATCTGGGGTTGCTATTGGCGCGGTTGAAGGACCTTGTTTCGATGCTGGAGCAGGGGCAGTAACTAGTTAATTCAATATGACTCGACTGAGTAGCTTCATTCCGTAAGGTGTCGAGTCATGAGCGTGCCGTGCCGGATTTGAAGCCAGCCAAGTAACGCCGGCAGCGGAGCGATATTCCCCGATCGGCGCCACACCGATACTCCCCGATCGGTGCCAATACTCAGCACGAGTCTGGTATACATCAACTCTATAGCATCCCTAATGGCCGATGGCGCGGCAATCTTGGCTGTAGCTTAGGAAGGCAATGTCTATAGCGGCACTAAGGTGGGGATGTTAATACTTCTTACATTCGAATCGGCGAGGGTGAACGCAGGGACGGGAGCAATATGGTTAGTGTAGCGAGATGGCGACAGGGTGTGTTAGACGCCAGGTAAGCCCGCAGCCGAGCCGCAATGTGCCCATATAAAACCCAGCTAGCAGCTCTGTCAATATCCGAGAACAGCATCTGGCTGAGACGTGCACTAAATGAATACTTGGTCACACCCGGGTATCAACGAGCAATGATGGTGAACCCGTGGCGGGTTTGTCGTGTACATTATATTGGTGTTTGAAGGTAATACCGAACTATTTCATCCGTCACCCTATGACACAGTATAGCCATAGCCCTATCGGAGTATCGTTGAACAAATGGCATTAAAAGCGAACGAGCCTCAACAGTGTTATCAACGTGTATCTCCCATTGCTCCGTGTCGTTGGCCACAGTACTATTGGGTATTTCGGCGCCAGCGTCAGGCGCACCATCTCCGCATCGACGAACGGTCCACTCTGTCCAGGTAACGATGCCGGTAGGAGTGTTCCCGCGATTTCTCATACCGTTTGGGGTTCGCTGAAACACAGCGGGCCATTGGTGGGTTTTAGTCAGGCCTGGAAGCATGTGTATGGCCGCGCGGATCGTGTATGCGCGCACAGTATCATCCCAGGGCCCAAAGTAGGGATCATCGGAAATCAGGGCAGGCTCAGCAGGTATTTCGATGAAACCGATCACGCCGGGCATCTGACTTATGGTCGGTATGTACGTTTGTAACACCTCCAGTGCAAATCGGGGAGAAACATTGCTGGGAAGAGAAGCTGTCACTGAAAAGTAGCAGCGTGATCGCATCTAAGTTAGTCAGAGATGATTAAACAATGGCGTAAAGTACTGTAAGCAACCCCTACCTCTTACGAATCAGTGGACAACCTTCTCATCGGTAGTTTGCTGCGCGATTTTCCCCTTGCAGCAGTAAGCTACGCCACTTAGATTCCTGGGACTGCCAAACGATGCGATTGGCTATGTGATTACTGACTAAGTGATGACTCAGATAAATGCTTGAAGGAAAAAGAAAAACTTGGTGTTGAATCGTGTGAGAGTAAGGGGAGCCAAGGGGAGCTAACCGGGTGGCGTTGCGAAGGAAGAATATCCTGGACACATTTCAATATTTTTACCTGTTCACGTGACATGGGAGGTTTGGTGGGTTTATCTGGTCAATAAAGCATAAATCGGTATTGTGCACTGTCCTGGATAAGGATATTTATAGAGCCCAGACCCGGTCCCGGTTATCACCGCCCAAAATGTGGTCCAACAAGCGACACAGCCAATCTCTCCCGAGACGGGAGAAACAACCGCTCTCCGCTTTAGCTAAGAAGGACTAGGTTAATCATAGATCAATCAGGGTCTGAGACTAGCTGTCAGACTTGGCTTTATCCGTAGCTGGGTCCGGAATAACCTTCTGCTTCACTAGTTCCGAGTAGCTTGTGTGATTGTGTTTCCACCAATTATAACCCTTGTTGACCGCGTTGACACGGAAACACTTGAATCTACTGTATATGTGTGGGGGAGACAAGTAATAGAGTGACTGGAAGAAACTTAACACCTTGCTTAAAGGCAGATAAAGGCCGCAGTGGCAATACGTCTGCAATAGTTAGAAATATTAATGTTAGAGATAATGCAAAGAATTAATAGAGAAAAGATATTATGGTTCCTACTGTTGGTATTATTTAATTGAATGATCGATAACAAAATACTACAGAGATAGAATAAAAACAATACTATTTAAGTCTTCTATTAATAAGAGCTAATAATAAATATAACAGTCGTGCTTAGTCTGGGCAGTCAGTCTAGAGCAGGCACAGATTATAGGATTCAGGTCCTGGTACAGATCAAAATGCAGCATATAAGCAGATGTCAGTTACTGTCTGTAACAGTTGGCAGTACGGGGGCCGCCGTGTGGGATTACTTTGGGTAATACTTATCAGGTACTGTATCAGGGATACAAGGTATTTGGGGGAAAGTAGGGGGAATTGAAGCTTTCTATGTTTCAGGAAGGAGCCTACGGTTGACTGTCTTCTTTAGGATATCCCGCCTTAGCTAGAGCTGTTTACTTGATACGATAAGTCAGTCTCATGATATTCCAAAGGGCATTTGGGACAGCAGATGGATCTGTTCGCAACCATCACCAGCTACTATCTATGTGTTGTTTTATTGGTGGTATTTTGGCCTATGGATGCCGAATTTCTTTACGAATTATTTGATCACATGATGTCCGTTGTGGTATCCCTGTTGTCTCGTCTCTTTTGTTAATTTCCATCATCTTTAATTTCAGCCTTTTCAGCTATTGAAGGCGTGCCGCCACCACAGCTTCTATCCACCTCTTGGGTGGGCTGTTGGGTCTTTTAGCCTCTCTGTTGCTCATTCCCCCCACATAGTAGGTAGTAAGGAATAAGCCTAAAACCCGAATATAGACATTGGTAACTCTAATACATACGACGGAAATATATTGTGTTCAAATATTGGATTCCCTCATTAAGGGGGACGAAATACTATGTTCAGCAAGAAAATAAGAGACCTGACATTCCAATCTATGAAAGACCGTGCTGCTTGACGATTCTTGACCGAAGGTAGATAGCTATACATAAGTCTAGAGTGCTGTACAGTCATGTTCAGTCAATTGAGCCCCCGAGCCAAGCCATAGTCGCACAGTTCGCCGCCATAGCCACAGCAGACCGTTGGATCGCCCATGACCATCATAACTTCGGGGTTAGTACACAATGGGACGTGAGGATTAATGGTGCCAAACTCGGGCTGGGTCTTGGCCATGGACCAGGCAGGGAAGTTGGGTATCGAGGGTGATTGGGAGGGGAACATGGCGGCGGCTTCGATTTCGAGAGGTGGAGAGGCAGATTCGAAGTCGCTGGTGCTGCCGGTAAAGCTCTGAGGCGACAGAGTCATGGGGTTGCTGCCAAAGCCGGCCTTTCGGCAGTCGTACTCGAAGCCGGAGCGCTCAAGCTCGAATGATGACGCCCGCTCGGGTTGGTTGCACAAGGAAAAGTCTGCGTCCTTGGACTCCTTGTCCCGCCCATTGCCCTTCTGCTTCTGCTGTTCTTCAAGCTGACGGGCCAGCTCAGCCATGCCAGCTTCGCCTTCGGGGAATACTGAATGCACGGGAAGGTCGATGTCGCCGTGGGGTCGGATGCAGCCCAGCTTCTGGGCGATGTTGTGGATTACGGGCTGACCCCGGTCGTTCATTTCAGGCTCACCCAGCTCCCAGGGTTGATTATTTAGGACCATGGAGTAGAGCTTGTGAACGGTGGCGATGAGAGCGAATTGGGTGTTCTCGAGGACTTCAGCGTACCTAGCTTTAGTGTAAGCGACATGTGGGACATGTAGGGTTTAATTTATATACCCTTGTGGCAGCTGCTTATACTCCATCTTCTTTCTAACGGCTGCAGTGCAGACCGAACTGTCATCTTTGCATCGCTTGCAGGGAAATTCACCGTCACACTTTTACATGTTAGCGGCGAGGGGTAGAATTCAACGTGAGAAGAGGACATACCTTGGTCTTTTTCATTCGACATCTTTCGCAAGCCTTCAAGACACGTTTATGTCGGCGGTTCATACCCACCGAGTGAGTAACATGGTCATCGTTATTATTCGTGGTAGCAGTAGAGCTGCCACGCTTTGAGGTCTGATGCATGACCAACACGATATTGAGATGCTCTTGCGGAAACTGTCGACTTGCTATCCTCGGCGGGAGGAGATGGTAAACTATTTGAACCCATTGCTTGTGTTGTGGGACTGGAAGGTTGTACTGACGCCCAGTCAAGGTAAATTTGGGAGTTGTTTGTCAGCTATTATGGGAGTGTGTCAAAGTGTGGGAGGCGATGAAGCCACGCAGGTAAGGCAGGATAATGTTTACTAATATAAAGGAAGAGATCCAAGGTAAAGGGTACATAGATGAGAAAAAAATGGACAAAGAGGTCGGCGAAATTAATAACGGTACCCGAGAAGCAGCCACAGTGTAGATATATATGCTCGTGTGATTGGCAATGGGAGTGTTTGAAGACGGCACTGCCGTAATTTTAGTCGCCACTAGATTATGTGATACGATGGACTACGACCGCCATGCTTGGGGTGTTTAGTGATCAGTTTTCAGGTACCGCGGGCTAGGATGGGAGAGAGGTACAGAGAACAGAAAATGGAGGGTGCTGGAGCAAAGTCGAAATACAGACCTGTGACTTTGAGCAAATCAGACCAACCAACTGATAATCCACATATATCGTCTATCAGATTGTGAGCTGCATTGAAACCTCTAATCGATCGATATCCAGACCTCAGTAGGAGGTCCCGGAGGCATTCTAGATGAAGATAATCAACAGATTCAGGATCCGCACACTATTGAGCATTAATCCCTGAGTTGAGTGTGCCGTACGCCATCCAACAACATCAATATCTTGATTAGTCTTATCTATTTCTGCAGGATGAGGTATACGTGATTTTGTGCGGGGTTTGGATCAAAGTTCAATAGCATCGAGCCAAAGCCAGCAAATTGCAACTCACTAAATTGCCATGCATCACTCTAGAGGTCACTCCGCCAAAACCGTTGGCTGGGAAGTTATGCCACGAATGCATTCATATTAAGGTCTTCAGACTTTCTCGGGATGCTCGGCACAAACCGCAGGACTAATAGTGGGTGGTCTTGATAAAACTTAGCCTCCTTGACTCGCACGTCCGCGAGACAAATTTCTGCAGCCGCGAGCAGCATGAAGTATGCCTATGCAAAACTACACTCGATACTCTCGACGCGCTTCGAGCGACTTTCAAGATCTATTACCAAAATATAAACAATTTCAGCGACGACAACGGCCCAAGTACTGGACCGCTTCAACACCCATGACCTCAAGCTCTTAGAAGCTGCGCAGAAAATCAACTCCAGCCAAGGCACGGTCACTATCCGGCATCATTAGATTGCTGCAATCCCACGTTAGTAGAATCGATTGCATTCGTCAGACCCAACAGATTCGGGTGCAGCGGGTCTTTATCTAGTTGCACAACTTCCAATCAAGAAATCCGGTTACGCTTCGCAGATGACTTCTGTCCAATATAGAGCTATTTGAAGAGGACGAAGACCGCAGACTAGATCAATCAATTCGACAACTTTCGTTCAAATGGCCTAGTTCCGCCTAATGGGTACGTGTTTCAGTTCCACTAACTGAACGCCTGCCTGCCTCGTCTGTGTCCACGCTTTCTCCGCAGCCTGGCCATCATTAATCGCTCGTCTTCATAGCCTCAAACCCTTCCTGACGCCGTTTGGCGTGGTCACGATAATCCTTCAACACGGGACGCCTCTCTCCTGTATACCCTACCAATTTCATCCACTCACCCACTGTTTTTACCCTGGTCGGTAGGATCTCGTCCAGTACTGCGTAGTCCACTTTTATCAGGTCCGCACTCCAGGTGTTCCAGAAGCCGGAAAAGTTCTGCCTATATGTTTGCAATGTGGAATCCTGATCAAGCACACTATGGCCAACCTTCGCGTCCGGAAACGGAAACACATCGGATGCGAATAGTTGGTTCAGCGTAATGTCCTTGAAGATGGCCTTCTTTCCCGTCACTTCTGTAAACGTCTTGGCCAGATACTCCCATCCCACGTTCTCCGTCGCGACCATCAGATTCAACCCGTTGCTGCGGTCTGGATTGTCGAACACCCACCGCGCGTATCGCCCAAGGTCCGCAAGGTGAATCAGCGGCGGGCGTCCGTTCCCCAGGGGCGCCGCAAACACCATCAGGTCAGGATCGTCGGGGCTCGACCGAGGTGCCAGCATTTCCGTCAGCGTCTCCATATACATGCAGCTCGTCAACACCGTCCACTTCATCGGGCTAGTCGGCTGCGCGCTGATGAAGTCGGCGACCTTGGCCTTGCCGTCCATATGCCCAGTGCGGTATTTGGGATCGAAGCCGCCCAGCTTCGACGCATACGCCAGTGATGCCCACTGAAAGTGCGCTACGCCGCGGCTACGCGCAATCTCATACATACGTATGCCCCAGTAGATCTCGCTCTTTTCGCCAATGGCGAAGCCGTTAGTATTGACCCAGGCGAGGTCGATGCCGTCGAAGGCCAGCTGCAGTGTGGCCTCATCGTAGGGGTTCCCTTCCACGAGAGTCACGCCCGGAAGGGCAGCGAGCTCGATAGCGGCCGGGGATGCCGCGGAACGGGTGAGAACGCGGATTTCGTATCGGGAATCTTCAGAAAGGGCTATAAAGAGGTTAGTAAGTATCGAGGGCCAGTACTACCGAGACCAATTACCATCGATCACCGCAACACCTTGCGCTCCTGTCCCACCAATTACCAGTACCGTCTTCTTGGTGCCTGACATTTTGAGAAAGGAAAATATATAGGTTAAATACAACAGTACAGAATAGATTGATTCAAGACTGTCTGAATGTTGGGGGTTAAAATTACTAGCTCGAAGTGGTAGGCTGTCGCTTTTTATATCTGGAATAGTAGGACAGGTCAGGTAAACTTCAGATTAGTACTTTTCACGACCTGATACATCATATTCCAAATAAAGTTTTACCATCCCCGTATGGGTGAGCTATTGCGTCTTTCGGAACTCACCACTGGTTCTCTGCTACGAGGGCATGCAGATGGCCGTCCGCCACCCCGTCACTGGGCAGTCGATGCCAATTACGGTTGGTGGCTCGGGAGGTATTTGGCTTAACTGTCAGCCGCTAATAAACCCCGTGCGGTCATAATGATCGCTTGCGAAGTGCTAACCTTCGTTCCCGGAACCGACCCTAATCAGACCCCAGAGAAGGCAGCCTTCGCGGTTTGCATCTTGCGTCATCCCACCCCTCCAGAATTCAGAAGAATCAAAAGAGCCAGTGGCTAAACTTCAATCTACTGCATGCGCATTCTTTACGGAGGATTGACCCGTGATTAATAATCGCTAAAAGATGAAGCAGCAACATTTGCATTGGTAGAGTAGGATTCAGGTTGAAGGCATGATTCGTGATTACTGAACACGGTATTTGGCTACTACATTGTTTGCATCATCTGTACCTATCCAGAAACTGAATGAATCTATGAGGTTGACTGGAAAGCCTTGTTCCTTGGAGGGTTTCCGTCGCAGGGTGGTCGGCCTGCATCGCCGTATTAGTGTCCTATGACGTATCGCTCGGTACAGAAAAAACACCACCCAGAGCTCAGAACAATTTTTTAAAAATCACATTGGATTTTCTAATTCCTACAGTTAACTTGTATCCTCTTAGGCAATTCCTTCAAATAACTCGCGAAAACGCGTTCAATTTGGGGCAATGCCGCCTAAGTAGCGAAAGGTAAGCAATGGCCCCGAACACCCATCAACGAGCACGCCACATACCTCAAAGAAGCATACAGTCAATTTATTTCAGTGGAAAGACGGCGCCAGAGCCGTTTACCATGGAAAGTTGCATACAAATACGTGGCGTCGACCATTGCGCTCATTGAGAAGGTCCTGCCATAGGTAGCCTGCAATGGGCGAGATCCTCCAGCACGTCCAAGACGCGGCCAAATGCCCACAAAACATACAGAGAGATATCACAACCATAAAGAGCTCTATCAGATTGAGCACCACTCCGCTCAACACGGTTAACTCTGCCCCCGGTGGAGGACAGGTGGTGGCACAAGCAAGGCTATCCGGCCCTCCCTCCGCCAGCACCCCAAGGCAGATCCGCCGGCAAGACCCAATCTACACCATAAAAATACCGAGTGGGAATATTCAAGCTCAAGGACTATGGACTTAGAAAAGGAGATCAAAGAACATTGGCTCGTCCGGGTGAGCTTGATCAAGATGTACTCCGTAAAGGACTGGCCTTAGATTTGCAGTCAGACTGAGTTTTCCATTTCCTAGTGAATGCATGTCCATCCCCTCCTTGCTTTCGGCTGTAGGAGGAGTAATGCCTGTTTATGAAGCGGGCTGGTTATACTTCATACGATATAAAACCCTCCCTCTTATCAATCAGAGCTGGTATGCAAGATCCTACTACCTTTAGCTTCTTTGCATAACTTGTGGCGTAGTAGACTGTATATCTGACACCACAAACACTTCATGTACGATAACCCGGTCGCTTCGCTATAGTTCGAGGCCTGTACCCGATGAGGCAGAAACTGCAGGTTCCCTTCCCGCGGGTATTTGGAATGGTTAGAGATTCTGCCTTACCAGCTACACACCTTCTTTGGGGAACTAGAAGCTAGTGTGCTAGTTAAGGAAGGTTACATACGAGGTGACAACAGCCATTCCTCTGTGCTAGTTTCAATTGGGCCTGGTTCTGCGGCTGAATGCTACCCACCCCTATCGTTATTGATGCAGTCCTGATTGGAGCCTTGCTGTCTGGGTTCTAGTCCGCAATGTATGATGTGTATGCTTATCACGTCATAAACATAAATCTATTAGCATGCCCAGACAATTTACAATAGAAGAAGAAACTAACAGTCGATCCTGATTGGCATAGAGCTTCCCTTGCTTAATATATGTAATTATCTATAACAAGCGGATGGTGACTAATTATTAAAGGGGCTCTAGATAAGGTGATAGGGAACGATACATACATAACTAGCAATTGGAAAACACGTGGTCCATCCACGGGACAGAAAGTCCTTGGGCCTTCGTTAGTCCCGCTCCAGCAACTAAGACTGAGGAGTTAACTGAAGCAGGCTAATAAATCTCACTGCATAGAGGGGTAAGTAAGTCCAGAACCCATCTTTCCCAGCTAGTACTGCACGAAAGCAAAGCGAGTGGTTCATATGCACTAGTAAGCCGTTAGTAATGCCCTCTATTTCCGAAACCATCGCGCGGCTTGATAACCCTGTAAGGTGTGGCCGTGCCAGCCAATAACGCAGCCGAATATTGTCGTACCGACGAGCCATGCTCCTGCAGTGTATTAGAAGTGATATGCGCGTTGCTGATTCATCAAGACCCTAAGAGGTGGAATCCATTGTATGGAAACGCCTCTTTCAATAGTTCCCTCTCACATGCCTCGCTAATTGTCCCTATCTTGCACGGATGAGAGAAACAATGCTGCCTCTCTATGAAGGTGGGCTGCTCCTGGCCGCGCATGCACGGCATATGTGCCGTACAACTCATCCAAGCACTATACTACAATTGAATGTGGCTGATCTGAGCAAGAATTGCATCATTTTAAGCGATTACTGGTATGGTATAAGTAGTGTGTTTTTGCGTTGAAATTGAGACATGGGCTTTTGCCATCTCGATTCCAAACCCGCTCCACTCCTGAGATCTCCTTCATTGCAAAGGGCACCCCATTCTCGACCCCACTCGCTCGGTCAAAGACATTAATACAATGCCGCACACACTCGTCACTGGCGCCAACTCCTTCGTTGGCGTCTATGTAGTCAAGACCCTAGTGGAAGCTGGCCACACGGTGACTGGTAGTGTCCGGCGGGCTACGGCGGGTGAAGACGTCATTGCCGAGCATCCTGAGTGGAAAGAGAAGGTCGACTTCATCGAGGTCCCCGATTACGCCGCTCCACACGCTTGGGACACGGTATTCAGCAGTCGCGAATTTGACTACATCGTGCACGTTGCGTCCCCCATGTTTGGGGACGAAAAGAACACAGATTATGACCGCGATTGGCTCAGGCCGGCCGTAGATGGGTATGCAACTGGTGTCCCTTATCACTGACGCGTTTGGCTGACACGAAGTGAACCAGTGAACTCTCCATCCTCAAGTCTGCGCAAGAGTTTGCAACGTCTTTGAAACACATTGCTATTACCGGCTCGATCAATGCTGTTTCCACAGGCGACGACTTGGTAGACCGTGTCCTAACCAACGAGTCTTGGAACCGCTTGACCCAGGATGATGCCAGGGCTGCCAATCATCCCTTCTATTCTTACTGCAGTTCCAAGAAGGAAGGCGAGCTGGCGATTTGGGAGTTTGTCGAAAATGAGAAGCCATCATTCGGAATTACAGTCTTCCTGCCGCCCTTGATATTCGGCCCTCCCATTCAGGCGATTAAGAAACCAATCTCGAAAGGCATCAACTTCTCTACCGACATATTCCACAGTCTGTGGGATGGCAGTAACGACGAAATTCCCAGCACCATGTTCCCGAGCTATATCGATGTGCGTGACTTGGCCGAAGCGCACGTAAGAGCTCTCACAGCCCCGGGGGCAAGGAACAAACGCCTGCTTATCGGAGGCTTCCCTTTGACTAACACAGCCATGGCGAAGTCCATCAAGGATCAGGTGAACAGGGGTGAGTTGCCAAATACAATCCTTGACAAACTGGCCAAGGAGAGCGGGGAGGACAAGACTACCCCAGTGCCAAAGATCGAGGCTGGAGAGGCAACGGAAGTCCTGGGGTTGACTTTCCGAACCATGGATCAAACTACTGGGGACACTGTGAAGAGAATTCTGGAACTGAAGGCACGTGAACTGGCTAATTAATTTTGTTACACCTGAAAATCGAGATCTCTATCCGGAACTTTTCATTGTAGAATACAATTGCGATCAATGGCTTGAAGATGCATCGGACATGGGAGACATTATTGCATCGACCCTTACTAAATCAGGTCTTGCGTATGCCTCACCACACCTAATGTAACGGATAGGTCTCTTTACTCGGCCGCACCACGCTGTCTACGCCGTCTCTCATATTCCATACTTTCGGGGGATGAGATGTTGTAAAACCCCAGGCGGACTCGGGCGGCAGGCACTTCATGCCAGATTGGCCTGGGCTATGGGTCTCGAAAAATACACAAGTATTACTGTGTGTGTCGAGTAAAGCCTCGGAAAAGGAACCTTTCGGGACTTTGCCTTACTTATCTATCTCGTGGCAGGACGACTGGCCCCAACGTTGGCAAATGTTTCAGCCAGCTCATCGCCCCAGCCATTCCCGTCAGTGGATCGCCAACTGCTAATGATGCCCGGTAATTTCCTCGGGGAGCAAGACTTCGCCTACCAGTTGGAAATGGAGAAAAAGATCCCTTCCTGCGCAGCTCTGTGGCTGATTTTCCGACTTGATTTCTGCCCAACGTTGTGCTCTTACTAGACACCGTCATACTGGTAGTGCTACTAATATTCTATCGTCATCATCGTAATACCCATCGATGCTGATCGTCGTTGCCCGAAGAGATCCTCAAAGCTATGGCGGTACGGCTTAAGGATCGAAATACAGATGTCAGATGGGGAGCAGTTCGAGCGCTCAGAGGTCAATCGGTCTTGGCTGGAGAGATCCTAAAAGCTGTAGCAGCACATGTTGAGGATCAAAATGGGGCTGTCAGAATCCAAGCGGTTCTAGCGCTTGGAGGTCGATCGGGCCTACCCGAAGAGATCCTAAAAGCTGTAGTGGCACGGCTTAAGGATCAAGACAGGGATGTCAGACGGGCGGTGGTTGATACACTCAGAGGTCAATCGGCCTTGTCCAAAGAGGTCCTCGGTCAGGTTGCGAAATACCTCTACCCGATTTGGCTGAAGGAAAGCTTTGAGGAACATTTAAGTTGGTATGTTGCGGATGGAATCTCCCACATTGACATGCCGGTAGGTCTCAGAAAAGTTCGTTTGGAAGATCAGCAAGATCGGTTCAGGGACGCAATTCGGGAAGCGCAAAGGCACTTGGGTATTCCACTCCCTGACACTTCAGGGATGGAACGCTGGGTTAAGTGACATACGGCTGCAGGATGAATCCAGGGTGTGTACGTTATGGACGGTTGGAGATCGCGAAATAAGCACGCTTTATATCGTACTGTATGCTGCTTATGAGATGAGGATGACAAGGCCCACAGGCTCATTCTGGGAGTGCCTGAGCTGGCAGTTCGACACTTCGGGCCAATATCGGACATGGGATCGTTGAGTAATCGAGTCGTACGAAATTGCAGAAGAGAAAATCGGGTACTTTACGTTTGACAACGTACTAAACAACGATACTGCAATGGTTACCATTTAGGAGAGATTCTGGTTCCATGGCAGGGAACGGTGGGGACTTTTCTTTGGCTGCGTAGTCAATCTTGTGGTCAAGGCCATTCTCTTTGGGAGGGATGCTGGCGCATTTGAATCCCGGTTGGAACGTAGGGACGTCTTGGCCGCGGCTGAGCATGAGCTTTGGTGGAAGAGAGGCACAGTCGGCAAACTCCATAATCTTGTGGTACAGTGGCCCGCTCAGATATACTCATCAACCACAGCACCTCATTGATAGCCAGGATGAGTCCCGTCGAGCGACCGGGCCTATGCCTAATGTCCAGGATAGGTCTTGACGATTGCCTGCGCGTGCCACACTAACGGGAGCATCCCCTATTTTAAGATCCAGACGATTTCCTGATGATATGATTCAACTTTGATCATATATATTCTCAATTCATTGCAGGAATACACCTCGCTGTGTTCTAATACATCAGGTGTCAATGGCTCTTGTGCTCGATCTGTGGTCAGGCTCTCATGTTGGATGTTAGATTAAGTACTATAGATTTTAGTACTCGGCTCGGGATGAAACATGACTGCGGTGAGGTGTTTACTGTCATTGGGTACACCACTAGGATGGTGTATTTGTTAATTTCCACCTATTCACGAATCCTGGCCGCGTATTTGGCCGATTTCATTCCTGCTCAATCAACAAGCCCGAGGCTCGCGCAGACCTCGATTCCGGCCTTAAAACCAACCTTGGTGATATGCACATTTGGGTTAAATAAAATGCCGTCAGCTGCTAAGCGCCGAGGCTCCGCCTCCACAGCTCACTTCGTTGGGAACCCGCCCAGCCCCAACTGAAGCCGCGTCTAGGGCGGTGGCCAGTAAGATCTTGGACCGGGGCAAGAATACCCTCTATTTAACTGAATCTTTTCTTTTCCTGCTGTTAGCGGCTAAAGTAGTCGTTTAGAATCGACGTAGTTGGGCCTGTTGGTCGCGAGGCTCCAGCAAAAAGGCGTAACTGAGGCAGGGCGTCTATCAAGCCATGCAGCAAAGCTATGCACCCAGAGCCAACGAGCTCAAGCCTGATGGAGACAGCTGAAAACAGCGGCGCCTAAAGTCTCGGATGGAATTTGGGAGAAAATACAATTGTAGCAAATGCCAAGCGAGTTGTCCAGTACATATAGTCGCATGCGTGCTCACTATTAACACCATCACAGCTTTCCTCCAACACCACATGGTTCATGAATTCTACGAGACCGAGCCCCAAATTAAAGATTTCCTACCACTGAAGAATCCCTTTTCTCTTTTATTGCCTCTTGAACGCGAGCTGTCGACGAAATGTCAAAGGATCTTTATCTTGACTCAGTCGCCGTCGTTCTTCTCCTCGCGGCGATTGGGTCCATCGTATACGTCAATGTATTCAAACCACACATCACCGACTCAGGACCCCTGTCAGAAGCCTGGAGCAGGACCATTACTTTCGGAGTGACGGCTGTAGCAACCGTGTTCACCACCGTTGTCAGTGGCCAAATACAGCGTTTGATTCTACGGAGCTTCGAAAATGAACTGCGAGATCTTGACGCGCCTTCAATCAGCTTTGAATCGCAACAATCGAAAATCGAAAGCATGGAAACTAAGTGGCGAGGTGCTTTGAAGATCGACAGCCTGGGCGAGAAGCTGAAATGTCCGAATCTACGGTACCTTCTTATTTTCACCATCTGCGGCCTCAACACTACATCCATCGTTACCGCGTTTACACCATCTGTTGCGACTCGAAATGTGCATTATCAGGCCGTCATGTCCAGTGGAATTGTCCCTGAGTACGCATTCAGTTCGGCTCCCCTCCCATGCGCTGGGAGAGCTCCTCCCGACACGGTATCCAGTAGTGAGTCTTATAGCTGGACATACGACAACGGAAGTGTATTTTTCTCCGCAAACAGCCCTGACTGTCCGATCTCCAAGGTTCTTGACCTCATTCCATCGATCAACACCATAAACACATCAGACTACGTTTACCTGGACTCGGGAGCTGCAGTCAAGCGATCAGCCATTGGGGCGCCTGTGTCGACACATAACGGAACCTCGTTTAATGCCCTGCTGGCCAAATACGGGAGTTCGCTGGTTCGGACTCGGCAGTGCGTACCGGTTGTAACATCCAACCCCGTCAAGTGCCGTAAGGGTGGTCGCATCGAGACTCTCTCCACAAATGAGGTCGCCCTTGAAAGCGGTGTCGACGGAACTGGGCTATGGGACCAGGAGCAATACAACGCGACATTTTCATCTCGCAACTTCACACATGATAGCGTGATGGTCAACTATCAGTGGTTAAAACCAAACACCACGTCAGACGCAGACGGCTTAGACGCTATCGGACTCTCCCTGCTGGCATTTGCCGCGTACGACCCCAATGGAAGCCAGGCCTATACGGATGTCCTTGCCGGCGCTATGAATGACGATAATCCGGATAGAACAACGGTAGGGGTTTTAGGCTCGAGTTATGTTGTTACATGCACTCTGGATGCGCGGAAAGTATTTGGCTACCGCATGGTAACTTTGAATCTTGACTCGATTGGAGATGGCATTGGCACGAACTTTGCCTACTACCTTGAGGGAGGAGAAGGTTGTAAGCCCGAAAACGACGTTATCAGCGACGTCTACCTTGCAACCGCTGCTCGTGCCAGCCAGGCCTCCGTTTTGGAAAACAGGGGTGAGAGCGGGTACATCGCGACAATCCGGGCAGCCGCCGGCTTCAACCGTGGGCCTCCATACGCGTTTAACAACAGTGAAAATGCCCTTGAAGACGTCTTGGGTCTCGCAGTGGGCATGGCCATTGCCAACCTACCTCTGGAGGAGAAGGATAGCCCAACTCGGTCCCTTGCATCCGCTCAAGCCATGAGGCTCGGCAGCGGTACGGGTGCCTTCTACCTGCTTTTGATTCCATCCCTATCGAGCCTTGTCATCTTGGTCGTGCTGTTAGTGCGAAGTATTCGGGGTGGCTGGGCGCCCAGAGGACAAATGAACTCCACATCTGCGGGGTATTCTACGGAGGATTCTGCGGGAGGGACGACGCAGAAGTGGACAGACCGATACGCAGCTGAGAGTATTTATCAGTTGATGACTTTAAGAAGTCACCAACTGCAGTGATAGGTTCACTTGGTTATCCTTTCAGATGGCTGTAAGAATACATCAACCTGCAATTGTCCGAAACCAATTGGTCCAATACGAGGAACCCGTATGTCGCTCTCGCATAGTTGGAAAGAATTGAAGTCTCGCCTGACTTGCTGCGCAACGATTCACCGCCACATTTAGATGAGAGATTTGTACTCGATTTCTGACCCGCAAATTAGCCTAGTTCAATATGACTCGGTCAGGTGGACAAATTCCTCAGGCTGTCGAGTCATGATCGTGCTGTGCCACATTTGAAGCCGGAGCTAAACAAGACCAATAGTGGGCACCGATACTCCCCGATCGGCGCCACGCCGATACTCCCCGGCCCACTTTCGGAGGGTCGGGATAGCCTTCGGAGTGCTTCATTTGGAGATGTGTGTCGTGAGCCGGCAACTCGTCTTTGACTGAAGGGATTTATAATTCATCTTCTTTGTGTGATCATTGATTGTTTAAAGTGCTCTACCTTGGCTCCGTTTTCTCCTGGTTGAACTGTATTGTCACCAGTCTTTCAATGTCAACACGATGACCTCCCTTACAATCCTCTCCAAGGAGGAGGAGGCATCCCCCTCCATCTCTTTCAATCCCGCCAACACTATTAGCGATATCAACCCCCTCATTTATGGCGGCTTCACCGAGTAAGTTGCATCGAATTTATAGACAATCAGACCGCTAACATCTCAGACACATGGGCCGGTGTATTTACGGTGGTCTTTATGAGCCGGAGAACCCCAACGGCCTCTCAGATGAGAACGGATTCCGCAAGGACGTCATCTCGTGTTTTAAAGAGCTTCAGGTCCCAGTGGTTCGCTATCCCGGCGGCAACTTCTGCGCCACCTATCGCTGGCAGGACGGCATTGGCCCCAAGGAGAAGCGGCCAACTCGGCCCGAGCTTGCTTGGGAAGGCATTGAGCCCAACACCTTTGGCACTGATGAGTTCATGGCTTGGTGCAAAGTCGTGGGTGCTGAGCCGTACCTGTGCTTGAACATGGGTACGGGTACGCTGGAGGATGGACTTGCGTGGCTGGAATACTGCAACGGTACTAAAGATACTTACTATGCGAACCTTAGAAGGCAAAATGGTCACGAAGAGCCATATGGTGTTAAATATTGGGCGCTTGGAAACGAAATGTGGGGACCATGGTAAGTGATATCCTTCGCAATACGGGCGCTGAGTGCTCACCAACTGCAGGCAAGTCGAGCAACATTCAAAAGAGGATTACGCAAAGAAGGCCATCCAGTGGGCAAGGGGTAAGAAATCTACGCTCACATCTTGAGACTGATACTAACAACCATCAGCTTTTAAACTTCTTGATCCGTCAATCACCCTCATTCTGTGTGGAAAAGACGGCTACTCAGACTGGGATCGCTACACGCTCCAGCAGTGTATCCGATGGGTCGATATGCACTCCATCCACTTTTACTCGATGGGAAAGGGACACTACACGAACATCTCGTCTGTTTACGCCGCGGAGCGTGCCATCCAGGTTTGCTCGTCGCTCATTGACCTCGCTCGGTGCGAGTTCGACCTGTCACACTTCCCCGACGTGGAGCTCATTTCCACCAAGCCCAAGAGCAAAAAGCGCCCAACTATCTGCTTCGACGAGTGGAATGTCTGGGATCCTGAGCGCGCACCTGGAAACAAGGGTGCTGAGGAGCTTTATACCCTGAGCGATGGTCTGGCTGTCGCCATCTGGCTCAACATCTTTATCCGCAACGCCAAGGAGCTCGGTATGGCGACCATCGCGCAGAGCGTCAACGTCATTGCGCCCCTTATGACGACCCCCAAGGGTGTTTGGAAACAAACGACCTACTTCCCTCTCCTACTCTTCTCCAAGTACATGCGCGGTAAGTCAGTCTCTGTGCATGTTCGGACTGAGGCTTACCAGGGTAAAACGTTCCCTGAGTGGGTTGAGTCCACATGCGTCGTGCCCAAGCTCGACGTCAGCGCGGCTGTGGATGATGGGTGGACGAACGTCGCCGTCGTCAACACAGACGATACGAAAAGCTTTGCAACGCAATTCGTTGGTATTGAGAAGGGCGTCGAAGTCCAAGTGTTTTCCATGGGTGGTGAGGAGTTTGTTGCGACGGACGCCAATTCCGAGGAGGATGAGAGGATTACCATCAGGGAGTCGACGTGGATCGCTACCGGAGATGTGTACACGTTTGAGCGTCTGAGCTTTACGCTGCTACGTTGGAAGCTCTCTGCCACGCTTGGCAATTGAAAAATGTGTCTTAGGCTCTGGAACGCAAGCAATAATTAGATATATCAAGTTCGTATATTATTACAGGCCCTATTTGCAGGTTACGCTCCGTGAGTAGCCCCTCCAGACCGTACAATACGTCGACAAAATAAACCCCGGATACCTCGGTGACCTATTATATCAGCATAATATCAAGCATCCGTACGATATCAATAATCAACAGAGAGATAAACAATCCATGTCAATCGTCCATTGTACCCCTCGCTGTAGGGTAGCAATTCCTCGGCATAACCCTGTCACTTTGTACTCTCCTCCACTACGCTAAGCCGGACCGACCAATAAGCCGTTAGTTAGCACAATGACGATCCATCCTCGTGGGGCTTCTGGTTGAACGACGGCTTCTTCTCATCCACTGTTTTTTATCAGATAAGACTCAACACCGTCACCTGACATCATCAAATCGAATGATAACGAGATAACCAACGTCGAAATCTTCAATGACTATTGGGCTAGAGTCCCGCATCCAGGTGTTGCAATGAGTAATGCGGCCCGCGAGCTAGATTTTGCTGTGCGTCCTTTTGTTTTGGAGATGTGAGCTGCGTCATGCGCTGTGTACTGACAAGCCCAGTGTGATATTTGTCGCGTCAAAAAGCTCAAGGTGAGACGCCTTCGGTGAATCCAGTATCATCTTCGTGAAGCTAGAGACTGACAGCTCGCCTAGTGCTCAAAGCAGAGGCCGATATGTAACGGCTGTCTGCATTATGGCAGGCCTTGCCACTACAGCGGCAAAGTTCTCCGCTCGCCGCTCACTCGCGCGTGAGTAATCAGTCACTACATCATTGCGCTTGCTCTATGATGGTTAATGAGACCTCTAGTTATTTGACGACTGTTGAGCGACGAATGCAACAATTAGAAGACCTGTTTTCTCAGTTGCATCCCGACCTCAACATCGAGGAGGCCATTGCCGGTATGAAAGAACGCCCTGCTTCAGCAGCAAGCAGCAGCAAACCATCACCCACCGCAGAGGGTCCCCCCTCGGCAACGAGCACACAAAAGAAACTACCCGAAGACTCGATATCCGAAGCTGTTCCAGAAGAGGCCGACGGGTTCGACTGGCAGGAAGACGTCAATGAGTTGGCAGATGGCATGGCAGCCTTGTCAGTGGCCCCCAGCGGGACAGGATACTTAGGTTCGTTAATGGAAGCGGCTCTTCAACTATATGCTAACTGTCCACGAGGATCGACTGCAGGCGTTTTCTTCTTACGATCTCTACTCTTCTGGATGGGGCATTCCAAGGGGTTCTCCGAAAATCAGACCATTGCAGCCACCTCTCCCAGTTTCCTTCACCAAGCCGAAGCCTCGTCTCGTGTTTCCCAAACCCTAGCGTCGCGCCAAGTCATGGAACAACTGATAGACAGTTACTTTTGTGTCTACCATCGAACCTACCCGTTTATTCACGAGGCAACCTTTCGAGCCCAGTTCCACGAGGTTCTTCCACAACCACAACAGCGCTCGTGGCAAATGCTCCTCCACACTGTCCTCGCCCTTGGGGCTTGGTGCCTGAACGATTCGCAGTCAGAGCTGGATGATGGTCTTTATCATCGGGCATTGTCGTTTGGAGAAGACGAGTCCATGTTTGCGAGCGCGAATCTCACTTTCGTGCAGGCCCTCGTGCTCCTAAGCAATCTCAGCCAGAAACGAAACAAGCCGAACACGGGGTCGAATCTATTAGGGCTTGCTACACGAATGGCGCTTAGTCTTGGGCTCCATCGCGAACTGCCTCACTGGGACATTAGCCTCCTCCAGCGGGAGATGCGTCGTAGAGTCTGGTGGGGACTCTACATATTCGACAGCGGTGCGTCTACTACTTTTGGGAGACCTATCCTTCTCCCAGACAAAGAAGCCATGGATGTCAGGGCTGTCATGAACATTCCCGACGAGGTAAGTGGGAAGTTTCGATGTTTCGCGCCTGAACCTCGCAAATGTTGACTGGGGCTTAGTACTTGACTGCGACGACTGCCGCCCTTCCCGATGAGTCGACGGAACCTACAATCTACTCAGGAATGAAGTGGCAAAGCAGTCTACACGTTCATTCAAACTACATCTCAAACCGCCTTCTCTCCTCCACTGGCGTTTCTTCGGAGGATGCGTGGGCTATGAATCACGCATTAGATTCATGGACAGAAGGTCTACCTCCGTACTTCCGACTCAACGAACAATCAACTTGCACCGATAATTCGTTTGCATTTGCCAGATGCCGCTTGTGGTGGCGTTTCTGGAACCTCAAGATTATCCTCTTCCGGCAACTCATGGTCAAGAGAGCCGTCGAGCGAAGTCAAAGAGGAGGCGCTGCAATCACATGGACCGACGCAGATGATAGGAGCAGAAAAGTTGCCGTCAGTGCGGCAAGCTCTACTATTGCCTCGATACATGGCTTCTCCCAGACCGAATTCGTGACGAGACTTGTCACCTGGTATTCAGTGTATGAAACTCTATCCTGTATTCGTGAAGTGCACTAACGCTGCCAGCTTCTTTCTATTCCACGCCTCGCTCGTCATATCTCTCGCGATTTTAGGAGACTCGGAATCTCAAACGCTACCCGAGTGGCAGAGCGATCTTGACACGGCCCGAGATGTGTTCCGCAATGTCTATGCCAACAACCCTCTAGCGCAACGCTGTGCAGACATTCTCGATCTGATCGTTCCCGGAAGCATAGTCGAATCAAACGACTGGGAGAATATCCAGCTAGACCCGTCATTGATGGAACTTTCGATGTGGGACACAGGATCGGGCGACCTCCTCAGCTTCTTTGGATGGCAGGATCCGGGTCTGGGTCCGGGCCAAGCCTAAAGCTAGTTTGATGCGTCAAGTAACTCAACTGAGAATGCGAATGTTTGGCTCTATCAAGTTCGATCGAATGTGTTCGCCATTGGGCAGGTCGTTATTCTCGGTTCGCAGAATGGCAGCCTCCCGCGTTTTTTCGATACCGGCTTCCAGATGTCGTTGAACGATTCTCTCCTTTGCAACTTCGGGTACCACGTTGACGAACCATCTGGGAAGATATTGTGTCAGCTACAGGGAATCTACGGCGAATTAATGCGTGACTTACCTGTCGTCGGCCATATCGGCGATTTTCCTCCACGGGTCCTCGCTGAGCAGCACATAGTTCCCCTCGAGAATGGCGATTCTGCATCTCGAGGAGATTGTGATGGCATCGGGTATAGGATCACCCACGGCATGATCAAAGCTTGGTGCTGTGTGGACTATCTCTGGTTCGTCGCATTCGGTTACAGGCATCTGCTTCACAGCGATGACATGTTGGAGCAGGGCTGTGGCATCGAATGTAAATGGTGCGCCTCGTTTCTGAAATGCCAGGCATGGATCGCTAAACGATGACAGTGTTGCTCGAGTATGGTGGAAGCCGTCCTATTCTCAACTGTCAGCAACAACACTCGCGTGTCTTTGAGGTCCGCTTGCCATGGGGAGAACTGAGACATCGTCAATGCCATGTTCATGCAAGGCTTGCAGAAGCGCGACGCAGATAGTGGACTTGCCGGAGCCAGGGACGCCGGCTAACGCGATGAGGACCCGTTTGGTGGGATGGAAGAGTTTTTGTTGGCGGAGAAGATACTCAATACGCTCTCGGAGCATCAATGTTGCCTGTTCGACTCCGCGACCTTCTTTCATGGTGCCTGATTACGAGAAATAGGCTGGTGTCAGTATTAGAAGTGAAGTTGCGATTGTACGTCTAGATTTCAATTGCCGAGTGAATGTCGACCCGTCACCCGACTATGTCAGAAGAGAAACTGAACATCTCATGTCAGGTTCATGGCGCGTCATGTCATTTCCCAACCATGGTACTCAGACAGGTTTCTAGGCTCGTAGCTGTCAACCGGAACACAGTCGTCCAGCCTGCAACTTCCCGGAACCCCAGAATGTCGTCGTTGTGGATTGAACTAAGCAACATAATTGGTTCACTGACGAGTCGACTGACTCGAGCAAGCCTCGTCGATTGGATCGGGCGACAGATGTCCAGCGCGCAACAAAGGTCACAATGGAGTATTCGGTGTGGATTCGGTGTGGGTTGACCTCAGCAAAACAATTGGCTCTTGGAATAGACAGGATCAACAACCGGTTCTGTCTATTGGACCGGACGTCTGTTGTCCGAAACCAACACCCACACTATCAGGCGACAGTACGCCGATCTGCCCACATTTGATGGACTCAACCCCACGGGGACGCGGGGTTTGGCCTTGTGATTGAGTCGTGGACGAGGAGCCGAGAAACAGAAAATTATAAATACCACGGGAGTACGACTTTCTTTGCCATTGAGAAAGCATCAACAGCACGATCGCAGGATCACGCTACTGATTGATTATACCACGGCCGGTGCAATTTCGATTGAGTGTTTGTGTGTTTGTTTGACGAATCAACATGGCCGATCCAGCTCCAGCCAAAGGCGTCTGGGCCTTGCTCCTGGAGAACCCTTATATCCTAGGCCTATCAGCAGTAAGTCTCCAATACCATGATGGAAACACGTCGCTCACTCATTCTAGTTTGCGAGTCTGGGAGGTTTCCTCTTCGGATATGACCAAGGCGTAGTGTCCGGCGTCATGACCATGGAGTCATTCACCGCCCAGTTCCCACGCATTGGTCTGGACAGCAGCTTCAAGGGCTGGTTTGTCTCGACGCTTCTTCTCCTTGCCTGGTTCGGATCGTTGATTAATGGCCCTATTGCGGATCGCGTGGGTAGGAAGGGCTCGATGTTGGTCGGCGTCGTCATCTTCACTATTGGCTCGGCTTTCCAGGCGGGTGCTAATTCACTGGCCATGTTGTTTGCAGGTAAGTCTTCAGGCAAAATGTCGTCAGATATATGGGAAGATCCCTTTCTAACTCTCATAGGACGTGCTGTTGCTGGCTTGGCAGTCGGTATGCTCACCATGATCGTGCCCATGTACATGTCCGAGGTGTCAACCCCCGGCATTCGTGGAACTCTCGTTGTCCTTCAACAACTCAGCATCACGCTGGGCATTCTCATCAGCTACTGGCTCGAGTACGGCACGCAGTATATTGGCGGTACTCGCTGCGCCCCCGATATCCCGTACACCGGCGGCACCGCTGCAAAGCCGACCTTTGATCCGCGCAACGACGTCGGTCCTCACGGCTGCACCGGCCAGTCTGAGGCTGCTTGGAGAGTCCCGTTTGCCCTGCAAATCGTCCCGGCGTTGATCCTCGGTGTTGGCATGCTGTTTTTCCCGGAGTCTCCCCGATACTATCTCATGCGTGGCGACGAGACCAAGGCCCTCAGCGCGCTCTCCCAACTCCGAAGAGTCCACCCGGATACCGAATCCTTGCGCGGAGAGTACCTGGCCATCAAGGCGGAGGTGCTTTTCGATGAAGGCGTCAGGCGTGACAAGTTCCCAGGTAAGAGCGGCCTCTCGCTGTTCGCCGCCCAGCACGTCGCCCTCGTCTCGACCAGATCCGCATTCAAACGCCTGGCTATCGGTTGCTGCATCATGTTCTTCCAGCAGTTCATGGGATGCAACGCTATCATCTACTATGCGCCCACCATGTTCGCTCAGCTTGGTCTTTCAGGCAGCACGTCCGGCCTGCTCGCTACTGGTGTTTACGGCATTGTAAACTGTTTATCAACACTCCCAGCCCTGTTTCTCATCGACAAGGTCGGCCGCCGACCCCTGCTCATGTGCGGTGCTGCTGGCACTTTTATCTCCCTCGTCATCGTGGGCAGTGTTATTGGGGCCTATGGCACCTCCCATGGCCTTTCAAACAAGGCAGCCGGCTGGGTAGGCATTGCTTTTATCTACATTTACGACATCAACTTCTCCTTCTCCTTTGCCCCCATCGGGTGGGTTCTCCCCTCAGAAATCTTCAACCTGGGCAACCGCTCGAAAGCCATGGCCATTACCACGAGTGCGACATGGATGTGCAACTTCATCATCGGCCTTGTCACCCCCGATATGCTGCAATCGCTTGGATGGGGCACTTACATCTTCTTCGCTGCCTTTTGCCTTCTCGCCCTTGTATTCACGTACTTCTTTGTGCCGGAAACAAGGGGTAAGAGTCTGGAAGATATGGATGCTGTGTTTGGTGACACGGCGGCTCAAGAGGAAAAGGCGAGACTGATGGAGATTGCCTCAGCAATGGGCCTGACTGAGCCGCTGCCTATTCAGAAGGTTGACATTGCAAGAGCCGAGCAGCACGAGGGTGATCACAGGGTATAAGCTCCTGTTGATTGGCAGTATCAAGTCTCATACAAGTCACATACTTGTATCGTAGTCAATGGATGCGTACGCAATACAGAAGTTGCAAACAATGAATACGCACACGCTGAACCACACCAAGGGTCTCAAGATACAGTACCTCATACATAAGATATACGTGCATTTACCAACCTTCCTTCGAGCTCTCAATTCAATCCTCGTGTCTGACCTCACTGCCTGCATGCACTGTATTTTGAGCTTATATTACTTATTTATTCAGCATTGGAAACCTGTGAGACTGCCACATTGCACGGCTATCGTGAGACGCATTGTCCCACATGTCGGGCTTCATCTCCATCTATTTACTGCCGAGACGCGAGAATTTATGAACGTGATGAATTAGTGCTTGGTCAAGTTGAGATGCTCATGATGCCAAAAACGCCACCATGATCCACGTTCATAACGTAGCACCCGTCAGCAATAATAGAACTCATGCCTATTAAAGGCGGATGGATATAACATTAACTTTTTTATTCTTTCTTTGAGTAAGACCGATAGTTAGCCTAATCTCAGTTCATTGATGACAGTGGATACTAGACCCCATCATCTGATCAGACTGCCATTGACCCATCATAAGGATTTCAAGTGCAATTCTACTCCGTCCTCTCCCTTACTCAACCCCATTGTTGCCTTCTTCAAGTCCTTCTCGCTCATCTTATTTACCTTTATAAAGCCCCTCGTCTCATCATCAAGACCACAAACCAACATCTTTAGAGGGTCGGCCTTGAAGATATCGAGGCGGAGCTTCTGGGATTCCACAATGACACCAGTGGCAAAAATAACTCCTCCGAGTACCATCGCAATAGGTGCGGCGAGGAATGGCCATCGAACCCTGATGTATACCACCCACTGTTCGGCAGTGCCTGAAACACGACTAGAATCTATTTCGCCCATCCGGTAACTCATGAGGCGGGCAGAGTTCTCAAACGAAGCCGTGATATTTGTCGAGTTTGACAACACTTTGTTGATTGAGGTGGAGATGACGCTATCCAACCCTGCCATCGTTGACTGAATAGATTTTTGAGTGATATTGAAGACCTGCTGGACTTGGTTCGGTAGGTCGACACTTCCATTGACAACCTTCAGTTGAAGGTCAGTTCGAGGCACGATATCGCAAGAGTCCAAGAACGCGAACGGAGCCAGCGAGTTGCCAACCTCATCCTCTACGGCCTTCAACGTCTTGGCATTTTCAAGGCTCGACTGCCATGAGTCTGCCACCCGCTCATATGACGTGGAGATTAGCCGTTGCTCTATCTTGCCATTCGTCATGGTGGGGTGATATGTCTGGATGCAATAGGACATGGCGCATTCTGTAGCTTGTACCTTGGCATCTTCCCAGGGAATCTCTCCGTCCCAATATTCGCTCTGGACGTGGAGTGTGATAAAGGAGGCCAAAAGAGTGTCCACGTGCTGAAATGAGTATGTATCCTGCGGCCGGAAAGAAATGGACAAGTTTGTTCGCGTCTGAGTACAATCCTTTCTTTCATTGTATTTGCCATATCTCCCGCGGTAGAATAGTGTTTCATTCTGCCCATAGGAAATGTCATACTGGGTGTAGTTGGAAACGGTAGGAGATATAGCCGCGCCGCATTCTCGGAAGTCGCCAGAGACAGTCTTCTTGTTCAGATGAGACGAGATGTCTGCGCATGAACTGCACATGCCCAGTGTCGAGTATGCGGGCCAGGTGCAGTTACCTGTCTGGCATGTCATGCCGGGAGGTTCTGCAGCTCTCATGGCAGACATGTTGAAAAATCCAATCTGCGCCGTAGCCATGATGCTGATGTCGGGAAAGAAGTTGTAACAAGTGCTAAAACTGGTTCCTTCGTACTCAATCGTAATCGCCCCCACAAATTGGTCATATCCAATGTCCAACGTTGAAGCTCGTAGAATAGACGCGGCGGTGTCTGTCACCGTGCTGTTGTCGCCTTCGTAACTGATTACACCTTGTATGAAAGGGTCGAGAACAAGCAGGCCCAGAGTGACGGCAGCGCCAAAAGATACCCAATGCCTATTTCTCTTAGTTATCTTCCTTCAACCATAACCAGTGCATGATTCCCAGCTCACCGTAACTTTAGCTCCCAAAGCAGTGATAAGCAGCCCAAAGGCCCCCGGCCAGCCTCTTCAATTGTAACAAAGGCGGATAGGGGACCCTGGCGTTTGGCAAACCAAGCCCATTTTCCCTGAGCAAGACCGGCGCCGACGACAAAAGCAAGAGGGGCTTTGATGGCGACGGCCAAGAGAGAGACGACCGTGTTGAGCGAAATTGGCAGGGGCCATGTTGAAAGCGGTTTGTCGTTCTCGACAGCAAGAACAACGACGAGTGCGATGAGGGCAGAGATGCTCGTTAATACAGCAATGACTTCTAGGTCCCAAGACCGAATCCAGCTCGGTGATTTTGCGGATGGCGGTAGGCGTTGATCCTGGTCTTTGATTGGCGGTGCAGTGGTGCGAGAGGAAGTAGAAATGTGACTCGGTCGTAGCGATTCCGGAGATACAAGTAGTGTCTCAGTATCTCTCGGCGTACGCTCGTCGTTTTCGTTCGTAGCATCGCTGTGTCGCGATCCCAATTGCATTTGGCGGATCTGTCGTGGTATTGAATCATGCGCGCCATATGGGGGTGGGGGTGGTGAAGCCATGGTTGCAGGATCGAAGACCAGAAATTTCCAGGTTTAGCAAGACATGGGAGATGCGAGAAGGGTTAATTTATCTGTCTGTTAAAATGTTGTTGGTCGTCTGTTGTTGGTCTTCTGCATCGACGGATACGGCTTCGACAGCGAATGATTCGGGGCTAATCATCGTCCTTGATTGGGCAGAATCGGCTTGCCGACACGGCAAATCTGCATGCTAAGGCGTCTCAGGCGTAGCTTGTAACAGCATGCTTGGATTAATGGAGCCCAGGTGAAGTGTGTTCTCGTTCAGTGGTGGAATCCGATTAAGCTACAAGGATCGTCCAGGTTGTAGCGCCACTGTCAGGCGCCTGAAAGGGCCAGTTTCCTCCAAATATAGAAAATATGGGGCAGCTGAAGCGGCTGTGGCTGCACACTTGCTCCTCCAGATCCTTCCTTTTAGCCGTTCCAATTGGTTTATTAACACTCATTCTCGTTTTCGTCGATGAGGTGTAGCAATCCAATGTTTAAGGTTTTCAATAGCTGCGATATCAATGTCGAACTTGAATTTTCTGTAAACAGGTGCTATCTTCTCTGCCCGGGGTCAACTAGTCATGCTGGATCTATCTGGGGATGTTAAGCCGGACAATGTGCTCCGATCCCCCTGCTCAGCAAACCCCTCTGCAGGAAAGAATGATGCATCAACCTACCAAGAAATCCTCTTCCCAGAGAGAAGCATATCCACAAGGAGACACCAAATACAAATTGGTATTCAGTCCTTGTGGGAATAATCCTCGTTACCAGGGTGAGTGACTGAGAGTATTTCGTTTAGATGAGTGTGTGAAATGCATCAATGAGAGTGCAACGGCAGTCGCTGGTTGTCAGATCAGTGTGTCGATCTGCATGGGCGATAAACATCGACAATACTTTCAGCAAAGTTGAATCAAATACATGGCCATATATCAATATTTTCCCGGGTGAGGAGGTTATTATTTTGATCACATGGAACGCGCTTGGAACATCATCACGGGACGTGGTGACCAAAAGTGGGCGGATTGGGGCGGTGCAAAATTGCCATCGATGACGAAGGTCTCCACAAACAAATATGGCTGAGCTGGCTGAGTAAATGGCCTTCATTGTGGCACGGGTCCCGTTTCAATCCTGGTGAACCTGTCATTTATTGGTTCTCCCATGATCGACCGCGGGAGTGCCGATGGCTGATGCAAGGCACATGTTGAGCGTAGCCCTACCAGTTTTACGGTACAGGGTTCAGTGCGGGCGGGATGACGCTAGAAGTGAGTGTCAGATTAACCACTTCGGGGCATCGTTAAGTTCTTGAATCCATGTAGATGATTGCCAGAGTAGCCTCTTGAACAGCTGTGCAGATTCATGATCCGGTTAGGATTATAATTGGAGTTGGAATAATTCATTCATTGTGAAAAATAGTTTGGGGTGTCGCTGTAGGGTAGCTAATTTGAGGTGCAAAATGATGGGCATCAAGCAGTTCTTATGAATGGCGAATTGAAGGATGTGGCTATCAAGGTTCATTGAGAATATTCTAGGTGCTATTAATTGAACCTAGGTCCAATTCTCGCAAACCCCGCATCCCAGAATCTTGTGAAAATGTGGGTGGGTGAAAACACCAAAGCTCAGACTGGTTGGGTTTGTATATTCACCCTTGCCGCTAGATGACGATGACGCGACCATGCATGTATTATTTATTCGTGAAAGAGCTATCCTTGGCAGTGTGGGATATCTCGGCATGGCCGACGCGAGACATGGCGAGCGGTGTTACATAACGCCCGCGAGCCGCGTGTTCACAAGCTGGAGCCAAGACACGAGGCGGAGTCGTCATGAGCGAGAGTCTTGGATTCCCATGGACGCCAATGGACTCCAGGAGGCTTGGCTTCTCCCTCCCAACAACCTCAGCCACGCCGAGCAGCCGGACTATCTCATTAATTCTCCCCATTTGGTGCCATTCGCTGGGAATGCCGAGCCACATGGTCCCTTGGCCACGCTCAGCCCGATGCCGATGTAGCCGGCGCCAAGTGTGGAGTCTGAGTAGCGCTTGCGTTGCGCCACTGGAATGACGTGAAGCCAGTAAAGTGGCTTCCCAGAGCTTCCGCCGCTGACGACGACGCTGTATTAAAGACGGGCTGCTTCTCGTAAAACATTTCCATCCTTCATCAAACTATACACCTTTCTATTCGGCACTCCCACCAGTCTCGAGACTCCAACTACACCAATCCCGAATCACCCGATACCCAAACACATACACAATGTCTGCTCAGGACTACTACGGCGGTGGTGGCAGCAACCAGGGCTACAACAACCAGCAGCAAGGGTACAACCAGCAACAAGGCTACAACCAACAACAGGGCTACAACCAGCAGGTATGGGGCAATTGATATACCCGTTGAAAACATCTCTAACTCGTCTACTCTACAGCCGCAATATGGCCAGCAGCAGAACCAGTCCTACCCCCAACAACCCAACTACGATGACAACCGCGGCTCCTCCTCATATCAACAGCAGCAGCAGGGCGGACAATACGGAGGCGCCCAGGCCTACCCCAACAATGGCCAGCAGGGTCCTGATGGCGAGCGAGGCCTCGGTGCGACCCTCGTCGGAGGTGGTGCCGCCGGCTGGGCTGCTCACAAGGCTGGAGGCGGCTTCCTCGGCAGCGCGGCCGGTGCCATCGCCGGTGCCATCGGTGCCAACATGATCGAGCACAAGTTCAAGAAGCACAAGAAGAACAAGAAGGAGCACAGGGATGGACGCCCCCGAAACTACTCCGGAGACTCCACCAGCAGCAGCGACTCCGACTCGGAAGACGACCGTCGACGACACGACAACCGCGGCGGTCCTCCTCACCATGGCGAGCGAGGCGGCCCTCACGGCGGACCCCTTCACGGTGGTGACCACGGAGGCTATGGCGGACACCACGGCGGCCCCGGAGGTCCCGGTGGTCCCGGCGGATACGGTGGTCCCGGCGGTCCTGGAGGATACGGCGGCCACGGTGGTGACCACGGCGGCTATGGTGGCCCTGGCGGTCACGGCGGCCATGGCGGTCCCCGGTGGTAATTCTACCAATTTCATCCGTCCTCTTGAGTCCAGTATCGAACGGCGTTTAGGGAATGCGCCTTGGGTGGCAAGCTAAGATTATGCAACTAGATGAGATACGTGATGTTTGCTCTCGAACAACATTCTGTTCGCCTATTATGAATACCAATTCCATATTTTTGAAGCTCAATTGTTGTTCCTACCAGTAGTGACGTCTCTGCCTCGCCTCTTGTTCAACCCTGGTGGCGGATTCATACTTCAATCTTCAATGTGGCATCTCTGACGAAAACGGAAGCCCTTGTCCCGGAAACTCCGTGAGTAAAATCCGGAATAGAGTTCACAGGTCACGAAGCGGGGGAAGCAAGACAGGATGCCAAGGATCCATAGCGATGATCAAAGCCAATTGCGGCCTCGGTTCGTAAACGCAGCCGGCAATGCCCGGATTGATGTTCCCTGCAGATGTTCCCTGCACTGCCAAGATGCAGAAATAGAAGATGCAATCTCCACCTTTCTCACCTCGCTCTCGCATCTTTCGACTGCTTGACACTAAATACAAATAGAATTGTCCAGGTCTCAGACCATGCTCATTTATAAAGCTTGATACGCGCGATTCCCAGCACTGCCCTTACACCCAACCCATCTCGTTCAAAATGATGTCATTACCACCCATTCTATGCGAATTAGACTTCAGTCTAGCTCTCTAATACAGTTTGAGGAGGATAGATCCCGCGGCATTATTTTTACTTCACTCGTAGCTAGGCGCTGTGCTGCAGCGATAGTAACTTTAGCAAACCCCTGTGAAGGTTGCCCAATGCAGGGAATTCTACGAAAAGAACTCGCTGCGTTCCCGGAGAATAGGACCCGTCCAATTTTAGACAGATGGGTACCCGTCCCCTCAATAGTTCTCCGTCGATCTTCCCCTCCTTTAGCCCGCCTTTGACTGTACTTACCCATTGTTTAGTCTGCTGTATTTGCGGGATTCACAACTCTCCATCCATTTGCGTACCCAACCGCTTGCTTACTTCAAAGCCACTGCGTAAGCATGCGGGGTTTGCTGGCAAAGACTTGGCGGAGAAAGGATACTCCAATCCCGCGACATGAAGCTGTCAGCCAAGCCGGCCCCGTGATCAGAAAATGTGAGGGGACGGAAAAGTCCAGGCACCAGCCAAGCTGACACGAGTTTGGCTTCAACATAACGGGGCCAAGATTGAACACCGGTAAGTCAAGTCTCGATATCAACCAGAGGGACAATGAGTTAACCTCAGCCTAGCTGACCAACAAGACAACTTTAGTCGACATCTACCTTGATCTCGCCCCCAAGTCATATCAAGTCAAGCGTCGACCCCAGTCTCCAGAAAACCCCACTCCGAGGCATTGACGTCATCATGCCCCGTGAATTTCGATGTCCTGCTTTTCCCGACGGCGGTCGCAACCAATGTCCCAACGAAAAGAAGCCCGAGCACCGTTACTGCACCGATTGCCACAGAGAATACAAGGAGTCGAACGCATCCATCAAATCCAACGAACTCGCCTACTCTGTCTACCGGTTCAACGTGTCCTACATCCATCCGTCCAATTCAGATGATTCAACGATACGCAAAGCGATGAATGCGGGCATCGCTGTTGTTTTTGCCAGGAAGGAATTGCACAAGCATTTCTTCGATGAAGATGAGATCAATGATGGGCACAAGATACGCATCGAGGTGGTTAAAGGGAAGTTGAAGGCCTAAACAGACGGCTCTTCAACCGCGTCGACACCGATCACTTCCACGATGCCTTTGAGCTTGGTCCTCAAGAGCTAGACCGGAGGTCTCCGCCGCCATGGCAGGCTGGTCGTCGCAATGATATCGACAACCGTGGCAGGCTGGAGCAAGGCCATCCTTCTTACCCTCCAGTACGCCAACATCGCTACGGGAAACCTCAGTGGCTTTAACGGTGTGTGGGGACTAGGATTCTTTTTGGTTTCAAAATACTACTTTGAGCTTTTACAGGCGATTCGAAGATACCCTTTGTTTCTCGGAGCGGGATAGGTGCATTGCGAAAGCGATTCCCCCCCCCACAGGGTAGTATTGGGCGCTGATATTCATGTTTAAATACTTTGAAGTACTGCATAACTCACTGTATCCTACATACAGTACTATCAAGGATCTGGTTTTATTGCCTTTGTGCTTTAAAGCCAACAATCCCCAATAATAATTAGCAGGTGTTACTGTTGAATAACAGTAAAGCCTTCCTCTCTCAATAGCCATTAAGGCCATTTATATGAACATCTGTATCTAAACAATACTGAACACAGGACGCCCTTGGCGCTTTCGTAGTTGCGTCCATAGGGTGTATGTTTCTTGCACAGCCACAGGAAGAGTGTGGTTAATGGACGGGACTTGAGAAGTGAAAGACCATGTTGCAGCTGTGTGACTTATGTAATAATGTTTTTTCTCTATGTACACTTTGCCTCCCATCCGTGGTATCAAGAATGCAGTCTATAATATTAAAGTTGATAACGTTAACCCTTGTTTTATCCCCTTCAGCCAAGATATACACTTTTTGTAATCTCTTATTGCGAAATGTTTAATTCGCACCGCTCGCGTCCGACATATCGTACAGATTTTGTTGAGTTTCAAATGTTTGCAAAAGACTCTCTTGTGTTGACACGATCGATATCGTAGGGGTTGGCGTCGTACGACTTTCTGCGTGCCGATGCTGTGGTTGACGCTCGGGAGCGAATAGCGGCAAATGTAGGTTCATCGACCACTGTTGAGACTTCGTCGTCATCGTCTGAATCGTTTTCTGCCGCGAGAACTCCCTCCTCTGTCTTTTCGGGCTCGTCGGTGGATGAGTCTTGGCTCTGCTGCAAGTTTTTCATGAATGCGGCCGATTGCGCTGCAAACTTGCATCGCTCGCGAATGGCGGGTCCGTACTTGAAGAATAGGAAAGGGAATGGGACACAAGCGAGTGCCAGGAACGCGGGGATTGTAGAGGCCCAGTGAATACCCAGGGCGTCGTACATTTGAGATGTGAACAAAGGAAAGGCGGCGCCGAACAACGAACGTAGAACCGAGTTGGCAGCCAGGACAGAGGCGGCGAAGATGGTGTAGGAATCGATGAGGTAGTTCATGATGCTTAGGAACACCAAGACCATGCCGAATCCAAAGGGAACGCCAGCTGCGATGCTAGCTATCCAGTGAATCGAAGGAGAGTTGGTCCAGGCGAACCAAAAGAGGCCGATGGGGAGCGCGACTGATCCAACCATGGCGGAGTAAAGACGAGCCTCAGGAGGGGCAAAGCCGCCGTGCTCCTCTTCAATTTTGATGTAGCGCTTGTTGGCGGGAATCGTATAGGCAATTGCGAAGAGCATTCCGATCATGATGCCGAGGAATGACAGGCCGCCAACACCCTGGTTCCATCCACGGTTCTGCTGGTAGACGATGGGGAAGGCGGCGAAGAGCATGTAGAGGGTTCCGTAGATGATGGCCATGTAGATGGACAGAAGGAGGACAATGGGCTCCTTGAACAGGAGGATCCAGGGTCGTAGGAGTGCGGTCTTCATGGCGGCGCCGAGCGTGACCTTGCCTCGCTGGTGGTCAATGGTGCTGAGGTAGTGCTTTCCAGTAGCCTTTGACAATTGTGCTGCACGCTTGCGAAGAATGACAGGGGCGTATGTCTCAGGGACAGTCAGAGATCCAATAATCCAAAGCGAACCGGAGAAGATGGCGAGGAAGCCCATGACCCAGCGCCATCCCTCCGTCATGCCCAAGAAGCCACCGATGACAGGTCCCAGCACAGGTCCCAAGAAGGGGGCGGCGGCGAAGAGGGCCATGGCGAGACCTCGCTGCGAAGCTGGGAACATGTCGGCAATGACACCGCCGGCGTTGGTCAGCGGTGATGAACCAAAGGCTCCGGCCATGAAGCGAAGGATGATGAGTGTGTGTCCATTCTGCGCGCCTGCACATCCGGCGTTGAACGCGGTCAGAGCAGCATATGTTCCAATAAACAACACCTGGCGTCCGAACAGCTCGCTAAGAGGCGCCCAGAGTAGCGGTCCAATAGCAAAACCGAGAACAAACAGCGAGACACCGAGAGTGGCTACTTCTTGGCTGATCTTAAACTCGGTCATGATCTCAACAATGCCACCGGTGTAGGCAGATGAAACCAGGGCGACTGCCAAGGTGGCGATGGCCACGTCCATGGTGATGAACCATTTCTTGAAGGTGCTAAAGAGCATGGGGTTTCGAGGATCGTCGGGGATGAATTGCACCAGGTAGGGATCTTCCTCGGTTCCGGCGCCTGGGTATGGGAAGTTGAGGACGTCGCTGGTGACTCCGGCCTGATCTGCAACCAGTCGCCAGTAGGGGATTTTCGTGCGCTGGACCAGCTCGCCGTCGGGCTTGGCCTTTTCAGGGGATGAAGCCATGTTGGCTAGCGGTTATGTCGAATCGTCGCTCGTCTCGTGGTGTTTCGGATGGCGGTTGGTTTCGAGTCAGGTTCGGCGATGTTTCGATGATCCCGGTCGCAGTCTTTTTGGTGTCTCCCACTGTGAGTAAAAAAATTGAAGCGGAGGACTTTGCATTTGTTTATAAAGCGTTATCGTCGGGCAATACCATGACGTCGCCTACGTTAGTTCGCGGCTTTAGGCGATGGCTGTCCCACTTCAAACGGCGCGCGGGCTGCAAAAGGTTCCCGACCCCGGCCTCATCGAGGTCAGTCTCGGGTTTGACTGCCATGTACGGACGATTTAAAGGGTCTGCTTAATAAACGATTCGTGGCTTAGGAGGGTCGGTGGTCCCATCTGTTAAACCCGTTGCTGGCAATATCGGTTTTAAGATGAGATTCGGGTGTGTTAAGGATTTCTCCGCCCCTGTCTGCACCTTATCTGGTGAAGTCCGCGGACTTTGAAACCCCGCGGAGTAGGATTTCAAGCTTCAGTCACTCCATTTTTGTCGTAGATCGCCAGTTTCCGAGATGTAATTTTATTCTCATCTCGCAGCATCTTGCATTTACCAGAGATCTCTCATCTGCCATTTATATGAAACTGCGAATATTAAAAGAGGCAGCATTCCCGTGGACGTAAAATACAAGCAAAGCACCTCGATTCTACCCAATGTCCACGATGCCGGTCCCGACGCGGCGTCTCTGTACTCCGCGGACAATTGCACCGATCCAAATGCGGCGGGTTTCGGCCGATTCGGGACCGGCGTCGGCAGAGTTCTTCTCTGTTCCAGGGTCACAACCAAATCCGAGACATATTTATGGGTCAATTACGTCATTTTACTCGCCGCTCCGCGGACAAAATTCTGCTTGAGGACGGAAATCGGCTTTCATTGAGGCCGTGATCTGGCACCAGACGCGAGGTCATGGCAAATGCTGAGAAATCATTCAAAGCAGATGGAGCAGATGATGGATATTAAGGAGACTGCTCTGTTCATTATCCCAACTAGGGTCCAGAATGAGCATTTTGAATGGAGGAAATACCACTTGATTCCCCAAGCTCGAAACATGGGCTTGACGGGCTAAAGCGGTGCCATCTGCTCATCTTAATCTCCAGCGATGAACTATTGCCTTTGCAGGGCAAATATAGATCTGCACCTTCCTCTATAGGTGCTGTTCTTCCGCTGCTTCTTCTTCTTGCGGCTCCTAATAAAGAGATTGTCAAGGGCCCAGATGCAGCCAAGCGTGAACGGGTGGGCCCGTATCGAGATGCGAAAGCCGGCATTTTCTGCATCTTCGGAGCCGGGCGATCTCTACCCTAGATCCGAAGAGCCTCAGATGAGTGCAACACCGTGTGCGGCGAGATATCGCACGAGGATTGTACATGTGACGTCAAAGGCGACGCTTGGGGTTTGTATGCAATTCAAGTCGCTTTCAGTGCGAGATTCACCCGCAGCCTCAGTGAGAAGTATTCCCCTGATTAAGAAAGGTTGGGTACGAATCACTTCAATACCCAACCTGTGGGCCTCCACAAACCGTTCGACATGTGTGCCGTGTCCCGTCAATAGTGGCACCGAGATCTCTAGGCGAGGGATAAGGAGACTCCATTTTGCCCAGGCGGTATACTGGCGGGTGGGGTTTTATCGAGATCAGCTCTACGGAGCTCAAAGTATCCTAACCACATATAGCAGCTCCGCTGTGTTACCCACGATACCCTTCCGCTATCCAGTCAACACGCTCTCCTCTGTGATAATTATCTGAACATCCCGCTGATGGATTAGGTTGCTCCGATGATTACTCCAATACCCCGCATGATGTGTTGGAGTTTGATATATGCTGCTGACGTATATAAGGACGAACGTATATCGAGGTGAAAATGGCAAGCCATCTCGCTTTATTGTCTCAATTTATGCTCCATCCTGTACCATCCATTTGATCTTACAAACAACATACTCGCGTTGCTCATCACCATGGCGGATCTAACAACTGGCCTCTTTCGCCATGATAACATGGATGTCCCTGAAGGGAACCGTGTTCTCCCCCTCTTCTCCCTCAAGGGACGGACTGCTATCATATCAGGCGCCGGTGCTGGCATTGGACTTGGGGTTGCTCAAGGGTTCGCCGAGGCTGGCGCCAACGTGGTCATATGGTACAACAGTAACCCTCAAGCTTTGGTAGAGGCTGAGAACATCGAGAAGACATATGGTGTGAAATGTAAGACAGCTGTCCAATGTCCTTCTACTTCTTGACTGAGCAATCTGCATACAGGCAAGGCGTATCAAGTGAATGTGACCTCTCTCGAAGCTGTTGAGCAGGCAGTCAACCAGGCAGTCGAAGAATTTAACGGTCGCTTGGATATCTTTGTAGCCAATTCCGGCATAGCTTGGCTGGATGGTCCATTCATTGATGGAGACTCCAGCAGACTCAAGGATGTCATGACTGTCAATGTTGATGGTGTCATGTGGTGTGCGAAGGCCGCCGGAGCCCATTTCCGACGGCAAAAAAAGGAAGGCACAACACTCAGCGGCGAGAAGTTGACCAACTTCGTTGCTGGAAGCTTTATTGCCACCGCTTCCATGAGTGGAAGCATTGTCAACATTCCCATGCCACAGGCTGTGTACAACGGTTCAAAGGCTGCCGTCATTCACTTTTGTAAGTGTTGATTACTTGATTTGATATATGAGGTGCTAACGATCCAAAGGCAAGAGTTTGGCTGTCGAATGGACTGGCTTTGCTCGGTGCAACACTGTGTCCCCGGGGTATATCAAGACGGATATTGCCCTCACTGTACCCACCGAGGTTAAGAAGTTGTGGAAGGACAAGACCGCCATGGGGTAAGTGGCTAACGCTCTCTGATTTCTGATCAAGGTGCTGACAGTGGACCTTTAGTCGCGAAGGAGAGGTGAATGAACTCAAGGGCGCCTATCTTTATCTCGCGAGTGACGCGTCGTCGTATACTACAGGCCTAGATATGATCGTGGACGGTGGCTATTCGCTTCCCTAGAGCAATTACATGAACTTTTGTGTCAATTCTGACGCAAATTCAAGGTCCACGTCAAATGTGGTCTCTTGATCATGGGGTGGGGTAAATAAACATGTGCTCCATCGATATAGACCAAACCATACACATCTATATAATCCGAAAAGACTACTGAAATTCATGCCTGCCTATCAGCACTATCAAAACTTTTGAGTGTTGCAGGCTATTTAACTTAAATCCTGATTTGATAACACTTTTTACTAATTCGTAATTTGTCAACTTTGCTTTAGTGAGATATCATGGTTTAACTTGAAGGGGTCTAAGATTTAGAAAAGAATACGACATCTTGTATTATTTCTGAGATCGAAATTTCTTTACTGGATGCTGTTGTGCAATTTCGTGCTCTGAAAACCAATTTCCGTGAAACCCATATGGCACCCGTTGAGGCAGCTTGATACGCACGACTATATCCTTCATAGTCTTTGCATCAATAACCCAGAGTTCGCTCTTACAGTCATCGTGAGCGTTGCCGTCGACACCGAGTTGGGATTCGTCAAAAACCAACGTCAAGAGCCAGCCATCATCTTCTGAATTGCCCCCGCTCCGTGGAACAAACACACATTCTTGTCCGTAAAATCCCTTGGGCATTGGTAAAATTCGAATGAGGTCATCGGGGTCGTCCGCGGCCAGAATGTCTTCGACCGATCGGTTGTCCACGCACCCGGATACAGAGGTCGGAGGATTTGCAAGCCCTCTAGCAATAAGCTTCTGAACATCGAACTTGACGAAGCTGCCGATTTTCAAAGCGTTTTCAAGATGATCGGCGTAGTTGCCTCCGGCTACAGAACAGCCGTAGACAAACCGAGTGGCAGACATGGTGAGGTGCTTGGGCACATGAGGAACCTCGAATGGGATCGCACTCAACGCCCACTGCTCAGTAATTCCGCGATGGGGACCACCAACGGAAAACTGATAGTAGTACAAACGGCATTCTTCTTCTCGGTGACCTTGGGATGTTGGCAAGGGGAGATTACCAGTGGCATAAACCATCGAAGGGCCGGTCATACGACACACAAGCATACTGACAGCTGTTTCTCCCTTGACAGTATCTTCCCAGGTGTTGACTGTATGGAAGATGCAACATGGCTCTGTGGCGAACCACTGTACCAATTCGGGCACATGGCGTGGAAATACCCCGAACCGAGTTTGACCCTTCGAGTTAAAGGCGATGGCCGACTCCCCAAACGCCAAACCGAAAGGATCCAGCGACAACGGCATGTCGATGATCACAGTATGCTGGCGGGATACGCCAAAATCGTGCATTATCTTGGGCGATAGGACCCCAGGTACTGGCTTGCCGAAAATTTGACATCCATTGCTAGTGTTGCTGCTTGATCCTGCTAATACAGAATACCGAGTGTAGGGTTGAATGAAGGTGGGATGCAACAACATCATTTCCCCCGTGAGCGAATCGATATGAGGCTATATAATTTGTTTTCGTTAGCTTTATGTGGATGATGGCACGTTGCCAGCTTTCTTGTACTCACATGTGCCGTGGTCCATTCACGGAAATAACTGAACAGTCCGTCACCAGCAAACCCAAATCGTTTAACTGTTTTGCTGTCTTCTGAAAACTCTCCTTCAGCCGTGCAACCGTTGAACCAGCCGACTGTCTTCAAATCCGGGAGAGTAATTCGCATCGGGGGACCGGTTTCGCACAATGCCAGAAAACGGCCATCGTGATACACAACGTTGACATTCGCAACGCTAATTCTCCTGATAGGAATCAAAGAGTGACCCACCCACGAGCATAAAACCATCCAAATCATCCTGAAATAACCTCTCAGGATTGTGAACAAAGACGACCATGGACTGAGCAGAGCCACTAGGCTGGGCAAAATCGGCGCTCGAACCCTCGAGTTGGATTCCGCCAGGTATATATCCGTCAGGACATACTGGTTGCTATACATTGCCTGTATGTCTAGCGTGTTGTTATCGTCTGGGCGGGAGAAGTATATGGCACTAAGCATGCCATGCCCATCGAACCAATGCATTGGACGACTTGGGTCGTCATCGTAAGCCAGAGGGTTGCTGCTGTTGTGCACATATTGACCGCCGATGAGCTCATCGGGAATCGTTCCCTGTACTTCGCAAATCTCCATAGACATTTGGTTCCGCACTGGGGCAAAGTTTCCGAAGCGATAGCTAATTTGAAAATTAATAACGACGATGGGTGGATAAGTAGCGGTTCCTACTTACGGATGCATCTTAGGACTCTTGGTGCTTGCCATGGTTGCGTCTGCGTAATGAAAATAGACAATAGCTGCTGGGAACGGTTCAGATTACTGGGAATGGCTCAGAGTACCCACCAAATTAGGCACTGAAATGATCGTGCCGAGATAATGATATCTGTGCTGATGTACTACGTAATCAGGGCACAGTGGACACTGTCTTAGATGTCCCTATTGAGAAGCGATTTAGCGGTGTGATTTCAGATGTCTGAGATTTGTTGAGTAACCCCGCCTTGATTACCTCCCATCTTTGACGCTAAATAGTATCGTACGTGATGTGCATCAGAAGCTGAGACTTCTGCGGGATGTTGATCTAACCTAGTTCTGTTCGTTTCTCTGGACTACTCGTACACAGTGACTAATATGATGACAAGTGATACATTGTGGGACTAGTGACTATGATAAAAGAGTAGTACAAACTCTTCCTTGTGATCAAAATTTCACATGTCCCGAAACCGAGCAGCACGCTTAACTCAGTAGCACGCCATTGAACCTCTTAACGATTGTGCCGTCCCAAGTTCAAGAATTCTAAGATGGGATTAGACTACTGGCTTGTGTAAATGGCCTTGTCAAATATTTCTTCATGTCGGACCGAATACTTACATTCGTACAACAGCCACTTGTTGTGGACTATTCCACCCGCCCTGCTGATGACCATATTGTATTGGCCTTTTTTCACCAAGCTCGAAGTCTACAAGATATCCACTTTAGCTACGGTATGCTAGGTCCTTTGAGTTCGAGGTAGAGCCGCTAAGTCAGCAATCTAGGTGGCCACATTGGCGACGTTACCTTGGGACTCATATCTTGTCCGTACCAATGTGTGGTCATATCCAGCTACGGCCGTCGCTGGGCCTACACTGTTCGCTGTTCCTATGGAAGAAGTCTTTTTCTTCATCATCCAGACATACATCACAGCATTACTGTATACAATATTAACTAAAAGATTAGTACTGCCGACGTATCTGCTGCGATTGCCAAAGGGTCAGCTGCTACTTATCGGAAGCTTGATTGTCTCAAGTGTTTTTATTTTAGGTGCTGTTGGTCTTTGGGTAGGTGGCAGATACACGTACCTATCTCTGATTATGTTGTGGGTGTGTCCTTTTATGTTACTGCAATGGTAAGTGCATTTCAGACGGCTTTTTTGTCATTGATGTTGCAGGGGCTGAGGGCTGATATTCGTTAGGGTGATGAGCTGCCGCTTCTTGTTTGCACTGCCGCGCAAAGAGATAATTCTCTCGATTGGCCTGCCCTCTTTGTATTTATGCGTCGTCGACAACCTTGCTCTTCGACGAGGCACATGGGTGATCGAGCAAAAGACAAAAATGGACATCCGAGTCTGGGACTCACTGGAACTAGAGTAAGCCCTAATCTGATAAAAACAACTCCAAGGACTAACAGGTACTATGAAGGGAGGCCATTTTCTTCTTTGTCACGAACGTGATGGTCATCTTCGGACTTGTTGCTATTGACCACGCCATCGCCATTGCCGAGCATCAAATCGCCAGTTCGCTCGAGACCATGGAGCAATTCCCATCATTTGGAAGACTTGTCATGTTGTACTGCGTTGGCCGACCGGAAGATCACAATCTGCCCTTTCTTGAAGGCTTGGCCAAGGCGGTTCACAAAGTCTCCCTGAAAAGCCAGAGCATGTATACGGGTAGTGCCGTGTTCTGCAGTGGATTGCGATTCGATCTCCTCTTGCTGTATGTAATGGTACCTGCTGCACAATACCACGCGTGGAATCTTTCTGACACATTTTCTTAGCTATTATTTCTGTCGTGTCATGGACGACCTTGTCGACGAAGCTCCGAACCGCGCTGCGGCCGAGCTTGCAATCAAGCGATGCTTGGAGGCATTGGAAACCCATTTCAATCAATCGTCTGTCAGTGGAAGAAGCGGACAGAAGTCTTCAGTCCTCTCGGGGTCAAAGGAGCAGGAAAGTCTCAAGCATGCCCCGGCGTCGGATCTACTCTCCTCCATCAATCTCCTCTCGACTTCTCGCCTTAAATTAGAGCCATTTATTGACTTGATCGCTGGGTTTAAAACAGATCTTGAATTTTCTATCGAAGATCAAATTTTTCCGATTAAAACAGAGAAAGATCTGGAGATATACGCATACAACGTTGCGGGCACCGTTGCGGCATTGATCCTCGGCTTGGTCTTCGCATACCATCCGATGCCGCCTTCTCAATCTCACGAAGAGCACAAAGAGCTGATAAAAGCAGGAGAGAAGATGGGCCAGGCTCTCCAATATGTCAACATTGCCCGTGACATCAAGCATGATGCTGTCATTGGTCGGGTATACATTCCGACGTCCTGGCTTACGGAAGAGGGGTTGACACCCACCGATGTGCTCACAAACCCAAGCAACCCAAGATTGACCAAGCTTAGAAATATGATGTTGGACAAAGCAGATACATCGTTCCGTGATGCTGTGGGTGCGATCGATGATCTTCCCAACGAGGCGCGTGCTCCAATCCGAACGGTTGTGGAGAGCTACATGATGATTGGAAAGATGGTTAGAAAGTCTCCGAATGAAGTGCTTAACGGGGAAGGGAAATTGAAGCTGTCATTGTGGCGGAGATTTGGGATTGCGTGGTGGGCTATGACCGATGTAGGATCAGTGTGAGAGATGGTACAGTTCCGAGCAGCCTCTACCACGAAATGAGCTACCACTCTGCCATGTTTACTGCATATTTTGTGATGAATTGCCGATACACATTCAAAATTAATTATCATTTACATTTGTGATTGTTCAATGCATTTTATCTGAAAGGTTGTGCGAATAGTAATATTCTTACATTAAATGAGTAGATGTGACGTTCGCGACTTGAACTTATCGAGGTTCAAAAATATTATGGAATTGATCCAGCATACATTGACTACTCCACCTCCTCAATCACACCAGCCTTTCTCAAAATGCCCATGATGTCCATGTAGATAGTCCTCTGTATACCCTGTCCGCTGTCGCGTGTCATCGCTCTGGAAGGGCTCGATTCATCGTTAGTTCAAAGTATACAGCGATCAGCCTGGGGCAACTCACCTCCTCCATCGTCCATCTGACCAGAAACCACCATTTCCATGCCCGCGTGTCAGATCCTGGAGAGCGTACATATACTGGCTCGCCCCTTGCTCAGCACTGCGGCAGATTATGCTCTCTAACACCCGGGATATTCTTGAATCATTGAAGTCCCGAAAAATGCTGGTCTGTGTGTATCCAGGAGAGACTGAAGCAACAGAGACCCCTTCCCACTCCTCGCGATGCGAGATTACCTGGGTCCACAGAATGAGAAGCAATTTGGTGAGGTGGTAGCGCTGATACGATGGATACAGTGTATTTCCAGCTTTATTGATCTGAGTGAGAAGGTCCGCTGTCGAGTTCTGTTGAGGATTGGCCCAGGCGTGTGCCTCCGAAGACACAACCAAGAGGCGTCCATTCTCTGCGCGAGCCAGGTAAGGGCGGAGAAGTTTTGTCAGAGCTGATGTTGCCAACATGTTTACCTGAAGTGTTTCCTCCCAGCCAGTCTCGGGGCAAATAAGAAACTCAGGATGGTAAACACCAGCATTGAGAATGGCGATGTCTATTTGTAAAACCCCCAACTCCTTGAGGCGTGATGGCAAGAGCTCGATGGATCGAAAGGAGGTCATGTCCATTTCGAGCATGTTGACGACCGTATCAGCACCTGCAGCTTTGGACTCGTCCTGGATCAACCGCATGACGTTTTCGCCACGTTCTCGACTTCTAGTCGTCAAGATAAGACGGCAACCAACTCTGCCCAGGGCCATTGCACATTCCAAGCCACACCCACTCGTAGAACCGGTGATCAAAATAGTCTGGTTGGCGAATTTTGAAAGATCCAACGTGTGAATGGATGGCGAGCGGACAGTGAGTAAGCGGAATAGGGTCGGGAACGGTCCGTCTGGATCCAGGGTGAAGGTGCAAGAGTTCCATAGGCCAAATGTGAGCATGTGTAGCGACGACATCTTGATGATTCCTGTCCTGCCTGCTATACAAGGATGCTGGTAGAATTCAATGAAAGAGTTGTTGCCCGCAGTTGTGGTGGACAAATCCTTGAAATCCGTACCTTTGAATTCTTCCAAGACTCGAAATAGTACAAGTCCCAGAATAACTCAACTAAGACAGACACATGCAAGGAAAGATGCGGTCAAAATTTCCATCAAATCGGCACCAGAGCTAGGAATGCAGAACAGTGTAGCGCATAATAGTTGCATGAGCTGAAAGTCTTAGAACGGTGTGATATAAAATGATGTCTCAGACTGAGAGTCTGGAACGCCTTGATAGCGTCATAGATCGGCAAGGGGGATCGCTAAGAAACATCATCCAATAACATACTTGCCACTTTGCCGCCCCATACGATACCCTCCGCCACCTTCTCACAGACTAGAAGCTAATAGAATTGATGATGCCCAAAGGGTGATGATCGAATCACCCAACATTATTGCATCTGCGCCCCAACGGTTTTCACACAGCCTAAGTAGACTACTCTTGTCTCACTCCTCTGATCCATCTCCCCCTTCGCACAGACATCGACGAGCGGTCAGCAAGACGAGGAAACCAAACCCTGGTCCTGTGAGCAAGTCCAGTATACCGTAAAAAAGACCTTCGCCATCTGGCGAAATAATATTGGCCCCTTCACTCAATCCCCATGCGAGGGCGTAGCCGGACCACACAACGGCTGTTAGCACACTGCAGAGAAGATACATTTGCTTCATTGGCTTCTTTTTCGCCGATGCCAAGTTGTATCCATGCGTAAACAAGACGGCAATCCCTGCGCATGCAATGGCTCCGTAGAAACTGCGTTTTGTGAGCAGTCATCAATCGCGCATAACTGAGTACGTACAAATAAGCCCACTTGTACGAGGTTGGAGTTATTGCTCCGCCCAATCCCGTCGCGATGACGATGAAAATGAGAAACGAGTCAAGCAGAATAACTCGAAGAGAGGCGGAGACTAGGATGAAAATTTCGGTTGTAACCAACGGAGTGGCAATCACCCTAATCAGAAGTCAGCCACAACACGAGCATTAGGGTGCTTCTCTTCACATATCAGGCATACCATGCAAGATAACGAATCCAAAACACCTGTCGCGTAGGGTGACTTTCAGAGAGACCTGTCCAATCGCCTCGCACAAATTCTACCTCAATCGCAATCCAGCCCATGTCAGCAGCCATGCCAAAATATCCCATGGACAAAGTGTAGCAGCTCAGAGCGGAGAGATAGCAGAAAATTGAGAGCTGTTTCTTGCGATTGAAGATGGCCACGGCAACGAAAATGACACCGAGTATGAAAAATATGGCTGTAAGGGCCCAATACCTGCTAAGGTGTTAGGTCTTGCGTGCTGGACCATCGTTGATACAAACCATGCTTTCCCCCAGTCCGTGATTGCAATATCGGCTGGATCCATATGAATGGCGGAGGCTTGTTTCATGGCGGCGAATGAAAGTTTCTTAGTGATCGCGGCAAGATCCGTCGTTCTTAGAAAGCAGGAAGGGGGGGGGGGGGAATAAAGTGACTAGAAACCCAATGCAAAGAATTGGCACGTAGTGCCTTGACCTAACAATTCGGCTTGGCTGCTCACCGCCATTCAAGCGTTACAAGACGGGAAAAGGTAAAAGATGGTCTGTAAATCAGAAGGATGGAATTCTGGTGAGTGGAGGCCCAAGCTAAATAGTTGAGAGATAATGTCTCAACTCAACGGGGCAGCTCAACTGATCCCCGGCATCCATGATACCCGATCCCTTGCATACAAAGGCGGCCCCACTCACATTAATAGCCTTGACAAGAGTGCCTCATACCTGAGCGTTGATTAAGCTGTCCGAAATGGCGCACGGATTCGAGGAGTTATAAATCGAGTAATTGATGGCTTCCTCCAAACCTAAGTCTAAGCCAAATTGAATGGGCCAGCCAGGTACCCAATGCGTTCTCCAACCGTTATCGTTGTTGGTAAGGGATGAACTATGATTCCTCTAAACACATTCTAACCTCATTTGTCTTAGGTGCTGGCGCGGGAGGGATAGCCACCGCCGCTCGTCTGGCTAAAAAGGGGGCCACCGTTACCGTGGTCGAAAAGCATGAGTTTGTCGGAGGGAGATGTTCGCTCATTCACCGAAATGGTTACGTAAGTTTTCCAATTACCTGTTCTGATATATCGATTGCCCAGATTAGTTATCTAATTGACCGAACAGAGATTTGACCAAGGTCCATCTCTTTTGTTGATGCCAGAAGTGTTTCACCAGACTTTTGAGGATCTCGACACATCGCTGGAGAAGGAAAATGTGCAATTGATGAAATGCGATACCAACTACAACATATGGTTTGAAGACAAGAGCTGTTTCCAAGTCTCCACGGACCTTTCCAGAATGGGGAAGCAAATCGAGCATCATGAAGGGAAACAAGGCCTTCAACAATTTCTGGCATTTATGAAAGAATCTGGGAATCACTATGACCTGTCCATGGCCCATGTCATGTCACGGAACTTTTCTCACTTGTTCAGTATGCTACGCCCGCAGTTTCTCAAGTCGGTGTTTACATTGCACCCCTTTGAAAGTGTCTATTCTCGCGCCAGCCGATACTTCAAGTCAGAAAAAGTGCGCCGTGTCTTCACCTTTGCCAGTATGTACCTTGGGATGAGCCCTTTCGATGCTCCCGGCACCTATTCCCTACTGCAATATACCGAGCTGGCTCACGGCATTGCTTATCCTATTGGTGGCTTCCAAAAGGTAGCGCTTCCAGTCACACAAAGACAGTTTCTCAAATTGACAATGGTGTAGGTTTTAGACGCGCTGGCGAAGGTCGGACAGCGATTGGGAGTGAAATATCGATTAGGCACACCCGTCTCGTCCATAATCGTATCCGGCAACGTCGCTCGTGGTGTACGACTCGAGTCCGGCGAAGAGCTGTATGCGGACAGCGTGGTAGTCAACGCCGACCTCGTCTATGCCTACAATAACTTGCTACCCCCTTCGTCATATTCACTCAGCTTGACCCGCCGGCCGGCATCGTGCAGCAGCATCTCGTTCTTTTGGTCCTTCGACAGGGTCATTCCAGAGCTGCAGGTGCATAATGTGTTTCTCGCAAACGAATATCGAGAAAGCTTTGACGCAATCTTCAAACGACATTCACTCCCCGAGGAGCCTTCATTTTATGTAAATGTGCCGAGTCGAATCGACCCATCTGCCGCACCAACCGGCAAAGATGCGGTAGTAATCTTGGTCCCCGTTGGACATATCAGCGATGATGCGTTGAACGCACAAGACTGGGACTCTCTCGTTACCTTCGCTCGTGAATTCGTCCTCCAAACAATCGAGTCACGCACCGGGGCTCGGGGTTTGCGTGATTGTCTTCTGCATGAGTCGGTGGATACTCCATTGACTTGGCGGTCCAAGTTCAATCTCGATCGCGGAGCTATATTGGGTCTATCACATTCGTTCTTCAATGTGTTGAGTTTCCGACCAAAGAACAAACACCGCGATATCGGAGGGCTGTATTTTGTCGGTGCCAGCACGCATCCAGGAACAGGAGTGCCAGTGTGTTTGGCAAGCGGAAAGATAGTCAGCGAGCAGATCACACAGGACTGGAGCCGAACACCGCGGGCATGGTGGAAGGTGGCTTGGGATATCTTGCGGGTTACGATCTTAGTTATGACCTTGTCATTTTCCGCATGGCTATCTTTTCTGCCTCTTGACGGAAGAAGCGAATTCTAACGGGATTACCCGTGTGTGGTCTAAATTGTTCGCATTTTCACTGGATTTGATTGATATACAATATATTGAATCATTCTAAACGTTTCCCCGTACACCAATACGGGAAGATGATCACATTCGTTTCTGAAACATACAACTCATCAAGGTAAAAATGCAGGACCACCTAGTCACAGTTCAAAATAAGCAAAATTAGGGCATGGAAGTCGGCAACTACTTTGTTATGGACTTGGAATAACAAAGCATGAGAAAACGAAACCGGTTGAATTGATGGAAAGCTTGCCCCTAATTGATCCATATTGGAGGTGACATGGTGTGACTCCCACAACGCAGCAGCTGCCTGATTCTTCCCAGGTTCATCCGTTCAAGCCAACACATTTTTCACCCATTGTGTCTGAACCGATACCGCAGTGTTTGACAGACGGGCGTTGGGAATACCATCGAACCCGTGGAACCCCCCTCCGTACACATGGAGGTCGGCTTGGACGCCGGCGGCCCATAGCCGCGATGCATAGGCCACACATTCATCTCTAAATACCTCTGCGGATCCGACATCGATAAAGGTGTTGGGTAGGCCAGAGAGATCCTCCGCCCGTCCTGGCGCAGCATATATGCTCACGCCCTCGGTACCAGCCTTGCCCTCCAAGACGGCGTTCCAGGCCATGACGTTGCTCCCCCGGCTCCATCCACCTTCATCCACGTACTGCTGACTAGACACGGTGATATTCCGGTCGTCAAGCATCGGACAGTTCAGGAACTGGGCACATAACTTGGGCCCATTCAGATCTCTGCACATTAGGGCAACGCCTGCAGCAATTCCCCCGCCTCCGGACTGTCCCATAATCATGATTCGCTCAGGATCAATGCCCAGCTCTGTTGTATGCTCACTCACCCAGCGCAACCCGGCGTAAGTGTCATTAACGAGGGCTGGGTGAGGATTCTCCGGCGCAAGTCGATACTCAACGCTGACCACGACGGCGTTTGTATCGGCCATCCACCTAAGAGCATTGTTCACGCCAGCAAATCGGTCCATAAAGACCATCCCACCGCCATGGACGAAGTAGATGCATGGTCTAGGGCGGCCAGCCTTTGAGTCTGGGGTGAAGATTGACAGCGTAATCTCCGGATCACTGGCATCGAAGCCTGGGGCGCGGCGCTCGGCATGGATGATGGGGCGATCTCCGATGACCTCTTGGATGGGAGGTTTGGCTGGCACGAGGCTCGGATTGGCATGCACTGCGAGAACCATTTCGATTGTCAAGGTAGACGGGCGATCTGACTGCGCGAGCACAGGAGCGATCTCTGGATCGTAAGGCGGACGGGGGAGAGTAGAAGTCATGGCGGATGATTGAGGGGTTTTCCGTTTGATGGAGTGTTCAGATGAATAACAAAACCTGCAAATGCTTCAAAGCAATTCAATATGTCTTAATGTGAGTTATGAGAAGGTTGATGATGTGTTGAGGCTAAGAAAACAGAGCCGAGCAGATGGTAGCAGCGGGACAGGTTCCCTTTATTTACCTACCACCAGGCTCCGGAGTCCGGACTAGCGGGATAACACTAAACGCCGGTTCCGCTTCATCTCTAATGCAATGACTTCCTGTACGACTATCAAAAATATCTCAATAATACACATTCATTCGTCAGGGAACGATAGGCTTACTGTGGCTCCCGCTAATCCCTTCCGGGTATATTTTGACTAGGTATAGATAATTAGCTGCTTCATAATAGCTACTCTCTCTTATTACTAGTAATTAATAACTAGTAATCATTTTACTTTACAATAGTAGAGCGCGTATGCAGTTCAACCTCTTCAATTCAACACTATCAACTCAATTGGGAGATACAGTGGTTCAACTCCACGGGCATCCCTCGGACGATGAATAAAACGAAAACGCCCCGTTGTACCGCGCCAAGCAACGCCACAGCCGGAGCTGAGGGCTGCGCTGATGAGGAAGGAAGATCGCAAGATGCAATGGAGAAGAAAAATGTAGAACTAGCTAGCTAGAAGAGGTCACTGAGAACAGTGACAGCTTCTTGAAAAAGAAGCCTTTCGTTCCTCAAGGCAAAGGAATAAGCCCTTTTTCACGTCGATTTAGTTGGATGCTTTCTCGACAGCCGGAGCCTTGGTAGCGGAGATAGTTTCCGGCGCCATCAGCAGGGACAGGAGCGGTGGAAGTTTGACCTCTTCCGGAATCGTAAAGAGGCGCAGGCGGATAGTAATATGGCTGAGACGCGGCGATGCGGTGAGGGCAGCAAAGGGCATGGCCAGACAGAGGCTGGTAACAAAGAGCAGAGCCCACATCTGCGGGATGGTATCCTTGACGGTGAGCAGGCCGGCGATGCCAAAGCCGATCAGACTTTGCGGCCAAAGGACACGGAAAGTGTCTCGCCAGCTGAGGCCGAGCCGGTCGCGGTTCTGGCCATCCCAGGTAATAGACTTGCCCATGAACAGGCCGCAAAGAAAGACGGTCGTGGCCACGGCGGTAGCGGGTCCGATGAGTGTCATGAGGATGAGTTCCAGCAAGACGGAGACGATACAGCGGAAGCCGCCGCCGTAGCGTTGAAAGGAATTTCCCGCAATATCGATAATACCGGCGATTTGAGGCAATAGGTAAACGCCGATGATAATCAGTTGCGGGCTGGATCTGAAGTCAACTTCGGTGTCGTCGAACCCGCCCAGCAGCCCCTTAGCGACGCCGGCGAAGGACAGCAGAGCCAAGAAGCCGGAGCCAGATACTCGACGAGAATATGGTACACCTGGAAGCGGCTGACAGGCTTGAGGCCGGGCTCCTTCAGCATGAACCAGTACTGCATGCTGCCCTGGCACCATCGCTGTTCACGGCGCAGGTGATCGAGAAAGGTCGGCGGGTTGGTCTCGTAGCTTTCGGTCTCGATGGGAATCATCCGGACTTCGTAGCCACCTCGACGCAGGAAAATGCCTTCCATGACATCGTGGCTGAGGATGCAGCCACCCAGCGGCGGTTTGCCCGGGAGAATCGGCAGCATGCAGTTCTCGTGGAAGGCCTTGGTCCGGATCATGGCGTTGTGGCCCCAGTAAAACGCACAATCGTTCACCCACCAGCTGCTCCCGATGTTGTACGTGTGCTGCCTATAGCGCAGGCCAAACTGGAAGAGGCGAGCAAAGGTGCCGACGGCCGGCATGCCGGTGAGCTGGGTTTGCAGCAAGCCCATCTGAGGATGTTTTTCCATACTGGAGACCATACGGACCAGCAAGTCTCCGCTCATAGCGCTATCGGAGTCGAGCACCACGAAGAAGTCGTCCCCTTTGGAGTAGTTGTCGAGATAGTCCTTGATGTTGCCAGCCTTAAAGCCCGTGTTCTTATCGCGGCGGCGGTATACGGTGGCTTGGGACATGCCCTTGCTGAGGCTATCTTGAAGGCGGGCGAAGCCTTCTTCTTCCATCTGCATCACATCCGGAAGGCTGGTGTCGCTGACCATGACAAACCGGAAGTGCTGAAGGCGGCCGGTTTGGCGCAGGCTTTCGCGCATGGCGTGGAGGCGGGCGAAGATCGGCGTCGGGTCTTCATTGCGCATGCAGATGGTGAGGGCCGTGATGGAGGTGATTTCTGGAAGCGGACCGTTGGCGTCAAAGTAGGGGTAGATGGATTCTTCCGCGTTGCCGAAAGCATTGATGCACACACCGATGATGTAGTTCCAAGACTTCACAATGTAAGGGGGGGTGCAGATGGTGGCGCAGAACAAGATGAAGCCCTCGAGGAAGGTGATGCCGCCCGGTTTGAACATGGTGAAGATGGTCCACAGGGCAGAGAGTATCGTGCTAACGTTCAGGACCATTACTAGTAGACGGCGTTGGAATACCGGCATGCCGGCCGTTTGAATGGGTGTAATGTTGCTCATGTCGTGTATTTCTCGGAAGGATCTCTTGCTGTTTATCAGGGTTTCGCTCATGTGAGCAAGGAATCTCTGTCAGTGTAAGTAATGTCAAGGTGGGAGTGTGCCCTTTCTCAGGTCGGGGCTTTAGGAAAAGAAGATACTGAAGACCGACGTCGAAGCCAGGGCAGTCAAGTACTTAGAAGACTTATTCGACCCTCCCCCATGGTTAACCTAGCGGGCGAAAGCATCCAATTGAACACCGACTCTTTCCCACCGGGGTGTTGAGTGTTACTATCGGCGCCGCTCTAGGCAAGTTTTAGTTCTTCCATGGGGATACAACGGCCAGGGCGAGAGCGTCGAAGTCTAGGTGAAACTCTCTGCCGACGCGTACACAGCAGCGGCAATCATTCCCTCGACCAGTTGTTCATCCGCGCGACACTTGAAACACTCCGGTGTGCCACTGCAGGTGTGACTGCGGCGGTTGTGTAGCCAACCTCCTATACGACTGAAGACAGCGGCGTTGCTGCAGCCGCTGCCGCCGGCCTTCCTCAATCTCCGGTTGTGTCAGGATCCGCCTTACGCTTAGATTGAGGCGGCGGAGCTTCCAAGCTTGAGGGCATTGTGACCTTCTGGCGTTGTGCGACTAGAGATTTGGAGCAAAGCTATCGGAAAGAAACAACACACGGATATATGGCATTCCTCTCATCCCCCTTTTGCTCTGTTTTACGTAAGGAACATATCAATAGGTGAGGTGGGAAGGCTATAAAACGGCTGCAGGCTTGGAATAGAAGGAACAAATAAATCAAATTCCCAATGCATAAATACACGCTAGAATCTTGCCTCAGATACTCTCTCTATTCATCATTCACCTTTCACTGTTCACAATGGCCTACCAGGAGCTAACAGACACTTCGGCGGCCGAGAAAGCCATCGCATCAATTGACCCAAACAAGCCAGTCTATATGCTCAACCTTCTGAAATTCCGGCCCGTTGCAGTCTACGATCCCTCGAGCCCACCTGAGATTCTATCTCTTCCCCGCTGCAGCGGTCGCGAGGCATGGCAAGAACGTTATGTGCCTGCCTTTTTCGCGCTTCCGACCATGACCGGCACCCGAGTTCCATTTTCGGGCAAAATGGTGGGAAAGGTTCTTGGGCTACAGGATGATGGATGGGATGAGATGGCTGTTGTGAAGTACGAGAATGTTGGGGTTTTCAGAGATACTATCATGAGCGAGGTGTATGCGCGGACCTCTGCGCCCCATCGGGTCGCTGCGCTAGCCGATGCGAGATTATTTGCTTTTGAGCTGTTGGGCACAATTTGAGTCCCATTGAGTAGAGAGCTGTTCTGTAACATCGAGTTGCAACTGTCAGAGGACCTGAAGTGGCAAGGTCAGTTCATCGATGTATAGCTATAGCGGAGGTGAAACGCGTACTGGCTCGTAAATAAGATGTTATTACGGATGGACTGTCGCGGCTTTGCAAACTACTTGATATGAAGTGACCCTGATCTCAGCTCTTTATAAAGTACGCTGAACCCTTGAGAGAGCTAGTTTCCCATTTGAGAAATTCACGTTCTTGCTACAAAACCTCGCTTGCGTTCTATCAGCTTCATGCCGAGCAGGGATTACGGCTTAACCAGCTATTCGACCGCAAGCGAAGGCCAATTGACCTAACGTCCCCTGCACGACTGACACTGAGCTCGAGGATACCCTGGCTTCATATTGGCCTTCATGTGCCAACGGGTACTACGCCTGCAGAGGCCATGACTGTGGATTTACGGAAACAAGACGGAGGCCTTGCAAATTAGCACTTGACAATGTACTCTCGGGGTGGTGATGTAATTGTCCAGTCAAGCCTCCCTGACCGAGCAAATCGATGAATTAAAAGATACACGATTCAGAAAGAGGCTCTCGATGTAGGGGAAGTCATTCGATTGGGACGATGCTGTTGAAATCACTCTAATAAACCATCCAGACAGACAAAGATTCATGGATAATCTAGCGAGTCATCTCGTCGCTCAGTCAACCACTACCATAGAATGGTAGGCCAGGATGGCGTCGCTAGGTAGCAAGAATCCCCCTTGTCAATTTACGAGCGAGCTTGAAGCAGTGAAAGAACCGAGACAGCTGGTCTTGAGTTCGGATCCCGGGCCGCCAGCAACACTGGGATATCTAATATGCCATCTCATGCCACGAAGCACGTAGCTCAGTATTAGTTTTGGACCCTAAAAAGGATTGTACATTGACTTAATGTATTAAGAGACCATACATGAAGTTGTTATTCCCTTGGAGATCGAATCGAATCTCGTAACCGTCGTAATTCTCTGCCCACTCTAGTGTGTAATTTGTTGACGCCTTTACTCCTGAACCGCACAATTCTCTTCCCAGATAGACTTTCAGAGAGAAGTTTCATTGATGAGATTGTGTCGGGATGTTCATCGCCGAGAATCCGTGCCCTCTTCTCAATAACATCCCTCATTATCCCCAGTGCTTCGTCACATTGGCCTTGGTCATATAATATATAAGCAAGGCTGTGCATTGAGAGGAGCGTCTGGGGATGTTCATTGCCGAGAATCCGCCGGCTCCTCTCAGTAACATCCCTGGATATCCCTAGTGCTTCGTCAAATTGGCCTTGGTTATCTAATGTATAAGCAAGGTTGTGCATCGAGAGGAGCGTGACGGGATGTTCATTGCCGAGGATCCGCGCCCTCTTCTCAGTAACATCCCTTAATATCCCCAGTGCTTCGTCAAATTGGCCTTGTGCATTTAATATATAAGCAAGGTTGTGCATCGAGAGGAGCGTGTCGGGATGTTCATTGCCGAGGATCCGCCGAGTCTTCTCAAGGACGTCTCTTGATATTTCTACTGCTTCAACAAATTGACCTTGATCGCTTAGCATATATGCTAAGCTGTGCATCGTGTTCAGTGTGGTGGGATGTTTATTGCCGAGGATCCGCTGCAGCTTTGGGAGAAGTTCTCTCCACATCTCTGCTGCCTCGCTAAGTTGACCTTGATCTCTTAGCGCGATTGCTAAGTTGTTCGTCGTGATGAGTGTGTCGACATGTTCACTGCCGAGGATCCGCTGCGACTTCTGGAGAAGTTCTCTCCACATCTCGGCTGCCTCGCTAAGTTGACCTTGATCTCTTAGCGCCATTGCTAAGTTGTTCGCCGTGATGAGTGTGTTGGGATGTTCACTGCCGAGGACCCGCTGTGTCTTCTGGAGAACATCTCTATGCATCTCTGCTGCTGTACTGAGTTGGCCTTGGCTTCGTAGTATAGACGCAAGATTGCCCATTGCAATGAGTGTATAAGGATGTTCATTGCCGAGGATCCGCTGCTTCTTCTGAAGAGCTTCTCTCTGAATCTCTGCTGCCTTGCTAAGTTGTCCTTGTTTTTGTAGCGTAGTCGCAAGCTTGTCCATCGCGTTGAGTGTATCAGGATGTTCATTGCCGAGGATCTGCCTTTTGTCCCTCAAGACTTCAGTGAATACCAACTCAGCTTCATGCCATCGTCCAATGTCGGCAAAGAAATGGGCAAAACTTTCCAAAGACCGCAGCGGCCCACATTGATCCCACAGAAACGGTTTCGAAATTCTTCGGTAGCTCTGGGTGTTCTCTACGAGGTGTGGTACGAGGCGGAGTTTTGAAGCCGGTGTGCTCAAGCTATCGCCGATGGCCTCGAGATACTCCTGGAGGAACTGAGATGCTGCATGCCAGAACTTTTTGATTTCGTCACCGTCGCCTTGTAGTCGATCATAGCCCCAGCAATGAATAAGACGATGGATCGAATACGAATTTTGTGTTTCTTGACGCTGGCACAGCGAGTATTTCTCAAGAAGCATAAAACACCCTTCCAAGCGATGAAAGTCCATGTTGGTATGTGAATTGAAAATCGACGTCCATGGGATGACTGGTATGGAGCTTAGACCAGAGATCGAGTCTGAGTTCGAGTCTGAGTCAGGAACGGAGTCTGAGACAGCTATTGCATCTGTAGAAGCTATCGAGTCTGAACCAGATATCGAGTTCGAATCACTGTCCAGTCCGAACAGCTCGAGGAAAATGTCTTCATTGTGAATAAAAGACAGTAGTGTAAGAAGTCGACATGCCTCTGGAAGTTGTTCATATACTGCGGAGTAAGAGGTCTCCCACACTGTCATAACACTGTGGTTGTATCTTTCAACCAGTTCCTCGGGCTTCTCTGAGAGAAGATTATGTCGCCGGCGACGGAAGTCTTTGAGATATTCGGATAAGTTTGAGCGTAACCTCGGGTTCTGTGACACGAATCTTCCTGCTATGTTGATTGCCAAGGCAAGATGACCCATTTCATGCGCAATCTCTTTTACTTGAGATAATACTCTCTCCTGTGAGGATTGAATCTCTGCGCAGTTCAAGAAGAGCTCAACACTTTGTGACTCCTCAAGGTCTCCAACAGGTACTCCTTCGAATGTGGACAAGGCTTTGGCGATGGATGATCGACTAGTTATGATAATGTGGATGTTCGAAGATGCAGGAAAGTATTCGGATAGTGGCACGTAGTCTTTATCTGTCTTGAGCAAATAGTCTGCTCCATCGAAAACTAGAAGCCACTTTCCGGATTCTCTTGCAAACCAGGAGAGTACCGCTTGCTTCACTTCTGCAGGCCCCGTGGGAGGCAGAAATGAAGTCTGTGTTATCAGACGGTAGATGGCCAGGAAGTCTCGGTCGATCGAGGCGGTCTGATCAGCCTGGATCCAGAATGTAGCATCGTAGTGGGTTCGATAGTACGCCAGGTAGCTCAGAGCCAGCTGCGACTTTCCGGCTCCACCCATCCCCCATACGCCGACCTTTTTTACTTCTCCTGGTCTGTTGACATCGAGGGGTCTGAGCAACTGCTCTCGGATGCTTTCTCGGAGGGTCGGTCGTTGAACGAATGTCTTGGTTGGTGCAATGGAGTGGAGAGGGTAGCTTGGTATCGGGCGGCGGGCTATCATACGTTGATTAGTATTGCAGACTTGGAGACGGAAGTATTATGGTAGCGACTAACGAGAGTTGGTGTTCGCGGAGCTGCTGGGTGTATTGAAGTAGAAGTTGTTGGTTCCGCCATGGGAAGCGTGTGGTGCAGGGATGTTGTAGTGGCCAGTGACCGGTGCATGGAACTCGGTAGATGATGCCATCGTCACCGACGTCGTGACGTGCGCATAGCTCTGCTTCGGGGATGGGATTTGCGTGTTCGTAACTGTAGAGGAACGGAGATGGTTGTGTAAGATGCAAAGTGCGGCATTACTTCTCAGCTCAGCCTTACTCCTTCTCGACGACGTGGCGCTCTCCCAGCCTGTTATTGCATAACCCCGCACTTGAACACGTTGCTTTTTTCAACCCAGATACGGCAAATGTAACCGAGAGACTGGGTCATTTGAGGAGAGTGAAGTTGTGACAACGATCGTTGTTCAATAGCCAGCTTGTTACGCCTTCGACATCATGCCCGCTTCCCGACCCCCCAGCCGCGACGACTTCGAAGTTGCGATCATCTGCGCCCTGCCGCTCGAATACAACGCCGCGTTCCTCATCTTCGACCAGCTCTGGGATAAGGATGGCGATCAGTACGGAAGGGCACCGGGAGACCACAACAGCTACAAGACGGGCCGTGTGGGCAAATATAACGTTGTTCTGGCGCTTCTGCCCCATATGGGAAAAGTAACCGCAGCCAGCGCCGCAGCTAGTATGCGATCAAGCTATGGCAGCTTGCGGCTGGCTCTTCTGGTTGGAGTCTGTGGCGGTATGCCTCGCAGCGAAGGCGGCGATATCCTACTGGGCGATGTGATCATTAGCAAGATGGTCGTTCAGTACGATCTCGGTAGACTGTACCCGGACAAGTTTGTTCGCAAGGATACTGTCAGTGACAATCTGGGCCGGCCGAATACAGACATCCGCAGCTTGCTCGCCACATTCGAAACCGACCCTGGAATCGATCAGCTCGAAGATCAAACCGCTCATTTCTTACAGGAGCTGCAAGACAAGGTAGCCCAAACAAAGCGACAGGGTAAGTACAACTATCCCGGGACAGCGCAAGACAAGCTCTACGAGTCGACCTACCGCCACAAGCACCATGGATCGCCGACTTGCCTCTGTAATAGCTGCCTCAGCGACTCAGATCCTGTTTGTGAGGCGGCGCTTAGCTCATCCTGCGACGATCTCGGGTGCGACGATGGGCATCTTGTCAAGAGAAATAGGCTCCAGTCGAAGCATCAGTTGGAACTTAAGGGGAGTAAAGAGGCTCAACAACCCGGTGTGCATGTAGGGGCTGTTGCGTCGGGAGACATGGTGATAAAGTCGGCAGCTCATCGAGATAGGATTGCTAAAGAATCCGAGGTCATTGCATTCGAGATGGAAGGCGCCGGAGTCTGGGACGAAGTGCCCTGCATAGTGATCAAGGGCGTTTGCGACTATGCGGATAGCCATAAGTACAAAGGATGGCAGAACTTTGCGGCAGCGACGGCAGCTTCAGCGTCTAAGGCAATTCTCGGATGCTATATCCAAACCGACAAAGTGACAAAAGTCTCTGGTGAGAGTCAAGGCATGTCGCTCTCCGAATCCCCAAGCAAGTCGAGCATCCCTAACAATCCAACAGCCGAGAGCAGCCATGACGCTTCTACTGCCGGAACAGCTCACCGAGACAGCGCGACACCAGGCTCGTCTAGCACCGTCTTTCACGGCCCTGTCTCAGGCCATTACGTGTTCCCCGGAGCCCAGGCAACGACGGGAGCAACAGTCAATTACAATTTCGGGGCTGAAAAGTAAGGGAACTCACTGATATTGTCAGGTACTAAGATACTAGGATGGAACATGATGTAGAACAAGGCTTTATTAAATCCCCAAATATTATAGTTTCCCTTTTTACAAGTACGCTCACCACAGTAGCCAACTCTGACCCTGAAGGAATTATTCATTATTAGTACATACAATTTACAGTTGCGCAAACTCAATGCCCTAGACCCCGAGTATAACATCAGCTGCTTTCTCACTGATCATATACACGGGCACTGCAATATAAAACCCAGGAATCTTCGGAAACACGGAGGCATCTACCACGCGTAACCCTTCTGTTCCCCTGACGCGGAACTTGGAGTCCAAGACGGCCATAGTATCCCCATCCGCTCCAATAGGGCATGTGCAACTAGCATGGTGCCCCCAAGCCTCATTCTTTGCAAACTGCGCAAGACCCGCGTCGCTGACATCGGATCCTGGCCACACCTCGGTAAAGCCACCAGTGAGTGGAAGTGTGTTCTGGAGCATTTTGCGCGAGAGTTTCATGCCTTCGACAAGGGCTTGGACGTCCTTTGCCGCATCTGCTGCATTCTCGAAGGAATTGAACTCGATTTGCGGAACATCACGAGGGTCCGAGGACCGGAGTGTGATTGTGCCTGCTCGATTTCGGGTGTGGGCTTTCAACACGATCCAAGTCCAGTGACGGGCATCTGCTGTGCCGTTGGCCGAGTATCCAGGATAGTAGCCCGGGAAGTTGACTGGCGCCCCGGCAATGAATAGATCCGGGTTATCCACTGCGACAGAGGACTTCTTGACAATTCCCAGAGCGATGCCGTTCGATCCATAGATGCCCCGTTTCCCATCGGTGGCGCCGCTCTGCCACTTCTTCAAACACGGATCATCCGAGGAGCGGAGAAAAGTACAGTCTTCAATAATCTGAAAGTCTGTCGGAGTCTTGCCAACCACTGATGTTTCGTAGCGGTCCTGGAGGTTGGTGCCTACACCAGGGAGATCGACGACAACAGGGATGTCGAATGAGGTGAGCTCGTCCTTGGGCCCAATGCCGCTGAGTTTCAGTAGCTGAGGGGTGTTAAATGCACCTGCTGAGATGATGACCTCGGAAGAAGCGTTCACAGTCCCGGCTACACCCTGAAAGGTGCTCTTGAATCGCGGGTCGGCTTTGTAGAGACTCTGCCCGACAAGAAAGTCAACTCCAACAGCGCGGGGCTTGGCGCCACTCTTGTCGAACCGGATCTTGGTGGCCAAGGTGTTGAGTTTAATGTCCAAATAATATTTCCTTGAACCGTCCGAATTCTTCGCGGCAGCTGTGCTCAGTACAAACTCGCGAGGTCCAGCCCGAACCCCGTCCTTCACGGCGATGGGGACTTGGTAGAGACCTTCGGCTGAATCTCGACCCGTGGAATCAACATTCAAGTCACGGAGTAGAACGTCGCCAAGACCCGCAATGGTGGATAGGATCATGCCGAGAAGGCTCTTTCCCATGGCTGAAGCGGCCGAGAGGATGACGGTGAGAAGCTTCACATCCTGAATCACTAGGCCGAGATCCGTTACCGTGGTCGTCAACCACCCGCTGAAGCCGTGGCCGACAATGCCGTTGGGCAAGTACTCGGCTTTCTCGAGACGCTTAAAGTACTGGCGCATATTTGACGCGGTCCACGTCTGATCCCCTGTCAGGGTGGCGATGTCATTCCAGTCGCTCTTGTGTGGATAGACGGTGATCAGGGCGTTGTGGGATCCGCAGCCTCCTAGGGTTCCAGCGCGAGGGTAAAGGATGCCAAGAGGAGTGGCGCCAGTTGGGGGATTCAATCCGACATACGTGTCTCCGGACGTGGTACGGTAGGTCATCTTCGAATCCTTCTCTTGCGTATCCAGGTCGCTGTAATGATTGACGAAGTAATCCCACTTCATCGGGTCGTATTCAGTCGACTGGGTGCTGAGGGCGGGAACTTGGTAGGGAATCGAGTCGCCTTGGTCGTCGCCTGCTTCAATGAGCAGTACTTTTTTGCCTGCAATGGCAAGTCGAGCTGCCAATGGGCCGCCGCCGGGACCAGAGCCGATGACTACATAGTCGTAGGTGGTTAAGATGTCCGACTGGCGTGGCGAGAGGTTGGTCGGTCTTAAAGATGTTAGCCCGAGCTACTTGCAGAGAGAGGTCGTGGGGATCTTACAGTATTGAGGCGGAAGTAAGAGAGGCCAAGGTGGCCAGAAGGAGAGAGCGATGCCAGTACATTTTGGTCAATTGAAGTCGTTCATACGGTTTAGTGATGTCACCAGCCCCTCTCTGGGGATGTGTGTAAACGATCTCTTCGGCTATGCTCTTGGAAGCATATGAGCGGCACCTTTTCAAAACATAGGTCGGCGGATTTGATAATAAAGGAAGCGACGGATGTGGACCTTGTACTAGACTGGAAGGTGGTGATTGCACTTGTTAGAACCATGTCGTTCCCTTTATATGTCACTGAAAACTTGATATAGCATCATGTGACGCGCCATCGGCTATTAGAAATGCATGTGACGATGCGAACTACTGGCGTCGATATCAATCGGCCTGGGGCGTTAAGGTTCGTACCGGCCTCAACATCCTTGCCTTCCGTTCTCAGCAGCGCGATCTGGATTGTCCGTTGTCCTTTTGAGATTCTGCTCCACAGTTGCTTCGGCTATAAACCTCCTCACAGGAAGGTGTCATTCCGATACGGCATATACGAGTCTACGAGATAACCAGACGGAGCCGGGTCTTCATGCGGACGGATGCTGTGCCAAGAGTGTGGCAGCTATCGACGGGAACACATTGCTACATTTGCCACATCGGTCACTCTCCCTAAAGCCAAGAGCATGATGCATGGTCCTTTCACATCAGCTAGCCAAATCGCTATATGAGCTCCGTAAAATGCTACCCATCCGCCTACCCATGTTGATCCGAAAAAGGACTAACTGCCGGCGCTATTGATTAAATTGCGTGCTCGAGACGCAGGGGTTTCCGGGCTGAACATCGAAATGCAACGCCACAACTGTCACAACTGTCCGGGAACCTGCAGGGTGCTAAAAGACCACATGGAATCACAGGCGAGCCCTAAGCGAAGATCAATCTGGCAACTTTGTATTTGCGGGGGAGTCTAATCCGGCCGCACCTCCGATCGATTATTGTTCACGGGGCTATAGTATAGGTCCGATCACGCTGGCCCCTTTATTAAATACCTCGTAAAATCTCCGCATGATATTTGCTCGCAAGGGGGGAGAACTTTAATTTCATCCGCCGAAACTCCATCGTCCTTGCTCTCAGGCATTCGCAATGGTGAACAAGGACGGATTCCGCTTCTCATGGATCGTGACTCTATTCTGGTGCATCGTCAATGCGCCGTTTGGAGCTAGCCAAGACCTCGCTTCTATAGCGGAGCTACTTCCTGACTGTGCAGTGAGCAATTACTCTCCACCTTTGGATTCCGCTTGACTGACAATCCTTGTGATAGCTGCCGTGTCTGTCAAGTAGTTTTCAAGAAGCCGCCTGTAACCTCACAGCAGTGCCAGAATGCCTATGTCCCAACACCACGCTCCAGGCAGATGTGTCGGATTGTGTCCGGCTGTCTTGCGCATTCAATGACCAAATTAGTACGTATGGTCGCTGTGTTATTGCGCTGCGAAATCTGACATTTCCGTTTTTTAGCCGTTTCAGCACTCACCCAGGAACTGTGCACCGGGTATCCGATCGAATCTCGTAGCGACCAACTCGTCATAACCTCCATTGCATGCGCTGCAATCACCTTCCCCATCGTGGTTTTGCGGTGCATCGCGAGGTTAAAGGTAACCAGCAGGCTTTGGTGGGACGACTGGACAGCTCTCATTGCTACGGTACACTCAGCCCCGGAAAACAAACAGTGCAATTCTGAAATGAATAATAGGCCTTCTTAGCTGGTCTTATTGGTGTTGAAATTCGAAGTGCGTTTGTTTATTCTTTTGATACGAGCCTTTCCCGGACAGCACCCACTAATTTTGCTACAACGACAGGCGCCGACCTAGGGCTAGGTCGTCATTATTGGAACCTGGACACAGAAAACGCCCAAACTATCCTTCAGGTTGGTTATATCCAAGAACGACCTTCATCTACGGCTAACCTGGGACTTAGTTGATCTATGCGTTTCAAATATTATACATCTTGATCCAAGTTTCAGCAAAGGGATCCCTCCTCGCCTTCTACAGACGCATCTTCCCAAATCGCCGCTTTCAGATTGCGGTTTGGGCAGGCCTGGCATTTCTTCTCGGCCATGGCATCGTGTTTTTATGTCTCATCATCTTTCAATGCCGTCCTATCGATAGTATATGGAACCGCAACCTAGAAGGAAAATGTCTTAATATCACAGCAATTGTTAATTCTGGTGCTGCATTGAGTATTGTTGAGGACATTGCTTTTCTTGTCATGCCCATTCCAGAATTGTTGAAACTGCAACTTGGAACAAGAAAACGGGCCGCATTATTACTCATCTTTAGTATCGGGTCCTTGTACGTATCACCCGTTTCACTGACGCAAGAACTCTCGGCTTATTTTATTAGCGCATGCGTCACCAGCATGATACGCCTGAAGTACCTCGTCAATTTTGATAATTCGCTTGACGAAACCTGTAAAGTGCTCCGTCAAACTGACGCGACGTCATAATCTAATCATTCAAATAGGGGACTATGTCAACGTTATAATATGGTCCGTGATTGAGTTATCCTGCGCCTTGGCTTGCGCTAGCCTCCCCGCAGTGTGGCCTCTGGTAAAAAAGATTCCAGGAATCCTGAGTACTGTCACAGGGTCGAGACCCAGAGACACCACAGACTTCAGCAACCGAGAGTCCCACATCAAGTCAGACGTTAAGGTGCTAAGCCGGCCTCAGAACCGTGGGTTCGAACAGCTTTCTGATCTGCCAAGGAAACACGCCAGCAAGGGTGGGGGAGGACGACAACTGTATCTACGAGATACAAATGCATATCTAGATATGGAGTCAAGCAGTAAGGAAGATTTTGAGTTGCAAACAATTACCAAGGGGTAGTTATAATTTTAATTCAGCTATGTTGCTTTGTATTTCTTGAAACTAGTATAGATCACCCGATTTACGGTTAAGATATAAAGTCTGAGAGAATTCAAACAGGAGGATTAGGAGCATGACATGTCAATATTGACGACACAACATATCCGTCTTTGTCACTAGCTGGTGTATATGTGGGTTATCTTCATTAATGCAAGAGCAACTTCCACGGAGATCTTTGCCGGAGGTATATAATATATAGTCCTCTGCTTGCGTCAATGTTTGTGCTTACCCGTGCCTGTGCTTGATTTCCATGTCCATGAAATTACGATCCGAGAGTCTTTTACTTCTCTCTCATACTTGCTCATCTAATTCGTGCATAGTTCGACATTTTCTCTGATGCTGGCGATCCCAGTAAGGTAGTGAACCCCTGAAGGCTATGTCCCCGCAGTTCATACCGAGGGGCTACGGCCAGGTCTATACCCATCTCGTGTGTTCTGGAGTCGTTTGACGGCATGATCACTTCCAGCACATGTTCCCCGCCGATGATTCTTTTCTCGTAGCTATTTTCATCCTTCTTTATCCTAAAATAATGTCGCCGACACCAAAATGTCATTGGCCCGGACTACCTAACGTGCATCTTCGGTAGGTTAAAACCGTCCAACTTGCCAAATCTTCTCCTACAGCTACAATATATGATGCTGCAATTCTTTTATCCACTTATTTCATCATACAGACGACATTTATTCAACAAAAGTAGCCTTAGCAGTGCTGAATTGACAGTCATTCCAATCCAAGTGGGTATAGGGTAGGTGATACCGCCCAGCCTCCACCTTCATCCACACTATCTTCGCCATGGAACATAGTGACCCGCATCCTGGCAATACATGAAACATCTCCTAAGATCACAATGACAGCAATTATTAAACTAAAAATACACTAACCACTAATATAAACAGGTTTTGTTGGTTGAGTCCCCATCTCCTTAACCCCATACTACGTCCGCTTCTTGGTTGTGGTCCTTACCATTCCGCCTCTCTCTCCGCCGATTCCCGTGGTTTATAGTATTACAATCGGGGCAGACCTCAAGACTTGGAAACCAATGCAAATGAAAAGCCGATGCCAACCTAAACAGACAATTCATCTTACTAAGCACCCCGGAGTGACAACCGAGGGCCGACCGGAGTACTCCGAATCATGCTAGCCCCGCCCCAGCGCCAGCCAAAAGGAGATGTCCGACGCAGATCTTCCCTGCGTGTTGCGGAGCCGCAGTTACCAGGGTCTCTAACTCCAGTGGCTCGAGGACACATACAGTGTTATGAAGCATGTTGTGTGGGGGAAAGTGTGACGTTGGTGACAGAAATCAAGCCTGCTTGGTAAGATGACGATAATTCGATCGGAGTTGTTATGTGAAGCTACCGCTCCGGTTCGTCCATTTAGTGCACGGTTACAGTTGCAAGAACTATTAATACCACTGGTCTCAACCGCCCTAGGTAATGCTGTAAGTGTTCTCTACCGTCGTATTCTCTACTATTACACTTTGGTACCTCATTGTCTCTACCAAAAGCTAGTCTTCTCAAGTTCTCCGAACTCAGCTAACTCCATCGCCATGACTTCTCTTACTGTCGAGTTGAAGACGCCCGTCACCGGTCCGTATCAGCAGCCCATCGGCCTGTAAGTGTTCCCGTCTCCCTCACTGAAGGGACCTGCAATCTATACCAGTAGCGGTTAACACGTAGCAGGTTCATCAACGGCAAGTGGGTTGAGAGTGTTGACAAGAAGAAGCTCGAAGTTGTGAACCCTTCAACCGAAGAGGTCATCGTTTCGGTCTACGAGGGCACTGAGAAGGACATCGACCTCGCTGTCGACGCAGCTCGAGCTGCCTTTGACGGGGTCTGGAAGACCACGGCACCCGAGCAACGAGGCATTCTGCTTAACAAGCTGGCCGATCTTGCCCAGCAAAACAAGGAGTTGCTTGCTGCAGTCGAATCGCTTGATAATGGAAAGTCGATCAACAATGCGCGTGGGGACGTGGACGGTGTGATCGGCTGTCTGCGATACTACGCTGGCTGGGCCGATAAAATTGAGGGAAAGACGATCGATATTGCCCCGGACATGTTTCACTATACCAGGTCGGAGCCGGTGAGTTTTCCGCCAGCGCCGCTACGATAACATAATCACTAACAAGTTCAGATTGGTGTTTGTGGGCAAATCATCCCGTGGAACTTCCCGCTTTTGATGTTTGCATGGAAGATCGGACCAGCTCTCGCAACCGGAAATACTGTTGTCATGAAGACGGCCGAACAAACGCCTCTGTCTGGTCTAGTGTTCACACAATTCATTCAGCAGGCTGGATTCCCTCCTGGTGTTTTCAACCTTGTCACCGGAATTGGTAGAGTTGCCGGAGCAGCTCTCTCTTCTCACATGGGCGTCGACAAGATCGCGTTCACAGGCTCGACTGTTGTTGGTCGACAGATCATGAAGGCCGCAGCTGCATCTAACCTCAAGAAGGTTACGCTGGAGCTGGGCGGCAAGTCTCCCAATATCGTCTTCAATGATGCTAATCTTGAAGAAACCGTTGATTGGGTTAACTTTGGCATCTACTACAACCACGGACAGATCTGCTGCGCGGGCAGCCGAATCTATGTTCAAGAAGGCATCTACGACAAATTCCTTGAGGCTTTGAAGAAGCGCGCAGAGGCGAACAAGGTCGGCGACCCGTTCCAGGAGGAGACTTTCCAAGGGCCGCAAGTCAGCCAGCTTCAGTATGACCGGGTCATGTCTTATATTGATTCCGGTCGTACCGAAGGCGCTACCGTGGTCACCGGCGGCTCTCGTCTCGGTGACAAGGGCTACTTCATCCAGCCCACCATCTTCTCCGATGTTCGACCTGACATGAAGATTATGCAAGAGGAGATCTTTGGACCTGTCTGCTCCGTTGCCAAGTTCAAGGACGAAGCGGAGGCCATTCGACTCGCCAATGATTCAACCTACGGATTGGCTGCTGGCGTCCACACCCAGAACCTCAACACTGCAGTCCGCGTTTCGAACGCTCTACAGGCCGGCACTGTCTGGATCAACTGTTACAACATGATCCATTGGGCTTTGCCATTTGGAGGATATAAAGAATCCGGCATCGGCCGGGAGCTTGGAGAAGCTGCGCTTGAAAATTATACACAGTCAAAGTCAGTTGCCGTTCGTTTGGGTTAAGAGGTTGTGGGAAGTGTTTGGCAGGAACATAGAAAGTCATACAGTCGTTTAAGAAGGACCAATTTATCAGCTAGTGAATAACAGGACTCAGTTTTGCTCTTTTGGACGTGCCCGTAACCTCTGAGCGCTCGGGAATCTTGCGCTAGAACCAGTTCTCGCTGGGTAGTAGATACGTATAGGCCAGTCACTGTGACTTGCTCTAAGGCGATACAGGTGCTATGAGAGTGCTATTACCCCCGCTATATTACAGCAAAATAATCTCACCAGCTACCTCTAAGGTGTTGGACCTGCTCCTCATCGCTCGTGAGCATGTTGGACTCCGTGAGCCGGGCCATTAAACACTCATAATTGGGAAGTCGTTTCTCTTGCACTTCCGTATGTCTTGCTTTCTAACTTGGTACTACTGTTGATACTCTAGGCTTACAACTCTTTTCGATCATTGCCAAACAAGGCGCTCATCATACATGTTGACCGCACCGGCAATACAAGACCAACCACAAAACAAAACGCCCTGTTGAAACCGGTTCCGAAATTTACTTGTCAATCAGGCACCGAATCCCCCAATATCCGGCCACAGCATCCTAGGCACGGCCCATTGATCAACATCGAAAGCCATATTGAGGGTGTTTTGCAACGACGCCGTCGTCATCTCATCAAGACGAAACTCATTTTCCGCTAAGGTCACTTCCGCAGTTTGATCCGGAAGGTGGGCATTAGCGCTGGGCCGTGTGTAATTTGACGCATAGTGCTCCATATTCTCCTTCATGCTTTCGCCAAAGGCGGCAAGCATTTCTGAATCTTGAGACGCGACGAGGTTGATCTTGACATGAAGTTGACGTACAACATTAGCAGCTCTGACTGCTACTGCGAAACTTTCTCCAAATTTATCCAGGACGTTTAGAGAGAGATCAATGCTCCCCCTGGCATCTGTCGCGGACGGAGCTAGCGGGCAAGCGAGCACAAAGCCCACAAGCGTCATGGACGCGTTCCACTGCCATTGGAAGGCTTCATGCCAACCCGTTAGGATAGTAGTGGAAGACAGAACCTGATGCATGATGTTTGTGAATGCACTAGCATGCGCGGCGCACTTGATAGCGGCTTGCTCCACAGAGTTGGAGGCTGGGGCTGTGCCAAAGGAGATGAAAGGACGATAAAGGTTTGTGCAAAGGTTGTGATACATCAGCTCCAGCAGGAGGCGTTGTCGTTGAAGCCAAAGGGGAGCGAACGGCTCTATGTCTAGGCCATAAGTCTCTGTCGAAAATGGGTGACCGTTATTGATCCGGTTGGTTTTAAGTGCAGCAGGAACAGAATGTACCCATCCTTCTAACTCTTTCATCTTGATGTCCAAAGCTATGGCATGGGCTTCCAACGCATCTTGCTCGTCCGACGTGGGGGAGTCGATGTATGCATTTTGCTGTTCAAAAATGGTGCTGTAGATGGCTCTGGTAATTAGAAATAGCTTGGCATGCTGGTGATGGAAGCTCAGCCATGTGAGATTGTCCCCTAGAGGAGCGAAACTGGAGCCTGCTTGCATAGCGACGTCTAACGTATGATCCGGAAGCCGAGGTGAGAACTGCGATTGGGATAGAAGAAAGGGACGGCCGTACTTCATTCCAATCTTGCTGTCAAGGATATAAACCGCCCACCACAAGCGCCGCCGCATCTCCCTCTCCTTGAGTGGCATGGTGGCCGGGGGATCGATATGAAGGCCGAGCATGTATGCTGTCCGGACCACCATCGCGCAAGCACTGTCTGACATGTTCTGGAAGGTGGCGCAACACAGATAAACGCTGCAAAGGATTTGGCATTGCAGCGTGGAGACCGATGGACTCTCCAGCTCGTATGCCAGAAGCTTCTGACAGCGGAGGTAATATCCTTGGCCAGCCACTGTCGCGTCGCCTTCTGCCGCGTTGAAAAGTCGCCCTGACGAGACCCCAAGCTGCATCGACATGGCAACCACGATATCAACAAGTGATGAAGGCCTTCTCATGTCTCCCTGTGTCGTCCATAATGACCGGTAGTGTTGTCTGAACTCGGCCTCGTCAAGGATGGGAAACACCGCCGTGTGATAAGAGTGCCAGTAGAGCTCAAGAAAGTACTCTTCCTGCATCAGACTCAAGTATTCCCCATCCAGAGCCGAGTGGGTCGTGTTGCTGCACTGTTGGCTAGACGGTTGGCGTTTATTTATAAGTGGGATAGCGCTCGTTGTCTCGTCGAGGAGTGAGCTTGTTGGATTTGAGTTGACGATGGCGTCTGAGGTGTTTGTCTGAGGACTAGCTGGACCTAGGCAGCTCGATATTCGCCCGATGAAGTGAAAAAGCGATGACGGTCCATACCACGTCTCGTTCGGGGACTGCCCGGCACGAACATGGATGCCATCCCGGCACCAGGGCGAACTTCGGTGGCGGTGACCAGCACTCGGAGAGGGAGCCGATGGAGAAAATCCCAGGGTCAAAGGTGGACTCAGGTGTTGTCTCGGCTCAGTGTCTAGACTATTTTGTTTCTCCCGAAGCTCTGATTCAAGCTCGTCGACCTTGCGCTTGAGGCGTTCAATCTCATTGTGAGCCTGGAGGAGAGTAGTGGAATTGATGGCCGCGTTGCTACATTGTCCGCCCCTGACCTTGCAATTCGAACACGGGATGTGATTGTCGCACTTGACACGATGCTGCCGACAGGAATCGCATGCTCTGACAACCTGGGCCCGTTTCTTGCGGGCATGAGACGCTTGTGCCGTGGAAGACATGGAGTCGGCCGTAAGGCTCCGGGTCCGTTCCTGGGTGGGTCTGCGGAGTTGACCAGACATATCCGAACCAACGATCGATATCTCAGGGTTGGAGCATGAAGTTCAGATGGGTTGATTATCCGGAGGATGACCGTTGACGCTGGGTGACTCGGCGGAGTGGATGACCTCAAGTTTCATAGGGCCCGGGGTGCTCCGGGGGCTTTATTTGGATTACCAATCAACTTAGTGTCTAATTTGCAGACCTCCTCTTCGTAACCAATGTCACCAGCTACATTTCCAAGTTATGGCGGATAGCCGTCGCATCGTCCATGCTTATCTCACGCACTTGACTCAGTTCCTTTCATCCGGTGCCGCTCTCCCTGGATCGGATATCCCATCGCTTCGGAAGAAACGATTTGGTACGAGCATACGTCGCGTGTTGCAATGAGGGGTCAGCGACCGATTTTCCTCATCTAAGGGCTCCAGCACCTGCACAACAGTTGTCTCACGTAAGTCTACGAGGAGAAGTCTGTGAAATCATTAGTGACGGTGATTCAGCAGCTCTTGAACTGCATGGAAACCGCGGCCTCCGGGCGAATAGGATCGCTCCGCGCTCAGAGTGCTGAACCTGATCTTGTTCGGAGTACTCCGAGGGCGCATTTGACAAGCTGCCTCACTCAGCAACTCGGTCGAAAGGGCCAAGGTACTGGTTCGAGAAATTTCTATCACTTGCTCGTCGATTTTTTCCTCGTTCGCGTTCGCGTCAGCCTCGTAGCGTAGGTTCGCATAGTAGTTCCGGCTCCAGTGTTGCACTAATAAGCGTGCAAAAAGGTGTGGCGACAAAAAGTAGAGGCTTGGCGTACGGCGGATTTCTTATTTTCCCAATAAAACACTGGACTACACAATCAGAGCATATTTAATTAATTAACACTTCGTGAAATTGAATACCCCAGTTGATTTTGCACCTACTTGATATGTTCGTATGCTATGCACTGTCTTGCCGCAATTCTCACGAGCGGAGGAACCAGTCCGGCCTTCCTCCCCGCCATTGCCCTCCCGAGCTAGGATAAACTTGAGGCGACAGTCGGGACCGTAGTTGAGGCTAGTTCCATAATTTCAGCGAAGGGTTTGATCTCCTTGTTAGTTGTAAGCGGATGATACTAGATTGTACGGCGGCAGACTCTACAGAATGAGGACTCTGGAAGACCTCTAAAAAGCGTGGGACCCTCGCTCTGCGTTGAGACATCAAGGATTGTAGATTATCTACTACTGCAGATATCCGGTAGGTGTTGTTGCAGTGCATTCTAACGTCAAAAAAAAATAGCAGGGACGCAGGCAATGTGGCTGGGATCAGTACCCGGCCAACAATTGAGATCGGGAGGTGCTAAATAAGCGCTCCTTGTTTGATCAAGAGCATATTCGCGTAACCTTCTGATAGAGCGATATGCTAGCTTACAGCAAGGGGGGTGAGATTCCCTCAAAATCCTGTCTTAAAGAAACAAGGGTCAACACAATGATCCGATTCCGGATACGCACCTGATTGAACAGACACCCACTTGCTTGAATGTACCGTTACATTTCCATCACCGCGCTTTCAATTTCCATCACATAACCCCCAATACGAAAGGAGAATCCAACTTGAGAATTGAGCAAGCAAGGCCACTAACCGCCACCCTGCTGAGACCTGCAGCCTCCTTAAGCAGTCGCCCCATCGTCCGCCATACAGCTTGCAGCTGACGTGTCTGAAATCCAAGCCACTTATGTACGTTGGTTCCAGCTGAGTGACTGTTACTTCAGCCGCACGAGGTCTTGGCAAGGCGGCAAAATCTCCATCCTCCCCCCGCAATCGCTCTTTGCAAATTGACCGTTCGCATCTTTACCTGCCTTTCACGCGTCTTTACGTCTGCCAAGTTACTAATCTTACCCTATCGTTTCGGACTGTTTCAATGGAACAGCAAGCTATCAGGCCGAGGACCCACAGCGACTACACTGTGGGTTGGGTCTGCGCGCTGCCAAAAGAGCAGACTGCGGCAATTGCCATGCTCGATCAGCGACATCCAGAACTTCCAAGGCCACCAAATGACCAGAACGCGTACACACTCGGCTCTATCGGTGGACATCACATCGTCATCGCCTGCCTTCCGAAAGGCAAAATCGGCAACAATTCAGCAGCTACCGTGGCCACTCGGATAACGCAGACTTTCCCTTCCATCAAGGTTGGCCTCATGGTCGGCATCGGCGGTGGAATTCCGCCCGAGGTCAGGCTTGGTGATGTTGTCATTGGTACACCCACTGCCGAATACCCTGGTGTAGTTCAGTGGGATCTGGGCAAGGCGGAGGACGGTGGCAATTTCGTACGAACCGGCTCACTGAACAACCCACCTAGCTTTTTGTTGACAGCGTTGACGAAAATGGAAAGCGAAGTCAGCATGTGCGGATCAAAGATACAGCAGTATCTCGATGAAGCTCTTGAGAAGTTCCCAAGACTAGCGCCAAAGTCCAGGAGGCCTACCTCTCCCGAGAATGCCGGCACCAAAGGCAATGACTCCCAGAAACCTCCTAGAGAATGCGAAGTTCACTACGGGCTTATTGCATCTGGGAACAAGGTGATCAAGGACGCCACTGTTCGAGATAAAATCAACTCCGACCTTGGCGGAAATGTCCTTTGTGTCGAAATGGAAGCAGCAGGACTAGTGGACTATCCGAGCATTGTTATTCGTGGCATCTGTGATTATGCTGATTCGGGGAAGAACAAAGATTGGCAAGAGCATGCCTCAGCTGTTGCTGCAGCATGCGCAAAGGAATTTCTAGGATACCTGCAGCCAAGTGATGTTGGCAATCAGCGCCCAATCAGCGAGGCATTAGGACAGCGTTAGTTATTTTCCCTCATTATTGACCTAGCTTAGGGTTACTAATTAACTCTTCAGTTCTTGAAAATGTTGATTCGTTGAGCGTGAAGGCGAGAACGGACGAGGAAGAGAAGATTCTTACCTGGATAACACCCTTCAACTATGGGGAGCAACACACAGACATCCTGAAGAGGCAACAACCTGGTACTTGTCAGTGGGTTCTAGACTCTGATGAGTACCACGACTGGGTGGATACGCCAAAGGGTGTTCTACTATGCCCGGGAATCCCTGGAGCGGGAAAGACGATAGTCACATCAGTTGTGGTTAACGATCTGACCAAGAACCTTGGTCAGCAACGTGACACTGGAATCGCCTACATATACTGCAGTCACCAGCAAAAGAACCAGCAAACGATCGACGACTTAGTCGCAAGCCTACTGAAACAGCTTGCCACGCGACAGGCTGCACTGCCGAGCGCCGTCACGGAGCTGTACCAACGACACAAGTATAAAGGCACGAGACCTTTGCTCGAGGAATACCTAAGTGCACTCCATTCCGTTTCCGCTTTGTACTCGAAGATCTTCATCATCGTCGATGCACTCGATGAGTTTCAAGAGGATAATGGTCGTCGAAGGGAGTTCCTAAGAGAACTTTTCAGCATCCGTGACAAATGCGGTGCTCACATTTTTGCGACATCGAGGTTCGTACCCGACATTGTTGATCAATTCAGGGGTTCCTCAACTTTGGAGATTCGTGCGAATACAGATGACGTCAAGAAATATCTCGAGGAAAACATGACAGATCTTTCCATCTCTGTGCCTCAGGGTTGCCAGCTGTGGGACGAGATAGTCAATGAGATCGCAGATGCCGCCAGTGGAATGTACGTTCTTGGTCAGCCATAAAGGCTAGGGAATCCATAAAGTACTAACTGATCGTTAGGTTTCTCTTGGCCAAGCTCTATCTCGGGTCAGTATCCGAAAAGGTCTCACCCAATGATGTCAGAGAGACATTAAAGGGATTCAAGAGACAGGGCCGAGAATCCACAGATAATAGTGCGGGCGAAATACTCGACAGTGCGTATGAACAAACCATGAACAGAATCGGCGCACAGAGTACAGAGTTCAAAAAGCTTGCATTCAATGTCCTGTCATGGATTACTTGCGCCAAGACGCGGCTGAATACATGGGAACTCCGTCACGCACTTGCAACAAGATCTCGACAATCCAGGCTCGATCCAGGAGATTTCATACAGCTACAACTCATCCTTCGAGTACGTGCTGGATTGGTCATTGTTGATGAAGAGAGCGATATTGTTCGGTTGGCTCATCACACTACGGAAGTATACTTTGACCGTAGAAAAGACGATTTGTTCCCCCAATGCGAGGCCAAGATCACAAAGGCCTGCATCACCTACCTCTCATTCAGCACTTTCGAAGATGGGTATTGTCAAACACCCACAGAACTGGAGAGGCGGTTAGATTCATTCAAGTTTTACGAATATGCGTCTCATAACTGGGGTCACCATGCTCGAGAGGCGAAACCGCACAGCACAGACATCCGAGACTTTCTCAGTCACGAGATGAAAGTGAAAGCATCTAGCCAGGCATTGATGATCAGCAATAAGAGCCCCGGATACCTTGGTCTTAGATATATAAGAACCGGCAACATGGTCCCCACTGGTTTCACGGCGCTGCATCTAGCGGCATACTTTGGGCTCGAAGAGCTAGTAATAACTCTACTGGAAAAATCCCCCCCAAACTCCCGCGACATGTATGGAAACACGCCATTGATGTATGGGGCAGCTTACGGACGCACCGCAGTGGTCAAATTGTTACTCAGCATTGATCAAGTTCAACCAGACGCCGAAAATAGGGAGCTCTCGATAGCAGCACAGAAAAGGCATGGAGGTGTCGTCGACCTGCTACTTGGGCATCCCAGCGTTGACCCTAACTTGGAATTCGGATACGATAATCCTACACCACTGTCATTTGCGGCAGAGAATGGCCATGCTGAAATAGTTGAGCGGCTACTTGGGCATCCTAAGATCGACCCTAACCTCTTCGACAAGAACCATAGTACACCACTCTTTGATTCAGCAAAGAACGGCCACACTGAAGTGGTGAAGCTGCTACTTGAGCATCCTGACATTAACCCTAACCTCTCCGACGAGAATAAAAGTACACCACTGTCTGTTGCAGCACAAATTGGCCACGCTGAAGTGGTCAAGCTGCTACTTGGGCATCCTGGCATGGACCACAAAACTCCGCTCTGGTGGGCCACAGCCTCTCTGAATCTAGACGTGGTAAAGTTACTTTTTCCGTCTGGCCACATCGAGCGAAGTCTCAAGGGCGAGGATGACTCTGACACGTGTGGAACACCAAAACGCGTCAGTTTACGTCGACACATTCTACTTGACTTGCGGAATGTTGATCTGCAGTCTAAGAATCTGCGTGGCCAGACACCGCTCCATTGGGCAATAGAATTTGGAGAAGAGGACGTCGTCAAGTCAATCCTCAGAACTGATGTTGACATGAATCGGAAGGATTTCGACGGCCGAACTCCCCTCATGACAGCGGCGATATGTGGGAACAGCGCCATTATGGAATGTTTGCTAGCCCAAGACAGCATTAATCCCAACGCTCGAGACAACACCGGTATGAACCCACTTCTACTAGGTGCCCTTCATGGACACGAGTCTATTGTGAGGCCACTACTAGCGAAGGACAGCGTTGATGTAAACGCTGCATACGTCCAGGGCGAGACACCACTGGTAGTAGCTGCTTTGAATGGACACGAGTCTATCGTGAGACTGTTACTTGCTAAAGATGGTGTTGATCTAAACACTAGACTTGCCACATATCTAACGCCGCTTGTAGCAGCTGCCAGTGGTGGACACGAGTCTATTGTGAGACTACTACTGGCTAAAGACGGTGTTGACGTGAACGCTACCGGCATGGTGGGCCGGACGCCACTGACGGTAGCTGCTATTGATGGGCACGAGCCTATTGTACAACTGCTACTAGCTCGAGAAGGTGCTGTAAACGCTACACACACCATGAGTCAGGCGAGATCCTATATATCGGACGAACGTGAACCCCTGAGTATGAGGACGTTGCTTGACATCAACGGTGGGGTTGATTTGAGATCCCAGAGTGTGAACGTCTTTGCGCCGCTTGATCGGATATTAGCAAACCATCTAGGGATAAGTCAGGATCCGATGCAAGAAGATTGAGGCACAAAGTAGAAAGAGATAATCTATGAAGTCTTTTTAAATAATGCTTCAGTTGAAGCACGAGGGATACATTTTAATAGTTAATTAGTGTTGTTGATACTATTGTTGGTTTTTTTTTAACTGTTGAGCTTCTAGTCCCCCCTCTGGGTGCCTATGTGTACTAGGGCACCCGAACCTCTTGATAGATAATTAGATTTACCCGTTTACCTTTCATAATGCATTTGACGGACATGGAACCTTGTCGATGTTTCCAAAATTCTCAATGGTTCTTGACAACACAAATCTTTGCAGCAAGGTAGCCGATCCAGCCTTGTCGTTAGTACTACTAACACGAGATCCATCAAATGGCCGGTGACCTAGCATCGGCCCAGTATAGTGACCACTGCGTAAATAGTCAGTTTAGTTGTAACTATGATAAAAGGGCAAAAAGTGGAACTTATTCGACCATTGCCAACTGTTGGTCCAATGCACTGCACTACAACGAGTGATAGAAGCTGGCTGTGACACTTGGGCGCTGCGTCGCACGCAGCTTTCATCCACAATCAGTAAGTGGCCTAAACACTGTGCAAAGTAGTCAGAAAATATTATAGCGTTTCTAACGACTGATGATTCTGCTGTGGGTATATGCTCTTACTGCTAAACTCTCCAGATTCCATTTCCAAAAGGAAACATTGATAACATACATATTTTTCGTCAACCGAAACGCAAAGTCTAAAAAATTGCTTTCGTAATTACAGTGAGAATGCAAGATGATATTTTATGGCGTCGAATATGTAAATATCGTCGAGAAATACAATAAGATGTGACAATTCGATCTTCAATTAAGTCTCAGCTAAATGCTACTTATTGACTCGCCTTTCCGTTCCAGGACCTCATTTACGGACCTGAGGAAAATATCCACAAGTTCATTGATCTCGGTTTCATTGATAATGAACGGCGGGGCGAACATAACTGAATCAACAGCGGCTGAGCACAAGTAGACAGCGGCTCCGTTCTTGAAACAGGCCTGGGCAACCTCCGGTGCGATGTGAGCTGTAGGCTTTGAAGAAAACTCAACAGCAAGGAATAACCCAAGCCCTCGAACTTCTTTCAAATGTGGTGTCAACGTCTTCAACTTCCGGAATAGAAGGTCCCCCATTTGCCGCACGTTGCTGAGCAAGTTGTTCTTGACAATAGTCCTCTGGGTTGCGAGCGCTGCGGCACACGCGATTGAATGACCTTGGTATGTATGCCCGTTAACGAATGGGTTTGTCGCCTGCGAAGATTTGAGAGTGTCGTGGACTTTAGGACTGATCAAAATGCCAGAGATGGGTTGGTATCCAGCACCCAAGCCTTTCCCAATTGTCTGGATATCTGGCGCTGAACTCCCCAGTGACTGCCATGCATGCAATGTCCCCACTCGACCCATTCCACACATGACTTCGTCGAAGATGAGTAGAGATCCGTGCTTGTCGCAAAGCTCTCGTAGCTGAGCGAGGTACCCAGAGGCAGCGGGGACAGCACCGAGTGTTGATCCTCCAACCGGTTCAACAATGACAGCAGCAACTGTCTCAGGCCCCAAGCGGGTGAACATGTCTTCGTACTCCTTGATGAGGCGTTTGACATAGTCTTGCTCACTCTCATCGGGGCTTGCGTCCCGTGAGAAAAAGCAAGGCGAGACGTGGTGAAAAGCCGGTGACAACAGCGGCTTGAATGGTTGCCGACGCGGGGGATTAAACCCAGCAGACAGGGCCCCTATTGTGTTGCCATGGTACGAAAACTGACGAGAAATAATATTGACTCGCCCCGGGTCTCCATTGCACAGATGATATTGTCTGGCGAGCTTGAAAGCTGATTCAACAGCCTCGGAACCTGGTGTGTGTTATTAGTGGTCAAGACTGCAAGTGAAACAGGGACGGTGGAATTCATACCCGAGCTTAAAAAAAGAACTTTCGAAAATGCACCATGACTGGAATCGATCAATAATGACGCTAGTTCCTCGGCTGGGTCACTGGTAAAGAACGAAGAATGGGCGAATGCCATGCGTTGAGCTTGTTCAATAATAGCTGCAATTACGTCCGGATTCCCATGTCCAAGACACGATACGGCGGCACCACTGCTGCCATCGAGGATTTTGGTACCATCGGGGCTAATGATATAGACACCTTGGCCAGCGGCAGCCGTGGGATAGTCCTTAGACAAAGAGCGATGGAAGATGTGTGATTGTCGAGACATTTTGGAGATTAATTGGGTACTGGTTAGGATTTAATACTGCGGGGGCAAGAGGAAGTTGGGATTCTGATTTAAACATATGATATTGGCCATATCTAAATGGTTATTGTACATGTCCGAACTCGGCACAGGTGAGTCATATTTCGCATATTATGTCGGAACATGGCTCCGAATTATCAACCTTGTCAATCGCTCTCACATATGTCTCGGGCCGAACATCTCCCTGCGATAACGATTAAGTTGAACAAGCCACTGTGGCTCCTGTAGAAGTGTGGTGGTTCCGTGCTGAGAATGAGGATAAGATGATTCATTTATAGAGCCTGACACCCAGCACAGATCAAGACACTCCAAGTAAGGGCTATACTGAGGGGCCTATAGCTTTGGGGAAATGGCCCTGGCGTTTCTGGCGTATGCAGTTTGGTGCGAGAAACTCAGCGACTTGCTGCTTCACCTGTCACTATACATGGTACTTCTACGTGGTACTTCAATTGCCCGCAGTAGGGGAAATCCCAGCACATCTCCCTACCAGCTGGCGCGTCTAACGCGACGCAGTCCCGTGGTGGTGTGGCCGGCTTGGCACGTCGCGCAAGGTTGGAAAAACACGCCGTCATGTTTGGAGTTTTTACGTCAGAGCAGTGAATGGACTTTGGTACAGCGGGTCTTTCTCCCGGCATCCTATGTTTGCAGTATGATTTTAAAAATGGAAAAGATCACGTCCTGTCTTCCCGCAATGCGTCTTCCCGTAATACGAGACGTTGCACATATATTGCCACGGCCTCCCGCCGGAAAAACAAACATTTCAAGGCGGCCAATAGTAGACATTATCCTTGAACGCCTAAAACGCAGCCCGACCGCTAATTAAAACAGAATTAGCCCTGGCGCCATCCCCTCCTCTCCCGATAGAGGACAAGCCCGGCCACGCTCAACGCTACGGCAGCGGCTAAAGCGACGCATCGGTGGATCTGCGATGGCTCGCTCTCTGGCGTGACCTATTGCGGCGCTTTATTTCACTGACGGACCCTGAAAACTTGCTCTTGTGGGAGATGTCAAACCGTGAAATCGGGTACATCTAGTCTACGAGCCCCTCCACGCCCAAAACACGGCCGCGTATTGGTCCAGGTCGCATCTGACACGTCACAGTATCGGTTGCCTTGGCTGTACAACGGCGTAGGTGTCGTAGGCCTCGCGTGGCACAAACCGCACAGCCTCACGGCATTGCCACCGCCAAGTGTGTTTGCCTTCGTCACAGCGTCGCGGTCTGGTTCGCCCTCCACGGTCTGGGCATCAGGCTGAACCAGCCTATAACCGAGAGGTCTCCCAGTAGTGGTGGAGGCGTATGCAGTACAACTAGAGCCAACACGCAATCCTTGCAAGCTGTACCACGCAGAGCCTGGTGGTAATGACGGCTGCGGCTCGTCGAATCACACCCTTCACTGATGAGGGAGATGCGCATTGTCACACCCTCCTCCTCCCGCAGTAAAATTGCGGACTGTTGGTGGCCACTTAGAAGTCCTCATCATATGTGACGACCCGTTAGGCTCACTCACCAGCGCCTTGGTGAAGGCAACCGGTTCGCCCAATCATCACGTGGACAATCTGTTCACTCGTGACTTCTGGCTTTGCTTTTGGCCAAGGTCGTAGTACATTATCGGCAGGGTGCCTGTCATGATCTTGCCCTTTCCATTCCCCTCTCACAAGCTCGCTGGCTCTGCATCGAACGGACCTATCCCGACGTATCATACTCTTTTCGCCGACTTCAGTTTTCGTCGATTCACCTTTCCCTTATTCCAATTTTCTCAGCCTGAATATGTACGCATCAGCATCTTCATCTCCAAAACGAGGCGATGTGGGCACCATCATGTGGTTGCCCAAGTATGAAGCCTTGGAAAAGGAATACTCAGTTCATCATTACGAGGATTGCTTCGACCATCCCGTGGTTATTCTCTCTTCCCCAGTACAAGAAATGGTTGAGATCCTGATCGTATGTACACTTTCAAACCAAACTTCAGCCTGTTTTTATTGACCCACGAGAAGATAACGTCGATGAATGGAAAATCGAGCCCAACCGCCTACTGGGACAAAGAGATCCGCGATGGATTTCTACCTATTCACCCTTGTGAAGCTCATCGGGAAAACCACCTACTTCTCCATCTCGACCGTGGGTGCCAACAGGAGCTCAGGAAGGATTCACACGTCAAAGCTTCCAAGCTGTGGAAAGTCCTATTCAAGTCGCTGAAGGACTACTACGACAACCCAGCACCGATTTACTTCAATGAGGCTTCGCGCAAGAAGCTAGTCGATTATACACGAACGAGGCGAGACGACTATTCGGTGAAAACGCTAGTCGAGTATTCGCCGCATACGCCAGTCGAGCATTTTCCCGAGTGGCCGGGCGGACACTTTCCCGAGAGACGAGTCAACATACGTTGGCGTCTTAAATCTCCCACGACTCCGCCACAACAAGATCGGACCTCAGATCTGGATTCACGGGACTCTTCCCACCACCGAGACCTCTCCAACCCCTGGGACTCTTCCCACATCCGAAACCATTCCAAGGCTCCGTTAGAAGACCAAAACACCCTCGTCGGCGCCATAACTGTCCAAGAATTAGAGAACTGGCCCGCCATCAAGAAGGCCCTCTCTGAGCCCAACGAGCTTGCCACTCAAGCCTTGGAGAACTGGCTCAACGCCGAGACTACTCTGCGCGAGGCCAACTGGCCCCTTGCCGAAGCCTATCCCAAAACCCGCAAGGCCCTCAACGATGCCAGCAAGGCCCTCGTCAATGCCACTTGGCGCGCCGACGAAGCTGAAGACAAATGGGCAGCCATTTCCGGGGCAAAGCGCAGCCAAACCGACGGCAAATATCCTTGGAAACTTCGCGAGATGTTTGATCCTCCAGCCTTCTGGCGCGAGTGGAAATTGGACCCTTTTTGTCAGCTATTGGACAAATTCAAGAAAGCAGCTCGGGAGTTTGATGGAACGTCACAGTAGCAGCCTCCCTATTTTCACCCAGGCTGCCTGGCCTTGCTTTTTGGGGGCCTTGCGACATCTCAGTTGCAATACATCTCAAGTCAGTTCGGTCATGAAGAAAAAGAGTGCGTGCGCTTCTGTCACGCTGATGTCCTCGAGTTACTAACAACCTTTGCATAGAACATTGCACATTCTCGGTAAATTGGCTCTTCCAGGATATTGAGCTTGGAATCTTAAAGTTGAATAGGTTTGATCTAAATGTAACTGGCAGAATGATCAATTTTGTATATTTCTATGCGGTATCGTATGTCCTGAATTACAGGTGTCACGGAAGAATATATTGTCGGATAAACAAAACATAAAGGACTGGGCACAACTTGTACTAATTTGGTAGATTGAGCCTTAAGAAGAAGACTTTTAACAGCATACCCAGTTAAATTCACTCCGATAACACTGGGGGTTGCTAGTGATGCCAATTTGGGTTAACAACATTTGCTGGCCTTCTCTTCAACACGAAGCTGAAAGCCAATAATCCACTGTTATCCCCCAAGTTCAAACGGCTAACGTGCATGATAAGCATGCCGGTCAAATAAGCTTGCCGGTCAAAAATTATCACCCTCAATCTAGAAATTAAAATAAATACACAACAAAGCATCTAATCAATTAGAACTAATCGCTATATTCTTCTCCAGACATCGCAATAACTACCTGACATGTTCTTACGTTATGACCAGTCTTGCCGCATGTTCCACAACGCCTTTCCTTCGGTCGCGCCGACCCTCCTTGACCACGATGTCTCGACGATTCGGCCACTAACTGCGCATCAACATCCTTCTGATCAATTACATCCCTTCCTTCATCTATAGTTATCTTCCCTCCATTCTGTAGGTGGTTTTTTTTTGCTCTGCGCCGCTTGCTAAGAGTCTCATTTGCCTGTCGAAGGATCTGGTTCTCAGACTTCAATAATGCTATCTGATGTATTATTGCCTTCGTTCTCTTAGAAAATGACTTAAGCGCGTCAACAATAGATGCTGGAGAGCTGCCCTGGTGCCTTCTGATTCGTCTTTCAAGGTATTCGGATTGAGAAGTGGCCTCGAGGACGGTCTTTGGCGTCTTGGGCACCCAAGGGTCGGGGAGGCTGGCCTCCTCCTTGACGGGTGTTGGAGTCTGTAGCTGCACATCAAGCTTTGATATAACACTTTCCGGGTCTAAAGGAACAAGCCCGGCCCCTCGAAAACCTCCCTTGATATTACTTTCCGTCATAGCGGCTTGGTGGGCGGCATAAAAAGCCGGAAAGAAGTCAGTCTTTGAAATGTGGGTAATTGAGTATCTGATCAACTGCTCAATTTCTCGACTGTATGCGTTTTTAAGCGGCCCAAAGCACCCTACATCAAGAGGTTGAAGTAGATGAGACGAATGAGGCGGCATACAAAGCGTAATAATGTGGTTCGCTTCGCAATATTTCTCAAAGTCAACCGAGTGGTGGCTTTCGTGCCCATCGAGGATCAGAAGACGATAGCGACCAGTTAATCGGGCCTTTGTGTGCCGGTCAAAGTGCTTAAGCCACTCAAGACCTGTCTCATTGTCTGTCCAGCCATTTTGAGTCGTCGCAATAGCCCAATCGCCCGGGAGGTTGCTTTCTCGGTACCAGTTAGCGAGGTGATATTGGCCCGCAACCACGATGAACGGCTGGATCGCCCAGCCTTCTGTATTAATCGCCTGGATGACTGTAACCTACTTCCGATTTCCAGGCTGGATTGATTTCGGGTTTCCACGCCTTTCTGCACCTGTGACAACCATTCCGCTTGCGATCAGGCCCATCATAAAGCCGGTCTCGTCAAAGTTATAGATATCAGCGAGGGTGATACCATATTTCGCGATTGTATTCTCCACGAGCCTGAACCAATCGCGAATAATGGTTGGATCTTCGCATTTGGCTCTCTGGTAGTCGTATTTACGAAAAAAACGCGTCTTGAGCTCTGGTTGTCGCCTGACGAAGTTTGAAGCCCAGCGCTTGCCGACAGGCGACGCGTCGCGGTCGGCGAGCAGTTGGTTGGCCATTTCTTTAATACCATGCAGTCGTGGGGGAAATCCTCGTGAATCCAGATCGAGAATGAACTGAATAATAATCTGTTCCTCTAGATCGGATAGTTTACGTGATTTGGGGATCTAATTGCAACGAGTAGTAACGCCATTCTCTTGGTTAAAGAGAGTACTATACTTGACTTGATAGATCTTTGCGGCGCGTCGGAGACTTAATTTTGGGTCATTTCGATAGGCTTGAAGTGCAAGAAGGATATTTGCCTCATTATTTGATCGTGGTATCTTGAATGGTTGAGAATTGATTGATTAAGTAGGAAGATGAAAGGTTGAGGGATTTTTGACCGGCAAGCTTGTTTGACCGGCATGCTTATCATGCACGTTATTTTTTTTTCTTTTAAGTACGGAGCATCACGAGATACGACCCTGCAATTTTTAAGACCGCGCTCTTGTACATAACAGTGCAATTGTCTACCGGTTATAGTTTTGATGCTAGAAGATTTATGTACCAAACCTGCCCGAAACCGGGTCAAACAAACTCTAGTAAATACTTGACATAATATACAAATTTCAAGCCACAGAAATTTTACAACGACTTCGTGGCCCATCCTAGCTGGGTGTTGCCACCGTCAAACACTACAAACCCTGCCTTGAGGGCAATGTCGCCAAAAATGTTGATACCAATATCCTCACTAGGCTGAAGTCCGCCAAAGCAGTTGTTGGATCCGTCACCCAGAGGAGCATAGTTCATGAACTTGGCGGGGATGGTAAACTTAGCATCGCTAACGCCAAAGGTGAAGGTCGGGACCTCAGTGTCACATGGAAAAACATAGCCACCCGCGGTGCTGTCAAGCTTGGAACCTTGAACTTGAGCGTAGTAGGCCTTGTTGACAGCGCTAGGGAGCAAAAGGAGTGTAGTGCCAGTATCGGCGATGCCATCGAGAGACGTCTGAGAGAATGTTGCATCGCCTACTGCATAGCCAGTGGACGTGAATTCCCAAAATCCCTGGGACGAGTCGACGGGCGTGTAGGTGATGTCTCCAGTAAAAGCAGACTTATCAATAAAGCCAAAGTTGTAGTTTCCGGGGGCATCTTGTTTCAGGTCTGCGGTAAATACCTTCGACTCAAGGTCGGGCATAGCGCTATCAAAGAACGTTTTTTGCTTGGTTGGCTGAACAGTGTTGATTGAGCTAAAGGCTAGTCCGAGGAGGCCATCGAGATCCGATTCAGAAGTGAAGGTGTCGGAAACAGTCTTCGCAGCCTCGACAGCTTGGGCGCTAACAGTAAGGCCTCCCACGTTGACCTTATCGAGATAGACGGTTCCGGAAGAGGAGCTCTTATCACCATAAGTAATAGACCATGTAGCGCCAGCCAGGTTCTTCGATGTGCTGCTCTTGGACGGGTCGTACTTGGTTTGGCCAGTAACCTCATTCGCAGTGGTCAAGGAGCTGAAGACCCAGAGGTCCGAGGATCCAGTATCGAAATCCAGGTTAAGAACCTGAGGCGGAGTCCCAATGCTGACAGGAGTCAACCACTCACTATCGTTGTCGGTGGGAGTTGTGGTCACATTCCCCTCGTCGCGGCGAGTGTTGGCCGCCTTGACCTTGGTGACAGCAGCAGCGAGATCCGTGGGAAGACGAACACCGTATTTTCGATATACTTTAGCGAGAGCCAAAGGACCGCTCTTGGTATACTTGGTGTTCTTGACCTGAGCGATAGAGTAGCGGTTGCCCCTGGGTAAGTCGGTGCCGGTGGGAGCGCCGGTAACAGTGGTAGCCAGTGCCAGAGTGGCGACGAAAAGCTCAGTAAGTGAAGGACTCATGATGATGTTGTTAAAGAAAGTGTATGACCAGCAAACAAATATGAGAATGAATGGTATGAACGAGATGTAATGAATGTGTTGGGGAAGTGATGCCAGAGGATGTGCTTGGTTCGACTGTATTGGAGAGAAGGCATCGCTGGTTATGTACTCGTTACCTGTTCTCATTCATCCTGGAGGAATAGGCTCGAGAATCGTCAGATTTGACGCAGCTCCAGCATTGAAACTGTAGTTCGGCACTCGACATCCGCATCACCTCCCCGAAAGAGCTCTCCCGCGCTAGCTCAGAAGATCCCGAAACATCGACAGCCAAGCATTAGCAAATCTGTTTATGCTGCCATCGGGGCTTGGCATCTACTTGGCATCTGCTTGGCTCGCGGGTGCCGGGAGGGAGATGAAACGCATCCACGATGGTTCTTTTGCCGTTTCGGCTTCAAACGATCCGGGAAATCGGCAGCTAGCGAAATGGAGAAGGTGGATGATTTAGCGTAGAGGACGCCATCTGGCCACCTACCGAGACAGGAAACTCATCGGCGCGACGATGTAACGGCGTGAGGGCCAATGATGAGAATCACATAACGATCTGACGCGGACAATTCGATACAGGCACTACGCAAGCCTCGGGACTCGGCATCAATAACTAGAGAGGACAGCTGGTGTGAGGGCGGATGGTTGAAGATGCTGGCGGCTCCTGATACTCACGCTAGTTTCATCCCGCTAGAACGTCCAGGGGCATGTTGGCGATTTGATTAGTCCAGCTAGGAGCCCCTGGAATGATTCAAGTTTGACGAAAGGCCCCCGGATATGCGCGACGACACTTGATTGGCTGGTGTAATCCCTGCTCCGCGATGGAGCTTTTGCATCGTGTCAAGTACACGACCTGGAGATTATGCAGATCATAGCTGGACCACTTAACGGGGATGATGATTCAATTCGAGAATGGAATAAACAACAAATGAGACATCTTCAAGGATTGTCTCATTTGAAAGCGCCGAGCTTAACAAAGGATCGCCGCAACAAGGGCTAAGCCAAAAAGTGCCTTCATAGTGGCAAACTATACTCCGACAATTAAGTCAGCACAAGCAAACTCGGCCAAATCTAACAACAAGTCTAAGCGTTTGCAGAGGTCCAATCGTGTCTGTTTATTTTTACTGTAGAATTTAGCTGTGACAAGCAGCCTTAGGCTGCGGTGTTGCGTTACTTGTATTTTATCCGCAATTGTTAAGTTTGGAGCACTGTAGTGCTGGTGTTGATCTTATTAAAAGTTTTATGTACAGGACGATCGGCAGTACTTTTGATTTTGGGCAAAAATTTATGACAGCCTATGTACCGAGGAAACGACTCTTCGCTATTGGCTATCATCCCAGTTTGGTGCATCTAATGCGCCTTATAGCAGTCTATGGGACCGGACGAAACGAGGCCGATGTGTCACGAAATCGAAGGATTCACGTCGCAGATAATTGATTCATAATGATTATGTTATTACGGGCTAGGAATAGCTATCTACCCACAATGTTGTGCATCGTACAAATTCGTTAGGCACAAGTCTGTAATCCTTGCGATGGCTGAAAGCTATGTGGAGAAGACAATACGGAGACCAGGCAATCGCCTCATGCTCGCTGTATCAAACAGGCAGTGGAACAACGATGCTTACCACGACGTTGGTCCAAAGAAGGACCCATCGTCGGGCAGAACCTTGGTCACGGCTCCATCAGCATCGAGGTTGTTGTTGAACACCGTGGTACCCCACCAGTCAGGGAAATTAGTATTGGACAGGCCAAGAGCGAGAGCAGAAATGACAATGCATAGCGCCGTGCCAACGTCGAGGGCACCAGAGAGCACGTAGTTGTAGCGAACTTGTACGAGTTAGTAAAGTTCGTAATGTTTTCAATAGAGGGTAACTTACTCCACCAGCCAAAGAACTTGCGCTTGATGAACCAGTTGAAGATGAGACCAACAACCACCCACTGGCCAATCCACCAGGTGGTGGCCGGAGGAATCATGCCGGCACCACCGAAGATGGCCGGGAAAAAGACGTAGCGCAAGAAGCTGCGGGGATATCTGCGGGCGAGGAAGTACTGGATAACAGGGAGAGCGGCACCGATGAGCCAGAAGTAGTTGACCCATGAGTAGCTAGTTACTGTTAGTCAAATTCGATGGCGAGATGCAAAGTCCAACACTTACATTGCTCCAGCTCCGAACATTCTGCGGGGTCCGATGACACCCCAGATGACACTGGCGTTGAAAAAGGTGCGAGCCATGGGGCAGGTAAGACCCTGAGCCTGGTCTGTGGTGCAAATACCCTCAATGTTTCCTCGCAGGAAGTTGTAGGTGGCAATCTGTACGATGGACAGCCAGATGACGGCAAAGGCCTGGGCGGCAAACATGGTGCGAGGGGGAATCTTCATGTAGTGGCCGACTTTCATATCGGAGATGTACTGGAGACCGTTGTAGCAGAGCATGTAGCCCCAGCTCTTGAACAGCATCATGGCAATGGGTCGGCCGGGAGTCATGTAACCGACAATCATCTCAGTGATGACGTTGAGACCGGTCTGCTGGTTGGTGATGGCCTGGATGATACCGACGGGGAGGATGAAGAAGACACCGATCAAAATGCAGATGATGTACGCCCACCAGGTCAGATGGGTATCCCAAACCTGGCTCGCAATCATACCAAAGGCACAGCTGACGGCAAAGATGGCGGCGAACCACCACTCAGGGGCCTCCTTGTACTTGCGCATGAGCTTCAGGTGCACATCGGCCTCCTGATGCTGAGCATCACGCGTGCGAGCGATGATGTCTTTTCCGTAGAACAGAGCGACGTGCACAAGAGTGGACATTAGGGTGGCGAATCCCATGCCGTAGGTCAGGGAAAAGGCCGAGCCAAGCATCAGGGGAGAGTATTCCTTGTAAGCCGTCTCGTTGAAGGTGTACTCGTCGGTGAGAATCCGGCTGGTGTTGTATCGCTGACCGAAGTGGTCGAAGTTGGCGTTGGCACTGGAAAGCATGTTAGAGATGGGTTCAAGGTCACGGTAGTAAATCATACCTGATGGGGAGATAACGGTAGAACTCGGGGCCGGCCCAGGCAAGACCAGCACATCCGATAACCATGATGGTAACACCGGCGGCCACGTTCAAGATGGCAAAGGCCGGAGTTTGAAGAGGGCTCAGCAAGTAAGCGCTGACGGTGCTCCAGTCGAACGAGAGGGGAATTATGCCCAATCCGGTCTGTCCGCCAAAGATCTGGTTGACGAGGACATTCTGGGGCGCGATCCACGTAATGAAGGTGAACATGCTCAGGAACGGAGCGATGACGGTGGGCAACCACTCGTAGGCAAAGGTGGAGCAGGCCACGACGAGGAAGAACATGTAGCGGCCAATCTTCCAGCCGTTGGTCTGGGAGGGATCGGAGGCGGAGTGGTCGTGGAGCGAGGTCATGACGGCTGTCGTAACTAGAGTCGCGGGCCAGATCATAGCTGCGGGCCAGATCAAGAAGCGACGTAAAATACCGGCAACACCGAAACCCATCGCCTGCGTGGAGACGATGAGCATGATTTGGAAACCCCAGCTATCGAAGTGGATGATTAGTTTGTGTACAGGGGTGGGTTGAGGGTAGTGCGCAGTCTCACCTGAAGAATTGGTTGTAGAACAGCTCCTGGGCGAGAAGAATATCAATGGCGTAACTCGAGGCCGATCCAGCTGCCGTCATCATGGTGATGATGGTGTGTTCCTTGACATTGAAGGGACCAGGGTTGAGGGACATCTCATTGCCAAAGAGCTTGAAGCGATAGTCGGGCATAACCTTGGCCCAACCCACACCGAGACTAGATTATAGTGTTAGACCAGCGATATACTATAAGCGTGGAGTTGCATACGGGTAAGAGGCCAACTGCACAACGGTGGACGTAATGGTAATGGGCGAGTAGCGCAGGCCCAGAAGGATGTTGCAAGCCGCGATGATGGTGCACATCAACGCGCCGATAGTCCAGGCGCGGATAGTGTTGATGGGCATTTCCGGATCGTCGGTGGGAGGAACCTGGACGAGTCAGATACCGGAGACACTGCGGAGAGTTGCATTCGCGATGGGGGGAAGATCTTACCGACGCGCGGACCTCGGGGTATGGAGAGTCCTCGGAGAGGAGAGTGGCCTCGACGGCGGCCTCCTTCTCCAGATCGCCCGTCTCCAAGACGCGGTCGACATCGTCGAGCCTCTCGACTTCCAGGAAGGGATCCCACTTGTGCAGCTTCTTGAACTGCTTCAGGTCTCCCTCGGGGTTGCTCGAGACGACGTCAACGCCAGACGCCACCACCGAAGGCTCCTCGGAGCCCTCGATGGCGTTCTTCCGCCATTTGAAACCCATGGTGTCTCAGCCTCTCTTTGGATGAGTTGGTGTTGGAGGATAGAAGTGGCTTGCTAGACCTGGATGATCTATCACCACGCAGGAGCCGCAGCATCTATATACACCAGGACAGCACTTTTGTCTCCCCATACAACATCTCAAGACGCCCCGATTTAAGGAGCTCGTGCCTCTCTTGGGAAGGTGGGTAGCTTCGATGGGCCGGTCCCTATGGCGGGGGTCCGATTAGAAGGTCCCCAGCAGAAGGTCCCAGCCGGCCGGGACACACACGCGTAGACGACGACATGAGGGCAACTGGTACTGGTGACAGGCGACGCGAGATAGCGATAATGGGGGACGTGGCGGGAAATTCGTAACAAAAAGCCCAATACAAAAGTTCAATACAAAAGTGCGCGGGCGGCCCAGCAGGATGGATTAGACGAGCATCGCAGGCGGAGGCGAGGCGAACAGACCACCCCCGTTATCCATATCGAGCTGCAGCACGCACCGGGGATCCTTTGAAGGCGTTCGGGGACTTGGGGGAAATGGCCTAGACGGGAGAGGAAGGTAAGTCGATGAGAGTGTCGGTCCTCCTACGTAGCTACTCCTACACTGTACAGCCAGAGCTTCCAACGCCTTCACAGCGGCTGAGAATCAACTCCTACAGATCATCAAGCCGCCCAACGAGGAAACCAAAGAACTACACGCAGCCAATCATACGTCCCCATAGAATCCGCAGCGGCCGCGCCATCGCCAAGTCGGCCAAGTCGGAGGCCATCGCGGCAGATAAGGAGCAGGGGACCCGGATATTCCGGCACGCTTCTCCACACGCGCGAGCTATTCCGAGCTATTCAGGAACTTTTTGCTCCCCGCAAGAGCAGCCGCGGCCAATCACGCGCGGCCGTTCGCTGGCCTGTTTCCGCATCACGAGATCTTTTGGTGTTGGTCCGACGTACAAAGGGACCGGCCGAATCCGGGCGAATGCACCGCGGCCCTTTCTCCACCATCACTTCATATCGCAGCTGCTGCGAACTTCAGCGGCATCGTGCGAATCTTGAAGCCGTTTCCGTGGGGACTTTTTGACTTCAACTTGTGACGCCACCCGATGGACGTTGCGGCTTCCCTTCTCGAACTGGGCGCTTTTCCGTCCATGCCTCCCCCCCTCCCCATGCGACGAGTTACAACCCTGTTGCGAACGGTCGATGCTAGAAGCCCGACGGCATGAACTGGTGTGGCTAGATAGGCCATCAACGACTGCAGAACGACGCCTGGTGATCGTTTCCGATATGGCGAACCGAACTTCAATTGACAATCGCTGCGAATAGATATCCCCCACACCCTCTTCTCACCAAAACTCGTGCCGGTATCCCGCCGCGGCGCAGAAGACATGATAAGCCCTGTGAGCCCGCCAAGCTGGTCTCTGGAATCAGCACGTCGGTGGGATGTGCAGCAATCCAAGGTGAGGCCATCGCGGCCGTGCCCCCCGCCTTCTGTTCTCGTGGACCTTTGCAATATCCTCTATCAAGCGAGCCAGGGTGTCCCGTCATCATTTCTCATCGTGACAAATCACCCACTGTCCTTGGCTCTGAGCTATCTCGCCTCCTGCAAGAGCAGTGGCAACATAAGCGCCAGCAGCTCAAAAGACGCCCATCAGCATTTGGAATCAACGGATTGCATGGGGTAGATCAGTTGAAGACGAAATGAATAATACATACTCTCATCTCACATGGCGTGTGTCCACTGCGGGAAGGGCGCCGCTCCGCCTTGGCCCCGATTCCGTCTTGGCAGGGGATGTCTAGTCTAGACGCTTGGCGTGAGTGAAGGCCGTAATGATGATCCAAGCACTAAGAGGAGCAGTGCGAGTGGATGTATTTGAATAGTAAAGTGGCCTACAGGTCCATCCGCCCCGTCTTTGACTTTCCACCTGCTCTGCCGCGTCATTCACCACGCCATCGACCACCATGCTTCACAGACTCAGCATCTAGCCAATTGAGGTGCGTAATGTGTCATAGTTTTATTCAAATACCAGGTGGTTCAACACAGCCATCTCACTGTCTCCCTTCTTTGGCGATATCCTATGGAAATCATTACCGCTTCTGGGCTGCCGGCCCTGACATCATTCTCATACCGCTTCCCCACAACCCAAATATCGCGACGGGAATCGCTTATCAGTCAGAACCTTAAACGATCTCCACCTGGAATTCACGGCCGTGGAAATCCTTAAAATCAACGTCTCGGACCGGATAATGGCCTATGTCGAGCGCGGCCTCAACCATGCCGCTGCGGCCTCCCCACGTCTCCGTCGCGAACGCCCGCATCAGATCCGTGCCGTTGAGCAGCGAGCTGGAGCTCCAGACCTTTCCGTCGTGCGCCCAGCGCTTGTCGACCCAGTTGACGTTGGGGACCGTCTTCTTCATCACGTCGAAGACTATACGCGGCGCGCACACCGTCTTTCCCTCGAGGAGGCCGGCTTCTAGCATGGCGACGAAGCCTCCGCAGATGGTCAGGAATGCGGCGCACGAGTCGTACGACTTTCGGACAAAGGCCTTTTCGCCGTCGCTCAGTTGGTATTGGGTGTTGTGAGCACCCATGAGCACGATGTCAAGCGGGGGGCACGATTCGAAAGAATCCTGTGTTGCTGTTAGTACTAACGAACGGCCCAGGTACATTCTGTGCGACGTACTGTGGGCATGATCTGAGCTCCGCTCTTCATTTTGGCTGGGGCTCCATCCTCGGTGATCCAATGCGTTTCGATGTCGATTACGTCCTCGAGCATTTCAGAGGGAAAGTTCAATAACTTCAATGAGCCCTCATCCATCCATGCCAGAAACTCAAAGGGCGCCACGTCAATCATCTCGGTAACCCTGCGATGCATCAGATATCACGCTGGCTTGTAAAATCGCACAATAAAGCCTACCCTTTGACGAGAATGACTCCGGCGTGGATCTTTCGATTCGGTGTCCTGAGGTTGAAAGTCATCGTGATAGTTTTAACTGTTAAATGTTTGAATGTTTGAATGTTTGAATGTTTGAATGCTTCCGGCTGGTGACAATTCAAGACTCGGCCTTGGGCTCCTCCTTAAATACCCAAAGCACCGCCAACAAAATGGCGGAAGTCGACCTGGTGAAACTCGTACTACTCGTGATGAAGCCGGCCCCATACGGCTTCGGACCAATACTTGTGATCGATCTCAAGTTTCTCACGGGATCCGATGCGCCTCGGCTGCTAGCTCACGATCTCCCTAGTGTCGGTCGCTACTATGAACCCGATGTGTTTCGGAATCGGAGACATTGTCTGACCGGCTGCACCGGCACCTCGGGCTGCCCTCTATTATCTTGCGTGAGACAACATTAACCTGACCATGTTTTAACACTCGTATGTTTAATTGTAAATTGTATCCAATCCTACGTTTTGCTATTCTTTGCTTCAAGGAACTGGTCGCGTGATGATCGGGGTCTACATCCCGTCACTGCCTAGCTTACCCTAGAGCCGGAAATATTTTGCGCCTCAATGCCTCTTTCTCGTCCTCCCTAAATAATGTGCCCTTCAAATAAATTTATTGTGTTTTACTGGTGGTTATGACAGTGGTTTCTTAAGATGGTTGACAAATTCAATGGTGAGCGAAAGCAGGTGATATTTACAAGTGTGCTCCAAATCAGTACGTGCCACGTACTCATCGCATGAGTTAGCTTCGGTGTACAAGCGAAATAGCGCAATATGCAATGTTTTGACCAACGAAAAGAATAGAATCTCATTTACAGTATCTCGATAGCCTCGATAAAGTTACTGGGTCTTCCCTCTTCCCGCCATGAGTGGTTGCTGAATTGCTCGCTGTAACGTGCCTCTCCTAAGCACAGAGGCTATCCCTGTCTGTTCATATCTCACTCGTATTATTTTATAAACAGTAACTGCCCATCCACACCTTTCCCCTTTCGGCCTCAAAGTTCCCCTGCCCTGACGGAAGCCACAGATGTAAGGCACCATGCTTTCAAGCCATCAATCTTTTCATCCTTAGTTATTTCCACTCTCCTCCCATTCTTGCAAATTGTAGTTTGGATCACTTTGGTCGAACACCTGGACCGCCAGAGTCAGCCAAGGACGAAACGGCAGAATGTATGAGTACCGACGTGGTTTGGAATTTGAAATAATATTCTCTCTCATACCCTGGAACTGATATGGAACAATCTGACGTTAGCCTGTTCGGATTTAGGCAGTGATTGCTGGAGGACTCTGTTTTGATGAATAAAGGTTGCAAGGCAGTAATACTGTACTACGCGATATTAGGCATTAATGTCAGATGTCCTATCGCCTGATGCAAGAATATGGCTGCGCATTGAGGCTCAGCCTGATTTTCCATTGCCTCACACGTATAGAATACTCTGGGCCGCCCGAAAATCACCGAAATCTTCCTCCACATACCAAACCCTGTAAGCACCTCAAGCCCCGGCAATCAAAGGACACGGCCGCCGCCGACAACTTAGGCGAGTCTATGACGCAACTCTCCGCCGTCAAGCCCTCCATCACGTATTTGCAAGACCTCCATGCCTTGTCTGAACTCTTAAGCTGCATTCCTAAACGACCAGGTGGTAGTGTGGCAGGCGACTTGGGACTCTTGGGCTAGCTGGTTGCTAGCTGGGATGCCTCTAGGGCGGGCCGGTTTAAGTTAAAAAGGGCTAGCTAGGCCCGGGATGGAGGGAGACATCGATTTTACCTTCAAAAGAAAGAATATTCGAACTGGAAGTCAGAAGGACCGGGAGGTCTCGAGACGGATAGAGAATCTGGTCTTTTGCTATTTTAATTTTTAAAAGATTTATTTAAAGCTTATATATAGACCTAAAAACGCAATCCTGTCTAACTTCTGTCCGGAACCTCCCCCCGACCCGAGTCTGCCGTAGGCTGTATTAATGCCTTGCCAGCGAATTTCCTTGCCACAGACTCATGATCCCATCTCATAAGATCGTTCCCTGATAGGAGATACAGACTTTAGATTGTCCCGACCTCTTATGCGAATCTTGGTGCAGCTTCGGGCTGACCAGCAAAGACGCTCTTGCGACGACCTTCAGTGCGAGTAACCCAAGGCAAGTTAGTAAGTTGGGTGTCGTTTTTGTCTCTTCTAGCCGCCAAAGTAGCTGCTGCCAACAGGTGCCGTTTATAGCCTTACCTTAAGCAACTCGGTCCCCCACCCTATCACCGCATTATCTCCTTCCTTAATAACCAACCCCCAACGTCGTTGCCTATACATTATTCGGCCTTTATACCAATTTAAGCATCTAGTTCAAATCATCTACTGTCATTCCTCAAGGCTCCTCTAGGCAAACTGCTCTGTCCACTATTTCTGGATCAATATAAGCCTGTTAGACGGCCGTAGGTTGCTGTACCAAAAATAATATTTCTAAGGTTCAGTATTTTAATCAGCCTATATATCTGACACACGCCCGCAGCTATATCAGCTAGTTCTGGGATTATAGCTGGAGCCGTAACTCTACAGCATACCCGGGGGTCGAACTGAGGATCTCCCAGACGTCAGATACGGCTAAGCCTTTTTCGGAACATCCGGCCAAGTCGTTTCTCTATCGGTATACGAGGTACTAAGACTCTTAATCGCCGGACAATCATTGGGCCACTGTCCCAAAAATGATCTTAAAGTGCGTCACTTTTTATCAGCCTTTATATCTGACAGAGCCTAAAGTCACGTGCTCCTACTCCGGCCCACCTAAAACTTGTCTTCAGGTGCGCCACATACAAGCTGCTAAGTACTCAGACACCTGCATCTTTCGTATAGGATTATTACTGGACCCGCGCCTCGCGTACAGTTCATGACAATAATACATCTACTTTGTTTTCATTGGCGTACACACAACCGATAAAGTCTCATATCGGTCCTGGGAATCTCAAGCTCAGCCAGACGCTGCAAAGGGAAAAAAATCACTCACTTGGAGGTAGAGATTGTCTAGTCGTTGCAATTGATATACATATCTAATTACTATAGACACTTTCATATTAAAATGCGGACACAATGCCACATATCAGCTGTGGCCTCTATCCCCATCACTCTTCCTTCCAATGTCGCACTGGCCTTCCTTCAGACCTATATCCCAACCATGACCCAGGTTCCCGACTTTGTCAATTTCTACGAAATCCCTGCCGTCCCTACGCTCATTTCCGATGATCCATTCTTCGGGCCTTGGGATGAGTCTGTACGTGCATATACCGTCGATGAACTCATCCATCTCACCCCCGGCCTCACCAGGGTTACCAGATGGCCCGCAGTCTATCAGAGCGCTCCTGATGGTATTCGAGTTCGTGCTAGCACTGCCGCTGGCGTAATTTCCTGGACAAAGTGGACCGTTCGTCGGCGCCAAGATGATATGTCCCCTGCAGGCTCTGATAGCGCCTCTAGCTCAACAACCTACGTCGCAGAGCAGTGGGAGCTCCACGCAGACCTCACCATTGAGGCTAATAGGCTTTTAATGCCATTTGTTTCATGGTATGCTCCTAAGGTTATAACCCAGCTTTGTCAAGCGGTTATAGACGAATTAGTTCGGAGTTACTTTAAAAGCCCAGTTTAAGAATTACAGTAGTGACACTAGGATAAATCGCATAGAAATATTAGTAGAATAGAATTGAGTATACCTCATAGCTTCCGCACCTTCTACCCCAAACCGTTGGCTGTCGCTATATAGGTCACTGGCACCAAGATCGTGACAAATGTAGGCAACGTCAAGCAAGGGCAGATTGCTAGCGTCACTCCACTCGTTGCCCCCTTTCTCAGCAAGCTATTGAGCGAGTAGGAAGCTTCACATGCAGTGATTGAAGATGGGCTTGGAAATCACTCTCCAGGCTAGGTCTAAGGCGGGCTTGCATAATTCGGTCTGCGAAAGGCGTCCACGGATTGGCGCTCGGGGAGGGGCCAAGATTTGGAACTCGGCCCCCGACGTCGAAAGGAGGCCTCGGGACGTCTCCGTTTAAAATCACCATCTGCAACTTATTCCAGTGGGGTATATGTAGATGCACATATGGCGTACACATACATCAATAAGGGTACCAGATGTAATGGACCGGGACCCTGATCCCATTACCGGTAGATCCCCGCCTCAACAAGTGGACCACATGCCGAGATGCAGATCTACGCCCTCCCTTCCGAACCCCGCAGCAACCCAATCATCTCGGGAGCCCAGATCGGGACCACAGATATGATAGATTCTAACGAAATCGACGCGATTGGCTTTTTTCTCAGAATAGCTAGCCAGTCTTGGGCGTAAGGGTCCACGTTTATCAAAATCACAAGGGCTGAGAGATGTCCAATGGCAGTTTTGTCAAATTGGTGTATTTGTGGCAGGTATAGGTATGACTTGGATCATGTAGGTAAATTTTTGCACAAGTTCTAGGCTCTTTTTGTCTTAAGACCCTGTGCCATGTAACTAAGATGGTCGGATTACCCGGACCATTCACCCCGAAAATAATAATCTAGGAGCCTATTGCGCAACTAGTACGGCTTCAGGTATCCTCCTCCCTGAAGCTTGAGCTTCTTGCCCCTCAGCGACTTATTCAGCGCGGCCTTCTTGCTGTAGTACAGATTGAAACCATTACTCTGGATGTTCTTCATGCTGGAGTCGGCATTGGTAAAGTTAGAAGTGTATGAGTTTCCAGTCAGACTCCACGAAGACGACTTGTCGAGGGCAACGTTGAAGTATCCGGTTCCGGTCTCTGACACCGTCTTGCCGGTCCAGCTGGAGTAGTCTTTGAGAGACCAGTTGATAGTGCTTCCGTTGATTGCGACAAGGTTCCCAGCAAGCTCCGAGTCGGCGACTTTGATGGTCGCAATCGCTGGTAGAAGCGTGGAAATCTCGGCCGGAGATGCAAAGTAGGAAAAGTCTTGGGTGATCTGGGACGTGTTGGCGACAACTAGGACGTCGTTGCTGGTGAGAAGCTTGACAGAGGTCAACTCCATGTTGGAAATGACGTTGCCGAACCACAGAGTCGAGACTGCATCGGCCGTGGAGCTGATGATGGAGTTGACAATCTTCCATGTTCCCGAAGCCGTGCGAAGGCCAGAGCTAAAGTGCAGAAGCCCGCCAAGGTTACCAGTGGTCAGTTGGCAGTCGTACAGCTCAATCGAGTAATCTCCGTCCATGATGACGACTGGAGCCTTGTCGGCTTGACCAATGACATTCTTTGCGTATATGTGTCCGCTGACATAGAAGATGGCAGAACCAATACCTGTAGTGTGAGACACAGAGTTGGTGATGTTCAGGTCGCCATCGGGCACGTCTCCAGCAAAGGCACTTGATCGATAGCCCCCAGAGTAGTGAATGACATTGTCGGCGACAATGGTGGCATTTCCTGCAGCGTAGAGTCCATGAGCAACTGGACCGGAGCTGTACAGGTACGAGTCCGTGATTTCCACCTCTGTGCCAGTTCCGTAGGCATAGACATTGGCCGCCCCGTTGTGAGTGGTGATGTTGACATGGTCCAGGTAGACAAGCGAGTTGTTATTGGCGTTGACGGCGGCATTGACACCAAAGAAGCTGGCCTGGTAGAGATCCGACGAGTACCCCGTCTTATAGACGTCAGAGTACGAAAGTCGCAGCGTCGAGTCAGTGGTGAGAATGACGCTGGTGTCGTTCTTCTTAGCGGTCAAGGTCTTGTGCTTCCAGGTCGTGTCCTTCTTTACGCGGTGGGTGGACTTGAGCGCCGTCTTGAGGTAAAATACAGGCACAAAGTTAAAGGCGCTCAAGAGGGTGTTGTCGGTTGCGACGTCGTACGTGCCAGTGTAGTCGTCACTGGCGTCGTACGCAGTCAGGGTTGCGTGGGTGTTTCGAAACACCATGGCACTGAGTGCCAGCGCATAGACAGTGGAACGCATAATGAAGGATGAACAGGCTAACTCGAGACAAATAGATGCCTAGAAGCAGGATGCAAGGAGCAAGGGCCACTGAAAGAAGGTCGAGAGGTTCCCGATGCTGGACAAAGAAACATCTGGAATCCCGACGCTTGTATATGGTATTTATGTCCTTCATTTCCCATGAACTCGAAAGAATCAATAGCTCGGGATAGTAACACATCTCCGCATGCTCGCCCATTGCAGCTATTTTGCGGGGGAAAGCGGGTTCGCGGGGTTCATGTGGACAAAGTGGACCGAATGGATCTGGGGTATGAGGTCGAGTATCCAGATTGACCAATTACAAACATCTGACAATAGACAGATCTCATACCCCGTGTAGAATATCGAGTTTAGCGCCTTCGGTTCGGGGCGCAGGTGGACTTGGACGTGGAAAAGGCGGTCCCGAGGTCGCATGTAAGGTCCATGTCACTAGGCTAATAAGTGATGATGACGCGTCAGCAAGCAATTGTAAAGTAGATCAGGGCGAAAGGCTTGCTAATGACACCTAGACTTCATGCAGGGGCAAAATATCAATTTCTCTTTGCCGTCAAATGACGTGCTGTACGCCGACATGGGTAAACATTTCCGAATGAGGTCTTCGAATCTGCTCTCGTGTCCATTAGATAAATGAATGAGATGGTCAAGGCACTGGCGAATAGAAGCGAGCATCCTTTATCCTTCCTACTAACATCTGCGCGTCCATGGAAAACAAGGCCGTCTACCGGTTTCCTGAGAACAGCGTACGTTATTCTATTCTTCTTGCTCGTTTCGCACATCCCATTTCTTGATACTGATACCCTAAGAAAATGGCCTGGAATCCATGTCGTCGATCTTGCACACTTCTACATCAGTCTCGCAACCTACGTCATCTAGGGAAGAAAACCTCACCATGACCCCCATTAGCACATCGATAACTGGGATTGTGTAGAGTGTGGCGCACTCCAACATAGGCCACCAGGAAGCGTTGTGTGCTCTACTGGCCGTCAATATCCGCGGCAAAACCGTTTGTGATAATGATAATGAACATGAAAAATATGGTAATCGGGATGAAAATTGGCGTAGCAGCTCCTCAGACGATTTGTTCATTTAGCACTTCTGACCAAGGAGAGGAATAAAAGCGAATAAGCGTGACATACACGGAAGTCGAGAGCGCTCGAAGCGCTGCGCTTTGAGAGCTCTGCCCCAAAACATATTGGCCACCATAATAAAAAAAAAACAATTCCTCATCAAACCAACCACAGACAGACTGATGAACTGATTAAACACAGTCGACGTAGCCTGGCTGGTGGTCATATACGTGAGGCAGCAGAGCTCAATTGTGAAGAGGAGGTTGCTAAGCGGCACACCCTGCGCAGTCGTCTTCGAGAAAAACTTGGCCCAAATCCCTGCACCGACATGGTTCGGAGCACAAGACCTGCGTTGAAAACAGATGCTGAGCTGTGTTAATAGAACGCGAGGGTTGATTGTCTCGGGTGCCTTCATGGCGATGAAATGAGGACCGCAATGCGTAAACCTGTGAGTCGCATGCCCGCTTACGGCCTGCACGCCGCCTGTATGCCTCTTAGCCAGACAACCTGAGCCTTTCAACGCATACCCATCATGGTCACACTCGTTTTTTGTCGATAATGAGAGGAAGATTCAATCCTTTGGTACTGGGGTCGCAGAAATTGTCCGAAATCGTCACATGAACCAGAGTCAAGTCTGCACTTCGCTCCAGATGGAGCTGACCGAGCTCGCTATTCCCCAATCGCGGTTTGGACAATAAACTCCTATGGGCCAGGAAACTTGTCGCAGTTCTCGCCATTGTAGGCCAACTCAAAGAAAATTCCCTCAAGGGCCTGACCATGGATGGCTTATAGAGTATGACCTTCCCTTTTGCGCTAAGGGTGATATTCTGCAAAACTGGCACTCGAAGATTGTTAGATTCCCAACCTGGGAAGAATCTACGATAGATACGTTCCTGGAGAAGCAACGGACTGTTCTAGTACCCATCCTGGACCTCAAAGACGGCCATCCTATTCAAGTGTCAACAACAATGCCGTCTAAAACACCTGGTCACTTGTGATCAGATCCCTTGCATCATCTTCTCATGGGCTGATCACGGAGACCCGAAGCAAATTTGGGAGGACAAGTTCACATCTGACTGAGCGCTGCCCGTTTTCGTGTGGTCGAACAGGTACCCGGGCTCGCGTCCGCCTTGAGAGACCTTTATAGCATCAACTGCCGTCACGGGGACATCAATCCATCCAACATATTCTCCTTCAACGAGGACGATGCTAGCGTCCCCAAGATTTCAGACGTAGGCGTATCTAGCATCTGAACATATCTACGCCAAGGGGAGACAGCCACGACTGCGTCGACCCAAGCCTAGATGGCCCAGAAGCTTACCTCGTGGCTGTCTTCCCCTGGCATAGATATGTTGAGATAGTGGATGCGCCTACGTCTGCAATAATATACCACCAGGCAAGGCTCAGAGAGGTGTAAGGAATCTACAAGATGGATTTTTCATGTATCAAACCACTCCTCCATGTAATGTGAGATCCGCGCGGCCAATGCTAGGGTGCGTAAGCCGCGATCCTTCAATCACGACCCTTGAAAGTGTGCCGAAGTCCCGTGTGGATCGTTGGAACACCAAACATCATGGGCCAGGTGGAGCAGTATGTTGAACAAGGCAGCCCAGCTCAATAAACATCAAACATGGCCAATGGGGAGAGTCTTGAAGAATCACCCGACGTGACTTCTCCTCTCACTCACTAGTAATCAACGTGGTTATTAGCTCCTCGCTCAAACCCAAGCCATTGCACAATTGTAGCCCAGCATTCTGGTCGCATCTGCCGAATTCTCCGCGACCCCTGAGACGCAAGTGGTGGAGCAGGTGGGCCAAAATCTGGGGCTGACCGGATATAACGGCCGGAGAAAATGCGCCCTTGGTCGAGACAAGGATAATACGCGGATGTTCTACGCCGTGTTTCAAGGTATCATGGCCAACAGTTCCCACAGAGAACCACAATATGCCCTCAGGTTCATGGATGAGATGGGAAATAGATTGGACCGCTGTTTCTGTGTGAATTGTTCCTAGGATGCAGTGCGTAGTCTTTCGTTTCAGATATCATCCTTTTATTTGAACAAACGGAACATAATGCCGAGTGGGATATATAGGTTTGGTTGATCCTACACCATAGTCTAGAATCAGGCCAAGCGACTGGATCGTTAGTAATTCGAGTTTTTACCTGTCCACATTCTTTTCTTCACACCCTTTTACCTATTGTCACTCATTTGATAATCGTCTAGATCACAGACATCACATTGCACTCTTTGTAAACCCGACTCAACATCGTCACCATGCAGTACCGACTCTTGACCGCACTCCTTGCTGGGGCAACCGCCGTCTTGGCAGAACCGGCTCCTGAGCCAACCGCTGCGCCTAGCGTCGAGAGGGCTGTGGCTAAGCGTGCCTCAAACGGCTCCTCCTGCACCTTCAGCGGGTCGGACGGCTACTCTGAAGCCAGTGCATCCAAGTCCTCTTGTGCAACCATCGTCCTGTCCGCTCTCACTGTTCCCTCAGGAACCACCCTGGACTTGACCGACCTTCCAGATGACACTGAGGTTATCTTTGAAGGCGAGACGGTCTGGGAGTATGGGGAGTGGGAAGGTCCTCTGTTTGCAGTCAGCGGTACCTCGATCACCGTAATAGGTGCCGACGGCAGCTCGCTGAACGGCAACGGTGCTTCGTACTGGGACGGTGAGGGAAGCAATGGCGGCAAGACGAAGCCCAAGTTTTTCCAGGCACACGACTTGACCACCTCGACGATCCAGAACATCAACATTATGAACCCTCCCGTCCAGGTGTTTAGCATCAACGGTGTTCAAACACTGAGCCTCACTGGAATCACCATCGACGCCAAAGACGGTGACGACAATGGAGGGCACAACACCGACGGCTTCGACATTGGCTCATCCGACGGCGTGACTATTTCCGGCGCGACTGTGTACAACCAGGACGATTGCGTTGCCATCAACTCCGGCACTGTGAGTTTATCTGAACATTCCATCTATGCTGCAGGCAACTAATTGCATGAATTCATAGAACATTGTTTTCACTGGTGGATACTGCTCGGGCGGCCACGGACTCAGCATTGGCTCCATTGGTGGCCGTGACGACAACACCGTGTCTGGCGTGACGTTTGAGTCTTCCACCGTGACCAACTCGGACAACGGAATTCGGATCAAGACCAAGTCCGGAGAGACCGGATCAGTTTCGGATGTGACCTACAAGGATATTGAGCTGTCGAGCATTGCCGATTACGGAATCATTGTTGACCAGGCCTACGATGGTGACGAGGCCACCAACGGCATCACCATCAGCGGCTTCACGCTTGACGGAGTTGCTGGCACTGTTGATTCTGATGCCGACTATGCAATCTACATCAACTGTGGTAGCGACAGCTGCACCGACTGGACTTGGACTGACGTGTCTGTTACGGGTGCTGACGATTCCTGTTCTAACCAGCCAAGCTCCATCACTTGCTCGTAGAGCAGGAATATGGACCCAAATGGTCACGACTCTGTAAATAATTCTCTTCTCGATTCTAGGCGGCTGGGCCTGCTAGCTGGTGTGCTGTGTGATATAGCACCTTGAACATTGTTTCACATGGCGGACACGTAATTTCCCTTCGTGTGACGTGTCAGACATCCCATTGAGATGTATGTCTTAATTGTACCACAATTGTGAATGGCCAACGAACCAACACGGTCTCTGTGTTGACAGGTATCAGAATGTCTCGAGCGTTTCGGCTCCTCTCTGGAATTTCCTTTAGGAACGCGCGTCACCCGCCTTGAGAGTCGTAATACGCTTGAAGGAAGTAACATACTGGCAGCCAGTAGTAAGCTCGATTGAACCTCACGAGAGAAGTCGGCAATTTGATTGATCCCGCAATGCAACAACCCGCTGAAACACAACCTGAAGACAACCCCAGCCTAGCTCAAACATGACTTTAACGTTCTGGTCTCGCCGGACAGCTAAGCCTTCCAACAATCATTGAGCGTTAATGCATGAAACTTCGCCTAAGAAAGTAAAGCATAACGGAAGAGGGGAAATTTAAAAACAGATGACCGGCATCGCCACTGGGACGGTCCCGAAATCACGGAAACGCAGCATTCCAATCATCCGAGGCCTAAGACACGCCTCTCCGCATTTGGCGATTAATACTAGCCGCTTGTGTATCTTGTACATACCGTTGTATTGATAAACTTGGTTTGGAAGCACTTCAATAGATGTGAATAGAAGAGAAGAAAACAAAGAACTGATCTTAACTGTAGGTCATTATAAAGTGCTCACCGTGCATATTTCTGGTAGTTGGGAAAATTCATATTAAAACGTTGATTTTGCCCCTTCGCCATCTACCTGACCTCATCCACTACAGATTGCCGTGGTGATATGGTTACCGGGGAAGAACCCATGATCATGTAATCATCTGCTGAATCGGCGATAATATTACGGTGGAACTTTGACTTGAAACGTTATTAACCCGCGCCTCATTACACTTTGGCGACCTTTCTAAGACGTGGGCGATAAACATCGGAGGAAATGGCCTTGACTGGGAAGCAATATCTTGTGAGTAAAGTTCACACAAACCTCTTACCCTTTGAGTAACTAACCGGCCAATGTAGATCGGGATGTGGGTGCTACTTGCCATATGCTGTCTCGTTATAATTGCTAGACTTGCAGTGCGCGCATGGAAGAGGTTGTGGACTTTTTGGATATCCGACCTCTTTCTTGTGTTGGCCCTGTTGACTTTCACGACTCTTGCGGTTGGGGACACCTACTCATTCTCCAAGGGGTACACTTCATTTGCAGAATACTATGATGAAGGGTTCACTAAAGTAAGCACGACTCCTTTCTGGCAGTTGATTCCAGTTCATTCTAACGAACTAAAAGTGGATGTTTTCGTCCGTGCTGGTTTTTGAATTGGGGTTTTATCTCCCAAGATTTAGCCTCCTTGCGTTCTATTATCAGCTGTTCCCTGTTTCTGAGGAGAAGCTAAGAATGTGTTTACATGTGGCTACGGGTTACAGCGTTTGTGCGTTTTTAACTGTAGGACTCGTATATGTGTTCTGGTGTGGTGTTGATGTGGCTCAGAACTGGTAAGCTCCCGGAACTAATCACTAAGCTTATGAGACCAACTTACACCCATTCGCCTTATTAGGTCATCGAGTGAATCGGCGTGCAAGGTAACGCTTATCGCGTTGCCAACTTACATTGTGTGGCCTCTTGGTGTAACATCAGAGTTACTTGGTAAGATCTCATACCAATCTTGTTCAACGGATGCTAACGATGTACGAAATGCTAGTGTTTTTCCTTCCGTTTGGTATGCTCAGAAGACTGAAAAGCCTAAGGAAGAGGGAATGGAACAGCCTTGTATTACTCTTCTTACTCGGTGCTGTGACGATCCTCATCAGTGTTGCTCGTTTCATTCTCAACGTACAATCGATATTCTCCTACGACACGTGTAAGAATATGCAGTGGACCCATCGGAATCGGTCTAAAATATTAACCATGGGCAGATTTTGTGGGCGCAATGGAAACCGCATCCCAGATTATAGTCTCAACACTGCCTGCACTACGGCCTTTGCTAGGGTTAGTGGTATCTGGCTGGCAAACCCTTTCGAGGTCTGGAGAGAACACAGAGTAGTATGGTGACGGTTCTTTGAAGCATCTAATTCGATACCAGTATTCTTTGATAATATTGTACTATTGGCAATGGAGAGCTGAAAATAAATTACATTACCCAGGTTTTGTCAAGCTTCATCATGATTTGAGGTTCAATCGTCACTTTTCTTAAAGCAACATCTCGAAGAATAATGTGATGGTCTCGACGAACGCTCCTATTTTAACAAACCTAAGTCTTTAAAACTCATGACGGTGGATTCTCTCATCACTTCTTCTAATCTTTGACAATCGATGTGATTTTATCGCCCACGCAAAACATCCCTCTGCGCGAATCGAAAATCCTTTCGGTATGGTACGCGTGGCCACCACGTAAGCTAAGGCGACACATGCTGGGATAAAATGAAGAAAGCTAGCCTCCTCTGAACTAGCCTTGGCATAAACAATCCATTTGGGCTAGAGCCTTGGGGTCCAATAGATAACCTCAATCGCACTATTGAATAGCTGAGAAAAATGGTCTTCTTCATTCCACGTGTTACTGGAAAGAGTTTGGCTTGTGCCGTGGCATTCCCTAGTGGCGTGGACCATGTCTTGATCTGGTATTTCAGCTTCACTCTAGACTCGCTTAGTTGGCTTGGCGATCGAAAGGTTTGGTGACGATGAGGAATTAAACTAAGCCACACTTTCGTTGGCCCCAGAAAATAAGAAACTATTGGATACCCCTGGTCAGTAGATAGAGACAATTCGTGGTACCGTTAAATCCGTGTTGGTTCAAGGGGGAGCTCTGTGATAAGGTGGTGCGGGAAATAAATGATTTCAACGCAGGCCTTCGCCCTGGTTGTTGCGCAGCTGGGCTTCACTCCTTGTTTTTATTCCCATCGCCACACTGCATACATTCCTTTCCGGTCGCAGCCATGTCTTACCGCCGGGTTCTAGCAGTATTGGTTTCCTTCCTCGCCATTGCGCTGGCCTGGCAGCCACCGTCGTATAGCGGCTATACGCGAAAATGGAAGGCGGACTTCATCGGTCCACGAGACTCGCTGCCAGATTCTCGCAACTGGAATATTATCACTGGCGACAATAACTACAACAACGAATCCCAGACGTACTCGAGCAACAAACTCAACCTCCGACGAACTTCCAAGGGCACCCTTCAGCTGGTCCCGAGAAAAAAGGTCTCAGCTAAGAAGGGTTGGACGTCTGCGCGCATCGAGAGCACATACACTTTCACTCCGACGGCCGGAAAGATCACCAGGTTCGAGTCTTCGCTCCGTCTAGGCAGAAACGCTGCGGTACACAAGCAGAGCATCTGGCCTGCTTTCTGGCTCCTCGGAGACTCTTGTCGGAAAGGTGGACTGTGGCCAGCCTGCGGAGAAGTTGATGTCATGGAAAACGTCAACGGACAAAAAATCGCATACGGCAGTGTGCACTGCGACGTATCACCCGGCGGCATTTGCAACGAAAATACAGGTCTCACAAACACAACCTCCCTCTTGGACAGCAAGTACCACGTCTGGCGTGTGGAATTCAACCGCAAGAGCACCAACTACAAGAGCCAGTATATTACTTGGTATATGGACGGCAAACAATTTCACCGTGTTACCGGTTCCCAGATTAGTAACTCCACGGTGTGGAAGTCTCTGTGCCAGAGCCCGCTTTACACCATTTTCAACGTCGCTGTCGGCGGCTACTGGGTGAGTTTCCACCTTGACTATATCTCTTGACCAGAGTACACATGGCCCATAAATGCTAACAAATCCGTGGTAGCCTGGATATCCGAACTCTCAGACATGGGGGGGAATGGACAGCATGATGGAGGTTGGATACGTTGCCCATTACGTGTCGACCTAGGGTAAATACTATCACAATAACTATGGGAATATTTATAATAGACGATATGTGAAAATATCAGGATTGGAGCGGCAAATGTCGAAATATATATGAGAAATGATGTTGCCCACAGGTTTCCAGGCAAGGTATCTACGAGTGAGGTTGAATGAGTTGTTGGAAACGCGCCAGGCAGCTTATTGCCTAGCATGATTCCTACCTCTCACCCTAGAAGGAGATGAAAATAAATCTTTGCACCGGCCCTAATTCTGAATTTTGGGATTCATGCCAGCCAGAACCACGTTCTTGCATTATCAAGGCTAAGTCAATTTTGAAATCCCGATTCAGAGAAAGCTTGATAGTTTAATCTATGCCTCGGCTAATTGGGAATCTTATTGAATAGTATCGATGTGCATACGCAGAATGTTAACCCACCCAAGCCTCACCTCACCTAATGCGCAATCACATAACACACGCTTCGGGTGAAGGTCTACTTGTACTAATGCAACCGACTTGGAAACAGAATTGATTGTTTGGAGGAGTAAACACCTCTCGGAGAAATGCCATTTCCTAACTCGCCGTATTAGGCGCATTGTTGGTATTATCTTCAGGGTGTATGTACTGTGCTGCTCGTAGCAATACTCTTACTGTGACTCTTTGTTCAAAGGATTGTCTATGTTCAGACAGTGCTGTATTGACCTAAGCCGATCTCACATTCCTCGACAGAGTGAGACAAGTTGCGATGAGTTTGCGTTTTCTCACTGCCGAAACCCCGGCGTTGTCTCTCAGCTCGTCGACCTTTTCAAGAGACACACCTAATAAGTAAAGCAGTGCACAGCTATTCGAACCTCAAACTTCAGTAGGTATGAATCGGATCTGTTTCGCGGTTTCAGGATGTCGATCGATGTGGGGAGTGCACGCGGCGCTTGTGTCGAAGACCCGCAAGAATAGCGTCCGCGTATCCTGGCAATAGTCGGATTTCTTTCCGAAGGCTTTCTCCACCGTAATAGCGCAGCGTGATATGGAAGATCTTGGAGCGGAGGCCACAGTACACATAGAACTGGCCCGGAGTAGACATTCCTGCTCACCTAAAGGAGAGGCTACTATACTGAGTCGCTCTGGTGATAGGCCAAGAGGTCAGACGTTTGATTTCCGCCGTGATTATCGATTGGAATTCGCGGCCGTCTTCATCGACTGGGGTTGGCGGTTTGGAGTCTTCACGTAGCACCGTTGGACCTTTGCTGCCCCAAAAATGGCCGGATTGCGATTGCCTCCTTTGACCAGTCCTTGGGTTTTCCAACAATGGAAAATTGAATCAGACAAAGCCTTAGCGTTTGCTTTAATCATGAGATTGCAAATTAGTTTATATGCGATTGGCCGGGTCCACTTTTCATCCAATCCCACACCGTCTGCTCCGAACCGTCCGATGATGTTGGATGCCATACAGGGTAGGCGGAACATTGAACTTCAATCCCAACTTCTCACACATTGGAGCTTGGCTGAGTCGATATTGAGGCAAAGCGCGTGACTGAGATTCGTGCACTGATAAAATGGAGACTCATGCAGACAGTTCTGTACCTTGGCGAAGAGGCTGTTGCTTGACTAACGTGACCTGCGTGGAGGAGCATTCTTTTTTGTCCTGATCCGAGGGCCTGGGTTTTTGAGACACAGGTCAGGTTAGCTGTGGCGCCAAAATCATGGCCATACCTGGATATTTAGTTCCCCCAGGATTACAACGAGTACAATACCGAGCTGACAGGTGGTAGCTCCACTAACCGCTTTATTGATGCTACGGAAAGCCTCCTACGTCAAGATTCAAAGGGCCGGCCCTCATATCCAGCCATATTAGAGTCTCTGCAAGTGGTGGTAGTTTCCAGTCGGCGGTAGAAACAAGCTGCCATGCCATGTTTTCCCTCTGCCAGCCATGTGGCGCCATCCGCCATCCCGCTCGCGCAGGCAGCTTAGTCCACGATGTCTATATCCTACATTTGCCAAGTCTCTAGTCAAGGCATCATAGTCCGGCATCTGGTCAGTTAGCTACTGCGCTCGGTCACATCGGTCACCTGGGCTCATTTCTCGGCCCATCCTATCCAGGGCTGGATGTCAGCAAGGCCCACAGTGCGTAGATATACTGAGCACAAGGCTGCCAGTGCTAGTACAAGGGGCCGCCCCTTATGCAATTAGGCTGGGTCTGGATGTTTTGGAAGTCTTGCAAATTTAGGCTGCGTGAAGTGGGTGCATGCTAGGCAGCTCTGACACGCCTTAGTTGCCATTGACGTTTTCCGTCGTGTGGCTACAAGAATGTAGGTGTGGTTTCGCTAAGGAAGTCTCGATAGATGCCCACAGCCATCACCATCATCCCTCATTGACAATCAACCTTTTATCTATCGACTTTACACAATGCACCATCAAAGGGGCGAAGCATCGCCACCATAGTTCATCCACTAGCATTCACCGGCACCTACGGGAGAGGTTGAGGAGGCCATCGTCTACATAATAAGCTATGTCTCACTCGCGCCGTTTTTAGCCCAACCAGTCAAGGCAAATCAGCTCCTCAAGATTACCAACCTCTCCAACTGAACGAACCAAGGTCATGCCTGTTTGTGAGGGGCGGACCGGCGACTAGGCCAACGCTATCCACTTAGACATGCTACACTCCGGCCCAGGAAAAGGAGATGGTTGCCATGGAAAGGGGGGGACTAATTGCGAACTACTGCACATCTCAGAAAGGTATTGACCAACTGGTGATTGAAATGAGTTTCACGATCCATGGGCAGCGGAGCACGAGAGGAAGCGCAGAGCGGAGCGGAGGTGTTATGTGGATGGACGAGAAGGCGACTGCAAGAGTCGCAGGATTTATATTTCCCCCAATTGCAATATCTACAAGACACTCACTTACCATGAACAATTGTATTATGTGCGGGAACTTCGTATTTTTGGTTGCCGCTATTAAAAGATACTCGCCATCTGCTGCCGGGAGCCGAACCTCTAGGCACTACCCCGCAAGCTTGACAGCTACGGAGGCAGAAGTAGACCGCCACGCTCGATAGTAAGATTGCAACGTGGACGAGTGAAGACGCGACGCATGCTTCAATCCCGGCTTCATTATTACAGGCAATTCATGTTTCCGAACAATTCTAGTCAGCTTCGCAGGTGGCAGTGCGGTGTCACTCAGTGCACTGCCGTTTCGTCGCCTCTCCTAAAGTCGGCGCAGTAACTTCATCCATCGAAGCATCTGTAAATCCGCCAACAATCCCACCAGCGAGCCAAAAGTCATGACGTAGCGCAAAGTCTCTAGCCGGATAGGGCCCAGAATTCCGGAACACTCTGTAGCCGGTCCGTCGGCTTGCTGCTCTTCCGGGCGACGATCGTACTAGCAGAACGCCTTCCGGGGACTAGCGGCGTGTCTAAGCCATTGATGTCAATACGCCCGCTCGATTTCTAAACCATTGACGGCGATTGGCGGCTTCCCCTGGTTCCATTCTAGGTAGCCTGAACTCTGAACTTGTCTTGAGCTCCCTCCATTTCCTGTTCCAGCCCTGCGTCAGCCCGACACGGCCGGTTGTTTTGGTGGGCGAATGCGCTAAGCCCTCAGCTTGTTGACATGGATGACACTTTAGGCATTCTATGCGGCGAGGGTGCGACAAACGAAACGAAAATGGAAACATCATTTTCATTATAATTCCGCTCATATGGGAAATATTCCAGCTTCATGTTTGTTCAGGGAGATTCCGCCCCTGGAAGTTGCTGTCTCAACGCCACCCCAATCTGGACTGGCCGGGAGCTGTCCTGTCAAGACAGTCTCAGAGCTGGAATCCAGGAGCCCAATCACGGCCAAGCTAAAGGTAATTGCTGAGTCTATCGTTTTCCTAATGTGGCTAACATGGTTGGCGGCAATGCAGCTTCCGCTCAAGCCAGAATCATGTGGCTCCTTTGTTTAGCTTACTCTGTACCGCACCTGTAGAGTATGGAATCAGCCGAAGGCCCGAACGGAGGCTTACAGATCCGGGGCACTAGCTTAGGAACGAGACAGTGCCGATTCCTGTTGGGTGTAAGAAGAGCTCGATGAGTGAACTTAAGGAGCTGGTGTCTACTTAGGAACAGGACAAGAAGCACATCATTCTCAAGTCTTTTCCTCGCCACAGCACGCACTCTCTTGATCTCAGAATATCCTCGAACTCATTCAATAATTCAAACCAACCTCTCACGATGCGCTTCAACAACATTGCCATGGCCGCGACGGCTGTTGCCGCTGTTTCTGCGCAGCGACCTACGGACACTCCCATCTGCGATTACTACACGACGGCCCTGCTCAAGAACAACACCGCCGAGAACCAGCTCACCCTCCTGACTCTTCTGGTCAACACTGTTGTCATCGGAAACTGTGAGCAGAAGGCCTCACGCCACACCGCTCCGTCATTGCTAATAGGTTATGTGCTGTTAGACACCCAACCCAATGTCGGCATCATGGTTCCAGGTATCCTTGCTCCTGGCAAGATTAACAAGACCGATGTCAACCTGCTGCCCTACTTCTCCGGCGAGCTTGCCTCTACCAACCGTGGTGGTAAGACCGGCGAGTCTGTCAACTTCCTCGATGGAGGTGCGGCTAAGCCCCTCATGAAGAACATGGCGGCCGACGATAAGTCGTCAAACCAATAGTACGAATATATATCCATGCACCACGTATCCACGGATCAAACTGACAACGATAATTAGCTTCCTCCTCACTCACCTTTACCAATTCTTTGGTTCCCTCCTTGGCTGCTCCATGCAGGGAATGTCCGGCTTCTCCGCGTACAAGGGCGAATCGTCGATGTACAGCGTGCACAAGTTCATGGACCTCGACTACGCCGAGGTCACCTACTTCATCACCCAGGTTGGCCTTGCTGCGGCCTCGTTCGGAGTTGCTGAAGATGATATCAAGGTTGTTGCCACTGCTCTTGGCGGCCTCTTCAACGTCCGCTGCGCCCCTGCCACGACTGTCATCAAGGCCCAGGGCTCCCAGCTCCAGTCCATCTGCATCGACACCAAGACTTGCCCCCTGGCTATGGACGGTGTCTGCTCCAAATACGATACCCCCGTCATGCCCAAGAACGCTACCGAGAGCGGATCCGGGAGCTCGTCTACCGCTACTATGACCGGTACCATGAGCGGCAGCGCAACCGCTACCGGCACGGCAGCTAGCAGCACTTCCACTGGCGGTGCTGCTGCCGTTGGCCTCAGCTGGGCGGCTGCCGCCATTGGATTTGCCGCTTTCATGCTATAAGGAGAAGGAAGGTTAGGATTGTAGAATAGGACGTGCCATTTACCTAAAACCGCTGCATCACAAGTAATGGTGTCAAATTGGACCTCAACCCTTATTGTGGTCGAAAGCGGAGCGATTTTACAGACTGATACTAATACAATATCATTCATCAGCAGGCTCAATCATGGCGTTGAGATTGGGCTCATAACTAGGATATAAGTGTGTATGCGCCTGCCCCGCGTCTTGTCTTTGAGACAATTTACTCTCCAGAGTCCATCCTTGCTATATCCATGAGCCATCGATTTAGAAACAAATAGAGTGAAGAGGAAATTGGCAGAGACCTAAAACGAGTAGAAAGTAGGTTGATTCCGTCGTGGGCGGGATTCTCGAGGTGTCCGCGAAAGAGAACCCCAGGCCGCTGTACTTCACGCACGATTACAGTGAGAGGAAACACAAATCCGTTGATTTGGTCACAAAACGACGTCGAAATCGAAGAAAACCCCAACAGAGCATTCCGTTACCCCGATTCGACCTACGCATGGAGATGACCCTGAGACGAGACAACTGACAAGCACGGGCGAGAGTCATAAAGCCGTCGTCCGAGTTCACCTACCACGAGAGACAACGGCGAAAAAGACGAATGTGAAAATCATATCTATCCATGTTGCTCCAGTTCATTCTGGTATTTCATGTTGCGTCCGAAAAGCAGACATCCATTCGTTATTGTCCGCAATTGTATGTTCCCAGCCATCTGCACTTCCATAAACCAGTCTCCTGGCTTCGTCCTGAAACATTTGATCGTCTGGGAAGATGCCCTGCGAGATGTTCCGCTGAGCAAACCGTCCGAGGTGCAAGGCCAGAAAACTGGCGTAGGTTGTTGGACTTAATTCTAGAAGGGGTAGTCCTGCACTTTCCCCTTCCGCATCTTCTGATTGACTGGCATTAGTCAATGCATGCTTCTCCAAGATTTGAGACAAATGATCCGTTGTTCTCGGGTCTGTGGCAGAAAACGGGACCAGCGTCTTGGCTTCGGCTGCCAAGGTGTATGGCGGTATTGCGTTCCTGACCTGAGCGGCCACAAATGGATCAAATCCGTTTCCTCCTTTCCAATCCCTCATGGTCAGGCCCTTTCGGAAATGGTCTGAGAGATGATCGGCACGAATTTGCCACGTTGTTAGCTTCTCGTCACAAAATCCACATCTCGAGACAATTGCAGGGGGTTCAATCTTCCAGTGATCAATAATAGGCAGAGCCTCAAGCCGGTGAAAGACGCGGAGATGTTGGACAAGGTGATCCTTTCGACGAAAAGCTCGCGGTTCCTGGCCAGCATGGCAAGCATGGTGGTTGTGGCTGCCAAGATGATCATCCGTTGGATCCAGCATGTTGCAATAGGCGCAGTGGTTTCTTCCGGTCGTGGGGAGCACAATCGACCCTCCATCTGGGGCGCAAACCCACTGGTCGAGGTCTAAATGAAGTGACTTTTCGTGACGAGTCCAATCGTACTTGGTTTTGAAGGCATCGCAACAGAATGTACACGGAAACCTCCGCAGGTCATTTGCGCCTGGTTTGTTTCTGCGAGTCTTCCTGACTCTCCCTATGGAGGACGATACCGGGCCCAGGAAGCTGTTGGATTTCGAAGACCTGCTTGACGAGACTGAACTCGACGAACAAGTCGTCCAACTGTTGAGGCTGACACTCGAGGCGGGCGTTCTTCCTAAACTTCTCGATCTAGTGTCTTGCTGTACCGGACTCCTCTGCAAGGCGTCGGCGATGGCTGAGAGAGATGCCGGTTCAGTTTCCGGAGGGCTGTCTCGCCATCTCTGAAGGGGATCCATGCTGCTGCTCGGTGTGGGCACGGTGGGGATCGAAACAGGCCGGCCGACGGATCCATGAGAGCGAAAGTATCTGCTTCTGCGACGAGGAAGACTGGGTTGTGGTCCACTGAAGAATGGCCTGCTGAACTGGATGTCCAGAGGCTCATTTGCGTCGTTAGGCGCTCCGGGTGATGGGAACGACGGCTGGTGTGGCCATGCGCCATCGACACCTCCAGGAACATGGTACTGGGGTAGCCCAAGAGAGGTATAGCTCGAGTTTTCATGCGTCATGTCATTGGGGCTGTTGAGGAATTGGCAAGACAGACCATCAAACTTGGGGAATGCATCGTCCCTCACTCCCACGCCGTCGCCGCTCAAGGGTGGCTGTTCACTTGGCGCCGCGCAAGATGCAACCCAGTTATCTATAGATTGAGGTGCTTGATAGGGATTATCTTGTTCGTGGGCCTCTAGAGGCATCCAACATTGACCATCGGGGAATATATCTGGCAATTCTTATGTCCGAGAACCGGTCAGCGATGGGTTCGAAGTGAGGGGTCGCGTGGAACTCACCGTTAGAGTACGCATTGCCGACGTCTATCACGGACCACAAAGCAGGGACATCCTCTTGGCCATGTTGAGAGTTCATTCCTACGCGAGTTGGGTATAAATTGGGCGATGCTCGACGTTGGGCGCGGGAACGCAATATGATGCAATATCGTCATGGTCGACGGCAAAGTGCATGATTTTCTCTCATTAGTCACATCGGACGACATGCCGGGCGCCGGCTATGAGGCGGAGATTGCGACAAATTGCCGATCTCGGACAATTGTAGCGTGAGTTCAACAGAGGAGACAATCCACTCCGCGCGCGTTGGTGGCCGTCCCACTCGCTTGTTAGTGTGGCCCCGGACGCGTCTTGCCAAGGCTAATAAGACGCTGGATAAAAAGAACAGTGAAGTGAATTCCATATCTGGCACGTATGAATGGCTTGTAGATGGCGATTTGCATACCCCGCAAGTGGTCTTGGTGGGATCTATGGAGCATCGTAATTAGAGAGTGGTAGTCGCTGCATCACATATACATGGGACTTTAGGGTAATTGGTAGGCCATGCCAAAACGAATGCCCTGGCCTTTTAGCGAGATGCAGTCATTCTCGGCTCTTGATCCCACACCCTCGTCGACTCCCCGGCGAAACGTTTACAGTCAGGTTCGGGATCGAAATCCCGAATTTCACACCCCGCGTTGAGCGTCTTTTAAATTAATAGCGACACGTGGACAAAGTTGAGGTTATATTATGGCGCCGGGGCTGAGAATTAGGCCCGTTATCCTTGAAGCCCCGCATTCGACTGCTCGTCTAACTCCACACACAGGACGTGGATCGTAGACAGATCTCTCTGACGGACAATTGATCGTGGTGTTGTCTTCTCCTTTCGGGGGTGGAATTCCGAAGTCACAATGAATTTTTTCAACTGGAATAGCCATGCCTACTGCATCCGATGCTATAATGAGAGGAATTCTTCTCACCTGGGTCCTCCAGTCCATACCACACCAAGTTCTCATCCTGCCGCACATCTCCAACGCTTGTCAAAATGGCTGTTCAGAGGCTGAAGATCGCCTGCGCTGGCCTCGGCCGGATGGGATCCCGTCATGCCCTCAACTTCCTCAACCGTACGCCCCGTGCAGAACTTGTGGCCGTCTTCACACCGGCTCCCCATGAGATTGAATGGGCACGCAAAGAGCTCGAGCCCCACGGTGTCACAATCTACACCAGTTATGAGGAGATGCTGAAACACCCCGAACTAGCCGCCGTCATGATCGCTACTGTGACGGCTGCCCATGCCGAAGAGGCCATCATGGCGATCGAGGCAGACAAACACGTCTTGTGCGAGAAGCCCCTCATCATTAGCACTGACATCGTGAGCCCACCCGTTACTCCATCCTGAATGCTTCTATTTTCGCCGTCCTGAAGAAATAATCCCAACATGTGATTCTTTCGTCCCAAAGCGTTGTCTATGCTGCAAGCCGCATCTGAAGGTCCTTTGTGGCCTTTCTCGCCGCTTTGACAAATCCTACCGCGATACCGCCAACTACATTGATTCCGGTGGCATCGGCCAGCCTTCTGTTTTCCGCTCCCAGACCTGCGACAAGCTTGACCCTTCCGGCTTCTTTGTTGCATATGCCGAATTCAGTGGTGGAATCTTTGTTGACTGCACCATCCACGATATTGACCTGGCCCTGTGGTACTTTGGCCAAGACTCTGTTGTGAAGAGCGTTTCTGCTGTCGGCGTTACTGCTATCGCACCCGACCTCCGCAAACACAAGGACGTTGACAATGGCGTTGGTATCGTCGAGTTCTGGGGCGACAAGATTGCATTCTTTTATGCCTGCCGTATGATGGCTGGCGGAGAGCACGACATGACTGAGATTATTGGCACCAAGGGCAAGGTAGCGGTCAACACGAACCCATCATCGTCGCTCGTAGAGGTGCACGAGTCGAACGGGATACGGCGCGAGCTGCCACAAGACTACTATTCCAGATTCGAGTATGCGTTTGTGACTATGACGAATGAGTTTACCGCTGCGTGCTTGGATAATACTGAGCTGCCATTCAAGTTATCGGGTGCCGTGAAGGCTCTTACCATAGGCTCTGCTCTCCAGGAGAGTATGAACTCAGGGAAAAAGATCAATTTTGATGAAACCGGTCGTCGGATTGATTGATGAAGGAATGAATTAGGAACATATTTTCCATAGAAGGGATGTTGTGGTCTACGTCGGATCTATTACGATGACAAGGGGGTTGGTTACTGGTACCGACTCTGAATACACATTCAACTTCTAATGTTTTTTTTTGGGCATCTTTTGTCACACCCAATGGCAACTTGGAGTTGAAATCATACAATCCTAACTCTTGAACAGCAAGCTGGGGGATAAAGGGATTGAATTGCAGGCTTTGGACAAAGCTACATGGACTCATCCGATGATGTGAGTTCCCCCATCTCCCACTTCTTAATGTATCTTTCAATGATTGTCCTTGGTGAAGCAATGCATGAATCTGACCTACCCGATGTTGTTGAGCAGTGAGAAGAAACTTGGTCGATGTCCGCGCCATTCTCGAGAAGCAGTCTAATGGTCTCCTCATCCGCTTCATTAGCCGCACGCGACAAGGGTGTTGAGCCATCCTTATCCCTACAGTTCGGATCTGCACCTTTCTCAAGAAGCAGGCCAGTAACTTTAATATCCAAACTCCCAGCTGCCCATAGTAACGGCGTCCAACCGGACACAGTCTTGCAGTTTGGGTCCGCGCCATTCTCAAGAAGTAGTGTAACATCCACCGGTTGCTCGTGACTAACAGCGTACAACAAAGGCGTTAAGCCGTCCTTATCCCTGCAGTTCGGGTCTGCATGTTTCTCAAGAAGCAGGCGAGTAATAAGAGTGTTCTCATTCGCGACTGCCCACAATAAAGGTGTCCACCCGAACATACTCTTGCAGTTCGGATTTGCACCTTTCTCAAGAAGGAGCCTGACAACAGCCTCGTGCCCAAAGCCAGCCGCCCAGGACAATGGTGTTATGCTATCCTTATCCCCACAGTTAGGATCTGCACCAGTCTCGAGAAGCAGGTGGGCAAGAGAAATATTCCCAGCCATAGTTGCCCAGAGCAATGGTGTCCAATCGAATATATCCTTACAGTTCGGGTCTGCACCATTTCTCAGAAGTAGCTCCACAATAGGTACAAACGATTCAATGTTAGCCGGTGGCCCTGCTCTCACACGACGGTCGAACTCATCGATGCGGCCGCATGCATTCGTATCTAAGTTTGAGAGCAGTGTTTGTCCGATCTTATCCCAATGTGAACCAATCTCCGTACATGAATTATGAATAAAGGTGTACGGATTATGGGTGGTCTGTTGATATGCCCTCCAAGGAACATTCAGATCTGAGTAGAAGTAGAAATCGGCCGTGGCGTGAGAGAGCGTTGTTTTGCCGATATTATCCCTCGCATTCGGGTCTGCCCCATTGTCGAGAAGTAACTTGACAACAGCCTCACATCCATTTGTGACTGCCCACGATAACGGAGACCGGCCATGCCAATCCCTCAAGTTTGGGTCGGCACCTCTATCAAGCAGCAGTATGACAAGAGCCTCATTGCCATTTGTAGCTGCCCACGATAACGGCGTCCGACCATACTTATCTATAGTATTTAAGTCAACGCTATTCTCGACAAGCAACCTGGCAATGGCCTCATAGCCATTTACGGCTGCCCACGATAACGGCGTCCGACCATACTTATCTGCATTATTCAAGTCAATGCCATTCTCGACAAGCACCCTGGCAATGGCCTCGTAGCTATTTACAGCTGCCCACGATAACGGCGTCCGACCACCTTGGTCCGTGGAGTCCACATCGACTTTGCCAGTTTCCAGCAACTGATGTACTAGCGAATCCAGACCATTGCTGGCGGCCCATATCAACGCGGTCCAATCATGATTGTCCCTGAAAGAAGGGGGGACGGCGGTATTCGAGAAAATGAACTTTATCCCCTCTTTGGACTGATTCCATACTGCCCATTGTAATGGTGTCCAGCCTTTGTTGTCTTTAGCAGCAAGGTCAACTCTCCCTGTCACGAACAGTTGCCTCAACACTACAGCATGCCCCCCCTCCGCGGCCCAAGACACCGGTGTCCGACCGTCATTATCTTTGGATTCCGGATTGACAGCCTGGTTTGCAAGTAGTCCACTTACTACTTCGCTGTGTCCATTACCTGAGGCCCAACACAGCGGTGTCCGACCGTCACGGTCCTTCAAATCCGGGTTGACACCGCTATTCGCCAGCAGTAGCTTTACTATCCTGTTGTGTCCATTGGCTGCAGCGTAAGAGAGCGGCGTCCGCCCGACGCTGTTCTCGCCGTCTGCATTAATGTCTCCCAACATGAGCAGTAGCTGAACTGTCGCTGCTTGGCCGTTCTTAGCAGCGCGGGCCAGAAGATCCTGGCTAGATCCGTCCTTTGTATCTAGGTCTCCACTCTCTGATCTGAGAAGTAATTTTGCCATTGTCTGGTCTCCTTTCTGCACCACTCGCTGGACGGGTGTTTGACCATATCTGTCCTCAGAATTGAGATCGATACAACTTGTCTTAAGTAATCGCTCTGCAATTTCTCGATGGCCTTTCTCAACTGCCCACCGCAGAGGCGTCCGGCCGTCGTTGTCTTTGGAATCGGGGTCGACGCGATCATTCGCCAGAAGGAGCGCTACCATGCTGTCGTTTCCGTTCTCTACCGCCCTTGACAGAGGTGTCCGGCCGTTCTTGTCCTTCGAGTTTGGAAATATGTCGAAGGAGGTGAGCAGTAACCTCACCACGTCTTCGTGTCCGTTCGTCACTGCCCGCAACAGCGGCGTGTTCCGGGTAATACGGTCCCCGGCATGAGTGTTGATGTCTTTACTCTCGAGTAGTAGCTTCACAACCTCGTAGTGCCCACCCTCTGCGGCCCAAGACAGAGGCGTCCGGTGGTCCCTGTCATTCAAGTTTGGGTCAACGGGGTGAGCAAGTAGAAGTCTTGTCACTTTCTCGTGTCCGTTCGCCGCTGCCCGTAACAAAGGGGTTTTTTTGTTGATATTGTCTCTTGAATTTGGGTCGACACCTTTCCTCGCAAGAAATAGCTTCACCACCTCATGGTGTCCTTTTTCTGCGGCCCACGACAACGGCGTCCGTTGGTAATTATCCTTCGAGTCCGGATCCATGCGGTCATCTGTGAGGAGGAGTTCCACAACGTCCCTTTGCCCTTCATATGCAGCCCACCATAGCGGTGTTCGATAATAACTGTCTCTGCTGTTTGGAAAAGACCCATCAGCCAACAGGTACTCCACGGCTTCTCGCAATCCGAAATATGCCGCCAAGTGTAGCCCGGCCATGGCCCTTGGAACTTGTTGGCTATAATTGGAATGCGATGAGGAGTATTTGACTGCAAGTAGGGCTTGGCTCGAGGCTTCGCTCTTTGCATCACAGGCTAGGAAGTCCTTCAGTGGCTGACTTAACTGCGAAGACTTTCGAGTGTGATATCCCCAGTTTTGTGCGGCATAATCGTATAGCTGATGTGACTGCAGTCGTTCCTCGAATTTGTTGTCTGTTTTGCAAAACCCGTCCGCAAAGATATTGAATGAGAGATACGTAACGCAGATCACCGCAATCTCGGATTCTGCTGACGGAAACCACTTTTCTTTCGCCTGGTCGAAGTACTCTTTGGTCGTCTGGTGAGCTAACCGAACAACATCACGTTGAGTGTCGATGGTTATTAGGCCTGCACAAAGTGATCCAACAGTCTCAGGACTGGGAACAAATCCCACTTCAAGCCCTTGCTGCCCAGGCTCAACTGCAGCTGCGATTCGGATCTCCCTTGTAGAAAGCAGCCTCTTCGCGTGGATGACCCAAGACAAAATCTTTTTCGCCAACCTTGCACGATTTCGCCCGAGAGTTTCAATTCTTCCCATTGACTGTTCGTACGTGTCGTTGAGTTTTTCCGGCAAGCTGTCTAGCGCTCGGTTAAGATGACCTTCTGTAGGTTCTTCGGCCAGGGAATCCATGAGTCGTGCAGCGAAAAGAAACCTATGATCAAGTTAGAGCCAATCGGCTATGATAGTGGGATGAGTGAGTTATACATTCCGTCCGCCCTATCGGATATTCTAGCTTCAATCTTCATTTGTAGAGCAGGGTCGTAAACAATGAATGATTGCAAGCGCTTCATTCGATCATCGAGATATATTTTAAGGTCGCCATCTGTAGCCCGGATCGGCAGTGTCAGACTTCCTTCAAATTTCTCTACAATTTCAGCCACCCATCTGGAAGTCGCGAATAGTTTCACGTTGTATTTCGCCTGGAGATCAAAGATAGCTGACAAAATTCTGGTACGGCAATCTGCCGATTGAAATTCGTCAAGGGCGTCGACAACAATGAAGACTTTCGCGAACAGAGCCGACACAGACTGGAGCGTGCTCCAAATGTCATCGAATGATGGTCGCGTTCTCCTACCCTGATGGTGGTCATGGAGAGATTTCAGGCTTTCTGGCAAAGAGACATGGCATTGAGCAAGCTGCTTCAATACATTTGCAAGTAGACCATCTGCTCTCTGCTCTTCTTGACGCTGGAGGTCACAGTAAATGTATACCAGACCGGTGCTGCTGTCGTTCTGGAAGCGATCCATCAAATCATTGATCACTATTGAAGTGAGAATCGTCTTCCCAGCTCCCGGAATGCCAGGGCAAAACAGTGTTTCCCGATCGGTCTCCGTCCATGCCTTGAGCTCTGGCGAGTGCAGAAGCCACTGACCTGTGCCATTTTGTCGTCGATTGAAATGGTGGCTTTGTTGAAGAGCATAGTCAATTGGAGTAAGCCAGTCGAGGATGGCTTGGTGCTCTTGAGTACGTTGCATAGAATCGAGTTTGTTGACGACATTTGATACTTCCTCAAGTCGACTACCAATTTCTAATGAAACCAGTTAATATCGTACTTTAACACAAAATTCGAATAAGAGAGAATTGCTTGGAAGCGACAAGGATCCACTCGTTCCATCCAGTAGAGTATTGACTGTCGTAAAACTATGCCTTGTTGTCTAACTATTCATCCCTCACACCTTGAGTGAACATGGAAGGTAATGATAAGTATCGACATTCCAGGTGTAGTCACTGGAAGCCATCTTCCTGGTAGGTCCTGCCAAACTTCCGAACGCACACTTGACTCGAAAATGATTTACTCACCCTCAATGGTTTTCTGCTGTTCAACGGCTTGGGGCGAAATCTTCAACAAGAGCCTCCGCGCGTATGCTGCAGCGGCGACCGCTGCATATGGTTGCCATTTCCCGTTCTTGTGCGAGTCCGCATAGTCGCTAATCCCCCGAATGACCAGGCAAGGAAACTCGTTCATGAGTCCGGCTGCTTCCATGTCGAAGCAAATGATATTCTCCTTCTTCGCGATCAGGTCACGCTTCAGCGCTGTCTTCATAACCGTGTTCCCGGAGCCAATATTGCCGTAATGGAGTCTGGGGCACGTTGCCTTCCGAGGTCTCCGATTGACTAGGTTCTCAGGTTTTGCATTGTCGCAACAATTTTCGCAGTCATCTTCTCCTGGGATATGGGGATAGTCCGGTTGGAATAGTTGATCCTGTCCAGTACCAAGGTATGTCCACTCCTCAGGCTCTTCGCTCTTGCCAGCCGCGATTTCGACATATCCTGAAAGGGTCTTTCCCAAGCTGGATTCCGATCTCAAGTTGTTCACGGTGGACAACAACAATTTGGGAGGCATGTTCATCACACCCACACGATGAAATTCGCCATCCACTTCCCTTCCTAGATCATACTGGATCACTCCTCCTCCTTGGCCGTCTGGTAGGGATACAACAACATCTCCAAGGCGAATGTCATTGGTTTTGCTGGGGATACCACCCCCAATCCCTACCATGAGAACAAATCTCAAGTTAGGAAACGTGGATTTCATGGATTTGACGGTACTGGTTGCAGAACTGGTACCATACTGCGGGAGGACAGGCATTGCAATATTATGCTGTTTGATACTACCCAGAATATAGCTATTGTCATCGTTCTTGGATTGATGCGGAAGATCTTCATGTTCTTGGTCAAGCATTGCACGTGCTGCTCGTAGTTCGGACGGCAATGCGCAAATCCAGCCAATTGTGTACTGTTCGGGGGGCAGGCTGAGGGGTTTGTGATCTCCGTCGGCGTCGTCCATATTGTATTTCGCGAAATGAGTACAGAAATTGGTCTATGGCCGTGAATGACTCGGGATATATCTGCGATGGCGTCTTGACAGCTTCGATTTGAAATTGAAAGAATGGACCAGAAGGATCTGCAGCGTCAATATTGGATGAGGAGTGCGAGCCTCAAACCCAATTGTGTTGGTTAAGTATTTAGCAGCCAACAGCACAGCAAATTACACCGCCCCGTTACAGGTGGGTCAGTTGGAGCTCAAGCAGCAGAATAATAACACATCCTTGTTTTGCCATCCCTCAGTTGGTTGCACTTTCAAAAATTGGCTTGGCAGCGTCAGCCCATATCCTTGATAGTCACTTCAAGTGACCAGTCTCACACCACTTTCCATTCAGCCGCATGCAACTAGACCCTATGCGCGTCGAATCATGACGCTGCCCGCAGTGACAAAACGAGGCAGCTGCATCGTCATCTTCTTTTGCATTCTTTGCGCTTCCATATTGCAATCGGTAGCCAGTTATAATTGCAGTTCCCTGCAACTCACATACTGGCCCTATTTTCACCTGCTTGGTGAAGCGATTACAATACGTGGCAGTGCTTTGTATAGTAAGGCATCAATTACAACATCCGCGTTACTGCCAATTGTAACGGCCTGATTCCAACCCGAGTTAAATATATAGTAATTTCCCAGTTAGAGCCCAAACACATTTTGCTTATCATCGTTGCAACTGTGAGAAGAGGTGAAATAAAAAGTACCGCCAAGATGGATGCTGTTAGCTTTGCCGCTAGTATCGTCGGATTTGCCAGCCTGGTTATCCAACTCAGTCAGATCAGCGTCGATTACGCATCCAAAGTCTCCAGCGCCTCCAAGGCCCAGGCAGCCTACATACAAGAGCTGGTTGTACTTCAATCAGTACTCAAAAAGTACGAAGATGCCGCTACCATCGACGACCTCAAGAACATCACTGGGAATTGGAATGCGCCCATCTCGACAACCGTTATGGATAGCTACAAGCGACAGCTGGAGAAGGTAAAAACTAAGCTCGAGAAGAACCTCACTCGGGATAGTTCGTTTTCTGGACTCAAGTCATTTACATGGCCGTTTCAGGACAGTGAGATGGCCAGGGTGGTGGAATTGCTCCATAGAATCAGAGGCATTCTGCATTCGAGCCTTTCAGCCGATAATCTGTGGGTCTCCACGCATAATATATCACCGCCGACTGACTCAGTTTCCATTCAGCCTCCTCTCTGTCGAGACTTTCCGAGAGGTCAAGATCATGCACAACGGTTCGTAAATAATCACAGACGATTGTTCTCGGCGCATCAGCTTCTAACGAGATGATCAATCACAGATCAGCAACTAGCAAGTCTCTTGAACTGGCTTGCTCCATCCGTCCCACAAATGTCTGTTGATTCAGTCCTGGAGGTTTTCTGCGAGGGAACATGCCAAGCATTGCTGGAAGATGACCGCTACCTTGACTGGCGAGATGGGACTCAGCAGCTCCTTTGGGTTTCAGGCCAACGTCAGTTCATGATCTCTTCACACCAAGTCCCACTACCGGCTAACTCAGTACTTCTCACAGCCGGGTCAGGCAAAACGATGCTTGCGTGAGTTTTCCATTCAATATGTTTCGTCTACGGGAATTAAGCATTAATGGACGCCACTACCACAGAGCGAACCTGATACAAAACTTGACCGAGATCTCAAGTGGAGAAAGCATCATTTCGTACCATTTCTTTCGGAGCGACAACGTAAAGGACTCTATTGACAACGTCTTCCGAGACCTTTTGCAGAAGGCTCTTCCTCAGACGTACCAACTACTCCCACTCGCCGTCCAATACCACAAGAGATTTGGCAGAAGTGTGAGAACTCCGACGGAGAAACTATGGGAGATTCTTATTGCCACAAAAACATCAGTAAACTCTGTCTACATTATCCTTGATGGACTGGATGAGTTTCATTCCGTCAACAAACTCTTCCCATATATCCACCGGCTGACTGAAGCCGGAATCAAGGTCTTGGTAACCAGTCGACATCTCCCGACCATCCAATCTCATTTGTGCGACACTTCTCATCAGATTTCCGCTACAACAATTGAAGGCTACGCTGCGGACGAGGACATACGCGTCTATGTTGAAGGAAGAATGAGAGACGACTGCGTGGTTGACCATGACGATATCCCACTCGACATCAGAAACGACATACTTAGTGGTATGGTTAAGGCCGCCAATGGATCGTGAGTATCGCCTGATCCTGCATGTGTTCTTAAAATTCATGCTAGTTCGACCTGTTCTAATTCTACTTGTTGCTAGGTTCCTCCTTTCCCGCCTCGCTATGGATTTTATCTGCAATCTGACAAGTGTTGCGTCTCTGCGAACTTGCCTTGCGGACTTGCCTTCCACATACGAAAAAGCTTACGAAAAGACTTTCGAGCGAGTTCTGGGACAACCGGATAGCATTGTCAACTTGGCCAAGCGGGTTCTCAACTGGGTTGTGCATGCAAAGCGACCACTCACCATGCTAGAGCTCCAGCATGCCATTGCCATCAAGCTATCTTCCAAGAGCATAGATCCAGAGAGCTTGGAATCCTCCAAGCTCATTCTTGCGTCATGTCTTGGAATGATATCGTTATCAAAAGTGGATGGTCGTGTCTCGATAATACATTCAACCGCACGTCAGTTCCTTGTAACAAACGAGCAAGAGCTCTCCGACATGCCTCAACTTAACATCTCATGCATTTGTCTCAAGTACCTGACATTTGATGAACTCTCATCAGGCTCCTGCGAATCCGCTACCAGCCTTCGGCAACGCTTGGCTCGTATGCCTTTTCTCGATTACTGTGCCCGGGCCTGGGGACACCATGTCAGACAATTTCAAGAAGTATTGTGGGATGAACTGGTAACTGTTTTGTGTAGTCCACCGCTATGCGTGAGTGCCTGGCAGGTGTTACACTATCGACGGCTTGAGGACGAGGAAGCTTCTGAGGAAGTCTTTTCACTACAATGTAGAAATCCACACGGGCTACATGTAGCAGCATTCTGGGGTTTCGCCGGGTTCATTACCCGATCATCGTGGAAGCTTCACGAGACGAACTTTTCACCAGTGGATTCTCATGGCTGGACCCCTCTGCACTGGGCCGCATCTCTGGGCAACGAGGAATCTGCAAATGGGCTTTTGAATCACGGGGTCAACATTAACGCGTCAGACGCCAATAGTTGGACGCCACTGACGTTCGCAGTCGTCAAGGGTCATTTCAACGTTGTCAAGCTTTTATTAAGTCGTGGAGCTGACCGGAATACTCAAGACACGCTGAAACTATCACCAGAACGATGGGCGTCCATCTGCTCGCACGACGACATACTCCAGCTGCTTCGTGAAACCGGAGAACCGCCAGTCACTGACAAGGCCAAGATTTGGCGTCAGCAGGAGAAAATAACCTGGAAGGTATCGATGGAGCGTTTGGAGACCTCTATGAACCCCGGAGAGCTTGATGGTGCTCTCTCCCAGTGCGAAAGAAAGGTAGAAGAGCGTGGAACTTTGGAGCAAAAGCCAATTGAGACAAATAACCCGCCCGAGATTTGGGGTACCATGGTCAAGATGGACTACTACCATTGGGGAGGCGACCAATCAAGAGTGGGCGTGAGCATCAGTCTTCGAAAACGAATACTGGAGTTGGCTATCCTCCAGGAAAAGCTATCCATCATCAAGCTAGTTGTTCAGAATGACACGCGCATTGGGAAAGACCTTCCTCGGGGCACAGTTGGCAGACTTGGCCGAACGTGCTTGCACACGGCTGCATATGGGACGAGTCCGAGCATTGCAGCATTTCTGCTTCAGTCAGGGGCAGATGGGAGTATTCGAGATGAGATGGGCCGCATTCCCTTGCATCTTGCAGCGGCCTATGGGTCACTGGAAGTGGTTCAAGTCATGATCGAGGCACCGAATGTGGATGTCAATGCCAGAGACGAAATGGGCAGAACCCCGATTCACTGGTGCTGCGCACTAGGAGGATGGAAACAGAGGGAGAAACGATCCGAAGAGAATATCAAGATTTGCCGGCTGCTGTTATCCAAAGGGGCGTCGCTCTCTGCGGTCGATGACAACGGACACACGGCATTGCACTATGCAATTGTCCTCCGGGATGAGGAAGTCATAAGGCTCTGCTTGGATCATGGCCTCCAATTAGGTCACAAGAACAAAAAGGGGGAATCGCCGCTGGATATTTTCACCAACGACACCTACTATGACTCACTTGGACACTCTTATGGCAATGTGTGGGACCGACCCTACTGGGTTCAGAAGTACATTTGGTGGCCGTCAAAAGAGCAAACTATGTCAGCTCTACACGTCGTCGAGCCGTATATTAGCAGCGAAATGGAGATTGCGCCAGAAGTTAAGAAGCTTCTTCATGAAGCAAGAGAGTATTCTCTTATTAACAAGAGCTAGAGGCTAGTAACCCAGGGGCCGAGGCAAGCTATGCTCGAGGCTACGAGGTAGGCTTAGGGGAGGAAAGAGTAACGGCCAAGGCGAGATACTTACGCAGCAGGGAAAAGCACTGAATGTAGCTAAAAAATTGGTTATTCAGCTATGGAGGAGGGAGGTTTTATCTGGCCAGATATAGCCAAGGACAAGTCGGACTCGACCAGATCTACCCTAAATGCTGGAGTTATTCTAGATAAGCAACATGGGTGAAAGAGAGTAAGATTAACATAACAAGATATAACATTTCAAACCACTCTGCCCACTACCTTGCACAAATCCCTAACCCCGCCAGCCATTCAAAAACCTCCTTGTTGTATAAGCTAATAAGCCAACCGCCTCTCCACAGCGAGATCAGGAAGTTGTTTTCCTCCCTTGTTTTCGCAATGCTGGGCGCTTTCTGGCTCCTTTGAGACAATGAATTTAGTAGCCGGATCCTCCAACGAGCCGTGGTTGAGGTGGTCGCTGAACAATTCGTCCATCTGCTCAAGGGTTCTCCCCTTCGTTTCTGGGTAGAACAAAATGTAGCATACCATAGCGACCAGATTAAATACGAAGAAAACATAGAAATAACTAAACCCGAGACGAGTTAGAGCTGCAGGGGTAAATTGTGCAAAAACCAGATTGATTGTCCAGTTTGAAAAAACCGAGATTGCATTCCCAAGAGCCCGAACCTCAACAGGGAAAATCTCTGCAGGATAGACCCAGCTTGTAATACCAAGAGGGGTATAGAAAAAGCTGAAGAGGAAATTCATCGCCACCATACTCCTCAATTGGTTGATGTTGTTTTCGTTCAAGTACTGTGCTTGTACTGCATTGATAAGAATTGTAGCAGCACGGCCAGCAGCAGAAATGATCAGAGGCTTCACACGACCAATGCGATCCAGGATCCAGAGGCCGAAAGAGCAGTAAAGGATTGACAAGACGCCGCCAATTCCAATAATGAGGAGAGACTCTTGAGTGGTGATGCCGAGGATACCGTAAATACGTGGCCCGAAATAGTTGATGACGTTAATACCCGACAGTGCTGCAAAACTTTGGATGCCACAACCCAAGAGCAACCGCCGGCGCCATGAGCGCTTCGTGATGATGGATTTCCATGACACGTCACCTAGCGCATGGTCGTTTTGAATGGCATCCTGGATCACCCGCAGTTCTTGATCAATGCCTTCTTGATCGGCCTGATTTCGGAGAATATTCAACGCATCTCGGGCGTCATTGTATCGGCCCTTCTCCACTAACGCGAACCCCATACTTTTGAAGGGCTTATTCGCGAAGTGGGAGCCACGGACGCGAATGCTGGTGTGCTGGGTAAGAAGGTCTCCCCCGAAACGTCATGACCGGGGCTGGGCTACAATCACAGCTTCTCTCGAGATATTCTACCTAGCCGTTGTTATTCTACAGAGCCGACCGAAAGCCCCCTCTGTGTCGTCGAACTCCCAGGCTCTTAGCTCCAACTTCCAGTCCTTTTGCGCGATGAGCATCTTGTCGATGGTGTCTGGCGGATTCAAATCGTCCATGACGTTCTGGGCCGTCGTGCCCTACGCAGTCTCTTTAACAGCGTCGACCGCCTACCGGACTCTCCGGAACACGACCGTGCAGTACAAGCACAAGCAGGTGTACACCATGTTCTACCGCAGCTGCGACACGCTGGACGACCTGAGCAAGTCCTTCTTGTCCGCCCAAGCCATGGCCCGGTTGACCAGGAACGCACTGGAGGAATTAAAGCGAGTATCCTACGTCAGCTAACCCCAACACGAGTTTTGAACCTAATAGTATTTACTGGCCAGGACTTACCGGTGATGCTTTTTATGCGTAAGATTAAAGAGAAAGGGAACGTGAAACAGAAGGTGCTGCCAGTACATGCAGGTGTCGCTGAACAACACGAAGAAGGGAAATTGTGCCACTTCATACCACCATGACACGTGGCCTTTGCCGAACTCGTACAGTTTTGAATGTCCGCGAATCTGAGCCACGAATATCGGTACAGTGAGAATATTCGAAAGGAGAAGAGTGGTTAAGGAGTCTTTTATTTCACGGCGGATTTGGTGCCTGTGAAACTTGGGATGTTGCTTGGAAGATTTGTCGAAATTCTGATGATAACATAGCGTGCCAAACAAGATGAAGAAGAAAGAGCTCGATAGCCTGAAACCTGGTATTAGCGATGCATATTTTGCAAAATAGTCTAGAGCATTCAGTACCATGTGATGAAGAAGGCACTCAGTCCTTGACGGTACATACTTCGCCTTTCCCAGAAATCTGGATTCGACAGAGCCTGACAAATACTTTCGCTCTATCTATGCGACGCTAACCCCGGCCGTGTTCGGAGACCAGTGGAGGCAGAGAGCAGAGGAGGGGCTTGAAGTTTTGAACAGAGCAACGACTCTAACCAGTCGTGAAGTAATTCGTATGTGTCATCAAGGAGGATAGGATCCAGCCAGTCCAAAATGAAGTCCATGTTAAAATAGCGTTGCTTTTCTCAGCTCAAGTCCGATTGAGATTTCACGACTGAACACATTCATTACTAAAGGCGATTTATAGATCGTCAAAAGGTCAATCGGACGGCCAAGCATCGGAACCATCTGCTTGAGCTGCAGTACAAGCTTTAGTACACCCGATCTGCTCCATGTGCCGTTGGACAAACATTGGGCATTACGCAATCCGACACAATCTCCTATTAGAGGCGCTGTCTCGGACCTGTGGCGTGCTGAGCACACGTCGGAAGCGAAGAGAAGCAAAAAAGCCAAGTGTAACAAACCATGAGCGTCACATTGCATTGATACGATCCCCCCTCGTCAGCCCTGATGCTCACGAATAGTCACCCTGCACGGCTCCAATAGAAGCTGCCTGAGTAAGCCGCGTCCATACTTGGTTGAAGTCTGTTAGTCGCCTCGAGTGATGCCATCAGAAGTTAATAAAGAAGGAAATAAATTGATCAAACCACATTGGTAATCGTCCTCTTACATCTCAAAAACCAGCTACCACGGGTCTGCGGCCAGCAGTAGGTATGGCAAGTTAGTCGATGAGACACGTGTCATGAATACGCACGTACTTAATAGCGGTGTAGGATGATTGTCACACCTGGTGAGACGGTCCACAACGCATCGGTAAATTGTATCGTCGTTATTCTACCTAAGGATATGTAACATAACACAATCAGGAAGATATTCCAGCCATATATAAAATATTACACACCGCCAAGAATGATTTCCGATGAGAACACAAAGCTAACATTCTCGTGTGTAGCACAGCGTGAGTTATCGTCGGCGGTGAGAAAAATGCCGTTGCATATTTCACCGCAGGATTGGAGGTTGAACATGATTGCTCCACGTGGCAGATTCCGGTTACATGGACGAAGAGGGTTTATTTTTACACGGCTTAATTACCGAGATTTTGCATGATACAGGCCAATACAATGACGAAAAGATGCCTAAAATATAGCCATGCCTGACAGTTCTATCGGCGAATCATGGCAAACCTACGACAGGAAAGCTAGAATTTAAGTAGGGATACTTGCCCTGTTTAACAGTGCATTTGGTCACAGATGACGAGAGAATAACGGCAGGCAGGAAGCGGGAATGTGGTACATGTTATTGTAGACCAGGTTAGTCGTGTGTCACTTGAGTGATGGCGATACAGTTTGTTGGGGAATCCGATGGTACATTGGCATAAAGCCAGCAAACCGCCCTTATTTTGTCCACCTAGTGAAATTACTCACAGTAGTTCAACAGCTGCCACCCAAATCCCTCAGAACCGCCCAGCATGTACGAGCGACGGGCGACCAAGAAAAACGACATCGTCTTTGACGAAGTCACAAGCTTCGTCTTGATCAGTACGAGCCCGCCGTTCCTTCTTTTTTACTGGATTACTTATCACTACTTCGATGCATCAATCGCCTCTGCAGCTTCCGAATTGCTTTCGAACAATCCATTCGACTTCTTCTTCTCCCGTATCCCGCAATTAACAAAGGCCTCAGTCTTAGCTTACTCGCTTTGGATCATCATCCAAGCCTTGCTCCATGTGTATGTGCCGGGGCAACTGCATATTGCCCCACGGACCCCCGGCGGAAGACAGCTCAGATATAAGTTAAATGGGCTGCGGGTTTGGATACTTTCGGTTGGAGGTGCGGCAATGCTATGCTACAATGACATCCTTGACCCTGCGTTCATTGCTATTCATTGGGGTGATTTGCTCATGGCGGCCAATGCATATGCTCTGATTTTGGTCCTCACTTTCTGGATCAAAGCTCGGATTAAGCCTGACCACCAAGGCGATACCCTCATTACAGGTGAGTACCTCATATGCAATGGCACTTCTTCGGTGTCACGAGGCTACGGCTTATTCATATCTGGTTCAGGAAACTTTTTCTATGATCTCTACAATGGCGGAGAGCTTCATCCGCGTATCGGGGAATTCATGTTTCCCGATCCTTAGCAACATGACGGGATGAAGAAATTAACCTCTGGCACGCAGAGACCTGTCGTTCGCAGCTTTGCAGTATCGGACTCACGGCTTCGTCACAAATTCCATGATTCTAGCTGTGGCTTTCCGCATGATAATTGTTGCAGAGTACTTCTACTTTGAGAATTGGTAATGACGCCAGCTATTCGCTCATTATATCCCTAGCCGATTTAAATTGCTAACCACTCACACAGGTTCTTCGACACACTTGACGGTGCGCATGAACGATTCAGCTTTTATAACATTTACGGATTCACCGCAATGATGCCACAGATCTGGACCCTGCAGACGCAATACTTTGCGCATCACCCCGTCACGCTCTCTGGGCCCGCTGTCATCCCTGCCATTGTTCTGTTTTCTACAGGTTGGACTTTGAATCACACCGTGAATCGTCAGAAGAATCTTGTTCGGGCAACGAGAGGCGATTGCACGATCTGGGGCCAGAAACCTCGCTGCATCGTGGCCAAATACAAGACCGCCGACGGCAAGACGCACCAGACGCTTCTTTTGTGCTCAGGTACGTGGATATGGAGTCTCTTTTTTTCCCTTCTTACGGATTTTACATCTGCTTTCTTCCCGAGTTTGTGTTTGTACTTGCCTTGATTAACCAACATTCGTACAGGTTGGTGGGGTCGAGTTAGACATGCTAACTATGTCGGGTCTGCTTTGTATACATGGGCATCGTGTGCCATTTGTGGGACTGGCAGCCTATTCCCGTATGCGGAAGCCATACTTGTAACTGTCACCGTGATTCACCGCTGCTTCAGGGACGAGGGTAGATGCCAGACGAAATATGGCAAGGCGTGGGATGAGTATTGCGACTTGGTTCGATGGAGGTTGATCCCGGGGGTATTCTAGCCCCTCATCCGTTGTGTACCTAAACAAGATGTATACCATATTTTCATGGAAGATGTTGTTCAAAGCATAAAAGAATACGTGGAGCAAGCAAGAAAGGGCAAGGAAACGTCCGAAACCACAGCGTATAACAAGTTCCAATACTTGTTCTCAAACTTGCGATATAAATATCCCGATTTAGTTCGCGTTTAAAAACCAATCAAGACGCCTCAAGGACGCCTTAGAGAGAGAGGTGTCGGAATTGATATCCTGACCTTAATCAGATGGATGGTCTGATAATCCTGGCCGGTCCGGATAACCGGCAACAATATCATCGATGTGAACACTATTGCATTGGAAGCCTAGAGCTCCCAGTGGAGCCTGCAATCACATCCTACAATCACATGTACTCAAGTCAGCCACTCAGGTTGAAACTCGATACATGCCAGCACAGCGTTCTTTTCGCCTAACTCTGCCAGTTTTGGCTTGGCGAGCTCACTAAACTGCTTTTGTCAACAGGCTAGTCGCCCTGCTTAGCTGGCTACAGATAAAAACATGTCTCTACGGATAGGAAAGCCGAGCTGATTAGTGTGGCTTGGCGCTATTGAGGTCTTAGACTGACTAGTGCGTGATGAGCTGAGGGAAGTGTTGCGCCAGGTTCAAAAGGGAACGCACCACAATGCAGAGCTGGTAATGTACCCTGTGTGCCGGAACAGAAGGCATTTCGGAAATGTTATTAAAAGCGCACCTCGCGCCCGGCCCCGAAACCCCTGGCTGCCCTTGCCTTGAATCAAGCAGCCAAAGGAGATAAAAACGCTTCCTCCCTCTTAGACGCATGTCTGCTCGAAATCATCACACCACTATGCGGTCCTACGCTTTCCTCTCCGTTCTTCTCCTCTGTGGAGTAGCAATAGCCCTACCGGGGGGCTGTGGTGGAAAGCTGGGAATTCTCAACGTCACGTCACCGGACTACACCGGCCTCGTGTGGACGTGTGCCGGCATCAACCCAGGTTATCGTTCGCTCTACGCGTCAGGACAGAACTACCTCTACGCCGCCGAGACCAAGGCCAACGTATCTGCCTGTGCAAACTTTTGCGGCGGATTCGGCGGAATGAATGGCGCCGTCTTCTACACCAACAAGACCTGCGCGTGCTGGCAGTATGGAGACCCCGTCACGAGTCCCTCGGCAGCCGATTCCAGCTCTGCCAATGCCACCTACATCGACTTTTACGAGACGGGCCCCCTATACCGACCGGCTGAGCCTCAGCACTGGGGTCTTTTTACTTGTCCCGCAGGGGCGTGGTCGATACACGGGACCTATCCGACTTGCTATCCGCTGAATTTCAAACCTGCCGGGCCACCGCTGGTCAAGCTAGGAGATCAGGGCTCAGCCTGTGGGGGTATCTGCACGAGGGACTACAACGCTCACTTTGCCGTCTTGGAAAACTGGGGAAACTGCAGCTGCTATGGGAGCCTTGGTGGCCTCCGAGTCGCCTACAATTATACATCACCATACCAGCTGATAGATATTTACGATTTTGTATCCCATACCACCAGCGCCACAAAGACAACCACCACTAAAAAGCGAACTTCAACCAAGAAGACAACCACCGCCAAGAAGACAACTACCACAAAGAAGCCAACAACCACCAAGAAGGCAACCACTACGAAAAAGACCACTACAAAAAAGTCAACGACAACTAAAAAGTCAACGACCACCAAGAAGCCAACATGAACATCAACCACTGTTAATTCCACCAAAAAACATAGGCTACACCAGACGTACTTCCTCAGCCATCGCTCTAACCACCCCTACCATTACCGATACCGCGGAAAATTTTCAACAGTAACGAAATGACGAGAATAAGTAGTCGTGTTGTGTGAATAGGTGGCCTCCTTTGTATAATGATTCATAGCGGGCTTCTCAAAGAATACAACAATCTTGCATGGGTTTATTACGTATTTAAGTAGCATCACTTCCCTCTAGTCCCTCTAGTGTATATTGCCCGTCCACCTCCCAAGAGGTACACTACCCTACCTAGTGTCGAGCTCTACTACGTCACTAAGCCTCCCACCCCAGGTGTGTCGTACTCACTAAATGCGGCGGGCGTCTAGGTCGTGTGTATCCTTGGAGCCCATGTTGCCGTCCGAGCCTCTTCTTGGGCTACACAATATCAGAGCTAGAGGCCGAGTCCCGGGTCTTAAGGCAGGCTGCGAGAAGCACCTGGGCATCACAGGACCGTGGCTCCAGTGCAGGGTGGTAGAAGACCTCAACATAGCACGTCCGCCGGCGAGGATATGTAGACTATGACGGTGATGGTCTCCGCCGGGCTAGGGCCGAGAGCGGTTGTCCGACGCTCGGCGTCTGATCTGGTATCTCACCAAGCCCCGTATCTTCTATTAGTGTTCGTTGCAGGCTTGACTCTCCCGAATTAAAGGCTTTTCATTGTCAGATTCCATGCCGGAGGAGGCCAGATGATGGGATTAGCCAGGAAACTTGGCGGCTTCACATTTGACACGGACCATAATTTCACCTATGAGAATAGTCAGCCCCGACACTATTTCAGCATGTCAACGTGCCTTATTGACATGCTGAAATTGTGCGGCGCAACTCTAAAGAACCCTAGTCTGAATATCAACTCCACGCCCTTCTCCAACAACTACCACTTCCAGTACAAATGAGCATCCTCACCTCAACCGATGAGCCACTTTACAACTCCCAGAAACTTAAGTTTAACATTGTATGCTACTTTTGGCACCTATTCGTTCTTGAGGGCTTACAAAATTGTTTAAGGAAGAGTCTGTTCTGATTGAGCCACTCCCACGTATAATATGAGACTTGACAGTGATTCTGCGGAAATAAACAGACTGAAAGGGCTGGTCGGATTTGGAGTATTATTTTATTGTCCTCGAACATAATATCTTCGCTTCGCCCATTGACATATTGTCCAAACCTGCCATTCAGGGTAAACTGTTCCGGAAAGTTGATGGACCTGGGAATACGTCCAACGTCTCTGGCCAAGTCGCGGGCATTTGACTCGGATAGAGACTCTTCCAATCCTGCTTCCGACCGTCCTGCTCGTTCTTCCGACTTTTCCATCCCCGCTCCCGATGCCTCTGTCCTGCTTCCGACCCTCTCGCCCTTTGTCCCGTTACCTTAGTCGTACTGCCAAGCCTGTATTTGAAATGTGACCAGATTATTGGCCAAGATTCCTCCTGCGGAATGCGGGGTTACAACCACTAGACATTATTAAGCGTCTTAAATCCAGCCAAGTGGATCTAACTCGGGTAGATTTCATTCTCATTTGCTACTTCGGGTACCACCTTGGGGGCCTCCGTGATTACCCCAGCTTTCGGGAATAGGGATGATCCTCGAGCTGAGACGGGTACCTCTGGACAGATCAGATCATAATCCCATCAACATAAAGAGCCCTGTCCAAGCTTGAATTCTCACAGGCAGCACACGTCTAAAGCTCTCCAGAGATCATCACCCCAGCCACAGCTCAGTCGCAAGCAACCATGACGTTCTACAAGCCTGGCAATGCGGAGATCATCTCAACACTCTCCACCTCTTCTACAGTCGTTATCTTTGTGTGCGCCATTATTACCGTTAGCCTTCTCCGAAACAAGTTTCGATCGGGCCTAAGAAACATCCCGGGTCCGACACTCGCTGCCTACACAGCTCTTTGGCGATGGCACGATGTACGCAAAGGCCAGGCACACCAGACGGCTATAAACCTCCATAGGAAATACGGGCCGCTTGTTCGGATTGGCCCGAACCATGTCTCCGTTTCTGATCCTCGAGAAATCAAGAAGATTTATGGTCTCAAGTCCGGCTACACCAAGGTACGACGAACACCATCACCCGCATTTTAACCTACCAGATTCTAACGCATCTTAGACTGGGTTTTATCCCATTCAATCTATTACTTGGAAGGGAAAGCCCGAAGTAAATCTTTTCGGGACTCGAGACGAGGCTTACCACCGTGAAATGAAAAAGCCGATTGCCAATGCATTTAGTCTGACCACACTTCTAACGAACGAGCCCGCGGTTGACTCCTGCACCAACCTCCTGATTGACAAACTTGTCAAGTTTTCAGATGAGAAAAATCTAATTGATCTGGGAGAATGGATTCAGTTTTACACCTTTGATGTCGTGGGGGAGCTTACCTTTGCAAAGAAGTTGGGTTTCTTGGAGACGGGAGGCGATGTCGATGGCATGATCGAAACCATTGAGGGAATCCTGGTAAGATGAGAGCATACCCATTCCGGACTTTGCTAATCATGCCGTAGACGTATGCCAGCCAAATTGGCCAAATCCCCGTTTGGCACAACTTCTTACTCGGCAACCCGCTTCTCCCTTACCTCATTCCATCGATGGAAAACTGGAACCAAGTCCTTACATTTACCTTGAAAGCGGTTAATTCTGTGCTGGGAGTCGATGGCGATACTGGAGGTAGCCTCAAGAAAGGCGGAGAGCTCGACGTTGAGGCTCTAGATCAACGGGGCGACATGCTGAGCAAGTGGTATTCTGTCAAGCTGGCGACACCGGAAAGGATGTCAACTCGTGACATTGTTGTACACCTCAGCACCAATGTTTTCGCCGGATCGGATACGACTGCCATCGCCATTCGAGCTGTGCTTTACCATTTGCTCAAAAATCCGGACAAGATGCAAAAGGTCGTCAGGGAAATCGACACTGCGGCTGCCGAGGGAAAGCTCAGCCAGCCAATTTCCTTCAAAGAGTCGACAAACCATCTACCATACATGCAGGCTGCAATCAAGGAAGGTATTAGGATTCACCCATCAGTCGGTTTGCTTCTTGAACGCCACGTGCCCCAAGGCGGCTCTGTCATTTGCGGAAAGCATATTGCTGAGGGCACAATTGTCGGAATAAATGCATGGGTCACTCAGCATGACCAAGACGTCTTCCCAAACCCAGACGCCTTTCAGCCAGAGAGATGGATTGATGCTTCCGAGGAGGAGTTGAAGATTATGGAGCAGTCCTTCTTCGCTTTTGGCGCTGGAACGCGCACCTGCATTGGGAGACACATCGCCGTGATGGAGATGGCAAAAATCATTCCCGAGCTTCTAAAGACGTTTGAGATATCACTGGCGGATCCCGGCTCGGAGTGGAAGACGAAGAATATCTGGTTCGTGCAACAAGAAGGGCTTGTTTGCAACTTGAAGAGGAGGGTGAAATCATGAGTTTGGTAGTTAGGAGGGGGCATTATCGCAGCACCAAACTAACAGTTAATCGTTTCGTCGCCCAATCTACCACAAGTGTCATGATGATCGATGTTCAACTTTTCTCCATCATTGCAGCGCTTTGTGTCTACATATATATCCTCACGAAATAGACAAGATTCGGCGCACTTCTTCAGATGATCTGCGGTGTAGGGTAAGTCGAACCCGCGGTCTGTTGCGCATTCCCCCAGAGAAGTAGTACAGCAGGGAGAGAGGGTCCTTTCCGTTCTCCAATCATGCTTAGCTACGGATTCGAAACAAATGTCCTTGAATATTTTTGTGTGAGTAATTCCGTTAGCGAGATCCAGACACTGAGGTCATTTGTATTCAAAATTTTAAGCCTACTCAGTAGTTGGTTTGTTCCTCTTCATCCTCATTAGGGAGGTGCATCAATCTGCTACTTATTCGGTCCGTTATTCTTCCGATCTGGTTCGACTGTGTGCTGATGTAGGCCACTGGGCTGAGAGATAATACGAGACGGATAACCGGCTGTCCTTCAATCTAGGACCTAACAGGACGTACGGTACCTTTGTCGCCCCACTGTAGGACACGATCCCAGAATGGCTGGTGCTTGAGGGTGATTTATCACGGATTGCACATGTCTATTTAAAAGGTGAAACAATTCCTCTTGTTTAACTCTTGTCCTTGACCTGTACAAGACTCAAATGCAAAATGGCTACTGATAGCAACAACCTGATACGCCGCCCGCTTCCACCGGGCTTCACGGATCACACGTTCCAGTCCAAGAGCGGCGTGGAGCTCAGCGTGCGAGTCTGGCCGGCTGATCCAGCTCCCACAAAGCCGGCGCCCTTTGTCGTCTGGACTCACGGCGGTGCGTACATGGGCGGACACCACTTTCTTCCTCTCTCTTGGCTGGGACCTGGCTTCATTCAGCGCGGATATCATCTCGTGTCACACAATTATCGCCTCGGACCGCAGGCTCGACTCGACGATGAGCTGGACGATTGTCTCGAAGCTGTAGCATGGTGTCGCTCCAACTTACCCGACGTCCTGGGGAGTGGCCTCGTCGATGTTGACCGCTATGTCGTCTGTGGCGATTCCTCTGGCGGCACTCTCACTGGCCTTATGGGCCATCATTTAAACCCGCCTCCCAAGGCCGTCATCGACGTTTACGGCATTGTTGATTTTTTGGCCCCCGACACCAAGAAGAAGCTCTTCGGCGTCCCCAAGTCCGACAAAGACCTGTCGCCGTGGGAAGGCGAGTTCTCCGCCGAAGAACTGGACGCATTCCTCAGCGACCGCGAACCGGCCAACCTCATCACAGACGCACTAGACTGGGACGAACAGGACCTGATGCCCGACGACGATCTTTCAGCGTATCTCAAGACCGAGTTCCGGTATACTAAGCGCATCCGTCTTCAGGCGGCAATGCAGTTGTGGAGAGCCATGCAGCGGCCGCCTCGGTCACTGTTGAGAGCCGTGTTCCACGAAGACGACTTTACCGACGATGATGCTTTGAATAAATTCATCGAGTCCATGAGCCCTTTGCGCCTTCTTGAAGCTAAGACCTTGTATCCGCCAACCGCCTTCCTGCACGGAACAGGCGACTTCAATGTCGAGGTGGAGCAGAGTTATATGTTCGCCAAGAAATTGAAGGAGATGGGTGTACCAGTCGTTGAGTGCTATGAGCCCGGCGAGACACATGGCTTTGACGACAAGTATACGGTGAGTGAAGTATGGCAGCTGAAAGTAGAGTGAAGCTACTAACTATACCTTAGGGTCCTGAGATTCCCGGCTGGGATCTATATATCCAGCCCATCCTCGACTTCATCGATGAGCATGTTGACAAGTAAATGATTCCCGAGAATAACGCGAGAATATAAAAGCGTGAGTCCAATTGATTAGACGTGATCAGTGAAACATAGCAGAGGAGGATATATATCAGAGGGAAAGCCAACTGTCTATTCAATTGCGTAATTCTCCAAGGCCATTTCCCTTGCCCATTGTGTCAAATGTGTTGCATAGGGGCGTCCTGCGCGTAATGGCATTGCGCCCATCTCTACCAACCCAACAAGCTTCCACCGAATAGAATTCTCCGCCGTCCGCCCCGATCTTCTTAATAGCAAGTGGTGGAAGCATCCGGGAACAAAAACAAGTCGGTCTCCCTTCGCTGCATCGCCTACTCTCAAGAAACCTACCTTTCGAAATGAACCGTCGTCGCTATATACCATCGTTTTGTTGCTCTTCCTGACCAGGTGAAACCCAATATCAAAGCGGATTTTGATCAAGCCGGAGGTGGCCGAGATCAACTCGTTCTCAGTATCGTTGAGCATAGAGAAGGAAATCTCGCTCAACATGGTGCTGATTGTTTCCAGATACTGCGCTACATCTCTCTTAGTGTGGTCCGGAAGAACGAGCCTTTTCACAAAGTTACCTTGCCACGGCGATGATTCCAGCATGTCCAGATCTGTCGAAGAAATGGTATTCACTCTACCGATGGATTTCCCGGTAAGATGAAGCGTTTTACCACCCTCCGTGAACTCGAAATTCGTTGTAGCCGGTTCGTTTTTCACGCGACTAGCAAAGTCATACGCCCTTTCATTGACCTTCCTGGACCAGTTCGGTACCCAGGACGGCATCGTCGCATCTTTATCGTCTCCGCAATTCGCAACGTCGAGGAAGGATAGACTCCCTGTTTCTTTGGCAAGATATCCCGCTATCGCAGTAAAGAAATCTGCCCGAGAGAGTTGTTTTCCCGCGTTACCTGCTACGGCATCAATGACCTTTCCATAACCAGCCACATGGTAGATAGGTCGGGGAATGGCCCAATGCCTAGCCCAGACATCATAGTCTCTTCCCCAAGAAGAGCACAGACAGGAAAGGCGGATGTGGTTTATTTTGGCGGAGATAGTAGACGTACTCAAGGAATTCTTCTGCGCTAAGATAGCCAGGTAAGTTGCAGGATTGCTGATGGTTTCCACCAATTTAGCCATCCTGCTGGCGCTGACAGTTGTGGCACCCCCTGCAATGCCTAGCACGGCGAATAGTCTATCCCGATCGTCACCGGATTTGAAATGGCCAGAGGTTCTGAGCAAGATGCGATGAAGTCTTTGGGGAAAAGGCTGCTCGTGGAACTGAGGTACATCGGTGCTTTTCCTTCTAATCGTGCCTAATGCCCCAGCAAGAAAAGTCCCCCGGTCCTGGAAAGATGAATAGCGAAAGTCCTTAATTGTAGCCAAAATTCGTTGGCTAAGTCGAAAATCTTCTTGGAGAGCTTTGTCCTCGCTGCATTCCTCTCTTATCAAATGATGAACAACCTCGAAGTCCTCAATGTCGCATGTGCTGCGACCACATTGCAACTGAACGCGCCCAGTTGCCAGGGCTACTTCTTGGATCACCCATAATCTCTCCCACCAGCCTCTTCTGGCGACTTCGCGCAAACCCGAAAGCCATTCTGGAGAGCGTTCATCATCCTCGCGACCGTTACAACAGCGTCTTCTGACGACTTCGCACAAACCCGAAAGCCATTCTGGAAAGCGTTCATCATCCTCGCGACGGAGACACCAGCCAAATAAAAGTCGCCACCCGCCCAGAGCCTGGATATAATTGAAGGCTGCTTGGATCTGACGTCGGTGTTCACAGTCAAAGTTGTCCTGCAACGATGACTTGGCGCATATGTATTCCTTCTCGGGGTCATGGTGACCGCCGAGCCATACCACGACTGGTGAAGAATTGGCATATAACCAGTCCATGTGCTGGATCTGCGCAGTCTTTTCCTCCTCGTTGTCCTGATTAATACACAAGGCATCAACCCACAGTGTTCGGACACACTTTTCTTGTCGGAGGTATCGCAATGCAAGTTCCAGGTTGGTTGTCACTTGCAGTGTCTCGAAGTTGAAAATGTCTTTCCTTGTCTGGTGCTCGAAATGACTGGTCATGAACCTAGATACCAAGACCCGGGGCTTCGTTTCTATAACCTCCACCGAGAGCCTCCATCCCTTTGTGAGGAGATTAAGAACTCCCATTCCGGATAACATTGATAATAGAGCGACCCACACATGTCGAGAAATGGTCACTGGTACCCAATTTGGTGGTTCGGCGGGGAGAGATAAGAGAAGCCGCCAAATGAGTACAGCTTGGACAGACCAAGCGAGGGTCCATAAGAGGGTAACATAGGGTTTTGTTGCCGTATATATGACTCCAGACTTCTGTAGGACAGGCTCGGCGACACCTTTCGGTAAAGGCCCAGCTAATATTCCCGACGTCGGATGGGATGAAGGGTCGAAAGGTGCGATACGAACTGGTTTTGTGCTTGACTTGTCGCCCCACTGGTAGGAAAGTGCCTCGTAGTGAGTTTGGACCCTGGTCGATCGTGTTTCAAGCACGCATTGTATCTCATCAAGGAATATCCCGGGAAGAAGATGCACGACACGATACTCAGTAGCTGAAATAGGATGGAACAGAACTTGGCGGGTATCTGCCTGAGCTGTATTCCTGGTGTCACTCATTTTGCTGATTATTTGGCAATTGCAGTGCCACGCTCAGATCGAAGTAACCAAGCACATCTCTTTTTTGAAGCGTTTGAAAAATATTTGTGGATGAGGAATTTATTTTCCTGGCTTGAATGTGTGCGCGTTGACCTTGTCAAGACGTTGATGTGCATTTTGCAATAGTGGCGGTGGCTGTGCCGTGGGCATGTAGGCAACCAGTCTCTGCCACATCGCAATGCATAGTTAATACGACAGTGTCTGACAATCGAGTGATAGACATAATTGGAGGATATCTTGTTGAGCGATGCAGCTGACGTGCAGCAAAATAACCAAACTGTATCAATGGTGGAGAAATTGTAGTAAGCCGTGTATGCCTTGCACTTCTATTCAGCCTTGACGTGCCTGTTTTAGGAGCATCTGCATCTGGTCCTCGCTTCTAGTTGGTATTTTGTTCTTACATGAGGACGGTGTTGTGCGTTCTTGTTTGACTTCAGTGGGTGATCATGAAATGCCCGTGCCTGTTGCTTTTATACTACATTATATCAGACAGCCTGATCGGGACTGTCGAAATCTAGTCTGTTACTGAGATGACGATCTTACGATATCTGGAACGGCTTCTAGACCGGCCGCCAGGAATCCGGTCTGGACCAAGTCTCAGAGCCGCAGCAGGCCGGTCTTCCGGTCTCAGACCTCCGGGCCCGAGAGACCTCCGGACCTCGGGCCCGGAGGCCACCCGAGGCCGGCTTCATCATCGTCTGCAAGACCGATCCTAGCCCTTCAATAGATGGATAAATCAAGCGATTCCATCGTCACAAAAGCTGTCCTACCCAATCCATCCTTTGTCTGATACATTAAAGAGCTGCGACCCTGCCATAGTGATGTGCCATTGACCTGAACTGTCTGGTGCCTCGAGGTTTCTGTTGCAGAATGAGTTCCATTGAACTGCCGCGTTCCTGGAGGTCATTGATACCGTTGAAAGGGAGGCATACATGTCACAGTCCATACAGCCTTAGTGTGGATATCCACAGTTTGCCGTGTAGTTTGTTTTGACAGATGCAATTTGCATGCAACGAACAACTTGCCGGTCTCATTTATGTCCCGCTGTAATTCCTCCCGTCTGTCGCATGCCCGATTCTTGCCCCGTCTGCGGACTTCATGCTCGAAAGGATCAACGAGAGTACGACTGCAACTAGGAAACCCCTTTTTGTCCACACGTGAGAGGCGTCAAGTCTTATCTATTTCGCACGTCCGTCCCGTACTGACTCGACTACCTTGACTCAGGGCCCAAAGTTGCCACCAAACCGAACCGAAACAGACGAAACAGACTCCACAGTCTCTGACGTACCTAGTCTTGAGCCCGATTCTGGAAACCCTACGACACGTGCTCATAAATAGGCGTACAAGTACCCCGTAATTGGCATGCAAAATTTGATGTTGTGCAGTACGGATTCATCATGGCTCCAGGATGCCTAAGTTTAAGGGGCGGATCCATTGAGCCCCCGACTGCTGTTTGCGTCCGCCGCACGTGTGCGTCTGGCTAGTCGACGGTATCAGAGTTCCCGATGCTTAGCTTCGCAATTATACCCACTTTCGAGATGATGGACTGCGTACTATATCATTTCAGTATTAGCCTCGTGGCCGCGCAAGCGATCCGAAGCGTGTGGTGTCATTTAAAGTCTGGGACTATTTTTCTGCCGGGGCAACACTTCTTCAGCCATATTTAAATGTGGAGATATCATATGTGAGTCTCATATTGATCTCTACTAGTGGCTGTCAAGATTTGCAACTAGTGATGCCCTAATGCAAGAATGGGTCGACTTGCTTCTGTGGCGAACTTAGCGTCTCACTGATGCGCGCCGCTTATCATCTTGGTGTAGCTCTAGAACGTTCACCGCCAACATCAAGTTACATTAGTAGCTAGCCGAGCCCGTCGGTGAGACTGCACTCATCCTGTCATGCACTAGAGCACATTGAGAGCAAGGAATGCGGCTATATGTACCATCTACCCGCCTGCAGACTTCTGAGCCTCCGTCCCACCTATCACCTTCTCAACCCACAGTCACTCTCGCCGTTTCTTATCAGCTTCTTCTTTGCCGCATCTTCAGCAAGTAACTTGGATGGTCACTCGGATTCATCTGCTCTCTGGCTTCCCTTCCACACCCGGCCCCGTTGCAGCATTTCTACTCGAAACACTCACAACCGCATATCATCATGAGGCCAGATGAGAATAAGCTTGGACCGATCCGTGCAGCTGGCCATGTCATTAACGTGGATACCTTTGCACAAATACTCCAAATGGATGACACTCCTGAGCACGAGTTCAGCGGCGCGATTGTTTTCGACTTTCTGGCCCAAACAGAACAGTCTTTTCAGTCTTTAAATAGATATCTGTAAGTCTAGACACGCTATTAGTTCAAGGGACATCTTTTGCAACTCAAAATGTCATATTGTTGAGATGACTCGACCCTGTATCGCCTGGCAGTATTTGCTTTCGGAAAACTGACTGAGTATCTCTTCGCGTTCTTGACAGGGAAGAATCAGATCTCCACAGCCTTGCGTCTCTCGGAAGTTTCATGAAAGGGTCCGGAGAAATGTTGGGCTTGATGAAATTTCAAGAGAGCTGCAAGCAACTTGAACGGTATGGAAAACAGTTGGATGACGACGAAGTTTCTAAGCTGGATGAAGAGTTCTGCCTAGATCAAATTCGGGAACTCTCTGGTCGCCTCAAGACGGATTTCGCTGAGGTTGAAGGGCCTTTGAGAGCATACTACTCCCAGTTTCGTTGGCAAGGGGATCACTAGTTAATAATGTCGCGGTTGCTAATGGCGATTGATAATCGCGAGCGAGCTACAGCCTGATTTTGAGTCCATAATCAACCTACAATTAGAAAAGAGATGAAGGTTATCGTCGAACACGATATAGAGTGTATATACCAGCTCAGTTGACTACGTTAGGAGTACTCTATTTACTCCATATTCTTACCCATGTTGGACGACTCAGGTTTTTCGAATCCTTCTTGTTTTAATTTTCCATAGGGTACATAGGTCAGAAAAGCTCCTCACCGAGGCATATTGCTTGATGCGAAAGATGATGTGTGAGGGGGGGGAACGAATTTAACTTCTGTCTGCTCCCTCAAGGTGTGCAAGTTGCCGGCACAAAGTAAAAAAACACACAGTTTTATACACAATTCGAGTATTTTCTACCCAATGCCGCCAAAATGACCAAATATCAAGCTGTTCAACTCGAAGAAGATAAAACCCGTATGAATATATAAGTCATACCAGGTTTAACTTTTCCAAGTAAAAGAAACTTGATATTTGGAAAAGGTAGTAAGTAGTATTTGGTAGAAAATACTTGAATTATAGATAAAACTGTATTTTTTCGACCTTATGCCGCAACTTGCTCACCTTGAGGGAGCAGACAGAAGTTAGATTAGCTCCTCACTTTCCAGTATATGCCATATTTGCCACAACCCGCGCCGCAATATCACGCCCTTTGCCTCGGCTTCGAACCGTCACACCAAGCTGTCTTGCAGTCTCTCGCATAGAAATGCTCGCCTCGCTACCGTCTGCTACCTTGAGGATTGCTTGCGCAATACTGTCAACTGTCCAGCCTGGACTCGTCTGCCGACAAGCCCAAACGCCAACACCGATTGTCTCTGCAAGTGCAGCAAAGCCATATAAATCGGCCCATTGAGGTAAAATGATCTGAGGAACTCCAGCACTTATATTTATTAGCGGTGTCACATTGTTGCTCCAACGCGTGGTTTAAAACTCACACAATCGCTTCATGGTAGCAATTCGATCCTCCATGGTGGACTGAGGCGACGATGTACCCTGTCTCCAATAGAGACGAGGGGTCCACGGTCAGCCATTCCTCCATTCTGAGTCGCCCGTTATCTAGGTGTGGCTTGAGTGCTGACAAGTAATCGTTGGAGTAGTTTCCGAATTTTTTGAATTTCCATAGGATCTGGACATTAGTCTTGTCGAGCACAACTGCGATAGCCTCGGTCATTATCGTTGCTTGGGTCTGTGTCCACTGAGAATCGATTAATTAGTTACTTCCATCAAGACATTGCTTTATGTAATTAACGTGTCGACGTAAATATGTAGTAAATGTTTGTTTGTTGCGGGCCATAATATTGACTCACAATGACACTGCTTCCGAGGTTGATAAGTATGGTTGGACCTTTCGTCAACCAGTCAACCATATGAGAATCTTGCTCGATGGCTGGCGCAGCTGACAATACCATCGGTCCAGCGCAGGTAACATTCGGCGGGATGAAATCGACAGGAATAGTTGCGCCTTCCGTCGTCATGGTTATCCAAGGAACGTCCTGACGGTACATTTTATAAAAGTTGATGGGGTCCAGAAGGCCTTTCTCCCTGAGCATGGCCTTTTTAGCGTTGAGGCCCGGCATGACCAGCACGCTGTAGATGAATCGCATGTTGAGATATATGTTTTCGGGGATATTCCGCCAGGGGACTGGGAACGAAAAACCGGAGGCAACACTAAATTCAGATTAACTGGAAGCCTCGTCACCTATAATCCTGTGCGGGACACCGCTTACGCTGGATACTTCCAAAACATGCTACCATGTGGTTGATCTGCGAGAAAATTGTCGATCACCGTGTTTGGCGTGACGATGGCATGGTGTCGATTGTTATCACGCGTCGCGTCAATTGCTGGACGGAAAAGTGTGTCCAGGACTACGACAGCTGGGTCGACCTCATGAATGATAGCGGTGAGCTCTTCGTAGACTGCCATGTGATCCTCAACAGTCCAGGGCGATATCCAAATCTGCATGTCTTTGCATAAATGCGCTATGCCAGCGGCGCCAGGTGGGTGAGGGATATTGAGAATGGTTTTGCCGGCAGCGGCGATTGCATCGCTGTAGGATGGGCTCTTCATCTCGTGAAAAATCACATCTTGGGCCTCCGCCGTCTTGGTGCGTGCAAAGGCCGAAATTCTCTGCAGTTTCTTGCCGAGCTTGGGGAAAGATGCGAAATGTACTTCGATGTCGGGATGATTCTCCAACAATGAAGATGCTGTCGCAACGTGGACATTTGACAGGCCAGGCTCAAAGTTGACTAAAAACAACACCGTCTTGTTTCTGCCCTGGACGTAAGGAGGATGATCTGGGACATCTCCCTGCGGAAAGAAAACTGCGACGAGTGCAATCAGCACAGCGATGGCGAGTAGGATGCGCCTGTACATATCATAAACAGCACAATGATGAGCTAATTGGGAGATGTGTGAAGGTGCAGGGTGAATTGAATGAACCCTTCGAGGGGTTTTATTGTGGGCTAGCCCAACCCCGATATTGAGATCGTTCGCAGTAACTCTATTATAGTCAGCGAAAATTGCAATACTTCTTAGCGCCATTCGAGCTCTAATCCCCCCCTCACTGTTTCAGAGTCCGAGGAGGAGAGACGTGCACTACGTAAAAAGCTCTGTGTTTGGATCGGATAAGTTACTGGGTTGCTAGGCAGCCTGTCCTATCGTGCTGACGTCACCCGCTAGTGCTTACTGGAACTCCACGTATATTAAACGGTGTGTAGGGTTTCTCTGGGCTAAAGATTGCTCCCTCTGCTGATGTTTGTGTATCGGCAGATTTACGATGGCTGGCATTACTCCATTGCCTGACTAACGATTCTACCATTCAAGCTCACCACAGGTAGTATCCCGATTGAATTTTGGAGGGAAAAGTTGGACATATAAATTGAGGCGCTGCATTGCTGACTGCTTTCACTATAATTAATGCAGAAAATTAGGACGAAGAAGCCGTTCACAGCCGCCTAATGGATTGGTGTAGCACGAGCAAAGAAATCATCTTTCTCAATTACTGTTCGACTGGTTCATACACGCCTTCGTCGATTTCCTGGCTGATGGGCTTGTACCTCCACCGGCCAAAATAGGCAGGAGTTTGACCTTCCCCGCCGTTGCTGGTGGCATATGCTCCAAGCAAGGTCCCTACAGCAGGAAATTGTGTCAGTCAAACAATCAACACTTCAATGACAATTCGCACCGAATATTTACTCACCGTGGAACGGGCCGGATCCTCCAGAAACAACCTCCGCGCTCACTTTTCCCAAGACGAGCTGCTTGTGCGGACTATCAGTGGATGCAGCTGACAGCCCATAGTATGAGTCCTTGTTCGCTGAAATGCTTAGTCTGATGGGTTTACGAAGCCAGTGCGCTGGGACGTCAACCGTCTTTTTCTCTGGCACAACGATGCCTGGCTTCCCACTGGCTTCGACATACAACTTGAGCTTCAGCCCAGATTTACTGCCCTTGATGATGCTGATGTCGATGTGTTGGTACTGAGTTAGGAACACCGTCAGGCCGGCCTCCTCAAGAACATCCTTGGGTTCGAAAGAAACATCCACAGTGTAGGTGAAGATGGAGCTGGACTGCTTCCGTGAAATAAGGGCAAAGCCATCAGTAATTGGGTCGAACTGACTGTCCGCGGTCAAGTTGACTCGAGAAGGCGAAATCCGTAGCGTATTTGGGTGTCCAGGTGGCGACACGGTGAACAGAGAGGCCTTGGGCGGGCGCCAGTACAAGAAATGTCGAGGAATTTGAGACCCGCGCTTAAAGTCCACGCGATCTCCATCTGTCGCCCAAGGGCCATTGCCAGGAATCTTCTTGTTGACTCGAGGGAGAGGCCCATGCATGACGCCTTGAATCCGATCCACCACTGGCCACTCACCCTTTTCCCAGACCATCGGGGCCAGTACCGCTTCTCGACCCATGGGATAAACTTCCCAGTCAGGCCCAGATCTCGTCGCGAGCGCGACACACCACCAGTTGCCTGAAGCATCCTGGAAAAAGTCCGTATGGCCGATTGTCTGGAAAAACGAATCCGTGTTCTTGGCGGTCAATATAGGGTTTCCTTCGTATCCCTCGTACGGACCTTCGATGCTGGTAGCGCGGGAAATGACCGCAGAGTGATTTGTTTCCGTGCCTCCTTGGCTAATAGAGAGGTAGTAATATCCGTCCTTCTTGTACAGCTTAGGGCCTTCGGGATTGCGGTCGCCTGTGCCGTTCCAGACTGTCAAGGTCTTCAAAACGGACCCTGTGGCGAGGTCAACCTCGTGGATGAAAATCCCCCTTGCAACCGACATGTACACCTTTCCATTGTCGTCCCAGAAGAGGTCTGGATCAATCTCGTTCTCTGGGTTCTCAAAATGAATAGGATCGCTCCATGCGTCATCGTCGTACGGGTCTTTCGTCGTAAAAAGGAGAATCTTGGGACCCCAGCCCTCGTACCAGGATACATACGACGTGATCAAGTAGAAGAGGCCATCGTGATAGCGTATTGTCGACGCCCATATTCCCTCGCTTTGCTGGCTATTTCTGAACAGCTCAGGCACCTGCTCGGCGCGGTTGACAGCGTGGCTAGCAAGTTTCCAGTTTACAAGATCTTTACTTGCCCAGACAGGAGCGCCAGGGAACGTCAGAAACGAGGAAGTGGTGCAGAGGAAGGTATTGTCCCATTCGGGCACAAAAGTGCAGCTAGGGTCGGGATTGAACCCGGGCAGGATTGGGTTCGAAAACGCGCGACTCGCCGCACCTATTGGTAAGACGCTCATCACCCAAGCTGACCAGGAAATATGGGAGAACAACATGAAGAAAGATATGTCTTGGGATGTTTCGATATAACCCTTCCTCATAGACGTCCTCAAGTGATGCTCAGTCAAGTAGAATTTATGGGCCAGCTTTATGAGCAAATACCCCCTTCGCTTTCGCTTTCGTATAAACATTAGCCGCGAATGCTGGCTTTAGTCACTATCCTGACGTTGTTTATATTGCTATTGCTTGTAAATCCATGGCACAATACACTTTGGCAAGCGGGGTTGTACGTTATTTACCCTTCGTCCCGTATTCCCGCCATGATCGGACGAGCAGCACTTTAGCCGGTCGCCGTGTCGGCGGGATAGCGAAGGTTCAAATGCGGGGTGTGCGGAGATGACATAGAGTAGAGAAAAGCTGATGACATTGTATGCGACAATCCCGCAGATGGTAAACATCAGGTGAGGGGTGCAAGGAGCCGATGAAAGGACTTTAGGTCTAGGGTAGCCGTGGACAGATAATTTGTGAAGAATTCTGTTCTCCTTGCCCTCGATATTTTCAGAGGGAGATATGGACCACAATAACATTACCGGAAAGAGGAGTGATAATTCTCTTTTGCTGTAGCGGTATTGCGACAGATATAAAGCTCTCCCATCCTCACTCCAATCACTGACTGTTGGAGTAGATTGAACGCTAATTCTTTCTCACTATGTTACTTATATGGCTGCAAAAACATCTCAGTTGCCGATGGCAATGAATGAGATAATATTGGAAGACACAAAGTTGCTCCAGATAAAGATTCAACGGCTTAGGAACTATATTAATAACGATAGGGTCGTAGACAAATTATTAGGAATATATGCTGACACTTAGCAGGACCACAGGAAAGGTGTTATCTCAGGGTGAACTTGGTAAAGGAGCATACATAAACATTTGCGATATATCTAGGGTTAGAGAAATACCCTGCTACGATGTGCACCTCTGTAAATGTACTTGCGTGAATATTTGTAATACCTCTCTCTCCAACACGTCACACCGAGAGGCCAGGTGGATCTGATTGAGCTATTCTGATGCGAAATCCGAGACTCCCCGGAGAAGCGCAATGACGAAACCAGCTAATCTTAAGCTAACCCATCTCAGAGATTCGGCAGTGTTCCCCGAAACCGGACATCTCGATGGTTACTCCCATTGGTTGAGCCCCACCACCATGATTTAACCGGATAGTTAAAGTGGCACATTCTCCGCAGATCCGGGGACTCGCGGGTTTACTAGATGCGTTCTACGAGAGGGTTTGGGCTGATTAATTGTCAACCATTGGCTGCAGCTGATGATACTACTACGATTGCTGAAAAAAATTGGGCCTCTGAGTATCACGATGGGAGTCATGATTTGGTTTAAAAGCGGTACAATCCCCTCCATTCTAGACACGAAAATATCTTTCCCAAATCTGATACCCTAACCATCTTTTACACTGCAATCATCGCTCGGCCAAATCACAAGACACTCACACGCTTTCAGGATGACGACAACTCGGGAGATTCGATGGGGCATTCTGGCGACTGGTGCCATCTCGCAGACGTTGTAGGTCCATCTGTTTAATCCCTCAGCCAACCCACCCGCTCATGAACGCCACAGCACAAAGGATTTACTCGTTGATCCAAACACTCGCGGCGTCAGCAACCTCAAGCACACAGTCGTCGCTGCTGCCTCGTCTTCGTCAAGCGCCCGCGCCGAGACGTTTCTCAAAGACGTCGGGGCTTCCTCCGCTGCCAAGGCGTACGGCTCTTATGAGGAGCTGGTGCAGGATGCCGACGTCGAGATCATCTACGTCGCCACGCCGCACTCACATCACTACCAAAATGTCATGCTCTGCCTCGAGGCTGGCAAACATGTCCTTTGCGAGAAGGCCTTCACCGTAAATGCCAAGCAAGCGCGTATCTTGGTGGACAAAGCCAGAGAAAAGGGACTATTCCTGATGGAGGCGTTCTGGACGAGATACTTTCCTGTGACGGACTACGTTCGAGATGTCATTAGCTCTGGAAGACTGGGCACGGTTCATAGAGTCTTCTCAGACCTGAGCATGGGAATGTCTCCGGAAACCACGTTCAAGGACGGAAAACATCGCATGGTAAACCCAGATCTTGCTGGTGGCCCGCTGCTTGACCTCGGCGTTTACGCTTTGACGTGGCCATTCCTAGTATTCTACAAGGACCTGGCACCAGGCGAAGCACCAAAAGTTCTTGCATCGATGAAGAAGGTACGTCACTCACCACTACACCATCTAGTTTTGGGACGACTCGTGTTGACTGGATGACCATAGTACAAGCCAACTGGTGCGGACGAGACTACGACTATTCTTCTAACCTTCCCTCGAGCTGAGTCCGCCGGTGGCGACGCCCACGCCGTAGCCACCACCTCTATGCGAGTCGGCAGCCAACAAAACGATCCCACCCCCCAGGCAAGCGTGCGGATCCAGGGCGAGCAGGGAGAACTGCAGCTCTTCCCCATGGCGCAGAACCCCAGCGCCACCAAGCTCATTCTCAAAGACGGCACAGTGGAGGAAAAGCAATGGCCCAAGCCAGGCCCAGGCAAGGGCAGTGGCTGGTACAATGGATTCCTGCACTACATGAACCCGGAGGGCGAGGGCCAGGGCATGTTCTGGGAAGCTGACGAGGCGGGCCTGGCGATTATTGAAGGGCGAAAGGAGGGCAGGCGTCTGGACTTGACTGAGACCATTGCCGTCATGGATGTGTTGGATGAAGTTCGTCGCCAGGGAGGTCTAGTGTACCCGGAGAGTATCGAAACCGTAGAGTATCCGGCCAAGGTTTAGGGATGTTTTCTAGTAAACCTCAAGTAGCAAAGACATTGGCTTCAACCAAACTTCAATGTGCAATAGATTAGATCAGACGAATGCCTGAGATATCTGCAATCCTGCCATTTTTATAAATGGGTTTGAAATAATTCATTGTATATTGAACACAAGTCGGCTGCCGAAGTTGGCGCAGTTGTGGCTTTGCGCTATCGATGCCACAACTTGTCTGCACATTTCTTCCTCTGTGCATGCATTTCGCGTGCCCCGTGCGCACCTTCTCATCCAAGTGTGCACCTCACCCTCCAAGTATTTTTTTATTTTCTGCGCACCTGTTCCTTCCGCGCTTCATGTGAGGTTTCTCATGTCACAGGCCAGGGGATTCCTAACGCACCCTACCCATTTGAACAACGCACCTATTTTTATTTTTATTTTTATTCTTCTACAAAAAACGAGTTAGAATTAGTGGCAAGCCTTGAATCATAGAATTTTCTGTCGTCGTAAAATCATGTAGCATTATTACTGAACCGCCCATCTGTCGTGCAGCGTTTGACTGTAACTGTATGGACGGAACACACCTAGGCTCAGCTGGCTCTCACGAGCATCCACTGCAAGTCTACTCAAATCTTGTGATTTGTATCCTCCGCTTCTCGATGTCTCGATGTGCTGTGACCGGCCTGTGCCTCTTCTGGCTCTGCACCATGACCGCCCACGCACACAGACTCAACAGAGCACAATGGAACGGCGGAACTGTACGCCCTCGTACGCCGTCTCGGACCTTTGAACAAGCGAACGTCTGGGGCGTGCTGCTGGGAGCATGGAAGTCCCTGTAGCTCCTGCATAAACGGGCTGGAGCGCATTGGGACCAACTAGAGCCCACTGAAACCCCAGCTTCCCTTGAGTCTCGCGATCCTCACATCTTACGCCTTATCCTAAAAAAAAAGAACTTGGTTCCTCAAATGGCCAAGGTCGTATTATTAATCCATCTTCGAGTAATACGCTTATCAGGCAGGGAACTTGCGTAGATGTAGTGAGGATCTTGAACCGATTTTCAGATCCCACGCAGCTAGGGAGCTCATACTGTCCGGTTTAGTTCAACCCAAAAAGTGTGTTAATAATGAGTAAATAAAAGAAAACCACGAGGGTCGCTCGCAGCTAATTTCATTGGTATTTACACGACTATTAACACGAACAAGTGTGTATACACGTCTTGATTCACCTTCTGCTGTCCATGGCCTCAGGAACGTGAGGGCCGAAAACGGCCAGTAGTTTTAATGACTCAGCAAGTCCGGCTTCTCAATGAGGACTGTTGATAAACCAGCAGCCATATCTCGGCATAAGATTGAAGTCCCTTCTTGAAATGGCCAGATGTAGTGCGAAAAGTATTTCTTACGAATACTTAAATATACCTCGTCTCGAATATTCACTATTTCCACAATATTACCTCCCTTCTTTAAAGATCAGCCGAATGGGCTGACATCACAGGCAACCATTTGTGGTTAACAGGCCTGCACCCGTATGCTGTTGGTTTGTCTGCAGATTGCCCTCGTCCAATAACAACGCGACACCGCCGCAAAAATTGAACAGGTTGACATGGTACGGAGACCGGGATCTCGATTCACGAATGATTGCGGTTCGCTTATCCGGTCCGGCTGCAGCCAACTCGTGTATAACCGCCGCGGCCGAGGCGGAATATGAGGTGATGTTTCCCCTTTATACTTGGCGTTGCGGGGTTCTCATCTCTTCTCAATCATTACTCTTTTGCTCCTTCTGAGGTCTTTTCCGCTTGATCGTGGCATCGTGTTTGCCCAAGTCGAGATCCATCATGGCCGAGAACGCGCCCCGGTCCCACCCGAGCCCGCCAGCTGTGGAACGACGGCCAACTACCGCGGCCGACGTGAGTGAAATATCTGACGCCTTCTTCGTATTCTGGACCTGACCTTTCAGCCGGTGCCTGACGATGGTGACTCTGTATTTGATCAGGTGAGAGGAGATTGGCTCATGCTGGGTGAATGGGAGAGAAGCTTACAACAGCAAATCAATTCAATTCACAGATTTCAGCCTACAGTGACACTACGTCTCTCACATCGAGCATCCTAAACTACCGCAAGGAGAATGGCCGCACATATCATGCGTACAAGGCAGGATGTGAGATTGCCACGCCCCCGCGGAACGTCCAGCCACTGACCATCGTTAGCATACATTCTGCCGAACGACACCGTCAGTAATGTCTTCTCTGTCTAGAAACGCCCGCTGATTAAGAGAATCTAGTTGGAAAATGACCGCCTAGGTAGCATCAAGAAATCGTGTTGAAGCTTGACGAGTCCATCTAACAATGTCACAGATCAGCAGCATCACCTGTGCCTACTCACTCTTAACGATCGTTTATTCATCTCTCCTGTGGGAAAAGACAAGCCACTCAAGCGTATTCTCGATGCTGGTTGTGGAACGGGCATTTGGGCGCTAGACATTGGTAAGCTAGAAGTCCTTACGATTACTTCAGAATCTAACAATAGCAGCCGACGAGCATCCAGAAACAGAGGTACTTTCTCCGCTTGATAAGTCTGCAGCGTCTTATTAATGCATGCCAGGTCACTGGTGTCGACCTCAGCCCTATCCAGCCATCATTGTAGGTATTTTCAAGCCGTGGATGCATAGCGCTAATATTGCATTAGTGTCCCACCAAATGCCTCGTTTTTTGTAGATGATCTGGAGGCTGAATGGACCTATACCAGGCCTTTTGACTTGATCTACATGCGCGCAATGACAGGGTCTATCCGTGACTGGCCTAAGCTATTCCGCCAGGCATACGAGTGAGATCTACATTTGGGGGTCACCTTGAAGTCCAGTCTCTAACATTCGTGTCCAGGAACCTCTCTCCTGGTGGCTACATTGAACTGATGGATCCCATCTACCCGGTGACTTGCGATGATGGCACCGTGCCAAAAGACTCCGTAGTATACAAGTGGAGCGCCCTGATGAATGAGGCTGCCACCAAACTAGGAAGTGGTCTGGATTCTGGCTTGCGCTACAAGGACCAGCTCATCGATGCTGGATTCACGAATGTCACAGAGGCTCCTTACAAGTGGCCGATGAATACTTGGCCAAAGGATCCGAAGCTCAAAGAACTAGGTACTGAAGCGAGCCACATTACTAGACAACAGTTTGCTAATAGCGTATTAGGAGCATGGGGCAATGTCAACCTCGTTGGTGGCGTTCAGGGTCTCAGTATGTTCCTATTTACGAAAGTGCTGGGGTGGAATACAGATGAGCTCGAAGTCTTCTGTGTGGATGTCAGGAAGGACCTGTGCAACAAAGAGTTCCACGGATACTGGAGAGTGTGAGTATCACCGGCCTCCAGTTGAGAATAGATCTAACTCGATATAGGAATGTGGTTTACGCACAGAAGCCTTTGTGAATACGATACATCGTTTCAGGGATTATCGAGTGTTTCAAGCTATGTTAAACGACACGTGGTACATGCGGGAAGTTCGAAACTCACTGTAGAGGCTTGGTCGTCTCATGCAGGAACCTCTAGCGCCTGCTGGAATCTGTTGGGGCCCGCTGGACCTTTGGGTACATCCTGTGTCCGTAGTTCACTCCACTTACTATAATCGCCATGGGAATAGACACCCTTCTAGACCGTTCCTGCTGATACCACGTGCTCAATACCATGTCGATACCATGGGCAAATCCACAGAATATCGAGGGCACGCCAAAGACCGAGCTGTATTCTTGGTGCCACATCCCAAAGCTGGCATTGAAATGATGGGGTCCAGCCCGTACTCGACCTGTCAGAATGGCCGGAGTGGAGAGATGTCTGGGCCGAGACTAGTCCAAAGCCTCGGCTCGTGCCGGTGGGAGGTTAGATTGATTGCATAGTGATGGGCTTGCATTCCTGGAACAGAACCAGCAAGGAATAGCGAGGGGCGCCGTGAAACTCAACGCCCCAACAGGTTCCGAAAATTGCTTTATTAGCATTTCGCTCAAATGAGCGACCGGGTTCTGGACGCAAATGTGGCTTATCACAAAGCCTCTTTGGTGTGATATGAGGCAGGGGAAACCGAAAGCGGAATGGCTTGTCCCGTCACCCTGTCCAGCATTCCAGAGATCATCACTCTGAGACATGGTTCAAGCCATGGCAACAGGCCAAAGCTACAAAAGTCTGCTTGCGCTGTGATAAATATTTCCTCCTCCCTCCCAGCTCCTTCACCCCGCTCGCGCGCTGGTGCACCGTGTGACGCTGAACACACATCCCACCGTTGGCTATCAGGCCCCGATATACCATGGCTTCCGAAGCCGCGATCCCGGACCCATCCGAGACAAGAGTCCCGGTGGTCATTGGCGGTGTTGTATTTCTCCTCGTCGTCTCCACTTTGACGGTCGGGCTGCGTATCTTGAGCCGGGGGCTGTTGAAGCAATTTGCGCTAGACGATGCAACCGCGATCGCCGCATGGGTAAGTCGGACGGTCCATCCGGGGAATTGATTAGAACATTAGACTAAATGGTTTTAAAGGCGACTATAATGGGATGTGGTGTTTCTCAAGCCGCAAGTATGTCCCGTTCAAGGAGAACTCCCCCTCTTCAACAACAGCTGACGTCGGACAGTGACCAAATATGGTCTCGGGAGACATATGAGCACACTAACTCCGCAAGAAATAGTACTTTATCTCAGGGTATAGTAATGCGTTGGCTCATCCTTGTAGTTCCGTATCTAACATCTCATAGTGCTTTTGGTTATCCGTCATGTTTTACACCTACTCTCTTTTCTTCATCAAGATGACATTTCTTCTCAACTATTACCGCCTTCTGTCCGTCTCCAAGATGCGAGGAATGTGCATTGCAGCTATCGTTGTCATATTACTGTGGGGACTTGCTCACGGAATCTTGGTCTTTTTGTTGTGTATTCCTATTCAGGGCTGGTGGGACAAAAGCATCGACGCCAAGTGTCTCCCCGACGACCAACAGGTGCATTGGTGGTATTTCAACGGAGCTTTCAACATTTTCAGCGACATCTGCATAATACTTCTTCCCCTTCCGGACTTGTGGAAGCTAAACCTACCTCGCTCTCAGAAAGTCTACCTCATGGGCATTTTCTGCATAGGGTTCTTGTAAGTTCGCTGCTCCAGAAAGGCTGCATCAAGAACCACTGCTGACAATGTTAAAACTGCAGGATTGTTGCCATTTCAATCATGCGGATTCGATGGCTTCACCCCGAGCCGGACGTGACATGGTGGAATGTCGAGCCCGCTCTGTGGTCGCTCGCGGAAATAACAGCCGGCATTGCATGCGCCTGTCTCCCATTCTTCAAGCCCTTGACTGTGCGGATCAAGACGTTTGTTACTCGCAATTCGGCGGCTTTAAGCAAGCTGAGACTACGGTCGAAATCCAACAGGTCAGAGATGGAGTCTTGCGCAACTGTGGTTGAAGAACAGGGACAATCAAGCCGAGACCGAAAAGTACTGGGCAGCGTGGACAGTGAACAAACTGTTGTTAATGGAATGAATGTATAAATAGGAATACTCTGCGGACAATAATCAATCTACCTACGACCGGTTCTTGGCTCCTGGCTATTCCAGGTTGACCAAGGTTGTAAACTTGTGCGTGAGCGTTGTCGCCGTCGCCGCCGCTCCGTCACGATCTGTGTTGAAGCTGGCCTCTTTCCAGTCGTTCAGCACCTGCAGATGTTCCTCGCACTTCTTTGCAGCATAGCCCCATCCATCTGAGCCCAATGGGACACGGACAGTCCAGGGTCGTCCTGCAGCGACACCCTTCCTGGTGATGACATCCACCATGCTCCTGGCAACTTTCTCCACGTCTCCTGGCATCATGTCCATGCCGGATTTAACAAAGCAATCCATCAGTTCGCCGAACAGGGGCAAATAGCCAGCAACAGCAGGCTGCACAAATGTTTGCTCGCCTTCTTCGCGCGGCTGCCCCAAAGAAGTTTGCATTCCACCACACTCGATGGCAACGCTTCGAATGCCCAGCGGCATGCCTTCCTTGTGCAAGGCTTCAACATAGGTACTCAGTGCCGCTTTAGAGGCTGCGTAGTGCGACATGAATGGAAGCGGTCCCCAGGCTGAACTCGATGAGGTGAAGGCGACGCAACCATGGCCCTGGGCGCGGAAGAATGGGAAGATGGCGCGTGTCATGCGCATTTGCCCGAACAAGTTCACTTGGAACATTTGATCGATGTAGGTGTCGCTGTAGAACATGTTAGAATAAATCTTTAAGTGGGAGCGGCGGAAGCGATATACTTACTCTGCCTCTTCGGCGCTCTTGAAGCCGGTGCGACCAGCGTTGTTGACCAACACGTCAATCGATCCAAACATTTCCCAAGCCTTCTTGACTTGCGCATCAATCGTCTGCTGGGATGCCGTGATGTCCAGTTCGAGAAATGCAAGGCTCTCTGACTTGGCAATGCGAGGGCCAAGTCGTTCCTCGACCTTGCGGCCAGAAGCAATGACATTGTCGCCACGAGAGAGAACGTCGCGGACCAAGGCTTCTCCAAGGCCAGAGGTGGTTCCGGTGATGAGCCAGGTGCAAGGCATTGTGAATGATTGAGGGGGTTTGATTGTTGTATGTGTTTGTTGATGGTGGAGTTGAGTGTGTTATTGTGTTGTGTGTAATGATGGGTGTGAATTGAATTACTGTCTTGGATTGGTAAAACTTCCATTTCATACGGGAAAGGCGTTTGTATTTATAGCTTGGAATCAACAAGATAATACCAGAATTGAGTACTCTGCTGTGCATGCGAGAAATGGTGCCTCTTACGGTGTCCGTGATATTTGGTCCGTCCGTATAGCGTGAGATCAATTGAACCAGCCATCGGACGGACCAAGGACGGACCAAATGACGGACCAAGATAAGCACTCTGTACAGACGTCCTTGTCAAAATGCGGTCACGTGACGCGGACGAATGCTTTCGTCCGCGGCTGAAGCAACAATTCGTCATCCAGCGAGAATCCACTCAAACGGACGAAATGCCTCTTCATCCGATTCATCGTGTCACTCCAACAGCCACGACGGCCTCCGATACACGTAGAGATTCCGCCATGGACGAATCACTTCCAAATGCACCGCCTCCTGCTGCTCCAAGACCTCGGAGGCCGATGAGGAAAGGAACCCACAGCTGTTTCGAGTGTACGCATATTGACCCTCCGCCGTCATATTTCGCCGTACCAACTCAGTGTTAATTAGGCCGTCGACGCAAAATCCGGTGTACATTCACCTCCAACGCGTCCGTCTGCTCGCAATGTTCCGCCCGTGGTGGTTTATGCCTCAACCAACGCCAGGAACCATTTCTCCATCCACCAAGCAGCATTGCTCCCCGTCAAGGCTCCGCTGGATCCTCCGAGCTATTTCTTGACCCCGCGTTGTGAGATGTCCGCCTCTGTGACAGGGCAATTGCTGACAGGACGCAGTTCTGACAAACCGGACCATCCTTCTGATTCTGACATTTTGGTAAACGACGGCAGCTACCAACCCCCTCTGGTCTCGATGATTGCCGATAACGAAGTGAGAATTTATTTATCATTTCCTCGGCGTAGAGAATTAAGTATTGACCATGCAGATCTGGTCCACGGCCGCTGGGACGGAACGAATGTCAGCAACAAGCCCTCAGGCGCGAGGCGACAAGTCCACATTAAACACGCTCCCAGAGTGCGCAAGTCCGCAATGTTCCAGCATCTCCCAGTTGTCTCAGGACAAAGCAAAGCGTGTATGCGCGACCCTTCGTTCAGCACTGCCTAGCTACGACTCCTTTATGTCGACTCTATCCGAGTATGGATCCTGGTGGGCCGGCTTCCGCTTCAAGACTCATCTCAACTCACAAGAACCTGCAGAGGAGCTGGCTGTGTTCGCTGCTCGCAATTACACGAGCAACAATCCTGCTCTTCTAGGTACACTCGCTGCCGCTTATGCTCGTAGCCTGAATAGATACCACCAGTTGTACGTTTTGATCGAAAGCCTCGTGGTGTCGGACTTTGAATACGCCTCTACCATTGAGGGTATGCACTGTCTTATCTTGCTTGCAAGATCGCTTACTGAAATCGGTCAACCGCGCCGCTCCTGGCTTATATGGCGGAAGGGCATGGCGATTGCACAGCTCATGGTACGCCCGGCCATCTTGAAAGTTAGAGCATGCTAACATTACGGCCAGGGACTCTACCGACGCGGTTCTAACCAGCTTCTTGCCGACAACATATGGTGGGCGGTCTATTCTGGAGATCGCTTCACTAGCTTGCTTCTTGGAGTTCCCCATGGATTTCCCGATGGGTACTACAACTCAAAAACACCGTACCACGAAGCTGCAGCGGCCGAGGTTACCCTTCAGACCATGCTACTCGCAGGAAAAATCATTGAGAGGAATCTGGTCGCTGACAAGCCTTCACTTGCCCAGACCCTGAGCCTAGATGAGCAATTGGATATAATCGCAGCCATGCTTCCAAAGACATGGTGGACTATTCCAGACCAAGTATCTGGTCTAACGCCAGACGATCAGCTCAAGGAGAAAGTATTACAGCAGTTTTACTTCTTCCACATCAAAACCTATCTCCATTTACCATTCATGGCAAAGTCTGCTGGTGGGCCGACCGCTGTCATCAGTACGCTTGCGTGTATGGGAGCTTCCCGCGAAATGCTCAAGCGTTTCTTGGTGCTCCGATCCATCATTCAGGGGTCATGTCTGTACGAATGCAAGACAACTGCCTTTCTCGCGTTTACGGCCGCTGTTATTCTTATTCTTGGCTTGGGCGACTTGAGTCATATGTCCGCGGCATCGAGCTCCAGCGAGGACATGGGCTTGCTGACGGCGGTGAGGGACATATTCCGCCAGGCTGCGAGGAGAGACCGATGCAAGATTTCGTCGCAATGCTGCAATTCCCTCGATATGCTTATGGGATCTCCGTGCAGTGATCCATCGACTACCCGACAGGACGGGGATCAAGACAAGATTCTAATACCATACTTTGGAATTGTAGTACGCCGTCGCACGAGCCAAACTACAGGCCGTCCGGAATACTGTGCTTCTCAGGTAGATTCCCAGATTTACCGAGGTGAAGCTTCTTCAATTAGTCAACCAACATCTGCAAACCCTCAGATGGGCAGCCAACTCCAGGAGGTAGAATTCCCGGCGTTTGAGTATTCGGGTCTAGGACTGACAGGGGACAATGTTGACTTTGATGTTTGGACTGACCCGTCCTGGTCCAATTCGCTGATGATGGATTTGGACCAGGACTGGAGTTTATTCACAGATTTTGGTGGGATGTAGTACGCCGGCCGTATAATAACTAAATTGGAAATCATGCCGCTGTTCAGTTCTTGCCCTTCAGTATCGGTGCCAGGCATTGTCGTCTGGACTTAGATTTGAAGAAATATTCTTCAAGTCGGATCACTCTCAATGGGACGAATTTGACCGTGGATCCTGCCGCCGCACTACGTTCACATCTTTCGCCACTGGAGTTGTCATGAACTGGTTTTCCTCGGACAATTCTATTGATTTTATTGAACAGCAACTAAACACACTCTCTATTTGAAACCCTCGAAACCCTTCTCACTTCTTCCAACTGGTGAACTTGGCGGTCCGCTAGTTAGCCCCTCACAACCCTCACAACCCTCTCCCTTCTCCACCTGGTGTCCTTGATGAACGGCCTAATCCTAGCGCATTTAGACTACTAGTCCTTGACTATGGGAGACACCTTAGTTGTGCTGGCCCTGGCCATTGCAGTAGGGAATAGGGTAGGTCTCATTAGCGCAAAGACGAATGATTCCCTTGACCCACGCAAGGTTGCCATAGGACGCGCTTTTGTACGTGTTGGATGTGAATTCATTCTTCTCCGGGGCATCGGTGCAGCCGCTGTAGACGTAGCCAGTAACACGGCGGACGTAAGGCTGGCTGACGACGACACCGTAGAGACCCGCCTCAAGAAGGAAAATCTGAGACTGGTCCTGGGTAGTGGTCCAGGTTTCGGTGTAGGTGAGAGATAGCGAGTAAGTCAGGATATCGCTAATGCCGGCAGTGACACCCGCAGCAAGCGAGTTGGCAACAGAGTAGCCAGAGGCGACGGTGATCCTGACTTCTCCGTCTGCGCTACTGGCAACGGGGGAGATGGCAATGTCCCAGTCGAGGAACTCCGTGTCAGAGAGGACCTGGACTTCGGTGCTCTCGTCGCAGCGGCGGTGGAGTGCATGGCCCTCGGTGGCAGGCAGGATGTCGCGCTCAGCAGGCGCGGAAGCGGCGTTGTTGAGGGCGTCAAACGCGGCGGACTTCATGACCTGGCGAGAGCCGTCGTTTGCGATGACGATGACATCGTCGGCGCCAAGGACTTGAGGAGAGGGGGCTGCAGCGGCAGCGCAAACAAGGCCAAGGATGGCAAGGGCGGATGGGAAGATCATTTTGTTTTGTGGATGAGAGAACGATTGTAAAGAAGTTGTAAAGATCAACTCAATGAGAATGAAAGAATGACTTGTGGGAGTGAAGCTGCTGTGTGTAGGCTGTGGATTGATTGTAAGACCATGAGAGTGAAAAGGCCGACTCTTATAAGATAGAAAGGATATCGTATGCTATCAACCATCACGTTCCTATCTTCTGTGATAACCCATAACCGGATATCCCCGTATGGCCTAGAAGCACAAAGGCCGCCATTGTCGGGCAACAATGTGAAACGTCATGGGTCGGTGCCCCTAGAGCAACCTTGACGGCCTATTGGGTACTATGAAGTACAGCCATGGCTTGCCAAGAATTGAACATATAGACTAGTTTGCGTGATATTAGTGTGGCCAGACAGGGAATGAGCCATAATCCTTTCGCTGCAATTGATGGAGAAATTAATACCGTGCAAGATGGGATGAGTATAGTCTGCCTCTGAGTTTGTTGTTTCAGGGCGACAAGCTAAAGATCCATCGTATGCCCCTGTAGACTATTTTGTAAAGAGAATGTCACACTGTTAAATCGATTGGCCCTCTTTTATGGAGAGATTTGCCCAAAGAGATCTTCAATGTCAATAAATTATAGTTTTCGATGTGTTTGACCCACCACACAGGCTAGTGCTTGGGCGCCCGGAGAATGGGGATGAAAGGATTAAAATAGATTAAATCGAGGCTAGACGGGAAGGCCGTCAATGCAAGAGATCTAATCGTCTGGCGACGTGACGACGCAATCAAGGATAACCTAAAATACCACTTTCCCTTTTCAGCCTTGTCGGTCCGACTAGTGATTGATAGAATAGTGATTTGTACATAAGAACTACTGCAGAAGCATCTCCAATTCTACTTTCATTCAGTACACTCTAGAACCATTCGCAATACGCTTTCATAGTCAAGTCTTTCATTAACTTTGTGGTTATTCGTTTCTGCCGAGCCACCTCCAGTCCAGAATTCAACTAGCCTGTTTGCCCATCCTGCGACAACCCAACGACACAATGTATTTTTCCGTTGCCAAAATTGTCTCTGCCTTTATGGCCCTCAACATGGTGTAAGTCACTGGCTGATATCTTGCTTGAGCCCTCTGAAAAACTGACTGTGATAAGCGCTGCCAACCTCCACGATAGTTGCGCCTGCCGCAATGGTGATAGCGACAACACGCGCCTGACCACGCTTGCCTGCACGGCCTACAACGAGGCTAGCTACGAGGTAAAGTGTCGCGAATATGAGCTTTAAATCTGTACTAACTTCCTCTATCTTAGTGGGGTAGCACCACTTACGATGCAGCTTCCGGACGCGTACGTACAGATCTATACACAATGGGACCTTGGTGAACTAACATGTTTTAGTGTGTTCAGGCAACTACCGAGGATCAGATTGCTGGAAAAGAATGGCAGGCTGCTTGCCAAAAGATCGCAAGCTCTGGTTTCGACTGTGCTGATGGCGAGGGAAAGTGCTACGCTTCCCCCGACGAAGTCAGCGGCTCGTGCTAGATGTGCGACGAGATAGCTTAGCCGGAGGGTTGGTGTTGTTTGTGTATTAGATATAGAGAGGAGAGGTGGTATATAACGTAGATTGTCCCAGAAAACGATGCAGGTGTCCGGAATGCCAATGTCAGATCCTTGCCTCAAAGCGCCTTGAAAATTTCCCACTCTGATCACGTAGCTTGCGTAAGTTTGCTGGTGTCATGCCTGGTTCCATACTAGACCCTTGCTCCAGTGACACGAACGGGTTAGTTTTCTGCCGTTGAAGGATAAGTGAGCTTCAATCAATAGTACCTTGATTCAGGAATCTACTATTTCTAGTGATATAGCTGTCAGCAGCCTTACTATCCAGACATGTAGTGAGCTATGAAGCATTGAGTTGGGTGGTCCCGAGAACTGCGAATTGGTTCGGCCCATTCGTCGGTTACCAGTGGATGTAACCTCGAAATCACTCGGTCCGACAAGTAACGCCCGACTAGTTGTAGATACAGGGATGAAAGCGTGACTGTGTTTCAGAGCAAGCCAACCCCCACAGCGGCCCGCGGTGGAATACACGCTTATCGTTTCATCTCGGACTCGCCGTCATAAATCATGTTCCGTGATGCGTCCCTCCTCCTGTCAATCACTCGTAGTAGAACTCTGGCTGCTTCTTCATCCGTTCTATGGTTCTTTGATCGTTTCTGTTCCAGCTCAAGGGTATAAAACGGCGTTCCCTTTTTGGTGGAAGATTTAGGGTTGGCAACGCCAGCAGTAACATTGCACCCTGGGTATATCCACCACTCGTTTGTCGAAATGAATAATAGTGCCGAAGGGCAAATATTGTAAACGAACGCTAGCGAGTTCCTCATGCGCACGGAGTCGCATGAGGTCGAACGCGAGATCAAGAGGACGCTTCTACTTGATGCTTATCCTTCTATCTATGTTGTTCTTTGGATGCTGGGGCTTGTCGGTCGCTTTATGGAAGCAGCAGGTCATCTGCCGTCGACAAGAACCAGCTGCTTCCAAGTCTCGACTCAGGCTATAGGGTGTGCAAACGCGCTGACTTCTGGGTTTCGCCACCATTTACGAAATAGACTTAAGGAGATCTGTGTAAATGGGGTCTTCTCAATCGCTAGATGTAAGCTTACATGATGAGGGAAGAGGATGATTAAACTTGAAACCTCCATCGCTGGCTGATAACCAATCCGTCTGTCTGGTGGATATCCAGAAACCTAGGGAGTGTTGAAATGTGATGATGCCAGTAAAGCTTGCCAACGGGATCATTTCCTCCATGGCTCCCAATATGCTTTAAGCAAGGCCGACGCGCGAGGGAGTTTTTCTTTGAAAGCGCTTGTGCTCTTACTAAGGGCAACGCCTTAGTTGGCACGTTGACGGCGTGGCCTGAGCAGAGGAGTAGGCGAAAGGCACCACTGAATTCTAGTCAACGGCCAACGGCCCATCGAAAAGTCGCAATTTTCCGTTGTCAGTCGGAAAACGCCCTATTTTCTTGGTAATCGATAGATCGTCAAGACGTCTCCCACTCCGGCTGCAACACTTAATCCATTGTGACGTACGAAGAACTCGACAACACCTAGCACGGTTTTTCAGGCTTGTTTTTTTTCGTCCCGAGATGAACACGCGATCCCGTACTGAACATACCGGCTTCCTGACGTCCAGCCATCAAGAAAGATGTGGATCAGGCCGGGGGATCGTCGAAGGATGACGACGACAGTACCCCTGCGTCGTCGGTACTCCGTGGTAATCTTGGCCCTGAGGACATGACAGACAGACGGCCATGGGGTGTTGACACTAGTAGAATAAGGTATTCAATTATGGTTCGGGGATCCCGTCTTCGATCATGGGGTAAAGAGGCATTTTTAAAACAGATGCTTGCTGGGATTCTGTAGACTAGTGCATCCCTGTTTGCGTCTCTGATCTGATGACTTAAACTCACGGAAGGCTAGTTACAGGTTTGGGGGCCACGCAGCTTAGGAGCTAGACTTGGGTATGTACGATAAGCTTTTCTTAGTACTCTTATCCCTGGCATGGTAGAGTTCTCGCCAGGGTTGAATCACCAGGGTTGAACACCCGACTCCACAATGGCATTTGTGTCTGTGATACGCTATGACGAGGTAATTAAAAAGATAAACAGGGAGTATTCGGTCCGACAAGTGATCGCCAAGAAAGCTTAGCAGTATGAAAACCACATGGATTTTGGCATTAAGCTAAGGAGTAATTGAACAGCGACAACCGTGTCTATCCTAAGGGCATAGGGTAGGCAAAAGGGCGTTTGGTACTTGATCGGAGGGAGATCAGGACACCGGCTTGAGATCAATGTCGGCCACGGATCTGGTAATAGTCAAGACGCGGTCTTTCAGTAAATAAGTTGTTTTGATAGCTGAGGATCATAAGGTTTACTTGTAGTGCTATGGAAATGTGTACAAATAGTGCCCGGATTATCGCATCTTATGAAGGGCCACGGGTGACCCATGGTGAGCCTCAGCCTGCAAAAGACATACAGAAAAGCACATTCTTCCCCTTTGAAAATATTCCCTGCACACACATAAATCGGATTGAAATTTAACGCATCCGGCAGAGCGAGGCAACTTTACGAGTGTGTGACCTAGAAAACACCCAGCAGCCCCAGTGAGCTTAGTATGGTCGCGAGAAGCAGGCAGACATGAGGCAACCTGGCCTGACTACCCTTGCTAACTTTCGCTGTCGGAGTGCTCGTGGAACCGTCGCTGCTGGTACTGTTACCGGCAATCTCTGTCTCAGCTGATGGAGAGATAATGATGAAATCCTGCACCACTGCTGTGCCATCCTCCAATGCTTCCAACTGTGTGTTCGTGCATGACTTTGGCGCCTGGTACAAGAAGCAAATTGGGGCAACACCCTCAAGCAGCTTGTTCTTGACGTGAAAGATGTTTGATGGTCCCTTGCTGCTGTAGGACTCCCCGGCACCGATCTTGACCTTGCCTGTGGCAATGTCCAGACCAAAGGTCGACCGCTTGAAGATCCGATATACGGTTTCGGGTTGATACGATGTGACAGCGTGCCCAGCTTCGAAAACACGCGAGAAGGAGACGTTTCCGTTCTGCCTCACCATACCTCCGATATAGCTGGAGTTGGTATCGATATTGGCGTATCCAGCGGATCGGAAAGCAGGAGCTTCAGGATATTCCATAGCTAGACTGACATTTTCCACACCGAGCCCTAGACATGTCACAATCAGTAAATGAAAAAGAAGGGATATACACAGGCTAGAACCCACAGTTGCATCGATAATCACGATCTCCATATACTAGAGCGAGATTCACACCAGCAGACAGAAGATAGTTCAAATCGGCCACAGTGCCAACCATGGGATCGCCGGTTATGAATAGCAAGTCCATGGGGATTGTGTTTCCACTCAGTGTGAAATTGAGCGACACGCCAAGCGCCTCTTGGACCCATCGTTGATTGTAAAAGGCCGTAGGATAGTCTGGCGGAACAACGGCGGTGTTCTGGATAGCGAGGTCAAATGGACTCCTGGAGGATGCAGCTGTGTAGGCTCCCTGAACGACACCAAAGCAAAGTTCTGTAGCCGCCACACATGCAGTATTGACTTGCATGTCAATTCCCAGCTGTTCAGGGTCCTTTTTGGTTTGTAGGGCTCGACATTGATCAATTAAATCATAGCACCCGCCTTCCATGGTGATGTTGTTCATGGCCATTTCATATGCCTCTTTCGAAATGGCTTGAACACCGTAGGTGTTGTTGTACGCATACTCCGGATATGCCATGATCTGGATCTTGGAGTCAATGCAACCGTTTGTGATGCCAAGTGTGCCCAAGTGGAACTTCTTTGCATGCGCGTCATTGATTGTACCGTTTTCGATTTTCTCATTCTGCTTCTGAAAATATGCCATGGTAGCGGGCGCGAAGAATCCCGAGTACTGGGTGAACTAGTGTTAGCCAATTGAAGTCTCTGATTGCAAGTACATACCGAGTAAGACCAGAAGTTGATTTCGTCGTTTGTTGTGCTGTACTCTGGAAACTCTTGGAACCAGACTTGAGAAATTTGCCAAATCTGTCGAGCAACCAGTCCTGTGGTATTCGCAGTGTGATGCGGGCTCGTGCTAGAAAAGGTGGCTGCAACGGATGTCAAGTTCGTTTGAACGTGATCGGCACCTTTCGAGGCAGGTGTAAAGTCGTTAGATACCAAATCAAATGTGCCATTCTGGAGGTTTGTGTACGAGAACCCTGTTTGAACTGGGACGTCGAGGTATAGGATATTAACATCATTGTTCCAGGACCACGGATTGAGGAGGGTGCTGTTAGAGTCGGCGTTTATAGTGCATGGAAAGCCGCTTGCGCCGTCCAAGAAGCTTTCACCTGGGCCTCCCGGGATGAAGATGGTAGTCGGGGCATGGGCAGTGTTATTCCTGGATTCTTATCATGGATTAGCACACAGATTTCCCATGACGACTCTCGCGAGGATACTCACGGAAGTACCAAAAAAAGATGCTCGCGTTGTACGTCTTGTCAATGCTCGGGACAGTGACGAACCCGCTGTACGCCTTCACTCCTGGAGTTGTTTCGCAGATGCTTGTCTGGCAGATATTAGCAGTGTCGCGATGGAGGATTAGAAGTGATAAACCTCTTTATATGAGATGGATGAGTCGGGATAATTACGTGACTGAAGCTGTGTCACATCGTCGGGCAACGGAACGAATGTTCCGCTTGCGGCAGAAGCAATTGCGGGGAAAACCAGCAAGGCCAGAATTGACAACATTGTGGCGATACGTTAAAGGCACGAATCTTGGAACTCAAATGATTTGATACACCTCGAAGCATTTTTTTTTTCCCCTTGAGGATTTCTCTCAATTTATACAATGGTCATTGTGACGAAAAGTAGAATCGGCGCCTGATCAATTACGCCGCTCATCTCGCCAAACAATTTAATTGGCCGTGTCGTCTATTGTTCTTCTTGCATAACGACAGGGTGACGACAGTGTGAGCATTATAGGGCGCACGGGCAAAAGACACAATAGCAAGCCGCCAAGCCCCTAAACTTTTTCTTCTTTTCTAGTGGAAGTTATACGGGGGAGGGTCAAACATTTCCTTTTTCTAGTGGAGGTTATACGGGGGAGGATCAAACATTTAGCAAGCTAACCAACCATGGCTTCGCATTTCTACACCGCCCCATCCAGCTCGCCAAACGCCAGGTTTCAAGCCTCACAAGCAGTGTTCATTGATATGCTCGCCATTCCGGAACGCAAATGCCGTTTCCCTCCGTCCGAATACGGGGGGCTTGGACTAGGGCGTCGAGTTTATGAGGCTGTGTATTGTACGGGGATGGGAAAAGGGCGACTGGATGAGGATCGTGCATTGTTGGGTAGAGTCACCCATCCCCGAGTAGTTTGACTGTAGCCTCTCGGTATAGAGATATGAGGCGGCTTGATTTAATTCGAAAAAACTGTGGATTTCCTGGCAGCTCCACATTGCAAGCTAGACTGTCTCTAAACTACAGAATTAGTAAACAGGCATAGGGAAGGCATCCAGATCGTAGTGCCAGTTATCGATAGACTTCTGGTCATAGACACAGTTCATCTTCTTCCCTCCGTTGGTCCACAAAGGCCGAAGAGGCCATCCACAAATCTGCTGATTGGTTCCCTTATCCTTGCCCTGCAGCACAGTAGCATTCAGCGTCTTGGGATCCACACCCCTCTCAACCCAGTCAATCATGACAGCCAAGTTAGTCTGTGGCCACGGTCCATTGGGCTCGTAGGCGTTGGTCGAACAGTGCGAGCCTCCCGGGACTAAGAAGAGGCGGTAAAATTCATCCATGGCTGCGGCACCCTCCTTGTAGCTCAGGTTTGGGTAGAGAACGGACCGGACAGACTCCCAATACCGGACCGAAGAGGCCGTGGGAATGCTAAAGTCGGATTCTCCATGGTAATGCAAGATTTTAGCTCCAGAGTCGCGGTAGCGGCTTAGGTCAGGCCAGTTGGTCATGAGTACATCATTATACTGATTCCAGCCATCCCAGATCCAGTCTCGCAGGGTGTCATAGGTGACGCCGTCCAAGTTGGGCATGTTGTAACTAGAGACTTTCAAAAGTTTGAGCAATGTCTCGACAAAAGTTCCACCCAGCCCAGTCGGCGTCATGGTCCAGGATTGGGTAGCTTTGTTCCAGGTCGTCTGGGCATCAGTCCAGGTGCTAGACTGAGTGTATGTGAAATAAGCGCGCTTCCCGTCACTGGTGTGAAGGCCTTCGAGGATCTTTTTGGCCACTTTGATGGCCTTGGCCGACACCTTGCCAGATTGAGCGGGGGTACTGGAAGTTGCGGCGCACGAGTACGACGTGCCCAGGGTGGAATCGATGTCGAAATGGAAGTTGCACAGGTCATTGCGGGAAACGACGCCATCTTCTCGGCCATCGAGCGCGTCACAGGCCTTGATGGTGGCATTCATGATGGCAAGGAGCTCACAAGGAGGTGGATAGTAGCCCATTGTTTGCTCGACGACGCCTGCGTATAGGTGCTGCACTTGCTGGAAAGCGAAGCGGAATGCGGGAGCGCCGATAACGGCACCGTCAAGATCCGTAAAGCGCTGGACCTGGCTCCAGCCCTCGCGACCACCCTCAGAGCAGCCCTGATAGTATGAGTAGAGCTTGTCATCGGCAGTCATGTTGTAGAACAGTTTGGCGAATGCCTTGCCGACGAGGATTTGGTCGTGGATTGCCTTGTACCCAAAGGCGTATATCTTGGTCCAGTCTTGAGTTCCATTGGCATCCAGGAACTGAGGAAGGACATTGGAAGCATCCGCGCCAAAGCCACCATCAGTAAGCGTTGTAGCGGCACCGTACATGACGCCGCCTGGAAGGGATTGAGACCCCATGATGGCGTAGCCGCCACCGCCGGTAGCAAGGTAGCGGTTCTTGAAGTCCCGGGGAGCCGGAAGCCACGCGGTCAACTTGACCGTGTCGTCGTCGCGACCGTCATGCGAAAAGGTTAGAGTCACGTTGCAGTAGTCGAAGTTGGCGTCCGGATACATGACATTTCCAGAAACGGAAGCATTCGTGACTGCATTGGCCGTTACTGCAGAGCTGTCGAAGCTGAGGCCGTTGTAGAAGCCATCTTTGGGAAGGTGAGCTGCTACGTATTCCTTGGTGCAGACATTGCCCAGGGAGGGCGTTGAGCGACGCACCGTGGCAGCAGATGCCGAGGAAAATAATGCCGTAGCGGCAATACCGAAAACAAAAGATGCCATACTCGGGTCTCAAGCTGTACCACGTCAAGACAAGACAACAAAGGATTTGAGTGAGCTTGTTGGGATTGAGTCAAGTACAATGGGGTTCGTTGACTGGTTTATATATCTTCTTTAAACGTGTTCATGTCGACACAGTTGGGACCTTCGACGTTAAGCCGCGACGACTGAACAAAGTCAAGAGTAGCCAGTTCGCCTTGCCCTCTAGTTTTCTCCAATCGGCTCTAGATGAGCCGTTGTCACCTAGCCGTTGGGACTCCCTGCCTTGGATAGTGTGATCTAAATGCCCACACCAGGTAAATAGTGTCAACCACCCTACGCCACAGCAGCGCGAATGACCAGCCAAACTCGAGCTGTATTCCGGGGTTATTTGCACTTGGCCCCACCAAATGCCGAAGCCCCGCCATCTGGAAGCCGTATTTGGGAGGCCACGGCGGCTGGATAAAGTCAAGATCGGCCGGCTCGGCTTTACTCCTGGGGTTGAAGCTGGGGTGCAGATCTGATCAATTGTCTTCTCCAATCGGCTCTCGATGAGCCGTCATTCCCGGACCTTAGGACTCCCTATCTTGGTTAGTGATGTTGAAGTATCCCCACCATTCGAAATAGGCCAACTACCCCGCGTTAGGGGAGCGTGAACGAGCAACCAAACTCAAGCCGAGTTCCGGAGTAAATAGTTTGCAGCTCAGCGATGTGGGGGCTAAGCCAGGAATGACAATATTGCTGTTCAATAAGAGAGCTAAAATCACATGCCAAAAGTATTGAAAATCCACCAACTTCACACTATGTCTGTCCAGTGCCGGCTGGTAAACAGATATAATTGGATATACTAATTTCTGATCGAAGTGAGACGGAAATCCCGGTTAAAGGTGGTCGTGGCGCGAAAGTTCTAGGGTAACGAAATCTCTTAGTCGTTGATGCGGTCTGCATGAATGAGTTAACGACGCGGAGGGCGCTCTAAGTTTTCGCACCTTCGATGTGGCGATCCAGGACAACTACCAGAGATGGCATGTGTACGGTGATATACTTCTATTATCCTTGTCGCCCGTCCTTATCTCTATCTTCTTCGTCATCCTCTGCACATAATGCACGTGAGTCTTGATGATTGTTCACAGCACCAATGACCTCGATGATCAAACAAGAATAAGTCTCATGAAATCTGACTAAACCTTAAATAAATACAGACACAGGGCTTATCAAATAACATATCTTCTTCTATTTAGCTTGCTTATATAATATTTTCCTTCAATATAGGGTTAGCTAGACTTTGTACCCGTGATGCGTTGATGAGGTTATTACATATCCGTAGAAACGTCACAGTCACGGAAGTAAAACAGACTTATCGCCGGCTTTCGTGACTGTCACATCCTACCTACCCTATGTTGTTTACCGGAACATCATATCCAGCTTCTCATTACTCTTGAACACGCTCGTCAACAGCAGCTATTCATTCGTGGTATATTTGTTCCAGGGCCGCCTTTGGACCTACTACTTGATCGCCCTGGATAGATTCCGTCTCTCCAATCCATGTGGACCTTGTTTTCTCGTCTACATCAACTAGGGAAAGCGTAACAAGGAAGCACCACCTTCCAGTATGCCGTCAAAAATCCGATAGCGAATTGTGTGAGTAGCTGGATCACATCCTTCCAAGCGCTCTCGGACAGGCTTGGCCTGACCCTTGAAGGCCGATTTTCTGTCGAGCCATAAAGTCCGATAGGCCCCACACCGTAGCCTTCTAGCGATGACGTGACGACGCTGGGGAACCGAAGGGCCTCGCATCCGAATGACCACGCGATATCCCAAACGCGGCTAATTGAGACATTGATGATTCTGGAGACTTTCGCGACCTTTATGATATCCATTTTGGCAGTTGTCTCTGAGGTTAAGAGAAGTCCGAAAAACGCGAAAATCAGCGTGAAAGCCGTTTAATTTGCGGAACGTGTTGAATGCTAAGTATTTTGTAGCGCAGCGAAGTGGAATTTAGGGCGTGAAATTGGGTACCCATGGGCACCCACAAGCGCTATTTTTCCCCCAATGGATACGTACTCGTAGGGTAGGTAGCTAAAAATGGAAAGGTGCTACAGGGTAGGTATAATTTTATTAAATATAAAGATAATAAATTGTATTTAAAATAGTACAGAATAAAATAAAATATGGTGAGAAGGTTCTTAAGATAGGTATCTATAGAATATTAAGTAATCTTTTTTATTATATTTAATTTGTAAATTGCCGTTTAGTAATAGGCTGCATAAGCTCCAAACCCTGTATTTCAACACACCACTACTCGCAAGCTTAGAATGCGCACCTAGCCCGTAAGCACCCAAAGGCATTTACAGCCCTAAAGTAAATCGCATTTAGCAGTCTCAGGAGTGTCAAATGTAGTAGCATTTCGATGACTGTATCCGGCCTTATCGGCCCGATATGTGGACGGGATGTTCGGATTCGGACTGGAGATTCTATAAGTCCGACCATATGTTGACAGCCCTTCTTGTCCGAGGCTTGGAGAAAAGGGATTCTCTCGGAAAACGGGTCTCACGGATCCCGAGACGCTCGGAGTTGTCGTAGCGCTAACTCGAAGTAGCCTGCGCTGGTACGTCTGAGTAATTCTTGGCCCGCTAGATGCTGGTTTCTTAATCAAATTGAGTACCCTGTCATAGACCGGCGATATTGCCAGATTGAGAGGGGAAACTGGATGATAAACGCAAGCTGGATGCGGCGGATATTCCCTTTTGCCTGTTACTGGACCAGAAGGGGTTTGGCACCATAAAAGTTGACCAGACCGCTACCCGCGACCGTTTTATGGAAATGCTGGGCAATTCCCATTGTAACACCGACTACTTCTTGCATTTTTTGCCTTGATAGTCTGGCTGAATAATCTTGGATCTGCCGAGGTATGCCTAATCGCGAGTACGATGCAAGTCATTGGGTCCTGCGTGATCAACACGCCTCAGCCGATATCACTGTATATGATGGCTCCATAAAATAGCCAATCTCCGCGACCTTATGAATACAATCAGATATGAATGTGCCACCGTGTTCTTGTCATGTAAGGGGGACTCCTGATGAGCTGAGGACAGTTATCTACGCCATCTGCATACACTTCGGATAGGCAATGTCACACGAATGATGACCCCCGTTTGTTCCTCACCGCCCACGGACATCTGCGTCGAGATATTGGAACAAAGCATTATAGCAAGGTAGAATCATGGGTTTGGTAGGAATAGTTGGAATCTTCGGTTGATAACTAGAGGGCCCGCTCAATAGCCAACATCAGCTCTTTAAAACATTGCTCAAGCCAGCCCCTCTCCTACCAAGTCATTAAAACATGAACTGTCGCTTCTCATCCTTCCTGATAGGTATGTTAAACAACCACACGCCCCTACCTCCCTAGAGCTAGAGGGAGACTCCCGTCCTTTCTTCCCATCTGGCATGAATAGCTCTATTCAGTTCATAAAGCGTCCGCACCAGGGGCAAAATGTCTTCATCCATTTTTGATATAGTACTCATGCTCTCAGCAACCTGCTCCAGCAACTTTATGTCGGTCTCTGCTGTAGAGCCAGGCTCTCGAGGGTCGCTCTGAAAGAGATGTCTGGCTAAATAGCCGTATGCAATACAGCAGCGGAATGCGCCAAACACGTTGCACGCGGCTGCCGGGCTCGGATACCTTCCTAGGCTAAGTCGAACGAGATCCATGACACGGCGTGCGATATGAACCGATAAAAGAGTGGTAGACGCATCCTCACTCACTCGACGTGCTCCAGAATGGTCAGATGGAAAGTTGGCTATTTTGTGTACCATCATCATCATAGCGCAGTATCCCGTGGCTAATAGGTCGTATAGCATCCACCAGTAAGCGTGGACTTCCTCGTGTTTTGTCATTGAGTCTCTCTGTTTGTGGTATGACCGGTTAGTCAAATCGGATTTCTCAGGCGTAACCAATGTATTCTTCTTCGACGAGGGAATAGGAAGAGGGCAGGAATAGGAGACAAACTCACCACGGACCATTCTTCGAATAAATCTTCTATCTCTGTACAAAGTCCCGTAACATGTTTGATCGTACTGTTCTTGTCTTTTCTGTCTTGATCAAATATCTCAAAGAAACGAAGGAGAAGAAAAGTCAGTCGCGACTTTACGATGAACACTAGTGTAGGAACCACATGTTCCGTCGATTCAGGGTTTGCAGATAGCCAGGGCAGATTGACGCGCCATTCAGTCAAGTTGGCGGTCATAATGGCAGGTTTATCGTGTAGCAGCCGGAAGAACAGGTCCACTAACACCAACGCCCAAAGCCCCTGCCTGTGGTGGTCTGGCTCATCTGAAAGAAGCTCGGGGTTCATCAGCGTATTGGAAAGACTCTGATCAATGTTGTGCATGTTCAGCGTTTGTACGCACTGGCATACAATCTTATACATATCCCAGCTACGTTTGAAGTCACACTGTTGAAAAGAGGCTCGCATCTGGAAATAAATAGTTAGTGGACTTGATATCTGTTTAGAGAAAGGGTTCATATCTTCGAGGTTACATACGACAAGAATGGCAGTGATTAGATCTGTCTTGGTTCCTGCAATTTGTCTCTGCCACGACGGTACGATACGTAGACAACAACGATACATTCTGTCAGGTATGCCGTTCCCTCGTTCCGCCATTACGGCTGGAGCCGGTAAGGACCCGTGGTAGAGGATACTGTAGTAGAGAACAAGCGCAGCTGGGTCGATACTGATCTCCGGTATGTCGACAATGTCTGGAATCAGCTGCATAAGCTTGACATTGATAAATCCCGGGAATGTGTCGATCTTGTAGTGCTTGAAAAAGTCTATGTATTTTGTCAATCGAGGCCAACCGGGCTTCAGCACCAGAGTGAGTAATGAAAGAAGCTAGTGGGCTGAGATGGTCAAGTCCTTACTTGCAATGAAGGCTTTGGAAAGCTCTGGCGGGATAGAGCTGTCCAGATATGTAGTCTCTTTGCTGAAGCTTTGCCGTTTGAGATCTAGAACTTGTTCTAGGGCTTGTTTGAGGAGGGTTGGTACGTTCGCAGGTGTAGCTGGACAATGGGTTGAGCAACTGGAGTTTGGCTCTTCTGCGATGGTCTCGGTCTCGGTCTCGGTTCTCGATGTCCAAGATATCGTGGACTGCGCGCCAGGTGACTGTGTTGACAGCAGCGGAGGAACACTACAGTGAATTCCGAAGCCAGGAGTGTCGGTGGCGATAGATCCCCTCCGGGACCCAGCCGGCGGTGATGCAGTCATGAGTCGGGAGCATTCTGTCTCGATCTGTTGCAGTCTCTCGAAAAGAGCTGATCGATGACTGCTTCTGACAAGAGAGGTTAGATGTGCAATCAATGGCGGCCGCTTAAAGACGGCGCAAGCCTCCGTGAACAGGCCAGCTAGCGGAAGAAACTACATGGAGAATGGCACATACGCCTGTTGGGACTGTAGCGTAGTGGCGCTTGACTTTTTCCTTTTCCGCCGATCAGGATAGACACATGTTAGATGTCGAGCGAAGCATCCATCGCAGGTCGGCTTTATACGATTGCAGCGATTCTGGTGTTGTTGTTGTAAGCTGATGATCAAATCCATATGCGGCCGCGTCACTGAATGACCAATAGCGGATGCCGTTGGCCAAGGTGGGGATGAGAGGCAGGGAGGTCAGTTCTTACCTTTCGAGCCTTGCAGCCGAGACACTGTTTGGTAATTGCGTCAGAATGCCAAGTGTTTGCGGAGGAGAGATGGATGATAAGGGAAAGGAGAACTCTAGACCGGGGATTGAGTCCCGTCAAACTTACCGCCAGCCCATTCAGATCCTGGCTCGCTTGCTTGATGGGGTCCATAGAGGAGTAGTGCTAGAGAGAGCTTTAGAGTCGGGCTTCAAGAAAAGTCCACGGGGTTTCGGTTTCGTATTGGGAAGCACACGGATGAGGAATAGAAGGGCAATCGGACCCAGGAGATTATCAATGCTTTTGAGGCAGTGTAAGGCATCGCTTAGGCATAAGGCTCGCTCTCCGGGATCCGATGGGCTTGAAAGTGACTGGGGTTGTCTTGTAGGGCCTAAAAACTTTAGCTGAATAATGCCGCTCTTCTTTATTTGCCGAGATGCGATGACGGCATGAGGAATGGGTTTCACGATGCCTAAAGCCGTAAACTTCTAGAACAATGAGCGTCTATTTTCAAGTCCTTCCTGCTTTTTCCCCCGATCGGTCTCCGGCGCGCTCCAACAGTGAGTCGTCGGGTCGGTCTTCGCGCTTCGGAGGGCGGACAAGTTGAAAAGTCCATCCGGGGGAATTTGCAAGGATGGAGTGGAGACTGATGTGATAACCTTCGCGGAACGAGGCCGGGGTATTCATTGGATGAAGTCTTGATATCGAGATGCCCGTCGAAGCCGAAAGTCCGTCCCACATTTATATGCCCGTCCCACAGTCGCAATGCCGTCCCACAAATATAACCCCGTCCCACAATTGCCGGCGTGGCAAATGAGCAAGTCTCGACGCGTTCCGGATTCTGGTGTTGTGATATGATGGTGGCGTAGAGGTTTGTATATCTTAAGGGCGTCTCGCTCGCCTTGTTAGAGTCACCGATTCTGGCAAGCTCAACGACCAGATGGGAGCCGAACGTGTATAATCCGACTTTTCCAGTCACTCTCATTCAATTTCCAATTTTCATAAACTTCCTTTCACTCCGGCTGCGCAGTTTACTTTCGTCAAATCTCGAGCGACACGATACGTGGCGAAGACGAGATGGATTCCAAGGCGGAGAAGCCAACCTCTGCCCGAGGGTCGTACAATTCCTCAATCACCAACATTGACAACCCGAACCAGACGAACGTCATCGACAAGGGAGAAGAACAGGTACACGATGAGGTCCTTCAACTCGCCAGGAGGTTGACTACTCAATCCCAGCAAGGTGGTTCAGCATCCCTTTTTCCTCTCGCTGGAGACGGACCGTTAGATCCCAACAGTCCAAAGTTCAACGCGAAGAAATGGGCCAAGGCATTCTTCAAAGCCAGGACGGAGTCGCTCGGAGGCACTCCACCCAAGACCACCGGCGTTGCTTTCAAGAACCTCAACGTCTACGGCTTTGGCTCGGATACCGACTTCCAGAAGAGCGTGGGCAACATCTTCTTGGATGCTGGCACATTGGCGAAGAAGCTGCTCAACAGAAGCCAGAAACGTGTTGATATCTTGCACGATCTGGAGGGCGTTGTGCACAGTGGAGAGATGCTTTGCGTGCTGGGCCCTCCCGGCTCAGGCTGTTCGACCTTCCTCAAGACCATCGCTGGCGACACCCATGGGTTCCATATCGAATCGAAGTCTACAGTGAATTACCAAGGCATCCATCCCGAGCAGATCCAAACCGCATTCCGAGGCGAAGCCATATACACTGCAGAGGTCGATCACCATTTTCCACAACTTACGGTTGGTGATACCCTCTACTTTGCGGCTGCCGCCCGATGCCCTAAGAACATCCCTGCTGGAATCAATCGGAAGGAATATATCGGGCATCTCCGGGACGTGATTATGGCCATGTTCGGCATATCACACACCAAGAATACCCGCGTTGGTAATGACTTTGTTCGAGGTGTCAGCGGAGGCGAGAGGAAGCGAGTTACAATTGCCGAAGCTTCGCTAAGCTATTCCCCATTGCAATGCTGGGATAATAGCACCAGAGGTCTCGATAGTGCAAACGCAGTGGAGTTTTGCCGCACACTGAGGACCCAGGCCGATGTTATGGGTTGCACTTCATTCGTTGCCATCTATCAAGCACCTCAGGATGCCTATGATGTGAGTAGACAGAAGCATTCCCTATTTACGAACCTATGCTAATACTTTGAAAGCTTTTCGAAAAGGTTCTTGTCTTGTACAAAGGCCGACAGATCTTCTTTGGCAAAGCTGGCAGGGCCAAGGAATACTTCGAGGAGCTTGGCTTTGTCTGCCCAGAGCAACAAACCACCGCCGATTTCCTGACGTCCATGACAAGTCCGTCGGAACGAATCGTTCGCCCTGGGTGGGACGACAAAACACCTCGAAGCCCAGAAGAATTTGCCCAGATGTGGAAACAGAGCCGTGATCGAGAACTGCTGATGGAAGAAATTGAGGATTATGTCGTCCGACATCCTTTCCACGGAGAACACTACGACAAATTCCTTGAGTCGCGACGGATGGATCAGTCCTCTGCTCAACGCGTCAAGTCGCCATTCACCTTGTCGTATCTGCAGCAGATGAATCTGACCATGGGGCGAAGCTTCTTGATGCTCCGGACAGACCCGAGTCTGACTATCACCATGCTCGTCACCAACCTCCTTCAGGCAATCATCATTAGCAGCATTTTCTACAACTTGCCCGGGACAACATCATCCTTGCAGAGTCGCGCCGTCCTCTTGTTCTTCCTCATCCTGATGAATGCATTCAGTAGCATCTTGGAGATCATCAATCTTTATGCTAAACGCAAGATCATCGAGAAACATGCTAGGTACGCGCTCTATCACCCAAGCGCCGAGGCTCTTTCTTCAATGGTCGTGGATCTACCTTATAAGATTGTGAATTCGTTATTTACGAATATCGCAATGTATTTCATGGGAAATCTACGCCGGGAACCAGGAGCATTTTTCTTTTTCCTGCTTATAATCTTCTCGACCACTCTCACCATGTCGATGCTCTTCCGGTTGATTGGATCTGTCACAAAATCCATTGCTCAGGCGATGGCACCATCTGCCATTATCCTGCTTTGCTTGATCCTGTACACCGGTTTCACTATTCCAGTGCAGTATATGCGAAGTTGGATCAGCTGGGCTCGCTGGGCTAACCCTCTATTCTACGGTCTTGAGTCCGTCATGCTCAACGAATTCGTCGGTAGAGACTTCGACTGTTCCACCTACATCCCGTCTGGTATAGGATACGACAACGTCTCACCAGCCGGCAGAGCATGCGCCACGCAAGGATCTGTCCCTGGGCAAGCTACCGTTAGCGGCACCGCGTATCTCAAAACTGCTTATGGGTACGAAAACGCCCATAGATGGCGCAACTTCGGCGTCATGATCGCCTTCATGATTCTTTACGCAGTACTGCACCTTGTGGCCACGGAGTATGTTGCATCGGAGCGTTCCAAAGGAGAGGTGCTGGTGTACGTTCGCAAAGCGTTGAAGAACCTCAAGAAGTCAGCTGGTGATCTCGAGAGCGGTCCAGTTACTTCAACCCATCAACAAACCTCTGACGGTAACACCTCAGGTGCTGAAGTCGAAAAACAGACCTCTATCTTCCACTGGAGGAATGTCTGTTATGACATCAAGATCAAGGGAGAGCCTCGTACAATCTTGGATCACGTTGATGGCTGGGTGAAGCCAGGTACTCTCACGGCGCTAATGGTAAGAAATTGCAAATATCCTGTTGAGTACACTTTCACTGATCAATAAACACAGGGTTCTTCTGGCGCTGGTAAGACTACTCTTCTCGACGTTCTTGCTAGTCGTGTCACTATGGGTGTTGTCACAGGCGACATGCTTGTTAACGGCAAGCTACGGGATGAGTCCTTCCAACGGAAAACTGGCTACGTGCAGCAGCAAGATCTCCATCTTCCCACCTCGACTGTTCGCGAAGCTCTTGCTTTCAGTGCCCTACTTCGGCAACCGCCGAAATATAGCCGCCAGGAAAAGCTCGATTATGTGGAGACAGTTATTGGTCTTCTTAATATGGAGGAATATGCCGATGCTGTTATTGGCGTGCCTGGTGAAGGCCTCAATGTTGAGCAGCGCAAGCGACTGACAATTGGTGTCGAACTTGCCGCTCGTCCTCAGCTTCTTCTCTTCTTCGATGAGCCTACTTCAGGCTTGGACAGTCAGACATCATGGTCTATCTGCAACCTGATGGAGAAGTTGACCAAGAATGGTCAAGCTATCCTGTGCACTATCCATCAACCGTCTGCTATGCTATTCGACAGGTTCGATCGTCTTTTGCTCTTATCCAAGGGTAAAACCATCTATTTCGGCGACATTGGCAAGAATTCGAAAGTTCTCGTTGACTACTTCACGCGCAACGGAGCCCACGACCTTCCCGCAAAGTCAAACCCAGCCGAGTACATGCTGGAAGTAATTGGTGCAGCCCCTGGAGCCACTACGGAAATCGATTGGCCAGAGGTCTGGCGAAGCAGTTCTGAGTATCAACAGGTTCAGAAGGAGCTCGAAGGGCTTGCAACCTCGGCCAATTCCGAGCAGCCGAACGAGGATCCTTCGATGTACAAGGAGTTTGCCGCATCTTCTATCGAGCAGCATCGACAGGTGACCAAGAGAGTCTTTGAACAGTACTGGCGAAGCCCTGGATATATCTACTCGAAATTGCTTCTATCAATCGGCACGGTAAGAATTCACCAGCAGGAAATTTACTTAGACAGACTTGGTTGCTAACTATTACAGTCATTGTTTACTGGCTTGTCGTTCTTGAACGGCGATAATACCCAGCGCGGACTTCTGAACCAAATGTTCGGCGTTTTCATTTTTCTCAGCATTTTCCCACAACTGATCAATCAGATCATGCCCGTTTTCGCCAATCAGCGTACCATGTATGAGGCTCGTGAGCGTCCCTCCAAGGCCTACTCTTGGAAGGCGTTTATGAGTGCCAATATTGTCGTTGAGCTTGCTTGGAACTCGGTAAGTAAACTCGCCATTGATACTGAAGGAGTATAGCTAACTTGATGGCAGCTCATGTCCGTGTTCTGTTACGTCTGCTGGTACTTCCCTATCGGTCTCTATAGGAATGCGAGATGGACCGACAGTGTCGATTCACGAGGCATGACAATGTTCTTGCAACTTTGGATATTCTTCATGTTCGCCAGCACGTTTGCACACCTGATGATTGCAGGAGTTCCAACCGCCGACATAGCTGGAGGCATTATGAACCTCTTTTTGATCATGATGTTCACATTCTGCGGGTAAGCTCCCATCTGCCAGAAGAAGGAAGATTGAAAATCAAACCATGAACGACGACTAACATTGCTTTTAGTGTTCTCGCTGGACCGGACGCCCTCCCTGGCTTCTGGATCTTCATGTACCGCGTCAATCCTTTCACTTACATCATCGAGAGTTTCCTGGGTACATCACTAGGCAATGCTCCCATGTACTGCAACACTAACGAGTTCATCCGCTTCGCTGCCCCGAACGGTACGACTTGCGGAGAGTACACTGCCGACTACATATCCAGAGAAGGAGGTTACTTGGCCAAATCAGACGCTACGGACTGCCAGTACTGTGCAATGTCTAATACCAACGAATTCTTGGCTAGTGTGAATGTCAGCTTTGACCACAGATGGAGAAACTTTGGGTTCATGTGGGTCTACTGCATTTTCAACATCGCCATGGCGTTGGTGTTTTACTGGCTGGCAAGAGTTCCGAAGACCAAGAAGGCAAAGAGAGAATAGGAGTGACAAGAGCGGTGAAGGTGTCTCTCTCGGAAGAACAAGAATGCAAGGAGAGACGATAGGAGTTACCCGCTGTGAACGTCAGTGTCGGCACGTTTGATCCGGCGGATGGCTCCGGGGAAGCTAGGAGCAGTGAAGGTGTATCTCGCCTAAGACAAGAGGCAAAGATTTTATAGACATAGTCGTACATTTCTCCATCTGTAAGTTATTAATATATCAATCATTACTATCTAGACCAACGATATCTCCAATTTGAGATGCATTATACCTCTATCTATCTGTGGAGTTGGCCAGCACATTGTCTTGCCCGAATGTGGGATTGGTTGGATTCTATACCCATATAGCGTCAATAAATTATCATCATTATCACTGCCGTATTGGTGAAGACTGCACTTGAACTTAAATGCCACTTAGAGTATTATTTATGCTGTACAATTGAGATTTGGGCGTTTATTGGATACAGATGTCTCAGGTGTCAGATGTTAGCTCTACAGGCACGGATAGGCGGACGGATGAGCAGGGAAGGGAGGAATTTTCGCCCTACATTTATGAGGAGCAATTCCTCGACTTCCTCCAGTCGTTACAGGGTATTACCAGCGCAGTCAGCCCCGGACTGGGGTTGGGGTTGGCGCGGAACTAGAAGGGAGACTGCACTAAATCAAAGACGGGATCAGGATCTCGCGCGAGATCCGGGTCCGCACCGGCGAAAAGATGTACTTCTTCAAATGGATATTGCGCCTCTCGGGCGACATCCGGGTATACGAGATCCGGAAGACTGAGACTGGCCCAGCTCTTGTCCAGATTTCGGGATCGGGCTCTTTCTATAGGTGTTGGCTGGCTTTCATTCGCACTGCAATGTAGCATCCTAAATATGACTCGCCACCTTTCACTACTAAGCAGGGTGCCGGTGGGAGACTCTCATCGCTAGTTGGGCGGCACTTTACCTCGAGCAAATGCCACTTCCGCAAAACAAGTTCGCCGACACAGAGCCATCCGCCATGGCTCCCGAATCTAGAAATATCGTGCAGTTCATTGCAGACGACCTGGGACTCATGCTCGGATGCTATGGGCTCAAATGCATTCAAACACCAAACATCGACAAGCTTGCGTCGGAGGGATCAATGTTCACCAAGGCCTTCGCGAGCACAGCGTCCTGTAGCGGGAGTCGCTCTACCATCTATACCGGGCTTCACACTCATCAGAACGGCCAATATGGTCTCAATCACGGATGGAACCACTTTCAAACCCATGATCACATCGAAACAGCGCCACAGATATTCAATGCCTTGGGATACCAAACTGGCATCATCGGAAAAGTGCACGTTGGTCCACCGTCCGCATACCCGTGGGAATGGTACGCGCCTAGTGAGAGCCGCGATGTGCGAACCAGCGCCGCTCAAGCAGCGCAGTTCATGGATGACGCAACCGAAACTTGTCGGCCTTTCCACCTCACCATTGGCTTTCGCGATCCCCATCGGGATGCGACAAGGGGAGGCTTTGGAAATGATGATGAGGATATCCAGGACATTGAGGTTCCGGATTATCAGCCACAGGATGTTGAGATTCCTGATTTTGCGACTGACGTTCCTGAGCTAAGAACTGAACTGGCCGAGTACTACAAGTCTATTAGCCGAATGGATAAGGGAGTTGGTTTTGTCCTGGATGAACTTGAGAAGCGAAATCTGCACAAGAACACTCTCGTCATCTTCATGAGCGACAATGGTGCTCCATTTGTGAACTCAAAGACGACGCTTTATGATTCTGGAGTTCGACTACCACTGATTGTGCGGAGGCCAGGTGAAGGGACTATTGGTGGCACTGTGAACCCCAACATGGTCTCCTTTCTCGACATCCTGCCTACTTGCATTGATTGGGCTGGATACAAAGATTCTAATGTTAAAACCAACCGCACTGGCAAGTCCCCGGCAAGGTTGGGAAGTTCCTTTCTGCCAATTCTGAACTCTTCTCAGATGGTTTCCGAGACTGAATGGAAGCAACACGTTTTCGGGTCGCACACTTTCCACGAGATCCAAAACTACTGGCCAACACGCTTCATGCGGAACCACAGGTTCAAATACCACCGCAACATTGCCTGGCAGCTCAACTTTCCTTTTGGCACCGACATCTACGGCAGCTTGAGCTGGGAAGGCATCCGCAACAGTGCGCCTTTGACAGACAGCGAGTCGGATACCCCCGAAGTGATGCTTGGAAGACGTCGATTGACAAGCTATTTGTACCGTGGCCCTGAAGAGTTGTTCGATCTGGAGGCAGACCCTGAAGAGATTCACAACCTGGCAGGAGAACCAGAATACGAGGCTCAATTGGTAGAGATGCGGGTGAAGGTAGAGGAGTGGCAGTACCTGACTGACGATGTGTGGCTGTTCAAGGATGGTGTCAGTGCAATAACGAGCCAAGGTTATCAAAATCTCGGGCTGAAGTTGCCTGATAGATTTGACTTTGATACCAGGAGACCCGGCAACGCAGTTGGGCCTCACTGGGCTCCAGTTAAGCGAAAGGAAGCGAGCCAGGACACAACAAAGCTGGGTTGACCTTGGAATAGATATGGTTTCAGACATGTAAACTTTGGTAAAGTAGAGGTGTGAATTTAGATGAAATGGCTAGAGCTTTTTAGATAGCATACAGACAGAAAATTGGCGACCAAGTAAGTAGATAGTAAAATCTGGATATTTTGTTCTCCGTCTTGATCTTGCACTTGCATTAAGCCCACACTTGAGATTGAACCCATGCTGTAAAGGCAGCAACCATCTGCTGCACCGATGCCTGGCACAGAAGAGGCTGGAACCCCCTGACATTAACGAGTCAGCCCAGTCATGACCGCAAGCCTCATAATATTTCTTCCCGTCACCTGGACGAAGTGGCCGACAGCTCAAAGTGGAGACGGGTCGGTATACGGATCTCGCTGTTTAGCGAGACTGGCAACCTCCACGTTTGCAGACTAGACCTTGCCATGGAGAAGCTCGCTAATACGCAATAGTTTAATTGTTCTCCACCTGCTGAGTCTTGCGGAGACTGGGGAACAGGATCCAGTCGGGGGTGGGGGCTTCTTCCATCATCACATACATATATATATAACAAGGGTCGCTCAGGATTGAGTCCATCGTCTTGGAGCTTAGGCGAGCATCTTATCGCGATACTGAACGAACCACAGCGCCCTCAATTTCTCACTCTCCTCGTCAATCGGCCTCGCAAGAATGGTCTTCCTCGGCAAGAAGACGCGGTTCTTCAACCGTCAGCTAGGGACCGCGGATTCGACAACCAGGCTTTCGCCACCACCCAGGCCATGGATGCCTTCGACAAGCAGTTTGGCGAGTACGACGAGGCCAAAGGGACGTACGTCCTCCCACCAGATTGGCTCTCGCTCTTCAACTCCCTCAACTACATTGGTTTTGCCGCTGGTGTCGTTATCGGTTCCTATGTTTCTGCTCAGTGGGGCCGTCGGATGTGCATGTTTGTTATGAGCATCTACGCCCTTGGTACGGCTACTATTGCCGTCACGAGCATGAACAAACATCAGATCATGGCGGCTCGCGTCCTCAACTACGTCTATGTCGGAATGGAATTAGCTGTTGTGCCGGCGTATCAGTCCGAGATTGTACCTGCGCCTGTGAGAGGCTTGATTGTTGGCACATATCAGTTTTCGTTGATTCTTGGCGGTCTCGTCATTAACTGCGTATGTCTCGGTACGAGCCACCTGCCTGATAATCGGTCGTGGAGGATCCCCATTGGGTTGTTCTACTTGATTCCTTCCATCATTGCAGTTGGAGTATGGTTTCTCCCCGAATCACCCCGTTGGCTGCTCCAGAAGGGCAGAGTCGAGGAGGCACGGGAGAACCTGATAAAATTCCGGAGCGGTGCCTTCACCGACGAAGCCATCGACGATGAATTCCGAGAAACCCAGGCTCAACTCGACACCGAAACCGAAAAGGGCCGCTTCTGGGAAGTATTCCACCGAAAGAATCTGAAGCGCACACTCCTCGTGGTGGGCATAAACTTCTTTCAACAAGCTACTGGTCAGCAATTCGCGAGCCAGTTTGGTGCCATCTACGCGAAACAGCTCGGGACTGTAAACCCGTTCGTCTTCAGTCTCATCATCGCCTCTATTAACACTACCGCCATTTGCATCTCCCTTCTTACCAACGACAAGGTTGGCCGCCGCATTCCCTTGCTGCTCAGCTCCACCATCATGTGTATCGGATTGATGGCCATGGGTGGCCTGGGCACTATGGAAATAATCACCAACAATGTCAAGGTTGCCATTGTCAGTATGTTGTGTCTCATGACGTTTGGATTCTCAATTGGTTTGGCTCCATTGTGTTACGTCGTCGCAACCGAGATCCCGGCTCTATCACTTCGAGACGCGACTCTACGATTCGGATTCTGCACCAATGTTCTTTTCAAGTAAGTGAAGCCCTCCTAGTATCTCACGACATTGAATCTGATCATCTCATAACAGCTTCGTTTCCAACTTTATCCTCCCTTACTGCCTGGATGCCATCAGCTCTAAAACCGGCTTTGTGTTTGGTTCCGTCTCATTTCTGAGCATCCTTTTCATATTTTTCTGCGTCCCTGAGTGTAAAGGAAAGACCCTTGAGCAGATTGACAAAATGTTTCAAGACGGTGTGCCTTTGCGCAAATTCGGTAGCTATGAGGTCAACGACTTCTCTACTTCATGCAGGAAAGATGACGTCGAGTGCGCAGAGATAGAGGACAACAAGCCAACTTCCGGATAATGTTATTGAGTTGATATGTAGATAATTGTGTTTATCTGGACCCAAGACATCCATGCCAGAGTGCAGACGATCGATCGTATTCCCACAGCATGAGGTGCAAGGCATAATTTTATCTCACTACAACCCATGGTCTCTTCAACTGTTGATTTTCCTTCACAATTTCCATACTAGAATCCTATTACTTGTGACATCATCCTTGCAGTCCCGCTTTGCGCGTTACACAGTGCGTGTAGCCAAGTGTTGACGCGGAAAGCTGGCAATCTTCCTCTCTATCTAATGTGTATTGTGACTCTTTTTGTCTGATGAAAGATGGTTTTTGTTAAAGAACATCCTGGCTTGAAAATGATATATTTTCATCATTCATTGTTCTTGTTTCTGGCATCGTACTACCAGACATTGAAAAGAGGATAGACGTCAGGTCAGGGTCGTAGTATCCATTAAGCTGAACGTCGAACGGATCCCACGGTATGTACCCCTGTTCCTGCTCCTGCTGGGAATAAAGCTTTGTGTCAAGTACTCCCTGGTCATCAGAAAGCTGAATTGATGAGTTGGAGATGACATTAGTATCAGAGTCAGGAGCCAAATTATCGGTGCTCCCTTGATACGAGGGAACGAGTTCGTGGCCAACCTCCATTTCCTCCTGCATCAAGGTACCCGGATCTCCATTGTCAGCCGGAGCGAGATCCGAGGGCTCGTTGCTTTCCAGTAATGCTGTGGCCTGCTCGTGCAAGTTGTCAATGTAGGACCCTCGCGAATTAGGATGGTTCAAGTTGCGCGCCCAGTGAGCCTTTTCCTTTACACCCAGGCGCGTTGCTATATGGACACTCGATTTTTTTTGTCCAAGTAGCATGACAAGAATCTCTGCTTCCTTCAAAAGGTCAAAACTGCGGGGTGGTGTGTTCCCTTTCTCCATTTGTCTTACCACCTGAAGACCTTCGCTTAGCTTGGCCTTTAGGGAATAGACACTGTCAGGATTCTCCCTAGGCAGCAGGTGAGAGAGGTGATGCAATATCTGGGCAGCTTGATAGATGTTAACCAGTAGTGTGATCTCAAAGGGACCGCAGAATTCGAGGCGATGCATTTTCGACACAAGATGGCACACTCGAGGCGCTGGAGAGGTAAGCTCTCTGGCAATGCATGATATACTCTGGAGGTGTGCAATCGAAAACTTGCTTAGCCACAAACTCACGCATTCCTGGAACGAGGAAACGGTAGAGGTCGCAGTGGCATTGATACCAGAGCGTGTGCAAAGCGATATAGCTGCTTGCATCCCTCGAATGTGTTTTGAGTCTGAGGCACTCGGGGCTGAGTTTGAGGTCGGGTGGGAGCCCCTCCTCGAATCTCGTCAACTCGGACTGAAGCATTTCAAGCTTACTTTTACTTGCGGCTGGATTTTGACCACTTCTAATAACTTGTTTTGTGTACCTGTTCCACGTATTAGCTCCCTCTGGACATCTCTTTCGAGGAACATTCGAGTTTTCAGGGTTGGTTAGCAATCTTACTTTAGAATACGATCGCGTGACACATGCAACTGAAGATAGTATGACAAGATGTCCATGTTATAGCCTTCCGTCTGTAATCCCAGGCCATTCAGGTACTGAGCTCGAGAGGGAATTCCGCGTTCGAAGCTATGGTCGTCACACGGCAGTCGAATATGCACTCGTTCGGTGGGAAAGACAGCCAAGTCCTGGATTCCGCCTGAGAATTGACGGTCTATGAGCCAAATGGCCCAAACCATTCGCCGTCGTGATTCCTGGCCGATTGGCTGCATGCTTGTGAGCTCGTAATTCAGTCTTAGCGTGAATGCCAACCGAGCGGCAAGAGGGAGCAACGCCCAGGCTTCGGCTGTATCTCCAGACTCCAAGCGATAGCGAACAATGAGGATGAGGGCCTGGAGCTGAACTATCGTCATCCTGCCGACTTTGGCGAGAAGACATTGCTGAACATCGGCTAGCCAATTACGCGCCAACGAGAGGCTATCATTGACATTTGAGTCCATCCCGTTGCATAGTAACATGAGACCCAGAGCGCAAAGCGCTTTCAACAAGACCGGATCTATCTTTTCTTGACTCCAATCCGCAAGTATTGATGGTCGGTGTAAAAAGATACACGACATTGGGTTGGAGCGGTCAAAGTAGGCCTCGATGTACTTGCGGGTCGTCACCTTGTCTGCTGGCATTGTGGAGATATCTGCACTGGGCGAGATGGTGTTTGATTGACTATTGGAGTCGGGAGTAGAGCAACTCCAAGCTTGCTGGACGACTGGGAGGTCGAGTTGCCGCGATGAGCTGCTGCTGTCAACGTGTATGCATCGCTGACTCCGAGAGCGACATCTCGAGCAAGGATTCTCGCCCGAGCATTTAATCTTCAGGACTCGACACTGCCGGCACGCCTGTCGCGTTCGTCTCCTTTTCATTCCAGCTTCGGTCAGTGTCGAGTCCCTCGGGCCTATGTCGTCTTGATATTGAGCGTCTGGTGAAAACGAACAGTCCAGCTTGAGGCGAGTGCATGCACCGCAGCAGGGCCCAGATCGATCGCACTTCACCTTCCTTGCGCGGCATTGTCTGCAGGCAGAGCGCTGCCGAGGAGGCGGGCTCGCCACAGCGGATGGGGTATCCAGCTGTGTGGGTTCAGGAGAGTCAGTAGCGGTTTGCGGGGAAATGGCATCGTTCCAGGGTCGACCGCTGGCTATTCCTGACACTGAGCGAGACATTCTCACAGGGGAAGCTGTCCCTATGCAGTGCAGATGGCGAAGTGCAATCAATGGACAAGATCACGGCTCGGCGCGGATGTCGCTTCAGTCTGTCCGGTTGAAGGATTTTGTGTGTGGGGAAGCTTAGATTTATCATGTGCGGGGATTTTATGGGGAAGACTACTGTAGGCTGCTGAGTATTCAGCTAGCTTATATGTTAGTGGACTAACAGTCTTAACTTACCCTATGTTGAAGTAGATAATTTGCAATGTTACTACCTGGAGTCGCGCGTCTTATCGTACGTTCTGTCGTCCATAAATTGGAGTCGTCTATGATCATAGTCAACCAAGGCGGACATTGGGCACTTGAAGAAGAATTCTGATACCTTTAATATCGGTCTACGAGTTGTCATACTAGAACGTATGAGCTGCGTCTGAATTATGACCAGCTTAGCACCGTTGCTGCTTCTCCATTGAGTACGACAGATAGTTGGAACACATGGCTCAGGCGAGGCCCCTTGTGTGTAGTTTAGACCAGGAGTCAATAAAAAATGGAGGAGGAAGAATGACGGGACAGTGGCTCGAGCACCACTGAGAAACTCCTATATGTTGTGAATGGCCGTTACCAGTCCATCATCGGTCTATAGACCACATCCAGCAAGACACGGCGGAAATGAGAGCAAAAATGGGAAAATAAACCGAAAGAAGGGCCGAAAGAAAAGAGAAGAAGAATCATCGAGAAAGCCTTGGCCTCAACGACTAGCGAAACTTTGGGACCTTTCATCAGACAACCCAGAGGAGACGGTATCGCGACATTCTATAGCATAAAAACTTCTGCAAACAACTTTCGGCAACCGGCCAACTTTTATTTACACGCACAAGTTCCCGAATGGCCCGATGCTCGTCAAGCTACTCACTGCGGCGAAGCAATTCTCTACCTCAGAGACGGTAATCCATGATGGTAGGGGATTCGAGAAAAACCTACCCAGAGCTGCTGCATGACATCCAGCAAATATGACGTCTTCTCTACGCGCGATTGCCGTTGGGTGCAGTGAGAGAGGAAGGCATCTTGCGAGAGGGGCATCAGCATGTTTGTATTCTTACCCGGGGCGGTTATGGGTTCATCGTTACATTCTTCGCCGTCTGAGCCATCGGTGGCGCTTGTGTCCCTTTGGGTAAGTGAGTCTTCAAGATCCAGACATGAGGTACATGCTCACCACTACTTCAGCATCTGGTACCATTGCTGCACTCGCACAGTATTTAATCTCGAAGGTCAAGTTGATCTGTACTATCTAGCAATGAACCCAGTGAGAAGGCTGCAGAAAAATGTTATTTAATGAAAGCATCAGGGACGGCGAAATCCTTCGCATCAATTCCTCTTGCCTCCGATGGAAAGCAGCAAGGAATGGTCAAGGTTGAGATCGATGGCGCCTTGCCAATGAATCCAGCCGAACCAGGCTGTGTTTTGTTCACATCTGAGACGACTAGGCGTTTGAAAGGGGTAGCACTTCCTAGGCAAGTTCCTACTGGCTTTCCACCCGCTGATCGCAACTGTAAGACCATCACCTACCGTCCAGCGCACTGGATCGGCGGCATCGCTACTCCAATAGGTTCTGAAAGGGCACGAATGGCAATCCTTTGGCCGTGGGGAGAAACAAATTCTTGGTGTTGACAACATGGTCGGCTGAGAACCCTCAAGACAACACGCCTCCACGCTCGGGTAAGTTTCCAACTGCTGTCTCCATATTTAACCAAAGCGAATCTTAGCTCGGTACCATTGCCCATTAGGGAAGCCGATGCTCGGGAGCGCGAAGCCGAGCCGAGACGCTCAAATCGCGCTAGTGAGCTTCTTCAATTCACATGATCAAGTCGTGCGACGCGAGATCCTTGAGGAAAACTTCCCTTGCTTCGTTTTGTTGCTTCTTTGTTTCTTTGGCGTTCTAAAAAGAAGAAGGAAAATACGACGGACTATTCCCTGTGAAGCCGTGTCTGAGCCAAGGATGTGGCAACATGTTCTATTTCTCAAGTCGCAGCTGCACCTCTTTGCAGACCATCTGCCGTCTATTGAAACTGAGATGGATGCAATGACCAGGTGGTTTGTTCAATAGGACAATTTGATTTGTCTGTGACGAAAAGAATCGTTTGCACGGCGTCACCGTAGCTGGCGGACTCTTGCGGTGTAATACACGTTTGTTTCTTGGACTATCCCACCTCCCTTTTGGACGGCAGACCAGAGTTCAGCCCATGTACCCTCCCAAGAGGGAAGTTCGGGGCGGTGAATCCCTCCCTCCCCACGCCCAATCAAGCTTCGAGTCCATTTCTTTGTGTACACACGTTACTAGAAGTAGTTAATCCAGTACCCCCACCTGGAGTGGCCCCTGGCACCCAGGAGATTAATATCTAGTCGTCCACCCCACGCACTAATCAATCTGTCAAAGAACCCACTAACTTACGTGCCCCACGGTAGGTCAACGTGGACGTGGCCAAGTCTGGGCGACATACTCCGTAGTATAGCAGCTCCAGGGGAGGATAAACTGGTACCATCTAGCCAACGAGATGCTACGGCATACATCACTCTTTTTGACACCCTCAATCCCGGGACGAATGCCAAACTGCGGTGAGCGTCGTCGGTGAGTATCTGGGCTCCGTGACCGAGGTCAACAACGCCACCACAACGTGCTGCCACACCATTTCCGTCCAGCAGGTCGCCCCACCCGTCGGCTCGCATATCAGCAGCCTCAATTATCCACTCAATATTGATCACGAGGAGTGAAAGCCTTTGCTCAACAACCCAACAAGTCACAACACCTGGCACTGAAGCTCGACATAAAGACACGGCCGGCAGGTCTCTGGAATAGGGGAAGTACAATAGAATTCAATTCCAATCTCTTCCATACCTACCTATCTAGGCACCATCACTTTATCTTGAGTGCACGCGATATTTCACACAATTAATCACCATGGTCCACGCCGCTACTCCCCCCGAGGATGTCACCAGGAACTCCTACATCCAGACGCCGGTGTCGGCGCCTCGCCATGACCCCTTCTCTCTCGAAGGCAGAGTCGTGATCATTACTGGCGGCGCAAGGGGTTTGGGTTTAGTCATGGGACAGGGAGTTGTTCACGCTGGTGCTGATTTGGCCATTGTTGATTTGAACTGTGAGTTTGCTCCTGCAACCACCACTCATAAACCATCACTGACCATGGCGTAGACGAAGAAGCCGAGCTGCAGACTCACCAACTGGCGGCAGGATTCAAGAAGGAAAACCCAGGTTCTAGCAGGCAAGTCTGTTGAATTTCTTCCGGGAGTAACCATGTACTGACAGTTCTTTTCAGAATTCCCAAAATAACTGCTCACCGCGCTGATGTTTCGGACCCCGTGTCCGTTGAGGCTTGCATTGCCGAAATTTTGAGCCAACACGGAAAAATCGACGGTCTAGTAACCTCTGCCGGCTTCACTGAGAACTTCGATGCCGTCGACTACCCAGTCGACCGCATGCGCAAGCTTTGGGGAGTCAACGTAGATGGCACATACATGTTTGCGACCAGTGTCGCAAAGCACCTCATGGAACGAAAGGCCTCCGGAAGCATGGTATTTATTGGCAGCATGTCTGGTGCCATCGTCAATGTTCCTCAGCCTCAAACGTCAGTCATCCCTCTCTGTCCATTTCTTTATTTTTCATTTGCGCCGACCGCAATATCTAGTGGTGATTCAGAAAACTAACCCGTTTTCACAGTCCATACAATATTTCCAAAGCAGCCGTTCGACATCTTGCTGCTTCGTTGGCCGTCGAGTGGGCTCATGCTGGTATTCGAGTCAACTGCATCTCTCCCGGTTACATGTTGACTGCCCTGTAAGTTTCTGTCGCTTCGCCATGACCTTGCTTTCGTCAGGTAAATAAGATGGACCCCGCTGACTAACTCCATATAGGACTGAAAAGATTTTGAACGAGAAGCCAGATCTCAAGAATACATGGGTGTCCAAGATCCCTCAGGGCAGAATGGGCGTGCCTAAGGAACTCATGGGCCCTGTCACCTTCTTGCTATCTGATGCATCGTCATACGTGACGGGCGCAGACATCCGGGTTGATGGCGGATATACCGTTATTTGAAGTTGGCCATCACATGAAAGAATAATGACAGAGGATATTCTGGTTTTGATATGTATGAATAGCGGAGCGTTTTTAATACTGCAAAACATTTTACAAATTAAACAGAGTTGCGACAGGCAAACCTCATAAGCCTCATCAGGTCACTGCCTAGACAACATCCATTGGCCAAGAGAAAACGCCAGACGACCACTTCTCCCTCTTGAATTTCTCGAGTCCTTGACCAAGAAACATGTGTACCCTCCGTTTCGCCATCGTAACCCACTTAGTGTATCCGGGGAGGTGTCAGAGCGACTACACAATTACCACAACGTGAAACCGTCACTTTGGTTTCTATGACATGCTCTAGAATCTACCAGTTTGACACTAAAATTTGGAGCCTAGCTGGGTTGAAAGGAGGAAATTCTCATAGGCCAACTAAACGGAGATAGCCTGATTTTTAACTCCAGTGCAGCACTAGTATAGGTCATCTCAGTGCTACTGGTAGTCATCAACGAGTAAAATGTTCGGGTGCTCGGTACTAAAGAAGAGTCCGCCACGGCGAGAAGGAGGAGCCCGAGACCAGGATTAATGGAAACCTTAGTTTATCTCCGGGATATTTGTTCGGGTGCATTATCCCCGCATTGAGCAATTGGCTATAAGACGAGAAGATATCGCCGAGAGCACTCTGGCCTTTAAGGAGCCGCATTTCATGAAATATCAGCCAGGTATTAGGTTCCTAGCAATCATATAATGTCAACGCCACGTAAAGTCAGTTTTCTCAGTCGAGGCCTAAAGGTTGTCGGCCATCTTTTTACCCCTTCTCGTTCTCTGTCCTGCCCAGACCGCAAAAAGGCTGCTATTATCATTGGCCACCAAGGCACCGGTATCAAGGAACAAGCTTCCGGTCTGTACGCCGAAACTCTCGCTTCCCAAGGCTTTGTCACTCTTGCCTTCGATGCCGCTTACCAAGGCGAAAGCGAGGGCGTACCTCGAGGCCTGGAAGACCCACACCAGCGTGTAGAGGATTTCAAATGTGCAGCTTCATTCCTCTCTACGCTCGGAGATGACTTGGTCGATCCATCTCGTATTGGTCTTGTCGGTATCTGTGCATCAGCTAGCTACGGTGTCTGTGCTGCGGCAACTGACCCCCGCATCAAGGCCATTGCTGGTATTTCACCCATGTGCTTTGGTACATTGATTCGGGATGGGATGAGATCTCCTATAACTGGGCAGATTGACTTTGAGAAACTGAATAAGGGATTGTGGGAGGCAGCCCAGGATCGACTGGACGAAACAGCAGATAAGCCACCAGCTATTCACAATATTGCTGATGGATTTTCACACCCCCGAGAGGATTTCAAAGGATACTACAGCGATCCCCGGTGGAATCATCCGAGATGTACGAACACGATGGTAACTCGGAGCATGGAGCTTCTTGTCACGTTTGACGGCTTTCAATACATTGAATGGGTTGCGCCAAGACCAATATTGCTGATTGCGGGAAATGAAGCAATGACTTTTCCGTATAGCGAGAAGATTCTTGAGAGGGCCATGGAACCGAAGGAGCTATTTGTTATCGAAGGGAAGGGCCATATGGATCTATATCAAGATGTGACTGAGAGTGGCCCGAAATTGGTTGATTTTATGAGCAAGGCTCTGTGTGTGTAGGTTGCTGTCAAAAAACTTCTACTAAGCTCGTGCCGATCGTGATGCATACTCGGGTAGAGGGATTGGGACGATGGTATGAGCAAATTGGATGGACAACGGGCCCCGTTTCTAACTTGAATACTTGGGTAGAGGGAAAAGGACGGTGGAAACTTATTCTCTTATACTGTGATGAATTTAAGCTACCTGGTTCATTGGCTTGCGAGGGCCTCTAATTACACGATTGATTCATGTATCCCAGTAGTCTCACTTCTAGCTGTCCCCGAGATCAAGGCAAAATCTAGCTATTCAGGATGAAGGAAAAACTGGCCAACTTATGCCCAGTGAAAAAACCTAAACCTTTTTCTAGCGCACCATTTTGCTCCCCCAGTCCCTGCCCAAGAACTTCTCCTCACTTATACCATACTCCATCAGTTAGCCTCGATGGCTCACCGTTAAGCAAGGCCAGCCTCAGCGATCGCCTCGTTGTATTTCTGGGACGCAGTCTTAATGCCGTTGAAATAATTCTTGTAGCTGTCTTTGATGGTTCCGTTCAGTTGGTTGCACATATCCTTCGTTTGTTCCACCACGTCGACGATGTTAAGGATCTCGAAAACCGTATCGACCACCGACATGATGACCGCGACGACAGTGATGAATTTTCCCGTTGCATCGAGCATACCGAAAGCGCTGGACTCCACTTCTTCAACTTGGAGTCCAGCAGCCTCGGCGTTCTCTTTGATGGTTTTGTTAGCGATGCCCAGCTTGATAGACATGATGGCAATCGAAGTGTTTTGGACGAATGCCAGCTCGGTACTAGGGTAGTTCAGTCCCTTAATGAACCCCATGTATTGCTGGATATCGGCATCCGTCTTTTCACTGAGATTCAAGGTATCCAAGGCATCATAAACTTTGTCGATCTCACTGCTGTTGAAGAGCTTTCTCGCCGACTCCGCGTATTTCCTGAAGCCAACGGCATCGAGCTTTTTATCGAGATGTTGAACTTGCGCAAGAAACTGCATGAGCAGCGAGCGGCATGTTCTGGTGTCGAGGCCGGCCGGCGCTTTCGACGCGATCAAGTCGTTATTCGCCTTGTATTGGACGACGTAAAGGTGGACGTTGGGATTGATTTTAGACGAGATATCGGTATCGGCCGTTGCCAACTTGTCGTTCAACTCCTTCGATTTGCTGGAGACGACGCCTTTTTCCACTGTCACGGCCACCTCAAGTCCTGCGAACGCGGCCATGCCCAGGCCGAACGACCAGATGGACGACACCGCGGCGGCGTCGGCAGCGATTTGGGTTGCATCCGCAGCAATGGTATCATCACGCACTGTGGTGGCCAAATCAATGAGCGTGTCGAATTCGCTGTCGACAGCGGAGTCCGAATCGAAGTCGCCCAGACCGACGAACAGGCTTTGCTCGGTAATCAGTCTGTCGATGTTTTCATCGCTCTCCGTGTCCCAAGTGGACATGTAATTCAAATAAGTCATCATAGTAGTACTCATGGTGTCAGCTATTCGGGGGTTTCAAAGGTTGAAATAGGCAGATGAAGGGACTCTGAGTATCAATGATATCAATTCTCAATAATGGGAATTCTGTGAAGTAAACGTGATAGTCCTGAAAAGGATGGAATTAATAAGAGGGGAGGGATTGAATGCTTCTTTATAACTCACTCCTCAGTAGAGCCTATGTCTTGCAATTATGTAAAAGGTCTGCTACCTACTACTGTGACCTCCCTTCACCGGTCAGCATGGTCTGTGGCTTCTATTGGTTTCTCTGGTGATAAATTTAATACGAGTTCCGACTGGCCTTGATGCAGTTCAGCTATGGTTGCTCCGACGCCATCAATGATTTCTTTACTCGAAATATCTTAGCAGTTTGAATATTACCTGGAAATCATCTGAGATTGGGCCGATCTAGATCTACTGATGGCATTTCCTCGCAGTCGTATGAGATTAGACCGATCTAGACCTGCTGATACTATCACCTAGCAGTCTATAGAGGAATGAAGGGAGGATAAGTCCCTTGAGTTCTGAGACTGTTGAGGGTATAACGGTACAGACAGAGGTGTCTGGAATGCGCCATGTGCACTCTTGAAGTGTCACGGCCCGGATTGGGACTAGGCGGTCACAATCAGCAGAACCCTGACGGATCTACTTTTCGCTACAGGGCACAGGCTCATCCTTGACCTATTGATATAGGATCTTGAATGCAAGCACAGCGTTGATGTCAACCTGTTCTGTCAGCAGCGGCTCGTTCTCGAACACAGACTCAACAAAGAGCCGAGCACACTACAGTAGCACAACGAGCATCCCCGTGTATAAAATACAATTTGTTGTAGCGGAGTGGCTGCTGCTAACTGCCCACGGCACCGCAAAAGCATACCAGCAGGGTCGCATATACGTTGTCTCCAACCTGCTGTTTCATAGAAGCCACCATGAACAAAAACAGACCCGGTTAAGCAGCGCCTCAGTGCCAGTGGGAAGGTGTTGGCGAATACGTCGGGCAGTACCCTCACTTCATCCTCCTCTGCATCGCCGGCCCGTCCTTGCCATTCCTTCTTCCTCCTCCTCTTGCTCGTCATATTCGTCATCGTAGTCATCCTCATAATCGTCGCCGATGTTGATCTCCCTATGATTGAAGGCAACAATACTGCTCTACCTTTAACCCACCGACACCGTGCTGTGGGTGATTTCCCGCTGATCCAGGTTAAGTCAAATGGCCGGACTCCGACTTTTTCCCCATCCCTCTGTCTTCATTTGTCACTTATGGTGAATTGTCATACACTCTAAGCCAATGCTTTGTAACAGCCCAATTAGCAAGGTCCTGAGGGGGAAATGCTATATACTAGTATTTCCCATTTCAAGTGTATTATTTCTACTCAGTATTAGAGATATAACATTAATCTTTATATGTTAATAATTCATCATTTACATACATAGAAGACGCCAACCGCGATACTTTACTAAACCCCCACAGATTCTGCCATTGGGTGCCACATTCCACTGCTCGCTGCCCACGCCTTTCAAAATATGGAAGAAATTTCTACAATCCTCTCCGTTTAATCTCAAGTGGTTTTGCCTCGTTATCTCCTAGGAAAGTCTTCCGAATTTGGTGCGCCAAAGCCCGCCTCGTGCATATAAGATTTACTACTAGGGGTGCATAAAATAAACATTCCGATATTTGGTCTCTCAGACTCAACGTCAACTCGAGGTGTATCATTATCCCAGTTAGTGGTGATCCGGAATAAATCGAACACGGAATTGGTATCGCGATATCTCGACAGTTTCGAAGAGCAGAGGTCCGATATGACGGTTTTAATGATCACGGTAAGCGAGCTCCCCATACGCGACCGACCACGCAACATCAAGTTTCCTAATGGCAGAGGTAAGCGACGACAAAATTACATCACGGACGTAAGAGACAGTAAAATTCCACACGTCAGAGGTCTTCAGACAAGCATATGCTAGTTGTTGTAGAAATCGATCATCGTGCCTTCTTCCGTCAGGTTTAGAAGTTAGCTCAAACAACTTAGACCTCACGGCTCGAAATGTCTCTAGAGTGGTCATAGGTGCAAAAAGCCGGAAAGCTGCGCCTCCTGCAGTCTAAGGCTTAGGGTTGGACCCATACGGAGACATACGAAAACATGCAGAGATATATATCCTGGTCAATGTTCACTACGGGTAATAATCCCCGACTTTAGAAGTGAGGAACCAGCTTCAAGGGGGTCGAGGAATCAGGGTCGGAGCCAGGATAATAACGGGGCTTCCAGGCACTCGGCACCGGCTCGGCAAGCGAACAACGGATTGATTATAAGTTTATGTCACTGTCGCATGTTGTCCAAGTCCGGCTTAGAGTGCAGGTAGTGCAGACGAAATTAGACTCAGCCCTGCATTATATTGCTCAATAAAGTGAATTAGAGTAAGATAACCTTGATATATAACAACCTTCAGCCCCTCTAAACCTTCGCCTGTTAACCTTTAACCTAGAAATCTTCTGCCCCTAATAACTTATATCTTATACTAAGCCTTCTCTAGTAACTTTAGTAGCTTTAGTAGTTATATTTTATTTTCATCTAGCTTCTTAAGATTTATTTTATTTATTTTTATAATTATATTATTTATAATTATTTTTTAAAAAATATTAAATTTATTTTATTAATATTTATAAAAAAACTTTTTTTTATTAATTATAATAAATATTTAAGTTTTAAATAAAATAATATTTTTTTAATTTTATATTAGTAATATATTTATTTTAAAAGAGTAGATAGAAGTTAGATTAAACTCAGCCCTGAAATAAGCGCAGTTTTAACGGTGCAGGATAGATTCTGAAGCGGTATGCCTGCCGGTCTTTAGAGTTGTTGTAATTCGCTATAAACGAGAATTTCGTATTCGAAGTGTGCGATGCGAGGTAGGGAAGTACATTAGAATCTTCTCTTATTTGCCATGCGCAGTAGGGTTCCATTTTCTTGCAACTTGTATCGCGACGAACCGCTAGAAAGAACAGTTGAACCCTGTCACCGGCGTCAACTAGTGGGCCGCTGTAAAATTACCACATGGGCCTTGCAAGAAGAAGGACGTGTCACCCATGACCAGAAACCGGTGAGGTGGGTGAGGTGGGTAGCGTGGACCACCAGTTCTTCTATGACGAAAGTACCCGCGGAATGCAACTCTATGGCGTGGGTGCACTCCCTGTAAGGATGAAACATCGTCTGCTCCAGGGCGCATACTTCCAATTGCAAGTTAGTTTGCTCATGTCATGGTATATTTAAATAAACCTATCCTCGATTGATCTCACCCATTCCTCTAGTACATTCGTTCACTTTTGCTCGTCGTTCTTTTGCTCGTGCTCTTTTCCATTCTGTTATCTACATTCTTATATTCACAAACCATCACGTCTGTTCACAATGAAACTGACTTTCGGCATCTCGATTGTGCTAGCTGGCCTAGTACGTTTGGCTTCTTCCCAAGAGGTGGCTGGCACAGCCGAAGGGTTTGCATATGGCGTGACGGGCGGCGGTGATGCGACGCCAGACTACCCGGCCGACATTGACGAGTTGACTGACATGCTCACTGATATTGTCCCTCGAGTCATAGTCCTGGACAAGGAATTCGATTTCACCGAATCCGAGGGCACTACAACAGGTACTGTTTGTGCCAGCTGGGGAACCGGTAGTAGCTGTTAGAGGATCATACAAGATGATTGCGGCGACTCTACACAGAAGACGGCTACGTGGTACAACGCTCCGAAAACCCCCATCGATGTTGCGTCCAACAAAACCATCATTGGAGTTAGTGACAAGGGAATCATCAAAGGCAAAGGCTTGAGGATGCGTACCGGTTGCCAGAATGTCATCATTCAAAACATCCAAGTTAGCGACTTGAATGACAAGTTCGTCTGGGGTGGCGATGCCATCTCTTTTGATGGCGCTGACCAGGTTTGGGTCGACCATGTCACTGTACGTTATTCAAAGTTGCTATGAAGCTACCGTTATTGACTTACTCCTTAGACCGCACGTCCAGGTCTCCAACACTATTGTTTTGGCCACGAGGCCAGCACGCGCATCACGCTCTCGAACAACTTCATCGATGGCGAGTCCACCTACTCGACTGGTTGCAACGGCTACCACTACTGGACCTTTGAGATGGTGGGCACGGCCGATCAGATCACCATGAAGAATAACTACATCTACCATACCTCTGGCTGTGGCCCTGCTCTGAGCGGTGGCACTCTCTTGCATGCTGTCAACAATGTATGGGAAGATATCGACGGACACGCTCTGGAAGGCGGAGAGGCAACTGCCAAAGGAATCTTTGAGGGAAACGTCTTCATCGACGTGAAGACTCTCGTTGGCGACTACAAAGGAAAACTTAGGGTTAGGGTTAGATTCATCTCCAGCTGTTGGGTCTATTTACTGGTGAAACGTGATTAATCTAAGCTGGTGCAGGGGCCTACGTACTCATCCGGGGGTGTGTGAGGCTGAACTTCTCCCTGTTCCTGGTCAAAACGTCCATCGTCACTTGTCGATTGAGCTTCTTCTGCCATGATGCAAGGATAAGTGCAAAATACCACAGCATACATTGTCCATGACACAGCTATTACCTGCAGCTCATAAAGGTATTGGGAAAGGTAACCAGTTGGACTAGAAACCTTAGTCTGTCTGAGTGTATTGTTGATCTTTGAATGGGCTGGGTATATGGTCTGTATTGTTGATACTATTGTTGGTGTTTTTTTTTTACTGTTGAGCTTCTAGTCCCCCCTCTGGGTATGTGTGTACTAGGGCACCCTAACCTCTTGATACATTGTCCATCTCATCTGGTACCGGTTTCTTGTCTTTCCCCTGTTACCACATCTAAACCCACTCTATTTTGTCTTCCAAGACTCGCCCGTCCAACTTCAACGTTAGCTTGGAGTGGATACACTTGAAAGGAATTCAAACACTCGCCTCGCTGTTGTAGCGGTAGTGGATGTGTTTCCGGACGCCCTGCAATCGGTGGTGGTATCGGTACATGTTGGGTCCACGCATATCGAGTGCTCATTTCGGGCCACTCCGAAACCGTACAGTCAACGAGGCAATGTGAACCGCTGCTGCAGGTTACAGAAGAAGTCACCAAGGTGATACAGTGAGCGGAAGAAGTCACCGGGGTCGTAGAGGGGTTTCTAGCCTGAGGTACGCGCGTGGTTGTGGTGGAGAAACTCGGCTCTGTTTCTACTTTTGAACCCCATACGCAACACTAAAGATATGAACCAACAACCCTAACGAAAAAAAAAAAGGCTTAGCTAGTCTCAATACTAGCTCCTCCCCTCTCATTGTGTTTATTTACTGTCTGGAAAAACACAATCTGCACTCAGACATCTCTCACCGATACTCCGGTTGAGACTGTACTTCGAGAGGTAAGATTCTTGCTCTCAGCCTATACTACTCTATCTACCTAGGTACTTAATAGTACACCCTGTGTGGCCTCGCTTAATCCTGTCTTGCCCTAACTTAACCCAAACTAACCCAATAATCAGACCCTTCGGTAGTCCATGCAATATCCGTCCCATGTCTCTCTCTGACAAGTCGCTTCGCTGGCTCAATTTCACAGATGCTGAATAAGCTCAATAATGTTGCCCTCGGGATCGCGAATCATGCAAAATCGAACACGTGTCGGCACATCGACCGGCTCCTGGAAAATTTCAACGCCAGCAGCAATCAATTTCCGGTAAATGGCATCGACATCGTCAACCTGGAGGGACCAGTTGAAAATACCACGCACATTTCCCAGCTCGGTGACGTTGGTCGGGTTTCTTCCGTCCGAGGTCGAGCCAACATCCTGTCGGAACTCGACACGGACGTCGGCGGCGTTCTTGAGCATGACAAACTGCCTGGTCAGGTTGCTACCGACAATCTCTGTCTCGGTATACTTGAAGCCCAGGACTTCTCGATACCATTGGGTTTCGAGGGTTATGTTTGAAACCGACAGGCCAATGTGTCCAAAACGAAGCTTGGATGGAACGACAGAAGCGCGAATTGCAGAGTGGTGAAGTGGATTCTCGGGAGCAGCGCTCGCAGCGGTAGTAGCCAACATGGCGAAGAAGAGAGTAGAGAGGAGCTGGAATTTCATGTTGGATGGCTAATGCAATGCTTCAGAAGAGTTGAGTTTCTTTGTTGGTTCTCTGACTATTGATCGAGAGTGCCAATCCTAAAGCTGGCGATCCCTTGCCCTTTTATCTCTCAGTTTCCTCAGTTGATAACCTCTGTTGCGAGATGACGCAAGTTCGCAACCTCTGTCTCGGCTGATGTGTGATGACTCCCGGGTCGGAGGATTCCCTCTTCATACAGCCCCGCCTTAACATAGCCCCGCGGAGATGACATATAACTCAAGTTTCGAGCATCGTGTTATTCCTGCGAAATTAATTATGTTAATACTGTGTCATTGCTTACATGCCAAGGCTTCAATCCGCGGAGATGACATAAGAATGAAATTTTGAGCGCCGTGTTATTCGTCCGGACTTAAGTGTGTCTACCTACGCTGCACCACTGCTTACATGCTGATGTTGGTCCGCGGAGTGGATTTCCACACCTAATTCCCAAAAGTGTCTCTCAACTAGGGATGTTAGGTTGAAGCAACGAAAACACTTTTCCATTCTCTCCTCGTGTTCAGGAGGTCAACCTTTTCGCTAATACGCAAAGGGTTGATTCTATCGGACTTAACAGGTGACTCTATGTCGATATTCCGGAGTCTTCGTCATCCCCGAACCACACTAGCTTGGCACCGACACACGGCATTGCCCTTTTATTCGACTTTACGATGATTATTGGATCGAGGTTGGCTTGGCACTGTATCGAGCCACGTGTCAATCCATTCTAGCAATCGCCGGAGCCCGAGAAAGTGTCTGATGAATGGAGTACGTATCCGCTAATTCGGAGACTTATAGTTCTTATATTCCGGGTGACAATCTGCTCTTTTTGATCTTCCTGGCAAAGCGTCATCCACTCAACATCGAACCATTTGTTACCCAACCTTATCTCTTCTTGCTTTCGAACCACATTCTCGCCATTATGAAACTTGAAGTATTTCATCTTCTGGGAGCAGTCGTCGTCGGGCTCGGCTTTGTTAAAATCGGCTCTGCTGAATACACCGACGCCTCCGAAAGCGCCTCTGCCAAATTCAGGCGCGCTCTTGAACGCCGTTTGTCACCGCACGCTAACATCTCAACTCCTGAATCGGAAAACTTCGAGAACGCAGCAATGCGATGGTCGCCTTTTGGGGCGCCAAATGTCACAACGGTTGTGCAAGTCGCCAACACTCACGACGTCGCCAATACCGTCAAGCTGGCAAACCAATACGGGATTCCATTCCTTGCTACAAACCACAGGCATGGAGTCTCCACCGTGATGCAGAACCTGCAAGGCGGCGTCCAGATTGATGTGAGTGGCCTCCAAACCATTCAACTCAGCAAGACTCGACAGGACGCTGTGACTCTGGGCGGTGGCGTCTATACGACGGAAGTTATTGACTATCTATTCCAACACGGGAGGATGTCAGGTAAGCCATATCATCCAAAGCCGTTGTAAATCCTTTCCTGACGGGATCTTGTAGCGTCTGGCAGCTGCGGTTGCGTCGGCCTCGTCGGAGCTGCGCTTGGTGGTGGCATTGGGAAGACTCAGGGCCAGTTTGGCTTGATGCTCGACAATATCCTCGATGCTACCGTTGTGCTGGCAAACGGTGACATCGTCGTAGCGTCTGAGAAGTCGCACTCTGATCTCTTTTGGGGACTCCGAGGGGCTGGCCACAACTTTGGAGTGGTGACCGAATTGACCTATCGTACTCACGAACTCTTCCCAGCTGACGGTCACTGGTACATAGCCACTTTAGGGTTTGCCAACGACAAGCTGGAGGACGTTATAGAGATCTATCAACGTTTTACCGGTCCCGGGAGTGACGTCGGCCTTACATTGACTCTACAGCTTGCCTTCAACCCCGAGCTTAGTGAGACTGAGGTGTGTCCTTCTCAACCCTTGGGAACGTACGAGTGCTGACCTGGAGCATCCTAGCCGACTCTTCGTCTACTCATCAATTTCGCTGGCTCTGAACAACAAGCTGCTCGATATGCCGACCCTTTCATTGACCTCGCCGATGTCAAAGTTATCAATTCCTCCGTCCCCTACTACCTGGTCGCTTCGGCCAGTGGCAGTGATGTCGACAACCTCCCCTGCCAGAACTCGCTACTGCGCCATCCGGGGATCCCGATCCAGCTAAATGGAACTGACATTCCTACCCTCCGGGCCATTTCCGACACTTTCCGTGATGCCGTCGCCGCGTATCCCGGCCTGCAGGGAGGTTTCGCTCTTGAATCTTACGGTTGGCAGGCGGTCCAGAGTGTCCCAGCTGAGTCTACCGCATATCCTTGGAGGGGAGATTACATCTACGCGTGAGTAATGAGATGCTTCGGAGTGGTTGACCTGTTCTTGACCTAATGTGTTCAAAAGGTTCTGGGCCGGCAGTTACGAGGATGCCAGCTTGGATGAGCCTGCTATTGAGCTTGGTGAAGAAATTCGACGCCTCCTTCTCAACGGCAGTGGTCAATCTGAAGTCCATGCCTATGTAAACTATGCTCTAGGCACTGAGACATTTGGAGAGCTTTATGGCCATGAGGAGTGGCGTCAGGAGCGTCTTAGCGCTCTCAAGCAGAAGTACGACCCGAAGGGTGTTTTCTCGTACTATCATCCTATCCCTCTTTCATCTGGCCAAACATAAGGGGGCAGTGGAGATACTGCCTAAGTCTTTGGGGGATATACATCTAACATATCACGTCTGTGGACGGTGCATCTTTTACCATCCAATTAGACATCGCTCGGAAGACATGGATCGTCTGGGAACATATATTGAGTGTCGGTTCGTGATTTCTGCTTCCAGTCTTCTTATTCTTTCCCCTTTATCTTCATGGATTGAATTCTCTACGAGCATTGCTACTCTGGTCATCCGTCTTTATTTTTTTATGGGCTTCGAATCGGAAATAGAAATCCGCGGAGAGTTGAATGCCGCTATCTTGCACCAAACGGTGTATACATTCGTTCGATAGGTTATATTTGAAATAAACTAAGAATTTGGAACAATGAAAGATAATCATTCTGGCCCTATTCATGTGATTCTCCGGTCGCATGGAGATGGAATTTAAAAATAATCACGTCTTGTTCCCAGGCTGATTCTTCCTCGAGTGGGGTATTCGGTCGCCATGTAGCGCATCTGTCATGTGGAACGTGAAAGCTCTAGCACACCTTGGGCGCATTCCTTTTACCTGTAGTAGGGTGGTCTCTGGCATAATCTCGTGGCGGTGGTACATCGCATATTCCGATAGTTAATTTAGCTCCAAGACGGAGGCTATGCTGCTTGCGCCATGCTATGGGTATTGTTGGATCCGTTACGGTCAATTCGATCAAATGGATAGGGATCAATGCAGTGATGATGATGTTGATGCTTGCTTGTTCCGGTCATCCAGATCGGCCGGAAGAGGGGTTATCAGGCCCCCCTTCTGACTAAGGTCAGGATATCAATCTATCAGAGGTTTCGTAATACAGGGTCACAATCCAACAGGTATCATTCGGACATGTCCGCGGAGCAGCATACGCAGTGGATGGATGAAGTACCAGTCCGGACTTCAACACAATAAACCCGTCTAGTGTACCCGGAAACGTCTTCTCATAGGCTCGGGTTTTGGTGTCAGTATCAGCGTCAACGGAAATGGCTTATCACCGACTCCGCGGACGCCGCGCAGATCAACTACGCTGGTACATGGATGTTAAGACATTCTAGATTTGAGCCCCGGGACATAATATTTAAGAGCGCCCATGGTAGGCATCAAATATCATTATTTTCCTCAGCTCTCGAACAACGGCAAAAATATTTGCTTGCATCCTTGCTCCTTTACTCTACATCTAGTCCGCCAGCTCTTTTACAACGTCAAGTCCCCCTGGAATCCTCGCCATGCGCTGCCACGAGCCTAAATTTACTGAGAAAGACATCCCTGACTTGACGGGGTACGTCGCAATCGTGACTGGAGGTGAGTCCCTGTGAAATCCCACAGACCAGAATTCCACGCCATGGCGCTGATGGCATATTAATCCGTCTTAGGAAACTCGGGCATCGGCTACGAGACTACAAATCAGCTTGCCCTTCACAATGCGCGCGTTTACATCGCCAGTCGTTCCCGAGACCGTGTGAATCAGGCAATCAAACGAATGTCGGAAGATGCCAACGGACAGTCGCTCGACCTTCACTTCCTCCAACTAGATCTCATGGATCTCAAGTCTGTCAAGGCTGCAGCGGAACATTTCAAGACGCAGGAGCCACGCCTAGATATTTTGATCAACAATGCTGGCGTATGTTGTATTCAGCTTACATTACATCACATGCCGCCTAGATTCGCGACTGACACTTTTGCGGCTAGGTCATGACTGTCCCATACCAACTCACAGTCGATGGATTCGAGTCCCAATGGCAAGTGAACTACGTAGCGCCGCACGTCCTGACTTCTAGTCTCATGCCACTGCTATTATCAACAGCTGCCACAGCTGGAACCAAGGATCGGGTCGCGTCGTCAACGTGGCTAGTGATGCTGCCTTCTTTGGCCCGAAGGTCATCCACTTTGATGATGTCAACATGACCTCAACCAAGGGAATGATGGAGCTATGGTAAACCGATATCTGAACAACGTGAAAGTGGCCGTTGTGGCTGACACAGGTATTTGATTAGGCAACGATACGGTCATTCCAAGCAAGCTAGTATTCGTGACGCGAAGGAGATCAACGATCGCTTCAGCTCCCTTGGTGAGCATCTCTTGGTTATAAATGGACTCTTCATCACTGACTTGCTGTAGGGGTGACTGCATACTCACTGCACCCAGGCATTGTGCGCTCCAATCTCCAAAGCCATGACACGACCGTGGTTGGGACCGTTGTCCGAGCTGTGATCAAGGTCACTCCTCACAGTACTCCTCTGGAGGGAGCCTACAACTCGCTCTTCTCCGCCACCAGCCCCCTTGCACCGGCCAGCGGACAGGGCAAATTCTTCATCCCTGTTGGCAAGCTGGAGTCGCAGGCGGACAACTGGCTCAACGACGTGGAAACAAACGGACGATTGTGGCAGTGGGGCGAAGAGCAGCTGGCTCGGCTGGGTTAAGTCGGCGTGCGAATTGGAGCTCATGTGAGCTTCATGGCTCTATGGCGCTCGCTGATAAGTGACGCAACAAGTTCAATTGTACTCAGATATCGCCAAGATGCTCCCCATCGCAGGGACCAATGATGCCGACGGCCTGAGTGCTCATGTGCCCTCTTCACACATTATTATTCGGCATACACCCAATTGAATGATTCTTTGCTTACATGACCTTTCCTCGGCGTCAGCGACTGAAACCTGATTAGACAAGATGCGCACGCGTTGAGGCGGAGCTCGCAGGCCCGGCCAATCTCCGAATCCGCGGAGTCCTCCGCGGAGCACCCTTCCACTCCATACACGAAGAAAAGATTCGTCTTAGTCACGCATACAGTATCTTATCGAGCGATGAGGCGCAGTAAGATTCCAATGACGTCGCCAGTAAGCGGACGGAACGAATTAGAGAGCCAGATGAAGAGAGGATGCTTAGCCAAGACCGTTGAACACGAATACATGCGTCTACCTAATTACAACGGCTAAGAATCACGTGTGCGTCTGACATGGCTGAAGATGCCTATCAGTGACAGCATCTTTGTGTCTGCTGGACTACGACACCATTCTACTCACCAACGAAACTATCGCGACTGCTTCCCTCTTCTCACGTCACCGCTATGCAAGGAGTTCGTGGAGTAGTGTCCTGCGCTTCATGCCGGCAGAGAAAGTAGGTCGTGTACCAGACCAACATCAACTCAGAATTCTGACGCTTCGCAGACTGAGATGCGATCGCACCGAGCCATGCAACAACTGCGTTGCGCGCAAGGTTGAATGCAAATATTCTCTGGCAACACGTAGCCGGCCGCTTGCGCAGAGGCAGCAGGGAAGCCAGCCGCAGCTTGAAGGTCGCCTCCGCCATCTCGAACAGCTCATAGGCACGCTCGTGGCTGAGCGCTCAAGTAGCAACGACTTGCAATCTACGACCAGCAACCGAGATGTCAGTGACTCAACCATGCTCAATGGCCCTGCCTTGCGGTCTAGCCCCAGCGGTCAGCCAAGTGATTCTGATTCCGCCGCCTTGGACGACGTCAAGCCAGGCCGGATCGTGGAGAGCAACAGCCAAATGACGTTTGTTTCTTCTGATCATTGGAAAGCAATCCAAGATGAGGTGCGTACATCGATTCCCACTTGAGACAACTTCGGAGCGGCCTAACCACCACTTTACCTCGTTCGTAGATTGCCAAGGTTCGCGAGTACGTGGAGCTGGAGAACTCGGCGCTTCCAGACCTCCCAGACGAGATAGAGCCCACGTCCTCTGACGGCCCGATAATTCTAGAGGGGACGTGCGAATCAACCATGGACAACATCCTATCTGACATTCCTCCGAGGGCAATAGTTGACAGGCTGGTGTCCCGATACTTCAACTCAAAGGAGCCCACTATTGGTATGACTGGCTTTCATGCGGCGCATTCATCATCTCATCGTTTTTAGTGGCTATCCACGCACAACCGTTTCAAAAAGAGGTAATTCGTTTGTATCTGCCGAGGCTTGTTTCTACTGACAGAGCCTGCGCAGTACAAGCGATTCTGGCTTGACGAATCCAACGTCACCCAGCCCTGGATCGCAATGCTCTTCGGAATCATGTACATGGGCACGTTTCTATATGTCCGATCTCAAGATCAGCTGCCAGAGTCGTTTGGCGACCCTCGGCTCGTCATGGATACATTTAGAAGACGTGCCGCCGAATGTCTCATCCTTTCTAAATACGCGACTCATCCCACCACCTACACGCTCGAAGCGCTCCTCCTCAACGTTCAGTGCGAATTTGTTCGACAGCCTGATGCGAATCTGGGGGTATGGGTGCTCGCCAGTGTTGCCACACGTCTAGCAATGCGCATGGGATACCACCGGGATCCCAAGAACTATGATCAGATCTCGCCATTCCACGGCGAGATGCGGCGACGCGTCTGGGCAATGATCCTTCAACTTGACACTCTAACTTCGTGTCAACTTGGGCTCCCTTCGATGATAAACACCCGTCAGTGTGACACGGAGTTGCCGCGCAACATCCGCAACGAAGACTTTGATGAGACATCTGTCGCTCTCCCTCCTCCCCGGCCCGAGACGGAGTTGACGCCGGTACTGTACACGATAACCAAAGCACGTATGCTGGCAGTTTTCTGTGCTATTTTCCAACAAGTATGTCTGGTTAGACCGGAACGATACGAACAAGTCATGGCGTTGGACCGGCGCCTGCACCAGTCTTATACGTCCATCCCGCCTTGTCTTCGTATCGCCAACGTTGAGGACTGCATCATGGTGCCTTCTGATCTATTGATCAAACAATACCATCTTGAAATACTCTATCACAAAGCCCGATGTATCTTACACCGTCATCATATGGCAAAGTCGTATCAAAATCCCGAATTCGAGTATTCCAAGCTATCTTGTCTCGATGCAGCAATGATGCTCCTCACGCACCAAGAAAACATCTTCAAGGAAGTCCAGGCCGGGGGGATTCTATTCAGGGAAAAATGGTTCATAACGTCCCTTGAGCAGCACGACTTCATTCTCGCCTCAATGATCATCTGTCTTGAACTAAGCTCCAACCCACAGGGACAGGACCCCAGCGCTCTCCAAATGGGCGAACAGAGTCCTCCAAAATACAACAAAGAACATCTCAATGATGCCGTTCGTAATTCGCATCGCTTCTGGGGCGAGTTCAAGTCAGGCTCTGTCGAAGCCCTACAAGCATTCCGAGTGCTCTCCGTCCTGCTTGACAAGGTCGCAATTACTCCAGAACTGCAGAGAAGGCAGGATGCATTTTCTACAACGCCCGCTAGTTCTCATGAAAGAAACCGAAGTCTGTGCACTAGCGATGGTAAGTTGAACTCGCGCCATTATATAATGCTATGTAACTAACTAAACTCCCATCTCCAGGTGGCCATCTCCCATCATCTACCAACGTGCCGATGCTGCAGAGAATAGAAGACGTACAAAACCCGCAGCCGGGGCTCGCCCCAAGGCTCGAAGAGATCGGCGGAATGCTAAACAGTCCAGATCTTGTCAATTGGGTGAGTCTATGGTGTGTACCTGTAGGGATATTGGGAAGACTAACTTGTGGCATGTACAGGATCTTTGGGAATCGTATATCCAAGAGTCCCGCTTAGAAATGGAGTTTTAAGGGTCCCAAAACTTGTTCCAGATGTAGTAATTGGAGAAAATAGTTGAAGAAAATTTTGATGATGCAATAATTTGTGTTATGATGATATATCAAATGAGTGGGTTTCCGTCCCCAAATGCATTACACATGCAATCCCCTCCTTGAGCAAAAAGACATTCTATGATATCCGTGAGCACGATTTCTAGCTGCCTCGGATACCTTAATTTCCTATACCGTTCTACAACTATGTAATGATTCCAGCCTGATCCCGCCCTTTACGCTGGGGTTGCACTTAGGACTAATAGTTCTTGAGTGGTGGAAGATATTGCCCTGAGTGGTGAGAAATCACTACCCTGGTCCGGCAGCTTCCTCACAGGTTGATTCTCTTGGCCTCGTTTATGTTCTGTACTCCAAGACGTGAAAATATCTACAGAGCCTCCTATGGACAAGATGGCAAGTTAAGCTGAGGTTTGTAGGCCAAGCTATTTTGGTACAGGGTAGTTGCGACCAGGGCTCGAGGCCGATATCGCGGCCCGCAATCTGGCGATACGTGCAAGTCTTGCCTGAGCCGGGATTGCGATCCTTCTTTATCTTCTACCTGGCAATTAGGCAGTCCTCTATAGCCCATTATGTCATGCCCGACACCCGTCAGCGTATATTCAGCCTGACGACGAGGGCGATATCATCCAGTTTTCAGGGAACTGTAGGAAACCACGGCTTGTTGAGTTGGTCGTACCTTATCTAGTACCTTGCCCTATTTGTTATTTAACTGCTTATACTACTTGGTTTCCTTAAAGGCAGAAAATGTTCGACGATAAATAATTTGGCACTACGTGTGAAACAGCATTGCCTCCATGCATAATTGCCATAGAGCAGAGGGAAAAAATGTTCATTGAGTAACAACCAGCTTCTGATACGCCTACTATTTCGTAGTGCTAATCTTGACGATATGTATGAGTCTCCAGGACTTTGTAATATATACAACAAAAAATCTTCGCCTAAGCCCTTCGTGCCAATCTGTTGCTAGATGCCCAGCCAACAGAGTTAACGGATCGCTTGCTCATGAGCGCAACACTCTCGGCATAGTCGCTCGTTCCCTTGTCCGGCTCAGAATCGGCAGGCTGGCAGCTAGGCTGCTCACCCGAGTTACCGAGAGCGCCATTGACAGCAGAGAACTCATACTTTGACTGCGTTGCGTCAACCATGTTAAGAGCTGACTCCTCAGTCCAACCATTGATGAAATCGCCGTGGGAGCAATAAGCGTTGCCACATGCCAGCTTCAGAGGCGCAGTGCCACTCCAGCCATTTGGCAGAGCCTTGCGAAGGTCGTATCGGATGCTGAAGCGAAGTTGCGGCATGGACTTCATGTTTTCAGGGCAAGCGTTGGACGTGCCCAATGAGCCATCCTTGTAGGCGTACTCAAGAGTCTCCTCGTTGACGCAGTTGGGGAAGAACAGCAGAGTCTGCAGGTGCGTAGAACAAGTGCTGCTGGGGAAGCCGTTCTCATCGGCGGCGACGCTGTCACCCTCGCAAAACCACTCAATCTTGGCCTTTTCAGGCATGCCGGTGGGGCTCTGGTTTGTAGCCTCTCCAGCCAGCATCATCAAGTTTTGAGGGATCGGGACCTCGGCCGGCGTATCGCCCAGGCTGTAGTACGCACTGAAGCGGAACAAGGGAACAGGTTCCCAAGAGCTACCGCTGTCGGTGGTGTATAAGAGAGTCGGAACCCAGTAGACGGACAAGTCGTTGGGGTTTTGAGCGTTGGTGCAGCCAGACTGAAGCTCGGCACTGGTCGTAGTGCTGGCCGTCACGCCGTCGGAGCCAAAGAACGTATGCATGTGTGACTCGGTGTAGCTGCCGGGAAAGACGATGGGGTCGATATTCTTGTAAAAGATGGGCGACATGATGTTGACTTGAGTGTAGGCTTGGGCCACTTGGGCCATCAACCCACCAACAAAGGCGGCACGGAACATGTTGATGCTGGAAGAAGGCATTTTGAGGTATCTCAACCAATTGAAAGTGTGTCTTGCACAAATAGAAGGAGAATTAAAAAAGACGAAAACGTCTGAAAACGGCTAACCAGGCCTAGAGATAGAACGAATGAATGACTTGCTGAGAATGACAGTAAAAGGTTCTCGAGGAAACGCGAGATATTTATTCTTGGTTCCAGTAGTGGAATTTTCGTCTCTTTTCCTAAAACACCCTGCATGATGCCCCTTGATCAGTATGCAGTCTAGGCGCGTCTTTCCAGGTTCAGCATGCAAAGCCGTGATAGGGGAAGATATGACAGGGAAGATAGCGCCCTTGGCACCGTTTCACTAGAGCCACTCACCGTCCATTTTCCACCTGTTGGCCGGAGCATTCTGCTGAAACAAGAATCGCCCCGCAAAAGCCTGGCATGTTGACGGTGATGTTGTCGCTAAACCAGGAAGCATAAAAACCAGACGGCCGGAGCTGGGATCCAACAGGGATGTTATTGGTGGAGATGCAAGCGAGGAGACAAGCGAGGATCTAGATCCGCGACACGGGGTATGGAGCAAGCAACGGTTAAACTGTTTCGAAACTGTGGGTTTGGCACTTGAATTTCACTCTCTCTGCCAGAACGCGACGTCGTGGCTATTCCAATTGGAATGGAAGATTGGAACTCTTGAGAATGGATCTTGACAATGGAATCATATTACCTCAAGTCAGCCAATGCACAGGTTCGCCCTCCTTTCCCAGGGCAAGTGGCTAAAACAACAGCTAGCGGCAAGGATCTGCAACTGCAAGGATGCAAGAGACTGACAGGATCATGGCTACCGCCTCTTGTGGGGCTCACCGAAATAAACAACTGCGTAGCATCGAGTAATCTGCAATTGCTAGTCAGATCAGGTCTTATTCTAAAGCCGTTATAAGGGCGGCCATTTACTATAAATCGCTGTGACGTAAGTGGCATGCTGCCCGCGGCGAAGCATAGTCCTGTCCGTAGCATCCGTGGTCTCTTCGAACTCGGTGCTTTCCGCCATTTCACATTTTAAAGGCCGCGCTGAGTGTGAAATTGCTTTTACAGAACCTCTAATAATAGATTTGCGAGGTATTTTTAGTCAAATTTATTTATTGGCCGTCGTTGCAATGGCAATGAGTATTCCTCCAGCCAGGTTTGCCAAGCACAACCCGTATTTTTCCCCTTTGTTGAGATGGACGATACCTACCCCCAACCCAAGCATTTAGGACCCTTGATTCAGCTAGGAACCATACCGTCGAAAATATTCGTCCCCCCCCCCGCAACGCTCCACTTCAGGCTCCGGATCTTCAAACAAGGACTCGCGATCTCATAACGAAGCAGGGACCGCCGGAGATGTCGCAGATTGGGAACCACGACTACAATCAGAATTTAGCTCCAGCAAGTTCGCCAAGCCACGACAGCCTTCCCTACCCTGTGTCATGCGGGGGGTGGACTACCGGATATCGCCGCGTTGTTCAATATGAACCGGATCATAAATCGTCTCCCGATGATTTTAGAATAAAGGCACGCGATGGCTCTAACTTGAGCGCCGGAATAGATCGAGCAGGGTATGTGCATGAGACAATCTGAGTGAATCAAGTCATATTTGCCGCCATCCGCATGCCTTGATTACGCATTTAGTTATTCTCACAACTGCCTGAAACGAAAAAAAGAATTCAGCCCTTATCTCGGCTCCAGTCTTAGATGTAAAGTTAAAGAATTACTTATTAATCTTAGAGAATCCGAAAGTGAGTGGTTTTGCAAACAAAGATCCAAAATGTAAGTGTCGACTGCCAAATCTACCATTGTGAACTACGTGCAAGTAAGCCCCTTTTCAGCATTGTTAGTGTAGGAGCGCTAGTGTACCCAATCAGACATCGTCTTACCAAGCATGTATTTGATCTTCCTGTGCCACTATGTGACTGTTTGGTTCAAAAGGGAGTCCGACAGGTACACCATGAGGTTGATAAAATCCACTGTGCCGATTTACCGTCGCTCTAAGACGGTAGTATTGTCGACTGTGTTTGACTGTTTTATAATGGGTTGCACAGGGCTTATTGATGGAGGAATCGTGGATGAAACCAATGGAGAGTATATGGAGCATGGACTGCAATACGATCATAGCATCTATTATATCAATGTTCCCATTCAGTTGCGGCTGCAATCAAGGGTAAAACGCAGCTTGGTACATGGGCTTCCAAACTTTGGATGCCGTGATGTTTAATGCAGAATTTTAAGTGTCGCAGTTCCTCGGAAACTATAGAATCTCTCATCTGGAAGGATATCACTTTCGCTTAGTGGCAGTGGTAGCTTCTTCAAGACGAATGATACCGTCCTTGCTGCCTGGGAAGAACTCACTCGTCATCAGTCGGTTTCCGAACCCACCTTGGAATTACACCTACACCCAACGACTTGACAGTTTGCGCTACAGTGTTAAACCTGGGCAACACTAGCTTCGCAAACTGCACCAGCATGCGTACGTTTGTGTCACCGGCTTTTCGCCAAATATATTGCGCAAGATCTCTCAAGGTCCTACCCCTGGATACGCGTATCGAGTACCCTCTGGAGAAAGGACGTCTGCTCACTAAAAGGAATAGTGGGATTGTCTTCCGCAATTTGAAACCCAGTGCCTGAAACATTCTCCATGCTATGTTTTAGAAAGAATGTGGACGTTGTTTCTCCACAAAGGGGATTGCAGGCGACATTTGCTTCCACCAATCGGGTCAATATGGAAACACGATCCCCGGCCCTACAACTTTATTAGGGACCAGATGACAGCATCGCGTCCCGAATTGGACAGCGGAGCAACGTTTCGAAATTCTCCGTTGGGAAACCGGAGCCCTAAATACGAGATCATGCTTAAACCGAAGAAACATAAATGGCTGGACCGAAGCCTCTCCTTTCTTTTTTAGTCTGCGCCTTGTTCTGTTGTCTCTTAGCCATCTCAATTTCGGCCTACCATCACGATGAAGCCCTCTCTATCTGTACTGGCACTCCTATTGCAGGGTGCAGCAGCTCAGCTTGCATTCCCGGGCGCTGACGGTCTTGGTAAGAATGCTGTCGGTGGACGCTATGGCGAGGTGTACAAAGTGACCAACCTCAAGTAAGCTCAGTCTGATTCCCTACGTCAGTCGTGCTAAAGAAACTGATGTCTGCGAAAAGTGACTCTGGTACGGGTTCATTGCGAGACGCTGTTTCCAAGTCCAACCGTATCGTCGTGTTTGAAGTCGGCGGCGTCATCAACATCTCATCCCGTATTGTGGTCAAATCGAAGATCTACATCGCCGGTCAGACCGCCCCAGGAGGTGTACGTTTTACCGCCCAAAAATATTTATTATAAATATCTGACCTAGATTACGGCAAAAAGGGTATTACCATTTACGGCGACGGCTGGTCCTGGTCTGACGCCGACGACTCCATCGCCCGCTACATTCGTGTCCGCATGGGCCGCGGCGGCACCTCCGGCAAGGACGCCATCACGATTGCTTCTGGTAGTCGTATGATCTTTGACCACCTCAGTGTTTCATGGGGGCGCGACGAGACCTTTTCTATCAGCGGAGACGCTTCCAACGTGACAGTTCAGAACAGCATTATTGCTCAGGGACTCGAGACGCACTCGTGTGGTGGTTTGATGCAGACCGACGGCGGTATCAGCCTGTTTCGAAACCTCTACATTGACAACAAGACGAGGAACCCCAAGGTCAAGGGTGTCAATGACTTCCAGAACAATGTCAGTCACGCCATTTCCACGGGAGGTGCGACAAGCATCCCGCTAACTATTACGTGTAGGTTATCTATAACTGGGGCGGCGGCGGTGGCTACATTGCTGGTGATAGCGACGGCCAGAGCTACGCCAACATCATCAACAACTATTTCATTTCCGGCCCGAGTACCAGCGTGACGGCCTTTACGAGAGGCAACTCTAATTTCCATGCTTGTGAGTATATTCCCCCCCAGGCATATGAGACCTGATTCTAACGTCTTCGCCTGCAAAGATGTTAAGAACAACTTTTACGACTCCGACCGAGACGGTGCCCTCGACGGCTCTGCCCTTTGCGAATCATCCACCTGCTATTCCAACATAGACTTCCAGCCCTCGCCGTACAACTACCCCGGTCCTACGACTCTATACACTCCACAACAAGCCGTCGAGGTCGTCCTGACGGGAGCCGGTGCTTCACGCTCCCGCGACAGCGTTGACGCACAGCTCGTTGCAGAAGCACGCTCCTACGGCAAGAAGGGAGCGCTCATTTCCAACGAAGACAGCATGGGCGGGCCAGGCACCATCGCCAGCGGCGCGGCACCTACCGATTCAGACGGTGACGGAATTCCAGATGCCTGGGAGACAGCTAATGGCTTGAATCCTAATGATAAAAGTGATGGCATGAAAATTGCGAGTAATGGATACTCCAACCTGGAAAACTATGTTAATTCTTTGGTATAATAAGTTGCTGCTACTGGGTAGATATATCCTTGCCTCAGTTTACTATATAGGTATACTAGGATTTTTTAAATATATTTATCTATAATTATATATCTCTGTTTTTATTATTATTAAATAATTACTAAGGCCTGATTTAATATTAATATACTTAATACTATTAAAAGCTATTTAAAAGTTAAATTATAAAAGTTAAGTAATATAAGCTAATAAAGTTTTTAACATTGGTGAGTTTGACCTTGAGATAGGTGGATGATTAAGACCATGAGTTCTAAATAACAGTACTGGTTTGGAGTCGATGAAACTGGAAGTGTTGAAGGTACCGTGAATGTTTGCGGGGGGGCATTGTGGGATGGCAATGGCGGCATCGTCGAGCCAGGTCGATCATGGGAGACTGTTGACTTTGAAGCGGGTTTCGTATTAACGATCTCAATTTACCACTGCGCTGTGCTCTTTAGCGAAGATAGATATTGGGAATGAAGCGACGGGAGGTGGTGGCTGGGGTAGTATCTGTGTTGTGAGGCCAAGACTGGTTGGAGACGAAGCTCAAGTAATGAATGATCGACCAGGGAGAACCAAGCGACACTATCATGATCACTTAAAGGAGGTAGAAAAGACGACATTCGCAGGTCCAATATTGTCAAAGTCTAGCCGCAATCAGCAATAAGTTGCAGCCAGGAGGACGAGACCGACGATAAGGGAAGGGACACGACTTGGCGGGCATGCCGAGAGTTACCAGCTGAAGATGGCTGTGGCGGGATGCATGCGAAAGAAGTTCCGGGGACATGACTAACATGTGCTGAGGTCGACGTGAAGGAGGAGCCGCGGTACGCTAAGAGCGTCGAGAGAGAAGGCAATTCGTTGTGGCAGGTGGTGGATGTGTTGATTGAGAGAAAAAGGAACGCGACCAGATGAGAGCAAACCAGCTGCAAAGCTTCAGGAATCTTACGTCGTCGGAAAGATGAGGATGGCGGGCATGAAGATATCAGGAGGCAATACAGCCTGGGTCTGGTGGGCGTAGGCTCCATCGTCTCTGGGAGCAGCCATCGACCCGTCTGTGGGAAGCCCAGCAGCGCAGAGGATGGGCGTCGATCCGCGACGAGAACGGGGGCGTAGGTGCCGGCGCAAGGAATTGAGAGAGGATTGAAAGGACGTGGCGTTGTGCCGTTGTGTTATTGCGTTAGCTAATTATTGCGTTGTTGAATTCACCTCGCCATTTTCCTTGGTACAACCTTGGTGCGGATTGATGGAACACAGGCTTGCTGTCCCTTTTGGACCGGGCCCCGTAAAAAGTCGTGCGGATAGCAATACCTGGTCGTGCGACTTATCCTAGAGATCGGGAGAGGCGCTACGCGTCTGGCGTGAACAATTGCCGTTTATCCAGCGCCAAGAGTTTATCAAGCGCCAAGAGTTTATTATCAAGCGCCAAGAGTTTATCAAGCGCCAAGAGTTTATTATCAAGCGCCAAGAGTTTATTATCAAGCGCCAAGAGTTTATCAAGCGCTAATACTGTTGACCGCTAGGATATATCCTGGGCCTCCCGGTCACTCCGCAAATAGCGTGCAGGAACGAAGAAATACCCCGGAAGATATTTCGGTGGGAACTCGGTGACTTCATGGATCAAATTAAATGCCAAGCACGACCATCGAGTGCCAAGAACGACCATCGAGTGCCAAGAACGACCATCGAGTGCCAAGAACGACCATCAGTCAGACCAAAAAGACGGTGTGTCTCCTCACGAACCAGTAATATTTCACAGAGGCCTTGATCAACCACTCACTCTATTTATGGGAACCACGCCAAGTGGCATCTTACCACAGTTCAGGAGATATTTATCGTACGGGATTATCAAGTGACGTGATATGAAGGCTACCTCTGAAGTCACCAAAGTCGAGCCTTTTACGACAGACAGGAGATACCGTATTATCTCTGTAAATTCGGATTTGACAGCGTAGTTGCTAAGGCGCGGTTATGCACGCCTTATCTAGAAAGCAGATGTTTTTTTAAGGTTTTCTAATAAATTATGCCAGCCTGAAGGTATAAGTCTGCCTTAGCAGACGCGCCGGCAAATCCGAATTAATTTACTGAGTAAATACGGTAGACGCCGAGAAGATCAGGCATGTGGGTATGGAAAAGTCAAGACTCGGGATACCTCACCGTCTGCTCAGTAGCTCGATGTACAGCTATCATCCCACCACGGACTTAACTCGCCTTGCTAGGTCTCACCGTGTCCTTCGCGTCTCGGATTTCGAAGGGACTTGTTTCTTGGAATAGGTCCGGGGCAAACGGACGACCCCCACTCGTGGCCCCTCTCACGATCGTGGAGCCAAGAATCTCCCCACAAACACCCTGCACACCAAGAGTTTTGGAAGGGCGGGTGGCCTGACAGAAATGCCAAGAGAGTCTCGAATAGCTTCGAGTTCCATCTCATGTCAAAGCTCGCAACAAGCTTTGACCAAGCTTTGTTCTGTGACCAACCAACATCTGCCGTTCTCTCGGAACAGCTCTTTAGTTGCCGCGGGCCTTTTGTTTCTAGGATACTCCCGAAGTGGACTATCAACGATCCTCGCGTCGGTCGTCCGAAGGTGTCAACGATCCAGGGTCTATCAGAACTAATTCCCGCAGACCCTACCCAAGGGTCTCTATGGGTCAGCAAAGTCTCTCTCGCGGATGGTCTGGGTTGAGTTGGCAAGCGATGGCCCTTTTCCTGTCGAATATCTCATGATTAAACGCCGGAATATTAACGATGTCCGGTATCAAACATTCCATTTTCCGCATTCGTAAGGGACGTGCTGGCCTCTTGATTGGTGCAGTCATCCGGGAAGATTCGGAGGTTATTCCTTTGGAGCATTTCGAGCACTATGATATCACCGTGGAGAGATTTTGAAACTCATGTCAGCAGAGAATATCCTTGAACTCGAATATGGCGCTCAATATTGAATTGGCCTTCATCGCCCTACATCTCTTGGACTATATATTACCTCTAGTCTCACTGGTTTACTTTCAGTTATTCTTATCCTCACACTCATCTCCGCTCTCAGATGCGCCAGTGAAACAACCTTCTTGGAACATTTATCGCTAAATAAGATTTCACCATCAACACCTTTACACCTCGGTCCAGGAGACCAGTAAAGGCTCTCAATATACCAAAAACCAACAAAAAATCACAGCTTAGACCAAACACTTTGATCTCTTACCGAACGAAAAAAGACACCCATTGGAATTTTCACACATATCTCACAACACCACCAACGACATGATGTCGGAGAAGAACGAGACAGCGGAACACAGCCAAGGAGATCACAGCGACACTGCCGACCATGAAGGTTTAGACCACAAGCCCGCCTACCCCGATGAAGCAGAAGTAGACGTCTTTGGGGGTGAGGGTGGAGCGAACTTCCGTACTATGGGCCGCTTCGATACCGTCTTTGCCCTCCTGACCAACCAGTTTGGTCTTGGAGCACTTGCTCTCCCTTCAGTTTTCAAGACTCTTGGTCTTATTCCCGGTCTTATCACTCTCGTCGGCGGAGCCGCCATCACTTACTTCAGTGGTGTTGAGATTTTCTGGTACTACTTGGCCCATCCCAAAGTCACCAATATCGCTGAAATGATGAAGATCGTGGGAGGCCGCCCAGCAGAGATCTTTACTGGCATTGGCCTATTATTGCAACTTATTATGACTGCTGCCTCTGCAGTTGTTACTATCTCTATTGCTTTGAATGCCATTAGCGAGAATGCTGTCTGTACTGTTGGCTATATCGCTATTGCCTGCATTCTTTGCTTTATTCTCTGCATTCCCCGGACTGCTAAATTCTTGGCTCAGTCTGGCCTCCCTTGTATCCTTAGTATCCTTGCCGCGTCTCTTTCTACTATGATCGGCCTCGGTATAAGCAACCCTCCCGGAGCCCCAGAAGGCTGGAAACCCGAGATTGAGCTTTTTGGAACTCCTACCCTCCGCGAGGTCTTCAACTGCGTTCTTAAGATCCTCTTTGCCTTAGCTGGTAACTACGCCTTTGTTACTTATATGGCTGAGATGAAGAACCCTGAGAAGGACTTTATTTACTCTCTCAGATGGTTGATGGGTGCATCTGTTATTTTCTATGCATTCATCGCTATCACTGTCTACTGCCTCGCTGCAGAGTTTACCGCCTCCCCTGCTCTTAGCTCCGCCCCTATTATTGCTGCTAAGGTAGCCTACGGACTCGTCCTCCCCGCTATATTAACTGACGGTCTTGCTTGCGGCCATATCGGTACCAAGTATGTCTATATTACTATTATGCGTCAGATCAATGCTCTTAAGGAAGTTACTGCAAATACCCCTAAGTCATGGGGTATCTGGATAGGTAGTAATACTGCCTTCTGGATTATTGTCTTTATTCTCTCCAATACTATTCCTGTTTTCGACTCTATTATTGCCGTTAGTTCGGCTACTACTTACGCTTGGTTTACATATGGTATTAGCGCTTTCCTCTGGCTACACCTGTATAAGGGACGCTACTTTGAGAACTGGAGGAGTATTATGCTGTTTACTGCTAATATTGGCTTTATTGTTTTCTCATTATTTTTAAATAGTAGTGGACTTTGGTCTTCTATTACTGAACTTTTAGATATTTTTGCTACTTCCTCGAATATTCGAGGATGTTTTAGCTGCGGTGATAATTCTTTTATATAAGATAGTAATAGAGAGATATTCTTTAGAATTCAAAATAAATTAGATTAAAACTTAACGCTTAAGGTTAGGAAAATAAGAAGAGTCTAAAATACTTTTTTTAATTAAAGCAAAGTCGAAGAATTCTTTTTATTTAAAGCAAAGTCGAAGAATTCGTCTAAATTTCGGTCCGTCTCATGCCAAGTTAGAGATAATACCTTTAGCTGGACCCTTGGCCCATTGAGTAGCATCTCCGTTGGAGGATTCGAGTGGATGCTGGACTTTTTTATAATTGCTCGGGAAAGTGGGTAGTGTGCATGGGGAGAGGTGCCAACATCGTAGGGAAAATTTTTGTCAAAAAGGTCGCATTTTTATGTGATATGGAGCTCATACAAGTACATGCAAACAGTATAGAGCTGATTGAAAAGCGCAGAAGGCTCTTTCAAATACGCGATGGCAGGAAAGGCTTTAGTGGTGTATGGGACGAATAAGTCAGCAAGACCAACAGTGATCATGCTGATTATTCGACCGAAAAGATGAAAATGAAAAAAAAAAAAACGTAACGATCAGGTCTTCCTCCCATAAAGTATTAAGCCACGATAGAGGAAAGTCGTCATCGATGGATCCGCTTTCTAATTGTTTATCCAAGGCAGGTATAGTTTCCTTTCTACTAGGCTCACCTATCAAGCCCGAAACCGATTATGCCATCGTTCTTTATCCCCTCCGGCGGTCAAACTCTGTTGGATGCCTGCCCTGCCTCCAGGCGACGTCAGTTCACTCTTGTTTGGTCAGACTATCGTATCTGATGCTAACTTCTCGCAGTTGAAGCGATGGTGTTAGGAGTGTAGAAGAAGGATGCCGACAAGGGGGCTGGGCGATGGAGATGAGGTGGTTCGTCAGGGTTTGATGTCGACTTCGCTGTGCAACCTGCTGTTGGAAGTGTGGGCAGAGGAGGTCAATTGGCCAGGCATTGAAAAGGGCACACATAAACCAACAAACCCGCTCGCCTCAGGTATAAGTCTCGCAGAGGACCAAGATTGCGAAAGTTGAGCCGGGTTCAGAAGTGACCACGCAAAAGATTTGTTTGAAGACAAAGCTGAGCGTAAGCTACTGAGAAGGCATCATATGTCCAAAACGATTGCGGTGATTCGGCAAATACCCACTTCTGCGATTCAGCATCGCATTGAAGGGAGCATCCAGAGCGCCTCAGAACCCAAGTCATCATTTGATTGCCCTTGCCTTTTGTTCAGGCTCAAGCAATCGATAGAGCGAGCACCTGCGAAATCGAGAAATAGCGAAATTTCCCGATGCATTGAAGAAACCACTGAGTGTGCTGGTTCAAGTAGATAATAAAGAAGGAGCGAGAGAACGTGGCCATTTCGCGATGCTTTTCTTCTCAAGATTTGCAGTTTCTGGCTATGGATGTTGCACAACTGCCAAGGCTTCTGCTGAGGGTGGTTCTAAACGTCTCCTTGAAGATAGTTGTTGGGGTGAGAAGAAAGAAGACAGGAGACAAAAGGTATGGGCACCAGTCTATACAACTGAACCCAAGGACCAAGGTAAGCAACAACAACTCCTTTAGATATTATGACGCGCTCCAGACCTTACTACGGGTTTTCCCTCTTTTCTCCTAGACTCTTTCATTAGATACTTTATTATAAGTGACTAAATCTAGGTGATGATATTCGACATCTGCGGAAAAGAATCCCAATCTCTCGAAGCAGACACTTAGCGGTCTATACTTTCCAGGACAATTGAGATCTAATTTAGTTAACTCTGCTTAAGAATAGAAAAGAGGGATTATTATAATATTAGCTTGAGCTCAGTTATAGTACTAATAGTTATTAGAGCTTAATATTAAAAAGAATTAGTTAAGAAGAGGCTAAGTTATTTAGAGAGGACTTATAACTTTTATATTCTTAAATTTAATATAGTATTAAAAAGTATTTTACTCTATAATATATTAAAAATACCTAAAAGCTTATATTTATACTGTTTAATAATCTGATTTTATAATACTTATTTTAAGTAATATATCAAGAGGTACGGTGCCCTAGTACACACATACCCAGAGGGGGGACTAGAAGCTCAACAGTAAAAAAAAAATACCAACAATCGTATCAACAATATTAAGTAATATATATAATAAGTATATATTATATTTAAGTATATATAGGAAGAGGCAGATTTGGAGGGAGTCGATGCAGGGGACTAAGAGTTAAGGCCGCCCAGCCTAATAGTGGGGGCGTGCATAATTTCTTCAGTTTTCAAACTTAATCCTCATTTCTATTAGATCCAGTTTCAGCCTCTAGGATCCAATAAGCACTAGTATTGTCAGACAATTAGGGATACTTCTCGTGAACGAGGTTGTAAGGCTCGGCTAACATCCAAGCACCCCATAGAGCAGACGTTCCTTATCCTACTTCAAGACAGGTCACTTGGCACTTCTTACGCCAGGGGGAACCGAATGCTACGCACTTTAGGTATCATTTATGCATCCCCTGGCCAGATAGTTACTCTTAGCCCGTCTTCTGAGCTCGCATTATGCTACAATTTGTGCCGCAAGTATGGAAACTTAATTAAGCAAGTAATTATTGGTCCTTAGAATGACTGTATAGACTAGCCTGCGTGATGGCATAATCTCGATATGAACTTAATTGTCTGTAAGGAGATAGGAATAAACAGACTACAAATTTATATTGATAGAAACTTTTAATTTTCACTTAATTATTGTGCAGTCTGTGATTCTGTTAGCCGGAGAGGTTGCAGAGGCTGGTGTGGGGCTAGTGTTATCGGCTTTGTCCCAGATCTGGGACGATGGTCCTAAAAGTGGTTCTGCAATTCGCTCCGCCCTTCTCAGCCCATCTCAGCCCAAATGCAGAAATCCTCAGCCTTCAGTTGGTAGCGCTCAGCATAAAGCGGCGAGTACTCATCTTTAGAAACGGAAATAGATTTCAGTATGCTTGAGTTTCGCCTCCGAGTATCTCGGTATAATGAGTTGCTGCCACCGGGTAGATCATGCATCCCCCCCCCCAGTTCACTGTATATACTAGGATCTTTTGAATATATTTATCTACAATTATGCATCCCTATCCTTCGTTATCGAACAATTACCAAGGCCTGATCCGGTATTAACGCGCTTAGTACCACTGAAGGCCGCCTAAAAGTCAGTTTCCGGAAGTCAGGCAATGCAAGCTGATAGAGTCCTCGTGAACTTACACTTTGACAAGCCGCTCGCCTTATGTTATTCCTCCTTTCGGCTCTGAGATACCCCCAACTTGCTGCATCATCCATTCTCATCCGTTGTATCTCATCCTATCAAAACAGCACTGCTCTTAGACATTTCGAAACCATCCCGATAGCTCTCAAATTGTGATTACAATCATCGTCGAAACATGTCTCTCATGAACTCATACATACCCAAACTGCAATACAAGCAAGTTCTTAAGTGACGTTCACGTTTTGGTCAATTCCTCCCAAACTGCCAGCCACGTCATAATGTCTAGTGATGACGCCACACACATATCTGGATGGTTTAACCTCTGCAATAAGGTCCCCTGTCTAAGCTGGGATTCAGGTGAGACCTAAGGCTAAGACTCTTTGTCCGACCCGTCAGAAGGTCTAGGATCCGGCGACTTTTGCGTGAGGACCGGTGTATGACGTAGTATGTAAGCTGCTGAGAACTTTGGATGCTAGAACTGAGGACGAGTCAACTCAAATTCCCTGCCATGATCCCACTACGATTCCCCACTACCCAATAAACTCACTGCATAATGGTGACTCACTCTGGGCGATAAGACATAAGCGCGGGGTTGAACCTCCATCCGCATTTTCCCGGGGCACAAATGGCCACACGGCTAATCGGATGATATGCAGCTCGGTCCGTGAAGCCGCGTGTCCTTACTAATTATCATCTGGCAAAATAGTATATATTCTCCAACTCGGGTCCTTCAACTCCGGAGAGTGACAAAGATTACAGTTGCTTGAGTAGTTACCCAACTCTCTAAACATGGAGCCATACACCATTGACCCGGTGAACCAGCATGAGAATTCGATCAAATTGCTTGAGCACTTTCATGCTTATCGGGTCGCTTATAAATACATCAACTCCCAACCTATCCATGCGTTCTTCGTCATACCCAAGGAGCGTCCACAGGGCCCGCGTCCACTTCTGGTGAGATACCATGGCGGAGGGTGGACGGAGGGAGAAGCTGAGGCTTCCTTGAGACCATTGTAAGAAAACCTGTACATATTAGATTTTATGTAAGATAGTATTGACACTATACCAGCTTTCTTGAGATGGCGCTTAAACATGGCGCCGTGATCCTCACGCCGGACTACCGCCTACGCCCTGAACACGAGATTACGGATGGGCTTGACGACATTCGCTCATTCTGGCAATGGATTGAACAGGGAGATGCGCAGCAAGTTGTGCACAAATCCTACCCAGACCTAGAACTAGACGTGAACAATTTGCTCGTCGGTGGTGAAAGCGCTGGAGGATATCTGACCTTGCAAACGGCTCTTCTGCCCCTCACCAAACTGCCGATTAACATTCTCTTCGTGCAGTACCCAGCCGCTGATGTTGCAGGCTGCATCAAACCACCGGATCCTGATGGGGATGAGGTGCCCGGCGCATGGATGCATCCCTATCCATACTCTATTGTCGAGGAGCACCTCGCAGCGCTAGAGCCGGGCAAGATCTGCACGCGTGCGAAGTTCGGCAGTAGGATGACTCTGCACTTCGCCTTGACCCATGCCAGCCGACTGGTTGATATCTCTGGTGATAAGGCATGGCTTGATCCTATGAGTAGCCTCGACACAGCAGGTCCGCTGCCACCTATTCTACTCTATCACTCCAAGGAGGATGAAGCTGTAAGTACCCACCCATTCGAGGAAGCAAGGCTAATAGAGGATACGCAAAGATACCATGGCAGCACACCGAACGCTGGGCTTCTAAAGCTAAGAAACTACAGCCGGATGTACCTCTTTTTCTCACTTGGCAAACTGGGACTCATACATTTGACGGAAACCATACCATGGCAACCCCATGGCTTAAGGAGCCTCTAGAGTTTGTCCAGCAATACTGGCCAACTAAATAATAGTGCGTGGGAGATCTTTGGACTTTGAATTGCGAGGTGTTATCGTCGCAAACCTTGCTTTTGCTGGGAAGGGACCTACGGCGGGCAAACTTTCACAGGAAGTTCTGTCATGTCTTGGGACTGCTGGCTCAACCCTATTAATCAGTCTGTGAGATTAGCGAGAGAGGAATTTTGGTACAGCATGACACACTATCTACTTCATCATTACGGTCGTGGCGGTCGTCGCATCGTCTTAAGATATGATCAATTGCTAATATTTTTGGCCCGAATTGTAGAATTCGTTACTGACCTATCTGATTCGACGTTACCCTGAGCGGTATCGATCATCCTTGTTCATTCATGGGGGATGGCGGGTCCAGGTTTCCCAAGGCGAATTGATAGCAAAACAAAGTAATACCTCAAGGCCAGTTTCAATGTAAGCCCACTAATGGCGACTCCTTACCGATCAGCTTTGCCAAGTCACGAATACTACCTGTCCCTCTAAGTACCATAAGAGGCAAATCAGTGCGAAGATAGGCCACGATCCAGTTCCTCATCTCCACCGCGATCAAAGAATCCACGCCATAATGATCCAGACTGTTGTCGGCGCTCAGCATGTCCTTAGGTGTGGCAATCAATTTTGCAAGCTGCTGAAGTAGGGCCCCGGAAATAACGTCGACCGCAACTTCAAACGTGGCTGCGTTATCAAGCTGCGCCAGAGTATCGTTTGTGTCCGCCGCCCTAGCAGTATGCGACTCATTTCGTATCTTGACGACGTGGGCGAACCTCGTCTCTCGTCTTTTGGCCTGTTCATTCGAGTCCTCCGAGTACGGCGGTGGAGATATCGCACACACGCTGCTGCTTGGACCATTCCTGTCCGACTTGTGTAGGATGGCGTAGTTCAGCATGGAGAGCACCTGGGAGATGGATATAGCCCCGAATCCGCGACGTTGAACCTCTTTGGCCACGTCTGGTCTCTCGCTCAACCAACCGACATTGCTAACTGGGCCAATATTCATGGAGAAGGCATGGAGCCCAGAAGCCACACGCTGACGCACAAGTTCGTCTTGGAAGCAGCATGCTGCTGCGTAGTTGGCCTGCCCGTCATTTCCAGAGATGCTGATGATGGACGACATCACGATGAAGAAATCTACATCCTCCCGGAAGCAATTGTCCAAGTTTTTGGTGCCTTGAACCTTAGGGCCAAGTACGTTCCACCACCTCTCGGCAGACATTTGCTCAAATAACCCATCCTGCGACATGTACGTGTGAGATTATATTCCAGTTTCGTGCCTGCGTTTCTGGACAATTCTGGGGACAAGACTTACCTCAAAAACCACGGAAGACTGGATGACGCCGCGAATTGGATACAGACCGTCTTCCTCCTTGAAGCGACGTGCGATGAGAGCAACTTCAGCTTCTAAAGTCACATCACACTTCTCAGCGACAAGATTGACCCCTTTGGACTTGATCTGTTCAACGAAGTCGAGATTCTGCTGGCTCTTGGCGCCTGAGCGAGTGAGTGAGACAATGTGTTTGGCGCCATTGTCTGCCATCCATTCGATTGCGGCGCGTCCAATACCACCAAACCCACCGATGACTGCGTACGTGGCATCTGGTTGGAATTTTGCGACTTCTGGAGCAGGTGGAATGGCCTTGTATCTGTTAGTCAAGAGAACTCGTTTCCCAAGGCTTCGAATACCATCGTGATAACTTACCATGACTTCTTGATTTGCTTCGACACTCAGGATGATCTTTCCATGATGCTTACCGGCCTGAATAAGACGAAATGCGGCCTCGATATCAGACATGGGCATTGATGTCAGCCGCACCGGACCAATGGACCCCTTGGCCAGAAGAGCCACTGCATCATGAAGGATGCGCCTGGCCAGCGACTTATTAATATCGATGATTTGCGCCATGTCAACATAGTTGAATGTAATGTTCTTGAGAAGAAAGCCCATAGGCATTAGTGCATCATCCATAAGCTCCTTTCTTCCAATTTCGACAAATCGTCCAAAAGGAGCCATCAAATTGCAAGAATGACGAAACATCTCCCCAGACAGAGAGTTTAGAACCACATCGACGCCGTGGTCACCTGTCATATCCTTGATTCTTCCGTAAAAGGCCGTAGTACGGCTTGAGAAGATATGATCGTGGGGGATTCCGAAGCCGTCATGGAGAAGCTCTCGCTTACTCTGGCTACCGACAGTAGCAAAGATCTCAGCCCCGATATGCTGAGCCAACATGATGGCAGCCTGGCCCACGGCGCCGGCTGCGGAGTGAATGAGAATCTTATCACCCTTAGTCAGGCGGCCCATGTCAATAAGAGAGTAGTACACCGTTGCCCATACAATAGGGACGCTGGCGGCCTCGTCAAACGACAGACCTTCGGGAATAGTCTCGCAGCAGTCTCCATGAACGACAGGATAGTTTGTGTATGATCGTGAATAGAGGGCTAATACCCGATCGCCAGCTTTGAACCGGTGCCGCATGTTGGCGCCAACCTCGACGACGACGCCGCTGCAGTCGTTGCGCATGCTGGTAATTCCTGGAAGCTGGCCCGCAGCTATGAGAACATCTTTGAAATTAATACTGGCGGCGCGAAGCTCCAATCGTAGCTCATCGTCACCAAGTGTCGACCCTTCCAAGTCATCCTTCCATCGAATTGTCTCAAGTAAGCCAGGAATTCCCAGCTCGGCTGTGAGAGTTCGGCCGCGGTCTAGGAAGGGAGTCATGGTGGTAGCTGACGTCTGATGCATTCTGCAAATGTAATCAGTGACCGCCTGTGAGGGCTTCACTCTTGAAACGTGGAGTTGGCCATCAACCTCAATGAACTCATTTTCTGTTTCGTATGCAGGCCGCGTAAAGTCAAAGACTGGGGTACGCTCCATCAGACGAGGCAAGTATTCAGAGAGCTTTGTAAAAATGTCTCCGTCTTCAAAATCCATTGTAAGAAATCGGATATGAGGGAACTCCTGACGGATGGATCGGGCGAGCCCAGTCCAAATGGCTCTGTGTGCGTTGTCATGCCCCTTCGTAGTGCTATTGTTACTGACGAATAACACAATGCGAGCTTTCAACAGCCAGTTCTTGAAGCTCAGCCAGCATGACGTCTCGGGGTTGAAACACATTTTTCGAGCCACGTCTGGCAGGATGATTGCCATGTTGTGTCCGGAAGAAGGCTCGGTCACCGAGTGTACTGACACCTGCAACTCTGGAAGAGCAGCCATGATCGGGCTCAGGCGGTGGTTAATCGCCATAACTTCCGAAGGATCGCGATCGGTCGTAACAAAGTCCATCCGTGGTACGACATCTGGCACGGAATTCCAGGGCACCTCTGCCATGAAGACGCTCAATGCACTCTGTTCGTCTGCGACTTCGCTCTCAAAACAGACGTTTGGGTCAAAGAACCCTGCCTCCTTCAGTTTGACCAACCAAAGCTCGCGCGGAATGACTGGAGACAGCATCTGAAATTCCTGACCTTTTTCTTGCTTGAACATCTGGGCTTCGAACAAACCACACAGAAGGTCGTAGTGTAGCGTCTCTCGCGTGACAGCGATGAGGATGAGCTTTGCACCTGGCTTCAGCAGTCCCTTGAGTTCAGAAAGGACCGAGTCGATACTCTCAACGCTCTTGACGGCGTGAGAAGCAATGATTAGGTCATAACTGGCTGTTTCAAGTCCTTGTTCGGTCATGCCAAGATCCCAATCTCGAAGCTCCAGCACATCCTCGAGATTACCAAGCTCCTCCTTGACAGTCTCAAAGCAGCCTGGAGATATGCCGGCCAGGTCGCATTTGCTGAGATAGCGGCCCTCTCTTCCATTGAATGCATTCACAATAGGTCTTGCGCCAGCCGTGATGGCTGGGCCAACCATGAGCGCTTTCAACCGAGGTGTCAGGCTGCCGAGCGCGTGGCAATATTCCGCTATGTGGTGGATACACTGCTTGGATTCATCTGAGTTGTACACTTGAGCGAAGTCCTCTGCAGTAATCAACGACAGCAGAGAAACCTTTTCTGCAAGGATATCTGCCAAATGAGGACCAATCTTGACCAAAATGCTTTCGAGGTCGGTGGCATCCACGACTTCCGGATTCTTGGATAAAGGCGATGGGCTTGATGCTGAGCTCTGTGCCCAGGTTTGCAAGCGGCGGACAATGGGTTTGTACGTATCCGGAATCTCGGCCAACTTCACTGTTGACAGTGCTTCCTGTATATACCGCACCGCAATACCATCCAAGTATTGACTCGATCTCAAAGGTGTCACAGGCGATGCTCTTGTCTGGCAGAATCTGTCTCGACTCTCCGGTTGCCAGCTGTCCACGTAGGGAACCCAATCAACTGCGAAGCAAACATCTTCAAAGCTCCTGGGAGCGTCCCCTGGCAATTTCGTGACGCTTACTCCTTGGGCTTGAATCAAAGCATCTTCAAGAAGGCCAGAGTCTTGAATGACGATGTCATATGTGTATCGATCCTCTGGGTTGCTGACTGCAGTGCTGACCAGCTCTGTGCCGGATGCCACAGGCTTATTGACAACTCGCATCTCCTTTATGAAAGTTGGGACAGCCGGCGAACCAAGACCAGTTTCGAGGAGAAGGTATGCGAAGTAACCTTGGAATAAGGTGGAATCCAGCAAAGAGGCGTGGAGAGAGTCCCCTGCACCACTCTTGGTAGGACACATAGTTGCGCATGCAGTAGCCATCGACGCACCGTTGCCAGTTCTTATGTCAGACAAGTTGTCAAAGGGCTGCTGCCAATCAATACCCACCTGCCGACTGAGGTGGTAGAATTTGCTTGGAGTGACCCGGCGAGAGCATGTGGCGCCTGCGTCTTGAATGCTTCGAAATGGGAGAATCACGTCATGACCCTCTTCTTTTTCAGTGATGGCTCGGACTAGGCCTCTGCAATGCTCTGTCCACTTGTCTTCAGGTGATGTTGAGAAGACTCGGAACTCGCTCCAGATAGGAGATGAGTCTCGAGCTGACGTTGATTGCGGGCGAAGTGATAGCCCAATCTCCACGTTGGGGCCATCCTCGTGGAGAAGGAGTGCCTTTCCGATGTTGACATTTCGCAGAACAACACTCTCGACTTGAGCTGTAGGTTTCATCGCTTGGGTGTGTTGTTGTATGGCCTGTATTGCCATGGTGAGGTAGCCGGCAGCAGGAAACACGATTTGTCCCTGTACGATGTGATTTTTGAGCCACGGGCTCTGCTTTAGAGACAAGAAGTGGCGCCAACGTGGTTCCAAGTGATTCCCCTCTGGTGAAAGTGCACCCAAAAGCTCATGTGGCAGATATTTGCGATTTTTGTAATTCTTGGACACTCTTGATTCATGCCAGAATGTTCTTGCATGATCAAATGGGTATGGAGGAAGGTCCACCAATAGGCTCGGTGGAGAGTGGGCCTCATATCTGTTGAGCTGATGAAGCGGGATTAAGCGACCTTGGATGCATAACTGCGACAACGTCTCGAGTAGTGCCACCTCAGCATTCTTCCCTCTTGTCAAACAACTCATATACTTGATCTGGCTGTGGTCCTTGGGACCTTCCTTGAGGATTTGTTTGACTGGCCCGCCCATCTGTGAATGGGGACCAAGTTCAAGAACAACATCGAGCTTCTGACCGTCGAATGTCTGCTCGATCACTTGAGACAAAGCTTGTGTGAATAGTACCGGACTCAAGAGATTCTTGGTCCAATAGCTTGTAGATATTTTACTCAGGTCGGAAAACTCTTTGCCAGTGACTGTGCTGAAAAAGCGACTCTTCGCCTCTTGCGACATTGGTTGCAGATTTCCCAACAACTCGGCGTATGACTTTTCTATCGCCTCCATGTGATGTGAATGGTAGGCAGCCCCATTTGTCTTCAGTTTGCGGTTGAAATAGCCATTTGAATCAAGGGCATTCTTCAATTCGTCGACGGCAGTTGCATCCCCAGAAACAGTGACACTGCGAGGACTGTTGAAGCAAGCTATTCTCATTTTCCCGTGCTCTGCTGTCGTCCTGGCGATATGCTCTTCAACAATCTCTGGAGCAATGCCAACCGCAAGCATAGCGCCTAGTCGATGCGATTCGCCTGCAAGCAGCTCGCTGGTGACCTTGCCACGGAAGTACGAGATGGCCATGGCATCATCAAACGAGACAGCACCAACAGCGTAAGTGGCTGCTATTTCTCCACTGGAGTGTCCGACAACGGCACATGGCGAGATACCAAATTCAGCCAAGAGATCAACTAAGGCGAGTTGAATAGCGGTACACGACGGCTGAGAAATAGCGGGCTCATCGATGCGAGATGCCTCTCCGGACCGGCTGAGTTCTTCCAGGAGATCCCATGAACAGCCAAGGCGACCAAGATGCTCTCGCGCTTGTTCCATTGATTGCCGAAATCTTGGGTAAATGAGGAGATGACGACCCATCTCGGCATATTGGGCTCCTTGTCCGCTGAAAACAAAACCAATGCGTGGCTCGCCTTTGTTCTGACATTTGGGGATCGAAGATGATTCGGAGACAACCAACTGCTGGAGCAAGTCTTGGATGTTCGACGCAACCAGTGACATTCGGTAAGGATGAACGCTTTGTTTTCCCAAGGTGTGAGCCAGGCGGGGGAGTAACAGGTTCTCGTTTCCTCCTCGACGGTGTGCAATCAGGTATCGACTCAACCCCTTGCACATCGTCTGAAGAGATTTCTCACTTGCCGCGCTCAGGAAGAAGACGCGTTGAGTTTCCTTGCAATCCACAGGGGATAGTCTTTGGTCTAAAGACGGGGAGGATAACAACCAGGTCGACAGCATGCTTGTGGCTTCATCCACGATGACGTGGGCATTTGTTCCACCATATCCGAAGCTATAATGAGACTTATTAGCATGGCAAGTGTGTCGGAGGTGTAAAACCATCATGTTCACGCACCTGTTGACTGAAATTCTGCGAAGTCTTTTCTCTTCTAACCTGGTCGGGATCTAAAAAATCTTAGCCACGAACAGTCAAAGGCAGAAAAATTGCAAAACTCTGCTCCAAGTACTTACTCTCATATTCCACTCATCGAGTAAAATTGCCGGGTTCGTAATTTTGTAATTCGCTTGCGGTGGTATCATTCCTTTCTCAAGCATGAGAACGGATTTGATCAAGCCTGCGAGACCAGCAGCGGCTTCCGTGTGGCCAATGTTCCCCTTCACGGAGCCAATTGGCAACGGTCCGGCGGATTTGTTGTGTTGCTGGAACGCAGCAGCAATTGCGCTGACTTCGATAGGATCACCGACCTTGGTTCCGGTGCCATGCGCCTCGACATAGTCAGCCTTCGGAACCATTGAAGCTTGTCTATAAGCCCTCTCAATTGCCTCAATCTGAGCAGCAGCGCTGGGAACCGTCAGACCTGGTGTTCGCCCGTCTTGCGTAACCGAAGAGTTGCGAATCACGGCTCGGATGTGGTCATTATCCCTCAAAGCCGCTGATAGAGGTTTCAGCACCACGCCAGTGCAACCCTCGCCGCGTCCGTAGCCGTTTGCACGGGCGTCGAAGGAGAAGCACCGTCCCTCGGTAGAAAACATAGACAGCTTACTCTGATACACAAAGCGCTGGGGGTCAAGAAGCAAGTTGACGCCGCCGACAAAACATTGCGATGCTTCGCCACTCCGCAGACTGTGGATGGCTTGATGAAGTGCTACCAAGCTTGACGAGCACCCGGTGTCGAGAGTGAAACTCGGACCATGCAAATTGAAGAAGTAGGAGATACGGTTAGAAGAAATGGCTGGGCCAGTCCCGGTCACCAGATACTTTGGAGGGTAAAGGACGTCCCGTGTAGCAACCTCGTGGTAGTCAGTAGTCCATTGGCCAACGTAGACACCAGTTTTCGACCCCCATAGCGAATCTATGGTGATTCCAGCATTCTCAAATGCCTCGTATGCAATCTCTAGCAGAAGCCTGTGCTGCGGGTCCATGGCCTTGCGAGAAAGTTAACATGGTCCCATGGTTGAGGCCGCACCGCACCACAGAAGTGTGACTCACTGAAGCTTCCAATGCGTTGAGGCCAAAGAAAGATGCATCAAATGCGCGAACATCTCCTTTGAGAAAATGTGCTCCCAGAACATTGGTCTATTTGTGAGTAAATACAAAAGGTGATTAGCCCGTTGCGCTTAGTGTAGAGAAGTGTTCCCTGTTCCGAACTTACACTGTCGGCAGTTTCTCCGGATGCATCTTGAAATGCCTTCATGTTGAAGTGGCTTCCTGGACCCGGTGTCCAAGCGGTTCGCCCGTTGCGAAGCATTTCCCAGAAGCCAGTGAGATCACTAGCACTGCCCGGTAGACGACAGCTCATGCCTATAATAGCAATAGGCTCGATGGGTCGCGAAGATCCATGGCTGTCGTCATTGGAGTCTTCATTGGAGTTATCGATGACTGACCAAGGTGAGGAACTGCCACTGTCTCCGCTGGGCAATGTACCACGGATGCTCGTTGGATCATTACCATCAGCAGAAGAGGTGGTCGACATGGTTGGGTTTGCTCAAGTGCGAGTTCAGAGTACGATGTCCCGAGCAGTGTCAAATAAATCACTGTAGGTAATGATGGATATTGAGCAGATGTACCAGCCTTTAGATACTAAAAGTCTACGCTTATCGTTGACAACAAGGAGGTGCAAAGTCGTTGGGCAATGTAAATGTCTCAGTTGAGTATGGGTAGGATTATTTCCTGTTGACGCGGCACAGAATCATACAAGCGTTGGCCCAGACTCGCTCAAATGGACCATTGCTTACTTTTGTCTCACTTGCGCTTTGACTTGGTTAAATAAGCTAACACTTCAAGATCGGCGCGGAGCCATAAAATATACACACAGGCATAGTACGTCAACAGAATATACCCAGATATCAGACAAAGGATGATCTTGTCTTTCGTCTAGGAATGAACAAAGCTAGCTACTCATACCTAGGGATCTGACTGATCCAGATGCCCTTGATTCGACGCCGGATGCCCTTGATCTAATGATGCCATCAATAGCCGATGATCTAGGTTGTTGAGGGCATCTAGGTTCGCAGGAAACCAGGATCCGGACCTATGCAAAGCTGACATTTCCCATCATGCTGTTTGACACGGATAGATACAAAACGAAAACTGTCCCTCATGTTAAGCTCATCTGTGGGTTGCGCAAGGAGTCAGGCTCAAATCCAGCCCAACTCGGCCGATCTCAAAGCCTAGCCCAGGTCGATTGAAGCCCCAGGGTGAGAAAGCGGAAAAGCGGACAAGCCACAAAGCTTTCATTGTTAGAATGTGGACATTTTCTCGTCGGTCTAGAGCGTGAAATATAAAGGCCCGTTTATCAAAGACAGCAATTTAAGTAGCACCTGTAGGTATATCAAAACTTTATCACTTGAGACTCAACTGGGTATCTTCAAGACACTTTCAGATGGTCACTACTTAAAATTAGGACAATGCGGCAAGCGTCGAACTAACACTGGAAACCATGGTGCCCTACTCACCGCTGGATGATCTCTAAGGGACTAAGTTAGAGGGGCCTCAAAAGCGGCCCGTAGTTAGCGGTGTACTCAGGATATGCCAATCAACTTGGCAAGCATAGATTGCCGATCAATGCCCTAAGACATGATCGCCAAGCCCTAGCAATCATAAGCACGCCTGACCTTTCCCCGCTAGGACTTGAGGTCGTCGATCGAAATCTGGTGGAAATTTGTCTCGGACTGCCGTCTTCCTGTAGAACAAGATTGCCGTCTTCCGGACAAGTACACATGCGCTTGGACTGAACAAGGTAAGTTGGTAATCAGCCACCTCGGCCTTGGTTCGGCGGAAGGACATGTTACGAGGAGACATGGCATGACACGAATGAAACAACATAATGTAGCCGTCACCAGATGTACAATGACGAAGACTGTCTCACCAACGCCTCTGTAAGCATGAATCGTGATCCTCAACAAATTTATGAGACCCTGATCTCGTAGAGTTCCGAGTTCCGCTGGATTCCGGATACAGCGCCTCCCTATCCCCAACTTCACGTACGGAAAACCTTTCCCATCTATGTTGCAGGAAATCCAAGTCTACAGTTTTCACCTTCCAATATCGCCTTCATTGCCATACATAGAAGATCCTCCAGCATCGACTATATTCGCCATTATCTTTTAGCAAACAGCCCCAACGGGTATCGTTTGCCGCCTATATCCAGTTCCCATCTACCTTGCTTCCAGAAACAGCAACGCCGACGAGATGTGTTGGGTCACCGAACAGACAGTCGTCAAGCCCAGCCAGCCACCTATCGACGAGGTTATCGAGCTGTCTATCTTGGACCAACACGCTTTGCGGATGTACTCCAAGTTCGTCATCGTCTTCAAAACGGAAAACGGAAACGAGGTGTCTGAGGATATTCAACATCTCAAAAACGGCCTAGGCAGAGCATTGAGTGAGCATCCTGAATTCGCTGCCAATGTCATACAGATGGCCGGCAGCACGAGAAAAGAACTGGAGCTCCAAATTGGGCCCGAATCTGGCGTACCATTCAGGATTGTCGACCATTCATCTCGCATTGATGATTCGGATCACTGTCACGAGCTCTTGCGAGGTCACAACTTTGAGAAACTTGAGAGAACCAACTTTCCCTTGACAAAGATCCCTGAAGAAGTTTTCTTTGTTGACAATGCCACCCCCGAAGGCGCTTATCCAACAGGGATACCCACGCTCAATGTTCAAGTGAATATCATTGACGGTGGTCTTCTTGTTGGTATTTCCTGGCACCATACGGTGACTGACGCAGGAGGAGTCAACACGTTTGTCAAGGCTTGGGCCAAGGCAACCAATATGTCATGCACCCATGGAGATGTCGAGGCTGAAGAGATTTCAACTGAGATGTCAGAACGATGGAGACTGAGCTATGGAATTCAGGGTGCTTCGATTGCAGACTTCCCTGAATATGTTGCCGATGCTTCTGCGCGTTCGCCAAACACTGGCCATCCCCATCTCCTCGACCGCAAGTTCTCAGTTCCATCTGATTCCCAAATCAGCATGTGGGAATTCAGTGCAGAGTCTCTGCAGGCGCTTGTCAATTTACTCAATGGTCCTGGCCAAGGAAACGAACAACGCTATACGCCAGTTGAAGCGCTCTCGGCCCTTCTGTGGAAACACCTCAGCCTCGCCCGACAGCTCAACATTTCATTTCCAGAGGATTCTTCTCTGTTCACCACTCGCATTGACTTCCGCCGTCGTCTTTCTCCGCCTCTGCCCCTCTCATATATCGGAAACGTCAACCAGCCTGTGCCACGAACTCGCGTCTCTATTCGAGAGCTTTGCACAGCATCAACCGCACAGTCGCTTGCGGACTTGGCTCAGCGCATTAGAGGCGCAGTTGCTGAGAACGACGACAAAATTGTCCGACAGCTCATAGGGTATGTCGACACTTTACCGGCTGTGACCGACCTCGCCCTGGAGTTTGACACCTGTCCAGGTCCGGATATTGCAATCACTGATCTTTCCGGTTTGGACGTCATGCACCAAATTTGGGGGAAGTGTCTCGGTCGCGCTGTTTGCATTCGAGGGTTTGTGCGATACAGAGGTTTTGCATCCCTTCTTCCGCAGGACCCCGAAGGTGGAACTCAAGTGCATGTTCAGTGTGAGGCGGCAGCTCTGGAGAGATTGAAGTCGGATCCGATTTTCACTCGATATGGCCAGTTTCTTTATTAGTCTTAGAGAAGGTACATATTTAAATGACTATTTCATTCGTTTGGAAATAATAATTGTTTCACCTCTGACAATTGAATACTCCCCGACCGTCCCTATTAATCATTAAGTATTTGCTCTCTTCCCTATCATTCCGCAGTCAAACCCCCGAAAAGTTCTCTGGGGAAACAGTCAATTCTTTTACTCCGATGCACCCCGATATGCAGCTGCAAAACTACTTAAACTCATTGTATCCTCAGCCGCATCAACATGACTCAAGTTCAGTGTGGGATATGGCAGGATTGGCGGTGCCTCGCGTCGTCCACCTCTATAAAATGGCTCGGAATCATCGTCGACCAAAACCACCATCCAAACACCAACAGTCCTATTTGAGCCGAGCAGTGGCGTGCAGTGAATCCAGCGACTACGGCCCGGAGACGCTGGAGGAGGCTGGCCACCGCCTTCACCGTGGCTCTGATGGTTCATGACACGCATGTAGTGACTCTGAGCATGTATGTCGGACCGAGAAAGCCAGCGCACCTTGGCACTCAGGCTGTGTCCGTCGGCAAAGGCCTGCGTGAGGCTGTCGCGGACGCGGTCGGAGCCTCCGATGCGTGACAGGAAGGGACTCTGCACCATGCCTGGGACACGCAGCGACGGCGACGCGAAGAGGATGCGTAGGTTGGGATACGGCCGGACGAGGAGATAGTGCTGGAAGATGCCGCTGAGGCGTCCGCCAGCGTTCATACTCACAGCAGGCTCCTGGAGGATCGGATCTGATAGCCGGCGGGTGATGGCGGCGTCGTCTTGGATCACCAGCCGCGGCTTGTTCCAGTTGGCTCGCACCGAGTCTGTATCCCTCACATTCTCCTGATGTGTGCGGTGTAGGGCACCACCCATCTCGCGGACCGTCTTCAGCTCGGACAGATCGAACATGGCAGCCAAGTCCCGAAACTCGTCGTTGTCATGGCTCGGTTGTGGTTGGATAGGCCCCTCACCTGGGTACTGCTCGGGGTTCTCCTGATGCATCAGCCTCGACAGCGACTCCAGTCCAGAGCACTCCTTGACGAGTCCAGAAACGTCGACCTGGGCGCCCAGGTGATAGCGTACGACGCCTCGAGAGTCATAGAGCGGAGCCACCATGAGGAGATTGACAAAGGGAGAGCCGTCGCGGCGATAGTTTAGGAAAGTCTCGCAGTGTTCTTGGCCGGCCTCGAGCTTCTCCCGGATTCTCCGCACACTGAATGGATTCGTCTTGGGGCCCTGGAGGAACCGACAGTTACGCCCTATCGCGTAGCTCATGCCGTATTGTGTCGTTCTGTGGAATTCTAGTTTTATCACCAGTCAGTTTCGTGCCATCTTGTTGGAATCTGGGTTAGGTTCTGGACTTTGACTGACCTTCGCTTGCAAAAACAATAGGGTTGTCGGGTCGTGACGGGTCTGACAGGCAGAACACCTCTGCGAGCCCTTCTGATAGATCCCGAAGATGCAGAGGCAGCGTGTCTGTGATTCTTCGCCTGATGGTAATACTGACCGTCTGGATCAACGTGTGCGTAATGTACGCTGGCAGGTCCTGGTTGGCCATGGCTTCAAAAGCCTCGTCTGCCCTCTTGCGTAGCGCATTGTTGACGGTAGCGGCGATAGGGTCCTCGGTGAAATCAAGCCCGCCAATCGTCTTCAGCGAGCCGATTAGAGCATTCGCATAGTCAATGGCCTTGAGCGCTTTGAGAGTATCCAGGTAGTAGGCCAAGATGGGCAACGAGTCTCGCCGCGACGTGGAGAGAAAGTTGGAGAAGCGCTGAAGCAGCACAGGGTCCTGGAATATCACCTCGAGGTGCTTGACGGAGAAGAGCAGCTCAGATTGCGTTTCGAGCGTGTATTGTTTGCCCAGCGCATGCGCAGGAACCACCAGGTCAAACGAGGCCGGGTCGAATTCCTCCTCGGTCAGCGGTTCGAGTCCATCGTTGTCCATGCCGCCTCTGGTTTGGAGGGCGGGTAGCGTCGAGGGCGCATGCGATGAGATGGACGATGCGTCTCTAAAGGACCAACGCGAGTCGTGTGAGCGGATGGAATTGGCGCTTCTCGAGCCCAAAGACGACGGCGTGCACCGCAAGTCATCTTGGTAGAAGCTGGAGACATAAGTGACTGTCAGTTTCTGTTTCATCCTGGTGTCATCGGCCAAGTCAGCGGATGGACGAACCTCAACTTGGACGACAGGCCATGCTGCTCCGTCTTTGAGGGTGTTTGCAGACTGTCTGATCTTAGTGGGATGTTGGACATTGTAGCGTTGTGTCGTCACAGTTGTCGCAAACGTGGTGTCTCGACGCGGCGGGGGGCAGTCAAGTGCATAAAGAAAGAAAGACAACTTACAGATGAGCGTCTTGCCTTACTCTAAGCTTATTTAATGAGAAGCTGTCAGGAACAGGACGCCGATGACGACCATGCGGCGGTAGTGACGGTACGCTAGAGCAGAACTTAACCGTGAGTAGACGTAGATCACGCTGGTCGCTCTCAAAGAGTTTCAATAGCGTCAATAAATGCTAACAAGTGCCAAATTACGAATTACGGGCTTCCCATACTGGGCTTAGATCGGCACTTCTCCAGCTGGACTAAGTGGTAGGTCTGCGCTAGAGCTCAACCCCTTGCGTTAGTGTCGATTCATTCTGCAAGATTCCCGATCCCGATAAAAAGGGATTTTGCTGGAAATCGCGATCAAAGCGTTAGTCTAGACGATCAATCCGTAGAGATCGGATCCAGCGTGTGGTGATCAGAGGGGACGGAATTGGCTCGTTCCGGCGGCTGATTCGCGCCTTCATTTCATCTTTTTCAGCTGATTTGGCTGCCACCTCGCAAGATCTACATGAAGTCCGCTTAGGGATATTTGCTAGAAATGCAATATTCAAGATGACCTATTCTGTGGTCGGCTTTACATGCCCTTCAGCTGGCCTTGATCTTGTTTTCGCATATCGCAATCACGTCCTTGTAAACCCCAGCTAGGCGACCAGACACGAGACTTAAACGTCAACCCTGAGCTCCGCGCCTACCCTAGACCTTCCTGTCTAATCCGAGCACGGCTGCCACAGCTATGAAATCTGGTCTATAATCTAATAACAAGTATAATAAATCTGAATTAGCTCTGAAAATGTAACGGGTAATCAAGTAAAAAGATGGATTAGAATCTAGCCTTGAAACCCTTGTCAAAAATGTGAGTCGCTACCTGGGAAAAGTAGATTGTGCACTTCAGCTCTGCCTCGTCCAAGCCACGAGGTATGGCTCGTGCGGAAAATATTCGGTACATCGTATTTCACCTTATCTGCAAGTGTCTCTCTCGAGTACTGTATACTCCGTGTAAATCGGGTGCAATGGGAGGCCCTGTAGTCTTTAGATTGGCAATACGAACCTTAGAGATGCCTACTTCTGTTTGGCGCTGAAAGAGATGTTCGGATCGTACGATTAATCTTCTAGCGTCTCGCCACTCACCGCGTCATAAGGGACTACCTCCTGGGAGGGAAGGGGTGCTGGTCTGATACGCAGGCAGGACCACCTTATTTTCGGCACTGGACAATCGACAGGAGGACGTCGTGGACTACTTGTTGGGAGAATGAAACAGAAGGCCGGCTAGTACACTACATGGAACCGACGTACACTATCCGGGTACTTGGCACATGAGAGATATGTTGCTAACCATGCCTTCCGACGGCTTAGACGAGTCGAAATTCCTTCCACCGGCGAGTCATCTTTTTATATGGTCCTTGGATCGGCACACACAAATTTCTCTTGCCTTTCGGAGAAAGAGTAGTGTGCATGGTATTTCTGCACCAGATATATCGCGTGTTCGTGCCACCAAATCACCCCAGAAGCCCGTGAACAACCCCATCGGAGGCGTTTCGTGAGTCAAATGATCTCGCAATTTTACGCTGGTTCTGGCTGATTCCTGCATTGACAGAGATCGTGGCGAACCTCCCAGAGCATGACCACTCATTCTTGATGAGTCTCGTCCGACTTCAGAACAGATCCTCGACTTAAAATTATCTGGGAAGTCCATGGACACGACCCTTAGCTGTTTGGGAATATTGTAGATCTGGCCGAATCCATCTCTCTCGATTAGTTTTGGCACATGCCTAGAAAATTTGAGGTTCCGCCGTCTCGAATGCAGTCCAAGTAGAAGACTGGGATATGACGACAGCTGGACAGAGTTGTATCGATGTTGTTTAACCAGCCTTTCTGGGGTCAGACTATGGGTTCCCATGATGCAGATAGGGACGGATGCCTTCTATTACATGTTCCATGATTGTGAGTAAAGAAAAAATAATGTTCACAATTCCTATGAGATCGCACTGCTGCCGTTCACATTCAATCTAGCTAGTTACGATGAAGAAAAAGCCAAACCCACGTACACTCAACTATTCTGACCCCGTTGCGGTTTGTACTCTCGAAGAATCCGCGCCAGAATGTAATACCCGTACCGATCCGCATACCTTGCCGCTTTCCTACACCTTGACTCGAGTAAGTCCACCTCCTTGTCGTTATCCAGGAGCAGATAAACAATATCAAGGTCCCCATACGAAGCAGCCAACTCGAGCGCAGTGGGAAACTCATCGCTTGATGTTTGAGCATTGATGTCGGCCCCTTTGTCGAGAAGCAGCTTAACCATGTTAAAGTCATCGTTCTCAATTGAACATTTCAAGGAATTCGTAACGACCCCGTGCTTGTCCAGTTGAGTGTTGATGTCAGCGCCGCAATTGAGAAGCAGTAGGACGAGTTCCATGTGACCTGCAAAAGCTGCCTCCACCAGCGCCGGCGATGAAGCATTGGCATCAATACCATCCTCCAACAATTCATGTGCGAAATTAAAACAACCCGCACGAATCGCTGCAAACAACATTACGCCTTTGTCCTCAATGCGTGCACCCGCATTGAGAAGAATCCTCACTAGTCCCTCTTCCTTTCCATAGGGCCACTCATGGAATTTCATGCAAACAGCCCACTCAAGCGCAGTGTAGAAATATTGACCGCCGGCAGGAGCATTGACATCGGCGTGGGCATCGATCAACAGCTGCGCAATCTCAGCGCTGCCGTACTTTGCTGCCGCTTGAATCGGGTAAAGACCCGAACAATCCGGTTTATTGGGATTGGCACCGTATTCAAGCAGCATTTCGGCTAACCAAGCAACCGAAAATTTACAGATAACACTCCAAGGACTGATCTTTGCGGATTTTCCCTCGGATACCAGGTTTGGATCTGCCCCGAAAGAAAGTAATAGTGAGCTGGTATCTTTCAGAATCTTGCATGGTTTGCAGACGAAGAATGCCCAGAAAAGAGGGGTGGCAATGACATCAGCCTCGACCTGGGAAGTGTCGGGTTCGCGCGAAAGTCGATCAACCTCAGCACCAGCTGTTAGGAGGCTCCGAATCATATCCACGTTACCCCTAACAGTCGCAATGGCAAGGGGCGTAATTCGAACACCCGGAGGGCTTGGGTTGGCTCCATGCAACAACAACAAGTGGAAAATGTCCCAATTGTTCTCCCTGATAGCGGTGCAAATGGCAGTCTCGCCTTCACTGACCAACTCAACATCTGCACCAGCGTCCAGCAGCATCTGAACTGCGGAAACACTGCCCCCTTCGATGGCCGCTTGAAGAAGTGTTCCCCTGATTCCTGGCATGTGTTCTGCTGAGCATAGAGCATTGATATGTACACCGCGCTCCAATTCTTGTTTGATGGTGGGTACGTCACCTCTTTGCGCAGCGACATGAATCGCAATCCAATACAGATGTGCAGTTGGAACCGAGTCATTGTCAACAAGAAGCCTTATCACATCCGGTTTTCCCGACATGGCCGCGGCTTCCAGTGAAGTCAACCCACCCTGAAGGGCAGGAGGACCATTAATGTCAGCTCCATGATCAAGGAGGAATTTAACCAAATCCGGGTCTCCTGTTTCTGCCGCGGCTTGAAGCGCAGTTCTTCCATTCAAAGGCCCAGGAGGGAAGTTCACATCAGAACCTGAATGAAGAAGAACTTGAACCAATTGCCGTCGAGTTTCCAAAAGGGGTATCTCAGGTTCTTCCTCGTTTCCCTCATCCTCGATGTCATCCTCGATGCCCTCCACGTACTCTTGCAGGCCACAAATCAATTGTAGAATGGTGGCCCCCAAAGCATTGGTGCGGTCAGGCGCAGTAGCATGTTCTAGTAGCAGGCTTGTCATGTCAAGGTTTCCCTGGCCGGCCGCCTCATGCAGTGCTGTTTGAAATCTTTCTCGAGTGACGTTTTTGATGTATTGATAAAAGCCGAAGCTTTCTGCCAGATGAGGCGGTGCTGAAATCTGATCCCAAATTTTGCCCCAGTTCGGTTGGTAATTGACATCTGCTCCAGCTTCAAGCAAACGCCGAACTATAGACAGATTATGTTGGCTCGCAGCTATTTGGATTGGCGACAAAAAGGCCTCCCATTTTGGCTCTTCAATAAATCTGAGATATTCTTGGTCATCTTGAATGCCTCTGAGTTGAAGCAATCTTTGGCGCTTATCAAGATACACAAGACAGTAGGTGACATATTGCCTCGCTGAATTCTCTAACGAATCCACCAGGTTAACTTCGGCGCCGGCGTCGAGGAGAAGCTCAACCATGTCCATGTCGTTTTTTGTGATCGCAATTTGGAGCGCCGTACCCGAAATATACGACACCTCGTTCACGGGTGCGCCGTTTGACAAAAGTAATTTGGTGATGCCGATGTTTTGCGCGGCTACGGCCTTCATTAATAAAGTTCGATGCGTGAGCTCCAACATCAATCGTGGGAATTCCTCAGCACGAGAAATAGTTCTGATCTCATACCTGGAGTAGGTATTGATGTTTGCACCTGACTCCAGCAAAATTTGAGTGATGAGAAAATTCCCATGGCTCACAGAGATGGCGAGTTCAAGGGGACTAACCGGCACCCCAGGAGAAAACGCATTTGGGTTGGCCTTGCAGCTGAGAAGACGCCTGGTAATATGAGAGTTGCCTCTCAATACAGCCATCCGAAGTGGATCAAGTCTTTTGACGTCAAGTCCAAAGCGTTCAAGATCACTTTCATCACATTCATGGTCATCGTAGCCGCCGTGGTTGGGATCGACACCTTGTTGAAGTAGGACTGAAACCACGTCTTCCTTTTCAAGGCTGACAGCACTTAAAAGAAGGCGGGACAGGAAGATCTCCACTGTTGAATTCCCCAAATTTTGCAGTCGGTCGATAAATTGGTTCAAGAGTGGTTTGCTCACGCTCGCCAGTATGCAGCCAAGGAAGCCGTCCATGTCCTTTTGTGTGAGACGGCCATTGGATGAGAGGTAAATGCAAGACTGAATCAAGAGGAGGAATGGCTCATTTGAAATGAGGCAAGAACCCGTGCTAGGTTTCCAAGGCAAAATTCGTTCGAGGGTCTGCAAGACGGTGCGGGTCGAGTCAATGTCGCTGTTACCCTCCCGTAGGCCCAAAAACTTTGCGATGAGGGTTCTTGCTCTCTGCATGGAGACCTCACCAGGCGAGCATCTCATCATAGACGAGCCAGGTGGGTTGATCCAATTCAACTCAGGAATGAGCATGTGTGTCGTGGAGAGCACTATGAACTTTTAGTGACAGAATGCTAACATCTGCAGAAGGACGTTCCTACATTGACCGTCAAAATTATCTCGAAATCGGAACCAGGGAAGAGTATCAATACGAGTTTTGATGCTAGACGATGGAGATGGTGAGCGGATATTGATTCCGCGAGTGGACGCGCAGCGCCACACAACTTGGTCACAGTTAGCATTCGTCACCGAGATCTGAGACGTCTATGACTTACCGGATTGAAAAGATTCGTCAAACTCGGATTTGTACCTCGTGCGTGCCCTCTTCAGTCTCTTAGGGGCTATATCCTCTTCATTGACAAGAACCCTGGTTTGCTTTCGGGCTGAATCCCTTTGATGGACGAGTTGCCAGTCTGTTTTCTTCAGGTTCTTCGTCAACTGCCACAACTGCAATCGGTTGACATATTCCTTTTTCCTTGATAAACATCTGTCAGCTTAGGGTCACATTTGGGGACATGGTTCACTTACGAAGCGTCAAAGTTGTGTTCTGTCTTCATGAATTCCATCGTCTGTGCCAGGGTCTTGTTCTCGACGATGTAATAGGCGCGAATTTGCTCTCGATGAGCATCCCACAGCTCCTCAGGCTTTTTGGGTGGTCGAGGCATGGCGGGCAGAAGCAGGAAGCAGGTCTGTGGTTTTTGGTAGATTTCTTTGTCAAATTTGAAGAAGGGGTTTGAGGGGTGGTGGTGAATGTTGAGCAAAGTGATATTGCGCCCGGGGGAGAAACCCCTCTTCTTATGTCTTTTTTTGGCCAATCGACTACCTGGATTAGTTACATCGCGCAAAAGGTTCTGGGTAGCCTCACTTACCAAAATTCCCTTTTGCTGCAGGCGTGGCGCTTGGTACAGTCCAATAGACGCCGTGTAGGCTGCGTAACACACACGCCCAGCCACTTGGCGAAGGCGATTTCATTGGCGGCTACCATAATTCCCTTTCCCCTGCAGCCCACGCGTTCCACGCAAGAGTAAGCAGCTCCGACTCAGCCGCAGCGGGTCTGAAGTGGCGTATTCAACTCGTTGGGCATGAGTCGAGGAATGATGCCTGAAACCAAGCCGCCATTGGTCCATCGTCGTTGCAGAATGCCGCAGTCGCCGAAACAGTGTACCAAAATCCCCTTATGAGTGTTTGTGGCGACTGTGGAATACGTAGATAGAGGACAACTGCCTTGCCAAAATTCCCTTTCCCCCTACTTGCACGATGAGCCTGGCGGCCTTATTCTCAGCCCGTCCTACTTGCATGACCCTGGATAAGACTTGGCAGAAATATACCAAAATTCCCAAACGTCTTGTTGTATATAAATGCGCGAGGTGCGATTTTCTGTCAAGATAGAAGTAATAGCTAACTCAAAAATGACTATCTCGCCCGACGCTCTCATCTCTATTATTGGGGTTATCGTGGCCTTTCCCCCAACCGCTATTATTCTTATGCACTTATTTAGGAGTGTTCCAGCGCAGCCAAACACAAACCATGGTTAGTCAGCCCACATTTCTTGAAACTATTTCTTGTTTGTGATTGACGTGCCTAGAACATCCTAACGTTGAATTTGGTCTCCGTGAGCCACCGCGCGTCCACCTTCGAAACAATTTAATACGCGTCTCAACAAGCTCCAACTGGCCGCCAGAATCAAGATGAGCAAGGGGAATTACGGGCGAAGGGAAATAGCAACCATTGTTAGCGCATCTCATAAGCGCATTAGAGTGTGAATAAATGAAGTTTATTCCGCCTAGGAGGATATGCTTCTTAGGGCCCACACCGCCATGTCTCGTTACATTATTTTTCCGATGTCTAATTCTTTGATCGTCAATCTCAACAATTCTTGCCCCTTGCCATTTTCCCCATCCTCGCTTGTCCCTGAGCACCATCTCTTAGGCGAGTATACACCAGAGCTTGATGAGCCAGAAAAGACGTATACACTCCAGGAGAGAGTTCATTCCCTCTAACAGCTGCTTTGCCACTTATCGGGATATCGGATCCCTACGGCTACGGCTTCAGTAAAGCTTTTTCTTCTATGATCTTAGTAAAAAGTAATCACTGTGGTCTGTGAAAATGGAGTTCCTATGAGGCATTTTTTATATGCAAGCGCTTTAATAACTACAAGGCTTTCTAGCATTATTTAATGAACTCAACATGTTTATCTTGCTCCATAAATGTATTTCGAGTCTGTGCTACACTTTCATTGGCTGTTCAAGTTTTCAAGACTCTTGTAGACGAATTTCTCAAACTCAGTTAAGAGCTTAACTGCCTGCTGATCTCCAGTCGGAACCAGCTGCGACAAATATACGCCTGCCACGCCTTTCTCCATATCAATCCACTATTAAATAACGTGTCAGCTAGATGTATTTCCAATAGGTTGATGTATAATACTTGCCCAATAGCAATTCGGCATCCCAGACCACGAGAGCGAATGAGCTCCTCGCCGGGTCGGAATTGCAGCCAGGTTAATCAAGCCACCAAGACCAAAGCTCACAGGGACGTCGGGAGGAACAGCGTTAAAAATCGCCATGCGGTAGGACGACGAATACTCATCTTGGTTGTCGAGACCGGTGGTGCTCTCCAAATGCGGCTGGAACATGGTTTTGATGGATTCTTGACAGAGCAGTTTCTCGTTCAGGATGCCATTGTAGATCTTGAGCATTTCATTCACGGTGGCATATAATCCACCGCCACCGAGATCCTCGTCAATCTGGGCGGGCCACAGAGGGTTCTTTGGTATGCGGAGGTCCTCACCATCTCGCTCCCACTGATTTGCCAACCGAGCTCGCATATCCTCTCGAGTTTCGAGATGAAAGGTAGCGTCTTTAACGGACACGACGTCAAATATATGACGCTTCATATAATCACCGAGCCTCATGGAAGTGACTCGTTCGACCTTTGCGAGTTGACTCATCAGTTCAACGCCAACCTCTAGGGGAGATTGGAACTTACCATAAGGCCAGCCCAGTCCACACCTGGGGAATATAACCAGCGGCTACCTGGCTCAAATACCAGAAATGGATAGAACTTTTCCTTCTTTATGATATGGTCAGTGGAAGCAGTCAAACGTCACAATCGGATTGCTTACAACAGAGTGCGGAGTGCGGGGTTGGACGGTTGGGAGCTGGTCGTAACGCGTCAATAGCGGCTCCATGAAGACATAAGTCATGCCGCTCGAGTGGGTCAGGAGGTGTCTAAAAAAGAACTTCGCGTTAGTATGTCCTTTTAGCATTATTTCATGCAACTAAAAGACTTGCCGTAGAGTGATAGTCTTCGTAGAGGGGCGAAAGATGGGTTCCTCGTTTTCGTCAAAGCCTGTTAGAATCTGAGGGTTTTCCCATTCTGGCAGAATGTTCGCAATGTCTGCATCCAGATGCAGCTGTCCTCTCTCCACACATTGCATCACAGCAACAGTGGTCACGAGTTTGGTGCATGAGGCGATGAGATGCACGGCATCCGTCTCCATGTTGTCATTCGACTCCTCTCCAAAGGCCTTGGCATAGTGGAAGGAACCTTCAACGCCCGTAGGATTAGCATGGGACGATATCGAGTTATACAGACTCCGTACCATCTTTGTTTATAGCGCCAAGCGTGACTCGTGGAAGCGGATGTTTGTCGTCTCCCTGAGGGTGGCGAAGAGAGTCGACAGTTTCTTCAAAAGACACCATTTTGAAAGATTGATGGTGAAAGCCAATTTGGCGTGCTGGCTTTTGATCGCAGTGGCTGATGGCTGTTTTATATTGAGGGAAAAGCTACTGTGGATTGAGTTTGTTGGCTTACAAAGCCCCATTCAACGGATAGCGTGACGACTATACGCGAAACATTTCAGTATTGGACTAAGAAAGTTTGTTACGTCGGTATGGTTCAGATTTGTAATGCTGTATGTAGAGCGTGAAGAATGCAGGAAAATAACATGGACCACGTTCTATGCCAATTCACGCAGGTACAGAGCTAAATTGAAGAGGGGAGCGCTAATTTAACCCTGGACAGCGCAGTGGAGAACTCGGACCGGCGCTCAAATAGGCAAGTCTGGTTAATCTGTGTCTATGTTGTCCTATTTCGAGTAATCTATAGGTGTTATGGAATTGTCATAAGTCTTCACAGGTGGAATACTGAATTCAATGTGCATTAAAGGTTAGAAAGGGCACTGGATTGCGAGATGGCGAGGCTCGTCGAAGGACCTCAAACACCCTAAACATGGGCACAGCTGGTGTGCTCAATCACATAGGAGTGGTCACGTAAGGTACGCCCAATTGAATCCGGCTCCCACATATCGCGGTGATCTATATTGCCCGGTAGCCTCTCCGTACTAGAAATGCGGGTAAAATTAAAGAATGGACAAGCTGCTTTAATCTCTGTTGTAGTATGCGGCCGGGGACAGCTGTACTATATAGCCGATGCCTTCTGTTGCCGTACTTTCCAGCTATTTGTTAATCTTGTTAAGTCACCCGTCAACTACCATACCAGATAAAAGGAGTCAGGTTAAATACTAGGAAAGGGAAGAATACAAGGCATTCTATTTTATAGCTCAGGATAATAACTTCTCGATTCTAGGGTATCTCTGTTTATCCAACGCCAACGCCAATTCCCAAGGCAAACTACATATCATCTACAACGTTTAAGACATTCTTCTTAAACCACGGCCAGTACACGTCCTGCGCCCACTGCCCTAGGCGTTGCAGTCCCCAAACAGTCTGATATACACCCAGGAGGCTCTTGGTGTTGCCAAACTCTTGGTCGAGCCACAGCACCGTCTGGCTGCCCTCCCTCGTCGTGGAAGCAAAGCTCCAGTGATGGCCATTGACAATGACAGCCGGCAAGAAGGGCAGCCCTTTGAGGGACCCGCCAGTACGTGAAACAAGCTGTTCGAGGAGCTTCCACTGAGCAGCGTGCCACGTGCCCAGCTGGAGTTCTCCGGCCGCCTCCTGGCTGCTGTTGCGTTTCTTGGTCTCGATGCTCACAACGATTGGTCGACTGCGCAGCGAGTTGAGGTCGGTGTGGTTGATGACTTTGCAGGGCAGCTCCAGGCGGAGCTTCCTGGTGGCCTCACGAGCGACAGGGTCTGTCTCGGGCATCAGGTGGATGCAGAAGTCGGTCATCTCGGGCTGCACCGCCACAGGGAGATATTCACGAATGACCTTTGCTGTAGGACACGGGGCAAATCCCACCATCTGGCTGGTCGGTCTCTTCGGGCCGTAGATGGCCTTGAACAGGAGCGGATGGTGGAGCATCATGTTCCAGCCCAGCTCGCACTGGTCCGTATCCTGGCACTCGGCCGCCTCTTGGGCTAGATTCGCAGCGTCGTCGAGCGAGAGAGTTGGCCAGCGGCTCTCAATGCCCTCCTTGGCAAACATATGGTCCTCGAGGCTGTACAGAGACGGGTCGTATGCAGCACGCTGCCTAGCCTCGTCGCCGAGAGCCGCCGGGATGACAGCGATACAGCGGCTGCACCGGTCCAGCTCCTTGAGCAGCTGAAACAGCTCGGGCAGTAGCCTCAGCCTCGGGTTGGCCAGCGATAGAACCCTCGCCTCGATGCCGTCGTCGTACAGCTCCAGCATGCCCATCTGCTTGCGGGGCGACGACTGGCGGCTGGACGTCGAGGTTGTTGTGCGAGATCGGCTCGACTGCGACGAATGCTCAGAAGCTGCAGCAGGGAACGAGGCAGATGGCGACATGGCGTGGACACGGTGGTGATGTCCACGGCGGCCTCCTCTTTGACTGCTGCTTGCGCGTGGTGTCTCGTCGGGATCGGCTCGGTCCTGGTCGGCTCGGTCCTCATCGACTCGCTGCCTCTTAGGCGTCGGGGTATCGTCGGACGGCATCTCGTCGCCGTCGTTGCCTTTCCTGTAACGCTTTCGTGATCGGGGCGGTGATGGAGGCAGTTGTTGTGGTTGTTGCTCTTGTTGCTGCCGCTGGTACTTGGTTTCGCAACCTGTAACCAGGTCGGGTTCGACAATCTGGGCGATCCAGGCGGCGATATTGCGAGGTTTCATGTCGGTCTTTGCATTGCTTCAACTGGGCCAGAGCCGCAGGGCTGATAGATGGGAGACTGGATACCGATGCTTGACGGTTGATTTAGTGGGGTCGTGGTGGTGTTTTGTTTCGATGCGCTTGAAGTGGGAGTGGTCGGATGACTAAGCGTCGGCACGGCAACCATCGGACCCCACCCCGCGTCATGAATGATCAATGGTGATACCAGAGGATCGGAGATAGAGATCAGAGATCAGAGGTGCATATATGGTTCAGGTTGGGAGGTAAGTCAGTGGCTGGTAAAAACCGGTTTCAAAAAAGAATTCAGGTATGGGGGTGTAAATATACAGTAAATCAACCACGGCGATTCACAAAATACAAAATAGACCATTCGGCAGCGCAAGATAACATCTATTAGACACAGAGTAGCAGACCATTTTTACCTTCCCCCCTCTGTGTGTAGTCTTTGTAGAAATGCGAAAAATGGAGGAGACAAATAAAGGTCAGCATAAGAAGTAAGACATAAAGACATGCCGGTAGTGGAATCTTTTTCTCCGTTTGACCTGATACAGAATCATGATCAGTTTAAGATTCTTCAAACCACAAGGATTTCTCTCGGCATTCGATAATGTCTACAATATCTTCGAAACAAATGCTCTGTCGGGAGCACGACTTCATCGAGAATGATTTTCAGTTGTGCACGACCCGGAACAAGCTGCGTCTAGGTTTACCGACTCCAAGGATGTTGCCGTTTGGCTGCGACAAGTTAGACAAAATGAATCCTGAGAAACATTTCTTCTCCCGAGCACGTCTGTACGACCCGATGTCATCTTTTTGCTTCACAAGAAGACGGACGGAGAGGTTGAACGACTGGTTTGTGTCGTCCAGCTAAGGGAGACCAACAAGCTGGCGATGACAAGTGCTCTGAAAAACCGACTTTGCCAAGATTACAGCTCAAGAATGGGGATGAGGTGATGCCGATCAAGACGTCCGGGGAACGGTCGATCCTGACCCTTGGTAAAAAAGGCAAAAAGGACGAAGAAAGTACTCTTAGAGCTGGACCATTACAGGAAGGCAGGCATTCAATTCCTTGGCATCCTCTTCCTGACTAGCAATCAGCTCTCCACGGACGGAAAAACCGCCATCGAATGCTCTTGGGCAAACGCAACAACGACTTCGCGGAGTTCAAGCAGACCAGTCTGGACCGGACACAGATGAGTCTCCGCAAGGCTAGGGGCAAGCTTCAAACCTCCCGAGCCCACAAGGCCCTGTGGAGAAAACGAGCCGAGAAGGATGAATTGAAAGTGCAGCAATTGGGTGGCCTGACAAAAACGGACTTCTTCAAGGTCCTCGCTGATGACGACGTCGAGCTCATTTTCGGCTCGGGTTTCAACTGGATCATCATGGGCATAAAGAATAAAACCATTGGCAGTCTGCACAGGTGGAGGTAGTAGGTCTTGATACATCACTTAGGTCGAGAGCTTGAACAGTTGCTCCAGGCTTCCTTTGAGGGCCGCTTACCGGTTCTGACCCTCTTGTGTGCATGATAAGCCGCCACAGTAAGTGTAGCCAGTCAATTCCAAGGTGCGTTGGCTAGTGAGAACGGATACTGTGCCGAACCGCATTCATTCCCTGACTTGACATCGAGACATGGAGCTGGAGTAGACGCGGAGCAAAGAGACTTTGGTTTCTTGCATGATTGGTGAGTCCATGCACATTGAGGGGACCGGCTCTATGTATCTGTACTCTACCAGCATCTGACGTGTTGACCGTGGATTGGTTGGAGTTTGTCTCACTTCAGCCACCCCGCAAAGCCCCCTCGTGATCGGAAGCTCGGCCAGGCGGTCGTCTGCCTGCCTGGAGGGCGAACCTGAACTTCGTATTTCCCAGTTTTCGTCACGGCCTCATCAACGCTTTTGACTCTACAACTTCTTCAGGCATTCGATATATCATCACCTATGGCTTCTTCGGACTCGCGCGGGAAGATCGGCCTCGTCGATCTTACACCAGATGTCAAGGATGCGATTGTCGAGTGAGTGCTCAAGCTTCATCCTGGTCCCCGGTGCACTGCTGGAAGAGTCACTGACATAATTCTGCAAAGCATCGTTTTTGTCCACGGATTCACCGAGGATCGAATGGCAACATGGACCAAGTCCACCATCATGTGGCCACGCGACATCCTGGCCCAGGACGGACGCATGAAGGAAGCGCGCATTTTCACTTGGGGATATAATTCCGACACTGCCGATTCCTCCACCAAAACTGCCCAGGAATACACTCTCGCCAACGCTGGCAATCTGTGCGAGGAACTGGGCTGGCACAGGGACATGGATGGGACGGTGTGTTGCTCATCCCCTTCTAGAACACCATGAAGAGAGGACCTGACCATCTTTTACTGCCATAGAAGGACCGGCCTATCATCTTCGTCATGCACAGCCTGGGAGGGTTCGTTTGCGAAAAGGTGAGGGATTCTGTCCCGACCTCCAATTCCTCCCAAGACCAAACCGATTACTGACACCAAGACCAAGGCTCTTCTTCTTAGCAAGGTTCACTCCGACCATGTCGTCCGCAGCATCGAACAGTCGACCCGTGGGATGCTCTTTCTCGGCACACCTCATACTGGTGCCAGCCTGGCCCTGTCCAAGTTGACGCGTCTCACCAAGGAGTCGAGGAGGGGCCATTTATTCGGGGAATCTTTCAACAAACTCGACAACTCCATGAACCTAGAGGAAATTGGGGACCAGTTTTCTGTTCTGCTTAGGACGCGTGCGGCGAATCCAGAAACTGAGATTGACGTGGCATGTTTCTACGAAGAACTGCCAACAGCTGTCGGTATCGTGCGTTGATCCAGATTCCCTTCCTCTGTTACTGTGCTAACGAATTCCGGAAGATCGTCCCCAAGACATCGGCGACACTTCCACGCTTCGAGAGCCAGAATATACCCCAAGACCACATCGGCATGTGCAAGTACATGTACGAGGATGATATTGGTTACCGGCGAGTGTCTGGCGTCTTGGCCAAGTGGGTAAAAACCGTACCGTCGCGGCAAGACAAGTTAGGGCTCCCGGGTCTTAATACTGGATTCACTTCGGGGAATCGACATCCCAACCCGTTGGACAAACGGAGAGAAGTAGACATTCTCAACGTCACCTGGAAGCCACCTGCCAGCCCGAGCGACAATGGGCCAGCATGGAGAGGAGCAGATCTTCCACATGGAATGCATGACATCACGGAACAGGTCGACGAGAAGCGATACGATTTGAGAAACGTTGATGAAACGGTTTGGTCTAGAAAGGTCCTCTTCGACATGTCCAAGCCCAGCTCTCTCGGAATGACTCGTGGAAGCCAGGGAGATTGGGTTGAGAGTCGTACAGGCGAGCAGCTCATGCTTTCAATGGCGTTCCAATCCATGGTGAACCTGTCCATCATACAAGTACGTATCTAACTACTTCTCTCCGAGGAAGGCTACAAGATTGACCCAGGCTAACATACCACCGGACAGCTCACGTCACTCCCGCCGGAGGACTCTGTTTCTGTGCTTATGAGGCCAAGAACCATCCGTCTCTACGCCAATACGCCGCATATTGTGGAATTGGACCAAGCCAAGCATACCTACGCCGCTCAAACCATTATACTAGAGAATGAGGATTGGAATTCCAATGGCACGGCTAATATAGGCCTGCATTCTCGCAAGTTCCAAAACATCTTTCATCTTGTTATTTTTGTGGAGGAGGGCGACGGCACTAGAAAAAAGACGCGGCTTGATCGGGTGAGACTGATTAGCAAAGAGGGGATGCTGGAGAAGGCTGGCCAGTCTACCCTGAAAGCTGATCCAGTCTCAGCCGAAGCAAGGGCCAAAGAGAAACATCAACAGCAAAAACAGGAAGATTCAACGTCTGGCCGCCGTGATCCAATACCGGAACTTCACGGGCTACCCGAGTCGTTACAGGTGGCTTTATCGCCATTCCTGGCAGACGAGGCTGTGAGGAAGAAGTTCAAATATCAGCTCAACGAGCTCAAAAGCAACCCACACCTTCGTCAAGAGAGCGCCATGAACCTTCTAAACGAACTGGAGTTACTTCGGGAGGATGACAATATCGGAAGTGATGCTGGTCATCACAGAACCTCCCTACGACCGATTCAAATCAAGCCGAAAGACGAAACCAAGCATGACAATGCGGGGGACAATCGACAGGAAGAGAAGGATAGATCGGCCTCTGGCCCTGCAGGTGACCTAACAGCTGGACTTCACAGTCTTTCTCAGCCTTTCCAGGAAGCTTTAGCTCCATTCCTGGAGGATGAAAAATCCAGGGCTCAAGTTGAACAACGGTTCCGCGAGCTTGAGAGGAACACACACCTTCGTCAAGCCAGCGCTCTCGACCTTCTACATGCACTGGGGTCGATTGAGGAAACAGACAACGAAGAGCACGAGGGCGCTCAGAATACCACATCCTGTGGAGATGGTGATGTTGCCGGTCTGACTGCTTTTGGAAACGATGGCACAAACCAAGGGGATGATTCTCTAGAGCCACCATTCTCGCCAGAAGACCAGTTATCTCCAAACGACGACCCAGCAGCAATCGACACTGAAGCTCAGTTGCAGACACAGACCTCAGCCGAGAAGTTCTTTGACTGGTCAACCCTTCAAACTCGTTTGTTACCGGCAAAGGAGGATATTCTAGAAAAAAAGCACCTGGCATTGCTGGCAATGTACGATATGGTGAAGGTCAACGTTGGCGCCCAAGGAGTGAGCATTGGCTTAGAAGGTGTGGCCAGTATCATCCGCAACTTTCTGCACAAGGACGACTATCTGGCATTCTTCCGTTCTGTCGAGCGCAAAATATGCCTCCCGATTGATCCAGCAGAGGAAATCTCCCACCAGCGACTCGAGAACCTCGACTTGACTTTGTTCGATACCTCCAAGTTCAACGGGTTCGACACCCGCTTAACTTCCGTGGCGTACAACGATGGCAAGTATGGGACAATAACACTCTTCAGGGTGACGAGGGAACATAGACGGCCGAGCAAAATACGACCTGAGGCAGCTATGCGAGGAGTCCCAAAGATCGTGGTGCAGAAAATCGGGGAAGGCATCAAAGGGTGGCGCAAAACAACGCTTTCTATGCCGCAAGATGAGATATGGGAAGCTACGAAGCAATGGAAGATCGGGCCGCGGAAGCCCCAAGTCTCGAGGCCGGATTTTACACAGCATGACGGCGGTCCTGGGGAATCCGGGATTGAAGAAGCCTTGAGAACTGCTCTCAGCATGGACGACGACATGCCCTTCCACAGCTTCAACGCCACGGTGCCCCAGATGGTCGCAATGTTGCACCATAAAGCGGCCCTGATGGAGAACATTGAGTCGACACCGGTATATTCCGAGCCAGATGGTGATTGGCGAGGCGTGCGAATGGTTCAAGGCCCCGATATGTTTGGACACGAATACAACAAGCCTCGCATTATCGTGTTGGCGCCAGCCAGGGGAAGTTGGGCAGAAGATAAATTGTCTTGGAAGTAAAGGTGTGTCATCCCAGTACGTTCAAGATGCAAGTGTGTTGGGTTGGCTCGGAGGTCCAGTGATTGACTCTCAGGGCTCGTTGTACAGGTAGTTGAAGTTGTCTTCATGATAGCAAGCATCTCACGAGCAGGCATGTCTTTGTGTTTGATAGCTGCCTAAATACCAGCTGCTGTGGCTCGGTCTTTTACGGCGAGCAGGGTGTGTAGAGGGATGAAGGGCCGGGCTGTGGTTGTGTGTAGTACCGTTGACTTGGTAAGTCCATCGGTCGTTTGCTTTCTGTCACATTTTTGCTGTAACCTTGGTTTGTAGTCGTAATCTCTACATCATATCAATTTTTATCTTATGACGGCGTAATGAATTGGAAAATGCTGTTTTTCAAGTTTAGTAGATAGATTGTGGCAGCAAGTTATCGGTTGTGGGTGAATCTGATTGATAACACAACTTTGCACGTTATCCTTGTAAGTTAAAGCGAGATGATGATGATGGTATGTTCTGCGGTAATACAGGTTGCATCAATACTAATGAAACGAAGCCCGGCCATGCAACTCAAACATCACACATGTTCCAACTTGACCCTGCGTCTACCCTGCAGTCTCTTGTAATACTTGTCCTCACGCTATCACCAACTAGGCTGGCCAGTGTGGGTTTGTGAACTCTTAAGATCCATTGATTGGTGCCTTAACGAGAAAGACAGGGGTTAGCCCAGCCATATGATTTTCGCTCAGCCCTGTAGCTGAAAAGGTGGCCCCATTGAACTCGGCCCCTAAATGCCGACAGAACACGATGAAGAATGCCCCAACCTCGAGCTCAATCTCACCTGTTGCAACGTAAAACCCTCACTCTCTAAGAATCTCCTCGTTTGGTCACCATGTCCACTGGGCCGGCGTCTCGTCTGCCGAACTCGGCACAGCAGAAAGAGCTCGATCTCATCTGGGAACAAGTCCAGGCCAAGGTCATCGAGCTCGCGGGCGGAGATCCCAAGAAGATCCGACATCTGGGGATCGGCAACGTGATTGAGCAGATTGACTCGTACAACGACAAAAAGAACCCGGAAAGCTCCTCTCGACTCAAGTCGGCCGTCGACAAGACGCTGCAATGTATCCAGACCATCGGAGGCATCGTCACGCAAGGCGTCTCGACTGTCTTTGGGCCGGCCGATATGTGCTATAACGCCTTGTCGTTCGTCATTCAGGCCTGGAAGGGGTACGAAGGCATGTTCGAGAACCTATCGGAGCTGCTGGAGAAATGCATCGAGTTTATGGACCGCCTCGGCTACTACACCGAGAAGATGGATGCAAATCTGACCAAGCTCGCCTGCCAAAACCTCCGGCTTTTTGTCGAGATTTGCCATCGCATTATCCGTCTGCGCAAGAAACATACCAGATTCCTCGCCTTCACTAAGCAGCTGTTTCTCAACGATGACGGCGTTCAGGACCTCCTTGCTTTGATGGAGAGGCTTAATGGAAAAGAGGCACTGCTGGTTGCCGCTCAGACCTTTGAGATTGTGTCTGATAGCGCCGGAGACTTGAAGATTATCGTTGAGGGCCAGAATGAGCAGAGGAAGAAACAAGACTCCCAGCAGAGACGAAAGACCATAGCCGAGGCCCTCGCTTTCCGAAGCGACGAGACCAACAGCAGCACTGGAGAACCTATTGCCACCTGGCGACGAACCCTCGATTCTCATATGACCAACATCGTCGCCGACACGGGCGACTGGCTGACCGAAGATGCCGCCTTCCAAGACTGGGCCCAGGTGGAGGTTCCATCCAAGCCGATTTTGGTGCTCCAGGGGAGAAACTACTCCGGCAAGACGTCAGCCATGGTCAACGCACTGCGTTATCTCCGCCAGCAGAGCGAGAACATGCTGACATCGCGAATCGTAACGGCGTACTTCTTCCCAGGCGAGAACGCGAAGCAACTCGATGAATCCAGTGCAGAGCCCATACTCGAGATGGCCTCCAAGGCCCTGCTCTGGCAGATGGGCGTCTCTTTCGAGGCTCTGACCAAGGCGTTTGCGAATAGAGCCCAGGCCTCCAAGGGCTTCATGGGCTGGCTCGATGTATGGGAGCAGCTCTATATCAGCAACCCAGAGCGCCTCAACCCTGATACCACTTTCTTCATCCTGATCGACAGCTCTGACGCGAGCGATGAACGTATCGAGGCGCTTGTGCCGTTGCTCCAACAGCTGGCCTCGACCACTCTCGGCGGAAAGACGCGTATACTCTTGACGGCAGGGCCGCAAGCTGCAACGGAGTGCGTTCGACAGGTCAGCAGCGTGCAGTTTGAGATCATCAACATCGTGGATCGCAACAGCTCCGATATCGAAAAGTACATCAACCATCGCATGGACAAGATGCCCATGCTGCGAGACCCAAGCCGTCCTGGCATCGCCGAGTGGCGTAAGAGAATTCTGGCCAAGCTGGCCGAGAAATGCGCAGGCGATTATTTCAAGCTCAACTCTAGCCTCAGTGCCCTGTCGCAGATGCATTTGGTTCAGGACATTGAAGAGGTGCTGGCTCAAGCAGATAGTACCAGGGCGGACCAGATCCTCGCTGAGATCAGCCACCTCAACAACACGCGCACGCCCAAGGAAATTAAAGAGATCAACGAGATCATCGTCTGGGTCAAAAGCGGCCGTCGATGGCTCAGCGCTGAGATTGTTGAAGCCCTGCTGGCGATCAAGCATCAAGCTGAGTCTGCCGACGCAGCTCCATTCCTGACTCGACAGCTTTCAGGGTCTCTCCTTGCTGCGTCGTCGGGCTCTGGGGGCACGCTGGCTGTCTCTCTTCTACCGTTTTCTCAGAAGCTCTTGGAAATGTATTCCCTCTTCACCATTACTGAAGCCAACGAAGTTAAGTGGCGTGATCCAGAGACAGAAAGCCATATCCCGACCAAGGCAACTGTACAGGGCGACGATTCGAAGATGCTCCAGAGTATTTTGAGCACGTCTGGCACGCAGATGGTCCGCGATGGCGAAATCGACATTGTTCGGCATTTCCTGCACAATGTGTGTCCACCTCAACTGTATGAACGCTTTGACTTCGACGCCTTCTTCGAGATGAAGCTCAGAGCCCGGCAGAAGGAGTATATCTGCTTTGACGAGGACAATGGCGATATCCGCATCGCCATTGCTTTCTTGACAATTTTAACGAACCTGAGATTCCAGGGCATGGAAAGTCTCATACGGCTTGCCAGGCGAGATCTTTTCTACCACTTGAAAAAGGTCGATCTTTCTGCCGCTGAGACAACCTTGAAATCCCAGGTCGGGCCGCTCCTTGTCTCCCTGTTGACGGAAGAAGTTGGCGTCAAGACTCTCTTCATGCCGGGGCCCTCGACACCATTCTTCGACAGGCTGGAAACCGAGGCTTCTGAACTGCAAGATATCCGATCTGAGTGGCTATACTCATTAGATGGAGTTCGGGAAGTCGTGCGGTGGCTGAGCGATTCTGCCGTGACCAAGTTGATCCACGGCGACAATGCTGAGGCTTTCGTTAAGAGCATCACCGGCCTGGACCAGAACTTGCACCGAGTCATTCTGTCGCATGCAGCCAAGCATCTAGCGCGGCAGATGTTTTACCATAACATCCGGAAAAGGCTCGAGATCTTTTGTGTGTGTTTGTTCCTGCGAGGGTACCTGATGCGAGTAAGTCATGCCCATTGTGTACCCGTGGTACGCCATAGGATCAGCTTCTAACAGATTGCAGTGCGATGCGGGAATCTCGAGCGTAATGGAAAGCGATGCAGCGTTTTATATCGAACAAGAGAAAGACGCGGCCAAAGAAATCGAAAGCGTCAACAACTTCGACCTCGAGATGGTCAAGAAGATTGAGGACTGGGCCGCGACCGCAATTGACAAAGCGAACAACACTCCAGCTCAAGATTCCCACTGGGAATACCAGGCGTCCTTCTTCATCAGAAACATGTGTCCATCTATCCTAGCGAGCGAAGCAACTCTCCGTACTAAAAAGGCTGTGGAGCTTAACCCTAAAAACTATTTTGCCCGCATCAGCCTTTATTACACCTTCGGCCACGCTGAGGCTGTCGAGGCCCTCACTGCGCTCAAGGATGAACTGGAGAATGATTCGGGTGAAGAGCGCTCCCAACTACTCGCTACTGTGTCAATCAGACTAGGCATTCGACTCTGGAATATCGGTGAGGATTACGAGGCGGCCGCGCGTGCTCATGTCGAAAGCCTCACATACGATTTCGTTGGTTGGGAGTACATGGGCGTCTTGAAGCAGTACGCCGAGAAATCTAGCCACGAGCATACCATCAACTTCTTCAGACAACTGAACGAGCGACACTGTATCTGGGAATCGGACGTCTATGAGTTCTACTACTATATCAACGACATTTTCGATGATGAACATGCCATTGCCGAAGCTGCTGACTCCACAGAGGGATGGGATGTTGTAAAGACCTTGTTCAACCTCATGCTTGAGGGGATGCAAAGGCCTGAGCTATGCAAAATGGTTTCCCAATGTCACATACAGCTAGCGGACTGCTTAGGGGCATCATCCAGTGCATCTGTACGTGCCGAGCGAGTTGCTCATTACGAATCAGGCCTGGATGCATTTAAGGGTGTTGAATTGACCAACGGCTGGGGGACCAAATACGCCTTCTTCTCCATGGTCCAGCAGCTCAGCGCCGCATATTTAGAACAGGCACTTAGGTCCGAGCCAGGATCTGAGATACTTGAGTCTTGTCTCACCAAGATTGCCGGACTCTTGGATATGGCAGACAGAGAGGGGAATGTCGTGCAGGCCACATCGCCAGCATGCTCACTGATCGTCTTCAACCGCAGAACGGGCCAGTTCGACGATGTCGTGAGTAAGTGGACGCACAAGATCATACTCGAAGTGCTCGATCTTCTGTCCGACGACGACGACGACAACGACTTTGAGGCGTATCTGTACCTCGTGCAGCTGATGATTGCCATGAGGGACACCGAAAATGCGCGAATTGCGTTGCTGATGACCAAGTGGGAGATGCGCAAGAAGATGATTTGCGAGATTGAAGCAGCTAACCAAGCTACAACGTCGAGCAATAAAAACCTCGCCCGCCAGCCGATCTTGGACGATGAGGACGAAGAAGAAGGAGAGAAGGACGTGGAAGAGGGAGAGAAGGACGAAGAGGAGAAGGACGAAGAGGAGAAGGATGAAGACGAGGAAAAAGAAGACGATGAGCGGGAGAACACAGCAGAACAGACCAAGGAGGGGGCTAACGAGGGTTGTGAGGAGACTCAACAGGCCAGCGAGGAGACTGATGAGGCCAATGAGGACACGGAAGAGGCTGACGAGGATTCAGCTATTGGCACATGGACCCTATTCTGCGATGGATGCACCCCAGAGCTTCGAGCTGTCGACTTCGCCGTCTACCTATGCACAGAATGCGTGTCCCTCATGGGCTTCCAACCAGAGTGCTACGAGCTGCTCAAGAAAGGCAAGATAGAGCGACAGCACGAGTGCTCCATGGAACATAGCTTCATCTACGTGCCTGCTTGGAAGCCGGATCAGGAGCTGCTCCATGGCCACGTTCCGCTGCTGGAGACGGGCGTCCAGGGTGATGGCGAGGTGCAGCAGATTGGATGGATGCCACTGGAGGAGTGGAAGGCGAAGTTGAAGGAGCTGTACGTGAATAATTAGGTGCATCAGAGTCTGGTCGTTGTCTATCGAGTCTGGATTCAACCGTTTAATTAACGGACACCGTGATACTGCATTTATTCTTCTCTACCAAATCCAACGTTATATGTGCCTCTGTTTGAAAAGAGGATGCAATCTAGTATATAAGTTGATATCTCACACGGTATTGCTAAATTTTTCTGTAGTAATAAATAAATAGCAGATTAAAATATCAGTTTTTAAATTATTAAGGAGTTTGAGTGCTTAGTATATACTTACCCAGGGGAGAAATAAGAAGCTTAATAGTAAAAAAGAAATAGTAATAATAATATCTATAATACAGACTATATATTTATTGTATTAAATAGTTAACAGCTTATTTGGACAGATTAAGGCTTTAATCTAACTGACTATTTTTTTAGTATTATAATATACTGTAATAGGAACAGAGGCGCATTCGAAGCTATCGAGAGCCTGAACCGAAAGTGAGGAAAAGGAGAGAATAGAGACCGCTGAGGCAACGCGGGGCCCGCCCCGCAATGCAGCAGGGCTAGCCAGCCCCGGGAAATGTGGGGCCGGGATTCCGAGCAAACGTCGGCGCGGGCCCGGCACCCACACACGCGCCGACACACAAGGGTCACATGACCGGAAGAAGGAAAGGCCGGGTTCCGGGATTCCGACGGCGGCCCGGGGGGCCACCGCAAAGGCATCCAGATGACCGCGCCAGGAAGGGCAGCCGCAGCGTTACCGAGGCGACTACGAAGTAGGCGAAGAAGGCGGATCGTAGCACCAGTCGCTGCGAACCCGCGTAAAAACCCCCGATAGCTCCTCTACGACCTAGAGGCAGCCGGGACTGGAAGACGGGCAAATATATATTATATAGCCTGGATAAGGCTGGTAATGAGGTTACTAGTATAGACCTAATAATAATAACAAGCCCTCTGAGGTAGTAGAGTAAAATTATAATAAGAGTTTTATTCTATAGCTAGATAGCTAGAAGGTTTTTTCTCTTTAAATTAGTTAAAGAAGTTTTATAGGCCTAGATATAAATAAAATAGTATATACTAAATAAATAAATAAATAAATAAATAAATAAATAAATAAATAAATAAATAATAAATAAATAAATAAATAAATAAATAAATAAATAAATAAATAAATAAATAAATAAATAAATAAATAAATAAATAAATAAATAAATAAATAAATAAATAAATAAATAAATAAATAAATAAATAAATAAATAAATAAATAAATAAATAAATAAATAAATAAATAAATAAATAAATAAATAAATAAATAAATAAATATATAGTAATAATAGCTAGATTTTAAAAAGCTTAATTTTAAAAAAGCTAGTAATATAAATTATTATTATTTTTAATTTGTAATATAATAACTTATATTAACAGAATTATAATATAATTAAAAGCTAAATATACTAGTTAAAATTAGCTTTTAACTAACTTTATAAATTAAAGAATTTATATTTTAATATACTAATTAAGTAAGATAACTGAGGTTCTACAGTAATTTATAACTCTAGTTAAGACAAAAATACATTGTTACCAAGATTTAGATATGTTTTCTTACTACACTACTAGACAGTTAAACCCCTGCTTTAACAGCTAACCAACACCCAGTACCAAGGAAAAATCAATTGAGGGGAAGGTGGGTGATCAAGCTGCTTCTCAAGGAGCGTGCCTATATCAGGATCCCGAATAATAATGGATGGACGCTATTCAATGTGACATCCATCTCAGTTGCGGATAATGACAGAGCCGACGCCAACCTGCCCGGCATCACACACAGGACATATCGAGGTGATCAAGTTACTTCTCTAGATGCGGCCGACGACACGGTTGCGAACAATGATGGATGGACACGTCTTGACCAACGTCACTCAATCGACGGTCAAGTAGGCATGGAATTTGCTAGCCTGTGGCAGTGCTCACCTGGGCTTGCCTTCTAATCGGGGCAATTCGAGTCCGACGGCGCATTAGGCGAGTTAACTTTTATTAGATGTTCGTAAAGCTGACAATGCCGTACCTTAGTGAGGCGTCCAGGACACATGCTTTAGCCAGACAGATTTTAGGACCCGGAGTGGTGAGAGGCCTTCGGAGGAGAGAAGAGAGTTCCCGCTTCATTGGTACATCGGATGTCAGGCACCACAATTAATTCCGGCTATTAAAGGACCGAACGAGAGAAATGCTGATTATGGTTAGACCGTTGAGCTGAGTTCTCATGTCTTAACATGTGAATGAAGATAAGCCTTAGGAACCGCTTGGATCCGGAGGATTAAGTTTATTAAGTAGCCATTAACGTAGCCTGGGCAGCGCCGGGTGACACAAAATAAGGTGATTCTTATTGATAATATTCCTCAAAGGGAACCATGGGGCGGCACATTAGAATAACTTATGGCGTGGCAGGCTGCAAACCAACTGACGAATTGTGGCAGTCTGGGTGAGCAACAGAGCAGACCATTTCCATTGCTGAATAAAAATAGCATTCATCGAGAATCGGCGATGAAGGGTGGAGATGCCTTCGAGCAACCGGATTCGTCAAACTTCGAGTGCTCTCCTCTCTTCTGCGGACATCTCAGCTTTCTCGTAACGGTGACTACCGTAGCTCGGGTGTAGCCATGGTGGGAAAGCATCGTAGATGCCTGCAGCAAAAGTATCTACTGGCGATGGCGTGAGGGCAAAAATCCGCATCCCATAGGCTCTTTATTTCCATGACCGATGAAACGTTACTATTAATAGTTTATAGTGACAGGGGTATGGCGCCGAGCCGAGAGCTGACAGACGGCCGAAAAGGTACGAAAAGGTATAAACAGGCGGGCAGGATATGGGCTATAAATATTGGACATCGTCCAGCAAGGACTCGAGTGTTTCTCTCTGAGCATCGTCAACAGTACAACAAGATCACATCACCAAATCAAGTTCTGAAACCTCATATATTCACAAAATGCACTTCTCTACTATCCTCCCTGTCATCGCCGTCGCGCTTGGAGCAGCCAATGCCGCCCCCGTCGACGATGATTTGGTCGAACCCCGCGCACCTCGCTGCCCTCTCGGGATTAACCTGATCACAATCAAAGGGTTCCGCAACAATCCGACCGGCGTGTTCACGGGAGTTGGCGTCCCTGGCCAGTGTGAACCGCTCCCGCCCAACGTACAGATCTTTCGGCGCGATACAACCGTCATGCCAGTGCTAGCTTGCTTCGAATGCACCGTCTTCTCCGAAGACGACTGCTCGGGATCCACGTTCAGTGTTACCAGGCAGGCCTTACGTAAAGGTCAGAAGCACACTCCGTGGAAGAGCTGGTTGTGCGACTGCAAGTCGTAAAAGACTTAGGACTACTGAAATCACGGCATGGTATTTGCTTTGGGTGCGAATGAGAATGCAAGTTGTAGGGAAAGGGGGGCTGATGGAGGAAGAAAACAACATTCATTAGGAACCAGCAACTTCTGTCGCGTCTTGTTAATATTTTTAGGTGCTGTTACTAGTTCTCGTACAGAATAAGAATGCCATTGAATTTGAACTTGGCTCTAGGCAGTGCATGAGGCGATTCATTCGTCGTTTGTATCAAATCTCTGTCTAGCCCGCGGGCAATAAGTAACTATTTCCAGCTGATGATTGTCACTTTCGCCGCTCTGTATCGCCAAGACTCCACCACCCAGCCACTCAGCAGACTACATGTGGTTCAAATCAAGCTGCCGGCAAGCCGTGCCCCATTGGACCTGCCGATGCGTCCCGATTGCTCAGCTGTCAGTAGATAAGCCTGGCAAGTGCGGCAGCCCTTAGATGCCACAAAGGTATCATTAGCCCATGAGCAATGATAGACTACACGCCCCAGCTTTCACGTTTCTGGCTTTACACTTTTGTTCACTCTCGGTTTATCTCAAATGAAACATTGGTTAGCTCTATGCCAGCAGTGTGAGGTGGCACGTCTCGGAATCAGCGACATCCGTGAGCTACTCAGAGCTACACACTAAATAATCACGTCCATCTCTCGGGAAGAGCTAAAATAATCATTCTGGCTACACTCGATTCGCAAACCCCGCAATGACTATCAGCCACCTGGGGTCCAGTCCTGTCACACAGTCGGAGCATCGGCGCCCACCCCTTCGTCATCAAAATGTCATACGACCCACTTCTATTGCGGACCGCGGAGGTATCATTTGCTTCTTCGGAGAACGAGCTGTCACTATTGAACTTGACGTCGACTTATACGTAATATTATTTTGAAGCATTGGGGAAGTGGTACTCGTCCGACGGGATGGCGATATCATCTATGCGAGACCGAACGTAAAATTTCCCATCGGCGTAAAACACAATCGTACGAACGATGACGTAACGAATCCAGGAGAGGGTAATTGCCAACCAGGATAGTATTCTGCTTGAGTATAGAATAAGGGTGCTCAACATACAGGCTGCTAGAGAGATGTTGGATGCCAATGACACAAGCTCCAAGTCTTCGGTGGCGCCTCGGCCCGATGTATAGCTTACAGGACCACCCGCTTTGAGTGCAGTCAAGTGGGGCAGGTCGTCAATCTGATTCGACAATGAGCTGTTGGATGCGATACTGGTCGCAGTGCCCAAAGGTTTAGCACGACTAGGCTGTGAAGGAGAAATAGCCTTTTGCCTAGAGGAGAGGGTGTTCGAACTCTACCTTCGGGACATCGGAGGGGGGTCAGCGATCCCCTCTATTTGAGGAAATAACCTAGGCGGCCATAATAGCCAAGCTGCCACGGTAGCCTGAATTAATCTCAACGGGGTTGCAAAGGAGGGTGAGTGATAGACTGGTTACATAGGCTTGTGCTTGGACTCTTGGGACAGACTGAATCTACTCCAATGGGCTTGAGATGACTGCTCTGTACGGAGGATTTGAGTGTTATTTTGTTTTATTTTTCTAAGCCCAAATTTTGGGAGAAGATCTACATGGCACCTTCCACCAGTTCCACCAAGATCCTAGCCTAGGTACGAGTACAAGCAGACTCGAAATACATCGGGCGGTATAGCGGCTCATTTGCCGTGCTATTCCCCCCAATTTCAAGGACCTAGAGAGTGACACGCCTCTCGACAGCGATTGGCACCGCCCCTCACCTCAAGGTTTTGGCCAACTAGTGGTGCACTCCAAGGCGGCCGCTCTTCAACCCGCACTATCGTGTTTTCGCTCGATCTCCTGACATCATCCAACACTCTGTATTTGAGCCATGGAGGGCGTCGGATGTGTAGGGCTACCCATTGGCATTGCGGGGTACGCCGCCTTACCATAAGATCGGCTTCTTTATTGCCGACGAGGGTCGGTTGGTTGCCGCGTAATCATTCACTTGGACGGCGCCTGCATACTCGACGTGTTAACGAATGGCGTCAGCCTTTGCGTATTTGGAATGGTACGTGCCTTGGGCGTGCCAGCAATACATGAGGCGAATGTAACTCGTAGGACAGTGGGTTGCACGCAGGCTCTCATGTGCGCTGAGCTCTGGACAGCACTCGCACCTTCACTAGAATCGTGAGCTACGATGTTTATGAAAGCTATGATAAACTTAATATTTAATTAGTAATGCATATTTATATAAAATAATATCTGTATATTAAACTAAAATTAAATATAAAATCTTGTTACAAGATATAAGAGGAGCAAGTCTATGTTAACTAATACATTACAAACCCAAGCAAGATACAGGTTACCAGTAAAGCAGTTACTTTAACATATTTCATCAGTGAGGTCCTTATGGTAATTATAGTAGCGGTTATACTAGCTTTAATAATTTATGTAAGACTGAAGCGATAGCTGACACAGCTCCTTGAAATGCCCAAACCTGCCTTGCACCCCAAGTTCCTCAGAAGTCTCGGTCACCGCCTTCCCTCAAATTTCTCCTAGGGATTATAAAGAAATCACTATTTAGTCTATTACAGAGTCTGGTCTTCATCTGATCGGAGAAAGCACTTGGCCTATTAGTAAGGCTGCAGTGGAGGAATATGCCCCCTCTGACTGCGGTCCTCGAATTGTTCCTTCCCAGCACTATTGTTGGCAAACAAGGCAGACTCCAGGTAAATCACATCACATTGGCGGTGTTGAAAGGTGCAGCGATTGTAGCATATAAGCAGCTGTGTCGCCTAACGCATACCCAACTATCTGCAAAAAGACCGAGAACTGTGAACATAATTTACAAAGCAACTTATTTACTTCTCACAAACCAGACTCTTCTAGAATGATCAATTATTCCAAAAGGAGGTGGACTGGTAGAGTTAGTAATGCTATCCAATGTTGACAACTCTCAGAGAGCTTGGTGTATGGACTGCGATCAGATTCTGTTGGCGAGGGACAATTACAAAACATGGGGCTCCATCCCAGATCTGGGATTGTCAGGTTCCACCACGGTACTAGGCCCATGTTCCAGCGGCGGCACCATTCTTCAGGGCGCACTGTAAGTAGGTCGTCGAAAGGAGTGGATAAGAACAGCCCGGGCCTTAGTCCAAGACAGGGATACAGCCGAAATATGCTCAGGCTAGGACCTTGACGCCATTGCTGCATAGGCCCTGACATTTTAGAGTTCTCGCGCAAATATAGCGCTCCGAACCAATCAAATCGGGTTCCGAACGGGTTCTTTCGGAACGAGTTCCGATTCTCATAAGTTGATTCCCGAACGACCAAGTGCCGAATGAATTAGTTCCGAGCACTCAGCCAGCTTGACCGAGTAATTCCTGAGTGTTTATTTAACTTATACGGGACGCAGCTATCACTCAGGAGGCACCAAAGCCAAACCAGTATTGTAAACGAAATTCATCTTCGATATGACCGACTCTGAATCACCCAAGGCATCTTCTGCCGTCGACATGCGCGAGCAGTATGTGCAAGACTCGTTTCTATCCAGTTGTAATCAAAATTTACTAACATCCCTCCTTTCTTGCTTTAGTGTTGATGAAGCATTTCAAACTATACAGCCCCCCCAGGCTCACTTTGATGCAGATGCTGAAAGTCGCCTTCGTAAGAAGATCGACCTGATGATTCTGCCCATTGTCAGCATTCTCTACCTATTCTGCTTTATCGATCGTTCAAATATCGGTAAGTATTTCCTCTTTTCCGTCTTGCCACCAACACTGATAACTTGACTTTACAAATCCAGGAAATGCTCGTCTTGCTGGTTTCGAGGCAGACTTGGGTATGGAGAGGATCGACTACAATGCCACCCTTTCCATCTTCTACATCTCGTACATCTTATTCGAAATCCCTTCCAATATTCTTTGCAAGATCGTCGGGCCTGGATGGTTCTTACCGATTTTAACCATCCTTTTCGGTGGCTGCTCTGTGGCGAATGGCTTTGTGAAGAACGTACCACAGGCCATGGCGGTTCGCTTCCTACTCGGCATCTTTGAGGCCGGAATGCTACCTGGCATTGCATACTATCTTTCTCGTTGGTATCGAGCCTCCGAGCTAGTTTTCCGAATCGCTTGTTATATCGTAACAGCCGCTTTAGCTGGGGCATTTGGCGCTCTCCTCGCCTCGGCTATTCTCACTATGGATAGCTTCGGATCTCTGCATACTTGGCGGATGATATTTGCCATTGAGGGCATGATCACGATGGGGCTTGGTATAATTGCTCTGTTTATCTTAACAGACAGCCCTGCTACAGCTCGCTGGCTTACACCAGAAGAGAAGAAATTTGCAGAGGCTCGTCTGCGGTCTGAGCGAGTGGGCCAATCGGAGGTTCTTGACCGAATCGACAAGAAGAAGATCCTCAGAGGCATTGTCAACCCAGTCACGATTGCAACCTCAGTGGCATTTTTGTTCAACAACATCACTGTTCAGGGGCTCAGCGTATTTGCTCCAACAATTGTGCGGACTATCTATAGCGATAGAACTGTGGTTCAGCAACAACTTTACACAGCTCCGCCGTACCTTGTTGGGGCATTCTTTACGCTACTTGTGCCTTACTTCAGCTGGCGACTTGACAAAAGACAGATCTTTTTGGCATTGTGTCCGACACTGACGGCTATTGGCTATATCATGTTCCTCGCATCGACGGACTTGACGGTTCGGTACGCAGCCTTCTTCCTCGTGGCTGCCATGATATTTGTTTATGCCCCCTTGTCGAATGGACAGGTTTCTGCTAATGTTGTTTCTGATACCGCTCGATCATCTGCGATTGGATGGAATGTGATGATTGGGAACATCGGTGGACTCATTTCAACGTGGGCGTTTCTCCCATTCGACGGCCCTAACTATCCTATCGGTAACGGGATAAACCTTGCCGCGCAGGTAGTCATCATGGTTACTATGTACTTGACTTTGTTGTGGATGAAGCGAGATAATCTATCCAGAGATGAGAAACAAGCGGAGGCGGAGATTGCTTTAAGCAATGTAACAGCTGAGGATATTGCGGGCTTAGATTGGAAGCACCCACTTTTTCGGTGGAGGGTATAGAATAGAAGTGAGGAGATTATTTCTTTTTAATAAAAGGATTTTCTGAAGTGTTAAGTTCAATTTGTAATAATTTGAGATAGGATATTCCATTGATGAGGGAACTTAATGTTTGAACTCACTGCACTTTCGCTGTGTACGTTGTCGAGGCCGAAGTCGGGTTTTAAGCTTCTTTGGTTCTATCTGCCGGAATTCTGTCGAACCTTTTGCACTATTCTAACCTTTGTGTCTAAGACTCACACATCCCACTATCCAACCTAACAAGGTTGAATTGAAACTCAAGGCAAAGACCAGTGTGCAACCTTGTTGTTCGGCTACTGTCTCTTCTGGTGCGCATACATTAATTGTATTTTTCTATATTTAGCCACTCTCCTGTAGTCCAAATACTAAAGGTATCAGGGTAGGAGTGCAAGCGAGCATGTAAAAGATCTTGATTTCTATCTAATGAAATATCTAAGGCATAATCTTATATAAAAGGTCTGAAGGGAAGGGAAATGGGTAGTGAAGCTCGCCCGGCGGACCTGATGGAGGCTCAGCTGAGGGCTCCAATAGGGGCCTATTTACACTCCATAATAGAGGCTGGGCCAGACCTCGGCCGAGCTCGAGTGTCTTATCAGAATGTGACAAAAAGGGTTGCAGCACTTAGTGTTTGTGCGAGTGCAGGCCGTGACCGCACTGTCCTCGCTTTCTCAGCCTCGCCATGTCAGCCCGCTCTTCCTCGTTGAGATGCTTGCCGCCAACACCGCCCAGCGACCTTCGGGCCATCTTGGCAGCAGCCACATTGTCGTTGGCAAATTTCGGGGTGATTTCCTTTGCAAAAGTTGCCTGTGCATTGTCCTCGACGTACACAACCTCGCCGCCCAACATTGTCACTAGAACTCGATTCCGGCCCAGCTCCTCATCAGGCACCTCGAAGTAGTTGTTCTCGACCACAATCATATCTGCAACCTTGCCAATTTCCAAAGATCCTAGTTGTTTATCAGCGCGGAGGAGTCTGGCTGCGTTGATAGTCATGGCTCTGAGAGCGGATTCGCGCGAGAGGCCCGGGCCGGGGAACAAGCCACTGTATTCCTCGCCGATGAAGGAGGCTGAGTTGGGGTTTTCTGGGTCACCTCTTCGAGTCACGCCTGCTTTGAGGGCAAGCCAAACGTCGAGTGGATCGACCTACGTGTGAAGGTTAGCTGGAAGGAGATTATATCCGTAGCAGTGCGTGTACTCACAGGCCAGTCGCTGCCGTAGACTGGGGGGCGTCCAGCCTTCTCGATGCGGGCATACGCGTCAAGATTGTCCATTCGGTACTCGCCCAGGCTCTGGAGTGTATCCGGCACCCACATAGGAGCGAGCTGGGACCATTGGAAGCTGAATACAGCATCCACCCCCAGCTCTGCAAAACGTGGCCAGTCTTCTTCGAGGGTCAAGCTCGCGTGAGCCAGGGCGAGGCGGATCGGGCGTGCTTTGGGATGGGCCTTGCGGTAAGCCTCTGCCGCATTCAAGCTGATGTGGACAGCCAAGTCACCATCAACGTGTAGCTGCGCATCAACCCCGTTGAGGAAGAATTGACCAAGGGTCTCGGAAAGAATATCCGCATCCCAGTACGTGCCTGACAAGGCGCTGGGATCCGGCGCCCATTCCACAGTGCCGTTGGTGCCATTGGCAACAGGAAGCCAATGAGGATCTACATTGGCGGCCGTCCTCGCTGAATAGATGACAATACCATCCAAAAATGCCTTGATTGACTGCCACTTTAGCGTTGGCGTAGGACTGATGGTGGAGTTGTCGTTGCGGGACGCGAGCAGCTCTACTGTCTCAGCGACTACTGCATCGATCTCTTCAAGTGTTGAGGGAGGCTGGATGCGCCAGTCGAAATACCCCCGTGAGCTGAGGTCGCCAGCCTGCTTGATGATCTGCCACGGCCCTACGTGCTCGTTGGTCGCTAGGGCATCCTGCCAGGTTGTGATGCCATTCTCGCGTAGAATTTGGAGCGCGGCTCGGGCGGCCTCGGCGTTTTGCTCATCCGACGGCAGAGGAGGCCCAGCAATGAGAATATTCGCGCCGTCTAGAAGCACTCCAGTCGGCTCTTGGGTCCCCGGGACGTGCTCGATAATCCCGCCTGGGGGTTAGGCGTAGTCGCAGTGATGTTGGACAGGACCAGTGCGCGGGAATTCAGGACGAAGGTGTGGTAGTCGTTTGACCGAACGAAGATGGGGCGGTTAGTGTTTAAGCTGTCCAGGTCATCTTTGGTAAGAGTCTCTCCAGCGAGGGCCAGAGACATGTAGTTGAGTGCTACGCCGTCGAGCCAGTCGTCATCGGTGCGCTCTGGGTCGCTGTCAAGACAGGTTTGCAAGTGAGCGAGAACCTGCTCAACGTTGAGTCGTTGATAGTTGAAGTTGCATTTGAGCAAGTCCTGTCCAGCTTGAAAAGCGTGCATGTGTGGATCGACGAATCCAGGCATTGCCATGCGGCCTCCCAAATCCAGAACCTGTGTGTTGCTTCCGATCAAGGGTGCGACTTTGGCATCGTCTCCAAGAGAGATGATGACTCCATTTTTGATGGCGAGAGAGCTGACTTTGGCCGATCCTGCGTCAAGAGTATAGATCGATCCATTCTGAAAAACGAAGTCGGCGATGGGTGTTCGGTGACGCTGAATCGGCGCCTTGGCCCCAGCATAGGATATCATGCCCATGGCCACCAGCGCCGCGATGCGACGCAACAGTGAGACCGTAGCCATTAGAAATAATGTGTTAGTCAGAGACCAAGTGAAGATATTAGTTCGATGCCTAGGAGTATCCGAGAGCTGAATGAGTGTGAGATTGGAAAGAATTGTAACATTGGTAGGGCGAACCCATCGGCCCTCTTTATAGTCGAGAATAGAGCACAGGCTTGCCTGAGGGCTTGGGGGTAGCCATACACACTGCATTAAAAAGCCAGGTTTGGTTCATCTGCACTACCGATTGGGCTCTCTGAGGCCTCCTTTCGTTGTAGTTGGCGTACGCGTCACCGGCTGGAGGAAGGGCAGGGTCCGGTGTGAGAGCGTCGAGCTCGTGTAAACCAGGCAGGTCTCACCCGGAAATATTCACGTCTGTAACTAGCGTGGGAGATTGCAATCAGAGGTTCCTGATCAAGTTAAGGTACTGGCCCGTATTCTGAACTAGAATAGACTTAGAGTTTAAGTTGGTGGAACGGCCGAGGAGTGGCCTATTGGACAGTTCCTTTCTTCCGCTGTCCAGCCAGTTAGATGTTGAGAAACATATGGCATGACACACCCCTTTACTTTCACCTGGTGACTGCAGTGCTGCTATGCACTTAGCTCTAAACCCGCTTCGCTGCGGGTCGAACCAGGGCCCCTTGGATGAGTGAAGACCCGGAATCGGGTGGCATGATAATGTGGGTGCTACGTCTCTATTTTCATATGCCTGTGTAACAGCAGTTAATGATTGGCTCTATCATTATATCACATGCCACCGGCATGATGATCTCATTGTCACAGCAGTGTGGGGATTCGACTATTTCACGGCGCCAGCTATTGTTCCCATTCCTTTAATGGAGAGCCGGCTAGGGAAAAAGCCAGAGCTTGAAGATATAATCGTTGTATAGAGAATTGCTTTGACTGAGTTGGAAAACCAACACCTTAGCTTCCCTTCCGGGTATTAGGTATCTACTCTCATCCTCTCGCCTAAAGGGGAGATCTAATTGGGAGGTTCTACTTTTGACTGTTGCACTGGGGCGTTCGGAACATGGTCTTGCACGATACATCCATGACAACTAGACTCATATGAGTGGGCCCTGGTAAAAAACATTCTGTTCGTCATGCCTAAGAGAGCCAAGGCTCATAATTTGCTAATGATCCGTTCAAGGACGTGGGGCCCAATTAGTTCGGTATCCCACCCCCAGACTCTTAATTTGATTACCAATGCATGAATAATACCTACCGAGTAGCTCTTGCTGCGCCCGAACAACGCTCTAGGAATAAGCGAGCGCGCGCCTAAGACGTCAGCGCTCTAATATGAAAGTGATGAGCCTTGTTTGCTTCGATGCCATACTGCGCCGAGGCCCTTGGTTGGACTCTGAGACCAACCGGTCCAGCCTGCGGAATGGGTTCCGAGCGTGAATGGGTTCCGAACGATCACCGGACCCTGACCACGCCGGAAAGTTCTCCTAAATCCTAGCAATATGTTGACCTTATCATTCTACTAATTCAACTCCGTTTAAAATCTTGACCCGCACGGTAAGAGGTGAGGGTTTGTACAGTGCAGGAAAAACGATGCTCAAGGATCGACTGTGTACTGATTGCAGTACTCACTGCAATACGCCTATTGGGATCAAAGGGCAACTACCGTTTAAACATATAATCTAAAAATCTTAGTCTGTCTGAGTAAACTATTGGCCTTTGACTAGACTGGGTATGTAGTCTGTATTGTTATTCCTATTGTTGGTGTTTTTTTTTCTTTTTTTACTTTTCAGCTTTTAGTCCCCCCTCTGGGTATGTGTGTACTAGGGCACCCTAACCTCTTGGTATTTGTTCAAGTATTTGGCCTATACATCCATTTCTGTTTCCACTCGGGTAAGCGAGAAGACATGATTTAAGTGCGAATATTCTACTTGGTATGAACACCAAGTATGGATACTTCCTTCTGGAGCTGAGTTCGTCCATTTAGCTGGGCGCTCAGTTATCTATCTACGCCGCGTTATCTGCTAATGCTACACCAGTATCTGAAATAAGGACTGCAAGGTTTCAGCTCTATGACCCCGTCAATATCTTACAGTTTCCGGGCCCTACACTACTTACCGTTGGAGTACTTCTCCCAGTGTTTTATGTACTAGCTCCGCTCAGTTTATAAAGTTCCCACTGGAAATTGCGTATATTGCTATTACTCTAAGATAACAAACCGTCTTTAGCGTTCTTGCGATATAGATTATCAAAAACTAATATTAATAATGCTGACAGATGAAACAGGATGCATTCGTCATCTTTGCTATCTCGTGACTCCAGACTGTAAACATGGTCTCATCCATTCCGATGCTCGGATTAGCCAGGTCGAAGTGGCGCAACGCTTGGTCCTCTCTCCACATCAGTCGGAAAGCCTCGTGTGGTTCCGAGTGGCGGGCTAGGGCACAAAAAGAGAATAAAACAATATTAGGAAAAAAGGGAAACTCCGGAACCGACTGTTGTTTTAGTGTGACCGTCGTCAGCATCATGAGGCTTCAGTCCCTCATCTCCTTCACCCAACAGTTCAACATTACTTGGGACTACTTCAAGATTTCGGTTTGGTCCCAGATTGAGCTCAGCATCGTCGCCATATGAATCTGTCTACCCGAGTTCCGTGTATTACTTGTTTATTTCATACCCGCGCTTTCTGGCTCGAAACGCAATTTGAGGCACTACTAGAATCAGCAAATCAACCATCGATTCAAAACACTCCAGGCCACCGCTGGCGCAATGACTGGAGCTTTAGTACTGGCAACCAAAAAAAAATAGTAACCCATACAGTCAGTAAATCTAATGCCGGGGGGGTTTTGTCGTGAATTATGCGGTAAATGATGAGGAAAATCCTGTACATGAGATGGGCAAATCTTCAGCCGCAAAGTAAGGATGTTTTGGCAAGCGTTGTCTTGATACATTTACTTTAAGCTCTACAATAGCTTGAACAATACAGTAGAAAATTGGCCGTTATCTTACTACCACCCGAACTGCTCGCAATGAAGAGACACCTGAGGACCCCATGTAACCATCCGGGATGTTGTACATCGCCTCACTTCTTCCAACAAACTGCTCGGCCCACACCCCATGACCAAAACACTTTGGCTGAAAGACATACCATCCACAGCCTGGGCCACAAGATCGTGGACCATAGGACGGCCGTAGTGGACGGGCAAACCATGGGCCAAGTGCTGTTGCGAGGTCTTCTGATGCGATAAATCAGAATTGGATGTTTCATCTGCCAAATCCTCCAGCACCAGCGCCCCTGTTGACGAATTACTCGATTCCTGGACTTCCTGGCTGCGGGGCAGTTTTCTAAGTTCCGTCTGACCCGTGATGTGGATGGAAACTTTGAATCCCTGAGCATTGGCAACATTGTTTAGGTGAGGTGAAAACCATTCCAAGAAGGCTGTCGCGGTCAGTAAGGGTGTCAATAGTACTAAAAGGGAGTAGGAACGTACTGGAATCTCTCATTGTCCACACTATGGTAACGTGTTTGTTGACAGATCCTTCGAGGCTTTGCAGGAGTCGAAGAGCACTGCCAAAAGCGAAGCTGCCTCCGCTGCCGCCGGCGAAGATCAAAACCTTGTCATACTGAGAAGGGTCCGGGACTTGTCCATATGGTCCTTCAACGGATGCCTTCATGATTGCACCGGAATTTTTCCCAGCATACTGATGTAAATCACGAGTGAAACCATCCCGCGAGGCAATAACGAATTCAAGTGGCTCAGTGCAGGTTATCGTGAAGGGGTGAGTCTGCAGCAGACGAATTCCAGGAATCCAGAGGAATGCGTGTTCTCCGGATTTCGCGCCGACGAGTCGCTTGTGTAAGATAACCCTTGTACCGCCGTTTGGGAGCGGTTGTAATGTCGCCGAGTTGTTGATGCCGTGATACACAAGTCGAGATGCTCGAACGACGCGATCGAGGAGCCATATGCCTGTAGCGACACCAATCGCGATGATCACTCGCTCCCCCGCGGTCGGATGATGAAGACAGATAAATATCATTGACACGACGAAAAAGAAGATGTGCAAGAAATAGAAGAGTTCGTAGACTCGGCGTTGAAGGGTGAGGGCAACGGCCACAACCATCAGAACGGTAAACCCTGCCACGATGCCAAAGATTTCCTCCTTGACGCGCAATCGGGCGGAATTCTGTTGATCCAGGAAGAAGGAAGAGTATGAGACACCGTGTATAATGACCAAAATGAGTGAGGTCATCCCGGAGACTCGGTGCAGCGAGTTCAGTCGTTCGTAGGACCATCCAGTAAGAAAACCGAGAGGCGTGTTTTTCAGACTGAGAAACACTGTCAAGCAGATATTGGCAACAGCTAGCCTAAGGGTATTTTAGCGCATGCCTTGGAATGGGAAGGTCAAACGTGCATACCATCCCGTTCGAGCAGCAATGATAACGTGCAACGACAGAACGCTGTCGTCAATGTACACAAACATAAAGCCCACGTTCAGCCCAACATAAGTCGCGAAGAGTATGACATGGCCTAAAGATGGCGCACCGCGGACCTTTAACATCAGGAGTCTATGGAATGAGTGAGGTTAGATCAAAGCAGCACCGTTAACTTCGCATTTGATTACCTGACTAAAAGACTGAAAGGACTCCGAACAGCAGCCGAGTACTGCCGGAGGCTGGCTTTGCGTCCCAAGTGATCGATGACTTTGAAGACGATGAACATCCCAATGACGCTACCTATAATAGCTGCGTAGAGGGTCATGGCATCATAATCATTTTGAGCCCGGATTGCAAATATTTGCAACAGTTGGTCCTGATTAGGGGGTGGTGGAGGGCTCAGTGTTGGAGCGGAGGTCGGAAGCTCGGTACCTGGCCCATTGGTAGTGGGATTTGACATTGTAGGTAGGTATAAAAACCGTGTTCGTATCTTGTAGCGGTGCTGATTGAAGTACCCGCCGGACACTAGAATGAATGGGCTGGGACAAGCGATGTTGTTTTTGTTGTAAAGATGAAGAGAAGAACTATGCGTGAACCGGAGGCAATTCTCAGGAGAGAACCTGAAATTATATACAAGCAGCATGAGGCTGTCTACACATGCAAGCCACCATAAAGTAGAAGATCCTTATCAACGAAGACGCGTGGACACACAACAGGCCAAGCCTCAAATCCAGGCTGCGATACCATCATAGCCATTCCGACGCGGGATCTACATGACGAATTCTCAACCGTGCGCAATTCGTCGTCGCAATACATTAGATTAGGCGTGAACCATAAAGAACTAAAGTTTAGACTCAGCCTTTTTCTGTCTCAAATAAGGAAGGGCTTGGCCGGATGGGAAAGCAGGGGTCAGGGGGCCGAGTTACAGCCTGGCTTGGCAAGATGAATAATCGTCGGGATGGGATGGGTGTGATGAAGAGACTGGCTAAGCATATAAACTTTCAGCATCTCTTCATTTGTCAGCTTAGGCAATCAGGGGCCATCGAATGGTCCTTCAATTGGCCGGGGGTGATATTGTCGACGGCCTTGAAGCCTATCTTCGGAACGGCATCTAATTGGTAGAACAGCTCGGAACATTAATGTCATTCCGAGAGACGATGGCGATCAGCATATGATGAGAAATGGCGGATGTGAGAAAAGGAAAGTCGTCATGGGTGGCTGTACCTGGAACCCAATACGGCCAAAGAGCCCCATGGCTCCAGTATTAGACAGGGCCCAGTGCCAATTATGAATGCCCGATGACATTTGACAAGATAGGACGTGAGGAATGAGATCAGAACCCCCGCTAGTGTCAGGGGCCCAGAGCATCACAGTAAGCGAAAAGACCACAGCTTACAATTTAAAGTATTGGGTTAAATATTACGATATTGACGTAATTAAAACGCTCGATTCAAAGGATAACAAACCAGAAAGAGCCGGTCATTTCAAAACAAGCTTGGATACCAGACAACGCCGACACGCCACAAGCACGCAGCATCCCACATACTTCAAACACTCCCAGCCTGTTGTGAATGCGGGCCTGTTCAATTGGTGGGCACTTTCAAGGGCAGATTCTAACGCATCGGCATCAGGACAAGCCCCAAAGATTGGCAGACCGACGACAATTCTTCCCCTTCCAGACCAAAAGTGCTCCAGACTAGAGCCCAAACAGGCAGAGCACATCCATGATGACAAAGGTGTTTCTGAGACCGGTGTGTCTGAACTACGGCTCCTTGGTGAAGATCATGGCGCAAGCAATAATATTCCCGACCTTAATTATAACAGTTGATGCCTTTCTAGCCCTATTCAAGTAGCACTCTTTTATATAACCCAATGAGACCATTCCTGCAATGGGTATTCTAGTGCTAATTAATCTTATCCCTACAACTGGCCAAGAAGAGCAGCACGGAGTAACCGATATGTAACAACCAGCCAATAACACCAACACATAATGCCGTGGACGCGATGGGTGAACCCGATCTTGGTGAGGTGAAGTTAACGAATCCGACGAATATCCTGATGCGGGTGCTGCTGAGGATAGCGATGACGACAGTTTTAGGAGTTAAGCCTCTAAGACTTTGTGGATGAGCTCTACCTTAATGTCAGTGACTCCAATTCTTAGGTCCTGGCCAATTGAGGACGGTTTGCCCGTACCGATGCTTATCACGACAGGGCATCGGCCACGGCGCTTCCAATTCTCTCTAATCTGCGACTCAGCTTCGTTCCATGCCACTTTAGTTGGGTTGTTGGTTCCGGCGCCGCTGTCTATATACTTGTGATTGCGGATGGGATTTGGGGCAAAGTACCCTGGCGCCGCCGTCATTGCCCTGCTTGCGTCGACGATGGAGACGCCGTCAGGCCCTCCTCTCGCGGGCTTAAACCTGGCATTCGTATCGCTTGGTCGTCCACTCGACAAGGGCGCCCCGGCAGATGCCCCCAGGTAGTCCAAAAGATGTTCTTGTTGAAGTCCCGGTTACGATACGATGTGACGCCCCTAGATTTCATGTTTGCTAGATATCATTGAGCCCGAGCAATGAAGATAGGGATGAAGCTGGGTAACCAACGCTCTACACAAATCAGGGTGAGAAGCCAGCTTCGTGAATTTTGTACATCAATGTTGTCATTCATCAGATTGTACGTTCGTACCATCTAGCCGATAACATTTTCGAATTCTGTTTCATCCCATTTTGGGTCTCCTGATCTCTTCGTTTCAACATTGAAGCCATCGTCGCACATTGTCTCATAAGCAGCTTGCACATCTTCTACAGAGATGCGCCATCTCCCGAGCATGATTGAGATGAGCTTATTTTGATCTGTCAGTAGACAGCCGACACCCAGACACTCTGCCTTGTTCAACCAGTCTCAGTCTCGTCAGCTTCTGCCGTATCACCGCATCACCGTGTTGCTGCCCTCTCAGCCTCGTTATTTTGTCCTATTCGACCAGCCTCAGCCTCGTCAGCCTCCCGCCTCGCAGCCTCGCAGCCTCGCCGTTTCGCCATTTTGCCGCTGTTTCGCCGCTGTCCCGCCGCCATATTTCAAGAAAACCAGGAGGACTCCAAGGCGCTCTGCGCCATTGCCATCGCCCTCGCGTATGTCAACGTCGCGGGTCTCTACGCCGCGCAGGGAGGTAACTGCTCAGACTAAGTGTGGGCTGCATGCCGATACCTTCTTTTTACAAGCACTACCTTATGCTTTTTCGTGGGCATACGGTCACTGGTTGGGTTTTTACCCCCCCCCCCCTCCCTTCCCCCTTGCAACCCCAACCTGCTGCCCAGGAGTGCTAGAGGCACTGGGCATATCGAGTTGCTGTTTGGACTGTGGCTGCCGCATTCTGGCTGCCGCTGAAGCGTGGACGGCGAAGGCGGCAGAGACGGGAAAGAACGCGGCGGTTCCGCTGTGGACCACCTCTCGCAGGGACGGACGGCGCTGGGGCGGGCGGCCGGGTGTAGGGACATGGAGATAGTGGATACGCTAATCGGGGCCGGGTGGCCGGGTGGCCGGGCTCCGGCTCCGGTGCTAGTGGGGTGCCTCCGTGCACAAGCCGGACCGGACCGGCTGACGCCGCTGTCCTGGGCGGCCGCGAACTGGCAAGCTGCCGTGGGAATGCTGCTCCTCGATTGCAGGCGCGCTGACGTTCGTTCCGACAAAGTGGACGCCTGCTCCAGGACGCCACTCTAGTACGCGGCTGGCCATGTCGCGGTGGTATGCGAGCTGCTGGGCAAGGGAGGTCCGGCGGCGGGCCTGGATGTAAAGGACATCCGCGACAGGACGGCCCTGGACGTTCCGAAGCAGGCTGGGCACCAGGATGTTATGGGTTTGTTGTCGTTAGAGAAGTAGATGAGGTGCTATTATAATACTCCGGTTGATTTCTTTTCTATAAATTTAAAACTAATTAATTTTTTTATTTTCTTTATTTTCTTTATTTTCTCTTAAGCTGGAAATTCAAAAATAAAACAGAGTTATTTATTCCGGGAAAGGTAGCTATATCCAACATTCATAGTTGGCTGACATTTGTGGTTCTATGCGTTTGGTATAGAAAATTTAGTATATACACCTAAATGCTAGGTATGCTGGGTACTGGGCGAGGCTTGGCAACCTTCTCGTAAGCCATCATGAATTGCAATAGCGTCTCCTCTGCATCATCCTTCCCTATAATGCATAAGCCGAACGGGCGACCATTGTAGCGAAGCTGTCCTACCGGGACCGTGGCGAGAGGGTATCCTGGATGTGTAAGCAATTGAGAGACACGGACGAGTTTCAGGCGTAATTACCTGCGGCGGCAGCATGGACACACAGCGGAGCGTCTCCTGGAGCCACAATGAGATTGATCTGTTCCTTCTCAAACGTTTCGTCAAGAATCTGCTTCGCAATAGCACGGAGCTCCTGTTTTAGGTCCTGTATGTGCTCTTTGTCATCGGTACTATTCATTGCCTCTTCTAAGTCGTTTTGCTGCGTAAATGCTGGAGTTGGTTAATTGACTACTTTGGCTGGGAGACTTCGAGTATTCAGCTCTCAACTTACGAGCAGGGAGGGCATTTTCGCTATTCTCTCGATTGAACTTAACGATATCTGCAACGCAGCTTACAGGGCATTCGTCAAACGCCTTGATGAATTCAGGGATGCAAACATTCCTAAAATCCCAATCTCAACTGTCATTAGCAGGGTCCTGGAACTCGTTGGCTGTTGCTGTGACGTACATGCAATCGGGAGTATAGCCGGCAGGGTTGAAAAATCCTTGAGGTCGATCGGGTACTTCACAGGGCAACCATGGCTCTTGAGACTAGAAACCGTGTCTTCATACTCGGTTACCTAGATACCTTTTTGTGAGTTTCTTTGAAAGTCTTGGCGCAATCAACATGGCATACCATTTGCTCTGCCGTTCCTGGAAATTGCGTACAGAAGTCCTCTGCCATATTCCACACCCTCGGGTCCAGGAACCCTACAGAGATCCCTTCCCAGGATCTCAATCGAGGGCGGGCGAATGTGCGATCGAGTAAAATCTCGGCTACCACGCACACGTCTGCCGCCGATTTGGCCATTGGACCCGGGCTGTCGAAAAATTCCGTCATGATGTACAATCCAGTGGTATCTTGGATCCCAATGGTAGGCTTGAGTGCGTACAGACCTGCACGTGTTGAAGGAGTGACGATGGAACCTATTGTCTCTGTAGCCATGGCAAGAGGACTAAAGCCAGCGGCTACAGCGACCGCAGAACCGGTTGACGAGCCCCCGGGAGCCTGTTAAATATCAGGCCGGATGATTCTAGGATTTTAACAGTCTCTACTCACCGAGTGGCCAAGCAATTTCTCGTTCTCCTCCAATTTACCAACATAAGGGGACAGCGTCTGGCCGCCGTGGGCAGACCAACCAGGCATCATCATGGTCATTTTCATGCCAGCAAGCTCCTAAATTGATTGTCAATACGATGGGATCGTCCTAAACAAAATTGAACTGACCGTCATATTAGCCTTTCCCAGGATAATCAAGCCAGCATCTATTAACCTCTGAGTGATGGCTCCATTCTTTGAGGCCTTGGATCCGACAAATGCAAGCGACCCGGCCGTAGTTGTCATGCCAAGGTCCGACGCGGTGACGAAGCTATCTTTCAAAATGATCGGGATTCCATGAAATGGGCTCCTGACTTTACCTTGCTGCCGCTCCTGGTCCAGAGCTGCGGCAATTGCAAGAACACCCTCGCGCGGGGCGGCGGAGATCAACGCATTGAGTGCAGACTCATGGAAATCAATCTGTGCAAAATACGCCTGGACGATCTGGATACTCGTAATCTGATCTTCTTCTAGCAATTGCTGCAGATCAACTGCGTTGGTGGTAAGGGTGTTGAAGGCCATCTCTCACTGCTACCTAAGCTGGTGCCTGGTGAGTTCAGAGGAGGGGTGAAGGTTGAGTGTGTTGCCTGAAATCAACTCCAAATCATAATATCAGGTGATCATGTACCGGTCGGATTATCCCAATTGAGTAAAAAGAGGATCCTCGGCTATTTCATCACTTCTGGGTCGTTCTCCTTCTTCTTCTTCGCTTACCCTTGACCCGCGATTGTAGCTGCCTATGAGTCCATCGTTCTCAAGTTTAAGCACAGTCGCAAAGTACCACTGACATGAAGTGCCGTGATGATCGTCGATTGAATTAGCATGAAGGAATATAAGACCTAGAGCTGGTAGCATGTGGGATGCCCTCGAGTCAAAGAGGGTCAAGAGGTGGTCATGCATGATCCTCATGCTATTCCTTTGCAACCAAAACCTGACCGTGAGGTCAAAAAGAATATCCTCAAGCTCTTCCTTGGATATGAAGACATTATGGTTGTAGGTCCATTCCGGGTGTGGTTCTTGAGTACGCTGACTGGCAGGCAGATAATTGACGAAGTCCGTTATTATCTCCAATATTACACCGATTCGCCAACGCCAAAAGATGCCTGTGATGAGGGATGGCCGTATCCATAATAATTGCTTGTCTCATCATCTCCGCGATTGTTGTATGGTACGTCGTAATGGTCACGGTAGCTGTCGCATATAGTCACCTCGATATGCGCCATATCACCGCCTCCTACTGGGATGTCCACTTCAGCCTTAGTTGTATGTCAAAATGAAACTGTAACCCATTTCGATCATGCGAGGATCTTTGGTGTCTGGAGTGGGTATCGATCCGTACTGTCAGCCGCGAACGTTGTAGGTTTCAAAGGGCACCTTATCAACGCCCCCAGCACCCTGATACCCATATTCGTTTCGGCTATAATAATCCAAGTAATCGTCCTGCTAATAATCCGAATTGTCCTGGCTCTTATCGTATACTCTAAAAGAGCAGTATTACTTGTATTGCATATAGTTTGACCAAGTATGGCTGACATTTCTTTATAATAGCCATTAGAGTATCCAACACAAGAGCCAGTTTCCTAATAAGCCTCGCCCCCGCAAAAGTTCGACGACTGGCCACGGTTATCGCGTTGGCCGTAGTCGTTACAATATTGACCACTACTATCACTAGAGTGTCCAGCCATACCGGAGAGTAATTGCCGTAATTAGCGGTAGGGTTTTAATGCAATGTGAAATTTAAGAAATACTCGTGTGCGGATATATCGGCAAGTCACATCCGCCACTCTGGTATCTGAAGCCGATCGATTTGTCAGGTAAAGAATCAAATTAGCCCAGAACAAGAAATCATTACTGTTTAGTTCCAGAGAACAGATATAGAGAACTGGATCGGCATCTTCCGAAAATTTCGCGTGAAGTATCGTTACTACAATAACTGTGCCGTATTTGAGCCTCTAAAAGGTTGGAGATTGGAACAACTTGCCGTATTCCCGCCTTGTTGCCTGCGCCACCCTGAATTACGCATTCACTCATTAGCTATTCCTGGGATACAGTCTTAATTGCCGCCGACTAGGAGAGATGTTTTTGCGTGCAGCATGCTAAAGACATGAACATGCGTAAGGGGGGTATGTGTTAGCTTAGTTCGGTTACCTTGTTAGGTCCCGAGTGCGAAACCGAGCCCTACAGCAATGGTTATTTTTAGAAAAATACACTGAGATGCCGCAGCTCCCGTGAAAACATGGTATGTACGGAGTAGACTAGTCCGCAATAGATATCCATTGCATTCCATTCCATACATTCTCGATTCTGCAGAGGTTGGCGTTTGACGTATTCTTTGAACTATTGTTAGGTCCGACGCACACAGGCAAGGGGGTCAGACCGGTTACTTGTGAGGTTTGTGACGTACTCTGTATATTACCGTATCGACTCGTGAATTGGCCCTGAATCCTTCCTCCATTCATTGCCTTAGCGCTTTTTTATACCTAATGATAATAAATGATTTAGGAAAGCTCAGCCTTATATAGCTTGGCTTTAGTCCAAAAAACAGTCCCAATTCTCGAGTCGACATGGTTTCCAGTTCTATACGGCCGTGACTCGAGGTATTCAAGATGTTACTATTCACCAATATTATGACTTATTGTAAATTAAAGACTCTGTAAATCTTGACCCGTAATTTGAATACCATTGCATGTCCGTTCCTTTACCATTTACCGTCTGGACACGAGCCTGATGCCAACTTCATTAATGTCGTCGACGCTGAACAACCTCGCCACAAAATTCACAACACTGATTTAAATCATATGACCAGTGATAAATGTACGGCAATGCAACGCCACAGACAGTGGTGAAAAAAAGGGCCAGGGCTTTGAGACTAGCGACATAAAGGGTTAATGCTGAATCTTTCTTTCAGAGCTGATGCTTCTTACTGAGTCGATGCTGATGGACGGCCTTTTCTAATTGGTTCAATCATTCGGTGGCAATGTGGGCAATAGAGTAAGTTTGGTGAATAGTGTCGCCCTGGTATGTGGTTTAACACGTAGTCGGAGTCGGGTGGTATTGAGCTGAAGCTGTCTCTGCTTCGAATGGCTCTCAATCGCTCGGGCACTGGTGATAAATAAGAATGCGGCACTGACCCGTCCAGCGATGTGGATGGAGGGCCAAATCCGAGCCCTTTGCTTTGGTGTGACTTATCCAGGCTCACTGGGGTCGGATATTCAAGCTGACGTTCCGTTGGAGCCATAGAGGAGGAGCCACTGTCAAATGGCAGAGCACTGTTTAATATGTTAGGAAGTAGCGGATAGAAACATGTGCCAAGCAAACGAACTGAGATGCAGCATGTGACTGTGCCGTGGATGGAGAACTCGGCGATTTGGTGGTAGGCGTGTACGGGGGAGGATCATCGTCTACAGATATCCGCGACATGACTTATTGATATGGAGTTTCGGATAATGATGGAAAGGTGTATTTTCCTCTCAAGGCTCGTTATATCGTTTAATAATTCTTTACAAGAAATGGTGGACGAGACTGCGAGTGTTCAGGCTTTTGATCGGACTGGAATCCCTTGGTAAACAGTCCGCAGAACCCGGCGTGATGAGAAAACGTTTATCTCTTGAAGACCTAGAAAGATCCACAGCATTTACCCGCCTAGACTACTTATACGTCATATGATCAGATTGTTCATTTATCATCAGCGGCTCAGACGGCAACAGAACTCGAATGCGATGCCGAAACCGAAACCGAAACCGAAACCGACTACGCTGAAATGAGATTATCTGCCGAGTTTGAAATAAGGTATCTGTCTGACATTCTTTCGCAAAATGAGTAGTGTATCCTCTTTAAAGCGACCTGGATTTTATCATAATTTTTATAAATCCACGAAATAACAGTTACTAGATTCATAAAACCAGTTGTCTAAGCCCTACAGGTGCTACTCCAGACCCTCATTAACTAATAAGTGGTTTACCGCAACGTTCTTGGTACAGCCGCATTGCCGTTGCTCCGCCGCTGCCTAGCTTGGTACTACCACGCCTCAAAATCAGTGGAATTTATTTCTTCAAGGCACCTCAGCCAACGCTGCCTGCTCTGGGACCGTCCTTGGCGGGAATTAGTCAATATGTCTAGGGTAAGTAAACTGGTAGCATTTGATCTAGCTCTCCTTGCACCCCTGCAACAAAAAGCAACTTGAGTCTGAAGTGGGGTGAAAATCAGGACACAAAGATAATAAAACATGAATGAGAATTTATTATAAAATAATTAGTTCTTGTTGGTCCTATTGTTGGTGGTTTTTTTACTGCTCAGCTTCTAGTCCCCCTTCTGGGTATGTGTGTACTTGGGTACCTACCCTAAACTAACCTCTTTCAGCGTCGTTTTCGAGCAGCAGCAGCTCAACGACTGTCGCATGCCCGTTTATAGCAGTCTATAACAGTGGTGTGGTGCGAACGGTTATATCCTTCAAGCTGTCATGGGCTGTCTTCCCAGGCAAGATATTGGTGGCGGCTTGACTCCTTTTATCGCCGGTCACATATGATAGCAAGCTTGACTCCCTAGACAGGGGAAGACCTCTAGCACAATCTTGCCCTAACTTGGATGTGATGTCCTGGAGGATCTCGTCTCCGCAGACGACGCATGCTACTCTCCTTTCCATGCTCACGGCTACGATGAAGCCGTACATCTGCTTGCTGTTCTGGTCAATCACAAGCGAGCCACAGTTTGCTACTGACAGGATCGGCAAAGTTGACCGGATAGATTTCAGTCTCAATAAGTAATATGCGGTACAGGTGCTCTATTTTGCTATCTTAACAAGCGATGGCCAGGGCTGTCATGACTTGTTCACTCCAGTATCTTTGCGTCGTCCGCATGCCCCCTTAGTTTTTGATGGGCATTTGGCAGGACTAGTCAATGCTTGCCTCCTGATATCGAATTGACTCGTCATGGATCTAGTTGTCGAGATTGCCTGTCAGTGGATTTGGGAAAGCCAGCTGCATCATGTTAGCAAAAGAGTGTTAAGCTGGATCTGGTCGTTTGAGAAAATGTACTCACCAACCGATTTCGTATAATAATTTCTTTGACTCGTACTTAGCCATATTATACGCCGCCAATCGCTCTACTCTTGTTAGATTAGGCTCCCTTAGATATTGGTAAGGGCAGTAATTGTCTCTTAAGGCAAAACCCGTGCCCTCAAATGCAGACACCTCGGGGATATAGTGGCCTGAATTATTTCCGGTGATGCTGTTGGTATGGGAAAGCCATATTGGGTCATCTAAGTCTCGCCCATAGCCATAGTTCTTCCAACTGCTAAGGATCATCGCGTAACCCCGCCCTTCTGTTTTGCAGCACGAGATAGTGAATGCGGTACAGCAATCATCACACAATGTACCCTTGTTTCTTGTTGTTGCATCATTCGGGGGGGATGCGATTCCTCGTGGCTTTTCCTCCTCTTGCTCCGGACGCAAAGCGCAGTCATGTGCAAACCGCGTGACAACGTCCTGGTCCGTATTGGGTTCGGACCCTTCCAAGAAGTATTCCTATTTGTGATGGTCGCAAATATGCATCAAGTCGTGGTTGTTCTTCAGAAATTTCGTCAAAAGCGGTACAATGACGTTCGAATGTCTTACGTAAAGGTTGATATTCGATTCCACCATAAGCTGGTCGTGAATGACCGCGGCCCGCCCTCTGAAATAGATTATCGGCCCGTCGTCAGATCCTGTCCAGTGCTGTTTTACCGTGTATAAGATCCTGGGATGATAGAAGCTGCTTTTATGCCGGTGGCTCCTCAGAATGGCGGCAACCATGTCGAATCGCAATGGCGCCATGTCCCCGTACCCCATTGCTTGCATTCTTTCGGTTCCGCGACTCAAGCAGGCGCATTGCCTCTCAAAACGGGACGAGTTCTCTCCGGGCCTGAGTCGGGGGAGGTGGAAGTACTGGCACACGGGGCATAGAATCTCCCCCTTCTCCATTAGGTATCCATCGCGCTCAAGGCGTTGAAGGAGCAGGAATTTGTCCCCGACATGTAGCTTCAGTACACTTCTCCCGGCCATCGAGAGGGCCTGTTGGCATGAGAGAGCAAGAGCGGCACGGTCGACGTCGCTGAGGTGCCGCCATGTCTGTGAGACGAAGTGATGATTGTTGAAAAAAATTGAAACATTTTCTGATGGGCTATCCCTGTGACTTCTTGCGAGCTCCAGCGTCTCCCTCAAGCTGGCGAGTCCTCCCAGAGCCGATGCAGCCAAAGAAAGTGCCATGATGAGACCAAGGGGGAAACTGAAGTCAGCTGTGGGCGCCTTAGGGTGAGCAAACTGATCTGGAGAGGAGAGAATGGTTGGTTTTGTTCCTAGTGAAAAGATGATGTGTGAGGGAGGGAAAGAGTCAGGGCTCGGCTTCTTGAGCCAAATGCGTATATGATCATGCAGGTTTTATATTTTTCAAGTTAAAAAGCTTAATATTTAGCCATCGTGGTAGGATTGGGTAGGAAATACTTGAATTGTGGATGAAACCGTATTTTTTTGACCTTGTGCCGGTAACTTGCTCACCTTGAGGGTGCAGACAGAAGTTAGATTAGTTCCCAATGAAACATTTTTCAATCTAACTGCTGATTTATAGTTTAACTCTTGAGCTTTTCAACCCTCGGGGCTCCTCGTGATCGTGCATGTGGATTGGGTGAATACGCGTCTACTCCGCATACTCTGGATTTTAGGTACAGATCCACAAACAATCTTGACAACATTTTCACCACGGAGTATTCAAACTCCATGATTTCATGGTGACCATAAAGATACACAAAAAAAAAATTTCTTGTTAATCCTGTTCGTATTTTTTTTTTTACTCCTGAGATTCTAGTCGCCCCTCTGAGTACGTGTGTACTGGGGCACCCAGCAGATCTAGCTTTTCCAAGATGCAGCTGTTGCTGCAGCCCATTAAGGTATGCAAAAAGGTATCCAGTTGGATTAGAAACCTTAGTCTTTCCGATTAAACTGTTGACCTTTGAATGGACTGGGTATATGGTCTGTATTGTTAATCCTATTGTTGATGTTTTTGTTTTTTACTGTTGAGCTTCTAGTCCCCCCGATGGTTTAAGGCAACCTAACCTCTTGATATACCAGGGCACACTGTGTCTTTTCGGTCTTGTGCCGGAAACTTGCTCACCTTGAGGGAGCAGACGAAAGTTAGATTAGTGTACTAGGGCACTCTAACCTCTGTGTAGTATTCTATAGCTCCCGTTCTCTATACTCTATATCAGTAACAGACGCATGCCACTTTGTTTCTCCAGTAACCATAACAAGATGAGTCATAACACTCTCTTCATCAGCCCCATGCCAGTGAGTTGTACCTGGAGATGCCCAAATAGTGTCGCCAGCTCTGATACGCCTGGCTTTACCTCCTTTGTCGCAAATCCATCCGCTGCCTGAGAGTACATGAATCATTTGCCCTCCGACGTGAGTGTGCCAGTGCGTCCGAGCGCACGGCGTAAAGGTAACACTCGCAATACCAGCGTCTTTGTCGAGATGCATAATATTAGAAAGCACCTGGCCAGTGAAAGTTTCTGTGACCTGGGTGACCTTGGTGCTTGAGCTGGATATAATTTTCGATTCTGACATGCTGGCGTTTATCGGATTCCGTGCTTGGTAACCGAGAGAAAGTAGTTGCTTGTAGGTTGAACAAGGGCAAGTAATAGTAGGAACGGGGAATTTTGGCTCAGAAAGTTCATAGAGATAGAGTTGTCTGCTCAGTGATGTAGTGTTGAGGGTCAGTGGGAAAATTGAGAGGGGGAGGCCGTGTCTTATATAGGTACCGTGGTAAGACTAGTTGCAAAACGTGACTAGTCCATTGTCCTTTTATCATTGCCTCCACTACAATATCCACGGGGTGGACCTCAAGTTGGGCAGGGGGCTTACGAAATCATTTGACCTTGCTCGGCATTGGATTGATATCCATGGGAGTCGAGTCATAGGGCTCATAGTTTCTATTCGTCCAATTCTCCTGACCGACCGCCTTCAAAGTATGGCTCATCCTCCTGGTATACCTCATACTTATACTTGCTGCCGGCATGGTCATCCCTCAATCGAGATTGACCCTTTCCATAGACGCGCTCCCGTGCCGTCAACCCGGACTCAATGACCTTGGGATAGATGCCGCGTCTCCGAAGCTCGGGTACAAGCAGTTCCACGACATCTTCAAATGAACCCGGCGACGTGACGTATCCGAGATTGAATCCGTCTAGATCAGCGATCTCGATCCACCTCTCCATTACATCCGCCACGGTGGTCGGAGACCCTACAGCAGAGGGGGAGATGGCACTCATGGCAGCTTTTTCGCCGATGAGACGAGGCGTCCATATAGGCGTCTCGACTGTGGGCTTGAAAATGTTGCACAGCTTCCTGGCCTCGTCCGAGTCAACCTTGATGATATCCTCATCGAGGGGGAGTTTAGCCGTGTCGATGCGAGTCCATCCGCTGAAAAGGACCAAGCCGCCAATGGGGCTCGCGTTCTTCTTGAGCTCCTGAAACTTGGCCTGGGCTTCCTCGTCCGTTACGCCCAGAATGGGTGTAAAGGAGAGGTAGAACTTCAAGGAGCGTGGGTCGCGCCCTTTTTCGGCCGCAATTTTACGATTCTTCTCAATCTGAACGCGTAATAACTCAGGTGAAGGTGACGAGACGAAAATGCCCTCTGCGTGTGTGGCTGCGAAATCGATACCTTCAGCTGACGAGCCCGCCTGGAACAAGAACGGGGTTCGCTGGGGGGAAGGATCTACAATGTGGCGGGTGGAAAGTTTGTAATACTTTCCCTGGTGATTGATATGGCGCACTTTAGATGGATCGATATATGTGTCTGCAGTTGAATCAGGCTGCAGCGCGTCATCAGCCCATGAACCTTCCCATAGTCTTATAGAGCTCATATGTTAGTAAAAGTCCTGTGTCATCGGGATTGGAAGAGGCGGGTGAGACAAACTTGTACAATATTCTCATATACTCGTCAGCCTGCGCATATCGCTGATCATGCTCAATAGGGTCCATGCCAATGGCGTTGAATGCAGACTTCTTCCACGATGTGACAATATTCCAGCCAACACGCCCATCTGTCATGTGATCCAGGGTCGAAAGTCGCTTTGCTAGAACAAAAGGAGACTCAAAAGACGTAGACGCCGTGATACCGAATGTGAGGTTCTTAGTCACCGCCGCCATGGCTGTGATGGGCTACAATGAGCTGTTAGACCCCGTTTTCTGGTTCTCTTGCACCAAATCGGAAGGGGAAAATAGTTTGTGGCGTACTTACTATAGCTGGGTCGGTAACTGGCCACTGAACAGCCCTTCTGATGCTCTCCTCCACGCTTCCGCCATAGGTATCGAATCCTCCATTTGTATCGGCAAGGAACAGGCCACTGATTCCGCCTCTTTCGAGAAGTTTTGCCAACTCGACCCAGTATGGCAGCTTGCGCTTTGTTGCCGATCTATCGGCCGGGTTCTGTCACTGTATCAATACTTATTTTGTTTTAAATCTCGGATAAGGTAGTACACACTTTCCAATGCCCGGCCGAGAGGTGGCCAACTGTTGACATGTCAAAGGCATTAAGCAGAATTTGCTTCTTGGGCGGCTTTTCAAGCCCTGAGATTTCTGGACTGGTCATGTTGTCAGTTAACTAATCTGACAGCCTGGGAGAATAGGTTGAGTATTTAGGTTCAACAATAGGTTGATGCCGTTACAGTTGTATCGTTTGCGAGTTCTACGAAAGGCCTAACATATGCTTTATAGGCTAGACCCTGTATCACATTTCGAGTTTGATTTGTATTTTCGATATCTAATCGATGGTTGTTACATCCATCCTGGCCTGGTAACAATTTGTAGCACGTCTTCGAGACCGTGCATTGCGATTTAGCGACAAGAGTGGAACCTGATGGCATGTTGGACGAATCTAGCGTCCACTTGGTGACGTGATCTCGTCTAAGCACGATGTAAGAGGTGAGCACCTCTTTAGCGCAGTTTTTAAATCCCGGAACCCCGAAAGCCCCGGTGTTGCATTGAACCAGGATGTAAGATTTATCGAGAGCTAAATATGCATGCAGGCCTGCAATGAGAGCTGATTGGGCTGCTCAATGGTTTCCAACAGGGAATGGTTTGACAAGCGGGGAGAGTCAAGGCGATATAAGAGGGACCAGCATCGCGGAGCTCCGACGAAAGGCTGGTCCCCACGAAGTATCCTGATTCCTGTTTGCTGGCCAGCTCTATCGAACGCGGAGGTGTCGCTGATTATGGATACCCTTCAGGCTAATGGAACAGGACTGCCAAGAGAATCTCAAGATTTGCCACCGGAAGACCAGAGACCTTACAAGACCCGCCGCATTGAAGGGGCAGCATCCGCATCCGCACCGGGTCTTCCCTGGTCGTTAACCGATGTAGAGCTTCTGCATATTCAGCATAACGACTCGCAGCACCCGAGCTGGGGCTCTACGTCTACATGGGCCGGACCTGAGGCCGATGATGTACGCGATTGTACTCCTCCACAATGGTTGCCGCCTGTAAGTGAAGCCCAACCACCACCACCCCGGACCCGGGGAACGGTTGCCTGCCAGAAATGCCGGTCACGGAAAACAAAATGCGACAACCTACGTCCGAGCTGCGGCTACTGCCTGAAAATCGGTGAGCCATGTGTGTATGAGGCGGAAGCCAAGTCCTGGTAAGCAGTACGCCTCCAAGCCCAAGGCCACACGGTCATAGGTGGAGAACACGCTAAAGAATTGTTTCCCAGCTGCCATGTGTTTGGAAAGGAGGTTCTACAGGCCCTCGGTGAGCTTCGAGAAATCGTCCTGAAGCCGCCGACCACGCGGTTGTCAGTTGATAGCCCCGACGTACCCGCGGGGGGCGGAGACTTAGACAGCTCTCCCACCTCAATCTCAACCGTTCAAGGCTCCTATACCGCACCAAAGCCTCAGCTGGATACTATACGTAGCCATCTCCGCCCCAAGCTAGCCGTCTCTCTCGGTAGGATCCAAAAGGTTGAAAACATTGTGCAATGGCGCATCTTCGAATCCCAGATCGTGGCAAGCGACATATATCCTGAGGCCAACCCACCGGCTCCTCTGGATCATTCGATGCCGAGCACTGACATTAGGTTACTGAATGACCTGGAACTGAGGTATATTCATAGCGTGCACCTGTTGAACCCAATACTGCATCTTTCCACGCTTCACCACCTGATTCTCAGCGTGGCAGAAAGTGGGTTTGACTGGTCGCTCGAGACCTGTCTCGCAGCCCTCGTATGTGCAATCGGTGCTATTACCGAGCCTCTTGATGCACCCGAAGCTTCTGAAGCTCTCGAAAGAATCGATTTGCACCCGTCCCAACGTTGGAGCGATCCCGGCTTGGCCACTGGGTACTGGAATATTGCATTCAAGCGCCTGGGCTTTGCCCTTGACCAGAACAATATCGAGGCTGTACAATGCCTGTGTCTAGCAGGGTAAGAAAACCATTATCGGAATACGAAGACATTGGTAGCCTAGTTCCTAGCTTACCGGCAAAAGGATATGGCATATGCATAACCTACAACCGCTTCAGGCTTGGAAGTACTTCAGCCATGCGGCAAACGCGTGGTTCTGCACGGTCATGAAAAAGTGAGTATTTTCAATATTCACCAATTATCTGGGGGGGGGAAGATGCATTACTGATGAGATGAACAGCGATCCATTGCGTAAATCTCGTGATGGGAATCGCTCCGGCCCGATCGGCGTCGAAGAGGCTCTATGCTTCACGATTTGGAAGTCTACCTGGTACGTTTATGTTCTTTAGCGGGCCTAAGCCTTTGAACTCGTACTGACGGGTTGATCTAGCGAACTGCGCCCCGAATTGGCGCTTCCTCCCTCAGTGTTAGAGGACTGCGAAATCCTCCACCCATTCCCAGCACTGCCAGACTTGGAAGATACAATAAATGGCCGAGCTTCCATCGACAGCGAACGAGGGTGGTACTACTATCTAGCAGAGATTGCTGCACGTCATCTCATCAATGATCTCCTCGAATGTCATGTTTACGACTTTGACAACCTTAAGAGGGCGGACGTTGCTCGAATGATACGCCACACAGAGATATTCGAGGCCCAGATCTTCGAGTGGCGTTCATCCTTGCCCGCTCAACTCCAATTCGATATCCCCACAGACTTAGATCTACCTGAACTAAACGACCTGATGACTGTGGTATTAAGGCAGCGTTACTTGTCTAGCCTTGAGTTGGCATACCGGCCTTTGCTACGGATATGCACCGACTTTCCTTTGGAAGATGACCAGGGATACGATGGGGCGTTTCGGAGCAGAGTGGCCAAACTGGCTTCTCAGAACTTGAGATTCTCGTACTTGAAGATTCTGCGCATAAGCAACAGGCTTCACCAAGGCACCTGGTTCAACCTTCGCAGCTTGACTGGGGCGTGTCTGCGGTTCGCTGCGGCAGAGAAAGCTCAGATGGACACAAAGCTAGCTGGCGCACAAGAGATTCAGATCCCGCCGAACTGGAGGGCTAGGGTGATGAATTCGGTCGAGATTCTGCAGCCGTACTGGACTTCAAACCGTGGTGGGGGAGCAGGTCTGATGGCCCTGATCAACCAAGCCTTAAAGTTGTAGGAACTTATCACAATCTCAATTCGGTGTCTTTTGACACTCCATTACGCGCTCTGCGAGCGAGGGAAAACATCGCTTGCTTCAAATGTAGTAGGTTAACGTGTGCCTGTAAATCTGTGTATGATAAACTCGAGAATAACTGCTCGTCTAAGGAGGTCACATGCAAGGGGGAGAGGCTGAAATAAAGCATAAAGTAGTACTAAGAAGTGTTTAGTTTAGCTTTTAGCTAATAACTATATTATCATCCGATCTGGGCAGAGTATTGAGGAGATGGCAGGGAATCGGAGCCATGCTCAGAAATTGCCACAATCGGCCATGAAACGAAAGGAATTTGAACTTGATATCGCTGAGGTAAAAGCGGGATGTGATTTGTCTCCAGTTCTTGATCGCAGAGAGGGATTGTTCCACAGTCTCTTGTAATTCGGACCTGTATTGAGCCAATAAACCTTTGGACAATTAGGTCTTCTGAGCTGAGACTTCGTGAATAGCCTGAACTGCGTCGCTGGAGTGACTGGAGTTGTCGTTTGGAAGATCGAGGGACTCCGCAGCGGTCTCCTCGTCGCTTCCATGTGTTCTGGATTCATATTAGTACCAATCTTTGGCTAAGTCCAAACAAGGAGTCATGGAAGGCAGCCTTACTCGCGTGATTTTATCCACCAACTCAGTGGGTGCGATAGTATAATCAGGGTGGTCGACATGGCGATACCAAAGGCAAAGCCCTTGGTGAACCTTGGAGCTTCCACCGTAGGATAGGTGAGAAGTCCGACCCAAGCCGTAGATGACTGCGCCCAAGCAGTTCCGAGGATGAGGGTGATGGCTCGCTGGGCCGGAGAGTGTCTCATAACGTGGTTTACCCAGCCGTAGATGACGGTAGACGTTGATGCTGCAGAAAAGTTGGTCATGAAGGCAAACCATTTGGCTCCCTCCGGGACGTCCCAGGCGAGCAGTATGGACAAGCCGACTATGTTGAAGACATGGCCTCCTGTCAGCGCCCACACAGGTCCAACCAGCAAATCAGAGGCAAAAGCAGTGGCCAGAACAAAGAAGATGCCGCAGACGGGCTGCAGTGTTCCCAGCTCGTTGAGCCTGGGGATGGAGTAGCGGTCTAAGCTTCGAAGCCACAGCAGATACGCTCCGCTACCCTGAGCTCCGCCTGAGTTCCAGAACAAGGTCATGACGACCAGGAGTGCCCAGAAGACTGGATTGTTGGTAACCTGGCGTAGTGATTTCCACTGAAACTTCTCGGATGTCGTGTGGCCAGCCGACTTCAACCGTGAGGCTGAGAGATCGATGTCGGCTTGGCTCAGAACCAGACGGTTTGGCATAGCTGGGGTGCCCGGGATAACGAAGATACCGAGGATGCCAACTGGGATAGTGATGACTGCACATATGATGTACATCCACCGCCAGCCAGCCAAGCCATTCACGTTATGAAGGCGGGCTGATGTTCCAGCCTGGATCAACCCAGCAGTAAGTACACCTAAAGTGGTGCCGTTGTAAAAGATGCCAGCGCGACGAGAGATCTCGTCCTTTCGGTACCAACATCCGAACATGTAGTGAATTGATGGATAGAATGCGGCTTCAAAAAACCCGACAAGGAACCGATATCCCATGACTTCGGCAGGGCTGGTCGCTCGAAATTGTAGAAGGGTGAAGAGACCCCAAAGGACGTCGACAGCCGGAATCAACCATTGGAGCGGGACATGGGTGAGCAGAAACATGAAAGGGAGCTGGCCGACGACAGCTCCGACGGTGTAGATGGTCTGAAACTGGACAAGCTCATTGCCGTATAGTCCCAGGTCTTCCTTCATCCCTGAAACGTACGCATTATCTGTTGCCCCATTAGAATGCTTGCCTCGTAAGTGATTATTGTTGAATGGCCATACTGATGTTGGATTGGTCAATGTACTTGACCCAATATGCGAGGAAGACATATGGTACGATGAGAAGATCGAGCTTGACAATGAGCTTCCTCTCTTTCGGCGAATCGGTATCCGCAAACCACCTAATCTTCCACGATGGGCGGCCAGACATTGTGAAATGCTCAGACTTTGCAGAAATTGTTCGATCCCTAACTCATTCGACTGTTTTTTATTTCATAATCTACAGGTCACTTCGAAGAGGCTCCAAAGGACTCCATATAATACCATGGTCGTAGCCATTGCTAGGGAGATTGGCAGCCTTCTACATGGGACAGAAGACGTGCTTCTATTGAAAGCGCACGTAAGTCAGCCACCGTATGAACTTTTACGGCTGGGTTACTGGGTTGGCTTGTGATTGTCTGGTGAAGTGGACGTCTTGAACAACCTAAGAGATGACGCAACTGCACCAAGCCGTAGTATCCGATACAATGCATCTCCTTTGCTGTGAGTTGGTTGACGACGGTCTGGGTATAGACTAGCTATGGGGGGGGCGGCTAGATGGCTGTCGGGGAGCTTGCCGATGGCTAGACAGGGTCGAGTGTGGGGGCTAAGGAGCCCACTCCATGGAGGCTCGTTCAAGCGAGATAGATCCCTGAAAGCACCCTGTTTAGGGTCGTAATAAGTGGGCTACGGGGGGTAAGCCAGTTGCATATGTGGGGAACCAGGCTGGAGAGAGCCATCCTGCTGCTCTGCAATATCTGCATACGACGACATCTGTCCAGGGGCAACGATGGCGTCATCCTCAGCCGACCCAAGGGTGTTGAGCTCTCGTTCTCACAGGATACCAAGATACATCAAAATGATAAAGGTTGCCTTCTCACGGGACTGCAGTATCAGCAGCTCAAGCTCTGTTATTAGAGTCAATCCGATATTTCGTTGGAACGTCCACCATGACCATCGTCTCTAATTCTCAGCCCGAGGGCAACTCCGCCCTAGTAGCAAATGTCCCTTCGGTTGGAATCAAGACCCAGGAGCAGGAACTTGGAAAGTCGTCGCGCTTCGAGACAGTGGAGTCTTATCCAGTATCAGACCTCAAGCTTGAGGATCGTTTGATTGACGACTTCCGCCCCCTACGCGTGGCAGTGATTGGCGCTGGGCTTTCAGGCATCTTATCTGGGATTCTACTCCCTGAGAAAGTGCCTAATGTACAGCTGACAATCTTTGAGAAGAGTAAAGAGGTGGTAAGTCGAGAACATCCTGAAGAGCGTCTAACACTCCTTTGCTTAGAAACCGTCGAATTTCTACTTATTTTTTCTTTGCGAGCAATGTTGCTAACGCTGTGAGTGACAGGGCGGAACTTGGCTTGAAAACACCTACCCGGGTGTGCGATGCGACATTCCTTCGCATGTCTACCAGACCACCTTCTCCCCCAACCTCGAATGGACTGAGCAGTTTGCTAAGGGAGCCGAAATCCTCGAGTACTGGAAGAACTTGGTCAAAAAGTATGACGTGGCCCGCTTCTTGCGCGTGGGCACCTATGTCGAGACAGCGCAATGGGACGATTCGCAATCGACTTGGGCTCTCACTCTGCAGGACGTAGACTCGAAGCACACTTCAGTCGAAAACTTTGACTTTGTGATAACGGCCATCGGGCGCTTCAACGAGTGGAAGCTGCCCGAGTATCCTGGTATCAAGGATTACCAGGGTCACCTCCGCCACAGCTCCAACTGGGACCCAACCTATGATCCCACCGGCAAGAAAGTCGCCGTCATCGGCAACGGTGCCAGTGGTATCCAGCTGGTTCCAGAACTCCAGAAAGTCGTGAAACATATGGACCATTATGCACGCAACAAGACGTGGATCGCTGCTGGCTGGGGCGGCCGCGAGCGCCAGGTCGGATCGGAATACATCTCCGAAGAGCAGATCAAGTCCTTTGGTAACCCAGACACCTATCTCACGTTCCGGAAGGACGCTGAGGACCGGTACTGGAGAGGCGCCAATGCCATGAAAGCCGGGACCAAGGAGAATGCCAGTTATCGAGACAAATTCACCGAAATCATGCATCGGCGGCTGGAGAAGAAGCCTGGCCTGGCGGAGAAGATGATACCCGACTTCTCGCCCCATTGCAGGAGATTGACTCCAGGGCCGGGATACCTGGAGGCGCTCACCGAGGATAACCTGGAATACATACAAACGCCCATCTCCCGGTTTACCGCCACCGGTATTGAGACTGTAGACGGCACTCATCGCGAAGTAGACGCCATATTCTGTGCCACCGGCCATAATATCGACTTTGCGCCTCCCTTCTCCATTCGTGCGCGAGGCGTCGATCTCAAGACGGCGTGGAAACATGATGGAGAGATTGGATTCCCCAAGACATACCTTGGAATGGCGAGTGCTGGGTTCCCCAACCTACTCTTCATCGGCACCGTGCATACGAATGGTATTGCCGGGACCTTTGTGCACAGCATTGAGAGCCAAATCACCTACTACGCCAAGATCCTGCGCAAGGTGTCCAGCGAGGGCATCAAGACCATCACGCCGTCTACCAGGGCCGTGGATGACTTCATCTCCTACGCCGACGCCTACTTTCCCACGACTGTCATGACTGGCAACTGCAGCTCCTGGGCCAACGGCGGACGTGCCGGCGCGCGGATACACGGCGCTTGGCCTGGTAGTGCCTCACATTTGGCCTTTATCCGTCGGAACCCTCGCTGGGAGGACTTTGAGTACGAGTATACCTCGGGTACTGGGAACAGGTTTGCATTCTTTGGGAATGGCCGGACAATGAGGGAGGCAGATGCCAACTTTGACATTACGTCGTATCTAAAGAGCAACCCGGCTGAGATAGATCTCCGTGATATACACGAGGGCTGGCATAGCTGGCCGTAGGATATTTGAATGAATTTCCCGATTCTCGGTATTCTCTTTAATAAATTGGAACTGATAGCATTTGTGATAGTTAAAATACCTTTTAAAACAAACCTAATAATATCCCATTTTAATATTCCATTATTGAATAATATAAAAAATTACAATACTACCTGGAAATAGCTTAAACTTATCTCTAAGTTTTATTTTGTTATAAATTTTATTTTATTTATAAGTTTTATTTTATTTATAAGTTTTATTTTATTTACACACTTAAGCTTACAAAATGAAATAATAGAAACTAAAACATAATTACAGAAATATTTCATGAATATATATATAAAGACCGAATAAAGAGCAATACTCGTAAAAGATTGTATCCACGTTGGTGATACATCGGATGCGACCTTTATCTAGAACGGAAAGTGTTGTAATGTCCCTCTTTCTCATCACAACCAGGATTGATCACTAGCCCATGATAAAATAAAATAAATCGCAATTGCAACTTGCAGGTACTCATGTCGATCTCAATTTGAGGAAGGCTCTTGCAGAGGTAGCAAAGCACCCCGCAAAGTATCAGATAAAGCAACTATATCTAACAGTTTTCTAGACTTATCCAAGCCTACTAATCATTCCCCGAGTTGAGGCAAGATTGGATGGATGTCCTCGACATACTCAAACCACCCGCGAACATTAGCAGGGCGAACATGACCAGGTCCTTTGGGTCCGTACTGAGTACTTCCGCTCAAAAAGTTGTGTGGAAAGCCGACGTCAAACGGGTAGGCAGTTTCAATATCGGCAATATCCTGACTCGTCAAGCGCAGACTCAGGGCGTCAATGTTGCCCCGAATGTGATGGAGCTTTCGGCCGCCCAAGATGGGGAAGACAAATGCTGATTTGTGCATCACGTACGCCAGGGCAACTGATGTGATGGGGACTCCCCTACGATCAGCTACCTTCTCAAGCTGCTCTGAAACCAGAGCCTCGCGGCCGTTATTCATCGAGGGCATGTTTCGACCACCAGCTTCGACCTCGCCCTTGGGTTTGAAGAGACCACGGCCAAGCGTGCCCCATGGTGCCAATCCCATGCCTTCAGCTCGGCACATGGGGATGATGTCTCGCTCGAAATCCCGATCGGCTGCGGACCACCGGCCCTGGTACACCGAGAAAGGTCTGAGCCCGTGATGCCTTGCGTAGTCGTTGCATTTAACCACGATCCAGGCTGGCGTATCCGAGATGCCTAGGTACAGGACCTTGCCTGACGCAACAAGGTGATTGAGCGACTGCATGATTTCGGGTATGTCTGCCGTCATATCCCAGAAGTGGAGGTAGAGGAGGTCAATGTAGGTAGTCTGGAGCTTCTCGAGGCTCGCTTCGACGGATAGATGCAGGCTCTTGGTGCCGTTTCCGCCGAAGTTGGACTGTTGCCGGTATGATTCCGACCTGGACTTGAAGTTTCCCGTGTACTTTGTCGCTAGGACAAACTCATCGCGGTGCCCAGTCTTGGACAGCCATTCACCCAGCCACTTCTCAGACTCTTCCCCCTGGTAGCTCGACGCACTGGGAATTACGTTAGAACAAATATCAGTAATGGATAATGGAACGCGAAGCAACTCACGTGTCGAGGAAATTACCCCCTTGTTCGTAAAAGTAATCGAGAATCTCAAATGCTGTCTCTTTGCTACACTCGCCCAGCGAATCGTTCATCACACCACCAAAATTCATCGTTCCCAGACATATCGGGCTGACGAAAACCCCTGCAGTCGGAGCCAGCAGCCGGTGGCGACCAAGGGGGCTCTTTGGAGGTGGAATAGCGGGTGGTGCCATTGCAAGTATCTTACTTGACTCGGGATGGAGGAATCACAGCTTCACAAGGTTGGAGAGGTGACGCCATCGACACATGTAACTCATCCAAGCCCTGACTCTGGCAATTTATGGTAGACGACGTAGGAGCAGGCTAAAATAGGAGGATCGCCCACATCGCGGAGCGAAGCCGATATGGATCCCTGGCAGCAGACCAGCTTAGCCACGTTAGGTAGGGTCGCATTGGACCTAAGCAACTAAGCAACTAAAATTGCGTGATGGATGAGTCCGCAGCCCTACATGATACCATCGCGGAGCAAGGCCGATGAGGAATCCTTGCACGTATGATCGGGATAGCGTCCTGCCCCACAATGACTGGTCTCCTCTGCACTTGACTTCCATCTCGGACATAACCACGGACATACCACAAGGTAGAAACCGTCGAGATGGATCGCTGAAGATCTGTAAATTCTAGCACGAGCTTATAAGCGAATATGACGACTAATGGCTGCGGCTTTCGCTTACGGCCTCACGTTTGTCTAGAACCTGAGGTATATACCCTGAATGTTCCATTGCGTGGGCCTACATCAGAGGTCTCGTATACATAAGAGGATTTCTCAGCTGGCAAGAAAAGACCAAGTCAGCTTTTAGGAGCATCGCAGAAAGATTCGGATCAAGACATGGCGACTATCACAACTACGGAACAGCCCGTCCAGGGTGTCATTCGGGACTCACTGCCTCGCGACAAGGCAGATATCTCAGCACAGAGCGATGAAACTTCACCTTCGCCTTTTGAACTGTAAGTACAAAATATGGTTGGATAATTGCAACATGAGCGGCTTACGCCTAACACTAAGTCCCTTCACAGATATGGTCTTCCCTTCTGGGGCAACGAGAATGGACAAAAGTACAGATGCAACTTTTTTCGCTCCGTCGCAAGTAGAAACGAAACTAATGACGATGCGGCCACAGGATGGCGCCTCTCGAGCTCTTCGAGCACTACGAACACGGCAATGACGCGGATCCCAAATTTAGATCCCTTCTGAAAGAAGGCGTCAAGATTTCCGACATTACTACATCCATCGGTGCAGAGGTCACCGGTGTTCAGCTCTCTCAGCTAGACAACAAGGGAAAAGACGAGCTCGCACTCCTGGTGGCACAGAAGAAGGTATGCTACCTCAAGAAGTCCGGGACGTAGTACCTGGCTGACACGCTGAAGGTTGTCGTATTCCACGATCAAGACTTTGCAACAATACCGATCCAGCAGGCTGTTGATTTTGCGAGCTATTTCGGCAAGCTCCATGTCCACCCAGTCAGGTAATCAATCCTATCTCACAATGACATTTTTAGCTGCGAGTTGGCGTCCCGAGGCTCACATTCTCGCCTGCAGTGGTGCTATTCCCGGGTTCCCTCAGCTTCACATGGTCTACCGCGGACCCGAAGATGTGGGCCATGATAAATTACTCGAGGCTAGAACTACGTCCGTCTCGTGGCACAGTGATGTAAGCTATGAGTTGCAGCCTCCAGGGACCACAATATTGTTTGCCATCGACGTCCCCGAGAGTGGAGGAGACACTCTATTCGTTAACCAGGTCAAAGCGTATGAACGACTCTCTCCCGGATTCCGAGAGCGGCTGGCTGGGCTCAAGGTGGTGCATTCCGCACATGAACAGGCTCAGGCGGCGCTCAAGAACGGTGGACAGTTGAGGAGGGATCCAATCACTTCTGTGCACCCTTTGGTTCGAACTCATCCGGCGACTGGCGAGAAGGCGCTTTATATTCAACCCCAATTCGCCCGCTCAATAGTGGGCTACAAGAAGGAAGAGAGTGACGCGCTGCTCGGTTTCCTCTACCAGCACATTGCCCTAAGTCAAGATATTCAGTGCCGTGTCAAATGGAGTCCCCGCTCCGTTGTCGTGTGGGACAACAGGGTCACAGCTCACTCGGGCTTGGTAGACTGGGAGGGTCCTCGTTTCAGGTACATTGCTCGTCTGGCTGCGCAGGCAGAGGTGCCAACTGAATAAGATCCGCCGACATTTTCAAAGGATCTTATTTAAAGGAGGCTGGATGGATTGGACCGAGGTTTCAACACTAATGGCCACCAAGGGGTATATCAGGGTCTCGGTAGCTTTTTCTGTTAGGAACATGAGGATCTTCCTCCTTCAATAGGTGTAAGAAACGAGACCTTCCGTTTTGCAAGTCTGGGCTAGCTCTTCTACACTATTGGCATCTGTATTTCATCTGAAATTCTTTTCGACGATATTCTTGCTGTTGCCGGCTGCTTGAGAACCGACCATCCGCCCCCCACTCAAGACCTGTCACCAATGCAAAGCTATCTGCCTCCAACAGTCACATTCCCATTGCACTATCTCAATCACATCCTGCTACCTAGAGTTCCGATGATATCTAGATTTCTGTGCCAACTTCTTCTCTGGCTCTCTCACGCAGTGTGCGACGAAGAATCTTTCCAGCCTGCTCTTCATTAGCACATACTCAAGCCTTCGTCTTTTCCACGTAGGAATTCGCTTACCGGACTTCTGGGGATCTTATCCAGAAATACCACTCCGCCTCTTAGCCATTTGTGCTTAGTAAACCTTTTCTCTACCCACTCAGCCAGGTCCTGCTCAGTCGCATTCGAGGTGGCAGCTTTGACAATATATGCGCGAGGTGCTTCGGCATCCTCGATACGTACACCAATCACCCCGGCATCTATCACGCCTGGGCACTCGAGGAGTGCTGCCTCTAGCTCAGCTGGAGCAACCTGAAACCCCTTGACCTTGATGAGCTCTTTGACCCGGTCAACAATGAAGATCTTTGCTCCAGGGCGATACGAGTCCACGTAGGCGATATCCCCCGTCTTCAGCCATCTAGTGCCATCCTCCTCCACAATCGTTGCTTGTGTCGCTTCCTCGTTGTGCCAATACCCTTTCATCAACATCGGACCGGTAAACCATATCTCGCCATGCACGTTGGGCTGAGTGATCTCTCCGTCTGCACCCATCAACTTGATTATGGCATTTGGAGCCACCTCCCCGACCGAGGCCGGGCTTGACGGATCAAGAGAACTGCCACTGGCTCCGACTCCAGTAAGTTCAGTCATGCCCCAAGCCTGCTGGATATTGACCTGACCTTCCGGCCACAGTTGCGTAGCCTTTCGACATACATCGAGTGAGAGGGGTGCAGTGCCGCAGTAGATAGCTTTGACGCTGCTTAAGTCGTACTGGCTAGCCAGCGGAGCGCTGATCAGTGCCTGAATGATCGGCGGAGCGACGAGGAGTTCAGTGATACCGAAGCGCTCAATGCACTGGAGCATCTGCTGAAAGTTGAAGGTCCGCATCATGTATGTTGTAGCTCCTATCTTTGGGTAGTCAACGGCATAGACGGTTTGGGCAGCGGCGTGGTACAATGGTAGGAAGCAGAGAGCGTTTCCAGGTTGATCTTGAGGTCGCGCCTTTCTGCTCAAGTTGTGCTGAAACATGGCAGCCTCGCCAGTCGCGACGTAGTTGGAGTGCGTAGACTGCACTCCTTTTGGTGGGCCTTCTGTGCCGGAGCTGTAGTTCAAGCAGCACGGCGCTGAAGCTGGATCCAATGGTTCCACCCATTGAAATGCTTGAGCCTCATCGTCTGCTGCTACCAGTTGGGTCCAGTGTTGTTCAGCGCCGCCAAGATCCGAGGGATCACCAGTGATTGACTCGTCAAACACGTATATGTGGCTTCTTGGAAAGCCGACTTGATCCGCAGCATCCAGTGCAACGGGAAAAACGTATGACGCTACAATGAGAAAGGTTGGGCCGCTATCTGCTAGCTGGGATGCAAGCTCTCTTGAGGTAGATGCAGGGCTTGCACCCGTAAAGACACCCCCAGCCATAATCACTCCCATGAAGATACAAGGAAACAGGAGGTGATTACCGCTGAAGAACATAACCCTGTCGCCCGGACACAGACCAGCGTTTACCAGCCCCAGTCCAACTTTCTTAGACCAGAGACGGTAGTCCTCAAAGGAAAGCCGGTGAGTAACGGGTTGATCTGCGTCAACATATACTGTATAGTCCAGCAGTGGGGCAAACGGAGAGCCGAAGACCCAACTCGGCAGCGAGATTTTTGGAATTTGTGTTGTCCATCTTGAGGGGATCGGCATAATGGCGACGTTTGATGTACGTTGAAAAGCAGGAAGGATCGAAGACCGGGTATGAATTTGCAATCCGGATAGTAAACTGGATTGTCAAGATCAGGAATCTGCGAGGCATAGAGCATCAAAGCTGAGGTATTGAATTTATTAACAAATGTAGGTGGCACCAAGAACGCGTCATTAAGTAGCTTCGCCCTGTGAAGAGAGACAACAAGCCAGATCCCTGTTTTGCGAAAACGAGGTTCCATTGCGTTCGCTTACGCGGCCCGGCAGTTGTACTAGAAGCGACGGGCGGACGGAGCTTGCCACGCCCGAGGCGACTAGCCCTGCGGAGTTATCGTGCTAGCACACAATCTGAGAGTCGTCTGAAAGAACAGTCGAGATGATCGCTGATCCTTTCGTTATATAGGGTAGTAGTCTGGCATATAGAGTATTGCCTAAAGCACGGATCTAATTTGGGTAACGCAGACAACTGACGGTGTTGCATGGCATGAACTCTCTAAGATTACCTCTATTATGTGAATACCGTATTTTCTTACAGCTATGGCCGGGGACCTCAGCGGCCTCAATGGCGACAAAACAACGCACATGATGTGGGAAGAATATTGTCCGTTTAAGCTCTTCGAGCGCTAGCAAGACATCACCGGTTGCCTATATCTTATCGAGAATATATCAACCTCACTTACGTTTTGAGAAGACAAGCAGAAAGAAAGCTTACTTTCTGGGGTATTCTTATGGATTTTTCTACTAAGTATTATTGAGAAACTTAGGGAAGGTGGTTTATCTCCCCGCTCCTCCCCATCAACTAACCCTACCCCGAGGATGAATTAGATGGAGTGGGAGGTCAAAATTTCGCTTACAGCCTTCGCCGCCAAGCTTGAGTTTATTTTATTTAGCCCTGACCCAAGCCCAAAACAGGATAAACCCCTGATGCCTGTGGCAGTCCACGAGCGTTCAACAGACACATGGAATCGCTCAGCGGGGGGCAGCAAAATTGGACCTGGCATCTGGAATATGGACGTCGAGAGGCGGGCAACAAACCGGTTTGCGAAGACCAGGCAGGGGTGGGTTTTAAAGCACCGCCTCAGAAGCAGGACCCCAACGACGAGAACGAACAGGCCCTTTTCTGAGAGACATGCCAATAGGTTGCGCGAGACACCTGCGCCGACAAAATGCACAACCCCGGCTCTCGACTGGTCGTTATCCTGATGACCGAGGGATGAAGTCATTTTGTGGCAATCTTGCCGTGTGTCACCACGAACGGCTTGGGAAAGGTTGCCTACCCCGTACTTCAATCCCCCCAGCTGAACAACAGAAAAGACCATCCAACAGAGGTTGGCGAACCTGTCGATAAGCGCCTCTATCTTCTTCTTCCAGAAAAGGCTATGCAAGGGAGCTCTTTGAGCAATATCCCGTGAGGTTGATGACGTGTTCCGTGTTCAGACGTCTTGCTCACTCGCAGGTGGAGGCCAAGATCTCCAGACCAAAGAGAGAGGATCAAACCCTGGGAAAACGATAACGAGGTTTGGTCCCAGAAGGCTAACCTTATTGCTCAACGCCCCCTGCCCCCTAACTTCAAGGCTACCGTCCCTGCGCCGCCAGCTTCGAGTCCTTTAGCGAATCACACGCGCATGCGATAACGAGATGAATCCTAGCGCGTTCAACAAGCGAGCCAATCTCACCCCCCAGTGAAAAGCCAAGACGCAAGTAACTCTCCGCGGCACCACTATGACGGGGCTCGTGGCTGTGTGATGTCGTCTCTGCTCGTGTTGCGGACCCAAGCCTCCTCTGGATCAGATGGGTTCACGATTGTATTGTGCGGCAGTGGCCGTCGCTCTTGTCTTGGCTATATATGAAGTCAAATGGCCCTGACCGTGTGTACTTGTCACAGGTTTCACGGGACTCGATTCTCCTGTTCTTGCTGAATCTGGACGCTACGGTTTGACGCGGTTGAGCCTGAGAACTTCGAATAACAACTTCCGATACGCTATCACCATGGTGTACATACTATCCTCGCTCGCTATCGCAGCTATTTTTATCGCGATTTGTGCGCGCTTATTTATTGCCCAAGTTACCCAGGTTTTCACCTAGCAATGCCATATTTTGTATTAATCGCTCGCTACTGGCCATGTAGGTGCTCTTTGGCCCGCTTGCCTCCCCCTGAGACTGATGCACGCCAGTAAGTAGCATTACTCGTCGGAACGGAGTCGTCGTCGATTGGATCTGCTAACACTAGGGTCTGTAGTGGAGTTATCGGATGGGTATAATAATCTTCCTGCAGTTGTCACGAATGGAGAGCACTTGTCTCTGAGGTACAACCTGGATGGTGTGAGTATTGCTGTTCTATCTATTATCTTATCAAGCAGCTATAGCAATATTATTATAGTATGGGACTATAAAAGCGGCATAGATATAACTTTAAAATAAAACTGCTAAAAATATGTATAACTTATTAACTTTAAGTTATAATTTTATTTATTTTTATAGCAGTTTACTAATATCAGACTCAATATATTAGTAATATTATTGGTAGCTTGTATAATTTCACAGCTTGTATCAGAATTCCGCGTCTCATATCAGAATCCCGCGGCTTGTGTTAGAATCCCGAGGCTTATATTAGAATCCCGAGCCGCTAGGTGGTGTCATTGAGTACTTGCATCACTATCCTAAAACTGCTCAGGCGCACGATGGATGCAGCCACTGCATTAATTCGGAACTGCTGAAGAGAACCAATATGTCGAGCGCTAGATTCCACTGAGCCCTCGCAGTCCCGTCCCGATTCGAGACATTCGTTTGCCGACAGTCCCTCCAGACTCGCATACATAGGTGCGTAATAGCGAGTAGTTCTCAAGGTCGAACCGTAGGCAGAGGATACCATCTAGCCACCCGAACAGAATATGATGCACATAGTCCTGTTAAGTCTGGCTGGCTGTGTGTTACTCATAGCCCAAGTCATCTCTCGACGCGGAAGAAGCCAGCACTCTCTCGACCAGATTCCCACTCACAGCTTCGCTAATGGCAACAACTCCTCCCAGCGGTACCTGACTAATCTCAGAGACCTTCTCGAATCTGGCTACCGACGATACAACAAAGCCGAGAAGGCATTCAAGATCCCCATTCCCATCGGGGGCTATGCCGTCAAGTACCGCGTCGTCCTGCCCAAATCCCACATCGAAGAGATCAAGCACCTTTCCAATCATGTCTTCAGCTGGCAGCTCGCCTCGCGCATCATCTTCGCCCAGGACTATACTGGCGCCCCCGACCGTGGCCAATGGTTTGGAAAGGCCTTGCGAGTGGGCATCCACCAGAACCTCGGCGACATCACGAAGCAGCTCAACGAACGCATTCTCGACTACTTCGGCTCGCATCTGCCCCAACAAAAGGGCAACGTCGAGACGGTGAACCTCATGGAACTTTTTATCCCCACCATCACCTACGTGACCAACGCATTGCTCGTCGACAAGAGCCTCTCGTCGGATCCGACCTGGCTTAAAGAGACGGCCGATTTCGCCGTCAGCCGCTACGGTGCCGCCGACGACGTACGGCGGTGGCCTCCATACCTCGCCTCGATCGTGGCCCCGATGATCCCCTCGGTGCGCCGGCTGCGTAGGCAGCGCGAGTATGTCATGGAGCGGTTACGGCCGCTGTACAACGAGCTGAAGGCGGCTGGCGAGCTCGACGCGCACGACAAGAAAAGCCGGCAGAAGGGGGCCCTGGGCTACGAGTGGCTGTGGGGAGGCGCCCCGGACGACGTGACGCTGCGCGACTTCTCCGACACCATGATGCGCACCATGATCGCCGCCATCCACACGACGGCCAAGACCATCAGCGTTGCGCTGATCGACCTCCTCACCCAGCCAGAGCTGCTGGCCGAGTTGAAGGAAGAGGTCGCCGAAGCTGTATCGGCCGACGGCCGTTCGGTCGACATTGAACGGTTGACCAAGCTCGACTGCTTCCTTAAGGAGTCTCAGCGCCTGAGTCCTGTATTCCTGTGTAAGTCATCCACGTGTTGCCCTCCAGTTGCTGTGGTGGTGTTGACGTCGTCGGCGCCAACCTTACTGACAACTCGCAGTCACCCTGAACCGCATCGTCACCCAAGACTACACGTTCAAGTGCTCGGGGCTCAAGCTCCCTAAGGGCACAATGGTCACGGCGCCCGCCGCCGCCATCGCGACTGACCCGGAGACCTTCCCGGATCCTGAGGTTTTTGATGGCCACCGGTACCGCCGGCTACGCGAGCAGAACAAGCACGGCGCCAGCGCCCTGGTGCTCGGCATGTCAACCATCGACTCACTCGGCTTTGGCTTGGGCAACCAGGCCTGCCCCGGCCGCTTCCTCGCCGTTAATAACCTGAAGCTGATGCTGGCCCGCCTGCTGGCGGGCTGGGAGCTCAGTCTGGATAAGAACGGGCTAGAGTACAAGGGTCCCCGTCCGGTCATGGCATATAATGACTTCTCCGTCGTGCCCCGAGCGGATACAACTTGCGCCTCAGGCGGCTGTAGGCTCCTTCAGGCTTCGGGCCCGCATACTGATGTCGGAGCAGAGAGATCGATTCCGGATAGGTTCAGACTCATTGTTAGTAGGAAAACGGGACATTGGTGTTTCAAATGCAGATAGTTGGGCAACAGGCCCGCTCTTGGTCACTGTGGGTTCTTCAGGAAAATCCGGGGTAAAAGAAGAAAGGCGGTTTCATCCGGCTAGCTCGGGCCGGGCTCGGTCAGGACTACACGGTTCCTCTGTATCAGACTGTACTTCTACTATATAACTGAATATTTATTATTATACACTTTAGCCTCTGATAAAATACTGCAAATAAGATAATGCATCGGAGCTTACTCTCGGGAATATACACATCGACGAGTTCAAGGACGGGACTTATACGTGCGGAAGCAACAAATAGTAACCCGCACAAGTTCTTGAAAATTATCTCTCAGCTCAACCGGGATCTTGGGTTATTGGCGGTGACTGACGGTAGAAAGAGTTTACTGGCTGGTGTCTACTTTTAATTGCGGACGTGTAGTTACAGTCTAAACAGCCAGTATTATTCCATATCCTGTCCTCCACTTATAATCTATCACTCCCAGCAGCTTAACTGTGTTAGATCACCAAACAGCCTCATGCTTAAAATGTTATATTCAATGCTTCCCAATTATATTATTTCTTTTCGGTTATTTAATATCCTTGTAGCTTCTCGTTATTCAGGTTATGTAATATACAGTCGTTACATTATCTCGCTTCGGCTCTTCATGTGCAATTTGGTGAAGTTCTCCTTGAGATTGTCCCACATCTTTGAGTTGTGCTCATGCTTCTTCTTGCTATTCCAGGCCCAGTCTGCGATTGTACATAGTCTGCTGCTCTCCAACATAAAGACAATAGAGCCCTGAGAGATTCTACTCTCGGGAGGGGCTTGGGCCGATGCTTCCGAGAACTCCTATCCATCTATTAGAGATCATCCATCAAAGAGCGACGAGCGGGGTTTCTTACTTCGTAGGCTACACCACGAGGCACCATACCAAACTCAAATGACACGCTCCCAGGTTGGAATGAATCGGAGCGCCCGCCGTGCTATCCATATATCAGACCCATTAGCTCCGAGACTACATTGCGGTGGTAGTATGGAGGTCTGTATGTATGCGAGGTAACATCCCATTGGGGCGAGAAGATTAAGAAATCCGCCAAAGGGGCAGTTGGGTTTCTTAATCTTATTGTAAGAATACGGAAGATAGAGAGGTTAATATGATTAACTGAGATCGAACTAAAATTTACAAACATTGGATTATTATTTTGATGATTTTATATTAGTAATTTACTTATTTTAAATAAATAATTTGGAAATTAAAAATATAAAAACTTTCTAATTTATATTATAAAGGCTTTTTTTATTTGCTGTAATATCTAATACAGTAAACTGATAAATAATCGTACCTTATTAAATTAGTAAAAGCTATAAAGAGTTAGCCTTAAATAATTCATAATTATACTGCCAAGTATTGCTACTTTAGTCTGCGGGTTGCAAGTTAAAGACGGCATAACAGCATGTGTACTAGCCGAGCCGACTACTCCGCGGCATCAGCAGTGTTCAAGCGGCATCAACAGTGTTCAAGCGGCAATGTCCAGTCTGCCGAAGACTAACGGGTGGATTCCAATCCATCAAATCTCACTAGTGGGGTAGTATTGGAGTGGTCAGGCCGACCATATGACCGCTCTGTATTTGCAATTCGTCCACACTCCGCCGGCTTTGTACTTCCCCACCATCCAGAGGTAACCAACACGTCTTTCTCCGGAGCAGTGTGCGGACATGAAGGACGTACTGACAGGGATTAGAGCCAATATTTGGACATCGGATGGAACTACCCGTTGATATTGCGTAGCGGCTCGGAATTCTGACACCAACCGCGGAATCGTACGAGTGGCTCACAGTTCCACATCGCCGCCAGACTCATGCTACATGCTCTGCCGCTCTCTGAATAATACCAATGTGTATGCTTTTGGATCCCTAAGAGCTGGGTGACGGACACAATACGAGGTAGGTGGAGAATCAGTTTGCCCGAGCATCGTTCTACAATAGCGGGCAGGCCTAACGTTCAGGGTAATCGTGTCTAGCCAGAGTAATCTCGCCGAGATATCGGTTCTAATTGCAAGCAACTGCCGAGAAAATATCGTATTTGTTGTCCTTGATATAGAGTCTAGTCGTTAGTAGTAAACTACACGGGTGAAGGCTTCTTTTGCTAAATAACGAACGCCTCGAGTGTGCCAGTGTGCCAGGTGCGAAGAGTTCCTCGGCCTTGTAGCGCCGTTTGGCCAGCCCTTGACTGTACGAGTAAGACAAGAATTTCTCAATTACATGTTTGTTCTCGTCGAATCCGTCTTTCCACCAATCCTCACCCATAATGACCTGTGTTTCCCTGACGTGGTCCTCCAGCCAGGGCAGCATATAGCGCAATGCTGCTCTCTCGACCAGGGCGTCTTTGGCCAGTTCCTTGGCCTTTGCGAAGGCCTTCTGCAGCTCCGTGGCTATCCACGGGTTGGCATCGTAGACTGTCCTCTTAATAGCAATGACGTGCATGATGGGCAAGATGGCTGTTCTCTTGAAGTAATCGGCCTCTACTGCCTTGAAGTCTTGGAAGAGGTAGGTGCAGTGGCTACTGCGGCCAACGCTTGAGGGGCGGGAAGCACTGAAGACGGCATCGAGTTCCCCGTCTTCCAGCATCTTGGAGAGATTTTGGCCTTGTTTGATCGCCGTGAGTTTGACACCTGGAGGCAATGTATGGGGAACTTTGCTCTTTCGCTCAGTCTCCGAGGGCTCGATGGCGCCCGTGAAGAACTCGACCTCGGTGGCGGAGACACCAAATTCCTCCTCCATGATGCCTCGTTACCACACGGCAGCGGTCACTGGTGCGACAGTCAGTTTCAGCTAAACGAGGACGGGGGGTGTGCTGACTCTGGTACTCAGGAATGCCTATGCGCTTTCCCTTGAGATCGGAAGGCTTCTTGATGCCCGACTTGGTGTTGATGTACATGGACTGGTGCCTGAAAAACCGGGAGGGAAAGACGGGAATTGCAATGAACGGTGGCTTCTCTTGGCCAAGGGTTAGCACATATGAAGAGAGACTGAGCTCGGAGACATCGAATTCCTGGAAGCGCAGCTGCCTGAAAAACCTGACTCGTTTGTCAGCCCCGTCTTTGCCGCTGCGACGCATTGCACTGACGTTTCCTCGACGCGGTAATTGAAAAGGTCAGCTCGATGCCTTCTCGTCGGACCCGACCATCTTCCAGGGCCTTGGTACGGTCATAGTCCCAGCAGGCGAGGCTCAGCTTCAGCAGCATTTTGGAGGCACGGCGGTATTGTGTTTGTGTGTTGTTGATCTTGACACTATTATGGACACAGTCCGAATCGACCAACTTACTTGACTTATTCCCGCAAACTGCTCCTGCGATGCGGATACTTACGGAATGCGGATCGGGTTCCTTCCCCGCAATGCTGGAGCGTCAACCAATGGCACACCGGCCGGAATATCCGGAGCGGACCCACTTCCCCGCGATTACGGGGCTCCACCGCTCCACCGCTCCGCACCAGCGTCACCTGAGCACCTGAGTTAACATAAGAGAATGCCGTTCCGCGGTATCCTCGAACCCTCCCCTCCTACCATCCGTCCTACCATCCGTCCTAGTTGCCATGTCTGAGATTGCCAGGATGTCGTCCAAATCCAAGCGCCTCGGCTTTGGTCGAGCCTGTAACGCCTGTCGGAAACGCAAGCATCGCTGTGACGCTATCGAGCCTCAGTGTTCTGGTTGCCGCAGTCGAGGCAGCGCTTGCGAATATTCCCTCAAGAGAGCCCTGTCGGTCAATTGTCACGTCTGCAGTCCACTAACGCATGCAGGGGCATTGTCCATGGTCGGGAGGAGAGCCTCGAATATGGCCAGGCGACAGTCCTCGACCCTTCCGAAGTGCCCTACCCGGCTTTGTCTATGCGCCGCTACAGGTCGCGGCTCAACCCGGTTACATGACGTAGACTCTCTGGCAGTTCGATGCAGGAAGACCATGCCCAGGGAGCCGACGACCCCGACCAATCCAGCACTCCCTTCCCACCAACCGCCGCCCAATTGACTAACCCGAGCGGGTACTTTGGAGACTCTTCAGCCATCACCTTTGTGTCAGCAACCCGAAATGGCGAACAAGGCTCTCTGGTGGGTGATGAGGACGAGGTAAGATTCTATCATACCGTCTGGCCATCTCATGTCAAGGCGTTATGCTCAGAGTGCACAGCCTTCTCCTCCGGACGATAATGCCACTCACTATGCGTCGTCGCCTCGAGAAGGTCTCGAGCATCTCAAGCTACTGCCAGATAGGTCTGAAGGAAATCAACTCGTCGACGCATACTTTGCTCGCGTCCACCTGCTCTACCCATTCGTGCACGAGACGAGCTTCCGCTCGCACTATGAGCAGACCTGGATCGACCAAGGACCGCTGGATGTTGCTTGGCTAGCCGTAGTCAACATAGTATTTGCTTATGGGTGCGAGTTTTGCCCGTGGCCAGAAGGTGTCGACCCGGTCCAACGAGCATCCCGGTTCGTGGAACGGGCGAAACACATCATCCTGTGTCAAGTCTTTACAGCGGCGAGCTTGCATCTGTCCCAGGCCCTACTCCTACTGTGCCACTATCTCCAAGGTGCCCTCGAATTAAACGAGGCATGGAACTTCTTTGGTCTTACTATTAGAAGCGCCATGAGCATTGGCCTTCATATCAACCCGCCGGATGACGATACCTTGACAACGGTAGATCGTGAGATCAGGAAACGCATTTGGTGGGGCTGCTTTGTGCTGGATCGTACCTTGAGCATGAGGTTTGGTCGACCACCATCAATCATGTTGGCTGATGCTTTCGACGTGGACCTCCCAGCAGAGGTAGATGATCAATATATCACAGACAGCATGCAGTTCCCGCGGCAACCAGGAGGGCGCTCGGCCAGGATATCGGCATTTATTTAGACCATTGGACTGTCGGGGGTCATTGACAACATTATGAGCATGTTGTATCTCAAAAGCCGTAAACCCGGTGGCAGTCCCGGAACGCCAATGGCAATACAAGAAGATTTCCATTTGCTCGGGAATATGTTGCTACTAGATGGACAGCTCCAGTCATGGTGGAACAGCGTGCCTAACCACCTAACTAAATCCTCAGAGTTGTCAGAAGGTATCGACCTGACTCGACAACGAAATGTCCTCTACATCCGATACGTGCAAATGAGGCTGCTCCTGTTACGCCCTTCAGTACTCCTTCTAGGCAAGGAAAATTTCCAAGACCGCTTCTTGCATACAGTCGCAACCGAGTGCGCGAAGCGCTGCGTGTCCGCTGCGCAAGAAACGATTCAGCTCATCCACCAAAAATATCCCCAACAGCAGCTCCATTCCGTTTGGTACATCCTACATTGTGCTTCCCCAATTCGTCGAGACATGAAGGCCCATGCTAATATCGAACAGACATTTTCTCCTCCTTGGGAGTCCTGATAGCAGCGGAAAGGTTAGGGGTGTCGGCGAGCTGGGACTCCAGCAGTCGCCCTGTCTCGGCAATTCTTGACGAAGGAATGGAGTTCCTTCGCTCTGCAAATAAGCAGAGCAGCATCGCCCACCGTTACGTGCTGCTCCTTGGTCGACATCGTGATCAGCTGAATAGCAACCACAACAGCAACAACACCGTGAGGAGCTCGGGTCCTGGTGGCAAGGATGTCCTACAACCCGACCTCCCAGCGCAAGTCAATCTCGAAAATGGACAGGCTGGCTATGAGCCCCCGAGTATGAGCTTTCCTGATCCCAACGACTTTCTATTCGGTATGGGAGTTCCGCAGGACTTTTTGACGACAGATTGGCTCCCAGACGACGCGTGGACTACTTGATGTCCATTTGAAAAGTCGGCTGTCACTTACCGGAGTGAGAGGAGTTGAGCTGCCTAGGGTCAAAATATCTTGTCAAAAGGTTGTATGTATGGATGTACTCTGGAGACCTGGAACTAGCCTTTTCCATTCCTTCGTATTTTGTATTTACGGCTTACTGGTGGTGGGAGAAACCCCGCCCTTCTCTAACATATTTTTCCTTTGATCATCAGATAGTGTGCCCATAAAATTAAAGCCACCAATAAAATAGGTTGTTTGTGACGTTTTTACGGTTAACGGTGAAAAACGGAGACGCTAGGGTGCGAGAGTTGGCAGAGCTTTGCGGTATGGGAAACAATGCCGCGGGATTCTGTCTTCCCGAGCCGACTTCACGCAGAGTGAAGTGCGCGGGGAAGCCCATACTTTCCCTTTGGGAAATCTTTCGAACACCGGCCGCGGAGTCCTGTGCTTTTACCGACTGTGTGAACTAGTTATTAGTAGCCTACTGGAAGAGGTTCTCAACTGCATCTTTGGAGCCAGCACATTCATACGCTGGATATATCTGCCTGAGAGAGATTGTCGTATTGGCGCGAAATCTACCCTGTCCGGTAAACCTGCACCAACGTTGGGTTGTCCTAGCTCCTATTTCGACCTTGCCAACTCATACCTCCAAATGGCATCGAACCCAATTGGTAGCTGTTGCTACCAGGGTGTAAAGCACGAAGGCCAGCCTTATGGGCACGTCGAGACCGTCGGGGAGACCGAGACATATATCGTTGAGCCTAAATCCTCGAACGGCTTTGGGTTGATATTGTAAGTATTGCTTTGATCAGAACTACCCTGAAGGCATTGCTAATAGCTGCTCAGCCTCACCGATATCATCGGCCACAAGTTCGTTAACGCTCAGCTAATCGCCGACCAGTTCGCCGCCAACGGGTATATTGAGCTAAGAACGACCTCTTATCTTAGCATTGCTGACGCTCCTCAGATACACGGTTCTCATTCCGGATCTCTTCCACGGCGACCCCGTCCCGCTCAACGCCGATATGGCGACTTTTAGCCTGCCTGACTGGATGCAGGGCAAGCTTGGCGCCAAGAATATCCCTCATATCGCCGAGACGGTCGACCCTGTAGTAGCTGCGTCGCTGAAGTTTCTCAAGGAGAAGTATAACCCGAAGGTTGAGCACTCAATCATTACACGGGGACGAGACTGACGAGACCGATAGAAAGTTGCCGCTGTCGGCTACTGCTTCGGCGCCAAGTATGTGGTGCGGGGCCTCGGCTCTGGCAGCTTCGATGCCGGCTACATCGCGCATCCGGCCATGGTGAGCATGGAAGAGCTGGAGGCAATCAAGGGCCCGCTCTCTATTGCGGCGGCTGAGGTGGACGATATTTTCCCGACTAACCTACGCCACGACTCGGAGGCAGTGCTTCTAAAGACGGGCACACCTTACCAGCTCAATGTATACTCTGGAGTCAACCATGGGTTTGCTGTCCGGTGCGACCTGAGTGACAAGAGGCAGAAGTATGCTAAGGAGTCGGCCTTTCTGTTGGTACTTCAGTGGTTTAACGAGTATCTGAATTAGATACTTGAAGTGGATGGAGAGTGGATTTAGACATATTACAAACCGATGACAGATTAGATTGATTAAGTTATTATATCTCTACTTATTTTTGGATGAGGAATGTACCTTATAATCTAAGGACTGACACTGGGTCGGATTTCATCGCTTCAATTTTAACACAAGCCTTTCGAGAACATGAAGAGTCTTGCTTTTGAATCCGCGTTCTTAGAAGCAATGTAATACTCTGTTCCTTCTTAGCTAGCGGCCCTTGAACCTATTATCTTCGAACTCAAATTTTACAAGATAGCCGGAGATAAATTTAACCAGTAAAAGTTTGATTGCTTCAATATCAGATCATTTGGAACTGTAGTTGCAAAGTTATTCTAAGTTACCCAAAGCCATTTCACAGGTCACGTCGACCCTGGGTTCGGCGTTCAACTTCAGTCTCCAAAGACTCATCTAGCATCTTCGTACCCACCTCGTTGTAGCTTTGTGTCCTCAACATGTGCGATGTCTGCCATTGTCTCTGCCTTGGTCTCCAACTTAGGCGCGCCATGTGCCTCATGGCCATGTACCCCTGGGCTCAGCGCGACCCTTGCCGCCTGCCCAGCCACTGTTGCGCGCATATCTGTCCTCCATACCGTTAAATAGGGCATGGTGAACTCGCGTAGCACTGCGGGCGTCGGGTTCTGCATCATGCGTATCATCCAGTCCTCGTCAGCCGCGGCGGGATCCTGTTGGATGCGTAGCTTGTTTGCGGTGCTGGTTGGCAATACGAACGATTGGAATACCTGTCGGCGCGCATCCGAGTAGGTGGTTAATAGCGAGAGGGGGCTGCCTTCACGCAGGATCATCTTGATTGTCGTTGCCAGGGCCTCAGCATCGAGGAGGCCTGTCGAGAAGCCAAGCGCACCGACAAGCTTGAAAGAATGGTGCTTAGTATGTCTGTAGTGAAAGTGAGGGTTCAGGGGGATGGATGGAAAGGAGGAATATCATGATAGCCGGAGCACTGTGTAATGGGGACACCACATACGTTATTTAAATGCGCGGCATCACCTATCAGCGCACATCGTCCCGTCGCCATGGTATTTGATAGCCGCTGGTGGAGTCGGTAGACGGTCTTGCGGACTACCTCGTACTGCAGCGGCCTCGGTCCCACCATATAATGCTCCAACAGGCTGGCCAGATTCGCCTCCTGCAGTACTTCCTCCTTAGACGAGGCATCGGCGGGGTCCGTCGCCATAGAGAAACGCCAAAGCGTCGTCTCGCCCTCTACCGGCCGCTCGAGTGGAATGGCCATGGAGAAGTGGACCACCAACTTGAGTCTTCCTGGGCAACCTTCGCTTCCCTTTCAACAAACACGCCAAGAAGCATCCACAAAGCCGTGTAAGACAGACGATCCTATTCATACAAGGAAACAGTGTGCACACCTACCATTGATTAGATTCAAGTCACTGACAGCCCAGTCAGAGCCATCATGGGTGAACCAGCAACCAAGGTCCTCAACCGGGGTCCCGCCATCACGCGGTCGGTCAACCTAAACTTCCAGGGCGACTGGGGCCAGGCCAACTTCCACCGCATCATGAGCTGGCTGACGCAGGAACTCTGCCATCGTTGCGGCCCCCGTAGCCGCCCATCAAGCTCGTCATCGCGCCGGATTCGCCTGATTCGCCTACTGGCTGGGTATCACACCGCTTTCTTGAGGCGCATGGCATCACAGCCGACGACATGGCGTACCTGCTGACGTGGTGCCTGGTCGAAACCAAGTCAATGATCGAGAGCTAGTATCACCATATCAACCCGGATAAGACCCCTCTGGGCTAGCCCTTTGATCCGGTGAAAATGGCCAAGACTTCTATCCCGCTGCATCCCGCTGCGGAGCGATACTATCGTGAACACGGATACCTGTCATAAGCGAGCCGTGGGGGGTTAAGGCTAGACCTTGTGTAGTCTAGGATGAAGCACCAAACGAAATGGGCCGACGAAATGTCTTGACATACTTTTGTTTTTTCAACCGTGTAAACGTAAACCGTATTTGTCTAGGTTCGGTGACAACCATGGCGAATATATCTTGCGTTTTCTCTTGGGCTCCACTTCGTCTGCGCATGAAGCCTCACGACTTGGAAACATGTTTCATCCACTCTCCCCAGCATCAACCAGGTGTGACTTCAGCAAACGCCGGCATCACTCATTGCACAATGCTTCGTGAGGCTAGACTCTGTAGAGGGAGAGTATACTACATTTGGCGTCGGTAGGAATCATCGGCCCCAATCTCCCCACCTTTCGGTACAAACAATTAAGATTTAATGCTGGCATAAGGAGCAGAAAAATTTCCATACATGCATCGATTATGTTCGTAGGAAGAATTTAGTCAGCCAGCAATTATCCTAATTTCCTCACAAAGTTCTGCTGTAGTCTTGTTTATGGCCTGCACTTGGAGATCCAGGACACGCGACACCTTGTCAATCCGCAAGAATACCTAGCGAACATGACGGATTCTGTCGCAGCGAAGGATAATTCTATGGTGCACATGGGGAACCAGTACGGCGGGTGGTGCATCTTCAATTGAGGTCATTGCTTTAATATTACTTCAACTACCCTGTAGACTTATTCCGTTTAAGACGATGAATAGAGGTAGATCATCCCCGCCGGTCCTGGTACCAACTATCTTAACGGTCTGATAGTCCTATTTTTTTCCATCTCTAATTAATTCGCCGTTAGCAGGGGTAGGCGTAGCATATTGATGATCATACCGTTTCTCGAGATTTTTATATACCAGCCTCGATGTTTGCTCACCCTGCGGCTCTTTCGCGTCGGTGGGAGCTTTGCCACTAGAGGAGAAGCTATGCGAGGTAGGGCTTTCATCGGCGAGCTTTTCCAGTACTGCGAAGAGTCGCTCTGCAAGGGATGATTCCGCACCCTTCCCATTGATGCCAAAACTTCGATTAAACGCAACAGGGTTCTGACCATCGGTTGGCTTCTGCAGGGGGCTGTTGGGAGGAGTTTCTTGGTGTGGAGGGGAGGGTTGAAACGACTGGACCAAACGGGGGGGCATGATGAGGGGGTGTGGAACAAGAGATTATGTCAGAAACTAGATCAACGCTGTTGGTATTGCAGTGGAAGATGGGACTTGTGAATGAGTGCCTTCGTCATGTAGAGAGAATCCGGACCTTGCGGTGGAGAATCTGGGATTCTTTAACCTTTTAGAGGCCCTGCTCCGACCTCCACGTCGCATCCAGCTGAACACCATCTACTGTTGCCGCGGCCATGTTCTGCCCTCCTCATAGTGAGGTGCTTGATAGGCTTTCCCGGAGGAAACGGTGTGCGTCAAGAGCTGGAAGCTCGGCTAACTCTCCGAGACGTAGCAGTGGTCGCTAGTCCGCGTCATGCATGTTCATGGCACGCAGGGACACCACAGGCCATTTCAATTGGAGAGAAGCATCTTCATGTGCCCATCTGCATATAACGTGTCAACATTTTTTAATACGTCAGAAAATCCTATGCCTATTGGACAGCATGATTGAAGAGTGAAGTAACAACGCCACAATAGTCGCTGACGCTGTTGGTTGCCAGTATTAGAAGCCTCGCATCAATGCCACAAGAAGGCTCGGAAGCAGCTTTGTCTTTCCTCGCGTAAAGAAACTCGAAGGGGCAGGGCTGGCATCGGCCCAGCGGCATGTAGGGAGTACTTAACAATTGAGGAATGATGGCGATGCTACGTCGGCCACCCTCTTTGGCAAGCCACAGATCACTTTGCAGCAAGTCCATGCATTGCCCCACCCCAAGTATCGCCAATTGCGTACGCAACGGCTTTGCCATGTGAGCTTCATCTTGCATTTGGGTGTCGATCCATCGGTCTCATTATCAGCATGTTCCCCATCCCCTACACACTAGTGACACTAACCGACGATCAGACAGTTGTGGCTGATTATCCCGTGCAGATCTTGGAGCTTACGGCGTACCGATGCAATGGTGGCCTAACTGTTGCGCCAGGTGCAAAAGGGAGCACTCCACAATGCAGAGCAGACAATGTACCTTGATGCACCGTAGCATACCCCGTCAGATTGAGAGGGCAACCGCTGAATCTGACTTATGCCCGTTGTTTGACGAAAAGCTCAGCGCTTTATTTTGCGACAAGACCGACACCATCAACTCTGATCTCCGCGCTCAAAAATATCAGTGTAAAACTGGCACCGGCATTTGAAACAAGGGACGGGGTTCTTACTGAACTAAACAGCAGAATTAGCGCCCAAGTACCCGCTCAAGACTAAAAAGCAGCTCATTCTGGGGAGGCGGGGTCACAGGAACATCTGCTCCGCGCCACATGGGCCGACCATTTTGGTGTTGCAACAGCCCTATCGCCGATCCCCAAGGGCAGAGTCAAAATCAACCCATGACGGCTTTGCGTTCGGTATCACAATCGTCCTAACTCCGCGCCCATGCACATGGTGGCCCGGGTCATCTCCCTCCGATGACAAGATGAACAGTACAAGGCACGCTAGAGAGTGGCTGGCTTGCTGCGAGCTGGGTGAGGAGAGCCGCCCTGTCGCCTACCCCGAAAAGAGATTTGCTCATGGTTCAAAATTCCCGCATGGCAAGGAGACACGGCAACGTTGGGACGGAGTCTGCCCACACCCGAGTTCAATGAAGGGGGCAACACGTTATATCACCCGCACTGGTTTCACCGGAACAGGCGAGGCACATAACCCGTTGGTGCAGTGGTGCACTGGTGCAACAACAAAGAGACCCTTGGATGGATGCGAACTGAACTATGGCGTCGTTGGTGGGGCGTATGCAGGTTTGATCACCGCGCTAGCATATGACAAGTCGCCTCTCGTCGAGCCACAGAGCTTAGTCTGATGCGCTATGATCCCCGATTACGAGATATCATGCAGGGAGGGTAAGGGGGCCGGGGGCGGGGGGGGGGAGGGGGGAGAGGCCGTCACTCAGCCTCTCAATGCAAGATGCTGTTTTTGGAATTGCATGGGTCCAACCACGGAATTTGCAATGATAGCCTGACAGTAGCTGTAAAAGGGTAAGACATGTATGTGTGCGTCCGTGACTAGATCCATCCAGACGTCGTGTCGGAACAAAGAAGAGCAAGGAGCGTACTGTGGAATATAATCTAGGATCCGAAACTCTTCGCCAAATCCCTTTGATGCGCAACAATGTCTCACGTCTCTTGTCTCAAGCGGTCATGTTTCAAAGTGCCTCCGTATCTAGCTACTTGTACCGGGCTTCAACCCGTGAGTAGTGATGCGCCCGGGATAGTTCCTCATGCACATGCTAGTGAAATACTTCCCGTAATGGGTCTCCTCTTCTGGACCCCGACCAGCTTCATACCCCGGAAGAGGTCCAAAGACTGCCTGGAGGTTGGGCTCATGGAAACAAGCGAAGGCGAGCCTGTCTTTTATATTGAACCCCACCTTATGGAGCGTTGAGGGGAGGACTATGTTGGTCATGTACTGCATCATGTCACCTGAGAGCAATTTTCAGCAGGACGCCGGTTGGTAACAGATCGAGGACGAACGAAGAGAGCTAGATCTGGGATCACCAGATGCACTGATGTTAGAACTGCATCAACAGGCCTCGCCTACCTCCAACATCATCAGCGGCCGTAATCACAAGCAAACCATAATCAGTATGTGAGCCGATGCGTCGACAGTCGTCGCCTTTCCCATTGATGTCGTTGATTGCGGGAAATCTGAGCCCAAAACATTAGCTTTGTCTTATCTCAAAAAGAAGCCGTGGGTTCATTCATGCCTGAGGATTCGCATGTGATGCCAACCGTCTTTTGTAACGTGGGTCAAAGATCCCTCTGGTCCATCGATGCCCAGCTCAATAAGCCGAAGAAGCTTCTCACCGGTTTACCATAGGCTCTCCGTGTATTTCTTCACGGGGTCCCGCAGATCTGCGTGAGGTCAAGAACAATGCCTATGGCATGGTCACTGGGCAGACACCCTGAAGGCATAGCATTGCTCGAGTGCAGTGGCTTTTGAGGAGATTCACACATTGTTGTAAGGGCTCTCTGTGCTCGACTTTGACAGAGAAGAATGGTCGAAGCGAATCACTAGTATGCAGCAAGATGTGAATTTGTATAGTAGTTGGAATATTCGCGGGGGAGGTGCCGGATTAGAGAGCCCTAGTAGGTATACAGTATTTTTTAACGACCCGCCCTCGGACGTAACATTTCTTCACTGCATAACTGTCTGTACCTTCTCGGAAGGGTTAGGGAAATGAATGTCACTGTATTATTGTTGGTATAATTTTGATGTCTCTTAAAGCCCCAATCATGTCTTGGATTTAGATTTGCGAGCATGAGGTGCGTCCAACAGATCGACAGTTGTGGCGTGTCAGCAGGCGGCCAACCGACCCTTGCTAGCGTATAGGCGCTGGCGAACCGTGGCCGACACCGATCGTAAGTTGATCCTTCAAGAGATACATCAATTCACTAATGGATTGTTGTCTTTGGAAGTCGCTATTATTCGCACCCATGTGTTTGATGTCCGGGAGGCAATTCTACTAAGCCTACATGGTATCATGCAAGGTGATTATGCCCGAAAGCCCATCGCATCGATAGCCCATCCGTTGAGGGGATCAAGGGTCAACAAATCCAAATAGGCAAGCCGAGGAGGTGGCTGATGATAACGGCTTCGGTTTCGGCTCGGTTTAGAGGTGGATGAGACAAGGGGAAACATGGACAAATTGCAGATGCTCAGACGGCGAGAAGGTCCCCGCTCCCGCTTGCTCTCACGGACGCCGTGGAGATAAGGAGGGGTCCGAGGCACACTTATGTGACACTACCAAGCCGCCCTTGTCACACATCCTGGGTTATCACACCCTGGCTTGACGCTTATCACATATTGATACATCATACGCCACCCTCCCGAGGGTTTGGGTTAGTCAACCGCCTCTCGAACCATGGTTACCCACAAGACCGGGTCCTTGACGGCATGGCCGACAGAGGCAGGGGATCGAGACGGGAACAACTCTCAATGGCACGGACCTGGAGGTAAAGAGGTAGGGAAGGGAAAACCGAATTATATTCTTGGGACAAGCCTGTTGCCCCCTGTTATTACGCGATACTTGAAAATCCCCCACACCATTCCACGATGGCGTCTTGTCATCTCTGTCCACTGTCCATTAGCCCCGCTTTGACACTGCCTCTTATTCTCCCTCGCATTGCACAGGCCGCTGCGGCTGCTGATACGACGCCTCTTGCTGCGACTTCTCGTCTAACGCCTGTACGTATCGCTGGGACTCGTAGGCGAGGTAGTTCTGGATGAGGGTGCAGTTGCACCCAGAGTGCTGGAGAAGTTGCATCTTCAGCTCGTACACCTCGAGGGTCAGGTCAGCCACGCAGGTGGACAGGTCGCTGTGGATGCGCTCGACGTCCTGCTCACTAGACTTAAGTCTCAGTGCCTCTTCGCTCTTCTTGGCCCGGAGTTTGTTGGCTGCGATTCGGTTCCGTTCCCTAATCACTTTAATGTGATCATCGCACTTTTGGGCTGGATGGGCGCCCTTGTCATTGGTATTCTTCTGGCGGCGAACAATTGAATGTTTTGGCTTCTTCTCTTTCTGTGGATTGATATCTTGGTCACCCGGCGAACGTTGTCTAGCGGATTTGGGAGGCGGAACGGCATCATCAGAGTCGCGCTTCCGCTTTCGAGTTGCCTTCTTCGGTGTTGAGGGTGGATGCCAGGGGCCTTGGATAGGAGACAATTCCTCGGAAGCCATGTGCTCAGAATCTGAAGATGGAGCCGTGTACATCGTGACAGAACTGGGGCCACTCCATGGGTCGGCATAGTCGATTATCGGGCCGGTGCCATTCCAATGGTGTGTCGAGCTGGTATCACGGCCATATACAGACCCATCGAGTACAGGACCAGTCTGCGCGTAGACGCCGTTTGCCGTGCTGCTCCCGTCTTCCAACGAACCAAGCGGGACCAGTTGGTCTATAGACCACCATTGCTCCCATAGAAGATCTTGGGAGATGCAGGATGTCCCAAAGATCGAATCATCTGTCATGGGATTCGACTCGCATAGGGCTCTGTCGCCCATGGGATGGAGCGGGATCATATGGTATGCTTCTGTACAAGAGGTTAAACTAATGACCGCAGAAGCGGGAGCAAGAGCTAAAGAGAGACTTTACCCATCTTAAAACGCCTTGGATAGATTGGGGAGCCGTCGTTTCGTGCTAGCTAGTGATGGTGGGTTTTGGACTTGGTGGAGAACCGTGTACTCGAAGCTCGGTATGGAAGACGGTACGGTGCCGGCTCTGATAAGTTGTTGAAAGGAAATGACCGGAAGCATAGAACAGAAATAGAGAAATAGAAAAAGACGTGGAACAAGCGATGAGCGAGTCCTTTCAATTGCCCAGTCGGATCAGTCCACGACGAGCGGCGGGGAGGATGAAGTCGAAGTTAAAGCTGTGAAAGCCAGTGGGCAAGAGGCGTCATTTGTCAGTGATCACAGGCACCGTTACACCAATACCAACAAGCCAACTCCCGGGGGAAACGTGGCTTAGCTCGAGATCTCAGGTCCTTCAATCTGGCATCCTGTCTGGGAGCCATCGCCCGTGACAGCCGCCTCGCTTGCCATTTGCCAGGAGGGACGGCGCCATAGGCATGAAGGTGCCAGAGCGGCATCTGGCTCGTCAAGACTTGCAAGATGCCGGTCAGACCACTGTCCGTGAGCTCACCCGGGCGAGCTGAAACCGCACACACCGGCATCCCACTAGTCCAGGGAGGGGATAGTGAGGCTGCAGAGGACGACTATTATGGCAAAGGTTCCGAATCTTGAGTTTTGGAGACCTTGAGACATTTTTGACGAGATCCAGCCCGTTGGACAGCCAAGTTCGGAGCATTGTCCGTGACCTCCGGTTGAAGAGGTGGAATGGAGAAGATGGAGGGCCGTTCTGGTTGAGTTGGGACGGCTGAGTGGGGTTTCACATGCAAACACGCCACAGGGATGAGACGGTGACATGGGAGAAGAGGAAACAATTACGAAGGTTGGTGTATTCCTTTTTTGTTTGTTTACAAAAATCGCGAGTTTACATAATGTTTATTTGGTGGGCCAGAATTGGTCCTAGTGGGGTGATTCCCGCTCGCCTATCGATGAGATTTCGATACGGCAACGTGGCAGAGGCTGTAGATGACCACTTGTCCACCAAAATCTTCAGACCGGAGATGATGTCAATTTTTCAAGCCACAATCAGCTGTCTGAGTCAAGAGTTGCCATATTTCCGAGTCCAAATTATTCCAATAAATGTCTTGGGTGGCGAATTCAGACACATAGCAGCTGAAGGGTCGAAGTGCCTGGCATATCCAAGCGTAATCTTTCGAGGCCCAAATGGATCTCGCAGCACTACCTTAGAAGTTAAGAGAATATATAGACGGTTTCTATTTCTTAAACACATTCGAAAACTACAAATTCGCGCGTTTGTTTCGCTGTGATAGTTATTTAATTAAATTATTTATCCTTGTAGCTCCCATCATGTGCCATTGTCAGAATCTTGAAACAACCTGCAACGAATGCATTTGCATAATAAATTTCCAGTCTCTTACAATATGGTACAGGAAGGCGTTGAAACGCAAGCGTCGTCGCCGATATTGGTGAGGGGAGGAATGTGAGGCATGCTCAAGCTGATACGACATTGGTCGTCCTCCCAGAATGAAGTTTATAGAGATATAATGATGCGGCGTAGGACTCACTATGGGTAGTGGCAATGTTTGGTGGGACGGCGCAAGTCTAATGATGGGGCATGTTTTGATACTTTTAATGCCAGGAGAGGGACTTTAATGAATCTAAGAGGCATAATATCCTCGGCTGACGCTGTTCGAGCTGAATTGTTCTTAGACCCCGATTGAAAGCGATGGAAAAATGAGTCTAATAACAGGAAGCTTCGTAGACAACCCAACCAAGAGAATGGAGCTCAGGTTTAGTTGTAGCCGCTACGCTCACTGTTACCACCTTTTAGTCCTGGTAGTTGGCCATGCCTACATTGTAATCAGTACCTTCGTGAACGAGCTTCTACTTCCGCACACTCAGTCCCGAAGGCATCAACCCCCTCACGCTCACTGATTACGTTCTCTGCTATGATAAAATCTTCTTCCCACTCTGAGTGTGCCTAAGTTGGGGGGCACTGTTTTCAAGGGGTATTTGGACGCCTTAAAACCCAATTCTTTTGTTGTATCTGTTGCTGTGCCTGCTTGGACAAATATCTGGAACAGAAACTGCGTTGTTACTGCAAGATTTAGCCCTCTTGATTCAGGTTCTCAATCCAGCCTGCGATCCGGAGAATCTTTCCATGCACGGCAGCTGAGATATGGAATGGAGAGTTGAAAATTTTGTAAGCTATAGGCAACGATGAGGAGTTCGGTTATGCCCCGTGACGGCTTGGCTGATACGTTAGAGTTGGCAAAGGTTGCGTGGCCCAGGTCTGGCCCAGCGCATCGAGGCTAGGAGTTCTCGGGTTAAAGGTTGACGACATAGACGAGGTCGAAATCGTAGAGGTCGTAAATTTTACCAAGCTGGTCTATACAGCGGTGGCGGGGTGCAAAGAGATTAACGATGCGACTTGACTGTTGAAGGGGCTGTGGAAGGAGCTGCAGTGACATTCTAGTCTAGAGTCAAGTTCTGTAGACTTGCCTCGGCAACGTCATCGTCACTCAGGTCGAGGAAGTCGTTGAAATCAGGCTCTCTCAGCGTGGGATTGCTGAGCGACAGTCAACTGGATAAAGCCGCCAGGTTTCAATGACTCGGGGTCCTTCGAAGTTAGAACTGGTCTCACGTCTCAGCTAGTTGGTCAGTAACATCCGTGGATGCGCCCTGTTGAGAAAGTCGGTAAACTTGTAATCTCTCAACTGAGAGTCGAGAACTGGAAAAGGTTTTAGAGAAAGACCGACAGTCTGAGTTTCTTTGGGTGGGGCGTGAAATACATTAAAAAAACCTTCATCAAGGCTATAACTCATGAACATTTGCCATAGCTAGCTGAGGGCCATCTGATAAACATCTACAAGTTTCCTGCAGCCTTCATCTTCATTACCATTCCCGCAACGCCCTTGACTAATCCCCCGACCGGCCCCGGATCCCCCATATAGCCTTTTCCAGGGTTCCCCTGGCTATCTCTCCAGATTCCGTCCTTGGCTACTCGCCCATAGGCTTTGGTGTTTTGGTTCCGGTCGATGCCCTCCCTCCACTTCGCACATGTCTCTGGACTGTCAACCATGACGTTTATTTCCTGGCTGTGGAACCAAGACTGTGTGTCTTGGTTGCCACTACCTTGAATACCTACGCATTCGTCGACAATCATGAGCTTGATGTGACAAGAGCGTGATTTAGACGACTGATGAATAGGATGGTCCTGGTCTTTGCCGACGTAGTTGTATATGTGCAACAGATCATGTTCCGGCCCATCCTGTGGGAGGGACGCAACAAGGCTTTTCGCAACTTGATCGTTGGTCCCACCTTGCCCTGGAATCATCTCACCGCAATCGTTGTAACCAAAACACACGTAGTATGTGACTTGGACGCCTCGTTTCAGCGCTGCAGCAAGGGCAGGTACTAAAGGTGCAGCATTGAGGTCTGGCGTTTGGATGAATATGGTTCTTGTGGCATTCCGGATGAGCGAGAGCCAGGCTTCGTTTTGGGGAACGTGGATGCTCTTTGAGTCGATCCATCCGTACGGGGGACGAGATACCAGGGCCATGGGGACAGGATGGTCGGAAGCGGTATGGATGCAGGGCGTCATTTCATTCCCATCCTCGATTTCAGGACCAGTTGGTTCAACGGGGTTCTTCGCTGCTTGGTTAAGTCTTGCGTTTACTGCTTGTAGACGGGTTTCACCAGGCTTGGTAGAATAGCATGACTGTACCCGCCTCATCTCCCCGTCGAGATCGCTGTCGTAGTGAGGATGATCCGGTGTGTGTTCTGGTAAAGCAGCCTGCTCACCATCGGCGGCAATCTCAGCTTGGCTTCGACTAGAGACGTGATCGGGGTGCCCGTCGGACATGGCCAGACCACCTTCAGCTGCTGGAGCATCGCGGCAAGCGAGTTGAGGATGTAGAGTATTACTCCATGTAATCAGCGCCGTGTCGTATATGCTATCCACGATGGGTCCTTCGAGATGCACCATCATCTCCATGTTGTCATTGTCCTCCATATTGTTGCTCATTATCGTGGCCATCTTCCGATCGACAATGCAGAACTTAGCGTGCAGGGTGCCAAGAACCAGCCTGTGCAAGCTGACAACCTCGAGGTCGAGATGGGGGATTTCTTCGGGCAAGGGGAGGTCGATCGACTTGGACGAGTATGTTTGCGGATGAACTGTTTGGTGCGGATTGAGAGCGTTTGCTGGGCTCGCCTTGTCGTACATGATCTTGACCACGACTCGTTGCCCTCTTTTTCCAGCGCGCCTCGAAAGCTCTATCAGAGAATTCTTGAGGAGTCGCTGGGCTATCGATGGAGACCACGAGCAGGTGATGAAGAAGACTTCCCTCTCCGCGCGGACAATGAGATTCGAGCAGTGGCGAATGACATCGGCCAGAGGTGCGATGATAGTAAGCGGCACCGTTCCTTGGGATCCCAGCAATGGCGGCGAGACAACTCCTGACATGGGATCTGCGTCCAAACAATCCAAGGCGTCGGCGAATGCTTGCAAGAAGAGAGGGCTTGGCTTTGTAAGGCCCCAGCGACCACATTGGAAGGCTGCTTCTAGTGCATCGGCGGATGAGGCTGCAACGTCTTTGTCGGATTCGTCTTGATGGAGGCGATTTTCGCCATGGCCGTATAATCTCTTCACAACATCACCTGGTGCCTGAGTTGGATCCTTTGCCAGGACCGAGCTCACTGTTTCCCTTGCCTGGCACAGGTCGTAAACACGTTTGGACACCATTGCGTTTGTTATTTCTCTGGTCGTACTCTGAACTTGAAACCCGTGAGATTGGGCGGGCAGGCTATTCATATCCCTGTCCAGTGCGAATGCGAGGGCGAATGCGAGATGGCAGCGTCACCGTTATTTCGAGCAAGGCTGGCTGACAGCCACATTGGATATTAATTGCATCCGTACCCCGAGCTCGAAGTACTTTTCTCTGCGGTCCAGAATCGGGTCTATTTTGTACCTCTCACAAAGAGTTACATCGGGAATTAATCTTTACGTATTGCGCACATGGTCTAGCCTGGGCATATCAAGGCGGAAACTGCGCCACGGCCGGCAAGCCGTGCCGAGACGGCACCAAACATCCGGTGGTCAATAGAAGGGTGCAAAAATACCGGTTCCAGCAATATCTGAATAGAAGCTTTTGTGGTGACACGACTCCACCTGAACGGGAGACGCCGCTCTAGTCCGTTTTCACACACGAGGCCTTTGCTCCTCATCATCGATGACACTAACCAAGCAAAGTGACTTGCCGTCTTTGCCGTCTGCCAGCCTAATAATAAGCCAAGGAGGTAGTTTTTATAATCGGTGGGAAATTCCCAATGCCGAGAAGCCGCTAGCGACGTCATCAATGGCACTATTCCAAGCTGGGCTTGCCGTCTTTTCCATAAGGTACACTAGCTGAGCTACCCGGTAGCGAATGTTGTGGTTATTTCCCGTGCCGGCTATCCTTTCACTGTGAAACGCATTGACAATTCAATTTTCAAACTGTTTCTGACAGTGGAAATAGGGGTGGAAATAGAAATGCTTAACGTCTATTTCCTTGATTATATCCCTTCTCATGGTCACGATGGCTTATCCCGCGTCTTTACTAAGTTTAGTTTAAGCATTACAATATTTCAAGTGACAGCGCAGCCGGCAGGGTTTAGCTTACCTTGTTTCCATCTTAGGAGAGTGAACCCTATGTCCGAAAAATTACTTGTAATTAGTTACTATCGTGCGGGCGAGACGCGAGCACATGTGAGTTACAAGAGCCACTGGTGTGGGATGAACGAGGACCTGGCTGTTGACGACCCATCTACCGTATTGACTCGATAAATTGGCCCTGTTTTTATGGACTAAAACCAAGCTAAGCTATATAAGGCTTAAATTTCCGAAATCGTTAGGTATACAAAAGCCCGAAGGCAACAAGTGGGGGAAGGTTTCAGGGCCAATTTGGTGAGTCGATACGGTACACGACCAGATATGGTTGTCGGGTCGCAGGTGTGTAGCACCTCTCTGACAGGAATTGTATAAGGGGGAGGGCACCCGCTTTCGCCTTTGAGCCTTCGCTGCTCTTTTTTTGCTCTGGGACAAACTGACAAGGCATGTTGCTCATCGCTGCGATAATAGCGTAATGGTGTTCTCATTCTGGTCGGAGACGAACGCCTCTGGGTAGCCTTGGTGCACCATTTTCGGCAAGTCTTCTGGAGGTTTCTCAAGGAGGTTCTTGAATCTTGCCACCACAAGATGGCCTTTAATTAACTATAACATTACTTACAGCTACTGCATTGTGTACACACCTAATGCCTATTACTCTTAGAATAAAAACTATGAGCTAGTCTTATAAATATATAAGCATAGCTTCAGATGCTGCTAAAACAATCTTTGCTTTGCCCTTCGATACCTTAAAATGTTCGTACTTCTGCTTACCGAGGATTGCGCAGTTGTCATTGGAAAAGTATTGTCCTGTGTCAAATCGCATTAATATTCAGCTTCAAGAGCTCACAAATCATCAGAAAACTGTACCTCCGATAACTGGTTGGCCCTTAAACTTCTGATTCGTTTCTATGGTCGTTTCGCTGGATGATGCAGTCATTCGGAGACCTTTGACAACAGAGGAGGACAAGCCAGTTAACTTAAATGTTGTCGAATTGCGATGACCAATGCCTGAATAATATTCAGTGTTGATCAGAACAGCCTTGTATGGGCTGCCATTTCTGTAAATGATGTATTGCGAAAATGAATCGTTTCCAGGATCACTCTCAATGATCTTGTCACCTCCCGAGATGGCCAAGGTAGCGAAATAGCCTCCGTAGAATGGTGCCTCGACCTTCTGTAGATGCCACCAGTTGAAGGAAGCCTGATTGGTTCCCAGACCACCTTGGTGGTAATAAAGCCGCTCGATGCCTAATGTGAGAGCATGCAGAGTTTTGTCAATGATTTGAAGCGCGCCGCCGAACGTGGCATCCTGGGTTGTCTCGAGGCCATGGAACCCTGTCTCGCCGATGATATAGGGGCGGCCAACTGTTTTGGCCTTCGCAATCTTGTCAACAAAATTGGACAGATCGGCAACCGTTTTGGCATGATTCATCTCGCTAGATAGCAAAGCGTCCTGGGCAGAAAGTGCATATAGATGCGTGCAGTACATCTTGACGCCTGCTTGAACGCTCGAGTTGAAGGCAGTGTTGATCAAATAGTTGGTGTTCGGATAGGCAGGGGCGAGCTCTATAGGTACGGCATAATTTCCGCCCGAGAGAATAGGAACGGGGCCGTCCCACATATCAAGAAGAGCCTGGAACCATTCTGCTTGGTTATCACCTTCCTGAGTCTCGTTCCAAGGCGCAGTGGCGACACTCTTGTTCCATACTGAATAGTACACTAGCACAATTAGTGAGAAGCTTTTAGAATAAACGACTGCACCCACAATCCGGCTCATTTCCGAGCTCGATACCCCATAGAAGTTCGTGTAGTCTTGATTTGGCGGCCATAACTGCCTCCAAAGTATTGGTTATGTTGTCATCACCACGATTGAACCCTGAAATGCCAATTAATAGACTCATTCTGAAACAGGGTACAGCATCTCACATACCAAGTGTCACCTCGCCTCCATAAGTCTCTGTTATAACCATGTCAATCTCAGCATCAATGTTCCTATTTTTGGACTATACCCACTTATCAGGTTGAATAAATTTGGTCCAAAATAATGGCCGAGTTCATTGTCTGGGTTCTGATAGAAATATCCGTCGAACTCCGCATCAAAGGCACATCTATCCTGCGTAGTGCCGCCAACGCGGATGGGTACCTTTGAGTCATAAAAATGGTCCATGTGGTCCATGCAGTTCCAGGTGCGGCTCATGTTCAGCATGTAGGTTGCTATCATGTCAAACTCAAAACTGGAGGTGTGAGCCGGGGCGTGAGAGGTAAAGACACCATCATGACTTACGAGACGCCGACAGGTGTTGAGTCAAGATCAACGGCATCGCGAGGAACAGTGAATGGAACGGGATAGATCACTGTCACCGCTCTGGTATACGAGACGTAGCTCGACAGTAGGGCCAGACATTTGAGTAGGTAGGCCATTGTATGAAAAAGATGTTGAAAGCAGGAAAGTGATGGCGGTAAAGGGAAGATTCAACGCCTTGGATGCGCTAAATCACCTCTATATATACCCTATTTTGATGTACATAACTTCCGCTACGGAGCCTCGGCTTTTCTTGGACCCATTGCCCTCCTCAATCATAGCCCCTCATATCATCAATTAACCCGAACCCGACACAATGAACGAAGGCGTCAGATCCTTGGATAAGTAACATGGCGCCAAGTGGCTACTCATCGTCATTCCTCTCACGATTGAACCTGATGTCAAGTGTCAACGTAGCATTGCATGATGGCCAGTACCCCAGATTCGTCGGCTAAACGAACGCCGTCAAGTTTGTCAAAAATGGGGTACTATTGGCACCTTTCGGTGATTGTGTCTCCCGAGCTGGACGGAAAAGACCTCTATTCGTCATATCATGAACCGAGAACGTTTAGTCCAGAAAACTATGCGGGGTTACGGCAACAAACTAAAACCATTTGGTAGTAGTAACAACCCCAAGAAGGCCGGGGACAAGGTACAAGGGGTCTCAATGGCAACCCTCGTAAAACTCGGACTTCGACTCCACTTCGTCGGGTTCAGTCGAGGCTGATTCGAACGGCAGTAAATCGAGTGATGCATGATCATCATGTTTCCAACTTGACATTATCTTGGACGGGAGGGTGGCGGTTACAAGGGAGCAATACGTTGTGGTGTCGAGGTCGAGTTCTACAATACGTGGGAACGGCGTCGTCCTGTGCGATGTTTCATGGGTTACAACGAACCGAGATCGCCTGCACTGATCAAAACCTGGGGCGCAGCTACCTCCCCGCTTCCGAACCCCGGATTTTGAGGTTTGGGGGTCCACAGCGGAATGAATTGCGATAGCAGGTACATGACAGTTGTCTTGACGGTGCGTGGATTTTTCGGATTGGTGGAAAGGGGACAACATACTCCGATGCCCCTACATCAAGAGCTGGCACTGTTATTCAAGGCGCTGCTGACTCGCTAAAGAAGGGGAATGATACGTGGTCCGGTCGAGATTGATCCCGCGCTCTTAAGACAGGCCTGTAAGCCACGTCGACGGCCCACTTGTCCTCTTTTCCTAGGAACCATAGTGTCAAAAGTAGATTTCCCCTCAAGCCTTGATCGGATGAAGACGGACCAAAGATACCACTTTTATGCTTAAATACGCGCATCCCAAATAAGGCTTTTGCTAAACCCAGGTTGGTACAGCGTAATGGACTGTTGCAAAGACTATTATCATAGGAGAGGCGGGTGCTTAGTGCTTGTTTTTCTTCGGCCTAACTTAATCCGAAAATTGCTGATGTTTTCCCGCCCTCTGCTAATAATGAGATGGCGAGGGACTGATCGGCGTCGTATGATCCCGAGGCTCGGGTCAGTAAGTTGCGAGAGTGCGATGATTGCAAAGCGCCATTTTGGGTCCCCAGATTCTTCCCTCAGTTGATTGCGGGGTGAATACGGGAGGTCATGGCTACCTCAAACGTCACATATCTATTACGGATTCGAAGGTACAGACACCGTAGTTAGCCGACCTCGTCCTTTTTGGTTCTTCAGTCCTAAGCTAACGCATCGTTCGACACCTCCACTTGGTCATTTTTTGACACAAAGGCCATACGATACGAGTCCCCACTTCGGCAAGACCAGACGTCCCACCAGTTACCACTTGAGAACTCGCCCATTGATACCTCCAGCATCAGGAAACTGCCGATGCAGAAGTTCCCGCAAAACCTTTCCTCTGATGCAGTCACCGGAGAAAATGGCGTGAATGGGTAAAGATCTCTCAAAACCTTGGACATAGTGAAAGCTTTCAAGCTGAGTGCTTTTATCTGCTTCTTCGTCACCCGCTGCGCTACTGTAGACGATTATCAAATTGGTGCATATAATACTCGTTTACAGACTCGGGAGAAGAGCAGCCGTGTATCACTGGCTTCTCCTGCTTCACAGGGTCGTGTTACAATTCATTGATCAAAGCTGGAAAGTTTGGCTCGTCGCGATGCTCTTTGATGTATCGGTCCTGGGGGCCTCCAATCGACCATTCCGACTGATATAATTAAGGTCGCGATAGTCTAGGCTTGTGGCGACTTTCTTATGATATCCACAAAATGTTCGATGGCATTCAGCTATACTGGCGTCATCATGAACACCAAGTCGTTGCAAATTCAGTTACACACCTTACTACGTTATCAAGTCATTAAACATCAACAGTTTAAAGATTAGCTACCTTTCACACAGCCCTATAATAGATTTAACTAAATAGAGTATTCAATGTAAATAATTGAGGAAATGGAGAAAAATGATGGTTAAATATCTAGCTAGATTGAAGGGACAGATACTAAGGAATGGAAACGGGACCAATTAGCCAGGCTGACTCCTAGCTTCTCCATAATCGGGCCCTGTATAGAAAAGAGCCTAATAGCTTTAGAGTAGGCCCTTATTCTTTTCCTCCTCTATCATGCGCTGTGTGACTGTCTTAGTTTTATGGAATTGCCACGGGCGGACTTTTCTCTCAAATAACTCGTCGAGTTCGGCCGGAGATCGACTGTATAAATGGTTAGTCTCACGTTCTCGCCAAGAGGAATGGGCATCACATACTTGGACGTTTCCGGAATTAGGAACCACATAGCAGCAGTAAAAGGCAGGCCAACTCCAGCATAGAACCAACCGGTTTTAAGACCCCAGTTCCACTGGTTGGAATTGACCATGTAGGGAGTAAGCACGTTCATAATGATGCCAGCTACACATGTCGAGGCGGCGGCAAAACCAGCAGTGTATGGTCGTAGGCGCTGAGATGATATCTCACCGATAAAGCCCCAACCTGTTGCCGAGTTTGCCACAATCCCAACGTCTATAGAACCGCGTGTAAGCATCACGGTCGTTCATATATGGTGTAGGGGCGATGAGAAAACTTACTCCAAAGTACTGCAAAAAGGACCATAATGTAACTGGTGGCGTGCACCTTTGGGACAACACCGAGGATACCAATCACAACAGTTGAGAGCCAAGATAATGTGGTGCCGTTGCAAGATAACCTACGACGGCCCAACCTATCTGCGGTGAAGACTAGGACGAGTCCGGCTGCAACGTTAATTCCGGAGGTAATGCAAGTAATCTTGAAGGGGTTTGAAATGCCAGTTTGCTGGAAGAAGTAGCTGGCATATGTCCCAAAGAGGGTCAAGCCAATGAACTGTTGGGACATCAAAGTCCACAACGAGATCAGGGTCCGAAGCCCATCTATGCCTTGGAAAATAGCATACCACTTTTCGCGTCGCTGTTCCGCTGCAACAGTACGCTCGTGGTCCAGGCTTAGGCTGATTAACTGGAGCTGCTGATCAACGTCGTAGTCTTGGACGCCGTGGTTGAGATACCGAAGTGCTTTCTTAGCCTGGTCGTGCTTCCCCTTAGAGACGCACCATACAGGCGACTCAGGAATCACCAAGTACACCAATATCATGAGGCCAATTTGAGACCATTGAGTGTAGATTGGCGTGAGAAAGTCGTATGGATCACTGTGGGAGAGAACTTCCAAGGCGACTGGCGCCATGAAGAGGCCGATTGCGAGCCAAAGGCTATAGCACATGAGGAGAGCACCGCGAATCCGAACAGGCGCCACCTCAGTGACATATGTCGGGATCGTTGACTGCAAGCATCCAACACCAATTCCGGCCAGGAGCTTTGCAACCAGCCAAACTTCCCATCTGCGAGCCAAACTCTCGGCAAGGACGCTACAGGCCAGAATCAACCAATACCAGTACATGGCAACCTTTCGGCCGTAGCGATCGGAGACGAAAGATAGATGGATCATGCCGATAATCTGTCCAACGGACTGAATCGAGCTCCAGCCGGCAAGTATAGGAGAGGTCAGGTAGGGCTCGCCTTGGGCGTCGAACTTTGTGGCGAATTGTCTCACAAAGCCTGGGTTGGCGATGATATTGCCGTTAATGCTAGCAGCACAGTCAGCATCTTTGTAATTGCAAGGGAGGAGGAGAACCGCAAGGCAATTCCTCGTAAGACAAGGGACCTACCCAATCTGGTAGCCATCAGTGGCCGCGCTGAAGGTGACTGCAAAACAGATTGCAACGGTGACTTTGAAAGCCTTGACAGTTTCCCACCAAGTCAGACTCTCAAATCCAGAAACGCCTTGGCCTTGTGCAGCGGCGTCCAGAGCCAACTCTTCCGAGTTGATGCCGGGTTCATTGTCCGGCTGCGTGTGCTCATGCGCTGAAGCACCAGATTTTTGATCGATAGGATTGTGGCCCATTGTGGTGGTGTGATATCAAGGTCGATGTCACACGGTTGTTTCCGAATCTTGTGCAATTGCGAGAGAAGAAGGGAACACAAGCACGGGCATGTCTTTTATATACGTTGTTGACGCTGATGGCATCTGCTCGGCTTCAACCCCGTCCCCCTTGACCAGTGAGAGAGATGCGGAGAAAGCCAAGCAAAGAATGCTTTGATCCATGTCAACTTGTTCCGAACGCTTGCCACCCCAGCTGATCTTCGCCCACAGTTAATGCGGGGAGCGGGGGGCCACGGGGATAGTCCCTGGTCGTTCCCCACGCTGCATGGCACTATTGATGTAGTAATGCCAATGCCATGCTTCCGAACCCCTCATATCGGAGTTTCAATATCCGATGTCACCACAACGCGTCGGGGTAACCTAAGCCGCATCATTTCGGCCTCGGTATATCTTTCCGTGAAACTCGTTCGTTCAATGTCCACCATCCCACACCGACAGTGGAAGTCCGTTTGAGACCCCGAAGTCATGGGACCACACCTTGACCAAACATACTAAACCGGTTCGATCGATTATATGGTCTTCCCCTTTTGATCTCAACGTCCAGATGATCAACGCCTGCTGTTCCTGGCTTCCCTTCCATCTTCATCATGGCACCTCTCAAAGTTATCGATTTGCGGTTTGAGCACTACCGTTCTCAAGACACACTAGGAGTACACGAGACCACGCCTCGCCTCTCGTGGCGGTTCGAGAATGCACCTGATCAATTCGAGCAAGAAGAGTACGAGGTTCAGCTGAGCAAAATCTCATCAGATGTCGCGGCACACGACGTATGTTGCGTAAAGAAGACTTCTGCCGACACATATCTGGTCCCTTGGCCACATGACCAACCCATTCGATCGCGCGAGCGATACACAGCACGTGTCAGAGTCTTGGCAAAGGGGTTGATCGAACAGACGGCCTGGAGTGAGCATGCGACTATAGAGGCTGGCCTTCTTGAGAGAAAGGAGTGGAGCAGCAAGGTCATCTCGGCCCCGTGGGCAGAGGAGATAGACAAGCCTTTGCCAGAGGATCTATTCCGAAAGACATTCAACATCAACTCCAAAATTCAATCAGCAAGGCTCTACATCACCGCGCAAGGCCTTTATGAGGCCGAACTGAACGGCCGCCGAATCGGCAATTATTTCTTGGCTCCTGGCTGGTCTTCCTACGATGCACGGTTGACGTACCAGACTTACGACGTCACCCAACTCCTTTGTCCCGGTGATAATTGCCTCGGAGTCCGTGTTGCAGAGGGCTGGTTCAAAGGAAGAATAGGGTTTGATGGCGGAGAGCGAAATATTTGGGGCTCCCGCACGACTCTTCTCGCGCAGCTCGAAGTTGTACTACAGGACGGGACTGTACAGGTTATTGATACCGATGACACTTGGTCCGTGGCGGAAGGGCCTACTCGTCTTGCAGAAATCTATGACGGAGAGAAATATGACGCCACAGCCGAAATCTCCGGCTGGTCGAGCCCTGGTGATATTTCTGGCAAATGGGTGTGTGCCCATGTTCTGCCAATGATTGCAGAATCGGTTGAGCTCACTGCTGGGTATTCCGAGCCCGTACGTCGGATCGAAACTGTCAAGCCCGTTCAGCTCCTCACAACACCTTCGGGGAAGACTATCCTCGACTTTGGACAAAATCTAGTCGGTTATGTCCGTATCAAGGCCGTCAAAGGACCCCGAGGGGTTTTCGTAACTCTCACCCACGCCGAAGTCCTTGAGGAAAATGAGTTGGGAACACGGCCACTCCGGTTTTGCAAGGCCCAGGATATCTATACCCTCAAAGGTGACAAAGAGGCTGAGGCGTACGAACCTCGATTCACATTCCATGGCTTCCGATATGTGCAAATTGATGACTGGCCATCCACAGCCGGGAGCTTGCTCGAAGCTCTAGAGGCAGTTGTCTGCCATACGGACATGGAGGAACGAGGAACTTTCGCCTGTTCTCACGAGGGACTCAATAAGCTCTTCGGTAACGTTCGCTGGAGCACGAGAGGCAATTTCTTGTCCATCCCCACCGATTGCCCACAGCGTGATGAGCGCATGGGGTGGACCGGTGATCTCGCAGTGTTCTCTCCTACTGCAAACTATATATACGGTTGCTATTCTATCCTTCGAGACTGGCTCAAGGATTTGTGGTATGAGCAACAGCAAATGGGCGGCACACCACCAGTAGTTTCACCCAACAATCTCAAATCCAACACAACATGGGGGGAACCACATCCTTGCGCTATCTGGTGCGATGTCACAATCCTTGCTCCATGGGCTCTGTGGGAAGAAACAGCAGATCATGTCATCTTGTCACAGCAGTATGCTTCAATGCAAGCGTGGTTAGCTAGCATCCCCAAGAACAAGACAAGCATGTATTTATGGGACCCTGAGATGTTTCAGTTTGGTGTGAGTGACTGCCCGCGAACGGAGCGAAACCTGCCCGCTGACAATCAATAGGACTGGCTAGACCCGAATGCTCGTCCTGAAGAGCCTGTGAAGGCTACTACGGACCCAACGATGGTGGCCAACGCCTACTTAATCCATAGTCTCGATATTATCACCCTCGTTGCGGAGATATTAGGCAAAACCGAGGATGCCGCACGTTTCAAGTCAGAAGCTGCTGGCGCGCGTATCGCATTTGCTGCCGAGTATGTCTCCCCGAACGGCCGTCTCGTGTCGGATACACAGACTGCTTATGCCGTTAGCATCTGCTTCGACCTTCTTCAGCCACACCAGGTTGTGCATGCTGGCAATCGACTAGCTGCAATTTCTCGCCGTAATCAATTCCGGGTTGGTACTGGGTTCGCAGGCACGCCTTTTATCTGCGAAGCTCTCGTCAAGACTGGACATAGCGATATCGCTTACGCGATGCTTCTGACCGAATCCTGTCCGTCCTGGCTCTACCCCGTCACGATGGGTGCATCGACCATGTGGGAGCGATGGGATAGTATGTTGCCCGATGGATCAATTAATCCTGGAGAAATGACGAGCTTCAACCACTATGCATATGGCGCGATAGCTAAGTTCATGGTTCAGCGACTTGCAGGTCTTCAGCAGCTGGAGCCGGGCTGGAAGAGGACGAGGGTCCAACCTGAAATGGGTGGTGAATTGGCGTGGGCTACAGCGAAGCATTTGACGCCTTATGGTCTTGTTTCAAGCTCTTGGGTGTTGAAGCAGGAGAAGGGTGCCTTTAAACTTCATATTGATGTTGTTGTTCCGCCGACAACAATCATGGAGGTGATTCTCCCTAGTGCCTCCGGGCCAAGGACTGAGATTGTTGGGTCTGGGAAATGGTCATTTAGCACTCGATACGAGAGGCAATATCAGTGGCCAGTTCAAGCTATTTCGTTATGGCCATAGACAGAAGGGAAGAGAACAAGAGAGTACTCTGGTGTAAAAGGTCATTTGGAAGATCGTTGTGTACAGGGTGTGTGAAAATAGCAGTAGCTAGTACCCGGTCAAAGCCGACGAGATGCCCGGTGAACGCAGACTATATGTCCCGGACCTGAAATTAAGATGCTATAGGCAGCTTATCTATGTTAATAAGGCTCCCGGCACCTTGTGATTCGCTCTGCTCAGTCATGAAGTTCCAGAGCTTCTTTCTCTGATCTGTAAGCTCGGTGATCCTTACTTGAGCAATATCTGAGGGGCTATTCTGCTCCAACCACTGCACCATTTAACAGCCTATGAGGGGCGGATATCCCAGGCAACGTTGAAACAGCTCTGTGACCGGAGGCCTCTTACAGGGCATCATGTGGAAAAATGAAATCGCCGAGTTTTTTTGAGCGACGCCCTTTAAGAATGGATTTTCGGCTGCCTTAACCAAGGGGGAAGAGATCTCGACGGATTCAGCAGTTGACGTTGCACCACATCCCGTTACACTTTCACAGAGGCGGTGCAGCCTTACCGTCAGCAGCGGGTTACTTGGAGGGTACGTGAGGGTGTCAATTGAGCGCAGTGTCCCCGGAATGGTGGGAAGACTCTACCTTCATTGTCTGAGGCACCAGGCAACCCTATCTCGACCGCCTTATCTCGGTCACCTACCCAGAGAACGGACCCAGTGGAATGGAAGGGAGGGTTGGAGAATCTGGCCGGTCGACCAGATTGTCAGATTGCCATTCCTCAGTATTATGCTCACGGTGATAATGAGAAGATCTGCCTGTGCCTGGTCGGCAGTGGTAGCGGCACACGTCTGAAAAGGGCGCAGCCGTCTGTTTGTGGGGCAGCCTGGAACAAATCGGATTTGAGCCGGTACACAACCCAGTTACCAGATACCTTTCTTACACCTGAGCTAACACAGAAAGTTCGGTATCTATTAAATCAATAGAAGTCCTCAGCTATCATTTACAGTCAAAGAGATAGTACCCTTATCCTTGGCGAAATACACCGGTGTCTCTTTTAAGACCGCCTCCTTGCTAGCGAGCCGTTGATCAATTTCGCGAGCAGTCAGCGCGGTGTTCGCCTGCGTCCTTGCCAGCACTGCCTCTACCTCTCTGATAAGAGCAATTACTACGGACTGTCCAGTCATAGGGCCGCCTGGTGTCTTGTAACCCTTGGGACATGCGGCGAACAGCTCGACATTAGGAGGGATCACAAAGAATCCGCCGCCTCTGGCAGCTTATTATCCGGCAAAATACCAGTCGAGCAGAAGCAGAATGTCCGCGTCGGCCTTTTCTAGACGAGGTTGGATGTCTAACTGGCAAAGGCTTGAAATATCCTTATAATGACTAGCCCACACGCACCTGGCATCTTTACGTGTGGCGTCAACAGAAATGTGATTATCTCCGTGCCTACCGTAGTGCATTACTCCGAGGGAAAGCTTCATTGCACGAAGTAGAGCCATTAATCAAGCAACCGTTTCTCCAGAGCCAAGTCGCCTTTTATCATTTGGATGCTAAAGTTATCAACTTGGAAGTGAAACTGATCCCAGAAAAGCCTGGCTAATAGATCTTCCTCTTCAGAGACGCGCGGTAGATCGCTTTCCTGCCCGCGCAACGAGAGCACGTACGGTTGGCCATATTCGCCGTCTCCGTTCGGACGATGAAAGTCTGTTATTGGCCTTCGGTTGTGTGGGCGGAAAATCCGACATGGAAACCAGACTAGGGGTGTACTCAGAGTAGTGGTTGGATAAATGTTGATTGCCTACGTAGCTTCAAGGACGATAAGCCAGACTGTCCAAAACGATCCTTGTAAGTTCGTGATTTTGTGGCTTGCCCCTAGTCAGTAAATGATACTACGGGGGGGGAGGGGGGCCCTCAAAAGCGGCATCCGTGTGTGACTCGTTTGTTTGAGGAACGAGTCCAAGGGGGGCCATTTTTGAGGCCCCCTAGTACCCCTGATGACCTCGCCCCCACCAGCTGCATCATGCATGTATCCCCATGCGGGCTTCGTGGCTTTACTATGAGTGGTAATGCGAGCAGTCAGCCCCGAAACTCGAAAGAGCAGACTTCCATTCCAGGCCACCATGATTTCTTACGCCGCCTCAAGGTCCGACTCCTGGATCTCTGCACTCCAATTATTCGTGTATGAAATACTTTATAACCAAACAAAGATAGCATACTTATGTTAGGCTGGTAACCCGGCTTTTAAGAAGGTGCCAAATATCAGCTATATATATTCATGCACACATCCCCCAGCATCAACTAGCACTTCCATCTTGCTGCTGTCAATACCTACATCTTCTACTTAATTATGCGTCTGGTGCATATTGGATCGTCGACTAGGTCAGTGGTACACACTGCGGGTAATACCCCCTCTTCACCATCGAATGCTCAAAGTGCCATTTTGGGAATGGACAACAGTGACCTCGGCGGGTAGTTGAGAGAAGTCAATAGCGACTACTGGGGTACGAGCCTCATCAATATTGAGAATTTGGCCCTGTACGTATTGGCCGTAGGTGATGTACCAAATATTAGATGGCGTGATCTGGCAGCTGGTACTAGGCGCAGGAGTCATGGTGGCAGCGGCAACGGGCTGGCCGCCGATACTCTTTCCCAAGCCAAAAACCCAATTGTCTGAACAAACGCTCGCGTTAGAACCTATGCTGACCGTACGACCGGAAAACTCAACTTACCTTCCAGGGCGTTTTGGACAGTGAAGTTGAAGGGAGTATCGACGCAAAAAGCGCCTTCACCACCAAGCGGTGCATCCTCACCAGTGAACTTGAACAGCGACTGAAAGATTCCCGTCGTGAGGGTGGTACCTTTCTGCTCCTCTCCCGTGGTGCTCAGGCCACCAAGAATGACCTTTTCAAAATCAGACGTATTGACGGTCGCGCCGTCGGTGCCAGGTGTCTTGGTGGAAGATCCAACAAAGCCGTAAGCCTCGTCATCGAGGGTAAAGAGGACAGTGTCTTCGCGTTCTAGAGAAATGACAGATAGAACATTGCTCCACACCCCCGTGGTAACAGTTGGGGTCACGGACGGAACTTGGTTGAGGAGGGCATACTGCTGGGGGGCGTTAGACTCGTTTATGACAAAGATTTGGTATGTTCTAGCCATGGCGATAGGATGTTGAGAAGAAGAGAGAAATGATCCCGCTATTAATAGAGGATACAACGTGGGAGATGTCTTTGATGCTAATATATAGCTAATGTCCGTGAGTCTCAACTTGCCTTCTTGGCTAAAGTGGCGATCATGTCACACTTAAAGCTGCGAACTTTGAACTCTCAGCTTCAGGTGAAGGGAGAAATAGTCATGGAGGGTTTCTTCGGTATCTGAGCATGAGAAATCAGCAACAATGAAACAGAACGCCCGCCTAGCCATCTAGGTATGTAGCCCTCAATTTCAACAGCTCTAGTCGCTCACTCTTCTTTCAGCTCAGACTCTCAAATTGGAGGTTCAGCTAGCCACAATCCATTTGGGGCGCTGACTTAGTTTACTGCTGTTGAAGCATGCGCTACCGCTGATCACGAATGTATTGGATTTTTAATGCCATCCACTTGGGCCCATATATTCCGACCGGTGCGTATTCAGTCATCCCTTACGTCTGTTTTGTGTAGTATGCGTTGTCTAGATACCCTTTATGGGAAGGCTGTGCCGTAGGTCTTGACGGAAACGGCGCTCTTGTGGAACTAAGGGATATAGTCTCGAGGAGCTGCATTGGACTTCACTAAGCTGCAAGGTATGTTGTTCCTTACCATCTTTGGAAGGCATGTCGCATCCCGCCATCGAATGTTACTGATTAGCATCCCTAGGTGCTGACATGGCGGTGTGATAAGGGTGGAATAATTGAAGCCAACCACCGTACACCTGTGAATTAGTTCTGCCACAACCTTCAGGAATTAGGGCCCAGACAGAATTCGCTCAGCGTGATGCAGTTGTCAGCTCATGCAGGGGGCAGGAACCCATAACCACAGGTTTGCTGTCCACCTAGGTATTCAATAGTACACCGAAAGACTATGCCAAGTTCGGGCTGGTAGCGCGGTCTAGACCGTCATAAAGTCTGATGACGCTTTGCGAGACCCCTGTTTGTGTCTCACATCAGCTAGCTGGTAGAATAGTTGGCTGCACCGCTAGCTTGCCTCGAACCCCAGTGCAGTCAGGAATGCGAATGTGTCCGGGGTGACCGAAAGAATAACCTTCTAGCCCAGGAGCCTCGACCTCCGAGGTGCCGTACCCACATTCCTGTGATCAAATCCCCACTCGCTTTTCAATAGTCTATTAAAGGAATTACAGTAGTTTATGTTGTTGTCTTTCCTACCTGATCGGCCAGTGTTGTCAAGTTCGGTGATGAGCGGAGGTCTGAGCGCGGCCAGATGCAAAGCCATACCATGAGAGAATTGCGACAAAATTAAGAGTAGAAAGTACATAGGTTATGTCTTACTACATACCCATGTAATTCGGGGAAGTTCGCCGTGTAAGCGCTTCACCTATGAGACTGAGGCACTTAGGTCCGCCACTAATGATAATGAACCCATTTCCAAACTGATCGGAAGCTTTCAACAGCACCAGTCCGATCCTGCAATCCATCAACTCCTAACGAGACGATCTTTCTGGGGCCCCTTAGAGATACGAGATGCTGTTTTCATCTTCAGTGGGATTCATCCTTTGCGTATATAGATGATGCGCTTCGCCTTCATGCTCCCTTGCCGAGATGAGGCCGTGGAACCCCGGCTTAACTGAGATGTTTAAGCGATCTATAGATTAAAGTGTAACAATATAATTATGGGTGCAATATCTGAAGGTCGTGCCATAAATTTGGCAGCCTTTGTGATAGATTGTTGTCCTGAAGCTGATATTCTGGGTCTTGACCGTATTAAGGCGTCAGCATTAAATAAAATAGAGCTGACTAGACAAAGAAAGCATACAATAGCAGTACAAGTAGGAGGTAAACAGTTTTACATAAAGAAGCAACTTTTATATACGAATACCACTGTAAAGTGCTGGGCTCTAAAATAAATAAGTATTAATACTATCGCAAAAGCTCGATCTAACAATAAAACGTTCTCGGCGTGTGCACTTATTTCCTATTTAGGGCCAGATCAATGATTTGTTCCATGCACGTGGTTAGCAGCAGGCAATCTGTATTAGTGCTGTCGGCTTGATTCACATTCGAAGTCGTTTACTCTGACTCTTATGGTAAAATGGAGATTCAATTTATGGAATTCTGAGTCATGTTGTCTAAAAGAACTCCATCTAGCCTGTCTCATATCCTCTATCACAAATCGCACAACGATCGAGTCACGTCCTGCATGTTTGCGTGAGGGTACTATTCTGCCTTCTCTAAAAGAAAAATGAGTCTGACGTTCCACGATACAGCAAAGCCAGGATGGATACTTACCAAGAATCCAGGTAATTTGAGCGTTGTCACCGCCGCCGCCAACCGGGGTTGATGTGTAGTTTGCCGGGGCTGACTGGTTGTAGACATCTTTACCCTCGTTGGGATTGGTGAAATTGAAAGTGAAGGGGCCGGCAGCGCTGTTGTAGGTAAACTTGCCCGTATCGCCGTTATTGGTAACATCAGAAACAGCTAGAAAGCTTGCTGATTGAGTATCGGGAATCGTTGACGGCGGAGAAGTTTGCCAGAGGCCAGGCGAGAGTGACTCAGTAGCAAGGTCGAGCTCCAAGCCAGTGTTGTTCTGGATGAAGATTTGAGTGGAGCGGGGATTCGACATGATGGAAGTGGGTTGATAAGTATTGGATAATTTGGTGTGTTGTGGTGTATTGGGCTTGAGACTGGGATGAGTCGAAGTGACCAACAAATGGCCGGTAGCGGTGGCCCTTTTTATATCCGTCCGGTGATGATCGACATGGCACAGGATTGCTGATTCCCTACACTCAGACGACTAATATCATAAACATTATCCACTAGTAAGGCTTACAGTAGAGTGAAGATCTTGCTTGATGTGAGCCCAGACTGAGTCCATCTGCCTAGAGACGCTGTTTGTCCCTTGCCTAGAAGTTAGTGAAAATGCATAAAAATCTTACGAGTTGCATGCCAGTTGCGAAGTGGCGTCGCGAGGACCGGTCTGGGCGGGCATGGTGGGTCACGACAGCAAAGCATCTAGCTGCTACTAAAGTTGTACATTTTCAGCTCGTACTCTTGCTCACTGTTCTGATTACGATACCTTGCCGGCCGAAATAATGAATTGATCACGTTAGAGCTAAGGTGTGATCATAGTGCATCATGACAAATAGTTATCACAAGGTTGAGACAGTTGTTCTAGCTTTAGTACGGTTATGCTCTCCACTAATCCCTAGGATTGTGATGGTCTGGACCAGAAATCCAGTTGGTCTGGAACCTCTTCAGCCAGCCACAATTAATTGCCTAACCCAGACAATCTCGTTCAGCTGCACGCATTGGCACTTACTTATGCATGGCGATCCGGATCCATACTCGGCCAATCCCTGCCGGTTGGCAATGTAGGGTATGCTGCTACCAACCTCGCCCACTGTTGGTGGACCACCCGATTTCGGACCTGCGTTCCGAGTAGGTCGTACAAGACTGCTGGAGAAGGCGCAGGCTTGTTCCGCCCAGATTTGATGGAGCGTAAGCTCGACGGATTAAAAGGTGTATGGCTAACCCGAGGCCAAACCGGTGGACCGCTCAACCTCACCTCGAAGAAGGTACCGTGGGGATTAAAGTAGGCAACTGTCCTATCCTGTTTAATGGCGATGGTACCTATTGTGTCTGGCATACTAAATCCGGCATTGATACCGTATTCTTCCTAAAAATCCGGCTTCCAATGACATTGAAGATGGCTGTGGGGATGTGAAGGATATTCCGTAGTCTTGGGATGCTATAGGCTCGCAGACCGGTAGCCCTCAGACTTCGCTTGACCGGAAGTTCGACCGTGCCGATTCACACAACTTGTGCTTGGTACTCAAATATCATGGAGCCGACGGTGGAGTTGAGAGGTGTGTAGCAGGCGCCGAACCACAACCGATCCTTGGCGGCACCAATATTGTAGAATAACTAACTTGATTTATAATATAGAGTATAAATGGTATTTTATTAAAGTTGAAAAGATAATGTACTTAATCTTTTCAATCCTGTCACTTAATGTAGCTCTATTTTCAAGTCTACACTATCAAAATTATAGGTCTATATTTTACATCTTTAATAACAGTACTGTAAACTACACCTTTAAAATAGTAGCTAGTTCCGCAAAATTAGGCTCACCTAGTCCAGTAGCTGCATCCCAGCCAGCAAGTGCTTCCCAACCAGTTTCAAAAAAGTTCCCGTCTGCGCATCCTACCGAATTGCTCCCGTCTTTGACATCCCGGAAGGCTGAATTAGCCTTGGCCGAGTACAGTATAGGATTCAAAAATCCCAAGACAGGTTTCTTCTCCCGAAGGCGCATGTCGTTGATAAGAGCAACCATAGCTGCAAATACTGGCGCAGATGCGCTCGTGCCATCGTGGATGCTGGCCTGGCCTCCAGTGAGAGTCAGATAATCATCGCCAAGAAGACTCACGTCTGGCTGTGCACGACCAGTGGTGTTGTAATAACCCTTGTGCTTTCCCTTCAAGGCTTTAATATACCCAGCCACAGCCTTGTCTTGCCAGGAGGGACGTTTGAAGACATTTGACATACCTCCAGAGCTGAAAGATGCCACACCGCCATAGTCTGCGGTAGCGCCCACAGATGTCATCCACGGGCAGCTCGATGGGAAGGTCGGGACGAAAAGTCGTTTCTTGCCCGATACTCCTAGGCATGTGCTATCTCCGCCCGCGCCGGCTGCTCCTCCATCTCCCGAAGATCCAACGATGGAAATACCTCGTGCAGCAGCCTTTGCGAACAGATCGCAAACACGTCTCGCGTAGGCGATTGGAACATTCTTCTCGTCGTCGTTGTAAGAGATGGAAATGACTTTGGGCGGGTTCTTCAAAGCAAGCACATACTCGAAAAATTCGGCATATGGTTCGTTGTCGTCCGGCGTGATGTGCGTGCTGGGCTTTTGACCGACCTTGGGTGCATGCCCGCCTACTGAGTAAAAGCTGACGGGTAGTGGACCGGTGAAAGCCATTGAGTAATCCAGGTCAAGTTCGGCCTCGACAGTGAGGGAGCCTCCGTCTGCTGGAGGCTTTAGAGTACCCTTGTTGACAGAGACGACGTTGATGGCAGGGATGGACTTTGGATTCTTCTTGTCGTATTTTGATAAGAAGGCTTTAACATCCGTGACGTTGGGAAAGTTGTTCAGGAATCCTGCGATGGCGATCGTGCTGCCTGACTTACCGTCAGGGGGACCGTAATTGATGTTGTACTTTGTTCGCAGTTGAGCTGGACAAACGCTGTTTGAGCAGTTGCTGGGTCCGGTGGGTATGTGCTGTCTCTTGAGCACTTTTGCGGGATTGGTCGATAATCGAAAAAATTGCACCGTGGGATAAATGTAGTCGATTGCTTCTTTTTGCGTGGCTGGGACACTGTACTCAGTAGTACGAACCACAGTACGGCCAGTAGCCCTGTGTCGAAATTGGAGAAACGTAGTATTTAGGACGCGATCCCAGTCAGCAACTGCTGCTGTGACGTCGATTCGTTCGGGGTTTGTGGTATGGTTGGATAAACCCTCGTCTTCAAGCCAGCGTGTCACTTTGCTGGAAGCAAGGCTCATGTCGGGCAAGATGCTTCGCAGCTCATGTGCGTCCAAGTACTGGCCGTACTGCTCAGAATCGGGGTTCGAGACCTCCTCGGCCACTTTGAGATATGGCTTGTCTAGCTCCGCGAGATAGAATCTCAGTGACAGGAGTTGATCTTGCGGTGCAGCTCCCAGCCGCACATAGTCGCCAGGTACTTCTTGAAGAAATTCGTGGGGAGATGCATGGCAGACTGGTGAGAGGAGCCAAGACCAGACTAGGTAGCTGCGTCGCATGGTGAGATGGGGTTTAGAGATGCGCAGATGAAATGACAAGAATACTACAATCTGGTGACGGGGGTGGCCACCGAGAAAGAGCGCGCAGTGGTTATAACAGCTTCAAACAGCTGTTACGGAGGCTGGAAACGATGATGGAATGAGGAAAGGGTACGGATAGTGTTAGTTTTGTTCGCCATCACAGGGCAGCTGGTGGAAGTCAGTGTGGAAACAAGGGCATCAGCTGGTCTAGATCAAATGATTTTCGAAGGTCCAGAGCTTCGGACCATCTATTTTCGGCTTGTGATGGTGACGGCATTCGCCGAATCGGGTTTTCCGTCAACTAGTCTCTTGTTCGCTTGCAAGTACTTTTGCTAAACTCTATATCACATCTCGTATTCCTTCCCAACACGACTGCTGCTGCAATACGGAATGGTCTGTCTACAAGTTAAGAGATGAAACGTGTGACTACCCCTTAGTTCAGGGTCTATGAATCGGAATGGCCGATGATCTACCACATGCTACGCAGTTTACAGGCTCCAAAAGGAAAGAAAATCCCAAATATCGCTGATCAGAAACCTAATTAGAAATGAATGACGAGAACGTTGGCGCGCTTTTTGGCCCCCTAAACTTCTAAAGCTATTTATTGTTCTAGCCTGGCCCATGACGACAATGGACTAGTGTACATCCTTCAGGGGTATGAGGTATTCATGCGACCGAGCTTTAACTCGGGACTCGGCACTGCAAAGAATCCACAAGCCGGGGGAACTCTTTTTGATTCGACAGAAATGGTATCGTACACAGGCTCTCCTATACGAGGCAGGGGTGGCACTGACTAGGATAGCAGGCTCTCTCGTATTAAGAATGTGCATCCTAGATTCGAAGTGACCTGTTCCGTATTTAATTATCATGGACGCTTTATGGCATGGTAACCAAATCCTTCACAATCTCCCGCCGTCTCTTAAATACGATATACTTCTGTACCTGTTCTGGACGAGATTTCATCTACACCACATAGACTGTGCTCATTTTCATCCACAGCTATGTTGCTTCCAGGCATACTCCTTTCAGCGGCATTGGGGCAAGGTGCAGCAGCAGCTGTTGCTGCACCACAGTCGCAACCCCCTACCATGCCTATATCATACAGCTATGGTGGCTATCCTCGGTGAGTTGTGTGGTTCTCCGACATGGCTGCAACATGCAATCCCGAGTACAGCAAAGAAGCTAATACCCAGTGTGCAGCATACAAGCCGACATCAAATGGGGTACACCAGAACAGTCCTCGGTCCCCACCATCTTCGACACTGGTTCTCCCGGTTTCTGGGTCTTTGGGCCCAAGTCCATCATCAATGATGGCAGCACGGCGCACTACGTGCAAGGTCCTTGCAACAAGACGGTCAAAACATTCTACAATTGGCCCAAGTCAACTTCTCACTCCAAAGGAGGAGCCGTCAAGCCCAAAGGCGGAACTCTTGGCTATGCCTACGGCGGGAATGGCAAGCTTATAGCGGCTCCTGCCATCATCAATGACACGTTTGGGTTTTCCAACGCACGCTTTCCCAAGCTGACCAACAACCAAGTGGGATTGGCAAACTATGCGCAAATCGCCCAAGGCGACGACCATTGCAAGATCCCGGAGTCCGACTTTGACCACAGCATTCTCGGGCTCGCACCACTTCCCAAGACGGGCTTTGCTGGTCCCTCTTTCCGGGACAACTTACGCCACACCAAGAAAACGCAGTCCTCCTCTCTTACCATGTGGTTTGATAAACAACCCAAATCTATCAAGTCCTCATACTCAGGCGCAGCTGTTTTTGGTGGCGTTCCTGCCCAGAAGAAATATACCGGCGAGCTTGTACGCATCAAGCAGGACTACCCCACTGACACCTACATCGGCTACTATGCGGCGCTGCCGGAGATGACTGCTACGTCTATCCGCAAGCCGGGTAAGCCTGTCAAGATTGGTCTGACCGATTCTTCGGTTAAGCGTTGTCTCCTTGATTCAGGAACGGGCGAAGACAGAATTCCCTTTAGCAATGAGCAGATCATCAAGGCAACGGGGTTGATTCAATTGAACAATCCATCGGTACTGGGCTGGAACGGGACTTGCGAGTCCATCCCACACACTGCAACCCTCAACTTTACCTTTGCAGGCACCACCGCAGGCAAGAAGGTCACCGTGGCTGTTCCAATTCGCAGCTACGCTCGCGGCGAATACGACGGCATCGATGGCTATGACGCTTCCAAGTACTGTGCCCTGAGTCTTTCAGCAGACGAATACGGAGACTGTACCTTTGGTGCTCCCTTCTTCACAGCAGTTTACGCTGTCTTCCACGATGACAAGAAGCAGATCGCGCTTGCTCAGGGCGGTGTTTCTACCGGTACTGCTGATGGCTTGTCTGGCATTGGCTCGCTTGCTTCTATTCTTCCGGGGTTAAATATCCCAAACTCGGTTTAGATTGTTAGCTTTATATAGTGAATTAATATATAGTCTCTGCCTTTGGATAAAAACGGCTGCCATATTCTCTTGTTTTTTTTGAGCGACCCCTTGTCAAGCAATAAGCAGTCGGCAGGTCTGTCGTTGCGGCCTCATCTTCTGCCAACAAAAGAACAGCCCTACTTAGAATAAAAACCACGGCCATCCAATTCAATAGAAGCGTCTTCTGTCCATCGTAACTTTAGCGGGCGGGCCCGGATTCATGCCCGGTTCCGTGTTCCCTCCCTCCCGGAGACGCCACTGCCTGCGCCCTGAAGCTGTCGGGTTTAGCGGGTCGATCGATTGGAACCGCTAAACTATGGCGTCCTACCGGCCTGGAAACATTCTATCACCGGCACGGAAAGACGAGGTGCCGGCACTAATATTGAACGCCAACCGGCACCGGTTCTTCCCCGCCCGGCTTCACAATCTTCTTCCCTCCTTATGGCCAGAGTCGGCGGCACAATTCCATGACGAGACTTGCATAATCCCACTGAAAATCACTCAATAGTCCCGCAGCGGAACGACCCGGCAGGCCTTGACCGAGATGCAGCAGCAATCCGCGCCACGGCCTAATTCCGATGGGCAGCTAATCCCCAGCCGCGACCTGCCATCCCGGCCCGGACCCGAGATGACTATAGCGGGTGGAAGAACAAGGCGGGCAACAAGGGCGTATGTGTTTGAAGCAACCAAGACTGGCCCGCTACCGTCTAAGGCTGACCATCCAAAGGTGTGACAACTGTCGACGACTCAAGGAAAAGTGCAACGGCGGCACTCCCTGCGACAGATGCAACAAGTCGGGTCGCCAGTGCCTCTTCACCAACACCTTTAGGAGAACTAGGAACCCGCGTCTTGCCGGCGAGCAGCTGCAGTCTCGTGCCTCGCCTGTCGTTGACTCTGTCGACCCGAACAAGTTTTTCGAAGTCGAGAGAATCCGCTTGTTGGAAACCATCGCCCAGCATTTCACGGGCATCGAGCGGTGTACCAAGTCTAATCTGCAGGAAGTGGTGGCCACCTTGCAGTCGGAAGACAGCCCGTCTCCGTCACATGCCCCCGAATCAGCTGGTCTCGACGAACACAATACAATCGAAGACTGTGCTGTAGAAAGCCAGGGTCAACTAACCTTGCCTGGTAAGAGTACCGCCCGTTGCACACCCTGCATCTGCGCTTACAACAATTTCCAAGTGTACGAGCAGTTTTCTCATTCAGACTTTTCCCGACGCGTCCAGCAGACAATGGAGACTCGGTCGGAGGGACACCAAAGTGCAAGTAGCGGAAACCAAAAGACCTACGAGCTGACGACGCTAACACCGCCTTCATATAGGGAACGGCATCAGGGGTGGTGCCTGCCGAGCAGCTTCTCTCACGAGATTACCTCGTCCAAGAGGCCGCATCTCTATTCCCTCTGCCCGACGTCGCCATCTTGCTACTCGATGTCTTCTTCAACTTTGCCCAGACCAACTATTTCTATGTCGACGAAGATACACTACGGCACCAATTATCCGAGTTCTATAGGCCGTCCCGACCACTGACTATCACAGAGGCCCCCTGGGTCTGTACCGCCCTCATGGTCTTTGCAGTCGGCACCCAGTTTGCCCATCTCGCCCCTAGTCCTCGCACACGAGTAGACGGCGACGTCATAACCATGAGTTCCGCCATCGATGACACACTTGCACTCGCATTTTATCGGAAGGCAGCCAGCCTTGTTCCAGATGTCCTCACCATCGGCTCCCTACAAAGTGTGCAGGCGTTTGGCCTCCTTGGGATCTATGCGCTTCCCCTGGACCCTGCAGGGCTGTCCTGCACGTATTTTGGCATTGCGGTGAAGCTAGCTACACACAACGGAATGCACAAGAAAACCTACAATAGCTTCACTACCAGAGATGCGGAGGTGCGAAACAGGATATGGTGGACTGTGTGCACCTTAGAGAGGTGCGCTACCTTTGCTTTATCATGCCTTTAATGCAGGCAATCGCTCACAGCCGACAGGCGTATTTCCATCCTACACGGAAGGCCAGCATCGATATCGAGATGCGATGTTGACGCGGCCTTGCCAGTTGACCTGGTCGACTTACAACCGCGGGAACGGATAGATACATTTCAAAATGTAATGGCGCAGAGAGAGATCACAGAGCTTATGGAAGATGCGCGTGACGCAATGTAAGGATGAGGACCACCCCCGGATGGCACGAACTTCGGGACTCACTGATACTAGATTGGCCCTGAAAAAGGCGGATAGAGCAAAACTTCCAGTCATGGCACAAAATCTGCTCATAGTCAAGCAACACCTGCAAACTTGGTGGAATACCCTTCCCAAAGAGACTTACTGCAGGGATTTGAGCCCAGGAAAGCCGCTATTTCGCTCAAACATCCATATCGCCCTAACGTACCATCTCGTTCACATCTTCATCGGCAGATCATTCATCTTTGACGAAGCGGATCCAAATCCCGGGGCCCCTGCGGCATATGAATGGAAGATTGTGCGCGATGATTTGATTGCTGATTGCGTCAAGAGTGCCGCAGCTTCCATCGAGCTCTGTCAGGTGCTACAAGACGACTTCGGTCTGTCTAAGTCGTCTTATACCGAGTTCACCTCCTGCTGCGCCGCCGTCTTCGCGTTGGTGGCAAGACAAATCTTCACAAAAGACCAGGTCCTAAAAGACCTCTGCAACCAAGGGCTGACCCTGCTAAAGATCATGTCCAGTGGAGTTTTTGCAAAGAGCTGTGAGAGGCGCGGCTTGGATATACTGGAGATGGCCCTTTACAAGTTAGATGGGAGCCACCAGCAAACCTCGTTATTACACGGGACCGGCTATACGGAGTTTCGAAATTGGGTGGCGATGCAGCAAGTTGTGCCCGGTGAGGCGCCGCGGCAGGATCAAGCTCTGTTACCAGATGATTGGGCCTCTGGCAATGTCTCGAATCCGGGGATGGCGGCACCTCAAGGGAGAATGAGCAATGCATCCGAGTTTCTCTCGTCAACGTTGGCAGACTTGAGTTATTTGCCGGAGCTGGAAGAATGGGTGCAGCATTCCGTGGCATAATCTATGTGTGGTCATTTCCCTCCCAGTTTTGTCCTGCTTGAGGTGCTTGACTTGCTTTTCTTATCTTAATGTCTCTAGAGTGATGTTGAGGCAGTATAAGGCTGACTTTTACACCATACTCTAGCCAAGGAGTAAGAATAACACCAGTGGCTCTAGGGGCTAGACAGAGCTCTCTGTAGCCTGACTCTCACATCCTTACATAGGCTACCGTACTCCTACACCTTAAACAGACTAGAGGAGGAGAGGCGAAGGCTTTTGCTCGAGTATTTTTATCCCCATTGGCATTTGAAGCGGGATGTAGGTCAGCTACAATCTGTATTAGAACCAAGGCGAGCTGTAAATCAACTTGCTGTAAGATACACTCAGCCGGCGACGAGCACCAAGCGTGAACCTCCAAATTCGAGATGGATAAACCTACTAAGATAGCTCCAACTACATACAGCAGATGCTATGCAATTGGCTATAATATATCCTCAAGGGACTGTCTGCTGAAGTTTAAGAATTTGCCTGCAGGTATAAAGTAAGTGTCAGACCCTGTTCTGCAGTTGGACGAAGTTCTAGAAATAGCAATAGTTCTTATTTTAACTGATTTGGCTGAGAGCACTTCGGTTACATGGCATTTTAAAATACTTTAACAGAAAACGCGCCCAGGCGCCAGTGTATCAGTCGCCCGCACTGACCGCTCCATCTGACAAATGGTGTCGTCTAGTGATTAGCAAACTAAAAGGTAAAGAACACTTAGTCGTATATTCTAGAAGCGAAGGTGGTTCTACACCGGCAACTATTGTGCCGGTGGTGTTTGGATCGAACATTTTCCGGGCCGAACCCGCAATGCGTAACTGGTTAGTCTTTAAAAGGGCGCGCGGATGAGTGCACTAAAATATGCAACCTTAAAAGTCAATGAATTGTCACCGTCCTGATGTTCTCCGTTCCACCCTGAGCATGGAACAAAACACCAGAATGGCAGAGTCTCGGCCTTTAGGTAAGCTACCCTTGCCATAATCACGAAATGACGACGAAGCTTATGTCCCGAAGGGCCCTTGGAGAAATACTCCTTATGCAGAAGCCAGTTGCATATTTACCGCAACGTCTGTGTAACGGCCAGCTATCTCACCAACAACGACGAAGAGCTGATCCCGGCGCTGTTCCGCGCGCTTGCTATCGTGGTTGAAGAACACCCAATTCTATCCGCAACACTAGTGGACGCCGACAAAAACCCCCGATTTGTTCGTCTCGACAGTGTCGATCTTGAAAGAATTGTCACCTTCCTCGACTATGCGGACAAGGTCCCTGTACCCGGAGATGCTTCTCTGGATGTAATTCTGGAGCGCCAGCACAATGTTTCGTTCAAATATGACGAGCCAACAAGTGTGCTCTGGAGATTGGCCGTGCTTTACAGCTTGAAGGACCGTAGCGAGTTTACCGTGTGCCTTTGTTTCCATCATTCAATTATGGATACGAAAAGCGCACTTGTATTTCACCATCATCTCGAGGCCGCGCTATACTCTCCGTCCACGAACGGCTGCACCACCATTGTTGAATCCTCCAAGAAGCCACTCCTACCGCCTATGGAAGCTGTATTTCAACCAAAACTGTCGTGCGGGGTCCTTCGCAATCTGCAAAACCCCGACCAGCCACCCGAGGCAGCCTGGAGCGGAGCAGTACAGACAACGCCGGTTCATACACGGTTTTCATCGTTGGTGCTCAGTCCAGCACTCATCGCCGGCTTGAAGCGCCAGTGCGACTTGCACAGCGTCTCCTTGACCGCGCTGTTGATGTCGATCACAGCAAACGCTCTTTTCCATGTCCTTCCCTCGGAATACACTTTTCTCTGGGGAGACTGCGCAGTGTCATTGCGTCCATTTTTGTCCTCTTCAATTACCGAAAGGTCACTTGGGTGCTACGTTGGTTCATTCAGTGAGAGGTTCGAAAGATTCAATGTGTCAATCTGGGATGATTCAAAACGGACCAAGTCAACCATTGACAATCTGAGAAAGACAAACGGTAAAGATATGCCGGTCACTTTTCTACAAGAAGTCTCTGATATGTGCGATATGAGAGAGTGGTTGTCTGAAAAGATGGGAAAGAGGCGATGGGCCGCCTGGGAATTGAGCAATGTCGGAACACTTGCACAGGCGGGGGCGCCAGAGAGAGCCAAGTGCCAAATTAAGACCTTGCTGTTTAGCCAAAGTGCTAGTGCATGCTCTGGCGCAATCAAGATCAGTGTTGCGACGGGGCGAGATCAGAGGATGACGCTTGGATTTTCGTGGCAAGAGGACGTGGTTGAGAAACCTATTGTTGCCGAGCTTATCCAAGAGATGAATAGGCTTGTCATACAAACAGCAAACAAGTGCTGAGATCTTATGTATGTTCAATCAATGGTACCACCTGATCAGCTAGAGCGGTCACCCCTGGAATCGCAACTTCCTATTGAATATCCTCTTACATCTTTGATCAATTTATGTCGGGGTTGTCGTGATTCGTCCAACATTAAATATCCAGCCAGGAGATCCGAGAACGTACAGATTTTAAGATAATGAAAGAATAGAATGCGAAGTCGTTGCGTTGATAAACTTGTAGATATCAATGTAGCTAATACACACCAGTAAACACTGAGGCAATATGGGTGAAGATACAGCATGTGAGACCATGCGTGCATTTACAATTGCAAACCACCGAGGTATTATCAAAGACTGATAGTTTAATAAAGGGCAGGAGTAGTTCAAATTGTTGTAGCTACATACTCCAAGGTCAATGATAAATCATGATTTGACTTTATTCCCATCCCGAATTCAAACATCCTCGCCATGTCTCTTCTGTCCAGCGAGTTCTTGCTCCAGTGCATCAGCCATGTCGCCCAACGTATCGAATTTCCAGTCATAGACAACATCGCTTTGGTTTCCCATGACAGCACCAGGCCGTTCAATCCAACTCGACTTGATGCCCATCTTCTTGGCCGGATGATGATCGTGGAACTGGCTCTGCGCCGTCTGCAGCACCTCAGATTTCTTGACGCCAAACTTGACTTCCACCTCCCGAAGCATGTGCTCGAAATTCTTCAGGTCGGGCTTATAGCTACCCACGTCCTGGGCGGTAATGACAAGGTCGAACGGGACTCCTCCCAGCGGAACCTTGTTGCTCAGCGCAAAAGACTCCCTGTCGACATTGGACAGCACCACGAGCTTATAGTGCTTACCCAGACGCCGCAAAGCCTCAACAGTGTCGGTGAATGCAGGCCAGTGTCCGATAGACGCGCCAAAGGCCTTGCCTTGCTCGGCCGTGGGAGCGGGCAGACCCAGACGCTCGGCGATCTGAGGGTAAATGGTGGTGAGCAGCTCAGAGTACTTCATGTGAGGTGTTTTTTCCTGCTGAGTCCGTTCGAGTTCGTGGTGCACTTCCAAGAGGTGTTCACGAGCGAAGCTGGCGCCATTGGCCGTGAGCAAGGGCTGCAAGCCATTAAGAACACCGGTTTCCCAGTCAATCAATGTGCCGTAAACATCAAAGGACAGCAGGCGATAGTTAGAAAGGCGATCCATGTTGCTAGAGAAGAATCGATGTGAAAGAGTAAAGCGGCGTGTATGAATGGTTCGTGTGATGAGATCTGTTCAAACAGGCCTTGTTCGATGAGCCGGCATATTAAATATGTGAGATGTATGGGCCTCTATAGCAGTGATACGCAGGCAATGTCGTTCTTGCGCCCTGCGAGTCACCAGGATTATCAAGCCTCCGATAAGCGGGGTACGGGGTGGAGTTTGCTACAGTGAGAAATGAAGCCGGCATTTTGGTGTGCCGGTGTGCCGGTGTGCCGGTATACTGGTGTTAGTGTGCTGCCACCCCGACATTGGCGGAACTGCCAACGCCGCGACAAGCACAACAACAGCAACCCAGGCATGGTTCTGCTGAGGCAAACTACTCAACGATTGGACAGCTGGCTGGGGCGGAAGTGGACATGAGGGATGTTATTCTCATTCCAGATAGCCCGTCATCATCTCTCGCCGACAGGGTACCGGGTTTGAGAACCAGATATTCTCGAGCTGCACTATAGAAACGACCCGCTGGACGACGCAGTGACCAATAATCTCAAGCAAGCACACCACCAAGAGCCGAGCTCGCCAGAAGAACTCAACAGTCTTATCTCACTGGGTTTTCAGGTCTGGATGTAAGGGATCGGCTGTCATCCGCTTCTGGATCTGTTGAGGAAGAATACTTAGATGGCTTTAAGAGGGACTCCACTTCTACATCCAAAGCAGCGTCTTTCTCTATTAGCTTCTCCGATCGGGTATCTGATCACTCTAAGCTTAACTTCGAATTCCAATCCCTGCCAGCCACGCCGACGCCGTCGCCCAGCCGCCATCTATAAGAGGACGCACTCTCCGACGCCAGCATCTCCCACATATCTGTGCAAAGTACGTTAAGCCCATTAAACTCGTCTAGGCTATCATCACCTTCAGCTAGCCATTCGGGTTCGCCGTCGCCTGCCGACCTAGTCGATCCAACTCTTAATCTCTCACTCAGGCCACCCAAGACCGTTCTCGAGGTGATCGAACGAACTGTTATAGGTTTTGTCACCGTCACTGTCGTGGTTACCATCATGTAGGGTTTGCAGGAGTGAGCTTGTCTCGGCCGCAGCAACACAAAAGGAGCGTCGGATGCTGAAGGCTCTGCATCCTCGGAGCTGGTGGGACTGTAGGACAGCGTGCACTCCGTACCGAGCTTAAGGGTTGCGTTCTTGCTATTCGTTACTAGTAGACAGGGTTACAGTGTGTCTTGGACTGACAATACGTACAGACAAACTGATTCGGCTGCGATTAGAGTGGCTGTTGAACTGGAAACTCAACCAGATGGTCTCGACCGATAGAATGGAAAGACAAAATAAACTCAAAAGGGGACGATAGCCCAATTGAAAACGGCCAGTGACAAGGTGCTGTCTGTGGTCCCAGTGAAATTAGCGGACTACCCCGGCTATCGCGTGCCGAGCTTAGCGGACTGTGCTGTCAGAATCCCTAAAGCCTAAAGCGACTAGGTTCTTTAGCGTCTATACCCACCCACTGAAGCCAACATACGATGTCATTCTCTTCACATATCCCGTCATCGCCGGCGAACTTGCCAAGGTGACACAACCTCTAACTCCAAGCAATGCTTGTGAAGGCGACTATTCGATAAGAGAGGAGAGGATTTTCATCCTCAAACATCGAATGATACATTCTATTCCTCTCATCTCGCCTCCTCTTCAATTTTCAGGTTGAGGAACTTGAAATTCACCTTCTTGAGCTTCAGCGAGGTCGCCGACGGGACGAGACAAGACGCCCATTATGAACGACGCAGATTTGGGTAAAAACATCGATCAAGAAGCCCAGGTCATCGAGAGCTATGCCTTTCGTGCGAAGAGATTTCAAAATGGCGATGCTCATCTAGTTCCCAGGTAAGCTATAAGGCATAAGAACATGCAGCTTGAGGAGGATGCCCCAGCCGTTAGGCTAGCGCTAATACAATGCCCTTTTTCTATATCGCAGCCGTTGGTGGTTCCTCTCGTCGGCTTTCCCCATGCTCGCAGGGACTCTCGGTCCTGTGGCTTCAGCGTTTAGTATCTGTGCGCTAGTTCAGCCATGGCGACAGCATCTCGTTCCTGGGGGAGATGTCCAGGAGGCCCCTTTCATCGCCAACCCATCATGGTATACTATCATAGGATTACTCCGATCAATTCTTAGAGCGCCTCTTCTCTGATATATACTACTATAGGTTAATGATTACCAATGCTATCCAACTTGCTCTTGGTATTACCTCGAACATGTTTCTACTCCTCAACATGGCAAGACGAGTCCGCTTTAGTCTGGCCCAACCTATTACGATAGTCGGATGGTACTATATACTATATAAGAACTTCATATAATTAGGGTATATTGCTAATATAATATCAACAGGTACATCTCAGCTATATGTCGCCTCTCTCTAAGCGCCACTGCCGCTGGGCCTCTCCTCGAAGACATCAAGTTCCCCAAAAACGAGCTCATCTGGTCCCAGGCATTCTACTACGGCATATGGGCGACTATCCTCTACTTTCTCGATGCTTCCCTCATGGCTGTCACCTTCTGGGGTGCTTTGTCCAGTCACTATAGGAAGGACTTTATGCTGACCTCAAGCCAACGCACTCTAATGTTGCAGACTATCATGTTCCTCTTATACCTCCTCCTTGGTGCTCTTATCTTCTCCAATATCGAAGACTGGAACTTTCTCGATGCTGTATACTGGGTAGATGTTAGTCTCTTCACTGTTGGCTTCGGTGACTACGCTCCCACGACTACTCTTGGAAGAGCTCTCCTGATGTCATACGCCCTTATTGGTGTTATCAGTCTTGGTTTGGTCATCAGCTCAGTCAGGAGTTTAATCCTTGAGCGTGGAAGACACTGTGTCGCAGCCCGGATGGAGGAGAAGAAGCGACGCAGGGTAATCCAGACCATGACACGCAGGGGTGACGATAATATCCTCAAGCCCATCCGCAGAGAGTCTGAAATCTCTCGGATACAATCAAATACAATCCCAGCGACCGAGTTTGAACGCCGCAAGGCCGAATTTGCTCTAATGCGCAAGATCCAGGCCCAGTCCTCATATCGCAGAAGATGGATAGCTATGGGTATCTCCACTACCTCATGGCTTATTCTATGGCTGGTGGGCGCTATCATCTTTGAGAAGTCTGAGAAGACCTATCAGGATTGGTCGTACTTTAACTCCTTCTACTTCTGCTTCGTGGCCTGGACTACTATTGGATATGGTGATCTCGCTCCTATTTCAAATGCAGGCAAATCCTTCTTTGTCTTTTGGTCTCTTCTAGCCTTGCCTACTATGACGGTGCTAATCTCAAATGCTAGTGATACTGTGGTTAAGTTTATCCGAGATAGTACCCTTCGGCTAGGAAACGCTACGATCCTGCCGGGCGACGAAGACTTTATCAGTAATCTAAAGCATATTGTCAGCAAGATTACATTTGGTAAGGCCTTCTCAAGCCATCTAGACTCTGTATCTCCGAAGCTAGCAGAGTCCTCCAAGAGTACCAATCAACGATTAGCTGAGATCATGACCGAGTTCGACGAACGGAGTCTCCAGGACGATGACAGAGGCCGCCCTAGTACCTCCGTTGTCGACCAAAGGGTTTCACAAAGCCATCGCCCAAAACACACTCACGCTCCATCAACCTTCACCTCCAGAATCCGACGCTCGCTCTCCCGCCTTCACAATCCCCACGATAAGTTTCCCAGGGGCACCGACTTCCACCTCCTCCTTATTTCTGAGATCCAGATCATCGCCATCCACCTCAAAGAATCCAAGCCGCATCGCTACACTTTCGACCAATGGGCCTGGTACCTCAAGCTCATCGGCGAAGATGAACGCAACGCAGAGACGCACTGCAAGGCTAAGCCAAAGGAAAAGCGCCCGGATCCTAACATTGAGAACTCAGATAACGAGCTAACGTGGTCGTGGGTCGGGAATCGCAATCCTTTGATGGGTAGCCAGGAGGAGAGCGAGTGGATTCTGGACAGATTGATGGATAGGCTCCGGATGTCGTTATCAGCAGAGAGGAGGCGGCAGCTGAGGACCGGTCCCAGGTTGGCGCATCAGGAGGCGCAGGAGGTGTAAAAAGCGTTGAGGAGAAATAAGGATGATGCCCGTGCTTTGACAAATTGGCCATTTTACACATGCGGTAAAGTTCGAGGATTTTCACGATATCGTTTGCTGGTGTCACGTCGAGACAGTCTAAAGTTTGAATGAAGTGCTGGGAACCCCCCCCCCCCCCCCCCTGGGGGAAGGTAGATAGATGCCTTGTCAGGATTTCTCACCTGAGAAAGGTATGAAACCCCGCCTGCCGTCTGAGGTCATAAACAGGCGAGCTGCATGCGTTGACGAAGCATATATCTTCAAACCTCAGCTAATTGGAGGTTGAAAAGCTTTACCCTTGCATGGAGGATTGGCACTGTTCGTTCTGCAACGTCACTTAAAACAAGCTCCCCTCGCCGATCGGGGGATGTGGAATGACAGCATCGGCAAAGCTAAATCACCGTCCGCATCCACATCGCATCGTCATGAGGCGTCATAATGTATCTCGTGTACCCGACTTTCACTTTCGTCAACAATGCCCAAACTCAACTTTTATAAACCTACTCACGCGTCTACCGTTTGCCAACCTCGCACTCCTTTTATTGGAACCGATTGGCCTAATTGCAAGGAGAGAGTAGTGATCTCCCACCTGTGAATATTCTCAACACCATGACGAGCCCAGAAAAGCAGCAAAATGGACCCCCGAGCCAGTCTCCGGAGAAGCAGGAGCCCGCTGCTGCCGGTGAAAATGCGGAGGAAGGTCCGAAGCCGAAACCGACAACGTTGAAGCGCTTCATGGACAAGGTCGGGCTAGATGCTCCCACCTTAATCTTGATGTTCAAGTCAGACCTCTTAAGCTACCTTTTGCTTCTTCCGGGACTGCCCACGCTGATGTCTTCTTGCTTTCCGCAGAGGCTCCATCCCTCCTATAATCGGCTTATCGATATACCAATCGACACCGATATCTACGTACTTCACGACGCAGGGCTATCTAATCCCGATAATCTCCGTCCTTGCCGTCGCGATCCTGCCGCGCGACAAGTTTATCCAGAACCTCATCTTCAACCTCCTTGCCATCTGCGTTGGCTCTGCCATGTCCCTCCTCGCCCTCTGGTCCTCCATCCAAGCACGCATTCATACCTCCCCTCCTACATCCCAAGGTACCACGATAGTCCCTCCGCCGTATAATTCGTCCCAGTCGGCCGTCTGCGCAGTATGGTTGTTCGCCAATATCTGGGTCGTAAACCTCGTGCGGGCGAAGCTGCCTAGCTTCAACCTGCCTGTGGTTATCTATTGTATCTTGATCAATAATAGCACGACCTTCGGGCCCATGACAGCCACGACTACGGCGGCGGAGGCATTCATCAAAGAGCAGCTTCTAGCGATGCTATTCGGCATGGGACTAGCGACGGGCGTGTCGCTCTTCGTCTTCCCTATTAGCAGTCGCATGGTAGTGATCGGGGAGTTCAAGGGCCTTATTGGCCTGCTTAGCAAAGTAGTCGGTCTACAAAAGGAATATCTGGCGGTCCTAGCAGAAGAGGACATGTTTGCTATCCAGACGAAAAATGCCGAGGAACGAGAAGCCTCGCGGGATAAGAAGTTGAAGCTGAAGAAGGTGGGGAAAAAGGCGAAAGATGAAGGCATGACCAAGGAGGCAAAAGCAGCCAAATGTCTCAAAGAGACAGTCGGTGCAATAAGGGTCTTGGGTGGCAAGCTATATGGCGATATGGCCTTTGCGAAGAGAGATATGGCTTGGGGAAAGCTTGACGCTAAAGACCTCGGCGAGACGTTCACGAAAATTCGAAGCGTCATGATTCCAATGTGAGTTTGCTCTCCCCTACTTCCAGACAGGACTGCGGCTGATGGCCGGTAGAGTGGCGATGAGCACTCTTATAGATATCTTCCACCGAGTCGCCGAGCGTCGAGGGTGGAACGTCGACGAGGATACACCAGCGGAGATCGTGGCGGAAAAGAACCAGGAGAAACACGTGTGGAATGATATGGTGAAACAAATGCACACGCCATTCCAGATACTCGCCGAAGCAATTGACCGAGGACTCGAACATAGTGGCATCTGCTTGGAGATTCTCCCTAAACCAAAGGTATCCAAGAAGTCAGAGAGCAGCAGATCGGACAACAGCGATGTCGAGGCCCGCGGCGACGAGGTTAAACCAGGCGACGAAGGATTTGCTAGCCTTGTGGATAAGAAACTCCAGCAATTCTATTCGCAAAAGGGTAAAATCCCCCGGACCTGGGTTGGGGAGCGGCCACTTGTAGCGGACGAAGCAAAACTCGCCCATCTGCAGCACTTAACGGCCAGCGACGTCATGCAAAGGAACCAGGCGCAACTCTACGTGAGTCTATATATGGAACAGCTGATGCACGCGGCTGGGGAAGCAGTTCAAGGCCTCGTCGCCTTCGCCGACGAGAAAGTCGAGGACGGTACAATGAAGCATAAACGCTTGCTCTTCCCTTCCGGATACCAGCTCCGGAAGTGGTTGACGAGCATCTTCAAAGGACAGGACTCGAGCGTAAAGCAGAACCCGGATATCATGGAGACGGACTCTATCTATTACGGGGATAGCTATAACCACAAGAAGGATCCAGAACATCTTCCTGCTACTAATATCTGGCAACATATTGGGAATGGGCTTCGTAAGATCTCAGCAGTCTTAGGATCTAAGGAGTCGGCCTTCGGCTTTCGAGTCGCTTGTGCTACAATGACGATCGGTATCGTGGCATTCTTGGAGGATACCCAAGTATTCTTCCACGATCAGAGACTAGACTGGGCTATGATTACTATTGCTTTAGGAATGACAATAAGTACGTCTCTGTCTCCCTTGGGGGTTGACTTTGATACATACTCACTCTCGATAGCTTCTGGCCAGTCTGTTTTCGGCTTCTTCTGTCGAGTCGGGGGCACCTGTCTAGCCATGATCTTCTCACTTGTTATCTGGTATATCGTCGACCAGAAGACCGCCGGCGTTATTATCTTCCTGTGGTTGTTTATCTTTATTGAATATTACTTTTTCAAATTTCCCCGGTTTATTCCAGCTGTCATGATTACCATCACTACTCAGATTGTTATTCTCGGTTACGAGCTACAGGTCAGACAGCTTGGCGAAGCTGTAGCTACTGAGTCAGGACAGCCGTACTACCCGTAAGCCCTACCAGCCCTTTTCCTTCTTATCGATGGCCACGAGCTAATATAATGCTTGTAGAACCTATCTCCTGGCTCCGTATAGGCTCGCGACTGTCGCCGGAGGCAGTCTGGTTGCGTTCTTCTGGACAATTTTCCCTTGTCCTTTAACCGATCGAGCTTGGCTTCGACAGGAATTGTCCGCGACGATGTACCTTCTTGCCAACTATTTCAGCGTCATAACTTCGACTATGCAATCCCAGCTTGAAGAGACAGCAGGCGACATGGAGTCAGAAACGCCGCCTATTTACCCCCTCTTAAAAGCTCGGCGTAAGATTTTGGGCAAAGTTCTGCGTCTCATGTCCTCTATAGAATCTCATATCGTGTGGCAGCGGTGGGAGCCCACCATAGGCGGCCGCTTTCCTGTTGAGACGTACCAAGAGATTATGATGCGTAGTGCGCGTATCATGAGCTATCTAACGCTTATGAGCTGTGCCCTAACACATCCGTCGCGAACGCGCGAGACGGAGAAGGACTCCGACGATGAGCAAGCTGAAGACCGAGCAGCTAGTGCATCAGATGCCGACGCAGACGCGCAAGATAACCGCTGGTGGCGGGCGCTCTCGGAGGACCTTCCGGGAGTAGAACTGACGCACCATGCCGTTCTGTCAACATTGACCTTATTGTCAAACACAATGCTCTCAGGCCAGAGCTTGCCACCCTTCCTGCCGCTTCCTCGACCTTACGAGATGACGCGGAGGCTAATGCAGTTGCCGACAAATAGCACGTCCGCGGAATCAGATCAAGATGACCATCCATTGCTTCCCTGTCAAGACTCCTCAGGTGGACACGGAAACCCGGGGCTAACTACCATCGATCTGCGCCGGGAAGCCCTAGATCACGTCTCAGAGAAGTGCACCACACGCGACCCGCAGCCCCAAAGCGAAGAAGCAGACATGGCCTCCACCGGCAATACCAAAATCTTGGACGCACACAACGTGGAGCTGCGCGGCTACGCAGAGTTCGCTGTGATGCAGGTGTGCAGCACGCTGGTGTGCGACGACCTTGAGGGGTTGATGCGGGCGGTGAGCAGGCTGGTAGGCGTCGTGGACTTCAGCGTCCGCGTCGACGCGGGCGGTAGGGATAGCAGGGCCAGCGAGGTGGTTCAGAGGCGGCTGGCCCGGCGGAGGACGACTCGGAATGTGCAGGGTAAGGGGAAGGCGATTAGAGGCTTGGAGCCTTCCTACTCATGCTGAAATTGTTATACTGCCCGAATCTGACCCGCCTGAGGCCAGTGGCAAGTGAAAGGATGGTAAGCCAGTTTTTTATGATAGTCAAGACCGTTTTATAAACCATTAAAAGCAGCGTCAAGAGGCAGACCCATTTCGAGTGTTCGGGAAGCCTGGTTTCAGTTAGCATGGCCGGGTTATGAATGGCAGGAGTATGGAATGATTATTGCGATCCTTGCGCGCTACCTCCACGGTCCGGAGGTTTAGAGCAAGTGGGTCTTATGAACCCCAGCGGTCCCTGTTCCCGGCTGCCTCGACGTGCCGCAGAGCTGGTGGAGGAGCCTTTCGTTCCTCAAGGCATAACTAGGCAGTGATCGGAATGGTCTGGTCTGGTCTGGTCTGGACCCCTAGACCAGACCAGACCAGTTGCTTATATAATAACCGGTCCGACGAGACCGGTCCGACTAATAAGACCGCCAAGAAATGAGGCTGGAGCGAAATAAAGAGGAAAAGAAGTATATTTATCTGCTTTACATTGATCCTACTGTCGTCATTCTTATTATCTTAGCTCTCACCATCATCCTCAACAGAGTCATAGCGAGACAGCCAGTACGCAATAACCTCGTCGGAGCTTGCCTCCCCGTCATGGAGCTGGTCGGTAGAAATGTATTGCTCATACAGATCAGCTGCAGAGGCGGGACCGAAAATCACGGCGGGGCAGGGGAGGGTGTAAGAGACGTTGATGATAACTATTGTAGCTAACAGGGACGGCAGAATTAGAGCTGCAGACTTTATTAATAATAATAAATATATAAATAGGTTGTTATACGCTATGTTAAGCAATTATTCCCACGTATTGCCTAATAAAAGATAATTGCCCCGTATTATGGATAAGGCCAGTGTGAGAAATAGGCAGTCCATAATAGGCTCCTGGACTGGACCGCCTATTCAGTCCAGTCCAGTCTAGCAATTTTTACTAGACCAGGTAGTCCAGTCCAAGGTTATTGGACCGACTGGACCGCCCATTTACGGCCCATGTTATTAAGGCGAGTAAATAGTACATTTTGATTGGTTGAGACTGGTAGAATATATGATATCACTTGCTCGCAGGCAGCTCGACGAAGTCTTCCGAGCCTCCTTTTTAGTGCAGAGTTTCTTATACAGTGTAGTGCTTAATTGATATTCAACGAATATAATGTAGTCTTTGTGTTACTAAACAAGTTCTGGTCCGACTCTTGCTATCAGTCCAGTTAGGGCAGGCGGCCCAGTCCAGTGCTTCCAGTTACGCAGGCGGTCCAGTCCAGGGTATCTGGACTGGACTGAACCGCCTATTTCTCATACTGAATAAGGCAGAGAACCCTGGAGGAAAAAGCAAAAAAGGCCTGTTCTAACTATATTGGTCTAAAATTCAGCCACCAGCCGCCATTTGCCTCTTAGCTTAATCTATTTATAGCAGTTAATGGTCGGACCGGTCCGACCGGTCCGACTATGGTCTTGAGAAATCACCAGACCAGACCAAGTCTTGGCGGTCTAGACCAGACTGAGACCAAGACAGACCAGACCATTCCGATCACTGATACAGAGACTGTATGTCACCATCCGCTGTAGCCGTTTCTGGCCGCAACTCCTTACACATCTAAGTAACAGCGAACTACAGCCATCTATTCCAGCTACTAACGAAATTGGCTTCCTATTTTTTGCTTGACAATTTTTTTAGCGCACGGACATTCCGGCCTGCTAATACTGTCATCGTCTTCTTCTTGCCCTGCATGAGTGGAACTTCCCACTCGCAGGCCATGACATGTCGGCAACATCCGAGTGAACATCCGAGTGTAGCGCAGTCCCACCAACAAAATAGCCGGAATCTGTGGCCTGAATTATGGACATCTGAACAACAGTGTGAGCTTGCGGTTTAAAGGCAGCCCAATTGAACCTGCAGCATCCAAAGACTATCCTTGGGTAAACCATAAAATAATAAAACTTGCTGTGGTTGGGCGGCATAGAGCCGAGAGATGCCATGTCAGCCCACTTCACGTTTAATGTGCCACCACCAGCTGGCGTAAGCCACGTCGCCGCTCAAAGTGATGCTTTGCTGAGCTATAGCAAACCTTACCATTTCTGGTCAAGATACAACATGTGAATGCAAAGAAAAGCCTAGGTACTTGAAGCCTTGTACTTGAGGCCTTCATGTTCATGAATGGCGTCCAGATGCTTCTGCTCGCAAAGCATCGTCTTCTGCTATCGCTAGGTATCCATCACTCCCATTCCACTCGCGCCGCGCTGTCCTGAACTCAATGTTTAGCTTAACCAGGGATATGGCCCAAGGTTTCGTGACTATTGCCACAGAGGTCGCGCCTAATATTAGCAGGACAGTTCACAAGGTAATAACTAACGCGCACACCATGGTGCAGCAAATTGCAGGCGATAGTGCCAGCACTGCCTTTAAGGTGGCGGGAGACATCACCTGCACCGGAACGAAGATCGTGGATAGTTCAGTCGGCACCTTTGCCAAGGTTAGGTCCGATGTCGCGGGCACCGCAAATAAGATCGCGAACGATGCTAGCGATAGCCTCCTAGACACAGCTATCACCAGCATCCCGAGCAAGGCTCTCTACGACGGCCTGTAGCCACGCGCAAAAGTGTAAATAGAACCTTCAATAGAAAGCTTTACGCGGGATGCACAGCCTTCTAAAAATGAGACGCAGGTGTGATGTGGAGCGGAAGGTTCCGTCGAATCCTCGGCAGCGTCACATGCATCATCCCCACATACATGATCTTCACATGCACCATCTTCAGATGGACTTTTCGCATAGATTGTACCTATACCTGCCTACTACTACTACTACTACTACTACTACTACTACTACTGTACAAAGGACAACTCGTTTTCTGTCTCCAACCTGGAATTGTGCACAAGAAACCACATTTTCGTCCGTGCACCCTGATAAAAAGCATGTTCCATCAGATAACAACCGAGCTTTTACCGAGTAAAGTTAGCTATAGTATTTTATTTATTTATAACGTATATAATAAGCGAGCGCGCAGTATAAGCGAGCGCGCACTTTTCTCCAACCTTTAATATAGATTTAGTAATAAAAACACAACAAAACATCTAATCAATTAAAACTAATTATTATACTCTTCTCCAGAGGTCTTAATAACAGCCTGATAGGTTCTTATATTATAACCAGCCTTTCCACAAGTTCCACAGCGCCTTTCCCTCGGCATTGCCGACCTCCCTCAACCACCACTTCTCGACGATTCAGCTGCTACCTATATATCAATATCTCTCTAATCTATCTCACCCCTTCCCTTATCTACAGTTATCTTCCCTCCTTAATATAGGCGGGTTCTTTTTGCTCTGCGCTACTTACTAAGAATCTTATTTACCTATTAAAAGATCTAATTCTTAGACTTTAATAATACTATTTAATATATTATTATTTTTATTCCCTTAGAAAATAACTTAAGTGCCTTAAGGATTGATATTAAAGAGCTACTCTAATATCTTCTTACTTATCTTTTAAGATATTTAAACTGCAAATTAGCTTTAAGTATAGTCTTTAAAATCTTTAAGATTTAAGAGTTAGAAAGATTAATCTTCTTTATAGCTAGTATTAGAGTCTATAGCTATATATTAAGCTTTAATATAATACTTTTTAAATTTAAGAGAATAAGTTTAGCTTCTTTAAAGCCTCTCTTAATATTACTTCTTATTATAGTAGCTTTATAGATAATATAAAAAGCTAGGAAGAACTTAATCTTTAAAATATAAATAATAAAATATCTAATTAATTACTTAATTACTTAACTATAGGCTATTTTAAGTAGCTTAAAATACCTAATATTAAGAGGCTAAAATAGATAAGATAAATAAGATAGTATATAAAATATAATAATATTTTTTTTTTATAATATTTCTTAAAATTAATAAAATAGTAATTTTTATATTTATTAAAAATTAAAAGATAATAATAACTAATTAATTAATTTTTTATATATTAATTAAAATACTTAAGCTACTTAAAATCTATTTTATTATTAATCTAGCTATTTTAAGTTATTATAATAGCTTAATTATCTAAAAGGTTACTTTTTTAATATTAGCTAGTAAGATAATATTAGCTTATAATTATAATAAATAGCTAGATTATCTAGTTTTTTATATTAATTACCTAAATAATTATAATTTATTTTTTAATTTTTAAGCTATATTAATTTTAAATTTCTATATCTATTTATATTTATAATAACTATTCTACTTATAATAATACTTATTATAAAGCCAGTCTTATTAAAATTATAGATATTAGCTAGGTTAATATTATATTTTATAATTATATTCTCTATAAGCCTAAATTAATTATAAATAATTATTAAATCTTTATATTTAGCTCTCTAATAATTATATTTATAAAAAAAAAATATTTTAAGCTCTAATTATTACCTAATAAAGTTAGAAGCTTAGTACTTACTAATAGGTAATATATTATAGTTAATAAGTAATTAGTTAGCTATTTCTTTAATATTATATAATTATAGAAGAAACTCTTATAAATTTAGATTAAGAATAAATTAAATAATAATCTATTCTTTTAAATTAGATAGTTTTCTTAAATTAGATATAATATTGCATTAGAAAGAAATACTATTATATTAGCATTTTAAAGTGTAGCAGGAGACTTTATAGATTTTTAAAGTGCAAAAAGAAATTAATTAAGGGTCTTTCTTAAGGGCTTAAAGAGTAAGATTAATATTTACCTTATTAATTAAGGATAATATAATTTGTAGTTGAGAAAATTAAGTTAAAAGATAAAATTTGGTAGTTGGGGATAAAAGTGCACGCTTGCTTATATTATGCACTTACTTATTATATATATTAATAATAAGTCTTTTTTATTAATAAAGAAATATTAAAAATTAGAATTAAAAATAAAAATCTATATTATTACTATAATATAAATAGTATAATAAATAGATACTATTTGGTTTTTTTTTAGCTTTACTTAATATTATTAGATAGATCAAAGCCATATAGTAATCTCAAATAGTAGGAATAAACAATAAGTACTACACCCAGCACCAGAAGAAACAGTAGCTAAACAATAAGGTTGTTGCCCACCGGTCTCTGCCTAAAGCTTCCATTCAACCCCTCTACAGGTCGAAAAAGTTAGACAGGATTCCGGCAGAGAAGAAAAAAGCAGCTTGAAACCCAAACTTGGGCCCTGGCAACTGTAACGTGCGCGCAACGAAAATGCAGTAAATTCAAACACTAGGTTCCCTCATCGAGGGATAAATAGATACTATAGATTTAATATTATATAATTATATATACTTACCTAATAACTTTTCAGACTTACTAAGGCCCTCTGAAATAAGAAATAGAAATTATCAGCACCCTACCCCCAAGTTAATCATCCCTACCCTATGTCCTGCTAGCATTACTGTAGCTTTACATACAAAATTAATCGTCGGTTATAGTGCCGACGCAATTATTGAGTCTTAGGGGCGCCATCTTCTCATGTCCTTCTTTACTTCCACGGCGGTTCCTATTTAGCCGGCTCCCCTGCTAGCCACCGCAAGCTGGCAGGACATCTTGCCAAGCTTACAGGTTGCTGTGCACTTCTTCCAGACTACCGCCGGGCTCCTGAGTACCAGTTTCCATCGCAACTTGAGGACGCTGTAGCTACTTTCAACTGGCTAAGAGATGTCAAGGGGTATCCTCCTGAGAAGATTGCTACTGCTGGGGATTCTGCCGGTGCGAATCTGTCCATCGCACTCGCCATGAAGCTCAGAGATAGTGGCGAAAAGGTTCAGGCGGCTATGGCGGGGTTATCGGCATGGCTCGACATGAAGATGGAAGGGAAGAGCTATGAAACCAACGTTGACTCCGATGTTCTCGTTAGCCATGAAGCTATCGCGAAGGTGAGTGCTGCTTGGGTTGGCTCTGCTTCGAAGGATGATCCTTTGATCGACCTTATCAACTCGAACCTCAAAGGCCTACCGCCTATATACCTCGCCACAGGATCTGCTGAAATGGTAGCATCAGATGCGGAGCGGCTCGCAGAGCGTGCCAGGGCAGCTGGGGTTGAGGTGCATCTAGAGTTGAGCGAAGGGATGCAGCACTTGTATTTTTTCATGGTCGGCAAGGCACCCGAAGCTGATAAGACAATGCGGTTTGCCCACAATTTTTTGAAGGAGAAGTTGGGCTTGTAAACCGAGGGATTAGCGATGGCGATGTGTAATCTCGCCGATCAATAGTGGCACACTGTATTTAATTTGGAGATTGACAGCAGAATAATTACCAACGAAATCAAATCCATTCCCGACTGTGCAGTCACCTTGAGGAATACACGGGCGTAGAAGATTTTCTCAACTAGGCGCAACATTTAAAAGGGTCGATATTATCGTGTAATATTGGCCCTAGTGCCACAGATGATCAATGAAACGCCAACATCAAGACTCCCGCGCTCCATGCACACTGTCTCGGGCAGCAGCGTGAACGAATTTCAGAGTCCACCTATGTCGGCATATTCCCAAGAAAGGAATGGCCATCCCAGTCGCATACTCGCAAGCTCCTAAAGGCTGCCTCTCTCATTGATTGCCTCGGGCTTTCTCGGCGGAGGTCATACAGCCAATCGGGGTAGAGGCTGCCCCCCAGCACCGAGGCGAGATCGTCGGGTGAGCCAACCTATAGGAGCACGAGATGTTGACCAGGCACGTTATCACGGCCAAGTCAATTGAAACGTCATTAATGGGATTAATTGAACAGAGAGCCCATCTAGGGTGCAGGGACAGGTCGTCCTTCGCGAGATCGACGCCATCCGAGTACAGGGTTATCTAACACGAGAGGCTCACTGAAGTTCTCCAATTTCATAAGTTCTGAGGCCTTCAATGTGAAGAACACAACCCTCCCAGAGGTACAACCGATTGCGATGCTAGATCCGAAGATATTGGAGCAGTGGGGGCGAAATGGAACAGGCAGCCAAAGCAATTTTCGATTCTTCCAGGTAATCCATGTACCATTGTTGGCGATGGCGAGGCCATAATACGGCCAGTCACATTCTAGATGGCGGCTTTCATTTGGATCCGTAGTTGGGCTAGAAGAATCGAGTCGATGAACAGTTATCGCACTACAGATGTAGAATCCGTAAAGATCACCTCATCCCCTGGGTGAAATTCAAGGTGATAGCAGCGCATATCAAGACGCACTTCTTGGAAGCATTCGCCCTTGTCAACCCTCCATAGTCGTAAAATCATGTCCACTGCCGCAGACGCGATAATTCTCTTTTCGGAAGAAACCGCGATGGAGGTCAAATGGATTGTGGGTGACTGTATTTGGCTTATACATTCGCCGTTGTCAACTCTCCAGAGTTGTAGAGATCCATCGAACGACGCTGTCACCATAGTTGTGGAGTCAGAGGAGAATGCCATAGATGCCACAGTGGAAAAAAGCGACAACTCGAACGCACTCGCCACTCTGAATCTCCCACAGCCGGACATCGTGGCCGTCTATGTGTACAGCGATAATCTTTGAGTCGGGCGAGATCGCCACGGACCTAACGGATCTTTCCTGAGCCCGAAGCTCTAATATCAGCTCACTGGTGCTCTCTCGCCAGATAGTTGCAGTGTTCATTTGTGAGACTGCCGCCACGAGTTTTGAATCTGGCGAGAACTTCAGCAAGGATGGCCAGCCTGGATATCCCCGAAGCTCCCGAATGCACTGTCCGCTGTGAATGCTCCATATTCTCACAGTCAGTCTACGTGATCCCGAGGCCACCAGATCCCGGTTTGGCGCCAAAGTAACAGCCTCCACTTGATGTGCGTGGCCTTTGCTGCTCTGCTGATGGTAGATGTTCTCCACGCTCCAAATGAGTACAGTTTTGTCCAAAGCGGCTGTGGCGACGAGTTTTGAATCCGGCGAGAAGGCAGCCGAGGCCAGTGCCTCAGTGTGGCCTCTCAGTTGACTTATGCACTCGCCCGTGTCAACATGCCAGATTCGTGTAGTTTTGTCGTATGACGAGGTTGCGACGAGCTTCGAGTCGGGTGAAATTGCAACCGATGTCATAGGTGTCTGTCGATCTTCAAACTCGCTGATAAATTCCCCGTCAATGTGTCGAAGCTGTATGGCCCCCGAGGCAGAAGTCGTGATGGCATGGTTGGACGATATCGCAATTGATGGCGCCCAGGTGGCATGAGATTTGAGCTTTCGTAAAGATTCGTCGTCTAACCGCTTCCCACTCGTTATTTGCCACACTTGGATGCCTCCGTCGCTCAAGGTAATTGCCAACAGCGTCGAGTCCAACAAGAAGGCAATTGATTCTACCCACCGTTGTTCCAGCCGTTGTTGGCCGTTCCAGCTGCTGGCCTTGCACGTAGTATCGAATCTGATCTCGTGGATACACTCTCCACTGCCTACTCTCCATATGCGAAGTTCGGAAGACGCGGACGGTATGAGAGTTGCATCAGGTGAGATGGCGACGGATGTCGCATGGCCTGGCAAAATGAGCAGGCACTCGCCATCGTCGACCCGCCAAAGACGCACATCAGCTGCTGCTGAGGCAATGAGGGCTGAATTTGATGAGAAGGTAAATGCCATTACTGGACCCCCGTGACCCTTTAGTTCAAAGATCGCAGGGAACGCCCAGCACTAAAACAGAGCGGGATTTAGGTCCGTTTAGGGGCCCAAGAGCATTGTCATTCCACAGCGCGACACGTGGCGTGCACAAACACCTGAAGTTAATCATCAGTCCGTGGTGACGTGGGAATGAATGAGGCTATAAGCGTATAACGTGGTGTATACATAACCTCTTCAAGCTAGCGGACCTTGATTTAGTAACTTTGCTACTTGAAGATTCACTAGTAGTATATGGACATCTCAAATGTCTCCCTTAGACAAGACCTAAAAAACCAATAACCCCCAAAGAAGGCCAAGCAGTGGAGATTCTCTCGTCGCCATCAATCCGAGTACTCGACTTCTCCCTGAACAGATGATGGTCACTTTACTTTTTGCCTTGCTAAATCTATGATATAACCATGTATCATCCACGAGGACATTTCGGATTTATACTATTCACCGTGTGCAAATTCGTTCAGTTTCGGCTGGCCGCCATGCAATAGCCTCTCGCAGACCATGGTGCCTGATGACATGGTGTTGAGATGGCCCACATCATCTGGGCGTATAGGACTGATGTTTTAGTAGCATGGGATACTGGTCGGGTTTGTTCTTAATGCCAGCCCCTCTAGTGTTGAACGTCTCATAGCCTGTAGATCTCCTCTAGTGCAACTTCCTCCTCACCATCGAGTTGGACGGGGCTTGGGGGATGGTGTATATCTGTGCTCAACGCGATGTTCTCAGTGGCCCAGTTGGCTTGATTGAAATATATTGATCTTCTTAATCATCTCAAGCATGGTCCTGAATGCTCATACAGTATACGGAACAGCAGGATCCGTTAGACTGTCGGAACAACTGGTCTCTCTAATGAAGTGCCCGAGGGCCGGAGCCCACAGATTCTGAACCGAGGAGGGGATTTTGCGAGGGTCTCATTGGTGAAAAGTCCGAGGCTACCTCGTCAATTTGAGAGTTTGTTAGACAGATGATGAATCAAATGGGCGGGGTTGGTGGCGGGGGGGTTCTTTCACCCATGCAGAGCCCGAGGTTACTTCCTCAATTAGAGGGGAGTCTGGCTATCATCGACCTAACTCCAGTCCATATCATGCGGAATCAATACTAGTTTTCCATGGCTATGCTGGATTTAATAAAGCCATGTTTTTCCGCATTCATTCACTTGGAAAAAATGAATGTCTCTTGACAATCAGAAATTTTATTTTCCATTCCCGCAGTTGTTGTGCCTGAATTGTACCAACATCCTAGGCCCAGCTTTTTTTGATGATCGAAAGCTGTTTCAGCCATTCTCAGTCGGAGCTAGAAACTGTATCGGCCGAAAGTAAGCCATACCCTCGTCCTATGTATTTGGTGTTTACAAGGACGAAACCTACGATGCTAACGCACTGCGCAGCCTAGCTTATGCAGAAATGCGACTCATCCTGGCAAGAATCATCTGGAACTTTGACCTAGAGCTAGTTGAGGAGAGCAAAAACTGGATGAAGGATCAGCACATGTTCATTTTGTGGGAGAAAGGACCGCTGATGGTGCGGCTTAAGAACGCTCGCCAATAAGGGCGCTTTGATATCAAGCACGCAGTCGATCGGAACTTGGGCTCCGCCGAGGTAGAGATACCGCAGCCAAGTGAGCCAACCAGGTTAGACAGAATCTGTTCGAAATGTCTACGTGTCGGTCATGACCTGCTACCCTGAGATCGAGAGGCGTGAATCATAGCCGTATTTTAGCTCCAATTTACCTTCCAATCGGGCTCCAGACACATTGTCCCCCCTTCATATTACCTTCCTATCCGGTAAATGTATATGAGTAATTTGAGGCGTGATGATAGCCGCCCGCGAGATCCGGCGCCTACGACGACGACTAAGACTTTGACGCTTGAACTTAACCTCTTCGTCTTCTACAAATACTCGTAACTCTATACTAGACCAAACGCCAAGGATAATTGTTTTTGTTTTCAAAAATTCACCGCACATTGTCACTTTAATATTCAGTACTACTCGTTGTTACACAGATTCTCCCCGAGGCTTTCCCTCACGTTGTGATAATTACTGATTTAACTTGATAGGAGCTTCTTTCCTCCTCTGCTGCCTCCTTTTGCTACGACAATATTATTACAGACCTCCAGTCGATGAAAGTGGGGCATGTAAGTTCTAATACCACACGATGATAGACTAGACCCTGGATGAGCAGAAGAGCGCGCATTGCATCCTGAAGGGATATCAAACCGTTTGATCTTCCTACAGACTTCTCTACAAACTCAGTCAGCCAGACATCGTGCTATTTGAGGACACCGCTTCTAAACTAGCTCAATTCAACCGGTCTACAGCATGGCGACCTCAAGCTTTTACACTTTTAGTAGCCTGCCGCGAGAGCTGTGAGATCAGATCTGGGCTATGGCCATACGCCCTGATCGGCCTGCAGCTCATCATTTCACCATTTTCAATTCATGTCATCAAGATGAGCTAGCCGTGTTGCATAATCATGCAGTTGGGTGTGCAAGCCTTCAACATTGCGACTTGGCAGCCCCTCGGAGCAAAAGGTGGACCTAGGGACGATTTCATGGACGACAGGTAACCCATATCCATCTGCCTGATCGATCGAGGCTTGTGAACAGCCTGCAGTGAATCTAGAGAAATTATGGAGAAGCGATTTGATAGACCTTCATGGAGGCGTAATCGACGTGAGAATAATTACTGCCTCACCAGTGTCCGAGGACGACCCGACCATCCAGCTACCGGGGGTCATTGACGTCAAATGGTGAGACACAGTACTTTACGATTCATCTCAAAAAGTCTTATCTGCTTGCAACCGCATGATATCTGGATTGAGGTCACAGTCTGAGCACTGATGCTTGCCTGGCGTTTTGGACTTCATCTCACCTACGTCGCACTGCAACTAGATCTAGAGTATGACTATGTTGCGCAAGGCTAACTGACAATTCCGTGTTCGGTGACTTACAATCGTTGGAGAAAAGATGTGATTACAAACTTGACCAAAGCAGCCGAAGAGATGCTTTGGGTAAGTCATCTATGGCTCATCGACACCCATTTCAAGTGACGACTAGAGATTCCTTTGCTTGATGATGGGAGCAGGCATATATTTTATGCCAATTCCAGGCGATATGTGGAAGTCAAAAGGCGCGACGCCGCTTGTGTGTGACATGATCTGATCAAATTGAGGGGGGATGGAATAGCTTGCACGACGTACACGATTTTATGGATGAAGTGTACGTGGGAGCGACGGACGATTGCATGCCCCCCGATATGGGCGTTTTGGCTTATGAGACAGTGAGTTGAAGTTGGAATTTACGAACAAGATATAGCTTGTATGATAGTCTGTTCGGTCCGTAATTTGACGTCATGTTGGGCGAAAACTGACACTGGAAACTTGACGAAGTGAGAATGCTTGAGCCTCCGTTTTATCCAATCGAAACTTACTATATCATCTATTTATAAGTGCACTTGATTTTATCGACATCGTTGTCCATGCTTCCATGTCGGTGTCCCAATGCGGGATGAAGGCGCTGACTGTTTGACAGCCTTGAAAATCTCGGAAGGCAACTGATGTAACACGGCATGAATGAGGCTGCCCTGTTGCCTAAATGTTGCTGCCCTGTTGCCTAAATGTTGCTGCCTTGTTGCCTAAATGTTGCTGCCCGAAGAGGACCAGGCTCTCAGATTAGGCGCTCAGCCTGATTATGAACTTGTACATAAAGCCCACGTCCAGCTCGTTGACACTACACTTTGCGTCTGGGCCTTTGTCAACTCACCAAATCCTGCCGCAATCTTCGGGTCAAATCACGTAACGACAATCAGTCCCTAATCCAATAATCGAAACTTAAACGACAAAATGGCTGCCACTCTTGACCTGGCAACCCTCCAAAGAATCGAAGAACTCATCGAGAAGTCACTTGGGGCGCGCGAGCAGTACAGAGCCAACCCATCGTCAAAAACCATCGCCGAGTTTTGGAGATACCTGGGCCAAGCCTTGAGTCTGTTTCCAGAAGGCACATTCAAAGACAACGTCCTTGATCCCGCCAATCTCAACCCCTACGAGTCGGAGATGATCATTGCACAAACTGAAGCCATCTGGGCTTTCAGCAACGGTACGCAGACAGATGATCTGGACTGTCCTCAGAGGGCCGTGGATCTATACTCGGGGTTTGCAAAGGATCTATACAACTTTTGGTACTACAAAGCCACAGGCAAAAATGCTTTTGCCAACCTTTGTCATACTGTGACCAATACCTTGACCAACTGGAGTTTGATAACCCAAGACACCAGGAGGCGCCAAGGTCTCCAGAATTCCCCCAGGGCGGGAATGGCGGCTTATGCATTCGTAATCACGAACTCGATGATCGGAGATTGGACCATCAGGAATCAGACGAAGCAATTGTGGGCGGAGAGGTGTGGTACGTTCACCGTGGTCCAAGACTAGACTTGAGTGAGAGGGAGAATACGCGTGCCCTTGCTGTTGCATCATCAGATCCGATTCCGCTGCGCTCTTATATCTGATAATATATAGAGTATTATAGATTCCTTTAATTTTCTAATTAAAATAACTAACTTTCTAGATATAGATGTAAATATAGCTTTTTAAAAAGATTTAGTTATAATCTTAACTTACTAATTTACTTTAGGCAGCTTATATATATCTTAAAATACAATACCTAAATAAAATACTGCTTTTAAAGATATAATTTAACTTAAGATATATTATTATAGAGCTCTAAGTCTGGAAATACAGGCAATTTTAGCCTATAAAATTAAGAAAAATTAGAATATACTTAATTAGTATACTATTTATATTTAAAAGGAGGATTAAGTATTTAAAATACTTATTTCAGTTTAACTATTAATATAATAGAGAAATATAAATTATTTTAAATACTTTTAAAGTACTTTAAATAGTTTTTATTTATTTTATATTATATAGCTTAAATACTATATTTATATTATTATTAGACTTTTATATATAGTTTCTTATTATATACTTTTATATTATAAGACGTTAATTAATTTTGAAGTATCTCTTAAATTAATAAACCTATTAACTAAAAACTCTATTAGCTATATTATTTAATTTTCGCCAGAGTAGCCAGAAAGGCAATAATGAGTGGAAAGGCTTGGATAACATGGGTAACTAGTGTTGTTGGGGAATCCAAGAGTTTTCACGACCTGCCCACTACATCCTGATCAGGGTCCGGCCATGAGAAGAGGGAGTCGGCTGAAAGTTGATTTACTGATGGGAAAAGTCCTTGCAAGACTGGGCAGTAATGAGGGCAAAATGAATACCAGCCACGACTGTGCATCCTCGCGATCCAGTATGCCCTGGGTGCTTGGTGAAGGCTTCAACGACAATATGAAGCGCAACACTCCACACGCTAACCCCTGTATAGGCGAAGCCATCACCGTTACGTCTGCCACTTGAACCTGCTCTGCCTCAGCATGTCCATCAAGCCCATTGGCAACAAGCCCTTCTCGACAATAGTGACCCCCCCGAACCACTTCGCAATATCCTCCGCGTGCTGAACGCACACCCACTGGTCATACGTCGAGGCCTGGCTCCATGCGTCTGACTCTGCTCCCCAACAGTTATCCAACGAGTCGTCCTTCTCGCCGGACTTATTCATCTCATCCAACGCATCAGACAACCCAACCACATTCTGCGGCTTCTGCGGCGCATCAGGCTCCGGCACCTTCAACAGCTCCTGCAACGCCTCCGCCATCGGCCCCGACCTCCGCTCCCTGTGTCTCGTGAACTCCTCGAAGCTCATGAACCCCTCGCCCTGGAGATCCTCCCACTCTGGCTCCCAGCGGCATAAATCGTCCAGCGCCTCGTTGTTCTCATCCACTGACTCAAACATCTCCTTCGCCTGCCTGTAGGCCTCCGCTTCTTGCTCGTGGAAACGAGTAAGCACCGTCTCCGCGTCCGCCACCACAGCGTCCCGAAGCGCGAGCGGCTCGATGAACGGGTTCAGCAGCCCCAGCCCACCCAGGTCGATGGGATAGAACAAGTACCCGTCAGGCACCCCGTGAGCGCCGAAGCGCTCCACGAGCATCTGTCGCAAGTGCCCGGCCGCGCCGCCTGGGAAGAGTGCGACCTGAATCCGCTGGAAGGCCTGCAGGACGCTGTCAACGTGGCAACGAGTGTAACAGTTAGCGAAGGCGCCAAAGTTGGTCGAGAAAAAGCGCACGCCGTAGGTGTTCCAGGCTTGGATCCACTCGAAGACGCTGCGGCACGCAGAGAGCTGGAGGCGGAGCTCGGTGATATGGGTGTCGATCTTGGACTGGTCGAGATGGAACTGCCCGGTCAGAGGGTCAAGCTTGAGGAAGCCCCAAGTGACATCGCCTTCGGGGAGGGGTGGTGTGTCGATGTCTAGGCTTAATGTAGTACTGGAAGGGCGAATTACCGCACTCCCCGTCTTCTCCTCGTTAATATCGAGGCCGAAGACGTCAATAAACTCGGTGATAACACTCCATGCCATGCTACACCTCTTGGTCGTATCGAACAGCCACATATCATCGTGCAGGCGATATAACCTCGCTCCATCAGCTTTCTGGTTGACAGCAAAGTCAAGGCAGAAGAGCAACGATTCGGCAAGGAAATCGGCAATAGGTGTACTTAAAGGCAACCCCCTCCTACGCAGAGGAACTGGAGCGTCAACCGGATGGTCTTCGAACCGGAGAGGGCACTCAAGTGCGCGGCGGAAGAAGTCGATCCAGTCCGCCTCAACACCAAAGAACTCCAGTACGGTGAATATGGATGAATGCGGCAGGCTGGGGCCGAACCACTTAAAGTCGGACCTGACGACAGCTATCTCCCTGCCCAGACCGCGCTGCAAGAGGATCGTTGCCTGTAGGATCCGGAGAAGCTTCTGAACGACTTCCACGGGTGACTTTCTCGTATCCCCCTCCGACTCAGTATTGTCATTATACCCCCCGCGTTGCTCATCCATCACGGTTGGAAGCTGGTCGAGCAGAATCTCATCGTTATAATGACTCTCAAGGTGCTGATAAACCGTCTCTCCCTCAGACGTAGAGTCCAGAGCCGGTCCCAGGAAATACTTCCTCCTCCGCGCCTCTTCCTTCGTCAAAGCCCGCACGGCAGGCTTCATAACTTTAACATTATGCAGGATCGCGCCGCAGGACTTGCGGATCTCGACACCCCAGCGCCGGCCGATATAGTAGAGGAAGATAGACTGCATCAAGTCCTCGTCGGGGTAGAAGCGGTAGCGTCCGTTGAGGGAGCGGCGCTGCTCGATGGGGCAGGCGGTGTCCCACGCCCAGGACTTGCGGTTCTGCATGCGCATGTTGAGCACGTCTGCGACTTCGCGGAGGACTGCCTTGTTGCCAAGGAACTCTTGGAGGGTAGCGCGTTTCTGGTCCGTGAGTAGATCGGACCGCAGCAAGCCCCGGATGCATATGCCCAGGGACTGGTCGTCAAAGTGTGTCTCCTGACCCCAGGATGCTTGGAACGCATGCAAGCAATTTGTGAGGTCCGACTTGAAAGCTTCCTGAACATGCTTAGGTCCGCCCGTGAAGAGGTCTTCGAGATAGGACTTGATAGCCACTGTATCTGTGACCTTGGGGGAGAAGACGTATTCTTCCCAAGTGGCTCGCTGGAGGTGCATCTCTGCGCGACCCAGAGGGACAGAGTCTGAACCCGAGTCAGAACGGATATCAGCCGTTCCAGCAGAAACCCATTCGTTGACGAGTTTCCCGTAGAGTTCAGCAAAGCGGTACTTTTCTGAGTGAACGTCGAGCTCGTTGCGCAGGGCGCGCTCAAGGGACTCTATCGAGGAGGGCGAGAGGGAAGGGTCGAACTCGGCCTGGGTGAGGAAGCGACCGATATTCGCGAGGGAGACGGCGGATGAGGAGACCAGGGGTGTCATGGTGGGGAGTTTTTTAGCGCCTTCGACGAGGATCTTGGTTCGCTTGGGGTTGGGCTCTTGGTCTACGTCGTGGAGAAGGGTGTGTTTGGCTTCTTCGTAGGCATTCTTTTGTTTAGAGAGTTGGTCGAATTTGATGACGGTGATGGAGTGGAGAGTCTGGGAGAGGATCTCCGAGGGCGCCATGATGGATGATTGTTGGGCTGGGGATAAAAGGGAGAAGTAATAACGTTTCAAGATTGCTGGCAGCCGGGGGATGAAGTATGAACTGGTAGTGAGATGCTATATAATGGCCAAACAAGGTCAGGATTTGGGCCTGGAAAGGCTAATAGCTTTATACTGCGCCGCAACGGCACCGGATGTGGGCCGCCCCCTCCGAGGAAATACTGAGTTGACTGGGCTTTTTTGGTCACCCACTTTGTTGCCCAGCCAATTTAGCCTCGGAGGCTTGGCTCAGTCTGAGCAACTCTCCTAGCCCGCTTTCGAAAGTAAGAATGCCCGCTTTCTACAGCCATATTCATGCGATGCATTCGCGCATTCACCCTTCCTCAGCTCCCCCTTGTATAAAGAGAGGACAGAAGGACCTTTCTTTGCCCGTTTCATAGTTCCATTTCGGCATGGCGTGTGGCTCAGTGTGCAAGGGTCACCGATTGGTTCCTTCGTAAAGAGCAGCACCAGAGCTCGCCGATTGGCTTCTACGTAAGACAACCCCACCTACAGACTCCACCGAGACAGCTCCATGGATGCCAATCTGGAGCTTTTGCATGAACAATCAGAAGAGCCAATGCCCAGCAGCTGGCTTTGGAAGCCTACGTGGTTGCAGGCCAAAGTTTTCACACCCCTGTTGGGTATCTTTTCGGCCCCTAGGGCAAGCGGCGATTGAGGCACAGTTCAGGTATAGGGAGGGAAACATAAAGACAGCGGCGGCGGCGGACGGAGACTAGGCTTCAAGAAAATCCCCAGATTTTTACTACCATATATAATAAGCAAGTGCCATAGATAAGTAAATACTACACTTTTTTAACTTTGGAATTGTTAGATTGGACTATTTACAGAGCATGTGCCGGGCGCTACCCGAATAGGAAGGCGCTCAGAGCAGCCTATTGGCTAGATGCCCCTACTTCTAGTAGTGACTGCAACACTTACGCGGTCACGGCCGGGAGACCTCCCGGCCTCACACACACATAGACAATACACACGATCAAGTCATCTCAGTGCCACGCTAGCTTTCCGACAGTTTCCTCCCAACTAATGCAACATATCCAATTTGTCAACAACTCCTTTGCTGGTCCGCCATCATCAGGGGGCCTTTCGCTCGATTGTCTTTCTGAGGTGTTCACATGGTCACAACAGAGTCCTATTTATCCACGTCCGGAAGTGGTAGGAGCAGGGCCCCATTCGCAGCACTTAGCGACGGCAGTCGAAGATCTGAAAGCATCTTCGCCAACTGCGTAATGCCACAAGGGATCATGTCCGATGCCAACAAGTCTTGCTTTGCCGCCAGGTGCATAGTCTCGAGAATCTCGGCTACCTCTTGGCTATCCCAAATCCCCTCCCTTCGGCGCATCGACCGAAGTAGCGTGGTGGTTCTCTGCTGGATATCGGCATCTCCAGAAGATAAGCCGACGAGATATAAAGGGGGAATAAGGTCGGCGTGCCAGGTGAAGATGGGGTGTGCTTCCGAGCCCCCCGACCGAACGAGGAGCTCGGCCAGGTTGAGAATATACTCACAGTCTTGTCTTTCCAGGTCGTCCTCTTCATCATCAGGCTTCAGCATGACTTTCCATACCGCCTGGTGCAGAGACAGCACCCTAGCTCTGTGTAGCTCTGATTCAGTCGACCCTGTTATCTGAATTTAGCCAAAGAACAGATCGAAACGGGCGCTCCAGTTCCAGAAGAGATTGATTATGTCTTCGCACGTAAGTTTATTCTCTCCAAATACATGGAAACTCTCCATAATCTGAGAATCATAGTCTTCCTCATTGTAGAAGCCGTCATCAGATAGTCCGCAGCCCTGGTAGGGGGAATCCATGGCAGATTCATAGAGTAAATCGATATCGTGTAGAAGCTTCTCTGCCTCAACGGAGGAGGAAAACGGCATGCGGGGATCACCTATATCGACAGCCGAGAGCAAAAAACAGCCAGGGTTGGGAACAAGATCATCGCCGGTGTAGATAGTGGAGTCCTGGTTTAGCCGCGACAGCATGCCAGTAACATCTCTGAAGAAATGGGTGTCCTGTCTATGTTCTCCTAACCACACAAGTGTGGGCGTATTTTGGACCGGGGGAAAAGATTCAAGAAGTCGCCAGCCCGCTCGTAAGTGTTGTAATGACTCTGGGTAGCGTCCCTGGATGCTCTCTACACAGATGAAAATGATGCAGCAAACAAGGATTATCTGAATATTGGTTGCAGATGGCGTAGACATCAGGGCCTGGATGTGGAGGATTGCGGCATTGTAGTGCCGGATGGCGAGTTTCCCCGGGTCCTCATGAGGCAGCGATGAATGAGAATGATGGAAGTCTCGCGATAGGAAAGACCTATGCGCGGCGCCGAGGGCACATAGGGCATGCTTGATCGGGTCGACGGAGTAACCTAGTGGTAGGGCATAGCTATACCAGAAACTCTCGGAGCCTGACGCTGTTGCCAAATCCTTTACGGTGCACTCCTGGACGTGATGGAAAAGCAACTTCTCCATCTTCAGCTTAAAGATGTGGGTGGTTATGAGGGGAAGCAATGGGATAAGCTGTCCCCTGGCCAGATGCTGTCGACGTCGCCCTCCAGCCGAACATGGTGGTGCCTTTCGCTTGGCCATGGGTTGAGGTTGATTGGCGACCTCGTAGCCATCGCACTGCATGCCATCCCGGCCACAACGTTGGCAGGTTGGCTTTCCTTCAT